GGGGGATTGATTGTTTACAGCAGGCACAGATCATTTTTGCACATTTAAACATTAAAAGTTCCACTCCGATCATTTTTTTTTTACTACTTTAAGTGTTGTCAGTGGTCTTTAAATTGTGATCATGAAGTTTTTTGGCAAAATCACATTACTTGTGTCATTTTCAAGGGCTTTTCTTATGCAGAGCTCCTATAGCTCATTAGGAATTCTCCTCTGAGTCGTGGGCAGAGACAGCGCTGCTCTGCACACTCCTCTTCACTCTAGCTTGTAGCCTAACATAGCCTGTATAGTAGAAGTGGCAGGTAACATAGGAGCTATTCAGCTCTCGGATACTAATGTCTTTGGGGACATGGTGAAAGATAGTATTAAAATTAGCTTTCTCACGAGTATTGCAATTTGCTAACACACACGCTTGTTCCGCAATCGGCCTCTCTACTTCTCTGAGTCTGGCCTGCATAACAGGGCTCCAGGGGTGGAGCTTGGATTTGTGATGTATGAAATCTTATTGCGTCTGTACCTGCCATTTGGGTCTGCCAGAGAGTCACAGTGGTTTAAATGCAGAAATACTCAGAAATGCAATTTTGCACCTATTTTTCTAATGATATGTCCTGTAGCATCAGAGAAATGCCATATGAACATGTAGACAACAAGAAAAACTTGATTTTCATCGGAGTGGGTCTTGTCATCTCCAAAGGCAATTGCGGCCTGCTAAACATATTTTAAAAAGAAGACCTATTCTACTGGGGCTTTCTACATTTTAAAAGTAAAGCTTCAAGCAGGGCCAAATATTATATGTAAATTTGAAACTTGTTATGTTTGATTAATGAGTAGAAATCTGATAAATGGATTCACTCTGTTGAAATAAAACAGTGGGATGTTTATTTAGAGGAAGTATGAGCACAAATGGTCACATTTTTCCAGCATTTGCTGAATAGTTGATGCAACAGAGTCTTCATCATGAGTGTAACTGAGGGTGAGTGTTCATTCCTCATTTCTGCCCCCGCCACCTCCCCCCTCACTGTACTGAGAAGCACCTGACTCCTACCAGCATAATGCACTTTGTGATTATTACTACGCACTAAGTCTGCAAAGAATGCTAATGATATTTAAGCCAAATCAAGCCTTCATAAAACACAGAGGGTTTTTTTTCCTCAAGGCTTTGAACTACCCAGAAGTGTGCATACGTTTACAGGGAAAGTGGACAGACACCGTAACACTCAGACAAACACATTCTTTAAGGAGTTAAATGCAGACAGAGACACTATGAGGAATGCGAAGTCTGTGCACGTGTGAGTGAGGGTCTTAAGATCCCCTTCATCACCTTTTTCTCAGCACGTGAAGGAAGCAAAGCCCCTCATGACACCCCAGCACAGCAGATAACCTCACGCTACAACTGAGATTTTCTCAATCCCATAATCTAGGGGTTAACAGTGATGTCAACATAACCCCCCCACCCTGAATCACTCACCGACACAGCCCGCTGTCTCACTGCAATCTTTGTGCCGTATATTCAAAATCAAAAGTGATTCTCAAAGAAATCAAAAGTAAATCTGATTTGGTTTGGGCTGAATGGCCTTCTGATGTAAAGAAAGAAAGAAAACCCAAATGAACTCCTGACCCAGTTGGGAAAAACTTTCCAAGATGGTTGAAGATGGAGAGCAGGCTATGCACACTTTCCTAACACTGCATTTCAAAGAACAATCTTAATCCAGACTGGAGTGTGTGTAATTTACTACAGCCAATAAAAACCCCAAAACAGGTGTAACTTTGAAACTTCTAGAAAATCCGCTTACACTTGGTTGTTGTACTTGCCTTTAGCCTCTCAGATCCTGCCGTTTCTCCCACCCAACAGCTAATTTGAAAAAAAATAGAAGTAACTCAAATCCTCCAAAATGGCCAAGTTCAGGTTTAGACCTGTGCGTGTTTTCCACTGAGTGACTGGTCGGGGACAGATGATATAAGGAGAACTAAACACTATTGCAGATAAAACTTTTCAAGAGGATCTACTTTAAAATTTAAATGAAATAGATAAAAACAAACAAACAAAAAACACAACAAAGAAATTAGAGACCACAAAATATCAAGTGTAAAATTGTGTCCTGTGCAGATCACATTGTGTACATAGGAAAATAAATTAACTTTCACATACGGGAAAGTGAACTTGAAGAGCAAATTATTTATTTGTTACAAGAAAATAAGTTATGCACACAGGGTAAACTATCCTGTTGAATGTACCCACAAGATGAGTTTGTGCATACAAGATAACTTATTCCCTCTAGACAAAAATGTATGCATACAAGAAAGATATCCTGTATGAAAACTCTTTTTCTTGTGCCCACATGATACTTATTTTTTTCCTCAAGATTGTAACTTCTTCCCACATGGATTTTTTGTTGTATTAACGTACAGAAGTGAAGTTGTCCTGTGTGCACAATAAGTACAAGAAAAACTCACCTGAACTAAAGCATCATTAGTTGATTTTTCTCTCCCTCTGTGTTCTGTGATTTGTCATACGACCCATACAATACATAAAATGTAATCAATTTGTGACACTTTAAAACAAATGCCATGATATCAGCAGTCCTGTCATATCACGTTTAAAATCTCATGTGAGCGGTACCAGCCAATTGTAGCACACATTCAGCAGTTTTAAACAGGAAATAGGACACAGTCAAGTGGAGAATAGAAAATGTCACCGGACACAGGTGCTTAAACTTAGTTAAAAGTAATGCAAAAAACATCAGTTGACCGTTATTAATGAATTACACTGCTGCTTAAACATCTCGAACTAGGAGGACTGCTAAAACTCGACCACGGCTAACTTCGGATTATATAGAAGAACGCAAATTGGTGAGTGACATTGCCCACCTGTTGGTGATTATCACTGATTAATGGCATGGTATTTGTTTTAAAAGTCTTTGAGGAACAGTGTTTTTGTTAAAATGTAAGTTTAAACGGTTGTTCTGGCCTTGTCACCTAGACCAGGTTTCTCCCTAGATTTTGATTCTCAATGGTGAGCTAACCCAGGATTCACCTCCAACAATTGACATTCCCCTCACCCATAAATATCATCATTATCACCATCATCATCATTATCATCACCATTATCTCTTCCTCACTGGTGGCCTTACTGGGCTGGTAGGATGAACTGAACTTTTCCTTAAAGATATATAAGTTGTATATAAGTTGACTGACTGTTTTTTTTTTTGTTGTTGTTGTTTTTTAAGGAAAAAAGTAAGAAACCAAAAAGGACTCCAAGAACTCATATTTTTTCTTTTGTTTGTGGACTGTAGGGTAAAACCGTGTTTTAAAGAAAAAAATACCTTTTGTTTTGTATAGTTTTGTACAGTTCATATGACAGTGAAACTTAAACAGTTTATTCTTTTATGAGCCACATGTGTGGCTTTTTGTTTTTGTTCTTTGTGTTTACTGCACCATTGTTGGTTTATGGTGTGTAAACACGAAAGAACAGGTGACTGTACAGATCACACTCATTAGCCACGTTTACATGCAGACTTTTTTCTCATTCGGATTATAATCATTCCGATTGAAGCTCCCAGGCGAACTGTTTACATGGAAGCGATCTATTCTGATCTGGTGTTTACATGTGCCACGGCATTCAATCGGAACAGCTATTTACAGACACGTGATACCTTCAAACATCACGTGATTGATTGATCACGTGATCTCCGACGCAGACCAGTGCATCGTGCTCTGCTTGGAAGCCGCCATCATGTTTCCATGTGAGTCATACGTCACTGCTTGTTTATATCAGGACAGAGCATGCGCAGACAGAACCCAGCCTGACAACTTTCCGATTCACCGTTTACATGACAGGATTTTGCTTTTAATCGGAATGGGAAAAGGAATATTCTACCCCTGTGAATCGGAATGAAATTCCATTCGGAATGGGCCTGTTTATTCCGAATGAGGTGTTTATATGGAGCATTTTCATTCCGATTGGGCTTCTAATCCGATTATATTCGGAATATTTGGCTCCATGTAAACGTAGCTATTGATAGAGGGATGTACTGAACCTGTGAGTGGATATTTTCTCACGACTGCTGACTTAAACTGGTAACTGCAATCAGTTATAGCTGACATGATATGCAGACTAAAAAGATGGAGGTTTATCTCTGAGAATGAAAGGATTAGTCATTGGAACAGGAAAGAGTGTTCTTCCCTTGTTGATTTTCCCTTTGCAGCATTTTCTGACGGCCTTCACCGGCTGGTAGCAGCATTAGTCTTTGTCCCTTAGAGGGTGATGGTGCCAAGTTTGTAGATAGTCCCTTCAGACCTCCTGAGACATCACAGGACAGATGGATGATCACTCTTAAAAAGCTCACAAGGAGAGTAAATCTGTTTCTTCCTTTTATTTATTAACAGAAATGTATTAACATTTAGTATGCAGGAATGAGACCTTCTGTGAATACATGGCACAATCATATTATGTACATTCTTTAAGGAGACAGTGCACGGATAGATGGATGGAGGGGGTGAATACAGGAACCTTAAAACAACCCTTCTGTGGGCTCTGAGTGACATGGGCCAAGTGAGAAACGCTAACTTTTGAAGTTAAAAATGTTTATTTTTCATTATTTATAAAGAAATGTGGCCGTTACCAAGAAACGAAAAGTCATTCTACTGTTCTGTCGCACATCGATTTCTATATACAAACTAGGGACAGGGAATTCACACGGACCAGAGGGGGTAATCTACCACAGTGCTAGGCAGGAGCCTTTTTTACTCTGTAACAATATACATAAATCCCATGTAACACAACAATTACATGTGCAGCTGATCACCTCACTTAATTTAAAAGAAACTAAATCAGAGCAAACCTGTGTCTGTTCCTCTTGTTATTTAGCTTATAATGCTTTTAAAGCTCATTGCACATTTTCCCCCCACAGACCTTTGTGTCTTGGTATGAATGTGTGTTAACAGGTGAGATTAGTGCAGTCTCTCTGTGGCAGCTCTTCTCATCTATGATCCTTCAACAAACTTCAGTGTCCGGTTAGGTAGTCCTGGGTGGAGTCTGAAGCAAAAGAGTCGGCGTCTTCGTTGTCCGAGTCCTCGCTGCTGTCGTCAGCTGCGGGCTCTCCGGACAGAGCGATGCGAGCGTAGTCGTCTGTGTCGATTGACTTGCAAAAGTGAATGGCGTATTTGAGTTTCTCCTCCAGCACTTGTTTACAGGAGTACCTGGGCAGCTTCAGCAGGAAGAAACAGGTGTAGGATTCTGGCAGGAAGTGGTCAGGAGGGTTGTATTTATCCAGCACCTGCACACAAAAAAAGATGAGGTTAGGAGTCAGTATATTATTCAAAGTCTGATGCTTCTTCATTAATGAGAATCAGAAACTGTGAAATGTAAGTGACGTTCTATGTCATTTAAAGCTCCAGTAAGGATGTTTCTGTTTGAGCTGTTTTTGGCGCCACCTATGACCAAAACAGTACCTTTCTTCTTTATACTGATTTTGCTCTGTAAGAAGACAAGAGTTGTTTTCTGACAAAAATAAACATATATATCTTCAGTTCTTTTAACAACAGAAAACAATCTCTGCCTTGAATTACATAAAAGCAGGTTGCTTAAAGGGATATTCCGGCTTAAAATAAAGCTATGGTCAAACACGCCACAACATCGAGTTAGACACCCCCACAAGAGATGAATGTTGCAGACTGCTTGCTTCTCTAGTTATACCAGCTTTAGTAACGACCACACGATAGCAATACACAGCGTCACATCAACAGTACATATAAGGTCCCAGCCATAGTTCTAGCCATCAAACATCTTTTTAACTTTGCCTGGTTTCTTTAGCAAAGAGACCAAACACAACTCACCCACTCTCCCCCAGCAGCCGCTTGTTTGTGGGGGAACCCTGACGAGTCCCTTTAACTTCACTGACCCCAAACCCCCCCCATCTCAAATTTAGAAATTTGAGAAAACTGATAGTAATAGCGTAGAGAACCATCGAGTCAACGAGTCTCATTTGCATTTACAGGTTCTAATGAAGCATCAAGCTTTTCTTTCACTCTGTTCTGTAGGCAGATAAAATCTCCTTATAGGAGCTTTAACACATTTTTTTTATTGTCTTCTTGGATTTTTTCAAAACTACATTTTGTGCTCCTTAGACTTTAAAGACGTTTCCTTTTCTTACCTGCACTACAAAGTCCCGCCCTCGGAAATCAGCGATGGTACGTGGCAAACGTGTGCGACCCCAGACGAACCTCAGGAACAGAGACCTCTCTGTGTTGGAGAAAGACTCCATCACTTCCCAGAACCACTGGATGAGGGGCGATGTTGGCTCCACTCCTTTATAAGTGGCCACTGACTTCAGCAGGTGGAGAGGGATGTCTGGGCTTCCACATACCTGAAGAAAGAGAATTTTTCCAGTCAGACCAGCACATGGGCAGAAAAAAAGAGACAAAAAAATCTGACCTCACCCACCATGGTTTCCAGCTCGTATCCGGTAAACAGCGACAGTAAAGGGACGGGAACAACTCGAGCCATTCCTTCCCGTACAGCAGCTACCTGCTCGTCAAACTCATGGAGTCTGAAAAAACAGACAGACAGAGAGGAAAACAAAGACATTATATAGAGGTCTTCAACAGAACCTGGATGGACTTCATTAGTCTGAGGTCTTGACACCCAGTTATATTTTAAATGTATTTGTCCATCCCATTGTTTTTACAGGATACTACGGGGCCCTGCATGTTCCAGAAAGAGACCAGAGCCACAAACCGAGTTTGATTTACTCAACAAACTTGATGAGTAAAATGGCAGATTAAATTTCTTTCCACAGCCCAAAAAAAGTCAGATAAGAGATAAGTCTTTATGTCTTTGTGCTTTAGGTGTGTATTTTCATTTTATTTCATTGTCACTTATTTCAGTTTCTCACCTGTAGTTGATTGCCAGACGGACATACTCTGCGCGGTTCTCCAGGGTGATGTGGGAGTACTTGGAGCTGAGCTGGATGTCCTGTCCACTGGCATTGGGCACGGTGAAGGGAAGGGTCATGGCCTCAAACTCCTCAGCTGTGGCCTCGTTGTCCCTGATGTACATTAAGCCTGGGATAAAATCCTTATCAACCTGGGAGGTAGAGAAGAAATCACCATTTAGTATTCCGTGAAAACCCCTCTCTTAATCCCCCCCGATTTACCTCCTTTTCCATGTACCCATTCATATTTTTGTGTGTGTGGCCTCATTCAACCCCAACACAATTCCCGTGAGCCCACCAGGGATTCACTCCTTCTAGAGTCTTGTGGTGGATTAATTCGACATCCAACCTTTACAATATCCCAAGGGTGAAATCACACAACAAGAGCAGCTTTGTGTTACCGCTGAAGTATTCTCCCAAAGACGGTCCAGGAGCTCATGATCACAGCATGAGGGCAGGAGGCGACTCATGCCGGCTCTCAAACAAAAGCTCAGTTTATGGGACAACGTCAATTCCTGAATTAAATATAGATTAACCTTCACGAGAGCAGGTAGAGTGTGACTCTACAGACCAGGTTTCTCTTGTGGTCCTATGAGTAGCCAGGAGCTGAAAGGCTAAAGGTTTAATCTGAGGAGGAATGTGTAGGTCTGTGTTCTTTATACAGGTTATAATTCCAGATCATGCGGTGTTTGAAATGTTATATAATAGAGACATTTGTAGCTTAAAAGCGGAGTTGAAGGTTCAGGATTTTGAGACAATTAGAGCTGAGCTGAAAAGTAGCTGTAAAGGTTTATGTAAGTCTAACAATAAGCTGCTCATCATGAAACAATGAGCTACAAGCGAGGCAGTTTCATGTAAGCTTCATCAATCTCTCCTCATTACACAAACCTACAACAAGTTAAAATAGTTTCAACTTGTTGAATGCTAACTGCTCGTGAGGAGGTGAGAGCTGATCAATAACATTATTGACACCCTAATTTACAAAAAGAGAAAACTGATCAGTGATGATTTCAAAAAACGTCATCAAGGAACAACAAAGGTAAAAAAAACTGAATATAAGTGAGGTGAGGTGTGAGCAATCAGCAGAAGAAATGTGCTAATTTTAGACTAGGAAAAGCTAAACAAGGTGATAAACGAATCTCATACATTTAAAAAACAGGGATCCAGTTTTTTTTTTTGCATACATATTTTATATCTAGGTACATCATAAACCTGCCAACACCGTATCTTCCACCGAGCTGAAAAGCTTGTCAAAGTGAAGGCCTACAGAAATCTGTGATTTTCTTGATAAGCTCCTTTACCTTCAGGTGGTCACTCAGTTTCTTAGCTCAGGAGAAAAAATACATAAACAGAGTTGAAGTTCATGTGTATGCATAATTTTATTGATCAGATAACATAAGGTTATGTGGGATATAATCCTGAACCTCTCAGCCACAGCCCCCCTTGCATTAATACATGCATGAAGAGCTGGGTGGAGTTCTTTCACTTTGTATTTGTTGTTAAACTAGAAACTACAAAAATTCTCAGGCTGTTTTTTTTGGGGTCTCTTAGGCTGGGACGCAAAAAAATGGTGGGAAAATTACACCACTCTCTTTGACTTGTTTTCCTTTTCTCTCAGGAGGAGGGATGGTGTGCTGCAGCCTCACCAATCATCTCCTGCCTTTAACTTTAACCCTGTAAATGCACAATCGGTAAATGCAGGTGAAGTACACTGAAACCTGTTCACAGGAAAACCAGTGACTGAAGAGAAACTGTTGTAACTCCAGTGTACCTGTATCCATTATTTTCTTGTTTGTTTATGAATATTTTGTTCAAATGTTGGCACTGGTGCCAGCTGCTACTCATACAAACAGCAGTGTGTTTTTGATATGCTCCGTAAAACCCCACCAAAAAGATTTGAAGTCCCACTCCAATCGTTTTTTTTACTATTTTAAGTGTGGTCTTCAAGTTGTGATTATCAAGTTTTCAGCCAAAATCCCGCTACCTTTTTGAGAGGTTTTCTCCAGCAGAGCTCCAGTAGCTCATTAGCAATTGACCTCTGAGTCGTGGGCGGAGACGGCGCTGCTCTGCACACTCCTCTTCACGCTAGCTTGCAGCCTAACATTGTCGGTGTAGTAGAAGTGGCAGGTAACATAGGAGCTATTCAGATCTTGGACACTAATATCTTTAGGGACATTAATAATATAACTAGCTTTCTCACGAGCACTGCAATCCGCTAACCCAACACTTGTTCCGCAGTCTTCCTCTCTACTCTGAGACTGGACTGCATGGTGGGGCCCCGGGGGCGGTGCTTGGATTTGCTACATAGGAAATCCCACAGTGTCTGAGCCTGCCATTTGGGTCTGTGAGAAGTTCACAGCGATTTGAATGAAGAAATACTCAGAAATGTAACTTCGCACTTATTTTTCTCGTGTAATGTCCTGCAGCATCACAAAAATGTCATACTAACATGTAGACAACAAGAAACACATGATTTTCACTGGAGTGGGTCTTTAAAAACATCTTACCAATGCAATAACGGAAAAGACCTGATCTCAATTTAGCAGAACACAGAAAAATACATACCTAAAAAGTTAGAGCATTGAAAAAACACCCTGTAGTCATAAATGAAAGCTGGATTATAGCCTATATCAAAACAATATTAAATAAGGAACAAAGCTAAATGAAATACTGTTCATAAAAAAACAAGCACTGGGTCCAATTATCACGATCCTCACAGTATGGGTATATGTCTGAGAAACAATTTATGAACTCAAGTCTTTTTTTTAACAAAATAAAGTCAAATTAAATCAATAGAAGCAGGATTTGTTCTACACTTCGAATGTCACTGTCAAAAACAAAAGCAGCCTGTATTATGTGACAGACAGAATATCACACAGAAAAGGCAAGACTATCAAGTGCAGATGAGGTTCCTCTGAAGAGTAAAAAGCACAAAACCTCTTTCATTTCCTTTGCCATGACCTGTCATGCTCTTTGATTTAACTCTCAAACATTATGCCTACTGCGAGACTTAATAATAGCTGATGTCTCACAACCTCTTACATCTCAAGACACTGACTCATGAGCTTTTACATTTCACAAAACTAGTTAACTTGCATGCAATTATTTTACAAAACTAAAATTATGGTCTTGTTCTGATGATTTCCCGTCATACTCTCTATGAAAATTTACAACAGGGCAGAAACAGCAGCAGCATCTTTAGCATTAAACAAGGCATTCTCCTCCTGACTTATAAGTAAGGGTCAAACAAAAGCACCTCGCTTAGCTGGGATAGGGTGACAGCAGCTCAAATTCACTTATTTTGAGAAAAAGAGAAAAAAAAAGAAAATATCTGCACCAATACTTGGTGATCTTATTGAGTGATTAATCAGAGGCAGACAGATGTATGACAGAAACCTTATTTTTTATCAATGTACACACCGAGAGTCCTCGACACATATAAGCAGCAGAGTGACACATGAACAATCAACTGTAAACACCTTCCACCTGTCCCTCTACTTCCGAGTATCACGTCCCTAAGCCTTTGCACTAAATGATGCCACAAACACACATGCCAACTGTTGATCCTGCAAACCGTCTGCTCCACTCAGCTGGTCGGCTCAGCCTCAGAGGACAGAAACACTAAGGAGAGATTAACACTGAAAAAAAAAGTTTATAGATGAAAACCAGGGATGCACTAATGTATTGGTTGAACACTGGAAAAAAAAGCCGTCCTGTTTACTGGCATCAGCACATAATGACAAAAACAAATGTCAGTGGCCAATGTTTATCTGTATCTATCTGTATCCTATCTAATCTAGAGAGCTATTCCAGAAGAAGAACAAACTAATTTACTTGAATGATCAAACATGAAAGAAATGTGTGCAGTGTGGAAATATTACAAAGTCTCTGAGAAGATAAACTGTTCATATTTGAAGAGGACCTTCAGAGAAATTGTGAAAATATGTCAAATCTCATAGCTAATCTAAGAATCGGACCAAAATATTTCTAGAAGATAGCAGAAACACTGGTATTGACATGAGTAAAACTGTTATTGTAAACATTGGTATCCATGTTGACTTTACTTTTCACAATTAGAGTATCTCTTGTGAAAACTAGAGTGTGTGGCACAACTCCCGCAGTCTCAGCTCTACCAAGGTAAGGAGAACGAGCAAGAGTTAAGGACAGAGCTACAAACAAGTCCAGAAGTCCGATGATGTGAGTTCTCACAGCATTACTGCGGTTTTTATGTCCCGCTAGCTAACCCTGAGTCATTTTGTGGTTCAAACTGTACTAGTTAAATCAAAAACTAAATACATGGACCCCCAATCACTGATCAGTCACAAATTCATTAACAGAAACATTAATCAAATACTGTAACTGACATGTCATAATCAAACTTTATTTCAACCCAAACTGTTCTGAAATTGTTTCTTGAAATGAAAAGAAAAGCTTTTTTCTCTCACTGTGCAGATGACAGACGATGTGTCACTGAACCACTTCAGGTCCGGAGCACCAGGACTTTGATTTCACTCAAAAATGTAATGGAAAATCTTTGGGCAAGTTCCTTAAAATCACTTCTGAACAAATCCATTGGCACATGGCTCAGTGTGTTTTCACACTTCATCAATCATCCTGCGAGTGTAGTGGATACACACTGAGCAGGATCTGTGTTTACAGGAGAGCAGGGCTGTGTACGTACCTCACTGAGGTCAGCGATGGTCAGGTTCATGCCTGCCAGCTGTTTCCAAACAGGCTCTGCCAGATTCAGACTCAGAGGGCTCCCAGTCCGGATTGCAATGCCCAGTAGCACACCTGCAGACACACAGCAAGGAAGAGGGCATAACCCGCTGATCAAACAAGAACAATACTGTCACTGTGCCATGGAGAGAACCATAGATCCGTATTAAATGGAGCACTCTCAAAACCAGGCCCTGTGTTTTATCAGAGAAAATGCAGGTAAAGTCGTGTGTAAGTTTTAAAATAAACCTGCTTCATTTTCAGTTTTTATTTGTTGAGGATTAACACCAAAGAAGACCTGAATGAGAGATTAAGTGGATTATACCTAGAAAGCGGAACATGCTCATGTGAAGAGAGGACTTGGCCGCAGGGTTGAGCAGGAAACAGTCCCTGTTGGCGCCTGAATCATCCCGCCCATTAGGGGTGACGATGAGCAGCGGGGTCAAAGCGTTCTGCAGCTCCTCACACATCTCAGCAATGGACTCACTGTAGCCTCCGCCACAGTCATCCACTGACTCTCCTGAGGGGAGAGGAAATGAGCACAATAAGGCATCATGTTTAGAAAATCACATGCTTTTAGGGAACAAGGAGTGAATGTGAGAGTGTGACACCTACCAACAAATTTAACCTTCCACACGCGATGAGGGAGCAGCAGACTATCAGGGCTGAAAGAGCTCATTTTGGCACACATCTGACCAAATACAGACTTGGTCCCATCAGGACCTGCCAGGCCTCCTTTGCTACGAGAACGCTTCACCTGCAGGGTGAAGAAAGGGAAGGAAGAAGAGAGATTTCAGTTTGATCTGTGCTTAAAAGCCTCTCACGAGATAAAGAGGAAGTACTGATATGCATGAATTCCTGGATATGACAGCTCGAATACAAGCGGAGCTACACAAGGGGAGGCGTGCTTGTGTGGAGAGGCAGTGGCCCGAGCAGAGAATCTATGTGGAGTAAAGTCTAAAACTCGGTCCAGGAAGCCCTGCAGACAGGCTGGAGTACAAATCACACACACACCAGGAGAAATCCCCTTATGAAAGACATCACATGTAAAGTTCAGGAGCCTGTCTGGAACACGGCCTCACAGAGGGAGTGAGAGGAGAAGAGTACAGTGAACGAGAGAGAGCAAGAGACTTCAAGGAAAAGAAAAGAGTGAGTGTGAAACAGATTAAAAGAGGGCAGCTGTGAAGAATGTGAGTGCCTGGTACACCTTCTAATACATCTGTCTGCAGAAATGATCCACTCTGTAAGGGCTTTCTTAGTCATGTGCTGATATGTTAATCAGTTCTATGAAACATATGGAGCAGAAAACGAAGAACAGATGATTCAGTCTGCAGCACATGAAGTACAGCATGTCAGAATGGCAGAGTAAGGGGTCAGTGCTAGAACTGAAATACAATCATGGATGTTCTTGAAGCAAGTAATGTCCTAGATATTTGTAGAATATATGTAGAAAAGTCTGACTAGCCCACTTGAGTAAAGGTTAAACTAAGCCCGATTTATTCAGCCAAAAATGAGATCACTGATTCCCAATGTTGAATTCGTGTCTGACATCAGCAGAGCTAGCACCACCAGTCTTTCGTTCTCCACCAGCTATGCACTGATCAGATCAGGTTACCAACAACAGCCAACAAACAGCTTAATCTTCATTTTCTAAAAATTAAAACATCAACAAAGTGCTGTGCTACAAGAGACTGTTTGTTTTGTTCTTGACACCGTATATGACCACAAACATAGGCCCACCATCATGAAAATGTTCAATCGTTTAACCGGCTGGTAATTCTGGTGCCAACTAGTGAGGGTGACCATGATTGATCATTTAGTTGACTCAGCACGCACATCTCAATATATAGTGCATGAAAACAGTAATATTAACAATAACACTGAAGTCATTTGTTCAGGAAAGAAACTTCCAGAGGATTCTGACATAGCTTCAGTTTGTCTAAGGTTGTCAAAATTTTAGATACTCTTTAACACCATGTCCTGTTACTTTTATGTTTGATAGTGTCCAAAAAAACACCAGAGCTAAAAATAAAAACAGGGTCAATACTAATAATAATTTCACCCCAAAGCTGCTGCAAGTGAAAGAGAAACAGAGAGAGGGAGACAGTGAGAAGAGCAAGAGAGATCCAGAGAGCAGCAGAAGGAGATTTCACCAAGAGACAGAGACAGACATATAATGAATATTTCATAGCAATTAGTCTAAAAATTATAAAACAAAAATACACAGGAATGTTCTGGTTTTAAGTGTAATGCTGCTAAAGTTGTAGTCAGTGATTTTTCTGCACAGCCCAATGTGCAGCTTCAAAATCAAAATCAACTAAATGAAGCTGTTTTGGGTCCCAGGAGTTCATCTTTTGTTGTTGCCATAGCATCAATATATGTATCAATGTTGTGTGATTTTTAGTGGAATCATAAAGTACAAATTTCTGTTATCATTTCAACTCTTACAAGCATTAGAGATTAACAGCTTCATCACTTCGTCACAAAAAGTCAACATCAGACCCAAAATTGGTCATCCACAAATCTACTTATAGAAAAAAAACATGGTATTGCTCTTGGTTCTGTCAGTACCTGGATCCTGTTGAGCTCCACCACAGGTCCATGCTGTCTGTCCCTCACCATTGTGGCTTGAACAACTTTCCTGAAAGCTGCTTCCTGTTTACAGAAAAACAAAATGACAATGACTATTGTGTCGGCTCTTTGTTGTACAGCACAGTGAGGTTTTATCCTGGGATACTGATGTATTTTTCTGGATTCACAACGCTGTCTAACCTTGCCCTGGGAAATGAGAATTCCTCTAAGTGTGTCGAAGCCCACTGAGGGTCCGTGGCCAGTCTGACCCAGCCGACCCTCCAGGTCAAACATGGGGATACACGGGCAGAAGAGCTCTGAGATGTGGTGCAGCAGCAGCAGCCTGTTCCTCAGAGCCATGATGGGAATCTCTTGCAGGTGGTTGTACTCCATGGGAACCTTGAAGAGACCAAACAACAGTCAGAGCCTGACAGCATGATCGACATTTTCAGGTCTGATTTTGTTTTGATGGTACAAAGCATTACTGCCATCTACTGGAACACATCCATTTTTCATACATACAGAAAACCACAGTGGGTGCAGTACCTGTGCAGGCAGTTTCCCCGCATTGGTGGGCTTGCTGGTGGACCATGCAAGGGTGTGAGCAGAACCACAGGCAACCCTGTTGATTTTCTTGCCCTGCAGTGCAGCGACCAGTCGTGGCCTTTGGATGGCGTTTGTGGTTCCGTCTCCCAGCTGGCCCTCATCGTTGTCCCCCCATGTGTAGACTTCTCCTAAGGCAAACACAACCACAGAGGTGTCTGTGAGCTCATGTTCTTCACAGCTCATCTGACCTGTTTGGACCATAGACTGTATAAGGAATGGACAGAGTCTGCCTCCTCTCTGGGTGAAGCCACTCCGAGAACAGCACCCTCTGTTGATGAGCTGCAGTATAGGTCATAAATCCCGCCTCCGCCAGCAAGGCTTATGGAGCTGTGGACAAACTTTAGAAATTTATTACACAGAACATAAATTTTTCTCCCCCCTGCTTGTGATGTTGGCATGTAGTTATTGTAAGACTGGTTTGTGCTCAAGTCCTCTTTTTTCTGTGCAGCTCCGTTATTAAAAGTTATAAGAGGGTTCATGTTTGCTATGATTGACACCTGATACAGCCTATGGGCGTTCAGGGATTGTGTAGCTCTCCCGGGGGATACGCTGTTTGAGCCGAGCGTCATCACAGCAACTCTCAGCGACTGCGCGGCCGAAATGCGCGCATCGCTACTGCGCAGCGCTGTTTTCAGGAAATGAAGAAAAATCCTGGAAATACAGAGAGCTTTTTGGCCTCAAATCCGTATACAGGCGGTAGGCGGAACCAAATTGTCCATAGTATATACAGTCTATGGTTCGGACCTAATGATTCTGACTGACAGCATGGCAAAAACAAAAGGGATAGATCGATTTTTACCTCATTTTAGTTGCTCATTTAATTCTACTGTCTCGTAATAATTCCTCCTCTGGGACAGGGACCCCAAAATTTTAACATCAGTAAAATCATTAAGACCGTCCTCACATGACCTGAGCACAAATTCAGATGAATGACTAGGCAAAATAACCTTTAATTTAACCTTCTCTAGCAAAGAAAAAAAATGTATTAAAGAAAAGAAACAACCTCAGCCTCAACAATCTATCCTAAAGTGATTTAATGAAAAGCAATTCCCATTACCTACCATGCTCAGCAAAAGTAGATTGAAATCAACGCACTTATCATGAGAAAAGCAGTAAAATAATACATGACGTGTAAATAATCCAAAAACACAAAGTCAAACAAGTCTGTCATTTCACTTTTGTTTTTCCATAAATGTATTTCATTTTTTTGTTTCAGAGGCATGAGCCATCAGAAAAGTTATGAGGCTCATGAGCTTGACTCAACAGATATGCAGTATTTCAGCTACCACAACCAATAAATCATAAATCCTTTCCTGATAGCAGATGTCTCCCTCAGCAAATATAAAGATTCACCATTTGGAGAAGCTGATACACAGCAAACCTGTTGTGTCACACTGATTAGACTGAGGGATACGGACTCTCAGGGGATACATGGGTGCATCCCAACATGTAGACTAGGCTACTTTGAAATTAATCTTTACATAGGTGGGAAATATTTAGGATGCTGCTCCTTTGATCCTACCATCTTCAGTGCAGCACACACAGTGTAGCGATCCCGTTGCAATGGCGATGACCTTCTTCCCCTGCAGTCCTTGAACCTGCCTGGGTCTGCGGACATGGTCGTCCGAGCCATGGCCCAGCCGATGATAGTCTCCTTTCCCCCTAAAAGCAGCACACAGATGAACTGATTAACCTCCAACAGATGAGGCTGTGACAGATATGCTGTGCACTGGGCTGTACATACCACGTGTACACGGCTCCAGATTTTGTAAGAGCCACAGAAAACTGAGAGCCACACTCCACTTTGACAACTCCAAGACCAGTGAGAGAGTCGATCTGAAAACAAAAACATCTTGATGAGTCATCTGGTGGAGTCTGGAGTACAACTGGCTTTGTAGATATTTCAATCAAGCTGCATGAAGAGTGTAGAGCCTGATTAATGTCACACCTTTTGAACAATGCCGGGCACTTGCTTATTGGCACTTTAAAAACCAGAACTCGAGGAAAGACTTGTAAATGTCTGTTTTTGAGATTCTGGATTCAGCACTTAGTGTACAGAGAAAATTAAATGACCAAAGAACCACAGTTACACTGAAAAGCGATTTTTTTATATATAAAACAGAGCCAGACCAGCTGTTTCCTACACTTATGAGTCTGAAAGACAAGTCAAGTCAGCATGTCCTCTCCTGCAGCCTCGTATTTAGTTTAGGAACAATTATATTTTTCATCTTCATACTCTAGACAAGAGATTTATCAGTGTGTACCAGAGGAATTCAAACATGATTTTTTTTTTTTTTTACTCATCTGCAATCACACCAAAGTTTTACAGCTCCTCCTCTCCAGTGTATTTGGGCTTTTCTATGCTGAATATTTCAGAGAATTTCTCTTAAACCTTTTTTAGCTACAATTTCTCAAAAATAACGTCATTTTGCTCTCCAGGCTTAGAAATTTAAAACAGAGTCATGACTAACAAGTACAAAAAGCAATGTTACTCATACTAAATTCCTCAAGTTTGCATGATGTTACTGAAAAACAACAACTTTGTAACTTTGGGTCTTGGGTTTGGTAAACCTAATCACATTTGTGGAAAAGCTGTCTTATCTTCGCCTCTCAATACACTCACAAACTCCTTATCATGAACAGTGTTTCCTTTTTACTAAATCAGCCAAATATCGAACCTTAGAGGCATGACAAATACAGAAAAAAGAGGCAGCAAGTGTAATTTTTTTCTACTGTTATTGATGCCCAAGTGATCGTGTGTTACGCAGGAAATCTGAAGACTTTTCTGTTTGTGTCAATTTTGGTGCCCCATATAGACAAAGTAGTACCTTTTGTTTCTTTGCTGATCTTGTCCTATACATGAGCAAGGAGATTTTTTTTAAAATAAAAAACTTATTTTGCAATGATGGCTGTGTTACATCTATTGGCTGCAACTCCAACACAATCCTCTAATTCTAGTGCACAAGCTGAGAATGTCAGGGTACCAGAAACTGGGAAAATGACTATTACAGAAATTGCAGCGTTCTAGTGGACTGCTGCTGAGAGAGACACTTCAGTTTGTTTTAAACTAATGGAAAACTCATAAGAGATTAAGTCTGACTGATAACCAAGCACCTTTCTCTGTTAAAATAAGAATATAGAGATCAAATTTAAAAACAAAAAACAATTAAAAACAACAACAACAACACAAACACGCTAGCTGCTGAGACACGGAGTTGTCATTGCTTCATAAACATATGTCTAAAATAAGAGATGAAGAATTTATGTGAAAAACAAAGATAAACAGCTGAACACTGTGTTGCCGGTTTGTATTTTTCAGCACACTCTGCTCTCTTTCCATGAAAAATATCTCCAGAGAGAAGTCTCAAGTATAAAGTGATGCTTCTGCTGACCTCCAGTGCACACTGCCGAGTAAATTGCCTTACCTTCATGGGGATTTTGCAGCCATCACTGCCTCCCCGGCCCAATTTGCCATAGTCCCCATCTCCCCAAGACCAGACCATGTCATCATCTGTTAGACACAGAGTCTGGGCGTCCCCGCTCCCGCAGGCCACATCAATGACCCTGTGACCCTGCAGTGCATCCACCTGGAAAAACCACAAAGACGCTAACATCAGTTTTACCTCGCTGTGATTATCTGGGAAAGCATGTCAGAGTGTGGCAGAGTAAGGGGTTTGATTCCTGACAGAAACATGTCGCTGAAACACTCGGAGTCTTTTCAGGGTGTTCACAAATCTCTGCTGAACTTTAAAGACAGAACTAAATGATCACTGACCAGCTTGGGTTTGAGCTGGTCCTCGCTGTCTCCGTGACCCAGCCGTCCATAGCGACCTTTGCCCCAAGTGAAGAGCTCTCCGCTGGCAGTGATGCAGGCGCTGTGAGCTCCTCCGGCTGCGATATCCACCACTTCCACTCCCCTTAGGGACTCAATTACACGAGGACGATCACAGGGGCTGAAGTCAAGTGGAGTCGCAGATAGAAAAGGAACACAGGCTTTAATCTTTGCTTCTTACAGTGACTTGAGTTTGTAATAACAGTGTGTGTTTTATGAACTGTAAGTTAAAGGTGCACTGAAGTGTTAGATTGGATTCAACTCAGACCTTCTGTTCCCATGGCCAAGTTTCCCATCCTCAGCCTCTCCCCACGAGTAGACCTCCCCCTCAGAGGATAGCGCCAGGCAGTGCTTCCCCCCAGAGTTCACCGCCACTTTCCTGATGAAGACGTGTTGGATGGACTCCAGTAGGGTTGGGGTGGACACGGACTCCGTGCCCCCGATACCAAGTCTGCCTCCAGCTCCATACCCTGTTGCATACAGCTGAGGGTGGAGAGACAGAATTAGTACGACAATAAATTATGTGATCTGAATCTGGCTCTACTGAAAAAAAATTAACACAAGAAATTCTCGACAATTATTGAGAAAAAACTGACATTGCAATGTTTTCCTTTCTGTAATATGAACTGGGATATGAAAAAAAGGAAAGGACATTTTATAGCAGTAAAATTCAGTGTGCTTTTACCTACCAAATATATGTTAAATTAATAAATAATGATTATTACTTAACAAATCTATTAAAATTATTATTGATATAATCTCTGCATCGAAGACTGAGTCTGTGGATCAAGATAAACAGGCAGATGGTAGTTTCATTGATCCATCTTTAAAGGCAAATGGTGGCTAAAGGTTTAATGAATGACTTGTAGAGAATTACAGAATATGTCTGTGATTTTATATTTGACATGCAATATAAATAAAAACATTTTGCTTTTTTTAAGTCAAAGAAAATCCACCTCCCAAAAAAAATTTAAGAAAAGACTGTGAGTCACAATAACCAGAACACAGACACATGCAGCAATGTAGCCAAGTATAAACCCACGTTACACTTGTCTAGACATATGATATAGACAGGTGAGATTTGCCAATAATGTCGGAACATGTTTGACTCAATCCTGACACTCTCAGAGCGTTTGGTACTTTGAGGACACTTTGGTACACTTGCTGTTTGAAGTCTTATGAGAAAACAAAACCTGCCAACGCTCTGACCTCACTGGAGCAGTGAGGTCAGAGCTTTGCAGTGATCTTTTTTTGTCAAGTCATCAGGCATTTATGGTGTCAGGAGTTTGATACTAAAACAAGGATGAGAATAGTGTGTAGACAAAAAAAAAACCAGACTGACCTTCCCATCTGCAGTGACAGCAAACAGAGTCTGCTCCCCACCAATAAGCTGCACCGGCCGCAGTGTGGCAAGGGTCTCAGTGGGAGTGGGCACTTTGACCTTTGCCCCTTCGATGCCACCTAGCTGCCCTCTGTGGTTGTGTCCCCAGCCGTAGATGGTGCCGCTCCCCCCAGCAGACAGGGTCCAGTCATCTGGTCGTCGGTTCATCCACTGAACGAGCTGCTCGTCATGCTCCCGCCTGAACAAGTCGTGACTCTCATGGAGGCCGTTCATGCTCTCGTGGTCCGCCATGAGCTCACGGATTTTCTTTGTGACCTTTAAGGTGAGTAGGAGTGATAGTAATTGAAATGCTCCCAGGTTTAACTGTAATAAAGGAAAGTCAAGGGCTTAACAGTTATGCACACCCACCTCATCCAGGAAGGGTCTTGGCAGGGAAGTTCTTTTGTCTAGCGCCACAGCAACTCTGGAGGCAGTGCAATACCGGCGGAACCAGGCCCACTTATGTGTCTCAGCACAGCACGGTAAGGTATCGAGCTCCAGGTCGCAGGCAAGAGCGACCAAGACCTGAGTGAAATTTTACAATTAGCCTCTGAGAGAAAACTACTTCTGATGATCAATAAAAAAAAACAATAAACTCTCCACCTGTGGTGGCTTTACGCTGGTAAGGAAACTTTAGAGCATACCTTGAAAAATGGACTGTGGAGCAGCTGTTTGCCTCCCCTGACGATGGGGTCCTCATATTCATACTGCCTCTGCAGAGCCTCCGGAAGCCCCTTCACCAGGGCGGCCAGTGCACTGCCAGTGAAACTCTGAAAGACAGTGCACTAACAATCAATTACATGATTATCAAAAATACAGTTACACAGTTACACTCAGCAAAGCATTATATCCCGATAAGAGTAAATCAGGAAATCATCACGGATTAAAGGATAAAAGTGAGTGAATGTTTTCTGTTTATTATCTCAAACAAAATAGAAGAATATCCACATCTACAAATGGTGAACTGCAACACTAAGATACAGACCTCTGAACTTTCATTGCTCATCTTGACAGTAAAATATTTATGGTCAGTTTAACCACTGTTCTCACCATGGAGCGAGCCTCGCCTTCGTTGTCACCCAGCAGTCTGTTTATGTTGATGGACTGACCGTACTCTGTGGTCAGGAGTTTCCGTAGTCTCTGCAGAGCCCACATCCTGTGTCCTGCAGCTGTGTGAAATAAAAGACAACATGACTGCATTTATGAGAAAGATCCACTAGACTTGGAGATTGCAAACTGACTGCAGTCATTCACAATCATTGTGAGACCCCCAAGTTGCAGCACAAAACATGCTAAGATATCTGCCAATGCAGGGAAGGCTGAATGCATAATGAGAGGCTGTAGGAGATCAAAAAATAAATAAATGGTGTTGACAAATAAATGTTCCAATCAGGAAGCAACAGCAGTAAACAGTTTGTGATTCAACCAGGAAGTAAAAAGCAGGACTTGGATAATTGTGACTTAATTACACTTTGATTTCCTCAAATTTGTATGACTGAAACAGCTGCTGGATATCCAACTATCATTATTAGCTGAATTGACAGCGGGAGCTGCTGCATTTTCACCTCATTTTAACAGCTATTTTCACAGATTGACGTCAAAGTTTCGACTTTTTTTACTGTTGTCTTTGAAAAAAAAGCTTTGTGTTGGTATTGACATGACAACACAAGACTCTCCCTACAACAGCCAATGGGGCATGAAAAATAAAAGCCAATAGGAACTTCTCACATGAACTGAGCTCCAATTCCAGTGATAAGAAATTCTGAATCAAACTTTGAACATGCTTTGTTCATCTACAGGGGAATTTGGGAGCAAAAGTTGCTTTTCTGCAGAATGATTTAGATAATCTGCATTAATGTGGTGGACCATAAAGCCTCGACATGTTGACTACGAATCATGATACTGTACCTAGTGCACTGAGCTGCGCACAAGCAGCCAGGGAGGCAGCTAGACGAGGGACAATGCTTCTGTTGGAGGCAAAGTTGAGCCTGAAGTCCAGCAGACAGGTGACCAAGTCCATGGAGGGGCAGGAGAGGATACATCGATCTGATAGCAAGTCTTTGGGACCTGAGAAGGGACAAAAAAGGCCACAGTGTGAGTGTGCCAGTGTTGGGTGTGATTTTAGAAAAGCACCCTGTCAAGAAGTATTTTTATTAATGTGTGAAATACTGTTTATTTCACTGGTACAAAAGGTGGTGGAGTTATTTATTTAATTGAATCTCTGGGGGCAAATTCTTGTCAGCACTGTGTTGTTTGTTTTACACTCAGCTCACCAGCAGCAGGCATAATGGGATAAACAGTGAAGCGCCAACCCCAGCCGTTCACAGAGCCGTCGCTGGTGAATTTCCATTTCAGTTCATCTCCTGGGATCCTCAACTCACTGGACCAGTCAGACCACTCCCGACCTGACACAAAAATGGAGAGTCACCACATCAGTTTATGATTTATGGACATATGTTAGTAAAACGTGGATTTTACAGCTTGGTTTTCCTCTCATCACCTGATCTGACAGATACAATCCTATTGGCTCCATCCATGATTGTTAATGGGTCGTGTCGTCTCTCAGTTGAACACTGTCGGTCAAACTCTATCCTCAGACCTTCAGCACCTACAGAAAAAAGTATAGAGAAAGATATGAAATCATAAATATCCTTTAATTTTTCTTAGCTGCACTTTGTAAAAACATTCAACTTAGTCTAACTAAAGTGCAAGTGTTTTTTAGGCTCAGTTGAAAGGGATTAAACACCACATAAACCCTGTAAAAACTATTAATATATTTTGATATATTAAAACATATCTTGATTGTATTTCTTTTCTTGAAATTTGAAAAAAGTCAATATCCCTGCTTACCTGGAATCTTCACAGTCCCACTGGTTGAGGTGTCGTCCGTGTATGGATGGCTGCTCTCAACAACAACCGGCTGAGAGGACAGGCGGCCACTCTGTGAGTCTGTGGCCACATCCTCCAACTCAGTGACACATAACTCCAGCAGCATGTCAGCAACCTGCACCCCAAAGAGACATGAGAATGACAAATTTTGTAACCCGACTCTTCTTACGTTAAGAGCTCTTCCAGTACCCAAAGTCCTATTTTTTGTTTATTGCAGTTTTGTTAGTTGAGGTTATTTCTTAGATGTTTCTACATTAAAGGATTATAATTTTCATAGAAGACCTAATAACTAAAGACACCTAATGGAAGAAAATGACTCATTGACAAAGTGGTTATAAAAGCATAGTCAGCAATTAGAGGCAGTCCGGGACAAATCTAATGAGTAATTTGTTGAAGTTATTCGACAGAATCTGAAGGACAGAAACGAAGCTCAGAGGGAAATGGAAGTCAACAAAAAGCCTTGATTTATAAACGCATGCATGTTCTTGTCCAGCAAAGTTTTCAGGGAAAATAAAATCCATTTGTTATCCTTTTTATTATCATGTATTGCACAATGTCAGAATGACTTCATATGCTTGATAAGCCTACATCTGCAATACTTCAAATTTTGCAAGTCATGCTTTATATATCTATTTTTATTTCAGATCATTTAAGAGAGGGATATGGAAAAAACATGTGTTTTTACTGCTGCCCTGTTCAGATTGCAGGTTATATAGCACAACGGTGTCAACAAGGAGGAACATGTCAAAAATCATAATCATATCATAAAGCAAAAGACATAAGCTTTATCTTTCTGTAGGAGGAAAAAAATAGCTATTATACTTTTCATTTTCTAACAGATCTAGAAAAAGAAAAGTAATAACAGACATCATCTTTACAAGGTTAAACATAAGACCATATAAGGGAATTACGAGTCACTAAATCACCTGAGGATAAGCTGTGCCCATGCCCGACAACACTGCAGACAGAACCTCTTTGCCCTTGTCTCCAGAGCGGCAGGACACGGCCAGTTTGAGCAGGTCGACCATCACACGGGTATCATCAGGCACAAGTAAACTTGTGAACTCATCAAGGTACTGAGGCTCTGGACCCACCACTTTACTCTGGCTCTCAGAGTCCTGAAGATGAACAGAGGACATGGATGAATTACCTCCATATGTCTGGGGTTAATAGATTCTTAAACACACATGCTCGAGTCGCCTCACCTCTTTAGTCTTTGTCATGGTTTCAGCGATGATGCTGGCTGCTCCAGGGTCATCAGTGACGGGGATAAACGGCCGAGACGACGCACCAGAGGCAGAGGGCGTCATGGCTGAGGACGGGGTGACCGCTTCCTCTGATGAAGGAACCTGCACAAGAACACACACAGAGTATAACTAGACTCACAAAAAATGACGTATCATGTATGGTAGCCATTCTGAACAACTGTCATGTCAAATATTTATTGCGAAACGTTGTACTACAAATTAAACAGAGCATATCCTGTCTTTATCTAGAGAGGCTGGATATGTAAAGAGCAGACACAGAGAAAGACATGCAGCAAAGATTGCCGTTCAAAGACAAACCTGCAACCACATGCATCATGTCGTTACATCATCAAAGGAGCTGATACAAATTGACTGATAGAAGCTTTGTCTCTCAATAGGTGGATAACAGAAACAATGCAGCAGCTCATTACACGTCTTGCGAAAGACAAACATGTTTTTTCATTATATGGGACCTCAACCACTCAGTCACACTCCTCAAATGTTTTTTAACATCTGTACAGGCCCAATATTTCAGTCTGTTTATTACTTTTCATTCATACCTCTGTAGTCATCCATTGTGTCGGTATTCACAATTACCTCTCAGTATTATGTGGCCAAGTCATATTTTCTTTCACTATATTCAGATTGCCTTCACAGGGAATGATGTAATCCTGAGCAATTTTAACTCGGTTATATGAGCCTCACCATTCAATGCATGCCATATTAAAGCTATTCGAAGAAACAGAACATCCCACACCCATTTCTCTGCTCCACAATGAATTCTTGTAATACAACAGAACAGTCATTTTCTTCATTTTAAAAAGCATTTTGGTTTGAGCCGGGAGTGATGGAGCTGTGAGCAGAGCAGTGGAAAGTGTGCAGCTTGTCACCGGCAGATTCTCATCCCATTTTTTTAGCAAAGTAACCCAAGGTACGTTAACCGGTTGATGGGTGAAACAGTACTGAGAATAAGAGAATTTCAACACTAATATTAAGGGTATAAAAGGAGAAAATGGTCATGAAATATTGCTGTTATTACGATCAGAGCCCTTGGAGAGTTTCTAGTGTTTCCAAGTTGGACCAAAATATAGCTTGCTGATGGCTGCGTCTACACACCTGGTCAATACCAAGAAAAACACCCACTTTGCATAGATTTAGAGTAAATCAGCACAATAGGTGGAAGAGTCAGCACTTCATAACTTAAAGTTTTCCACAGACCAGGTTATTGTCTATAAATCAAAGTCACCCTAAATCTATTTCCCTCACCTCTCCCTTCTTGTCCTGCCAGGGATTAGGACTGACTCGCTCCTCTGCTTCAGGCAGGACAGGTGGACCTTCTTCATCACTCACACTGGAAGAGGACGACGAGTCTGACGGGGGGACAGGAGAGCTGGAAGGACACTCAGCTGGCAGGATCATGCTGGCTGGCATCAGAGCTCCGACCACTGCATCCCTGGGAGAGTAAAACATGAAACAACAATAAGACAAACTAATAACACTTTCCAGCCAGCTTATTAAATCATTTTCACTCCAGACTCTTTTAAAGTTTATCTTTTCAACAGGACAGGAGGCTAATCAAATGTAGACCCCAGATGCAACGATTCAAAGCTTCTTGGTGGCAAAAAAACAAGATGTTGTTATGAATCTAATAAGAATATGTCCCTGTTACGATTAAAACTCAAATATATACAGGACTTCCTTCAGCATTGCAGATTTCTCAATTCAGCACTTTTAAAAAATGTTTGTTGCATTTTCTAACCTTTAAAATTTAAACCACACTTTTGATATAATATCCTAATTTGCCCTCTGGGGCTGTTACAATGATAGTCAGTGTTCAAATAACGTTTACGCAGAAAAAACTCAATGATATTCAAAAGCTGAAATCAGTATTTGAACAGTGGTCCCCCTGCCAATAATGTGGTCACCTGCCACTGTATGAGAATTACGCAAAATGATTCATACGTGAAATTTATGTTATCAATGTACAATGTCCTCAAGTTTCAATGTACAGAGCCATCTCCTTCCTCTGCTCTGCTGCCAAGTCGAGCATGTCCCTTGACACAAGACATAATCGTTTATCAACGACATATAAAGAGTATCCGTCTTTCTCAGGCAAGGAATGTAAACATTCACAAATTGTAGGATTATGCAAGGACAGGATATCTCTTTCACATACGCACACTAATTTTTTTTTTGACAAAAATTACACTTGATGGGTGGTTGTAGCTCAGTAGTAGAGTGGGTCCACTATTAACCACAAGGCTTACTATACGATTCCCAGCTAGTGTCAAAGTATCCCTGAAATGACACTGAACCTCAGGTTGCTCCCAAAGATTTTGTGACTACCGTGTTACAGTGTGTCTGTGTTTATACATCAGTAATGATGGGGAGCTTTACTCTTTACCTCTGTTCACAGAACATGAATGGTACATGTAGTTTAAAAGGAGCTTGGACTTGTACAGGGACAAAAGAAGATGCGCATTACTATTTTCCAGGCTACTATCTCTATTGAGATTATTTCTTTTGTTATTATTTCTTATTTTAATGAAGTTTAACTGGACGTTAAAACATACAGTGAAGCCCAACCAGATGCAGATTTGGGATTATCCACCCTGACTGAAGCAATAGTTTGAGCAGCATCATGCTAGCTGGCTGACCCAGAAGTATTTTCTTTTTCAATGCCTCAGTCTCTCAGTGGCTAACCAGCAATTGTAATCACATGTATTATTTACAGTTTGGACCTGATGACAGCTGGGCTTCAAGAAGGCCTGCACCTCCCCAAAAACTCTTCAAAGATGACTGTTTGCTGCTTTTTGTTTGGTACTGGAGGAAGAGCGCCTGTCAGTTATTGATGTGGCTATCACTTGTGACTGAAGAATGGCTTCTGACAGTGTGAAACAGCTTTCATTATACAGGAGTGGAGACAAGAAAACGACTGACATAAAGCCTAAGTTTTCAAACCATTTCACACCTAACAGTCCAGATGACAGGCTTCAACTCCAGTACAATTCTCATGGTCTATTCCAACGATTGAATATTGTAAAACAGTTAGCTGACACTGCAAATGTATCTACTGAATGTTTATGTTTTTTCTTTCTTCAATGTCTTCAACAATTTTCTTGAACTGTTGTCAGCAGGAATCTTTATATTTTTCATGTCCTTTTTTTTAAAACATTTTTGAATAGAAACCTTTAAAGAAAAGAGAAGGCAGGATGACACAGGCCTCAGGTCCTCAGGCCAGTCTAAAGCTGCCTGTGTTAGAGCTACAGATTGTGCATGTGTGTCTTCTGACTCGCCCCAAGAGTTCACTTCACACCTTTTGGATGACATACCTTGCATACATGATTTGTAGGGCTGACAGAACATGGGACAGAGCCTGCTGTTTGGCCAAGTTGCCGTCCAGGCTGAGCAGAATCTTAGCCAGCGAGGGTCGATTAGGCTTCACGCTGCTCTGCCCGCTCATCTTGTTGTTCACAGCTGATGAGTCACTGTCTGACTGAACACCTGCAGAGCACAACAGCAAAACAAAGAGACACACTGTCACTGATGGGGAGCATCCTTAACAAGCTCTGAGCATTGTAAACCAGTGTGTTAACCAATAAATCCAGCCGGCCTGTCTGAGTCTAACTTCCCTTAAATAAAAGTAACTGCAACAGCTGTCTAGACACGCAGATGTAAACGTCTCCAGACTACAGGCCATAAACAGCGACACATTCTGCAACTCTGCAGGAAATGAGCCCCACTGATGCAGGTTTTTCTTCATAGAGCTGATTCCATCTGCTTCTGCCGCTTAAAAGAGAACTGGTACTTCTTATCTACAGGTTAGTCTTTACACAACTGGGACCTTTTTTTTATCAAAGCTTACACTGCAAAATACTCTGAAGGGTTTTGATGCTTTTTTTCTTAAAATTTGTTATTTATGTCCTTTCACAAACAAGTCATGCTTTGGTTGTAAACTGTATGTATTTGCAATAAAATAGAATTGGAAAATATACTGTAGTGTACCAGAGCTATTTAGATTAACATAATTGTAATGGAGGAAAATCAAGAAAACACGTGCTGTAACTGTCCCTATTTTTAGGAAGTGTGAGAGGAATTTTTACAGGAAGCTCACAAGCAGTCACAAGATTAGCAGCATGTATGCTCAGAGCAACATCTGGGCTTCATGGAAGCAGGTTTTAGTGCTTTGTATTCTCTAATAGAACCCATCCAGTTTTTCTGTGACAGGAGTTTAAAGCTCCTACAAGGAAGTTTTAGTTTGTGTCATAGTGCCCCTTGTGGACAAAGCAGTCTGTGCTTATCTTGTCCTCTATGCCTACACATTGTCTTCTGACTAAAATCTTATCATCATTTTGACTTTATATGGTCAAATTTATCATTTATTGTCAACATTTTCGGTGAAAAACAGGACTGCTTCTGCAGCTGTTTGCTGATACCTACCCCCCGGCACTGGTTTCAGGCATTAAATCGTAACATGTAAGAACTTGAGTCTTGCTTCTGACGTTCAGATTTGCTTTTATCATAAAAAGGCATTAATTTTAATTACAGTCCATTTAAAAATGTCAAAAAAATCCTCAAGATAACTGTATTTATGTAACAGCATTCTGGTTCTTATGAACTTTAACAGCTTCTCAAACTTTGGCCATTACTTCAATGCTTCAATGACTCAATATCTTGAAACAGTTTCATAGACTTTTTCATTCACCTGTCTTCATGTATACAAGGAAATTAACAGATTAATCAAGACTAATTACATGATTAATTGATGGTTACCAGCAGAGGGTAGAGAATTAGCAGTAGTCTGACTAATTTTCATAGCTGGAAACATGCACCAAATGCTCAGACCATTCAGATTCAAAATAGAACTTCTTGAGGCGTGATTAGTCTGGCACCCTCTAGACCACAGTCACAGCCCCTTCTGCACTGTTTGCAGGATCAATTCCTAACCCCAGCATGGTTCGGTGCACGTCACCCCCCTCCTCTTTTCTGTCTCTCTCACAGTGGAACAGTAAAGATCAATAAAAGTAAAATGCCCCCTCCCCCCAAAAAATCTGAAAAACAAGTACAAATTCTCCTCTGTCCAGTCAATAGAAAGCTTTTTCTTCTAACAGGCCCAAAACCACTTCCACTGAGCACCTTTTTTCTTCTTTTTCTGGCTTTGTGTGTTTGTGGCTTTTCATCATTTATGTGTTAACAGCATGTTTACAGTTAATTAAGTTATTTTGTCTCTTTGCTGCATTTTCTTAGTTTGTTTCTTCAGTTACATTTGTCTTCTTGAATTATATTTGTAGCATATTTCTCCCAATGATCAGTACTATAGCAGTTCACTGTCCTTGTTCCCTGCTGTATTAATTGACATGATGATAAAATATAATAAATAAAAACATTGTGTTTTGGCCCATGACATAGATGTGTACAAGGAAAGGTCAAATAAATGTATTATATCTTAGTGTCATAATGTCAAGAACACACAAAAAGGGAACATGAAGGACCGATAGCAAACAAACTTAATCCATCATGCATGCAATGAAAACAGACAAGGAGGGTGCAGAAAATACATGTTTGTGCTAATACATAGATGCATACATTAAATCCTAAAATTAGGAGGGAAATTAGAAAAAAATTGTTAAATTACTCAAATTACTTCTGTGATTAGGTTTAGAAATTTCCCTTCATAGAAGACTGATAAGTACAGCTATGACCAGACAGTGTCAGAACAGCTCCCTCTTGTGGGCAATCCTCTTCTAATGTACTTGTGTGAGGTTCTGAGGACGTCCTGGATACAATCCCATTCCTCAGCCTCAAGCCTGAGCACTGAACACTCGTGGGCTCAGACGTCAGTAATGACATCAGGCGTGTACTGGATGAGTGTATGAGTCAGTAAAAAACTAAGATGATATGAAAAAGAGCAGTGGGACACTCCGTTATGACATATGTACAAAATAAACCTTACATTGTGTATTTGTCTTACATGGAAGAGCTTCTAAATTTAAGCAAAGTATCAGGAGTCAGAACAGCTTCAGTGTTCAGTAGTTGTAAATATTTAACTCCAAAACACAGACAGCTCTTAAAAAAGTGCTCCACGTTGCCTCATTTGTGATTTTTCCACATGTATGCTGCCTTAACATATTCCTGTAAAATACTCTCTTGTAACTTTATAGAGTACTGCCTCAGGAAACAAACTATTGTTACTTTTAGTGACTGGCTTGACAATCATATCCTTCACATCACCAAGTTTGCAATGAACTCTGGGTAAGTCCTTCATAGAAGTCTAAAGATTTGTGGACTCAAGGAAAGTACTTTTTAAAGCTCATATCAGGACCCTAACTCACCTGATGATTTATGAGTGGGACAGCACTTAGACATTCAAACTCAGACACTCATAGGATTAAGCCACAGAGTCTGAGAGAGTGGACAGAAATCCATCGACTGTGACACTTGAGAAAAGGTTTAAATGTGAAATAAACTCCTGAGACTGATAAAAACTTTGAGCATTTATATTTAAAATGCTTTGTGTCCAAATGATTTCGGTCCATTATAAAAATAAAAAATGGATATCACTTATGGTTAATTACATTTCTACCTTTGTTTTCAATTTCTCAATCTTCTGTTCTTTAACTGATTAGCTTGTTTTGTCACTTCTATATAGATTCCTCCTCAACTATTGTATTTTCTTTAATCATTTTCCCTTTGTCTTGATCTTGGTTTGAATATTTTTTGTGTTGTGTGCAACCTCCACATGATGTCTATACATTTCCAAATGGTCAAACATATAAAGAGCATAAAGACTGAAGCATTTTGGTGGCACATGAACAGGGCAGACTTCTCTGTCTAGATTGGCTACAAAAAATGATGGCATTACCTAAATAAGAAGCTCCGAGGGAGTCCCTGGCCGTCTGGAAAAGCACTGGCTCGTGAACCGATGGCGTAGTCACATCCACAGTGGTCCAGGCCACGCTGTGGGAGGAGCCACAAGCCACTCGAGTAATCTTCTGTCCCTCCAAACCCTGCACCAGGGTGGGCTTCCTGTTCACTGTGGTGGTGCCGTTCCCCTGCTGGCCATGGTCATTGTCACCCCATGCATACACCTGACAGATAAACACAAAGTCATGATTGGATTTTGTTGAGGTTGTCTCTCTTCAGCTGTCCTATTCAATAAAGGCAAAAACGCCCCAAAATATCACCAAAAAAAAAAAAAAAAGACTACATCATAATCTTCAAAATAATTTAAATTCCTCTGAAATGCGTATGACCCTCAGTGATCAGGACTTAAAATAAGCAGAAGAAGACATCCTTGGGGCACTCCTCCAAGTACTCAATCTTAATAACCTCTTAAAGGCCTAAAACATCAATAACTGCCTCCCATCATTGGAAGTGATGTCCTGACATTATTGAATTTGTTCTGAGAGGAGGTAATATACAAGATGGAATAAGGTGTGTAACAGCAAAGGTCAGAGGTGCCTGAAAAGTGGATTGAGAGCCGATAAATAAACTCCCTCCAAAGGCGAAGACAGTCACACGGCTGGAACAGAGCCATGGCTGTGAATGAGAGGAGCTTCTGAGTGATGTGCTCGGGTGTAAAACACTGATGGTGAAGGTCAGAACAAACCTGTCCGGTTTCGGTAACAGCCAAACAGTGCAGTGCTCCAACAGCGACGTGAACAATCTTTTTCCCCCTCAGTCCCTCCACCATCTGGGGTTTCCGCACATGGACATCAGTGCCATGGCCCAACCGGAAATAGTCTCCTTTGCCCCTGTTAGGGAACACAAACATTAAACCATTACTGTAGACAAACAGACAAAAAAATGAATGTTCAAGTACAGTCATTTATTTCTCTTACCAGGTCCACACAACTCCAGATTTCGTAAGGGCCAAGGAGAACTGAGCTCCACATTCAATCTGGCAGACACCCTGACCGTTGAGCCTCTCTATGTTCTGAGGGATGTTGCAGCCCTCGCTGCCTCCGCGACCCAGCTTTCCAAAATCCCCATCACCCCAGGAGAACACCAATCCTGACAGCAAGACAAACAAATATTGCTGACCACGAACTGAAACACATCAATAAAAGCCAAGGACGACCGCTGAAAAGTCAACTGTGGAGTTTTTGTTTGCAGTCGATGTTTCCAACAGACATGCATAGTTGGAGTTATTTCAAAACGAAACGTCCTCTGCTACAAGTGGCATGAAATTCAGAGAGGTAGAATTTGTGCACTTTGAAAGAAATACCTTCATCAGTGAGGGCCAGGGTTTGAGCATCTCTGCTCCCACAAGCCACCTGGATAACACGGTGTCCCAGTAGCACTTTTACCTAAAAGACACAGACAACCAGGTGCACGGGGTCAGCTAATGAACTTTGTATCTGCAGTGATTTATAGCAGATAAAGATCATTCACAAAGTGGGACACATGGTAGAATAAATCTATGTTTGAGAGTATTTGTCTTTCTAAGGGATGATACAAAAAAGCTGTGCACCATATCTCTATTACTCTGGCCTCATCAGTGTGCAAGTGAAGTTGTCAGAGAGGGAGAACATGCACACGTACCAGTTTCGGCCTCAGCTGAGTGGTGTTGTCTCCATGTCCAAGGCGTCCATATTCCCCTAAACCCCAGCTGTACAGCTCCCCGCTGGAGGTAATGGCTGCACTGTGAGAGCTGCCACAGGCAATGTCTCTGATACGCTTTGTCTTCAGCGCCTCGATCAACCGAGGCTTGTCACAGTTCCTGAAATCAAAAATCATACATACTTATCTTTATCACATTATCAGAAAGGTCATCACAAACCTTTTTTAAGTAGATGTCAAAAAATAAACATTTACAGCATCATCTTTAAGCCTATGTGCTCATACTTCTGAACATTTAGGGGGTTGTCAAAATTCACCAACCTCTGCCCAAAACTGCTGTGAATAACAAAAACTTTATTTGCATCGTAAATGTTTTTATGTTTCAAGGTTAAGCCAATTTTTTACATACATATTTTTTGGTTTCATTTTTAAGTAATCTCTTGATAAAACTGAGTGCCTTGGACATACATACACATACTGCACATACGGCTTCCCATAATATAAATAAAGAGGGACTGAATAAATGAACCAAATGAAAGTATGGGATAATGACTTCATATGTACCTATAAGAATTTACTTTTAACAAAAAGTCTACTAACAATGCAGCCAACACATTCTGTGGTGTGACTGAGAAAAGTGCAGCATTTTTGGACGATAACATACATTCTGCTGAAGTGTCCTAGTTTGCCATCATCTCCCTCTCCCCAGGAGAACACCTTCCCATCTACAGTCAGGGCCATGGCGTGGCGTCCCCCAGAGTGCACAGCAACCTTCTTCACCACATAGTTACTGAGCGCAGTGATCTGACGGGGGATTGGGATGGTCCCGCTGGACAGACCCAGGCCCAGCCTGCCGTTAGTGGCCTCTCCACAGGCGTAAATCTTCCCCTCAACCGTCACTGTGACAGCAGAAGACAGTCACAAACAGCTCCCTCGTCTTTAAAAAGAACAGTGTCTCTGGTTTTCATTTATCACTCACCTGCAAACAGGCTTTTGGAACCACCGGCCACTTGAACCACATTGAGCGCAGAGAGAGTTTCCGAGAAAGAGGGCACCTTGATCTGTGATGACACAGACAAAAGAGATTCAAGTAAGCCGCAACCTCTGAGCTTCCTCCAAAGGTTCACTAACAGGACATGTCTACTCCCCTCTGTTTGTCATGGATAACCACCACAGAGTTATACAAGTGTAACACAAATAAAGACAAACTGTCAGTCACTGCAATTCACAGCAATGAACGCTGGTGGTTCACTGGGGTCACTGGATACATGTAACAAAGTACATTTAGTCATGTCATTGCAGAGACTTTGTTTCCACCTTAGGGTCATTTCTACCTGTTGTTTGTTACATTAGCCCACACGTACCTAACAAGTATTTCTGGTTTTTAAAAAAAGGATAAAAAATTTGTTACCTACTTTGAGCCAGATTCTGTGATATGAGTTAGTTTTAGACCTCTGGAAACTCTTAAGACTCCAGACTGTCAGTAGCAGAAAGTCTTGTTAATCTCAGTCTTTAAAATAAACTTGACCACCCTCTTTACAACTAAGCCTAAATGATTATGCTTCAGTTTTAGTCGTTTTATTTTATATTTTTTGTCTTATACAGACACAAACAAGGTCGGGACATAAAGATATAATCAGTAAAAATGGAAGTAAATAAATAAAATTGAAACGAGTGCAAAAAAAAACATGTAAGCCTAGCTTTCAGATATTTAGAAAGAGGTAATTCAGTGTCTTTATGATTGCAGTGATCCCATTTTTACAAAAATCTTTCACACCTCAGCTGTCAAATCTGGTGTTGTCACTTCGTTTTTATTTGGTCAAGTTTGCAACTTGAGTTAAATAGTACATTCATGATTAACAGCAAATCTGTGAGAGTAAAACATTGTTAAAAGGCCCAAATTACATTTGTTATTCCTTTATCAAGAGGATATGAGGCTGGGCCAACAAAAACTAGCTGAGACACAAAAGCCTTACCTTAGAACCCTTCAGTCCTCCAAGCTGGTCCTTGTCATTCAGACCCCAGACAAAGACTTTAGTCCTGATGGTGGCCGCTGACTCCAGTCCTGATGACTTCTTACGTGCAAGACTGATGGGACACACACGCAAAAAAAAAAAAACAAAGATTAATCTTAATCTTCCTAATCTCCCAGACTCAAGTTTACTCATCAAAACAGAAACACTAGCTCTCTGATGCATGTCAACAACATCTAGAACCCCATATTTCACCAGGAAACGATTATGAGGGCCTGCGTTACCTCCCAGTGGCAGTTTTGTCATCATCGTCCTCCTCGTTGTCAGATGCCAAAAAGGGAACAGTGGCGAGGTCTTCGTCCTCTGCTCTGATTCGTCCAACGATGCCAAGTCCATGAATCTTACAGTCTATACCAGAACTGCGACACTGCTTGATAGCGACCTCGATGTATCTGTGATACTAAAGAGGAATATCAACAGAGTTACTTCAATAAACAAATTTTTAAGACCAGGAGACGATTTCAGAGTATTTTTAAATCTGCAGACCTCGGTGCAGTCACTCAGCAGGAGAACAGTGGTGTCTGTGGGATTGATGTTTACAGTCTTCAGCTCAATTAGGTTGTTTAAAGAGCTTCCACCTGTGTATGAAGAAAATAAACATCCATGAAAATCATTAAAATCATGTCAGTCGGCTGTTGAAAGAAAATGGGATTTTTAAGATCTTTTTGAAACATTTTCTTATCCTTGCAAACAAGCCTGAAGTAACATATCAAATAGGCATGAGCCTGTCATTATGTCTTGCAAACTGTATCTTCAATTCTCAATAGCAGTAGGAAAGAATATCAGCAGCACAAGCCAGACAAGGGCCAAATCAGGAAAGGGCATGCTGCCACTGGCTAAACCAAAAGTCTCCTTTAAAGCAATCTGTACTCACAGATTATACTAAAATATTACAACAATGTGAGAGTGGAGCTAAAACAATGGTGGCTTGTAACATGCTCTTACAGAATGCAGATCTGTATGTGATCACTGCAGGTGTATTTGGAGACACCTGATCTGTACAGGCGTGAGCAGCTGTTCGTTGAGCACAGATCAGATCAGCAGCAAAAGTTGTGTACTTTAAAAACCAAAAAAGTCTGTGTGTTTCTGTAACACAACAAAATACTGTTTTGGTTATAATTTAAATAGTAACGTCATAAATGTCACCCACCTGACACCACAACTAAAGATGGCATGTAGCTGCTGTCTGCAGGGTCCACAATCATCTTCAGTCTGTGCACGAGGACATCTGGGAAGAGCTCGAGGCGAATCCAATGCTGCAGAAAGACAGAACGACAAAACCTGTCAAGTGATGCATTACACTTTAATAAAACTGAACTGAATAGCCTATTATTCAGCTTATTAGAGAAGGCAATCCAATCTCCTGCCTTTCCCTGCGATCCAGAGGACTGCCAACACTGATCACTGCAGTCGATGAGGCGTGAGGCCTGGTTCACCGAGGATGACACATTGAGGCTTTTGACAACACGAGACCAATCGTCGATCAGCATCCCGCGCTGGCTGCTGTGATGCTTCTTCAGCTGTTTCCCAGAGCGACCACAGAAAGCTGGAGACTGGCCTGACAGGAGAAAAGATAGATAGGGTTACACAAATGCACCATTGAGGACACATCATAGACACTAACTGTGTGAAAGCTGTGCTAACCAGGCTCGTTGATCCTGCCAAAGGAATGTCTGGTGTTGTGTTTGCGTGTCTTGAAGCAGTTTTCACAGAAATCAAAGTCGTCACAGTTTCTGCATTTGAATCTGGGGCCGTTTATAGGAAACATCTGACAGCCGTCACACCTGTGGACAAGACGACAACATATTGAGACGGAGTGGGTTTGTTGTAGGGGCACCACATTCTGAAAAACTGGGCTATCATACAAACATGGTGGACAGGGGAATACTCTTCATATTCAACTTTCAAGACGGACCAAAACTGCCACCAAGAAAGAGAGAGGGAAGTTGATGCAACCCTAGCTAGATGAGAATCATGAATGTATCTGTACCTGACTCCAGGGTGAACACTGGGTACCAGTTCCATTTCAGACAACAGACCAGTCCAGTGAGACTGCTGAGGGAAGTCCACTATCACATCCTTTCCATTGGCACTGAAAGCTAAACAAACCATTAAAGTCAGTGCAGAAACAGAAGATTCAGCCATCAGTAACTTCAATGAGGATGTCTCTTTAGATCACACACAGAACAGAAACTCAGGACTCAGTTTAACGGCTTAAATGAAACTCTTACCTTTCACAACTCCGACACTCCTGTGAGTGACTGAGCCCCATTTGTACTTTGGTGTTGTGACTGTAGGTTTCACCCTCACTTTGTCACCAATCTTTATATGGGAAGGAGAACTTTGTGGTGGGAACCCTAAAACACAAAAACACAATGATCTCACAAAATATCACAAGCAAGATCCACTAATTCCATCACAGGAGCATCCAGTTCAAACAAGGTCCCTGAAGCTCACCTAGTAGCTCTATGTGGATGTAGCGGACCCAGTACGTTCCTCCTTTCTGCTGCCAGTCACACTGAACATTCAGGTCATGAAGCCCATCTCTGTCCAGCTTAATCACTTTCCCAACATCTCCATCATACACTTCCTCATACGTTCTGCAGCATTTCACCATCATCCCCACCTGCAGAGGAGAACGACCAATCAGATTCATGTCCACTTTTACAAGCAACTTTAAAAACACTGCAGATTTTTCTTTAACATGTTCTGAGTTCTCACTAACGTAGAGCTACATAGTTCTGTATTTCTGTTTCACTGCAATCTTATAGGCTGCTGTAGGGCTGCAATGTCTTCTCAACCTTCATTAGAGAAAAATTCATCCTATTAAAGTGTTCAAGTTCTTGTTTTTGCCACTGACAGGTTCTGACAAGCCAGCATGCATATAGACAATGACCTTTGTATAAACTTTTCTTAATCAGTTTCTGTACTTTCATTAACGCGGTTAATGGTGGAGTGTGGAAGTCTAAAAGTACTGAGACTCTGTACAGAATAACAATCTGAAACTGTCAAGTGGACCTTAAGTGGACATCCTTTGCCTTGAAAAACTACGATTTAGAAAATACAGGCATGTTTAAATGTGGCTAACAAGATTATTTCTAGAAAAAAAAAAGACAGCAGAGAGTCATGATATCCTGGGAGGAAAGAGTGAGGCTGACAGTCACTGGGGGGGCTGAGGGTTTGAGTTTAACTAAAACCAAATTTCAACACTTTTGTACCTACAAGTTAATAAGAATCAAAATGATGTAAAGATGACCCTAAAAGAAGGATTTAGGATTTTCTTTTATAATAAAAGATTCAATACTCTTACCTGGATGTTCTCTCTCACATAAACAGCATAATCATCATTGCTTTGGAAATCTGATCTCTTCTTAAATGTTTGGCTTTCAGTCACCACCGCACCTGGAGGCTAAAATCATGCACAGACAATGTTATATATTAAAGTTGTTATTTATGTTATTTGGAGAAATGTGTTGGCTGAATAAACGGTACCGTGCATTATGAAGTGGAAAAAATGTAAAGAAAAAGAAAGGCTAACCACAGGGAAGGTCGGCTCAGCGTCCTCCAGCTCCTCCAGCACCTCTTCGTCAGAGTATTCATCAGACACAGTGTCGGCATCTGACAGCTCAGTGACGTGAATGTCTGGATGGTCCAGCAGCCAGCCCACCAGAGCCTCCACACCTGATGATCATATGTTTGATTTATCTCCATGAGTATTTCTCACCACATTAAATCAAACATTGACACAGATATAGCACACATTCCTCTGCAGCACATTTCAAACAAGAAGGTGAAACTCTGAAGATGGTGTCTGTACCTGGGACACCAGAGGCACTGCCTGTAGTTCCAGATAGCGACTTCAAGGCAAACTCAATGTTTTTCCTCGGGAACCCCATCTCCATGAGCTGAAGGACTATGGGTAATGGAGGGACAGGTGAGGTTTTCTGTTTCTTTTGTTTGGGGGGTCGGACATGCTGTATAGTGACGGGTGTGGTGGCCTCGCTGGAGCTGCTCTCTTCAAACAGTGGGGAGGACGGGTGGGCCGATTCCACGGCCAGGTACTGACACACTGCCAGAGCTGCAGCCTACATACAAACAGAAATAAACACACAGCACTGAGGTCAAACTGAGTCTATCGGTTTTCATGTATGCAGCTGTGCCACTCACACTTAGTGAAGGGAATTCAGGTCCTTCAAGCATTGTGACTTTCTTTCTTTCTAATTGTTTAAGTGTTTGGAGTTGGATCCAAGCTGCTCTCTAAAATCAAATGGCTTTGTAACGTGTAATGTGGCTACCAGTGGATATTCTTTAATAAAAAATATCCCCTTGCTTTAAATCACTGCTCATCTTAGAAGGCATCTGTTGTGTTTCATCATCAAGGACTAAACAGGGAAATCAATTGATGCCTTCCAGTTGCAAATTTATTTGATTTTGGGTGGACATAGTTTGACAGTGATTTCCCCACAATACTAATCTACCCTGCAGTCATCACAATCATTTTGCAGGCTGTAGAATTTACCAGGACAAATGCGGCACTTAATGTGTCTAATGTCCATTCAGGGCCCCAAAATATCTGAAATGTATGGCTCTGGTTTAAAATATTCAAATGCCTCTCATCGTGAGATTACAAAAACTAAGCTGTTCAAACTCACCTCCATCTCCTGTCTGTCAAAAATAGCCTTGATGGGGGAGGGCTGGGTGGCAGCAGATAGCAGCTGCTGCAGGAGGATCAGTGGAGGCAGAGGACCCTCAGGAGAGAGGTCTCCAACATCCGGGGACGACACCACTGGATCCTCTGAAAACATTTAAAACAAAAAACATGAGTACAACAAGAGTGCAAAGAGTACAGAAAAATTTTGATCCCCTGAAATGTTGATCCACACTAACTTTTATTCCACCCAAAACTCAAAAATGAGCAAGGTAAGCGGAGTGTTGAATCAGACACATTCCTGAAAGTATTCTAACATGCAAAATTCAGACCCTGTCACATTATTGACACTTTGACTAATTTACAGTCACAAGAAAAGACACTGACTATTTAAAATTCTGATCTTTACTAAACTAAAAATAGTTTCCCTTCAAGGATTTTCAGAAGCGCTCCAAAGCCCAGCTCTGAACCCTTCAGTGCTGCTGTCTTACCGCTGGGGTTTGGTCCTATGTCCACCACTGCAGGCTGAGAGAGGATCTGTCTGAGTTTGTCTTGATGGGAGAGCAGAGCCCGCCCGGCCTTTAAAATGTAAAGCCTGAGCTGCTGGCACCGCAGCAGATGGATGTCCACCTGGTCAGCTAGAGACAGGAGAGCTTTGATGAAATCCAAAACAAGACATAACAGCTCAGACAAAAGGCTTCTCCAGTCATTATTTGTATTTGTCAATTATTATATATTATTATTAACATTATTTACCATAAAATCAGAACCAAACAAACTACCTTTTTTACTGTTTTTATTCAAGAGTCAGACCATCAAATTCACAACACGTGTGCTTCTGTACCTGTAAGCCCTCGACTGAGGGACTTCTTCATGCGTTGTTTCTCCAGTTTGCTTCCAGCCAGGCTGACCAGCTGAGCCCAGACTGCCAGCATGGGCTCAGTGAATGGCAGGTTGTGTACATTGAAAGATACTGCAGGTAGCTATGGAGAATATTGAAAATAAGGAAATAAAGTTAGTATAATGTTGTCTTGTTAAACTGTTAAGGAGAAAGAAGCACTGCTATGCTAGTTTACTGCAAAAGTATTAGATTCTAAACCCCGTAAATACCGGTTTGAGGTGGCTGAGCAGGCAAACCCTGCAGGTCCTCATTTCATGAAACTGGACAGTGATGCGTCCCTTTGGGGTGATGCGAGTGACTGTGCCCTCTCCGTATTCCTCATGGATCACTTGGCCTCCAAGCCTGAGGCGTGCATCAATCCCTCCAATAACTGCCAGCACAGCCATTAGACTGCCCACTCTGGGACCCTCAGCGTCAGGAAAATAATCCTCCAAGAATGTCTGAAACAGAAATTGAGGATGTTCATTCCATCTTTAACAAGAGTGAAAGCACTTCAGACGAAAATTGAACCATAACACCCAGATAAATCTTACCGCTTCAGACTGGCAGCCAGCCATGACGTCTCCGATGGAGTTGAGCTGAGTGTTGATGTAATCATTAATCATGCTGTTCCACTGGCTGAGAGAGTGCAGAGTGCGCAAGACAGCAACTATCTCCTCAGCCAGGGTGCTGCTGTGAGTGGCTGTGAGAGAAGCCTGAGGGCGGGACTTCCGCCTTCGCAGGGATCCTTCTGTGTAAAAGAGAAGGTCATTTAGAGATGCTTATAGAAAAAAACAAAGTAACATCACATTTACAATAGTACGATGGTAGGTATACCTCTTAGAAGTGGCAGGTCTGAGGAGCAGGTGCTAAGCAGGCTTCCCAAGAAGTTGAACAATTTCTCCACCAGAAACCTCATGTCCTGAGAGCGCTCCGTTTTATCCCAAGAAGGTAAGACTGCCTGCAGGAGACGCAGGGCCAGAATCTGCAAGTACACAGAGAGAAATAACAGGTCAGGTAATGTCATTTTCAGCCTTTTCCCTTTGAAAGTCAGTTAAACCAACAGCAGATACATCGGGTTTGTTTCCCTTATCAATTCTTGAAGGAAGACTGTTGGTGCTGCTTTTGTCTAACCGGTTTAGTTATGCTTCAGTGATGAGAGAAAGCACTGAGAGTTGCATAAAAACACGATTTGAAATTGTATTCTGTTTAAATACAACCGTGTGAAGTAAAACAATATAGAAAAGACTAAAAAGGAGTATCGATGAGGACCTCAATCATTTAGGAGTTTCCATAATCATATCAGTTTCAATGAAAATTAACAATCCTAGTCTAGATCCCTAACAAAAAAGGCTGGCATGACTGAATTTTCTCTCTGCCATCTACCTCTTGTTCAGTCATGCAAACGGTTTTCACCAACAAGAGCACAAAGCGCTCTGTACCTGCAAAAGTCTGAAGCCCTCGAAAAAATGGCTAATTATGAAGTTGGTACCAAAGACGGAACTATGAAATGAGGGCAAAGTTTATCAAGATGTCCCCGATGTGCTGTAGGAGGATGATGCTGAAAAAAGAGAATTGTTAGTGAGGAACAGTGATATTTCTAGGTGTCATTAAGTTTAACACCTCCTCCTTCCAACGTCATGACTGGTTGGGTTACCATCCTGTAGTCTGTCATGGCTGTAGGTCAAGTACACAGATCAATATCTGTCTCTGTGATTACCTAATCTGACACAATGACCATCAGAACAGAAGAATAGTATGTATCCCACCTGTCTCTGCAGAGTGATGGCATTGAAGGACTGATGTCCCTCAACAATTCGGATCAACAGGCTGATCCATGCAGAGGTGCTGAGCGTGCTGCACATCTGGGGCATGAGAGCGATGCTGCGGATAAAGCCCAGTGTGCACCAGCTCCTGTGCTGCTCCCTAGACACCAGCCTGTGACAGTGAGAGCCTAACAACAAAAACATGTGTTATGAGTAAACAACAATACTCAAGTTGTGTTACTAAAAGATAAAAACACAACTTATATACACTGAGGTTCATCTACCTGACTTGTCACTGGCTCCACTTTCAACAAGCATCCTCAGCAGCCCACAGAGGGTCCGCGTGGCATCTGTTTGCAGCACCTCAGCGTAGATACCAGCTGTCAGAGACAGCGTCTTCAGCAGGTTGACTGTGCTGGTTAGCATCATAGCTGTTGGATGGCTGCTTTTCTCAATCAGCTCACCTTCTTAAAGGAAGAGACGGGTGATTGTCAGCGCAGTGGTTTCTAGCTCCAATTAGTAAAACCTCCAACTTCTTTTGTTTAAAAACCCCAAAGCTAAACTAGAGAATCATTTTGTGGAGCTAAAACTGTAACTTCATTTTAGTCATTGTTTGTGTACAAAGTGACTTATAAATTGTCAGCTTGAAAAAAAGAATAAAAAACACAAAAAATTGGAAAGCTGATTTCTAATTTAACATAAATCCTTAACTCCTTTATTTGAGAAAAATGATTTCTGTGTAGTCTGGTGTTAGTGTTGATGTCTGTAATGCCTACATGTGTGCCCTCCTGTTTTATGTATTTTGTCTTCTTGTTTGAAACAGACTGACAGTCAAACTTGTAGCTTCAGTGGTTTCACACATTTGGGCAGCACAGTTAACTAACCTGTGTCATCCTCTGTGTCGGAGTCCTCAGTCGGGGGCTGAGCAGCCGGGGGAGGCTCTGCCAGTTTGAGGTCATATTTTCCTTCTTTGCCCATCCTGTAGGAGTTGGTGCTGCTGGTATCCCACTGCACCCTGATCCATCCATCTTCACCCAGCTCCCCGATGACCCGACCCAGACCTGGTGCTGGTCCGTCCTTGACAAAGCACACACAGGGTCAAACCTTTCTTGTGTCCTCTTCCCCATGAATAGTTAATAATTAAAGTGAAGCAACTGACCAATGACCCAACCAGAAAAATAAAACTGATTTAGCTACCTGATCACCCCACTTCCAGTCAACTCCTCTCATAACCCTGGTGCCTATCTTCATCATTGCAGCCAGTTCAGGGCCAGATGCGGGTAGGGGTGCAGGGGCAGCCTCCTTTCTGGACTCCTCTAGTACTGTTGCTGAGCCTCCAAGTGCACATAAACCCAGGTCCTCCTCACTGATATCTGTGCTGGGTCCTGAAAATCAAATCAACACAAGAGAAATTAATTAATGACTGTGTACAGATCTCTTTCCACTTTTGTAGTTGGTGTTTGTTTGAGGAGACAGTACTGGCCTATGAGACGGAGTATGCTCTGTGTCAGGGCTAATATGCCAGAATTTAGCAGCAGACTGAGGCTGTTAGAGCCATGTTTCAGGGACAGCATATGTATCATGGCCAGGAGGAAGCGGGCTTGTGGAATGGTGCCAAGACTTGGTCCCGCTGGGTTCTCATTGGTGATAGTCTGCAAAGGAACAGGCTGTACACCTGGAAAGGAGAGGAAATAGTCAAAAAAAGGTAGTTTGTGAGTACGAGAGGTCTGAAACGTAGAAATAATGTGTTTGTTTTTTTTTTTCTTCACAAGCTGTATGACTACCCCACTCACCAAGTTCTTTGAAGCGTGCGCTGGCCTCGAGCAAGATGTTGCGGACATTATGGATCGCCCAAGAATACAACTTCCCAAAAGTCACCTCCAAAAGCATGCGGTTAAAAGGAGGGATCAGATCCACATCTTTCAGGCAGTCAGACAGGGGCTCTCTGAAAAGAGGGGTTTAGGATTTAATATAACTTATCTATCACATAGAAAGATCTATCCAAATGATATCAACACCATTCACAGCCACAGTTACATGATTGTTTAGTTAAAAACACTGCAAACCTTTGTAATTGGGTAAAACATCGGCGCATACCAGTTTTTTTTAAATTAGTTTTAATGAGAAGTTAGATTTCTAATTTCTATATCTAATTTTTAATATAATTCCTTGTTCTCTTATTTGAGACAAAATGATGCACATCTGTCAGATATTTTAACTGTTTTTGCTCTCCTTTGACAATTTTCATATCTTAATACCAAAACTATTCTCTAAAGTCAGTTTTTAAGATTACAGGAAATTCTTAATGTCTTTATCACTGTAAATCCAAAACTGTCGTTGACCTACCCGATATTGGTCCCTTCTGGTATGACCCTCTGCCAGCCACAGAGCATTGCGTACTGAACTGAGGGCAGCAGGAAGCTTTTGGAGGCCAACTTCAGCATGGTGTCGATGCCTTCCAGCCTCACCTCAGCCCTCTCCAGCTATGATGGAACAAAGTTTACATCCATCACACTAGTAACTTCTCCACGTGGTTAAAAAATATATATACGTATTTTGCAGTAGATCAGTTTGTTTTATTCTGTATCATATTGATCGGTCTTTGTAATTTAGACTCACCTGTTTAAGAAGACATTTCCTCATCTTCTCCACATCTAGCGGCTCCTCCTTAAGTGCAAACTCTACTATGGTGGCCATAAGGCTGGACTGAGAAAAGGCACCCTGAACGCTGTGTTTCAGCCACCTGTACTTCTGGACGTTGGCCACAGTGTTTAGAAGCGGTTGCCACTTGTCCTGCTGCCCAGTGATAAAACAATACAAGAATGTCAAACTGTAGGACCAATGCTAGATTTTTGTCTGCATCAGGAGTAGATGTGCATGGATTTTAAAAACAGTTAACAAAACTTTTAATTTTTCTGAAATGTTACGGTAATTAATCTCCGATAATCTACCTTTGATGGCTTGCTAGTGGGTGATTTCCTGTCGGCAGGTGTGGGGCTGATGTGCACATTTATTTCCTCTTCATTGGTCCCTTCATTCTCTAGCTTTGGCTCCTCTATGTCAGCAGACTCTGACTTTTTAGGCACTAGAGGACAAAATCATTATTCATATTTCATCAAGTATAAGAAAATACATAAATGTGTACCCTGCTGCATGAGGGAGAACTCACCTCTTTTTTTCCTGCGGTCCCGGATGAGTTTCTGGGTAATCCTCCTCCAGCGGGGCTGAGAGCTTAGCAGCTTCAGTTTGGACACGATGGACAGGTCGTTGCTCACAGCCGGGCGCAGCTCGTTAAACAGAAATCGCAGACGCTCGATGACAGGGGCACACACCTCTTTGTAAGAGCGACCCTGTTCCTGATGAGTCTACAATACAGCAAACATGTCATTAAAAGCCCCATCCCACTTTTAAATAACACACAACACCCTCTCCACTGGTGTCTGGCTATAATAACACACAAGTTACAAACATTCAAGTTTTCTAAAGTTTTGATTCTTCAAAACTTTCAATACCATGTGAATTTAAGCTCCTGTAAGGAACTTTTGACTTGTGTCAATTCTGGCGCTCTATGTGGAAGCAGCAGCCTTTAGTTATGTTGTTCTCTAAATGCCTGAGTGCTGACTTTTGACAGCAAAAAACTTCTGACTTTTGACATAAAAACTATATATAAAAACTCCTCCTACTGACTTTTGACAATCAGATGCATCATTTATTGAGTATTCTGTGTAAAATATAAACACAGAGCTGTCTCTTTAGCTGCTTCTCTGATACCTTTACTTTCTCACCAATTTTAGGCTTTAAAAATTATGATAGATGACATTTGGATATTACCAAAAGGCATTATCATGAATTTCAGTTAGTTTCATGAATGTGGAAAGACTTCTCATAGGAGCTTTACACAAGCTCAATCTTTTTTTCTATGACAGTATCAAGGCAAAAGAAAAAGAGAGTGAAGAGAGCCAACTATGCAATTGAAAACAAAGCAGCAAAACAGAGACAAAGCACATCACAAACAGACTGTTTCAAAGCAATCATGCTCTGAAGAACTGACAAATAAGTCCATAATTGTATTAAACCTTGAAAGTGGGAGCTTGATGATGTTTCCAAGCAGCTAAACACCACTGCACTATGATTGACGGCTACATAAAGACAGAAAGCACACCCTCTGCGCAGCCACATACTCCACCTACATTATGAGTGATGTGCTTTATTTTGACTTTACATTCGATTTTTTCACCTCTCTAAAAAACTGGACCACTAGAGCCTTTCAAACTTACTCTTCTAATGGTCTAATGCTCCAGGTACCATGGATTTACTCTGAACTAGGAAACTGGGCCTTTAGTATTTATGCTCCAAACGTGTGGCATCATTACCGAAAGACTCTGACAATCATCGCTCCTGTTTCTCCTAGACAATTAAAGTCATGTATCTGATCATTAATCCCTAGTTAATTTGAGCTTGTTTTGATTGTATCTCTAAATCATTGTAAATGAAGGAACTTCAATGAATTTTGAAGCTTAAATAGATAAAGATAATGTTGGTGTATGTTCAGGGATTCTTCTGCAGAGATCATTTTTGTTGCTGTGGTATGACAACAGGTTCTCGTGTGGTTTAATACTATCTCACCACAGTTGAAAATTCTTGTATTATGTTGACCAAACAGCAAAGCCTACCTTGATTAAAGAACACTTTGCCTGGTAGACCATGCGGCACACGTCAATCACAGATTTAGGGAGGGACCTCTGTTTCCCTTGGTCCACACCCAAGGCACATTGACTGACAAGTGAGAGAGCAACGTGACCTGTAACAAGAGGAGGTTGAAGTGAATTTGAAGATTGAGGGAGAGGAGAGAGGAATGCTTTTAATGTATCTTCACATGAATAATAATAAAAAGAAAAACATTTCAATGACAAAGTAAGCCAAAAATAACTCCTAGAAACAGCCTGTCTGAGACCAGTTGCTAGGTTACCAAGGTCTTGATGTTTGAGCAGGCAGCACAGCAGCAGGCGGCCAACTTCTTCCACAGGGTGCTCAGGGGGGAAGGTGATGGGTGTGATAAGATGGTACTGTTTACAGCAACGCTCTATTTGGCATAGGAAGTCCTGTGATCAAATGAGAGAAAGAACAATATTTTAGATCTTGGTGTGCTACAGTGAGGCTGTTTGGATTCAAAGTGATGTTGTTACAATGCCGGTCTAATGCCTTCACCTTCACAGTGTGGTCCTGAGTGTTGTTGTCAGCGATTGCCTGCAGGAAAGGCTGTGCGTGGTCGCTGAGGGTTATTCTTCGGGAGTAGAGTTTGGCTTTGTCTGGAGTGGTTGTACCCAGGGAGCTGCAGTGGTCTTCATCTTTCTCCTCATTGTAGTTATAGTGGATCTGGCTGGTCTGCAGGCCTCCAGAGAATATTGAGGACTGGAGCCATTCTGAGTAAAAAAATGAGAAATTCCAGCAAATTTAAAGGTTTGGGGGGAGGCAAAATTTTACTTTGAAACTCAGCTGCTTTGAAATTACTGAACCCACTGGCACATTCAATCTCCATGGGGGACAAATGGGTGCTCTTGGCAAGGTAGGAGGCATGGAGACCCAGCAGCAGCCCCAGGTTTCTCTCTGTGTCAATGAGCGGGGAGGACAGACTACTGAGGTCTGGAGTGGTGACTGTCTCCTGATTAGGCTGCAGAAATCACATGAAAATCGATTATGAAACAGAAAAATAGAGTTGTTTATACAGAATGTGGTTTGGTCACAGTTGTTACCTCCATGTACTGGCCCACACAGAAGGCCTGCATTGACTCTCTGGTGTCCTCAAACTGTAGAGCAGCTTCCAGAGCAACAACAGGGTCCTCTCCTGCAAACTGAGCTGCAAGGACAGACACACTGTTACCCCACAAGAACTCAGATCCATCAAGATTTGGCATTTAGTCAGCTACCTTCAACACTTTTTAAAGCAAAGTAAGAAAAAATTTGGTCAAATGGGACGCGAAAGAAAAACTCTAATTTCAGCCTTACCTAGGATACTGTTCCCTGCTAAAGACTGGGACTGAGCCTGGAAATCCTTGATGTCGTAGACCTTTCCATCAATGACTGTCCAGAATCCACCATCTTTGTTGTGATTCTCGAGGTCTGCCTTACGAATGAGGGAAATCTCTTCATTGTTCTTTGAACTCTGTCCTGTGAAGAAGGATCCTGCCACAGCAGAACAAGAGCTAGTTACATTGGATCAACAACAACCTAAAGTTCAACTTCAAATTATCTAATAACAGAAACATTCTGGGCTGTCCTTAGTAATGAGCAATGACAGAGTAAAATGTTAAAGGAATGATTTAAAAACTGTGCTCTTTACAGAGAAATAGGAAAATTATGAAATCACAAAATGTTTTTTGTAAAGCACCAAACACGGTCAGCTACCTGCCGATATATTTGCTCACAGCTAATACAAAGGATTATTTTGTTCATCTATTTCAACTCTAAATTGCATGATCCCTCCTGCTTTGTTCTTTTGAACTGTAACTGAACATTCTCCGGCTTTCTAAAGTCTGATTCAAGTAAGGTAAGTCTTATTCATAGCAGTTTACAAACCCTTAAATCCCAGGACTGCCCATGGCCACAGTTTTCTTATAATAAATAAACATGATTTATCCAGCTGTGTTGGCAAAACTGAGTAATTAATTATGAAGTTGAGGTTCTGTTGCATAAAACAGGTGCTTCATCCTCAGTACACTAAAGAAATACAACCGTTGTGCTTGAAACCAAACTCATCTGAATACTTCTGAAAATATTTGCTTCTTTAACATATTTACATTCTTCCAACGTTCTTCACTGAGAAACAGGAGTGAATGGCTCTGTATGATATTCAAGCATGTGCTATGTTACCATCATCTCATCAGATAAGTCTCAAAGATAGAAACATAATGTGTAGCCACAAAATGAGGTTTGGGGTATTTTCCCTCTCCTTTTTTTGACTAACTGAACGATGAAAACTCTCAACATCAACTCATGTGTGATTTGCTACTGTGGGGCAGCCCTTGCCACTTTGTTAAACAGAGTTGGTACTTTACCCATAATCCCTGGCCAGGCTAGATCCTCATTATCATCCCTCTCATGTCCTGGGGCCAGATGGTTGAAGCGGTCCAGGTGCTCCAGGAGTCCAGCCAGGAGAGGGATAGAACCAGTCTCTTGCATCACACCTGCATCAATGGTTAGCAGGAGGACAATGGAAACAACCAACTCCGGCAGCAGCACACCTGTTGGGACAAAACAACAAGACATCCATAACTGTGGCACAAGTTTTTAAAAAAGTGAGAAATTCACACTGTTGATTAACACTCAACGCTTTTAAAAGAGGAATTACCAGTTAGATCTCCTTCAATAACACGAGAAACTTCAGCAAAATGACGACGGCCAGTCGAGGCAATACTTGTGGCCACTGGAAGGATGTCTCCAATGTGAGTACAGAGCAGGGCTATGTACTTTTTCAACAAGGAACCAACACCCAGGAGCTCAGGATCTGCAGGAAACCACAGAGAAATCAAACACTTACATTCAGAGCGCATGGTCAGGTTTTCAGCTTGTTTAATAGAGAAAACGATTTGTGATGAAACCCTTGACTTACTGTATCCATTGCCATTCTCTGTGCCATTGACACCCAGGTACAGCTTGCTAATTAGCAGCCTCTGAAACCGCAGCAGCAGGTCCAGAGAGGCGGACCGCTCCTTGCTAACATGTTCTGCCTCTAAATAGTTAGAGATACGCCGTGCAACATCCTTCAGCCTGGCGATGGTCTGGGAGGCGATGTTCCTGCAGAAAGCAAAATGTGTCAGTCTCCTACCTGACAGAAAGAAGTGAATATAAGAAGCGATATGTGTTAATATCATGATTCTACATAGAGCAGGTACCTCAGTAGCTGCTGCACGAGCTGCACCAGAGGCAGGCTTTGCTTCCCTGCTGATTCATATATGCCTGTGTTGATGAGGTCTTTGTCCAACATGGTTCGACAGCGGTGCATGGTGGAAGCATTGGCCTCTTGTTCATCTATTTCCTTCTCTTTCTGAGCTTCCTTCTTGGCTTCAATATCCTGTTGGAAAAATAAATAAATAACAAGGCTGCTGGATTACGAAGTTGTAATTACATCCTGAATGAAATCATTCCAACCAAAGATTTCAGATCCCATGTCTACATAGGTTGTTATATCCAATGTGATATTAGATGAAATTAGATTTTATGTTGTTCCTGAGCTTTACAGTAATAAAGTCAACGGTTTACTTGGTACAATTTTCATGTTGAGTACACGTAATTTTGTTAAACCTGCTGCTCCTTAACAACTGGATCCTTTTACTCTGATTCAGATGTTCTAAAAAGTGAAAAATTGTGAGTTTTGATAATTGGATGCTTAATACACTCCAAACATTTGCTTCTGGTAAATGTAACTTGGGAAGGGTCACTTAAAGATATTAGGGTTGTGGGTACAGGAGATTAGACCATTGAGACCTGGCAATCTGTATCAATTAAATTTTAAAACTGCAGGGTTTTTTTTTAACCCAGCGTGTCTCCAAACTGTTAAGGAAAAATAATTCACTTAGTCTGCAAGTGTAGCCTGAGATTTACACTAAACACGGAATGGTAGGAGAGTTAAAATTAGCCTTTTTTAGGATGTATCGCATACAATGGGCAATTCTGTGTTGATGTAGTAGTAGAATAAAAATTATTATAATCCAAGCTGTATGTATGCAACACAAAGATAAAACCCCAGCACAGTTTCATCTCTTAAAAACGACTAAGGTGGTACAAAAATTTTTCCACACATCGCACTCAGGCAACTACTCACCAAAGTCTCTACCAGCGTTAGGTTTTGGCAGGTGTTAATTATAGACCATGGACTACCATTAAATGTTCAGATCATCAGTTTTTGCACAATCAGGACTTAAATGTGTCTAATGACATTGTGGCCTGAGGACCAGATACAGCTGTTTCTATGGTTCATCATAGGCTTGATATGTTTTTTATTTTTTTAATAATGTGCTCTCCACACATTTCCTCTCTGCCCAGTCTTGTTGACAGTGACAGACACACATTATGCTGTATATCGCTGCTGTAATGTTCCTCCTGTAAATAGTCAGATTGTCATGGGATCTTTTATGTGTAAGGTCTTCAATGAAGAGGAAACAGAAAGAAGTGCAGGAAGCTGATCTGTCCAAAAGTGAGAAAGTGCAAGTGTGTGAGTGTGTGTGTGTGTGTGTGTGTGTGTGTGTGTGTGTGTGTGTGTGTGTGTGTGTGTGTGTGTGTGTGTGTGGGAGGGGGAGGGGGAAGCCTTTTGAGTAGACAAACACTACAAAGTCAATAACAGAGTAGGTGTTTACGTTGAGCTATGGAAAAGAACGTACTGTAAACAGAGTTGTACATTCTTTTGAATACTTGAAATTCATGGCAATTCAACACGTTTAGACTACTTCACAAGAAATAAACAAAGACATTTACAAATTATGTGTAATTATAGAAGTGAGAGTAACATTTATGACTTTATTATTTATTGCATTTTTATATAAATCTATAAACATACGAGGGTCAGTTATATCTTTGGAATCCCTACACTACCCTTAACCAGTCTATATTATAATTATACAGCATCCTAAAGCATTGTGATATTGAATCAAATCACTGACTAGATAATTGTAATCATAGCTGTAATCAAATCAACTAGTGAGACCAAGACTCACAAACCCTGTTTAGCTGATTCATTTGCCTCGTGACGCAGAGTCCAGAGTAAGACAATCGTAAGAGATGCAATCTAAATTTTTTAGTTCTTTGTCATGGCAATGTCTCATTAAATGTGAGCATATATATAAGAGGAGTGATCATGCAGCAAACACACTGACCTGTATCTCCGCAGTGATGGCTGCATTCAGTGCCGACTCCAAACCTCCATCAGCCATCAAACTGCTGACCAACAGGTCGATCATGAAACGGCGTCCAGGGCTGACACCCATCTCATTCCCAGATGCTGAATAAAGGAAATAAAACTCAGTGTCTGTAATCTCAAACTTTTTCACTTGATCTAAAAATTAACAGCAACAATAAACTTAACTCTCTATTATGAGTGTTGGCTAATGTTCTGTATTGTACTCACCAGCATTTGGCAGAAGTGATGATAATGCCCTCGCCCTCTCCTCAGCGGTGGGCAGCAGCACTGACCAGCCACTCTGTAGCACAGCTTGAGCAGCTGCTTGCACAGTGTTGAGGACCCCTGCATTGCTAGCTAGAACCACCACTGTTTGTTTGAGATTATTAAGCAGCACACTGCCCAAGCCGAGTCCCAGCTCTTCTGGGTCCACCTGGTTACTGATGGCTGCATGAAGCTGAGGAGGGAGAGTTTATTTGGTTTTAGCACCGGCAGATAATCAAAGTCTGCCACAGAATAATGACACAACTGTTACAAATCAGGAAGTGTTGGAGAGATTTGTGTTTACCTGGAGCCTGAGCAGATTGAGTGTGGCCACCACCATGCACTCCTTCTCCTGTGGGGGAGGCCAGTCCGAGCTGCCATCCATCCCCTCACTGACCTGTCGCAGGAGCAGGTCCAGCTGCTCAAAGGTCATGGCACAAACATCCACCACGAAGGGAACACGTCGCCCGACAGACCACTCCGAGCACGAGGACCAGGCAAAACTCTGAAACAAAAGGAAGAAGAGGTTTATATTGTCTTTTTCTTCTATTAAAAGTTTATCAAAATCATGAATGAAAGCTCTGGTTTACCTGTCCTGATCCACAGGAGATTCCCACTATGTGTTTGGAGTTGAGACCTGGGAGTGCCTTAGGCTGCTTCTTGTTATAAAAGAGTGTATCAAAGTGCTGAAGTTTATCATTGCTGCCCCAACTGTGCACTTCTCCATCATCAGTGAGCGCCAGACAGTGTGTAGATCCCACAGCAATGTCCACGACTTTCTTTCCTGCTGACAAATATAGCACAAACCTATCAGTCTCTGTATTCTCAAAGCCTCTGAAGACCATTTCCGCCCCATGCATTTCCCCCCACAAGGATACTCTGCACTCCTGAGTGAGGCTGCTCATTACAAGACTCTTCCGGATCTCAAATTCCCGTTTATCATCCTCATAATGGATCTCGAAAGACGGTTTCAGATGCAGACTTCAAGTTGAAAGGCAGAAAATGATTTAAAAACAAAGAGCTTTGCTGCCCAGCTGTCTTTTGGAAATAATAATGAAAAAGATTAAAAGTTCATCAAAATATCTTTGTAAAATATTGTGCCAAGGACTTTGGTCATTTCTATGAAAATGTTATGTTTACAACTAAACAAGAGAATGAAGATTAAGACTCAAATTGTACAAAAGAACAGATTTCCCTTGAACGTCTTTGTCTCTATTTCTCTGAAGGGGGAAATTAATCTTTCAGGGCACACTAAAACTGAATCAAAAAAGTGGGATGGTCCTTAAATATAGTCAACTCACCTTGTAGACTGTCCAACAACTTAGGGTAGCGGACATGCTCATCAGTGCCATGACCAAGGCGTTGATTGTCTCCCTTTCCCCAAGTGTACACTTGGCCGTCTTTGGTGAGAGCCACTGAAAACTGGCTACCACAGCACACCTTCACAATGTCTAGGTCCTGCAGTTTCTCCACAAGTTTGGGGGTCTTGCAGCCATCGCTACCCCCTCGACCGAGCTTTCCGTAGTCTCCATCACCCCAGGACCACACCTGACCTGAAGGGCCACAAAGATAGGTTCATTTAGATTAAAATTCACAGACTCTACACAGACATGTCAATTATATACTTAAGGGTTCGGATCTTTATGGCGGAAATCTTATATTTTCCATTTGTGATAGATTTGTAGCTTGAGTAGCTTTACCTGATCACAGAATACAAACAGCTGTCATGACAACTCCTGCCCTCATTAATGGCTGCCTGACAGTGACTCATTACATATAGGTAAGGTATACAGGTATATAGGTATACTTCACGCCAACATATGTTGGCCAGTAAAATTTTGTTGTCTATCTGTTTTTTTGCTTTCACTCTAACACCACATGACGTATTCACAGCCTTTTATTTTACTTGTATAAATTTGCAACAAGATGTTTATTTTTCAGGGAAACTCAAGAACAGTTTAATGCAAGTAACTCACAAGAAATCTGATTCATTATGAGCTGATACGGCTAATGTAAACCAGAGTGCAGCCTCTGTGTAACGTGCAATTTACAGTAAAACCAAGATGACCAGATGCTACTCCAGAAGAAGCAATACACCAAGAAATAACAGTATTCATTTTTCAGATGTGCCAAGAGGGGAACAAATTTACAGTCCATCCCAACACACAGTGGCTTTTAAGTCACTCCTGGACTGTACATGACAGTATGCACGGAAACGACTGAAAGATCTGATTGTTTACAGCTGGCAACATCAGAATGCCTGTTAAGTTCACAATCATTTCCAACTGTATGTAACAATGGGTTTCATGATTAGGTCAACATGAACACTGATATTAAGTATATATAAATATTTTCTGTTCTTACCATTTTCTGTCACAGCTAGTGTCTGTGCATCACCACTTCCACAAGCCACATCAATCACCTTCAGTCCCTTCAGCGCAGTCACCATCATGGGTGTGGTCTGATCCTCACTGGAGCCTAGAAAACCGATCAGAGGAGAGATATTTTTTGTTTTTAAAGACAAAGGTGAAGATGTTAGAGCTAAATGGGTCACAAAGAGCATACCATGACCCAGTCGGCCGTAGTTCCCTCTGCCCCACGTGTAGAGCTCTCCATCAGCAGTGATCGCAGCGCTGTATGTGCTCCCACAGGCGATGTGTACGACATGCTTTCCTGCTTGTTTCCCATTAAAGGCTGAAATCATAGCAGGCTCCTCTAGATACCTGAAATGGGTCATAATGAGATGAAATAAAGATTTACTTCTGTTTTATTGTTTTTAAAAGTTAGTCTTTGTGTTAATTCTTTCCAACGTTGCTCAAATTGGAAGATATGCGCATTATTAGAGGAAACACTAATTTTATGTCCTTACTTGAGATATAGTAGAGTTGAATGTTGAGATGTAATAAAGTATTTAATTTTATCATCAGTTGCATGAATAATTTATCTCAAATGTGGATATTTATGTCTGTAAGTTGCCCCAGAGAGGTTTCCTCTGTGTGAATAAAACATGAAACAGGGGTTTTCTTGGTTGCTTACGTGGTGTCACCATGTCCTAGACGGCCTCCATCACCGCAGCCCCATGAAAACACCTCCCCATTGGATGTCAGGGCCAAGTAGTGCTGTCCATCAGGATGAGCTGCTAGCTTCACTATCTTTCTGCAACTTAGGCCGTGGATGAGCATTGGAGCCTGCAACAGAAAAATTCCCTGGCTTAATCTGCAGCTGACACAAAGAAAGAAATAACCCACCACTTTCTTCTATTCAGAGGTCATTTAAGAGAAGACGGAACAATGCACAGGATACTGACCAGGGTTGTGCTCTTGTAGTTTTGGGTGTAAACAGCACCACTGCTCGACAGAATGAGGAAACCTTTTTCTGAGCAGACTATTTGTGTGACTCCGAGGCTTGCCAGAGCTTTGCACTGGATGGGCCCGTTAACGTTGGCATGGAGCTTCCAGCCCAGCAAACCCCAGGCAATCACCTCCTGCAAGGTTCCCTGGAGGAGAAAGACGGCAAGAAAAATTGTTGGTTGTTATTACAAGGCTGTGTGTTTAGTACTTAGACTCCTAAATCAGACTCATCATATCTCAATAGCACACAAAGTCTATCAAAGGAACCAGATATGCAGCTAGCTGTCTAACACAGCTTTAATCTCAGCTTTATGAAGGGCTAACAGTTATCCTATCAATGTATGGACAAAAGTCAGGTTGATTTGACTTAGGTTTTGTTGTGATAGGAAACCAAAGCAGAGATGAACAGCAGAACAGAAGCAAGAGAGGTTGAAATGACACAAAACTGATCTCTATGATGGATACGTTTATTAAACTGACAATAAAGAGTGAAGTAAACATATCACAGAAAACTGTACAGCATATGCTGGTGTTTAAGGACTGATAAATGGAAATGAAAATGTGATACTGATTCGTGTGGTTCAGTCCACCTTGTTCAAATTAACAAATGGTGGAAATGTTCAGTGTTTATTCCTGAACCTGCACTCAACCAAAGGAGTGGCGAAGTCTGGCCTCTCTGAATTTTCTGTAAATTTAAACTGTTTTTTTTGACAAGATTGTTCAAGGGATGAGCTTTGGGGACCGATGAGTTCTTGTTATGTGTTGTGTTGTATTGTGTAATTAAAGGAGTATTCATTCTTGCGTGACATATTCTGAGAGCCATGTTTGAACATGCTTTTGTCACCATTCAGTAAAAATGACACAAAAGAGAAAGGAGTAGTATCAGTGACAACATTGAAGTACTGACAGTTTAGTAAAATCACCTTTTGCGATGTGGGGGAGTTGCAGTGAGGTGGACTGAAGGGAGAAGCCAAGCGGTCCAGGTGAGCCATAATCACCACAGCAGTCTGTCGGAGGTCGATAGCCAGGTCGTTATCCTGAGGCAGAGTCAGGTAGCGTAGGAAACTCTCATTAGGACTCAGAGGGGCTGTGAGGATCTGGAAATCCAAGAAAGAGTGATTAATGAGCTTTATTCTAGACCAGGAAAAGGAAAAAAGTTATTTTAAGAAAGGCTTTCTCAAGGCAATAACCTTTATTTGATAACGTTAAGTTTGAAGTGTCTCTTTCTTCGTACCAGTGAGCTATAAATACATCATGGTTACTTGTTATTGAACTTTAAACGGTGCTGAGATGCTGGTAGAAAAGAGTAGATGTTCACCTCAGCCTCCTCTTCAGGAATAGGCTCCTCCTTGCTGCTGTGGATGTTGTGAAAGCGCTGCAGGAGGGGCAGCAGAGGAGCGCTGGTCCCCTGTGTGGAGCGCTCGTTGTCCATCTCTCTGGTGCCGCTTTCCCACAGGCGCAGCAGCAACAGAACAGCAGACAGCAGCTGACTGGAAAGAGAGCCCCAAAAACTAAGTGAGCAGTGAGTTCAAAGCCAGCATGAGCAAACCATCAGGTACTGAAGGTGTCTGGTTACCTCAGAGTGCCCCTTTGTACAGCCAGCTCCAGCAGGATAGCCAAAGCCAGGTGTTGGTCCTGAAGAGGGATGTTGCCTTTGGTGCTGGCACTTCCATGAACATCACTAGTCCCAAGAGAGAGATGACACATGAGAAAAACATTTGGCTATCTAATTTATATGCATACAAAAACACAGTATGAGAGTTGGATCAGTCAGTAACAAACCTGAGGAACTTAGTAGCTCTCTCAACCACTTCCAGCCACACTGATGAAACAGTTCCTTCATCAAACAGCGTGGCCTCAGGGAGGGCGCGCAGGGCGTCCAGAGACTCCTGGAGAAGCTCACTGCAAAGATCTGCATCATCTCCTACAAAACACAAACAGCTATTCAATTTAAAACTGTGAGGCTGGACTACACTGGGGCACAGGGGGTTTCCAAAAATATTACTTTCACAGTTTGCCTTCCCAGCTTGAAGGCTGAAGGAGGATTTCTAAATGTTTCAGCAGATAATATATTTCCATATTCTTTAGCTCTTTGCTGTATTCTCTTTGCCCCAGCCAGCCTTCACCTCAGACGGGGAGAAAGTGCCATAGAAAACAGATAGACGGATATTGCATGATCTTAAAATATGCAATAAAAGCCTTTTGATTTACATAAAATTAAAAATTTCACAGCACTGTGATGAGTTAAGAAGACAAATCCTGTTTCCACAGCGTTTCTAATCAAAGAAAAAGAAAGGTTCAGAGGTGTTTGCTGCAGTGGGGCCGCTTTTTCCATGAACTTTTTGTCCTTCTTTACATCTTCAGATCTTTTAGTTAATATAATATGTTTCTTAATCTGCATAAAAGCTTTGTGAAAAAAAGCACCTGTATGACAGCTGACTTTAAACTAAGGATTGTACCAGGCTCAATACAGCTCAGTGTAGATGATGCTGATTAGTTTGAAAATGTGTGATCAGCCCAAATACCTGTCCTTAAAATCTGGTCTTGACATCACCATTTGAAAAACTGTATGACTATGGTGTCACTGGCATTTAAAGACAAGAATCTTCTAGGGTTATACAACCAGTAAGACTGTACAATCATCTTTGCTCTTCAATGATCAGCAAAACCAGGAAAACAGGATTTGGTTATGTTTCCTTTCTGCAGGTGAATGTTGCTTTCAAAGAGTATTTCAGGAATAAGGAGGACTGAGGACGGGAGGCTCAACCGTCTGTACATATATATATATATATATATATATATACATATATATATTTATTTATATTTATATATATATATATATACATATGTGTGTGTGTGTGTGTGTGTGTATGTGTGTTTGTGTGTGTGTGTACTGCTCATGTTACAGGAAGGCTACAGAGAGAGTAGGCTGGCTCTTTGTTCCCACCCAGTCCCTGTGGACAGGCAGCTCTCAACCTGGCCTCCAAACACATTGCAAAAACAGCATCTGGACTTGTCATACTAACAATAAAGAGGCTTTAAAAAAACAATTCTGCAGCTGCCAAAGATGCTCACAATGAGATACAATTAGACTGTGATATGGTAATTATACGCACTGAGATACAGGTTTATCAACTGAATATTACTTTAATCAAATTCAACACTTTGTTCTTTTTCAGATCATTGTCTGTAGTTGCTGGACTGTGTTATGTCAGAATATGCACACATGCATGAGGAGTGCTCTAAAAATCTGAATGGAAATGGGTCTAACAGTGAAATGAAGTGTGCTTAATGTGAAGCACAGCCTGATCGTTGTTATTCTTACAAACCTAAAATGTGGATTTTTGCTGTATGTGAAGGAAAATTACAGGTACCAAGCATCATTCATGACTCCCAAATATCCAGACAACAACTGGTTTCAGCTGATTTTATTCAGCACAATCTTAGTTTGTGATCATTTCTAAACTGCGTCATTAAAAAGCCTTGTTCACATGCAGATCACCTGTTGTGACAGCGAAGTATTGAGTGAAACATTTCCAAACTCCAGTTGTGTTATTGAGCATCTTAACTAAATATATTGCAGATGAATACTGTCAAAGGATCACACATCTACAAGTGAGTATTAACAAGAGTCGGCAGGGTGGGACACACTGCTGTGTGTATAAAGAGAGGAAAGCTGCAGGTGTGGTGGTGTGCAGGTGATGGGGAAAGGGTCTGAATAATGGAGGGGTGAAGAATTTTAAGTATGTTTTGATCATATACTAAAATAATTTGAGGAGGAGAATTGAAGATATAATTAATACGACCTAATAAAAGAATGAGCAGATGGCATAATATAAATACGACCCCCCACCCCACCTCTATGGATATGTCATCATTCTGTGGGAAACACTGCTTACAGGACTCCACCTCTTACTGCTGTGTGTCCTATGCAGCTAGCCCCCCCACCCCCCAACTAAACTGGGTATTTCAAGCTGTGGCTGTGTCTGACAAAGATAATCCTCTGCTGTGAGATCCATTTGTTAAAGGCAAATTCTTTTAAAACAACAACAAGGCCTTGAAAGTCCTAAAATTATCTTCAAAAATGTCAGGAGTTTGGTTGTGCAAAGGGTAATACATTCTTACCCCGAAGCAGTGAGGCAGTCACATTAGTCATGAGCTTCAGCAGTCTTTCACTCAAGCTAACACAAGCTAAGGCTAAAAACATAGCATGACAAATATGCTGGGTTGTTGACTGTGAGCGGAGCGTAACATAGTGCAACACATCCATTAGCAGCTGTTAACCAGAGCTCCATTACCAACACATCAGCTTTCATCAGCACAACGAAAGCATGCAACGCCTTCACCGTCGTCATCATCTCTGACTGGTCTTACCTGACCTCCAGGCACGGCGCAGGAAAGCAAAGGCAAAAGAGAGAGCTGCCCTGGAGCCGACTCTGGCCAAACCTTCAACACCCTGACTGGCTGGACGGGAACTGAAAAAAAACACAAAAAAACAAAGCCCACATAGATCAGCACAAGATGTATACATGGGAGAGTTAGAGAGGCACAGTGTACACTCAAACACCAGACTTTAGGTTTAAACTCAAAACAAACACAAACAGCCCGTAAGTTTGGCAAACAGAAGTTCAGGTCAGAGAAAAACTGTTCTGTGCGTTGCACAGTGGTGCAGGCAGGTCCTGTAACTCCCTTTATAGGACCTTTTGTTGGGTAGAGAAGGAGCTATTCTTTCACTAGAGAGCATAACTTTCCTTTCGTATTTCTTAATGGTATTACTAACACTTCAGTATAGGTAAAACAGAAGAAGGACAACACTTCAGTAATAAGTTGTTACCAATGGGGCAGTTTTTTCACAGCCTTTGTAACATAGCCACAATCTGCTGTTTACAATAGTACAAAATATGATAATAATATATATGATTTTGTTTCAGTTGTCCTTACTCCAGAACAGCTCGTTCTTAGGTTCTTTTCTGTGATTAAACATCTATAACTCTATGAGACACAAAGCAATCTGCTGCTGAGAGTACCTCACTTCATTTCTTCTCACCTTTTATTGTCAGTAGCAGGCAGTGGTGGGGTGGGGGGCATCTTCCAGCCACCCAAAAACGTCTCCTCCATCATGCTGTGGCTGAGAGAGATGAGGTAGCGCTCCAGGATGACCAGGCGCTGGCGCAGGCGTTGGGCGGACAGGGTGCTTTTGGCCACCTGAGCTGAGAGCTTCTGCTGGTCGTCGACGAGGACGAGGAGACAATCCTTCAACTCAGTCTCATCTGCACCCACAAAGACCTACTGGTTAAGCCCTATGCAACATGTACAGAGGCTATGGTTCTCAAGCCTTAAAAATGGTTTTAAATAAAAGTCAAATAGCTTTTGTTTTTTGAAATCTAATGAGAGTCTCTACATGAAACTGTGTATGGGAACCTTTTATTTTATGGGTGCAGAACATCCCTAAAAAGTTAATTTTCCCTAATTTTTATTCAGCACACACAAAGGTATATATATTTTTTTTATTTTACTATTTAAATCTTGAGGATTGTGGATCACAAAACCAAAAATCCACTATTTCAAAATATTAGAAATTTACAAAGCACCAGTCCAAATAAAGGATTATAATACAAATGTTGAGGTTAATTTATGCACTTAGTACTGGGTCGGGGCTCCTTTTGCATGATTAATTGCTTCAATGCCATGTGACATGGTGGTGGAGATGACTCTTTGGTTTTCATACAAGCAGCTGTATGATCATAGTACAAGCTGCTTTAAAAAAAAAAAGAGTGCGGACTGGCTGCTGGAGAGGTGCCAGTTTATCTTCCAAGAACTACCAGGGAGCCTTTACGCTTGAAGAAAATAGTGACCGTCTCACTGCTCAAGACAGCTGATTATCAGACCCCCTCCCACTGCTCTGACAGTCGACCATATTGATCTGTGCATCATGGTCCAAAGTGTGCGTGTGTGGACATCAAGCATGTCTTTGCTCAAAGACACAATCCCCCCTAGAGGGATAAATAAATGATGTCTTCTTCTAAACATACTGTTGCCCATTAATAATTTAAGCAGAAATCTGATTTTATGATTTTAACATTTCACTCTTAGGTCTGCATGGATTTAAAGTGTACTATCATTTTGAAGGGCTCTCTACTTTCCTGCTTATCTTGTCATTTCATCTCAGCTTATCAGCCCGCTAACAGCATGGTATTTCAAAATGAAGTCTTGTGACACTTGAGCTTTTTGCTCGCAGGCTTCATCACAACCAGTCCTTTGTTCTGATCTGGTTCAAGAGTAAAATGCTGTATTATGTTTCTATACAGCAGCTCTGCCGGGAGGACGAGAGGGGCCAAAATAGCAGGTCTGAAATCCACTTAAGCTTTTTAAGCCAAACTGGCCTGAGGTTGTACGAGCCTCTCTACAGTCAGCTGTGCTTGGCTGTCAGGTCAGATATGTACCCCAGTCAAACAAAGCCCCTAACTAGTCATTATATAATACTCAGGGCTCAAAAGAAGCTTCAGCTGAGGAACTACCTGACTCACAGAGGTTGTTTCACTTTTTAGAAAATGATATGACACAGAAAACAAAGAAGGAAAAAATCTGTGTAAGAAGCAGAGCATATCTGTCATGTGTACTCGGGCCACTCTGATTTCACAACAACAGGTCAGGTCTGTTCAGATAAACATACTCCAGATATTTGACCGCCCAGTGGAAAAGCAGGAAGTTTGCTGTTTGAACTTTAAGCATCAGTGACAGAGCACTCTTCCATGTAGTGATCCAGTTACACTCACTGTACAATGAGACCAGTGTGATTTCCTGCCTCGGTTCATAAAAAAAAAAAAAAAGAGAAGAGCAGCAAGTGGCCACTGGCAATGCATGTTTTTGAAAAGCATGTGCCCTCCCCATCCCAGAACACCCCCACCCCTGTTATCTCTCTCCACCATGACCGTCCCACCCAGTCAAGCCTGTAAACACAGCAAAGGGTAAGAGCTGCAACTCCATGAGGGACCACATCATAACGCCCACCAAGATTACACTCTGAGGGGTAAAAATAACCGCTCAGACCTTCAGACTGCGACTTGTCATTTCAGAGTTTCCGCGCCTCACGTGCCAGAAAAACATGCACGCGTCAGCGGGGGTCTGACAGACGTGGAATAGATAAACAGAGAGGTCGACCATGTGTTGAAACGGTCAGCATCATTGCATCTAGTTGACATTTAGGCGTTGTGAAACCATCTGCTCTCACCCTGGTATTAATTACCCCACTTGGAAACATAGAGGCGTAAAATAACAGGAGATACCATGGCAGCTTCTTGGTAGCCCCCACAAACAGAACATTTCCCTCTCTCACCTGGCTGTCGCCCCCAGTCCCAGGTCTCTATGATGGAGTGATGCACTGACGTCGACGTCTCCTCCTCGTCTTTCTTCTCTTTGTCGTTGGGTTCATCCTTCTTCTGAGATCCAAAGCAGTCAGTGCAATCCTCTGAAACAATCAAAAGAAATCCAAAATATCAGGCAAATATCCAAAAGTTTGTTTTAATTAGAAAACATGGAACTGCTGGAAGTTTCTAAACTATTGGATGTTAAATTTCTTGAACGTTTGTAGACTTAAGATGCGTAACCACTAGCCTGTTTCACATGTTATTACATCTCTTTACTTTTATACTGAACCCTGCAACAGCATAATGCGATTGTCCCAAAGTGTGTTTATATGGAGTTATAGAGTTACGGGACTTTAAGAGAGGCATGGCATGTAAACAGGCACTGCGAGTCTCACATTTAAACTAAAGCATGGTAATAGCATCATGTCCGATGTTAACAGCAGCAGTTAACGGCATGAAAGGGAAAGAGTGACACCAATTTTCCTCTGTTATCACCTCCACTGTAGAATGGGGCTGAATTACTCTGTCCTCCCATCCCACCTCTGTGACATTTACCTTGGAGGTGAGTCCAAACAGTCCCATCTGAAAAAAGCCATGTGGAAGGGGCTGTTTGTCTTACACACCAGTCGTATTCATTCATATTTTAAATTCAGCCTTTTTTATTTAGATGAGATGAGTGAGGGGGGCAAACAAAGGAAACTTTTTGTTTTGCTTTGCCAAAAGTTTAGTTTTACTCGTAGATTTGAGGTTAGATAGATGGATACTCCACCTACAGATTATCTGAGTATTTTATTTCAAAATACTCGAGGAGCACAATTCACAAAAAGTGCAGACTAAAATCAAAACCAATATTAATAATAAATAAGCTAAAATTGAACACAAAAGGATTATACAACATCTTAAGAATCTAATGAGAGAATTAAAAAGTTTAGTTATGAATAAACCTAAAGCCAAGTCAGGTTGAAGAGATAGGTTTCTGATTCCCAGGATGACTGCTACAGCTCACAGCAGAGAAGTTGCCTCATTAAGGTTTTCGTCCTGCACTTTGGACCACCTAACAGAAACCGTGTCAGGGGGGCGGAGGGGACATACTGCTCCATACTGCACTGTAAACAGCTTGAGGATTAGGTAATACCTCTTAGGGGGTGTCCATGTTTGTATCCAGCCTGGCTGCATGAAAAGACCTAAATAACAGTCTCACCTTGCAATAAATGTACTTCTGCAGTCTAACAACACTGAGTCTAATTCCTTGAGTATATCCTTTTTTCATGTTTTCATGAATCCCTCACATATTTTCTTGACCTGTAGATGTTTCTCACTGCAAACAAAGTTTTTTACAAACTGTTCAGTCCACACCTGACATTCGTCTCAACCCTGTCACTTGCTCGCACAACAATGCTTTCATAAATGGATGGCAGCATTGTGTAAATCTATAAAAGAAAAACATACTGGTGCTGAGATCTCTGTGTGCCATACCTGGGTGGGCTGATTCCTCTCCATTGAATGTGATCTCTTCATCTTTTACCATTTCATTCCACATCTCACTGAGTCCCTCTGGAGAGAATGCCCGCTGCAAAAGGAAAACAGAAAATCAGGACAGCACGTTCATGACAAAACAATTTAAGAGTCGTGATATGTTTGCTATATAAGTCCTGCAGATGTGTGTCATAAACAGGCTATTTTCATATTATGAGAGGACTAGAATTAAAGCTTTAAATGAACCAGGATTAGCTGTTGATGTCAGCTTTTAAAAATAACTGATTCGATATGTTTATGCCAGTGTTTTTTTTTCCAGACAGGAATTTCACACATGAAATTAAATCTGTTCAAAAACCTACACAACCAACTTAGAAAACCGACACCAGCAAAGATATTTCAAATGTAGGAGGAGTCAGCTATAAAATGTGTGTCATCACCCCAATGCTTCACTTATCATGCTTTGCTTTACTGAGAAATCCTGACAAGTGGAAAGCCAAGCCAGCTCTTGCTTTCTAGGATCTAATATCTTGAATGTCAAAAACATGTTAGCGCAGAGGTAACAGCAAACAGACTGCACCAGACCAGACACAGAACACTACTACTGGGGAAGGGATGACACTGCGTCCCAAAATTTTAGTCCTTATTTTATAGTGAAATCCAATTTTAGAATTTCGGGGTGGGTCCAGACAAGAGTGTGGATGTGAAGGCGAGTGCAGACAGTTAGTTGCACAGAAGGAGAAAGCCAAGCTGGAGTGTTTTATTCCCATCTTCTCCAACTCAATCATATATTATTTAAAGACCTCATGATTATAACAGACTTGTGTTTGTTTTCACAACAAAGATTTGTCTGTATTTTTAGATACCTCGTCCCTGCGCCCACTGTAATTTCAAAGGCTTTAACTTTTGTATCATCAAGAGAAAAGCAATAATCATCCGTGCACCTGGCTTGACACAGCTTGCATGCTACTGCTTTCAGGCATATCTTAAGCATCCGGCTGTTTTAGGAAATGACAACAGATGGATTTCCTGTAGTTCTACTTTCTTCTTGTCTATGACCATTTTTGAATGGTGGAAGGTAAAGGATTTGGGAGTCAAGGTCAGCTGTTGTAAGATGTGTTCACTATTGCTGAGGAAATATTTAGAGGACAAACAGGATAAGAGACAGGTTCAAGTAACTGTTAAAATAGGGGCAGGATTTACAAGGTCACTGAAGATACAACACCTGATACCCTGCCCACATAAACAATATCATCAGGACACCGTGATTTTGAAACAACTGATAAGTGTAAAGACCATCATATATTTATCCATCACAACGTCAGAACAAAAAGAAAATCACCTGCAGGTTACAACATAGGTTTAATATCATAAAGGGGCTGCAAGGAGACATGAGGTAGTGGTTTAATCAGGGTCTGAAGCTACTTTTTGACACACAGCCCAAGTTGGAAAGTAGTTAAAAAAGTTCCCCATCCAAGCACATTTTTACCACAAAAAAGATTAAAGGTTGAGTTTTTGAGCAACATACACGGTCATTATAGTAAATTCTCTTGATAATAATGAAATTCTTCAAACAATTCATATTATACCTTGATCCCAGAAAAATGGGTGCTGCAGAGCAGCCAATATTAAAGCAAATAGTAAGGCGTGGTGGCTGGCACCCCTATATTTACAAGTGTGTGCATCAGTGTACATTTGTTATCATCCCACAACTTTGTAGCACAGCATCAAGTAGGATTAAAATTCACAATTTCCCTCTCTTTTTTTCATGGATGAGTCTCTTGGTACAAATATTCACATCTGTTTGGCATAAAAATCTACCTGCATTTAGCACAAGGTAGATGTTAATTTTGGTCCCTGAAAGCAACAAGTCAAATTGTGATGAAATGAATTGAGAGCACTGTATAATTTTTAGATAAGTGATACAATATTTGCATGCACAAGTTACTCTGGCAAATCATCCCCTTTTCGTAATTGTTCCCACCCTTAGACTAAAGGTTTTACAGTATGTCTCTCACATGATGCAACACTGTCAAACTGCCAAAATCTTGGACACAAAGTTCATAAAGTGTGACAGTTTGGATTAGTGGTAAAAGCCCCCAATGCACAGCTGATACAGTTATCACTGTTGCATCAGTCGCTGGTTTGATGTGTGGCCTCTATCCTTCGCTGCATGTGTTCCCCACCCTCTGTTCTATCTTATGAAAGCTGGCAGAATTATATCATACAGTGAAGAAATTTTCAAATAAAAGTTTAAAAAAGGGCCGTAGAGGAGGAAGGCAAGTACAATAAATAATCAAATAGGGATAATATTCTCAGTTCACAGAAGAAAATGTGAAATGAAACAACCGTCAGCAATGCTGCCAGACTTTGCAGATTTTCATGCGACTGCACCCACACAAGGGCACGTTGACTTCTTAATACATAAAAGCAGTCTTTTTAACATGAATCCTTCTTTCATGTACACAATACCTGTAAGTCTATCTTCAGCCATTTGTCATGAAACCTCAGCTGAGCATCGAGGGTAAAAGATGGAGAAGGCATCTTCCCCTCCCCTCTCCTGGCTGCAAACGCAGCCAACCTGCAGAATAAAGAGATGAAAGGCTGTGTTATAACACTGGAAGAATTAAGAAGACATGGTCACATTACAATCAGCCAGTGATGTAATGAATTCAACAAGGGTTATACTGTTGGCTCTTAATGCAATATCTAAGTGAGGGTGGATAACATCAGCATAAGGGCTGAACAATAAGCCACAAATTTACTTAAGTCTCAATAAAAGCATTTGAATCAAACACAAAGCCAAAAATCTGAATTGACTGTGATGATGAGTGTACTATTGTGTTTTCTCACTCTGCATCTACATTATACCTGTTAGACAGAGGCCGGGGTATAATGGAAATGCCTTTGAATATTTTGATGCAGAAAAATGAGACTGTAGTCAGCTGTCAGCTAACCTCAAATCAATTGGTAAAAACTAAGTGATAAAAAAAGCTTTTTGTTTCTAAGGAGTATGTTTCAAACACAGGTGATGTGTAAATCATGCGGAACAACACATATACAATTGAGACTTTGAATTATTCCAACTAATATGTACTCTTTAATCTCAATTTAACACACGTCCTACTGATATCATAACATTGAACAGCAAAGTGCACAATGCCTTTTTTAATATCAAGTGTCAGGTTTACTGGTAAGGGGCTAAATCAGCTGTAATGGAAACAGCTAATAGGTTTTGGTTTAAAAGAAAATAGACTATTTCACAATAAATACAGCAGAGAGAAAACATATTACAATATTAATATGCCAACATCAAACAGTCTTGATGAACAAAACCTTTTCTGTGTTTTTTTGCGGTTTTCTCTCAAACACATCAATAACTTTACAATTAATCGCCAATCTATTTGAACAGGAAATCTGTCAACACTGCATCAGGCTGGTTAGATTGGTCAAGCAGTCAGTAAATATCAGCTTAAGCAACCAAAAGTATTATCAAAATGTAAACAACAGGGAGACCTGACACCAGCTGGCAACCGTGGGGGATATCAGGTTAATTTCAATCACAGGTTTTAAATAAACACTTTAACACAAACTTAGACAGTAGCTGGGTGACATCCACACTTGACTATTTTATCATTAATGTTGATTTAATGATTCATTAAAAACACCCAAGCTGAATCAACCTTTTCTATTCAACACTGTAATACAGTTATAACTGCATTTTTCATGCCTCCATTTGAAAAGGTAGCATTTTGACATTTATTTTGCAGTTTCCAAAAATTAACTTTGATAACATTTATGACTCTTAACTAAAGGGTTAAATATGTGTCCGACTGTATAGCGTTATATGAGACGTTTAGAGGAAAATGAGACTATCGTAGCAATAAATGCTAGCAAGGGCACAGTTTCTATTAACCTTGGTGTTGTGGTTATCAAAAGGTTCACATATGACATAAAAACACCAATCCGGAACATAAAGAACATACACTGACACAGCATTAATGCATTTATAGCGCATCACCTAGGGAACGTTCAGGCTTGGTAACGTTAACATTAGCTTGGCGGCTAAAGCTATCTACTTAGCTTGCTGTATAGCTAGTACTAGCAAGCTAACATTAAAACCAACTCACATCCCAGATAACCATGAGCAAGCTCCCCTAACATGACATTGTACGGAACGATACGCAGCGTTTCAGAAAGTGCAGCAAGGCTATACTTAACAAATAAAACCTGGAAACAAATTTCTATATTACCTGCGGTCTCTTCTCAAGCTATTCTCGTCCCCTCAGCTGCTTTGCTGCATTAACAAGACGTGCATAATGGCTTTTGATTGGCAGGTCGAGGACTGGGGCACGAGGCATGGAAACAAATTACGTAGTCTGAACTCAGAGATTCAATACGACTGATATTCTCTTGAACAGCACGCTGGGGCGGCGCTTGTTATATGGGGTGATCCAATTCAACACCGCCCGCCCGTGCCTACCGGTACAATGAAACGTTCGCTTTTTTTGCACTAGAGGCGGGACTTAGGAGGGGCGGGGTTGGCCTGTAGCACAAATAAATGTCCGCTAGATGACAGTGTTTCCCCAGAAAAGTGTGGGTGTATTTCTTACTACTATACACTATTTACACAAGAGTTATAAAGCCTGATGGCTGTTGGGAGAAAAGATCTTCTGAATCTTTCTGTCCTGCAGCGAAGAGAGAGGAGCCGTCCACCACCGTTGGCCCTTTGGTCCATCAAGGTGTTGTGAAGTGGGTGATCCATGTTCTTGAGAATAGTCTCCACCTTCCTCAGTGTAGATCTCTCCACCACATCCTCCACTGAGTCCAGCTTGAGTCCAACCACAGAGCCAGCCTTTTTCACCAGTTTGTTAAGACGTCTTGCATCTTTGTGTTTGATGCTTCCTCCCCAGCAGACTGCAGCGTAGAACAGAACACTTGCCACCACAGACTGATAAAACATCTGCAGCGTCTTACTACAGATGTCTATTGATCAGAGTCTTCTCAGGCAAAAGAGGCGGCTCTGCCCCTTTCTGTAGATGAAGTCTATATTCTTAGACCAGTCCAACTTATTATCCAGATGTACACCTATATGATGTCACCACTTCGATGTCCACTCCACAGGTGTTCACTGGCTGAAGAGGGGGTTTGGATCTACGGAAGTCTATGACCATCTCCCTTGTCTTTGAGGTGTTGAGGAGGAGGCAGTTTTTGTGACTCCAGTCACTGAAGGCTCTTATCAGATCTCTGTATTCAGCTTCTTGTCCATACACTGGACATTCTTTATTGTTAGTCTCTTTTATTTATTGAACCGTTGTGACCATTGACCACTCAGCCAACATTGGCCTGACAACAATTCAGATCAATAGAAGTGTAGGTTCCTGATCACTCTGACACAGTATACAGACTTCTTGAAGAGAAGTGGAATCACGTTTCTAAGTTGTATTTTTTGCATGTGCAGCTAGGCACAGTCAATTAAATGGCATATGTTTACTATTGGTGATCCTACCAGAGGGATTACTACCCGAAAAAGCTGTGATGTTGGATAACATGATGATAAAAACAGCCCTTAATGGTTTGATAATAATGAGTTCAGATTGCTGGAAGACCAGTTTAGCACCCTGACTCTTCAACTATGGAGTCATGATGTTGTCATAAATGCATTTTGTCCCTTTTGTAAAGATATTCCTCTCTGAATCTTTTTATATCATATTCTGTAGATAATAAAATCCTCAAATTCTTTACAATTTTACTAGAATATTATTTGGCCATGAAACAGAAAAATAACTGCTTAAAGACACTCAAGAGATCTGAGTGTCATGGTTTAGACTCTGTGTTTATTTCTTGTGTTTCTTTTATATGGATATAGGTAGTTTATAGTTGAAGTTAGTATGCCGGCTTTACGTTGTGTTTCTTGGTGTTTTTTTATTCTTTTGGTTTCAGAAGTTGAAGGTGTGGCTTCTCTTGTCTATAGACAAGAGAATACGATAAGAAAGCCTTATCTCTCATCAGGCACACTAACCTATCCAGCCCCAATCAGCAGCAGTTAAATACTCAGCAAGTTCACAGCAAGCTGCCAGATTGTCCAAGATTAAGTCTGCTTCTCCACCAGTAGCTTGGCTCCCTAAAACTCCTGTCTTGTGAGCTATTGTGTGATTCCTGGTAATGTCATAAGTGGACTGACCTTATGTTCTTCTCCTTCTCTCCTTGTGCCGTCTTGTGCCAGCATTAGTGCCAAACCACACCATCCAGCCTCAACCCATCAAGTTTGTAAGCCAGACTCATTGGATAACTTTTGTACAAGAGCCTACTGGAATCAGCTGTAGGCTACTACTCAGTCAACTCGAGCCTGTTTCAACCTTCATCTTTAGCTCAATAAACCCCTTTGAAACTTTTTCCCCATTTTAGACTACATCTTAATTCTGTAAACCCCTTAAAAAGGCTTTAGGACGTCCTCTATCAGACTGAGGTGCAGACATATATTACAGTGAAGCACCCCAAAGACAGTAAATGCTGCATTGTGTGGATCTATGGATCTAAAATAAGATGTTTGCGTGCAAAATGATTCTCAGTGTAACATGAAAATTGTTGCAATTTGTAAAGCATTTAGGAATAAAATTAAACATGTTTTATTTTTGTTGTAAATGAAAACTATTTGCACAGTACATCTGTGACCAACAAGTCAAATAGGTCAATCAATGTATGTATTTGTCCCCTAGTGGAGCAAAAAAAAAAAAAAAAATTGTCTATAATAGGAACAAAATATTATTAGCTCCATGTATTGACAAAAAAAGGTTAAGATTTCGCATACTGGCCAGCTTATGCAATTTTTAAGATAGATAAGATAAAATTTTGACTGTTTTCTACAACATACATTTAGATCTTGTACTGTAGCCTATTATTATTTCTTCTATGACTATGACATATTTGACAAATCGATGATATCTTAATTTTACACAAAATAGTATTAATGGTTTTAAAATGAAAAATAATGTTCTCAAAGTTGTCTAGCCAGAGTTATTCTTTTGACTGGCTACCATTGAAAATAAACTGAAACACTATCACAAACACACTTTCTGCAGCTTACATTATATTTACACAAAATATGAATCACTGTGTTTATCCTTTTTTCCTGGGCAACGCAAATGTGAACATCTAGATTTTGGTCCAAACGCGTATATTTGATGCCGATGAACCTTGGTACCGCCCGGTGTGGAAGAAACTGCACATGCGCACTACTTCACTTCCTGCTTTCAGAACATAACTCCAGTGGACTTTTCATCTTGCAGTTAAACTAAACCCAGTAAACGGACACTGTAATGACCACTGACTCGATACCAACAGGTGCTCCGTTGCCTTTCACTGGAATAGCGATAGCAGTAGTTTCAAGTTTTATCAATGGGTCAACATTTGTGCTTCAAAAGAAGGGAATATTACGGTCTCTCGACAGAGGTACAGTGAAACAGCAGGAGCACGCGTCCTTATTCCGATGGGATACTAACACATGCAAAATGAATGGCATTTTCAGGTTAATCAAGCTCATAAAAATTTAAGTCTTTTATATATTTTCTACAGGAAAGTCGTATCTCACAGATGCGGTGTGGTGGAGTGGGACAGTGTCCAGTAAGTATAGCGCCCTCTATCGATACTAGCTGGAACATGAAAATAATGTGCGAACAGTGTGCAGGATCATAGTATATGCAGTCTTTAAGTATCCCCGACTTTCTTCATGCACGATCTTAACTCAGCTTTCTATTAATCTTATCAGTGATTGTTGGCCAAATTGGGAATTTCCTGGCTTACAATGCGGCCCCTGCTGTGATAGTGACACCTCTAGGAGCCCTTGGGGTGTTATTTGGGTAAGTCAGGGAAAAAACTGAATAGTCATCCACTATATTTAGCATTGTGATGTGGGTTGAACAAACTAGAACCATTGAACATTTTATTTAACCACAAACTTTGTTTGTCTTTTACTATGAAAGAAGGTGTCCAATTTTTGTTGTGATGTGAAATGTCTATGTCAGTGTCAGATTTTGATGATGCATGAAAAAACTTTGCTTTTCAGAGATACCATTCAAAGCAGCTGTAAGGAACTTTTGGGTCATGTCCATTTCAGCACTTTCTTGTGGAACAACTGATACCTCTAATCTTTTGTCTTTTTAGTGTGAAAGTAGTGTTTTCAGACAAAAACCTAATGCTCAGGGTTCCTACGCAAGTATGGAAATAAATTTAGTCAATTTCCAGGAATTAAAAAGTATGTAAAATGAAAAATAATATATGGAAAAATATTTATGTTTCTAGACTATTACCACTGTTCTAGTTTTGTTCAGATCGTATTTTATGCTGAACCAGGCACAGTTTGTGTGAGAGGAAACATTTCAAAAAACGTACCAACTGATTGACAATAGTATGTGTACTCTGCTGCCCCACGACCTTCCTCTAGCCCTGTGTGTGTGTGTGTGCGTGTGTGCGTGTGTGCGTGTGTGGGTGTGTGTGTGTGTGTGTGTGCGTGTGTGCGTGTGTGTGTGTTTGTAACAGTATTTACAGTTTTGTGTTCAGACACTTGAGGGACACAAAAAATTCTTCAACTCTTAAAACGAGTTACAATAAAATTCAATGCATTGAACTTACCTAAGTTTATTAATGGCTATAATCACCTAATTAGAAACTAGAAAAGAAATGGGGGGGGGGGTGTTAAGTAAATCAAAATTTGTTTGGAAGAGAACTTTTTGGAACAGTTTTGATACCTCAGCCTGTTTGTTTTCCTGTTGGCTGATGGAGTCTTTCAGGATCTTTTTTTGCTTCTTCAAAGTCTTGAGCTCAGCGATGGTGAAGCAGAGAGTTTCTCTCAGACTCTGGGCAATTTGAGCATCGCTGAGCTAGTGATGGTGTCTCTGCAGCTGAACAGCTGTGGGAGACAAAATGACATAAGCTTCATTTTAAAAAATTACAGAGCTTTGTAGATATGGATACATAAACATTTTAGTTATTTACAGAGAGTTCAATGAGAAAGTCTTACCAGGTGTCCTGCTGGAAATCTCACGTACATATTTGTACAGTGATTAAACAAGTTGAAACAGAGTCAAAGTGTCAGAGTTATCACAAATTATCACACAAAAAAACTATCTTCTGATATTAAGTTAAAAAAAAAATGATCACAAAAAACAGATGTCTACCAATATTCTACAGATTCGATTGTTAAGAAAAGTTTGTTATTGAAGTTGTTGATAAATGTTCAAAATATTCTTCCAATACACAGAGTTGATACTGTTCACTCGATGGTTTGAGTTGGTCTGATCATTTTCTCCAGGTTTAAGGTTTAAGTTCAGGTCCTGTTCATTCTGTGGTCACTGATCTAGAATGTTGGTCAGAATGGAGGATTCTAACAGAGTGTTCCACCTGCTTCATATTCAAATCATGCATTTTCTGCATATCATGAAATACCATTACTTTTAATGTAAAGTTTTAACTGCTTCATTAGTGTGAGCAATCGACGTTTCTATCAGCAAAGAAATTTAAAACAAACAAATCACAACATTTATGTCACAAATTCATGTTCCATGATAGTATGATTATTTTACATTTCTTCAAAGACAAAACTATCGATACACTTTTTTTTTTAACAATTCAGTGTATTAAATCTACATGCAGTTACATCACAGTTGAATTCATGACAGAGTGTGGATCAAACAGCTCCTCTTATTGAGTGGGTGAGGCCCTCAGGTTCTTGCAGACAGAAACATACTGAACTGCTAAAGGAGGCCTTGGTCCTTTACCTAGAAGGATTGTCAGCTTCTTCTCAGGTGGTTAAGTTGAACAATTTGGGTTATTGATATTTATCTTTGGCATTAAAACACTATAGTGAGTGATAACCTTAGCCTAGAGTTTACGTGAGGTATACACAGTCCCATTTATTACCCAGCCTACAACAAAAGGAACAAAGTACTTCCATATAAAATATATATTTATAATATATAAAACAGTAGATAAAGAGTCTTTATCATTTGATTGTGGTGTGTCAAGTTTCCCAGTTTAGAAATATCTCTCTTCATGGAGCAAGCGAACGTCATATAATTATACATTGATGTGGAGTTTCAACTAAGGCTTAGTCTTTTTATGACTAAACATACATGTGCACTGTCAACCAGAAAGAGCAGGGCAAAGGGGTTGGAGCATAGATTTGTGACATAGAAAATCCCACTGTGTCCAAACCTGCTCTTTGGGTCTACAGGAGGTTCTACATGCAGTTATATCACAGTTGAATAATGACAGTCTTTAGGGGAATGATGAAAGCTATCATAAATAGCTTTCTTGGGAGCATTGCAATCCACTAACACACACTTGTTCCACAATTGTCTGGCCTGCAGAGCGAGACACCGGGGGCTGGAGCTTGGATTTGTGACATAGAAAATCCCACTGTGTCTTAACTTGCTCTTTGGGTCTACCAGAGGTTCACAGCGATTTGAATGCAGAAATACTTAGAAATGCAATTTTGCACAGATTTTTCTCAAGATTTGTCCCCTAGCATCAGAAAAATGCCATATAAACATGTAAAAAAAAAACAACATGATTTTCATTGGAGTGGTTATTAAAGAACGATGTGCTAGCCAATCCCCTGAGCTCCCTGGATATACATCTGTTCTTTTCAGCTGATCTCTTTCTTTCATCAAGCTTTTCAGTTCAGGATTATACCATGGTGTTTTGACAGATCTGACAGTTAGTTTCTTGATGGGTGCATGCTGATCACAGAAAAAGGAAAATAACCTCATGAATTCATGCAGAGTAGTAGCTTCAGTATGATTACATTTGAACACACTGCCCGCTGTATGTTTTGCAGGCCTTCAATAAAGGCATGATTGCAGAAATGATTATAGAATCTTTTATATATGATTTTAGATCTTGCTTTAGGAACTTCCACTTCTCTTGCCATAGCAATCATATTTTGTTACGAAACCCAACTCAGAGTTCCTGCACACAAATAGAAAGTGAAATGTTTTTGTTTTTTTTCTGGAAGAGGAATGAGAGTAAATCCACAGTATAACAATAGTGCCTTGGGGCTTTTAAATATAATGTGAAATATGATATACTGATATATTTACTCAGGTGGGTCATATTCTCTGAAAAAAAAATCATAAAAGTCTTAAAATTAGGGTATGGACTATTTTTTTTTTTCCAAATGTGTAGGAACCCTGCATCCTGGTCCCTTTTAAAAGTGAAACGCGACACAGAGTATTTGATGTGGAAAACGGCTGTTTGTTCAGCCTGCTGTCAATAGATAACCCCCTCACAGCAGTTAAAGCCGTACAGCGCAGGTGTAGCCCTGCAATGATGCTGGTCATGCACATTCAGACTCATGAATGCCATGTACATGATCAAAATGCCTATAATGTTAGCTGCAGTTCACTTAACCACCAACGACAAGTCTCCAACAATTTCACACAGCACCCCTAATCTAATTGTGATGATGTTTTACTTTACATCTATCAAGCACATGATTGCAGGTTCAATAGATAACCCATTGTGTTGTACTTTCTGGATTTCTAGAGCATATAGCCCCTCATATCTTGTAACTATTTGCTGTTTTATTGTTTAACAGGGCTGTGCTGGCATCCTGGATCTTGCAGGAGCATTTAAACATCCTGGGAAAACTTGGCTGTGTGTTATGTTGCTGTGGTTCCATTGTGCTGATCATTCATGCACCTAAATCAGAGACTGTAACGACAAGACTGGAATTAGAAGAGAGACTTTTAGACCCCGGTGAGAGTTTCCTTTATTTACTCTTGCTCTGATGTACGTATCCTCCAGAGTAATTGAAAGGAAGGTTAAAATCAGAATATCATGATTTGTATGAATCAAAATATCCTTTCTCGTCCTGCAGGCTTTGTAGTTTACGCCCTCCTGGTGGTTCTCCTGCTGCTCCTACTCATTGTGTGGATTGCTCCAGCTCACGGTGCATCAAACATCATGGTATATGTGTCTATATGTTCCTTATTGGGAAGTTTCACTGTCCCGAGCAGTAAAGGACTCGGCCTGGCTGCACAGGACGTCTTTGGAGATGCACCCTCAAGCAGCAGAGCTCTGGCTCTCTTCCTCGGCCTCCTGGGGACACTGGCAGTCAGCATCCTCATACAGTTCTTCTTCATCAACAAAGCACTGGAGTGTTACAGCTCCAACATGTTTGAGGCCATATATTATGTGACATTCACATCCACTGTGATTGTTGCTTCTGCAATTCTCTTTAAGGAGTGGACTGCTGTGACTTTAACTGACAGCCTCGCCATGCTTTGTGGTCTGACAACAGTGTGTACCGGGGTTGTTTTACTCCGTATTTCCCAGGAGGCTTTGATCACCTGGAAGAAGAAGACAGACTGATTGTCTTTATAGTACAGAGTGTACTCTTAGTTGGTTTTTCAGAGACTCCACTGTAAATAACTAAAGCCACAGTTTATTTAAAACTAATTTAATTCAACATTTAATTTGAAATACCTCACTGTTTCTAATGAGTCATGTCTTTGTTACTTATGTAAACTACAAATACAAATAATTTATAATTACATGCAATAAGAAAAACACAGTCTGTTTTCATTGTGATTGTGGGACACATCAAACAAGCCTGACTTGTATCCTCTTGCATTTTTTTCACTCGGAAAATTTTATATGTAACATCTTCATTGAATACTTACTAATGTTTTGTCATCTTAAAGCTCCTATGAAGAAATGACCATGAATTGAATAGGACATGTGTATGTATGTATATGTATTAATTCAGCTCCCATGACCTGAATTAATGCTTTTGTCTCTATAAGGGCTATAAACACAAATAACACTGCCAGTTACATACTGATATTTTTTAATATAGTTGCTCTTAAAGCTCCTGTGAGGTTCTAATGGTTTTTTATCAATTTTGGCAACCCCCGTGGACACAGGGGTCCTTGCTAATCTTGTCCCATACATGCTTAAGTGGTGTTGTCTGACAAAAAATTCCATCTTGCTGACTTTGACAGTCAAATATATCATTCACTATTTTATTTGGACATTTTAAGAACATGGCTATTGGGCTGACATCAGTTTTAGGCATTAAAAATGACAACACACATTGTCAATCTTTTTGCTGATGATCTTGTTTCCCATTGGATATCATGAAAATGTATCAATATGAATTTTAGTCTATTTTGTAATTATCAAAAAACTCCTTGCAGGAGCTTTCATGCCACTAAAAGCTGCATTGAGCGAGGTGATATCAGTGTGTTTGATTGCACACTCTTGAAATTACCCTTATTTTGGTGCCACTTTATGCCTTCATTGGGATGATAGAACAGTGGCTGGAGAGGGAAACTGAGAAATTGAGAGTGCAGAATGTCATGCTGTAACTGGCCACTGTGATCTTTGCCACTCAAGGGATCACAGCCTTTGTACATGTGGTGAACAAGTTAACCACTCGACCATACTGCTGCTCTTAAACTGCCTTCTTAACATTTCAGCTGCAAAGTCTCACAATGAGGGATACATTCAAGCATTTAAATAAAGCACAATAAATGTATCGCTACAAATTAATTTGGGACAAATACAGCAATGAGAAAAGAGGTGCTGCTTTATCAACAGGGGCTGCCAAAATCCACTCAAATGAGAAGATTCCTCAAGCTTTAAATGTAAAGACTAGAAAAATGGAGATTGAAGGCATACTTCTTTTTCTGTGAATTTCTTGCTAAAACCTATAAACCTTTTTGTCTTTACTTCTTTTCACTGGGTACTTTTACAATAATTTCTTGTATCCTTAAAAGCATGCCAAATTAAATTGATTTTAAAAATGGATGCAATAGCTTTAGTGACTAACTAAAAGAGGGGTTGGGGAGAATTCACTACAGTGGGAGAGAAGGTTCTCTGAATTCTACTCTAAGGGTCAAGTTATGTTGAATAAGTTATAGGAATATCAAAGTGCTTTTTTTTTTTTTTAACTGCAGACTCTAATATTGTCCAGGGATCTCAGTGAATTTGACAACAATTTTCTTGACACAGACAAAGACGCTTGAAGATATCAGCATTAAAGCCAAAATATTTCAGTTCTTCCTCAAAGAGCTTTAGCAAGTTTTTAAAATGCTCTCTTTTTCAATCCCACTCTGTTAAACTGTATCAGGATGGCATCACCTACACTTTGACTTATTTAGTGTCTCTTTGAATAATTCAGTGTGATTTTAGAAGCAGTCTCCCCAGTGCTGCAGTTTTTACCATGACTGAAAGAGAGTTTTGTGTAATAGAGGAATTTGTAGAGCTGAGTTATAAACTCCTTTTCTGTGGCTATTAGCTGATTTTTGTAATATTATAAGAGGGCCAAAAATCCTGAAGTGTGATTAGTGTAGGATACATATTTGGTTAATACAGTTTTTGAGATGCACTGGCTGCATGGAGGACCTGTGAAACACTATCCTGACAAGCTCTGTTTTCTCTTTTATGAGCGGTTTTTGATCTTCCATTATTTGAAAAGTTTTCATCAAAATTGCTCTCATATCCCTAATTTGAACTTTTTCTGTTTTTCCCATTTTATAGACATTCGAAACTGAAACATGCCACGCAGTTTACTAAGTAATGCATTTGTTCTATTTTAATCTCTATTGTAAACATTTCTTCTGAAATATTAATACTTTATCTGAATAAGAAATAAAATCTTCCTAACTTTATGGCTCTTTTATAATGAAGCCTCTGAAGCCCTACAAGACAATGATGATTGTTTTGCAATCTTATCAAAAAACAGTGGCAAAGGAAAATTACTATTTAAAAGGCAATAACCTCCAGCAAAACCTGACTTTGTTTAACAGCGGTTTGCTGCCGTCATTATCCTTTACCTTTGTACAAGTTATTATTGTGTTGGAATAGGATAATTAGCCTGTTGCCACACATGAGTAATATGTTTGCCTATAATTATCAAGTACAGACAAGGCAATAGATTAGTCACAGTATACTCTGTATTATATTTTAAAACAGAAACGTTAGTCTAACAAAAAGAAAAATAACTTTCATATGCTTTATTATGGTAAATTTTTAGACTAAGAAGGATAAAACCATTTTTAACTGAGATATAAGTGCGTGCCAACTGAACCTAGTCTCCCCTACCTACGTTTTAAGAGTCTTTGCCCTCCAGCTTTTCATAAATTTGTTCAGTGGAAAACATAACAAATACAGAATCTCAGCGTTTTTTGACGCTGACTTTGTAACCAGGTCCTATTATTGGTGTTGTATTGTCGGTGCCGTTGTGGACTTCAGCCTCCGGAGGGCACACAGTTGAGCGGACACATCCCTCAGAGATAAGTAGAGGAAGAAGCTCAGTGCGGCAGTCTTTGGTGGCGGTGGCTGATGGTGGAGCGAGAGAGACGGCAGTATGACATGGTTAGCCACGTAACCGGGAAGCAGACTGGCTGTTTGCTAACCCCTAGGTGCTAACACTACTCGTGGGAAAAACCGGTCACCTCTGAACAGGTATTTACTTTCACTGTTACTTCTAAAACCGGACAAACAACCACTTAAATCCACACTGAAAGCTAATTAGTGCGTTAGCCAACCAGTTAGCCGTTGTGCTAAGAAATGCTAACACGGCTATCCGGGAGTACATAAGCAATTAAATTAACGAAGGCCAATGAAAGTGTCACCTCGTAAATGCAAAATAGCGCTGTTTCAATCAGGGTTAGTGAACTGGCACAAAATAAGTGAGTTTGTGATGAAACAGGCTGGACAGGTCGACCAGCTCGAGCTGCACCTCGCGTGCCCAGGTTAACGTTGATGGCGTATCGCTTCCTGCATTCCTGTGGCTTGCTATAAGAATATAGAGACAGCAGCTGACTTTGTTACTCAAACCCTTTTGAATAACACTCAAACACCAGGTTAGCTATTCACCAGTCACCTAAGTGTGTTTGCATGGGACCAGTCGGCGGAGACAGCAGATAGTCCTTCATGTGTTTTTACTCCGATGGATCCTAACCAATCATCACATCATGGTTATTCAGTTTGTCATATTGCCTGTGGAAACGGTAGGTCAGTTGGTCTCTCTTAATACACTGTTTAAGTGTTTACTTTTTGTCTTTCTTCCTCGTTGTTCTCTCTCCTGCTTGGTTAATGTTAATTGCTTCACTTAACTCAGGATAGAAAGAGTATACTCAAGGAAGACTACAACTACTTACATGGGCTGATTTGAAGTCAAACTACCAGCCTGTTAATCTTTTTGAGTAAAGGTAAAACGTACTTTATTTGAAGTGCACTTAAAGCTACCGTGAGGAGTTTCTTAAAGGTCGTGAAACAGACTGAAATGAGCAAGGATGTGTGTCTTTTGATGTACAAAAGTAAATGAGACCATCACACACAGGATTGAAAATCTCCATAATGTAATTACCCATGCCTGTATCTGCTGTAAGGGGGACATACACTGAAAAGAAAACAGTCTTGGTTACTTTTTACTACAGAAAACATTCAGGTTCGGGTCATTTTATTTGCACTTAAAGGTAGATGTTTGGCACTCAGTTTGACGATTGCAAAACAAACGTAACATGGTACATAAAACAAAACAACCATAATAATAAAAAAAAAATACAAAATAGAATAAAATTAGTAAATGGGATGCATGAATATCTAGCACTCAGGTAAATAAATACCCAATCCAATGGAATAAAACAAAGGTAAAAGTAAGTATCAAACAAACAAAATGTGTTAATGAATAAAATGCATCTGTCGTGTGCAAGCACTGTTGCATCTTGTTCAGCTCGGTGATAGCAGCAGAAACAAAACAGTTTTTATGTTTTTGTTTTTTTTTGTTCTACACCTTGGTACTCAGAACTTTCATCCTGACAGAAGAACCTGAAATTCATTGTACAAAAGGTGAAGGTCATTATTTAAAGTGAAATAGTCGTCTCCTGTACCTGTCTGATATACAGGGAGGATCAGCCCACTCCGCCATTGAGATATTTGAGTTAAAGAATGAATTGCCTTTGAAAAAAAGTGACCAAACAATGAGACTAGAGAAGAAGACAGAAGAAACTCAATAAAAGGGTGATTTTAAAGCTCAGTTTCTTATCAGTTATTGTTTCATAGTATTTATAAGTTTGCATACACTTTATGGTCTGGCCTTTCATTGACATGGTGTCCTCCAAACATCAACGAGCATATGTTTTGGAGGTAAGACTCCCTTCACCACTAAACAAGTTGTCAAAAGACCAGGCTGTGGCTGGTTTCATTATCATGCAGCAGACTAACAATAACAGCATAATCTGCATATTTTATAAATAGACCTGTTGGTAAATCTGCTCTGACCTGTTTTTATAGAGAATAAATGATAAAGGTGACAGCACAAACCCCTACAGGAGCCTGTAGAGGAGCTCTTTTGGTTAGACGAGGTAGCATTTACTCTCACTCTCTGTGACTTGTTTGTTAAATTTAAATCAAGGATCCAGCCCGCCAGATAACTGCTCAAATCAAACTGATCAGAAAGCCTTCTGCCTAAAATGTGGAGTTGGATGGTGTTAAAATAGAGAAGAAATCCACAAAGAAAGTCTGGCATGTTCAATACAGTGACTCTAGCATCTCCCACACTGAAGTGAGGCCTGTACGCAAACCGCACAAGATCCAAAGTACCTTAAGTTTGCCTCCAGATCTAAGCAATCGGCCCAGAATCATTTAGAGCTTTAGGATAACTGGATTTTAGAACAATTACAACCACAGCATCTCTCCAGAGGTTGGGCATGTGTTGTGTCTGTAAGGATGTTGCCCCTCAGCACAGGACTTTAGTATGTGACTGACGACAGATATTGTCAGGACCATGGGTCCTGTTCACTTTTACAGAAAGGCGCTTTTACATCCTTAAACTGAATGCTCAAGTGCTGAGTGTCCAGTTCTTGGATGTCCTTGCTAAAATCAAAAGAATCAAAATGACAATAAAAACAATTAGGAGCACTGGCAAGAGCAATATCTGAGTAGCTGAGTGCAAGTCAGAGGCTGAATGCTGTTTTAAAGTAAGTTTTCTTTTTTTTTGTATGCAGGATTTGACAGATTAGTGATGCATGGTTTGGTGTTGTTGGGACAGAATTTTTTTTAACTCACCTTGAGGGAATGATCATATTTACAACTAGAAAGTTGTCAAGACAAAAAAAAGAGATTTTTTTTGTCACCTAACACCATTTTCACAAGGCCTAGATATTATCAGCAAGAATAAAAGGTTACCACTTTGTATACAGGGTCCACCAGAACCCACGCAGACAGAAAGTTCCTCACAGCAGCTTTGAAGTACTGAGCACTTTCATTCAACCAATAATGTTAGTGGGGGAGGACGTAGTTGAATATACTCCCAAGATTATCTGCTGATTCCCAATCTTATGGCTACTTGTATTCACCTAGACAATAGAGCGGTCACAATATCTTTAAATCGGACTGTATGTTGTCACAAATGCAGTTTCACAGTTTCTGAAATGTAGTTCTCGGATGGCAGGACATCCTATAGATGTAAAAGACAGCAAAAAAAATGCAGTTTCAACCATGGCAATGGTCTGGTTGTCCAAAGTGACAAATTCAGTCGCCTTCTCTGTTAACCTTTGTCCTGTTCACTTTCTCAATGATATTTATTCTTCTTTTTAAACTCCTTTTTTAGTCTCTTGAAGACGTTTGTTGCTTCAGTACAGCAGCCTTTCCTCTCTTGCTCTGGTGAATGTTCTCCATTAAATATTTAGTTCTTGGATGTCATATCCAATTGTCAGTATTGAATACAGCTTTACTGATACTGCCACTGATACTGAAGATGGTATTGCACTTCATGCAAGTGGCGGTTGGACTGTTTGCACTTTCTAGTTGAAAATATTTCAACACCTCAGACATTTTAGCCGCAGGATTGTTAATGCAGAGTCGCGTGCACATTTGCATTCTGCCACAAATTTTGCTCAGTGAACGACAGCTGGTGTAAATGATCGGGGTGAGAGGATCAGCTCAAATTGCCAATCCCCCATCTGTTAAACATGCCCTGATTGGCTCCAGTCTGATAGTTAAGATTGAAAACAGCATCATTTGTCAGAATTGCACATTTTAGAGGATTCATCCACACTTAACCTATAACCGGCTGAGCAGAGAGGCTGTTTGTAAGCCCAAATTCAAGAGATTCATTAGTTTTTATGAAGGGGGGAAAAGAGCTTTCATATATATTCTTATTAAGGATGTTCTGGCTTGAAATATTTAAAATCAAGAGTTATATTTGGACCTGTCAGGTAAAGGTAGCTTGAATTAGTGTAATGAGATAGCTTAACCATAAATAAGACAGTACTTGACAAGATTCAAGTTGGTTGCAGTGTAGACACCATCGAAGCAGCTGTCTGTTAGTCAATGGAAAAGCTCGTGTTTTAAGCCATTTTGTCACAGATGTAACATACAATACTTTACAGAGAAAATAAACAAGTGAAAAGTTCAAGACAAAAGTAGAAATACCCAAAAAGCTACTCAGTTGCAGTAACCTAAGTGAATTCCATTTGTGTCTTCTTACCACCGGTAGTATGTATTAATACCAGACTTACCCACTGATTACGATTATACTATAAATTGCAAGAGAGTCATAATGACACACCAGGAGTTCCCCTTCGCTGATGAGCCAAAACACTACCTCACAGATGAAGTGAAGATGAATATTATCATTATTACTCATGGGCCAATTTGAAGGAGGGCCCATTCAGGGAGTTGTATTGTTAACTTTTTTTATTCAGTAACTGTATCACAGGACTATGAAGGGCAATGTGTTGCTTTATATATATATTTTTTCATCGTAGCTACAAATTAGTTTTATCTGGTCCTGTTATTGTTGATGTAGTTATTCATTTTTATCCACTATCACCTGCTTTGTTGCCCTCTATCTCAGCATGAAGTGCAACACAATCACAGCAGATCATTGTCCACCATTTCCCTCAAGCTTTCTAAAAGAGAAACTTCTCCTGCCACAGTGCCACTGTTTCCTGTCAAATGTGTCCAGCTGTTTGCTCATGGCAGATTTATGTTGGGTCTTTGTAAATAGTACAACAAAAGGGGCAGTTTACTTTAACTCTTTCTGTGAAGTGTCTCGTGATACTGTTTATTATGAACTGGCTTTATGCCAATAAAAATTGACTGATTGATTTTCAGGTGTCTGGACTGGCCAGGACTGCACTGTTGGGAAGCACCTCCATTGTTTGTTGTTAAATGTGACAGACAACAGCAACACATCCAGCCTCACTATGGGTCAGGACAGGGGGAAGTATGATTTCTACATTGGCCTGGGGTTGGCCATCAGCTCCAGCATCTTCATCGGAGGCAGCTTTATCCTCAAGAAGAAAGGTCTGCTGAGGCTGGCCAGGAAGGGGTCGATGCGAGCAGGTACTGACTTTCCCTGAGCATTCGCTGCTCTTCAACAAACAATCCAACTTTGAGGCACTCCCTGTATTCTTGCTGAGCACCGAGAGTTGATGAAGTAGTTAAACCTGTGGGGACGGCCCCTTGTCATACCTGGTCACACCACATTTCAGGCTCACTTGGTTTTGCACAACTCTGCAGGGTGTGTTTGTGTTTTTTACATGTGTGAGTCATGAATCATCAGTAATCATTAACTTGACCAGATCACAAAAGCTGCTCCAGTCCACCTGCAGAACATGTCCTCTCCAGCTTCAGTATATTTGAACATGTTATTTGAATAAGTGAAAACAGGTGCATTAATTTTTAATCTTTGTTTGCAGGCCAGGGTGGTCACGCCTATCTAAAAGAATGGCTGTGGTGGGCTGGTCTCTTGTCAAGTAAGTAGTTGTGAAAATGTAATTTGTTATACCTCCCAACACTTTCTTTGACCTGCTATTACCTAACCAGTGTCTTTGTACTTACTGTTGTTGCAACACAGCCAAAGCTCAGGAAGTATCTCTGTGTTTCAGTCCTTGTCCTTTATTTCAACATAGAAGTTTTTCTTTTACATGTGCTGAAAACCTAAAGAGGGATTTCTGTGTCTGTAGACCTGGACCCAGACTCCATGAACAAAAGCAGTAATTAACCTTGCAGAGCACAGGAGTTACTGATTCACTAATGCCTGAACCTGCGAGTTTATTGGTGTTTTTGTGTGACTTTGTTGTCCAAAAGGGTAAGGTCAAAACTAACACAGCAAAGTCATACAAACAAACTGACTGGTTAATACGGCTGTGGAACCGCAACTGCAAGTGGCAACCTTCAGGTGTAAAAAAAAAAATTAAGGCCATGCAGAGGCACAAAGAACTGCAGTACCGAGAGTGTCCACTGAAGGCTGGCTGCTAAAGCTAAGGAATCCCCATGAGGTGCCATGTCCATTTTACAGCAAAAGTGAAGATGTTAAGAGCCTGGTACAAAAACAGTTGAGGGCGTGCAGGTCATTTATTAATCCACACAATCTGTAGGAGAGGGGTGAGTTATCTTACAATTGATCAGTTCTGTGAAGAGCATGTATTTGTGTCAATTTTGGCTCCCCCTGTGGTCAAAGTGGTAACATCTTACTACTTTTTAGGTCATGTTTATCAACCAAAAAATCATTCTGCTGTGGTATTCAACAGTCATACCTATTATTCACTGTGAATATTTTCTGTGAAAAAAGTAAGATTAGGCGTCTTCTTCAGGGAGCTGCCTATTGCCTTGTCTGGCACCAAACCCCTCACAGTGTTTTCAGGTATTAGATATCAAAATCTATAAAATGTCAGCCTTTGAGCTGATGGTCTCATTTTTGTATAAACAAGACCAGTGGATAAAGCAGGAAACAGGTTAGAGAGAGAGGAATGAGAGCGAGAGAGAGTGAACAAGGAGTGACACATGGGAAAGTGGTTGCAGGCTACAATCAACCCAGGTCATCTACATACATGGATCCTCCTTTTCGTTCAACCTAACCTCCTCCTCCTGGGCTGAGCTTCTCAAGAGGACCACCAGGCCAGTAGTGCCCCTATTTTCGTTAGCTGTGCGTCGATACAATAAAACCCCTCAGATGGCTGTAAAAGGATTTAAATGCTAGAAGTTGGAAACATAAACTAATGTGGGGCATGGCTGAGTTGACCGACAGTCAAAAAAGAGAGACTATACTCATGAGCGACTCCCATGTGTTGTAAATGACCCTCTTTGGTAATGAGGTTTGTTGGCCTTATGGAAGATTTGTAAGTGATCTATGCTTTTAAAAAGTTCACACCTCACTCTGCTGGCCTAACAGTCTTGGTGTGTTTCCCATATACAGGAGTTAAGCCACAGGCAGGTGGCCCATGGCCACAGTGTCCTGTGGCTTCAGTACTGCTTGTCGCTCCCCATTCCCTCCTCTTTCCACTGTCCTGTCCTCTCCAATTTGAGGGAAAAGCCTGAAAATAAATATTTAAATAAAAGCTCTGACCAAGACAAAAAGTTTTTCTCTTGCAGAGATTTTTTCTCTGAGGTTGTTAGACACTTGGTTATTGATCTGAGCTTCAGAGGCAGACCACAGATTTTAACTCTCACTTGGAGCACACATGCATGCTTTTTGTATGGTTATGTTGCAGCTTTCATGGCCCATACTGTAACTGCTGGCTTAAACAATCTCCAAACTTTTCCTCCTTGGGCTTTTTCTGCTTTTATTAGATGGAAAAACTAAACTGAGGTATTCAAAATGGGGAGAAAATGTGTAAGTGGTCTAAGCTAGCAGTCAGACATACTGCCAATGCTTGAAAAGATATGGCCTCTGAATGCAGGGTGCCTACTCTGCTCACTGACTTTAATCAGCGTCCTGCTTTCTCCAGACTTTTTGTACATAAGAATCATTTAGATTTTCAAGTTTGCACAAATGATATGAAATGAAGATATTTCTGCAACTGTTTTTAAATATTATTTTTATTGTCTTTCAGTGGGAGCAGGGGAAGCAGCAAACTTCGCAGCCTATGCCTTTGCTCCTGCGACTCTGGTCACCCCGCTGGGAGCCCTCAGTGTGCTCGTCAGGTATAAATGACTCATTGTGTGACTGGGAGAGACTTAAACCTGATCCAAACTGACCTTTAGTCTCAAGTATTTGTAAATAGATTTGTAGAGTGGAGTCACTGTGGCTGACCTTCACTTTCATTGCAGTGCGGTGCTGTCATCATACTTCTTGACAGAGCGGTTAAACCTGCATGGGAAGCTTGGCTGCTTGCTCAGCATCCTGGGCTCTACCACCATGGTAATTCACGCTCCAAAAGAGGAAGAGATCAGCAGTCTTGAAGACATGGCCAAGAAGCTGGTGGACCCAGGTACAGAACAAAGAATGTTATAGATGTCTTTTGTTTTTAAGGTTTGCCTCTTATTCCTGCCCATTGTCATATGTTTTATGTGAGTGGTAAAGAAAATAAATAGAGCATAGCTATACTCCTGAATAACGATAAGCTGTCTAATAGAAGTTCTGAGGAAGGATCTTAATTTAACAAATGTTTGTAGTACATTCATGACAAAATCTTTGGACATTTGGACTTGGTGTGGATAACACTGACTGTCTTTATTCAACAGAAACAGTAACAACAGCTTGTGATCTTTTTTTTTTTTTTTCTTCTTGTTGCCACACCTAAATCTCAACAAAAAGCTGTCTGTGGGAAAGCGGATGTCTTCTGAGCAAGATAAAAATAAAAAAAAGTGAAGACAAACATGGCAGTGAAAGTTGACACCTACTCTCCTCCAGACATGAGGAAATAACTAACAGATTAGTAGTAGGATAACATGAGTTGTATGGACAATAAAAGCAGCTCTGTCATTGGGTGTGTTTTATGGTAGGGAGCTTTTAGAGACACTGATATTTAACATTAAACCGCTTTAGTGTTTTTATCAGTGAGAATAATTAAAAGTTTGGTTTGAGGCAGAGGAGATGTCAGCCGTCAACAAGTTCTTAAAACCTTAAACACTGAAAGAGTCCCAAAGTTGAGATGATGTTAGATGCAGGTTTTTATGGGTGAGATTTTTAGCTCTTTTTCAGAGATGAGGTTAAGTGAGAATGACATGAAAAGGGTCTTTGGTCATAATAAGCCTGGGCTAGCCGCTCTGAGGACTACAGTCTCTGTACTGGAGTATACGATTTAATCCCTGAGCCAGACTGGCACCCTTGAGACAGTGATTTCTTGTGTAATTCCTTAGGGATGCACCTCAGCTGAGCATCAGTGTTGGGTAATATGTACTGACAGAAACAGGCACATAAACAATTTGCTGATAACAGAGTCCAGGTTTATCTGCTGTGTTGTATCAATTTGACTCTGGTGAGCTAGACATTATAGCTCATTTAAAATGGCACACAGAGTATTGCAAATGCATTAAAAACATGTGCAATTGACCAGTGGAGAAATTGTTATTTTTAAATGAGGTTTTAGGCATGACTACTTTTATTAGACAGGCCAGCAGAAGAGAGATGGGAAACATAGGGAGCAGAAAGTGATGAGGACTTCACAGGGGTCAAGAGCCAGAAACCAAACCAGCAATCACATTAACAATGACCATAGCCCCCACACATCTGAGGCCCCCTGATGGAAAGGCCATCATTGCCCCAATAAAGTTATTTTAAGCAAATCAATCAATCTTTATTTATTCAACTGCTGCCAAAGATTATTTAGGTAAGATGAGACCTGTTTCAATCCACCATGAACAGAGCACTTGGCAGCATTATTAAGTAACAGTGGCAAGAAAGAATTTGATTAAACAGGCAGAAACCTCAAGTCATGTTGAACATCCATCTGCTGCAACCATCTGAGGACTGGAACCATAGATATCTGTATTGATCCTGATTTACACAACCACTTAATCTCTTATAGGACTTGTAATGACAGTTTTGGTTTTGATTCAGTTTTTAAATACACTGATAGAAATCTTCAGTGCATTTGTAGATACCTTATTTGTTGGGGGCCAGTTTATCCCTTCACTTCTTTAACCGATGCCCTTGTTAGGCTGCCTCGACTTGACTCAAAGCCCCAAATTTACCGTCTCTCTTAATGTAAGGGATCAAATCAGACCAAAAGATCACTTAAAGAGGAAAAAATAGAAGCTATTCCCAATCTTCAGGCATCAGTCACTTTTAAAATGCTGCTAAAACTGACAGCATTATACAGCAGTGTAAATGTTAATGTTGATCAGCATAGAAAACATGAAACTAATAGCTTCTTATTAAAACACACAGGCTTGTTTTGCTTTGTCGTAACATTGTTATTAATTTTTTTGTTTCCTATTGATGTTTAGTCAAATCCTCTCTCTGTCTCCCTTTCAGGGTTTTTTGTTTTTGCCACCATCGTCATCATCGTGGCTCTCATCTTCATCTTTGTGGTGGGTCCCCGCCACGGTCAGACCAACATCCTTGTCTACATCACCATCTGCTCAGTGATCGGGGCGCTCTCAGTGTCCTGTGTCAAAGGACTGGGTATCGCTATCAAGGAGGCCATAGCTGGGAAAAGCGTGGTGAGGAACCCCCTGGCGTGGATCTTACTGTTGGGTCTTGTTGCCTGTGTGAGCACACAGATCAACTACCTGAACAAAGCTCTGGACATTTTCAACACCTCACTGGTGACTCCAATCTACTACGTGTTCTTCACCACATCTGTGCTCACCTGCTCCGCCATCCTCTTCAAGGAGTGGGGTCACATGGGTCCAGATGATGTGATCGGCACCCTCAGCGGTTTCCTTACAATCATCGTGGGGATCTTCCTGCTCCATGCCTTCAAAGACGTTAGCGTAAGTCTAGCCACTCTGGCTGTGTCTATTAGGAAGGAGGAACGAGCAGCCAACGGTTCAGCGCCTCACAGCACGTATGAACTGATTCACAACGAATCCACAGAGGACATTGAGGACAGAGAGATGGGTTTGCCTTTTGATAGCGTCTCCAGAAGAAACGGGGCGATGACCTCCTCCCTGGACCATTAAGAGACTCTGAAAGTGACTCACTTACCATGGCATAGTTGTGGTGTTTGAAAACAATAAGACAATCAGCTGTGTGGGGACTGGGACAGACCAGTGGATTGTATTTATTGTTTTAATTTGCCTTACTTTTCTCCGAATATGACCCGGTCATATCCAGTTACGGTAGAACTTAATTTCATTCCTCTGTAGCGCTGTAAATATGAGTTTTTTAAAAACGGTTTTGTTATATGTACATGCATATCCATGCACTGACTTCCTTTCTATAAATCAAAAAGGTTTTAATATATATTCTCTATCAAGTCCTGCTGACAATGAAGACATTTAAAAAAGGACGGTCACTATGATTTTGAGTTTTTCGTGATACTTGAAAGTAACAATTTCTTTGGAGGAACTTTTTTTTGTAGTGTTTACATAAAAAGCTCTTCAGACAAACCAACAGATTTGTTACATATTTATTGAATTAAAATGATTAAAACATTTGAAACACAAGGCACAGTGAATAAATGCTTAACATGACTATGTTACTTTTCAGTTTCCTTTAAAATGTTGAGCATGCATGTTCAAAAATATAGAAAGTACAAATTTGCCTCCACCCACACTGAAAATATGTTGCTGTTCACCCTTACTGTTCCACCACTGCAAACCCTTAAATACTCATCTGATAAAACTAATTTCCCCTCTATGCTCTATAGCTGTGAGTATAAAACAAATATCCAAAAAGGTCTATTCAGTTCTGATAAGGCACAAGTGAATACAAAAAAAAAGTTGACAAAAAAGTGGCCCAACTTCTGCACATTTAATGGTCCTCTGCTTGTAAAGACCTGGAGTAGATGGGTAGGAATATTCTAGTGTGGTAATGCTGACAGTGTTTGGAACGTCACTCTGGTCCACGGTGGTGACTTGGATCGCAGCCCCTCAGCTGCTGGCGAGCGACTGGTGTATGGGAGGCTGGAAGCATCGGACATGTTCGACCGGCATGTTCTCTCCGTCTCCAGACTTCAGGTACTTGTTCAGGATGGCAAAGATCTCGTTGTTGAGGACCTGGAATTTACGGATTCTGTCGACCATCTTCTTCAGAGGCTAAGTGAGGAAAGGATACAAAAATTGAGAACTTTTGACTGAAGAAAAATCTTGAATGTCTATCTTTTAAGGAGCAGTGTTTACAAAAGTAGTGGCAACTTGAGGTGTGGGATTAAATTTGTTGTCTTAAGCGAGCAACATGTTTAACAGGACAAAATAAGGCCTTAATTTTTCTCTTTTGATTGATGAACTTTTGCCATGACAAAGTTTCAGGTATTTAGCAGAAAGAAAAAAATGTCAAATGGACACGAGGCCATGAGGGTGGAATCAAACTCATTCAGTAGACATACTGCACAAGATGCACACCAAAGTCATGAAACATCTTAACCCTTGCCTTAAAAAAAATGCACGATTCAAGTACAGCCAATATTTTTGTGAGATGCTAGAGAAGAAAAATAACATGTTATTTCCTCAGTCCATCATAATAATCAATCAACATCTACAGACAGAAAGTGGATTTCTGTTTTAAGATTTATAAAAGCCCATCAAGGTTTTCTAGGGAGAAAAAGTCTGTGCGAGTTCTAGTTTGTAGAGGACCAAATGATACACGTTCAGATCTTTAATGTGTCAGAAAACAGTAATTTTGATATCTATAAAAGAAAACATTGTTTTGTCATTCAAGAGGGGAAGCAGTTGTGGTTTGCAGCGGCTTCTCTCCAAGTTCATTTCACAGCAGTCTGTGAAATCTGCTTCAAAAAAAGATGTAATTGTCAAATATTTCCTTTTTCATACAAAGATTTTGAATGAATGGGCTGTGTGATGTTTACTAGAAGGCTCACTGACACTGATTCCCCACAGAGGGAGGCAACTGACTTCACATGTGCAGGTTCTTTGGCTGTGCAGTTTTGGCCACAGGCCTGAGAATGATGAGTGCTGGACTTGAATGTAGCTCCAGTGAAACTGAATCCAACTCTACTTGTACTTATAAAAGCTGCATTTCAGCTTTTCCTTGGTGCTTGTGATGAGCCACTCACATTTACGATCATTTTTGTCAGTGTATATAGAATGTGTCTTGAAAATTAAGAGAGGTTGATAAAGTTAGCCTCAGCTATCAAGTACTGAACTTATAATTCATCTGTTAAATCAATTTATGCAGTACTTATTAGGGCTGTCCCGATACGATATTGATATCAGCAAAAAACAAATATCAGATTATATCAGCCTGCATCTAAAATCTCAGATTTCAGCACTCCGATACAAGCAGTCCATTCCAGACTCCACTCTATCTAGCAGCACCCGGATACAGCATGCAGAGCCCACATGATCACAACAACAGTGTGTACTAATAAGGTACTATCAAAGTAGCAAGGAGTAGGAGTGATGTCGGCTGTGTTGAAGTATTTTTCATTCAAGTCTGAAAAAGACATTGCAGCTGAGTGCAAAACTTGTCATGCACAAGTTTGTGCCAATATCCGTATCAGCCAATATTGAAGGCTACAATATCGGTATCGTATCGGAAGTAAAAAAGTTGTATTGGGACACGCCTTGAGCTTATTCTTTAAAAACACCTTTTAGAGTAAAGTTCAAGTGTAAAACGAAGCAAAGAGACATCGCATTTAAAGTGAGGATGTTTGTCAACTCACCACACTCTTGATGACCTCATCCTTGCCGTCATGTTTCTGCACCTTGAGGAGATGGTAGCTGAAGTCAAGGATGTCAAAGCGTCTGTGTTGTCCCAGGAGAGCGATGATCATGCATCCGGCCCAATGCAGCCCGTCCCCGAAGCACTGCCTGAAACACAGGAACGTGGCGTGTGAGTTATGATGCAGCGCTTTAAATCACACAGACGCTGTGAGAGGATGAGTGGATCACTGGCACTCACTCCACTGTGAACTCATGAGCTCCCACAGGGATGCAGTAGACAAACTGCATGGCACTCCAGAGACGGTGGAACTCCACACACTCGTCCACGTGCATCACGCCATTGCTGGGCAGTGGGCCACGCCAGATGGGGTCATCCAGGAAGCCTCGCACGCGGGTGAGGATGACCTCGAACATGGACAGACCGCAGCACAGCCTCTCTTTGGTCAGCAGGTCGCCCTCACGAGCAATGGCGATTTGCTGAAAGAAAAAACCTTATGTTTTTACTTCTACAATATTTCCACAAAAATGATCCTGCAGGGAGGAAGATTATGAAAGTTTCCTGATGCAGAAACTCTCAGCCTGGCCGTACCTGTGGGGTGCCGAGGCGCTCTATCAAGGGAACCATGTGCAGTGCGGTGTATTTGGCCTCCAAACGCTTCATCTTGGCATCGAGGCGTTCCCCCTCTGCACGCAGACAGGAAAGCATAATGATCAATAAATTGATACAAAAGATATAAATGAATTTAATATCATAATGATAATTCAATTTTTTTTTAAAGATTGATCTTTTTACTATTTTTAAGATTATTTTCATTTTTTTTCCCTAAATTTGGAGTAGTGAGAATAGACCTGCAGCAGCTCTGATGTTACGTGAGACTGAGTGCTTGGATCTTTCACTCTAAATTAGTTGAGCTGATTGTGAGTAGTTCATTAACAGCAGACTGACCCCTAAACTCAAAACAACAATAAGACCCCTCTCCTTTTTTAACACTTACCTTTGACGTGGACTCTCGGCAGAATATTCTGGAAAGGAGCCGCATGGAGTAAATCACAGACCTCCTCCTGTGACTGAAGCAGGGAGACAGCAGAACACTGACATGTCAGTAAATGATGTCTGATAAGGTGTGAGAGTAAAATTTGAATCACTCCACAAATGATTCATTTTTTTGGACTGAGATCTGTACCAGACTCTGCTCGCTCAGCAGACAGAACAGCATGGCGTTGCCCACTTCTCTCAGATTCTGGAAGCAAACCGTCTTCAGTTCAGCGTACTCCACGATGTCCTTCAGCTGGTGGTGGAAGAACTCCAGGATACCTGAGAAATCAACACACAGTCAATACTTCTTCTTATAACACCTTTTTTTTTTAAATCAGTCAAACTTTTACAATTGCATTTAACTGAACATAGCAAATACAGACATGAGTCATACAGCCGACATGATCTAAACATCATGGCTGTTTGTATTCGATCTTTACACCCTTCTGCAAAACATGCATCCTTCTTTTTATATGTTGTTCTTTCTCATGGATATTTATTGACATCTTATTTGCTTGAACAGATGTTGATTTGAATAACAATCACACTAATGTCCCTTACAGTCTCTAGCTTGAACTTGAGTTTTAAAAACGCTCATTGTAAGCAGTTAAAGTTTGGTTATTCAAACAGCAAAGTTTCCTCCTGACTCACAGCAAACACAAAATTTTGTGATGATGAACTCTTCAGTTTTCAGAGTATTTGGTTCTTAGTGAAGGCAATATTCCTTTAGGTATCATACGAACTGTATGAGCTTTGGTGTAGATGTCAGAGGCTTGGTGCCTTAAGGCATTTACCTTTTTTATCATTTCAACATAAATGACAGGTTATGAAAAGATAATTTGATACTGAAATTAATGTCTGACCATTGCTTCGGGAAGTTAAAACATATACAGAAACACATACTTTCTGTTTTTTGTTATATTTCAATGAGGCCATGTTATGATGATTTTATCTTTGGGTCAACACAGGCTGGTTTTAGTTTGGTCCACAGATCGAGCTCATGGTTACCTGGTGAGCCATACTCATGACGAGGGAGTCTGCAGATTTTAGGCATCACCTCCATCAGGGTCTTCACGTACTGCATGATGGTTCCCTGAAGCTGTACAAGAAAAGGTGCGCAGATATAGTCAGTGAGGAGGGACCTATCAAAACCAGAAATACATAGAAACCTCATCAAACTGCCTGGTTTTGGGGTTTGTGTTTTCTCACCAGGCTCTTGACGACCTTCAGCAGCTCCTCCATGACCACAGCAATGCCCTGGTAGCCCAGAAGTCTGCACATGACCTTGATGTGTGGGGGACCCACAAAGTTCCGGTAGGAGCCAAATATGCTGCTGTACGCCAAGTTCAGGGTCTGGATTTAAAGGAAAGACAGGTGATGTTGAAAAAAACGGCATGATAGTACCCTATATAAGGTATTTTAACACTTGAAGAAGACTAAAATGTTTCTTCAAACATCGCTCATGAGACATTGAGGAGGAATACTTGAAAGATGAATGTGAATCAGTTATTCTATCAAAAGCACTATTTACTGAAGGACTGAGCTCATGTAGTCATTTTGGCAGTGACATAAAGGTCTGCATATCTTTGCTGGAGTAAACAACAAATCCACTTTCATGGGCCCATCACCGCTTTCTACATGGAAATGTTGGAGCCCCCTGGAGCTACAGTACCCATTAAAATAAAGTATTTGCATCGTTCAAGACGGGACAATCTAACAAAAAGAAATCGAGAGTCACTGAAGATGTTTAAAAATGCTGCTCAAAGGAGGAGGGATGAATGCTCATAAAAATTCAAGTGTGTCTTTACGTGGACTGCTACTCAGCCGGTGTATAACTATATCAGACACAGGTGGAACAAGAGGATATACGATGAAAGTTATAATGAAGGGAAACATTAGGACACTTCCTCTGGGGACCATGAGGTTGGATGCAGAGAGATTTTGTTGCTGAACAGATGGAATAAATCTCCCCTCCCCCTCCAATATCCTGTAGTAATACAAGAATCCATAGCATGAACAAAAGTTAAAGCCTCAAATGAGCAAGTAGATATCACTCCAGTGTCTGTGGTAAAACACGGAAGGAAAGAAAATGGGAACAAAATCAGAGCAGCAACATGTCCCTCTGTCAAAAATTCGACTTTTTATCAGGATGTTGGATTGTTTTTATTCTAACATCAGTTGCAAGAGATTTTAGCCCCCTCTCCCCCCCTGATGGCACAGATTTGAAGCTGCTGCTGCTGCTACTTTAATCCAGCATCACTCTCTTATGTGGCAGCAGCAGAGAGGAGGTCAGAGAGATCTCTGGTCCTCTGCAGAGCCTGCAGCCCTTAGTCATTTTAGCCTTTATTCCTTCACACTAAGTAGCAGGACCTGAGGACTGTCTTTCTAAACCAAAATCAGGACAAACCAACAAATTCAACAGATGCTGGTGAGTCTTCTCTTTCTTCTTTTTCTTTTTTTTTTCCATGACCATGACTCATTTCATCATTTCCACACAGACTTGGATCATTTTAAACATGATTGAGTATATTTACTACTAAGTCTTATTAGCAAAAACAACCATCCCCATGATTTGTTTAATCAAAGTCTGATTTATATGTCATTTTTACAAAGAAAATCGTAGCACAAGATTACAGCTGAAATATGGATCACAGTGACACCAACTCTGCTCAAGCTCTAATCACTCATTTTCCTTGCTTTACTTATTTTCTTTCATCACATAATTATGACACTTTTAAGGTTTGATGTTTGATGACCAGTTCAATTTAACTGCTAAAGACTCATAAAAACTGCTAGACTGTGCAGGTTAACATGACTGTATTCATACAAAATGAAGGAGCATTTGTAATACAGAGATTATGATTGTTTTATATGTTAACTGAAAATTACAAATAAAGAGTTTAGATAAATGACAGAGTGTAGTCTAGAACAGTTTTCTTTATGAAGTGTCATGATGAAACCTTTTCTGTGATGTGGCAGTAAGTGAACTCACAGATGATTGATTGAGTCATTGTTTTAAAAGTCTCAAATTCATGTTCTAATTTTGGTATTGCATAAGCAAATGAAACACACTTACATAAAAAAAAAAAAGTTAATTCAACTGGCCTCATTGTTTGAGCCTTAAAGGTGGGGTTTAAAGTGCTTATGGTCTTTAGACCACCACCTGTTCTCACCCAGGTGACTCCACAACACAGATTAGCTTCAGATGGGATTGTGTTTTATGTTATTTACTTCACATCTGTGCACCACTCACCTCCAACCCATCATGGTACTCCTTCACATAATCCTTTGTACAATGCTTTGCATTTTTTTTGTGTGTGTGTTGCAGCTCTTCTTATCATCTTATCAGAAGATTTGGGGTCTGACATTAACTCAATTTTAGAAGTAAGTTGTATCTCTTTTTTTATCAAAATTTTTGCAAATGTAAAAGAAAAAGTGCTTCAAACAAAGCTGTCTGTAATCATGGTTAAGGGTTTTTACAACATCAGATAGTCTGTTATGTTTTTGTACATGCAGATTTACAAACAAAATGTTCGATTTTTTCGAATGTTTCACTGCAAGTCTTTCTTCTCTCTCTCTTTTTCAGTTTGGTTCAATACTGCTGGTCTGAAATAACTGAGGAAATACCTCACTCTGATCTTGGTTTTGGATGCAGACAGACCACAGAGCATCATGGGAATCACGGTCTATAACATCTCCTCCACTACAGCCAAAGTGAACTGGCCGCCATCGCCCACCTGCTTGGACACCTTCTACAGCGTCATGTACCACCCCAACTGGAACAGCCTTGTAATGAGTTTTAAACGCAAGAGCTTCATGCATGAGGATCGAATCCCTGTCAGCCAGACCAGCACACATGTGGCCAACCTCCTCCCTCAGACCGCCTACTTTCTTTGTGTGACATGTCAGGCGGCCAATCCAGTGCAGGACCAGTGCCAGGCATTCAACACTCTGAGTGAGAGCAGTGAGAGTCATGACAGAGCCGGCTGGGAGTTTGCGGTGAGCGTGTGGTTGACCTGCTGCATCTTACTGCTGGTCATCGCTGGTATCCTGATGTGGGGGTGTCTACACAACATCTGCCCCTTCCCAGGACAGGGTGCAGGCGGCTGCAATTTCATTACCAACTCAAACCACCAAGACATGTCCGGGTCAGGACAGTTCTACACACACAGACGCAGCAGCACTGACAGCTCCAAACACGCCGCCAACATACAGCGCCCCCTCCTCTCCACGCTGAGAGGCAGCCACATAATTACCCAGGACCATGAGCTGAGAACGCTCGCTAAGCTGTCAGGCAGCGAGCCAGTATGAATCATCTGGATTAAGGTCATCACAGCATTGTTTTGCACGGACAGAAATGCCACCAAGGACTATTATCCACTAATGAAATCCTACCGAGCTCAGGGGGGGTGACACAGAGGAAAAAATCAATTCTCGATTTAATAATTTGTGCTCTCAGTGTGATACAGTTTTAGCCTGATAAAGCCGATTTACCAGATAAAAACGGATTTTTTTCTTCTCTCTAACGGCTCTGGGGCCCTGTCCTGTTTGTGTTTAGGAGGAGAAAACAGGAATGATACCAGCACTTTATGGGTTTTAACCAATAAAGGAATTAAATTTCAATAACTGCATCAATGTCTAATGAACATCCACTTATACAGAAGCTTGCAGTATGCACCTTTAAAATATACAAACTTACCATGATCTACAAACAACCTAATTTAAGTCAGCTTTCTTTTTTACGCTCTTGAAAAATGTGAATCCATCTGTTCTAAGATGTCTTTTTTCAGGTGGACAGAGGCATTGTGAAGGGAATGACACACAGCAAAAGGCCAAAGTAGAACAAACAGCTTGGCAATGCGATCAGGACTCAGAAACCAAATTCGAGAAAAACTGAAGCTTTCGCTGGAAACAGTAAAGCCGTACTGTGTTTTAAAGTTTTGGGTGATACGTGCAACCCTTTAACACCAACTTATACACATAGTTTCATCTCTTAAATGTGCTTATGCCATATAAATGTTTTTTTTTTTCATGCAAAAATGCTTAAATGTTTCCAATACTTCAGCACCAAGTTGGACCATCTCCCACACAGAAGATTTTTATACTTGAAATCTGCAGATGAAATATTTCAAACATGTTTGACTCCAACTATTTTTCACATGTTTTTTGGCTAAAATTTCTGTTTAATGATAGTTGCAACGATTGAATTTTTCCTTGGGGATAAATAAAGTTCTTCTTACGTGGACTCATGAGAGATCATACAGACCAGTCAGAGAAAAAAATAAATTAATAGAAGTATATTGTACATATAGACCAAAGATAAAAGTTAGAGGACCAGGCTGTTTTTATGACTCAAGATGACAAAGAGGAGCTGGATCTGACCTTTGACCCGTACAGGTACTGGGGCTGAGCGTTGGGTGGTTTGTCCCTCTGGAACTCCTGAGAGAAAGGCAGGACGGTGCGCACGAACCTGAAGACACAAAAAAACAAAATCCACAAACATGTAGAGCTGATATCATCAACATTAAGATTATTACACATTGGATGGAAGAGGGAGGTCTGTATGGGCTGATACCCACAATGCAGCTGGACAGAAACAATGAGAGTTATAATGAAACACTTCAGGTTTGTTCAGCAGCTTCCAACTTATTCTTGGTTGTTTGCAGTTTTCAAAGAAGCTGCTGATCTTATTTCTAAAGACCCCATCCACTGACTTTCTCCTTCCATGCACAGATTAAAATGTTTCTCCTCTGGAATGTGGTGCATATGAAATAATAGTCAGCTTCAATCAGGGTTCATGTGGATCTATAAGAGCACTGTATAAGAAGCTTAAGAGTTATTTTCTGCTCTGGTCCACCCTGAACACTGCGACTTTACAGTATTTCAACTTTTAATCTTCTGAACATCATAATCTCCACAAAGAGCAATCTGCACATGGATGTAGACAGAGGGGGAGAAGATTTTTGTAGGAAGCATTTGTAGTTTTAACCACTCTAGTTTAAAAGCTGAAATCAGTACATGTTGAGAGCAAGACAAGTGGGATGCATTAGCTGAAAAATAAATCCAGATCATCGTACGACAATCTAGCTTTTGATTCATCTTTATGAACAGAAATCCTCAAAGGAGTCCAATCCTGACATTACCGTCCTGTCCTAGCTCCATTTTCATATAACCAGTTAGAAGTAAGATCAAAACAATGACGTGATTTTCCTTTTACTAATATCTGCCAGCTAACTGGAGGCCCCTAAAAGCTGTCCATCCTCCATGGATGATAATCATCATCCAGCAGCTGACGGAGTACAAACTCAGGAGTCATTTAGTGAGCAAAAAAGCTAAAAGCCGACTGTTTCCACCTTTTACACGTGACCATCTGCCTGTCTCATTCTTCTTCAATGGTACTAAGCTTTAAGGGATGGTTCAGGTTAAATAAAATGGGGTACTATTAAACAGTAAATGTGCTACACGCAGCCTAGTATCAGACAGCACAGCGCTTAATTGAGGGTAACAGCTGCAGTTCCTCCTCTTAAGTAAAGTCATGTATTGCTGCAGATGAGGTTACTGAACATGAAAACTTTGGACAAAAAAAAAGTCCTACATTAAAATCAGCATTTCAGTTCAGGCGTATACTTTTTTATGGACATTTTTTTTTGTTTCTAGTTTTCTAAACCAAAGAACACAGAGGACTAATTTAAGACTAACAAGAGAGATCTGACAACAGAGAGCTGGTGGATGACCGGTAAATTGTTGCATTCATTAAGTGCTGGCTGTTAGAGACAGTAAGGTTCAGTACTGCTCTTTAGAAAGAATCCAGCTGGATAATTTCACATTTTTTCCCCCATCCACTTCAGCTGAGCTACACTGGACTTGTAGCTTAGCCTCTGTATAGAAACTCTGGTTTGCCTCTTCAAGTAAGCACTGCACATATTCACCAAAGTATACTTCACTTCTACTGAGAGTATTTTAAACATTCAAACAAATAATGAAGTATTTACAGTATTCAAATAGGAACTAGAGAGGACCTTAATAGTTGGTGGAGTCATACATAATCTGCTGCCTTTGGGGTTATAAACTAAATCAAGTTTTTGCAGTTCAGCAGTATTTATCTTTTTGGATCTTCAAAAAGCAAGTCAACTTCTCTAAAAAAAAAAAATAAATAATGATTCCAATCCAAACTACTTATCCCTTGTTACCACACCTAATAAGTCAGCGTTTGGGTACAGGAAGGATGGACTTAGAAGGAGTCCATCCTTCCTGAGTAAATATCATCCTGCACTTTAGATGTAGATATATTATGTGGGCATTTGAACCACATAGATACATTGTGCAAATCTTTTTGACAAGATTAGAGTGTCTTCTTAAGGTGTGAACTAATTTGCAAATAAAACAAATGATAAGTATTTAACTGATTTGCTCTTAATCCATTTTCATTTGTCTCTGATGTACACTCACCTTTCATCCAGCTGATCCAAACTGCAGATTCTTGTATTCATGCTACAGCATTTAAATCTTCATCCTGATCCTTGAGTTTTTCATTTCATGTCTACTTTCTTATCATAACATTTGAATGTCTCACTAGCTAATACTCTCACTGTGAAACCTCTACTTGTAGATCTACATAACCTGCACACAAGAGATACTGGAACTGAGCCTCAACTGCAACTCAACACAGATCAGGTAGGCAGAATCTGCTTGTTGTGCCTGGATCGAACTCACCTGTTGGTGGAGCCGTTGTAGCAGTAGTTTGGCAGGAAGTCATAATTGAGCTCCCAGAAGACGTGCAGTGTTATTCTGCCGTAAGGCGCTGACACATTGTGGTTGGCCTCACGAAACATGGCGTCAATGCTGTCCAGAGTCAGAAACTTACTGAGGAGCTTGTGCGTCATTCGGTTTATGTCCAGTAGACCTTCCAGTTCCTGTAAGAAAAGAAACACACAAAGACTTGTAATCCATAACCACTTAACTCCAACACACAGGGGAGATAATAGAAGTCAAACTGAGAGAAAAAGAGCCTTCTACATGGTCCTCAAAGTGTCAAATGAACTCACCATGATTGAGGTGAGGTCCTCGCTCTCAAAGCGGTTGATGGCGAGCTCCAGAGATTTATAAAGAGCAGCTGAAACCCTCTGAGTGATGAGTCTGTTCAGGTCAATGGAGCGGCCCAGAAGCTGAAATATGTAACCAGTGAGTAAAATCATCTACACCAAGATCGCAGAACAGCTGACACATTGTACTGAGCAGAGTGCATGATGGGTGAGTACAGACCTGGACGTGGCGTTGCTTCAGCAGAGTCTCATAGCGGTTGGAGGCCGGCCAGGGGATGTTGGCTCCTTGGTTTTTGCAGTCAGCTCTCAAACGTTTGTCAAGCAGAAGACTGAAGTGTCGAGAGAGAGAAACAGTCCGGTTTTCATTCCTCCTGGGTTAATCATGTTGAGCTAATTTCACCCAATGTACACCCACTCCTCCTTTTCCCTTTTGCTAAAACTCATCCCCTCTGGTCCAGAGTCACTTTCTGCATTCTCCTGCCATGGTTCTCTCACAGACAGGTAAAGCCTAACCTGGTGGGACTGAGCTCTAGTCCAAACAAGCCTCTCATTCTGGCTCTGCCCTCTCCCCTCCATCTCTCTTTTGACTCCTCTCTCTGCAATCTGTTTTTCTTCTGCTCTCTTTGTTCAAGCAAATGAAGGTTTTTCTGAGGTTGAGGTTGAAATGAAATGGGTGCATCTATTGAGCACTTTCCCTTTCATCAGAGTACAAGCACCATGTGTTGATTTGAAATTCAACAGATATAAAATAAATTACAAAAAGCTGACACACAAGTAAGTTGTGAGTGAATAAAAAGAGGAGACAAAGTACTTAATGTACGATTGTGTTACCCACCTTCCTGCTAGAATCTTGTAGTAGGCAAATATCTGATCAGCCAGCTTGTAGACAAACTGATCAAAGCACAAGTTCACCTGAAACGACAAAAACAGTGATGACTTAATATTTTCAATTGAAGACAAATGCTTAAATCTGTTTAGACATCTTCAATGGGATTAAAACATCCATTACAGTATGAAAGTCCTCAATTTTCATTCATGAATGAGGAAATTATTTTAGGGTTAATATAAAGCTTAAGAGTTAAAAATCTGCTGTTTTCAGGATTCATGACATGCAGCGCCTCATCTCTGCTCCGTGGGTATCCAATATTTTCACCAACTGTCTCTGAAGTCACTGTCTAGCCTGCCTGACTGCACATGTATATCAAAATATTTCCCAAATTTTCTAAATAAAAGTGAGTTATTTTTTGACAAGATATTCATTCATGTCACATAAAATCTTCCTAATAAGGGACCTGTATAAATTAAACATTGTGTATAACAGCTAGTTCAGAGAAAAGTCATTCTCTTCTGCTTTGAAAAATGCCAAAAAGACACACAGTACAAGATTAATGTCTGTCTGTGATCTGGAGCCATTACTTGATAACATCAAATGTCCATTTCGAAAAAGGAGATCCAAAAGACAGGGGACCTATTATTTCTTTTTCTTCTGTGAGGGTGATGTTGTGTTGTCTTCTTTCAAATGAATCAGGGAGCACACACTCTGCATAAGTGATTACCTCAGCCTCGATTTCATCATAGAGGAACTGCTTCTTGAAGGTGGTCAGGGCGTAGTGTGCGCTGTCGTTGTACAAATCCAGAGGGTACAGCACATACCTGGAGGGGGAGAAAAGACAAAACATTTTTTATTATCTTCACTGGAATATAAGAATCTAAATCCCTGCATAAAGTACAACCACATAACTCCTTTCCTAATGTGCACATTTCAAACTGAAGCATTGTTATTTACACTGCAACTCTTGGCAGCCACATTTATTTTGGTTTCATAAAAAGATTACCGTCAATATCACATTTTTGAGGAGCTTTTTTAGGAAAACAGTTAAATGACAGCAGTTATGATTTATGCTAGCTGATGTGCTTAATGGCTTACATAAACCTGCCTCCCATCAACATAATCCTGCAGCTAAGGGTCATGGTTAATCCCAATTTTGATGCATTTTACCCAGGGTCCAGGACGAAAACTAAAGACATGTTTAAAGTTTACTGGCTGCTTGTAGTATTACTAACCATGTGATTTTATCAGAGGTAGGTCTCTTCAAAGTTTGAGCACTTTAGATGAATATGAGACTGGAGGTTCATTTTGGGAAACTGATCCTCTTCAATAATTCAACACTTTTGATCACTGAGGTCATTTCTGGACATCTTAATGTTTACCTTCATTTCTTTTATTAAATCAAATCAAATCAAATTTTATTTATATCGTGCCAAATTATCCCAAGATGCTTTCCAAAAAAGTAGCAGGTCTAGATCATTCCAGCACTGCAGAGGTGGACGGTGAACAGTTTGATAGATGGTGTAAAATGCATAAAATGTTTCAGGTTGGTAAAATTTGCAACCATGTTGCAATGTGACATGTGCTTTAGACACCAGGTTCCAATTCTTTCCAACATCTGAGGCCTTAAAACCCAAAGTTGTTCATCTCAGTATTTGAAGTGTTATTGTCCCATCAGTAAAAACAGTACCTCTAGTCTTTTTTCTGATTCTGTCCTGCACGTGTAAGTCACATTCCCTGTCAGTGAAATCTCATAGTGCTTTCTTTTAACAGCATACAACAAACGACATCTGTTTTTACTCGGGAGATCATTGAGGGGCCGTCCTGATTTACAGCTACTGAAATATGTCACTCATCATGATTCTTTTTCATGAAAAATGTAAATAAGGTTGTTTTCACGGTGTACTGTTGATCATCTGTCTGACACTTAACCTGTGGTGGCAGTTTACTGTATTAAAATAAATTGGTTTGGAAAAGTTATACATCTTCTTGTTAAAGGTTTGGCTTTCTTTTTATGTCATATATAAAAATCAGTTTTGCCTTCATAGAAGCAAAAAGTCCACCACAGGGGCTTCTTTGATTCATAATCTCAAGTGCATTCTCTAATTTAAAGTAAAATCTAGACGCTTCTTAGGACAGTCAAAACAGAAAATGTCTAAAAAAAACTGTCTACACAGAGAAGCAATATTAGTGTGTCTGCTGAGCAGCAGCTTTCTGCTCCATCTGTGTCGGTACAAGGCGCCTTCGGGCGCAGAACTGAGCAGAACATGGGTCAACAACATTTTGGCAGCCCTCAGGGTCGAGACAAAGTGACACATTTATTTTTCTATCAAATAATATTCACTGATAAGATCCAGAGAGGAGTCTCCATATTTGCCCTGTATACTTGCTTAGAAAACAGCCCAGTATGTAAGAAAATGAGATTAAAGCATCACTTCTGATGGTGTCTAAATCAGCTGTGGAACGGCTTTATTTTAGATCTTACACAATGTTACTGACCACTCTTGTTTAAAGCGGAGAAAATTTTTTTCCAACACTTCAGTTGTCGTTTTATCAAAAGTCTGAGTTTAATCTGTAAAATGAAACTAAATTTTAGTGAGGGGGCAGCTTTAACTACTGCTATTTTACCTTACGGGTGGCAGAAGAGGACAATAAACCTTTAGTTCTTGTACAGCAAACTCAACCCGATTGTATGTGCATTCAGATAAGCCTTCCATCATTTGGTGGTGTAATTCCTAAATCCTGCTAACTAGAGGTTCTTGAAAAGGATGAGAGGAAATAGCACTAGTATGCCCTTAGCCTTCAGAGGCATTCTGGGATCATAAATATTGATTATTATTAAACAATAAATCTCTGAATCCAACAGTGGGAGAGGCACTTGGATGTTTAAACTAGTAAAGTAGTAAAAGTGGTTACTCCATCATGGAAGCCTCCTTCGTCTCCAGGATGTGATCTGTGAGGATCCAAGGCATGGACATCTCGATGGGGAACTGAATCCTGCGACCCATCGTGAGCTCCAGGAAGAACTCCCTGAACCAGAGCTGGGAGAGGTCACAACAGTGCTGCAAGGTCTCTGCACAAAGGGACATACAAAGGGACACTACTTAAGAATTTCCTCTGAAAAGACACCATGCAAGGTAAAGGCTGTCTACATGATTCCCTCCTAACCTTTTCTGTCAGCTAACTGAAGAAACGCCTCATGACGGCAGATATGTTCTGCAACTTCTTATGATTCTGATTTTATGGCTAAAATGGTTTTATGTCTGATTTTTCTGTCCCTTCGATAAAGGGCTTCAGACTTCAGGCTCTTTTTGTAGAAGTTTAAGCCTCTATCAGATGTCAAACTGCATCTGATCTGAATTAATCATCAGACTGCCGGGTCTTCTTGTGGGTAAACAACAGGGTTCAGGTCAGAACTAGGACAAAAAGTAACCGTGGGATATCAAGTTGAGAATGACAGAAGGTATTTTCTGTTTTAGTTTCATTACTTTTGAAAAACATTCACAGAAGTCGTTCCAATAAATGTGCAGAAAATACAAACATTTAAACACAAACTCCCCCCCCCCACCAAACCATTTGAATACTTCAGTTTTAAATGAATTCGATATTTTTTTGCTTCAAGTTCCCCAGGTTATAACATCTGATTTCAAACTCTTTTTTTTCCAGTTTTCTCACCACTGAAGTTGAGCAGGTGGGTGTAGAAGAAGGACTCGCGGTGAAACTTCTCGATGTCCAGGATGGTGGGACCCTCCAGACCGCTGCGAAGAGTCTTCTTTGAACCACTTTTGTCAGCGATGAGAGACTCCAGCATCGTCCTCACCATGTAGAGCTGCGTGTAAACAGAGTTAAACACAGAAGAAAAACAAAAGGGGATGATTAAGTCGAACATAAAATAAGAAATGAAGGAAGAAAAAACTCTTTAGTGTTTGCAGCCTGCTGGTTTAATAGCTGGATTCCCTCATATAATGGTATTAGAATCTCACTCGAGGTGGGTGGCTGGCTTAAAGCTCTTCTCTGAGTGTTATCTCATTAAGGAGATAAATCATTGAGAATGTTCATTTAATCTTTTTTTAATGACCTTCCCTTCATAAAAATCAGCTTATTTTCCTTGACTGTTGCTCAGAGTTTTCTTGTTGATGTTCATCTGTAACATTTCCTCAGCCCTTGTCAAAACAGTGCAGTAATAATCGGTTAATTCATGCTGGATGATCATCTGTTAATTCATGATGGGTAAACAAAGGAGGTGACAGTTCAGCTTAGCCTTGCAGTCCTGCACCTGGAAAACAGATTAATTCTTAGAACTGAGCTCTAAGCTGATTAATCTGTTACTGTTTACACAACACCAGAGACCATATTGCAAAGAGACAATATGTGTGTTACACAGCATAACTGCAGGAAAAAGCTATTCTCAGATGGATGTACAATGTATGTTTAAATACAGCACTTAAAGTACAAAAATAGATGATAGATTATCCAGTGAAATATACAGACCAGGGCGGGGCAGCCCTGTGTGAGATATACTGAGCTTATATGATCCTCCTGGATTAAAGGTTTTATACAGTTCAACCTAAACATGACATATAGGAGACCTGAGCTCCAGCCAGAAGTCCTGGGAGCTTCATAAGCCTGATTAATGAGAGTTCAAGCTGCTCGGGTCAAAGAGTGTAAAAGCCTGGAGATGCAGGGAGAGGGTCAGGGCGGCGACTAATCATGGTCTTCACTGTCTGTCCATCTTTTGAAAATGTTCTTAAGTAACTGAACAGAGTCTGTAAAACACCTCTGAATGTCCAAGAGGCCACAATGATGAACCTGGTTTTGTTTATATCCCATAGACATTCGAATAAAAGTGAAAAAGAAGTACAGAAACTAGAAAATATTATGAAATGAGGAGCTAGGTCCACAGAATGTTGTTTTTTTTTCATCATCATTTCATCATCTCTTATCAAAGTAGCTCAAAATGTGAAACCTGTGTACTGGAGGGCCCGACTGCACGGCGAGGAACCTTGATATCAAAGCCACCCTTTGGATCCTTCTCTCCACGGAGCGCCGGGTCGTTGTGCGGCTCCCGGCCTGTCTCCCAGTCACACACCGTCTTTCTGATGGCCTGAAGAACACTGTGATAAGAGAGGGGAAAAAAATCTAGGGTGACTTTTCTCTTTGTACACTGGGTACACACACTGCCACGGCTGCATAAACGAAGTCGAAAAATGTGAACAAGTAAACTCAGAGCTTCATTTGTTATATACCGCAAGGAGTGAGCAGACACACAAAACTTTCAGGGATTCTGCAGGGAGACATTTTAACCCATTCATAAGTAACTGCACTTTTAATGGACTACAGTGTTGTGCAAATAAAAACAGAAATATGTGACTTTCTAGGCTCTGTATGTTCTCCTATAAAAAAGGATACTTCATGCAAAAATATTCGAAATATTCTATTGCTTAATCCACATTTCATCCACAGAAATGTATTTTATTGGATAATTGGACGTTGTGCGACAGTTTGCAGATGAGATGTGTCTCCTAAACTCATACCTCTGGATCACATTCTTCTTCTTCTTGATGGCCTGTCTCAGCGGGTCTCGCAGGGTGACCTGAGCAAAGTCCTGCAGAGCCGAGTAGATGGTGTGACGGATGGCGTGATTGAAAACACTCTCCATGCGGCCCATCAGCACCTGAAGTCCCTTTATCATTGCAATGACCTGAAAAAACACATCATTTAATAATAGATCAAGTCAGTGAAGGACTGCTGTAAGACAAAAGAAAAATGAAATGTCAGATATAATCATAACCCACCTCCACCAGGGCAAACTTCTCCTCACAGGTGTAGTTGTATCTGGTGGCTCTCTCATACTCTTCGGCATTGTCAGGACACTCTTTGTTGGAGTATTTGTCTGTGGGATGAACCAGTTTCCAGGAATACTGTGGGGAAAAGTCAAAGTATTAAATAGAAGTTCACTGAAAAGAAACAGTCACAGTAAGAACTAACACTTATTTACATGTATAATCTTTAATTTGTAACCTCTGCAACATCATCTCACACATATCTGAAGAGAAATAATCAAATGTTTAGTAACATGTGTGCCATTCTGAACTGGGCTCTCTTACCACTTCCATGACATGAGCGCTCCACTGGGAGAGCAGCTGCATGCCCTGCAGGGCCAAATCAAACAGCTTCCTGTACTCAGTATCCGTCTTCTGGGACTCCTGACGTCCTGATCCGGTCACCACCTACAGTGATGAAAAAAGAGGGCAGAAAACACAGATCACTGAGAGTCCAAGTCATAAAATCTTTGAACCCCCTTGACCATTTTAGTACTGAGAACACACGCAATAAAACTTGACCTTAAGCAACACCTCAACTCATTTTTCACACTTCTTCTATCTGGTCAGAGATCCCTGGCCTGGAAATGACCACTCAGTCATTGTACTCTGTCACAGACTTCTCTGATAACTGCTGTGTGTGTAAATATGTGTGTGTGAGGGTGTTGGCTTATGTGGAATAATATGATGGTGATTTTCATCTAACTTTTTCTTTATGCAGTATAATGAAGAGCTAGAGGCTCAACTCAAACAGTTCTCAGAGTCAGTCAGTGCTGACTAAAAGAACGCCTTAAATACAAAACCAGGTCACATCCAAAAAGTCACTGTTAAGAGCTGAGGGTCCAAACACATTTGTTTCTTAAAGCTACTGTTAATTTTTCATCATGAAAAGACAGCGAACTGTATGGCGAGTGCTGACACACCTGGTCGATAAGCAGTTTTCTCTCCAGCCTTGCATTCCTTACTTACCTCGCTGTTGCTATATCGAGCTAGCTCTGAGATGAAGCGCATGTGATCCTCACGAATCTGAATCATCTGCTCACAGATGTTGTACTGCGGGCTGCTGGAAATAGACGTGCAAGTCCATCTGAGAGAAGAAAACAGGAGAGGAGCAGAGAGAGAGAAATGTGGGGTGAGCCTTAGGTTTATACTTGAATTACTGAATAAGCTTCCACTCATTTCACACTCTGATCACACAGAAAACAGGATTTCCTCTCACCTGGATTTGTTCTCTTCAAAGTGAGCGCTGGTCTTAATGTATCGGGATAACTCGATCTGCATGTCACCGAACAGAGGGACCACCTGGAGTTGCTGTGAGCATCAAGAACACACAGATTAGCATTTTCAGTACCATATGTAAGAGCTGGCTGCTGTTAAATACAGTTTAAGACTGACTCTTAATTCTTTGAAGGATAAGAGTTGAAAATGATATGTTTAAAATTTCACAGTGATGTATTTTGTGATCAGCTTTCTCAAATACAATTACACAACACCAGTCACTTAATATTACAATTAAAAACGTGTGTGTAAAAATCATTATCAAGACTGCACACGATCTATATCCATTCTCTTTTTTTTTAAACTCTTTATTTCTCAGAATTTCTTTTAACAACAAAGGTGTGAATAGAAAAGTAGATGGAAAAAAAAAAACAACAAAAAAAACTAAAACAATAAAGAGGTCATGGGGTGTATATCACAGGCATAGCGGGTAAATATACATTGAATACCTATATATGCTGGGGCTGTACAGTCGCAGCAAGACCCGTCTCTTCATTATTATTAATATATATATACATACATACATACTTCGTACTTATTGTTCTTCCTTCCCCTTCTATAATGGTGTTACAATGTTTTGAGTTACTAACACTGCATTAAAGTCAGACCCATGCTTGAGCAGCGATGCTGTGCATCGGCCCAAGTATCAAAAGGCAAGTCAATATACACACTGCGCAGCCCCATCCTATCTACAGAATACTGTCAAGTACAAGAAGTCATCCCCCCCCCTTTCTCACAGTTTTCATATGAGGTCCGAGACACCATGTAGATAGCTCACCCATTTCTCCCATCTCCTTTCTCCTAATTCCTTCTGAAGTCTAAGGGAGCAGGTCATCTGTTCCAGGAGATGCAAAGATCTATATCCATTCTCAATCCCACACAACATACCTTAAAAAACTTGTCAATCTTGGTCAGGTTGATCCTCTTCTTGGCGTCCAGTTTGTAGATGTTGCTGCTGTTTCCATCCATTAAATACAAACCAAACCCCATCACCTGAGAGGTGGAAACATTATTATAGCTCGTGTTACAATAAAATAAATAACATAGTTTTTTATAGCACCTCTTAAAACAAAACACACAGCAACACTTCTACATGGATTAAGATTTTAGAGGAAATTCAGGTGCTTTCATTGTAAAGACGCATCCACCTGTTCATAGACGGAACCAACTAAAAGGGCCTCAGCTCATGACAGGAGCGACAAAATCTTTGCCTTTTCAGTTTTAGTTTTTGCTGCTACAGTAGGACCGAGCTCGATCTGGAGATTTAGAGCTCATTCCTGTCATGGTTGCTAAATTTGAGTCATAAGGATGAGCTTTTACTTACTTTGAGAAGCATGTGCTTCTCACTGGGTGTGAGGTACATCTTGTTCTCGTAGTAATCCACACACAAATTGACGATGTCTGCAAGCAGCTCCTCGTAACCGTTTATCACCTCCAGCTGCTGCTGCAAAGACTAGAAAGCAGAACAGAAACAAAGTATATAAAAAAAGCATAAAATTAATATATACGTTTAATGTTTTCTTTTACATGTTGTCCAAAAGAACAACTGAAAAAGCTGAATGCTTTGTAGTTGCTTACAAACTTTAAAACTTTTTGATATAAGTCTAAATCAGCTATAAAAACGTTCAAGTCAGAATTATTTTAACTAATGAGAAAAATGCTTCTAACCAACCTGAGTGATTTTGTTGTGGTTTGCCAAGAACATGGACAGATTCTGAGACTCCTGGATGGACGCAGGCTCAGACATCTTTCTGAGGAACTGGGCAGCTCTGGGAAAGACAAAGAAACATTTGAGTGTTAACTTCAAAATTTTAAACCAGTGGACCTGAAGTTTTTTTTTTTCTTGTTAGTTACACAAATCTGGACAAAAAGATTTTTAAAAAACTGATATTGGCTGCAGAACTTAAACATATCTCGTTCTCAAAACTCATGAATGTATGGTAAAATCATAATTTTCCCAAGATTTAGGGGCAAAACTAGTTCAGCTTGTGAGATCTACATCATAAAAAATACAGTCCTAAAGATGGCCAGTCTCTTTTTTTAAGGAATAAAATAGATATTAAGCATGTTTTTACATTGAAAACAGACGCCACAATTATTCAAAGGGGTACAGTGATGATACAGCTGTCTGAGTTTTGTTTTAGTGGACACAGTGTTGGTTGAAGGAGGTGTAATAACATGTCAAAGAATCAAATACCAAGAGTACATCTACAATAACACTGCCCTCTAGTGTCCGCTGAGTAAATCATGTCAGTGAATCAAAGCAGCATAACTCTCACTGCTCCTAAATACCGTTTGTAGGCGGAGTGGTCGTTCTTGACGCTACACTTCATGTTCTTCAGCTCATCCAGCACAGCAAACATATTGATGAATTTCCCGAGGGTCAGCAGGTACGCCTCGGAGACAAAGTCCTTCCTGCGCTCTGTGTGACAGAGACGACGGACCTCCCCGCAGAAACGGTCGATGGCAGTGCGCTGGAGAGGAGAAAAGGACATTAATCAGAGACTGCCATTCTAGATGCAGTGCGGGTCGAGAAGAATTTAATTTACCTGGAAGTACATGAAATTCATCAGCTTGGTGACTTCTGGCTCCAGGACCTCCACGGTCTTCTCATAGATCTCCACTCTGTTGGGCTGTTCGTTACATTTCACCTACAAGAAAATGACAACACGAAAGAGCTAAGACGAGAAAATAAAGTTCGGTGTTTAGTTTGTAGGCCTCCATCCTCAGGGATCCAGGATAGACGCCTATACAATCCATAAGCAAAAGGATTGTATTGGAAGTCAAAAAGTTGATTAATTTCAAATCTAGTTTTTGATCTGGACCTGACCTTTTATATTTGTTGTTACACATTTACAGTAGGACAGTGGTCATCTCAATCCAAGTACATCAACCATCATTGATGGTCATATTTGTTTTTGGCTTATATAAAAAAGCATCAACATGAATTTCTGTCTGCTTCATAGAAATGAAAAATGTCCTTACAGAAGCTTTAAGGAAAACTTAAAAGAATCAACACAATCAATCAAATTAAGAAAATTCACAACTAGGGTCTTTTATTCGTGTGACAATCCCCGCAAATAAAACATCATCTTTAGAGAGGATATTGCCTTATAAAATGATTGTTTTTAATATTTCTATATTTGGATTCTTTATATCTACATTTAGGTTGCTTTACTTCCTGCAGTGTAATTTTAAAATTTTATTGTGGAATTTATTTTGGAGAGAGCAATTAAAAAAAATAAGTCAAGTTGGTTACCGTGAACAAACTAATCAATTATTTATTCATTTGCGCTTGAAAATATATAGAAATATTCTGGGATATCTTATGGTTCGTTTAGGAGAGGTATAAATAAGCCTTTGCAGCCTGCTCCTTTTTTGGTTAATGATTGTGTGGAGGGTATTGTGTGAAATCCGAGCGAGCTTATATAATATTTTGTTTTTGGTAGTTTTAGATTCACACAAATTGTAATGCTTTGTCGCCATAACGTAGAGTATAACCAAAATAAGTTTCGTTCATTCAGATTCATTCAGAACTGACAGGATACACTATTTCCAGTAAATCACAAGTTATGGAACAGAATTAAAAAGAGGTCAGAGGTCATGATAAATTTATTAGCACTTCTGAGGAGACATAAGCTCTCTCTAACTATCAGAACGTCTTTTTAAACAGTTTGACTTTCTTTCAGAGGCATGCTTCAGCTAGCTCGCCAGTAACTGCTGCAACTTCTTCATCTGGCCCCCATATTATGCCAGTCAGCAATCAGCATTGCAGTCGGTTTTAAGTAAGGACAATGTCAATGATTCATTATTTTTTTAAAGATGGTAATCAACAATACTTGTCATTTCAACAGTCCCAGTATTAAATTTTAAATTTTGAGCTAAAAATGAATCTTTATGATTCATTTTTAAGTTTTTATCTGGATAATGATTTCCAAAACAGAGGCACTAGCTTTTTTTTCTCCTTAATTTATTGAAGAGTTGTTAAAGCTCCTCATGTAGAGCATTTGATCTGACACTGTTCGCAGTTTTGATTTCCATTACCTGAGGTATTGCACGTGAGCAGCTCCTCCAAGTGTACAGCATGACAGCATACTCCTGCCCCTCCTCCAGCATCTCATTCTGGTTTAAAAAAAAAAACAAATAAGGCAATCACAACAGAGACTAACAATCCTCAATAAATAAATGAATTAATTTTACAATCAGTGATCAAAGTAACACAGCTATTAAAGGCTGCAGAGCAGATGGTGGGGACAACAGGCGAGTATTGAGGCCGATCCTGTCTCCATACAAAGAGCTGTTTGATTCAAACCTGAGTAATTATCCCTCACTAATTACACACAAAGCTCTGTGAGGAGATGGTGTAAAGCCCCGTTTGTCCTCGGGTTATTTGCTCCTGGGTCTGCTTTTAACAAGCTGCCCAACAAACAACATCAAATAATCAGACAGGCAAGTCTCTTAACCAGATCCTAACCCTAACAACCCTTTCCCCCCATTCTGGTGAGTTTGTTTTCCCAGCAGGCCTTTACTGAGGAGGGACAGAGAGAGAGAAAATGAAGAAGAAGAATGAGGCTGTGACCCCGCTGTCATACCATGCTGGAGTGGACAGTGGCCTGCTCGATGTATCTGGCGATGCCGGTGACAAAGGCATTTCGGTCCTCAAAGTTGGTGTTGAAGTTCGGCTATAGGAAGGAAAACAGGAAGAATGTATGTGAGGTAAAAATCAGGGCAATAAAAATGTCAGGAACACAACAGGTGACAAGATTATGGTTAAAAACATGCATTGCAAAGAGCACTTATCTATCTGATCAACAATCAGGATTGTTAATGTGTCGAGTGCATAGGCTGTATATACTATGGACAACTTGGTTCCGCCTACCGCCTGTATACGGATTTGAAGCCAAAAAGCTCTCGGTATTTCCAGGATTTTTCTTCATTTCCTGAAACCAGCGCTGCGCAGTAGCAATGCATGCTTTCGGCCGCGCAGTCGCCGAGAGTCGCTGTGGTGACGCTCGGCTCAAACAGCGTATCCCCCTGGAGAGCTACGCAATCCCTGAATGCCAATAGGCTGTATCAGGTGTCAATCATAGCAAACATGAACCCCCTAATAACTTTTAAAAACGGAGCTTCACAGAAAAAAAAGAGGACTTGTGCACAAACCAGTCTTACAATAACTACATGTCAACATCACAAGCGGGGGGAGAAAATTTATGTTCTATGAAATAAATTTCTAAAGTTTGTCCACAGCCCCATAAGCTTTGCTGGCGGAGGCGGGATTTATGACCTATACTGCAGCCCATCAACAGAGGGTGCTGTTCTCAGAGTGGCTTCACCCAGCGAGGAGGCAGACGCTGTCCATTCTATATACAGTCTATGGTCGAGTGATATTCACACAATGCTAATTTTTCCAGACTGACTCACTTTAGCTGAATAATTTCACAATATCTTACTCTTTATTTTAAAATGTTGCACAAAAGCCACAGATATGAAGCTTTGTGCTAGCTAAAAGGTGAACATACTGGTGCATTTGGATGCTATCAATGCTGAGATTGTCCATATGACACTGTTCTTCTGGCCACCTCACAATACATTTAACAGAACATTTCTGTCCCGCTTAATGAAAAAAATGACTTTCTCTACCATGTTGCCAAAAACCGAATGGAAATGTTTTTTCAAGAGTGCAGTGACTGAGATAGTGCATTGTCCAAACATACTGACCCTGTTGCTGGTTTATGAGTTTAAGTGGTGGCTCTGATATCAGTTGGTGAAAGGAGTAACTTGTTACTACGTAAGTTTTTAAATACCACCAGGTTACAGGAAATATTGTGTCTTGTACAATCTGTCTCTTTTTTTTTTGCACTCATTTCTATATCCCTCCCACCGCTCAGCTGGTGTCTGTGTGTGAATCAAGCACCTACAAAGTTTGCGTTTAAATTAGTTATCTGATGCTGAGCTGCACTGTCATCAGAGCTGCCTTGGCGCATTAGAGGAGTAGGAAACAAGCACCAACATGTGAGTCACAGAACTTTCTGTAACGGTGAGAGTCTGTGTCCACTTCTGTTTTGGTTAGCAGAATGAACAGGATGCAGAGACCACAGCTCTATTTGACGACTTCTGCTGAGCACATCAAGTGAGGTCAAGATTTTGACCTCACTTGAAGGCATGGTGGGGGCATGTCATCCATTTTTATATACTTTTAATGTTCTGCAAAACACAAACTGAGTTATAAACCTATTCATGGCTTATGAAGGTAAAAGCTTTAACATGTCCTCTCACAATGTTTTAAATAAGCTCAATATGTTAAGAAGAGGTATAGTTGAAGGAAAGGTGGGTAAAGGGGAGGGTTCAGATTAGAGCTGTGATGTCTTCCAATGAAAGCAAAAGAAGGAAGAATTTTGAACTAAAAATAACCTCTTAATTTATTCACTATTTACTGGACAAAAAATGTGACCATCTTTAAATGAATGTTTATTGTACCTGCAAGTCATCACTATAAACACAATTTTTCTCCTCTTCTACGCAACTACAGCATACAAGTTGTGTTTGTACATCATCTACAACAAAAATAACCGTGTGAAACTTCCCACAAAGAACATGTGTGCTAACTTGTGGTTAATAAGATAAGTTAAAGAGAGGAACATCACCTCTGATAAACCATTTAGAGTGACACATCAGATCGAACAGAAGATACATGTTTGCACAGTGAGTGAGCTCAGCCTTCAACACTGACCTGGAACATGACGGAGGAGGGAAGGGGCTCGATGCAGGGCTGCTGGTCCGGGAGGGGCAGTTCCTCCAGCAGGTCCACATTGGACAGAGCATCCTCCAGAGTCACTGTGGACGCCATGGTGCTGAAAGGATGAAAAAGAAGAATGTTTGTAACTTTGGTCTGGAGCAGGACAAACAACTCTTTGACAATCCCTATGCATAAAGAATATTAATCCCCAAATCCAACAATCCCCGACTTCTTGGCAAGCTGATTTAACCTCAAACAGAGCACTTTTTGCTTTGGATGCTCATGTTTTTTTTATATCAAACCAAAAATCTTCTATTTCTAAGCTTTTTATGTTTTTTTGTGAGCCATTGAGTGATTCCTTTAAAAGAAAGGTGGCGTTTAAATTAAGGTTATTGTAGCTGTCGTGGCCTTATCATCTTTACTAGACCAAAATCTCTTACTAGCCTACATAATCTTTTTATATGTGGTAGGAGTTAGGTCATCAGTATAGTCAGCTATGCTATTATGACACCTCCTGTATTGGCATTATTAGGGCCTTGAAACACTGGGGCTTGGGCTTCAAAATGTTGTGAAAACATGAAAATGACACCCTGGCCTCCATCCAAATGTATGCATGAAGCTGAGTCAGAACGAATTGCTTTTTATAACTGATTTTTTAAAAAGTCTGATAAAATCAGACTTTCGCAATGTATTGCTGCAGTTGTCTGCACAGCTCTTTTGAAGAAGTCATCATGATTTTTGCAATAACGTCGTGTTATGAGAGATCGGACTCTGTGTTGTTTCAAAAGCCATCTGAAAAAGTAACACAGGTTCCCTTTTTGAAAAACGACCCTGAGACCTCTTTCATGTTCACCATCACCCTGCTATGACCCTGTTTTCACATATTCTGATAATGCTTTTAGTGCTCATCATGATCATACCCAGATTTTATAAATCAGCATTGGAGAGCAATCGAGATATAACTTCACACAGAGCATGTGAACCATGAAAACTGCTACAATTAAGTTTATTGAGTAATGACTACCCTGGTCTCCAGCTTTCCACCTTGCTCCCATAACTTTTTTAACATAATTACTTCTGTAAAAAAGATAGCAGTCACACTTCCTTCTTTTATGTTGAGCAGACACTGAGAATGACTTTTATTCCTAATCAGAATAACTGCTGTCAACAACCTGAAATTGACTGTAAATAGATCAGTTAGTTGTGTATTATAAAGTGTTGTGGTATGCTTTGGTTTGCATTCTCACTCTACTGCTGACTACAGACATTCAGACTTCACCGACAGTGAACAATCAAAAATCCTATTGCAATCAGAAACTACAGCGAGTCAAACGGTCCACAGAGTACAAAAACAAAGACCTGGCAGTGCACAGGCCAAGGTCAGCGGGGGTCACAGAGCTGCTGATATGTAAATTAAAGAACATCACAGAACTCAAAGAGCAGAGGGTGTGTGTAAAATCAACAAGACTGCTGCTGCACAATGCTAACACTAATTCCTGTCAGCATTTTTGAGAGGTTTGACTGGTCGGCTGATAAGTAACTGAGCTGGATTTCAGCAACTCTTCATGAAATCAGCTGGATCATGCTAAAATTCTCTAGACTCTTCCTTTTCTTTTAGTTTTGTTTTGGCATGGTGGTTTATGAATGTCTGACTTTTTTGTCTGTGTCAGGTACCTCTAACTTCCTCTATATGAAAGCGGCAGAAATAAAGCTGCCTTTCCCTGCTTTGCCTTGAAAAGATTACTTGTTTTGAAACAAGCGGAGAAAACAGTCAGTCGCAAGTTTGACTCTGTAATCACCATAGCAATTTCCAAAGTCCCACCCAATGACTCATGGGAAATGTGGTTGTTGAATAAGAACTTGTAGTGCAGCAGAGGAGAGTAGATCTCATGTATCTTACTTTACAACTGAAAATGAATGAAGGCTGATGAAGTTGACTTGGAGATACTGCAGCAGCTAAAGGACACTCGGGCCAGATAACTGTCCCTGCTTGTCCTCAACACAACCGATTTACTCCATCAAAATAAAACTCAGCATGGAAAGTTAAATACTTATTTTTGTTAAACAGGCTTTACCCAAGGTACACAAGGGACTTGGATGACTGATACACACTGAGACATGCAATGACCAAAATTTGTAGAAAGCCTGTGCAATGTGACCACAGCCAACAGTCTCAGATTACAAAGGGCAGCTGCTCCTTTGGTTTTAACACAGAGGCAACATGGATGAAAGTGTTCCTTTGTAGGTCATGATGATTGCTTTGATACCTCCTTAACCTGAATTTAAAAGCTCCAAGTCCTACAAATCTCTCATTTCAGTTGCTTGAAAACAACTGTTTTTCATGACACTGATTTTTATTTCATTTTAAAAATTTGTTTTTGATTCACAAAAGCAACATCATGACTGACAAAGTTTTGAAGCTCCCTTGCTGTTTTCTCACATGAGCTCATCTCGCCTTTCCTCTGAAATTACACCAGAGGACTGCAGAGCAAAAAGTTGGCAATTTGCATTCTTACATGCAGCTCCCCTGGGTAACTTCAAAGAGCTACCAGGAATTTGTGAAAGTTTGAAAGCATGATCAAGAGATTTGTCCATGCTGACATGGAAGTATCGCACAGATGCTGCTGATTTATCAGCTTCACATCAGTGATTCAAAACTTCTGTTCAAAAACATCTATAATGTTGCTCTGGCACTTTCAGGCAGAGATACTCCAGGGGCCATCTCAGTACAAAGAAATGAACATCATAGACAAGAAACCAACAGTTTGAGCTTTGTGACATGGCAATCAAAAGTGGGAACACTATGGTCATCAACTGATAAACATCACCAGCGACAATGATCTAGATGCTTGCATGTGCATGTGTTTCTTTTTTATTATTATTTAATCTTTTGGAGGGGGGCTCATTTTTTCTCACACTGGTGCTCAACAACCAGCTTTAAATTGATTTAAAAAGTAGTATGGATTTAAGACAAAGTCTAATGCTATCATCTGAACACAGAGGCCTTTACTAACTTGAGCTACACTTTGCTTCTTAGTTGTAAGTTGAAGATCAGCTGGTCTGATTTTTTTTTTTTTTTTAAGTATTTTTTGGCGATTTTTGCCTTTATGGATAAGACAGTATGGAAATATCGGGAGATGGGGGGGCAGCACACGGTCAGGGCCATACTCGAACCCACAACCTCTGACATATATCTCAAAATCTTCAAACCAATGCTGAAAGTGTACACTTTTGAATCACTGTCACTGTTTCCAGTGAATCAGATACATGCAAGAGTCCAAAAATAAATGACAGTACTGCTGCTGCTGTTCTGCTACGGGAGACTGCATCGTCAGTAGGGCGATAACCAAGTCGTGACCCATGTCAGTATATTCGGTATCAAAAAAATAAATAAATAAAAGTTGGTTTTGGATGTGTTTAGGTAGGCCATGGTCTCATGTCCCTTTAAGACACTGTCCTGCATCGGAGACATGACTCCACCCCATCCAGTCTGTAACAAAGAGGGAAAGACAGGTGAGGAGGTGGAGGACGGTTCAAGAGTTGAAGCGGCTGGGGCAGCGGCTGAAGTGGACGAAGTTAATGTGGGAGGGGGTGAACAGCTTGTGGAGTAGTTCTCGTCCATTTATTCTTATCTAGGTGAACTGCTCAATATATCGTGATATTGATTTGAGGCCATATTGCCCAGCCCTAATCGTCAGTATTGTTTCAAGTTAAACTAGGCAAAGACCTCCAGTTCTGGCTCTGGGATTAGAGTCTGAATTACAATGTAAGGGTAGATAAAAAGTTATTCAGCTGTACAGGGATTAAAAATAGGTGTGGCTGGTTGTGAAATACAGTTATGAAAAAGAGGAGGAAGTCAGATGGGAAATCCTGTATTTATGTGAAACAGTCTTCAGAAGAAGCCTCGTTAACGATTGAGCCTTTTTCTAATTCGTCAAACTGTGCTCAAAAAAAGTTGAGTAAGCAACAAGACGAGAGAAGAAGAGGGAAGTATGAATCTCTGTAAACTCCAGCATGTGATGCACTATGTAAGACAACTGAAGACTGACTGTTCACTTTTATACTGGAATCCATGAAACTGAAAGTCACACATTCAGGATACAAACACACAGCTAGTCTGGAGTACAATACTTTTAAAAACTACATGAACTAAAGTAAAACAAAAAACTGGAAGTAGCTTTAACAAGCGTTTTAACTGCAGAACCTTCAACTAAAGCCTTTTGGACATCCTTCACTGGAGAGAAACCATTCAAATAAGGAACTTTGGTGACTTTTGCTTCAGAGCACAGTTCCTGTTCAGGCGGCTAAATGTAGATCTGTCTCCTGTGATTGCAGCCAGAAAAGAGACAAGTAAGACAAATTTGCTCACCAGGTTGTTGACCATTTAGTATTACAGCATGTGTTTGTAGGACTTCCTTAGTAATTACACAGTAAGAAGCTTAAACCTGAATCAAGTAGGTAACCTAGGTGTGCACAACAGAAGGCAAAAACAAGGTATTAACCAGCAGCACCAACAGTAACACCAGCTGGTTGTTCATAGTAAGAGCAATGGAGAGACACACGACAAGAGTGGTTGAAAAGAACCTTGAAAAGTGACTAAAACATGCGATAATGACTTTCAAAGAAATCACAACCTGTGAAAGTAAAAGTAAGTGTGACAGCTGGTTAAAGTGAGGTCTGAGGAATACCTAAACCTCCAAATCCCCAACAGGGACACTCAGGCCAAACCAAGGTCAAGTAACACACAAACAGAAAAATCCCTAATAATGACAAATAGTTTAGTTGTTGACAAACAGCTGAAAGTAAGCCATAGGTTATCTAAAAACAGCTGGAAAATACATCTATAAGGAAATAACTCAACAGCTTAAAAAACTTACTAGGAGTAAATGACTAACATTGAAGTGAGTCATTACTGAAGGAGGTCAATTTTAAACAGATAAAAGTGATGACTTAATAGTTTTTTAAAGGGGCGGAGATTGCAGGGTAACTCACAAAACGGTTAGACATGACACAAAACACTATATGGGTGATAAGAGATGTCATGATATGTCATGATCAAAGATCGTATATTCGATTTGACGCCATCTGCCTCCTTGCTAGGTGAAGCCGCTCTGAGAACAGCACACCCTGGTAACGGGCTGCAGTATAGGTCATTAATCCCGTCTCCACCAGCAAAGCTCATGGAGGTGTGGACAAACTTCATTAACTTTAATTTATTACACAGAACATACATTTTTTTCCCCTCTGCTTGCGATGTTGACATGAAGTTACTGTAAGACTGGTTCGTGCTGTACAGCTCCGTTTTTCAAAGTTATTAGGGGGTTCATGTTTTCCATGATTGACACTTGATACAGCCTATGGGTGTATGAAGTTTGCGTAGCTCACCCGGGAGACACTGTTTGAGCTGAGCGTCATCACAGCGACTCTTGGCGACTCTCCCGCCGAATGCGTACATCACTACTGCGCAAGTGGTGAAGTGAACACTACTGCGCGATGTTGGTTTCAGGAAAGGGAGAAAAATCGTGGAATTACCGAGAGCTTTTCAGCTTCAAATCTGTATACTGACGAAAGGCAGAACCAAGTTGTCCATACAGTCTATGATCATAATGGAATAGGATGGGATAGTCTATAAAGCCATATGATAGGACATGACACAGTACTACTGTATAGAAATTTCTCAATGTGATACAATGACACAATATGATACAATACACTGGATTAGATACTAAATGACACAATACACTATGACTTCATATGATTTGTATTTGGTATTACATGACATGATGTTATGACACACTATAACACAATACAATGAGACGTAATATAATGTGACAATTTGATACAGCGCAACACAATATCATGTATAAAGACAGTTTATCAAAATACCACACAACAGATAGGATACAATTAGGGCTGGGTGATAAAATGATGATATATACTGAAAATTAATTTCCCTCAATATCAATATAAAACATGGTCAATATGCTTTTCGATAGTCAGCATTCTGCCATGTTTTGGTAGACTATATGAATAGCCAATGAAAAGTTGCTCCGCTTCGCGCTGATCTAATCATGTGCTGAATTAGAACCAAGTAGCAAACAACTGCGTAGTAGCAGGCTGCAGCTACACACAACCATAGCATTATACCATGTGAAGCCGACAGCACTGTTGGTGAGAAAAAAAGACAATGAGAGCTACCCCCGGCAGAAATGCAGATCAAGGCTCAACAGATGACAACATCGTTGACAACAGTGGCACAAAAACATCAGTGGTGTGGAAGTATTTTGTTTTTTTGAGGTCCGACATGAAGCAGAGTAATGTGCACTGCAAATTATGTCGAGTACATGTTCTCGCAAAGTCAGGGAATACCTCAAATCTTTTTCACCACCTGAAGCAGTGCCACGCAGCAGAGCACGCACAATGCAAAAGGTTACAAACCTTGAGCAAAGAAAGGAACCCATGGCGCCTGTGCAGCCAAAACAGCTGACCATTCCACTTTCTCTAGCGCAACGCCTCACGACAAAATGTTGAAGAGACACAAAGACCTCACAGATGCAGTAGCTTATTGTATTGCAAAAGACATGCTCCCAATAAACTCTGGTAAATTCCATTTTTTATATCTTGATATATATATCGATTGGTATTTAAAAGACAGTATGATGTCTGTCAGTTCCTATGACTGACATTTCACATCCTGTGATGTGACTATTGCACATGCGCATATCATACATCATTAGTGTGACATGGTAGAAACGATAGCAGTGAAGGATTTAGTTAAAAACAAATCCAGATAAAAAATCCCACACTGATAAAAGTGAGACTAAATGCATAGCTGGATAGCTCTGCGGGTGTTTTGTGGTTCATTTTTGTGCTGAATGACCTTTCAAACTGATCACTTGTATGCAAACAGAAGTGGAGACAATCTATGACAGTTTTTTTAATTTTTTTTTATCACAAGCTGTCTCAAGTCTGATAGCACAGTTCAAACTTTTGGTATGTATGCAAACTGCTGAAACACTTTGATAGATCTCTCAACAACTCGAGATATAGAGGAAACCACTTTATTCCACGAGGTGAGAAACTGATGCATGAACAACTACCATGCAGAGCCTGTATGAAGGACGTTATCGCTCAAATGCCAGTCTGGAGGAAGCTGTGACATGCCTCTAGACTGAGGTGTGAAAACACCATTTAGGTTGTTGTTGTTTTTTCCTTTGCAGTATAACACACTATCACCGCTTATCAGGGTAAAATAAATCTCACAGTATCTCAGTTTTTTTCCTGAGAGAATCCAAAAAAGGACTTCTGTTAATTCACTTTCCTGCTACTTTAAAACACGGTACTCTCTTGGACAGAGAAGTATCTCCTGACACGTCCAATTGCAAACTAATCACTGAGTCCTCATATAAACCATTTCCATTAAAGCCAGGTCCATATTTTTTCATATGCATAAACAGGTAAGACTGACGACTAATCTGCTTCTTTGGACACACTGTGCCAACAAAAGCTGAAAGGGATGGACTGAGGAAACAACTTTCTATAATGTTGCGATTTCTCAGTAAATAAAAAAGAACATTCAAGCTCCTACAAACACTATGTTGGTTGGAAACATCATTTTTGCTCTTTCAGCCTCAGTTAGGGCTGTATAATCTGCTGTCTGACATAAAGTGCATCACATCCAACCTGTAAGGTTTATCCAGTATAGTGAACAAGCAGACGTTATGAGGTATGCTTGTTAAGACTGATGCAAACTGAAAGAGCAGAATTTGGTTTGACACATTCATTTTTCCATCTGTTTCAATAAAGGTGAGAAATAGAACCCTGCACTAAGTTCAAGTGAAAACTAGATTATACCACAAGTGAACTGTTTGGCACTTGTGGTGTGGTTTGACTAGCAGTATCTCATCATCACTATCTTTCCTTCCTTCCTTCCTTCGTGTCCTTCTGGTTGTTACCAACAGAAGACTAAAAGTTTTTTTAGATTATAAAACAGTGACAGACTATTTCCCCTTCTAATGCAGTCATTGTAACACAGGAACGAGCACCAGAAATAACTTCAGTAAAGCTTAAAATGCAGAGTCAGGTTATGTGAAGTATCCAGCCAATATATCAAATCAGATCCAGTGCTTCATTTACCTGCCATAGTACGACAACAGATTATTGTTTGAGCAGTTACATATTAAAACTCTGTGTTTTTCAACCTTTTTTTTAGGACAAAAGAGGGTGCTTGGAGTGACAAACTCCACCTATTTTAAAGATGAGGATATCGCTGATGCTCATCTTTCACAAGGGCTTTCCCAGGAACCAAAATATCCCAGCTCTCCTCCTCCTAAAAACAAAATAAACCTGGTGTTTCGCTGTAAGATACACTCTGAAAAAAGTATTCCCACTTCACAAATCTGTTTTCCATTGCACTGGCATTGCTTAGTACTCTGTGCTGGGTCTTAACTCTTTTCATACTAATACTCCTTCAGGTATCTAAACTTCGGTATCTGAAAGTAATCAAATTCATGGACACTACAGACTACAATAGTGCATGAGCTCCTGTGAGGAACTTTTGGTTTGTGTGCATCCTGGCACCCCCTGTGGAGAAAGTGTTTCATCTTATCACTTCCAATTTCATCCTGTGCCTGTGTCAGTGGTGTTTTTCGACAAATGAATCTTATCCAGCGTTTTTCAAGCTCTCAAATATGTCCGCCACCAAGAGCCTTAATCAGGCTTGCTTTATGAGAGCGTAGTTTATCACTTTGACCACCACCCGTTACAGCAGTTTTCAGACAGTACAAAAACTCACACAGAGTAGTTAATCTTTCTGCTGATAGTTTTGTTTGCTTATGTCACTCATGAATAAGCATCAATATCAAAATCAGTAAGTTTAATAACCTTTAAAAAAATCCTCACAGGAGCTTTAAAGTTATACCTACACAAATGTTTGATGTGTACATGTATCTAAAGCAGTGAACGCAGCACCAGGTGGGTGGGGAATACAGTGTGGTTACAGAAACCCAACAAATTGTTTCCCCCCATGATGGAAAACAAAAAGGATTAATCAGTTTTCAACATGACAGCCGATAAACCTGACATAAAGTGCATGACTGTAACTTTATTACTAACGTCCGTCCTACAGTGGTTAGCAGACCTGGCGGACTCACACGTTTATCCAACAGCCCCAAATCAGTGACAGATTTACTTGATTTAAAAAAAGTCCTTAAAGTTGTTTTTTAGAGTAGGAAAGTGCCCGAACAAGTATGTGAGGTAATGGCTGTATTCCTGCTCCGTGCTGTGGCCTGAGATTAGTCACAGCTCGGGCCTATGAGCCAGGAAAGTGGCTTTGCAAAGCAAAAAGCTATTAACCTCACCGGCCCAATAACTCCGTTTTTAAACAAGTGAAACATTTTTAAAGTCAACTTCAACAACCAGCTTCAGGACTGAGACAACCGAAGAACATCTGCTCAACTTTTTCCCCACCGTGTGTTAGCTGGAAATACACGCTCACAGTGAAACTAACTTCGCGATCAATCGTTTCTACTCACCGTAGTTGTTGTCGGTCGATAAGGAAAATTTGTGCCTCTACAAACAGGACTAATTCAGTTCCATTTCAACGGAGTGTGGGTCCCTCCGGCTACTTCCAAATCCACTTTTATAGGTCTTCAATCCGAGTTTTTTCCTCTGTCGTCGGCCGGAGGAATCTCTCCTCGGTTGGTATTATTATCATGGGCGGGGGAGAGAAGCGAGCAGGGAGTTCCTGTCCCTCAAACAGGGAAACTCAGCAGGAAACTCGGCTCAGAGCTGCCGTGCTCTCCCTCCTCCACTAGCGGGCAGGACGAGGAATGAAAGGTGAGGGTAAAGGAATGTAGCCTACAGTAAGAACCTGCCCCGAGGTATGGAGACTGACAAGTGCCAAAATACCCTCCCCCAACTCAACCCTGAAAAACACTAAACAGGTGGGAAAAACTTTCTAACCCCAAATCCCAAATAAGGTAGTTTCAGAACAAAAAAAAAACAAAAACAAACTAAATATGTATATATATATATATGTTGTTGTTCTGAAACTACCTTATTATATATATATAAATATAAATAAAAAATATATGATAAAAAAATATATATATATTTTTTTTTGTTTTTTAAAGAGTAAAATGACGATAATTTATAATGAGCCCGTTGATTTATATTCCAAATTGCTATTAAAGGCTATGAAAAGATATTCAAGTGAAAAAAACAAAGTGGATTTAGACACCACACAGCTACTGACCCAGAAGCTTACCCTCCTCTGTGAATAGCTGTGCAAACTAGTGAGCAACTTAGCCACCGTCAGCTAACTCTGAGGTAAACTAGGTCAACAGTATCAATCTAATCTCACTCTTAGACATTACACACAGTATAATAAAAAAAAAGAAAGTCTAAGCATGTTCAGTAGATTTAAAGACTGATTTTGTCAGATAAAGACAATGGAATTATTTTAACATAGTTATGTGTGTCATCAGTTAAAGTATTTACTTCAGTGATTGGAGATTACTGTGCAAACACAAACTTGCAGCTAATGCAACACATCTAACAATCCTTTATTTTTTCAAATTTGTGTCATCTTCCTTTACTGTATTTACATCTCTTTTTGCTTTTGGTGGATAAAAAATGTTCTTGACACTAATCACGTACACTACAGGCCAAAAGTTTGGAAGCAAGGCCATTACAGGCCGAACAGTTGGGAGTAACCTCAAGTTTTTGTTCACAATGCTTTTTTTAAAATCCAGCATGAGTTTTTTGTATTTTGGGATGTATTTACTCCATGATTAGATGTTGCTTTCAAGGAAATGCACCATTTTACTCCATTTACCTTTAGATATACCTTGATTTTAATAGACCATTTCTAAATATATGTCAGCAAAAGATAATAAGGGCTTAGTTTTAGGGTTGAAAACATTTGCAAGAGTCACAACTTCAGGGCAAAAGCAAATAAAAACAAATCGCAGTTGGATTATTCACTTCAACTTTTTGGCTTTTGAGAGTCTGCATACAAAAATCCTAATAAATCTCAACTGCATCACACCACTGCAAAAATGGCTAGAAAGAAGCAACTGAGTAAAGAAACAAAAGTACAGATTTGTACATTGAGGAAAGAAGGATACACAGAAAGAGAAACTGCAAAACGCCTAAAGGTGTCTAACAAAGGAGTCCACTACACTCTGAAGAGACTAGAGGAACCTGGAAGTTATGATGATAGAAAAAGACCTGGACGAAAGAGAGTTACTACAAAAGCAGAGGATAAACATAACATTGTCACCAGTAAGAGAGATCGGCAAAAGACAGCACCACAAATAAGGGAGGAAATCAACATGACAAGGTCGAAACCCATATCTCTGACAACTGTGAAATGATGTTTGAGAAAGGCTGGTCTGAAGGGTTGTGTATCTGCAAAAAAAACCTACTTTGTCCACAGAACAAGAAAAAGAGATATGAGAGGGCAAAAGCTGACAAAAATTGTACTTACGATGACTAGAAACAAGTTTGCACTGTTTGGTTCAAAACGCAGAGTCCATGTCCGCAGACAAACTAGTGAACGTCTAAAAGCAGCATGTGTTACACCCACAATTCAGCATGGAGGTGATAGTTCCATGGTATGGGGATGTTTTGCAGGTGATGGAGTAGGAGCTTAGTTTGACGTAAAGGGTATCATAAAGAAGGAACAGTACCACTCCATCCTCCAGCACCATGCTGTTCCATCTGGACTCAGACTTGTGGCTCATAAGTTTGTTTTGCAGCAAGACAATGACCCTAAGCACTCTGCCAAGCTCTGTCAGGGTTACCTAGAGAAAAAAGAAGAGGAAGGTGTTCTTCAAAAGATGGTTTGGCCCCCTCAGTCTCCAGACCTTTCTCCAATTGAGCTTGTGCGGGATGAATTGGATAGATCGGTCAGAAAAACGCGTCCCACGAATCAGCAGTCTCTTTTTAATGAACTTAAGAAAGCTTGGAATGCAATCCCTGGAACATACCTTAAAAAACTTGTGGAACGAATGCCTGGTATATGCCAAGCTGTTGTTAAAGCCAGAGGAGGTTCCTTTAAAGAAAGCAAAGTCTAAGCAACAATAACTCAAATACCTAATAATTATAGTCAAAATGTCTTCTGATAAGTTACTCTTTACACAATAGTCATGTTTATTGTGTTGCAAATTATAAAATTAAATTTAAATAAAAACATATAAACTAATTAGTCCAAAAGGTAAGAAGTAGTTGTTATCTCTAGACATTATTTCCCCAAATCTTCCCAAAAAGCCTTTTGAGTTAGACACTTCCAAGTGCAGAAAAATAATATCCAAGGACTCTTTCCTATGAATCCTATGAATTAGCAGCTTTGTAGCTTTTGATTGTCAATATTTGTCCAAACAGTAAACCCATATGTAGCTTAAAATTGCTTTCAATCGTAGTTTCACTGTTTCCCACTCTGAAACTTTATACTTTATGTAATTTTGACTCAGGATTAGATGAAGAATGACCCAGATCTTTCCTGGGAATTAATGGCACAAAAAATGTGTTTTCACATGAAAACAACTGGTCCTCCTTAAAGCTCCTGTAAGGAACTTTGTTAATGTTGACTTTGGCACCACCTGCAGAGAAGGTGTTTTCTCCCAGTTGTGTGCTGATTTCATCCTGCACTTGAATAAACTGATCTTTGTGATTGAAATCCCGCCATATGGTCTTTTAGCAGTGTAACAGATTTTTCACCATGACTCTTTATTATGTAAAATATTTAACAATTCATCCTGACTGGATGGCATGCTATCAGTCACCGTCTGACACCTTCACATACCCGGGTACAGTTTTGTTATCAATTTCATTGTCAGTCTTTTCTATGGCCGTCAAAAACTTCTCATAGGACCTCTGAACAGAATAAGTTGTAAGATTTAAGAAAATCAAAACATGGTGACACAGAGTTGCCACGTAAATAAACTTTTATTACCAAGCAATGGCACATGGAGTGGCATAACATGACCTGTGCAAGATTCTTGTGCTTGACATATACACATTATTAACAGTCATCAAACCAGCTCATAGAAAACACCATTTACAAAATGTTACACTTTTATACAGTACATAAACAAAGAAGCTGATGCATGTCCAGGAGAAGCTTGTGTAACTGTGGCTCAGAGCCATCAGACAGAGATGATCGTCCAACACCACGTCCAGAAAGTGACATCAGATGGTGTACATCATGACAGACAATGAGAGCAGTCAGAGAGCAGACAGAAACACAAACAGAGGAGTTCAGTCCATCACTTCAGTGCAGACACATGCATCCTCAGCACTGCTCGAACCCGGCCATTAGAGAGAGGGCCAAAGACTCCACTGTACCAGGAAGAAGAAGCAGAGGAACAAAGACAGTTCCAGGAATTATTTTGATTCAGTTGTATGTTTTATCGAGTGAAAAGAAAATCATCAATGTAACAGGATCAGTGTTCTACTCACAGTGAGGAAAGGAGCCTCGACATACGGCCTTATTAAGAATCGTCACCAGGAACATGTGACAGTTCTTGAAATCTGATTCCATTTTATCAATAGACTCGATCCTGAAAGTGAAAAAATAATCAGACCAAAACAGGCTATCAATGAAGCAGCAGTATCAGGAATAAAAGTCACATACTTTGCAGTCAAAATTCAGCCTTAAAATTGTTTTTAACACTACTATTCCAACTTTGAAGACAGAAAATACAGGACAGGTACAGCTTTGACATTTTTTTTTGATACTATCAAAACTCTTACTTCCAGGCTCCAAATCCAGCCTGCCATCGGTCAGAGAAGATGAGGACCAGATTGAGAACCTTCATTATTGCCTCTTTCACAAAACTGACCTGAGAAAACAGAAAAACACTCTTCAACATGTGATTCAAAAAGTGTGACTAACAACTCTTGACCAGGCAAAGTGTAAAAGGGAAAAGTGAATGTAAAATGCATTAAACCTGCATTCTTTCTATGGGCCAGCAGGGGGCGACTCTAAAGGGTTCAAGATGAGGTTTGACTGAATACTTACCAAGCCGTCTTTTGAAATAACAATAATCTATTGAGTTTTTATGTCTAAGTGGCCAAGTGTGCCTTTTTTGCTGTCATCAGCTTTTTTCATAGCTCATAGTTTTTTGGTCATTGTTAAAACTCATTTGACACCTACTCTACAGCAGCAGTTAGACATTAAAAGTCAAAAATAATCTATTTTTATGCTAACGGCCTTGTTTGTCTTTGTAGCCAATATAGAGGCATCGTATTATTTTCAGTGTGTTTCATAGCAAGCTAAAAACTCCTCACAGGAGCTTTAAAGGTAATGTTCTGGTCACTGCTGTTTCTATTTCACATTCTGATGTACTTAAAGACACTATTAGAGTTTATTTAAACCCTATTAGTATTTTTGCTTGCATGCAACAAAAAATTTTCTCACATTGCAAGTGCTGAATTGAGTAAGTAACCCGATGACAATGTTAGCCAATAACTTGTTTTGTAAACCTGCTAACCTTAGCTGCTCCTTCTCGCACCATTGTTGCACCCAAACATTGAACTCTGCCCAACTTTGCAAAATTTCTATTTTGATTGAAGCTCTAGACTTACTTAACTTTATGCTTGATGCTGTTGATATTGTTCTACTTATTGAATTAGGGGAATTGTATTTTTCACTGGGTCTTATTTAATCATTCTTCTTTGTTTGTGTATGTTTTCTTTGAGCCTTTGCTGCAACACTAATTCCCCATTCTACACAATTCAAATCTGGTTCTACTCAAACTGATTGAGGAAAATCACAGTGCTGTTACCTTCTCCCTCAGTAGGCAGCGGTCATGAATAGTAGCTAGATATCTGTAATGGATCTTGATCAGCTGGTCCAGGTCTTTTGCTTCTTGTACTTGGTGCTGAAACTCCAGTCCTGTACTGTGCAGAATCTGATAAAGCAAAAGGTACACACATTCAAAATGAGGTGATCTACAGGAAATCAGATGTGGTTTAACCTTCAACACTTTCTGCTATTTTCTGATCCCCCTCCTCTTTTTGAGGTTTGTGGGTTTAATACTCTGGACAGTCTTAATCCTGTTTAATTCAGGTGTTAAAGCAGTCAATACAATTCACTTAATGGCTGTACATTTTTACAATAAACCACAAATATAATATGCCTTTTTAGAGGAGAAGCTCTAACATCTAACAACAGGAGAAACACATGGTTATATCGTCACTCTTCATCATGAATGTTTCTGTAATACCTCTGCTGTTCTAAGACTGGCTGTGTTGTGTTGCAGTTCAGAGGCCTGTGTCGGGATTTGTCTCACCCTTGTTGTGATGTAGTTGTGAAGGCTGTTGACAAAGTGCATCAGTTTGACCCTCAGCAGACACATCCGATGAATCTGCTGATTTATTGGCTCTTTGACTTTTACTTCCTCACCCACAACTCCCTCCAGCTTCTTCGTGGCTGCTGTTAAATCTGTGAACAACAAAAACAGTTACTTAACATTGCAAAAAAAAAAAAGATGTGAAATGACTGTTTTTTCAGGCGGTTTTTCAGACAAGTTTAAGTTAGAGGCTGCATGTGGGTAGACACCAATTTTTTAAGGAACCAAGTAATGCAACCATGCCCTCAGAAATAAAACACAGTACTTTTTGATGACTTAACTGCCTTTATCTGAATATTTATCATTTGTGGATATGCACTTGTGTATGGTTATAGTGACATAAATCAGAAGTTTTTCTTAAATCACTTTACTCCCTGCTTCCACCAAGCTTCTGGTACATCAACCCTGCAAGCCGCTGGGCACAGCTTTTGTTTTTTGGTAATGTTGACTTAACACTTTGTTCATAAAAACTTAAAACTCCCCCCAAATGCAGAGTTTGTCAGTAGACCATCATCTAAATCACAATGGGGTGATTCAAACTTCAGAGAGTCACTGTAACTCCTACCACTGAAGCGAAGCGTGTCCAAGCTGTATTTTGCCCATTTGATCTGCAGCAGGAGGAGAAACACCTGATTGTAGATCTTCTGACACTCAGAGCTGATCACAATGTCAACAGGCCAGGGGACCTGTGAGGGAAAAGAGGTAAGAAACACCATTAAAGTGAACAAAACTTGAAAAAAATCTGGTCAAAATCAGGATTTGTGTTGCTTACCTTGTAACTTAGAGTGAGAACTTCCAGATTGTTCACAGGATGCTTTTTCCGGGCAGGATCAATGTTCTCAAGGAATACTGACAACCTTTAAATTCAACATTTTGGGGACAGAATGTGAACTTTCAATAATAAGATAATAAGATAATTCTTCTAATACTCATAACCACCTCTTCGATCAGATACTTCTTTTTAGATATATTTATTACCTGCTGCTGTCCTCAGGGTTGCGCTGTCCAACAGCTTCCTGTAGCTGGACGTTAAGAAAAGAAGGCTGCTGCCAGCTCTCCTTCTCCTGCACTTTGTCAAAGATGGCTGTGTAAAAATCATACATGGTGTCTCCGGCTTCCAGCAGAAAGTAGTTCCTCATGGCTTGGAGGTATTCCAGCAACCTGTTCACACACATTCAGGAATTCAGGAAACCTCTTTGCATGGATTAATATATTAAAACTAAATTCTACACCACACAACATCAAAAATGATTCTTACTTGTAGTCTTTTTTTAGAGTCCTCATGAGGTTCCCGCAACACTCTATGTACCTCCTCTCGATGTGGGGGTAGAGGCAGGAGCGCAGGGTGAGCTCAAACGTTTGACAGGTGACAGACTGAGATGATCTGTCCACAATGAAATTACCTCCAGAGAAACGCTCATGAAAATCACTCTGCTCCAAATACAGCCTGAGACAGCAAAGAAGATTGTTAGAACTCGACTAAGTGATCTGATCACTTTGAGTGCATCCATGTTGGCCCAGAAAACTATTGAATGCAGGGATTTCACAAATCCAGTTTTTCACTTCCCAAATAGCTCTGAGGCTCGTCTCATTGGAATATGTTCAAAATCTGATGACTGAGTGATTTGGATTTCTGAGCAGGATACACAAGAGCCGCCAACAGAGGAAGGAGAAAGAGCTGCTGATGGTGGATTACTGAAAAAGTCAAATCTGTGGCTTTGAGACAAACAACACCCAGTAGGGCTGGGCGATAAATAAATGGGTAAATAAACGATAACTACTCCACAAGCTGCTTATCCTCTCCCACATTAACTTCGTCTACTTCAGGCGCCGCTCCAGCCGCTCCAACTTTTGAACCATCCTCCATCTCCTCACCTGTCTTTCCCTCTTTGTTAAGGATTGGATGGGGTGGAGTCACGTCTCTGACATAGGACAGCGTCTTAGAGGGACATGAGACCATAGCCTACCTACACACATCCAAAACCAACTTTTATTTATTTATTCATTTGACACCCAATATACCGATATGGGCAAAATGACATTGGTCACTTGGGTAAATTTTGTTATGGGTCAATTTTCAGTTTATCGCCCAGCCCTAACACCCAGCATACTACTGTTGATAGGGAGTGAGAAGTCCTTCCACACATGCTCTGAAAGTTTCTCGGACATTGTTCAGCTGTATGCATGTATGAAGGAGGCCTATTAGGACTGTGTGAGAACATTGAGAGATCCATCCTCATTTCGTGAATGACGGGTCATTACTTTCAATTTCTGTATGTTTGGGATTCGAAATGAGAATATCTATTTAGTTCCTCCTGGTGCATGTGATGCAGTCTGATCTTTATATTGTTTGGGATTTTAAAAATCCTGCCATCTAAGCCTAGCCTTACTGACCCAAATTTGCAGCAACAAATATTCAAATCTCTTGACATCTCATTGTCCTAAGACCATTTTAGGGATTATAAAGCCTTCAGTTGCAAAGATTCACCACACAATGACAACTAGATGAAAAAACTGAGCTTTAGATTTGATAGGATAACAGCAGAGGATTAGAAAAATGGTCTCCTATCCCACATTCTTCCATTTTAATTTGTGTAATTTTCTGTGTCGGACCTCTGTCTGTAGCAGGAGATATTTTTTAAATATGAGAGCAGCTGGTTGCTGCTTACCTGGCAAAGTTGATTGCCAATAAAGGATCATGGACGTCAGCGATCTCCAGGTGCTGTGCGATGATGGATTGCATCTTTATGAGGCTCCTTTTAGTGGCCTGCTGTTCAGTCACTGTGTCTGCAGGTGACTGCTCCTGGCTGCTGAGACGTGACTGCACCGACTCCAGAAACAGCGTGTACAAACTTTTCCTCTCTGCATCTGCAAAAATAATGAGATTGTTCACAGAAATGCAGCAACACTGATCCGTTTAGTGAAGGAACTTTGAAACATTGGCAGGATGAATTCAGACTGTCTTTATATTATATTATATTCTCCTCTTCAAACAATGGAAAGCCTCCACTGCACTAGCACCTTCCTACTGGCACACCTCTCTTGTTCAGCTGGCTGCCCTTGAACGGTTGGGCAGTGAGGTTGCTGGATATGATGGATGAGTATAATCTAAAATGGGGGCATTATCACTCACTTCTAACTCCAGGTTTACGATGTATCAGGATCAAAAAAGAAAATAAAAAAACGTTGTTAAACCATTACATAAAAATTCGAATAATTTGTGCATCAGTGTTCAGTCTGTTTTCAATTTTGTCATTTTTTAATTATTAGTTTTGTTTTTGCATTTTCAGATGTCCAGGATGTCTTCCACTCTTATATTTATCAATCAATCAATCAATCAATCAATCAAACTTTATTTATAAAGCGCTTGTCCTACAGGAAAGCTTAATTCATGCTTTTCCTACTTAATTCATGTTGTTTACTTGATTTTCTCACACCAAAAGTTGTATTTTTGTTTCGTTCAACAAGAAAGGAATAAACTACTTACCATAAAAAACACAGTTACGGTGCATCAAGCATGACACAAGCCCTAAAGGAGTTTATCTGAGATGTTGACTGGTAGTTGGCCAAATGATTAACATGGGATTGAAGTACAATAAAGCAAGATCCCACTCGCACCAATACCAAATGATGGATGCTCAAAAAACAGAACAATTAGTTGACTGACCTCTCATACCTAAAATTAAGAGTTTCTAGAGTTCTAGAAATGTTTAAGGTCAAAAAAGACAATATTCATACACTGATAAATTGGTTGACTATAGACCGTTACTGATACTGATATTTACAGCAGCTTATGTGAAGCCAAACAATGGAGGACTTCTTGCTCCAAAAAAGTCTTTTTTTATCATTTGTTTGGCAAATTTCTAACTTTCACTGCAGAAACATTCATTTCCCTGTTGCTATGAAATGGAAGTATCAAAGTCAAACTATACCTAGTCTGACATAAACATTTGTAGAGTCTCCTACATCCTCTTTAATCTGATAACTGGTTTTAGACTGTTAAAAAAAACTTTGTGTGGTCATAAAAGAAGATTTTTAACATCAGCTGGTAAAGTGGGCACAGACTAAGACCAAAAGCAGCTAGAATGGCTTCAAATAAAGGTGATCAATACAGAATGAAAATATAATTGGGGCTTGCCTTACAGACCCAGAGTGGCAAACACTGACCTCTGGAGGATTTGTCTGACTGTTCAGCCTCTTTGCAGTCCAGATTTTTGAGCAGCTGCATGGACTTTCCAGCCATGATGATCTGCTTGAGCACAGGCTTGAGGAAGGACACCATGGTGAGCTGCCTGTTGTTAGAGCCCTGATCTCCTCCTGAGCTTCCACTGGCCGCGTCATTTAGCTTCTCCTCGTTGTCCACCGTCTCAGAAACACTGTACAGGGTGTAGGTGGCGTACCAGAAGTCCCTGTGGTTCACTGGGACGTCCTTGTTCCTGAGTAAGAAAAGACAAATAGAACTTAAAAAAACATCATTTATTGTCGTGTGGAGGCCAAAGTGTTCTTTGCTACAGACCTCTGGATGATGAACTCTTTTGCAGGGTCAAAGAGGTGGCCGTGAACAATCCATTCATCCACAATCTCCAGATATGGTCTGACAGTCTCGGTCCACAGGGAAAATAATAATGCCACCTGGCAAGAAAGATCGCAGACAGAAATTATCATCCGTACATTTTTATGGTAAAAATGATTCTGTTTTATATGTTTAATAATGAACTGAACTTACTGCTTGTTCTGACGCCTCCCCGACGCTGTCATATTCAATGATGGCTTTGTACAGGGTGTTTAGCAGGTGGGAAGCCCGCACAACATTTGGAGTCTCAGGGGGGACTTCAGCAACCCCTGTGCAGAAGACTTTGTGCAGAACTTTGATTTGTGCCAAATGAGGGTTGAGTCGCTCCAGAACTGCAGAGAGGGTCACCGTCTCATCTGCAAGAGAAAACAACACAGTTAACTCCTATTAATATATAAGACTAACGTCACTGTAGCTGAAACACCATCATAGTCTTCTGATGGATATTTGGACACTTTTTAAAATGTAAAATTTCATTACATGTTGATACTACCTCATACGTTGGCCCTCACACACACACACACACACACAGAAATATAACTCTTCATGAATGATCTGTTATCCTGGTTAAGTAGTTTGACTCCGATAAATGTTTAATATGTACTCGCCTTCACATATCAGCTCTCTCTCAATTGTTGTCAGCTCCTCTTTGAAGCCGGTAAAGTATTTGTTGAGCGCCCACACAAAGGCCTGGTATGTCCTGAAGGGAGGCTCTGAGCCTTTCTTGGAACCATGTGAGGGACCAGAACCTGGTGGGCCGGGCTCACAGCTGTACCCTGTCACCTCATCTATGAACCTCTGCAGCCTGAACACCGCCTGCCCGTACACAGCAATATGCTCCAGGACAGAGTGCAAACAGTTCTGAAGCAAACAGAGAGCAAGAGACTGACTTCAACACAAGAGACATGTTTAAGATACAAAAGGCACAATCTTCAGATGTATGACTTACACTGGTCAGGTGAGTGACCACCACATTGTTTCTTACTGACACTTTTCCATCATGTTGTTGGAAAATGAAATGTTTCTTCACCCCAGAGAGGAGCCTGAAACAAAACCATCACACAGCTCAAGTTTTTGAGGAAATTTTATCTGAATCAAATGAAACTGGACATAGTTGACGAAATGGCTTAATGATTTACGGGGTAATAAAAGCAGAACTTGAGAGAAAGTGAGAGATTAGTTTCCTACTGAGTTTGTACAATGTGCTCCGTCACAAACCACAGCCTCTTTTTTTTACAACTTACCACAATGTCTCACGTATGACTTGGGTCTCTGTTACAAAGGCTTTTTCTTCAGGGAGGTACAAAGGATCCGTGTTGTAGAGGTGCTGATCCCTGAGAAAAGAGACAGTGGAGGTTACATTTAACTTTTTAACTCAGAAAATACCACCAAGTTTACTCCTGTTTCTGCCAACTAACATCACTGTCTGTGCTGTTGTTAAGGGGTACTATTTTACAGACTAGTTTTGTCAACTAATTTTCAGACTATGTCACAATGTGTAGCTTGACAAAACAACAGAAAACATACAATATAAAGTACATATTTTTGCTACATTTAAATAAAACAGTCATTTTTGATGGCCAATATCACAGAAAATATACTATTATATATATTTTATAATTATATTATTATATTATATTATATACTATTATTATTATTAAATATACTACTAGATTCCTGTGATAAACTTCAGAGTGGATTTAGGAACATTAACCTACAATATGGTCAAAAAGTCAAGAAAAAGTAACCAAATTTACAGAATTTTAACCCTTATGTCCTAATTTTATTGAAGGCAGTTGTAATATATTGAAGGTCAAGTAATCATATTGTGATTAATTAGACCACATTATGAAAAAATTCAAAAAATCAGCAGGGAGAGGCCAATAAAAGTCTGTCTACGACTGACAAAAGAAATCTACATGGAAACATTAGGAGTGGTCAGTCAGTACCAAAAAAAACACATTATCTACTCAAAGCAGAAGAGAAGCCAGTGTCTGCAAAGTCATAGGCTGCAGATTCTGAGACAGTAATTCTAAGATTCTTGAGCACCAACTAGTGCTCACCTATGTCTGCATTTTCAGTGTCCGTCACCAGAGTTCTGAGTGTAATGCTAACCAAAACCTTTGCAACAACACAAGGGGTTATTACGACATGTGTACAGAACATCCGACTCTGTAGACACAGACTACTGGCCGTCTAAGACCTTGTTTTTCTTTCACACAAGAGCATGATGAGGAGTTAAGAGCTACTATGAAGAAAAGTGGTTTAGAAACATCTGAGCCTCCTCAAAGTGGAGAGGGGCCTAACTTTTAGAAACACCAGAGGGTGAAAGAGCCCGCTTAATAACCCCAATTGTGCATGACTCACGCTGGCCATTTCTCTCCATTTAGCTTCATGTTTGGGTTGTGGGGGATGTTAGCAGTGAACATTTAGGATGTTGCGTTAAAAACTACTGAATGAAGACATTTTTGCTATATTGTAAACAACAGCTCGGAGTCTTACCACACATTGAGCAAGTTGGAGTGTAAATGTAAGCTGTGAGGAAAACGTGGCGCATGAGCCACCCAATACGGCGTTACAACATGCTGTTCAAGCCAGGATCGAGCATCAGGCTCACCCACTGAAAAGACATGAAGTAGTGTTATTATTGTATTCAAAATAATCTGTTAAAGTCCTGTATCAAGTTCACAGAACTTCTTATTTGTACATTTTTAAGAGTTTCATACGGCCTATTCTTTGCAGTGTTATCTGTGCGCACCTGTCCATGTAACTGGGACCGTCTTGTTGTTGGTATCAGGGTCCTCTTGGGGAGTTTTGTCCAACTGGATCCCAGAGTCATCCCTGCTGATTGGCTGCTGGCTGTCATCATCCTCACTTTCTTCCTCAGACCATTCCTACAAAACAGCAAAGGCCAAAGGATATACGAAATTCAATTTAAACCCGAGAAGGAACTTCTCTCTTTCTGCTGGGATCTTTGTAATTTTCGATTTTACACAAACTGATGCAGAAATGTAAGCTTGACAGGCTCTGTGTGTTGCAGCTTAAAAAACAAACATGACAGAAAAAATGTGAGGAAAACCCATGGTCCTCCTCGGAGTCATAATGTTGACAACAACTCTTCATGCAAGACGGGTTATAATCTATGACAACATGTTATGTCTATAAACAATAGTCATCTATATGTATTGTGGTAATTTTTTATCTATATAGGATGGATTTCCTAATGATATACTCACAGGAGTGTCTGGGTAAGGTCCAGCGTCTACATCCTCACCCTCCATCAGATAACTAGCCCAGTCAAAGTTGTCCGCCTCATCTGCAGATGAAGGATGAAGGAATACTGATGAGCTTGAATTTGCACGTGTTTCTTAATGATTTGAATAAATGACGTAACATCTCACCAGCCTCCTTCACCCTGGGTCTCTCAGTAAAGTCTGTGTTTGAGAGGGACCCCGACAGAAAGAGCAGCAGTGATAGTATGCTGTAGTGTACATCAGTCTACGAAGGAATAAAAACAGAAAGAAATGTTATGTATTTTCTAACATATTCAGTTTCTAATTATAGGATTCTGTGGTAAAAGTATCCAACAGAATTTGTGTTGTGTTTACTTTCACTGTATTAACATGTTTATCCTTTGTCAGCCCTTGTCTGTGTGATACCTTTGATCCTTCAGTATTAGGTAAAGGTGAGTTCAGGAACTCATTGGTCAGCCTCATCCAACTTTCTGCTTTGCTCAAGTCTGAATGAACCATGAGCTTTTCGTGGATTCTGGAAAACACAGTGGATTATGTTGATACAAGTGTCCTGCACAATAAGAAACAACACAGATTTTTGCTTCTCATTCCCAGCTTCAGATTCAGCTGTTATGGGGGGGGGGGTTATGTAAAGAGGATGATCATGGCCAGTTTGAGAAAATGTTAGTCAACAGCAATGGTCCTAAAGAGAAAAGCGATTTTGTTCGTTTATTTTGTTAATTCTGTTTATTAATGTCTATCAGCATTCAAATGGAAAACGTGAGGCTTTTAAGTGAAATAACATGACACAATGTTCACTTTGTGTTTTTAAGTAATTTAGGCCTAAATCCCACGAAGCTGAAATAAATCCGAACTAGTCCCTAGTTCAGATCTGGGATCTGGGATTAATTGTATAAAATACAAACTAAAATATCTAATTTCTGTAACTGAATCGTTTCTACTTGATACAATATGCTTAAGTGAAAGGTAGTTTTAAAACATTTTTATCAGTATTATATAATATAGTGACTGTGACATTATAGAGCCAAAATGTGAGATCATTATCTACAAAAACTCAACTGAAATGCAAACACTTTGTTTCTATCTACTTGATATGACAATTTGTAAAAAAAAAACAAAAAAAAAACACATGCACCACATGACATTTTTTAAGGCCACGGGCAATTCATCTATATGAAAAAACACTAAAATTGTGTAATTTAAAAATATAACATTTATTTTTGTATACACAAAATCCTTAGTGTTTGAACTTTTGCAAAATATATTCTTATTTTTGCTATTTTAAAATTGGCATGTTTATAAACCTTATACGTCATTGACCCCTACACAGAAAGAGACCTGCTTTTTTTTTTTAAAGAGCTAAGTCAAGTTTTCACAAATCTGGAACTGTGTTTTTAAGAGACATATGCCTCAACAGAATAATGTAGTCTGAATCCGAGAACTTTAGGTAATGGGGTTTTGGATCTGGACATAGTCACGGGTACTTAAATCTTCATTCACTCTCCACAGCTACAGTTTCACGCAAATATAGCTGTGTTTTTGACTATCTTTGGACAATATAGGTAGACGTCTAATATAGGTACACGTCTATGTAATAATACCTGGATTGTATCCTTGGTTCCATGACATTTTCACAACTAAATCAGAGGTTGGTAAGAGGGTGCTAACTTCAGCATCGTCCACCACAAGACATATTGTCAAATAAATTGGGGGATTGATCAATTGCAGTATTGAAAACAGCGAACATGCCACGTTCTTGGAGAGACACCCAACGTAACAAATGGTGCGTTAGACTTCCAGTAAGCACACACTCACCCACTTATACTCCGTCGGATTTTGTGGCTGTCCACATCCAAGAAGCGGTGAAACCTGTCAGAAAACGTCAACAGCATGACTCAATGCGGCTAATGTTTGGGTTACATGTTAGCAGCTAACGTGCTAACTTCAACGCTGTCTATAATGCCAACTCACTTGAAATTGGACCAGGTAAATTTCAGTGCCAGCTGAAAATTCTGGTCCTCTTCATCCTCGACCCCGCTGATACATTTTATCAACTTCTTGGTTTCTCTCTCTGTCTCCTGTTCGAAGGTGCTCCAGTGTGCCATATTGATGAACACAGTTGTGTGTTAGCTTGACGTATAACTCATCTACAGATCGTCAGGTTCTTGTGAGATAAGCTTGTGAACTTGTGTGTTTATATACTTGCGCGAAGACTTCTTAATTATTATGTAACAAATAGATACGAACGAATCTGCTGTTTCTCCATTGAATCCTTCAGATGCCGCGCTGCGTTTGTCTCCAACAACCAACCATGTATGCAGATGCGCATGCGCAGCTCCAGTTTGCATTGAGGTTTAATGTTAAATTGCGGTAAGAAAGACTTCACTTTAGCTAAACTTCAGCTTCAGGAAAATGGGCTCATGTAACATCTAGTCATAACAAAAAACATAACCAACTCAAATACAACGGTAACACTGTTTCGCTAACTTCCCATGATTCATTGCACTCCAGCGCGGTTACTGTTAGCAGCATTCGTTAGCATCTCTTGCTTCGAGGCTCTCTAATCACACCAGCCAATCAGCCAACTCCCATGAGTCGTTGCTCTCTAGTTTGGTTACAGCTGTAGGTGGGCGTTGGAGTCTCTTTTCATAAAGGCTCTTTGGCATTTTGAATCAACAGTCCTCCTCGTTCGTACACGCCGTTACTTTATTTTGTACACCATTTCACAGATACGTTGATACTTTAAGATTTTAAAGTATTAATTTCAATGATTTTTTGACTACTTTTAAACATTAGAGTGGAGAATGGCGTGTTCTGTCTTTAAAGGGGCGTGGTTTACATCCCATCACATACACACAAACACACGCACCCTCACACACATAACTTTAGTGTAGCAACCACAGCGCTCACTGACAAAGCGTTGTGTCGACCCTCCTGAGAAGAGGCTAACCAGCCCCCTCCCGGAGAAAGGAAATGAAGAGGAGGCTACACAAGAAATACTTGGTACTTATCCTGGCATATTCAGGGTTACTTTTACTAATACCGTACGTCTTAGATTACCGGGATAAATCCGTTCAGCATGGGAAACACGGACTAACGCAGCAACAGTTCAGATGCCCAGATCTGGAGAACACGGTGGCGCTGCTGTGGGATAACGGTTACAAAGTTAACGGCAGCGACGCAACGGAGCTAGCGGTCAACAGGAGCCAGTCTCGGATACACATCTACCTGCATGCCACATGGAGGACTGGCTCCTCGTTTCTGGGGGAGTTGTTCAACCAGCACCCCGATGTGTTTTACCTATACGAGCCGATGTGGCACATATGGCAGGCTCTGTACCCGGGAGATGCGGGTAGCCTTCAGGGCGCTGTGCGGGACATGATGAATGCGCTCTACCGCTGCGACTTCTCCGTCCTCAAACTTTACGCAGGCCCACAAAATATCACCACGTCGTTCATTTTCGGCTGGAAAATGAACAAAGTAATATGCTCGGAGCCATTATGTGAAGCACACAAGCGGCATGAAATTGGTTTGGTGAGGGAGGACCAATGCGCCAAGTGCCAAAAGCGGGACATCAGGGAGCTGGAGAGGGAGTGTAAAAAGTACCCTGTGATGGTGATCAAAGGAGTCCGCGTTTTGGACCTGAGCACCCTTGTTCCCCTCATAAGAGACCCGGCAATAAACCTTCAGGTCATCCAGCTTTTCAGAGACCCGAGGGCGGTGCACAACTCCCGCTTGAAATCCAAACAGGCCCTGGTGAAGGAGAGCATCCAGGTGCTGAGGAGTAAAAAGCAAGCCGACAAATACAAGCGTCTGCTGGTGCCGAGCAACAAGGTGAACCGGGCTGAGAGCTACGTCTCCAGCGCCATGGAGCTCATCTGTGACAACTGGCTGAGTGACATGATGCTGGTGATGAACTCTCCCCCCTGGCTAAGGAGGAACTATTTGCGCATCCGTTATGAGGACCTGGTCCTGCACCCCATGGAAGAGCTGCAGAGGCTGTACCGCTTCTCCAACCTCTCCTCCTTCCCTGCTCTGGAGAAGTTTGCGCTGAACATGACGCACGGACAGGGTTATTCTTCAGACAGGCCGTTTCTGATATCATCCAGGGATGCAAAAGAGGCGATATACGCCTGGAGGGAGAGACTCAATGTGGAGCAGATCAACCAGGTGGAGGCCTACTGCAGTGAAGTCATGAGGCAGCTGGGGTACCAGAAAAACAGCATGGAGAAGGCAACATGAGGACAAACCCTGAGGAGTATATAAACTAAGGTATGAGCTCACACATCAGGCTTTAATTCAAGGGTGAATGCAGGTTTACATCTGCAGAGTCTAAGTGCCCATGCTGCCAAATCATCACGATTTTCAACCTGACAAAGCAGGAAGTTTTGGGTTTTAACAGAAACCATCTATTAAACATCAGGCCTGCTTCTGTGCTCTGCAGCTGATCCTTGACCTTTGACCTTCCTCTTAAGGAGGCAAATACCGCACAGGGTCTGTGTGGGGATATCACATTAAGACTGCAAACAAAGACAGGACACAGGGTTTAATAAGATGCATTTTATACCAAACCTGCATTCAAGCATAGAAAATCCCTCTCTGTTAGGTTCTCCCAGCGATCTCCAGTTACGGAGAAAAAAACCCCAAATAAAACAAACCTAAAAAATATAACAACACTGCGTGAAAACAACAGCACACTGGGTAAAGTGGCTGAGATCATGTGAGATCGTACAGGAGAAACTGAGGTGCCGATCTCTGTATCTGGAGCACTAAAGCCCAAGTCCTTTTCTACAGAACATATGTTTCTAATTGTTCCTCTCTATTAAGTTGACCCTCACAGTGTACAATGATTTATGTGCTGGCCCCACAAGGTTGCTTTTACTTTCATCTCGAATGAAATTCAGGCATGTTTGCTCAAGAATTAATTTCCTGTGGTCCAAAATACAACTTTCACTGTAGATACTTCAATGCCATTTTTTCCTGATACTGATTCTAAAACTGTTACAACCAGATCAGGTCATCAGATACAGTTATCATAGTCTATCAGTGAAGCTACTTACCCCATGTGAATCTGATTTTTTAAATAATTGTATGGCCTGGTTCAGGTTTAACTTTTAAACATGAGCAAGGACAGTCCTAATTCTAAAAAGGCAAGACTTACGTTAGTAAAATAGGCTTTGAGGGTTAGAAAATCTTTTAAACCCCATATGTAGTTGAAATAGAACAGCGACAACATATTAAGTGTTGAAACTGATTTGTGTGTGTGTGTGTGCATGTGTGTGTTATGAAAAAATTAATATTCTCAGTTTAATTTTCATGCCACATTTTTAAAAACTCAGACATAGACAAAACACATTGTCTGTGCCATTGACAGATTGTGTAAGGCTATAAAAAAGAACACCAGGAGGAACATCTCTTAACTAATCAGGTTAATTTACAACAGAGTAACATGGCTGGGTACAAAAGGGGCATTTTAGCGTGGCTGAGTGTCTCAGAGGTAAAGATGGGAAGAGATTGACCACTCTGTGATAGACTTAGTGAGGAAAAAGGTTCAACAATCTCAAAATAATGTTCCCAAATTCAAAATAATGCGGGGATTAAATCACCTGAAGTACAAAATATCATTGAAAGAACTGGAAAAATCTGTGTACAAAAGAGAAAAGGCCGAAAACCAATACAGGATGGTTGTAATCCACAGGACCTCAGATGGCATTGCATAAATTGAATCTGCAGTGGAAATCTCTTTACAAGCTCAAAATCATATCTATTTTGTCACTGTAGTCACAAATTCTGGTTAAAATTATATCATGCAAAGAGAAAACCAGCTATAAATAAGATCCAGAGACAACGGAAACTTCACTTAGTCCGAGTGATTTAAGAGTGATGGAGGCAAAGTAGGAAACTGTCCTATAGAAAGGCACATCCAAACATTATTTTTTAGAAGAGTCACATTGTTATCAGTGCACAGTTGTAAAGCCATCTTCTGTTATAGTATGAGGATGCATGAGTGCACATAGCATGGGTAACTTTCACTGATTAAATAATGCCAAACCACATATAATAACAGCATGGCTCAGTAGTGGAAGAGTCCAGGTTATCTGTTCTGATTGTAGTTTCAACTTGTCACCTAATGAGATATGTGGTCCACCATGAAACAAAACATAACATAGGAGAACCCAAACTGTTGAGTGTCTAAAATCTTATATCAGGCAAGAAGTGGATAAAATTTCACTTTCAAAACCCCAGAAGCTGAACTGCTCTGTCCTAAAACATGTGTAAAATGATTTTTTTTAAAGAGGGAAGTGCAACACAAGGGTAAAAGTATCCCTAGCCCCTATTTTCAGATAAGGCTTTATGTGACAGGAGGGTCAGTCTGAGGATTAACAATCAGTAGATATTAAAGAAAAGGGAGAAAAAAAACAAACACATGTAAAAAGCAGCCCCATGTAAACTTAAATTTCACAAACATTTGCAGACATGTAAACTCGACTCAAAAAACTGTGCAGACTCACAAACTAGATACAAAAGTAGGATTATAGCAGTTATTCATTAGAAAAATTAATGTTTTCTAGTCAGCCCCCTTTCCTCATTCTGCGCAGAAGTGTTGCTTCTTTATTGAATGTTTTGACTATTTTTAATTACAAGCTCTCTTTGTTCCTGAGAGGTTTAGACCTGTGTGGATACATTGGCTCCTGTTAAAAAAACTTAATCAATTCAATTCAATCAATCAATTAATAATCAATGCAGGAGGATTGTAAAACAACTATTAGAGCATAAGCTGAGCTAGTGTTGTGCTATGTCTGCTGAAGAAAAAACACTGTGTTTATGAGAAATTTCAGTTAACATTAACCCTAAGGCAAACATGAACATTTGAAATGATTAAAATCAAACATGTTCAGTATTTAAGATCAGATACTCTATTGTGTTCAAGGACACTGAGGACATTTTTCACATGGTTCACATGGAACAGGATGATAGCCAGCTGAGAAGTTGGCTGAAGAAGGGCACCAAACAAATGTAGCCATGGGGACAATAATAAACAGGAAGCATTAAGTTGAGACAGATGTCAGAAATGGAGGACCAACTTGTTGATTTGTGACAAGTGTTAATATGCCATATCCTGTGTGACACATACCAAAGCTACAAAAAGAGTTGAGGAGGAGAAATTGCTTCCACTATAGAAGTACTAGATAGCTTAGCAGCTAGCAGCATTTGGCTTGATAATTGTCTCCTTGTCTGCTGTGATTGTTCACTTGAAAGTCACATTTGATCACAAGAGATTTTGCATGAGCTCCAGTTTTTAGAGGATGGAGTGGATATAATGTGAAAGTGTGTGGTGGGTCATGTGGCTGCTTTCTTCATACTTGGGGAATGTAACAGTTAAAAATGTGTTATCATGTGTGGGGTCTTTCATACATTTTGTTAGGTGTAACTTAAGTGGTGCCGGGCCCAAACAGTTGGAAGGTCCTCTCTTTTTTGGCTTTTTTTGGCTTTATACAGCTTCAATTTTATCCTGAGAGACGTAACTCAAAGCTTCTAACCTTTTAAAAAAATCTTATTCCATGCTGATTTTAACCTGGAGTAGGTCTTTATTATTTCTTTTCTTTGATTAAAACCTCTGTCAACACTGTGGCTCCTGCTCAAAAAAACTTGGAAATAAACAAGGCTGAAGGAATTAAACTTCTGGCCTTATTTATTCTATTAGCTGCTGGTGACAGTCATGATACATCCTTGGTGGAAGCACAGGTCTGACCTTTATCTAATGGCAGCATTTACCTTGTGGACTAAATTATTCTGGTGTAAAAAGTTGAGTATTTTCCTGGCTTTTAAGGGCTACGTTTTTGACTCATAACAGTCTAACCAAAACCATATCATCTGTGGTGCTGAGATAAGAAGGGACTCAGCCTTTTGGTGAAGATAACAGCTCTGCTCTAAAATAATCTATTAACATACTGTATGTCACGGTTGGTGCTTTGGTTCTCTCCACATGAAGCTCTCTCTTTCCAGGATATCAAGTAAAACCTGCAGTTTAACCTATTACTGTACATCAGGGAACATCTAACAGTCCAGTGTTAACATTTAAACACAAGTTACCCCCACTGTAATAGATTTTATCTCCATTAGAGCGAGACAGTCGCTGAAATATCTCCCCCTTCTTGATGACGAGCTGATCTGCTCTTTAATAGAGGCCTCATTGTTTCCCTCTGGCATCGCCGGGTGCTCTCATGGATAGCGGGGGGCTGGCAGTGACTCTCTGGGCCTCAGACTCTGCTGTCAAGAAGGGTGTCATTGTGCGCGGCTGTGTGTGACAGGATGGAGCTCCCAGGGATACCACCAGCCTGTCACCGCCAGCTCTTACAAGCAGACCCCTTTAGAGCCAGGCTGGCTGGGAGCCTTCTGCTGGGAGCAGAAAGAGGGTGGAGGTGGTGGGTGCACCCTTGTCTCACGGCCTCCACCCTGACTCTAAAGCTATGCAGGTCAGCTCTGTCATAACTAAAGGCTTTTATTGTAATCCTCAACTAATATTTTTCTCTCTTTCAGGGGCCTGGTAATCGACGCTAAGGGCAGAAGGTGGAATAACTAAACAAGCAAATGGAATTTGGTCCACCAGGAACTCACAAGCACCGGCTCTTGGGTTGTTTTCCTTCAGCTGAGCCAGGTCGATGAACTGGAGAAAAATTCAAGTGGAAAAGCAGCCAATCACAGACAGATGAATCTGAAACAGGGAGATGGCAGCTTATTTTTATAGTGTTAAACTCCAGCAGCCTCTGTGCTGATAGAGAGTAGGTGGGAGCTGACATAAACAAGCAGAGGGAGATGAGGCAGGTTTGTGCTGCCGGTACATTGGACTGCCTCTATCCCTCTGTCCTTTCAGTAGCACTAATCCCTCCACAAATCCCCTGCAGGCAAGGCCGTAAAAAGCCGAGATGGGTCCTTCTTGGGAGGTGACTGCCAGGATCCTGGGTGGCAGCGTCAGGTTTTCTCTCACCTGTTATTTATCCGTCCAGCCTGTGACTAAGCACAGCATTACTGACACCTAACTGCAGTTGGCACACTAACAGTGTCAATGGGGAGTTTTCTGAGAAGAAAGTACAGTACTTTTTGGAGAGGAGGCCCGACTGAGGAGCTATTGTTTCTCCTCCCCCGGCCCCTCAGGAATCCAGACAGCTGCAGCACCCCACTGACAAAACGCTCACATGGGTGTGAAATCTTTGAATAACCCAAGGACGTGTCTTAGAGGGCTGCCTCTGCTCTCTACCCATGAACTTATTACTGAGTTCTCACAACAGACTGTACTGACTCTGGTTTTTATTGTACTGATTTTTTTTATAGTTTTTGTCTAAAATACTGTAAATGCTGTGACATTCCTCTGATTAAGAAAGGGGTACTAAGTTTACCAGCATCCACATGTTCAACTTTAGAAGTTGGTTCTGTAATAATTGTTCTGGGTGGACGAAGTTCTCTTGTCAAAGAAGGACACAATGTTGGGAATATTTAAACTGACTTCAATAAAGAGTTAGAGAAAACTCTGACAGAGAATTCACGTGGTGGTTGCATTGATTGATGACTCATTATAACATGTTTTCCAAACTGTTTTCCAGTGAAATATGAGGAGAAAAGCAGGGTAAACAGGACATTTAGGATGACAGAAACTTGGCATTTTCTGAGAATCATTTATCAATTAAACCAGGGACTGTCAATAATTTAACTGCAGTCATCATCCTAACATGGCTCACTCACACTGTGTAGACATGCACAAGCATCAGTCCAAACTGTGGTAGGTCAGCATATTATTTGCTGGTGTGACCTAAGCTGTACTCTTTGCAACTGTAGCCACAGTTTTTTTTTTTGGGGGTCGATGAAATCAGTGCTCTTAGTGAGAAGACAGAAGTTAGTTTCATGAAACACTTCAGCTGGCAAAGTTTATTGCAAATGAGCCAGCTACTATATTTAGTCAGCTGACATTCTGCAAGTGATAACCCAACCGCTGAAGCAAGCAAGCTAAGATTAGTCAGTTACCTGTAATCTATATAAAGCTAGTAGTCTGAACAGTTGGACTAGAAAAAAATAGCTGAGACAAAACAATTTAAGATATTTACACAGGAGAACCAGTGTCATACAGAAATAATGAGAAAACTAGTAGTAGAAAAACAGAAATTTCTCCATATCACTGAGAAACAGAAAAAAACGAAATGTATGAATATGTATCCACTTAGAGCTACTGTAGCTGAAAGTTTAACATTTGCCAAACCTGAGTAAAATGTGATGAAAATCTTTATTAATCCCTGTATCAAGGGATATTCAATGGGACTATTAGCTGAGGTGACATGCTCATGAAGTCACGTAAAAATAATCTGTATTTGAAACTTCCCTGGCAATACTGTCTCTACGATAAAGTAGAAACTAAAACTGAGTAGATGTTTTTTTCTACAGGCTGAAATTAAAAAAAACACAATTTGGAAAGGCTTCATTTTAATAAACTTTTTCCAGATCTTGATTGCATTCAATTACATTTTTATTAGCATATTTAAAAGTCTGTCATTTTGCCATTCAAAAATTTGGGAAACATTTTAGTTCTTACCAATGTCTTGTCTGAGAATCAACTGAATACCATGATGTCTCCCTCTGTGCTGACTGGCCTGCAGTCAGTAGCCACCCATTCAGCAAGCACGGTGGTTAATATAATTGATTCATTTTTATCCCCAAGATTCACACACCCCTTGATTAACAGTGTCCTCTTGGCTTGTTTTAAGTGCAGTGGCATTATTTTCCATCATGATGGCAGCAGGAAGACACTGCAGTGGCTCAACTATGGTGCTCTTAGGGGGACCAAATAGCACATAATTAAAAAATACATAAATATATCTGGACCTAAATGCTGTGTAGAGATATATTGGCAGCCCTGGTTGTTATCCTCTTCCATATCTAACATATGAAGTGATTAAAACACTCAAATTGAGTGCCTCTAATCAAAGTACCTCTAACTCTGAAAACATGCAATGCTTAGCCCACAGACTGTATCTATATATGCATCTATATACAGTCTTCTATATATCGTCTATGGTTTGACCCAAAAAAGACAACAGAGTAGCTACATAATCTGACAGTTTTTATTAACATGTTGACATGCAATCCATGGCAGGTAGAACCAGGCAGCCAGTTGCTACTAGTAAACAACAGGTGCACATATTGACAAGTTAGCTACATCTCATATTTCTCAGGTACAGAGAGCATGTAAATATAGCCAGCAAGACAACTGACAGCACAACAGTCTGGAGATAGAGTACACATGAGAGGTTAAACAAGTGTCCTCTGCTTGAGGTAAAGTGCCAATACTCTGCCCACATATCTGTCTGCATACAGGAAAACCATCCATTATGATGAAAATGATGATGTCCATAAAGAGCTTCATCCCCTTACAGTCAAAACTGGATTTGTCTGTAAATTTTAGCTCATGTTCAGTCTCCTTCTGCACTTCAGTAAGTTAATTCTGCAGGAATCCTGGGGAGACGTTCACAGATTTATGTATTTTTCACAGTCGAGAGACAACATTATACTGGCTGTTTGTGATAATCTAATTAAAAGGTCTGTCTTGAGGTTGTGTTAGCATTCCTTCGCATAGAAATGATAATGTGAGCAGCACTGCAAGTTCAACAGTCCAGACAAAATGGCGAACAAGTGATTATTTAATGCCCTAGATACAGATGAGGCTTGGCTATCTGGGGAGAAGATGTTAGAAAGCACAGCCTCGCATTACTTCACTTTCCAGCTTGAATTAAAATGACCCACAGTGCAAACAGCTCAGGAACAGCTTACATAACTACACTCATTTCCTCTTGGAGATCCCTCCTGAGACATGAGACTTGTGCAGAGCTTCTCTGCCGTGTGAAAGCCTCAGATTTGACTTGCACAATCGAGCCTTTGACACCTGCCATTGTGTACTGGTACATTAATGCAAGTAGTGAAGGAAGGAGAAAAACAAAAGGCGACACGTGTTGTGTGGTGAATTTTAAGCAGAGTGAGGCTCCGATGTCTAGACGTGGTAAAGGGAACAGAAAATGTGTTGATGCCTTGGAAAAAAAAACAACTTAAGAAACTTCCACATCCTCCCAGAGTGGGTTGTTGGTACGCCAGCTGCTTCACCACCCCACAGGACCGGGATACGGCTCTGTGAGGCTGGAAAAACCTGCAACTTATCATGTTTCTATTTACATTATTTGATAAGATCTTAACGTAACACCTGAAGGGGGAAAATATGCAAATGGATGATTTTTTTTCCTCCCTATGCTGCGTAGGAGGAAATCTAAAAGCTTCAATACAAAGTGAGGAAATATGGTCAGTACATTGTCAGTACAAGAGTTACTGATGTATAAAGAAACACTTCTACAGGTCACACAAAGTGATGCAAATCAAGCCTGTCAGGATAACAATGAGGTTCAGTGATCCTTTAAGGGAAATATCAGTGGGACATTCAGAAGCATTGTCTCACAACAATGATCAGCTATTGCCAACGACTCCTGAATTAGTTACCTCATTTAAAACGACTCTGCTGGTGGCCCCGGGTCAAATCAATTCACATTGTTATCTAGTTTAAGCTATATTTAATGTAATCTCCATAGTGGCCCTTAAGTTCAACTGCAAAAACATTTGCAACACAAAAAATTTTTCAGCTAACACCAAAATGATCACAAAGTGCAAAAATATTTCATGAAACACTAAAATGTTTCATTGATGCAAAAAAACAATTCCACAAAATGCACAAATATCACTTTAAAAGCAAAAGAGTTACAAAGAAAACGACTTCAATCTAAAAATAAAACACAAAAAAATTAAGTTTGTTTTATAAAGAAAAGAAATACTTCATAAAACCCCAAAAGATGATTTTTGCATGACATGTTTTGGAGTTTTGAGAAATTTTACAAGATTCATGTTTTGTTTTCCAAAACGTTTTTCCTTAATTTGGGATATAATTGTGCACTTTTGTGACATTCCTTTAAATGTTTTCATCTCATAAAATGGTTGTGCAACTGACCTTCAGGGCCGCCATCACTATGCCTGTAGTAAAATAAAACAGATTTTTAAGCAATAATTATGTTTGATGAAAATACTGCTCCAGCTTCATCAGAAGTGCACCAGAGGGCCAAGGAGTACAACATGTGTTCCTGTTATTATTGGTAGGCGGCTGCATCTCTGAGGGAAATGGATGTTCAGGCTTCATATAATAAACCCTCAGGGAGGTCTCTATGTTATTGTTATTATCATTATTATTATTATTATTATCATTCATGTACTGAAGCCACTGCCAGATAAAATGTTAAAGCTGCACAAAGAGCTCAGAGCAACTGTTTTTTCTTTTTTTCCCAGAAGTAAGCCTTTTAGCTTTCTGGCTTTCTGATACAGCCTGTAGTCTGTTCACTTTACTTAGTCTGAAAATTGATGACAGCAGGAGAAAGCTGTCTTGGTTTGAGCAGAAGAAAAGTAATTATTGTCTAGTTTTCTTAGCCAGTTGTGTCATATACTTGATTGTAATTAAGCCAAACTCCACATACATGGTGATTAACAGACAAAAATGACGAGTCATCACAAATCAATCGGCACAAAGGGGTCTAACGAACTTCACTTCTGCTTCTTGACACAGTGGCAAAAGTATAAGTTTCCCTCCCTGATGGGACTTGAGTGGGTAAATGATGACAGTTAGCCGCGCAGGTGGGAGAGCAGCCTGAATAGCTACTGGACTCAAGCCATCCCTGACAGAGTTTAGTGGAGCAGCAACTTGTTCTGCGATCCACACAACAGCCGCAGAGCTGAAGAGATCATCTCTAAACTGCTGATCTCTGAAGAGTAACTTCAATCAGAAGCAGCAGTGATAATAGCAACAGTGTGTAAAGTTGTGACATTTGCCTCATTTATGTTTTTAGGTGTGTGACAGATTAGCTCAGACAGGAAGAAGAGCTAAATGAGGACAGAGGGACTACGTTCACGGCTGTGTGGATCCATCATCTTGAAGCCGATATTTTGCTTCAGTCTGCATATATCTTTTGATGGTAGCTGGGTAATAAGTGGAAAAATGTACAGTGATCAGGATGTTGAGTAAACTGAAACCTGTCAGGGTGAGTCAAGGCCTCTCTGCTTCATATCAGGGCGTTGCTTGCTCTGCCAAGATTAGACCTGGCATCACCAAGCTTTCACTTCTCATCATCCCTTCTGTAACAGGTGTAGTATACACACTTTCGTTTAGGGGGGTCTTAATGGATTACCAGAGCAGACAAAATGGCTTGCTGTTTCTCCTTTTAAAGACTTTTTTGTGAGGCTACTTGCAGAGGACTGACCATATTTCCCTCACAGACATTATGATCCTCGACATACATAGTCCAAGTATTGGATGTATTATGATTTTTAGACACACCTCATGTTTAACCAGCTATCCAATGAGTTCAACCTATCACTCTGATGATGTGGCCTGTTTTGGAAAACTGAAATTTTTCAAAAACTTTCCTTTTTTTCTTTTGAAAAAATGCAACACAAGAACAAAATTTATAGTGATTAGGTTTTGCAGTTGACCCAGAAACTTTGGTGGTAAAATCAGCTTGTTTTGCCAAGCCATGGCAGCGGGGATTCCAGATCTAACTACTGGACAATTTTCCCAGAGACACCCCTGTTTGAGAGCGTTAACACTGTTAATGAGGTGGGTGAGCACTGCTTAGTGAGGTTATGTGCAAAAAACTCTTAAATGACTCACAAATCTGTCCGGGGCAGTTTTCTTCATATAGTTTGGACTTCTTTAAAAACTAACACTGAAACTCAATATGTCCATACAAGCTTTCACTTTAAAAATAGGGATGCATGATATCATCAGCATATTATCAGCATCTGCAGATATGAAAATTTCCACTGAAGTTCAAACAGATGAGATGATGCATTAATAATGCACACACAAAGACACCACACCAACAATGAGCCTCAAAAAGCCCACTGTGTGGAGGAATTATGAAGTGTAAGACACAGCATTAAAGCTATGTGCAGTACTTGTGAAGAACAGGTGATGAGAGGAGGAAAACAACACTTTAGTTTCGATAGTGAAACTGAAGCATCATCATGAACAGCAGGGTTTCAGAAAAGGATGAAGAAAAATGTTTCTGTTCCAATGTGATCTAGTCAACAGCCTACACTTCAGCCACACAATGAAACAACAAAATATGACAGTGAGCACTGACAGGTAAAGGAGCATGAGGAAAAAAAATCAATATTCATTTCTCTTGATAACTAGTTGCACTTTGATTGGCATCTTTATATCAGTATCAGCCAAGAGGGGATTGAAAATACTGATATATTTGATGTTGTCAAAAATCCAATATCATGCATCCCTCTTCAGAAAGTTTAATGAAATACTCTGCAGCTTTCATGCTTTGCTGCACTGCTCCTGGATGGATGTATTAAATGCATTCAGCCCTAAAAAGGGTAATTTTTCAAGTCAGAACGTGAAATATTCACTGGCTCAAGCATCTTGTAATCTCTTTGCTGTAAAACTTTCCTAATCTTTTTCCATTTTGAGCGATTGGCTGTGAAATACACAGCATCGCCTTGGGTATTCAAAGAAATCTGATGACGGTTTTTACTATTTTATGACATTTTATGGGCAATGATTATCAGGATCACTTCTAAAAAAACTTTTACTGCTCAAATAAATGGAGACAATTTTATAACCCTAAATCAGAAGCTAAATACTTATTTCATGCCAAAAAATCTTACAAGCTTCCTCTGTATTTCACAGAACTTCAGCTGTTCTATGATTGTATCAAAGGAGTCTTTTCATCTCCTTGTTTTCTCATAACTGTCCCTAAAGTTTGGGGGAATTAGCGAAGACAGGATATTTGCCATAAAATCCCTTTTGTTCTTGGTCATGTTATTTGGTGAAAACTGCCCAGATCACCAAATCTGGCCAAGTTCCAAGACAAGATACAGAGGTGCTATTTGTTACAGTCAGGGGGTGTAACGCTCGAACAGAAGCAGTCTCACCAGAGAGGAACAAAGCTTGGTATTGTAGCTATTTACATGCTCACATTCTTCACCCCGTTTCTTCACCCATGGCGAGCTGTGGTTGGCTGAGGAGCAGCTCATTTATGTCTCCTCCTCACACACGGTCTCCTTTACACAGTTGCGTCTGTGTAGCACAAAGGGCATCATCACCAATCACATGAATGATTCACATTTACCACAGAGATCCTGTTTGATCTGTAAAAGCTTGATTTGTGTTCAGCCTAATTTCATCTTTTAAAAATGCTGTGATTTTGTACAGACCACATCTTCTTATCGTCAGTGGAGATCTGTGAGGACAAACTGCTCAGATGAAGACAAAGAGGGCCTCCAGGAAATGTTTCAACTTCAGTCTCTCTTCAGCTGAACACACACGGTGTCAGATGCTCAAAAGTGCAGACTTTATCTTCTTTGAGAACTTTTTGTCTCTTTTTCTGCATAACTGTGTCCCTCTTGTTTACTGAGAGGAAACTAAATCACAGTAGAACATCATGGAGATTTTATCTTCTTGTGTACTTAAGGATACATGTCTTCTGGAGATCAAATTCCAGTAATGAAGATGAAATGCTCCTTTTGCTCAGCTCAGGGGGGCCTGGATGGAGCTCATAGTGTCTCTGAAGCCTCCCTTTCTTATGTCTCCTCACTCTGTCTCATCTCTGAGGGGCTGGACGCTCTGCCTGCAGGATGTAGAGAGGGAGCTAATTGGAGAGGCGGGCTTGGGGTCAGGTCAGGAAGGTGAGAGCAGATACGAGAGAAGGGTCAGACGTGATCCTCCATTGGGAAAACCAGGCGTGTGCCTCGGCTCAGCAGCTCCTGCTCACGGGAGTCCAGCTCACGCTCAAGCGCCTCCTCTGACGTGCTGCCGCTTCTTTTCCCATTGGCGCTCCAGCCAGACCCTCCAGCAACGTCCCCACTGCCGCCAGATGCCCCGTTTGCTGTGATGGCAGTGTCACCGAACGTGAAGGTCAGGTCGCCATCGTTGCGAAGGAGGTCAGCTTCGTTGTCTCTCAGCTGCTCGTGGTTCTGAAAACACACACAGTGGAACATGAGGGGGAGGGGAGCAGGACATGAGGGGACACACACACACACACACACACAAAAACACAGATGTAGGACACACAGAGTGAAAACATAAACAGACTGACTTTAACAGTGTAAAGGCTCATAAGGGACACTGTGGATTTACAGAGAGGAAAGGAGGAGACTTTCACTTGGTGGACTTTTCTGCAGTATCTAATTCAATCAAAACAAATGAAAAAAAAAAAACAGGACACCACAAACTGTACAAAAACAACAACACTACTGTAATAATGCAAACTCTGACAGCTGTGAAGTGATCTTGCAGCATCTTGTTAGAAAAGTTTCACACTCAGTGCTAGCTCATAGATTGCCTTCTGGTTTGTGGATCACTCTGAATCTATAGCATTGGTTCCCCCAGCTCTAATTGACTGGCTGACAATCGATGGCCCGGCCATGTCCCCCGGGCAAACAGGATGAGTGAACATCGGGTCAGCAGGGATTACTCAGATGAAGGGATCAACAACAAAAAAAGGAAATTACATAACCTCTTCTTTCCAACAATTATCTAGGAGGGCCATTGGGATCAAATAAATCCTAATAAATCCATCCAGCATTCTACAAAAAAATGTCACATGTCTTGTATTGCTCCCACTTGCTGTGAGTGAATTTATGAGATTTAACCCTTTTCATATGCACAAAATCGATCGCATTCTGACATACAGTGTTTAAAAGCTGTGTTAGTGATTAACTGCAAAAACACTGAAGAGGTTTGGTTAGTAGCAATGGCAGCTGTAAAAAGTGAAGTTTTATCATGCAGCAGTCTCTGGTGTTTAAAAATTAGGTCAATGCTGAAATGCAAAAAACTTTAGTACCTCAAGTGTCCACTTGAGGCTGTCCTAAAGGTCCAAAGCACCCCATAGAAGCCCATATTAAAATTTAAATTCTAACCAAAGAAATACACATAATGTCCAGAGCCTGTTTTCATCTTAATACCTCTTTTCATTCTTCTAACAACTACTCAGGATTTTTATTCTAGAAAGGCACTGCAACACCATCTTTTCCATTTACAAGATCAGACAGAAGTTCGCCAAACTTAGCATTTCCAATCAAGAGGGCCCCATCTTTTATTCTAACATACCTCTTCAGAGACCCATGAGTGACGTCACTCATGGGTCTCTGAAGAGGACTTTGTCACAGTTAGCCTGTGAACAGTTTCATGACCTTGCGTAATCTCCAGGGCTGTTTTTCAGAATTTAGTAAGACATCCAACTGCCATCACAACCACAAGCCATGCACAACCCCTCCATCCCAGGCTGTCCTCATCCCGCTTTTTTATCTGTTACATCTTACAAAACCAGACATCAAGAAGCTGATCCAACATTGTTTTTGCATAAGCAAATCATTTCTGCACTACACACTACTGAGCTGGTGTGGTGTATGCAGTTTGTCGTGTGAGGCTGGTTGGATGTGCAGCCAAATCTCTGTAACAAAAGTAGTCAGTTTGTTGAAAAGAACACTCAGTTCATGAACAACAAATCTGGTTGACATTTCTCACAGCCAGCACACCAAATGCACCCTCCCTTTCAAAATCTGAAATATCTGTAGCATTGTCTTTTCAGCTGCAACTCCAGCTAAAAGCAAACCACCATTGTCAACCGGCAGAACTCTCTTGTTACTCTTCTGTTTTTTGGCCAAACAAATTTTTGAAGAAAGGACATTTTTGTGTCTCGAATCTGGTTATTGTTGTTCAAGCAGACGTGAACAAAACAGGGCCTCTAAATCTTTGCTGGTTTTATGCTGTGCATGTGTGAATGGGTATTTTTGCATTTTCTGAAAAAGATATACTTGGGTGATTTTTTTCATTGTTTTGATTGTCAATCATTTCCTTATATGGACAAAATCACAAACTCTAACAAATGCTGCTTCTGTAGTCATGAACTTAAATCTCTCAAAGACAACACAGATTTATATTTTGTCCCCTTATAACTTCAAACATAGTCAGTGAAGTTAGGCTATTTTTAGATGGTCTTAAATACACTGTCATGGCCTTTTAAGTAGCCTCCTGAATACAGGTTTAATCCGCATGTAAAAATAGTCCAGAGGTGAGGCACTTTTAAATCAGACTTAAAAGCATTTCTTAGAAACTGTAGTGCTCAGCTGCTTTGATAAATTGCTTCATCTCAGAAAATGAAACTGAACATGAAAACTTAGCAGAACCAGGAATTAGTGCTGCACAGTTGAGTCAGAAAATTGAGTATTGTTGGCTTTGTTATTCTTTCGTCTGAACAAGAAAAAAACTTAAAGCTTCATCTTCTAAAAAAAGATCCTCGGGGAGTTTTTACAAAGCCTTAGGAATGAAATAAACAGTATTGTTCTTTTTTTGTAGTTTTGAAAAAAGGACATGTCTGTTTACTATAGAAACAGCATAAACACTTTTATCCATCAACCCCATTCAGAAAAGTTAGGGGGAAACCCAAGTGCTCTTTATGGACTTGTTATCCCTTCCCAAATTCATTATATCCATAACCGAGAGGGAAGCAAGCTTGGAGCTTTATTAAATACAGCCTCTTCCCATTTGGCAGCACAAAGCTCCGCCTGGACGGTCCTGATTTTATGAACACCCACCCAAACTCAGGGCTGGTCTGGCAGGGAGCTCAATGCTGGAAACCAACAGCAACAGCCCAGGAGAGGAAAACATTTCTGAATGTTGAGCTTCCGACAGTATTTTAATTTGAGGGAATTAGATTTAAATTGCAGATAATATGAGTGCTCTTTGCAGTACACAACTCGGAGACAGGCTCTTTGAGTTAGTGGGAAGGGACAGTTTAATAGATAAAATCCTCTGCTTGAAAGTACTTAGTGTGAAATGAAAAGGGTGATTTGCCAGAGTGAATCTGAGTGTGACCCCTCTGTGAATGGATGTTTCTGTATCTAAAATATTGGAGCACAGACACTCTCAGAACAGTGACCAACATTGAGGTGGTGCTGAAAAGAACCTTTTGTGCTCTCTAAATGTAAAAAGGCTTCTTGACTGTCCATTTTCTCTCTTGCTGAAGGCTTTGTGCTTTGTTTACTGGCAGGCACTGAGAATGCTTAGGCAGTATCACAATTCTCCTGAGAGAAAAACATTCAGTATTCAGGGAAAGCCTCACTGAGGAAGTGGACTGTGCTCTGAACACAGAAAAGAAAAAGAAAACCACCACTTAATATATGTATATATATATATATATATATATATATATACAGTACAGGCCAAAGGTTTGGACACACCTACTCATTCAATGTCTTTTCTTTATTTTTTATCTGACTATTTACATTGTAGATTCTCAGTGAAGACATCAAAACTGTGAATGAACACATGTAGAATTTTGTACTTACAAAAAAAGTGTGGAATAACTGAAAACATGTTTTACATTCTAGTTTCTTTTAAATAGCCACCCTTTGCTCTTGATGACAGAAGTACTTAGTGAATGACTCTGTCAGTACTAAGTAACCCTAACAAGGCACACCTGTGAAGTAAAAACCATTCCAGGTGACTACCTCATGAAGCTCATTGAGAGAACAGCAAAAGTTTGCAGCGCTATCAAATAAGCAAAGGGTGGCTAATTTGAGGAATCTAAAATATAAAACACGTTTTCAGTTATTTCACACATTTTTCTTAAGCACGATTCCACGTGTTCATTCATAGTTTTGATGCCTTTACTGAGAATCTACAATTAAAATAGTAATGAGAATAAAGAAAATGCATTGAATGAGAAAGTGTGCCCAAACCTTTGGCCTGTACTGCATACACACACACACACACACACACACACACACACACACACACACACACATATATATATATATATATATATATATGTAAATAATCAGTGAAGCTCATGGAAATAGACATGTCAGTATAATGACATGAGCAACAGCAAAACATTTCTGAAATATCACTGAAATATCAACAGAAGGGAACAGTTCTCTTTATAGAAACTATTACTCAGTAAACAGTAACAGTAATCTAAAAACAACAGACCTACACAGGAGTCTTTGACCAATTCATCTGCAAACATACTGTATCTCCTTGTAAGAAACTGCTAAACACTAAAGCATGACGCTAACTAACAAGCTAACATGGTTTTAAATGGTGAACCTGTTAGCTTAACACTAGCTAACAGTCTACTTCTTTTTTTTGTGAGCTAACAAGCTTATGGTCGTGTTTTTTTTTTGTTTGTTTGTTTGTTTTTTGTTTTTTTTTGGGGGGGAAAGGCTTGTAAACAATCCACTTGCCATGTAACTAGTGTGATTTTAAATGGTAGGTTAGTGAGATAACCCACAGCTAATATTTAAGTGTGTTTTGTATAATGCTCAGTAGCTACAAGCAATCAAATATTGTTTGTAATTATTAGCTGTGCAAGTAAGCTAACTGATGAGCTAACCGCATGTGGATAGTGTAGTGTGGTTCTGAATGATGGTCTGGAAAAACAGGATCCACAGTAGCTAACACCCTGGTGTGTTTCTTAAATTTTCCTTTTTTTTGTGATGATGAGCTGTCAAGCTAACACCCTACTTATCTGGAGAGCAAATCACTAGCTTACTGTCTGGTATGGTTTACAGTGATGATCCAGTGACTTTTTTTTTATGTCAAGTGTAGCCTTAAGTTAAATCTGCTGAATGTGGGACAGAGGATCTTAAGACATTTCTATTATTGGATAAGTCGTTTTCTAGTTCATAAAATCTAAATGATCTACTTCACTGGATGTGTAATTGCTGAAATGTGTGCCTAATTCTTTTTCCAAATATTTGCTTGTTACTTTGCATCTCCTGACTGGAAACTTGCAGAAACAAGGTTTTCAACAGAGTGTGTTATTTTCACTCCACTGCAGGAGTGTCACAGTGTGTTTGTGGTGTGCTTATGGTTACTGTTATCATATTTATTGCATGTGGACACTCACCTCATATGCCTGTGGGCTGGTCAGACAGCTTGCCAATGGTCCGCAGTAAGCGGGCAGAGTGGAGGTGAGAGGGGGACCACTGTGTGTCAGGATCGGCTTCAGGTAGCTGGACAGTGATTAAGGAATTCACCCAAAGAGCTCAACCATTATTTAACCAACAAAGGCTGTTTGAACATAGCATTTATGAAACTTATAACATGCAACCCATCATGAAAGATTATTATGAAGTTACAGATGACTTAATCAAAGATTAATAAATCACTGATATTTTTATCACCATAAAAGGATGCTCTACAACTCTTGATGAGAATGTCAAATTTGTACTGATTCTTAATGAAAGCAAGAAATGGAAAAAGCCATAAATTTGGCTTCGTCAGCTATATTATGTATCCTAAAATAATGTTTTAGTATTATTGCTTAATATAATAATAATAATGCCTCACACTATCAGACTTTTTAAAAAAGGGTGGAAATCCTGACTGAAATGTAGTTTTGTGTTAGTGTGTACAGCATAGTTTTCAAAGTGTGCTGTGACTTTACTTCTTTCCACAATTTGATGCATTTAATCCTCACTCTTTCTGGGTCAGAGAAGTCCAAGTCTAGATCCTCTTTCTTCAGGCAAAAAAAACATCAAGATTACAGCATGTATCAGGGTAAATGTTGCAAATCAGGCCAATGACATCCATGGATGGTCTTTGGAAATGAAGTTACCCTCATGGCTCTTTACTTAAGTCTCTGCTGAGCTTTTTCTTACAAAAAATGGTCATATGTCACACTGGCAGCAAGTGAGCTGTATTGATTATTAAAAACATCAGGCTCCTGAAAATATTTGCTCTTGCTCAGTTGCCCTTTGGCACCTCTACTGTGTAACTTTTTTGCTGTTTGGTAACTCTATATCAGCTCACAATGTGAAAAAGATTGTTTCCTTTTAAAACTAACCTCTGAAACTGTTAATCTGAGATGGGAAAATGCACATAAACTGAGTCAAAATGTTTGTATTTACAGTATATATTTTTACAGATCAGATAACATTAGGTTATGTAGGATTAACTCCTCCCCCTTCTCTCCTCTGTGTGTGCGTGTCTGTGCTGCCAGTTGTCACATGTAAATTAACGACCTGTTATTTATATGTAAATGAAATTGTCAGGTCATGCCTCCCACAGTCCCCGGACCGTTGGGAAGTACTACCCGCTCTGAGCAGGGGCTCTTTGAGGAGTAAATCCTGCACCCCAGAACTAAATTTAGACCCTAGTTCCTGTGATCGAAACACAGAGTTCCCGGGAAAGGTCCCTAGCTCTGGGAGAAGTTCCTGCTGTCCGAAAAGCACCTTTTAACTGTCAAAACCAGCAGTCTGCTTTAAAATACCAACTTTACACCCTATCACTTTCAATAAAAAGTCTCCTCCTGCAGCAACCTTCCAAAGAAACATATTTCAAACGAATTTTAGTTTCATAAAGTTAAGGCTGCCTGCCAGCTGGATATATTTGGAGTTGAAGCTATATGAGCTTCTGTGGGGAGCTGTGGCTAAAATCATGTTGTGGTTCTTGGCAGCAGCAAAGCAAAAAATGAACCAGTAAGCTCCTCTCCATATGTTTTGTAAGAAGTCAAGCTGTACTGGATCGTGGCAGGAACCCAAGGGGTAACCTCTTGGTGCTCCAAATAGGAGCAAATGTTGAAGTGCAAAAAACTGTCTTTCTTCAAGTGCCCACTTGAGGCCATCTCCAAAGCACCAGAGCTCAAATTAAAAAGCCCATTTTTCCAGCAGAATTTAAAGTGTTTATGGCCTGGTACAAAAACAGGCTTTGATCTCTACCCTAAATATGCACTATGGAACAAAGAGCACCCACCTGAGCTTTCCACACTAATTGCCTTTGTTTTCTGTATGCATTTTATAGCCACTTTCAGCAGCTCTCACAACATTTTAGAGCAACTTAATTATTAATTCTATATAAAGTCAAGTGTGCAATCACTCTAAGCTATTAATCTGGACATTGCCAACTTCCCTCTTCCTTGTCATCCTGTGTGATTTATATGTGTAAACGAGGCCCTGCCCATGTACAGGCATTTTAGGGATATTTACACAAGCCTCATACTCAAGAGGACCCGGCATTCATCAATACAAGTACACAGGTGCAAACAAACCAAAACCTTAAACTGGTCTTGAGAACAAATTTCAAAAAACCTTGGAAAGGCATCGGTGGGTAAGGCCCACTGACACTACATACACGTTTCATACAGTTCATGGAAAAACCCACCGTTCTGTTCAGCTGTTCAAGTCAAGGCTCCAATTGTAGAGAGAGGCAGCTGTCTAAAACCAGCAGTCTGTTGAACAGGTCAGAAATAAAGTAACTAAACTCCCCTGTGTCGTGTATGTTTACTTCAGTGACATGCATCCAGCTAGTTTCAGCTGCGTCAAGCACATGTCACCAGGGAGAAAGTCTCCACTGTAAAACACAGCTGCTCCACTCAAAGCAGCCTCACAACCAGCAACCTCAGGAGGCAATTGTTTAGTGGGAGAGGAGGAGGATGGAACTAAGAGGAAGGCCGCTAAACTCATTTACTGCAGGCTGTCTCTGAGGCCAGGAACAATTTTATAGATTCATGTTTGTTGTCTTAACCCTATATCCAAAGATAATCTGATAGAGACCTCTTATGGTGATGTTCTTCGCAGTGAATAGAGGGGAAAAAGGCCCTGGATTTTCATCCTGACTAGTGGACATGAGACCTGATATTTACCTTTTGGTCTAAAAGCAGTGATGAACACATAATTTCAGGGCACAGGAAGGATACTTGTGATCAAAAGTGTACCACAGTCTGAAGAGCCATGCGCTCTCCTGTTTGGTTTTACTCTGTCCTTCAGCCTGGCCACCATCCTGGAAGAGCACAAAACACAATAATCATTTTTCTCATATTCTTACTCTGCTGCAAAAAAGGATCTGAAGCTGGACTGACACATTTTTATCAGGTTGAATATGCTGCAATCTTATTGATACCTCATTCACAGTTCTATGACTTTGGCATAAAATGTGCAAAACATCCACAGTTGTAAGACATTGACTATAGTTGAATTTACAATTAAACTGTTGGTTTTTGATGGTCCTGTTAAGTGAACACTGTTTTTACCCTAATATTTGAGCATACATCTGCAGCACGCATTTCAGACTGAGGTTTTAATCAGAAATAACTAAAGTAAAAAACAGATCCCAAATTAAAACATCCATTTAAAAAATGTTGTGTTTTTTTGGCTTTGGCAAATTATGCTTAAAAAACACATTTTATCTTTTACCCTTTTTTCCAGCGGCTAAATGCTGACATACAAAACATTGCAATACACTGTAAAACAATCTGCAATAACTGCACCAAAACTTACTACTGCCACTCATGTATTTGATTTATTCGTGACCCAGTTCATCCTTTTGCTTGTTGAAGTTTGACACTGCTTTATTACATTACTTTCGGCCTTTTTATTACCTAAGTTAGCATTTTTCATTTAGATGATGGTGTGAATACCTTGCATTATGACTGACTGAGTGACTAAATAAAATTTTGTTGTGCATTCAGATCAACAATCAAATGTCCTTTAACTTATTTCTTAGGTTATTATTGTATATGTATGAAAAGTCTATTAAAAATAATGAATTTTTGCTACAAGACTGAAAAGTTGTTAAACTGATAGATATCTGGTTACTGTCATCATCAACTGCATCATGACAGTGAGATGCAGATTTATAAAAAAAGGCAAAAACTCATCCCCACAGGTGACTCTAACAAAGTCTGAATAGCACCATAACTTACGGTGTTTCTCTGCTTCTGCTGTCTCCTGCAGAAAAAAATTACCCTCCATTTTCCTGACAGACTGAACTATTTGAATGTTTGAGACTTGCTGACTCTGCTTCTCATCAACATAAAATTGCAGAAGCAAAACCGATTCACCAGACAGAGTCGCACTGACATAAAGTGGAAATAAATGAGCTCTGAGAGAGATCCTCACCCCCTGTAAGACCTGGAAGCTGTCTCCACAGGGCTGCTGGTCCTGATCTGGATCCACACCAACCCTGAAACACAGTATGGAGGAATTTAAACATTCAGTACTCATGGAAATGCAATTAAACTGGATTTTGGCTGGGAAACAATTCGCTGTATTTAAAGTACCTTAAGCAGTTTGTCTCTTATTTCCAACTGCAATCTCTACTCCTCTGCTGTTTGTTTTTGATCAGGTTTCACTTTGGCACAAAAATAAACCTTATCTTTTGTCACTGCTGCACTTGCACCTGCAGCATGCAGATTCGTTTCCTTTTTGCTCTGCTACGTGTAAGACGTAGCCTTGAAAACCCACACATCAAAGCGCTGATTACTAGACCTTTCAGTGGCTTAAAAAACGATGCAAATTAGTATTCAACCAAAGCACAGACAGAGAGAAACACAAGCTCAAAGATATTATTGATACAGATATCAAGAAGGGATTCATAAAAGTTCAGTTTTCTTTCATGTGACCCAAAAAGACCAGACCACAGGCTAAATAACAAAACACACTATACATTGAGCAGGAAATCATTCTAACCCGTGACAGAGTGACCTTTAAGCACGCAGACAACCAAAAAAAGTCATGTGATTGAAGTAGTAATGTGGCTGCCTCTAAAGCAAGACTCATGCTGCTCTTTGATATTTGTATGTATCTCAAGCACTAAACGGCACATTAGTTCAAACATGACCCACTGTTGAGACAGAATCAATAGAACACAGAAATAACTTCAGTCTGTAACGAAAGCAGAGAGCTAACAATGATTGGTTGTTGTGTCATGATGCTAGTGTTAATTTTTGTCATGGTTTTTGTTGTTTATTTTAAACACAACTTAAGTAGGAACATTTGATCTTAAAACATTTCATTATAAAACCAATATGATGTATTACTAGTCCTGTTTCAGATTCAGCTTAACGTTAAATATTTCTTATTTTGCACAAAGTACAACCTCAATTCCAAAAGAGTTGGGATGCTGTGTAAAACATTGGTACAGACCACTTCATTCAAATCTGATATGCGATAGAAAATATATATCAAGTGTCCAAACCGAAACATTTTTGTGTTTACAAAAGAATACAGTGTTTACTTACCTCTTCTAAGGGCAGAGAGGCATCTCTCTACTCTTAGTAAAGATTTTCAGAGGATGCTTTTTACACAGTCTATGAAATTAGAGAAAATATTAATCTCCGTGCAACTGTTTGACAATTTTAAAGGGAATTGAAGGCTACATCAAGGTGATAATCGTATTTGCATGTAAAACAACATGTATGCTGTCACTTGGCTGTCATAAGAACCCACAGTCAGTGTACATCCACTGCCTTTCTTGGAGTAGATTTTTCAACTTTCTTGTTGTATCCTGCAACTCTGCTAGAATCAAAGTTTAACAGGGTTTCAGAAACCAGGTACAGGTTATCAGGTTCATTTCTTTGATTTAAGAAGTGACCCAACGTCCCTCCAGTTTTGCACCACTCATTTTCCAGTTGCTGATTAAACTGTCAGATTTTACAATTTTGTTGGAATATACTGACCTGAGCTTAACAATGGAGGGCAAATGTAGCTCAGTCAATCTGCTGCATTTCAGTGAAATAAAACACAGCTAGCAGCTTTAGGAACAGTTGGCTTGCTGCCCAAAGGCATCAAATATCCCAGTCAGCAGTTCATTGATTAATATGAACTGTTGAAAAAGTGTTTGGTGGGGGTGTTTTTCTTGGACAGATTCAGTAACTGACAGTGTGTTCCCCCATGTGTGCAACCTTTGTGCTGAGCTAAGCTAACCATCTGCTGAAAGAGGCCTCATTTCTTACTGTGCACACATTTCAATGGTGTCAGTTTCCCTGTTTAACTCTCAAAGTGGGAGCTAATTGAATCTTCATTTAAAAATATGAACTTTTTGAGCTCCACGGCTGATTTTTCTGGTCTTTACAGCTGAATTTAAGTAACTACCCCCTGGTATCTCTTACTAACAGAAAAGGATTAAACCAAACAGAAGCAGATTTTAGAGGGGCACTTTTAATTCACATAAGCTCTAGAGTATTTGAGTCTAATCCCTGTGGACAGAGGCCAAAGCAGACATGTGTAACATTTCATGGCTACATCTAAAACTATAACTGACACTGACTGTACTGGAGGAGGAGTAAATGATGCGTGTGGTTATCTTTAGACTTTTCCATGGCAGGAAATATCCGCTCTGAGTGAATCAGTAACTGCATTTTTCTGTCTGCTCCCCACCTTGGAAGCTTGAGAAGGAGCAGGCCAAGAGTACTCAGCTGTCTATGATGACCACTCACAGCTACACACACAGGATCTTTAGGGGGAGGAGGTAGCATGAAGGTCAAAAATCTGCAAAAACAAAGACGTGCAAAGTGTGCTGGCGCTGCATCAGGAAGGATCTCTCAGGAATCTGCTCTGAGATTAAGACATAACTGTTGGGGGGCCCAGAAGAGAGGCACAGTCCATACATTTCCTGTTATAAGAAACAGTATAAACCCTAACTACAATTTCACAGACACATACTTAAATAAGGGGGTGTTTACAGACTTTAATCCACCCACTAACCTTTAATCCTGATCCAGAAAAAAAACATCCTCCTCCTTTTAAATCCAGTAAATACTCTTGATAAAAAACTGTCTTGTTTAAGGTGTTTTTGTACTTCACAGAAGATGTAATCATAAGTGAGACAAAAATGGAGGGACAATCACGACAGGGGCTCTTAGTTTCTGTCTTATCTTCTTCTTTTGTGCACATTTTTCAGATCAGTCCATGTGTCAGTCAAGCTGCATCCTTTAAACTGAATGTGTGAGTTGTTCTTTACACCACTGAGTGAAAAACATGGTGGACAATCCACAAAGACAACAAAGAAAGAGGTTTTCACATCACCAAAAGAAAGCCTTGAACAAAACACTTAATCGCGCTGAAGTTTCCCTTCAAACACAGCTGGCCCTGTGAAAAAAAATTCACATAAAACACTGCCTCTAAAGAGTCGACCATTTTAACCAACCACCCGAGCCAGTCTCTGAAAATATGTCATGTTCTTTGAAGCCCCAAGACCTTATATAGACACCCGACAGGCTGTATTCACATAGTGGCCTTTTTTCTGCTGATATTAGGGTTGGAAGCTTTAGTCTTACTGTTTAGTGAAATCTGTGTGTGCAAGGCTAAATAAAAGAGAAAACTTATTTGTAAAACTTAGAGGTCCTGTCTGTTTTTGCTTTTGATTGATCACTGTGGGGAGGCGGCATTGATGAAGACAGCAGTCAGTTAATATGCTGTTCAAAGAGATCAATTTATTGGATTAGTCCAACTGAAAATTGTAGATTGGAGACCAATTGTCTCTTTCAAGTAAACACCTAAATCAGTTTGACCAAGGAGTTGAACAGCATAAATGCACTACAGGAGGCCAAAATTTCAGTGAAAGAAAGAGGGACGTAAGAAAAGAGGAAACTATTGTATTGGACGTGCCAAAGGTACAGAGTTTTAAAGTTGTTGGTGTTTTCATCCTCAACATACTTCATGTTGGCCTCTTGCAAACATGTCTACTGATGGTTTTGGTACATGGTTTCATTGGTTAACCAGGGGATGACTCTGTACTATCGACCTTGATTCTCAGTGGGTGTTCATACTGGGACAAGTACAGTAATCTGGTTAAATCACCAAATCAAGATAAAACAGTAGCTTGATTTAACGGTGTGTTTAAATGTATTGGGTGTTCGAAAAATTGAATGCTGTAAGTGCAGCATCAAAAAGCAGCTAACACAGAGAGTTCACAGTCTAGACACTGAGCCCTGAAAACTCAGGACAACACTGGTTCTGTATGTAAACAGGCTGCCAGCTTAAAATCTGCCATCAGTGGACACAAGCCCTAATGCCTGAACAGATAACACCAGGACATGAAAACTGAAGAGGACTTGAAGAGAGAGCTACACAGTTATGGTCCTTCGATAAGTGTTAAAACATTGACTAAATATAAGCTTTTCCTACAGTGCATGTAATTTTACACATAGCTGTGGCAAGGAAGTGGGGGGATGATAATGTTGATAGTAGTCTGTAGGCAGCAAAATCATCAAATATATCTTAGTCCTTAAAATTTTTCACCATCCATGGCCTCTGTGTAGCTGCTTATTAATTAGGAAGTGATCAAATAACAGTTTGCATGACTTGCTACCTGGGTTCCCACCCTAAATATGTCATCACAGGACGATGGCCATCATGTGAATACAGCTGTGTTTCCCCTTGTCAGAAAACAAGAAGTTAAGAGGAAGAAAAAGGATTCTGGTTTAAACCAACCACACTTTCCCAGCACCAGAGTCTGACCACATTTCAAAGACAGCACCTTAAATACTCCCACATTCCTCGTCGCCGTCGCTCTTCCTGCAGCACTTTGGTCTCCCCAACTCTGTCACATCATAAACACAAGGTATAAGGAGGTATATGTAGCGCTTCATTGATGTTGGGAGTGAATCTTTGTGTTGAAATAACCTTTGTTTATGTCAGAAACTCCAATGAGGAACTGGAGCAATCACAGTACCACAAAGATCTCTGAACGCTCAGGTTTACTCTTGAAACAAAGTTTTTTTGTCCTGTTTTGTTTCACACTGGCAGAAATGAAACTGTATGAGGGTGAGAGGGTTAGCTCTGGTCAGTGTTCATTTAATGGAGGACCAGACATAAAAGACGGTTTAATCAGATGACAGCGGTCTACACTAACTGGTGGTTAATTCTGATCCTCTGTTTTTGGGGCATAAAATAATCCTCACACTTGGCACAGAGGTTCAGCGGATGTTCAGGCCTACACATGAAAGATTAAAAAAAAAAAAACATTTTACATGTTTATCTCTTTAAAATAAATCTAATCTCTTCCCCTGGATACTGATCGAATCATTCCATACTTCTCTGTAACAGTTTTATGTTGTTGTTTCTGTGCCTGACTATTGCCTCAGTCCTCTAACACTCCTTTGTCACAGTTTCTAGTTCACCAGCAATAGATAATAATACGGCAATCTTGTAATTTACAAGAGCCTTTCAACCCCTGTGTCCATAATGATTTCACTCCATTAATCTATTTATGTTCATCACAACTTCCAGCTCACATTCACAGCTATTTTCTTTCCTCTTTAATTGTTTTATTTTTCAATTTATTTTCACTCCTTTAACTGAAAGTAAGCTGAATGGTTGACTTTTTTTTAGCTCTTTCACTTAATCCACCCACTTTCAGAGTTTAAACTGAAAAGGAAACAATCTTTTTCTAGTTCCCTATATTTACATTTAATTTTTGATTATTACTTCAGCTTTCTTCTGTATTTAATCTTGTTTCTGCAAGTCTCTTTTTTGTGACACATTAAGTAGTAGCAACTTGAAGGGACTGTGTGTTCAGATCAAACACGAGACCATATTTGCCTCTCTGTACACTTTCACAGAGGTTTTATCGTTGCATACTTTGGCCATAGGAACCCCCAATTGACTGAGTTTCTTGTAATTTACTTGCTATAAATGGGTCTTACATTTGCAACATCATCATCATACAGGTTTGTAGTGAGCAGTACGCTTTCAGGTCCAGCACCATGCAGATTTAGGTAAAAAGTTTTGCCCTGACACAAGAGAGCTGGTTTAGCTCAGGTGGTAGAGCCTACAGTCCTTGTCACTCTGGTAATAAGAACAATTCCGTGTCCTGACAGCATTTGATGCATGCCTTTCCCAGGACTCTTTGCACATTTCCTGTCTTTTCAAGCTGTCGTATCAAACAAAAGCAAAATAAGCCTTAATAATTTTCCTCAAATATGCAAACACCTGTTTAAAGACCTAAAGTTGATCTATATCATTATTGTCAACGAATGTTATTGCATAACTATGGATTATGATTATTTTTTTTGCTTCATATTGACCTGCAAAAAAACAAAACCCCAAAACCCTCAATATAAATAGACATTGCACTTGTACCAAAGACAGAAACCTGAAGACTGCAGTGTTATTCTACACTTTTTCTTCCTCTTTTTAACTCTCAATTTCTCTTTTGTTTCCAATAAACTGCAACTGTACCATCAGCATTTCTCAGAATTTAACCCCAAATAATACTTGTGTTTTGATTACTACTTACTCATTTACCCTTTCTTGTTGCTTATCTTAGCTATCATATCTTCAGTAAACTATTTTCATGATCTATCATTATTTTAGCTTCTTTGAGGCTTTCATATCACTGGTGGGTAATTTTTTTTACTGCCACAACTTCTTCTTTCAGAACCAGAAGTTTTCACACATCTATCCTAAAAAACCTTCCAGCTTCTGTTATTAGTTATGTTTGCCACTTTAGCTTGGTTTACTATTTTTTTTTAATGATAGAACTATTTCTTTAGATGCAGGGTGATCAGTTTTGTTTGTAAAATAAGGGTGATGGAGACTATAGAAAAGAAAAAACTTACATTCGTCTCAGCAAGTGATACTATGGTTTCTACTGGCCTGCCTCAGATTTTCCATTGACGGATTAGCAGCCTTTTTTCAGACCAAGCTGAAGCACATTGGGATCTCTTTTTCTCTGGATGGCTGCTCTGCCAGTGCTGGATGATAAGCTGTACGCCTGCCTGCCTTCAAACCATCCATCAAAAACCTAATAACAGAAACCGGCTGCATCTCTGTCACACCAGACGATTTCTATCCCAGCAGCACTCCTCTATCATATCCTACTCATCTGGCTCACCACAGCTGCTTCTTCTAGGTCTCTCTGTTTTACTGTGTCATAAAAGAGAGAGCTTTTTTTCCAAATACAACCTCTGGGGATAAATAATAATGAAAACGATACCATCTCATAAAAGGTAAAGTATATACATCAATTAAGTTATACTTTCAATGGGATATTTCAGTGCATTAAAGTTTCCCCTCAAAATGTGTAAAAATGTGCTAATTTATGCACATTTACCAAGTACCAGGATCATGGCTGATACCCGCCTGCCACAGTGCCACATGCACCAGTTGCCATGGTGACTGGTTCATGGGGGAGATTCTGGCAACGCTATTAACCTCCACTACACAATAGTTCCTGCTTGGTGTGAGGAGGCATTACTCATATTAAACAGAACCTGTTCACTCCTGCTGCCTCTGCTGTTGTCACACAAATCATCAGCCCATAATCCGCTTTGTCACGACAAATAAGCCTCTGGTGCTGCAAAATGTCACAAAATAAGGGAGGCTGTATTGCAAATACACAGAAAGCCATGCAAGCAAAAAACCAGTGCCACCACTGATGAAATTTATAGATGGGGACTCGGTAAAGTGTGAAACTTGGTAGTAATGCAAATACATCAGGAACCCTACAGGAAAAATAACTACAGTATTTAAAAAAAGATTTAGATTTCTTCAAAGATGCAACTTAAGTCTCTATGGTCTTAAAACACAGTTAAAAATTTAGAAGAGGAACCAATGGGGAGTTCTGGCCCCATCTCCTGGACAATAACAAGGCAGCAGGAGGCAAACTGTCATGTGAACATGAAAAGAACGAGATGACACTGGAAATAATAAAGAAACTTGTGCAAACAAAAAAGTACACTAAGTCCAATCAAAAAAGCTGCCCAAAGAAGATTTATCGCTGTAACTACTCATGGCTTGTTGCGCCTCTCCCTGTTTGCAGGTGTTGGTCTGTATTTATGGACTGAAATCAAAGACTGTTTGGATTAATTTGAGTTCAATACATTCAGTGATTTGATTTTAACGTAGTTTTACAAAATAAGAGAATAAATTTATCTTAAACTGCTAAGTTGTAAACTGCACCAGTTCACAAGCCAGCTATCGTTAACTGAAAGGTTAGTTGTGTACCTCCCTGTTCACAAGGTGATGGTCTGAATTTTTCCTAATATTTACACAGAAATCTTCAACATATTAGATCGATTTACGTATAATACATTTAATTGTTCTTTTCAAATGTTTCTTTACTAAAACACAGAGTGGTACTATTATTAGCTGATGAGTTGAACATTACCTGGAAAGTGTGTAGAAAACTGGCTAACATTAGCTTAAAAGAGGATCAGTTTGTTTTTTTCTCGTGTCAGATTCATGTAGTTTTATTAAAAAAAAAAACTGTTAGCATGAAAATACTAAATTAAAGAAAGATTTTTAAATCAAATTCAATTAGCTGATATCTATAGAGTATTTCCTTAAGATAGCTTTAGCTAGGGCTAGCGGTGTTTAGCTTGCTGAGAAGCTTTGCATCTTTGACACTAGCTTCTTTGTTGGCAATTTTCCTTTAGTAGAGGCATAATTTATTTCCATTATGTAATATTCTGTTTCATAAGGACAGGTACATTTGCTCAAATATGCGTTTGCACAGTTTTTTCTTTTGGTTTTTAGGACAGACCTATTTTCATTCCAGTATGCATTCTTTATCTGTAAGCCGTAAACATCACCGACTGATTCAGGTCTACATTCTCTGCTGTTTTCGCTGTTCTAAATTAAGTTTGCAAAACTTTATTCCTCTGTCTCGACACTGTCTGAGAGATGTAAACAGTGTGAAGACACAACTGTCCACATCTTTTAGATCTGCCCTTTACTAACTGGTTTCTGGTCCAAAATTTAAAACTGATTTTCTAAGACCTAAAGAAAACTTCGAGCCAGGACCTGGACTCATTATAAATTAAAGGTCCTTCTGCTTCTGTGTAACAGTCATCGATGCTGGGGTTGTTAGTTACTGAGAGACTTATTTTGGGAGATTGGAAGTCCCCCTCTTTTTCCTTCTTTCAGGAATACATTTCTAACATGCTGCCAGTCACTTAATGGAAAGACTCAGGTTCCTGAGGTCTGACTCCAAAGGGACATTTTCAGCTATTTGAAGCCTATTTCTTACTTTCCTGAACAAAGCTGATCAAGTAACTACACAATGTCAGGTCCCCCCGTATGTTTAATGGTCACATCTGGCCCATGTATTTTAAACACAAGAGGATCAGAATGCACTTTGTTTTTGTTTTTCACACCTTTTGACTTCATGAACAGCACTGTTTAGTGCAATAAAAATACATATTTTTGCATTATGAAATACTTAATGGAATACTTTGAGGAGAGGAGCCTTCAATTCTGTCACAATTTTAACAGTTTGAGATATAATTTTGAAGCTACAAAACTGTTGGTCTATTTTTGGGTCTTTTTCTGTCAATGGATGTTTTTGTGATACAAAGACTTGAAGGTTTCTTTAATTACAGAGGAGCTGCTGCACACAAAGTCACATTTCCTTATAAAGAATATAATTGCATCATCACCTGATATGCAGCCAAGACAGCATGGGTGTCGTTCCACCACCAAACACCCAGACAGTAAAGAAGACAATGAGCAGCGTGGTGGTGAACATCATCTGGCGGGCATATGTTGCCGTGTCCCGTATGGCCAAGGCAAAAGCCATTGCTCCACGCAAACCTGCAGGGAAATTCTACAATTGAAACTGGAGCTACGAAAGTGAGTTTATCAACAACCATAAAGGAAACAAGGATCCTTAATCTTTTATGATATAACAAGTTACCTCAATCACATATCCATACCTGCAAACATCATCATGTGCTGGAAGTTTCCTTTGATCTTGTGTCGTCTGCCAAGATTGAGGAGGAAGGACAGAGGGTAAATATTGAAAGCTCTTCCTATGAAAATGGCAATCTGTCAGACAGGTTAAGGTGTCTTTAAGTGAACAATGACATTTACTAACATACTGGGACTTAACAGTGCAGCAAAAAATATCAAAATGATTAAACTGCCTTATTTTCTTTTATCTTAATATGTCTGATTATCTCTAAACATTAAGACTAAATATATCTGGGGTCAAAGATGCTGAAACTTTAGCTAAAACTCTGACCTCACAGCAGTCCCTCAATCATTATCTTTGACCCAGTTCCACAGCCGCAGAAGAATATTGCAGTATTGCATAGACATAAAAATGCATGCCTGCTCAGCTTCAAAAGGATACAAAAGCCCCTATGATGAAAATGGGGCTGAAAATGTGATTCTGGAAGGTGAACAGAGCGAGGCCCATGTAGGAGAAGATGAAATTCTCTGCCAGGAAGTGAAGGACCTCAAAGAGCTGCATGGAGAATATAGTCATGAGGATTTCAATTTAGAAATGCATGAATACAAAAGTCAGAGTCTTACAGTGTTCAGGTCCAGAGAGGGAATTTCACAGAAGGTTTTCCACACTGTGCTGCTCTAAAAACCTCCTCTGTTTGGTTCTCAGAGCTCAGCACCTCATCTGTTCCCTCTCTCAAAGCTGTTTCTCCCTTTCTTCCTCACTGCAGTAATGATTACAGAGCTGACTGCATCTATTTTTGCATTAAGTAGGAGGCATATAACAGAGCGTGGTAACATGTACCAATATGGAAGCATCTTAACCTAAAGAAGTATTTCTCTGATGGAGGTTAAAGCACCTTTGAGGGAACTACAGGAAGTGTTTGCCATATCTGAGATGTTAATCTGCTCTCATTTTCTAGTAATGTAACTTTATTTTGAAATGGTAGTTGAGGTCTTCATAACAATGCAAAAAATTTCCCAAAAGTTGCAAGTTGTAACCCACAAAATCATCTTCAACATCATCATATGCCTCCATATTTCAAGACAAGGCTTTTTACCGTTTTTGTCTAGTTAAGGGTCGGTGCTGCAAGAAAAGGGAGACAAACCATTACACCTATTCAATGCCTCTAAAAGTTTGATAACCCCAACTTTGCAATACAGTATCAAACAGATTAATACATTATTTGTTATTAATGGAGCTGTCCAAATAGTATTGAAGAATTGCATTACAAGCATACCACATAATACTATTTCAAAATGGTCATTACTACACACAGCTGCAAGCCTCACTCCTTCTTCTCATATTGTCTCCCTCCTCATCAGCAAATGACCGTTGTTCTGGTTACACCACTGTACAACATAGAGCAGAGAAGATTTACATTGAAAGGGAAAAGGCTGCAACTCAGTCAATGCATATAGCTGGGACAGGAGCAGGTGGAAAGATTGGGGACATGTACACTAAATCAATCCTGAGCAGTCTTAGTTCTCTTGGATGGGTGACTTTAGGGGTGAACTGGGATAACAATTCAGGCCCAGAGTCTGACTCTATCCCAGTCCAGATGAAGTGGACTGTGTAGGTTAACTGTGTCCCTAGCTCTACATTTTAAAACCAGCCAAAACTGTCACTACAGCGATAAAACACAAAATTTTATTTCCGTTTCCATATGAAAAGATGCTTTATGAAAAAATAACATTTCACTATATGAAAACCTTGAATCAAAGAGTATGGTCTTTCACTCCAGCTCGTTTAGACTCTCTCCATAGCTGTTTCAGAATAACAAGCAAGGAATTACCAGTACCACTAATATGTCACTTATACATCAGCAGCAAGAGTCTTCTATATGTTCAATCTCTCCTTCTCTGCTCCACCTTTCCTCTTCCTTTTCTACTTTACCTGCTGTTAATGCTGACTTATGTTAATAGAGAAGCAGTAAGTCCATGGTTGCTCAGCTGTCCAAAGAGGTACTAAGACATCATATTTTGCAGACAGAGGCCAAGACACAATAGCAGTTGGCTGAGCAAAATAAATTAACCCACAAGAGTTGTGTGGTGATGCGTGCATTCAGGGAGGTCTATTCACTCTAACTTGCTGTTCACATTGACAGACCAAATAGGCACTCAGGCCACCAGGACAGGTTGTGGTGCTCCTGTGTCAATTATACAGATAGTGATATATGATGTTTAAGTGAGATGAATCTGCTAATCATACTTCTCTGGCATTGATTAAGCATGCAGATTTGTCTTGTTTTTTCTTGAGTTGTTGAGCTGTGTAAAACTACCCTCCTTTAATGATAGGTGTTCTCATTGACTCATCTACTGTTTAAAGTGAACATATTTCTCAGTTTATTAAAGTTAGTTGTTTTAGAAAGCAGAAACTGACAGTGAATCACTGTGTTGAACCACTTTCTTACATGTTTTTTGTTTCCTTCACAAACCGGGGGTACTTCAATAAAGGACAACTTACAAGTCGATGATTGCAAAAAGTTTAAGAACCCCTGATCTGAGCGCAAGACTTTAACCTCATCATTGTAATTTGCATGTGCACCTTTATATGAGCGTGCCAAGAGTCTTAGAGCTCTGATCCAAAATGTGTCACGCTGTGTGTTCCCGAGGTGTTAATCCGCACCCTCTCCTTAAGACTGAACCCCCTCTGAGAAACTAAACAGCCACGTCAGGAGGGATGTCCTCAGAACACCCCGATTAAGGTCACAGCAGGCTAACACTGATCCATCTGGCACCCTGTTCAGTACTATGAAGGGGTCATGAGTGCCAAAATACATGGGGGGAATTGCATGTGCAGAAAGTGGTCCATGATACCTGTTTGGTGCGTTTTGTAGACTCTTCAGAGAGGTTGTTGTAGGTGTAGTGAGCTTGCGTGATGCCACAGAAAAGCACAGCCACAACACCTGCAGAAAAACACAAATCAACACAACGTTGGAGCTTCAAAGTGCTAACTCAAACAGGTTAAGTGCAATAAACAGAGGCGGCTGTATAATTTTGAAATGCAATGATCAGTTCACCCGTTGAGGAACATGACAAACAAAGCTTGGCTTTCCCTCTGATTGCCTTTGATGCTACTGTGCATCACATTATCAGTTTATTTCATCTGCTGCACATCTGCTGCATAATCTGCATTCAAATCCCTGTCACATCTCATTTGTATAACAGATGGATTGAGTTCTCTGAGGTGGGTTTAGCAGCACTTAGTTTAAATGGTTCATTACTACATTCGTCAGCACAATCAACAACATGAGGGAGAGCCTGGAATTGAAAGAGTCATTCTACGTTATATGCAGCTTTACACGTCAACTGTAAAAGCCTTTAAAAATATGTTCAATTGAATGAATATGTTTATACTGTTATTATGAATCAACCATATTATGTCATTAGCGTCACTTTGCAGCCTATGAGAAGAGACGCTCTGAGAAAAGGATATTTTAAAATTTTCTGTAATTTGGGGCACAAAGTTTAATAAAAGAGGCCCTTTCAAATGCAGAGAGAATCTAATTGAAGACATAATGAAGTTGCAGTACTGGAATGTAGAGTCCAGTGGTTAAAAAGCTATGCCCAGACTAACGACGCCCTCTGCTGCTTCAATGAGGAAATTCTTTTTTTTTTTACTTATTTGTGTGATAATGGATGAAGAAGTTTAAGATCTTTTACAGTTCTATACCAGTCTATGACAATAACATGCATTAACAGTGTCATGATATACAAAACTAAGAAATAATCATCAATATTAGGAGTTACAGTGACCCTGACAGGAAGAAAAAAAAAAGTAATTTCAGTTTGACAAATGTTTTATGATCACTTCACCAATTAATGTCTCTGAAAATGTTTCCACTCAACTTTTTATGGTAGAATAACTGATATCTCTTGCGTACAATGGTAAAATCTATTATAGTAATGCAAGTTTGAATCCCTAATACGAGCTAACAGCTGTTACTGTTTAAAAGTTGTCCTAATTATGTCATTTTAATTATGTTGTTCTACTTATGCCCCAATCATATCATTTGTTCATATTCCCTTTTGGATATGAAATAAATTTTGTATGTGTTTCTGAAAAACCTCTTTTAATACCAATTCATGTAAGCCTATGCAAGCTAGACAGATAAATACTGTATATGTATGACACAATAATAAACACTTACAAACACTTACATGGTTCTCAAGAGCTAAACTGGCCAGATGTGCTCTAGAGTATAAAACTATAGGACTTTGAAGTAAGCTGAGTCAGTTTTTGGCTTAAAATGTCAAAGTATACCATGACCAGGATGACTTATAATCCTCACAGACAACATTTAATAACTTTTAAGAGTGATTGCAGAAGGTATGATCATGGCAAAATGTGACCCAGTCCTAAAACTTGCGCATTAAAATTAAATCAATAGAATGAGATAGTCTGTAAAAGAGATAGATAAAACAAGTATAAATAACCATATTTAAGTAATAGATTAAAGTAAAACACCGTTTTACTTTTTACAGTAATAAAAGTGCTGTTTTTGAAGTCAGAATCCCATGAACAGAAAATTTGCCCACAAAATTTCTATACATTGATTTTTCACATGTCCTTCACAGTAAGATCATCTCAAGAAGTCTGTCAGGAAAAAGGAAAACTGCAAAAGTAGTATAGTTAAGCAGTGTCCAACAGGGACTCTACTGATCATGCCTGAGTTGTATGACTTCTTTCTGCTGCAGTCTTACATCAGCTCACTTCCTCCCAGGGTCTACAGATGCTGGCTGTAAACATTACAGGTAAATTTAAATGAAAAATGTATTTGTTTACACCCACTCAGGCGTCCAAAAAGTGTTAGGGAATTTCTGTGAGTTTCGTTCAAATGTGAATACAATAAGAGAGAGGCCAAACAACAGCTGAACATACAGATCTCACTAAACCTTTTGACCACAGTTGTCTGGTGCCTACTTCCTAAATTAAAACCATGTGTATCATCGCTGTACTCTGATTCAGCTCACCTGTGAATCCACAGGCCTCAGCCAGCAGGAAGGTGCTCCAGGACATAAGGAAGAAGAGGGCTGTCTCAAGCAGTGGGAAATAGTGCAGCTTGGTGAACTTGGTGACGTAAAGACAGGGTTAAAGATATAACACTGCCTCAAGAAACTCAAACATAATCTGAAAAAACAGACTTTATATTTGTATTCTCATTTCAAAGTAGGGAAAAGAGAAAGGATATAAGAGCAGTGACGACTCCTGTGGCTGCTCCCATCACAAAAGAGCCGCTGAAAATACCCAAAAACACACCCACAGACTTGAAAAAGGCTGAGGCATCGAACATGTGTGTGTTCGCTCCACTGGGCTGGTACGCCACAATAGACCTGAAATACAAAAACAAAGAATATGTAATAAGTTTGACTAGAATTGATTATATGTCATTTTGGTGACATAGATTTTTTTTTCTCACACGAATACAATGAAATATTAGAGAAAATGTTGTGAAAATGTTTGTTTAATGAGTCTCTGCGTGTCCTAAAAAAAAAAACGAAAAAAAGTTTGAAATTGAAATCCATGTAAGGCAATAAAGTAATCTTTACTTCAAGAGTAATACAGCAAGTTCTTGTTTTTTGTTCTTCTTTTTTTTGACATTTAGTTTCCTTTTTTTTTATTTTATGTTAACACTGATATTTGGAAGTTTTGTGGATTTTTTTTGGACATCTTTCAGGTAAAGCTGTCGTGAAAAGGTCAGGGTTTGGATTACACAGTTATCTCCAACACCCACACATGTTGTAAGATTTCTATTTTTATATCAATTTTAAAAAATAATGAGTAAAAAATAAGAAAAGATAACTTGTCATCGGTTTTAGTGATTTATCATCCACTAGAGGGAGTCAGAGAGTCATCTGTCTGTCCTGGATCAGCCACGCAATCATTGCTGCTCTGTCTCACACTGAAGTGTTGAATTTCAGCATCAGGAGGGAAAAGCAGCCCAACATACAGACTCAGCTTTGGCCCGCTGAATTAGGAGGTAAAATGTGACTGATGTAGGTTTAGAAGGCACAAATGTGACTTACGAGGAGAGCACGATGGCCACTGCATCATTCATGACGCTTTCTCCAAACAGCAGAGCGTACAGATCCCCGTCTGCATGGAGCTCATTAAAGATGGCCAACACTGTCACTGCACACAGAGATAACATAACGGTCAAACAAACACATAATCCTGCATATACAGTTATAAATGTGCATCACAGAACTTTCAGGAGCATGTTTAAAATGTTATCAGTGCAACTTCAGCTTTTCTAAACCAGTTTTACTCTCAACCCTGTAGACCCACAACAGGATTTTGTCTAGGTGCAGCTCTAATAACAAATATCTAAAACTTGATTTTCACAAGAAAGAGCTTCAGAAATGACATTTATAATCCAATTCTTATGAGCTTCAGGGATCTTTACAGATTAAGATTTCCCCCCTAATATTACAGATGAAATAAATGTGATGTAAGAAGACACCTTAAATTTAGCACAAGCAAGTCAAAATGGAATTTTTCATTTGCGTGCTTTGGACTGAAACTAGTTTTAAATTCATTACTAAACATTTTAGGGCTTTAGTTAGGATATTTTTTATAAATTAGAAATACTTCTGAAATCATTTTTGTACTCATGGGTGATGAACTGTAATTCCAACTGTATATTATTTAGTTTCATTTTGGATACAAAGAAAGCACTACTAAAGGTTAAATATGAAATGTAAAAAGGGTTGATGTTACAATGTTGCTATGTTACAATGTAATTTAGCAGATGTTTATCCAAAGCAACGCACATTTGAGAGCAAGAACAGTACAAGCAAAGATCTAGACAAGAGGAAACAAGATCAGTGAGAGCAACAAAGTGCTTCATTTGGATGCAGGTACTGCCAAGCAGTGTCAGAAGCAATGCACAGAGTGAATAAAGGATTTTTTTTTTTACATTAACAATGAAGCAACTAATTATCAACACAAGACCTTCTTTATCACCACTAACAAAGAGCTCGGCACAAAGTCCCAGAGGTAGAGCAGGACAGTGCGTGTCAACTGTAGTTGTACCTCTACAACTGGCAAAGAGTTGATTTTAAATTGCCCCATTGCCGAACATCAAAACAACAAAGATTTATTAAATTCAGAGGTCCACAGTTGTGGAAGACTCTTGATACATCACTTCAGTCATCACTATCAGTATCAATTTTCAAGAAACATCTAAAACATTACTTAATTTCTAACTTGATGTAATCAAACAATTTCTGTTTTGTGTAATTTCAATTTTACTTTATATTATTCTGTTTCTCTTCATCTTTGTTTTTCATTTCTTTATTGCACTACTCTTTCGTTTGTGATTTTTTTTTCCTTTTTTTTATTCTCTTGATCTTAAATCTTGTTTAATTATTATTTCTTTTAAGGAAAGGATTCCAGATAAGCCAGTATGGCTTCTTCCTTTCCTTGCACAGTATGCGTCACAAATGTTTATGATATGTATGTTTTCACCAATGTGCTAAATAAACTAAACTAAACTAAACTAAACTAAACTAAACTAAACTAAAGACAACAGTGGAGACTGGTCAAGCTGAAAGCTTTTTGAGACTGATCTCTCCGTGAATCACTTATATCTCTAATTACCTTTGACATATCTGCTTGATTTTCCATGTTCAAAAATGTACAAATTAATCAGCAAAATGTCAAACTAATCAGTCTGACTGATGAATTGTATAAAGTGTCCTTATGTGTTTGTGTTGCACCTGGGTCTGTAGCGGAGATTATCGCTCCAAAGAAGAGACAGTCTGTGTAGTAAAACTTGTCGGTCAGCTGTCCGACCACTTGCATTAGTTTGACCACACCATACATGAGATTCCTGCAGATGGACATTAAAAGGAGAGAGATGAGCAGAATATGACAGTTGAACAACAGGTACCTTCAGCCCAAAAGGGTAGAATTATAAAAGATTCACTTTTTTAAATGTTACTTTATGTTCACTCACCCAATAACAAAACATGAGATGGCAGTGCCGAGGAAAGCATAGGTAATGATGGAGCCCAGATTCCTGAAGAAATGTCTCTGCAGGAGGGAAAAAGGTGATTTAAGACAAGGGAGGAAAAAAGACTTTTTATACTCAGGACAGGAAAGCACAGTTAGTTTTATTGTTCCGTTCTCCCTTTTTTTTTTTACACTGAACTTATCCACTGTTATTTTTTTCATTATCATTCTTCTTCCTCATTTTGCTTCACCAAAGGTGTTCAAGTAGTGAAAAACCATACGAGCACAGCTCCACAAAATTAGCAGGTGGAAGTGAAATTACAGCTACCACTCACTCAGACACATACTATTTCAATCACTGACATTAAGACAGCACTGAAGAAACCAAGTTTACTTTGCAAAATGACTTTAAAAAAAAATCCTTGCTTGGATTTAAAAAAAAAAAATCTCTATCTCTCAGTTTATCAGCATGACCTTACTGATGGTTGCCCAAAGTACTTTGTTTGTTCAATCTTTTCCAAAAACCCTTTCTTTTAGAGCTCCTTCTCTGAACTTTTATCTCAATCTGCAAAGACTGTGGGTCTATGGAGTTTAGCAGTGCTGTTTTTAAAACTGTTACATGGTATAACAGACTGGTATGGTTGCTATTCTGCTCATCTTAAATCACAGATAACCCATCTTGTGCATGCGACTATGAAAACCATGAGTTAAAAAAACACCCATCTGTTCAAACAATCTATGAGCAGTATATTCTTAGGCATATTCTTAGTGTGTCTAATCTGACCCACATTTTTCACCAGTTTCAACTGAGCTTTTACCCTCTGGGGGAAGATTCAGGGTCCCTCAGACCAGGCTGAACTGCTATTGACATTTCTGCTTATGATCAATAAGACTCTGAATCAAAGGGTCTTGCACTCTGTCAACATAGTGCTGCTGTCAGAAGATTTGTATATGTATTGTTAAACTGTTACGTTGAATTGCTGCTGTGTTTTCTATAGAGTCTGAATGGGCTCAGGCTCGCAGAGGTCATCAGTCTGGATCATGTTTATATCAGGTTCTATGGTGGCCCTGAGGTGCAAAACCTAATGGCAAATCAGAAAACACAACACAAAAAAAGGAAAACACAACGGCAAATCAGAAAACACAGCCACACTAAACATTGTGTTTCTCTTTTTGTGTTGTGTGTTTTCTTTTGCTGTTGTGTTTTGCACCTCACACCCACCGTACATTTCCTGATACTGTGATAAACTCACAGACATTTTCGAACCCATGCAGTGATTTCCATCACAGAGTTATGTCAGGTGTCTATTCTGAGAGCCACAGATGTTAATTAATGCTTTTCAACATTTTTTGAAGCATCAAATTGAAAAGTAGCATTTAATTTTACCAAACAGTAAAACTTTTCACTTTCATGATTCAGTATGTTTTCTCTGCTCTATTTTCAGTCAAATATTAGATTTAAATTATTGTCAAATCCTCGGAATCAATTTTATAAGTAACATTTTTTGCAGTGTGCCATCTTTTTTGAAATTAGGCTTATAAATGTAAAAGCCAATGAGTTCTTGTCAAAATGCGATTACAACAGGGATATTGAATGAAACTCCACTGAAGTTTGTGTGCTTCATTTTAAGTTTTAAAGAATATATTTCTCACTCCCAATAGAATGGGTTGACATGATGCGTTATTTTTAATTTGCTTAGAGTCCAATCATGCAGCTACTTCAGTTAATAAAACGTTTTCAAAATAAATATCTTTCAGCACTAAAGGATTCAAGTCATGGCAGCAGTTGAGAGAGTTATTTGTCAAACAGGATGAATAACGTAAACCTACACTCAACTGTTTGACTGGTTGTAAAACAAACAACAGCAAACACTAAAGTGTCCCTGGATGACACCCACAGATTTTATCTTCCACAAGCTGGCTGTGAAACAAAAGTGCTGATTCAGATTTCTAAAGGAAACTGTCTTTTCCTCAGTGACTGTCAGGGCGGATTTTGTGAAATAAAACATCCAAGAATCCAACAAAAAAAGAGGAAAAAACACTGTTCACTGTGTTAAGGATTTACATGACACATCTTTTGAGGCAGCACAGTAAGATGACTAAGAGGTAATTATTCACAAATATTTCCACATCAGTTACAGTCTGGTGTGTTCAGTTGCAATGATCTAAAGCACATGATCAACTGAGCTGACACGTAAACAACCAAACAAGCAGCTGAGGAGAGGACTGCATCTTTTTCTGTTTCCATCTATAGCTGCAAACACAGAGCTTTAAATCAGCTCTCTCTGCAGCCCACGATTGATAAAAGTACTCTCCAAAGTGACAGACTGAGACGATCCGCTTCCTGTTTCCTGAGGCCTGATGTTTGACTCAGCAAATTCCTACTTGAATGAAACTTTCACCAAAAAAACAAAAAAGACCCGTCCGTACAATGCTTCAATATGTCAGGGACATTCAGACAACCTGCTTGAGGCACCCTGTACTTAAGAGAAGACACCAGCACAAGTCAAACTGGAAAAACAGAGAGGTTTCATCTAGTGACACTAATCATTGCAACTCTACAATATTAAGACAAGAAAATGTTACAGAAAAACAACAAAAAATGTCACAGGCTACCCAATACAAGCAGGTTATACTTCGAAGTGTCTGGGTGTTTTTTTTCTCTATAATCTAATAATGTAAGGGTGTTCCTCTACTGAGTGTTTTGTTAAAGGGGGAGCGCAATCGACCATATTCTTAGAAAATGTCCCATTAGTGTTTAATAGACATGTCAGTTAGAACAATATTTGCAGCTTCAGTTTTAGCTGGTACAGAAATGTTTTGGCAAAAAGGACTTAAAGGGATATTCACGCATGAAATTAATTTAGGGTCAAACACACCGTACCACCGAGTTATACAACCCCTCGAGAGATGAATTTTGCCGACCGCTTGCTTCTCTAATTTCACCAACTTTGTCTGAGGAGCCATGCACAGACCTCAACCAAAAAGCCGCTCTATAGCCACAAATAATGCTCAGAACAGCACCTAACTTCATCAACAGTACATATAGGGTCCCAGCCATAGTACTAGCCACCAAACATCTTTTTAACTTTGCCTAATTTTTTTAGCAAAGACACTAAAAACAACTCACCCACTCTCTACCAGCAGCTGCTTGTTTGTAGCGAGACCTCAGGCCAGTCCATTACAGACTGCTGACGGGGTGACACAGCTCAAGGTAGAACATTAATAATAATGTCTTTATCATTTCCTGAAGTAATAATCACCATGTTAATTATTTGCATTGCAGACGCAGTAATTCTTCTGCCTTAGCATCTCGGTCTGATTGCATTTCCATGAAGAAAGATTAAACCCTTATTTTGTGTGTTTTCACAAATAGAATAAAGAAAAAAATCTGAAACTGTGTTATAAAGAGACATTAGCCTCTCTAGGATCATTTAGTCCAGATTTTTACACTCTTACACAATATAGTCCAGATCCAGTTAACGCTAGAGCTGACAAATTTAGGTACAGGCTGTGGAGTGAAAACTGTCTGTTCCATAGAGCTCCATAGATTTCCTTACAAAACTGATGCTACTTTAAGTGTTTGTGTATTTCATCTGCTCAGTCTTTGCTATTTTCTTCTCCTTCATTAATTCACATTGAAAACAAACGTAAACTTCATCAGACTTCTTCAATAGCTCCTCCACTAGCATCTGTGGTCCCCAGCAACGGTCTGTTCTTCATGACGACCTGGAGGAAATTTGCCACGGTACTTTTAGCCTGATGTCAATTTCACTTTCATGAAACCCTAAAGGCTTGACATCCTATGGACATAGATGTTGTCTTCTTGGATAGCTAGTCCTTGTTTTATGTTACTGTTTTCATTTAATTAAATTTAATGTATTTCTTTGTTTGTTGACTGACTGATTTTATTACTTCCCCTGCATACTATATTTTTATTTATATTTTTACTAATTCAGTTGTTAGGTTTAATTTTCTAGTTTTCAGGTGTCAGGGGCAGTAGGGTAATGATGGGGATTTAACATAAGATTACTAATAAAGTCAACTACAATTCAAGTATATTGTCTTGAATCTTGATGGACACCTAGAATAACCTAGACCTGTATAGCATTTCATCAAGTGACAGAGCTACATTTGCATCTTGATTTGTTACCCTAATCAGACCCTCTCCCTGGTCAGTATCTTATATTATTAACACGAAAGAGTTGACACTTACCAACACTTGATACTTATTCTATGACGATATTTTGTATAAGATACATTCACACAAAAAAAGACATAAAAATGTACAAAAACAGGTGAGTCAGCTGGTTAAATATGGCTGGTGAGAGTGAGCATGAACAATTTTCTTGCTATGTTTAACGCAAAAAGGAAAGAGTTACAAACAAATAGTACCACATTTCTAATTCCAGACTTTTTCCTATTTACCATAGTGCATTGTATTTCTGTCATTATAGAGTATACATTTTGCATGCACCATAGCATATAATTTTGTTTAAATATCCCACATTAAATGTGACTCTCCTTTTTGTTGCAGTTCAAAGTACAAGGTGTAAAAATAAAATAAGATGTCCTGGTAGACTTTTTTGATCGCCCTGCATTTTGCTTAATGTCTGTATAACCATTCTTTCATCCACCATGATTTGCACAAATATTTAAACAAACAACTCAATAACTGCAGAGGAATTTCAGTCTGAACAAAAGCATTAACCAGACAACAATAATCAACCAATACTACTTTAGGAGTTTAAGAGCCTCACTATAACCTCTTTGTCAGATGTGAAGATGTGCATGTGAACATGCCTCCATGATATCATCCATCACTGTATAATCAGATGAGGATGAGCTGCACCCTCATAATAGGGACACAGATCAGATATCACCAGCTGCTCAGACACATTTCACTCTCCATTACTCAAAGGTTGAGGCTCTGAATCACCTGATCTCAAGATCTAAAATGCGCAATTCCTGTACCCAAAAAGTACCATCCTGCCATTAAATATGGTGATGGATTAGTGATGAAAACCACAGATCCTCCCACAGAATTCCCCCAAAACTACTAATCTGCTGCTCAAAAGCAGAAACAACTAGTGGTGTCAATGTCAGCCCTTTTTAAGAGGAAATGAAAGACATCTGCTGTGGACTTCCCCACAGAAGGACTACTTATGTTGAGTAAACACTGAGCACTCTCACAGTCTGTCCAATGAGGGCTTCTCTTAGCAAACCATCTGTCCAATGAAACAGCAGTTTGTGGCAGCACCAATGTGCACCTGGCCCACACAAAGCCAATGACATGATCTCGTGTTACTCCTCATGAACAAACCCAGCACACAAATAGTCACAAATTTGGCATGTGGCATCTCACCTTCTTCAGACTGTATCCAGCATGGAAAATAATCGGAGGGAGCAAGATGTTGAAGAATACTTCAGGGTCAAAGGTCACCTGAAGAAGAAAGTAAATAGAGAAAATATCAAGAGGAATTCTGGTATTTTTATACCTGGCTCTATTTTTAAGACATATATCTCTAATTTACTTTATACCAAATTTTTAGAGTAACCCCAGGAGACTGCCTGTCCTCCCTCATAATGACAAAATGATGATAAAAATGTTTATACCTGTTTCCTCTCCTTAATATCAGTACCATTTCCAGACTATTTTGTGCACTATTTTATTTATTTATTACTACTTTCTTTTTCTTTCTTTTGCCCTCACTTGGATTGCATTATCTTGTACTAACCTGTTCATAAATTGTCTAAAGTATGGCCTGTTTTTTTTTTTCCTTCTTGCATTCCACCTTCACATGTTAAAACTGCTTTTGTATGTATGTGTCTTGTGTTATAATTAAGCTCTTTAATATCTTTTTTGATTTGGCATACTTTACAGGTAAATTGGACATGTCATTACATATATCAAAAGTAGGTATAGCATATCCTCACCTGAAAATGCTTTGTTATTCAAATTTACGTTAACCCTTACATACAGAATCATGTGCCCTATGTTCTGGGGTGGATTGTTCTCTGTTCAATTTAAAAGGGAAAAAAAGTGGAAATATGTAATATAAACATCTTGTAAATCTGTGCTTGTATACTTCCAAATAAAAATTATTCATCAAAAAAGATGATGGCAAAATAGCAAAATGATACATTTAAAGCAATTGGTGGTGTACTATTGTACAAATAAACATTATGGAGGGTTGATTTTATCAAAAAGTCTTCCAAATTTGGGTCAACAAGAAAAGCCGCTGAAAGTAGCCATCCTGACTACCGCCAGCAGATCCACGCTGTAAAGGAGTCTGAACTTGCAGTCAAGAGAGTCAGATCCTCCATCTTTTAAATAACTGTGCTAAGGTTTAAAAAACAGAATCCTCCTTTAACAGGGTGAATCTGGTAAATCCAGAACTGACAGGATGCTGCCTTCGTCTGACTCTCACCTTGCGGAGCATGTCGTTCTGCTCCACATTGTGAATCTCCCTGGAGTTGATCTCTCCTTTCAGGGTGTACTCAAAGAACTTCCCGCTGACGTTGAGCAGCAGGGTGCTGACAGGTCCCTCCTTCAGCGTGCAGCTCGGGGGCGTCTTGTTGTGGTAGCTGGTGGCGGGGATGCCGTACCGCAGGATCACGCCTACTAGTAAGCCTGAGCCAAGCGTGAAAACAACAAAGAAAACACGAGATAAGTATTAGCGTCAGACATTCTTATAACAGAAGGAACCACATTAACATAAAAAAACACACAAAACTGAAGCTCATCTGTTTAATTGCTTAGCACTACACAATGTTCCAGGTGCTTCTATTTTACAGGCCCAGAGGATCAGGAGGAGACACAGAGAGCAGCAGAGCAAAGGAGGAAAAATGTAGAGATGTAGAGTAGGAGCTGAAGGAGGAAGAGGAGGGATGAGCTGGGCAGTTAGAGAACATAAATCCTCTGATTAGACAGCAGTTATCTGCAGAGGACTCGGCCAAGCAGAGCTGCCAACACTGCGCTCACACTCTGCCCGACATGGGGTTAACCTCATACATCACACTCTGGCTTTGACCACAGATACAGACAGGGACCAACAGTGACAGTTTAGCAGAAAGCACAAGGTTAATGTTTGACAGTCACTGGAAATCAAACCTCTTGTAGTCTAAATTTGTCCCAATGCACACTAAACAACACACTGCACAAACTTTAGGTTCTTTCCAGCTTGTGGTTTTTGAATAATGAAATTAAAAGGGGACAGTTGGCATTTATTATCTATCATTTAACATGTCCTTCCTTTTAAACTGGCACCCAAAAACTTCTCTGACATATTCTTGATCATTCATTTGTGCTGGTTACGAAGCAAAAATAACCAAGTGACAATAAACCAGCTTTGAAAACAAGCTTTGGTGTGCAGTCTGCTCTTTGTACAGCAGATCAATCGCTCCATTGGCAGCATTATTACACTGGTGAGAGTCCAAGAAGACAAACAGTGCCATCTCACTCAACTTAACTTCATCAGATTTTACTCAACACACTGAAAAGAGTAATTATAAAAGACAGTTCACTCCCCTGACAAATACATAAAGGGTGAATACACTCATTTTACAGCATATAACACATTAAGTGGGTGAAATTTATGTTCCCATGTCAGGAACTTATGATTGTCAGCCTGTATTTGACCTTAACTGTCTAGAGGTTCTCCATTTTTGTAAGGCAGGACAATGAAACTACTTTAGCCGTTTAAAATGGAAGAATGCCAAAGGGCACTTCTCTTTTTAAGCATAAAAAAAAAACAAATCAAAGTCTGGCTTTTTTATGTGGAATCTGGTTAATAAGTGACATCTGCTGCACTGAAATGCTGCACCGTGAGACAAAAACACAAGCAGAGCTGGTAAGAGTGAGACACCTTTAAAAAAACAGTCACACTTACTATAATAATGTCACTAGATTTGTTTTTAGTTGGATGATAAACCTTTTTGATCTGCTGTCTATCACTCCAGGAAATTTGTTTCAGACCCTAAAATCAACATGCATGCAAGTTTAGCCTATTTAAGTCAATGTTTTCTGCTATAAAGTGAACCTTCCTGTGATCAAACTCCATCTATGCTTTAACTCTATAGTCCTCGAGGAAAAGTCTGTGTGCAGCTGGGTGAAAAGTGAATCACAGACATACAGTCTCATAGCACAGGAGCAGGCAGGGGCAATCAAGCTTAATGGACCAAATGATTTCAATAATGATGAACATGCTGCAAATTTAAATCAAAATGCAAATTAGAAAACACACGTGCAAAATTCCCAAGAATGCAATGATGTAAATACACTGCATATGGAAAGAAAGGGCTGCAAAGAATCAAACCAGCTGCAATACCAGTTCACATGATGGATACTTGCACAATGATTAATCCAAACTAAGACAAACACATAAAAGCAGATATCACATTCAAGAGGAAATGGAATGGAATGCTGCAAATCCAGTCAACACAACAAACTGATGATGGTAGAATAAAGACTTCAAGTATGTGCATTGATTTGTCAGTGTTAGTCAGTTAGAGGATAAAATTATTAACCATTGTACTTTACTGAAACAAAGTAAAAAACATAATGTTCTGTCATTATAGCTCCAGTGAAGAGTTTTTAGCTAGGCCTGAAACAAACAGAAACTAATAATAATGTCTCTTTATGGCCTAAAAAACAAGTCAAATGATTATTAAGCATGAAGGCTACTTCTATAGAGTTATTTTCTTCATGTGTGGAAGCAATAAGGTGGTGGGATCAGACCGAGTGATAAGCTTAACACTGCTGATACAGCCTTTTTCATGTTTCTTAGACTCCTAATTAGTGTTACAGTGTTACATGGGAAAGAACGGATGAGCTTTTGTGAAGAAGCGCAAGCTACACTTACAACAGAACAAAATCAGCAGGTATCACTTTGATACCTCTGATACCTCATCCTCACCTTAGTTTTGCAAACAGCCACAATACACACACACACACACACACACACACACACACACACACACACACACACACACACACACACACCTGTCTGTCAATGGACCACACCCTTAATTATCCCACAATGTGCAAAGCTCTTAGCCTCCATATGATCCAAATGGATTCTGTCTTTCTCTTTACCTCTTACACCTACATGCAATATACAGTGACTGTTCTACCTGACTAGCATGATTCTGGACTGTAGGAGAAAGCCAGAAAGCCCAGCCCCCTCAAACATGTTTAACTTACACAGAGAACACTGGACACCTCTATTTCCAAACAAACTAAACCTCCAGATCTCTCCCCTCTGTGAAAAGAGTAAAAGAGACATTGGAACTAACTATCAGTGCAACATACATTAATATTCAAGTATTGGAAAAATGTTGAGAAGGAACTTGACTCAGTTTTCACCAAACAATAAAGCTAGAGCCAGCATTATTTCTCCTGAGTGACCCTACAGAACAGCTGCCTCCATCAACAGGACAGTTCACATGAGTGAGTAAACTACTGCTCCAAGTGAGGCGATGTGTACTGTTCCAGACAATCCAGGAGATAATCTCCCGCAATTACACAATTTTACAGAAAAACTTCTGAGGTTCGTCCTATGGAACCCCAAGAAAAGTTTTAAGAAATGTTGTTAATGGTATTACAAAGGCCTTTTTATGCTGCCTAGTACGGTTTGCAAACCCTGAATCATACTGAATCTAAATTGCATTGTGGCAGCTTTGTGAATATCCTGCCTACAGTTTGTCATCTGCTTGAAAACAAGCAGTTGACAAACTACGGACCATGACTGTTTGTCTGCATCAAATAACAAGAGTATTTACACCGCCATTCACAACCATCTTAAGGCCCCAGAAGATAAATGGGACACTAATCATGAGCAGGATCATCATGAGAATCAAATACCACTAAGGCCTTAGAAAAACAAAAATCATAGTTCAGATTTGGTACTTAATAATTGCATGCAATGAGCAAAGGGGAAATTTCTAGAGCCTTAGTTTTTGCAATAGAGGATGTAACACAGATCAGGTGGTTAAACACAAAGTTCTTCTGGGATAATAAATAAAGACTGGCACAGAAACACAGCCAAGCCACAGCTGGTGGGTGTGACAGATGTGACGCTCTGCTTTACTTTCACCATCTTTAATTTACCATCATGCAGCGAACATGCACAATTAAGTCCTTATCATGAAAAACCTATTTCACATGCATTCATGCTTACTGCAAACATCTGATGCTCAGATGAAGCCCTGCAAACATCCACGGCACCATTAATCATTAGGACAGAAAGCTGAGGTGAGCCTTTCACTGCTGAAGACTACTGTTAGTCTAGGTTAACTGCAGGTTAGTTTGCATGTTTGAGGATGTAGCCGACTGTGGAATGTACTAAAGTCTCACTTAAATATGTGTCTAACAACATACCGTCACACTCTTCTGATTTATGTTAGTGGTTATATGCAATCCTACTTTTGGTTGAGTTTACAGTTGTTATTTTATTTTATAATTATTATTTTGTTGTTCTTCACAACCAAAATAATCTTGCTATTCAAGATGGATGCATACTTATGATAGTTTGACCTGCAAAAAACCTACACTGGCTGAACCTACACATCAAATTTAGGCTAAGTTAGTGTGTATATATGGTAAACATGCAATTTTTTGACTGTGTTTTATTCCATATGTGTCTCTCAGCTTTTTCTTGTTGCTCTTTTGGTAATTGAAGAACCCACAGACAGTCTGAAATCTCTCCTGGTTGCATCATAATGGGAATAAAACATAACATACTCTACGTTAAGGTCACTAAAATGTAATCTATAACATCACAGCAGAGTGTGAGTGGCCCCAGATCTGTCAGAGAACTACAGAGAGGGATACAGCTGCACGCAGTAGCCCACTGCAGAGTTTCACAGAGCTGTGAAGCTAACAGCACCTTCTAGAAACTAGCAGTGGCCCAGCCAATTAGGATCTGTGTGAGCTGATGGAAATGCGGAGGCGCCTTTGGAGCATTTATTTAGCTTTAAAAGCTCTCTGTCCTCCCAGCTTTCCCCTCCGATCGCCTGTGTGCAGCCGCTGTACAACCACCAGGGACACTGAATCATGCAAAGCCTGCGGGAAGGTGGTGCTGCTGTTTGTGAAGGAGAGTGTGTTTGTGCATTCAATATTTAATCCTATAAGCCTCACCGTAAATCATTGCCAGACCGGTTTCGTGAAGGAAACGGACCCGTCTGTGTTTGAAGAGCCATATGGTGAGGATTGTTAAGGTCAGCAGCAGAATGAATGTCAACAAATTAACGCTGTCCTGGCGGTGACTTTCCTCCGCCTCCTTCTCCGTGGCAAGTTCTTCCATACCGTCGTCCTCTGCTTTCAGTCCCGACACCGCGCTCAGTAAGATCCACACGGGCATCGTGGTGCTCAGCGCGGCGCAGGCTCCGCTCCGCTGCGGCCGCCGTAGAGCGTCCATGGTGCAGGATGCTGCTGACGGACAGCTCACCGCCTCTGTGCCATGTCACTACTGGAAGGGGACACACAGCTGAGTCTAAGCGGTGAGCCTAACCCTGCTCACAGACCGGCGAGTTCAGCCTTTTAAAGAAACACTGCGCGCAGAAGAGAGGAGAGAGGGGGAGAGACTGCGCTGCCCTTGTGGAGGAGACCAGATGAGACCACTGCCGCCCTCAAGCCACCTTCTTCTCAGCTACTGAGTCATTGTCCCGGGATTGTGATGAATGTGCAGTTCAGAGCTCGCTCCTCTTCAAAAACAGGAAACTCACATGCGCTGAGTTTGGTGGTTAAAGTCAGACTCTTGTAGGAGAAGTGAAAGCAGATATCCGCTCTGATGATGTGGCCTTGGATCAGTGATAGTGGAGGGGTGAGAGGTGGGATGATACCAGGCAGGCACAGCGGGAGGGAGGAGGTGGATGAAGGGGGCAGCAGGAAACTACAGGGCAATAGGTTTTAAAGGGCTGTTGTTTTTACGGCTTTACAATTGCACAACTGATGTTTCTTTATACATATTTATATATACAGACCAGTGAATAACCACGTGATAATCAATATGCAGCCTGGATTTTTTTTTAAACCAAAGAGAACCTCAACTGACTTCCTCTCTATCTTAGTATATTTCTGTCTTTTTTGTGTATTTTATATCACTGGATGTTTTTATGTGTCTGAATGACTGTAGCTGCTGCAACAGCACAAGTTCCTGCAAAAGAATAACAGGAATAACAACCAGTCCTCCTCTTATTCTTCCTATGTTAACCTCTGTATTTTGGATGACCCCTTATTGAGTAAAAACATGTATGCTACTGAAGATTATTATATTCAAGAAACCATACACTTATTAAAATGCAAATGTGAATTATTATTATATTCCATTTCTACCACGTCTGTTCTGCTACATATATGAAATACTACACATTGCACCTGTAATACAGAAGCCAGGAAAAAAATGTTTGTGTGTCAGAAATATCCATGTTTCAGTGCACAGTCCAGATGTAGGCCTACAATCCAGTCAACAAAAATAAGCTCCATGGGGAGCACTGTTGCCGTAGCAGTCTAAGTGCACCCCATATACAGAGGATGTGGTTTTTGTCCCTGTCATGATTCGACTCCCAGCCATCACCCTTTGCTGCATGTGTTCTAACACCCTCCAGGCTACTCCCCACATTATTTGTCTCTCTTCAACTGTCATGTTTCACAAAAGTAAAGTATAACATAACTTTAAAGACAAAAGAGCTCTATGGAACAGGGGCAGATCCAGGGGGTGCCCAGGGATGGCCCCCGTATCCTGAAATCTAGTTGGCTGCCTGGTTGGTCACCCCAGAATCCCAAACTGGCTATCTGGCCTTGTCAGAGGCAGGACCTATTTTAAAACCATTTATTCAGCCGGTTGTTGAAAGCTGCTGAAATTAGCTGCCTCATTTGTTAGTTCTTTACTTTGATTTGTGTCCACAGACATAAATCTTTTCAAGTCCTTAGATATTTTAAATTAGAAGATTTAAGTGTAGGAATTTTGCTGAGTTAGCCTACATTATTAAGTGAAAAAGTGACTCACAACAATCAGCAGACTGTGGCATTTAAGAGTGGACTGTTAACTGCATGCAGATTTCTGTTATCAGTTAGGGTTAGCGTTCTGTCTCTTCTGCTTATTATACAGACTATACAGGCTGTTTAAAGCCTACAACCACTGAAACACTAGTAGAACATGTGCTGATACCACACATGGGCACACTTTTGATTCCGAAATGTGCTGCCACATTTACATGCAAAATCTGCAACTTTAGATTTACCAGACTGAATGTTTAAAATTGTTAAAAAGAAATACATCAATAAATTTTTAAAAACAGTTTTTCAAAGAAGGCATTTTTTTTAATTAATCATTCATTTACGCCAATGTTTTTAACTGTCTTACCTATTTCATCAAGCAGTTGATCATCAGCTTATCAGCTTACATTAGCTTATCAGTGGATAACCTGCAAAAGCACATCACTTGCTCAAAGTTTATAGTTGATTTCTCAAAAGCAAGAATTCATGTCAATGAAACTGTCTATGTGATCAAAATAATAAGTCCTGACACCATTGTTTATGAACAAGACAGTCAAATGGCTTTACAGTTTACTCTCGCTGTGTTTTCCAATGCAAAAAAGTCAGATCTTGGTGACACTACCTGAAAGTGCTCAGGACAGCACTATACACGACCTGTACAGCCATTTGAAAACTACAGTAAAGTTACACATTACTGTATTTGGTGAGGTAACTGAGTACAAGACACGTGTATGTTTCAGATATTTACTGCATATGCTCTTTGCAATTCTACAGCATTGTGCAAAACAAAAATTTCCCAGTCACTTTCTGTATTTAGAACAAACATAAGAAATACCATTTTGGTAGAACTGTGCACAAATGTAAACAATATAACAGTACATATTACTGTAAATGATGCTGACCTTCCATTTCTGTGTCACAGAATTGTAGAAATGGTACACACTATGTCCTGCTTGGTTCACATATGCTTGCTAAGTGAGGGTTCATGGGATTCAGCTCTAAGTGACTGTGGACAAGTGGCTTGTCCCTGGTCACAACTAATGCTTCAAACAACTCCTCATGAGTGAAAGCTGAGGTTCACCTGAGAACAATCGTTCAATTTTGGAGACATTTTCAGGAAAAAAAAAAGATAAAGGAATGTATGAAATCAGCTTGACAGATTTTGACAACTAGTTTAACAATTTTGTATGTAATGACTCAAGCAATGAAATGAGGACTATTAGTTTTATAGGGAATGACTATTCAGCTATTCATAAGATTGTTTCATTTTGACTGACATGACATAAGCCGATGCTAATGTTATAAAACAGCAGAGAATTGTATGAAAGTAACTGATACATGTCCAAGAGCATTTGTAATTTGTTCAGAGGAATGAGAAACTGCTACGATGATGTGCACAAATGACTCAGTGTTGTGGAGGTTGAACTAATAGCTGTGAGAACTTTCATTCTGATCTGCGAAATGCACCAAAGTGACTGCGAAAAACTGTAAAATTACAAAGAAAGAAAGAATGTATACAAGTTAATCATGAATATTGTATTAAACTGCATTATTATCACTATAAGTTATATCAACTACTAGTCACATTTGATATGCAGCCAAATGCTTTTTTTTGTCAAGATACTGGTGATATCGACCCTATGAGGGCCAATACTGATTTAATGCAGACATACAGACAGATTGACGGATAGATAGATAGATAGATAGATAGATAGATAGATAGATAGATAGATAGATAGATAGATAGATAGATAGATAGATAGATAGATAGATAGATATTTACAGATAAAACTATTCAATGATTTATTCAAATTCTGTATAGTCTTGGATGAAGATGTTTTTTCAATGGCTGATCCTTAATGGACAGGAAATGTATGTGAAGTTCTGGAGATGATAACACCTAGCTGTCTCTTGCATCTTCGTGTCTTTATACAAACATGTGGCTAGTTACACACAGGGATTAAATGGATTGCTTAACTCTTGTTTTGCACAACATAGTCTTCCTCTGAGGTGGCTGCTCCTGAACCCTGTGATCAAGAGCAAAATGAAGTTGTTTTATCACAGGATTTGTCTTCACCACACTGACAAAACCTGCTGTGATTAGAGGTTCAGTCGAACTCAAGTAAATTATCTCTACCTTATCGGTGATTAAACCTCGAATGCTGCCTGTAAGCTATTTGCTCTTTCTCTCCCAGTGACTCTTTTATGCCTCACTGTCGGTGATATAAAACTTAGATACCACATCCCACTTATTCTTTAAGTTGGGCAGCATTAGTGTTCAGAGTCACAAGAGTTGATCAGTCACTTGTGGTCATGCAGTCACACAAAATGAAAAGAGGATGTAGGCCAGGCTTCAGAGCATCTCCCATGGAGGCATGATGAGGATTATCTATTATTAGAGTGTCCCAGTGGCTTACGTTGCAAGCTAATCTGGAGTCTGGTTAGGCATGGTTACGTGTGTTTTGTAATTGTTGTGGATGTGTTATGTTTGGTTGGTCTATTGGCAGCACTTCCTATTGTATCAATTTTACAATCATGTCAACCTGGCTATGACTTAAAAAAACATGCTTCATCCTGTGTAACTAATTTTGTCTTCCTTTCATCTTCCCATGTAACTATTACATCCTGTTATATACTATTTTATGTAAGAAATTTAGGAGGAAATCGTAAATTAGTGTAAGAAGCTTTTTGTGTTGAGGACAACACCCAGGGAGGTGTGTCCGATGTGTACATGACGGTGCATTCATGGGTATCCGGTAGGCTGGGTATTTTGTAAATTTTAGCTGTATAAAGGCAACTGATTGACTATTAATTAAATATTGAGGCTCAACTTTTTTGGAGGGCAACTGAATTACAATAAAAGAGAATATTTCTTATAATCAGTGTACTTTATGAGATTAGTTTAAATACAATTAAATGAAGACCATATGATTTCACATCATAATCTTCAGGGTGAAGATTATAACTTGGTTTGAACAGTAAAATGCTGCCTTGCACTCGTTGTCAGTGCTATTTTTAAATATATTTCTATGTTCAGCCAAATTTTAAATATCTGTTAAATAAGATTCAGTTTGAAAGTCTCATTTCCGTTTACACCTAAATTACTCATGACGAAATCACTACTTATAGCTTGCTGATTGGCTGTTGTAATTTCCATCGCGTCACTGATTGGTTGCGAAATGAAGCTGTGAAACAGGAAGCTAGAAAAAAAATCTTGTCAATTTAAGAGCACGTAAGCTTCTGTCTCACACCTCTTGTGGTTTCTAAGCTAACGGTGCTGTTACAAAAGTGCGCATATCGGGACCCCATTGACAGAAGAAAATGGGGTGTTTCTTCTCGAAAGAATCCAAAAGAAAGTCGCCCGAAAAAGAGGACCGTACGCCGACGACGACGACTGTCGAAACTACGACGACAAGCAACGCGGTTCCCCTTGGCAACAACACCGACGAGGCACCTAAGCAGTACAGCTGGGACAAGAGGGAAAAGGTGACACGGAAAACCATTAATTTAGAGAAAAATATTAGTAGACAAATTCTCTTAGCAAATGTAGCTCCTATAATTTTAACCCCATTGAGAAATATGTTTAAGTTGTATTGAAAGTCGGTCACAATATACTGGTCAGCTACTGCACCACCTAAGAGACGAGGACAGCCACTGTTGCACCTTTACTCTATAGATTTTTTTTACGGCGAGCAGCTACGTTACTAAATATGAGTGTCTACAAGTTTCAGTGGCCTCATGTAACCCATCAGAAGCAACGTAACCTGATGTTGACATAACTGATTTCCTGCAGCTGCAAAAGTCAAACACTAATACCGTCACCAGATTTGTTGCATTGCAGCAGATTATCACACAAGTGTTATCTAAGTATCCTGGGCGATGCATGCAACGCTTATAATAAGTTTATAACACTCTTGAGTTTTAGTCTCAAAGCCTCGGACTCGCTTTGTCTCCTCTACATGCATCCTGGGTTATCTCATTATCGGATTACTGCACAACTCTGACTGTGGTTCACTATCACACCGTTGACCAAACTTACCATGGCCTGTGGTGAGACTTTAAAGGCGTTAACAAAGCGGTAGTTCAACTTCCTTTTTGACTCACAGCATGTCGCACCTTACTTTTGTACACTGAGAAGTACACTTTTAAATGTCAAGCTGGGGAATCTGAAACAGTCTGGTTTCTAATTAAGTAAATAAGTCATGAAAGAAAAAGGAGCAGCATTGCTATTTTAGGATTGAGGTTTAAATATAGCCCTGTCTATTGTGGTGCTATAAAAGTAATGTGGTGTAAAGTCAGTCAGGGACACACCTGACTTATTTTAGTTATCACCAGAGTTCGATATTTCTATTGGAACTTGATTGCCTGTGTTTTTTATCTGTATGTTTAAACGACATGTTTACTGATTATATGCTGCTGTCTGGGGTTTCCCAGTAGGGCTGGGCAAATAATCACTTTCAATTTCATCTGCCTCCCCAGGATCATGAAAATATGATAGCCAGGACTCTAAGATACTGCCTGATGTATGATGTCTGTTTTAGCTTTGTTTTGAATAAAGGGCACCCTCCTTTTCTTCATTGTGTACTCTACCCCTTCCCTCCAACAGCTCTCTCTTTAACTTTATCATTAAGACCTCAGATCAATGTGCAACTAAGTTAATTAAAACACCTTAACGTCCTATTCACACTCAACAGGATTTTTAATACCAAGTTTCGAAGAATTTTTAAGTTGCGTAGATGTATGTGATGCTGATGTCAAATAATGGGTAGTGATTTTTAATATGTAGGACAAAATTGATCAGCCCTGTTTGACACTATGCTGTGTTGGGAGAACTGACAGATGCTATCATTCAGATTCAGTGACCCCTGTAGTGCCACAAACTCACAAAAATAAAATCAAATTGCATCTTATCTGAACAAATGAAATAATAGTAAGTACTTTTGTTTGGCAAGAAAGAAGAAATTAAATCATTATGCACAGACCAACATATTTGTATGTTTTAATAAACAAAAATACCCATCACCGAGGTCTAAGTTCAGCCTTGGCAGGAGGTGTGCCAGAGCTTCTTGACAAACTTAGTTTGGTGTTAACTTAATGAGATTTTTTTGCACATTCTGATTTTATGACTCTTAATCGTTTTTAAATAACATTTTCTAGCTTTTAGATAATATTGCCTTATCCAGTCAGCTGTATATCTTTATTATTCATTATTCTCTTGACTTCTCTTTATTTTACCTTGCCCCTGCACAGCACTTTTTGTGCTTCATTAGAAGGTTATTTATTGCTTCCCTCTGACTGCTTCTGGTTTAATGTAGCAGGAGTGTTTTTTTTAGTCATCTGAACCATGAAACTTTGTATCTCATATATTTCCTCCTCTGAATCTGGCAGCAAATCAAATTTCCTTTGGGATAATCATAATAAACTTCAGCTTGAACTTAGATTTCAGTGCGAGTGTAAAATCATGAGTAATGTCACATCCCAACAGTAAAGTGTGGGCCTGAAAATTGCAATACTGATTCAACTTATTTATAGCGAGTGAACAGTGAAGATGATACCTCATGGAAAATTCTAGACAAAAAGGAAGAACTGCTCTTATGTGCTTCAAATCAAACACAGTACATCAAATAAAAGCAGACACATGATTTAAATTTAATGAACTTGTGTTCATTGTGTACAAAGGTAAACAGACCTTGTATAAGCATGTTGGCTGGTGTGTTTCCCTTGTACAGAAATCGGCAGACTTTTTTGTCCACTAAAATCAAACCACTCTGAATATTTGCTATGGAAAATATATAATATATATATATATATAGACACAATGATTCTTCGGGATACTGTAAATCAGCTCATCTAACACCAACCTGTCAAGGCGCAGAAGGATATAGTAAAGGCGAGTAGTGGTAACAATGTGCAAGAACTGCAAGGGGAGTAGAATATATGTATAGATATTAAATAGGTAGATATGTACAGCAGGAGTTTAAGGTATATGATAACAGCAGTGTGATGCATATGTAATCACTAATCTTGTGTCTTTTCTGTCTTCACAGGTTGATCCTAAAGACTACATGCTCACAGGTCTCAAAGACGTTACGGTGGGCCGTCTGCCTGGCAAACTGAACGGTCAACAGTTTGTCATCCAAGAGTGCGAGAACTGCAACATCTACGTGTTGGACCACTCAGCAACCATCACCATTGACGACTGTGTCAACTGCCGCATTGTTCTGGGACCTGTCAAAGGCAGCGTGTTTTTCAGGGACTGTAAGGACATTAAGTGTGTGGTGGCCTGTCAGCAGTTCCGCACACGGGACTGTAAAAAGATGGAGGTGTTCTTGTGCTGTGCCACTCAGCCCATCATCGAGTCATCTACAGGGATGAAGTTCGGCTGCTTTCAGTACTTCTACCCCGAGCTGGCCTACCACTTCAAGGATGCAGGGCTCAGCATATTCAACAACAACTGGAGCAACATCCACGACTTCACACCTGTGTCAGGAGAGAACAACTGGAGCTTGCTGCCAGAAGCTTCAGCAGTTCTGGATTTTGTTCCACTGCCTGATTCAGAGTCTGAATTCAAGTCTGTAAGAATCTCCGCTGAGCCCACACGCAGCATCGTGCCTCTGACGAAGGGAGGGAGGCGTAAGGACAGTGAAGAGTCCTGCCTCTTTGTCTTCTTCTCTGGAGAGTACAGCACGGCAAACGCACGCAAACTGATCGATGAGGTGAGAGGAATAAAAAGGCAGTCAACTGTCTCCCAAAAATACTGAATGAGGCAGTCATCCCCATGTGGATGGAAAAATAGTGAACTAATGCTGCATCAGGTTTAACTCAGTCTTCACTGATGAAGTTTGGTTGCAGTCAACTTGATCTGAAGAGCAATCTGAATAATCTGAAGTCAAATAAAGACAGTGTTAAAAAAATCAACAAATGATCCTGAAGTATGTAAAATATTAAGGAAATATTGCGTAAAATAAACCAGACAGCCAGTCAGTACTTAGACTTACTTTATTTTATCATCAACTGAGGCAGTGAGTAAATAATGTGTCAAACAGGTTGAGAATATCTTTGATAGATTTGCAGTTTGAAGTCCAGCCTCTCCCCAGCTGTGATTGTTGCACTTAGATGCATTCATTCATTTTTTGCTTTGCCACTCATACTGTTTATCAGCATTTCTTTATTATTTTAGACACTGACCTGCTCATTTTGTCTGAAGTTGTTTAAATTTTAGATCCTTTTTTTCAGCATACTCTTCTCATGGTATTATGAACAGCATGATATTTTAAGCTCGCTTTTGTTGAGCTGGATCTAAACTTTCAGCTTGAGTTGAAGTGCTAACAGCCTGTTGCGTTACTGCTTTGACATTCCAGTGATGTTAGTTTCGTTACCAAAAATGTGTGACTCCATCACCAAAGCATGCGGCTCGATGCACATTCACACAGTCAAGATGTTGCAACATCTTGACTGTGTAAAAGTATGAATCTTCATAGGTAATTGCAGTGCTTGTATTTTTCTTCTCAAATGCATTCCTCTCGTTTCTTTAGATGACCCCCAAAGGTTTTGTGCTGATTCAGACGAAGGAAGTCTCAATGCGACCTGAAGATGTGAAAAGAGTGTTTCAGAATAACGCAGAGGACCTTGTTGAGTGGATCACCAAAGGTAAGTTTATGTTAGCTTGTTTTTTTATTTTTTGTTAGCCTTAAAATATATCGCGAATGGTTGGTTAACAAAATTATAATCACTTAAAGGGATATTCCGGCGTATATTTAAGTTATGGTCAAACACACTGTAACTCCGAGTTAGACACCCCCTCGAGAGATGAAGGTTGCTGACTGCTTGCTTCTCCAGTTATACTAACTCAAGTAACGACCGCACGATAGCAATACACAGCGGTCTACGTCTCCATGTGCAAACCTCAAGCCCTAGCCACAAATAATGCTCAGAACAGCATCTAACTTCATCAACAGTACATATAGGGTCCCAGCATTAGTACTAGCCATCAAACATCTTTTTAGCTTCGCCTGATTTCTTTAGCAAAGAGACTAAACACAACTCACCCCCTCTCCTTCAGCAGCCGCTTGTTTGTGGGGGAGCCCCAATGAGTTGATCAACAAGTGCAGCAGATCATTTCCATGAAGTAATTATCACCATATTAATCATTTTAATCATTTTGCACTGCAGACTCTGTAGTTCTTCTGCCTTAGCAGCTCAGTCTGATTGCATTTCCATGAAGAAATGATCATTAATGTTCTTCCAATTTCAATTTCAATAAGCTTTACTGGCATGACTGTTATTAAAATATTGCCCAAGCATTGCAATACTAATACAACAACTTCAACTTCAACTTTATTTCATTTATATGGCACTTTTCCTACAAAGTTGTAACACAAAGTGCCTTACAAAGCATAAAAAGAAAATGAAACATCAAAATCCCCAAGAAAACCCCAGACCTCCCACCCGCACAATTATACCCATACACACACCCGTGAACATAGACATACATTTCCACACACACAACTTCACATACACACGCACCTACACAGTTAGCGGCTGAACACAACACAACACAACAATAACATCAACTTTGTCCTTGAGCTGCAAAACTCTGCTGCACTTGTTGATCAACTCGTCGGGGCTGCCCCACAAACAAGCAGCTGCTGGAAGAGAGTAGGTGAGTTGTGTTAAGTCACTTTGCTAAAGAAATCAGGCAAAGCTAAAAAGATGTTTGATGGCTAGTACTATGGCCAGGACCCCATATGTACTGTTGATGAAGTTAGGTGCTGTTCTGAGCATTATTTGTGGCTATAGAGTGGCTTTTTGGTTGAGTTTTGTTTATGGCTCCTCAGACCGTGAGTACGGTGAGTTTGACCATAACTTAAATTTACACTGGAATATCCCTTCTAATGGTAAGACAAGATCTCGCTGTCACATGTTGAATGAATTCTAGCCTGTGTAACCACTCAACCACAATACATTATCCTGTTTATTACCCTGCCAACGACCACAGACATTGACAAGTTGATATGAAATATTTATGTACAACTCCACTGAAGAACTTTCTGCCTCTGTTGACATTGAAACTTCTCTTTCACTGTGATCATTTGCAACAGGAGAAGTAACTTGGGCTGTTTCTCCAGCCCACCAACCCACTCACAGCTGTTATAGGCGTTAAAGACTCTGATATAGAAGTTTTTGTTATCAATGGTGTTGTTTGCTTTTGTACATCACAGAGACACATCACTGTTCATGTTAGTAAAAAATTTATCATTCAAGAAGCTTTAAAGATATTTTCATGGAATTAGATGTGGTTTAGTTATATAGCAAAAAAAAAACCTCTCAAGTCCACAGCTGTGTGCGCTTTAGAAGCAGCTTCTTAGTGTGATAAATTATCATTTAACTTAAAATTCATGAAATAGACAAGATAATCAGTGACAAGATTGGTGCTTTTTATGGTGTGATTTTCATGCATGAAACTGGTGCAAGGGAGTAGGTAGGGGTTAGCCCAGCAGCTCTAAAGACAGCACTGTTCTTAAGATTTCCACACATGATACTCACAATGAGCAATATACTTGACTGTCAAAAGTCAGCAGGATGAGATTTTTTGTCAGAAGACCCTACATAAGCATTCAAGGGACAAGATGAGACTGTTTTGTCTACAAGGGGCACCAAAATGAACACAAACCTAAAGTTCCTTACAGGAGCTTTAGGAAAGCTGATTGATTACTTCAGTTATTATTTGACAGAGTAGTTTCATAAGCCTGCAGCTGCCTATATTATGTTCCTTATCAATAACAGGATTTTTATGCTTTGTTGAACATACTGTAGCATGACAGTGTGATATATCAGCAATGTAAGTCTTAGTGTATGACCAGCAAAGATACCAAGTTTTCAAGTATTTAAGATAATGGCAATTCAATTTTTTAATAACTAATTGTGCATTGTTTCACATGGAGTGTCAGTCCTCGAGGCCTTCTTTCTGACATTTTTTAAAAAGCTAAATATATTTTGGTCAACATGCTCACATGATGTTATTTGACATTTAGTTTTCCAGCCCTGGTCTGCAGTAAACTGCAGAAATCAGTTGAATCAGCCCCCAGAGTTTGTGCAACGACAAGGTTTCAGAATCTGCAGTTCAGTGGAGAACAGTCATTGCCAAACTGTGTGTTTGGGAAACAGGATTCTCGACTGGGGAAGGGACAAACTAATTATGAGAAGTGGAAGTTGCCATCATGATGCAACACATTAGTTTGTTGACTCCAGTTTTTAAGCCCTAAGTTTGGCCAAATCCAGATTTATGGACTTAACCGCACTGCAGACTTGTGGTTGGCACTGTCTTGAAAGTCTGCAAGTGCTGAGGGCTTTCCAAATCCACAAGAGGACTGAAACAGGCAAACGATCATTTGATTACCTAAAACTTAGTGCACTCTAAATGAAGTAGTTTCAAGATTCAAGATTTGGTTTATTGTCATTCCCACAACTTTAGCAGTCATGGTGGTGAAAAACAGTTCTCCTAAGATCACTCACTCTTAAAAACAGAGCCAGGGGTTTGAAACAGTGAGACAAAATGACAGTGAAAACTAGAACCACTAAAATCCAAAAGCATATGATAGAACAAAGCCAAAAAGTCAAAGCCAATGAACTGTTCAGTCAATGACAGTATCAATGAGCACAGTGAGCGCTTGATGGCTTGCAGACATACTGTGGAAAGTGAAGTGCATTTGTGCAAAGTGTCAACAAGAGTGAGTATTCCTTTAAATGGAATACTGAGGAAAAAAGTGATATTCAACAACTCTATCATACAGAATAACTTAGCAGTGTGGAAACAAGGAATGAGTCATTATATACCATATGATGTAATCTTGAGATCCTGTCTGTCAGAGGCAAATACAACCTGTGGTGTTGTCTCCCAGCGGGCTTATACAGCTGAATTTTGTGAGAACTCTGGAGTCCAGACAGTTGTCATTGTCCTGTTACCGTCTCAGTTTTGTATCTTTGAGTGAACATATTTGTGACACCTGTTTCGCCATGTTCAAAACTTGTAAATCCCAGGTGGTCATGCACTAATCACAGCCCACTTTTAATATCTATTTTACTCTAAATCTGACCAAAATGTGCAAAATCAACACCACTCTGTAGTGAGACTGAAAACCAGAGACTAAGACCATTCGCTTCTGAACTTAAATGTGAGTGAAGTAATACATTGAGTAAAATGAAGGATTATTTTTTCCATTGACCTGTTTATGATCAGACTCCTCTTTGTGAAGTAGCGTGACCCCTGCTGTTTTTTTTTTTTTTGCAATGACGCAGCTTTCGGGCCTTTCTTTGGCTTCACTTTTCAAACCTGGAGGTTAAATCCACTTCTTATGTCTTTTCTACGAGAGCACATCTTGTATTTAGCTGCTCTGTGAGTTTATCTGTGGTAGTATAAAGATTTAAACAGTCATGTTTTTTCCACTTCTGAAGGTCCAGTCATCGCCCTCGAGCTCAACGGTGATGGAGTTGTGGAAGCCTGCAAGAACACTGCTAATGAAGTGTTCAGCGGTACTAAGGTAATTTGACAGACGTGATCTTTCTAGTTTTTACAGATCTGTTTTCTTTTTGTAGAAGTTACTCAAACCTAGAATATTTTATGTCTTCTTTTTTCAGGTTTTTGTCTCTGATAACAAAAATACATCCTCTCGAGACGTGGACAACTTCTTCAACTTTGCGGACATGCAGATGGGTTTGTGATCTGATTCTCTTTCTACCCCATGCTGTCCAGCTGAGGTTGTACATGACAAGGATTTAAATATTTGCCTGTCCAACTCATTAAAACGTAAATCTGCAGACTAGATTCACTCTTTAGTCATCAAGAAACGTTGACTTTAAACCACTGAACAAAAGTAAGATGCTACGACTGCTGTGAATATTTATATTTTTATGAATGTATTCAGTTTTAATTCATTTGCTTCTATTGATTGTGACTGTAGATCTTTGTTGTAAATGTGTTTTTATTTAAATTTTGTTTCTCTTTGCTAAATGAAATACTTGTTTTAGTTGAAAAAAAAAAGAGCACAAGGATGCCTGAGGGAAATATTTTATACAAACTATATTCATATTTTATCCTCTGCAGGATATATCTGTGTATGTGGATTAGAAAAGTTTGTGTATATTTGAAACATGCTGTATAGATTATAGCTACTTCATTATTGACATTTGTTAGGCCAAAGTTGATTGTGAAAGTTTCTCAGCTGTCTTTCAGATGACCCGGAGTATTTGCTGTCTTTATGATGTAGGCAATATACGTGACTTTTTTATTTTGTAACATTTGTTTTATACTCAACTGAATGCTTTTGTATAGACATAAAATTCATGTTCCTAAATATCATTTTATCAGAAGTAATTTTGGCTCTTCAAGCAATCAGTGACATACACTGATTTTCCCACAATTTTCGCCTAAATTACTTTTTGACTTTTAGCCCTGTGACATCCAGGAACACCAGGGACACCAAGGACAAACCCTGGAATACTCACAAGACTCCAAGGTTTTAGGTTCAATGTATAATATGCCCATACTGGCATGTTGCTGTGAAAATGCAGTCTTCATTTAATAAAAACATGACCAATTTTGTCTCAAAGGTTACCAGAATTAACCACATGAACGTTCCTTACAGTGCCTTTAAGAAGCAAAAGAGGAAATATCTCCTATTTTGATATTGAGTTTTTGTTTATGGTTTATTACAGTTTCAACTTGAACACTTGAGTCTTAAGATTATTTTTGATCTCTGTGCCTTTACTTTGATAGGAGAGCAAAAGAGAGACAGGAATTATGGGAGAAGAGAGGGTGAATAACATGCACCAAATTAGGCCAGGACTGGGAAACTCTTCTATGACCAGTGCAATGAGGACGTAGTTCTTTGTACACAGGGCATCTGCCCTACCTGCTGAGCTTAACTAATGTCCAAACTGTGTGTGTTATTCTCTTGATCAATCCTTTGTGAGGTCTAAGTATCCGGATTATTTAAAGGTCAAAAATGGTATGCTGTTTGTTTACATTTTGCAGATGTTCAGTAGACAGCTATTGATGCCAAAGGGCACCTAACCCAGTTACACATTGATTACAATCAACCTTCCTTGTGATATCAAGTCTTTGTCAACACAGGTCATGTGCTGGATAAAACAGGACCATAAATCACCTTCATATTTTGTTTACTGAAATTGAAATAACCTAAGTGTATGAATTTTGCATATGTGTATTTAAGTAACGTAGTGGTATTCTGTTTTTATTTTTCATATAAGTAGGGTAAGTTTTTGTATCAGATCAGTGGGACTTTACATGTTAATACTTAAACAATCTCAGTCTTTACAGCACTTCAGTTTCATGCTCTCTGTTAGCACTATGATGTAGAAAAATGTGCTCACTGTGGGGTAATTAAAGATTTTTCTTATCTTACCTTCTCTTAGTAAGGTAAGATAAGAATTAAGATAAGAATTTGTATTACAGGCAGTGATCCTCCACCAAGATCATGTTTAGTAGCCCACTTTGTAAAAATATTAAAACTGAAAGAGAGGAAAGAGGAATTCATCATATATAAACAAAGTAAATAAACAACATGCTCAGCGATTTTTCATATGGTTTACATGAACAGAATAATCGATTATACCACGATTAAATTTGATGTAAGTGACTCATATCGAGGACGTTGGGTTCATGTTACGCCGGTGCTCAAATTAAGGGCACCCTGGCAAGCCGGAGGGAAAACGGCGGAGTTTAGGACCCGACGGGAAGCGCGGTACAATAGAGCTGTTGTGCCGTGGTGGTGGACAGATTGCTGCCCTGGAGATTCCCACTGTAGGGGGATACAAAGCTCCAAATTTACCCCTCAGAAAGAAGCTGCGTGTCTGTTTTTTAAAAGTACATTTTAGCGTGTGTTTCCTGGACTCACACGTGGCGGGAATAAGGCGGACAGCAGCGCGTGGACGACAGGTAAGATGGGAGGAATGTGAACAATATGCTCGTGTGTTCAGTGGAGCCCTGTGCCAGGATTTACCCTGGATGGTTTATCCAGGCCACAGGGCCTGCTCGCTTTTCTTAGACGGTTTCTGCGTCTTTAAAGCATGTTTGTTGGTGTTCACGGTACTGCCTCTTGCCTCGTAGTAAAAAAAAATCCGCCTTAGTCGGAGCTGTGTGAATTTTGGTCTTAACGTCTGTAGGAAGTGACATCTTTGTAGGATGGTGGCGCCCATGTTTGATTTCTCAACAGCCTGCAGTACAGCCCGCTACAGCAGGCCTCTGTGTGTGTGTGTGTGTGTGTGTGTGTGTGTGTGTGTGTGTGTGTGTGTGTGTGTGTGTGTGTGTGTGTGTGTGTGTGTGTGTGTTTGGCGCCAACATGGCTCTCAGGGCAGGGCAGGGTATTTAATTTTGATAAAGAAAACGAAAAAACACCACCCACCCCACAAGTTGTTTAGCCTAGTCTCAGTTAGCACAATGTAACTCAAAAAATAATAAGTAAATAAAGTCAACTAAGGTCAATTCAGTCACTATTATTTCCTGCCCCTGCTGTTTCACATCTTAATTATGTCATATCCGCGCAGATTCACCTCCTCTATGTACCATAACGATAATGTTTACATAAGATTCCAGTCAAAGTGCTCCTGTAGTTCTGTTTGGTTAAAAGGGGATTGACACTGTCAGATAATTGGGATAAACAAACCATATCACTGTGAACCATAAAAATAAGCTTTTTGAGCAGTTTGCAACAGGATTACACCAAATTTTACATTAGAATGTCAGTTTTAGCCAATAGTTCATCCAAAAACTGGTGGTTTTTTTAATGTTTAACCTATGTTTTGGTTGTTCTTATACAAAACCCAATTCCAATGAAGTTGGGAAATTGTCATAAACGTGAATAAAAACTGAATACAATGATTTGCAAATCCTTTTCAACCTATATTCAATTGAATATACTACAAAAGGTGGCAAAAAAATACTGAGAAATTTGAGGAATGCTCATCAAACACCTATTTGGAACATCCCACAGGTGAGAAGGCTAATTGGGAACAGGTGGGTGCCATGATTGGGTATAAAAGCAGCTTCCCCAGAAATTCTCAGTCATTCACAAGCAAGGATGGGGCGAGGTTCACCACTTTATGAACAACTGCGTGAGCAAATATCGGAACATTTCTCAAAGTACAATTGCAAGGAATTTAGGGATATCAACATCTACGGTCCATAATATCATCAAAAGGTTCAGAGAATCTGGAGAAATCACTGCACGTAAGCAGCACAGCCAAAAACAAACATTGAATGCCCGTGACTTTCAGTAAATACAGTTCGTCGCTACATCTGTAAGTGCACATCTGAACATTCACCAGAATCTGATTAAACTCTCTTTATTGCCTAAACCTTTTTATTTACATGTGTTGGTTGAGACTAGGCCTGGGCGATTTGGCAAAAAAAATGATCACAATATATTTTGTTGTATCGTCCGATCTCTATTATTATAACGATTTTTTATTTAACTGCTAGTTTTAAAGCATCTGTACTAAAAACTAAAGAAACTAGAGATTAGTTCAACATTTAATTAACATACAAAGTAAATAAAGAATAAGATACACTTAGAAAAATATAAAAAACATTTTAACTCAACAGTACAACAAATCTAGATAAATACCAAATAATAAAGTGAACTAGTTTACATTCCTTAGTGTTTTTGCAAGTATGCAAGACCCAAAATAAACAAATTGCCCCCTCAGAGATAATGAAGACGCCTCAAAATGTAAACATTAGATGATTGAAACGTAGATGATTCTAGATTGCTGCTTTGGTCTGGTGGCTGCACTGCTAGTTGTGGCTAAACAGCTAATACTACTCGTGCCGTCAGCAGTGGCTGGCTGTGCAGACTCCACTCGCATTTTCATGCTTTCTGCACAATCACTCGGAAAGTACTTCTTTAAACGATTGAACAGATTTGTTGTGTCGCCAGTTTTTGAGAGCACGGAGCGCTGACAAACCTTGCACATCGGCTTAATTACTCAACGTCACTATGGAGATAACCAAACCACCGCCACACAACCGACGTTGAATAATTTGTTAACAATAACATCTTGAGAGGATGACTCAAAGTCACGGCTGACATCTATTATGCTGCCCTCAGCTCCGCGTTTAGCTCCACGTTCGGTCATTCTGTTTACGTCTCCGGCAACTTGCAGAAGTGAGCAGGAAAAGCTTGACTCTGATTGGCTGTTGTGACGCACATTTCCACTATGTTTGATTAAGTAAATATGCTTACAGCTGATCACCGTGATCCAACTGAAATTTATCACTATCATTGATCGCGATCATATAATCGCCCAGTCCTAGTTGAGACTCACTAATGAGGGTTGACCTGTAAATGAGTTGTCCATTCAAAAAAAAGTGAAAAAGTGATAGAATAGCTATCTGAAGCTGGGAACTCTTTGAATAACTTTGACTTTAAAGATTTTAAGACTCAAGTGTTACCCGATGTGTAAGAAACTGTTTCAAAAACCAAATCAAGTCAACAAGAAAAAGAAACCACGCAAAAACAAGCGGCTCAGCTCAGCAGAACTGTATTGATGCTTTTCAGTTATTTACAGTATTCATATTTACAAAGAGGTGAGGGAATAAGGGAAGGAAATGTGGGTAGGGGTTGAAGAGGTTAGGGTTATAAGATGGGTGGATGGGGAGGTTAATGTTAGGAAGGAGGGTAAGAGGAAAGTTAGGAAGAGGGGTTTGGAGGGAGGTTAGGGTTAGGCAGGGGATTAGAAAGGTGGGTAAAAGGGTTTGTGGACAGCCTTTGTCTTCACTGTCGTCCTCTTTTCTTCTTCATTTCACAGAGGTCTTCTTGGTCTCCTCTCCATCGAGCTCCTCTGTTTCTCTGGGCTCTATCTTCTTATATTCACCCTCCTCTTTCTTTATCTTTTCTTCATTTGACTTCTCAGTCTCAATTCCTTTCTCCTTCTCCTCATCTTGGTTTTTCATCTCCTCCTCCTCCTTTTGTTGTCTCTACTCCTCCTGTGCTGATTTTTGGAGGAGCTGAGAGAGAAACGGTGTGTTAGTTGATTCAGCAGAAACCTTAAGATATTCTCTAGAGAATCAAAGAAGTGATTATTTTGATATTGTAATATATCTGAGCTCTGAAGTACCTGCAGGTTGTCAGTCTGGTCTTGGAGACACTTCTGCAGTTCATCATATTTCCTCCTCCAGTTCTCCTCGTTCCTCTGAAGCTCCAGGTCTTTTTTGGTGAGAAGGTCTAGGGTGGCTATGTGAGCTCTGGTGCGCTCTTGTCTTTTTTTGACAGCCCTATCCTGGACCTCTCCCATAGCCTTTAGTTCATCTTTCAGCCTGCAGACTTCCGAGTTTTTGTGGGCCAGTTGGTCTTCGAAGGCCTTATTCGTCTCCTGCTCTTTTTCAGCAGCCTTTTGCACTAGCTCATCTTTGAGCCTCAGCTCCTCTTTGATTCGGCTCAACCTGGATTCTTTCTGAGGCAGGAGGTCAATACAGTCTTCATGGGCCTGTTTTGTGTCCTGCTCTCTAATCTGGGCTCTTTTCAGCAGGTTGTTTTTGAGGTTTAGTTCCTCTTGGAGTTGATGAACTTCCGTTTCTCTTAGAGCAAGTCGCTCCACATGGGCCTGGATCATGACCGCCTCCTTTTTCGAGATTTGAGCTCAGCGATGGTGGAGCAGATAGTTTCTCTCAGACTCTGGATGATCTGGCCATCGCTGAGCTGGAGATGGGGTCGCTGCAGCTTTTGACCGGCATATGTGACTGGCACACAGGCCTGAAAGAGAGAAAATGACATGAGGTTCATTTAAAAAATTACAAAAATTTGCAGACATGGATTCATAACAGTTGTTTTTTAAGTAGTTCAGTGAGAAGATCTTACCAGGTGCCCTGCAGGAAGTCTCACGTACATATTTGTACAGAGATTAAACAAGTTCAAATTGAATCGAAGTGTCAAAGTTATCCTCTGAAGTTCCATTCAAAAAAACAATCACAAACAAAAGTTTACAAAAGAGATCACAAAAAAAGTTATCCTCTGATTACTCAGTTAAAAGTTGATCACAAAAGAACAGTTCGTCTTATATTCAAAAGAAGGGATCGTTTTCAAAGTTGTTGATAAATGTTCAAAATAATCCTCCAAGATAAAGAGTTGATGCTGTTCACTCGATGGTTTGAGTTGGTCTGATCATTCTCTCCAGGTTTAAGGTTTAAGTTCAGGTCCTGTTCATTCTGAGGTCCCTGATCCAGAATGTTGGTCAGAATGGAGGATTCTTACAAAGCGTTCCACCTGCTTCATAACCAAATCATGCATTTTCTCCATATCATTCAAAACCATTGCTTTCAATGTCAAGTTTACATTACTTCATTTGTATGAACAATTGATGTTGCTATCGGCAAAGACGTTCACAAAACTAATCATAACATTAATGCCACAAATTTACATTCCATGATAGTATGATTATTTTACATTTCTTCAAAGACAAAACTGTTTATACAAAACCCAATTCCATTGTAGTTGGGAAATTGTGATAAACATATATAAAAACAAAATACAATTATTCGCGAATCCTTTTCAACCTATATTCAATTAAATACACTACAAAGACAAGATATTTAATGTTCAAACTCATAAACTTTATTTTTTTTGCAAATAATCATTAACTCAGAATCATTAACTCTTTCATGGCTGCAACATGTGCCAAAATAGTTGGGACAGGGGCATGTTTACCACTGTGTTACATCACCTTTCCTTTTAACAACACTCAATAAACGTTTGGGAACTAAGTAGACTTAATTGGTGAAGCTTTTAAGGTGGAATTCTTTCCCATTCTTGCTTGATGTACAGCTTTAGTTGTTCAACAGTCCGGGGTCTCCGTTGTCGTATTTTATGCTTCATAATACGCCAACTTCTTTGGCACATGTTGCAGCCATGAAATTCTAAGTTAATTATTATTTGCAAAAAAAAAAACGAAGTTTATGAGTTTGAACATAAAATATCTTGTCTTTGTAGTATATTCAGTTGAATATAGGTTTAAAAGGATTTGCAAATCATTGTATTCAGTTTTTATTTACGTATATCACAATTTCCCAACTTCAATGAAATTGGGTTTTGTACATTTTTTTAGACAATTCAATGTATTAAATCTACATGCAGTTATGTCACAGTGGAATAATGACAGAGTGTGGATCAAACAGCTCCTCTACACTACAAAAAAAAAACATTTTCTCCTTCCAGAGAGTATCTCTATGCTTCTAAAATCTCATTTTTCTATTTGGATCATCCTGTTTAATTTTCTTTTTCAGGTACCAAATGAAGCTGTGAGGGTTAATCAGAAGAATCCAGTAGCATGCTTTTCATCTTAAAATATATGGTAAGAAATATTTCCTCTGTGTTCACGCTGATGGTTTATATTTGCCAGATGGTCCAGTAAAGAGATTTTTGTCAAGTTAAAATTAAAATGTGAAAACAGTCTTTAACATCCTTTTATTTTACTCTCCTTTATTCAGCTGCGTAGAGTTTGGTATTTGCATGTGTTCATGTCTGCTTTCTCCTCTTCTTCAGGATGTTACAGGATGAAACGTCTCAGGTCCTCAAGCAGCAGCGACAGTTCTGACAATGAGAGTGAGTCACCTGTCCAATGAATCCCTCCTTACCTGAACAGGAGTGTGTCATTTGTTTGCCACTGTTTTATTAAAACCTTCTTCCTTTCTTGTATCCAGGTCCTTCTACCTCTTTCTGCTCCTCAAATAAATATGGCAGCAACCATGGAACCCCCGCCTCCAGCCAGAAGAAACCGGCTGAAGTGAGTCCAGATCTTGAACCACTCACTAGGGCTTCATAGGAAGTTGATCCCCAATAAACTGAGAGGTTATTTCGTCAATAAAATGTCAGTAAATGCCTAAATATTCATTGTTGTCTCCCACAGGTGTTCAGAAAAGACCTGATCAGTGCCATGAAGCTGCCTGATTCCCACCATGTCTCTCCAGAAGACTACTACCTGCTGGCAGACACCTGGAAGATGGAGTGGGAGAAGGGGGTCCAGGTGCTGGCAAGTCCAGACACAATACCAGAGCCCTCAGTCAGGTGGGCCTCTTATATTCCCAAAATTTTGACTGTGGACAATCACATTAATCATATAAACATCATCTCAGCTGGCCTCACGCCCAATCCAGGAACTGTTTTTGGACTGTGTCCATTTTGTAGATTTGTATTATTTCAGAAAGTACAGCCTCACTTGGCCTCGTTGCCAGGACTTCTTTTGATCCCTGATTAGCAGCTTTCTGAACCTTTTATATACAGTAATTTTACGAATGCAATGATAAAGTAATCATAGTGAAAGATATAAACACTGATAGGCACAGAAACACATTGTCACACTTTTCTCTCTTGCTTTTTCTCTTTCATCATTTTTTATCATTCACTTTTTTAACTTTTTTTTCTTGTTTCTAATTTGACTTCATTTGTGATCTTACCGCTGAAATCTCACTCCAGTCAGGAAACATTTTATAAGCCCAGCGGCACTCACCAATCCTTTTGTCTTTTGTTTGCAGAGTTATTGTAGAGAAGTCAAAGGAGGTGCTCTACAGTCACCAGAGGAAGTACATCCAGTGCTCGAGTCAAGAGACAGCAGAACCAGGTTACATCAACATCAAGAAGCTGGCAGAGGCCATGTGTCGATACGATCTGGACGACATGGACCTCTACTGGCTGCACACGCTCAACAAAGAACGCCAGCTCATGGGTGAGGGACAGACTCAGACTTTTTAAAACACTTTTTCTTTTAAAGTTAGAAGTACAACCATCAAGATTTAAGCTGAAGACACACCATCAGTCTGCTGGGGTTTCTCTGATCTCTGATGGGGTTTGTTTTTGTTCTCCTTCAGGGGAGGAGCCCATAGACGAGCTGACGATGGAGCGCACCATGGAGGCCCTGGAGAGTCAGTGCCATGACAACATGAACCACGCCATCGAGACGGTGGAGGGCCTGGGGATCGAATATGATGAGGATGTCATCTGTGATGTGTGCCGCTCCCCTGACAGTGAAGAAGGCAACGACATGGTGTTCTGTGACAAGTGCAACATCTGTGTGCACCAGGTAATAATAATGTCCACACTTCTCATCAAGCTATCTTGTATCTCCATCCCGGGATGGGTCTTTAGAGGGCGCAGAGAAGGGCCAGAATTATAAGTGAGAGTAAGATAAAGAAATGTTCTGTTTCCTAAAAGCTTGAAAATGCATTGGTTTGATCACAGTGATTTTTATGCATTGGTTCAGTCCTGAGAAACAGGAAACAATCTTTCTAAATGTTTACTGAGGCCTAATGTGGCTTTTTCAGCTTTTGGTACCAGAAATATATGACGTAACATTACTGAAGTGAGAAAACGAATGATTGATTCAGTATCTTATTTTGGGACACATCTCACTCACTCTTTTCATTTTTCACACAGGCCTGTTACGGCATCGTCAAAGTGCCTGTAGGAAACTGGCTGTGCAGGACCTGTGTCCTCGGCATCGATCCGCAGTGCCTCCTGTGTCCTCAGAAGGGAGGTGCCATGAAGGCGACACGTGCAGGCACTAAGTGGGCGCATGTGAGCTGTGCGCTGTGGATACCTGAGGTACACAAACAAACACTTTCACCCTCTGCTTGTATCTTGTTGCTTTATGTTGTTCTCTCTGTCTGAAAATGTCTTTGTATTGGGTGAATTTCCTCCTCCTGCAGGTGAGCATCGCCTGTCCTGAAAGGATGGAGCCCATCACCAAAGTGTCCCACATCCCGCCCAGCCGCTGGTCGCTCATCTGCAGTCTGTGTAAACTGAAGACAGGTGCATGCATCCAGGTGAGCGTGGATCTGTGTCCTCACAGACTGTTTCTGGCCTAATTTTAAAATAAAGAGGTCAATTCTACAGGCTCACAAAAATGCAGAATTATCTCTTTTAAGACGAGTGATCAAAACAACAGGCGAGTCAAAACAGCAGCAAAGGTGTCGCATGTCAGCAGCACTGACGATAGTCAAGAACTGAAGCGTCTCTTTTTGACTTTTTTGCACTGTGAGCATCAAATATTTTGAAAAATTTCATCTCAGTCAAAAGGAGCTTTTTGACAGAAAAAACAGGAACTTTTTTGTTCCAGGGACTTCTCTTTCAGGAACTGTGGTCCATTGTTGTCTGTGTTTTCAGTGGGGGCCTAAAGTCCTAGGTAAATATTGTACATTAGATCAGTGACACCTAGGGATGGTATTTTGAAATTCATTGCACAGCTCTATGTTGGAGTCTCTTGATGCAAAAAAGCTTTTACAAATTATGTGGCAAGCAGATAAGCTGAATTAAATTATTTGATCACATCAGGTTACAGGAAATATTTGCTCTTCTACTTTTGCCTCTACTTAAACTGTCTCTGGACTCAGCTGGTGTCAGTGTGTGAATTGTATATCCATCTATAAAGTGAAGCAGGTTGTTTTTTTGTAAAGTCTTACTCCCAAAACTGTTTTAACACCTCAGTCAAAGAACCTGTATGTTCATGTTTATTGATCAGATAACATTAGATCATGTAGGATATAACCCAGAATCTCTCCAGTGTTTCTTACTCTGTGTGTTTGCAGTGTTTTATATGCAAATTAACAACCTGTTTTTATGTAAATAAAATCATCAAGCCCTGTCACCTAAAATCCCTGGACCTTTGGCAAGTATGACGCCCTGAACAGAAGCTTTTCAAGGGCTTCATCTACTACCCCAGAACTAAATTTAGACCCTGTGGGTCCTGCAATTAAAATGCACAGAGTTCCTCAAAGGTTTTCTAATTATTGTGGATGTGGAAAGTTCCTGTGTTCGAAAAGCACCTGAAGAGACTAGTCTTTCATTAAGTTAACATAATACTTATGTCCCGCTGCTCAGTGAGGAAGTCACCCCTAACTCAGGCCCTTTTGTCCTACTGATAAATTACAAAGCCAAACCAATGGCCCCCAGTCACCACTGTAATTCAGACAGCATTTCCACTTTCAACGACTGTTAAGCCCCACCCGAAGGTGGACCTATGAGGCTAACAACTATTCACACATTGATCCTTCGAAAGCAACAGAAAATACCTCCAAATGTTTACCATGGCATTCATGATTTAAAAGACAGACAACACATTAAAGAAGACCAACTATACTAGAACAATTTAACAAGTAAGCTAAAAATCAAAGAACCCAAACACAAGAATCCCCCGAATGAGAGGCAACAGGGCAGCAGTCCCCCTCCAAATGCTTTCAAGTACTGCAGGCGGCTCTAGGACTTTAAACTCTCAGGACTGGGTGAGGCTGTGTGTCAATCTGTGTCTTTACCCGGGCGGAGCTACGGAACACAAAAAAGGAAACATTCAGGCGTACCCAGCTTGGTTTATTTGAGCTAAAGGAACTCCCAACACTGATATAACACTCTGCCACTTAGCTCCTAAAAGCCTCTTCATCCCAGGGAATTGATTGGCAGCAAGAGTCAACACATGACCGGGCGAACAAGTGGGCACCTCCATGAGCATTTGTTTGGTCAAGTGAGGCAAAAGTGAATGAGACACTTCAGGAGTCTCTAAAGTTAGCTCCAGTGTCAACCCCCCCACCCCCTTTTCCACACTGGCCCCCACATGCATAAATTCAAAGTCCACTCAAAGTTTTTCCTGTGAGTGTCAAAGATTTAAAGGCATTGAATATTTTCTAGCTACAAAGTGCCATCGCTAATCCGATGCATGTGTTTTCGCATTAAAAGATAGTAAATTGATGGAAGTACAAAAAGTTACAATTAGAAGTTTAATGAAGTTAAATGAGCAAATGTACCACTCTCACCCACCTGCACTACATCCAAATGGACACCAAGCAGCCAGTTGGTTCAGTTTGCAGGAAATAAAAGCCCACATGGCTGCCTTTTGGTTTTTGTTTTGTTTTTGCTCACCATGGCTTTAAATCTATCTTGTGAAAACTTTCCTCAAAATAGTGAGTCACTGTATTTCTGACAAAGTCAAACCTCAAGGCTCTTCTTTAATTTTGGTCAGAAGGTCATTAATCCACTTTCCAGACTGTAATCCAGTTATTAGACAAATCCTGTTAACTAAAGCTTCTGTGGAAATTTGATCTGATCAAAATGTGTCCATTCTCACACAGCTTTTCTTGCTCGGGTTCATTGTCTAGTTCTCTAATCAGTGCCTCCTCTTACTTTTTACAGTGCTCTGTGAAAAACTGCACCACTCCTTTCCATGTGACCTGTGCCTTCGAGCACAGCCTGGAGATGAAGACCATCCTGGATGAAGGAGACGAAGTTAAATTTAAATCTTACTGCTTGAAGCACAGTAAATCCAAAACCGGGGAGTCTGCCCTGAGCCCAGCTCGCTCTAAACCCCCCACCGAGGCGGGAAAGGTTGGCCAGAGGGCGCGGAGGCTGCAGGAGCTGGAAGAGGAGTTCTACACTCTTATCCAGCCGGAGGAGCTGGTCCAGGACCTCGGACTCTCTGAGGGCCTTCTGGACTACATGTACCAGTACTGGAAGCTAAAGAGGAAAGCAAACTTCAACAGAGCTCTGCTGCCCCCTAAGGCGGATGAGGAGAACCTGATGCTGCAGCCGCAGGAGGACAGCATCCACACACGCATGCGGATGTTCATGCACCTGCGGCAGGACCTGGAGAGGGTGGGTGCAGTTTCACACAGAACTGTTTCAACTTAAGGAGCTAAAAAAATCTTTCTCTTTATCTCTACATCTCTCAGTTGTGAGGAAATTTGACCAGTGATCAAAATGAGTTGGATTACTTTTTAACATAATTCTCAAAATATGTCAAATCAAAACCATGACAGTTCATTAATCCACCATTCAAAACTTTATTTAATCACACAGGTGGCTCCTTAAACGGGCAAAGTAACTATAGAATATTTGTGATCTATGATATCAAAAAGCTATAGAGTCTCAAGCTGGGATAGTCGGTTGAGGGAACCCTGTTTGTTGGTACACATATATAAGAGGATTAAGGCTGCACGATATTGGAAAAAAATAATATTGCGATTTTTTCAACCCTGCGATATATATTGCGATATTAAAAATACAGTATTTTCACCAGATGACCTGAATAGCACTTAATGTTATGCTGCACTGCTGAAATCTTGAGGACAGTTAATCTGCTCTGATCTTACCTCTTTTTGTGAATGTTAGTAGAATGGCTTCTGTCTGTCTCAGAGATATTTTTAGCTTTTATTGTGCTGGGACGTTATTGTGGCAACAGGTGAACACAGAAGACGTGTTTTGGTCGACATCATCCTTCTTTTAACCGAAATAATTCCAGATAACTGACTTTCCTTTTCTTTTTGGCAACAAATCTTCATTTTCGGTAGTTTTCGCTTGTTTGTTGTTCATTTTGCGATCGTTGTTGTTGTTGTTAGCGGTGTTGTGCCGAGAAACGCATGTCCTCCGAGAATTGCATGCACCTCGCAAAACGCGCACTGCTTATAGTAGAGTGGTCCACGGAAATGTACAATTTAAAACTAGTGATGCACGATATGAAAAATTTCAACCGATACCGATAACCGATAATTTTCTTCTTCTCATGGCCGATACCGATACCGATAACCGATAAATTCATATTTTTACATTTATTATAATCTTCATATAATCTGCAGTTTGTGCAGGATGCAGCGATTGAAAACTGATATTTTTGTTGCTCTGGCCTATCTAGAACAACAAACAAAAGTTTTTGGCTCTTCAAATGTGGTCATTTGCTATAAATAACAATAACAGAGCAAAAAGCAGAACTTCATTTGATCCCCTGAACTGCTCAACAGAACTGTAAACTGTAAAGGAGCCATTATGAGCCGTTAGGCTTAGCACGCTGACCGGACTAACATCTGACGTCCATATGTCTGTGGTAAAACTCACGTGTAGTCCGTTCTTGTCGATCAGGTTGTGAATGTATGTGGCGACAATATCATAGAGTGCAGGAAGACACACATCCGAGAAGAAGCGGCGGCTTGGGAGAGTGTAACGTGACTCCAAGTGTGCTATGAACTTACGAAAACCCGGGTTCTCAACGACGGAAAAAGGCTGTTCGTCGACCGCTATGAATTCCATCACTTTGTCATTAATGGCTTTAGCCTTTTCGCTGTCTCTTGAGAAGCTTTTGCAGTTTTTAAACGCCTGCTGAATGGGGACATCGATCCTCCGTAGTGTTGTTGTCTTAGCTTTAGTACCGCTAGCAGCTTCGGCGGCTGTCTCATAGTCCTTTAATACTGCTCCGCCGCGATGGCGACTTTTCAGATGAGCTATCAGATTCGTTGTGTTAATACTTGACGTCTTCTTTCCTCCTCTTGGAATCCTCGCTGAACAGGTTTTGCATATAGCAGCTGTTGTCATCTTCTGCCACTGAGAGAAACGACCATGCTGGTGAAGACATTTTATTATCTGTCAGGCAGTGACGGGGTCAGACTTGGGACCTGCGAGTAAGGCTTGATAGACGACGTGACCAGCGCGTCTCGGACGGGCGGCTACTCCGCCTGCAAACGTTACTCATAATTTCATTAGTATATCGGATCTTTCTATCGGAAAAATGCACCTATCGGACCGATAAAAAATGACGTAATTTCCCCCCAAATCGGCCGATATTTTATCGGTCCGATAAATATCGTGCATCCCTATTTAAAACCCATACAGTTCTTATTTGTTGGGCTTAATAGTCATGAGTAAAGTTCCGAAAGTAATTCTCAGCGGACACACGTCTCCCTCCATGTGCAGAACATGTGCAGGGGTGGGTTTTCTCCTCCCTGATTTTGATTGACAGCTGGCAGGGTAGTCTGATTGGCAACTGAGAAGTGAGTCTGATTGGCAACTGAGTTAAGGATGAAGGCGATTGGTGGATCGCTGCACAGCACATGCAGAGTCACATGGAGTGTATCTCAGTCGGTTACCCTTGAAATTAAATGAGTTCATTCACCTCCAATATCGCAGGCTCTGCGATGTGACTATCGCACACACGTACATCGCGATGACGATAGTCAAACGATATATCGTTCAGGCCTAAACAGGATATTTTGACAAACTGTTTGTAATTGCTTTTGAATTTTTCCTCATTTTCAGGTGAGGAATTTGTGTTACATGGTGAGCCGACGGGAGAAGCTGAAGCTGCTGCAGAGTAAAGCTCAGGAGCAGATGTTCAATCTGCATGTGAAGCTGGTGAACCAGGAGATCTCTGCTGGTGAGACATGTTTCCCTTTTTCTCTCCCCCTCTCACTGTAAAAACAGTCACAGAATTAACCCAGACTGCCCATTTCAAGGACCATAATCTCCGTAAAAGGGATGCACAACCTAACCTCTAGGCCAAACTTGCACCTTAGCATGCTAAAATGTAATGATTCTAGTTGTAAATGACCGATAAGAGTGAGCGAAGCAACGTAACTCCCCAACTTACTCCATTTTAGCTGATCGGAGCGGTGGTTTCGCTTTTTGCAGGTGCAGATCTCACTCCAGGTTTTAGTCAGTGATACTTTCTCAGAGGTTTTACCTCCTGCACCAATCTCAGGGCTCTGTGTTGTTTTTGACACATTTGTCACATTTTTTAAGGAGGTGCATGTGAGTCTTTGTGTGACAGTTTCTGTGAAGGTACTCGGGTGTGTAACCCTCTGCCACATGCTCGATTTGACACAGATATAAAGATCAGGTTTAGGGAAGTAGAGGTCCGATACGAGAGGTTTGTCAAAATAAACATGTTTTATTGGTTATGCAGATATATGAATTGGTGTGCAAAGATAAACATTAGTTATCACAATAATGGCATGTTTCATAAAAAAGTCTTTTGAATCACTTGACAAATCTTTACAGGGAACCACCAAATCTGATTTGACTGGCGTAAATATGTATCAGATAAATTCCTGGATTTCTCAAATTCACCTGGTTTTGTTCATCTGTCCTTGTCTTCAGGCCTTCAGTCTTCATACCCGGTGGATAGTATGCTGCTTCATCCTCCTCCAAGGATCACTCTAAAGCTGAAAATGCCTAAATCCTCAACTCTTGGAAATGGAAACTCAGGCCCTAAGTCCGGTAACGGGCCACTCTGTCCGGACAACCGTGTGAATGTTACTGAGCAGTTGGGAGGAGGGCTGCGTCAGGGTAAACCTCAGTTGCATGTTAGAGGCCAGAAAGAACAACGTTCAAATGGACGCCTGTCTTCTACGAAAAGCTCAGCAAAGCCTGTCAAGTCCTCTGGGAAACCTTTCGACCTGCATGCAGCTATGCATGGACACTCGTCCAACAGTAATGGCAAACTGGACCAGGACAGAGCCCTTATGGCGAAATCGAACGGCCTCCCTGAGAAGCTGGTAGCTCAGAAGGACAGCTCCTGCCAGACACCCAGCGATCAGGATGTTTCAAATCAGGCTTTGAACAAGAGCAGTCTACAGAAATCTGCCATGGAGCACTTTGGCAGGTCTTTCAAAGAGGCAACTATTAACTTGGTACGGACCACAGAGGACCTGAGGGCCTCTGACAAACTGTCCCAAAAGGGCTCAGCCAAGGAGAAAATATGGGCCAAACCTGTTTCTGGACAAAAAGTGAAAGGTAGTAAGTCATATCAGGACAGTGATGGTTACTGTCCAGACCTGGAGCTCAGTGATTCAGAGCTGGAGGGACACAGAGCCAAAGGGAGACACAGACGGCAGGTTGAGACGCCTCAGCAGGGTGCAGCAAGGAAAGGAGTCAGTCGTGGAAAACAGTTGCTGGGATCCAAACACTCCATGCAAAGGTGACAGCTGTACATTTACTCCGCTCACTGCCTCTGATCTCTCCAAAGTGCCGGGCGGTGTTTCATCAGGGACCAGACCAAGACTCAGAGCTGTATTCATGAAGAGGAAGAAGGTGAAAGACCTGCACCTCTGTGATTGTGTTGGTTTTAGAGAAACAGATGTGTCTCTGTATTTCTGTTATCTAAGATGATCATATTTGCCTTCATCACAGCCAGCGTTACATTTTTTTATTGAACACTGAATGAAACACTCCGCTCCCCACACACAGGTTTAATTTGCCTTTGACAAACTCTGCTGTATAGAAGATGTGGGATGTAAATAATGTTTACCTGAGTCACAACTGTTCCACATTTTCAACAGAGAAGGAAATGAGACCAGCATGCCAGATGTACTGTCATGATTTCAAGCCTCTGCTGCATCCTTGTCTTGTACTTACCCTGTTTCAGTTAACGTGGGCCCTGTTGTTCAAAAGCCGTCTGAATGGATTAAAGCTCAGATTTCAAAAACAGGTTGTTCAAATGAAAAAAAAAAAAAGAAATCTGGTAATCTAATCCTGGTTTTATCTGGTTAAAGTCTGGAGATTGTGTTGTAGGTAAACTCTGAAGTAGGATGGACGACAAAATCTGAGTTGTTCTGATTTCAGCTGGATCCAGGCTGCATTAGGGGGTCAAATGAAAGGAAACTTTTGAGTAGGTCGGATAAAGCAACATTTTCATAGTTTCTTCTTTGCAGTTTTAAAAAGATAAAGGCGCGCCTATGACAACCTGATCAAAGAACTACATGAGCTACAATAAGGAGTGAAACACTGGAGTACGCATGCCAGACTGGTCATTGGACGTTTCACTGTGCAATAGTGCCCCACCAACTGCACACAGAGGCCTTCTTCATTAGAGCAGTGATCACAGACAGTCACGTGACTGCAGCATTGACATAACCATTTTCTATTTTGATAGTTGACAACAGAAAACATTTTCAAACTGTTCTATCCTGGAACACAGCTTTCAAAGTTTGTTTCCTCAACTGCCTAAAATGCTAAAATGAAGCCATTTGCATATACAGGGACGGACAAAGTGAAACAGTAGTTTTTTCCTTTCTATTGAATATGCTCAGATTTTAACTGCCTTTAACTTTCAGGGCTGTCTTTAGGAACTTTTAGTTTGTGTCAATTTTGGTTAACAGATTTCAATATAAAAATGTCAGTCTTGTCCCCTGTGGTCTTGTTTGCTTTTTCATATGAAAACAGGAATTTCAGTCTATCTTTGAGATGTTCATGTAAGTAGTATGAGTCTGATAAACGGTGTCAGACAGTCATTGGTTGTCATCCAAAAGTATGCACACAAAAAAGTTATTACCACCTCAGTAAAATAGTGAAGCCAGTGGACTTTTTTTGCACTGAAAGGATACTCAAAAAGGTTAATTGGTAGATGTTAGTTCAAAGTTAGTCCAAATCCAAAGCTCTATCACGTATTCATACAACTTTGTGCTGTATCACAAAAATCGCTTAACAGCTCTCTTAATGATATCTGAGCCTTTCTTGGCCCAGCATGGAGCTATTATTATTTGGACAATGCTCATTAATCAACATTTTAGCTGTATGCATCAATATAAATCAGTCAGAATTAGCTCAGGAGCTAAACTTTATCTGCACTCCTGAGGCAGATACTTAGATAAAACATACAACAAATTATCTCCTCCAATTCAACTCTGGAAAGAACCCAGAACCACAGAACTGGTTGTGTTGTCAGCTGGTTGAAGACCTGGTTTCAACCTGTTCTGTAAAAGCTGTAGGAATAAAAAATGGACTTTGTCATAAAATATTTCCTCAACTACATTTGACATGAATAAATTGAAAATTAAATAGAAACCGTGAAAGGCAGCTAAAAGGATCTTTTTGGGGATTTGCTGGTTCCTCTAGACAAAAAAAAAAAAGGCTCAGAACACGATCAGAGACTGAGATGGATTTCCAAATCCAGGTCCTTATCAACCAGAAGATCAAACCTTTTGAACAACTGGGCCCAGCTGACAAATTAAGATGGTCGCCAAAGTTTGGAGTCATTTTAATGAACAGAGATGCCTTTTGAGTGTAAGAACCATAGACTTAAATTAAGAAATCAACAGAGCAACCATTATGTAGAGGTGTTGATTTTCTTGTCTCAGAAATGAAAGAAATGTTCTTTACAGTATATTTAAACATTCCCTATTGTGTGCTTTAGTGGTGTAGCTGAACTTGGAAGCATAAAGCAAAGACACAGTCCAGGTTTTTGGTAAGAGTTGCCTTTTCATCAGCCTCAGATCATCACAGAATGAAAGTCTCACAATAAACATGGTCGGCTTTAATTTTTTTAATGATAAAAGAATTGGAGTGACTGATTGACCAGAGCTGGAGATGGTTTATGATAACGATGCTAATTTCCACCACAAAATGCTGTATTGTTTTTGTATTGAGTAAAAAGGGGCCAAAATTCATTTATCAGTGTTTAATATTGTTGCAATTTAAAGGTAGTTAATGGAACAAAATCCAGAGCAGAATTACGCTGTTTGATGGCAGAATGAACAAACTGACTGACCATTCAAGGACAGAAGAGGTTCAGCCTGCGCTTATTTAATGTTCCTACAAATACACTGTATCATTCATGGTGCTTTAGACTGGTTGTTATTGAAGGTTCCTCTGTTTACCGGTCAGTGATGAAGAAAGTGTTGCAACATCCAGCATTCCACTTTGTGTGGTTGAAGAGGATTGTAAATTACAAAAGTGCAAACTTTAAAACTGCTCCATCCACAAACACTTTCTTTTTCAATCAAACTTGACATTGCCTGAAAATCCTTTTGGTTTTTTATGTTTCTACTGTGGAAAGAACATTTTTAAATAAAGTTTTTAAATTAATACTTGTGTTCATTGTGTGGATTTAATTAGACTTTGCAAAGAAGAAGTAATGAAGCTGAAGTAGTCCTACAATTTAATTAAATAGTAGGGGGAGATAATCAATGTCTTGACAGTACACTGGAGGCTTTTCAAGATCAAGGGTTTATATCTAAGAAAAGCTAGATGGCAGCATTGAGACTCTTATGGCGAAATTTATCCGCAGCACAGATACTTCATATTCCTCAAAACACAAATGTGCTTTTATGAAAAACAAGTGACTATTTTATGATGGAGCACCTCAGCATTGAGATCCTGTGATCACCTATACAGCAAATGTAATACTATCATGATATTTTGTAGATACTTTCACAAAATGCTTTATGTCTGTAGACCTTGAAATTGGGTGCAACAACATAGATTTCACAAGAAGGAAAAGAAAAAAACATTTTTGTTTATAAGTCCTACTTGTATTTGGAATAACAGTTTGATTCTGAACAAATGTTGCATAAGAATGTTGTACAAATAAATATAGACAAGCTTGATTAAGCTAAAACTGAAATCTTGATAAAGACATTGAAAATGGCTCATTAAAAAACATGCATGTTGTACAAATAATGTATTTGAAATAAATAATCAAAGACTGTCCCTTAAAAAATACAAAAATTAATGACAGAAAATAATGATTTTGGATATAAAATTCATGAATAAGAAAAATATTTTTTTTATGTTTATATCAAAGTATTTTTAATACTAACTTAAGGTAATACAGAAAAAACTTTAAAAATCAAAATAATTTTCAAAACAATTATATTTTTTCAATAATCATACATTGCTACAATCACAGTCAAACACAACCACAAAAGTATTTTTTCACCAATCTAATTAGAAAGACCAATATATATATATATATATATATATATATATATATATATATATATATATATATCTTAAAAAAATATAAACAGTACTGTGTAAACATGTACAGATGTGAATCACTCACACCCTTGGAAGACAAATGTGGCACATAGTGGAGACTGCAAATTTCACTGATGTAGTCATTCAATTAAACTCTTTATTTAATGGTATTATTAGTCATCTGTTGACATCAGAGAGGTACAGAGGGTGAAACTCTGCTCTGGTCTTCATCAGCAGTCAGTGGTGATTTTATTGCTCCACGTGCTCCTGAAGCAGTTTGTCTCCTTGCTCCACAGCTCTGGTTTGTGCTGTTTCAGAGTTTATTGACCTGCTGAAGAAGCTGAAAAAAGACCTGACGATCCAAATTATCTCAAACAAACACACAACTTTATCTGTTTTCTCCTGCAAAGTCCATTCTAGTGCAAAGATCAGTGTTTGAAAATCATCACCTGTTTATACTTGAACAATGCATGGGGAGCTATTTATGTAAACAGCATTTGTGCATTAAACTGAGATATATTAGAAAAAAAGCTAGTTAAAAAACACTTAAGAAAAAATACCCGAATGCTTCCACAGGTTAATCACGCCTCTACATCAACATCTGGGCCAGCACATCATCTTCTGAATAATGTGCAGAAGGACTTGAATTTGACACAACTTTTAACTCTAGGGAAATTCAAGATAATTATAAAAGACAAAGAAATAAGTTCACTTGAATCTTGAGATTGCACATTGTAATGATGTAATCTTGTTTTTTCTGTAGAGTGTGACCGTATTTATTTTGTTTATTTGTGTTTCGTGAGTTTGCTGTAACAGCTCTGTTTTTTGTGCTGCTGTTTTGGCAGGGTCCCTCTTGAAAGAGGTTTTAAATCTCAATAAGCTTCTTAACCTGGTTAAATAAAGGATATTGATAGCAGTTAATAGATGTGACCTTTCAATCAAAGCCAGTCAGTGTCTTTACACAGCCTAACTTCAAATTGCAGTGAACACTATAACCAAAACATGTTGCTTCCTATCAACACAAAATTATACTATGAAAAATTCAACTGAAATATTACTGATTAGGATTTGTGGATTTGTGCCTAAAGGTGCCCTGTGAACTTTTTGACCACTTATAACCTATGACAAAGACTTTTGAACATGTGCTGGCACCAGTCAATAGCTATTATACATGTGATCAGATCAGAAAGGACACGACCCTGATTTAAAAAAAAAAATACATGAAGTAATGAGCTAGAAAGTTTAAAAGGAGAATCTGAAAACATTAAATATACATGGATATAAACATTGCATGTTAGAAAGTTTTTTTTTTAAATGAGCTTTATTAATACAATCATGTTAAGCCTTTGTTGGGCATACCTTGGTCCAAAAAAAAGCCTCTTTTTTATTATATAGTCAACGCTGACTTACCCTTTGACCCTCAATGAGAGAAGTGATTTACCTTTTTCCAACCACTGGACCCTCACAGAAAATATGTAATGCATCACTCATTACTGTCCTCACCACAATAAGTGTGAAAAAAAGGGGCATGTCGTTTCAATTTTTAATCTACAGATAATTAAGCAAGTGTGTCATGATTTTAGTTAGTGTTTGCAAATCAAATTTAGCAACCTAACATAAAATCCCTGCTAGACTACGGTGATACAGCACATGTGTTACAGCATCCAGTACTTAATTTTGGTGAATGACATCTTCTTTTGCCCCTTTGTGTTTTAGTTTTAAGGGGTCATATTTACACCTGAGAACAGAGAATATAAGGGGGTTCACGTGTTAGTTTATTGTGACAGCTACCTTTGGCTCACAAAACTCCCCTTTAAAATAACTAGCTGCATATTTTTGTCAGTCTTCATAGCTAAATCTTGAGTCACAAGGGAGCCTCCTCTTAGGAAATACTTAAACCCAAAGTTGTTATTTTACTTGAAAAAGAGACCTTTGAAATCAGACACAAAATGTTTACTGATGCCGTAAACAGTAATATCACTGCACAGCTCCATTACTTAGCTAGCTAAAACTCAATTTTGAAAGTGGTGGAGTTACCACTGTCTATAAACTCTTACTTATGGTGGCCGAGAACTAGCCTGGCTGGGCCATCCTGTTGCGTAAGTCACTTGATGTTCCTTCCCACAACAGGGAAGGGACGTCAAGTGACTCACGCAACAGGATGGCTCAGCCAAGCTAGCCGAGAACCCTCACTGCTGTAAAAAAAAGAAAAAAAAAGAGAAACCACAACGGAAGTTACTGATGCAAAAAAGAATGAAAGAAACCAAAGCTTGCTGCAAATAAAAAAGAAACGGTGCAGCTAAAACACAACAGAAGTTAATGACGAAAAAAAAAGTGGTGATGCTAAAAAAAAGAAAAAAAAGTTACTTACTGCGAAAATAAAAGGATGCAAATAAAAAATGCCACAATGGAAGTGAGCTGCCGGGGACCGATAATAATGATGCACCTGTGTTTTACGATCTAGGCACAGAAGATGATGGTGAAAAGACGAGCAAAGAAGTAAGTGGAAAGCTTATTGTTTAACTTCGCTTCGTAAACTCTTCAATGTGTCATTTGGTTAAGCCATGTTGCGCCTGAGTCGATATGAAGTTGATCTGGAGGATGCCGGTGTAGTGTTAGCTTCAGTTCAACCTCGTATCGACTCAGGTAAAACCTGGCCTGACCAAATGACACATTGAAAAGTTTACGAAGCAAAATTAAACAAAAACCTTTCCACTAACTCCTTTGCTTTTCTTCTCGCCGTCATCTTCCATTGTGGATTTTTTTAATTTGCATCCTTTAATTTTCGCAGTAACTTTTTTTTTTTTTTCCATCGTCACTTTTTTTGTGCTTCATTAACTTTGGTGGTGGCTTTTTTATCTGCACCGTTTCTTTATTATTATTATTATTATTATTATTATTATATGCAGTGGGCTTTGGCTTCTTTTTTTGCATCAGTAACTTCTGTTGTGACCACCTTTTTTTTTTTTTTTGGCTTTCTTTTTTTTTTTTTTTAATATTTGCAGCAGCGGCGGTTCTCGCCTACCGTACTTACTCATATGATGATTCATATGATGACAGTGATACTGTCTTTGATTTGTTGAACATTACCTTAAGTTTTTTTTTTTTTTTTTTTACAGTAAAGTGAGTTCAGGTGTGTATGTTGTCACGCCCATCCGTGACGCCCGGGGAACAGCTGCAGTAACATGAGGGGAATTTGGGTAAGGCTGGAGTGTGTTTTGGAGTTGACGGACCCTCTCTAACATCAGAGTTGTCCCTTTAAAAGGAAACCCTCCCTGCATCTGCTGATCCGTCAGCTGGTGCCGCCCTCCCTCCTTCCCTCCATCCCCGCGCACTCTGCCGCTCCTCCTGCTGCTGCTGCACCTCCAGGACCGACGGATACCCGGTGAACAGTGGCGGTGAGTAAAGGGACTCACCTGGAGCGGACAGCAGGTCATGCGTACGCACTCGATGGATATGGATAATCGATAATTGGAGCTAAAATGCGCCGGGCTCTCCGTCCTTGCCATTCCGGACTGTGCAGGTGTAAAAGGTAATAAGGTTGAGTTCCAGGGGAGGCACACGGGCACGCTTTATCTACGGATCTGAACATACATGTTTCATGTTCAGCCATGACATCTCCCACTGCATTGGCATGGACGAGTCCTCGTGGCGCACGCCTATAGTTTCAGTCAACGGATCCTTTCCCCTCTGTGGAGGTCTGTCCGGTTCAGCTGGTTTGGAGGTTGGTGGTGGCAGTTTGATCAAGTAAGTACGAGAAAAACAGAGTGACACCGCTCAGTGTGAGACTGAGCCCAATGCATAAGTTCCCTGCAGATAATTTATCATAGTTAGGATAGTCTCCATGTAACACAGCAGCAGCATTTTAATGAGAGATCTGTGTTCACTGGTGAGCTGCAGGCGCTGGAGCTCGGCATGTCCTCCTCGGTGGTTGTATCCGGAGGGAGGGAGCTGAGTCTGGGAGAGCTGCCCATGGAGAGCTGGATGTCTCATCTGCCCTGTGCTCTGTGGGACATCCCGCTATACCACCTGGCCATCCCAGGTAGGCTGTCTGCCATATTACGGCACACTGTATATCATTACATTACTAAAATGTATGAACAGAATAACCTGGATTACTGAGTGGTTTTAAACATTATGACACCATGCATGGTGTTGATTTAGGCAGCCATAGCAGCATAAATATGCAAAACTACACAAGCAAACAGACAAAAGCACAAAAAGGACAAAACAACAACATCAACAACAAATATCTGTTAGCAGTTGCAACCACAACCTAACTAATTACAGACCACACAACCAAAAAACAGGTAACACAACAATCAAACAATGCACCCTAATCCATGCAACACAGTGCATTACAGAAAACATGACAAATTGACCAAACTATGGAGCCAAATACAGACAATCCAATCAATTTCAGACAACAAAACAAATTAGTATCAAACACAGCCCATTTACAGAACAACAGTCAATTACACACAACTGTATACAGGCAAAGCAGCAAACTGCACTCAGCACAGCTAAACATGAGGAAAACAGACAACACAATCATTAACAGACAGTTCAAGTGATCACAGACAACATAAGACAACACAACAGACTAAAGACATATTTAAGTCATAAATATAAACTCTGAATATATTGCAGAAAGTGCTACACATGAAATTAAGGAAGATAAAAGTTAAGAAAACCAACACAACCAAATGTATTCAAAGCATCCTAGTGCAGACCATGCAACCAAAATCAGGACAATGCAAACAATCGCAGACAACACAGCCAATTCATTCAAATACAGGCAACCAATGAACTGCACACTGCACAGGACATTGCAGGCAGTGGAGCCAAATACAAATTATGCAGTCAAAAGCAGACATCAAAACCAAGACAGAGGATGCAACCATAAACGAAACATCTATAGATAAGAAAAGATAAGACAACTGGAGACAAACCAAGTCTATTCAATAACATACATACAATGTTTCCAAACTTAGGCAACACCATCTTTCTCAATTTCTTTGGTTTGGTTGCACTGCAAGAGCTACAGCATAAAATAGTCTTATCTCTTTATGATTATTTAAGTTCATTATCTTTTCGTTATCAGGCAGCCACAATGCCATAACCTACTGTCTGGATATGAATGACCGATCCCCTGTTGACCTTACTCAGCCAGACATGCTCCAAAAGCTGGACAAATACATGAAGCCTCTAATTCGCCCCTTTGTGTACAAGTGGGCCATAACGCAGGTAAACAATTATAGAAAAATACTGTATTTTAAATCTGAGAGTATGAGGGGCATTTATGGCATGCAAATGACAAATTGTGTCTTCTGTGTTTCAGGAGTTTACTATAAAGCAGCAGCTGGACTGTGGGATCAGATACTGTGATCTGAGGATAGCTCACAGGCCGAATGATAGCTCCACTGATCTGTACTTCTACCACGGTGTTTACACCACACTCACTGTGGAGGTAAAGTGAAAGCTCACTTTACTGTGAATTTTATATGCCCCTTAAAAGCTATTTGCATCCACAACAATAATCGTAAAATCAACTCTAAAGAAAAACAGAAAGCATATGCTCACATTATTTTCCCTGCAGCTCAGTGCCTAAGTTTTTATCTGCTCTCTTTTGTCCTCTCTATTGTTCAGTTTAACTTCTGGCACAACAATTTGTCATATTTAATGAACAGTATTGTATCATACTGTGATGTATGATACTGTACTTTGTTGTGTTATATTTTACAGTAAAGCAGTGTGTTGTATCACGCCATACAACACCATAATATACAATACCATATCATCTTGTTCAATATTCCAATGTATTGTGACAATTTGTATCTTTTATTGTCACAGAGATTCACATTTTATCTTCTCGTAACGCATGCCAACATATTGTAGCACTTCATACCATATCATGCAGAATCTTGTCATTTCATATTTTAACATATCACACTGTATCATACTTATTAGTATCATACTATTTTATATTGCAGTGGAGTATCATGTTGTATGGTAACACATTGTGCAGTACTGTTTTATACTGTGTATCTTGTATTACCTCCTGTCATCCCACATCTATCATTAGCTCTATCAAGTATCACGTAACACCATATCATATATATCTTATCGTATTTTATCATGTAATACTGTATCCCATATTATTATACCATACACCGTATTGTATCGTCATATAACATTTAATATAAAATTGTATCACAACACAGTGCAGCATTATGTGATGCATCATATCTATAACATAATGTAATGAATCGTATCAAAGCAACCAAGTGCCATGTCAAGTATTGTAATGTCATGTGATATAAAGTAAGGTAACAAAAGACTACATAATGAATACTAATGTAACGAAGGGTAGGACAACATGGCGTAACCTAACATAATCTAACTTTACTTTATGTGAAGTATCCTAATGTGATGTAATATAACTTCTTGTAACAACAATCATTGTGACTTTATCGTAATGTAACTTATCATAACATAACCACTTATAAGATAACTGATCATTATGTAACTTATCATGATTTAACTTGTTGTATTGTAACTTGTGGTACCGAACATGAAACGGAACATAACAGGGTGTATAACTCACTATTATCAATCACTTTTGTGTCTTTTAACATATAGTTTGGTATTATATCTTAATGAGTCATATAGTATTGTTCATTTCCTATTTCTATTCCTATCATTATCTTAATTCATTTTATCATTTTAATGCAAATTCAATAATGCAGTGCAGATTAATGCAATTTTTTAAAATTAAGTCTTATTTATAAAGTAAACATTACCAACAAAACCACACAATGTACATGAGTGGTTATGTATCTTATAACTTATGAATTCAGCATTTTTTTTAAGAGATGAGTTTTTTCTTCTTCTCTGGGTAGACATCAAACCTTTTATCAACAGAGCTAGAGTAAAAATTAGGTGGCATATGTTGGTGTGCTGTCTTGGATCTTTCAGGCTGCTTGTATGGGAAACCAGAGTGCCCTTCACGTCACCTTTCCTCCTGCAGAGTGAACAGGTGGTAAAGAAGAAAATAGAACAGATAGTGCAGGTTATTATACTCCTCTGTCACACCGCTGTCAATGCCAAAAATCAAGTCCCACCAGACAATGGAGTTATTCATTTAACATGTTGCTAGCTTTTATTACCAGGCTGTAATTTGGTATTAAATATTGCAGGGGTAGACCTGACAGTGTCCTGTTCTTTTTTTTTCCTGACAGTCTGTTTTAATGGAGATCAGAGAGTGGCTGGATACCCATCCCAGAGAAGTAGTCATCCTCTCCTTCAGCCACTTCCTCGGCCTGAACCAGGAGCTTCACATGCTGCTGCTAACAACCATACGCAAAATATTCACCTCCAAACTCTGTCCCAAAATGGTATGGCTTTTCTATCATTGAACAAGCACTGACAGGATACAGCTGGCATTACTATTCTCTACAGTTTTCACATGATCAAACAGACAAAATCATCAGTGAAATGGCTCTATGATCGAGTTAAAACGTAAATGTATTTTATTTCTCTGTGCAATAGAGCTTAGTTCCTGCCCAAAATCTGTCTAAAACCCTCAGTGTGTCTTGCGGTTACACATGAATGACATCTTCAGTCTCTACTATGAACACTTAATAGTTTGTTTTGACTGTCCCTCACACACCACCCCCTGCCCCAAATATTCACTCGAGCACCAAATGTGGACTGATTTGCAGCTAAAAATAGTCTCTAAACAAATTCAGGGTTTACTTCTATTGAGTGATGTCTACTAAAACTTAAAGAGTCCAGCTCTTTCCATTTTTGTTGCTCATTTTCAGAGATTTGAATAATCAAATAAGCTTAGGCCTATCAGAGGAGGTAAAGTAGTAGAGTACACACAGCCGTGTGAAAAGACAACTTCTCCATTCAAAACCAACAGTGAACAACCACATGAAAATTTAAGTTTTCTACCTGCAGACAAAATATATAGAAGTATCTTTTATATTGTGTGAAACTGAGCCTGTTTTTCCTTCGATTCCAGGAGGCGTTGACACTCCGTAACCTGTGGGCTTTGGGCTACACTGTGATTGTGTCCTATGAACACAACATGGCCAGCTCTCAGAGTGACCTGTGGCCACATATTCCCTACTGGTGGGCAAATAAATGCAAAGCAGAAGCTCTCATTGAGGAGTTTGAACACAGGAAACAGCATGGCAGACCAGGTGAGTTGACTGCTATTGTTAGAGGACTCATTTGTTTGGTAACTCCAGTGTTGCCAGCAGTTAGCTTCTGGTCAGGCTTTCTTTTCCACATGCTGCATTGTTTGTAGTCCAGCTGCCAACTTGAGAAGTGCTCTTATGTACAGACAAAAAGTGAGCACAATTCAGCCCTGCAATTATGTCTACGAAGTTGACACTGTCATTTCTTAGTTCATAATAGTAGCTCCCCTTCAGCGGTTTCAACATGTTAACAGCTTTGTGTTAAACTAGTTTTGTTTCATCCACCAGTTTTTTTTTATCCACACTGTACATGGGGGGTACACTTTATGTTAGTCTGAAGATATTGAGGCAACAAATTTGGGGAATTACAGGTACAGCTGAGTTGACTGTAGGGTACTGTAGCTGTTTAAGATGAGGCCAATGACCCACCTTAACTCCACCTTGTTGCCTTTTGGTGGACCCAAAGATGTATTCATTCACTCATTAAAAGTTTTATGTCTGAAAAGGTTTCAGTGAATCTCACGTCTCTTGTGCAGAAAGGACCACCCTGCCTTTGAATAGAAAATACAATGATGAGAGTTGTAGGGGTCAACAGTAGGTTGAGTAAACATTTTGAATATGGCGACTGCTGTTGATGGGATTCAAAATTCAGCTTCAGAAACAGATGGATGATGTTCATCTATAACACAGTCTATGTGCAGGTTGTGAGAACAAAAGGAGAGGGAAAGGTTTGAGTTTGTAAGAGCAACAGAAGAGGGGCTGGGGAGGTAGGGTCCTACTGAACTGAATTCAGCACACTTGCTTTATTAAGATCTATCTCTCTGAAAACATGTCTCACAGTTCTGCTCAGTTTTGTGAATCAAGGTTATATCAAGCTTTCATTGTCCATAAAATCTGATTTTTAAATTTTTTTTAGGTGGCTTCTTTGTTACAGGAATAAATCTGACAGAAGACCTGAAATACATCTGCACACACCCCACCGAGTCCCTGAAGGACCTGGTGATGGCCACGTTCCCGACTTTGCTGGGCTGGGTCAAAGAGCAGACTCCTGGCTCCAGAGTTGGCTCTTTGAATATTATAGCTGGGGACTTTATCACTGAGAGCCACTTTGTACCAACTGTTGTTGCACTGAATGAGAAACTACTGAAATGGTCCTCTTGACTTTTCACTGTTTTTGCATTATTCCTCAGACAAAATGTGAACCACAGCATGAAAAACACAACAGCTTGTTTTTCTTTACAGGAAAATATTACTTGAATTATTGATCTTTATATAAATGCACTTGTTGGAGTCTGTTCATTATACTCTTTAGTCTTAAAGCTACAGTTCTACCTGAATACAGTTTTTTTTGGTATTTTGATCTGCACTTGTTTGTATACACACAGTTTACTATTAATGCAGTGCACTGCATCGGTTTCCATTAGTTTGCAAGATGACTGGTTTCATGTTACGTTGACCAAAGCAATAATGATCTAATTAATCCCACGTTAATGTAGGCATTTAGCTGAGTAAGCACAAAGTATTTATTCTATAAGCACATAAGATAAAAATGTAGGCCTCAAACTTTTATAATCATAATGTGGGCAGAATATAGCGAAACTGTATCACCTGTAATACATTTATGATCAAAAGAGAATGTGGAGGAAGACTTGAAACTTTTGCAAAATGCATGAAAGCTTATTTGCATGAACCCAACTTTGACTGTTTTACTTGTAATTCACTTTAGCCAACAGGATAGGCCTTGATTTCCAATAATGCTGCACCGCTGTGCCTGTGGAGATGCGCTGTTCCAATAAACATGAGAGTTTTTAAGCAAATCATCTCCTTCTGAAATCATTCAGACGTTGAAATGCACCTATAAGATGTCAAGATGTTTATTTGGTGATAGAATATCTCAGTCTCTGATCATCAAATGAAGACAAAGTCAGAAAGTTGAATGGATGGATGGCTTCCTGCTTATTAAAGGGAAATACTAACAGCCTATGATCACAAAATGGAGAAGCACCAAGAGAAATACTGGATTTCTCGGCACATAAGCTAAAGTTAGCTTCATAAATTAGAGTAAACTATTATTCATTGTCCTCCCTTGTGTGATTGCCATGGTAGTCAGCCATATGTTGCCATATAAAGACTAATGTGCCCTTGCTTTGTACTATATTCACTTTGTTATTCCATCAGTTATAGGTAAATATCCAGCTGGCCATCTCATCTTTGGTGGTCCTGTCAAATCATCAATCCGGAGTGAAAATGTGCTGGTTGACATGTCTGTTCCACTTCATCAGTACTATCTTGTTGAGGTAGCATTTTCCATCTCAGACAGTGACCTTAATGCTGGTTAATATGTCTGAAGTTTTTGTTTGTTTGGCTTTTGCCACCATTTTACCCTGGCCCACCAAAAAATTTCATATTGTTTACTAACCCTGAAAGCTTCTGTTAATGCCTCAGCTGGGCCCTCAGTCCAAAAAGTCATGACATGCCCCTGATCCTTGCATTTAGTCATGCAAACATGCAGTCTGCAAGATTGGTGCAAAAATTAATTTAGCAAACATAGTTGAGATGAATGGTTTTATATTTTGGAAAATTGATGTGAAGGTGCTCTGGAGTAGGAACACATGAATGTTTGAGACTACTTGGCACCAGATGTGATAACATGTTTGTCTTTGTATTAATAGATGTTGAATAGTGGTGGACTAAAGTAAACAATACCTTAACTATCAAATATTTATCAATTCACATGTTGCACTATTTATCAATTTATGTGCTGTGGTTTATTTCACAGGTAGGAGGATGGCGGAGGCACACAAAAACACAAAAAGGATGATTTGTGGGCCTGTAGTCTGCTTCACAGAGAGCCATGGTGGAGGGGGGGTTAAAAAGCTTTTGTGGTCTTGCAGTATGTGCGTTTTTTCAATGCTTTCCCTCACAATAGTTTGTATACCATCATCAGTCTGTCATTCTGCTGCTCTGGGGTTAGTCAGGTCATTACATTTTTACTTCAGACACAAACACGGTGAAAACAGGAACCATTAATAATACATACATTTAGCACAAAGGTCAAGAAACACTTCGCCTTTCAATGTTTGACTGTGAGAAAATGGCTTAAATAGAGGCAAGAAATACGCTGTGCAAAGAAAATTTCTATTAATGGCATAGTAGAGAGTAATCATGGATAAATGACACCACCAGGATTATATTAGGTAAGGAAAATGTTCATTTGTTTAAAGTCCAGATACAACCAGCTGAACTGACAATCATTGAACAGTACGACCCCAATTTCAAAAAGAGTAATACACTGTGTATTATTGATTATATTTAATCAATAATAGTAGCAAGACAATTTATTAAATGCTGAAACTGAAAAAAAAGCATTTTGAAAAATATATCTTTTAAATTTGCAACGCATTTTTAAAAAGTTGGGACAAAAGCATCTTTACCATTGTGATACATCACCACTTCTTTTAACAACAGTTTGGGAATGTTTGGGAACCAAAGAGTCCAGTTTCTGGAGTTGTAAAAGTTAAATATTGTCTAGTTCTAGCCTGACAGTTCAGGATGTCCTTTACTGTATTTCTGGTTTTATGATGTGCCAAAGGTTTTCAGTCGGGGGCAAGTTGTTACTGCAGGCAGGCCAGTTAAGACTCTTCTACTACTGAGCCATGCTGATATAAAACATGGTTAGGGATTGTCACACTTAAATATTAACGATCCTACCTGAAAAGTCATTGTCTGGATGGCAGCTTGTGTTACTCCAGCACCTGCATATGTTGTTCAGCATTGATGGCACCTTTCTAGATGTGTAAGACTTACATCATAGACACTTATGTATCTCTTAACTATCATGGCTTGCACTGCACTGAAAATTGTGATCTCTCTTCTCTGTAGAGCAGAGGATGCAGCATGATGAAAGAAAGAAAAGAATGAAAAGAAAGTCAAATTTTGAGATGGGACAGTTTTCTCTTTTCTCTTAGCCTCTGCCAATGTTAAATGGGCTCAGATCCGGAGAAGTCATCATCTTTATATTATATTCCCATAGTTCAGTCTTAACCTGCATTTGTGGATGCAGCAATGAACCATGTTCACAGACACTGGTTTTTGGAAGTGTTTTTGCACAGAGATTTTACCAGATTGTCAGAATCTTTCAATGCTATTATGGACGTTGAAGTTGAAAACCCAAAATCCATTGCAAATTATTCGGACTTTGATAAACCATTTGCTCGTGCAGTCTTTCTAGAATCAATTTTTTTAAATGAGCAGATATTGTCTCTTTCAATTTTACAGTTTCAACATCTAACATACTATCTGTGCAATACTTTCAATCAAATGTAAATAAAACAGTTTTTTGATCAAGGTTTTTTTTAAGAGTTTTACTCTTCAGAAAGTAAATAGATTTTATGTAACAGTTAATTCCCATCGATCCTGGTTCCCCTTTGACTACTGTATTATCAGTTTGCCCGCGAAATTACCATAGTGATTGCAATAAAGTTTAAACAAAACAAACTAGTCCTGTATTTAACACTCCAGCTGAACTTCCTTGACTGAGATTAGCCCCGCCCCCTTTAGACGTCATGGCAACAACACTGAAGCTGTTTGGCTAAAGCAGCATGTATGCTAGCCCTAATAGTGAATACACCGTAATGAGACACACAATATTAACAAATATATGTCTTATTTTCCCAATATTACCCTGTAGTAAATGACACAAACTGAATTAAAACTAGACGAGATGAAGTCCCTCCCGTGTGTCACAGAGCTGTGCTGCTTTCAGTCACCGCAAAAGAATCAGGAAATTCGAACTTCAGGCTCCCTCCTCCTCCTCCTCCTCCTCCTGTCTTTCTGCTTCTGTGTTGTGAAGTTTGCATTCGGTCTGTGAGGGAACTAGATAAAGAGAGGGGTCAGAATCGATCATGTGATGGTAGATAATAACATGTTTCTCACGTAGGTTCATTGTTCAGCTTCAGTGACGGATTGAGAGACATGGACATGAGCTGCAGTGACTGGATGTCAGCGCTTCCCGAGGAGCTGTGGGATATTCCTCTGACTAACCTGGCCATACCTGGTACACTCAATATTTTTCTTGAGCTATTAGCCTAAACATTAAAAAAAGACAGTCATTCGCTGTGATCATTTGAACTTTGTGGTTTTAGCCTGAAGAAGGTGAATAATTTAAGGAAAGTTGTTGTATGTCTTAGTTTTAAACTGTTTTCTTACCCTCTTAGTACATTTTAGTTTTATTTCCTATCTCTCGATTACATAAATGCAACACAAACTTAATCGATTCAGGTTTGTTTATGAGATTAAGCTAGAAAATATGATGCATTACAATTCAATCAATTATTAAACTTTTACATCTTCCTTAAGTCTGAAAAGTTTTGTACATGTATGAAAAAAGAGACTTTTTTGAGTCATTTGCTGGTCAAAAGACAGTCTTAATAGCCTACTTCAATTGTTTGCTCAAATGAAATGATCATATGTCACACAGCCTTTCTCCTTCTGCCTTTTCAGTCAGTTAAGAAGAATTTATCAAGGATGTCAAACTAAGATGAAATTATAGACCTGGACTACATTACTGGACATACACAGTCATTAAGATCATGAAAAGCAAGATTTATTTGAAGGAATAGAAACACAATTCTCTAACTACAGTTTAATTACATATAAGTCTTTAAGTAGTAAAAGTATAGACCCCCAAATCCCCAAAAAGTTGGGATTCTGTGTAAAATATTGTTTAAAAAGAGTTGAAGTGTATGCAGATTTTTTAAAAGCCTGAATTTAATTGGAAAATCTGCCAAGACAACATATAAAATGTTGAATAACAATAATAAAAAAAACAAATGTTATATTTGATGCCAGTGATATTTTTTGTTAAGTTGGGATAAGGACAATAAAATACAGAAAAAAGTATTGTAATGCTTAATAAAATATTTCTATTATTATGAACAATACACAAAGAGTCCTAAGTCTTGGAGCTGTAGACACTTTTACAGTTGTGAGTCAGTATAAAATTAGATGTGTCTTAATTTGTAGGTAGCCACGATGCCATGAGTTACTGTCTGGACATAAACTCACCTCTGGTCCCATCTGAGTCAGACTTTTTCAGACTCCTGGATAGACTCTTTTACTGCTTCACCAGACCTGCCATCTTTAAATGGGCAACAACACAGGTAAGCCAGATGAGAAAAAAAAAAATTCACTCAGTTCTTTGCATGGTTTTCTCAGATTGTCAGAAGGTAGAGGTGAAATACCTGGTACATCTATATGCTGCAGTTCCCGATTTAACATGAGACATGTGTGATCAGGTTGTATCTAGCATTGCCTTCACTTTTTAGAGTTAATAAGGGGTGTTATTAAGTTTTACCAATCAGAGTCAAGTATTCAGCACAGCTTCATAATTGATAAAAAGCTGGCAGATGTTTTGTCACACACCTCTTTAGAGTGTTTCATTGGTACAAGTATCTTCAGCAAGGTTTTATGAATCCTTTAAGGACAAAAGCATTGATGAGCAGCTGACGATGGGGATCAGGTTCTTCGATCTTCGTATTGCACACAAACCCAATGACTCCTCAAAGGACCTGTACTTCACACATGTCCTTTACACACACCTCACAGTTCTGGTAAGTGCAACACTTTAAAACAAGTCTTAATGTGGGATACTACAGTAGATTCATGATCATTTTCTTCTTTGCAGGAAACTCTGTCGTCTGTGGCCACTTGGCTGGACTCCCACCCGAAGGAGATCATCATCCTCGCCTGCAGCCACTTTGAAGGAATTGACGATAGTCTTCATCATTCATTCATTTTCTCCTTAAAGAAGCTTTTTGGCTCAAAGCTTTGCCCCAAAACAGTGAGTTTTCTACCTGTGCACCTGATATACAGTATAATAAACAGCCAAGTGCTTCACACACCCTGACCTGTCCTCCACAGGAGTCTGCCCCAACCCTGAGGAGTCTGTGGGCGTCTGGCTACCAGGTCATCCTGTCCTATGAGTCCCAGATTGCAGCCAGACATAAGGAGCTGTGGCCTGCTATCCCGTACTGGTGGGCCAACAAGCGCACAGCTCAGGGAGTGATAAATTACCTGGACTGGAACAAAGAGCTGGGGCGTCCAGGTCAGTTTTATTCACAATTTGGCCCAACTATGATCCAGCTTCCCGGTTATCCTCTAAGCTTTGTCATTTTTTTCCTCCAGAGGGTTTCTTTGTCTCTGGCTTGAACCTGACCGCCGACAGATTTTTCATCACAGAGAACCCGAAACAGTCCCTGAGGACGCTGACTTTCAGTAACTGGGACTGTCTGAAGACATGGCTGGAAGAGCAGACACCTGGGCCAGACCCAGGGAGCTTGAACATAATCGCAGGAGACTTTGTGGGTCCACTTCCCCTCTGCTCCCTGGTCATTAAACTGAACCAAAAACTTCTACAGAGGAAAGTTTTTAGATGAGAAAAATACATGATTATTTCTGTTATGATACCAATGGGAACCCAGAATATCCACTATATACCTCATTTTTTATATCTGTCAACTTTTATTATACACTGTGTTACAAGAGTGGGCGTAGCCTGAAAAGTGAAACCAGTGAAGAAATGTCTTTAACTTGCAGTCTTTGTAATGGCCAGTAGATGGTGACTCCACTGGCTTAAGGGAAAATGGGAGGTTTGTTTTTTACTGTTTATAGCGAATAGTGAGTCTGATTCAAGACAGATTAATGTTCATTCCATTATGATTTAACACCTGATAAAACTGGACTTGTATTGGAGAGGTGCTACTTTCTGCTTGACAAGTTGTCACCAAATGGTGGCCTGAAGAAGATCCTGCTCAGCATTAGATTGGGGCGTAAGACAATCAGATTGTTATGGCTGTAAGTTGTCTGTGCCACCCCCTTACTTTTGTCCTCCCTAGCTAGCAGAGAAGACGGGGAACTGAGATAAAACATAATGAGCACTGAAATGAGAGTAATTAAACTTTGAATAACCTTGGGTATGTGCTTCAAATGTATATGACTGTGCCAACCTGTGGAATCTTTTTATTGGTGGGTTAAAGCTCCTGTGAGGAACGTTCGGTTTGTGTCAGTTTTGGCACCCCCAGTGGACAAAGCAGTCTTTGCTTATCTTGTTCTCTACCTGCATGAATAATGTCTTTTGACAGATACCACAACATCTCCGGTTGCTGTTTAAAGACCCACTCCGATGAAAATCATATTTTTCTTGTTGTCTACATGTTCATATGGCGTTTTTCTGATGCTACAGGACTTATCATGAGAAAAATAAGTGTGAAATTGCATTTCAGAGTATTTCTGCATTCAAATCTCTGTGAATTTCTGGCAGACCCAAATGGCAGGCTCAGATACAGTGAGATTTCCTACGTAGCAAATCCAAGCTCCACCCCCTGAAGCACCGCTATGCAGGTCGCACTCTGAAAAGTAGGGAGGACAATCACAGAACAAGTGTGTGTTAGCGGGTTGCAATGCTCGTAAGAAAGCTAATCATGTTATTAACTTTCATAATGACCCCAAAGACATCAGTGTCTCAGAGTTGAATAGCTCCTATGTTACCTGCTACTTCTACTACACCGGCAATGTTAGGCTGCAAGCGAGCATGAAGAGGAGTGTGCAGAGCAGCGCTGTCTCCGCCCACGACTCCGAGGTGAATTGCTAATGAGCTTCTGGAGCTCTACAGAAGAAAAGTCCTTGAAAATGACATAGGTAACGTGATTATGGCAAATAACCTCATAATCACAACTTAAAGACCACTGATAACACTTATACAATAAATAAAATAAAATAAATCGGTGTGGGACTTAAAAGAGCACCCATGGACTGTATAATAGCATCACAGTTGACTTTTAATGTAATTAATGTGACATATGTGCATCTATCATAGGTGCTCTGCAGTACTGAGAAAAAATGCCACTAAACCCCTGCCCACCAGCCAGATCACTTCTGCCCATGCCTTGGCTCCACCAGCCACCATATGACTACTATAACTATTTTTGCTTCACTTCTGACATCAGTCAGAGATGGGGGCTAGCCGCTGGTTATTTATATTCAATAGTCTGTCTTCAGTTGTCCTATCAAATAAATGTCAAAACGGACCTAAAATTATCTTAAAAAAGTTTTATGCCAAATCATAGAAATTCACAGCTTCAATTGACAAATAGATCTGTGTTTGCTCACCATCGCTTTACTCAAACTCTACCATTGTGTTTAAGTGCAGTCACTTCTGGCTCTTCAAACACACCATAAGACAGACAAAATGCCAAACTCAAGGCAGGTAACACAACATTACCTGTTAATAGTTTATGACTTTTTCCCTTGTCAGTCCAAGCTGAAGAAAACACTTGTAAAGGTAACTTGCCTTGATAAAAGCTTTTTCTGAGTTTGTAGCTCTGAGGAAATCCAGACTTTGAATGAACTATTCCTCTGAGTACCTCTGACCCTTCTCAGTCATCTTTAACTCAGATCCTTACATCCATGAACACTAAAGTGACATCTTTTACCACATCCATTCAGAGCTCCTTTTTTCCGAGTCTTTCTTGACTTAAAAAAATTCTTAATACGCAGCTCTGTCAAACTTTTTCAATCCCAAAGATTATTTTGTATATTTGGTTTAGCTTCAAAGTGCACTTCATACATTCAGAGCAGAACCAGCCCCCTGTAACAGAATAAAACACTCCTTTTTAAGGTGTTTTGGGGGAAAGTTTTAAACAGAAAGCATATTTCTGTTCTATCTTTCTGTGAACAGTTTCTGGTAGCGTCCATAAGCAGCGTGGCTGATGATGACTCTGACAACGGCTGAGCCTTCGTCTGCATCCACCTGCACGTCCTGGACGACAGCTTCTTTGTACAGCCAACTGTAGAGAGAAACGTAAACTCACCAAGACTGCTCTCTTACTCTTAATATCACATTACAGAGAGATGAAACAGCTCCCACCTCAACTGAGCACTGCTGAGGTCGATTTTGAGATCCAAAACATGTTTCCCTGTAGAGTTTACGATTTGTCCCTCCACAGCTTTCTTCAGCTCATCCAGACCTTGCTCCTTCAGAGCTGATATCGGCAGAGCATCTGGTTCTGTTGGCTGATAGCTGGAAGGAAATCCAGACTTTGAATGAACTCTGACCCTTCTCAGTCATCTTTAACTCAGATCCTTACATCCATGAACACTAAAGTGACATCTTTTACCACATCCATTCAACCCTTTTCTAAACTTTTTAGAGCTTAAAACCTCCACATCATGTGCTTACATGTTTCATAGCTTCCTGACAGAAACGGCTGTACACATCAGAGTGTTTTGTACTCATTATCTTAGGAAAACATCCTATGACACAAACATTCACAATGACTCAAAACGAACCCACAAAATTTGACTGGACAAACATCAAAAGACAATAGTCATCTAACATTATGTTGCTTTTGTTCTTGTTAACACAATATTTCTGCAAGGCCAGCAGGAGTTTTTCAGGCCATCTTTTCATGATACTCATTATCTTTTCTACCATTTTATTTGCATTATTTTAATTTTTGTTTGAAAAGATATTACAAAGTGTATGGCACTTTGAAACCTTGAGTTATTCATTTCCACTCCCACCACTTCCACTTCCACTTCCATCATCATTTCCAGGTAAATAAATTCATTTGTACTTTTGATTTTAACACACAAAAATGCCTTTCAAACTTCACCTCTATCATCAGTAACCAATACTCAGTCTCTGCTGTCACTTCTACTGTGAACTTCTTCGCAGGTACTTCTTATCTTTTCAAAAGTGCAGCTATTTCAGACTGCTTTGGGCTAAACTCCCCCTTTTGTATCTGTGGGGGCCACCAGACAATTAATGTCTTTATTTGTGATTAATCATAGAGTTTTGATAGTTTATTGAAAGTGAATCGTTTATCATTGACTGTTAAAAATTCCAGCATTTTGCATTTTAAAACAGTTTTATGGTAAAACTGACGTGACATAAAGCAATTCTTGTGTTTCAATGTGGGAATCGACTCAATACAATCTACCGTACTTTATGATCTTGTTTTGTGGGTCTATCAGAAAAGCTAACATTTTGTGTGATCTGAAACTATTACTCTGATACAAGAAAAAACCTTCAAAGTGATTATTCTGTGGTTAACGCTACAGCATTTGCATTTTTAAGGAGTTCCAGTTTGGTTGCTTTTTTTCTTTCAAACAGGTCCAGTGTTCATGGAGCTGTGGTTACCAATAAAGATAAGGCACATCACTGGTCACAATATGCCAATCTGAAGATGGTGATTAGATCTGAGCCACAGATCATGTGGTGATTCACTCACTCCAAAATAGTGCTCTGCTGACTTCTGTGCTGCACCTACATGCTGGCATCAGTCTGATCAGATGCACCCGTATGCTAAGCTCATAGGTGGCAGCCTAGACCTAAAGTAGCTCAAACTCAAAGTATTTCAGAGACACTTTGATTTCATTTGACACAAAGTCTAACATCATCTCTGTTGGATTTTTCTCTCTTACTTGTCAATGAGGTCGGTTTTATTGTGGACTTCTATTATGGAGCTCATCAGCCTGTCTGGGATTTGCAGATTTTTCAGGATGTTCAGCACGTTCACCTTCTGATTCACAGTCTCTGGATGACTGATGTCTCTGACGTGGACCAACAGATCCTGGAGGTCATAAGACAAATTACTCCTACGTCAAAGATGCTCCCCTCATAAATTAAAGTATTTTGATTAAAAAATGAGGCTCATACTGAGTGTTTGATGTCTTCAAGCGTGGCAGAGAAGGAGTCAATCAACTGGTGGGGCAGCTGGGACAGGAAGCCAATAGTGTCCACATAGAGGACAGTCATGCGGCTGGGCAGCTGGCCAGCATGGACAGTGACGTCCAGTGTGGCAAAAAGCTGGTTTTTGGGCTGGAGGCCACTGTCACCTGTGAGAGCTTTGATCAGAGTTGTTTTTCCTGCAAAAACCAAAGACAAAGTCAATTTGACTCAGGAACTCTTTCTGAGATTTTTTACAACAGTGTGGCAGCCTGTTCTTGTCCTCTTACCACAGTTGGTGTATCCTAGCACAGAGACGGTAGGGAACTCTTTATGTTTTCGCTGAGAGCGCAGCATGTGTCTCCTTTTCCTCAGTTTTTCCAGAGCCGAGCAAATCTTCATCTCTCGCTCCTTCAGCAGTCTCTGCCTCACCTCATACAGAGTCTCCCCTGTGAAATAAACAGGATCCAAACTGAAGCTGCTGTCTGACAGCGCAGATAAATTGTTCATCACTTAAGCATGGGGATCCCCCTACCTGAGCCTCCAATGTACCTCGATCCTCCGCCCTGCTGGTCTAAATTAGCAAATTCATTTCTCAGTCGAGACCTGCAAGAACCAGATGGAGACATTATAAACACAATTAAGTCACAGCAAAAATTAAGACTACTATAGTGTGAAAAATAACATAAAAATATAGGACATACTTGTGCAAATCATGGCACAAGTATGTCATACATGGTGTTTTAGATCAAAAATTCAAGATGACAAAAGGTCTTCACAGCCTCCTGCTGATGATTACTGTGATAAGGATCTGCGCTGCTGGCTGAATCAAATAATATTATCATTTGTTTTAAATCTTAAACCAATTCTAAACTAGTTTACCACAAACATAAAAAATTGAAGTCATGTGTTATGGTATTAATCTCACCATTGTCATAACTTACACCAGACGAGATCAACAACAACAACAACACAGATATGCTGTGTTTGTTTCTAAATACAATTATCCCTGTGTAATATCACAATTATTATTACGTAGTATATTTACTATTAGTAGTATATGATTTAAAACTAGAAATACATGTTAATTTAATGATATTTTTCAAATCTAAAAATACATTTAAAAAAACAACACCAGAATAACTTAAACTGGCTGACTACAATAATTCCAGGGAAAATGTCCTCTTTGTTTTCCAAATGAAAATTTAAGCAGATTTTAAGATTAAGACTAAAAACTTAATCTGGGAAAATAAATATGTGATAAATTGTAAACTGACTAAGTCACCTTAACAGAGGGATCTCTGCTGCAGAGAGATCTGTAGTTTGGCCTCTTTAGTCCTGGCATTGCAGCGGAAGATGTGGAGGACAACAGAGTATCTGTCAAAGACTTTGACCCCCCAGGCCTCCTCCAGCTCCCTCTGCACGGAGAAAAAATATATCTCTTACTTATGTACACATTACTTATTTACATAACCTGTTAATTTCTGTTTTCACTGTCAAATATTTATATTTTTCTTTTGATTGTTATTTTGTGTTTACTGTTTTAGCACCAAAACACCCAAACAAATTCCTAATGTGCACAAACCTACTAGGTAATTTACCCGGTTTTGATTTTGATTATAAATTTGTGATAAATAAAAGCTCTTTCAGGAGTTTTTCAGTGGTTATAAGGCTTGATGTAGTCAAATTAAAACAAAATAAAACAACAGGATGACCTTTTCACTCACAACTGAGATTCAAGACATATTCAGTTGTTCAGCACAGAGATCAGTGGTAGTGCTTGTCCACAGATGGGGGCCAAAATCAATGCATGTCACATTTCTCACTGCAGTTTGTTAAGTTTAGCTCAATTAAACTTAGTTTCTTTTTTTCTTGTTTCCAGCACCCTGTTGCAAGCTTTTTTTGTGCAAATCATCAAACTCCTCTTTCTGAAGCCATCCTCCAAAGCAGCTCACCTCAGACAGAGGTGACAGGTGCTCTACATTCACAAACACTGCAGAGATTCCTGCAGTTTGCCTGATTTTCTCTGCAGAGAAAGAAAAAACACATGAGAGGAACTGTTTTTAAAACGGATTCACTGATTCTCCAGTAGAAACTTAGGATAATAACAACACCTGTCAACGTCTGGAAGTTCCCTTTGCCAAATATCCTTTTCTTCTCTGGTGTCTTGGTGGACATGATGATCTTGTCTACCACTCTCCAGTTTTCTAAGGTGCTCACTAACCCCACTGCTTCAGCCATCATCAACTCAGCTGCAAAGAAAGCATAAAAGTGTCCATGAACCCTTTACCATCATCTACACACTCACATCTGGGCCTGTCTCTTACCTGTGGTCAGATACTGCTTCCTGCTCCCCCACTTAACATCAGGGTGAACGATGAAGACTCTGTGCTGACCGTCTCCGATCCCTGCAGGTACCTGCTGCTGAAACAGCTCCTCCACCTCACTGTCATCGAGGTAATCTTCATCCTCCTCCTCCTGCTTGGTGAATCCTGTACTGCTAAAGTCATCTGTTCTCTTCAGCCTCCGTGCACACAGAGAAAAAGATCTGTACAGCAGACCAGACTCAGCTGTCAGCAGGTGGGTGCTGGCTGCAGGTGAATGTGGAGGTATGTGGAAGAGTCTGCAGGTTGGTGGTGTGTGACATCTCCATGTGCTCGGTCGTTTGAGAAGCGCTAACCATGTGCGCATACTCCTCACTGACCTCATGTTGCCTTTAGAAACTCTTCCGCTGTTTTCTTTAGGACTACAGGTAAAACCACACAAAACAAACAGTCATTACATACAAGCGTGATTAAACCATAGACTGTGGATAGGACCCCAGCAGCTCTGTTTACGTTTTTTCTTCTTCTTTCGCTCAATAAAAGCACTTAAACAACATGGACGACGCATACTGCCACCTGCTGTACAATGAACTGTTAATGCAGCTTCTTCATAGCATAGGGGAGAGTGGGGTAAGTTGTGCCACATATTGCTTGGAAATGGTAAAAGAAATTGATCATGTGACCAAATATTTAGGAGATGCGCATCAATTCATGGAGTCTGTGAAGGTTAGGAGCACATTAGTGAAGGGGTTAGACATTTATTTACAAAAAATACATTGTTCACTCAAAAGTTTTATTAGAATTGTGTTCGGACCAAAAAAGATCATTTTAAATTTGTTCTATACATCAATTGTGCTATCTATGAGCTACAAACCTCGCATAAAAGTCCACCATTTTAATAAAGTCATCATAGTAGTTCTGGGGTAAGTTGACTCAGTGGCTCAACAGAGAAAGTGAAGGAGTCTGATGAGAGGATCAGAGTTTCAGTTCAGATTGTTGAAATGTGTTACTTTATCTTTTCAAAAATACAGCTGTGAATGTTCTGAATCACTTAAAGACATTCTCATGTTAAAATGGCACATGAATGTGAAGAGGTGACTGTTATTTAGGGAGAGAGAAGGTGAGGGGGGGCTGGGGTGGAGAGTGGGGGGTAGTAGGGATACGGCTCAACTTACCCCGCTCCTATGGTCAACTTACCCCATACACAGGGAAAGTGAACATAGGAGACCACTATTTTTTGGCATGCTTTATTATCAAGACAGTTATGTTTACACTCATTCTGTTGGTTTGTAGGGATTTACAGCATCTTGAAATATATGCAGATTCACTAGTTAAAGACAAAACTTGATGTAGTGATCCGAAATATAAAAAATGGTTCATCTTACCCCACTCTCCCCTATACATAATAAAGAGTAGATGCCTCATTGGCTGCTGGGGCTCGTACAATATGGCCCCTATCTTAGACTGGTGCTCGTACCCATAGGCATAATAACCCTCCATTCTTATAGCTCACTTGTATGGCACTGTTTAAATAAGAATTGGTGACTGAGTCTATATTCAGCAGAGACGAATGTGATTTTAGTCCCTTTGTCTTTGCCTGGATGGATAGAATTCTGGATGTATTTATGTATGTTCATATACAAATATATTTATTATATATGCATGCATGTATGTGTGTCTATAAATGGAGAGTTTGTCTTCAGTCTGCTCTATTATGAAGTGCTCTGATATAACACATGTTGTGAACTAGTGCTATATAAATATAGATTGAATGTTTGACACAAATGTGTCATTATGATTTTGAACTGATACTATTTAAAATTTCTCCCCCCAGAAACTGCTGCCAAGAGGAAGACAGGGAACAATGACAAGATCATGGGACTCCTATTTTATCCCTGATTGGAGGAAATGGTGTTGTTACAACTTTCTTCATGTTACAACCATCACTCTTTCACCAGTCTCCCCTATCAGCAGAACCAAATAAAAAAAAAAAAATCTAGTTTTAACACATTGTACCACACTGGAAGGTCAGTGTGCTTTATTGCTGGTTTCTGCTTTTTAAAATTCCCTTTTTGAACTCTGGAGGAGAACAGGTAGAGTGAAATGTTTGAGGGAGTATCTGTTTCAGTGCTGTCACAGGTTTTTCCTACATCATCACTAATGGGCGTGTATGTGTGTGTCTGTGTGTGCCTGTGTGTCTGTGTGTGTGACCTTAAAGAAGTCAGACAGGTTGGACCATCCCTCATAATATGGCTCCAAACAGGATCTAAACTGCTGGAAACTTAAGGCTTGAGTTTTGAAGTGATTTTAGTGCTCTGATTGATAAATTCAGAGGTACTTTAGCTCACTTCATTCAGTAAAGACAGAGAGGGATCAGGTATGGCCCAACATGCTGCAACATGACGACCATGACTTCACACAGAGCAGAGCGAGGTGTGTGTAAGAGCGAGGAGGAGACAGGGAAGTGAGGTTAAACAGGCACAGAAGAGAGTGAAAGACCTGTCTTTTTTTCTCCAGTTTGAAGAGGAAATCGTCCCTGGATTGTTTTTGGCTCTAGTGTTTGCACTCAGGCCCTCAGAGCGGGGTAATGCCGGGGCCGGGGGGACTTTGGTCTGCAGGGTTGCTGCTCTGTGTCCTTGGTGTCTGCGCCTGTCTAGGTGAGATGACTCTCCTTTTACTCATGCATAGTATTAAGACACCTACACAAAAACTTAGTCATGACTAACAAGCCATTTCATTTCAAGGTATTTATTCAATGACCATTCTCCCTTTGTTTTACACTAAAAATGATCTGATACCATTTTTCCTCCTCAAAATTTTGATTCTGATTGAGCTACAGTCTTCACTCTGTGACTCAGTCACAAAATTGACTTTTGTTATCTGTGCCCACGATCAGTCTTGAGATGGGTAAAAGGAGTTTCAAGCATGCTGCTTCTGCAGCCTGGAATCAACTACAGGAGACTCTATGTCTTGGGCGACGTGTGTCTTTAAATCTATTTAAATGTAAATTGAAGGCACTGGAGGATGATGTTTCTGGTTGTAGATGTTTTGACCAATGACATGGTGTGCTGGGACTCAGGATTGGTTGATCTGTATTTATATCTGTTCTGTTTTATGTCTGCAACTCTGTTAATTCTACTGCTTTTTTCTGCCTTGGCCAGGGTACTCTTGTAAATAAGATTATTGATCTCAATGAGGTTTTTTCATGGTTAATTAAATCTAATAAATAAATAAATGTCTATCATTTTAAAGCTAGTGTATCAGTGGTAAAATTTGACAACTTTTAGTTTGTTCCATTTTTGATGATAATTGCACCACCTCTTGAAAAGGAAGCCTTGCAAACAGGGGCACATCCAGATTTTTGACTAAAGGGGGCCAAACTGATGTACAGACTCACAGGGATCACAAAGTGATGCAACAGAAACACATGTTGAAAATCTTCTTAACTTTTTTCTTTCATGACTCAAAAAGAAGATATTTGCCTGAAATCACAGTTTAAAATACTAATAAGGGACACATCTTACACTGAGATTCAAAGGAAGTGACAAGCAGTCTGTTGAAACACAGACAAAAGAGTTTTTTTGAACCCTCTCCAGCAAGCAGCCAATCGTAGCTCAGGTTTTTGAAGTTGAGCCATTCACTATATTTACATACACAGTTAAGTCAAGCATGTAAACATTGGAGCATGTGCAGAACACCGAGGGCAGTTTCAGTTTGATTTAACCATAAACATGACAAAGAAAATCGTTTCCCAACTGCATTATCCAGGTACATCAGTCCAACTTTGAGGAGTTCCATTCCGTGTGATTTCAGTCAGACTGAGGCAATAAACAGATTTAAAAAAAACAAAAAAACAAGCATACTTACTGACTATAACAAGAAACAGAGAATAAATTATTCCAGAAAGTGAGGCCATAACATTTAGAGCTCCCCCTGGTGGCTGGCTGCAGTATAGGTCATAAAGCTACCCTCCTACATGTTAACAAGCATGGGTACAGAATTGTGTGAGTCGTGTGGTGCTTTAAAAAGGGGGTTGTGACTTCATGACTGATAATGTGCTGCAACATTTCCTGACTGATGATTAGAGTAGAGGAAGATCAGTGAGAGAAAATATAACAAACACTAACATGAGAGTTATTGAACCCTCCATAACTGTGAGTATCTGCCTCTGGACCCTATCAGTGAACTTTGCTGTTTTATCGGTAAGTTTAATAATTCTCTCATTTGGAGGGCTGGGCTTTGATTCAGGTCCTGCTGTCCACATGCCAATACCATCTGGCCCATGTGAATGTGATAAGTTAATTCTGAGGGCTGCTTTACAGAGCAGTTTCTGTGGTTATTGTGTGAATGTGGTGTGAAAGCACTTTGAGTGGCTGTATAAATACATTTACATCTATCATTTACATGCATTGGCTTCAACACCCTCAATATGACAGTAATTAAACTTGCTGTCAACTATGTGAAGGGGACCCATGTTGGCTGTCATGTTCCCCAAGGTTTGGTTTGATGTATTGATGCTGTGCACATCCTCAAAAATACACACAGTGTGGATGTGGGGTTCAGTATGGATATGTACAGTAGCGGTTGTGGAGATGCAGAAGATGTGGAAACCTGCAGAATCAAATGGAAACAAGTCCAGAACTGTTTTTACCCAAAAATGGCGGGAAACTTTGGAAGAACTGAGCAGGGGGGATGCTGATGGTGTGCTCTTCAGTTCCCACTGGTTATCTATCACAAGAAATTGAAAATCTAGGATTAACATTGTTAGTGACCTCTGTGATTTCTTTCAACGCTCTTGTTTACATCCATTAAATCTAGTGATAGTTGCACACAGGTACATCATTTGCATTGAGCTTTGTAATCTGAATCCTTTTTTCAAATGTTGGTTAATACCTTTCACTGCAAACTGTATGAGTCACTCCCTTTTTCCAGCATTTCCAAAGGGTGAACCCATCAAAGATATATTTTACCGGTAGAGCCTGCTCCTTCCCCTCCCATAGATACAGTATAATGGGTGATGCACACCCCAGATGATCCATGTGTTTTTACTGTTGTTGTTTGTTTGACTTTTACACCATCTCACAGTCTTTTTTCAGCGTGGTTATTGCTAGTCTGCAGGGAAAGGGAATAAAAACCTCATCATTAACCCTGATTCTCATCCTTTTCCTCTTGTATCTCTGCAGGAGAAGAGTGTGTCCTCGGTATAGTCGGCCGGCCCATCTTCCTGCCCTGCTTCTACCCTCAGTTATTAACCTCAGTGAATGTGTCCATCGAGTGGAGGCGGGATGAAGAGGTGGTGCTCAGAGCGACATGGAGGGAGGATGGAGATGTAGAGGAATGGAGTGTAAACAGAGCCAGTGTCTCGGCTCAAGCTTTACAGACCGGGAACATTTCTCTGGAGCTTCCATCAGTGTATCCTGAACATAACAAAACGAACTTCAGTCTGTTCATCATTTCAGAGGGAAACCACAGTGTTGCTCTGTGCAGTGTGTGTCTCAGGATAGCAGGTCAGTGCTGCACACACTCATGCGCACGCACACACACACACACACACACACACACACACACACACACACACACACACACACACACACACACACACACACACACACACACTCGGGAGTTATCAGTGAAAGATGAAACACCTACATTGACTGAGTTTGCGTTAAATAACAGGAATCAGATGTGTCAGGGGCTTTAAGGTTTCTCCACTGATGTTTGGGGTTTCCAGCACAGGCTATAGCCCCTTACAGATAAGGCAGTCTGGTATGAAGATGTGTCAAAGTTACAGCTGTTTTACACTGGTCTACACTGATTACAACCATGAGATTCAATTTTAAACACTATTCATTTTAGCCTATAAAGAAATAACTTAAAATCAACATGAAGTCTTTTTCTTATTAACTCATGCATCCTCTTCAGGACCTTTCATTGTGTGCTGACTTTAGTTTCTGGGCTTGCTGTGGACTCAACCACTCACAAATGTTTAGCGCTGCTAAAAAACTAAAGACGAAAGACTAAAAACTAAACCCTGTCTTCTTCATTGGACGTTTGCAGCCAGTTTCAGCTTCCCACAGCTGCAGAGGGAGGAGGCAGTGCAGGGAAATCAGACCAGCTTCCTCTGTCACTCCAGCGGTGGATTCCCTGAACCTGAAGTTCGCTGGCTCATAGACAACACCAGTGAGCCTCCTGAGGGTGCAGTGAAGACCGTGGTTACACCAGTCCCTGACACCCAGCTTTATAACATCACCAGCCACCTGATGGTCAACATTTCCAAAGACACCAGTGTGTCCTGCAGCATTGAAAACCTGACCATGAATGAAACTGTGACAGCCACAAGCAGTGAGTGATTCATTAGTATGATAGTGAGCCTCCTGAGCTTCCTTCACTGATCTCTGTTTCCTCTTGTTGCTCAGTTGGGGCCGACGACAGCCCGGTGGTAAGCAGAGCATCAGAGGCCATGTGGATCTTCAGCACAGCTCTCTCTGTGGTGGTGGGGGTCATGGTGGTGATCGGGGTTGGCTACCAGATCCACCTGGACAGGATAAGCAAGAGGAAGAAGAAGGAATACCAATATGAACAACAGCACTCAAACAGAAGTAAGTCTCTGCCGTTGCAGCTGCTGAACACTTCATGACTTTAGCTGACTCTGTGAGCGATCAAAGACTTTAGTTAAAAATATTTGAATATTTCCAATTATCCAACCTGAAAGTACTCACATCTTTAAGTTTTTATTTTTATTGTTCAAAACATCAGACCTCAGACACAACTCAGTAACTCTGCATGGATTTCTATGCAGTACTCCTTCTGCTTCATATAATTTCTGAAATAATTGTTGCAAAACAATCTGCGTCCTTTAAATACACAAGAAGATCAAACAAGATCAAGAAAACATTGCCAGCACTTGCACAGCAAGTAGATAAATACCTTAAACTAGGGCGAACTCAGTGGTGAGGACAGACGGTTAGATGGGACAGTTTAACAAAGAAGAGTGTATTTTCTTGGTTGTTGAATGGAAAATAACTTTTTTTCCCCTCCTGAGCCCTAGTTGTGATATCTCATAAAGTAAAACTGCATGTACTTAGTGGTATGACATCATTGAAATAGGTTGGGCAAGCACAGGACAGGAAGTTGATCCTGCAGTGCATGAGGTAGAGGGAAAATGTCATAAACGCTGTGTAGGACTTTAATGTGGTTCATTACAGCAACATATTCAGTCACAGCTGTGTAAAAATGGTGTACTGTTTTTGGATTTAGGTTGTTTTTATTTTGTCCCACTTACCCAAATGTGGTTTAGGGTAATTGGGATGGAGCTTATCTGATGATAAAAAGGATCAAGATTGTCATAAAATGACCTTGTGTATTCTCTCTGTACTCTTGCTACCCCATTTTCCTTCAATATACTAACCAAGCCAACTGTAGCAGTGCAGCCTGGACCTCGTGATCTCATATTCATCTTTACAAATCAATTACAGTGCAAAGTGGATGGGTGGGTTATATTGTGTAAAAAAAACTGTACTCATGCAGTCCTGTCTACCCAAAAGCTAGTGGGAAAAAGGGTTTTGGTCATTTCATGATAAAGAGTTTACCATGCCTCTCTAAAATGATAACACCCTCTTCCTTTTCAAATGGATAGGTGACATTTTTCATGTCACAGAAATGTATAAGGTGTTGGGCTTCTCTCAAAGATTTAAAGTAAGAAAGCTGACACAAGACAAAAATTTAGAAATTATCCCAGTCATCCATAAATCAGCTTCACAGAGGCAACAGTTGAAAGTGTTTCATTTGGACACTGGAGGGGACGCATGCAACTACATTACCCAGACTTCCACAGTATGCACACACAAAAAAATGTGTGCTCACAAATGATTACATTTTGTCCTGCCAGTTTCCTCTCAGCTCTGTTAACCTCCCTGCTCCCTGAATGTGTCTGCTCTTCTGCTGTTTTTGAAATTATTCATCCATATTGTTATCTCAACAGGTGATCTTTGTGTGGGTGAGGCTTGTTGACAATGAAGCATTGGGAAACATGACTCCCAAGTGATTGAAGTGCACACCCCATACAAAATGACGTAGTCCATAGTACTTAGCTGCATGTCTCTCCTCCTCTCTCCCACTCTCATTTCCCATCTCTTCCAGTTCTTGCAGCAGCTTAGACTGAAAAAAAAAAAACATACAGAGACTAAGTGGGCTTGTCAGGTGAAACAATGTACAAAAATCTCAAAGTTTCTATAAGATTTGCTGTTTATTAAACAAAAGACTGGAAAATAATAAAATACAAACAGAACTTAGGTCTCAGAGATGATGAGATAAAACTTTATTCATCCTACAAAATTTGCAGCAGCAAAGGATCAGCACACATAGAAGAATAGGTTCACTCATCAGACGGTGCACAGATAATTATAAATTGTTAACAAAGGTGAAACAGGTGTTATGGCTCCTTCAGTTTTTTTTTTATCTCATAAAGGGAAAAATACCCAAAGGTATAACTTTAAACAAATTAATATGGTTTTTTACAACGATCTCGGAAAGAGCAGAATGAAATCTGAAGCAGCTGTCTTCACTGTACTGCACTAAAGCATTATGAAAGATATGATTATGTACAGCAGACTGTGTGTCAGTGAAAGGAATACAATGATGCAATCATTCTTAGTAGGGTGTGAATCATGATAGTGTCAAGATTATACTGGATTTTTGCTGATATCTGAGATGGTGATATTTTTACACTTATTTCAAATGCACACCTTTTTTCATCATCAAGATAAGTCTGTCCTGTACAAGAATTGACTTGTTACTCTCACAATGAAAGTCAGTTTGTAGAATAAACAGACATAAAACATTTGATACCAACAGATATTCTATTTCTAAACATTGACATTTAGGAATGAAGGTTTCTGCTTTATTTTTGGAGCTTTGCTGAATGGTTGAAGTAGAGACTCCTGGTGCTGATGCTATGGTCATCGTCACAGTTCAGAGACACCTGGTGCTGCTCAGGGTGATTGTTCTTGAAATGCATAATTAGATCAATACTGTTACAGGGTATTTGTTTCTTTTGCTCTTCTTTGCATCACCTGTACTTTACAAGAATTGCAACCAGCGACTTCTCTGTTACTGACATGTTGGAGCTAGTTGTTGGCACATGTGCTCTTATTGCATGTACATGATTATTTCATCACCCTATCAGCTGCACAGACCAGCAGGAGTTTTTAAATCTGCAGATGAAAATGTGCATCCCCTGCAGTGTCAGCAAAGTTGTGTTTATTGCTTGATGGGTTTAATAAACCCAGTTTTTATTGTTTGAAATGTCAGCTGAATGTTGTCAAAGACATCTCTGATCACTTTGTTGAAAGTATGATTATTTTTCCTCATCAGGATACAAAAGAAGATTTCCAAACAAGGAGGAGACCGAGGCGATGACGTCGGAGAAAATAGAGACAGACGTGTAAAGAGCCAGAGACGATAAGTCCTCATTTATGTGAGGCCACAGAGCACTGAGTTGTGAATATTAATTTGCTGGGACTTCTGCACTAGCCAAAAAATGAGAGTTTTTATAAATAAATATGAATATACAGATACTTGCCCTTTACTTCCTAAAAGTTTCATCTTTGTTAACAGGACACTGTTTTTAAGCTTCAATAAAGATTCTATATGTGACACACTGAAGCAGGAGCGACTTTTATTCAACTTCACACACATCTATTTTTATTTCTTCATTATTTTAGAAAATATGAAAGGAAAAAAACAGAGATTTTTCATATAAAATCACTTGTGAAGATAATTAATTTAATTCCTTATATTTGAAGCTTATTGAAATTGTGTATTTAATATTATCACCTTCAAGAGACTTCAAACTGCAAATGTTTATTCTTTCTTTATGAATGAAATAAACGGGTAAGTGCTTCCCATAACTGATATAAAGATCAGCATCTTATTTCAACTTCAGATATCAAACTAAACAAATCACAGCGCTGTCATTAAAAAGTCAGTAGTGTTGTAAGTGTAATTGTCCTTCCATTTCCATGATTAATACGATCGTGTCCTGAAAATACAACAGAGCGTTCAGGCAGAGATCAGCTGCATGTTTTGGGATGAATCCTCCACTCCTCTCTCTCGTGGTCGCAGCTTTCAGCTTGATTCTTCTTGTGCGGCTGTCACCGTGTAAAGGTCGTGTCGGCGCTGAGCTGTAATTGGAATCTGCTGCCGGATGTCGGCTAAATACTGCAGGTCTGAGGATGATACACCAAAAGACAAGGTGATCCAGTGATTAACAGAAAAAAAAACAACAACAAAGTCTGTACAGCATGAGGATGAATTTCACCAAACTAACCAATATCAGCATAAATTACATCCTCCTCTGCTCCAGCCTTTGAGATGACTTCTCCCCTGAAATAACAAATAATGGATTAAAATAATCTTAATTTTTTCCAAGTAAAGAGACAAGAAGATGAGTAAAAGCTGGTCATTGGTGCAAAACAAGCTTTCAAAATCTCACAGTTGGTAATAAATAACTGTATTTATAAAGTATTTTTAAAAAAAGAAACAAAGTACTTCTCAGACTGCTCAAAAAAGAAGTTTAAAACCAATCAAAAGTATCCAGCCAATCATGCTGATTTCCTAAACTTTTCATGAGTTACCCTTTGAGGTTCTTGCATTTAAAGCTCCTGAGAGGACATTTTGGTGCCCTTGTGGATTTGACAGCATTGGCTGATTTTGTCCTTTTGATTTATAAAAAAAGGATCTCATCCTGCCTTCTTTACAGTCAAATAACTAACACAGGATTTGCTGCTGAAAATGTGAAAAAAACTGTACCAGCACCATACATAATCAAATTTCTCCCTTGGGGATCAATAAAGTTCTTATCTTTTCTTACAGCTAACATCTTGGTCTAACACCTGACCCCCTGCCAGTGGTTTCAGTCTGAAGGCTCCCTTACACAGTGTCCTCTTTTCTTCTTTTTCTATTAGCAGGAGTTCGGTTGGGAGAATCTCACTATTTCATGACTCCTACAGTAAAAAAAATCTTTTTCTCACCAGCTGTGGATGTTAAAGATACTGCTAAAATGACAAAGCAGATCACCTCCAAAATTAAAGAGAAAAGACATCTTTTTACCAAGGGTTGACCACTGTGCTGTGACCCCAGGCCACATAAGAGGCTGTTTCATCTCTGGCAGGAGACGCTGTGGCCACATACACCTGGTTATCAAGAGCTCTGCAGAGGAGACAAGGAAAACAGTGTCAGAGAAAACAAGTCAGAAGTTAGGTCTTCAGTGAGATAATAAAAAATTGACAAAGCTCTCAATGACAAGCTTGATTTTATATTTTAAATTTTCACAATCACTGAATTTGTCTCCTAACACAACTTTAATCATTGAACTTCAATGATCAGAGTCTATCAGGACAGGATGCAAACTTGTACGAAACATGGACCTGAATGATCTGCTTCTCCCGAAAAACAGAGTCTTCCTGGATGACAGTTTGTATGTTATACTGGTTCATTTGTACTCTGTATTCTTAAGTACTCTGCTCTGTGAATTTCATCAGCTTTGCCTACAAATACAGAAATTAGTCATAAAAGTTGACATGTTCCTTACTTATCTCCTGAAAATTAAAGTTTACTTAAAACTTTAAATTTTCAGATCTAGTGCTCAAACATCCCTCTGTTGTGTCTAAGAATGCTCCTCTTGCATAGATGTATATTAATCCACTTGTGTTACATCCTCCAGACCATCTAAGTTACTGAGTCTAGTTAATATCTGCATTATCAGGTATTCTTATGAGCAACATTTAAACCTGTTTAACATAGTAGGATGACTTTTTTAAACTTAATATCCCTGCACAGTGGCCAGGACTGTCAGTCTGACCTCCCTCTCTGCAGAAGCTCCCAGTGGGCGGGGCCAGTCGTCATGTTAAAGGCTCCTGGATAAACCAGCAGCTGACAGCCTGAGGACAAAAAACATCACATTATTGACTGTCCTTTCACACGAGGATTGTGTAAACAGTCTCAACACAAACTCACCCTTCCTGCTATAGATCTGTGCGAGCTCTGCAAACCTCATGTCGTAGCAAATCCCCACACCCACTTTACAGAACGCTGCAAGAGGAGACACCGAGAAGTGAGAGGTTCAAAAGGAGTCATTTCCATTTTTGACAAACTGGGACATAAATATCATAAATTTCCCTCTATTGCAAAAAAAAAGCAATCATCTTCTTCACATCCAGATTTAACCCTTTGACCATCTCTTTGACTGGACTTACGAGTTTCAAACATTGATAAACTGCTCCCTGGACTGAGAGTTTCCGATTCCTGGAAGCGGATTTTCCCAGGAACGTCAATGTCAAAGAGATGAATCTTGAAGGTGAAAACCATAAAATACAAAAGAACGCAGAGAAATAAACATCCTGCTGTAGCCTGAGTTATTTATTAAGAAAACAGAAAACTATCAAACTCTGTAGATGAAGCATGCGTACCTTCCTGTGTTTGAGAATCATTTCTCCATCGGGACCAAACACTGTACAGCTGTTGTACAACTTCCCCCCATCTTCTTCAGGGATGGATCCTGAACAAAAAGGTCACATGGATTTTTCCTCAGGTCTTGTTCTGTCTTATTTAACTGCTGATATTTTAGCGCAGCATCAAATGTTTCCCTACCTCCCACTACATACACCTTGTTCTCCTTTGCTGCCTCGGACAGCACCTGTGTGGACTCTCCTGGGATCCTCTCACCATACGAGGAAAAGAAGCTGGTTCCATATGGAGAATTAAAGCATTCCTGTATCAATGAAAGGTCAGAGAGAGAGAGAGTTAGCTTCACACTCGGTGAGTTGTTCACCTCTTTAGGAACTGGTAACTGATCTTTCCAGGGCTGAGATCAAAATGTTGTTAATGATTGTGTCAAACTTTGTTAAACAAAAACCAGAGTCTCTGCTGGAAGAAAAGGTCACCTGTGAGAGATCATGTCTTTGTATTCAAGTTTGACGAGTTTGAGTTTGTTTGTTTTTAACATGCAAAAATAAATGCAAGGCTTGTAGTTGTGGTTAAGTCAACACCTTGATTTCCTCCAGGACACCCTCTTCTACAGCTCTGTGGTCCAGGTTTGTTGGTCAGATGTCTATTTTGAGCTTTTTTCCACTTCATTAAATATTCAAATTGCCTTTTAAAAAACTGTATAAACAAAGTAAATTTTAGCAGTCCTGCTAGTATTTGTATATGAATAGAAATAGTTCAGTAAAAAATGGGTTTGCACTGCACTGGAGTGTGACTGATTTATGCAAGACAGCTCAATTTAATATAAAAATAATTCTGGAGGATAAATTCAGCATCTTCATTATATGCAGGAGGAAACAAACAAATTCAATTTCAGGACAAAACACTCAGATGATATCCATGTCTGCGTATTTGCAAGTTTTTCAGCTTTTTTGTTCTCTTCACAGGATTTTTCCTCCCTATAACCAAATGATCTTTCAATGTGAATGAACAAAACTAGACAGACGTGTTAGCTGAATATTTATACAGTATACGGATGACACGTCTCCACATTCTCCCACTGACAAAAACTAAAGCTAACTTACTGCAGTAACAGGCACAGACGTGTCAGACTGGTGACATATTTTGGAGGCTGATGTGCGACAGTAATGCCTTCCAAAACACTATTAATTTAACTTAATGCTTATCTATTCATATCTATCAGTACACCTGAATGGATACGTTCGTAAACCCACGCAAACCCAAAATCTATATAAACATGGGTATGTTAATGCGCCAGATTGTAACTACAGGCATATTTCCATCTGTAGCCTCCAGAGGGTCAGTAGTAGAGACATAAATGAGCAAGAAACTATGCACATAAAATAAGACTAAGAACCTCTTATAACAATGCAGAAGGTGGCTCTTTTTTAACTACTGACTTAAAATTACAGTTAAACACTTTTGGAGTTTAGGGTATGGGGGTTAAGTGCCAGAGTATTTAAGTGCTAGTGTAGATTGCACATTTACCTGCTGATTTTTAAGTCGCTGCACAAAATGTGCTTACAAATACATATTATAAGCAAGTAAAATTTCAGTAGAGTTGCATAAATAAATAAACAGGTGTCCCATTTGTCAGAAAAGATGTCAATTGTAACATTATATCTCCTCTTTTTCGCATCAAACAGCTGATAAGAAGAAATTGGACAAGAAATTAAACATTATGATATAAATCAGCATAACAGCTGATTTTATCAAGGAAACAATGTCTGAGAAATATGAATTGACTCATCTGCTAATATTAAACAGGGCAGCTTTATAATCTCTGTGCACAGCCATTGGAGGACTGGGGTGATCTTAATATTTTGGCTTCACTGTTGATGAGATTTCTGCCCCCAATAGGCCTACTGTGGCTTTTAATTTATAAGATAGGCACTGGTGTAAAACTTCCTGCATCTGTCAATTATGGTTATGACTAAGACATAAACACTGATAAAGCTTCTCTGGTTGTGTCAAGAAAACAAAACATGAAACTAAAATGTGCAATCTGCTGCTTATACACAACTAGTTGCATCCCCCAATATTCCTCTTAGCTGGTATTCCTCTAAAGAATAAATGAAGTTTATTTAAAGATAAAACATTTAGTGGTAACAGTATTTTTCAGTGTGAATTCTAGTCCCAGCTTCCCCTACCACACGCCCCTTTGCAGCCCCCTCCTCACCGGCAGCAGCACCATTTGGCTCCCCTGAGCCGCCGCCTGGTTCACCAGCCTCCGGGCTCTGCTCAGGTTGTCCGCTTTGACTGCGGTCACCTGCAGCTGGATCACCGCCAGACGAAACTCTGAGGAAGCGACAGACCACCGTCAACACTTCATTTGTCACAAACTCTGTCACTTGCGGCTAGAGTGTTAAAATTAGCTGAAATTAACGACAAATGACTGGTTGTCAATGCGTATAGGATGGCTGCAATTGAAGTAAACTAGAGAAAATATGTACTTACTGCTCATGGTTTTTGCTAAAGTGGACATGTGTGCAGATTTCTGTTTGGTTGGTTTTACAGTCCACTGTTGACAGAGACACACGTGATTCCAGTCTTCAGATTACCCTTCAAATTAAAGGCTATGTTTACATATGTTACGTTGAAACAATTAGAGACCACACAAAGGTCATGTAAAACCTATAAATACTACCATAAAATAATGATTAAAACGGATTCAGTTACAGCAGATCTATTTCTAATATTTCCTTCGTCTGACTTTGGGCTTTTATTGCGTACAGAGCTTTTATTTTGAAGTTTAAAAGAGAAGTTACGTTAGCAGGGGGCGGGGTTCTCAGGCTTCTCTTATTGGTTAAATGATACAAAGGTAAAAGTCAGTTTAAAATTAACAACTTTTTGGCATTAACCTACACGTAAAAGAGATCACAAATCCAATATACCGTATCTTAACAAATGTTAAAAAGATTTGACTTCAAATAAAAAAGCAAAGTGCTTTTGCACTTCTGAAAAAAGGCCAGCTGCCTAAATGAGATGCTGCTTTAAAACAAGAAAAACCTTTCATGTGTTTTTAATTGAAAAAAATAAGTTTTGTCTACAGAAATTATTGACTTAGGTGTGTTTTGAAATGAATGTACATGGGATAAAGTCATTCTTTAAGCGGTAGAAAATGGATGGCTGGATGGATTATTAATTAATGACTATTAATTATTATCTTTATTATTTTTTTTAACAGTTATCTATCATTAAGGACCGGCCATTTTGGGATGACTCAACCCTTGAGCATCAAGTAGCTGATAAGGAGTTATCTGACCAAAAATGAAACATTATGACATTATTCAGCATGATAACAGCTGACTCTGAGAAAGATACATTTGAAATGTATTTTGATCTTATAGTTTGACTCAAATGCCACCAAAACTGTGGCTTTTCATTTCTATGATAGGCACTGGTGTAAAACTTCCTGCATCTGTCAATTATGGTTATGACTAAGACATAAACACTGATAAAGCTTCTCTGGTTGTGTCAAGATAACAAAACATGAAACTCAAATGAGCAAGCTGGTGCTTATACACAACTAGTTGCATCCCTCCAGATTCCTCTTTGCTGTTTTTTCTCAAAAGAATATATTAATTGTTCAGTGATGGATAACATTAAGACATTAACACCAAAAGAGCCTTTTTGGCCATGTCAAAATAACATTTTAATCCTACCCTTAAAGGTAGAGAGGGTGTCAGCCTTCGACACCTCGACTGGCAGATAATTCCAGAGGAGCGAGAGAGAGAGGGGCCTGATAACTGAAAGCTCTACCACCTAGACCACTTTTAAAGACTTTCAGGACAATGAGCGGGCCTGCATGCTGGGGCTGCTGTGTTCTGGTGGGTTACAAGGAAACTTTTTAAGATATGAATGTGCCTGACCATGAAGAGCTTTGTAGGTCAGAGGAAGAACTTTCAATTTAACCCAGAATTACATGCCATGGTAGCTGGGGTGTTTAGAAAGAAAAAAAACCCAGAATAAAAAAAAGGGGGGGAATTTGTTTATTCAAGACCTCAATTGCATAAAATATAACAGCCCAAATTTAAACATATCATGTTTGACGATTTGTTTTCTTTGTACTGCGTTAAAAGTTGAAAATGTTAAACTGAGTTAAACTGTGAAGTGTACGCAGACATCTGTTATAGCTGCAGGCTGTATTTGTTCTTGTCCTCGTTCTCCCACACCATTTTAAAAAATGAATAAATGTAACATGCGGTAAAGTCGGTAAACAAAGGAAGCATGATAGTCCTGTTTCACCGGGCGTTGTTCACAAAAGATGAGACACTTGTGTTTAGCTTTTCAAAGTTGTAGACAAATAAAGTTCATTCATTCATTCATTCATGACTTGTACTACAGCTAGCCACCTGGAGGAGCTGTTTGTTAAAGATTCACCTTATGGGTGACACAGTATAGTGCCCGCTGACTTTTTTAAAGAAAAAGCCTGATGCTGGACTTGTTTTCATGCAGTATATTTGTGTGAAAATCAGTGAACTAAAGCAACAGTACAACATAAGTGGAAAAATTTAATTTTACATTTTACATGCAAGTCTTGTCATATTTTTGCAGTGATTAGTACTTTTTAAAGTTATCAGTCTGTTAACTTCGATGCAGGCTTAATTTAGGTAATGTCAGTTAAATTTTACATAGTAAGCAATCATTTTGCCTGATTGTACAGCTCCTTTTTTACTCTTGTGTACATATTCTATATATTTTTATTTGTCATATCTATATCTGTGTCAGCTCCCGGACAGCAGGGGTACTGCTGTTTGGTGTCTTTTCAGGAATGACAGAAATCTCTTTTATGTTTTTAATAAACCTAACTCTGGTGTTTATGTAATGTAAAGACAGAGTGTTAAAATAACTTTACCTCCACAGGTGCGGTCAAATAATCTCCATTTATTAAAAACAGAAAAGCTTAGAAAACAAAAGCAGTACAGTAAGGTGCAAATTACACTTGAGAGACATGTTGCATTTAGACAAGTGGCGACATCCTTTACCTGTGATGTTACAGAGCAAAAACTCCTGATCACAGACACTCCAGTCAACACTGAGAAATTTCACCAAGTTACAACACAATGCATGAGTTACACAGGAATGCTATGTGGGACGAGAGTGAAGGAAGACCAGATTTATGAGTCTTTCATTCAAGTTTTGGTTTTGTCGTTGCCCATATTCAAAGTATTTCTCTTTGTGTTAATCTCAGGAGAAACATGGGTCAAACCCTCTGTGGGGAGTTAAGAGTTTCAGCATCATTTTAAACCCAGACTGCCTTCACAACAAGACTGCAACACAATGAGTGAGTATGCAAAGAACAAAGCCAAGGACAGTCAGAAACAGAGCAGAAGATTAGAAGAAAAGCAGAGATTCACTGTGATAAATTGCCACTGCTGGTGCCAAAATCACATCACAGGCATGAGGCCAAAGGCAACAGAGGCAACGAAGAGAAGCTGCTTAATTTATAATGACTAACAATGGACAAGAATGATCTGAAAACATAGATACATAACCACTTTTCTGTTTACAATCTTTCATTCCACTCAAAGCTTACGGCCATGTTTTCATCCTAAATATTAAGAAGTTAGCATGAATAGTTGTCACCTTCTAATGTGAACATAATCTCACATCTGAAGCCCATCGTCACCTGGTATTTAAACCTATCTGTATCTGGACTTGTAAACTGGAAAGCATCGAGTTGCTCTTGTCTTTGTGTTTATACTTTTTAATTTCTATATGTTGTCGTTATCTTCAGATCTCTCTTTCCTCTGTGAAATACCCTGGATTAGAGTTCAGAGCAGAATTATGATTGAGGTAAACATGCTGGCAGGTTGTAGACATTACATTTATGCCTTCATTAAGGCCAAATACAATGTGAGCCAGACTTTCTTAAGTTGTGATCAGGTTCATCTCAGAGTATGTAACCATAAAAATCCATTTATACAATGGATTCACAAGTGATTTTCCTACATAGGCTGTATATCCATGACAGATGACTTCAAAACCCCTTAAAAGTGAAGTCAATACATTTGGTACTCCCTCTGGTGGCTGGCTGCAGTATAGGTCAAACACTGTTAAACGAGAGGAGGCAGGCTATATAAGTTAGACTACAGCCAACTACTGGGGAGGGGTTAAATGTCTTGACTTCACTTTTAGACCTCTTCCAGGTTAACAGGTAGGACATGGGTCAAACTTGGAATACAAAATACCTGTCCATTTTTCCCCAAACATCTTTTATGTCAAACAAATAGGGCTCCTGCAAGGCTGTGCGAGCTGATTTAGCAGGGTAGAGGAGGAGCGGTTAAGAGCAAGAACAAATAACAAACAAGCAAGATAAAGAAAACACAAACACAACTGTTGGACTTTCAATAAACTATAGCTGTCAAGCTAACACAAAAATCTGCTCTGCAGGGATCTTTGATGATTTATTGGTTGGTAAAGTTTGGTTTGGATTGCTGCCTTTCCAGAGAATCCTTACTTTGCAGACTTTGGATCTACCAGCACCCATTATCTGTAATTACGGCTCTACTTTTACAGCCAAGGAGGAGTTGGAGACATGCCATCATTACAAACACACAAATACAGGTGCATCTAAAGAAATGAGATTATTGTGTCAAAGTTATTTATGTCCCCTGTTTTATTTGGAAAAGGTAAACCTTTAGATTTCCTATTCATATTGGATGTCAACTGTAGTATTTCATGTGCTGTTTGATATTGATCTTGAAAATCCAGAATCTCAAAACCATTTGAATATTTCTTAAACAATTTCAAATGTCTGACTTCTGAGAACTATACTCGTTTATATCTTCCCTACTTGGTTGGGGCTCCTTCACCATGAAGCATTTTATTATGGGGCCGATGGAAATTAATGAACTTTTTCATGGTATTATAATTTTACGAGCTTCAGCTGTAGATACAGTCCATGGTTTTTTTCTCACTCAGGTAACATGTCCAGATACAGACAGCATTATATTCCAGGCGTTGATGGGCTCTATTTTATCTTCACACTGAAAAGTTTGACTGTAAAAAACAATCATCATACTGAATCTGACCAGGATGGAAAAATACTGAGGTGCTCAGGCTCTTAAAAACTGTGAACCCTGATCCTCCTGTCTATAACACTGATGTAGTCCAGAGGGGCTGTGAATGGTGCTTTCTGACAGCTACATCACACTGCTAAGAGACGAGGTTAACTGAATACTTTCCATAAAAGCAGAAAACAAATGATCTCCCAGAAACTGTAAAATGCTTTCTTACTCTAGAAAGAACAGGGTCTTCACATCAGTTTAGGTGTCACTGCATATTCTGACTATGAAGATATGCTTCAAAAATGACATTTCAAAGGTCTGTGCTGATATAGAGCAGTTTACAACAATATGTACATTAGTATTTATAAACACCCTCAAATAGTTTCTATTTAAGGCTGCCAGCTGGGAAACAAAAGTCATCAAAATGCGATGATGAGAAAGGAAACTTCCTTACGATGTGCATCTTCATATTTGAGCCTCATGCACACTTCCTGACCGCAGCAATTAAATCTAGACTTAACTCGTTTGAAAGTAAACTAAAGGACATGTTCAGACTGTTCACTGCAAAACTACGGGCCAGATTTGCTGAAAGGAAAAGGTCAGTTGTGTGAACAGGTTGGTCAGTGCGCTACGTTAAGGCCAGAGGAGAGTCGGCAGAGTGAAACTGCACTCAAATAAAGATCATTTTCTGTTAGTAATGAAGAAATAAACTTACAGTAAAAGAAATATTAACTTAAAGTACAAGAACAGTTTGATGACGGCGGAGCACCTAAGTATTTCATCACACAGCCCACCCCTCAGGCCTGCAGGCAGCAGTGTGTCTGCATGTCCCAAACACAGACACACAGGGTCCACAGTCGCCTCTGCTCAGGACACAGGATCTGACTGACTGGGAGGGAGAGCGGAGACGGTTTCACTCCTGACAGACAGAGACTCTTCTTCTTATTCTTATTACAGTTTTATAATGACGACTGTCACAAGCTGCGTCACCTCCCTTTAAGAGCTCTCCAAAGCATCCAGGACTTTCATAATCTGCTGCTTGATGACCTTGGTGGCATCGCCTGCGTTGGGTATCAAATATCTAAGAACAAGGGAGGGAAAGAAAACAGAGCAAAGAGAAATTTACAAATAACCCCCACCACGTTTAGACAGGCTTTTAAGTTTGTTAATGTTATAGCACACAGCTCCCCATTTGATCAACTCCTAAAAATTCAACTGTAAACTACAGATGTGCCGAAGACAGAAATATCTGTCAACCATGGACAGAATAATTCACAGTTCACAGACAAAAATCACCTTCTTATGAGTCTTTATACTCTTTACCAAGACTTTAAAGTCATTATTTGCTTGACTCAACATTAGGAAAAAACTAATTTTGGGCGACATTGTTAAATAACATTAATGAGGCAAACATAAAAAGTTACTTATGAGAATTTTTTTTTTTTCTAAAGAAGAATTTCTGCTTGAATGTCTTTTTAAACAGTTTAAAAATACCAGTGATATAAAAATTCATGGAACACCTGAAGTGAAAATGACAGGAGAAAAAAAGATACTAATGCAAATTTATCGTTAATTATTTTGATTTTCATCTGCTCTTGTGGAAAGTCACCTTTCAACAGCTGATATCTCGACTCCGGCAGAGTTGTTGCTCCCGAACTTGAATGTGATCAGTTCTGGATGTTTCTTTTTGGATGTGATCTTCACCACAGAGTTCAGCGCTTGTCTTGACTGGATGTAGGCGAAACCTTTCCTGGAAGCGATCTCCCGCAGGCAGTACATGTGAGTCGCTGTGATCAACAAGTGGCTGCAAAGAACAACACAGTCATCAGAGTTGAAAGACTCCTGAACCATATCAGCGACGATGTCTCCTGTTCATTCATGTTCAAGGAGACATGGATTAGTCATTTCCTGCATATTTAGCGAGCAGCTCACCTGGGGAACATGTGACCAGTCTCCTTTACTTCGTTACATGGAATGTGGTGTTTGACGTCGGGTTTGTTTATCCAGGTCTGAATGTTGACGATCTCTTTCCGGTCGTCATCTGACATGGACGAGCTGTCGATCTCATCTGGGAAAAGACCAATCATGTGCAGTTCATCAATAGTTTTTTCTTTAAATCAACATTCTCTGCTGTTAGCCAATCACCATGGATCTAAAGTGTTGTGCTCTCAAAATAAAGTGAGAAGTAATGATTTTGACTCTTAAACAGTACACAAGATGTGCAATAATTCCTTTCCTTAGGATGATACATGCGTAATAATGTAATCAGGATGTACCAATAGTTGCCTCTTATGCTCAGAATTGTCACACTGCATGTCTTTTTCCCCATCTGTTTGTATTAAAATGAATTAACGTCACATGTTCACCTATATTGTTTTTTTCTCCACCAAGTGTAGCTGGGTGATGACTGAAAGCAAGCATAAGAGGATGCATGAACTAGCTTACTACCTCCTACTGGCTTTCTCTCTCTGCAAATCCTCCTGTCAGTGGCAACTCCTACATGTTTGGTTCGGGTAAAGGATCAGAGCTAGATCTGATCACTCTTTGTGGGCTGGTTTGACTGACCTCTTTCTTCTGTTCTCTTAAGGAAGGCTTTTAGCAGCATTGTTTATCTTGTCCTTATTTACTGAAGCCAGAACTTGTGAGTGTTTGCTAATGGTTTTATAGATCATTTACTTTATCCGATCATTTTATGTTGATTGTCCCACAGTGGGAATTTAGCTACACAACAGGATTACATAAAAGACACATAAAATACAGAAGAACGATAAAATGAGACCCTATTAAAAAGAAAAAAATATATATCAATGGCTTCAAACCCAAAAAATAAATAAGTCAGACTCAAAGTCAAACTTGAAAAATTTTTGCCGTGTCACAAAAAGTGCAACATGGGTAAATTAAGTGAATGAATTTCACTGGAAATACAAGAGGATACGTGAAGCAACAGCCTGAGGGTAAAAGGTTGAACTCACACGAGTGTGACAGTTTAATATTAGCTGAACTGGACCATAGACTGTATATACTATGGACAACTTGGTTCCGCCTTCCGTCATTATACAAATTTGAAGCCAAATTGCTCTCGATATTTGCGGGATTTTCTCCACTTCCTGGAACCACTACTTGCGCAGTAGCTTGTACGCATTCTGCAGGAGAGTTGATGTGATGACGCTTGGCTCAAACAGCGTATCCCTGGGTGAGCTACACAATCTTCGTATGCCCATAGGCTGTATCAAGTGTCAATCATAGAAAACATGAACCCCCTAATAACTTTTACAAATGGAGCACAAACCAGTCCTACAATAACTACATGTCAACATCGCTACCAGGGGGGAGTACAATTTATATTCCATGTAATTAATTTCTGAAGTTTGTCCACAGCTCCATTGGGATTGCTGGAGGAGGCGGGATTTATGACCTATACTGCAGCCCATCACCAGAGGGTGCTGTTCTTGTGGTGGCTTCACTGACTAAAGAGGCAGACGGTGTCCATTCTATATACAGTCTACGGGCTGGACTTTACAAATCATGCTCAACCCCCTAAAAACAAGTCTCCATTTCAGAGGTCCTAACAAGAATAGACAATCGTTGTGGGGTCTTAACCAATCAGAATCATGCATTTAACACAGCAGGTTGACAGACAGACTTGTAATAAAACTAGGCTGGTATCAATATTATAAAAGAAATGGTGCATATAAAAATAATCAGAGTGCATACAACCTAAGACAGCTCCATTGTTATTGGTCAACACCATTTCCACGACTGAGATTCTGACTAAAAGCAAAATAGGACGCTCCAAACCCAAAACTCACACACATGTTTGACAGATTCTGTTGAAAACTGAGAACATGTCTGTTCCCAGTGTGAACATTTTACCTGTATCGTACTCCTCTTCATCACCAATACTGAAAACAGGCTTCACCCCGCGGTAAGGTTTGCCAACACGGTCGCTGCTGCTCACATGCCTACAGATGAAGAGCGAAAGGAAACATGAGCTCTGAGTGAAGGATGTGAGGATGCATGAATGTCTGTGATAAAAAGTCAAACAAACTGAAATGACATGAAGACCTCCAGGCTGCAGTAAAAACCGTTAGTGCATTGCAGTCAGGTTATGCTGTTTCACATAAAGAAAGAGGTTAAATGAAACATTAATACTCCAGGAAAGCTACAGATTAGTCAGTGTGTGATATTCAGGGCTATTTGCTGGTGGGAGTGATTGTAAGGTTGATATTTTTATAATGTTTCAGAATAGCCCTGCCTATCAACGACAAGAAAAACAATGAAATGGAAGGACAGACTGTTAGCAAACAGCAGTAAAGCTGACGATCCCTCATTTATTCCTCTGTTTTACGTGGATGTAAAGATGACTGAATGCCTCCTGAAAGGCCGCAGCAGCTCCAGCAGTGAGAACTAAAAAGCAGTGCTCGATGTTAGTGAAAGCATGAAGACAGATCCTACACGTCTGGTACACAGCCTGCCCATGGGAACGTGTGGTGTTTGTTGTCACATGAGTGAGCGGAGTGGGCAGAGATGCTGAGACTAAGCATGCGTTAATGCGACACAGGTTAACTCTCCTACAGCCCCGCAGACTGTTGGTGCAGGTCTACAGCCAGTGGGCATGCTGGTGACAGACAGCGTCAATGTCAGGGAGCTCTTACCGATCAGGGACCACCTTCTCTGGCCAGGGCAGATTGAAAGATATTCTAGCATGAAATAAGGCACAAGGTTTGGTAAAACTTTTAACGGAAACACAACAAAATCAAATTAAAAATATCAGAAAAAATTTCACTTGAATGCTTCATTTTATCATGCAGAGTTAGCCCTTGTTCAAACTTGCTTGTTCAGATTTCTTCCCCATAGTTGTCACTTTATGTGAGGTTTGAGGAAAGACTCCTGTACAAAGATGCTGATAAAGTAGTATTGTTGTCAGAGCTAGATCAACTTGTAAAGACAAGGCCCAGACCAAGAACAATGATCCTGATCCTAATGACCAATTCCCATGCTTCTGCAGTTTAACAAAACAGCTTTGATGTGTTTCTGAAGTCCTTCTCCTTAAAATATCACAAACTGCATGTGGCTGATATTTCTCAGAGACTGTGTAACACCCCACACAGTCCTTCTTCATACATTGATTAGTATGTGTACTGTGCAGCTAGTATCATGACATCAAAAAGTTAAAAGTTACAGCTGACTTATTTTCACCCGATGAAGACCCTTTGAATCAGCAGTTGTGTAAAATGGCATTGAACCATTGCACCAACGATAAGATGTGATAAGACAGTCAAAATCTTTGTCTTCTGACACTGTTGCATGGTGCATTTTTTACCAATCAATAGAAGGAATATCAGCCAATAAAGAATAAACACGTGCATCATTATTATCGTCAGATTATAAGATTGTAAGTTAATCATCACATTTGAGCTCTGGTCTAATACTCCACTCACTACTTAAGTCTGTCCAGTTTTCACAGGTTAGTTTGTACTTGAAAATATGTTAGGATAACAGAGTAGTGAACAGAGTAGAATTGTTTACTTAATAATAGCTTTGAAGCCTGTTAGAATTTAAAATGTATACATATCACTATTGTTCACCGTATGACATTTAAATGTATTGCAGTCCTGTTTTTGTAAAAGCGAGTCATGAAAAATGTTCATTTGACGTCTAAAACTGAATCCAAACTTAAGATTTCCACCCCTCAAGAAGGTGGGAGTTCTTTTTTGTAATGAGGATGCTCTGAGTTTTTTTTTAGTGAGGAGTTCATAGAGGGAGCTTGGACCTTACCTTTCTACAGGTGTGGAGGTGTTCTCGATGAAGCTGATCATCTTCTCCTTCACGTTTACAGACTTTGACTTAAGAGCAAATGTCATTTTGTTGACCAAAGACTTGACACCTTTACTGTCCCCGGGGCTACTTAAGTCTCCCTGTTTCAGAATAAAAAGAGGTCATATGTTCAAGTAAGTGTGAAAAATATCCAAAGTGTTAAAGAGACAAAAAGATCTCCTTAGCTACCATAAACTTACATCTGCAGAGCTGAGGCTGCTGTGAGATCCTGATGTGCTGACGATCCAGTGGAGGTATGAGGAGTCCAGACCTTCAATGTTCATGTCCACCAGATGTTTCTGAAGAGCTGACATCAAACACATGAGACGTGAGCTAATATCTCACAAATATCTATAGTGATTTTTTGCCCAGGGGCAGACTGATCAGTGATGTATGTAAAAGCAAAAACCATGCACACTAGATGCATGTCTATATTTCCAGCTTTTTTGTAAACAGAGCTTTTAATAAAAGCATCTGTTCTGGTTTTCTCTGTACAATCATATACAGGAACTTACCCATGAAACCTCCTTTAGCAATGCTGACATATTCTTTGTTTTTCTGGAAGATGAAACGTCCAATTAGAAAAGATATTTGAGAAAATGAAAACACTGATTGGGAAATACAAATCACGAGGAACTTGATCTTGTTCTTGCAGCAACTTTTGAAACCTTTTTTTAAAGTCCCTAACCTGCAGGAAATGTGCCAACACCATGTTCATGTACATGTCCTCCTCCTCTCTCCCGCTGCCCATGAAGCACAGGTGCTCTCCACTGGCGATGGACCCGGACTCCAGAGACTGTTTCTGAGTCTCTAAGAGGGACTTTACTGATAGAGCGAACTCTGAAGGGTTCTGCAGCATCTGAGAGCAGAAACGAAAAGAGATCGATGTGACAATGCTGTCATATACTTCATTAAATCATCACAGAATTATCAATATATTCTCTCACCAGGTCAGAGTCAAGGTGGAAGGCTGTAGAAAGATGCCCAGCGTTATACTGCTCTGCAGGCCGACAATCCACCACAAAGAAACGCACTCCATCCTAAGAGAGAAAAAACAAAAAACGACAACATTATTCTTACAAAAATCCATCTGGTAACTGTTTCATCAAGTTAAAAGTCACCTGAGCCTCACTGACCTGCTGCAGCTGGTTGGCCTGCAGGATTTCAGGGACTGACACAGGGAGACACAAAGCCTGACTCAGGTCAGTGTCTTCTTCTTTCAGAGCTACCAGGCTGCTCCCAAACAGATTCTGGTTCATCTACAAGGACAGATAAAGCGCACACACACACAGTAATGTTAATGTGCACTACATTCACTTTACTTCTCCACTATAGCTTCTATATTTTACTGTCTTACAGGTGTGTGTATTTTCAGAGCACGCTACCAATGATCTAAGCACTTTGAATTGCCCCTTGGGGACAAATTAAGTTTCTGAATTGAATTAAATTGAACCGAGTACTCTTGGTAAGCAGCTCAGATCTGGTTTGTGCGTACATAAATCCTGTGAACATAGTTGTTTACCTTTCTAAGAGACAAAGGGGTCTTGCTCTGGTAGTACTGAGCCAAAGAAAACAAATCCTCAATGTCCTCACTCTCCAGGAGAGACGGAGATGCTTCCAGATTTTCTGTGACAAAATAAAAAAGGTTTCATTCAAGTCCTGGTTTTAGTTTGAAATTAAACAAACCTGTAAAAAACACAGTGAGCCAAACTTACTGATGATGTCTTCTTTGCTGCCGCCCTCTTGTGAAAGGATGCTCTCTCTGAGGGAAAATGAAACGACGGCTAATCAAATTTATATTCCAAGATCCTTAAGCAATGTCCATGCAACTAGTTTTATTTATGCTTTTCACAGAGCACTGATGAGTACCAGGAGACGTTAACCCCCTTTTCATAATTTACTTTTTTGAGATTTTTTTTTTTGGCCCTTATTCAGAGCAGGAAAAAAGAAGGAGAGAATGGCATGAAAAAGGGGCCAGAAGCTGGATTTAATCTGGGGGCCGCCTGCATATACAGAGCACACTTAGACTCCTCTGCCAGCGGTGCGCCCAGTTCAAGATTTACTTTTGTAAGAAATCTTAAAATCTTGTTTTTTTATAAAGAAAACTATTTCATCTGAAAACAATGATATTAACAAATGAGAAAGTGTTCCAAGACTTTCTTTCTCTCCCAAAAACAACAGTGCACAATGGTCACAATGCTGGACACGTTAATTACTTAAATGTGATCCCCCCTCCTGCACATACAGTATCTGCAGCATGGTTTATGGAAGTCTCCATATCTGTCCACTAGAGTACAGCACCAAACCTTTCAGCCTAAACAGAAGCATTTCAAAATCTATTCAACAAGTCTACAGCACTGACTGGACCTAAATGCATCAAAATTTATAGGTTTTCATACCCAAACTTATCAGTGTGGATGTAATCTCAATTCTAAATATCATGTGTCCATTTTTTTGCTTACTTGGCATTGACGAGTATAATGAGCATAAGAAAGAACATGAGGAAGGGGTCAGCCTGCTGGAGGTAGAAGTCCCACAAGGCCTGGGTCACATCAGGAAGGCAGTGACTAGAAAACAGACTTCCCAGCTGTAGAGAAAAATAGAAAAACACATTCACATGTATGAGGTTTCTTGAATATTTACAAGGAAATATCCTGTCACATTCATTCAAGATTTTACAAAGAGCTGGATTATCTGCAGGAAACCTCTGCTCTACCAAAATAAAACATTTAATGGTCTGAAAGATAAAGCAGTTTCACTTTCGAATAAGGGTTTATCTGCCTTTTCTGTTGGCGCCACGGGGCATCACAATAGATAGTGAGTTGATTTGCAGTAGCTAATTTGTTGGTTGGTAAAGATTACTTTTTTTTTTTAATCAAGGGCAAGAGTGATAGGATCTTCTCTCTAAACAAAAAGACCAGGAAACCCAAACAGGAAGAAGTAGTTTCAACTCAAAGCTCTGTCTCTCTCCACCTCTCTCGGAGGAGCTGTGAGGGTAGCAGAATAATCTACCTCCACTTTAGATCGATAGTCGTCTAATGTCCTTCAACTTGGTTCATTTTGTTGTAGTGTTACGGCGTGTATTTAAGTTTTTATTAGTGTTAAACTGGATTTTTATTTCTGGTTTGCATTGTGCTTCATTTTGTATCACTTTTTTTTAAATAATCTCTCCTTTGTTATTTTTAAATAGGTTTTTTTTTACGTCTAGCAGAAGTTAATCTTATATTCATGTTTGCTTTTATTTGTTTTCTATGTCTTACAGGCGCTGAGAATGTAGGTTACTGAAAGGTCACATGTATGCATGCATTTAAGTTCACCAACATAACCACAGTGAGCTTTAGACTATTCTTTTGGAAGGACAGTCAAAAATTTCATTTTTGTCTTTGTTTTCTTTTGAGCCCTGTAACAACCCCTTTTCAAGAAAAAACAGGCGTGTTTTGACTGACTGTCTAATTTCTGAGTACAGACACAGCCTGAGAAATGATTAAGACATGAATTTAGAGAAAGACAAACCCAGTTAATTGCGTAGGAGTCGGGTGTGATCTTTTTGGTGTCCAAGAAAGAGCAAAGTTCTGGTTCATGGTACTGCAGCAGGAGTCTGTACAGGTGGAACGGTCGGCCATTTGGCACACAGTCTCTGAAACAAACATGTTGGACACCTTACAGTGAAAATCTTGTGTTTCTTGTCAATTTATGGGGGGTGGATTACATCTCTGGTGCTCACCTGGGGATGTATTTGTTCATGATAGCGTAGAAGCAGTTGTAAAGGTCACTGCGGGGGAGCTGAAGGCCCAGCAGCGGTTTTAGGAGGTGTGGCCAGCTCAGCTCAGGTGTGAACGAAATATTTCTGGACTTGCAATAAAAAGTGATGACTGACTCGACATCAGAAACCATGTCGCTCCTCTCCTCCTCCGACACACCCAGCTGGTCTGAACACAGGAACAAAGCATCAAGCATTAGCAGGTCAGAGGGATCCATTTAAACCACCACAAACGAGAGGCAGAGAGGTGTGGACTCTATCAGTCCGACAAAGGAACACCATTTTGAAATTTCACATAAAAAAACACTGCTGCGTTTTGGTTTGAGCATCACTCTCATGAGAGATTTTCTATTCTGAACTGTCCCAGATCTGGCTGACAACTTGTTAGTGGAGCAAGCTTTTGGAGTCTTCTGTTCCTCTGAAATCCTGACTCTTCTTTCAATACTGTCAAACTGCAACACAGATTAAGAACTTCACCTAACCACATTCAGTGTCTGAGCAGGATTTCATTTTGAGGTCTGTTTTCAAGACTGCATGCCTTTTTGTTAGCTTCAAAGTTTAGCAGTTGTGCAGCTTTCCTCTGGAGTCACAAAACGCTTTTAACAACCAGGCTTTATATTCAAATGCTCAGACTTCACATCAGCCAACTACACTCCCACCTTCAAAAGTAAATGGCACAAACCAGACTACCTCTCTGAGGGCTAATTGTCTTCCTTTGGTCCAACATCCTGGGACTATTTACTCATTTTAGGTTGTATTGTCTCTATGTTAAAATCATCTTGAGGTTCAGTTAAGTTTTGATTTGTCCTTTATTTCAAGGAGGCTTCAAATTGTGAATCTGTACAGCTAGGGCGGCAATCAATTCTGCTCGTGTTTTGGTGCAGACTACAGACTTTTATGGCAGTTTCTTCACTTAAGTGTGTGATGGAATTAACTCACCAATCAGCTGCTGACTGCGGTTGTGAATGAGGGTCTGTTCTGGTAAATCGAGAACGCCATCCCATGGTGACAGACTGTCCCCCTTTCCAGAGACATTTAAAGCAATCTGAAAACACAAAACATAAACAAGTCACTGCTAGACATGCAGCACTGAGTGACAAAGAGGCGCCTGATGAACACATGATGGGACTGATCTGAAATCTGTGACTCAACTGCTGCTGCTGCTCCACAAAAGAAAAAATTATCTACAGAGAAATAAAAACACGTCTTTACACTTTTGACCTGAAATGTTGCTTGAAGGAAAACAACAATCACTGCATTTCAACTTCTGTCCTTCTCAAAGACATGGGCTCAGAATGATTATAAGCTCCATCATCTTGGAGTTAATAAGTATTTGTGCACAGGAGATGTTGCCATTACAGTAGATCAGCTACATAAATGCTATATTGTGATGTCCCCACATGTACACAGCTCTTGAATAGTGGTTTAAAAACATATGTGTCTGTTACAGAAAGCATTTCCCACGCATAACCAAGAACAATGTGGCCAGGAAATGGAAGTTTTCTATCACCCTCAGGCAGTTTTAATAACACCGGATAAAAGTGCTACCAGGTAGAAACACAGAAATGCTAACTTGTTGTCCTAAGTAGAAGTTTTGTCTTTTGTTTGTCCACATATTTCATGTTGTAGTTCTGACCAAACTGAACTCCTGGCTGTGGGTGTGTCACAAAAATGTACCAGTTTTTACATAATGCCAGCCAGAGTTGCTGGTCTTTCCAGTATGTTGACTACTGTCTGATGACAGTATCTCTCACCTTTAAAGCATGTGGACTCTATTTATAGGACAGATTACTGACTTTAATTCAAACATACAAAATAACACCTTTAAAGCTGATAAACTTTTATTTTTTATTCATTTTAAACTCTAAGAGGAGTCCCATTACACCATGTGGACTGATTCTATTCATTCTCACCTTCCACATCTTGGCCCTGTGTTGGGCCGATTGCTCCTGGACCTGGATTATGCTTCTCTCCATTTCCATGTCTGAGCCCCCAGAGTCCAGAGCCTCAGCTAGATCCTGGTCCCTGAGGAATCACCAGCAGAGTGGAGTTTAATAAGGATTAAAAGATCCACAATAAACCATTGTTAAGATTGTTTTTTTTTCCATCAAAACAACACATTTCCCACTTGATTGTAAAGACTTTAAATGAATGCAGGCCAGTGTGAAAATTTCCCAACAGGTTTGCAGTGATTCAACGTCGGCTACGAAATTATTTTGCAATCTCTTATCTTTAAGTTCTTCATTTGAGGAAAAAAAATCTGTTATGATTCGGTCGTCTTTCATTTCAAGTTTTGTGAGATTTGCAAGTTTCTCTTCCTGAACAGAGACTTCTCTTCCCCTTTTCCAAAGACTGGACATTCTTTCATTACATAGCAGAAATATAGAGCAGACATTTTTGTTCACAGACAAATATGTAGTGCTACAACACATGTTCAGAGGTTGCTATCTTTAGAGGGACACAGTCATGCATACTCCCCTTTGACAGATAACAAATGATCTGTTTTGTCATGTAACAAATCAACATTTAAAGGTCTTATCTTTGACCTATAACTGAAGTTACCTCTCACATCAGATTAAAGTCATGAACTCCTGAATTCACTTGAGTTTCTAGCTTCATATTCTAAGTGTTTATCGCATTGCAGGGAATTAAGAAAACAAGTAGATTACTGATGTCAACAACAAAAATGTTCAGAAATATCCCACATTGTTTGGCAAACTAAAAGGCAGACATTTCTTATTTTTTGATATGGAGGTTTGGCTAAGTCATGTCATTATCAAAGAGTGAAATACTCTGAACTTGTTTTATTACTGCTGAGATAGAACTCAAGTTACAGCTACATATGTCCTGACAGTTACCCTCATATCCATTCAACACTTAAAACTAGCCTTTTGACTAGTTAATTACTTGTTCAGGATCGTTTTCAGGGTGTAACATAAGAATATTAACTTTCATAACACAACATGGGAGCCATGAAAGTCTAGTCCTGTTTGGGGTTAGGGGTTTGATCTTTTTAAAGGGGGCAGAACTGAGGAGACACCAGAGCTACAGAGATACTTACTGTTAGCATGTCGGCTAACGAGCGTGTCAGGATGTCAATACGAGATATAGATTCATGAAATAAAAGAGCTTTAAAGGGTCTCTTTGAGCAGCTTTCAGGTAAACTGTGTCCATCATAATGGCCGAGGTGTCACTATCTCAGCTAATTGACGTTAGCTGGCTAGCTGCCGAGCAGTAACGGAACCTGACTGGTTTCGGACCACCATCCGTCGTCGGCAGAATTTGTGAACAATACAAGCTCATTTTAAGTCATTGAACGTTAACTTCTGTCGGATAAAGCTGATAGAATTGTTTGACAATCGATAAAATGTTTTTAACAATGGGAGACTGAAAACAAATAGACTCACCAGCTGCCCTGAAGAGCTTCCTCTACGGCATCCGCCATTGTTGTGTTGACGGAGACACGTCATATGCCGTCAACATGGCGGAGGTGTCGCAAAGCTGTCATTTATAAATGGGCAGCTGTGATTTTTCTGATCAGGAACAAGTAGTATGTGAACAAGTTTATGAATAGTATTACCAATCTTGTGTCAATCAAATGCATTAAATGACTACAGTGTCTTTACACAGCTTTATTGGGCCGTAATGAAGCACCCTGGGGTCTTTGCTTCTGCTCTTCCTGTTTCAAGTGCACACTACAGGTAGAGTTGGTTTGACTCTAAAGAGACCCATGCATGAGGGGCTTCATTCATAATAAAAGATATCATATTGCACAGTGTTCATGAGGAAAATAACTGCAAGGAAAATCAAACACGCAATTATAGTGACTCTTCTACATTATTTAGGTTACATTGCAGATAGTTAAACTGCAGATTTTTTTCTAGTGAGAGGTCATGGTGTGGACATATCTCCTCTGAATTTACACTGAAAACAAACATCCATGAACACAGTGAACAGATCATCTTCAATCACAGAGATACAGAGTCTATTTTCATACACTCCTGATCAGCTGAGAACTCTCTTCTCTCTTCAACTTACTCTCTTCTTTTTCTTTGTAAAGCGTCTTTGAGCACTTGTAAAAGCACGTTACAAGTAACATTTATCATTATTATTATTAAAATACAGTTGTCCTGGTTAGTTATTTTTCACCCTTTAACTAGTTCACCTGGTCTTCTCATGCTGAGAAATATCCAGGGCAGGCCTTCCTGACTTAGGGCACTGACATACGCAGAAGTGGCTGGGGTATCTATGTGCTTCTGTTATACTTAGGGGTCAAGTATACTTGGATCCAGGCCTGGGTCTTTTATGTAAAACCAGCCATGGTGTCTTGAATTCAGACTGGGACAAACTTTCAAGGATCTTTTTGGATCCAGTAATGGGTTTGCTGCTATGATATGTGGTAATGCTGGCCATTCTCACCTTCATTAGCTTATACGTCAATCTGACTATCAGTGTCAGATCTATCAGTGCAGTTTTCAAAGTTAATGGTTTGAACGGTGTTGGTTGGTTGCCTCTGGATCAGCAGTGTTATAAGGTCCCTCCTCATTTGCTCGAAGGATTAACAACTTTGTGGTCAAGAAACATTTAGATATACAGAACATCCAAAACCCTGCAGGTTGAAAGAGGTCTCTGAGATTTGTCACATTAAATAAATTCCTTTATCCCTTTGTTTTCAAAAATAAAGCCTGTGGCTCTTATTCTTACTAATTATGGTAGAATTCTGAATCAGGGTCATGTTGTATTATTCCCAGCATCCAAACTGAAAAGACTTTAAAGCCACCTGTAGCCGCAAAAAATAACCACAACAAAGACAAAAATTTAAAAAGCAGTATAAAGTTAACATTGAGTTTCTTTTCGGGTATCAATAAAGTTCTTGCTACCGTATCTCAGTTTATTTTGAAAATAATTTGAATTTCAAACGTACAAAGTCAATATTTAGACTCCTTCTGCCTCTTGGCAACAACTTGCTGACAGGTTCATCCCTGCTCCTCTTTGTAATTACTGAATTTGCTATGAGATTTATCCACTTAACAGGATGAAACTGGCACCTCTTAGATCCATCTTCTGGTCAGCTGCCCTTCTTAACTTCACTTTTCTTCATTAAAAAGACCTCTTTGGCCTCCTCACACTTAGCTGGTCCCAGCTCTCTCCACGTCTCCTCTTTGAGGAAAAGCTGAAGCTAGAAGTAAAGGGAGCTGCTTCCCTCAGTTCAGTGGGGTGTGGCATCAAGCCCACTAGTCCATGGCACTGCTGAGGTGTTACTGAGGCCTGCTTTCTTTCTTAGGAGCCTTAAGATTGTATTTTGGGCTTGGTGTTACTGATTTCCTGTAATCACTTAACTTAGCAGCGGGAAGTGCCACTCAATCTCCTACTTGATGGCTAAGTTGAGTAAGGACTTGATATGGACCAACACTATAAGAAGACATGGCATGGCAATTCCTCACAGACTGCAGAAACTTAACACTGGTCTTTAAGCACCTGGGATTTTTCCTCTACACCCTCTCTCTCCTGACTAAGGGTGTTGATGATCATGTAAATAAATGTCAAACTCAGCAGTCTTCTTAATGTGGCATGAACTAGACAAATACATACATGGTCTGAATACTCTAAATAAAATATCTTTGTATTTTAAGATGTGTCTTTCTTAGTTTCATTAAATCATTTGCAAAATTAAAACAGAAAACTGCTTCTGAGAAAGTATGGAGAAGAAAGATTTAAAACAGCGATTTTCAGGTTGTAAGTTTGTACATATTTTTAAGTAAAACAAGGTTTGAAGAAATTTGTAAAAGTGAAATTCATTCCAGGAACTTTATTAGGATTTATATTTTCTGTCACTTTGGTCACCATACACATCGTTGATGAAGAATGTTGAGTATAATTACTATCAAACAGCCAAAAATCAGGTGGATATTTGCAGAATATTTGCTGTTTTTACATCAGGTTCTGAAAAGTAAATGTTCATTTGTTTTCTGAAGCAGTAGTCCTCCTCAGCGGCAGCATGAATGTATTATTTGGTTCCTTGTTGTTACCACACATGAATAAAACTTGGCCTGCACTGCTGCTACATGAACGACTATCACATCATGAGCCTTTGAGTTTAGTGCCTCATAAGTACAAACATTAGCAGTGTTGGCTTGTTTCATTTTTATGGATAGTATGGATGCTACTTTGGAACCAAATTATACAGTTAACATGAAGGTTTTTATGGCAGCAGGAGGTTTCAAAAAATAAGGCTCAAGCTGTGAGGTTGTTTGAAAAGGAGAGGAAAAAATAGAGCTGTTTTCAGGTTACTCTGTCAAAATGTGAAAACCAAATGCAGCATGAAAATAAACTTTTCACAGTTAAATAGAAAATAAATCATGTTTCTCAATTAAAGTGGGCTAAGAAAAACAAAAACACTCGATATCCAATCCCTTGTGACATCTTCTAAAGGCAATTCAAAACAACAATTTCAAAAAACTAAAGACCTTAAGTTGGTTTCTAATCCAAAGTTTTTATGCCCAGTCTCTTTGAGTTTTTACTAGTGTTCAAGACAGCACGAGCAATGCATTTACATTTATTTATAAAGTCAACATGCTGCACAGTTTGTAAAAAAAAGAAACAAGCAATCCCATAATTAAAAAAAAAAAACACTTCAGGATGCTAAACTAACGTCTCTCTGTTTCCCTGTGTTCATGGGATCAATTCCAGCATCACAAACACAGACGTTACACATTAGACTAGAACTTTTATCTTGCATTTTCAACTGATAAAGTATGTTACAATGTGGAGGGAGCTGGACAAAACCACTTTAAATCAGCATAAATTAAAGATGTGAACAGTCCATTAGAACTAAGTAAAGCTGTCACAGTATTTTCTGTAGATTTAAGAACAACAAAAGCCTTTGAGTCAGTAATTGCTTCAACAAACTGCCCCCTTTTCATTGTCATACATAGTTTCTTTTCACTTAGATAGCTATACATGGACATTCATGTATTCTTCTCCCTCTAGATGATTCAATCTTTCTACTCATTCTGGTCACGATCTTCTGGTTGAAGTTTCCAACCTGACAAACAACTTCACTAACCATAAACCTGCAATGCAGCCTCATTTTGTTACTAGATATCTTCCTTTCTCCGATCACAAACCCCTGTAATGTAATGTAAACACAGTATATATGCATATATTTATATATCTAAATAAAATATATATATACTGCATATGCATCCAGGCTTTTTATTCGTCCTCTTTCATACCCCAGTACTCTTTTTTACAAATCAAATAGACAGTTGTACTTTGAACACAGTTAGGTTGAGTAGTGAAGAGATTGGCGATCAGTTGGCGAAGGAGTTACAGCGTTGGAGGTTTCAGGCCGTACTTCCTTGCCACTTCAGTCTGGGCGTACGCTGCATCACATAATGAATACAAATGAGCCATCTCCATCTCTGACTTGGCGAGGTTAATGGCCTTGTTGAACATGTCTATTGCCTTGTCCAGATTGCCCCTGGGAGATAAATTCACAGGTTATTTCAAGACTTAAATATTGATGATCTCTCATACCCTATGGCATCTGGCATGCAGTAAATGCTTGAGACATTTTCACAACGTTTTGGGGTCTCTTTGAGAAGAGACCTTTTTGTCAAACTCAGCCTATTGTAACCCTTACCTTTGAACTTCGATGGTTCCCATAGTTTCATAGGCAAAGTCACATTTGTTGTCAATTTCTATGGCCTTGCTGATAAGCTCCAGACCCAAGTCAAGGTCCTGTTTCCACTGAAGCTGTAACAAACTGAACAGAGAATGAACATTTAGTGACTCACTCACATATTATATACCCCGTTATATTACAAAACACCATCCTATCAAAACTATAAGAATTAAAATAAAACATACCCCTTGTGGACATATGTGGTAGCATTGTCTTGTTCCAGTTCAATACATTTGTCATACATCTCATCTGCTTTTCCAAACTGCTGTTGATCGGTCAAAGCCTGAAAAATGAGAAATTAAGTTATAGAAACCATTAGGTGGGCTTCAGTCAGTCTAAAGAACTTTAAACTATTTATCATGATGAACTGAAGTGATAAAAATTCAAACAACCACTCATGTTCGAAAGTAAATTTAGTACCTGAGCATACAGAGCGTAGCCCTCTGCACACTTGGGGAACCTTTTGATAACGTCCTCAAAGCCGTCCATGGCTTTCTGTACTTGTGATGGGTTGTTTCCAGTATATGCTTGTCTGTACTGGAGAGCAGAATGAGAGAGAAACTTATCAGGTAATCTTTGAATTTAGCAACAACTGAAATTAAAAAATATTTTAGGTTTGTAAAGGTTCAAGTTGGATTCTGGCACATTTATTTTTTAAGTGATCCATCTTCAATTACTTACGAGAGCAAAGCATTTCTGCGCCTGAGCGAGGGCTGAGTCAGGCCTGAGCAGGATACACTCATCAAAGTCTCCCACTGCCTCGTCCACCTGGTCCAGCAGGATTTTCAGCTGAAGGGAAACAGATTTTAAAAATATGACTATCACATTTGGTGAGGCAGGGCAAAGATAAAGTAGGCTGTTGTAAACAGACAGCCAGTCAGTTATCAAAGCGTCCTACCTGACCCCTGTGGTGGTAGACGTCAGGGTTGCGCGAGTCGATCTCGGCTGCCATATTGAAGTCTTGGGTGGAGAGCAGGGGCTGCTGCTGCTGCATGTACATGCTGCCACGCTTGATCAAAGCGTTGGCTCGTAGCTGAAAAAATAGACAACAGAAGAGAGAGAAGCTGTCAGGTCAAAGACTTTAATGCTTAAAAAAATGTTTTTACTTGACAACCGATCAGCTGATAAGCTTTTAATAAATGCTTGTATTAAAATGCAGGACAAATTCACTCTGCTTTAGCTTGAAGACACAGTATGTGAAAAGAGTTATGCCCTGACAAATCTAGAGAAACCTCATGTGACATAGAGACACTATGAAGTTCAAATAGATATAAGTTTGAAGTTATTGAAAAATGGAAATATACCCAACATTGATCACTGTCTGCGTGCAAATATCTGCCTCATAACTCAAAGCAAAGCCCTCTTCTGCTATTTGAGACCTGTTACTACGGAAACACAAGTAGGGCTTTGGAAGCTGGTCACTGAAACTTATAATTGTTTACTCATTTGTTATGGTTATCATATAATAGAGCATAAGGCTACAGACAGTTGTTTGTAAAACCTTCCTTGAAACAGGCTTGACAGTCTTAATAGATGCATACTCTTCATACAAGTATGCAACCCCAAGAAAAGGACAAAACTGAACAGCATAGTAGAAAAAAAATTACAAAAGCAAAACCACAATCAAAGTCAAGTCAAAGTTGAAAAAGCAGTGAATACAACTGTAAGAAGGCAGTGTAGGAGCTCATAACAAATCTCTACCTTTACATTGGCGTCCTGCATATTGATGACTCGGTCCAGATCAGGCTGAGCAGCGGTGGCGTTGCCGATCAGCAGGTAGAAAGTGGCTCGCAGCAGCAGAGCCTCAGCTGTGTATCGACCTCCGGACTCGATCTCCTTGGTGCATTCACTGATGATTTTATCATAGTTCTCTTCTTCCATGTACTGCTTTGCCTTCAGGTAGCCAGAGCTAGAGATAAGTGACGACATAGATTAGAATAAAAATCTACCAGGTGAAGAAAACTCCATGATCTGACAGTTTTCATACTCATAGTTTTATTTCTATTTTGCTGTCGATCCAACCAGGAGAGTTTCATTTTAGTTTAATGTATATAGTGCTTCAAATGGTAATCACCATATTAGTCAGATTAAAGGATATTTCACCACTGATCTACTCTCCTATTCCTCCTTCAGAACTTTCTTAATTGTGTGTAAAATTTTGACCCCTGACAAGTAGTGTTGCAATAATAAAAGAGAAAAATTGTATAGTTAAAATACTTCTAAAGAAATTTGGGGATTTTGATGAAATAAAAAACACACAAGATAAATATCTGGGTTAAAAGAATTGTAAAAACAAAGTCATGCATAATCAATATATTGGCATAATTTTAAAAAGCCTGCAAACGACACGAATCAACTTTATTTTTTAAATATTTTTGATCTTTTTAATGTTATCACTTCATTTTTAGAAGAAAGGACAGTGGAAAGAACAGAAAACCAGGAGAGAAAGCAGGGAGTGACATGCAAGAAAGAGGCTGCAGGTTGGAATCAAACTCAAGATATCCGCTTGAGGACCTTGGCCTCTGTGCATGGGGTGCACGACTTTGAGCACTAGGCTAAGCCAGTGCAGTTGTGGTTCCACTTATGTTGTGCATTTTATATTTATAGTAATTGAAAAGCAGATAAAGACGGAAAACGAGAACTGCCATGGATTTTCTTTTTTTTTTATGCACTGTCATCTTGTGATAATGACTTATTATCTTGTTATCTCGACATAACAAAGTTTGTTTTCTCATGATAACAAATACGTTACTGATCTGTTGTTATTCAGTTAACAGATTTTCACAAAAAAAATCTACTAACTGGTACCAGATTACAGAAACAGAACTCAGCTGCCAGACTTTTAGCCAGAAACAAAAAACCAAGGCCCAATCCCAAACTGCCCCCTACACACTCGCCCCACATTTGAGCGTCCCTGCGGAGGCTCCGCCATATTGAAGGCCGTCCCAGACCACAGAGTGAGGAGGGCGAGTGGACCGTTCAGCCCTCAAATAGCTAGTCTGCACCGATGCTCACTCACGACGGCAAAAACGGAGGAGGAGGAAACAACATACAAATATAAGTTCTGTAAGTGTCCACCTTTGTCTTACTGTCAAAAAATAACAAAAAAAACCTCAAAGACGTGGTTCGGAAAGATCAAATGAAACTTTGAAATCTTACTCTGTGCTGAGGTTTAATTTGCTTGTGCAGGCACTTGTCAAATAGTAAAGGAGTTCAAAGACGTGTGGAATCATCAACAATCAGAAGTTTAATTTAGCTCCTGTCACTGTAAAGGAGCTGGATTTATGATTTCATTGGGACAATAAAAAAAAACAAAAAAACGAGGCAGCCGGTGCGGCTCAGAACTGTACATGATACCCGATACCCTTAGAGAAGAACGCGTCTCTATATTGCTATGGCGATGGATCTTTCTGTTTTCCGGTGGAGTGAGGAGGGCATCCCATAATCACCTGTCTTGTTTATGCCCTCCCATTTCAAATGAGGCGCACTCCACAGCTGCGAGTGTCACTTCATTACGAGTGACACTCGGTAGTGAGGGGCGAGTGTGTAGGGGGCGGTTTGGGATTGGGCCCAAGAGCAATTAAGCCTCCCTGCATCGACTTCTATTATGTTTTTGGACCATTTTAAAGATCTATTAGCCTCTCTCCATGCTACATATCTGACCTTTTTGTTGCATAAGAGTCAGCTTACAGCCTGCTGCATGCTTGGGTAGAGGCCTTTTATGTGTTCCTGAGGCTTGGCTGAAAACTAGGGGTGACAGGGCATTCACAGTCGAAGCCCTGAAGCTCTGGCTGCCTGAGAAAACCAGGTCAGCAGATTCAGTGACCACTTTCAAACATCTCTTAAAACATGCTTTTATAGGACAGCTTTACCTGACCTCACTTTGGTTCACTGGCCATCCTATTGTTGGTGAGTCTGCAATCTTATGAATTTATGGATTTTACCTTTTTTATTGCCTTGTTTTGTTCTTTGTATTGTAAGTATATGGAACTCCTCCATAAATTAATACTGCTATTTATCATCAGGTACAAAATAAAGACAGAAATCAGACAATACTTGTGCCTGGTTGGTTTCTAACAATGCAAATTTTCAGCACACTGAAAAAAGTCTTTATTTACATTTTTAGGGACAAACTCTGACAGTAAGAAGGAAGTCAAGCTGTTAAAAAGATAGAGGGATTTTTTTGCTTCACAGAAAAACCCTAGAAAAACCTGTCTAACTCTCAAAGGCTCCCTTAATCTAAAAAAGAAAAGTTCCTTTTAGTTTTTCATTTCTAAACCTGCGTTCCTACTTTTTATATCACACCTTGCGCTGTGAGTCAGGCATGAAAACAAAAGTAAAATGATAAAATAAAAGTGGAATGAAGTGTTGTTTTTGTTCCAGAAAATGACTGAGTAAACAGTCTGTTGAACAGTAAACACACACTAAGTAAATTCTGTCTCACCTCTCAGTAACCTCTGACGCCTCCCCCTCCTTGTCCTTGTCTTCGTCTTTCTTCTCCCCTTTCTGTAGGGGCTGCGAGATTATGTCATCTGTGAATGAGCTGAAGTAGGATTTGATAAACTGAGGAGAAGGCATCATGGGCTCACGGTTCTGCAGAAGAGGGTTTAAGTGGAGAATAAGTTGACTTGGACAACACAGAGAAAGAAAAATAGAGAAACTGCTCAAAAAGTGGACAATTACTTTGTATTTCTCTTTGGCCTTCTCTTTTCCCAGCTGTTTCAGCACCTTGTCTGCTAGCAGCATGCTTTGTTGGTTCTGGAAGGCCTCAAGAATACATACAGCTGTGACGTCTGCGGGAGAAGACAAAGGGCTATGATTTCAAGTCACATTTTCAAAAATCAAAATTAGGTTTTGAGAAGTCAGACTTACCCTCTAGACACTCCTTCTTGTTGTCCAGTTTCTCCAGGGCTTTAGCTCTTCTGAAGAGAGCTTTGACGTAGCGTGGATTCAGCTCCACAGCTTTAGAGCAGTCCTGCACAACTTCAGTCCACTTCATCTGAAATGAAAGACATCGGATCCTTATCATCCAACACATACAAGTGTTCAGAGATCAGTTACACAAAGAGGATCTATAGGGATATTACAGTCAAACCCGTATTGGCTACAGTGATAATATTTTAAATTAATCTATTAAAAGACATCTCTGAAAAAGTAGCAATAAAAAGACAAACTATCCTCCAAATCTGCAGCCTAAGGAAATGAGCACCTCCAAATAATTCCCTTAACAATAAAACAAGCAGTAAAGGGCTGAAAGCCACTAACAATTGTGACTGTGGTTTTATTTTTGATTTGACTTATTCTATTTATTGCCACAGTCTTATTTATGGCCGCTGTCTTCTGAATGGTTTATTGTTTTATCTCTCTTTGTCTGCGTGACGATTATGTTGATTGCTGGCTGTAACACAAATTGCTCTTTGGAGATACAATATCCTTAATCCTTGACAGTTCACAGCTGGCCTCCAGAAAATCACAAATCTATCAAAGTTTCAAAATTGCACTTTTGATTTCGGAGTTGATTTAAATCAGTAAGAGAACACCTGAGGTTGCTTTAACCTCTGTGAGGTGAATTTTGTTATAGTTGGTGAAGAGGTGTGTTAATAATTTGCACAAAACCTTTGACACATTGACTACAGAAGTAACAACTGTTTTCTGCAGAGATAAAGGCAGCAGAGGAAAAAGGGGAAATCTTTTTACCATTATCAAACATGAAACATTTACTGTTGTGAATACTCAACATTTGACCCATTATTGATGAGACAGGCTTGATACTCTCAAAACTGCCAATTTAACTGCCAAATTATGTAAACTGAAAAATGTATTAAACTGAGGTCCCACTCACCCCCATGCTTTATACTTTTTACAAATGAGACATATTTTTAAAGCATCACAGATTTGACATATACCTTTCATACTGAACATCCTTTGTAGTAAAACAACAATCAAAAGTCTTGAGGAAGGTTTTTACAACTCTTATTTTTGTCGACATATTAAGAATATTTATGAGTGTCCCTACATGCAAAAACTCAATATGATCAACAAGTTTTTCTTATTTAATCCTTAAATTAAACCCTCCCTAATACCTTGTAACCATTGAGCGGTACTGTAGAACAAAATTGATTATTGTTTCCATCAAGCACCCAAACCCAGTGATTTCCCCTTGAGATGTTACTAAAGACTTTGTAGATTCTTGTAAAAAAAATAGCTATGATGTTGTGTATAGTTAATTTTTCCAAAAGAACCGTCATCAAGGCAGACGGCATGGGACACTCATTTTATTGAGAGGTTCACTTCCTCTGAAAATGTTCATCACTTGGATCTCTCTCTCAAGAACAAAACAAGAACAATAATCTCTGCAGAGATTAAGAAAAGCCTTCACCCACCAATTGTTCATAGGCCGCTGCTCTGTTCTGGTAAAACGTTGATAGATCAGTCTTTTGCTCTGTGGGACAGAGAGCAATGGCCTCTGTATAGCACTGAATGGCGTTCTCATACTTTCCGGCCTTGAAGTACTTGTTGCCCTTGTTTTTTGCTCCTTGGGCCCGGTCCAATGGACTCTAAATGTCGAGAGAAGAAAGAAAACATTTATTGATTCAATTATCCCCCATGGACTCACTGGAGTGGCTTAAGGGTTGAAGAGCCCACAGACTGTTTTCTACACAATTAAGTATCCCTTCAGCATCTTACACTGTAATAGGATTTCAAGTGAACTAAAAGGGTGAACAAAGAATTGAATGCCTTTAAACTGACTGGAAGACAAAGCCATAGACCGTTTGACAACTTTGTCCACAGTTACAATGTCTTAGTAGTAACATCTGATATGCTACTAAGCATGGAAATAAAAAAAAAGCTGAATTATTCCAGTGGTAGACATGAAAACATTTTGAACAGACTGACACACATCGTGATAATATATCAACTTGGACAAACACAAAATGTTAATGTATAAACCATGAAGGGACTAAAGATTAAATCAAAGTGAATCCAAACTGTCATCGGTTGTGCAATCATAGCCTCCTATCAGGCATTACCTACATTATTCTGATCAGAAACAACACACCTGTGCCACCTGTATAACTCGACATTCACATGAATTGCATGACCTAAGCACATGAAAATTACCTGTTGACTCGATTGAATCCTGTCTAGTTAAAGCTTTTCAATCACACATTCACTCTCTCTGTTATTGAATTACACCTTCACACTTACTAGAAAGTTCTCTTATTTGTGACATGACGTTTTACTGATAACTAAGTCTTTGTCAGAGGTACACAATAGCATTAAAAGGCCACACTTTTAGAACAAATCTGAAAAATCTAGATAGTGGGGTACTGGATCAGGACCTGGTCTTTTGGGATCTTCACAGAAAAACAAAAGCAATAGCATCCTCTTCTCCGCATTTTTACAAATAAAATCAAGGTTTTACAAATCTGAAAGTGCGTTATAGGACGTTTCTGGACCTTCTTAGATAGTCTAGTCCGGAGATGAAAATTCTTGAGTATATGCAGACATCGTAAATATACCAATAAATTGTAGATTATATGTCCCTCGACTGTGAATACATCGTCTGTGAGTATTCCAGATTCACAATACCTGCACAGTTCAAACATTAACTGCGTATTATCCCTGCCTAAAACCGAAAGCATGAGATGACATCTATGTGCTTGATCCACTGCTACAATAAAACTACCTCTGCCGTGAGTCTCATTCAAATGACAGCCAACCCCGCCCCACTCTGCCGTCTCTTAATGATAGCCAGCATGTCCCATAACACTACAAAGCTGAGCCATTAAACAAGTTGTTTCAGGGTTTTTTTTACTAACTGTGTTTACATGCTCATTTCAACCATGTTTGCTTGCTTGCTTTAATGTACCGACAGATGCCACAAGGCTAGCTACAAGAGCGAGCTAACCAGCTGCCTCCGTATTTTGGCTAACGAGATAGCTAGGTAGCATTTTGAGTCCGACTATTAATCCACTGCTGTGCACCGGTGTTCTGTCAAAATGTGTTGCCCTACCGAAAAGAGCCACCGTGGGGTGAATCATTAGCGGAAAGCTTTCAATCCCCGCGACATGCACCTTTTTACTGAGAAAGAAAGTTACATTTTAAGGATGTGGTGAGTATGTTTCCATACATTTGTGTATTTACAAACATAAAAAAAGTTCCCGCTAATATTTCGGGAAAAGCGAATAGGGCTGAATGTTATTGGCAATTTCTGTACCTAATTCAGACTCATTTGATATTACACCCCTACTCACTTCATTTCCACTGAAATGTAAAGATAACCAGGTTTTGCACTCTGATGCAAACTATTCAATTAAAGTGTAAACGACAGTTTATCTAAACTCGCTCATATCCTCTTTCAAATTACGCTGCCTCAGGTAATAAACGCCGGAGTGTGACCTAGCGCATGCGCAGAGCCGCTATGGACTATAACTAGATAGGATGCAGTTTTCAGTAGAGCACCTCAGCCGCTATCGGCCTAGCTGCCACTGGCTGTCAGAAACGTAAGGTGTCCTTGACTGTTCCATAACCGCAATGACATCTGAAATTAGAAATGCTAAGTTCCTCACTGCATCAAGACAACCCGCACTAACGTGGCTAATGTAACATTAGTGGCAGAGGAGAGAGGAGTCTCTGAGTAGCTGTAACGGTACCATGTTCTCCTGCTCCCGGTTGGCTCGTGCTGTACCGTCTTGGCCCTGCACGGGGCTCGCGCTGCCTTCAGGTGTTTTCCTCTCCCCGGTCCCTTTCCTCTCCTTCGTCCTGCTGCGGTTCCACAGGTAAACCGCTCCCACCCCCAACACAATGGGAGTCCCGACCAACAGGGCCAGCTGCCAGCGGGGCAGTCCAGTCCCGCTCTGCGGCTCGACTGGCTTTGAGGCAGCCATGATCTCAGAGCGAGCGATAGTTAGCCAGCCAGCACCTCCACCAGACAGCGTGAGCGAGAGCTGCAACTTCTTCTTCGCGTGATCTGAGAGGTCACACCAAGGTATCATGGGATACCAGCGGACTTACGGACTGAGTGGAGTTGTAGTAGGACTCGGGCGAGTTTGTAGTCCAAACAACTTTCCGAAAAGCGTACCCTTACAGTTGAGTAAAAGAAAAGAAAAAAAAAAAAGCAATAGTGGCATTCAGAAAATGAGAAACAATTCAATTTAGTTATTTTCTCCAGTAAACTTACACTCAACTCAACTCAACTTTATTTGTAAAGCACTTTAAAACAACCACAGCTGAACAAAGTGCTGTACATAAATGGACAAAACAACTAGACATAAAAATCAATCAAAAAACAATGAAAACAATGGATAAAATAAAAGCAGAATTAAAAAAGTAAAATATAGTTTCAATGTTTTTAAAAACTAATTTAAAAACATAGAAACAAATAACTAAAAACAAACCATAAAACACTTAAACAGGAGCCGAGTCTCATGAAGGGTAAAAAGCCAATTAATAAAAATGGGTTTTAAGACGAGTTATAAAATTGACAGTGTGGGGGCTTGCCTGATTTGGAGGGGTAGCTTGTTCCACAATTTTGGGGCTTCAACAGAAAAAGATCTATCCCCTCTGAGCTTCAGTTTGGACCTCGGTACCTCCAGGAGCAGCTGATCAGCTGACCTGAGGCACCAAGCGAGCAGGGGTGTAGGGGGTGGAGAAGCTCAGAGAGGTAAGATGGAGCCAGACCATTTAAAGATTTAAAAACAAATAAAAGAATCTTAAAATGAACTCTAAAGTGCACAGGTAACCAGTGGAGGAAGGCCAGGATGGGAGTAATGTGCTCGCTCTTACGTACTCCAGTTAAGAGCTTTCCTGTTGAGTTTCCTGTAGATAAACCCCTTGCCCAGTTGTAACTGGATGAAGCCATTTGTAAATATTAATTTAACTTATGGTCTTTGTGTTAATCTTTTTATATGAAATAAGATTGACCTTTTTCTGTCTCAGTTTGGCGTGAAATTCAGACATTATTTAGGTAGAGGCTTTAAACAATGTCTCTGAGCATTCTGCCTCTTGACAAAATCAGTAGATACATGATCTTTTGTAGCCTAGAAAAAACCCCAAAGTACTTTTTTAATATTATGGGAACAAAAAAATAACCTGTGTTGGGGTGATTTTCTTTAGTCAGTCATGTCAGCCTTTAGGGTGGTAGAGCTGTGTCACTCAAATACCTTGGTTACTTTGGTGCTAGATTTCTGGAGCCAGGGGCCTCTGACAACCATCATAAAACAAAGACCATGTACCCATGTTTAACATCACTCTGGCTTTCAAAATATGTTGTGCTTTGTTGTTACCCTACATGCACTCTCCTTCAGGTCAACAAGATGCAAGCAGAATGTTTGGAAACGTGGATGGCTATATAAACTTGAAAAGTCTCAGACCAGTCTTTGTTGTTACACTTGCGGCATGATGAAGCTGTAACCCAGATCTGCAACCAGTAAAGCTTGTCAAAATGTTCATTCATGTGGACCTTCCATTCTTTAAAGTGTGAACATGGGCTAGGCATCCTTACAACGCGTTACACAATATAGTTGTATCCAACACAGATAATGTTCACGTGAGTGCAAGTCATCTTGTGGAAACAGGTTAATTATCTTATGCACAGCACAATACCTTGTCCCCACAATAAAACTAGATAACAAGATCGCTACATTTTGTGTATTTTTTTTTGTCGTTGCAGTTCAGTCAGTGGTATGGACAAAAGTGTTAAGTACATCAGCGGTCTGGTGTCCCAGACCAATTTGCCTTGGCTTATGATAACTAAAATGACTAGAGTCTGTGGGTTTAGCAACACCAAAAGATTAGATTTATTCTTCAGTCTGTAACAAGACCATTACCAACTCTGAAGAGTAGTGAATCAATCCAGTGTGACCTTTTCACAGTCTTTAGATTTCAGGTTCCATGTCTCCTGCTGGTTGTTGCCCACTGTGCTTTAACAAGACCATAGTCAACACAGTAGTCTACCAGGAGTGTTGAGCGCATTAAGGAGATGCTGGGATTTTTTTTCCCCAACAGGACTTGGCACCTGACCACAATGCCAAAGCTACTACAAAAAAGATTTTGTGACAGTGATGCTGTGTTTGAATGTCAATCCAGCTCACCTGACAGGACACCCACAAAGAACCTGTAGAATATTGACAGGAGGAAGATGAGAAACACCCAGAAACAACGAGGAGCTAAAGGCTGCAATCAAAGCAACCTGGGCTTCAATAACACTTTAAGTGATGTTCACAGCCAATTGTCTCCATGCAGCACTGCCAAGTACTGGGTGAATTAATTAACTTACCATGTAGAAGTTACACATTTCTGTACTAAAACCCGCAATGTAATGATAAGATGATGATTTGATAATGGATCCCTGATTTTCATGAGCTGTAAGTCAAAACCCTCTTAATTAAAACAGAATGGCTTAAAATGTTCCCTTACCATGTAAGAGAAATAGTATATGAGTTTATCATATCTCATTACAAACATTTTCATGCTTTTGTAATTTTTTGTGCTTCACCTAAAAAAAAAAAAAATACAGTATACTTTAAAATGCATTTTTATACTGTGTTTTTACGCTAGCTCTGCATGTCAGCACCTGTGTCTAAATTGAAACAAATTTGGCAATGGTGTCAACTTATGTCCTTCCTGCCTGTCTAGATTCTTTCTTGTGTTGTACTTGTTCATATGTTGCTTTGGAAGAAAGCGGTTTGCTAAATTAAGGGTTAATCGTACATGTTATGATATACATACCAGATACTAACATTTCTACTTCTTGACATAATTCATACTACAACCTAACTCCAGATTTGGTGAGTAATGTTAATAACAAACCATATTTTGTAGCAGTACAACTGCAAAGCTTAAGACTTCTTTGCATAAATAAATAAAAGATTAACCAAGAAAAGTTTTTTGTGCCTGTGCAGCTCCATAAGGTGGCAGCACTGCTAACTCCATCTGACTTGCTCTCCTGTACTGTGAAAAAAAAAAACTTGCAGAAAACACTCACTGTTGCCATAAAACAGCATCATGTTATTACCTACGCCAAGGAGGTTATGTTTTGGTAGCGTTGGTTTGTTTGTTTGTGTGTGAGTTTGTTTGTCTGTGAGCAACTTTACAGAGAAAGTTACAGACGGATTGACCTGAAATTTTCACCAGAGGTGCGTCTCAGCCCCAGGAGGATCCCATTAAATTTTGGTGGTGATCCGGATCGCCTTCTGGATCCAGGAATTTTTTGAAGTATTCTTTATCATTGTGAGTTAGGGCACATTTTGGAATTTTTGCATTAACCTCTATAAAAATGACCAGAGTCTTTAGTTAAAAATTACACAAAAGGATCTCAATGAGTTTTATGAGGTGTCAAAGGTTGATCCTGATCCAGACAAAATTCCAGATACTGTGATCCAGAACACACAAAATAAGGGTGTCGTTGGAATTTTCAATGCTGAAAGACAACCAATGGGCGGCACAGTGGTGTAGTGGTTAGCACTGTCGCCTCACAGCAAGAAGGTCCTGGGTTCGAAGTTGCCCATAGGTGTGAATGTGAGCGTGGATGGTTGTTTGTCTCTATATGTCAGCCCTGCAATGAACTGGCGACATGTCCAGGGTGTTTAATCGCCTCTCTGCCACACTCACAGCTCTGTGGTGGTCTTTCTGGGCACCGCTGGAGCCTGAACACTCAATTTGAGCCTAAGGCCATCTGTCCTCAAACTGTGACCAGCTCTGATCTGATCTCAAAGTCAACTGTGTGCAGCTGGTTAGAGGGAAGCATGAGTAATGAAGAGAGCAAAACAACAACAACAACAACACAGACCCTTCTTTCAGGGCAGTCATGCTCTCCTCAGGGGTTTTCAAGTTCAAGGACAGATGAATAACTTTTTATAAGCGGGTACATAATGCTTCATTTAGGGGAAAAATGCAACACATAAACACCTTAAAAAAAACTTTAGAAATTAAAGGTCAAATTAAATAAAGCATCTCCTGATGTGTAATTTTTATCCTGTTTTTTCTTACTTTCCTTTTCCAAACCTTCATGTGACTCTGAATCCCTGTATTGTGCTTTTTCTTTTTTACTAGAAAGTCATGTTGATCTTTTGATTTATTTTTAGGTCTTTTGCTTTATGACTTTATCTGTTTCCTTTTTTTTGTGAAGCACTTTGAAACCAAGTCCTTTTAGATAAGTTTTACCCATTGACTTCTTTGTCTGTTGTAGGTTTTGTTCTATCCTCTGTATGATTACAGTGAAAATGAATTAAGTGCATGCATTATTTCTTCAACGGATCTCTGAATACAAATTGTGTATATTAGAGATAGAGAACTGGCACAGCAGCTTGTTTTTCAAAAGCCATAAAATCAATATTACCACCAGACCACAGCACATGATGAAGCACAACAGCCTTGGATGTGACGTACGTCTCTACGTACTACTGTCCGTGCCAGCATAATGAAGTGATCCTTTTGGATTTTATTCTTACTGGTCAAACCCTAACAGGGTGTTAACCTTCCGGACCACCTTTTCACTATTCTACTTATTACTTGGCCACCAACAAAAGATATAAATAAGTTCATTCAATTTTATTCAAAAAACTTTATTTGACCCCAGGGGTCAATTATGGGCATATAGAGCAGCAAGTTAACAATGTAAACACTGTTCAACTGTAAACAACCAAGCACAATAAATATTATAACAAATAATAGTAATAAAACAGCTCAGGAGGTAGAGCAGTCATCCAGTAACTGGAAGGTTGGCGGTTCGACTCCCCACTATCCCTAGTCTGTGTCCTTGGGCAAGAAACTTCACCCACCTTGCTCCCAGTGTGTGTCCTCCACTGGTGAATGATTGTGAGTGTTGTGTAGTGGTGGTCGGAGAGGCTGTAGGTGCAAAATGGCAGCCACATTTCCATCAGTCTGCCCCAGGGCAGCTGTGACTACTAAGGTAGTTTACCACCACCAGGATGTGCCTGTGTGAGTGAATGAATGATGCATCCAATGTAAAGCGCTTTGAGGTCACTGATAAAAAGCACAATAAAATCTGATGCATTATTATTATTATTAAAATAACAATAAAATAAAGGGAGAAATAAAAATACTGATTGCTAAAATATTGAAATACTCCGAGATTTGAGAACCGGGGACCAGCACAATGGGTGCAAATTAGTGTTGATTGGTGGTTGACACATTAGGTTGGCACAAAAATGACCTGCTACCGCTTACATCAGATTGACTTTGCAGGATTTGTGCAGATCTTTGTTTTAGTGCTGGTCAGCAGAGCCCCTCTTTATTTGTTATGTTTTTGATGAATAATTTTCCATGAATCAAAATATGTTTTATCATTTACATAAAAGACGAAAATGCTAATGTTAATATTACAAAAAAAAACACTCAAGAAAAAATGATTAGTGGGTATACTGTGGGGCGAAAAAAATGATGGGTAGTTAATTAATTTATTCATTTATATTTATAATTCTCAGATTTTGACCCTGGTACTGCTATTTATTGACCCCCTTTGGAAGTAAACACCAGCTGTAATCTTGCTTTTGCAGTCATGATGAGAGATTACAGCAGCAGGAGAGTTTCATAACAGTGCTGTCTTGGATTAAACTTCCTATTTCTGGCTCACGTGTTGGAGATGATCAACAACACTTTGGTCTTCTCAGATTTTAAAGGAGGATTTGTTCCTGCTCAAGACTAAATGTCAGTCTACAAAAATTCCTGAAGACTTGAAACTAGTTTCCAAATATGATTTCATTAGTTTTAAATATGGTCATCTATGTCACAGTTTCATGGCAGTTGCAGTGCAAAATATCATGCAAAAAGTGCTCTTACTATCACCTGAACTAATAACACTGCATGACTGTATGTATTTTAAGCTCCTTTTAAGCACTTTCAGTTTGTGTTGATTGTGGCGCCCCCTGTGAACAAATTAATCTATATTATTTTTTCACCAATGTTGTCCTGTTCGTGTCTGGGAAGTATTTTCTTTTATTTTTTACTCAAACATTTTTTGACAGTCAAATGCATCACTCATGGTGAATATCTTAAAAAAGACATTAAGAAAAAGGGTAAATCTGCAGCATGTCAATCAATTCGTCACAACACCTGCCCAGGAACAGTTCTGTGCATTATTAATACAATATAAAAGAATATTAATGTTGCGGTTGATGGTGTCACATGCGCTTGCAGAATGAGGCATTACAATTATTTGAAGTTTGTTTCATTATCTGTTAAAAATTCCCCATCACAGGAGCCTAAAATAGTAACTTCAGACAGCCGGCTTATCTTTGGTCATTTTTAGATTCTGCACTTCTGTGATGTGTCTTCTCCTGCAGCTCTGCCCCATCTTCTTTTTTTGTTAAAATGTCCTCACTTAAAATTATTTTGACTGCAGGAAAGACTATGTGTGCTTGTATCATAAGCATCACTGATAAAATCTGTGCTATGGTTTCACTCTTGTATAACTTTTTACTCACAAATTCAGCTTTTCACTTTAGCAGATCTTGTTTTTCAGCTGCTGAATTGTGTTCCTACTCTATCTTATGTGGAAATAATTGTGTATGAAAAGCACGCAAAGAGAAAAAAAATGAATCAGTAGCATTAGTAGTGATATGCATAGATCTACCCCCTGTGTCCTGTATCACTCGACCCGCAGGCTTGGTGCATAACGTAACAAACTGCAGCTTGCACTCCATAACTATTGACAGGTTTGATGTACTCAGTGAGTGGAAAGTATGGGGAAATTGGAGTTTCAGTTGTCTGCCCTCAGGCCCATGACTGTAATGGAAAGATTAAAAGCAGCGGTCATATTGGCCACCCATTGCCAAATTACAACCCGTTCCCCTCTGCCTCCCAGTTTAGTCCCAACCCCTCCATTTTTACTTTCTCCAGCCACGTTAACTCGATTACAGAGGATTCACTTATTTAAAGACTTCAGAAAAAAGGCTTTGTGGTTTATTTTTGGATCACCTAAGAATAACACAACTGCAGCAGCCTTTCTTGAGCCTGCAGAGGACTTAACTGGAGTAAGTTACCTTTGCCTTGTGGGGCAGAGTCGTGCAGTAGAGCAGGCAGTCAGTCAGAGGATTAGTAGGTCAGCTCAGTGTTGTCTCTACACTCTGTGCCACTCGCCTGGACTCACACTCTCATCTGCTGCACAGAGAGGATCCCTGAACAGCTCCAGCATGGCTCTAAGGCTCCTGCCAGCTATCATCATGGACAATGATGAGGATGATGATGGGAACTTCACCAAATGGATGAGCAGTTACTGGGGACACGGAGCAGAAACTGGACACTCCAGGGAGAGAAAGCGCAGCTTCAGAAGACCTGCAAGGACACACACAGACCGGAGAGCATCACTGCCCACTGTGGTAAGGACTTACAGCATTTAATGGATTTATGTATGTGGCTTTAAGCTCAGACTTTCTTAAAAAACTTAAATGTATTCCAAGAGAGAATTTGTGGCACAGCTCAGAACAAACAGACTATTGAAATGTACGTTAGTTGGACAAAAAAGCACCCTGGTATAACCCGCAACAGCCATCATGAATATCGCCACTGTCTGGGTAAATTTTCAAGGTGCATGTAGTGAAAAAAAAGTCAGATATTTAAAATACAATCACTGTACACAAACTTGTATCCTAAAGTCTACTGTGTATGCTCAAAATCCATTTTCATCTATGCAATTCATGTTCACTAGTACTCAATCCCTACTATTAAATGTAGTACTAGCATACTGCAAAAAAAAAAAAACAGCTTAGAATATGATACCTATTTGCATTACAAAATTCAGAAACAACACACGTCAAACCAATTTTTTTTTCCCATTTTTTGCTGAGCAACGACCCACCACAGAGCAAAAAAAGTGCTTTGACACTACTGTATACTTATTTCCTCTGTCTTTAAAGACAGATAAATGTCCCTTTCATGGATCTTAATGAAACATGCCAGCATAGAAGAGGTTAGATTTTCTATGCTGGCAGACAGTGAGGGCAGATTAATGCATGTATTTACTCAACAGACCTTACAACCCCTCACACTGGTATGAGCACTATGCAGGCCATAAAGGTTGATTATAGTGTTTAGTTTAAGGATGTCGTGACCTGAAACTTCACATCAATAATGTCAGCTGATGCTTACAAATTTATGACGCCCCTGTTGCACACACAGGCAGAATTTAAAACGGCGATTAAAATTGATTTTGTAGTGTTTCAACAAATGGAAACCAGAGACTATTCACTTCTTGTTCTGTGTCATGTCATAAAAATCCACGACTAGTTTCCACCAGAACACTGCAGAAACTTAAAACTAATTGTGTGTTTTTGTCTCATTTCCAGTAAACTGTCTAATTAGACTCAATATAAGTCACATTAAGAGTCAGAAATTAGAAAGGGAAGTGAGAAAAAATGCCCAAGAAAATTTCTTGCTCCTGATAATCAAGCAGCAAATATTACCCCATGGGTCTTCTGCCAATTAAGCCTGCATATTTACTAGTTTAGGATCAGTTTAGGACGGTTCGGGGGGTGGGGACTAAGTTGTTTTTGACGTCAACAACCACATTAGAAGATAATAAGATAATGAAGGATTTAGAGGTTAATGAAAGTGTGCCTGTTTTGGGCTCTAATGATAAGTTTCTTTACCTCAGGAGACCTTATTGTGTGCGGTGCTCACCTTGTGTCACATTGAAAACAGATATTTTAGGCACTTGTTTACTCTAATTTTCAAAACATCATCCCTAAAATCTGCTGCCACTTTTTTTTTTATCTTGGAGGCAAAATTTACCTCAGAGTCACATTCACCTGACAATTGTCTTATTTCAAGATATTACAAGATAAAACAAGCAAAAATTCAGACTTGAATTCCTTGTATTGGGTGAAAAATAATCTGAGGTGACATGATTTAATTTCAGAGTCTTGTTTGCAAAGGGATTATTTTTCCTTCTTCAGGATCATTTAAAAGAAATTCACATTTGCATTTTTCTCACCCCTTAGGTTGATTTTTTTTAACACATTCAGGTTTCATTTTATCTGTAAGACATTTGTCTGGACTTGTTAGGTGAATGTGATCGGTGATGGAAATTAGAAAAAATGTTTTTAAAATATTTGTGGAAGTGGATATAAGACCAGATATATTTTGTCCTGTGACCCTGTCAAACTGAATTTCTTTTATGTCACAGTCTTACTTACTATTCTGTTATTTTGATTTATTTTAAAGAAGTGAGAATAATTACCTACTGTAAATGAAAAATAAAATATTTTCTGGGCAACCTTTGCCTCTCACAACAAAAAACGGGGGCCTATTTAGGGGAGCTCTTTTGAAACATAGTACCTAAGGGTATAAAGTTTCTGTTTTCAGTGTGAAATGAGGTCTTACATCAAATCTAGTTGGACATCTTAAAGTAGAAATTAGACAACACTTGTTTTGTGTTGGGATTTTGCAGTGAAAGGACTTGAAGTATTTTTTTGTGAAATCCCGAGAAACCTTAATAGACACTGAAGCTTTTGATGGATTGTTTTTAGTGAACAATCCTGAAATTTGGATGAAAAACAAGGATAAAATCATAACTAACGGTCAAAGACTGGAAATCAACCACTATTCAACCAGCTACAACTTGGTGGCAACATACCTGAAAACATAATGTAGTTAATTAATGAGAAAAATGTGCACCTTCTAGAGATAACATAATTACTGTGACAGTTTTTATTAAGATAATTTTCAGCAGTTACCTAAATCAATCCGTGCAAAGGTTAAATTCCAGAGAGTAGCATTTGATACAAAAACATCCCATTATGGGCTGTTTGATATTAAGAAGAAGATTTAGAGACACTGTAAAAGTAGAACTGCCCAATATTCTTCACAGAAACAGGAAAAAGAAGTTTGTATGTGCAGACACTCTCATTAGCTCACTATCTGACAGAAATTAAAAGAGTTACTTTGGTAGAAGCAGAGTTTGGCTGAATATTGACACAGGTTGACTGAGTCTGTGAATATCTCAAGTGACTCACCTTCGCAGAAAGTGTTTTCTTGCACCTCTGCACATCTCTCACCTGTTTAAATACAACAACTGATTTAATATCTCTCTTTATTCGAAACCTATCACAAAATAAGAGTTGATGAATCTCACTAACGGGTGTGTGGACTGACTCTTCTATCATGAATGGTCCCTATCTGTGACTTAAAGACTTAAAGGCCTGTGACCCAAAGAAAAAAAAGGATCTCACAAGAGCTTCTCAAGATAACTCCTGCAGAAAACATGTCACGTTTTTATTCATGGACTTTTGCATGCTAGAACTCATACACATGCAGAACATGAACTCTCTTGTAAACAGTGTGCAACTTTATTCAGAGCCACGAGGGACCTGACTCACTGACTCACTCTCCTCCTGTCAGAGAGAGGTCAGAGTTCAAAGCCAGCTACACAGCAGCAGTTTCGGGCTCATATTTGAGACACGCACTGAGCAACAACAAGCAGGCAGCTATTAATCAAAGATATATCCTGTGAGTTGTTTGTAGGACTTGTCTAAGGATAAAAGAAATTGCATAAGCCAATAAAAGCAGCTCAGTGATTTACCACAACATTTCTACTTATTAAACTAATGCTGGGATACAAAAGAAATCTTGCACTTTGTGACTCTTACTTTAATAACTTATCTTTACTTTGCTTGTTTTGTTCTTGCCCTTGAATGAACGTCGCTTTGGATAAAAGCCTCTACTAAATGACAACATAACAGCCAAGGCGTCATGGGTTGAGTTGTATTTGCTGAGATTGGCCTCTAGGTGGTGTCAGACTAACTCAGATAAAATTAACTTATTTTTATTACTTTGTTTAAAATGAGCATTTGATCAGGAGTTGGGGTGAGCAGAGCACAACAGCTCACCTATTAATCCATAAAGGGGTTAATTTACTGCGATGGAGTCTCTGCTCATGGTGCAACGGGGCAAAGAGAATCATACTGAAATATGCTGTTTAATTGCATTTTTGAAGGTCTTGCACTGAACTGCTGCAGGACTCATGTTTACTCATCACTGCAACTATGGAAGCCTGGAGAAAAAAATAGTTAGATAACAATGAAAACTAGTTTTCATCTAAACTAATTATGCATTTGTTTGTTTTCAATATTGTTTGTGTAAATTAACAACAACAACAAAAAAAAATTAAGGAGAGATCCAGCTAATTTTGGCATAAATGCTTGAATATGGTTTTGAAAAGTAAGATTCTTCAGACCTCTGTTAGTCATTTCAAAATTGCTGGAGAGGATGTGGTGGAGAAGCAGATTTCTCTCATTTTTGGAAGTGCCCTTCATTACAAAAAACATAAGGAACTTAATTAGGGAAATATTGTACCTGGACGGACTATTCTCCCCTCACTAGCTGATCCTTGGCAGTACATCCTCAAGAGGTCGGGGAAAGATAAAGTATTTTCTCAGAGCACTTGCTTTAATAGCAAACAAAGTAATTACAGTTGATGGGCTCAAACGTCACCTGCCTAACGTGGAGCAGTTGACCTAAGGACTCAAGGCTGTGAACTCAGTGTGACCTAATGACTGAGAAAGGTGGGCCTGTTATATTGTCAGAGAATAAGGGAGTTGTATTCACTGCATTATACCTACATTATTTCTTGCTGAGTGTGAAAGAGTATAAAACACCACAAGTATTTCTGCATTTCTGCAAAGTTTGATGTACAGAAAAAAACTTTTGTCTGATTTCATTTGTGTAAAGCTTCATGTCAAAGAACTTATTTCAGTGAATTAAAAGAAATAGTGTAGTTAAAAACAGTTTCACCTGATTTTTAAGTGAAGTCATTCAAAGTTCCTGTGAGGAACCTCCTGTTTGTGTTGATTTTGGCACCTCTGTGGTCAAAGACATACATTTCATCCCTATGAAAATGAATAAATAAAAAAAGTTCTTATGTTTATCTTGTACTGTGTGTCCCATGGAGGTTTTTTTCTCTCTCTCCTGTTAACAATCAAATGTCTCACTCTCACAGTGTTGAGGTACACACAATATAAACAGATGTAATTCTCAAATCAATCACTTTAAATCTATTAAATGGTGAAAATAAACTTTTTTGTACCTGAACCTGTTGTCATCAAAGCTGCTGTTTTTGGATTTTCACATTTTCAAGCCCTAAAATGTCAGATGATGTGACTGAAGTCACCTTGGCTTTATCAATGATAACTTGATGATGAATCAAGTCAAAAATGCAAAATCAAATAAATAAAACCTTTTGGCATGATTTTATAAGTGCCTGTTTTGGGGAATAACAATCATTTTTAAATCCATATATTTTTGATTTTCAGTAAAGTTCGTTACCAAAATAATAATAATTGAAGACCCTGTTCAGATCTGTGTTTCTCAAAGTCTCTGTGATGCCCCAAATAAGCCCAAGTGTGTTTTTGTCTGGAAATTATTCTGATTTATGAGTCTTTTTTCCAGACACTGTTGATATGTCAAGTTATGTTGTCCTTAGGTTTGACAAGGCAAAATAAAGTCTTGATTTATAAAACATTTTTAAAGCACAAATTTACATGAAAAAATTCAATTGTGTCTTGCCAACTTCTTTTGAAATGCTAGCTATGAAGACCAAGCTCACAAACTAACAAAAAGGGTGAAACATCCTCTGGTGTTTCACTTTTTTCTGTCACATCAAGTTTGGAGACCCCTCATAGTTTCTCAACAATCAGATTTACTTTGACCTAATCACTTTTACTTCAAGCTATATAAAAAATATAGCTGATTTTACCCCCAAAAAGAACTGTCTTGTTAGTCATCTACCCAGTGTATTTATTGTGTCATCGAGCACCAAAGTGAATCTGAGGACATGCATCAATAAAGAGGGGTCAGAGTGAGGGGGCTGCACATAAACAAAGCTCTTAAAGGTTTAGTTTAAAGCTCAAGAGGTGAGCGAGTACATCTCCAGTAACCAGTCTTAATGTCTGCAGTTTAATCTGTGCTAGAACTTGAACTTGAGATCTTATAGCTCTCACGTTAAGTCTCTATATCAGACTTAAGTCTTTACAAGTTTTGCAACATGCAGGTGTCTGTGTGATAATGTGATTACTGTTGTTGTGTAAATGACCAGTGAGCTGACTGCTACGAGGAAAAACCCAAACTATAATTAGACAAACATGTTACTTAAGGACATTAGACATGATTAACCCCTTTCACAAACAGCAGCTTGGCCCAGGCTTGTGCCTTCTCTGTTACTCCACTGCACTCTCTCTTTTAGCTGATGTTAAATAACTGTTTTCATGATGTGTAATAGCTCTTCTTTATTATGCCCTCTGTTATCCACAGACACAGTTAGACGCCATGAAGTTAAACAGGATCCATGCAGCAACTATGGCCCCCACCCCGAGCCACATCAAAACCAGGGAGGAGAAGGGCGAGGTCCGCCCCCACCAGAGAGCTCGACGTGTCTCCTCGGAGGACAACAGAGGGAAGACAGCCCTCCAAGAGACCCGCATCACTACCATCCCAGAGCTCACAGAGTCCTTTGAGAAGAGGCTGTTTCTCAAAAATAAGAGGACCACGTCTCTGGTGAGCTCAAGAGTCTTGATGTTATTTAAAGCTCCTATGAGGAATATTTAGAGTGTTATGAAGCTCTACAAGATCTAAATACCTTTTAATCAAAACAATATAAGTTAATTTTTTCATTATTTCTTATCTGTAACACTATTTTTCCAACACTGTTGGAATCAAATGATACATCACTGCTATAGGGGAGACTGGGCTTGTTGTCATATGGGTAAGTTGTCACGCTGCAATTATCTTTGCCACCAGAGGGCGCAAATAAAAAGTGGAATACTAGTTTTCTTCCTTTACATGGTCAGGGGTCGTGTACTGTCTGAGAAGAGAAGAGCACATTGTGAGCTGAGATGAGCGCCAATTGAGGACAGTCAGGCTGGTGACCCTAGCTAATAAATCAATCTGGAGCACAATAAAGGACTTTGCATACTTTTTTAAATGAATACTTGTTCAGTGGCTATGTTCAATGACTTTTTTTTCCTCATTGATAAACATTTTCTGTGCCTGACTTTGATGTTCACTTTCATATAAAAAAATGAGAACAATATTTTTTTTTCTTGTTTTATTAGCTGCAAAATCCACTGTGACATCTTACCCCATATAGTGAGACAACTTACCCAATGGTGGGGCAACATGTCACATGTTCACACTCTCTATTTGATTGCTTATAACTCTGCACTAACACAAGATACAAAATATATACCTGAGACTTTGGTCTTTCATCTGGTACATATTTTGTTTATAGATGATGTATTGATTTCAAGATGTATATCTAAGAGTGTAAAAAGTGTGACAACAAGCCCCGGTCTCCCCTACAGCTAATTTGAATATTTTGAGTTTGCCCTCTTTACCCTAACTTTAAAGCTCCTGTGAGGAATTTTATACCGGTAATGAAATAGACTGAAATTAATACTAGATATGACCCAAGAGGGCAAACAAGACTGTAAGAAACAAGGCCGACTAATTCTCTATAAATATTTTAATACCAGATGCAGGGTAGGTGTAAGACAAGGCAATTCAAAACATGATGCAGAAAAAGCCTTTTTTGATCCATCCCTCCCCAAATTCGAATCTGAGGACACATGTTAAACACTTTCAAAATATAAGCTGGGTTTGCTGGGCATCTGTGTCAGTTTAGCTTTAAATCTTATATCTATTTGTTTGTGTAAGCATGGATGTTGAAGTCTAGTGTGGGATGCCAGAAATGATCTTTCAAATAACCATAAGTTTTTGTCCTTGAGTTGAAGTTTTTGACCTGAAACTCATGCGGGCCTGTGGGGCTATGATGTAGTAAGTGAAGGTAAATGAGTGATCGTTCCTGGGTCTCCTGAGGCTTTCATGACCGTTTATTACAGTCATATAGTCCTTTCTGAAACTGTAACAACCTTTTAAGTCTCAGCCTACGTGTGCTTCTTCATGCTGCCCACACTACAGTTGAGAGAAAAGACTGAGAGCATTATGAAGGCCAGATTATTTGAGTGCACCATCTCTTACTTATTCGGTCATTTTCCTCTGTAGTATTGATGCACAGTCATTGGTGGACAGCATGTACGCCAATGCTCAATGCAATTTATCAGTAACAAGCAGCTTAATTTATATTATCTTCTCATTGCAGTGTTCTTAGATAATAGGAAGGCAGTGTATTTGGAAAAAATGAAATGCCTGAGAACATACAAAAAAATGTATTACTAATGCCGTACTACTGTGCCTCAAGGTTGTGATTTCAAAAGAAATTGGATGTCTTTATTTTACAGAATGATGAGGAAAAACCGTGCCTGATCTGTCATGAGAACATGAGGAAAAGTGGAGGAGGCGTTCAGGAACTGCACTGCACGCACCGCTTCCACAAAGAGGTAAAACAACTTTGAGTGTTTTCTGTTTCAGTTTTTACCCATCTCCTCTACACTGCACTCACAGCACTCGAAGAAGTCTTCACCCGTTCACCCCACTCCCACCATGTCAGATATCAGACTTGTGGTGCATGAAAACAGCTCATTCCTGGATGTGCATGATATGAAGCAACCTGCATCACCTGAACCTGCCTCAGTGGAAGCATGAAGCCCTCTAACAACTCCCTTTTGGCCTGAGAAATTGTACTCACAATGATGTCTCCGTTTGGTGGAAAGGCGGCTCGGAGGTCAGAGCAGAGTCGGCCTTGCAGCAGCAGCAGTGAGGCAGCAGCCTGTCAGGGGAGGAGATCCTGGAATGAGAGGAGGAGATCAGAAGACGGACCCATCTCCATGGAGAAGGAGCAGCACACACTTCGTCGTCAGCTTTCTCTGAGGAGACATCGCTGAAGTCTCTCTGAGAAGGGAGATGTACTCACCTGAACTTAAACTTTATGTATAGAAATCTCAAAGGGTCCAGACTGTGCAGGATCTGAACCTTAGGCTGTTGTGATAGGCCTGCCTGATACCTGTGTCAGCTTCGAATTCTTAACTCTCTCTTCTCAAAGTCCAATACTCAAAATAGATGCATAAACAACCTGTTATTTCATTTTTTAAAGGAAAATGTCAAAAGCAAAAAACAACAACAACAACAAAAAATCAACAATGTATGAAAATCATAGGTCTATTGGGTTTGCGTTAATATGAGGGTATCTTTGCTGTTTCACCTAAATATTAATCTGTTAGTGTTAGGTAGTCTTGTGAGTGGCTGTTTCCCATTATTTATAAGAAGTGACAACAGCACGCACAAGAAGTGACATGGATTACACCTGCACTCTTTCAAACGGCCAACAGGGAGCAGCATCACTTCTTATGAAAAGTGTCAGATTGTAAAACTTGTGTTTCTGACTTTATGTATTATAAAAATATCCTTATGACTGTCAGTCTGTAGTTTCATGTCCTCCTTCTCAAAGCATGATGTTTATTTTGTTAACTCTAGTAACATTTAGAGTAAAAAGCAATAAAGCTACAGCAGTTTATCTCTTTTTAACCATGGCTTTAAAATCATATTCTGCAAAATATGCTTAAGGTAACAGAGGCTAGTCAAGGCTAATATACTGTATATGTTGTGTAAAAAGGCAAACTTGTTATTGTTCTTATTCTCCTTCCTATTGTGATTGACAATTTGATTTGAGTTGGTTAAAGCTGCATTACCGCCACCTACTGAACTGAAGTAGAACTAGTTCTGAGACTGACACTGAATTTGGGCGCACCAGCCTGAGAACATGGAAATATACACAGATATTAAATATGACTAAATTTAAGTGATTTGGTCATCTCAGCTGTTGTGGTTCATCTGTGTCTCTCTTTCCTGAATCATCTTGTGTAAATTTGTTTGTTGAAAGTTGTTTGAATGAAAAAATGATCATGTGCTTCTGATTTCAGTCTGACCTTTAGCATTGTCTGTGTACTGTAAAGGCTAAGAAATAAATCTATATATGAGCAAATCATTAAACTTTCTAGGGTAGGTATAGCCAAAGAAAGAGTTGATATTTTTAATGGCTGCACCCAGAGAAGACACAGGTTAAAACAGGTCAGGGTCAGTATGCTTTTATACGTACTGTAAATGTGCTCGGTGCAAGTAACTTCCTGGCATCAGTGAGGAATATAAATTCCTGCAGAAACATTCGGCTTTATTGATGCAGTAATCTTATTTAAATTGTGTTTCAGTGGCTCTGGAAGAAACAGACATGTCCCACGTGTCGGGTCCACGTGCTCATGCTGACGCCCCTCTACTGGTCTTCATGCCGAACCAAAGTCCCATAACTGTCCTGGACCTGATTCTGCCATTTCTGCATGCCAATGGGATGCGCAGACCCTCATTTAATCAACACCCCTCAGTCCCTCTGCATGAACACTCCCTGGTCGGCATGAGGAGGATGCTGTGTCACAGTTTAAGGAACCTCAATAAGAAAGAAGGACTTTTTCTGGTGGGATCTCACACTTTTAATCAGATGTCCTCGGGCCATTTTAGTAAAGTTGTTAAGCTGCACGTCTCATTTACAGAAACCAAAGTCCACCTGCTCAATTTTGATCTTTGGCACCTTGTCTCTACTTTCTCCTCCTGTCCCGCTCTTACAACAAAGGCAAAAAAAGAGACATTTTTTGAGTAAGTTAATGCACTAAAAAAGAATTTTCTTTGTATTTTTTCAGATTTTGCTCCTTGTAGAAACACATGTAACTCTTTAATCCTTTATGTCACTTTTTTTTTATCGCAAACATTTTCTATTTTTTTTTCCTTTGGCATATCTATTTTATAAGACATGATAAAGCCAAATTAAAGAATTTCTTTTTGAGATTTAGATTTTTTTTTAGTTTTAAAAATATTTTTGAGTAATTTTCTAATGAGAATAAAGCCGTGGCAAAATAATTTTTTTCACAAGAAAGTCATGTGATAATCCAGCCATTCTTTTACAGTTACATAAAAGTCAAGTCGTTAAATGAAGCCATAAGAAAGTCATAAAATCAGGAGAATAAAGTCAAAGTTTTGGTTTATGGTGAGCAGCCAGCTGCCTATACCAAAATGAGTAACATGGAGAGTCTCGTGAAACTGTACTTAGTATTCGACACCTCGGCACTACTGTATTACAAGTATTAGGACTTGATGTCCTAAACAGCTGTGATGTGTGGTATCCCCCTTAAAAACAGAATTATACTGCTGCTTATTGACAAAATTAACAAATATGATTGAATATGATTTTGCCACAATTTATTTATTGTAATTTTACCTAAAAGGAACATCTTGACATTTTGGGATCTCTACAGTGTCAAAGAAGCAAATTTCTTTGATGGGAGCTGCTGTCATGCCTGTTGGTTAGCCAGCTGCATGCTAGTTTAGCAAGGTAAAAAAAGGGGGAATGACCTGGCTACTCGACCTTTTAAACCGTTTTTCTGACATCATAACCCAGACTTTTTTCCTACTAGCTGTCTGGTGAAGTCAGGGTGAACTGATGTGAGAACAGAGCAGGAAATATACCAGAATATTAACTGTGAAAAAAAAAAACATCACAGTAAATGGCATTTGTGTCATTAACAGTTCTTTGCTTAAAGGGCAACTGGACTTGTTTGAGGTTCTTGAAGACGTTCCTCCTCTCTTCCGAAAGGCTTCATCAGTTCTAAAGTGACTGGGGCTGGAGCTGGAAATTTACAGCCTCTGTGGGTCATCCAGCTGTACAAGAGAGATGGTGGTCAAACATCTTCAAGAACCTCAAACACGTCTAGTTGCCTTTTCAATGAAGAATTGGATGACCCTGACATGGATGAATGAGAACCTAAACAGATATTATGTCAGAAACATTTAAAAGCAGAAGAGGTTGGCGAAAGAATCATTTCAACAATGAAAACAGCAAAGACATCTGTACATCTGCCTGAAATGCTGATAGAAATGCAGCATGCTTTCACTGCTTGCTTTTGATACTGTGCCCTGCCTCCCAAGACTCATTTCACTCCTGCCCACCACCACCCCCTCTCAGACAGGGATGACTTCATGCCGAGCAACTTTGGAAAAACTCAGAGATAGACCTTCAGACAGCTTGTAGAAAAATTCAAGGGCAGATGTGAGGAAGGCGCCACAATGACTTCTGAGTCTCTGGTGTAAATTTGCATAGTTAAACTAATCAAGGCCAGTGTTTGCTTCCTGTATTGTAGACTCAGTCCAGGTTAATGACACTATTAAACCTGATAACAGCATGTATATGATAGCTGTACTGTTCATACAACTTCAAATGAAAATTAGATCACATCCGTGTTAAGAGTCTTTACCCTAAAGTTATTCAAGTGAACTCCTCGAGTTTGCATGTCAAACCTTAATTTCCATCTGCTCCATCCTTCTGCCTTATCTGAGCATTAATTTTGCATGTGAATTAATTTGCATGTAAGGTCTAATGTGCATTCATCTCTTCACTGTGGTGTACTTTGCACTGCCAAATCAGAAAATCAGAGTTTACAGAAAAATCAGAGTATATGTATGTACTTGTATCCACATATACAAGAACTAAAAGTGTTTTTTTCTTCCTGCGAACAGCCTGTCAGAGTATTTAGTCTGTGTAGTGTGTTATTTACTTTATTCTTTTACCACAGAACATATGGGGTTTGTTTGAGCAGGTGTAATTACTTCCGTAGTTTGTAAATGTCTTTTGCTCTTGGAGGGAAATGTCATAATTATTCTATATTCTAAGTTTGTTGTTCTGTCTGAATGTTTCCAATCTGTTTTTGCTAGATTGAATATGATCCTTGTCATGTTTAATATTTTTTCTATAACTTTGTCTTTTTTTTGACTGAGAATAGCTTTAAAAAAGTATCTATGAGACCAAATTGGTGACACTATAAACCTGCTATATCCACTTGTTCCCTAAGTACTCATCTTTTGAACAGACTATGCCAAAAAAATAACTGTGTTTCCTTACCTTTTAGCAAAGTGACAACCAATGAAGAACTCTTGACAAACTGCAATTCCTCTAGTGTCCACTTAGGGCCGTCTGCATAAGCCAAAAAAACCTCAATGACACCATGACGCCTATGTTAAAATGCCAAGTGCGCTAACAGTGTGTTTAGTGCTTCAAAAGGTCCAAAACACTCTGCCAAATTCTGGATTTAACCCCTTTAAGACCTTTTATCTCCTGCTGGTTCAACCATAAGTGGAGCTGGGTCAATATTATTGATAGCAACCACATTAGTTGTGCTTTTAAAACTTCTCTTCAGAGAGCAATGGGTGACAGCTCTAAGAATATGTTCATGATTTGTACTGACTTTTTGCCAGCCCCAAGTGGACACTGGTGGAACTGCAGGTTTTACACTTTTTCCATGCTAGCTTTATGTACACTATGCAAGCGTACCTAGCTGCAGACACAGCAGAGCTCCATAAGTGCATTCATGGTGAGAAGTTGGACTGTCTGTTGTGTCTGTCTGTTGTGTCTGTCCTTCTCAATAAATATGTCTGCAAAGCCAGAAGCTGCATTTTTGGGACTTCAATTCTTGAACCTTATCTCTTTTGATACAAGTGTTGGGTTAATGGTTCCACCTTCAAAATGATTGAAATGGACACTATAAATCCACTGATCTCCACAGCATCTCTAATCTAGCATTGCTCTCAATTTGTCAGGGCAAAAAGGGGAACACACTGGTTTAAATTTAAGAAATATTCATGTCAGGGTTTAAGCACACTGAGTGAGCACTCAGAAAATAGAAATATAAAACTTAATTTCAGAAATGAGTTCCCAGTCTGTGATCCTGAATCTGCAAACTCTAGGCAGGATCATTGAACGGTGGAGAAAAGTTAGAGGATTCCAAGAGCTGTCAGGGGGTCATTCCCATGTTCCCAGCCCAACAATATGTGGATCAGACTGGATACTTAGGGGGTATAAGTTACACTGTGGATATACTAGTTTATATCTTAGATTCTATCGTCCTTCACAAGGATAATTGTTTCCACCTGCGTACATTAACCATTTTGTACACATAACATCACACCCATAGACATCTTTCCACATGTATTTACACAGAGGTGTCGTCGCAGCAGAACATGCTCTGTCTGATAGATCTCAAATGTGGGAATATAGGACTGTGGAAACATAAGGCTGTGGGAACATAGGCATGGACTCGTTGTCAGTGTGTAAGGTCTTAATGTAAAAACATCTGCAGTAGTTAGGTCGTGGGGCCCACTGTGTTTTTTTATGGGGTCAAAAATATCACACATCTTCTTTCACAAATAAATGTGTCTACAGACTCTCGGCTGACTGTGTCGTTATTGTTCAAAGCTTTTTAGAAAGTGTGTCAAGCAGTAGGGTCTTAAAACTGAAGCTTTGAATAACAAATCACAGTTTTTCACTTTACCTAATTGTGTGAAAGTTGTAAACTCACTCTTACTCATGAATGTAAGTTTACCGAGAGGTCGAACTTCCTGCATACCGCTCTGGACCTCCTCCAGCCCGCAGACTCGGTGTACGTGCCGGCGGTCTTGTCCCGGTCCGTCCCACCCTGGTCCGGATGGAAAGTAGCGGTTTTCTCCAAGCAGGGAGGAACCGAGCCGGGCACGAGCGGGCGGAGTGAAAGTGCACACGTGGACACGTAAGACTGACATGGACTGCAGCCAATCACAGCACATACTGATGACGCAGCGCCCCTTGGCCAACCAATGGGATCGTTTATTGGTTGGTAAAAAGATTGTGAAGTGTTTAGAGTCGAAAATGAGACGAAGGTTGTGAAACAGACGTGGAGACAGCGGAGGAGACAGGAGATGTTTACTTCATAGTCTGCAGAGTAACACGGAGAATATTTTACTAATTTGCTACGAGGGGAAGTGATTTTTGGCGAAGGAAATGAGGATGCTTTGATTTTTCCAGCTGCAAATACTTATCAATTTTTACATCTCCAGACACAAACATACTTGGGTAAGACCCCCCCGCCGCTTTTTCTGTCTGCTGTACAGGAATTTAAAGCTGCTATATCCTGTTTAATAAAGTGGTTTTATACAGCCTCTTATAACTTAGACTCATTGAACTTTCAAAGGAACACTTTTATAGTCCACAAAGTAATCATAAAAGTTGTTTTTGCGAGCTACTTTTTGAGGTTTAACTGTGTTCATAAGTTTTGGGACCTTATCTTCTCCTCTGGGATAAAAACATAGTGAGAAATCAGTTACAGGAGAACAATATCCTAAAACTGTCATACTCTTTAGACTTTAGCATCTTTTTCCCCCAAGTAAGGCGCTGCTATTTTTGAACTGTCAACATTTAAACCCCTATTTTGTCCCATTTAGAGCGATTCTAAATGTATACCTCTATGTATCATTTTTACGGTTTCACCAACAAATACAAAAACACCTTTGACAAACAATTATACCACAAAGGAAAGTTTGGGTCAACGAGGACATGAAAGCAAGACTGTAAAATTAGATGCAAATGCAAACCAGACTAAAAATGAGCCTTAAATGCAAATATTTAGTTTGTATAAGAAGTTTCAATTGTGGATCATGCCTTTGTTAAAAGTTAAGATAGTTTTATTCATTTTTATTTAATGATCACTTATTCTGTTGCTGCCTTTTCATCACATGACCTACTTATCTTACGTTTTCTTGTGTTGTATGTTGAATGGTTCTCTTTACTCATAAATTATTTGACAGTCTCATATAATGTGCTGTTTGGAGAACTTTTGCACTGAATCAAACACTTTTAAGTCTTTTCTCTCAGTTTCTCTCATTAAAAGCAAACAAAAAAAAGGAGTAGCCTGTAAAATGTTGTGGAGAAGTAATCAGGTCAATCTCTGTCACAATAAGCAAAGTAAAAATCCTGCATTTACTTTTCTATTCATCAAGAATTTTTTAAGTTTATAGTTTTCAAAGTTTTAAAATGCCAACCACCCACTATGCTGGGCATTATTATTGATTCCATAACATTTCAGCACTACTTTAGTGGTGTTGATGTTGCTAAGGTGAACTGTTTTTTTCAACGTGTTGAGTAGTTTAATCTGTAACAATTATAGCCTCCTGTGGCTGTGGAAAAGTGGAACACCCATTTATCACAAGGTTGGTGGTTCGATTTCCAGCTCCTCCTCTTCCCATGTCTTTGAAGTGGGTTTTCTCTAGCTTGTAGGAGATACTACAGCATAAAACTGCAAGACTGATTGATCAAATGAAAATAGTCACCATTTATTAGCAGAATTTTTCATGGAAGAATTTTCAATTTCAAAGATATTTTGGGGTTTAGCCTTTGTTTGATGGGACAGCTTGAAACAGACAGGGATTGCAGTGCAAGAGAGAGGGAGAGTAATGCGCAACAAATCATGCCAGGACTGGATATTGATTGTAAAAGTAGTGCATTCAGAAAAAACTGATCTAAACCAGCATCCCTCCAGTCATTTTTAAGCAACTATGTCAAACATCTGCTGGCTTTCAGCATGTGAGCTTGTTATAAACTTGTTATATAACTTGTTATGAATCGGTTACATCATTTTTCATGTATTTTTTAAAATAAATTTAGAGTTTATAGATGTTCACTTGCTTTTATGACCAATAAGCTATGGTAAGACCTAATTATACACATTTTAACAATCTTTTTTCATGTTTTTTTGTGTATTTAATCAGAATCAAGGATTAACTCTGAAATAAAGCAGATTAATCGGTAATGAGCTCAACAATTTGTTGCACCAGTAGTTAATGTCTAGAGGAGCGGCAATGGGTGACGTGGGCCCTTCCTGAAATCTTATTGGCTGCCCCTGGTACCACTCTAAAAGTCCTATATCATGATTGGCTATTTGCCCTGCAAGTGGTAGCAGGTACTGTAAAATTCAGTGTAAATAATGCATTATAATCAGGGCACTGCTTGCCTAAGCATGAGCAGCATTTATAGAGATTAGGCTTCAGGTAGACGACACAGGTTTGCATCCAGCCGGTGGCTCTTTTGTCTTCTGTCACTGTTTGTTCTCTCCCCATTTCCTCCACGATACAGTGTCCTTGGCTCTCTAAAAGAGGCAAAAATGCGCTGAAATTAAACTGAAAAAAGTGCATTTTGATACCTTTTTATCATTTCAAAAGCCAGCTGCACTTCTACAATGTCTCAATAAAACACCAGCAAATGCAGAGGTGTTCTTTTGCATGTCTCTATTTTACCCAGAAGGTGGTGCTCAAAGAAGAAGACAGGAGCCTCATTACACAAAGCATGCTGGAAACATAGCAAGGCAGGTCATGCCTCATGAGGTCATAATCATGCATTCAAAGAAAAGCTGGTTGAATATTAATGAAATGAACCCTGTGAAAGACTGAAAAGACTTGTCATTTCAGGAAAACAAATCATGAGTGGTGTTAGTGGCACAAGTCTCATTGAACTGTTTACAGTAGTGAGTCTATGTGAATCTCACTATTAACAACACAACTATACAGTAGCTGGCAGTGTGATGATAAAAGATAAACCTGGAAAGAGCTACACAGATGCATAGAAAATGCAAATTGCTGAAAGTAATCCACACATGAAGACAGTCAAAACCTGTCTGTCTCTGGAGCTCAACAAAACAGACTTTATCTTAGATTCTGGTATGACTTTCATTCCTGATTTTACGATATTTTGGAGGTGATACTACAGGGTACTTGTAGCTTTGTGCAGTGAAGTGTCTCACATTTCATTTTGTTTGTACTCAGTGTTGTGACATCTTTTTTGTGAATTCAGCTGAGAGGATTGATATGATTATCACTCTTTTACTTTTTAAAGTAAAAAAATATACATAGAAAATATTGGGGCGTGTTAGGCATTAAAACAGATAAGAAAGACAGGCAGAGATTATATTCATCTGACTGTGTTTGTGCACAAACTGCATACCAACCCTCTATTAGTCAGAGTGTCAGTTGTGCCACCTCAGTCAAAAGGTCATGGTCACAGTCCTGTTGGACTTTTGTATGTGTGGAAACAGAGGGATAAGAGCTGAATAGTAAAGCCCTGAATAGAGGTCATTTGTACATATTATTTATCCATCTGAGAAAATAAGTTGATGAAAGTATTTATTTCTTTTAGACTCAAATTATAAAATAAATAGCATAAGATGTAAGTATCTTGGTAAAACACACAACCTTTGACCCTGTTCCACAGTGCAGACGCTTTAAATGGTCTATTTTGCTTATTTTCCATGTTAAGTAGAAATTGTTTATTTATCCATACACTCAAAATGAAAAATGGTTAATCTGTGAACGTGACTGCACAGATGTTGTGGCTGCTGTTGTGAATAAACAAACCAAACACTAAGCCTCTTTCATCCACACTCCAGGTGACATGAGGAGGGAGTGGTTGTTATGGCAACTGAAGTGTTTACCTCTCCAGTCCTGAGAGGTTGCACAGGCACTGTGAGGGCTGTCTAACACAGATGAGCTCAGTTTAACATCTCAAACAATCAGTTTGTTCGTAGGGTGGTCCTTCAAAAGGTCCCTCTCTGTCGCCGGGCAGAATTAAGTCTGTCATCTCCATCACAAAGGAGAGTTCAGCCACGCAGCTCGACCCTATTCTCTCTGATTAATGCTGATGCTGCAGCTTTGAAATGATTATTTATCATTAAAGTCAAACAGGTTTATGAAATATCTTTATAGTCTCTTAATATGTTAAATTATGAAAAAGAGCACAATGAAAGAGTGCAGGACTAATTCTGGAGCCGTCTTTTACCAGCTGTAGCATTTTTTTATCCAGAAGAATAAGGCAGCACAATTAATCCCAAGTTCATTAACTATACAAAGATAACCATACACCATGAGCACAAGTCAGAGTTCATCCCAGTAATCAGAAAATAACTTGTGCAAACAAATAATGCTTTCTCATTCAACAAGTACCTGATACAACCAAGTATTTATTTATCGGGCCTCATCTTGTTCTTTCAATATTTAAGGCTGTGACCAAACATCCCGTGCAGTCATACCCAAATTTGTGTAAAATATCCTCCTTTGTTTAATTCAGTGAAGCAGCAGAGAGGTTTTGCATGTGAAAGGATGAAGGTGAAAGCTTTGGTCTCTTTCTCTGACTAGACATACTCAGGTCAGCTGAGGGCGCTCACAAACACACTCACACGCACAAACACTCTCACTCAAATACACACACACACACACACACACACACAGTAATTATCTCTGATTGTGCTGTTTAACTCAATTGCAGGCACTCCTCAGCGTTTACCTTCACATGTCTTATTCTTTCACCTCCTCCATTAGGCTCAAAATAAAACGCTATAAATAGCATATGCTGGAAAAAAAACTTAAAGCTTATTTTGTTTGCTTTAGTTACAGTCGCTGAAAAAGTGAAATGTCTGTTGCTGCTGTGACCCCATTTTACTGACACACAAACAAGATCGTTTTTCTGTCCTCTACATACAAACAAACCCATGAACTGTTAAGTTTGGGTTTTAAGTCAGATGAAAGTGACATTGTTTGGAACAGCTGGAGCTGGAGGGGAGTGAAGGCAAAGTTATAAGTCTCTAATAATATCTTAATTTCAATATGCACAAACAAATCAAATTAGCGCAAAATGTACTCAGTAAAACGAAAGACCAATTTATCTCCTCACATCTACATATTTCTGCAGAGCCTAAAAACTTGGAGTAAGATTGTTGTCTCGGAAGTGTTGTGGTTAAAGAGGCAGAGTGCACTGGGCAAAAAGCAATGCGTCTCCTCTCTTTAAAGGCACTGTATTTTTGAGACAGTCTCATTCTTGTAATAATGCTCTTTTATGATAAAATTAGATAATCAACGACAAGATTGATTATTTCTTTATACTGAATTTTAGGGCCTGTACATTCAGCAAGACTTTCTGTTAAAAAAAAGTCAAGTTGATCTTCCGCATTCATCCCAGAGTGCGTTCAGAGTCCTGCTGCCAATGTTGGTGAGACGTTATCAAGCAGAACGAGTAGTTTTTTCTAAAGATAATTTTCTTTTTAAATAATGTTTTGCGCTCATGGCTGATACTGAATATGATTGAGATAAAAACTTGACCTGCATTTTTTCTCTGTAATGGTTCATTTATTTGAAAAGAGTATTTTTTCCATCCCAAACTTCAGGTGTCCTGAGTCATGGGGAGCTTCAAGGGCCATGCACTGCCTGGAAGCTTCTTCCTGGTTGCAGGGATCTGGTGGACGGGGAAGCACTGTCTGTGGTACGCCACCCGCAGGAACAAGAACATCGGCTCCACACGTCTGTCAAGCAGAGCGTCACAGCGCCGCCTTGAGATCATCGAGAGCTCTGTTGTGCTCTTCTTCTCTGTTGTTGGTAAAGATGTCTTCTTGTTTTTTAAAAATTCAGAGGGATTTAATTGTCAGTTCAACAGATTTTGGTTCATAAAAGGGAACATTTTTAGGCTCTGAGTCCTGCATTACAAAAATCAACATTACTGGAATGAAATGATCTTTTTCGAAAATCTTAGGGTTCTCGAAAAAGAAGATCAGTCCAAAAAAAGACTAGTGTAATTGTAATCAAACTTAATAAATTAAAAAAAAAAAAAAAACATGTCAAATTAGCCTTATCATTCACTCATTCATGTTTTCTGCTTGATGAATTCAAGTAATTAAAAATCCAAACTTAAATTACTGAGTAAAGTTTGAGAATTAGTGTTTGGGTTCAGGCAGAAACTAGGAAATTGTCTTTATTCTTTTGGTGTTTAATGATAATTAGAACCAATAACTTGATTAAAGAATAGTAAATAGATTAAAAAGCTTTCCTCCTAAACTTCTAGAGGACGGACCAATTCACATTCAAAAGACGAATATGAAGAAAGTCGAGTATGCCTGAGATATTTGCAAGAGCTGAATAAACTGTGATTGTTTCCTCCTCTGTGCTCCTCAGGGATGTTGGTGGAGCAGTTTGCAGCAGACGGGCCAAAGCTCCAGCTGTACAACTTGACTGAGAAACACTGGCAGGATCTGATGAACTGGCAGCACGCCACCATGTACCTGTTCTTTGGGCTTGCAGCAATGGTTTCTCTTGTCATCCACACCACAGAGGCTGCTCCGCTGGCACTTGACAGGTTAATGATGGCCATCGCTTTCTTCAATGAAGGTAAGACAAATGATGTGATAGGTTTGATTTTGAAAAATTGTTTTAAAGATGCTCTCTCACTCAGGGCTGTGATCATCGACAGTGCTTCATCTGAATTTATTGCAGCTGCTTTAAAACTGTGGTCAGCTGAATTATCAGAAAAACATGCATCTTGCAGCTAGGCCTGTCAAATTATTTTTTTTCGATAATGTAAATATTTTTAATTGTGTCTGTGAAGGTGCAGCATGAGAAGCTGTTTCCTGCAGTAAAATTAACTCCTCATTTAAGTGAAAAAATGACTTTAAGATAAAAACCATATCAGTGGTATTATGAATTATTAAAGCAATCTAAAGTTAGAAATTAGCTATTTGTTTTTGTATTTTTTTGTTTGTTATTGTTATGTTAAAATAAATTATTCACACCTGAATATTTACATGTGTTTACTGCAGAAGTACTCCTTGGGTTCTTTGTCATAGGCGATTGAAACACTGTCTCTCCTCACAAACAGATTTATGTAGAAGATTATAGATGTCAGTTTAACTCAGCAAGGATCTGAGGAAAATTCAAACTAAAATGGACGGCAATGCTCCTGTTAGTTCTTAGTGTGTTTTTTTTAAATACACTGTTCGCCACAAACTGTTAAATCAGCAAACAGTGCTAACAACACTACTACAGCATGTTGTTGCTTCAGTTATTTCTCTGTTTCTGTGTTTCATCATAACACTCTAAACTAGTTCTGATACCACTGAGGTCCAGGAATCAATGAAATATTGGCACTATTGAACATTCATGCACGCAGGCGGGATGGAGTGACCTGCTGTGGTTAAGGGCACATTCTGCAGTCTCTATAACTTTATTTTGACCCCTAGTTTATCAAAATCAAAACTCTTTTAAAACAAACCCAATAAAATAAATGCTTCCTTCAGTACATAGACCTCATTGTCTGACAGTATGTGTCATAGAACTAATTCACACTCTGAGTCCTTTTTGATTTCCTTTTAATGCGAATCTGCAACGATTAAAACTTTTTATTCTAGTCATGTTATACTCACCATATATTAGCAATACAGAGACTACATCTTAGCAGCTCATAGCCAAAGAAATCCTGTGGTGCTGAAATACTGCTGAAACTTTGGCTCGTAAATGTATTAAAATAATGTGGACAGGTGCCAGTCGGTGCAAACTAAAAGTGGTTAAAAGAAGAGATAAGTATTTCACATTAACTTGATTTAAAGCCAAAAGTATCATTTGGTGGATGGGAAGAGTCAGGACCAGATATTTTGTGCTAAGCCAATCATAATCCTAGTTCAGGGTTTTAATATAAATGCAGTTATCGTGTTATTCAAAGGGTTTGAGGACTGTAATTAAGCAGACAAAACATACATTATTTTGCTTGTAAAAACTTTTCTTTTGCATCTTTTTGTTTCTGCAGGGTTTCTTTTCTTCTATCATCTCCACGGCAGGAGCATGCTGGACATTCATGTTCATCAGCTCCTTCTTTATGCCATCTTTGGCGGCGCTCTTGTTTCCTTTCTGGAGATTTTTCACAGAGGAAACATCATCCTGGAGCTGCTGCGCTGCACCCTCACTCTGCTGCAGGGGAGCTGGTTCTGGCAGGTAAATTTTGTCTCAGTGCAACGCTGGCCAATACAGAAGTTACGTTTTTCAGATAGAGCAAAGATATGAGTAACAATGCTGACAGTAGTTTCTGTATTTCAGTTTCACTGATGGATAAAAATTTGACCGTTTTTGGAGGTGACTCTACCAAAAAAGCATGTCTTTCTATGTGCAGAGAACACATATAGTACAGAAAATGCTTCATTCATAATGCTATGTGATAATAGACTTCATCTTTATCAAACATTTACCACTCTCCTGATTTAAATATTTCACTTGCACATTCCTGGTTTTCAAAAATATTTCAATCAATTGTCTTGTCCTGTCTTTATCAAGAACAAACTTGACACTGGCTTCTCTTTGACCACAGATTGGCTTTGTGCTTTACCCTCCTCATGGTCCCGAGTGGGACTTGAAGGATCACAACAACATGATGTTCGTCACCATGTGTTACTCCTGGCACCTCGCCTTCGCCATGCTCCTTGTGAGCGTGCTCTATTGCACCGTCAGCTGGTAAGAACAAGCTCGCAAGCAAGTTCCCTTGACTTCTGGTTGTTTTGTTTTCCTTATTCTTGCAGATTCTAGATCAGCTGTGTTCAGAAGTAGTGTATGCAAACAGGAAACCACTGCGTCCTCTTGAGATCAAAAGTCACTGTTGATGACTTTTTGTCCCTTTTTAAGCCTGCAGACCCAAACAGCTGTTTTGTCAGCTGCAGGCAAAGAAACAAACATGTGAATAGTGCAAAATTGAATGTGCTCTCTGAGGTCTAAATAAAACTCTGATTCACCAACAAAAGGGCAGAGCTAACAGGGATCTCCTGAGGGTCAAACACTTTGTATTGACAAGTATCTCATACAACCTTACTTTGAAAAAACGGAACAATCCCTTTGAATAATAATCTATGGATTAACAATATTGATATTTGACTGCATCTGCACCCTAGAACTGATTAGATTTATGTTGCTAGACACAATGCTGTTCATGTAAATATTGGTATATATTTGAATGGACATAATTTCAAGTGCAGTGATATGAAACACTTAAAGGGTCATGTAAAAGTAATAAAATCTGCAGGAAGCTTAGCCATGGTTGCAGCGACACCAGCAGCAACGTAACAAGAAACAAAACTCACAGAGATAGATCAATGAATCAGTCAGCTGATTAATCAGAGCGGTTACTGGTAACCTGTATCATGTCTGCATCAACACACACAATGCTGATTCTATATGATAACATATTTTCCCATCCTTAACAACAGCATCCTGAAACTAAAACTAGTACTGGTCAACATTTTATATACATTCTGTTATGATGTATAGAATAACGGAGTTCAATATTGCTTCTCACATAAAAATCAGTCATGCTCTGAAGTCTAAGGCATATCCCAGTGGTTTTTTTCTATTCCGTGAATTCATTCAAAATTCATCTAAAGCATGCTTCAGGCGAAGAGAATCATGTCTGTGAGATTGTGATGTTCATGATCATGGAATAATAGTAAACATCTTTCACGTTTTCAGCCATTTTTTTTGGTATTTATTCTGTTTTAAAGCCCCCGTGTCAATTTTGGCATCCCCTTTTGGTAAAGCAGTCCTTGCTTATCTTGTCTTCTACATGCTTGAGTTGTGACTTTTGACCGTCAAATGTATGACCCATTGTGAATATTTTGTGTGGAAGATATAAAAACAGAGTAGTTTCATTAGCTCCCTGGCTGATGTCTACCCTCTCGCACTGGCTATAGGCATTGCCAGTCTTGTCACTGATGGTCTTGTTTGCTTTTGGATATACTGACAAAGCATGTGTACGATTTTCAGACTTTTTCATTAGTGCAAAAGTCTTCAGTGTTCTCGCAGACGGCGGGACAAGAATCGAAAAATCTCTTATGGCAATATTTTACTGAACCAAACATTTCACTGTAGTTGAAAAACTGTTCATTCAATTTCAGCAGTTTTGTTTCCAGTTTCATCACTGTCAGCCAGAAGTCTTGTATCTCCAAAACCACTACTTTCTGGAAAGTGAATTAAACCTTCTTCAAATAATTGTTTGAAATTCAATAACACTCCTTTTTTAATTTATTTTTATTTGCTAAACATTAAAAAGGCCTATCTTAAGTGAATTGAAAGCAGAGTGATAGCACTGACTATGACAAAACATAGAGGTATGAGGTTTCTGCCCAACAGAGATGATATGTTCTACTTGTTCAATCATTGTCTCGGAAACAAGATTGATGATTTGTACATTGTAATTTTTAATGCCTAAAAATAGTGCAAGAGGGCAGGTATAAGCCAAGCAGCTGGATAAACAGCACTGTTTATTGAAAATATTCACAATAAATAAATCAAACATTTAACCCCCAAGAATGTCAGAATAATAAGATATCTTGTCAGAAGACACTGCTGAAGCATAGTGGACAAAATAAGAAAATACTGCTTTTTTAAGGGGCGCAAAATTGACAGAAACCGAAAGTTCCTCACAGGAGGTTAAATACATCAAAATAAATATTCAAAAACACATTTGATTATCTCTTTGAATTAACTTCTAATGTAAACTCCTCTCTGTACTATGGCTGAATCAGGCTGAAAAAAATCCTTTTGGATGTAGTTTTAGTGCCAAAGGTCTAAACAATACAATATGCATTTGATACACAACACTATGTGATGCAGGACATGAGAGAATACAGGAATCCAACCCAGTATATGCCTCTCATGTTATTTTATGTTTGTGTGTTCATTCTGTAGTGTGGTCCGATCAAGGTTGAAGAGGACACCTCCGATGGAAATGGGACTCCTGAAGCCCAGAGAAAGAGATCTGGAGTCAGATGATGAGGTTTTATGAAAGAATAAGAAGAACTTTATCGATCCTCAAAGGGAAATGAAGAGGACTGATGTACAAATTTACCGTTTAAATCAGGGAAATTATCTTTGCAGTTTGAAAGTATGCTTTAAATCATTTACCTTGGCCTTCCTCAGTAAGTTTTTCATTATTCAATGCTATTTATTTCACTGTGGTCTCATGCTTTCCATTTACTCTGTCGTATCTTTTCATTCTTAAGTGTACACAGTTGAAGGGAACAAGAGCTAATCATTTTCGGATGCTTTCAAACGGCTCACAACAAACTTTTCCTGTCAGACGTTTTGATGTGCAGTAGCCCCATCTTGTGGTGAAAACAATCATCATCAGTACAGCATATACTGTTTTTACTTAAATGACTTGAAAGCATGTATTTATGTAATTCATGCTGCTTTTTGTTTGATCATCTTTGAACCCAAAAATACAATTTTTTACCAAAGTTATTAAAATGTTTGGATTTCATTTTGATGTAATTACAAATTATACAACCACTAATGCATGTCTTCACTGCATTTTTTATTCACTATGGCTTGATATTTTAACTTTCAGAGGGAACTTGTCTGAAGGTAAATATGAACACTTAAAAGTATGGGTAAAGTAGCTATTTTATGGAAGATGCTCCTTGAGAACTTGGCTGTTCAAAGATAGTCTTCTACAAAGAGTAGTCACTCAGAAGCGAAAAATTTGGGCTGTGTCTGTCAGCTTTGGCTTCAGGACTGAAAACATCTCACTTATGATTTTATTTTTTGTTTGAATGTTTCATTTAACAGCAAGAATAATTGGTAAAACACAAAAATATTCATGGAGTATAAATGTTGGCTATTTGATAAAACAAAAAACTTTTTCACATAACACAGGAGTTTTATAACTATTTCATTAAAGGCCCTTTGAGAAATTTTTGATTGGCTATGAATCAGTAAAATATACAGTTTTTATAATGTTCAAAAGAAAGTAAGACCATTGATGACAAGACTGACAAAATCTTTGATGTAATTTTTAATGCTAATACCACTTTGTCCACAGTGGGTACCAGTAGCAACACTGACAGAGATTTCCCCATAGGAGCTTTACATTTTTAAATATATCAGTCAAATAATTCATAAAATGCAAAAATGTGTTATGTGCTTTGTAAATGTAATTAAGTTTCTTGAAATATCTTTACTCGTGAAAAATCCTTCTATGTTTAATGAAATAATTTTTACTTTGTGAAATGTTTCACTTGTTTTTATAATTTTTTCAGATTTGTGAAAATACTTTCCCATTTCATTACATTTGCATTTTGTGAAAGGATTTCATGTAAAGTGTAGGCTAATGTTCTTGGGGCTCAGACTTACTTGTGAATATTTGTGAACTGACTTTCAGGGCCACCATAGTTGTGATTCAAGGCTGAAAGAAATCCTCAGCTTTGTTTTCAGAAGCCTAATAGTTGATTCACTAATGTGATTTCAGTTTTTAAAGTTACAGCAACGTTAATAACTTCGTATTGGCTGAAGAAAGTAGCTACGTTTAACTGTCTACAAATCAACAGTTTGATAAAAGCAAAACAGGTGGTTAACCCAATTTCAACAAATACTAAAATTAGTAGTTTTCGTTTTGATTTGGTTTTCCTTTTATTCTTTATTGACACAAAATTTCTGATAAACTTCTTTTCATCTCGTTGATTGTGGTCAAATTTCTTTGCTTTGCTTTGGTGTCGTTAATAAAATCAGAGTGAGACCTCTCTGTAGCGTCTTCACCAAGCTTTGACTGGTTTAAGAAGTCATCTACCTGAACAGGTAAACGACGTGACGACTCCGCAGGCCGCCGCCTCCACGTGACGATGTTTTCCACCCGCTGAGATTTAAGGAAATCACCGGGAAACTTTCTTCAGTTCTCCAGGAAACAACTAGATAAGACTACATCTCCGTTTACAGGATCTTTGGCTATCATGGATAAATTAAAATCCGTTTTAAGTGGCGAGGAGGCGCGCAGGGAGGACAGGACCGTTTTAGAGGTAAAGAGGAAAGAAATACCAGCGTCAGCCTAAACTCGTCTAATATGAGCTGATACAACGATCCGTCTGTCTCTGCAGGCGGTGAATGAAGCCTCCACATTGAGCTGGGGGACTCGTCTGAAGGGGTTCGTCGCCTGTTTTGTGTTTGGGGCTGCTTGCACAGTTCTGGTAAAGGATTATACAATGATTACCGTGATAATATATATCTTTACTTTGCTCCACACATCGAGGAAGAGCCCAGGCAGGCAGAGCTGATGCTGTTTTACTGGTTCTCCTTGTTCTGAGGAATGCAGAGGATGACATGTTCATCAGGCCTGCCTTACAATAGAGCTCATAAATGAAACACTCAGTTTTCATTTAGGCATTTTCAGTGAAAAATAACAAAAACCCTGTCCTGATGTGTGTCTGTGCCGCAGGGAGTATGTATGCTCTTCATCCCCAAGATTGGACTCACACTCTTTATCGTTCTTTACACCTTCGGGAACATCTGTGCACTTGGCAGGTCAGTGTTCACAGCTACAGGAGTGCTCATGAGGCAGAAAGATGTTTTTTTTCAATGAGGAAGAATATGTTTTCTAAATGAAGAAGTGTACCTATCCAATACCACTCAGAAATGTACTGATGTACTGTTTTACAAAGCCTCAGCTGCTATAAAAGTTTGATTTTGTGAATTTCTTTTTGCCACAGAACTCGCACAGCTATAGCACATATGGCTGCAAAATTGTTTTAGTGTTTAGTGTTTTAACCCGCCTTTTTGTTAATCAAAATTATGTTCATATTTGGCATGTCTTTAAAAGTATGTATCAATTCTGTCCTCCAACAGCACCATGTTTCTGATGGGCCCAGTGAAGCAGCTGAAAAGGATGTGTGACAAAACAAGAGCGCTGGCCACAACGATTATGATTGTAAGTGCACAAATTTACTGAAATAAAGCTGTATTCTCTTTTACATATATAAGGAACATTATTAGATTTTATAAACAAGAAAGACCACTGTATGCCAATATGGTAGCCAATATTTTTAAACTATATGCTTAAGCTTTCTGTGTAAATCAGTAAGACTTTGAAAAGGCAAAAAAAATCAGTCTGCTTTATTTTAACAATCAGATGTATTACTATAGGTAAGTTTTTGCCATGAAATGTAAAAAGATTTGTATTTGTAGCCTGCAGTTAATCACTCAGTCCGCCAACTTCCCCCCCTGCCAGATGTCAGCATTCATTTCAGTCTGTTTTACAACCAGCTAAAAACTCTTTACAGGAGCTTTAATGTTGTTCATTGCGCAGCTATTCAAGTGAAACCACACTTTGACACAGCAGAAAGTAAAGTTAACTAGGGAGCTAGTTATATCTTCTAAAGCATTATTTTCCATATTGTACATCCTATAAAAATAGTTTTAGTATTGAGATGATTTGGAAATACTACATAATACATGTGGCAATACAGATATATGATTTTGCAAAACTTGTTATGAAAATACTGCTGTCAGCGTAAATAACTGGGATCAGGTAAACTACAACTTTTTTTCTATCAAAGTCAAAAATCAATTAATCCACAGTTTAAGTCATTCTGCAATTGATCAGTAAATATGAGGGCAATCTTGAAAAATTATGAAATTTTTTTCTTCTTTGTTTCTTGCAGACCTGCCTTGTACTGACTCTGTGTGCAGCTTTCTGGGTGAGTGAGCTGAAATGGACAAAAACAAGATCTTTGATTTCTCTAGTAAGGGGGTTGATACACTTTTTGATCTTTTAACCATATAATTTTATGCACTGCAGTGGAAGAACTTTGGACTGGCTCTCTTATTTGTCATCTTGCAAGTCTTGTCATTTTCCTGGTGAGTCGTCTTTGTCTTCTTGGGGTACAACTTGAAAAACGCATAATAGAAGTTGAATTTCTGGTAGAGCTGTTGCACTGGATTGCAGTTGTGGTCTTAAGGTAAAGGCACAGTAAGGAATGATATAGGATCCAGTTGAATTTCAGGAACGTGACAAAATATTATCCCTTTAAGTATCAGCATTCATGCAAACTTGTCCAATCAGGAGGTCACCTTTTTATTTTGACACCACATAAGTGCAGCATAAATTTTAAATCTTATCTCTGCAGTAGAAACACTTCAAGTGCCTAAACAGTTCTCAGTCCCTATGCATAGAAAGTTTTTGTTGTGGAAATGCAGCTTTAGCTTAAGTTTGGACAAATACACATTGTTTTTTTTTACTTGAATGCGTGTTTTGACATAGTTATTCTCTAGGTTATGTCTTGATTTACCTATATGTTTCTACTACAGATGATGAAGGAGATTTTTAATTAACAACAACAGCAAAGTGGATGCATTAAATGAATATTTCATGATTATGTTTTGTACAATGTAAAAACTGTGCTTTGTTTGCAGGTACAGTCTGTCATACATCCCTTGTGTGAGGTTTGTTGTTCAAACACTTTATAATTACTCAAATTTTAGATTTAAAATGTCTTTTATTTATAACTTGATGTCTGATTTATGCTTTTGACTTGGCAGGGAGGCTATATTGAAGCTGGTGTCCGTCATGTTGAAGTGAACTCTGACTTTGTGTGGAGGACTCTGAGTGAAGAAGATTTCAGAAAAAAGGGGCAGGTCTCTTACTGAAATAGCTGAAACTGCAGCAAACACCCAACATGTCTGATCTTATGTTTTACAAAAATGTTCATTTAACTCATTTATAATTCATCCAATGACCTGATCTTTTTTGGTATGTATTGATTACCTAAACCAATTTTCATGAATGGGCTTGTTTTGTAATATATGTAAATATTTGAAATAAATTAACATTTTAATGGCCTTGGAAATGGACAATGCAGCATCATCATTCCTGAGGAAGAGGAATAAGAGTTTAGAAGAGCAGCACAGCCTAAAGAAATGATGAGAGAGCTTAAAATCATCAACATAAAGCTGAATTATTGCCACATAAAACTTTCAAAATAAAACGTCTCAGTTTAATTTGCAGTTTTAAAGTCAGTAAGTTCACCATAATACAGGCACATCTCGAAGAATTAGAATTTTGTGAAAAAAATATTTTTCTTATCCATTTTATTTTTTAAAAAGTAAACCTGAATGTGTTCTGTAAACATTGGAAGTCAAGGAAAATGCTTAGTTTTATTTTTGTTTTAAATTTGATAATTTAGGCTTGTAGCTCATGAAAATTATAAACCCCTGTTTCTCAAAACTATTAGAATTTTCCTAAGATTATTAATAATAATAATAATAAAAAAAAGACTTGCAATGAAGAAAATGAATTATGTTGCCTGCTGCAGCTTCTTTACTGGAGACAAGAATATAAAAGCCACTTTAGGCGATAGTCCGTCAAGGCCTTCTTTTATTTATAAATGCAGCACACAGAAAATATAAAAGCAAGGACAGTGGAAGTAAAAAGGGTTTTCTTTCCTTTATGATCACAGATTTCCATAAAATAAATACTTTTTATTTATAATCATGTAACATTTAAGCTGCATTATCAGAGCAGCAAGCAAACTGAAAATACCAGATGATTAAAACTCAAAAGATTATTGGAGATCATTACTTAGATTTGTCACTTTAGTAGGCTATTTTCTAGTAAGGCTACTTTTTTACACTGGCCTCTAGCCACACAGTGGATGTGGATTTTTTCCGATTTGACAGGGAATATTTCTGTTAGATTTTATCAGACTTTAATTTAATATGATTCCATTTATTATGATAAACTACATTTTGTTGTGGCTGTAGAAAAGAAGTGACCCTAGGCATCTTCTGTCTGGAAATAAGTCCACACAAATACAATATTAAACGAGAGTTAAACCTCTTGTAGAGGAATGTAGATAAAGATTTTAAATATGGGCAATTTGACGTTATTTCCAAAGTTGAAATACAGTCTATGGGACTGCATCTAAATGACAGAAGCGCGCGCTTTTGCACCGGCGTCACGTGACCAAATCAGGAAGTGCAGCTGAACTTTACAGCGTAACAACACTGAAGGCGTGTTTGTCTGTACATGTCCGGACAGCTGCAGTTAGTGCCTACACTCTTGTCTGTTTAGGACTTTGACTTTATCAACACATATTTTACACACGGAATAGTCCATCATCATGACTGACATCTTAGCAAGAATGAAAAAGTGCGTGGCGGAGAAGAAGAAGAAGACGGCTGTGACCCAGAGCGACCTGAACAACTTTGGTTTAAGAGGTAAGTTTATGTTGACCGGAGATGTCACTGAATTGTGTACAATGAGTAGCTAACTTAATTTTAAGCTGAATGTATAAAGTGAAATAACGTTAACTAGCTGCATTTTTGATGTGGACATGGTCCCACCTCAGGTCTTGTTTTGATGGGTGACTCACTGTGTTTCCGTTCAGTCCCCCTTCTGTAAACTCCTCACTGATGTCTGTGTCTCCTTCTCGCAGGGATCCAGCTGAGGTCCTACCAGCTGGACGGGGTGCATTGGTTGACTGAGTGTCTGAGGAACCAGCAAGGATGTATTTTAGGAGATGAGATGGGTCTGGGAAAAACCTGCCAGGTGTGAAACTTCGTAGTCATAAAGTACAAAGCTGTCGTTTTTAAGCATGCATTAGGGGAGAGTGAGGTAAGATGAGCCATTTTTCATATTTGGGATCACTACATCAAGGCAATCATAGTTTTGTCTCTAACTAGTGTATCTGCATATATTTCAAGATGTTGTACATCCCCGCAAACCAACAGGATGAGTGTAAACATAACGGTCTTGATAATATAGCATTTAAAAAAAAAGTGGTCTCCTATGGTCAACTTACCCCGTGTATGGGGTAAGTTGACCATAGGAGTGGGGTAAGTTGAGCTGTAGCCATACTACCCTCCACTCTCCACCCCAGCCCTCCCTCACCTTCTCTCTCCCTAAAAAACAGTCACTTCTTCACATTCATGTGTATTTTTATCTATTATACGTTATTCAACTAGTACAATAATTATTTTTATTATTATTGCATATGCCTGCTTAAAAGCTGTTTTGTAAAAAGGCATTTTAACATGAGAATTTCTTTAAGTGATTCAGAACATTCACAGCTGTATTTTTGAAAAGAAAAAGTAACACATTTCAACAATCTGAACTGAAACTCTGATCCTCTCATCAGACTCCTTTATTTTCTCAGTTAAACTTCTGGCTCAACTTACCCCAGAACTACTATGATGATTTTATTAGTCCTCTAAGCTAAATGGTGGACTTTTATGCTAGGTTTTTGACCTCATGTTGTAGCTCATAGATACCACAATTGGTCTTTTTTGGTCTAAACACAATTCTTGTAAAACTTATCACAGACTCAATTCACTTTCAAGAGTGAACAAAGTTTTTTTGTAAATCAATGTCTAACCCCTTCACCCATGTGCTTCTAACCTTCACAGACTCCATGAATTGATGCCCAACTTCTAAATATTTGGTCACATGATCAGTTTCTTTTACCATTTCCAAGCAACAGGAGGTGGCTCAACTTACCCTTTAGCTCAACTTACCCCACTCTCCCCTACTGACAGTTGACTGACTGAGTGACTGACTGTTTAAATAGTCTCTGTGGAGTATGAAGTTGCTGATCTTGGAAAAAAAAGTTTGACCTTCAGAGTGGATGTGTAGAATTGTCATCACTGCTCAATTTCTGATGATAGAAAAACTAATGTATGTACCTGTGTATTTCTTCAACAAGTGAGAAGTAGTTACAATTTTTTCAATCCATCTATCTTTACTGATAAAGTCACTGCTAAGTAAGGGGTAATGTACACTTAACTTTTTATTATTATAGGGCAATAAACCCTGACAGTGTGATAGCAGTCTTGAATCACCTTGATGAGGTTTATTTCCATGACAATGACCTGCTGGCTCAAATGGTGCAATTAAAAAAATAAGAATGACCTGAAAAAGTTTATTATTCCCCATGATTCAAACTTCTGTATATTCTAGCTTCATCACACACAAAGTGAAATGTTTCAAGACTTTTTTGGTGGAATCTTGCAACTCACAAAATAAAAATATCTGCCATCTCAAAAAATTAGAATACTACAAAACACCAACCAAAAAAGGGTTCATGATACAGAGATGTTGAACTTCTGAAAATGATGTTTATTTATGCGCTTATTACTTGGTCAGGGCTCCTTTTGTACAAATTGCTGCATCAATTTGATGTGGTGTGAACCCGGTCAGTCTGTGGCTCTGCTAGTGTTCTGGAGGTCCAGGTTGCTTTGATAGCTCCTTAAGCTAGTCTGTATTGTTGCTCTGGTGACTCTCATCTTGCTCTTAACGATTCCCCAGAGATTCTCTATGGGGTTCAGGTCAGACCAGTTGGCTGGATAATTGAGTACAATCAAACAACCAAGGTCAGCAAAATAGTTTCTCGTAGTTTTGTTGCTGTGGGCAGGTGCCAGGTCAAACTGGAAAAGGAAATACGTATTTCCATAAACCTTCTCAGCAGATGGAACTATCATGGATCGTGGAAACTTCACGCTGGACTTAAAGTTTTGATTCTGAGCCTCTCCAACCATCTTCCAGACTCTGGGACCTTGATTTCTGAAGGAGGTGCTAAACTGACTTTCATCTGAAAACTGGACTTTCAGACCACTGAGCAGTAGTCCAGTTCTTTTTCTTCATAGTCCAGGGGAGACTCTTATGATGTGGTTTCTGGTTCACAGGCATCGTGACAGTAGGAACACTTGTAGTCCATTACCTGGACAAATCTGTGTTTTGTGGCTGTTGATGCACTGACTCCAGCCTCAGTCAACTCCTTGTGAAGCTCCCCTTAAGTTCTTGAATCTGCTTTGTTTGTCGGTCTTCTCAAGGCTGCGCTCATCCCTGTTGTTGGGTTACCTTTTCCTCCCACACTTTTCTGTCCCAGTAAACTTTCTATGAATCTGCTTCCATACAGGACTCTGAATACCGCCAGCCTGTTCAGTAACTATTTTCTGTGGCTGACCCTCCTAGTGGAGGGGGTCAATGATGGTCTTCTGGACCATTGTGAGGTCAGCAGTCTTCTCCATGATTGTGGCTGTGTGGACTGAACTAGAGTGAGAGAATAAAGGCTCAGTAAACATTTGCAGGTGTTCAGAGTTTATGAACTTATATAAAGCTCCTTTCAAGACTTTTCAACAATATTTTAATGTTTGGAGAAAGTTGATTTCAGATTTTTGTGAGCTGTAATCATCAAGATTTAAACAATAGTTCAAAACAGTTTTGAAATATTTCACTTTGAAAAAATCATTAAAATATATAAATTTTTTTATTTGAAGTTAATTTCATAGCTTGAGTTTAAAAATAAAATATCTCCAAGTCATCATTTAGCAGTCTGAAATCAAAAGACAACTTGATACTTTGCTTTTATAGACCAGTCTCTATTAAGTATTCAATGGAATATTGCTATGACTGCACTACATACAGGAGTAAGGACTAAATAAAGGCTTTATAATCATAATTTCTCCTCTTTCAGACGATTTCTCTTCTGGTTTACATGTCAGGAGCTCTTGGTAAGAAAGGTCCGTTTCTGGCGCTGAGCCCGCTCTCTGTCATGGAGAACTGGAGGAAGGAGCTGGAGTGGTAGGATCACTATTTTCTCGATTTAAATTGAATATTTATGCACAACACTATCCGTCGCTGACCCAAACTAAATGCATATCTTTTTTGTGATCTGGTAAAACAGCTTTGCTCCCTGTCTGACCGTGCTGTGTTACAAAGGGGACAAAGAGACTCGAGCTGAGATTCAGAGGGAAACGGACACCAACGACTTCCATGTTCTACTCACCACATACGAGGTTTATGGCTTTTTCATTAAAAGCAAAACAAACTTAAGTGTCATGTTCATTGAACCTGAAATGTTTTCATTCTTTCATTTACAGCTGTGTCTCAAAGATGCTGCATTCTTGCGATGGTAGGTGTGATTTAAAAAACTGTATACACAAAGATGTCATTGAAAACTTCAACTGTATTTTGGATGTAATCGCTTTCTATATGGAGTCTGGTGATGTTCTTGTTCACGTTTGTTGTACTAGTTATATGTTCTTCTCACAAATTAGAGGACATTTGTATTTAGAGGGAACACAGCCTGTGTTATGGAAAGAGATCTGCTGTATTGAAGCCCTGAAACTGTCTGTGGTTCTGCAATGAGGATTAAACTTTTGGGATTGTCTTTAAACAGAAACCTGGACAAGGGCTGGGCGATAAACCGAAAATTTACCGATACCGAAATTTACGACAATAACCAACATCATTTTGCCCATATCAGTATATTCTCTGTCAAAAAAACCAAATAGATAGAAGTTGGTTTTGGATTTGTGTAGGTAGACTATGGTCTCATGTCCCTTTAAGAAGCTGTCCTATGTTGGAGACATGACTCCACCCCATCCAGTCCATAACAAAGAGGGAAAGACAAGTGAGGAGACGGAGGACGGTTCAAAAGTTGGAGCAGCTGGAGCGGCGGCTGAAGATATTGATTTGAGTTTTTGTTGCAAACTGTTTAGAACAAGGGAAACCTGCAAGATTTCTCTGTAACCCCATAACATTGTCAGATAAGAGTCCAAGGGCTCTGAGATTGCTTTTTGCCAGTAGGTGGCACAGTAACAGCAAAATTTAATTACTGTACAAGGGGAAGTATTATAATGAATATATTGGCCAGCATATTTCTGACAAACCCAGGTAGTGCTGTGCAGTGCTGTCATGACAACACCTCGCATGTGTTTATAAATAGTTGAATTGGCAATTGATGGACACACAAGTAAAATATTACTGATTATAATCATGTATAACTGAAATAACAATCAAAAAATTGGGTCAAACTTCACTTCATACAGAGTTTCCTTGTTTCCATGAACTTAGTCCTTCTCGCTCTGCTGCTCAGGTGGAAGTGGAAAGTGTTGGTGGTGGATGAAGCTCACAGACTGAAGAACCAGAATTCTATGTTGCACAAAGTCCTGACTCAGGTACTTAACTTCAGCTGGCTGTCTCTTACATCTTCTTGTCATTATTTTCCTGCTGTTATTATTGCTTCTGAGCTGTGAATATCTCGTGTAGTTCTCAGTTGGGTTCAAAGTCCTGCTGACAGGGACCCCGATCCAGAACAACCTGCTGGAACTTTACTCTCTGCTCAGCTTCATTCAGCCAAACATCTTCTCAGATGACGGGGCAGACGACTTTGTCAGTGCCTACTCCAACGTGGCGAAACAGCCTGCTCTAGGTACAACAGACAGGACGAGTTTATCTATTTGACTCATGATCTTCATACAAGCAGGAAATATCTTGAGAGATAATGTATTAAAATGTATTTGTCACATAAATTGGGATGTATTTACTTGTTATGGTAACAGAGCTCTTTTTTTGCTTGTGTTAAGATCATCTATAACTACTGTTTAAGTCAGAAAACCTGCACAATGTGCTTCTCACACTGTTTCTGTGTCCAGCTGCAGAGCTGCAGAGCATCCTGGAGCCTGTCCTGCTCCGCAGAGTGAAGTCAGAGGTGGCTGTTGATCTACCAAAGAAGACAGAGCTGGTGGTTTACCACGGCATGTCCGCTCTACAGAAGAAATACTATAAAGCTATCCTGATGAAGGATCTGGGTGAGACTCCTGTACTGTGTTTAAATTTGAAAAACTGCATCAGTATATTTTGAATATTTGGTTCATTGACTGATAGTTATATTCTTAAACATGCTTTTGTTGAAAAATGACAGTTGTTGAACATACATGGATTTATTTCTTCAAAGTATAGTTGCAACCAATAAAAAAAAGCAGGCTGGGGTATTATACTTTCTCTTTTTGTGCTTATTCTGCCCCTTGGCTTCAGTTTCAGACACACAGATGTGCACGATTTCTTTTTTTTTGTTAAACAATTTCATTAACAGTTAGGACAGATCTATTTTCAGTTGGCAAACATGTCTACATTGTTATTTGCATGGCATGAAAAAATAATAATGATAATGATAAAATACATAAAATGACATAAAATACAAGTGAAGAACAAAAAAATAAAATAAGATTTTAGGGTGAAGTAAGAACCATCCCAATTCACCTTCCAATAGACTTATCATGAATGCCCTCTTGCCCCCCCCTACCCAGTCTCTCCTACTAGTAGGGGGCCAAATTGAATAAAAAATTTGATTAATCTGTTTGCCTTTGCACTTTTTTACTCTGGGGGGCAGTTTGTAAATGTGTCTTTTGCAAAGTGATGTAATTTAAACTGTACCTGAGACTGTTTTTAAAGGCCATGAATCATCAAACTTTTTTCATCTTGGATTTTTTAGATGCTTTTGGAAGTCAACAAGGAAACAAGATCAATCTGCTGAACATCTTGGTGAAATTGAGGAAGTGTGTTGATCACCCGTACCTGTTTGATGGTAAAATATGCTGAGTCATATGACAGATGTCATAATACATGCCACAATAAAGCAAATATGACACTTCATTGTTCTTCTTTGTCTTTTTATGTGCAGGAGTGGAGCCAGAACCTTTTGAGATGGGGGAACATCTTGTTGAAGCCAGTGGGAAACTGTGTCTTTTGGACAGTATACTGAAATACCTCCACAAAGAGTGAGTGAGAGTAGCTGTCATTGAGCGCCACCTGGTGGCCGTTTGCTGGTATAGTTTACAACTTGGAGAAGTTCCTCAAACTTCTGGAAAGAGTTACATCTGTATTTCTCTTTTCCTCTTCGTGGGTGAAGCGGCCACCGTGTCCTGCTGTTCTCTCAGATGACCAGGATGCTGGACATACTGCAGGATTACATGGAGTACAGAGGTGAACAGGGGGAGGCATTGATCTTGTGCTAAGTGAGACACCTTACTCACAAAGACTTAAAGCAAATTAAACTTTTGGAGACATTTGAAATGCATTTTAAATCTACTCCTCAGCCTGTTATTTAAAAAACATGCTTCTTTAATGATGCAACAGTGCAAAATTTTAGCCGTATATTTGTTATTTTCTCCACAAAGAGGAGCCAGTTTAAACTTTTCTCTCTGCAGGCTACAGCTACGAACGCCTCGATGGATCTGTCCGAGGGGAAGAAAGAAACCTTGCAGTGAAAAACTTCAGCAGCAGTGATATTTTTGTCTTTCTGCTCAGCACTAAAGCAGGTAATTGAAATCTTAAAACATAGTTATGTCCTTATTCTATGTAGAAATAAACTGAATATTGATAGCTTGTAATTTAAGTTAAATCCATATCATTGATTGCAGGATTTAAACTTTTTTTAACAGAAGTTTAGCCCCAAAAAAAAAAGATGTTTTAATTTCTTTAGATTAGAGTTTAATTTTTAATAAATTCTCGAAAGCATCACAAAGATCTTGAGCTGTTTAACTTTGACACTCTTTCGTTGAAGAGTAGCTTATAGCAATAACAATGAGACGGTTTAAAACATTTTCTACCTCTGTGTTGCATTTGTGTGCACAGCCAAAGTGAAGGTTAGCCTTATCCTGCTTTGTTAGTGAGTTCATAGCTGCACTTTTTGAACAACACTGTGCTGAGTTTGTAGAAAACAGGAATAACTCTATAAATGGCAGCAGTTTCTGATACTTGCAAGCTTTCAGGTTTATCTCTATCTGTAGGAGGGTTCTCAGCAGTAGCTGTGAAAGGAAAGGGGACCGATTGAACCGAGATAAAAGCTGCTACAGGATGAGACTTAGCTGTAAATAAGGCTGTTTTTCACGCACAGTGTGAAAGTCAGAAAAGAGAAAGCTGGTTTCTTGTTCCCTCTCACTCTCTCTGTAAAACTGTTGCAAATATAAAAGTAAATCACTGTGGAAATAAATGTACAAATGAAGTTTGTAGAGAATTTATGCTGTCTGTGCAGGCGGTGTGGGTTTGAACCTGACAGCTGCAGACACAGTCGTCTTTGTCGACAGCGACTTCAACCCTCAGAATGACCTGCAGGCTGCGGCGCGCTGTCATCGAATCGGCCAAAACAGGTGATGTGTGTGAGAGGCACAAACTCAAGCGGGACTCTTTGTGGGATGTGACAAAAGGCACATGTCTCAGAACTTTCTTTAAAAAGGACTGAAATTATTCAGCATCAAAATGCAAATTGGAAGAGTCTAAACTTAGGCAGCTATCTGTGATAAACTTTAAGTGATAATATCAGATGATGATTGATGACGTAGCAATTTCTATTTTTATGCATTCCAGTGTAGAGAGTAGATAGTAATCAGTGAATTCCAGTACAGACTTCCTCTCCCATGCCCTGCTGTATTTACAGCCAGTTTGGCAACTTGAGAAGAGACAGTGAGTTCATGTCAAGCTAAACAGAACTGCCCCCTCAGATGAGACCACAAAATAATCACCATCATTTCTCAGTTCATCACACCCTCGCAGTCACACCCACTCACCCTTTTCTGATAAGTCTATGTTTCACTATAAATAGTACGTTACACAGATGCCATGACCCTGGCACACTTCGGGCACGTGAACCAGAAAAAAAAAAAAACTGTTTCCATGTAGTTTTTTTTTGCAATCAGCAAGTCACAAGTTTGCTGAAATAAAAGCACCATGGTGCGGATTCAAAGTTCCTCAAAAAGTCGTTGAAAATGTTTCAAGTCTGAAGCTTCTTTGAAGAGTTTTTGATGGGAATAAGAGAGACTATTTTTATGATACACAAAACCAAACAAGACCATCTGATATGAGATTGATATTTTTTATTTGGGGATTTTTTAACTCCTGGAATCAATGTGAGGAGGTATCAGCTGAGCTGCTGAAGGAAAAAGACTTGTTTTTACATTTTTCACTGAAAATAATCACAATAAATGACAAATTTGACTGTCCAAAATCAACAGGATGTGACTTTTTTGTGTGCAAAGACACTACTTCAGCATGTTTGTCCACGGGGGCACCAATATTAATTAAATTTGAAATTTGGATCAATAAAGTTCTTCTTCTTAATTAACAACAAAAATTTCTTCAGATGAGCTTTCAGGTCTTTAAATGTCTCAAAAAGTCTTATTTCTACTTATGAGAGGTCTTAGATTTGAAAGAAATGCATGAGAGTGAAGCTGTGACTGCATCTTGATGGACAAAGGTACTGCTTGCACAGCTCATGAAATTGGAGGATATAGCCTTCTCAGTTAGGAGAGCATACACTGATGAACTAGTAGCTTCACATGCTCACACTGAGTAACACCAACAGTCTAGTCTAGTCTAGTCTGACTGTCTTTTGCTTGTTACAGGCCTGTGAAAGTGATTCGCCTGCTTGCTCGAGACACTGTGGAGGAGATCATGTACTCACGGGCTGTTTCCAAGCTTCACCTCACGAACACTGTCATTGAAGAAGGACGCTTCTCTCTGCTGGACCAAGCTCAGTCAGCTGCTGCAGGACTGCAGGTACATAAAACCCTACCAAAACCCGTGTGCTTGGTTCATGTGTCTGCATCCTCTTGAATGTAAAACCTCTCCTGCTCTCTTCTTTGCCACTGCCTTGTTTCTCATGGATCTAGCTGGGTGAGATCTTGAAGTTTGGGGTGGATAAGCTTCTGTCCTCAGAGGAGGGCTCTGTGCAGGATGTGAAACTGGAAAAGATCCTTGGTGCATCCAGTGACGGTCAGTGGTTGGAGGATGAAGAAGTGAACACTCTTAGAGAAAATGAGGAGGAGGAGGAAGAAGATGATTCTGATTCTGAGGGGCAGAGTAAGTCTGATGAAGTAGTTATTTGAGCGTGTAAAACTTACTTTTTCTCTTAATCCTCACCTGTAAAACTACACTTTTTATACTTCCGACTCTATTGTGTGTCGTGTCTTTCAGATCACATGTACTACTTTGAGGGTAAAGACTACAGTAAAGACCCGAGCCCTGAGGACCAGAAGAGCTTTGAGCGTTTGTTGGAGGAGCAGCTGGCTGAGTTTCAGAAAGCTGCAGGAGAGGGACGAGCTCTGAGACACAAAACCGGGGTAAGACTTTATTTTTCCTTTAATCACTACTGATGGGAAGGACTCTATTGTTCATATTTTCCAGAGTCTGTGGGTTCTTTGGAGAAGCGCTAGAGAATCACAGAAACCAAAAACATATGTTGTCTGATTTTTTTAAAGAGAAATCAGTCCAAATTTTCTGATAATGACATTAATTTTAAATGCTGAACCATTTTTTCTCTTAATGTGATTCCAGGTTTCTCTTTCTTTAGCTCTTGACATGCCATCGAGGAAGAGGAAAGCTCTGACTGAGGCAGAGCTGGAGATGAGACGCCAAAGAAGAGAGGAGGCTGCTGCGAAGAGGGCCAAACTTCAGGAGGAGGCGAAAAAGAAGCAGCAAGAGCAAAAACACAAGAAAAAGTAAAAGTTGATAAAACTTTTACTTGCATGTTTTTAGAGCTGGTACTATCTTCTCCTCTAACTCGCACCTTCTGTTTGGTTATCTTGCAGGATGGCGTGGTGGGAGTCGTGTGGCTACAGATCACGTTGTCTTCCGTCTGCTGACAGTGAAGAGGAAGAGGAGGAGGAAGAGGAGGAGGATGATAGCAGTGTGTGCTCTACGGAGGAAATCAACGCCATCCATTATGTCCTGGGAGACGTAACTCATCCTCACGCCGCTGAGAGAAATGCCATCGTTGTCCACTGTGTTGGTATGAGATTTGTTTACCATTGCATCATGTTTCCTTTGAGACTCACTGCTAAAATTGAACGTGGCGCCTCATCTTATGTTGTAATCAAAGCAGTGTTTTCTGTGCAGATGACTCAGGCCGGTGGGGGAGAGGAGGTCTGTTTACGGCTCTGGAGGTGAGATCAGATGAACCAAAGAAACAGTATGAGCTAGCTGGAAAGATGAAAGGTGAGATCAAACATGCAGTTTTGTTAAACCTCTCATGTCGATTACCCACTCTATCTGCAAAGGCTGTCTGAGAGTGAAGCCTGTAAGTCGTATTTTTGTTTCCCTCAGATCTGGAGCTGGGAAACGTGCTGCTCTTCCCCATAGACGACAAACAGTCCAGGCCGAGTGGCCAGGATCAGGTTTGTTCTGTCAAAGTGTTACAGTGGTTTTGATCTTTATCCTCCTTTTTGTCTTTGTCCCCAGATCATCTTTGTCTCTCTATCGTCCTCTTCATCCCTCTGTTCTACTCAGCCAGCTTTACCATTGTCTGTCTCGTTTTTTTTTTCTTCTAAAGCTTCATCTCCTTCTTCATTTTTATCAACTATCCTCCTGTTTCTTTTTCTTTCTCTTCCTTGTAGCTGTCTCTGTCTTTACTTTTACCATCCTTTTCTCCATCCTGCTCTTCTTTGTCTTTTCCCCTTTTTTCATTTTTCATCCATGTCTTCATCTGTGTGAATTTTGGCAGCTGTTTTAGATTTAGCCTTGATCATTTGACAAAAATATTATCTAATATTTTTTTCTCTTTATAGTTTGTTTACTTTTATTAAATGAAAATGTAAACATTTTAGTCTGGTTTTCTCTGGTAAGAAGTTCTTTTTAGTCATTTACTGATTCAAAACATTTTCTGTTAGATTATTTCAATGAATCGAGATTGTTATTGTTGTTAAACCAAATGCAGTGTTTCACTGTCTCCATGCTTTAACTTGTGTAGTATCTGAAGAGGTGTTGAGACCAAAGCCTTAAAGAGGAATGACCCTCAATCTAAGAGAAACCTGACTCTAAGAGAAATGGCTGTTTGGACTTTCTTTAAAACGGGGATGAGGATCCAGGCTTAGCCCCTAATGTCCTTAAGTCCAAGAAACACCCCTGGACAACACTCAGTTCACTGTGCTCTCAGCCATGCCTTTATCTTCAGTGATCTGAAGCTGGTGTGATCATTATTCTAATCTGCTTCACAGCAGTAGCAACAGAAAACAGCAAACATCAAATGTCTAACCAACGTTACCCAGTAGCATTAGGTAAAGTGAGAAGGACATGTGGAAGCAGAGAGGATTTGATTTGTAACTCTGTTGTTTTTGTTTGATTGTCTTATTTTCTCACTACTAGTCTTCCTCCTGATGTTCCTTATCCTTGCTTCATCCCAGCTGTCTTTCTTGCTGTCGTCTCGTCTTCTTCTTTGTCATCTTTGCCATCTTCACATTTGTTTCCATCTCTATCTTCTTTATCTTGTACTCTCACAGTGATGATGAGCACTCTCCTTTCCTCGTTGTGGGTTGCATGCGGTGACACAAGTATGAGGCTGTTTCAGAGCTGATAAGACTGTGACTGTGATAGGATAACTCCTGTTTTTTGATCCCCTTCCTGTCACCTCAGTTAGCCCTGATTGTGGCTCAGCAGAGAGACAGAGCCAATAACCTGTCTGGGATCCTCCTTACCTCTCTTGACGAAGGACTGAAGAAAATCTACACTGCAGCCAGGAAACACAAGGGTACAATCAAGCACTGAAAATTCAACTTTTCCAACAATCATAGAACATTTGTCACATGGTATATTAGTGAAATCATGACACATTTGGAGTTCAGTCATCTAATCTAAATTTATCATCTTAGTTGTTTACTCTTGAGCCTGTGAGAGGATCAAAAGAAAGGAGGGGCGCGCTGTCTTTGATCATTGTTCAACCTGACTGACAGGATTGAAAGGATATCCTGCATGTGTGAACTTTGTGGTGCCACGGTGTGTGCACATACTAATGCCTGTGAACACAATTACTGCAGATCAATGCGCAAAAAGAGTTCAGTTTTGCCAGCAGGCTATTCTGCACGTCAAATGAAGTGTCTGACAATCAGCTGTCATGCAATCCCCCTCAGCAGTTTCTCTGAACTATCTGTGTGTGTTTTCGGTTAAAGCAAGCGTTCATCTTCCTCGAATCGGCCACTCCACCAAAGGCTTCAACTGGTACGGCACTGAGAGGCTGATCAGGAAACACCTGGCTGCCAGAGGCGTCCCCACATTCATGTATCCTTTCACCCTCTGCAAACACTATTGTTTTCTTATATCAAAGCTTCTGTGAGGAACTTTCAGCTTTTAACTGTTTTGGCACCCCTGGTGGACAAAACAGTCTTCACTTATCTTGTCCTTTAAATGCCTTAAGTAGTGTCTTTTGATAAAGAACCCAGATTCGTTTCAGATTTTGGCATTAAAAACAATGATGTATAAATTGTCAGTCTTCTTCCTGGTGATTTTACTTTACCATAAAAAGCATCATAGTGATTTTAGTCTATCTCATGAACATGAAAAAATTCCTCACAGGAGCTTTAAAAAGATGTTTTTTTGAGACGCTTAAGCTGCCCAAGAAGTTTAATTGCTGTTTAATATTAATCACTACATGTTTCTGGTTGTGTTGCAAAACTCATTAAATTATAAAATAACTAAGAGTGTGCTGGAGGTGAACAGATTGGTTTGATCTTTATTAGATGTTTTGGCTTTTAGTTTGTTTTAGCTGAAGCTCAGCTGCAGATCTTGGTAATAGGTCTTACTCTAAAACGTCTAGTAAATGGTTGGAGACAGGTTTTTCCATCTCCAAAGAATTATGATTATACAGAACATTTTGCAATAATTAAAACCCATGGAGAGATGTGTAGGATTAAATTAAACAGCGTAGGGCTCAAGTTTGGATCTTTATCCATGAAGTCATTATTTCCCTGAACTTGACTGACAGATATTATCACAGCAGATCAGCAAAGAAAACGGCTCCACCTCAAACATCCACCTCTGCACCTTCAACATCAACTTCCTCTTCTGGATCAAATCTGCACACTTCTGGTGGTCCAACTGACGAGACAGATGCAGAAACCCCCGGACCCTCTGTCCCTGACCAGAGCCCCGGCCCTGCGGAGCTCCCCAGCTTCATGAGTGGTGTCCGGGTGTTTTTCTACAACCTTCCTGCATCAGAGAGGAAGAGGCTGTCTCGTTACCTTATCACATATCCTTTCAGACTCAGTGTCTCTGCCACAGAGATGTTTAACTGCAATTATCTCTTAATGTGAGATGAATCATCGTGCACAGTTTATGTCAAAGCATGCATATTCAATTTTAGAACAAGTTTCCAAAGGAGGTGTTGTCTCTCCGTGCTGAGTCATTATCTTTTGTGTGTAGTTTGCGTGATTGTGTGCAGGAAAGAGGTTTGATATCAGCTGCAGTACTACAGATCTATGAATATGATCAGCTCCTTAGCTTCAGTGCACATATGATGGAGATGAAGAGGATGCCATGAGTCCAGAGGTGACTCACATAGTCGCAGAGGTGGAGAACAGCTTCCACACGCAGGTTTGTTACTCACTGACATTTCTCTACCTGACCTCTGACCTCCTCGTTTGCTATTTTGGGAAAAAGAAACAGTAGCTGTAATTATGCAAAATAGCCAAGTTCAAAAAAGCCAGTGGATCTGAATCAACGTTATGACTCCTTTTTTGGAAACAATAATTAAACTGTACTTTATAAATAGAATTATAAATAAAGTAATTATTATCAAATTTGCCCACGGGGATAAATAAAGTTCTTCTTATCTTATATTATCTTATTGTCCTATATAAAGTTATAAATATGGCCAGATGCAAGATGAAATAAAGAAATGGGGCTCTAGTGAATAAATTCATTACCAAAAAAGGCCAAAAAAAGTGCAATACTACAAAAACATACAATGTTGATTTGCCGTGGTTGATTTGTCCCTAATTCTAATAGGGGCATTTGAAACCTGACGGGAATATAAGGGTGCTGTATATGTTTGTCTGACTGTAGGAAGTGAAGGACCTGATCCTGACAGCTTTTATTGAGTTGATTTGAATGTGGTGAATTGGTTTGGTACAGAAAAAAGAAAATTCAGTTTTTCTCATCAGCACTGCATATTTGAAGTAAAAAGTGGCATAACTCAGCTGACAGAATAAAGACTAATAAAATAGCCTCAGAGGAACTTTTGGAAAAACGTGGGCAAGGCTGTTAGTTTTATCCCTTTGCTGACTTTATCCTGTATTCGTAAAAGTAGCGATTTTTTCACATGAATCTTAACTCTATTTAACCTTCAAATGTTAGTCATCAGTCAGCATTAGTGGTTTTAGACATTATAAATAACTAATATTTTTCTCTTTTGTAGGTTATAAAAAGGCACAAATATTAGCGTGTGTTAGCCATTTTAATCACATTTAAAATTGATGTGAAACGCATAAATTATCAAACCACATAGTAAGTAAACTTTATTTATATAGCACTTTCACAGACAAGAAGTCACAAAGCCCTTAGCATAAACAAACAGCGAAAATGGACATTCAAATTTAAAAGGCCAAGACAACAACATTAACAATCATGGCAGCCCCCAAAAAACTAAACAAAAGCCTGGGCACATCACATCACAGTACTCATATTTGTAAAATGAGCGCTTTTCTTACCCAAATTACTCTGATTCATTTTATTTATTTATTTTTGCTGTTGTTTTTGTGTGCAAACCAGGAGCTCCAGGATCTGGTGTGTCAGTACTCTCAGGCCCTCCCGGTGCAGAAAGTCTGGCTGGAGTCCTGCTTCTCCAAACAACGCAAAGTCAACACTGAGCCTTTCATACATCCGCTCAGATAAAACTGCTTCATAAATGGTTTTAAATCTGTAAAATGCTATGTATCAAGTGTGGATGAAACCAGTTTGAAAATGCACTAAATGTCAAAAACAGTTTATACATGCGATTTTAAATGAAAAAAAACCAGGAGTTATTAAAAAAAAAAAAAAAAAACTACAGCTGTGTGAGAGGTTAGTGTCATAAATCCTCTGTGTGTTTGTGGTTGAAGTGGAGCATACTCACTCAGACAGATTGTGGGTTAAGGTGGAGTCTGTCAGAGGGGCGGTGCTGCTCAGCTACAAAGTCAAGACAGAACTCATCTTCAGTGTCATTTTTTCACCTGACTCGAGGAGAGGAAACAACAAGGAAGAACCTCTTTTTACCTGAACAATCTTCACACGGTTTGCCTTAACCGGGTATTTCACCTTCTTCTGCGAACAGGCTCGTGGTTCAGTTACCTGTGGATTAACATTGGTGACGGTAAATTCATTACTGCTTACTAAAAGAACACGTGAACTTGTGGCTGTTTGACAGATTAATGTGAAATAGTTTGTATAGGATTAAGTGCTTTAACTTGAGTAGTTTTTAGTTAAAATCTCTAACTGTGGTGTGAAAGACGTGATATGGAGATAGATGACTGTCGATAATGAATATTGTTAAGACGATTTTGGCAGTTGCAATCCGATTCAGAAATAGTTATATGCGTTACGGTTCTCATTTTCTCTGCAATACCAACAAAGTAATTCACTTTTTAATTTGTAGAGTAGTATTTGTGATACAGTACTTACCAAACATGCTGTTTTTGGTCACATTATATCTTTAATGTTAAAAGACAGGAGTGATAAGTTGATCATGTTGGTTATTAAAATATCGAGATTTCTACATACAGCGCTACACCTGTTCATTAATAATAATAATAATAATAATAATAACAATAATGAAAACTCTTCAGTTTCCACAAATGCATGATTAATATCGTCTGTATCGGCTATTGAAATATAGGCTCTGTAGTCAGCATACAGTAAAAGTAGATGGATATCTGGGTCACCTCAGTCACTCATGGAAACATTTACCTTTGAGTGCGTGTGCTGTGTTTGTGTAAGTGAGTGTCAGCGACCACAGACAAGCGTTAAATGAGTGTGTGTTTACACTTACAGGAACCTACAGGTAAGCCTCCCTAACCTGAGGTTTAAAGGCCTAGATTCATGTTAAGTAGCTGTGTGTAGGCTAACACAGAAATCTCATTTATGCGACCGTTCATTTCCTTTTTTTCTGAAAGAATATGTGGAACAAAACTAAAACAAACAAGCGGTAAAGACGGTCATTTTTATCTGCTTGACATGTGCGAAGTATGGCAGCCTCCATACTTCAGATTTGTGCTTATCCAAAAGGACTCTAGGGATTTTCACCCTATTGTTGTAGCTTTTTTATTTGATTTTTTGATTTTTACATTTTTACAGAAATAGACATACAGTTAAAAATAGCAAGCTTCAAGAGAAAAAAATCAAACAGCAGCTTAAGTATATGTAAGCCTCGTTCAGAGTTATATTTTAGTTGAACCCCAAATACAACGATAATGTACATAAGTATCAAACACACACGAAACAAAAAAAAAAAAAAAGTGCACAGCTGTATTTTGAAATTGCACCCAGAAGATTATAGCTGTGAAAAACTGCTTTAAAAGTATTTTGACAGGCATGTAGATGTTAAATTACTTTACTGCAAATATGTCAAATGCATGGTTAATTTATGCTATAGTGATGTAACACATCATTACTCGTAATTTTTCATGACCAAACTTTTTATCTGTTTGGAAGTTTTGCGGTTTTGTTTTCCATCTAACTGTTGATCGTGTCTATACCCACGTGAGTTAATTTGTCTCTTGTGTATCAAACAAACATTTAGAGAAGAAATCCCCCAGTGGGAGACACTTTCTTATGAACTACATTTCAATTTGAGAGGAAGTGTGGGCTGATATAAAAGCTTCCTTATGTAACTACAATTCTCACTGCTCTGTACTGTGGTCTAAAGTTAAAAGAAAGCTGAAGGTGTTTGACTGAAATATCACTCGTTCTCTGCAGGATTTTAAAGAGCGGCTGTAACCAAACACACATGGATGTCAGGAGGAAGAGGAGGTCCAGTGATGCTGCCTGTTTCAGTCCACTCAGCTTCAGCCACGAATAGGTGAGCAAGAAGAGAAGTCATTTTTGTATTTTTCCCTTTTTACTCATTTAGAAAACAACCCCTTATACCGTATTGGCTCTTCTCCAGTTTAAGCCACTTATGTGACCCCATCTCTGGTCAATAGCTCCAGTGCCCAGTCTTGTCCCTGGTGGTTTTCTTTTCCCTTGGATATCATGAGAACACCGTAATAAAAATGTCAGTCAATTTCGTATACACCAAGTCCCAGGAGCTTGAGTTCATGGCTCCAGGAGAGCATGTTGCCATAGTGCTTTTTCACATTGCTTGACATTTTGCAGAGGTGCAGTCTGGGAAAAGATACTCTTAAATTGAGGAGCTGGCTCGTGGCTTTGCTTTTATAGTGCCAGATGATGTTTTGATATCACTGTTGAAGCCAGTGTGAGTCTGAGTTGTAACGGTCTAAGATGAGGTTGATACATGATTTGAAAAAAGCATTATATCGATAGTTTTCATGGAAAATCAGGAATATTTCTAAAGCTTTTATATCATTCAAATCTTAAAGATGAGCTCAGACAGTGTTCAAAACAGAGTTCAGTTCAAGTGTTTGTTCTCTCACTTATTGGCAAGCACTGTGCATTTATTACAGTCTTGTAGGTACTGGATTTGATTGATGTAAGTCATAAAAAGACTTGACGACTCTTATCTGGCTGAGAAAATATTTGATTGACATCTGTTCAAACATAAGGTATTAGCTAATGCTGTGAATTCAAAGGAAGAGAAAATTAATCAAGCTGTGTTCACAAATCTTGGCAGATCAACGATCAACACGTGCTGCAAATAAGCCGCTGGGTGCACCCAGGCTGTAGGCACTGATGTATCTTTAGAGCTAGCTTTAGCACAGAGGTGTGGTAATACCAGGGGGACCAAGGATAAAACACAACTCTCTTACAGTGGAGCCACTGTGATGTTGGTTAATCATCCCCTCTCTGGATGTTGGTGTTTTTTGAGCAAGAAGTGACTCTATTTGGATAGGAGGGAGGAGCTTGAGAGGGGAGTTTGCAAATGCCCAGTTATCAGTGGTACACCTGTGGAGCCGGTGAATGAGGAACTGGACTTTTATAATTGCTACAGATTAAGATGTTGCTTGTCTGGTTAACTGAAGGTGTTGGAGTAAAAGGCTAAAGACCAAAGAGAGCCAGTGAAATGTTGCAAACATTGACGCACATGCTCGACAGGAGCCAAAGCAAAGTTTGAACCAATATAGCTGACTTAGCTGACTCAAATGAACCTGTTTACAGAGCTCTGCGGATCCCAGTCTTCTATGGGGGTAAAAGCCAACAACAGTCCTGACTCCTAAAAATAAATGAATATTATCATATGTTATTGTCTACTGTTGCTCCATTTTACTGAATGTGTGTATCACCATGAACCACAAATAAAAAGGCTTCACAGTCACAGATAAATGTTTAATTCTTTTAATGATGACATGCAAACAGTTGTGTTTGTGTGTAAGCATCATAAACATACATGAAACAGCAGAAATACTGTTTAATTTGCACCAATTTATTTAATTTAAAAGTAATGACAGACATACTCTCAGAGTTACTGACTGTTTAATCATTTAGGTTGGATAATCATAAAGCCAAATAAAAGTTAAAGTGAAATGTTTGGTTTACTGAAAATGTTTCTCAGCTCCGCCTCCTCTCCTCTCATATCTGTCATCATATGTTATAAGATTGATGAAAAGAAAATAAGTTTTTAATGAAAAGGATGGTTTAGCAATTTAGCAAAGATGCTTCAGTCAACAGCTGCCATGCTGATCGCTTGTCGTCATGCACAACTGCAAGGTTCATCACATTAAAACAGTTGATGTAAATCTCTACTTTCCTTGAGGTGAATCATTTGCTAAAGGAAACAATAAAGGAAGCAATGAAGCTGCTTTCTGGGGGATTTGAAAAGCTCTCATCATGGTGGATACCGAAACACTTCAAGGTTTTTTCACTCAGGCTGGACACACCTGGTGATTTTAGAGCCCATTTTACTTCACACTTTCGGGCTATTGTCCTTTCATTACATAAGTCCAGGACACTTGTAGAGTAACTTAGCATGATTCAGTGCCCAAAAAACTCCATATTTATCTTTTCCTGGTACAGGTAAAACTCTCATTTAAGGACTTTTCTGCCTGGATGGGTTCATTTTGACTGCTTTTCCACAGATATAAAGTTGAATACAACTTGTGGATGTCACTTTTTACACAACTTCGTAATAATAAGACAACTGCAACGTTCTACCTTCTCAGAAAACATCTGAGGCTAGCCTTTTGCCCCTATGTTATCTCCCTGTTATTCATTAGCCACTATAACATTACCCAATGAAATAGTTTATTTAAAGCTTGTGGTTTCTCGGCCTTTACAGTGGGTCTTTATAGATGAAACAGCTCCAGGTTTCATTAACAGCTGAGATCCAAACTTAGCTTGTCCTGGCCTTTGTTTACAAGAGTTACATTAGTAAAGTGCCAAGCATCAAAACAGAGTAGTTGTTGTTGTTGTTGTTGTTGTTGTCCTAAAAATGTTAGAATTTTCCCACTGGTTTCTGCTACCTTTGTCTTTGGGAAGTGAAGATAGTGGTGACTTTCCTTCAAAACCAGAAGAAAACTTCAGAACAACTTTCAAAAACACGGCGAATCAACAAAGTGCAGAATGAAGGAAAAAGATGAGCAGTGATATTGGTTTGACAGGTAAAGGAAATACAGATAAAAGCTCCCGAGTGGGCATATTTTGATGTAACGTTCAATTCAAGTCTTGTTGAGTTCTTGAAATGAGCCAGAAAACACATGCAAGTATTAAGCCAAAATGTGTGTATCTCATGTTTGGAAACTTTGCTTAAGTTTGGTATGGACATCCAACGTTGTAGCATTTAAAATATGGGTTCAGATGTGGAACAGAGAGGCACCACTGCTCTTGTAGTCAAAGTGTGAGCTCTATTGACAGAGGTCATGTCTCCTGCTTTACTTCCTTCCCTCTCCGCTCATTTCCTGCTCTGTTTACTTTCCTATCCCCTTAATAAAATCATGAATGTGACCTAAAATTTAAAATGTAAAATAGGGTCAGAATAGAGGGCCTCTTAAACTATAACTAAACAGATGGGTCAAAGCGATGGTAGAGACAGCGTTTTATAATATTATGTGAATTGTAACTAAGCGCAATTAGAAAAGGGGAGCTGATCCAAAATTTATAGTTACTAAAGGTCTAAGAAGATGTTAGCCTCTGTGTCTGTAAGTTTCTGTAGTAAAACATGAATGTGTCTTTCTGTGTCTTTCTTTTTTTTAACAATGTGCTTTAAATATTTTTTGCTTTATTGTTTCTTCTTGTCTGAGTTTTGATATCTTGGGTAGGGTTAATTGTGTATTTGGTACTGATCCTTCAGAAATGTTTTAAAACTGTCATTCAGATGATTAATAATTATGTTATTTCCCACAGTCACATCAGCCAGCTGAGCAGGTACCTGAACATCCACAACACTCCTGAGGAGGACGATGAGACCATAAGCATGGAAGAGCGAGAAGCCAGTGTCCTCACCAAACCAGAGTCCACCCTGAACTCTGAAGATCCCACCACCCATCCAGATCAGCCCACCTTCCCCAATAACTCCATGTTCAGTCAACACAGAGAGCAGGTACACACCCTGCCTCCACCTGGCCCAAGCTTCAGCGTATATCAGCCTCCTCGCAGTCTGCCTGCAGGGTACAGCCAGCCCACACCGTTCCCCAGCCAGGTACATGACTCCTGGCTCCAACCGAGCCTCACCAGCAGCTGGTCAGGGTATCCAAACAGTCTGCCATCCTGCCTGAGCCAGAAAGATTTCCCCAGCTGCTCTACAGAGAGCTGCCTGTCGGGATATAAGTCTATGTCCCTTCCTGGCAGACACAGTCCCAGTATGAGCAGCTTAGAGCAGCCTCTGTCTCTCTGCTCCAACCCGCCATCCGCCAACCTGTATCACCACACGCTGCCGCCGTACTCCTGCTCACCACAGGGAGCCGCCTGCTGTGCTCAGTGTCCGGTAGACGGCTTCAACAGAGGGCCTGTGGCCAGCAAACACCCTTGGCCTCCATATCAGCAGGGTTACATCCCCCACTGTGAGTCTCTTCAAGGTCACACTTTTTTACATGTTTTTATTTTTTTTGCCTGAAGACACTTGAAGTGTGGAGAGGGTAGTGGGGCAATCATGAAACGGCAGGTTAAACTGATGCGTTGAGGACCTTGCATCTGTATTCTGCCAAGACCAAATGAAAGCTACTGTTGTGCTACGTAAACTGACACAAAAATGACAATAATATACAATAATATACAAGGGAAATAATTAAATCCAAATGCAAAACTTTTTTTATTCAGCAAAAGCTGTAATCCCAAATTTTTCTTTGCAGGTCAGCTGGATCAGACAGGCAATAGCAAACAAACAATAGAGGCAACTGTGCAATAAAGCAAACAACTCAGCTACCTACTAAAGACATGAACAAGCTGACACAAAATAATGGTTCGATGATGATTGAGTACGTTCAAAAGTGATCATTCACACAGCTACAAAAGCAGTCCTGTGTTAAATCATTCTGTGTCCTGTAGTATGCTCACAGCAGTGGACTCCTGCCAGCCCCATTGCACAATGAATAACCGTTAGATATATAATTTCAAGTCACAATCAAGTTAAAAAAATCAGCATGTTTATTTATTACAATTCACATTAAACTGAAAATTTCCATTACAGGCGATGTTAGGGTGAAAAGGACTTCTTCAGGAGTATTACTGTTGACATTCAGCTCCTCGCTGACATGCCTTTAAACAGAAATGATGATGCAACTTGTTTTTCGCAAGTGATGTTTATGGGGCATTTTTGCCTTTAGTTAATAGGACAGCTGAAGAGACAGGAAATGAGAATGAAGCAGGGAAGACAGCTGAAAAGGGTTGTGGCCTGGAGTTCAACCAGCGACCAACGCCTACAGGTCGACTACAGCCTCTGTATTTGGGACGAAGGCGATCAGTGCCCCAAATGACAAAACTTTGAACTGTGTTGCAATTATCATTACTAAAGTTTGTAGAAATCAGCAGCTTAGAGATGCTCCCGCCAGTTCTGCTGTTAGTGCGCGGATTGCAGGACTACATGCATCAGCCTCTCCTCTGTCCATCTCTCTCTTTCTTCATCTCCCTCTCTCTAAACCCAGCACAGTCTCAGCAGATAATTCCCTCTCCCTCTCTTATGTCACTTTGATAAATGCTGATAAGTGTTTAACCCATGTGGTTAAAGATGGGATGGGAGTAGGTCTGATCTTTTAAGATGAAGCTCAGTCTGATCCCATCTTTACATTGGGTCTTTGTAAACAGAGCCTGGTCTATACTCATGCCTTGGGTTTTTGATTCTGTTTTTGCTGCTTTAGATCCTGGTGACTACAGACTCCATGGAGCTCGATACACACACATGTGAGTTTTACTTTTCTGCTCCTTTCATCTAAACTCATACTGCAAGTTTCTAATCGAGGTCAAAATGATGTTTATCTCCCTGCAGCGGTCACAAACCTCCAGCTGCAGAGAAGCAGCCTCCGTGCAGCGCGCCGCTCTCTCTGGAGCAGAGTAAGTGTTCAGATGAGCAGATTACTGTGAGAGCTGCTGCACACTTCATCCGTATACGGTTAATTTATTTTTGTGTTTCTTGTGAATACAGGAAGGGTCTTCGTCACCTATGAAGCCGACAATGACAAACACGTCAACGAGATCATCAACTTTGTTGCTCTGCTGCGACACAACGGCTTTGACACGCATGTCAGTAGTTTTGTTTTTTTTAAGACAGACTTAAGTAATCTGAAAGGCAGAGATCAGCCTCTCCTTCACAATCTAAGGTTGAACATGTAGGCAGGAAGAACTGGATTGGATGTTATTCTTATTTGTGTGTTTACTGACTTCAGTTTTGCTTCAGAACAAAAGTCCAAAAATATCTCATTTAGTTTTATCCACTGTTTTTAAAGAACAATGAATACATTGGGATTTTATTATGCAGAAACAGAAGAGGCTTTTAGCATATTGCTGTTGAACATTTTTTTACTTGACTTAGATTGTAGTTCCCCTCCATTTTGGGTTCAGTTGAGGTCAGTATTTACAGGGGTTTGTTTCTGTTTCATTAGCCACGTGGTTGTGTAGCCTGTAAGTTTGCAAATTTCTATGGCACCAAACTGTTTTATTCTGTGAAAAAAGTGCAGAATTAATCACATCTTGATCTTATATGTTAATCTTTAAACGTCTCCTTTTATTTCAGATCGATATTTTTGAGCAGCAGTTCAGAAGTATCAGCAAGATAGACTTCATGGAGCGATACCTCAGTGAGGTAAAAACAGTCACATCTGTATCAGCCTAAAAGTTCAGAAAAAGGAGACAAAAGTCTGAAATATTCTGAATCTTTTCTCCTGCATTAGTATTGTTTGAATGAGAATGAATTAAGCCGTGTTGTTTTGTCTGCTTCCCCCTTCATCCAGAAAGAGTACCTGATCATCATCATCATCAGCCCAAAGTACTACGAGACGGTGACAGCCTCACCTGTCGGCCTGGAGAACGACGAGAGGACGTTCAACACCGTCTACATCCACAAACAGGTTTGACAGTTTGTTTTTATTTTGTATTTTATTCAAAATGGACGATGCAGCTCAAATTGTACCATCACAGAGTGTACACTGTGACAGAGTGTACACTGGTGCTCTGATTAGAGTTCATCACTTTGTAAACTGTTTATCACTTATCTTCAGACGCTTGTGGGTAAAGGTTTCAGGCCCAGTTTGATGATAGCATAGAGTGGTTTTTAATATGACGTAGATTATGTCTTTCTAGTTTGTTGCAGTCATATTTCTAGGCAAAGCTTTTGTCTAGGATTTAAGGTTCCTGGGAGATGGGGGTTTTTGATTGCAGATATTAAGGCTTTAGCTTGTGCTATCACATTTTGTTTTTAATGCCTAAAAACTGGTGTGAGGGGGTAGGTGTCAGCCGAGCAGCTGAAGAAACAGGCGTGTTTTTGCAATTTCCACATTAAGTATTTACACTAACTGAAACATTGAGCAGTAAAAAATCAGCTGGATGAGATTTTTGTCAGAAGACACTACTCAAGCATATAAAGGATGAGGTAAGCAAGGACCAGTTTGTCCACAGGCGGCGCCAAAGTTGACAAAAACTTAAAGTTTCTCAAAGGAGCTTTAAATAATCGCAACATTTCCTTCTTTTTATACTCTAATCTTTATCTTCACTCTGGGTTTTGAGCCTTGTATTTTGCATATTTTTGTAGGAATCACTGATGGTGACTGAGCTGCATATATAGTCCTCAGGTTGGCAGTATGAAAAGTATATGGTGGAAAATATGCAGTTAAAAAAGATAAATAGCTGTGAAAATATAGAATAAGCTTTGAAGTGAAAGGATATCGGATCTTTGAAATGTCATGGTGCTCCCACACTTTGTAAAATAATGATATAATAGCACAGCAAATAAAGCTTTTAATAGTCTCTATTTAAAAAAAAGGCTTGACACAAAAAGATAAATTCAAAGAAAATTCAAAAGGAGATTTTTAATTCAAATTTTCCGTTTTTAAAAAAAGTGGAAATATAAAACTAAGTTCCAGGACAGAGGAGTTGATCTTTAGAGTTTTTGACTTGACTCACAAAATCAAAAACTTTTTTTTTCTCCCAGATTGAATTTCAGTGTCTGCTCTTATACCTCTCTGTCTCTAATATTCTCTATATTATGATGTGTGCGCCTTTCAGCTCCAGAATGAGTTCATCCAGAATGGAAGCAAGAATTTCAGGTTCATTCCCATCGTCTTCCCCGGGGCCAAAAAGGTAAGAGAGGTTATAAATGTGTCACGCTGCTGTTTCTGCCACTGCTGCCAAACACATACCACACATATGCACGGTATCGCATCATCAACTAAACATACTGTGTTATTACCTATACACCTCACACACACACTCTCCTCTCTTCGCAGTGCCACGTCCCAAACTGGCTCCAGAACACACACGTTTACGCTTGGCCACGTGATCGAGACGACATCCTGCGGAGACTGATGAGGGTGGAGAAATACAACCCTCCACCTGTTGGGGAGCTTCCCACCATTGTCTCCATCCCCATAAATATAGGCCCTGACCTTTGATCTCTGACCTGAACACACACACACACATACACACACTGGACTGAACTCTTTGCTGAGGTGAAGGCTGGACGTGCATATTTTATCTCCTGAGTTTGACTTTTCGCTGTCTGAACTCGTCTTTAGGTTTTTTGTTTCATACGTTTAATGAGTTCCTTTAAAATCCTCATAACGCACAGAAAGAGAGAGTTTATGATATTTCTGTTCTGTACATCTCATCAGTGTGTATGATTTCACCTCTCTACAGTCTGTTTAAACTGCAGAACATCACGAGTCATGTTCACTGGTGCTTACTCATTGTTTACTCTCACAGTCTGAACATGTTGAGCTCAATTTATACAGTCATGCATATATCCTACTAAATTAAAACTGTTTATCGAAACACACACATGCGCGTGCTATACGATTAAATATTTGACAGATATGATTAAAGCTTTGATGACTGGATGTTTGCAGAGCTGACCAGCACAGCTTTCATTAGCGGGAAGCAAACAGGCAGGCGTCCCGCAGATGAAGGCTGCCTGAGATTTTATTGTTTTTATTACTGTAACTGTGAAACAGCTGCAACGCTGCACACAATAACTAAAATAGAGATGCTGTTTACCCTGACTTTTATGACTCTTCTTGGCACAAGCTGAATACTACAGACAGATTTACAACCCCAGCTCCAAAATGGTTTGAATGTTATGTAAAATGTTGTTAAAAGCAGATTGTAAAAGTTTGCCAATCATTCCAACCCTATTTCTAATTAAAAATAGACAATCAAATAGACATATCCAATTTTGTAGTTTAATTACAGATGTCTGTTCATTTTAAATTTGGTACCAGCAATGTCTTTCACAAAGTTTGGCCAGGGACATGTTTACCATTATGTTGCATTAACAACCCTCTGTGAATATTTGGGGGTCCAGGAGAGCTGATTTTGAAGTTTTGAAGTTTTGATTTCAGCGCCTCAACACTTCAGGGTCTGCTTGGTCATGTTTTCGGTTTCACGATGCTCCAAATGTTTTCAATGGGGGACAACTCAGGACTGCAGGCAGGTCAGTTTGGCATCTGGACTCTTCTACTATGGAGCCATGCTGTTGTAATACCTGCAGAAAGAATGAAGAATGGCAGCATATGTTGCTCCAAACCTGTACAGTTTAGCCTCCTAGATGTGAGAGCCACCTGTCATAGGCAAAAACTGTGTGCTAATAAGATGCAAGGTGATCCTTCTAATATTATGGACACAGAGGACAGTGGTGCCCCAAAGAACGTCAGTCATCAGGTCACAGTAGTTTTTCACTTCACCTCAGTCCGTCTTTAATGGTCTGGGGCTAAAGATGTTTCCATTATTTCTGCATCATGTGGTTTCTTTTTTGCATTGTGCAGTTTGAACCTTGATTTGTGGATGCAGCAATAAATTGTGTTCACTGACATTTCTATGTGAGGTGAGTTTGAGGCCATGCAGTAACTTCCACTACAGAGTCATGTTGATTTTTACAGAACAGAGCCATCCAGTATAAGTTTTTTGGTCCTGTCCCTTTTGTACAGAGCTTTTTTCAGATTCCCTGAATCTTTTAAACTTGTCTCCTCCTGTAGGTGATGAACTCCACATATTCTCTGCAGTTTTCGACTGAAATTGTTTATTTGCTCACAAAGTCGTGAACCTCTTCCCATCTTTACATCTGAGAAACTTGAATTCTCTGGATGTCTTTATTGTACCCAGTCATGATACTAACCTGTTGCAAATTAATCTGATTGGTTGGAAATATACAGATATTTTTCGGCAAAGTTAAAAAGTGGTATTAAAGTTAAAATGAACATACGTTTTTCATTACAAGTTTTTAGTTTTAGCATTTTATAAGTGGTCTTTGCACCATGTTCAACCAAATTTGCAAATAATTTAAATCTGCTTCAGTGTTGACAGATCATCCCATTTGAAGTGGTAAAAAGTGATAGAAGAGTAGAGCACACTGGTGTCTCCTCTGTAAAACATTCATCCTCATGACAGTTAACTGACAACAAGCAGAGACCTGAAACGTTTGCCTGCAGGCCTGTCAGACATTTTTGAAACACCAAGCTGCATTTTTCTGTTGGAGGACAAGGCCTCGGAGTGACAGTCAGGGTGCGCTTTCTCACTTGAAACACACACTTTTGAGTTTGTACTTTTTCAGGAGAGACTTATAGCAGAGACTCTCTGGTGGCTTGTGTGGAAAAGTTCAAACAGGAAACCGTATGGAGATAAGACGCTGACACAGCCACCTGCCTGCTGTGTGGTACGGCTTCTTGAGAATCTGCAAGTTTAGTCTGAAATGGGTCAGCACAACTTGTGTGCGGTAAGAGAGCAATTACATGTGACACACTTAAAAAAAAAAATGTGTGTGTGCAGAAAACACAGCGGCAAGGCTGATTAAAACGCCGAGATGTGGTTTAATGGTTTTATCTTCACGAGAGGTAACACTGCAGATACAGACATCATAAAAAACAATCTGAATACAGTGTTCATATATTCATCCTTATATTGAAAAGTACATGAAATAATATTAATTTTAATAACATAACAACAAAAGGACAACAACATCTGTAATAAAAGTGGATTACAAAGTGACATTTGATGTAAATAACTCTTAAGAATTAGGTAACAGAAAACAAATCAGTTCCATTTAACTGTATGTAAAAACATTGAAGTGCTATTTGTTCAAAGCTACAAAATACACTTAAAAAGCAGGAAGCGTTTTTAAATTTCCTTCAAGGAAAAAGTACTATAAAATAAGTTACAGTACAGTGAATTTGTCCAACTTTTGTTCCCGTCTTCCAGCTTTTTGTAAGCACAAACAGAACAGACAGGAGGAGGAGAGAAACGCTGAGTCTGAGCGGCTGTCGGTAACTGTTTCTGAAGCGTGTTCTAGTTCAAAAAAGCCGCTCAGACTTCTTCTGAAAAGGTGAAACATTCGGATCTGTTTGCCATCCTGCCTGCGTCCGTGGTAGAAAGAACTTTGTACTTCATGAGCTTAGAATATTCCACAAATACTTCATGTTTAGTCACAGAGGGGAAGCTCTCATACGTCGTCGGCTGGCAGAGGAGGTATGTTGAACCTTGGTCTGGTGAAAAAGGCCATCTTCTCTCTGTAGAAAAACAAACATCACACATTAAATCTCTGAATGAAAGCCTTTCATCCTGCTCTATGATGAGAAATAAAATGCATTATTACATGCCTCCACCTGCTGCTGAACAGAGAGAAGACATGAACACAAATCTCTGTAGGAAATGCAGAATATGGATGCTCGGGCAGAAACGAAAATGAAACAATCTTTCCACCTACAAACAATTCTTAGTCAGTTTTCAAGAGCTGGACTCAATCTTTCCCTTGAGTCCAGAATTTGTACTCAAAGAATGGCAAAGAAATCAACAGTCTTACCTTTTAAATATAACAATCACTACTCCACTGTTATGAAATCAAATACCAGTTCATCCCATCTTTGTCTTAATCACACAGAGATACCAACAACAGAAAAGGACAGGCAGAAAAAGGAGAGGCAGCAACGGGCAACCGGGGTATCAAACCCATATGGCTGTGCCAAGAAACCAACTCACCAACATGTGGTGTGATAAGTTTCTTGCTTAAATAACCGGTGTTTTAAAGGTGGAGAAGTTTGCAATAAGTTACAAGTCATCAGGATTTTGCTCCTTTCACAGAAAAGCAGTTTTAGAGACAATATAACAGACATTTAACAGAAAGAAACTAAAATCAGCACCTGAAGCTGCTCAGCTGGAAACTATTTTATTCTTTGTCTTCATGATTTAAAGCTGTCAGTGATATTTTTTAATCCCCTGCCTGTTTTGTCCTCTTTTGCACACTACTGTCAACTGCTATTGCTGCTGCCGTGAGGGGAAAAAAGGACACCACTGCACTTCTAAATGACACATTTCACTCTAGAAACTTAGAGACGGCTCTGTTGGAAAGTCAAAAGTGATATGCATTTTGTGTCAAACAGACTTGCACCATCTTTGAAATAGTTTAAATTCAAGTTTTTAAGCACCCCACCTACCAGCTAAGATTACAGATGCAGCTTACCAGACGTCCTCTGGTTGGCATATTGAGATGTGCTGTATCAATGCATAGAGCAAAAGTTTCCACATACAGGACTTGTATGAAACAAAGAGCAACTGAACTGGAGCTCCTGGAGAGTGCATATGTGGATCTTTGTGTGTCGGTAAGAAATTCAATTATTGTGGAAAAACTGAAAACCAGGTTGACATTGGCCACCTAACAGTTTACACTGCACCACCTCTTTGTCAGTGGACCAATCACGAGGCTGAAATCAACGAACTCTAGAGATAACCTGCTCCATGAAAAACCTCCAAAAACAGAAATGTAGGAGTTGTTTCACTGCAGTAGTTTTTAAAACTTGAAGCTACAATATCTTGGCATAAACCTTCAATAATATAAAGTGCACATACTGCGCCCTTCACAATATGAAGTCATGGTGGTGGTACTGTTTTTGACAATCTTAAGGAGGTGAAAATACACACAAAAAAAACAACCTTCAAAAGGCTGTTAAGTCTGAAGTCACCTGAGCTGTCACATGTCCCAAGATATTGCAGTGCTGTGTGTTTAAAAACAGGTCATGTAAACAGAAACTGTGTGTGTAGGAAACCCCTGTTGGGCTTTATGGTGGTGCTTTGCTCTGTAGTTTATGCAACTCCTTTCTCCTGCTAAAAGTGTCAGACTGGTGTGTTCAGCTGCCATGGACGGAATTATTTCAAATAGTTGCTGAAAAAAGGTGAAAAGCACACGCTGGTGTAAAGGCAGAAAAAAAACAACATTTCTGCCTTACACAAAGTTGACTTTGTCTCCTATTTTGATGACAAATGTGCCTTTATTTTGAGAGGACACAAAAGGTAAATTTTTATAAATGACAATAACTGTGAAAAATGTTTGATGTATCAGCCACCCTGGAGAAGGACAAGCCCTCAAGACGTCTAAATCTTGTCCTGTAGATCTCTCTGTTATATTATGAGCAGGTGTGGAGACACTACTTGCCACCCAGATGTGATGGGCGGATAGGAATTATTCAGTAGATCACTAATAGCAGGTGGAAATCCTGTATTAACTGAAAGAAAAAATGCTATAATGGCAGGGAGCACGAGAAACTTCTGAGCTTCTCCCTTCAGAGGTGTTTCCAAATCTAACATGAGCGGTCAATAAAAAATGGGTATAAATACCAATTTTTCATCATCCAGTGATTCCTACTGTGTCTGATTTTCAACTATCTGGTGAGGCACTGTTACATCTTTGAAGGTGTTACTCCATCATTAGGAGTTAAAATTAAGTTTGAATTTTAGCTTTAAAATTACTTTTTAACTCCACTGTGGTAAAAAGAGACTTGACATTAGGCTCATATTCCCCATTACTCAATCAAAAATGCTTCAACCTCCATTACTCTGATTTTTTTCACATCTCCAGTGTTATATTAAAAGCTGATCAGAATCACCTGAATGTCTGCACGGGCAGGGGCTCCTTCTGGCTCTGCCCCCTCATCTTCAGAACCTCTTTGGAGGCCTTCCTCAGCCTCCTCTCTGCCGCCTCCTCCTGACGCTGCTCCTGCTTACTCTGACCAGCCTGCAGCAATAAAACAAAGGAGTTAACCTAAGCTGGGTGAGGCCTCACTTCAGGTGACTCATCGCTGGCTGGGACACTCACCTGTCTCTGGGCCTCTCGGAGCAGGCAGCGGAAACGTTCGTCCCTCAGGGCCCAGTGAGGGAGCTCTGTGTCCTCCCTGACATGTGGCTCCTCGAGTCTCAGCTTCAGCTCCCTCAGGGCACTCAGCTCTTCCATCAGCTGCCTCTGACGCGTCCTACAGGCTTGGAGATCCAGCTCCAGGTCCAGGGAGGTACGCGTCGGCTGCTCGGCCAAGGAGGAGCGGTACGACTGCTGCTCACACAAACACAGACACAAACATCTCAGAATAGGGCTGGGCGATAAACCAAAAATAAATATACTGATACCAAAATGTACTCCAATAACCAACATCATTTTGTCCATGTCATTTGGTGTAAAAATAAATAAATAAATAAAAGTTGGTTTTGGATGTGTGTCTTATGTCCCTTTACGATGCTGTACTACGTCAGAGATTTGACTCCAACCCATCCAGTCCGTAATACAGAGGAAAAGACAGGTGAGGAGATGGAGGACGGTTCAAAAGTTGTAGCGGCTGGAGCAGCAGTTGAAGTAGACCAAATAATTGTTTGAGGAGGTGAGCATCTTGTGGAGCAGTTATCGTCCATTTATCATTATTGAGGTGAACTGCTCAAAATGTCATGATATTGATTTGAGGCCATATCATCGGCCTCATCTCAGAAACATGATACCAAACATTTTCAATCATGAATACTACAGAAAATGAAAAGGCTTTACCTGTTTATACCGCAACGTTCTTCTTTCCAACGTGTTCCTGACAAAGGGGGTTTTCTTTGGTAGAGTCGAGCTGTCGCTGTCGCTACGATACAACTGACAGAAAAACATTCACGAAATGTTAGCAAATGTTCACATAAAATGCAGACTTTTTTTAGAGCATTTTTGCAAAGACTCACCCTGCAGACATACTGACTCCTCGCGCCAGGAGAGAAGGTCTGAGAGCGAACGATGGTGCTGCCTCGCATGAACGGCGAGGCATGACCCCAGCGACCACCTCTCTCTTTGGCCCGGACTCGCACCAGCTCTGGGAACAGACCTTCAGTCATGGTGGCCTTCTCCACCTGCAGCACATATTAACACCAACTCAAATACATCTTCAGTCCAGGCTCACACATGTTGGAGTTGGAGTTCTGCTCTCTCCTCGAGGATTCTCAGGTAAAGAAATAATACTTTTGTTCCCCATCCCTCCTTTCAGTTCTGCATGTCCTCACAGAGCTTACGATGTCTTATCATATTTGTAGAATTGAGGGGTAGTGAAGCTCTCTGTTTAAGTACATAGTTGGTTTAAATTTGGTGAGGAGAGGAGATTTTTACCTTCACTGTAGAGACTTTGCTTTCTATCTGATCACAGCGCCCCCCGGTGGTGTTGCAGATGCCCTCTGCACACAGGCCCTCTGAGCATGCAGCTGTGAATGCAGTGCTGTTGCTGCAGCCGCTGTCCACCGACTCTGCCTGCCAACTCCTGCAACCACAAACCCCCTGTCATTTTCAACACATGAAACAGGCAAAAAGAAGCACTTTCATACAGAAGTGTGCATTCACTTACAAAAAAAATGGAAACGGTTTTATTGAGTAATTTTTTTTCTTTGATTTTTTGCTGTTTTGAACTATTTTTTTTCTTCTCTCTGTTTTTCTGACAATTTTTCTCCTGTTTTTTTATACTAAATTTTTTCCCCTCTGTTTTTGGGACAAATTTTTATTCTTTTTTTTGTACCATTTTTTTTCCATCTTTCTGTTTTTCGGGCAATTTTTGTCTTCTGTTTTCGCACTAATATTTTTCCCCCTATTTCTGTTTTTCGGAAAAAAATCTGTTTTTCGTACTATTGTATTTTTCATCTTTCTTTTTTTCTGACAATATTTTTCTTCTGTGTTTTTTGTACTAATATTTTTCCCCCTCTTTCTGTCTTTAGGACAAATTTGTATTCTGTTTTTCGGACTATTTTTCTTCTTCTGTTATTTGCACTAATATTTTTCCCCCTCTTTCTCTTTCTTTGTTACATTTTTTTTTCATCTTTCTGTTTTTCTGAGTATTTTTTTACCGTGACTAAACGAGGTATTTCAAAATCCTGTGAGAATCCTCACACAATCAGATGACGTTAACCACTGCAGTTACTCCAAATCAGTGGATTCTCCCGCTCCTAGATAACTCCAACGCCGGGGTCAATAAGATTAAAGCATGTTATTAGTTAAACACTGGGTATGCAAAAGAAAGTAAAAATTGATTACACTAAACAAGGGGGCCATGTTTGCTTCCAATAAATCGAGCAGAGGGGGATAAAAGCTTCTGTTTTTAAATGATTGTGATCCCAGAGAAGAGGATAAACAATTAGTCTGAAAAACAAAACCAAAAAGAAAACAGTCTGAAAAACAGAAAAGAAAAAGAATTACTCTGACACATGTAAAAAAAAAAACCTCTGAAAAACAGAGCTTTTTTCTGTTTAAGGGGAGGGGGAGTGAATGCAATACGCTTCCGTACTTTTCTAAAAAAGTAAAACATTAAAATATGATCACCTCTCAGACGCCACCTCCACAGGCTCATCCTTCTTCTCCAGCTCAGCCTCCCGCTCCTCCAGGTGGGTGGAGGTGGTGCTGGTGTTGGTGGTGCGTGACAGCACAGTGCATACAGTATCCTGTAATGTCACAGAGCAAACGATCACATCCTCACTCACATTGTCAACATTCCTCCTCAGCCTGTTTGTCCTGTGAGACACATTCCTGTCAAACAGTCTCTTGAGCGAGCTGTGTGCCTGGCTGCCTGCACACTGAGGCCTGAAAACTATTCTGCAGAGGCCTCACTTCAATCATTTCAGAACAGCTGATTGGTTGTTGCTAATCCCTACAGTATTGTTCTAGCAGGAGGATGCATTTCAGGACTCTCCCCTTTCAAGTCCTGACATGTCCTGACTCAGGTCCACATTATCTCATCACTCTCTCCTGATCAGCCGAACCCTCTGCATGGTTTTCATTCCTTGCTGAGCAGTCACAAGACGATTACAGAGAGAGGAGAAACATTTGTTACACAATCACTGTTTGATCCTGCAGAAATCCTCAAGAGCTCTGTGTCTCTTTAACCTTTTAATCTTTCTGAATTTACATATTGCTTCACAAAGGAGGCAACGTAAAGCAGACAGGTCATAAGATAATCTGCAGAATGATGATTAAAAAACAAAAATCAATTTCAAGAAACTCTCAGACAAAAACAACAAAAAAAACACTTTAAAGTTCCCCTGAGGAGGTTTTAAAGGGATATTCTGGCATAAATTTAAATTAGGGTCAAACACACTGTAACACCGAGTTAGACACCCCCTTGAGAGATGAATGTTGCCGACAGCTTGCTTCTCTAGTAATACCAACTTTAGTAACGACCGTACGACAGCAATACACAGCGGTCTATGTATCTACACACAAACCGCAACCAAAGCCAGACGGTCACCGAGTGCAGCGGGGTTTCGCAGCTCAAGGAAGAACATTTATAATTATTACTTCACTGAAATGACATTAGTTCTTGTGAATCTTGTATGTGCACTGCAGATGTGGTAGTTCTTCTGCCTTCGCGTCTCGGTCCGATTGCATTTCCATGAAGTAAATTTTCCATTGCACTCGGTGATCGCCTGGTCAGGGCTCCCCCACAGACAAGCGGTCGCTGGAGGAGAGTAGGTGAGTTGTGTTTGGTCTCTTTGCTGAAGAAACCAGGCAAAGCTGAAAAGATGTTTGATGGCTAGTACTATGGCTAGGACCCTGAGCATTATTTGTGGCCTTTGAGTGGCTTTTTGGTTAAGGGTTGTGCATGGAGACATAGACCGCTGTGTATTGCTATCCTGCGCACATTAACAAAGTTAGTTCATCTCTGGAGAGGGTGCCTAACTCGGTGTTACAGTGTTATTGACAGCGACTTAAATTTACACTAAAATATCCCTTTAAATCCCCGTGAAACAGGTACTGAACACGTGTCTTTGTGCTTACTGAGGCTCTATGTCTTTGCTCGTCCTCCTGGCTGTCTTGGTGTCTTCGATGACTGAAGCTCTTCTGTTCAGTTCGGTTTAACTCCGGCCCGCTCAGCAGCTGCACCCTCAGCCAGTGGTAAACCATCTCTGCACTCCCCTCACACTCAGCCAGGCTCAGCTGGGCTGTACCCTGCAGAAAATCTTATTATTAAGACACAAACATAAACCTGTCAACATCTCTGTGGTACCGTTCAGCCTCTCAGACCCACCAGCAGTTCCTCCTGAGCCTGAGGTCCCAGTGAGCAGACGGACAGCTGCAGCGCACACACCGCCAGGGCGTTTGCAGGGACAGGAATGCGAAAGCCTTCGTTGAAACTCATCTGAGACTGCGGCTCCAGAGCCGTACAACAGTAAAACGCACAGGCCCTGCCGGCGTCCAGTGGAATCAGGTGCACCTTCACATACCTGAGCAGGAGCAGAGCAGCATGAAAATACTGAGAGCAGCATCAGTGTAAACAGTAAACTGTCACTTACAGCATCACTGATACTCACACTTTATAACCGTCTCTCACAATGGACCTGTTTAAGTTCTTGAGCTGAAGCAGATGAAGTCGCAGAGACTGAGAATTTGACTCCCATCTATGAAGAAAGTGCAGGATAAAGATTTAAACCCTAAAAAATAATTTAAAAAAAGTTTCTTTCCACAGTCACATGACCAATTTACTCACAGAAGTCCCAGTTGGATCTGAGTGGGCTCACTCACAGACGTCAGCTCTTTCATGTATGAAATCTCATCAGACTCCTCGGCCCTGTTGAAGAAAAAGGAAAGAAATAAAATTACAAGAGAAGTTCAGAAACTCCCTCTACATATGACCCTTTTATTAACATATAAAAACTGTGTTTGCTGCTCTGCCACAGGACCAAATCCAGATTGATCTGAGCCAGATCAGTCATCAGGGTCACAAACTAGGCATCAACTTTATTTTTTGATGCTTCCCTCGTCATACTGGGCATTAGCCCCTGAAAATATAAATATTATAACAAAGGAATAAATGATAAATAAACGTTTGGCATATTGAACTCCGCTTGTAAGAAAGATATTACTAGATACTGGTTATGTCCTGAAATCCCCACTACAGAGTGGACTGATACCATTAATGACATCTGTGTTATGGAAAGGATCGCCTTTTGTTTGCATCTACAAAAAGATGTTTTTGTGAAATGATGGACGAAATATGGAAAGGCTCAGCGACCAGATTATATGGCGCCGACAACAACTGTCATCACACCAACTGTCAAACTAAGCAGCACAGGTGTGTGATAGAATGATGTTTGATTAAACACAGAACAGAGGTGCAACAAACACCACATCCACCACAACGAGTGAATCGACTGCATCGTAAAGCTGTGCACACTAAGTATGAAGATGGGGTGTCTCTGGACTGAAGCAATCCATCAGACTGATTCCAAACCTCATGGTTTGGTAAGTTCTTAGACCTCAAAGCCAAACATTTAGATCTAAAAATATACATAAAGATAGTCATACTTTAAGATCCTCCTTTTTGTGTTGATTCAGATTATAAGAGTGCTTTTTAAGGTTTCAGAGTTGACACAGGGTGGCAGCATTCGATTCTTTTTTCATAAAGGATTTAACCTTTAAAATCACTTGTTGTGTTGCATGTCTTTTAGACGTCACAAGGAGGCGCCATTGCTCCAGACAGCTGGGTTGTGACATCCATATTTGGGAGATCGACCGCGTCTCACCTTCTGCCCCAGGCCTCGAACACGCCGCTGTCTGTGGCCAGAGCATCCTCAGAAACACCTGCAGAGACCCTCCTGGCCCTCCTGCCACTCCTGTTTGCGCTGTTTCCCCTCAGAGTCACTCCTACAGAAGAAAACACACAAGGTTGATCGTCAGGTGGGTTTTTTTTATCTCAAGAGACAAAATCAGGTCTCCTCCACTTACCTGTCGAGGTGAAAGCCCCCTGAGCAGTAGTGTCTCTGTGACCCACAGCGATGGAGGTCCCTGTGTCCTCACTGCCCAACATGGCTGTGTGTGCGAGTGGCTGGGACTGAGCCCGTAGACCCTCTAACAGACCGCGCCCTGCCTGCTCCATGTACTCCTCTGTCATCTGGGTGAGGGGACAGTCCTGAGGGGCTGAGTGGTAGGGAGTGTCCATGGGTGAGCTGGGCGGTGACAAAGAGGAGAGCGAGGAGCGGGAGGAGAGCGAGGCCAGAGACTGTGGGGTATCGTGGGAGCGTTTGGGTTTGCTCTGGATCAGGGGGTCCGGAGTGAACATGGAGCAGTCTCTCGACACAGCCTCCAGAGGCAGCAAGTAGCGTAGATGTGGGTCAAGCAGCTCCCCAGAACCCTCATGGCGCTCGTATTGTGGAACGCCGTAGATGTCACTGAAGCTGATGGAGCTGAGGGAGCCTCTGCTGGACGCCAGCGAGCCTCTGCTGGAGGCCAGAGAGCCACGGCTGCTGCTGGACGACACCGTCAGGGAGCTCGCTGACAAGCTGAGAGTAAAACAGGTGAGACACTGTGAAAAACATGTCAGGGGTCACTGCAGAAAAAAAATACAAGTTTAAAATGTGCGCTGCACCTCTTCAGCTGGGAGTGAAGGTAGGTGGTGATGCGAGTCGCCTCCTCCAGCTGCCTCAACAAAACATTTCTCTTCTCTTGCTGCAGAATCCTGCCATCAGAAACATGCATCAACAAAGATATCCAGCTTTCATCCAGGTCTCAATCAACAATCATCACCTGGTAGTTTGCTGCTTAAGATGATGATTATGACATGAAAGACCCACTCCGATGAAAATCACGTTTTTTTTGTTTTTTTATATGTTTATGTGGCGTTTTCTGATGCTATAGTACATATCATGAGAAAACGAAGTGTGAAATTGAATTTCTGAATATTTCTTCATTCAAATCGCTGTTAACCTCTGACAGACCCAAACAGCAGGTTCAGACACAGTGAGATCTCCTTCATAGCAAATCCAAGCGTCGCCACCGGAGACCAGCTATGCAGGCCAGACTCAGACAAGTAGAGAGGACAATTGTGGAACAAGCGTGTGCTTAAGCGGATTGCAATGCTCGTAAGAAAGCTAACTATCATATTAACTTTCATCATGTCCCCAAAGACATTTGTGTCCTGGGAACCATGTTACCTGCCACTTCTACCACACTGGCAAAGTTAGGCTGCAAGCGAGCATGAAGAGGAGTGTGCAGAGCAGCGCTGTCTCTGCCCACGACTCGGAGGCAAATTGCTCATGATCTATTGGAGCTCTGCAGAAGAAAAGTCCTTGAAAATGACACAGGTTACGTGATTTTGGCTAAAAAACTTCAGAATCACAATTTAAACACTGATAACACTTTAAGTAGTAAAAAAAAAAACGATTGGAGTGGAACTTTAATGACATGACAATGAGATTGTGGCTTCATGATCATGATATGTTGTTTGATCACTGTTTTGATGATGACATAAATAATTAAAATCCCAAAACATTGCCTCCAGCACTACATGGCAGCACCTCTGTCCAGTATGAGGCACTGCCGTCATGCTGTCCCCCTTTGTCTACATCTTTGCTTATGTTGCACTTCCTCTCAAATTTAGTGAAAAGCATCTGCTAAATGAAACTGCATCACTTCAGATATCATCTCAGAAGCAGCTTACCCTTCATCCCTCTCACCTCTGATTGGCTCCCTGGCTCTGGGAGCTTTGGGCTCTCTGCACCTCCTCCTCCAGCCTGCAGCGCTCCTCCTCCAGCTGCAGCAGCGTCTCTGGAGGATGCTGCTGTTTGCTGACCAGGATGATCTCCTGCAGGAGGGCCTCTTTCTCACGCAGGAGCTGCATGAAGTCCCGGTCTCTGTCTGCCTCGGCTCGCCCAGACCAGCTCTCACTGTCCAGCTGTGCGAGCTGGTGCTGAATGCTCTGCACCCTGAGTAAACACATACAGGACTGGACTGAACATTGTTTTTTTTTTTTTTTTTTAAATTACTGTGTGACTGATGAGTGATACTTGCTGTTCAATTTGATGAGTGAATACCATCTTCAGTGTTAAGTACAGGCACAGTGTGTTTTTGCATTATGGCAGAATCAGCTGCATGTAACACCACATATTTGAGCTGCGACTGTAATGACAATTTTCAACACTCTAATTTCTACTTGAGCTGCAGAGCTGCATCAGCCAGCAGTCCTACAGGTGTTTGTATCAGCAGGGCATTTGTTCAGTCAGTAAAGTGTGATCTCAGCAGGGCCTGAGTCCTCCGCTCTGATGAAATAACTGTGTTTATGAGTGCTGGATTTCAGACAGAGTGACTCAGTGACAGAGCATGCAAGTTTCCACAGGTCTCCCCTCTCTCCCCGCTGATGTCATGGTTGGCATTGCTGTTGCTGGGTCACCAAAGCAACATGAATCTTGTGCAAAGTGTGCACAGAGCTGGAGTAACAACACAGTAAGTCTTGCTGCAACACTTGGGAGTACACTGTTCAACAAGACGATACACGATAATACACGACCCCTGAGCCAAACCTGTGCACTGGACTGGTCTGAAAAAAGCCAGAAAAACACCTAAACATGCATATGATTATTGATTATTATCTATTATTATTATTATTATTATCTAAATTGGCATAATTTTTTCTGTCCTTGAAGTTTGTAAAAACAATCTCTTTTTTGTTAAACAGTTGTATGTGGACTGCTATTGTGGGTTGTTCAATCAAATCAGTCATATTATTGTGATTTTTAACACCAAACTGGACTTTTATTGCTACAATTATCATCACAAGTTTTATTCATATGATTAAATTTTTAGTTATTCAAACTGACATTGGTCCTGATCAGCTGTTGGTCATTCTTGTTTTATGATAAACTCCCCTTCCTAATGCTGCTTTACTTGAACTGTTATTGTCTGTTATTGTCTCGAACACGCCTTGTTGTGTACGCTGGGCTATGCTTTCAGAACATGATATATTTATGTCAGAGGCATCAATAAAAATCTAACTTCATAATTCTGTAGGTCATAAAAGAATGTATATCAGCACTTATCGGTATCTGTTGGATCTGATCTGCTGTCCTTTAGGATAGAAAAGCGTGTCAAAATATAAGAGGATGTTAATGTTACTTGAAAGCAACATCTGCATACTGGTCCTTCAGTCTCTCTCTCATTTTTACCAATATGATTGGTATTGTGGTCACAAATCTGAATGATCTGATCTGTGATGTCGTTCTGTTTGTTTCCATCTGTCTCTGTCCCACTTCCTCACCTAATCCTGCCACTGCTGTTTAGAGCAGCTGGACGGAGTTTGCATTTTCTATTGATTTTGGCAGCCACTATGGACAAAAGTGGTAGTGTTTTAGCGCGTATTGTCATAAAGACACGTCCAGAAACTCACTTTTTTGTGAGCAGTTTGAGGCAACTTACTTTGTAAATGTTTTTAAAATGGGAAGCGAGTCTGGATCAGCCCACCGCAGAGTGTGAGACAGACGTGGAGCAGCAGGACTACTGAGGTTAGTGACACAGAGCTGCTTTGCCTGTCTGTCTCCGGTGTGGAGGAGCTTCTCACTCCATGGTTGCAGCTGTAGGATTACACAGTGTCTGCAGGAGTCTACTGCCGTAAGACGTTGTCACCGTTTGTGTGTTGACAGTAATATGCGCGTTTTCAGTGCTAAATAAAGAGAAAAAAACGCACGTGTTGTCTCTGGTCTGAGTGCTGTAATTGTTTGGTCCCAACCCAACCACTAGCTCCCGTTTTTCCTGTTTTCACTATTTAGAAATAGCTTATCTTCACATAGATGGGCTCATTCGCTGTTGCAGGAGACAGGAAGACATCAGCAGAAATGAGAGATTTTTTCAAATCTAGTTAAAAGGACGTTTCACATGCGATTGCTCTTGTTCAGGGTTTTGCTGATACTGTAGCTAAATGTTGGCAAAAGCTTGTTGCTTGTTGGTGAATACATGTGGACTTTTTGTAAATAATGTACCATAGAGTGTGTTCAAGACTGGATCTTTTTGTAAAGACCCTCTTGATCCGTTGATACTGTATCAATAGTAATGTATTGGTTGATTTCATACATTACTTCCCTGCTTTTTAAATGCCTCTCTGTGACGAGTTTACTTTGTTTTCTTTTCGTGTCACCTCTGCCATGATCCTGACAATTTAAAAACAGAACAGAGAAAATTAAAGGAAGAAATTCAGTCTTCTTTCACTGTTGATTTTCAAGACATATAATTTGTCTTGCACTACAGCGTGAGCCTGGATATATTTAACTGTGAAGTGTGTGTATTAAACCACCTTGCGGAGTAGTGGGCAGTGGGCAGTGCTCTCTCTGGCTGCAAGCACAAAGACAGCACACAGTCAGCAGCAGCAGCAGCCAGGCAAGAATGTGACCACCCAGCTCATTCCGCTGGCCAGACATCGCTCAGCAGCCACGGGCGCAAATACTATTCATAACACGCCCTCCCAGGGCTGAGGAACGAGACGGAGGCTGAAGGAGGGGCCCTTTGATTCAGAGCTGCATGCCGGTGTGTCACAGTGCTACGTCTGATAAACAAATACAGCCACAGACTCACTTTTTCTTGGCTTCCTCGTACTGCCAGTTGACTTTCACTTTGTCCACTAAATGAGAGGAATCCTGGGAACCATACTGAAATCGAAGAGGAACAAAAGAGTTAAAGTGCCTCTTAATCGCAGCAACAAACAGTGATATAGAAGAGAATTGATTAAGACTAAAACAAGAGCCAAAAGAAAGCCAGAGGAAGCAGACTGTGGTCGATGAGGCAACAAACCCGTCTACACTCCTATGAAGTTATTAAAAATACACAACTGACTCAACAATGAGTCCATGTAGCAGTGTATCATCTCCCCCCAACAATGTAAACCTCTCTTTGAGGGGGTGTTAGGGAGGAGTAGCAGTGACTCCTACCTCTCCCATGATGTCAGTCTGACAGCCAGTGTCACAGTACTGCAGATTGCACGAGTCACTTGCGGTTCCAGTGCTGTTCACCGCCTCGCCGGACGAGTCACTGATGGACAAACTGCTCTGGAAGTTCACCGTCAGCTTCACCAGACTCTGAGATAAACACAAGACAACCTGGAGTCATCATCAAATTAATACGATCTTACTTATTTCATTATTGATTTCCTGTCCCATAATTGAAAAACATAGCAATATTCAAATATGCATCTGTCCCCAGTGTGTGACTATAAATAGGTTTTCATATCAGCAGGAAATGTCTCTTTCCTCACATTAAAGACTGAATCATCTCTTCTTCATCATACTCCCCATACTTTTTTTTGCTTTGTGGACAAAATCTACAGACATGGTTGGTGATTCACACATCTGGAAATGTGCCTCATTAAGAAACAATGAGGAGAGGCTGCAGAACAGTAAAGGTTAACAAACACTAGAGGTCAGCAGAGAATATCTCAGCAACAACTATTTCAGAAGGGAGGTGGGGACAGCAGGATGCACTAAAGTGAAGATACCTGGATGAGGTCCTGCCTCTCCTTCTCGCCTGTGCTGATCGCTTTCTTGATGCTCCGCAGCTCGGTGAAGATGGCCTGAGCTTCGTCGAGCTTGTAGTTTGTCTGACTACAAGACATTTTCCTGTCGATCCTGTGACACAGAGACACATTAGGAACAGTCTGCTTAGGCTCTGAGTGTTAAATCCCAGATGTTGAAACAGTTAGATTTGATTTTGATCAGTCCTCTAAAAATATGATGGAATATAACTTTCAGGTTCAAGATTAAACCATCAACATTTGACACAAATTAGGATCCTATTAGAGTGTACAATCTTTGTGGACTGAGTGAAGATCTCTGAATAGACTGAATCAGTCAGGCAGATAATTGTAACAGTGAATGAGAAATGTGTTTTGTCCTTCTCATTTAAAAATGTACGTTTTTTTTAAATTATTATTTAATATGGCGACATTTTTAATTTTAGGCTTTTAGAAAACCAGTAAGAACCCTAAAAAAAGTTTTGATTTGGCAGTTTTTGGAAAAAGGTAGTTGAAGAGAGACAGGAAATGTGTGGAGTAAAGAGGGGGGTGAGACAGGCAGCGAAGGGTCATGAATGTTAGTCAACTCAACGACTGCTGAGACAAGGACAACTGCCCAAGTATACCCTGTATACTCAGACTGCTCATCACTAAGTGCCCCAATATGGTGAATTTTGATTATTTCTTTTGAGTTGACAAAGAATGTTACTAAACAGTGTTTCACTCTGAGGGTCTGATTCATGAAAGGATTGAGCAGCTTTGGGGCCCACTTACATCATCTTATTCAAAAAGACGTCAACCTCAAAACAAGAACTAGCAGAACAGAAATGCAGAACTAGTCTGTCGATAGGACTGTGAAATGACGATTTCTGTGACAACCCTGAATGATCTTTTTTTCTCCTTTTTTGCATTAATTACTGCTCTTTATCTCCATTAATGTATGTGAGCACGCTTCCCAACAGACGAAATGGACGAAAAGTAATTCAATTGTGTCTGGATCTCATGCAGTTTTTTTGTTAGTCAAAAACATTTTTTTTTCAAGATTCCTGAAAAAATAGTGTTTTGAAGATACAAGGTTTCTGTCTGACAGTAGTATCATGTGGCTGTAGTGCAGCGGCATCAGGATGGGAGTGAAGAGCGTAGCTCTGTGCAGCAGAAGGTGCAAATGCTGAAAGCTCGTCTTTATCACAATCAGACAACACTGGAGAAAACTGCACAAAGCTGCAGAACTTAGCAGGCACTTTGGTACTCTAATACTGTCATTGCAGTATAAAATAAAGGTAGATGCATTTATTTTCTTTCTCTTTTTTTGCCTGCAGTTGGTTCCAAATTCAAAGGAAATTTTGTCCTTCTTCTAGCTGCTTTAAAACACTCCCATTTATTTAAAAGGGAAATATCAGCCACATTATTTCTCTCCTACCTGAGATTTTGTTTAGAGTACTTTGAGCCACTTTCCCTCTTCTCTTAAAGTGCTATGTCTTTGTATTTGTACGAGGCCTGAGACACTTGTTTGTATTTAAAGTCAAATAAATAAAACTACTAAAATCGTTGAGACAGACCAAATGACAGAGAGAATCTTTTGTCTGTCCTCATTATGAGGACTTCAGGAGGAGGGGGACTGGGTTTGGTTGGTTGGTTTGCTGGTTGGGAGCTGGAGGGAGAGCTGCATGCTGTCTCCTCCATCACTGGGCCTTGTTGGCATGTGGCCTCCACCCTGCTCTCACCACAGCCCGCTTCCTTCACTCTCCTCCAACAGCAGGTACTGTTCATCCAGCCGACCCTGCCTCTTCCTCCAAAAACAAGCTCTGCTTTGTTCCCCCCGCCCCATTGGCAGGGGCTAGGAGTTTATATACTAAAAAAAAAAAAAAAGGCCAGTACCCACCCCTCAGTGCCTGGCTGTACTGAACCCCCCACCTTGTGAACTGTAAAAGGAAACATGCTCAAGAATTTTTGCAACAAGCAGGTTTTCAGAGGTTTCTGATCGAGATGTTGTAAAAAGTATTTGTGTGGTTTGTCATTTAAGTTGGGAAGGCGTCAAACAGAGATAAACTCCTGAACTCCTGAAAAGAGGAGCAGTGACGAGTAGCAGGGACATCTGTACGTCAGAGCTTGTTTGTTTGCTTTATCTGACGCGACACGGCGTGGAGAACAATTAGCTATATTGCTGACAGCAGCTGAGATTGGAAAAACAACAGCAGTAGGGTCCCTCCTGCCTGGCCTGGGCAAAACCCAGGAGAAACAATGGGACACACACACACAGATACACACACACACACTCGCACAGGCAAACAAAGACACAAACACATGTGAGCACGTACACACACACGCAAAGAGGAGGATGCTTCCATGTTTTCTGCAAGCTGTGTATTCTCTGTCTATTCTGGGAGTCACTCGAGTTGTGTATTATCTGAGAGATAAGGGACTCTTTGCCAGGGCTCAGGAAGTGCAGAGGAATTTGCTGCCAGATATCTCTGTGTTTTTGAAACTGCTCTCAGCTCCACACCTCCCCCTCCCTCCTCCTCCCCCTCCTCCCCTCCAACTTCCTCTCCAGGCTGAGCCTTGGCTCCCTGCACTCCACTGGTGCATCCTCTTCCTGAGGTGGAGTCCCCTTTTCCATCAAAAAACTCCCTCCATTTGCCTTTTCTCAAAGCTCGCTTTTCTCTTTTTTCCCCGAAAGAGGTGGAGCCTCTAATTCTAACATGAAATTTGGAGCAGCTCGGAAATGTTTCCAGCACAAAAGACACTATGTGTGTGACTTTAAAACCCGACAAACTAAAGGAAAATGTGAAACTGCCTCTAAAATCTGCGCACAGACAGAGAAGGGACATTTCTCCTTCTGGTATTTTAAAAATCCTGTCGACTTTTCATGTGTTAAACAGGATTTTTGCGAAAAATCGACATGATTTTCACATGTTTTGAAAGTTGTGTGGGCGTAATGGTATTTGTAAGTCCTGTATTCAGAGATTTAGAGGAGAATGGGCCAGATTTTGAATACAAAAACCTGCCAACATCATGAAATATTCTGTCTGAACGCAGTGAAACAGAGAAATTTGTGTAAGGCAGTAGATGGAGGACGAGGGGGAATAAAGAAGGGAAAAGGCGTCTGTGTTGTAGGAAGGAGAAGGCTGGCCATGGGAGGAAGGGCGGGCCTGGGACACAGAGGCAGAGGAACACTCACTCCTGCAGGGTCTCCACTCCCATTTCCTTATACTGCAGCTCCTGCTTCACCTGGGCCAGCTCCTGCTTCAGTCTGAAGAGCTGTGGACACACAAGGCCGAACATCCGGTTACCATGGCGCACAATGGGCTTCTCTCACCACCACCACCTGACAGAACTGCTTAGTCATGACTATTCACATACAGGAATGCAACACTGTGTTTGTACAGCGACACACATGCACAGACACACACACTGGGGTTCACATGCTGAGGCTTTCTCATCAAGACAAACTGACCAATATGACATTAGGGCCACATTTTACTGATCAAAATAAATGGTTTTGAGGAAAAAAATCATATATATCATGAGAAAACATTTGTAGTTTTAGGCTTATTTGCTATGACTGTGACTGTGCTAAAATTAGGAGCATCTAGTGAAATCCTAATTCTGAATTCTTCATCTTTTGGTACAGCATCATCACATTGTCCTAAGTAGCTGAGACTGTAAAAAAATTGCACGTCTGTTCCCAAAAATTAATTATGACTTTATTTTAAAAGTTGTAGGATTTCTGAATATAACAAATTTATTCTTGCAATCTCAGATATTTCTCTTGAACACAGTCCTTACACTTGGTCTCAGATAAGGTTGAACTTTGTAACAACACAGTAACAACAACACAGCGGTCAGCTTCTTTAAAGGCTCGACAGGAATAACCTGTGAACTTGAGAAAACATGTTTTTTTTTTTTTTTACTTAATACAAAGTTCAAACAAAGCAAAATGTTCAAAGTAACAAAACCAATCAAGTTTTATTTTTCAGTTTTTAAACCTGAACTCTGATTTCCTGACCTGCTCTCTCCACCATTTAATTATGTCAGTTTTACCATGCAGTCATGAGCCTTTGTGACAGAGACTGTCCATCTCTGAGATTTTATCTTGCTTTTACTTTAAAATTAATAACACAACCTAATTTAACCTAATCTAATCTAATCTAAGGTAAGGTAAGGAAACGTAACGCAACCTAATTTAACGTAGACTAACCTAATACAATGTAACCTAATTTAACCTAACCTAATACAACGCAACCTAATTTAACCTAATCTTATCTAATCTAAGGTAAGGTAAGGAAACGTAACGTAACCTAATGTAACATAAACTAACCTAATACAACGCAACCTAATTTAACCTAACCTAACCTAATACAACGTAATGTAACGTAATATAATGTAACATAACGTAACGTATTGAACTTAACTTAATGTAACCTAACGTAACTCAAACTAACCTAACTATTTTTAATCTAATGTAACCTAAGCTTCGATCTCTTCTTTTAATCTTTCTCTTTTTGGAAATGAATCTGAAATAGCTATTTTTCATACCCTTTTTTCACTTATTTGGATCCATTTTATGGTCTTTATTAACTCTGTGCTCTTGTCTTTCATTAATTAGTTAATATTTTTACCCACCTAAAGCATTCTCTAACACTGCTGTTTAAAATTAACAGCAGTGTTTAATAAAAACAAAGTTAATATTCTTTTATTACCCAACCTGACAGAAATAAAAAGTAACTTAGTGATTTTTATTGTGAGCAAGACTGATTATAAATAACATCAGCTTTAGTCTTAACTGACTCAATCACACTGTTGGTGTTGACTTGAACTCAGATGACTCAAATAACTCAAATGATGATTTGTGGGAGTTGTCTTGAAAAACCAATCAAATAGGAAGTTGAAGAAAATCATTAGATCATAAGGGACATTAATAGTAGACTATGTCAGACTAAACATTATTACCCCAAACCATATCTGTCTGGTGCAGTAGTGACACTTGTGGCTTAATATTTCTGACTTTAAATCAAAGTAACTCTCTCTGTGCTCCCCCAAAGTGACATTAAAATAAGCCCGACTCATCTTTTTAGCCTAAAGTGTCCCTAATGGAGGAAACACCCTGACCCATGTGACTGATCTCAGAGAAATGTCCAGCATGTCCCTGTGAGTCAGTGACCTACCCTCTGCCTGACCCTTTGATGATCTCATCCTCATCCTCTGGAGGCCCCGGGCCAGAGCCACAGTATCCTGTAGGGGCCACACCCTAGCCCCCTTTTTTTCAACCCAAAGACGGCCCCACACTGCAGTCTATTGTTCTCCAATAATAACTTACCCGCTCTCTTCTACAAGCTATTTCCATTTTAATTTGGTCGGGGTCGTATTTCGCGTTTGAAGATGAGCCGGAGAGAGCTGTGAACACAGAAAAACAAAGGCAGAGAGGATCAGAGGTCAGTCCATAGTGACGATTTTAAAGTTAACTTCTACTTCTAAGAGAGTCTGAGGAAGGATCTGGTGTCGTGATCTGGTGCTCTTTGGGTGGACGACCCTTGGACGCTTTGTGTTACAGCTGGTTGGAGTCAGAGGGTAAACTGGGTGGAGGTGGACAAAAGACAAAAAACAAGGTTTCTAAGATCTTGGATGAGCACCCCCCGCAGTTTTTGGTTTTTCACACTTGTCTCATCCTTTTCATTATTACTTTACATACTCGTGAGTTCTTCTCCGAGTGTGAGTGAAGCTGTGACACTGAGACACCCAATTACAGCCTGGCTCAGACGTATGCAGCAATTACATGGAAGTGAACCTTTAAATCAAAAATTGTATACTGATATTGTGCTAAAAAATAAGATTATGGTAATACCATAAAACTAACTGGTTCACAGTAAAAGGTGGTGGTGTGTTTTTTTTCTGCTGGTTGCCTGCTGCCATAAATGATGAAGAATAAGCAGCAGCAGCAGCAGTCAAAACCAGCTGAACACTTTGAAACAGATTTTCCAAAACTTTGTGAATCCCAAAACACTGTATATGTTTAGACACTGAACAACTCTATGGGACTTCTTTACTGTTCTTTTGCAGTTTTCATTCAGTTCCATGACTTATGACTGACAGGAATTACTATATCTCATTTCAAGATAAAAGCATGTTTTTTAACGAAGATAAAATGAGGCAACATTAAAGCAAAACAGCAGCAATTTCAAAGCATCATAAAGAATTGTTTTATGACTGAATATTGGTATTTGGAGAAGGTAAAATTTGGGGTTAGGAAATAAGTAACATTAGGAACTGGTGGGTAGCTCATGATACGATGCATATGGTCCACAAAAATGATAATTTACTATCCAGTGATTCTGTAATGATTGATAAATTTCAACAGAATCATACATACATTGAATTGACATGATAGAAGAATACAAAACGGCTCCGAGAGGAAAAGTCAAAGATTAGATTTCATCATTGCCTCCACAAGGAGTCACAACGTACCATCATGGTGTGTCAAAGCAGAGGAGGAATCTTTCAAGCGCTGTAATATTTTTCTATGAAAGTATTGATATTAGGTGCCTGTGTAACATTAACTTTATCACAACTACTATACAACTATTATCTTGAAATTACCTTCGACAATGGACTTCACCAGGGCCAGGCTGTAATATGAAAAAACTGCCAAACTGTGCCTGCCGCCTTTAGTGAATAGTGTTTTTAAATCACTAGTTAATAACAAAAGAAGAAGAAAGCATCGATACCAGGTACTAGTAAAACAGTAAAACCACCAAAGACTTCAATGAGTGACTTTTCCCCCAAAAAACAAAAAAGAACAAAACAGAGTTTGAGTGGAAACTTTTCTGGGTCAAAGTAGCATACCAAAAGTCTACGCAATAGCTGTGCCCAAAAGCTGTGCCATTGTTGGATGCTGACATGACTTCAGCTCATGCAGTCACTCACCCTCTCTCTCTGCCTCCCTCCTCACAGGTATACTGTTCTGTTTGGGTTATATTAGTTTAAAGCTGCACTTTATGTTTGCATGACATTCCTTCACACACCTTCCACTCATGCGCATCACACACCACTGATTCTGCTGATTTACACACTTTGTTCCTTAAATATTCTGATTTGGTTTGATCTGGTTTAATAAAGAATCGTTTTTGAATTTAATACAAAGTGTGTCTCCCTTTTTGTTGTGACTTCTTGAGCCGGCTCATGACATGACCCCTCTCAGAATATCTGAACTTTCTGCAATAAACAAGTAATGACATTTAGAGCCGTTTTGTCTGCCTGTATCCGATCCAGCCCCTGAAATGACTGTCTTACATCGGTTAGATTTCATAAAGACAGTGAGCTGGTGGTCAGCATGTCTTACTGCTTGTGATGGAGCGGTTATCCTCAGAGAGCTCGTGGAAGAGCAACATTTCCTGCTGAGCCAGCTCCAGACGCTGCTGCTTGATCATGTACATCTCCTTCTTGGCTTTGAGGGCCTCCTGGGCCACAACCAGGTACTCCTTCAGCATGCGCTCCTGCTCCTGCCGCCACTGAGTCCGAGGGTTCTCAATCTGGGTGGTCTCTGACAAAAAGATACAACACATATAACTTCTGAGAAGAGGTTAGGATGAACTAAACATGTGCAGAAAAACAATCAAGTCTGAAGTCGGGTGTTTTTTTTTTTTTAAGTGCTAATACTAAGCAAAAAGGGTCCAAGACAAGTCCTAATGAAAGAAGAGCAAGTTCAAAGGGGGGATTATGCTAATTAAGTTATGAATCTATAACCTTTCTGATACCGCTGCAGTAGCTTTCCATCACGTACAGCTCAGTCTGAAATGTTTCATTTTTGCAACTGACTCTCCCTCCCACTAGCTCTCCAGAAGCCTCCTTCGCTGTTGCCATGTTAAAAAATGGTCCACACTGACTCAACCTGTGTTTCTCCATTTAAAATGACAAATCATCAAAGCTGACTGTATGTTTTGGTTTCTGAATCAGACCTGGGAAGTTTGGGATTGTCTCAACAAGACTGTTTGGTGAGTATTATGTTGTTTTTGCCCTTTTTAGGAAATTCACTAAGAGGGGCGCAGTGATTTGTTGATGAATCGTTGGTGACGCCAGTGCATGTTTCATGCTATGTGCAGACATAAGTCCATTTTCTAGAGAAGAGTGAGACTTCATGCATCCATACTATCTTTGCTGAGAATGGTGATATGATGAACTGAAAACAACAGGTAAAAAAACAGTAAAAAAAATTAACAACTGAGGAGTGAAAGATCTTAAATCCTATAATCCTAATCTCTGCTGAGTGAAGCCCTTGCAAAATGGCAGGTAAACCAAACAGACTTAAAACCTTTTAAAAACTTTTTGGATGAATTGATGTGTATTTTAATTGTCATTTTAATCGTTCTGTAAGGTGACCTTAACTGTCCTGAAAAGTGCCTATAAATTAAATATATTACTACTATAATTATAACATAGTGGCAATTGATACACCACCATCATGTTTTAAAATTTCTCAAGTCTGTCAAAGGTCACATATTGATCAATTCTCACTTCCCTCTTGTGCAACTCTGATGTGGGTTTTTGGACAGCTGCAGTCAGACCCTGAGATTACCCCAATACACATTTACCTCACCATTTGAATCTTCACCCATGTTGTGCATTGACAGACAACTTTTTATAACTTTATATCTTTCTAAAATAGGAAAAAGCACAATAACACCTCCTTGAAGTAAAGTGAGGCTTTTTCCAGTCTTTGTGAGCCAAGTCTCAAGGTCTTAAATTTGAAACTGGTATCATAGTCGACACCCCTCCTCAGTGCACAGGAAACATCAGGAACACAAAAATGACCATGATGGCACAAACATCCTTTTTACATTAATGTGCAGTGAAACGATATAACAACACTTTTTAAATAAAACCAAAAAAAAAACAAAGTATACTCACTGTTAATGTGGTCGATGTAGTAAACTCCCACTTGCTGGTCATAAACTTCTTCCCACCCGAGAGGAAGCTCATCTCCGACACAGTCAGCAAACGTGAGCGGTTTGGTGATCCTGAAATGATTAAAAATGTACATTCAGTACGAGAGTTCCTGCTGCACAGTCCACTTAAAACAAGCTTTGAAATCATAATAACACACAAAGTATCATTGTTAGGTGGATTTGAAAACGCTCTCACAGTAATCTGCCTCTCTCCCTTCATGATGTTATTTCCCCTGTTAACATAAACTGCCCTGCAGGATGCTCTGCTTCATTTATCATGTTTTTAAAAGGTGTGTTCAGCGTTAATGGAGGGGAAAGAAGCAAAAGTAAACAGTCATTCTAAAGAATATTTTGTTCAGCAGCACAGTGAACGTATAAACAGCATCTTAGGCCAGATATGGAGCACTGCCACTCTATGATTACTATCGCAAAGGGAACCAATTTAACAATTATCCACTGTAATAAGCTCAGAAATCTGCTGCTGAAGGACTCTTGAGTAGATAAATAGATGGCTTTAGTTTAAGGACCAAAGCAAAACTAGCAAATAAGCTTTCACAGCACACAAACACACGGTTCCTGTATGCTCTTGTTCTTTTATTACACTATCAGATTATTAGAGCTGGAGAGTAAAAAATCTGTCACTTTTTCATGTTTTGAGCTTCTTGCTGAAAAAAATAGAGATGTGGTCCTTAATTCAGAGTTGTAAATTTTTTTTTTAATATAAAGTGTGTCAATATTGAAAGACGACACTTAAACCAAATAGTAGAAAACTGTTTTTGAAGAAAGTGATTCAGCTCAATCAGACCTTTGAAAAATGATTTAACATTAAAGCCAAGCCTCCAGCTAACAGTAATGGAAAAGAGAAAATGAAATATTTATTTACATAGGAAAGAACATAATAATAAAGCACAAAACAAAGGATACTTTGATCTCATTTAGCCTGAGTGCACTTGGTGCGGTTATCAGATTTACAAGTTTGTTGGTTTTTACAGTGTTACAGAAGTGCTCAGTCAAGTCCTCCTCAGGGAAAGAACAAATCTGTTCAGTTGGTCAGGAGACCAAACTACTGACTGAGTAATAATACCTGGAGATCTTCACGGGACATCATGAGCTTTTAAAAATGCTGACTGGGAGGAACAACACAACCCAGCAGCTAAAACTGCCCTACAAAGACACAATACTTTATCCAAAAATGAAGAGAAGTGTTGCTGAGAACAGGGATGTTGGCTGGACTTCTGCATCATAGCTTATTTACTCCCAACAAAAGTAAATATAAATGTATAGATAAAAGGAAATAACTATGAATCAACTGAATGAAGAAAAAGAGAGGCATAAAAGTGTGAAGAGCTGGCTTTAAATAGTATCAGACAACCTTGCCTATGGCTAAATCTGCCAACTTAAAGTTTCCAGTGAATGAAAAAAAAAATGTGAGAATTTCTTTGTGCTTTGTTTTTTTCCCTCCTATTTCTTATAAATTAGGAAGCCACTAAATCCACTCATTGAATAGAAAATGATTACAAAAATCATGCTAAAATGGTAACTAGCCAAGTAAGCAGTGCCTCCAAATGATTTCTCGCTTAAAAACTCTACCTGTCCTGTGATTGGCTGGAGCTGCTCTGCTGTAATTGGCTCACACCATTTGCCAGAAAAGTGCAGAGGGAAGCTCTTCTCGTCTGGTACCACGTCAAGGGTTGTTTTCTTGTTTTAACTCAAATCAGGATCATTTATTAACGTTACCATTCAGTGTTGATGAGCTTCCACAAAGCGCAGCTGTTTCATCAGATTTTTTTTTTTTTACTGGAATAACAACACTGTAGGTTAAAAACAATGGTTTTATAGACAGCAGGTTTGTGCTGGTATTAGATCCTGAAATTATCACCTTAAAGCTCCTGTGAGGAACTTTCCATTTGTATCAGTTTTGGCACCCCTTGTGGACAAGCAGTCTTCGCTGGTCTTGCCCTCTACATGCTAATTTTTGTCTTTTGACAGAGAAAAATCTCATCTTGATGACTTTTGACAGTCATCTCTATCATGAATTGTGAGTATTTCATGTTGACATTGTGAAAACAGGGCTTTTTCTTCAGCTGCCCAGCTGACACCTACCCTCTCACACCAGTTTCAGGCCTTATAATTTGATATAAAACTGTAACTATTGTCACTGATGGTCTTGTTTGCTTCTTTATATCACAAGAGGGCAAAAAAATGAATTTTAGTCTATTTCATAAAAGTGAAAAATTCCTCTCAGGAGCTTTAAGCAAAAATGTCACACTCATAATATTGAATGTACAGCTAACATGTATTGATTTAATATGTCTGAGGCTCTGGGTTGAAAAGAAAACCCTTTCTCAATGAACACAGCTTATTTGATTTTGTGCTACTGTCTTATAAAACTCATTAGTTTTTACTGTATCAAAAGAGGTGTGATTATACATGAAAAGGAGTGTGGCTGATTTGACTGACAGGTTAACGCGTTGTACCTGTCTGCCAAGTAAACATGCTTCTGTCAGCGTCAATCAAACTTGACCTTTATCGTAGTTGTGAAGGTAGGATAGAGGAGTCATTTAAGATGAGGTTTAATTGGACAATAAATGGCTTGTGGGTTGAAAAAGAAAAGCATAAAAACATCCATTAATGTAGAATCCTACTGTATGCTTTGGTTGTATCACAGCTTTGGTTGTAGAAATGCTTTAAGGTATCATTAAAACTTCTCCTTTAACAGAGGATTTGATTTGCAGAGATTAAACGCCTGCCAGACTGTAATGATTTATGGAGGTATGTGTGTGGAGCTAATGACATCACTTACTCTTTTAATCGACACACATCAGTGAGCTGCGAACCAGCCGCTCTGATGACAACAGCAAATATAGTTACTGTCTGATTACCATCAATCAGCACGGACAAAAGGGGGTCCAGTGGCAGTGACCCAAAGAATGCTCACTATGCAGACGGTGCACGGGGTCTGATTCTGGCAGAGGTATGCACACAATGAAGGGACAGCCCAGAGAGAGTATCTGTGGCATCCTGCCCCACACTCCTTAGGAGACAGACACAGCAGCAGCAGCTCTCCACTAAACTTCTCTTCTATGAAAAAGACACTGTTTTCAAGCCAAACTCCAGCAGCGCTGACACTCACGGTGAAGATTCAAATTAGTCAGAAATTCAGAGGTACTTTAACTTTCTCAAAACTCTGAATACAGCCTTTATAGTGTGGCAGCTGAGATAACATAAGAGATATTTATCATCCGCATGCACAGCTGTTCATTTCACCCGAAGCACCTTGAGTGTAGTCTGTTGCTCAATATGTTGTTTTTGGCACATTTGCATGAGCTGCGAGCGATCCTGGTGGATGATGAATCAAAGGGCTTGTCCAAACCTTCAACAGTAAATCAAATTCAGAAAACTCCCTTTACATTTCATACATTTTTGGGACGTTCCTCGAATTGCTACATCTCTGATATACAACTTTAAATGTTCAAAACAAGCATTTACATTTTTTCTTAATACTTTGACGGATTTAATACTTTTACTTTGATTTAAAGATGAGATTCATGGTAACCTGATAGTTTAGATGAGCTGTTGTACTCTGGACTGGATTTGTGGAAGAACACAAACCTGACAGTAACTTTACATTAGCCATACGATGGCTTTAGTGTCAGCAGTATGCAACTACTTATAACAAGAAAGCAAAATCAGCTACTCGACAATTTATGCCGTAGGATGTTTTATGAGCTGCAGCAGTGGAGCTGCATTCATCACTACAAATCTGATACCACATCTTAAAACCTAACATGCAACTGAACATGCAGGTTCTCTAAAAAAACAGAAGAAAAAACTGCTGCCAAAGTAACAGCTTCTGGAAGAATAAAATATCCTCAGAAGGCCAAAAAGATTACAGAGAAAGTGGTTCAATTCATCGCTTTGGAGAACCAGCCCATCTCCTTGGTAGAGATCCGAGTGTAGGTTTTTGCAGTTTTTGGAGCTCATGGATTTACAGTATGTTCTGCAGCCTCAAAACCACATTTCAGACATGGCCACACTACAGCAGTACAGTGAAGTTTATGACGATTCAAAGGGTGATAAGACAGCTGTTCGTTTTCCTACAGACATTTGGAGCTCTGATGTTTGTCCCATGTCATCTCTGAATTTATTCCTCCACTCTGGAGTTTAAGTGTGCTGTTCTCCATGCATACCAGTTTTGCTGGTCTCGTGCACTAGAGCATGTAAAACAGACTATCAAGAGTCTGTTACACAAATGTCTAACTGCACTTGGAAACACTTGAAACTATCTCTCACAGAGCAGACACACCTACAGCTGCTTAGATTCATGTGGGTAATGACCACAGAAAAATGCAAAAGGTCTTTCACACATCTTTTTTTATCAATATACAACAGCGTACGTATTGTTTTGATGGAACATATAGAAAAAAAACAACATTAGGTCAGTCAGTACAGTAGGCACCTGTTGAACAGAGGCTACAGTCCTCAGCACATATCTACCCCATTCTCTTCTCACATATATTTTCTCGATGCCTTCAGCTTTATTAAAGCAAAAGGCTGAAATGAAATGAAAGAGTTAAAGAAAGACAAGCAATGGCTATAATCACCAAACTCAAAGACTCTAAAATACTGAATGTGGTACTGATGCAGAGTCTGACTGCAGCTGAATTCACACTTCTTCGAATCTTGCCATGTGTAAATCTCCAGCATGTGTGCACATAAACAGCAAAAATGTACACCCTGACAACACCTGGAGTTTTTTCTGCTGGTTCCCATTTTAATTTTTTGCAGGAAGTCAAGTGATCTTATATGAGAACATCTAGGGCTGTAATCAAATTCTTAGTCGACTAAAACCCTGGCAACTCTTACAGCAAACCCCTCTGCGGCGGGGACGATGCAGCTCGGCAGAGTGTGGCTCTACGGGGTGAAAATATACTGATATCAGCACAAGAAGGCAATGAAACACAAAAGGCAGGTTGAAACGCTTGAAATAAAAAATAAATATTCCGCAAATCACCAGACGATGATTAATATGGACGCTCTTCAAACTTCCTGTCCCCAGCTGGGCTCCAGTGGGTTGGGCAAATCCAAGTTGGTGAAAACAAGGGGGGACCTGTTCTGAGACCTGTAAAACAGGGGCGCTCTGAAAACACCCCCATTATTACTTGGTACGTTCCTCCTGATGACACCAACCAATTGACACAGACCAATCAGAATTTTGGTGGACTCAGCACGTATCGACAAACAAGCCGACCGGTCGACTAGGAGTTGACAGTCCTCCTACATTCATGTCACAGTCACCCATTCACACCACATTCATACACTAATGAAAGCAGACGCCCATCTGCATCTACTCATTTCATTCATTGACCGCCACTTATGTAACTTGAAACAATATGGGGTTCAGTGTTTTGCCCAAGGACTCTTGGTTGTATGGGCCACAGGAGCCAGGATCGAACTTACTGAAAGACAACTACTGAGCCACTGTGATGCATTTACATCATGAAACTGTTGTAAAGCAGAAGAATACCATGTCACAGGATGAATGAGAGCATCCGGGGTTGAAGATGGAGAATAATGATCAAGACAAGGACTGCAAATCTGTCAGTTCACACAAAGCATTAATATGAATGTAAAAAAACATCATCAGAATGAAGGTCTCTGTTGCTTCATTTGCCATCATGCTATAATAAACTTCAAACTGTGGATGTTAAAGACATGCTTTTGGAGTCATGTCCTAAGTTGTCTACAACCTACAGCAGCATTTGGGTTGTAGCACTCAGGATACTTTTACACTGCTCATATGGATGCAGTGCAATGCGAAAGGTACAGAACTCAACTCAACTTTATTTGTAAAGCACTTTAAAACAGCCACAGAAGAATAATAGTGGGGTATAATCATTCTGCATCTGTTATTAGAGGTGGTAACAGAGGTATAATGGCATCATGTATATTTGAGCTAGCAGGATTTAACGACACAGTGAGGAGTTTTTACTGTTTGTTCACTTTATGGATCTTGTGTTTCCAAAATGATGCAACACAATGTCAAATCCCACAATGAAGCTTCAATATCATGCTGTACAAAGAGTTAGAGCCTGATTACAGTGCGAGAGGAGAAGCTAAATGTCAGGGGTTATGGTGTGTTGTTGCTTTGCCACTTGTTTCCTCTGAACAAGGAAACATGTTACTCTCATTATTTTCAGCCTCAGCTGGACAGCGTTAACATTCAAATAGGGAAAGCAACCAGAAATTACAGATACATGCACTTCTGCAAGATGATCAAACTGTTCATCAAGTTTTCACATCTGATCCCATGCCCCAATTAAATCCAAACCAGTTTCAAAAGTGCAGTCTTGATCAGATTGTGATTTAAAAAAAATGTCTAGTCCTTATAAAAAAACCCACATGTAAACCAGTTCTGTCAAAATCTGGATCGAGGCTAAATAAGCATAAAAGAAAAAGGAAAAGGAAGGCCTGTGACGTCAGAGAGACTTCAGTCCTGAACTGCCCTCTGACCTCCCAAAGAGTCGGAGCCAGAGGGAGGAACATGTCCACTCAGTGATCTGAGTCTGAGCCTCTGAATGTTTGGTTTGTTACGCAGTCTTGTGACAGCACAGCAGCCTCAGTTTTTCCAAGTCATGTCTCGGTCTTGGGAGGCTCGGAAACCACAGCAGCGCAGAGCCGAGGAGGAGCGATCTGATGACATTCAGAGGAGGACTGAGCCAAAACATTGTAAAACTATAAGTAGACTAAGGTGGTATATGAGCGCGTTTGAGTAGAATGAAAGTCTTCACTCTAAAGCTAAACCCCACACATTTTTATGATCCCTGGTGTCAGGCAGTCAGTGAAGAACAAACAGTGATAAGTGTGTCACTCCTCTGACAGCCTGACACAGTGACCCTGTCTAAACTCCTGTTTGCTGACACTCTGGATCTGTCAACAACATGCATTACCTAACTGATTTAATGGAGATCTGTCTCTGCTCTGGTATGGAAGGAGAAACCCTCATTTACATAATGACTATATTACTGCAGGATTACCATAGAGCTTCTATAGGATAATTCTATAGGATTACTGGGACTTTGCTGCTGACAGTGCAAGCAGAATGGATCTATGATGGGCTTTATCTGTCTTCATTCCAGACTAAAATACCTTAGATATGCCTGAAAATGGAGCCGTGTTTCTGCAGTCCTCTTAACTTTCTTTAAATGTCAGCAAAAAGTTACCGTCTGTAATTTTAGTGAGATGTTACAACAGATATTTATGTTGCCTTTAGGGTGAGAGGTAATAACTTTGACCTCCTGACTTCTTTTAGTCTGATATTTTGGTTTGGGACCAAATACCTTAGGGAGTGAAAACACTCTCATTATTTAGCTGTATGATGTTTTTAGAGATAGTCTGTAAGTGTTAATGAGATACTGACCAAAACAGAGAACTAGAGACGGACAAAATGATGGACAATGTAGCTGCTCCCTAATAGTGAAGCCAAACAAGTCTTTCTCCTCTATCTTAGTAGATGGATACAGTTTATAGAATAAGATTAAAACACAAGTCAATTAAAATATCTCAAGCATGCTTTCTGTCATTAAAGTTAGGAGTTATTATGTTGTATGTCCAAAAGGCTGGTCAGAGTCTTTGGTTTGGTTCAGCTCTAACAGCTCAGGGTTTTTAGGTAAAAAAAACAAAAAAAACAACAACAAACAAAACTATTTTTTAAAATTCCAGAAATACTTCTTTAACGGATCAAAAGAAAAAGGAAAAACAGGAGGAGGAGACACATGGTCCATCTTTGTATAAAGTCAATAAGTGCACATGGTTAACAGCTGCTAAATATCTGCAAGTTACCGTCTCCTATTGATGTTTAACTTTGCAGCATCAGTACAGAGTAAGAGCTTCAACCATGGCTGTAGACCCTTACTGTGTCAAGTGTTCTACTCTGAGAATATTGAACAAGATGACTGTCATTTAACCCCCAAAACCAGATTATTGAATATATATATATATATATATATATATATATATATATATATATATATATATATATATATATAATATATTGAGTATATCAAACACAGTTTTACTTTCGACTGGATGAGTAAAGTTATTCTAGCACAGGGACGACTAACAAACTCACTTTTCACTCTCAACATGTTGGAAACCTGGACTATTTCCCAGTGATGTCAAAGTCAGGAGATAGTTGTGGGACCTTGTAGACACCAAGATCAAGACAATCAGGCACAAAACAGCATGTCTGACTCTTCCTGTGAATAAAAATGAAAAACAAAAACTGAAAGTGCAGACTGAGGAATTTTAGCTCTGTAGCACAGCTAATGTATTAGCAACTTTGAGAAAGAGGATGTGTCAGTGTAGGTCTATTAGTCAGACACTCAGTTGTGAGTTAAAGTGTTAAAAGGGTCGTTATTTGACTTATTAAAATTGAGCAAACCAGCAAGTATATTTTTGAGGAATATAACTGTATAGGATTGCCGTTGTTTTTCTTTTACCCAATCAAAGTTGCATTTAATAATGTTTCTACAGTTGAGGCACAGTATCCTTATTCAATTTAAACAACACTCTTGTGCTTAGATTCACTGCAAACGTCAGTACATGGTGGAATCACTGAAGTTCATTGACTATAAGTGGGTGAATGCAAATCCTAGGTGCAACTGTGATTTTCAGTATATTTCATTGACATTCATTTGAACTAAAGTATATGTTTTTAAAGGTTTTTAAGCTATGAGAAATATGCTAGGTTTGTTACAGCTGTCCTACCAGCTTTAAAAAAGAAAGATTATTAATAAAGGACCAAAGTTTTCTTCTAAAAATGTCCACATTCTCCAGGATCATCTTTCAATCATAGAGGAAACAGAAAATCAGATGTATATCTGAAATAGAAAAAAGGGAGACTGACAGAATGACAAGTATGTTCAGCTGTGGAGGGATGAAATGCTGCAGAGCCTGCTCACAACTTCCCAACAAAATATATTTAGTTTTCAAAGACGTTTGCTAATTCTAGAATAATCTGCGCCATCCTCGGGCGTCCTGGACGATATTTCTATCTGCAGCAGCAACAGGCCTGAGTTCGGCAGCGGGCCGCTGCATGGGAAAGGCATGTGAAACTGGAGTCTGGGCTGCTGGATTTAGTCTAGTCTGGTCATTACCAGCATCTCCAAGACCTGCTGTTTTGGACATCTTTGCACACAATTGCAGCTGAGAAACAAAGAACACACTCAATACATTATATTCTTTGTTAGATTTAAATATGTATCTGAAGAGGCCAGTTTGGCCACATACTTTTAAGAAGTACCCAGTACTCAAAAGCAGACGTCTCTGTAGTTCTCTCAGTTCATAATAAATTAAAAAACGTGGTTGACTGCTTCAGCAAATGTGTGAATTTAAACAAGTTGTTGCCACGGCTCGATGGAGCTGCAGATGGGATTAATTTCTGTCACTGATGTTTAATTGTGTGATGTCTCAGAGTATAAATAATCCAAACACTTGTGTGATAAAAACATCCACAGAAGATGACTCTGCGCAAGCTGCATCTTCAAAAAGAGATCAAGACAACAAACGGATCCAAAAACAGATCATCTTTAATGGTCCCAGGGAGCCAGCTGCTGAGGTCTACAAATACGAATCAAGGCTTGACCTCTGAGTGACAAGCATTACAAATGTGAGCAGAAAGAAACAACACAGAGAGTCATGAGGCCAGAACAGAAACCTCTGTATCTTCACTCAAATATGACAGAGACAGACTGTGAGAAGGCCACAAGTGTTACTGGTGCACAAATTCCTTTGTGTGTTAAAAAAGAAAATGTGAAAACAACTTTGGGAGGAATGTCATTTATGTGCAGCCTCTCTGGTGCAGCATTTCAGAGGAAGGCCTGAAGCAGCTGACAGACGCACAGACACCCGCTCCTCCAATTATGTGTTGAATCCTATAGAAATAGGTCTCCTATAAGTAGACCAACAGCTCTGTCTCTGTACACATTTAGGCAGCGTCTGGACACATGGGAAGGGCTGTGAGTGGAGTGTGAGTGGAGCTGGGCTGGATGTGACAAATGTGAGCCATCCAGGCAGTCAGGACTAAAAATGCTGTTTCCTAACTATAGCATCACTTCAAGACAAGAGGGATACTTCAGCCAGAATGCTAAAGTGCAGATGTAAAAATACCACATGGGTAGAATAAACAAATGTAGGGGCAGAGCAGCAACCTGACTGGAATCATCTCTATATCCATGCACACAACTGCTCCAAAATCAGTGATGCTTACAGTAACAAGTGTCCTCTCTTTATAAGGCCATCTCTCTGAGTGGTTTATGAGCTTGCATTAATGACAGCTGGATCGTGCCATCTTTACTCTTAAGAAATACATAATGTTGAGACTTGGAATAATTAAGAATTCCTCATCTCACTTTGCACTTTCTTGATCTTTCCTCCTCTCTTCCTTCATCCAAAATGAAGAGTAGGGAAGGAGGAGTGTACAACTTAACTTTGAGGAGGATAGTCCTCAGCCAAAAAGGCATCCTGTCCTGGCTCTCATCTCCCTGATGATTTTCTTTCATCTACCTATAAACTCCTCTCTTTCTTGGCTCCTCTCTTCTCTCATGCAAATGGGTGGTGAGGGGAGGTAGAGCGTACAGCCTGATCTGGCTTGGCTGAGCTCTGGCTCAAGCAGATTTCTTGCCTTAGCTCTTCTTTTCCGGTTCTCTATGCAACATCTCTCTACAACTCTTTTATTTTCTCTTTTACCCGGTGTTGCCTCAAGAAAATAAAGAAATGGGGGAGGCAAAGTGCACAGCCTTACCTGGCAGTGGTTAGCATCACCTAGACAGGATTCAGGCCTTGGTTTTTCTTTTCTAGACCTCTTTTTAACATCACACTGCAGACTCCTCTCTTAACTTTCCCTTCCCTTTTGTTTCCCATAATGAAAGTGGAGGAATAGAGGAGTGTAGAGCGCACAGTCTTGCCTAGTAGTGGTTAATCTTCACCTGGACAGTATTAAAATCCTGGCTTTGCATTTCCTGTCCTCTTCCTCACATCTTGCAACAGATCCTGCTCTTAACTTTCTTTTCTCTCTTGTCATCCCAAGTGAAAATGTGGGAATAGAAGGAGGAGGAGCGTACAACCTCAACTGGCAGCGTATCTTTTTCTTTTCTTGTCTATTTTGGTGGGTGAATACAGCTGGAGGTGAGATGGGGAAGTAGGGGGAGGTAGTGCATACAGCCTGGCCAAGCAGGGGTTAGTCCTCACCAAAAGGATCCATGATCTCCACAAGCTCACTGTTTTTCTTCTCTATCCTCTTAAGGAATACAGCAGCTAACCGTTGAGCCTCACTAAAGTATTGTGAGTTTAACTTGGTGAAACACCGGTGAAAGAAAGGTGCCAACTTGAAACTCTGCTGGCTCTGGCTCTTGCTGCCCATCTGTCCTCTTCTATTTTCATCCTTGGTGGTGGGGGACTTTCGGGGCCATAATGCAGGGCTGTTACAGAGGCCGTACATACGGAAACATGTTTAATGGCTAAAGGTTGACTAATACAGTGTTGTGGCTGTTACTGTTTATGAAAACTGGGTTTTGGTCAGCTGAAAATACAAACATTTAAAACCAGGTTTTACTGTATGATCTTTAGATAACCTTATCTCGTCTGTTGCTATATAAACTGGTAATACACAGATCCTGTAAAAACAGTTATGTCACAGCCCCATTCCCTTTCAAAGAGCCCTCAATGCTTTGTAAACTAGGGTAAGTCAGAGGAGCAACCCCACTTCATTGCCTGTCAAAATAAAGTTATCAGTTTCTGAGTATTCTCTTGAGCCATTGTCTTCTTGTTTGTTTGTTCTCTCTACACTGCTAAATAACACTTTAGTGAACAAGTGAGTGATCTTGAGTGGGGTGTCATAACAAATTTATGATGCAAACCACTGGCTTGTAATGGATGTCTCAGTGTTTTCACTTGTTTTTGTTGATCCACACGCATGCTGATCATTTTTACAACACTGAAATATGGCCTCGGTCAATATTAAGACCTAAATATTTAACAAGGGAATCATCTCTTCTTGCTTGGACAAAATTCAGCATGCCATTGCAGCCATGGAAGGGATGCAGAATGATACTGAGGTCTACAAGGAAGGACTACCTGAAACTGTAATGATGGAGAGCATGGCCATCAGGAGTCTTGTACAACATGTTAATTCTTGGTCTGCAGTAAAACTTAAAATCTGTCTCTCCCTGTAACTGCATTTACAAAACATTGACAGTTCAAAATTATTATAAAATGTGTTTTTATAGTCAGGACCAGTTCTTGGAACGACAATGTTGCTGCATCTGTTCACAACAACATCCAAATGTGCTCTAATTTGATTCATTATCAAATATTCAAGAATGCAAAGAATGATTATATGCAGGTTCTTATTTCAAAACTCCAAAAGTAGAAGCACATTTAAAGCTGATAAACGCCGTTTTTCACACTTGTACTGAAGCATGTTACCAACACTGTTGGCTACATTTTCTTTCTTTTGGAAAAAGAGCTGTGCAGATGGGTGGAAGGAAAAAACACAATGGTGGCCCAGAGCACGAGGTCGGTCCACTGAGATTGGCATGTCCTGTTTAGGTAGCATTCTTCACCATATACACATACTATAACGCAAGCAACCTACAGGCTGACTGCTGTGTGTGGCTGCAGCATCAGCAGAGCGTGAAATAATGCAGATCTAGCCACTTTGTAGTGGATTTTGTTGTAGTTATTCACCCCAAATATGAGTTATCAGCTGAAAATGTAAAGCTTCAAACAGCCTGTCAGAGTAACAGCTGGAAGGAAAGAGGTTTGAACTTCCAGGACAAGGACTGAGATGAAAGCTAAGGACCAACACATTGTCTGCTCATGAAAAAGAAACACAGAAAACACATGGGGCAAAATGACACTGGACCAAGCCATGGCGTGTTCGTAACCTCCCCCCACAAAAAGACAAAAAAGAGCCATCATAATGAAAACACTGGGGGAAGCAAAATAACAGCGGGGTTCAGCGCATGTGAATAACCTTTCGGTGCTGGAAACACAGCTCACCCTTTCCAGAATAATTGAATTTGGTGTGCTTTGTGACCAAGCATAAAGGCCTCCCTTTGCTGAGCGGCAGGCCGGCCATGGCTGTTGCATAACAGAGCTAATAAAGGAGGCCTGCAGGGCCCGGGATGGAGAGGAGGAGGCAGACACGTGGGAACTGCCTCTGTTCTGCTGCTTTGTCTGGGGCCGCGAGCGAGCAGAGCCCCTGGGCATTAGTGTAGGCATGCCTAACATTACGCTCATTCCACAGCAACAAAAAAGCCCTGCAGAAGTGCTGGGGTTATCAGCAGGAGCCCTGAGCTGCTCGAGGTATCCACCAGCCTCAAAGACATAATTACGATCAGACATGTATGCAGGGATGAGGACAGTTTGTAAAGTGCTGAGTTTACAGGTTTTCCCTCCTTGTGTTTAAGAACGTCATGACAAGGTTTGCTCACATTCTCTGTCAGGTATTTGTGCACCTATTTCACACACCGGTCTGATTTTTCACTACACGCTGCCACCTAACCAAAACACCTCAGTCCAACTTCTCCCCCGCCTGCAGACATCGAATGTACCAGTGAGAGCAAACATGAACTCTGGCTGATACGCAGCTCCATTTCACCACATCATGATCATCACTGACAATTATGTTTCAGCTCAATGGCTCTTGTGTTTTAGTGATTAGGCGATAATCCACGGCTGACACGCCTCTCTGCAGGTCAGCAGACACAGGGCTCGTGCACATCACTGACCTGAACATTGACCCTGCGCGATATGACACATCAAGGTGTCCAAACAAACTAACACTGAGCTTTTAAACCTTTTTGTTTTTTATTCAAGTGCGTTTTGGGGCATTTAAATTTATGAAACATTTTTGCCAAAGCATCAAGATGTCAAAAAAGATCACGTTCTCTATCTTTCTCAGTCTTCTTAAAAAAATAAAATAAAATAAAAAACTAAAAAGACAAAAGTACCTGCACCTTATACACCAGGCATTCCCACAAACTCTCGCACTACAAAATGAGCTCCTAAACCTTTGTTTGACTTCACACAGAGACCATATTATGACCAAAATATGGAAAAGTCTGATCCATGCCAATTAAGGCATGTTTCAGTCCCCTCAACTTCTCATCTGTCATGTCAGACTCTGACACAGAGAACCAACAAACCCTGAAACACTGGACCATCTTACTCTGGAGCAGTTTCCAACAAATCCACAACAAAAAAATCTACGTCTAGCAAACAAACACATCTCCACCTGAAATGATCAACTTCATTGGTCCACTGACACAAATTAAATTGCAACACTTTTGTAATTACTCCATCGTTTGAGTCCAATGAGACAGAATTTACATGAGAATTCATTTCATATTTATTACTCGACTTTAACTATTGTGGATTTTCTTTCCCTTTTTAAAAAAAATGCAGATTTAATTTATTCAGCCTGTTGTTGGATCTAAGACTGCTGCAATGCCATACTGGTGTTTGTCTTATACACATAGTTATATCTGCCATGACTAAAACACAAACTTTTTTTTACTGATTTGTCCAATACAGTTTTTTATGAGAGGTTTGGACACAACGTTCAAACTTTTTTGGCTCCTTGCATCACTGCGCACTTTTACATGGAATAAATGCTTTTATGGATTGAGGCTACATCCATGCACCTGTCCCACATGCACAGTGCTCATGCCACACCTGTGTAGAGGTAGTACACCCTTTCTGCCTTTCAATAGGTGAGTCGTTTCAATAAAAATAGAAATTTAAATTTGAAGGTAAAACATATTGGTCATATTGGTTTGGTGCGTGTGCCTAACATTAGCAGAGCTTGCACCACCAGTCTTAAGTCTTCCTTGCAGGTTAAAGTTCACATACCTGTGCTGGTTGTGGATTGCTCTGGTTGAATGGTTATACGTCAGAGTGACCAGATACAGCCTACATACAATTTCTTGATCAAAACACTGACAAACCACATATTGCTATAAAATGCTATCTAGCATCTGTGATTGTTTACATCTGGGTAGCAGCATGATGGGATTATGGTAAAAGTCATTAACCACAGAAACAGCCCTGGTTATTGGAAGGTGGCTGCACAGTTTAGACACAACATGTTACTGCCAATTTAGGCTTTAAAAAACGAATATGTTAATAGTCCATATAACCTACTCGTAATGCTGCCGCCCAACACCATGGCAAAAGCAATTGTCTCATCAACTAAATGCACACATCCCTAGTCTGCAAAAAGAATAACGGTAAAAGAAATTGTGCCTTAAAGAGCATATGACTGTGTTCAAGTATGTCCATTATACCCAAATCACCATCCCATTATTGACATGTATGCATGCTGACTGAGGGAGCATAGCCTAAATAAAATATACACATGGAGTTATTTCAATACATATAATTTGGGGGTTTTGTTTATTGTGCAAGATCCTGTTCTGATAATGAGGACATCATGAAGCCCAATATCAAATTCAACATTGAACATTTCAAATTTTGGAACAAAATATCAGAATCAGGATCACAATACTTTATTTATCCCAAGGGATAAAATTTGGTCAATGCATGGAAGTACTATAATGTAAAGCACAATAGCTGTTTGCAAAGGTTGTGTAGGGGCGGTGATTGGTAACAAGAGCAAAAAAATCACTCTATCATGTGACCAGTTTAGTGGTGCAGCATAAGAAGTCATCCTAAAGCACTGAGAGTTTGTAAAATGTCTGAATGAGGATGCGTCAACTCCACTGCCGGCAACCTCTACCTCAGTCACTCAACAAAACTGAATAAGCAGAAACCACCGAAAGTAAAGGAGCTTAACTAGAAAACCACTTCTCTTCTCCTGATAACCAGTCTTTTAGCACTATGAAAGACACAAGCTTCTGTTATTGGCTATTATTGTGCTAAGTTTGGCCAGCCAAAATGAGGAAGAAATTTTCAGCATATTAGTAAAAACTTTTTATAGTGCACCCCCTTCAGGACTGTCTTACAATTTATCCTAAAATTGCAGATTTCATTGTTATGGTGGGCCATTATTATCAGGATGTGCACAGTTAGTCACCTTGTTGTTTCCACCCCTATATGAGGATCTTTAAGCTTTTCTTAGAAAAAAAACAATTAACTAATAGCTTAAATTCCAATAAATGGCAGCAGCTCCAGTAGTTTATTTCTGATAGGTACGGATCATATAATAGACAGACAAATTAAAGCTCCTGTGAGGAACTCGCCGTTTGTGCCTAGTAGGAATGATATTAATAGCTTTGAAGGTCTTACTCACTGCATGCCAAAGTCGTCATTTCTAACAAAAAAAAATCTTATTCAGCTTTTTTTTGAATGTGTCACTCACTGCCAATATGTTAAGAAAGGCTAACCTTTCAGTCATCTGGTCTAACACCGACCCCCTCTTGGTGGTTTCAGACATCAGAAATTAAAATAAATTATCTATTTGCTGATGGATTTGTTTGCTTTTGTAGCTGCAACATTGTAAGTTTAACTCTGGTTTAAAACTAGAGAAAAACTTCTCAGTGTCCAAAATCAGCTCAACAAACCAAGTTAGTATCAGCTAATAATATGTCGATCAAAAAGGTGGTGGAGCTTTCAAACAATACTAACATCAGCATTATTATAATGGGTGGTGTTACGTTAAGAAATACTTGAGGTAAAGTAAGAATATGCACTTCCTCCTCACAGTCTGGTATCTGAATATCACAGCTTACAGTCAAACAGCATTCGGTTCATTTTTCTGATTCCTCATCTAAATAATCTGATCCAGATCACATCAACTCTCTGGTTCGTGCACTCACTCCTGTTTTCACACTCAGTTTATGCCTGCTAGTCAAAATGATGAAGGCATCCAATAATAAAACATGGTAGATACCAAATCTTTAAACCATCAGCCTTTGATTGTGGCAGTACTTGAACAGAGCAGCTGTCAAACTCAGGGAAAACTCTTATCATCGCTGTGTTACTCTCCTTCAGCTCCACCATGCATCACAGTCCTTTTATCTGCAGCTGATGGACAGGACGACATTTTTAAGCGCGGCTGACACAAAACGAATAGCTGACACCTTTTTGTATCTGTTGCACATTAGCAGAAAGTCAGCTTTAGGGCCTGTATAGTGAAGTGATTTATTGAAAAGTCAGTATCAGGTGGTGACAGAGGACATTCCTCTGGCCGAGATAACCTATAAATCACTGAGCAGCACCAGAACAAATGCCGAAAACATTCTTTAGTCATGCAAAAGGAAAAAAAAACAGCAGGGCTCAAATGCTGGCGATTATGAGATGTTGAGAAACTGCTATCAGCTGCACACAACAATGCTTAATCAACTTGGAAAGGGGGAGGAGGGTTCTTCAAGGAAATCAGGTTTTTCTTATCTAGATTACATGCAGCTACTACATTCCCACTGTTGAAATCAGCTGCAAGAAATCTACTTTGAAAAATGTTGAACAGAAAGAGACGGGAGTTGTTTTTGTCAGGTCTTTTCCCTCATAATGCAGCAGAGTTAAAATACTTGCTATAATTCCCAGTAATCTCGCAAAGTCTGCTTTGAATGCCTGATTGAGCCTGTTTCTGGGCTGCTGAAATCCCAGTCCCCACAAAAGCACATCCTTGCAGCTTTCCCAGTGGCCCAACTAGCATTCCTCACATTTTTTCACAAAGATCTCTGGGAGTTGGAGTTTTAAACTCAAGTAATACTAAGTTGCATTCTCAAATCAAGTGAAACACAGATTGTGAGTCATCTTAGGTTGAAATACAACTTTAAAGACCTCAGAGTTGCATGGAAAGGAAGAGCAGCTGGTAACAATAGCTCACTGTGCTGAAGCAGGAATGTTTCAGGTCAGTGGGAGTCATAAATGAGCTACTGATGAGTCTGATGATTCTGGTTTGTGGAGACAGATTCATAAAAACTCAGGTGACTAGACTGACAATACTGTCTGCTGTTCAAGAAGGCAAACCAGAAAGATCCATCTGCTGCATGTCACAGACCTGTCAGACATCTAAAAGAGACATAATCAAGTATTAATGTGAGCGGCTGCACAGTAGGGGACCATGGGCGTTACATCCCGTGTTTGCATGGGAACTTCTTAAAGAGGCCATAAACTACTGCCAAATCTGCACCAATCTGATTCATCGGTGCTGGAGACCAAATCCACCGCAACTTTGAGTCATATTAAAGGGAATCAGGAGGGGAACTTAGTGCCATGGCCCCTAAAAACAAAACAAACCTGCCCCCACCCTGCTGACATCTCCTCCTGGTCTCGTCAGTGAGAAGGACCTGTTGAATTAAAATGACTTTATATCAGTAAATGTGTGTAATCCCAGTACTCGCAGGCCTTCAGCATACCTATCTCTGGGGTCAATCCATGAAGTTTGCCGGGTGTTGTGGTCGATAAAAAACACTCTGCCATCGTAATCCCGGGCTTCCTCCCAGCCCGCGGGCAGCGGCAGCTCCGAGCTCTCTCTCCGCTTTCCGCCGCTGACCCACGGCATAGCGTCGGGATGGTGAGAGGGCTGAAGCCCCCTGCCCTGCGTTTTGTCCCCCCGAAAAAGTCGCTCTTCACTGCATTACAACAAACTCTACCTCGACGCACTTGTCGGCGCAAAAAAAGTTGACGCAAAAACAAAAGTTTCCACCGAGGTTGTCCGCCGAAAACGTCCCTCTTGAAGTACATCCACGTTTCCTCCTCTTCTTCTACTTCTTAAACCTCGCAGAAAAACAGTAGCGCAGCTCTCAGTCCTCGGTCCTCCATGTTCGCCTCCTCCACCATGTTTCATTCCTCCGTGTCCATATTCGGCTCGAGCGCATTTGCATAAACGGTCGGACGTACAGCGGAGCGAGCTGCTCCGTCCAATGAGGAAACTTCAGAGCTCAACTTTTTTATTAAGATTTAATTAAACGGTGAAATAAAGTTCTTACGTTTTCTTATAAATTCTAGCTCACCCACGGCTATGTCAGCGAAAGAGCTGTTTGAAAGAGGCTTCCGAAATAGCTAACGCAAAGTGACTGTCAAGCATTTTGACAACTTGCTGATCCGCCTGGTGTTAAAAAAAGTTATTAACTGCTTAAAATAAGATACCATTGCCATTTAAGACAAATAATGGCAATAATCATTATAAGAAGAAAATGGTTTATTGAAAAAACGCGTTTCATCCAAGGACAACTCCCCCAGAACACACTGACAAATCTGCAGTTTGTTATTGAATGCTGGTTTATTTAAATTGTGCAGCAGCGCCATCTGGTGTCTGCAAGATAAACAGCAGTGGTTTAAAAGTTAAAAGTAAAGTAAAAACAACCCCATGCTTTCATTTGACACCCTGGTCACAACAAATGATAAATATAATAATGATGATAATAAGATTGAAATAATCGATAGCACAAATATTTAAAACAGTAATTTTATACAATGACTAGCGCCTGTACTAAATGATAACAAGAAAAATGTATAGGATCAAATTTTTATGTTTATTAGTTGATTTATTGCAGCTTTCTGTTATTGCAAAGTTCTAAAGTTGTCTTGAAAGTAACTGACAGCTAATATTACAATGGCCTCATAAGCATTTAAGAGGGGGGCATTAAAATCCAAATATAACACAAGCTCAAGACTCAACTATGATAATCATCTTCAACTGAAACCTTTTAAGAAGAAACTTGCTAAATACTGTCTACATCAAAACAACAACAAAGACAAAAATTAAACCAGTAAAATCAGCTTCTAAAGGCTATACCACTGAAGGTTTTTGTTGAAGAAGGCACCTCCATGTGGACAAACTAGTACCTGTTTTCTTTGCAGATCTTCTTCTGCACACGTTTCAGTTGTGCTTCCTCATAAGAAAATATTTTTGTCTGTCTGGAAGAGTCAAATCTCTCACCTATGTGAATTAAACATGTGAAAAATGTTAACAGTCGGTTTTGGCAGCATGTTATTCATAACTTAATCTGACACCTACAGCAAGTTTCAGGAAGAAGTAACAATTTATCTTTTTGATAGTGGTCTCCATTGCTTGTGTAGGTCACAAAAAGGTAACAGTGTCAGCTTTTGCCCATTTAAGAACCAGCCAAAACCTCCTAACAAGGGCTTCAACACAGAGGAGGACAGAAGAAAGAGGTACAGTCATATACATGATGCTTTTTTATGACTCAAGGCAAAATAAAAATAAAAAAAGTGTTTGGGATTTGGATTGAAATGCCTCAGTGTAGTGGAACTGTTTGAGTGAGTGTGAAGAAAATATATTCTTTTGTAACACTCCATAATAATTAACTATAGGCTAAATAATGTAACCTTATGCCTGTAGACACATTTATAAATAACCACAATTCAATTGATTAAGATGAAATGAGTGACAAACATTAAAATATAAGTGTAATTTTTTAATAAACCTACATTTAAAAAATTAAAATTTAAACAGATTCTTTTTCAGGGCTCCTGGACTGTGTCGCCCTCTGTCTGTAACCAGCATGAACTGCAATAACACTGGTAATTTATCCTGCAGTGTTTCCACAGTTTTCCTGCAGTTATTCCACAACAAGGAGAATTATTGAGGCCTTTCGTTCAAGTAAGGTTTCCAGTACTGCTGCTAAAGTGTGATGCAGTCATTATACTGAGATCTTTTCCTCATCTGTGTGATGTTTGGCTGAAGGTGTCAGAAACTCTAAAAGGAAATACAAACATTCAGGGGCTCAATATAAGCAGTAAATCCAGATCTCGGAGCAGAGAATGCGAAGAAAAAAAAAAAAGGCCATCTGCACCTGTCTCTTCTTCTTGCACTTACATATATACGTAGTGCATGTGTGAGTGTGTATGTGCATATGTGTGTGTAAGTGTGTGCAGCCAAGCAAACAAGCACTCATGTAGAGACGTCAGTGCAGTCAGCTGAGCATTTTGTTCTACTGAAGAGGAGGAGATCTGGCAGGCTGAGGAAGGATTTTATCTGTGCATTTTTGTTAGTGTGTGTGTTTGTTTGTGCGTGTGTACTCTGCTGTGTGTGAGTTGTGTGTGTTTGTGGCTGGGAAACATTTCCTCACATCAGAGCTTTGATCTACAGCCTCCCACCATCATTTCCCACAGACCGGAGTTCGTATGAGAGCTCACAATAAGCTGCACTGTTGTTTCAGCATCAGTCACATGCAGCACAGTGACATGCTCATTCTTAACTTTTGTGCATTTTTATCTTTGATTTCATTTTTTAATGGATTGTAACAATATGCTGAACATCAGCATCAACATTTCTTTGTATGGCTCGATTCCATGGACAAGAAAGTAAATCAATTCCCAGATGTATTATATCACAACATCTATATTGCATAAATAGTTTTGTGTTGTGACTGTAAGAAACAGTTTTTTAAAAGATCAAGTGTTGAGATTTTGAGGAGTTTTTATCCTGTTGAATGCAGGTGTGATTTGTGTTGTATCTTATTTACACTACAGGTGCACAGGATACATAAAGATGTTCATCAGTGAGTCTATTTTTTGCACAAAAATGCACAAAATGATATCCTATCTGCACACAACTTCCTCCCATGTGGCGTGCTGATGGTTGAGTCTGACTGTCTCTGCCCCTGCTGCCCATTGGCACAGCGGCCAGAGCAGGAGGACCTGAAAGGGGAGGGCTGATTGAGCCCCCTCTCCTCCCTGCAAACAGAAGATGTGAGCTCCTCTGAGTGGGATACTGTTTGTGAACGAGCTGCAGAGCCTGAGCGGTGAACTTGAATGATCAGGTGTTGTGAGTGGCCTCTCCAGCTTTGGAAGAAGAAGAACTCTTGTGGCTCTGTGAAGCGTGGAGGCCAAAGAGAGAAAGCGAGAAAGAGAGAGAGAGAGAGAGAGAGAGAGAGAGAGGGAGAGTGAGAGGAGAAGATGGTCACGTGCGCCTACGCTTTGGAGCTGCTGGGGATGCTGGTATACATCGGAGCATGGCTGTGTGCTTTAGCCACCACCATCCTCCCTCAGTGGCTCACCATGTCCACTGCTCTGCTGCCTGTGGAGAGCTACGAGCTGGGCCTGTGGGAGACCTGCGTGGTGCAGGATGTCGGGGGGATGGAGTGTAGAGCCTATGACAGCCTGCTGGGCCTCTCCAGTGACCTCAAACTGGCCCGCATTCTCATGTGTGCCTCCTTAGCTGTGGGCATGCTGGGAATCCTTGTGGCCATACCTGGACTTTACCTGGTGAACAGCTGCAGGGAGCACCAGGGCTACAGATCCAAGAAGACTATGACCATCATAGGAGGTGTGCTTGGTATGGTTTCTGGGGTTCTGTGTCTGATCCCTGTTTCCTACATGGCTCATATAGCTGTCATACATTTCTTCGATGATAAAGTACCGGATGTGGTTCCACGGTGGGAGTTTGGAGACGCTCTCTTCTGCGGCTGGGTTGGAGGGTTTCTGCTCATAGTGGCCGGACTGCTCCTGGTCTCCTCCTGTGTATGCTCACAGGCAGAGGATGAACCGATGCTGCAGAGGAGACATCATCTCATAGGGGCAGATGTTTCCTTCAGGAAGCGCTCAGAGTATGTTTGAAGGAGGAACGATAGAAGAATCACCTGCTCAAAGACTGACAACACAACACAATCACCTGTAGAGCTGCACTTCAATCTGCTTTCAATCAATGATGTAAATATCAAAGACAATATCCAGTGCTAGGTTTGCTTTACCACATCTGCAAAAATGGATCAAATGTTTTCAAATCACTGTAAAAGGAGACATTTTCAAAAATCATATCATATGTTGCAGCTACACAATCAAACATTACACTCTCACCTGCTGTGACCAGTAAAAAAATCAGTATCTTTCAAACAGACGTGTTTTATAAAATGCTTTTCATTCCTTATTTTTCAGGATCTCTTCTCAGTGCCAGAAATGACTTGGATGCTTTTTCAGTCCTTTAAGCAGGACACATTAGCAATTTTTAAGATGCTGTGATTGTAAGTTATTTTTAACATAGAAAAAGCACAGATCATTCTAAGCCTGGTTATGTGCTGTTTTCTGCGGCAAGTTCAGATGATTTATATAAATAATTTTGCTGAAAAACTGCAGGGGAGTTGTCTCTTTTTGCCTTTATGGTGTGACTTAATCAGTTTTAAAAAAGTCAAGTTTGGTCTTGTGTTTTTATTTTTGTTTAAATTAACAGCAGGATTTTGCTCAAAAATGAACATACTAGTCTTTGGTTGAGTCAGAGATTGAAAAACCTGGCAACTTGCTTTTTCTTTCAACCCCTGGACTTATTTTGATTGCAAGAGTGATTTTACTTTTAAACATAAGCATAAATCTTTCTGGGCTTGGTCATGCTGTTTTTCTACAGTGTGTTCAGATGCTTTTTGAACTTTCTCTTTCTCTTCCTATGTTCATGATTCAAGGCAAATATGGTGTTTTATTTTCATTTTTTGCTTGGATTGGATTTATGGCAGGACTGTGCAGGAAAAATGAGCATGTTTTTCTATGGTTATGTCAGAGGTTTAAAAAAATGGCTGCTCTTTTTCTTTTCCCTTTAACTTAAAACCTATTTTGGTCTGAAGTCGTCCCTGGTGGCTCTGTAACCAGACCACAAGCTGAGCAGCAGGAGGAGGATGAGGGTTAGGGCGAGCTGAAAACAGGAGTCTCGCTCTGTCAGGTGTGTGCGGCGGTGGAAACTCAGCTTGAGACTAATTCCATCAGATTTCCTGGTCGCTTGCTGAGCTAAGCTGTGTTTAATGAATGCTCTAATGGGCAGCATGTACTGCGAAGAATGCTGAGCAGGTTGCCCTCGGTGGCTCCCGCTTTGACATAATTACACAAATTTGCCAAGGTCAGAGGGCGCTGCTGCTCTCTGCCCTCCAGAACTGTCTATATCATTCACACAAACACAGGTACAGTGACGTAAACGTGTTACCACATGAGAGAAGAGGGATTTTCTGATGTGACTTTTCTTGCAGTCAGCGCTTAAAGAGTGAAGTTAATGGGAGGTAATGATGCTGCCACTGTGGCACATATTTTTTAGAGGCACTCAGGACATGCCAGTGTTGGTTTTGAGGGTATAAAAAGTGTTTTTGTGTCAGAACCAGAGAGCGTGGAGTGGATTGAAGGCTCCCTCCCTTTATCTGACGCCATGCAGGCTGCAGAGAAGGAGGGCGGGTGTCTCTCAGTGTGAGGGCAGAAATCAGCAGGGGAGGACGAGAAAACAACTGCAGAGATGTTCTTCTGGATTACAGTAAGAGTCTGTGTGCAGAGAAGCCGGGAAGTGCTTAACACACAGGAAATTTCTCCTTCTCAGGATATTCAAAAGAATCCAAACAAATGAACAAATCTGATCTGAGGGGTCGATAAGCTCACAGCACAGAGGATGAAGATTTACAATCTTTTAAGATGACCGACTGTAACATAACCCCCTGTACAGACACCTGAGATCGAGATCACTGATTATCATCAGATATGAGAGTCAGGGCAACAAGTTTACAGTCTGAATCAGTCATGAAATCAGTGTTTCACTGCTCAACATTATCATAACAGATAAACCATCAAGATAATGTTTCTGAACCTTGGTGATTGCTTTACTTTGACCAAATCCTCTTTATCGGTCTTATCTGTGAGGCACAGATGAGGACAGAGTCAAAGATTAGTGAGCACAAGGTCAGATGTAAAGGTTCTTAAAACTGAACTCTGCTTTTATTCAGATTTGCAAAAGGCTCTGAAAGTTTTGTTGCAAATATGGTCATACAGCAGAAAAGTTTATACCATCACTCATTATATACAGATCCATCTACGCTAAAAGCTCCTGTCAGCCCCAGTGGTGATGGTTTTGGCGCCACCTGTAGACAAAGCAGTAAGTCTTGCCTCTTAACATTTTTGTGCTGTGGATGTGAAAGTAGTTGTTTGAACAAAATAAAAGTGCAGGGTACGCACATTAAAAATGTTTAAAAGTGCTAGACCATGTTCCATGCTAACAAAAATTCTCTGACTTGATTGAAAAAGGCTTCAGAAATGACAGTGCCTGACTTTTACGGAGAAATGTGAGCCTTTTTTGTACATCCCGAAGTTACTTTTTTGAGTCCTGCGTGAAGTAAAGTTCTTAGACCAAAAACCTTATCCAGCTCTTTTCAAAAAGAAAGTTGATTTCTCACATGGAGTCTTTGTTGTGGAAAATATATATATATTTTTTTTTCTAGAAAGATTGTGTCTGACAACAACTCCCCAGCATAAGAATGAATAAACAGAATTAACCCATCCTAATATTGATGATCTTGTTTGCTTTTATAGCACATAAAGAGGTTTTCTATTCAATTTTCTATTCAATTTCATAACAAGCTGAAATCCCTTTACAGGAGCTTCACAGGCACAGCTGTGGAGATTGAGTTGCTTTAAAGCCCCTGTGAGGAACTTAAAACCAGCTATGTCAGCAATATTAATGACGATGCCTTCATATGAACTACAAAAGCAAATGAGACCATCACAGACAAAATTGACTTTTTCTATGTGTTTATTTCTTCATAACTTAAACTGCCATGGGGTAGATGTCAGATGAGGCAATTTACCAAAACACAGATGAAACAGCTTTTCTTTAGACTTTTTTTTACTCTCACAATAAGTGTTTGACAGCCAGAAAAAAAGGATGACGAGGTTTTTGTTGGAAAACGCAATTTACACATGTACAGGGCAGGATTAGAGGCACTGCTTTGTCCAAAAGTTACTGATAAGAGCTTTTTAAGGTGTGATAGGCAGGATCTGAGGAAGTGCCAGTTTTAAGGAGAAATCTTGACCGTAAACACTACTCCTCCCAACCAGTTTTCCCCTCAGCTCCTCCTCTCGTCTCTGCTCCAGCAAGCCCCGCCCACAAACAGATGCTCCTGCTCGCTAATATCGTTTCAATTAAATTCAGATATAATGCAGATAAATACTTAAGATAATTACAAATGGGGCCCAGTCAATATGAAAGTAAAAAGCATTGGTGCTACTGTAGATGCCAACAGACTACCAGCAAACACAATGTTTGCAGGACTTCTACAACTAGGATTAAGTGACATACTCCAGGACCCGAGGTAAACAGTTTAGCGGTGCTACAACACGCAGCAGGTCCGGTTTGACAAAAAACACTTCTGTTACACTTGGCTTACTTTGTTAAAGCCGTTTACCTGTCCAGCAGAAAGGCTACAGGGTCCGTAAGATCCCCCCTTGTTTATTCATTGATGTTGACCCTGCTTTTTAACTCCTGTACGGTCTACCTCTTTTTTAAGCGGCCGTTATTCCGCCAGAGTCTCCGGTATTTACTTTGGTTTCTTGTTTGTGTTGGCAGTCGTGGCCAAAGGAGGATTCAGACAATTTTCCGTACTTTCTGGTTGGTTTCTACTGTCCGATATTGTAGCACGCTCACTTTGTTTGGGCTCGTGAACGACACAGGGGAGCAGCGCCTAGCTCACAACCAATCAGCACTAAGGAGCAGCGTCCGCCTCACATCAATCAGGTTAGGGGAGGTGGAGATTGGCTTTGTTTACAGTCAGAATGAGCGGGCCGCTCAAAAAAGTAAAAATGTTGACTACACAGATATAACAAAACACAGTGATATCGTTATATTACCAAATGTCATCAATAACTAATAGCTATTGACTGATATTAAAAGCTTTTTTTGTATATACACCACAAAAAAGATGCGTCTTTAACGGAATCCTGCCTACCCCACCTTTAACAACTTCATGTACATCCATTTGCCTCCACAACGAATGCACACTTTGGCAAAAGCTTTAACTTTACCTCAGTGGGGGATGGAGATTATGGGTAATTACTTCTACCCATCACATGGACACAAAAGCAACAACAGTAACCTCCCTCATGTTCTGCTGTAGTTATAAACAGTGTAATTAAATTTACAAATCAGGTACATGTGAGAAGATGGGCAGGGAGTTACTTCGATACTTCTCAAAAATGTGTCTTATCTGCAGGAATGCTTTTGAATTATGTTTAGTTTTGCTCCATTAAAATCTTATCAGAGGCTCTTCTGTTACTGATTCCTGGCAGTGGCTGACTATCTTGCAGTGGGGAATGTTCAGAGCACGTCTACCTTTTATCCACTTCTGGGACTTGGCTTACTTTGTGAAAGACAGGTTTACCTGTCCAGCAGAAAGGCTACAGGGTCTGTAAAATTCCAAAGCATCCCCCCTCGTTTATTCATTGATGTTGACCCTGCTTTTAAACTCCTGTCCGGTCTACCTCTTTTTTAAGCGCCCGTTATTCTGCCAGAGTCTCTGGTATTTGCTTTGTTTTCTTGTTTGTGTTGGCAGTCGTGGCCAAAGGAGGATTCAGACAAATTTCCTGTACTTTCTGGTTGGTTTCTACTGTCCAATATTGTAGCACGCTAACTTTGTTTGGGCTCGTGAACGACACAGGGGAGCAGCGCCTGGCTCACAACCAATCAGCACTAAGGAGCAGCGTCTGCCTCACAACTAATCAGGTTAGGGGAGGTGGAGATTGGCTTTGTTTACAGTCAGAATGAGCGGGCCACTCAAAAAAGTAAAAATGTTGACTACACAGATATAACAAAACACAGTGATATTGTTATATTACCAAATGTCATCAATAACTCATAGCTATTGACTGATATTAAAAGCTTTTTTGTATATACACCACAAAAAAGATGCTTCTTTAACGGAATCCTGCCTACCCCACCTTTAACAACTTCATGTACATCCATTTGCCTCCACAACAAATGCACACTTTGGCAAAAGCTTTAACTTTACCTCAGTGGGGGATGGAGATTATGGGTAATTACCTCTACCATCACATGGACACAAAAGCAACAACAGTAACTTCCCTTATGTTCTGCTGTAGTTATAAACAGTGTAATTAAATTTACAAATCAGGTACATGTAACTTGAATTGAACTCTCCTACAGTACATCAGCGTTTTACCATATATCTTTTCTCTACATATATATAAGCACAAAGTGATAACTTTTATCTTATCTCCACATATAAAGATGGTTGCAGGGATGACAAAAGAAGATAAAAGAATTTGAGGTGCAATACTCATATTTCTTTACACTTTACCTCAAATTCCCTCTGACTGAAGACAAAACTCAGTCTTTGTTTACTTGTGGCAGTATTACGGAAAAAAAGTAGATATGATAAAGAATAAAGATTTGGATTGCTTTCCCTCCCTCCATTCCTACACCCTCTCTTATCATAGTTTTATAGTACAGATGATGGAGTAGAGGACTTAGCTTGACAGATTAGATAAAACATGAGCACCTCAGTGTCACTGCAAACTGCGCTGCAGACAAGAAATGTGCAGGAGACAAGTGGGAGGTGAGAAGATGGGCAGGGAGTTACTTTGATACTTCTCAAAAATGCGTCTTATCTGCAGGAATGCTTTTGAATTATGTTTAGTTTTGCTCCATTAAAATCTTATCAGTGGCTCTTCTGTTACTGATTCCTGGCAGTGGCTGACTATCTTGCAGGGGGGAGTGTTCAGAGCACGTCTACCTTTTATCCACTTCTGGGACTTGTGTTTTTGACAGAGTTGTGTCGGCTGAAGAGGGTCTTTTGTTTTCAGCAGATCACCGCCTCCAAAGGGGTGCAGCGGGCCACTGGGCCACAGAGTGTGTGTGTTTGTGTGTGAGTGCGTGTCTTCCCTGGCAACAATCACCCTCTACATAATCACATGCCTGCTCTCGTCAGCCTCCTACCCAGGTCACATGAGCAGGGCCCCCAGTCAACCTGACCTGTCGAGATCCCTCCTCACGTGTGGGCCCGTTAGAAGCCCACACCTTGACATGTCACATCAGTGCCCCCACCTCGCCTGTTTGGTGATAAAGGGTAGAAGTAATTACAGCAACACTCCACCTGCACGGTTAGATAACTCTACTGGAGAGATAACGTTTATTTTAACAACTTGATATATGTGTCTGACCCTGAACTCTGGGTGGAATATCACACAACAAAACTCCTGTTAAATGAAACCCGTGGACTTCAAATAGAATCAAGCTAAGGATTTATAGATTTACTCACATAACAGCAGAAACAGGTTTTATTTTTCTCCATTTACCATGGATTATATCACTAAATAAGAGTGTTATACGTGGTGACTTTTAATGTCAGCTCTGTGAAATGAAGTTGATAATTCTAGTTCAAAGCAATTCATCCCATCTTTTAGATTAATTTGTAATAATAAATGAAAAATAAGAGCATCACTCAATTGTTTTTTAGCCATTTGGTTTGCCTTTCTAGCCTATAGTTTGATAAAGAACGGGACAATGTTTATGGGACAGTTGCTAGAATGTTAGCAACAAGCTACAAAGCAGCTGCCCAAGTCTACGGAAGAAGAGTATTTTAAAGTTGATTTGTTAAAATAAATGTTATTGGTACATAGTATTGAAATGAAAAGCATGAAAAATGCCCCAATCACATGTTAAATTAGGAAACAACTGCTAAACATGTGAAATGTAAGCTATACCCTGACACAAACACAACTGTTAGCTGGTTAGCAATAATTGGAGTTATATAATAAAGTATATAGCAATTATGCAGCTAACTCAAGCTAAATGACTTAGTTCAAGAGTTCAAGTCAAAAATAGTTTGCTGACCACAGTGTGGTTAAGCACTTTCACAACTTTTTATCAATGTCAAATCTGCTTACCAGTATACTTTCTGGACAAGATGACAGCAAACAATGGTAAATAGCTAACTTAAGCTACAAGAGAGCTAAAAAATTCATGTTGGATCATTGCAGGGAGACAAATTGAAGTTAGTGATACTGCAATGCTGCTGATATCTGCTAGCTGCTGTGTTGCTAGCTTTCTAGCACAGTGATGAAACAATAACTTTAGCTACAACTTGATATATGATATATGGTATATACTTGGTATATTTAACAGCTGAAAACTGACATAAACCAAGCTTAGTATTAAAACCTAAAGAGTTAAAAATGGTTAAACACTCAAACATTTAAACGTTTGCTATGTCAATTCAAATATAACCACTGAGACTCTCAGATGCATGTGACTCTCGCTAACATGAAACAGAGGAAGTTAGCTAACGATAATGGCATATCCAGCACTGAGCTGATTTGAGCTTAGCTACATTTATGACAGCTTAATTAAATAAGTTTAGAAACAGTTCATTAACAAAACACTGTATGATTAGTTACACAAAGAGAGAGCTCCACATAAATAATGACATTGCTTCATTGCTGCTGATAGGGAAACAAAGGATATGCAAACTAAACAGCACAACTGTATGGCAATGGGAGAGAGCAACATAGTGAAGTAATTGGCAGATGGTTAACTTAAACTGCATTACAGCTCTGGCATAAAAACACTTGAGTTAACACATTAAATGTTCGGATAAACCCACAACCCAAAACGGTTGCTACGGTTGCGCCATATCTTGATATTGAAGGCAAAAAAAAAAAAAAAAATTCAAAACATGTGAGCACAGTTCTCTTAAGTGCTCTTAAGTTTGAAATAGTTAACAGTTCGTTATCAGACTTTCAGGTTGCTATAAATTCTTAATACAGAATAATCTCAGTTCAACAGAAAAAAAGTCTTTTTTTCTTTTCTTTTCAAGAAGTAGCAGTCTTTATTTTTCACAGTATGGTCCAGAGTCAGTCATTGTCTTGGTTGTTTCTCTAGAAAATCAGTTTTTATTATTTTCACACAGTCTTTTGGGTAAAATCGCATGATGCCCCACTGTATCAGCTTTATTGATGCAACAAGCCCGGAGTCTTTCATGTGAATATCCAAGTGATTTTCCATTGATAGTGGACATGATTGTTTATATACAAACTGTGTTGGATATTACTGTTTTTATTTAATCATGACATTTCTTCAGTGTGAAATGCAGGATTATCTATGCCCTGGTTCAGTCCATTTGGCCAATCAGACCTCTGTGCCTGGGTTGTGTCTGTGCTGTTTGTGGGGCCAAGGGTCTTCCAGGCGTAACGGTAGCAGAGGAAAAGCAGCCCACTTATGAGCATCATTATGGAGGCGAAGATGCCCACTCCAACAGCAGAGCCGACCTGCTGCTTCACAGGAGCTGCAGGGAAGTTAAACTCAGGAGGAAAGTCTATGGTTCTGTTGTTGCGCACAGAGGTCACGTTCCAAATCAGCGGTGTTAAACACATACCCCCTGTCAGCAAATACAGGGTCCCTGCAAGCCGAAAAAACAGCTTTATGTTCTTACGGTCCTCCACAGAGAAGTAAGCCATCCTCATAGCCAGAGCAGCAATGATGTTTCCTGCAAGGCCGCTGATCACTGCCAGTACCATCAGAACCTGAGCCACAATGATCTCCGCAGGGACAAATGAGTCAGAGATGCTGATGCTCTGACAGGTCTCAAAACTGGGGAGGGCGTGAGTAAAAAAACAGGCCCTCCAGATTCCCACCCATGCCAAGCCAGAGGTGATGACAGATACATTGTCCACAGTCCACAGACGCCAATCGTTTAGGCCAGTGGTGGTCACGATGAGTATCCAGGCCAGGAACCCAAACATTAGGCCCAGGAACTGCCAGTGAGCTGTGCGGGACAAGTAAATCATCCTGCTGGTGTGACGTTAACACTCAGAGAGACTTGATGATGACTCCTGCTTCACATCCATCTCACCTGCTGAAACACAATGAACACAATTTTATCATAGACATACGGTGTAGAATATAATGTGACTCAATATGATGTTTTTGGATGTAAAAATAATCAACCAAGGGAGATAAGATGAAAAATAGAGCAACCTTATACAGCACGGTACGATTAAGAATAAAAGTGATCTGATAGGATGTAAGATAGTGATCCCTCTAACTCAGTTTAATGTGATATGAAATAAAATGATGTGATACCATACATAAGCATACACTTTATCTAACAGTAGGGTTATTTGTCTTTGTCTTCAGCTAGGGACAGAGGAAACGGGGTATGCATGTGGCAAAGGTCATCAGTCAAGTGTGATCCAGGGCTTTTGCAGTTTTGTTGTCACCTTGCCTTCAGTGTGCTCTAACACAATAAAAAAATATATTGTGTTTATTCATGTTGTACCTATCAAAGTTTAAAAGTACAATAGAAAATTCAGGTAGTAAACTAAGTTGAACAAGTGCAGTATGTGCAAGTATATAACGTATTCTGTAATACCTAAATTTAACTACACTTAGCTCAGAGCTAACAGTGACAGGAGGACAGTATGCAGTCAGGCTTATACTATGAATCAAAGGGAGTGTGACCACGACAGCAGAAAGAAACATCAGCTGCTAGTAGTATCTTTATGATCCCTCACAGCAACTGCAATTATTCTAGATAAACAACACATAAATACACATTTAAAAGTCATTATATCCACTACATCCACAATACATTGCAAACGGAAACATCTTTAAGTCATAATTTTATTTTTTTATCTGCATGCTGATAAGAATAAAGGGTTCAATAATCCTAATCTCTGTTTAGGGAATTTAACTAAAATTAAAGTCTTACAAATTTTTCTGATATGTCTGAAGACATGTTTCAAGAAAGTGTTTCACCAACTTGGAAGACAAATTTCTCTCTCTTTGAATCCAAACAGCCTGTCTGTTATCTGAGCTGATCTGAACATTCAGGCACAGACTGCTGGGTGTTCTTGAGGGTTATGTAATGCTGGAGGATATTTATCTTTATTTTAAGGACAGAGGTAAAAATTATCTTTATGATGCTTTTTGCAGACAAAAGAGAGAAAGTGATCTATGTGGGCATAATACACATGAAGATTAAACATGAAAGGTAAGATGGCTTTGATCCTGCAGAGGTGTGTGTGTGTGTGTGCATTAATTTGTGAAAAAAAAAATCACCTAAATTAAATTCTGTTTTTCTGAGTTACTAAGATGCTGACCCTTAGTTGTTCTCCATGGGTATACAATATTTTCAGATTTTGCCCAATGGTCTCTGAAGTCTCTAACCAAACTGCATTTTAGATGCGTTATCTTTTATCTATTAACGCAAATCAGACTGAGTTTTACATGCACAGTCTTCATGTCCCCACACAAAATCAGCAAATCAATATATATATACACCATCAAACAGACATTCAGTTCTGAACTATGTGAAACACCTACATGATCTAGTAGCCAATGCTGCTGAATTACACAGTCAAGATCTTGTTTTTATCTTTTGGCCTCTGAGATCAGCTAGCTGAGTCAAACAGAGTGTGAGTTTTGTGATTTGGTTAAAGTGGATCTCCTTTTGTACTGTATTTATCATGATGATTGTTGAGAGTTGCCATTACATGAGTTTGATGTGTTTAATGTTGCTTATTTAGTTGTAAAGTCTCGAGAAAGAAGACAAGCCAGTCACTTAAATTTGTGTCTCTCTTGCTTTAGATTTCCTTTTCTATTATAAGGCTTTAAGTGGAACCAATTCGCACTCTGACCCTGGATTGCACAGTATAGTGTAAGACCATTTGAATCTGTTTGATGCTATGACTAGAATAAAAACTACAGTTTTCTGGTAACAATATCATCCATATAACCTTAGAAAACAAATATTCCCTACGTCTTAAAATCAAAACCAAATTAAACACATGTAAAAATTAATCTACAGGGGGCGCCACCCTCACAACATATCAAAAGTTCTTCACAGGAGCTTTAAGTAGCCTGAATGAGAACTTTTGACTTGTAGCTCATTAAGTCAGATTTTTTTGAGTAATTCCAGTTTGTTTCTATAGAATTAAAAAACACAGCCCCCTCATGCAATAAATGCTGAAGTGCACGGTGCATAAAAGGATGTTAACTAAACTCCAAATAAAATATCAGTCTTAACAGGGATGTCTTTTCAAGCGCGAAATGGTTATAGTTTATTATCATTGAGCTTTAGAGAAAATAACTGTTACCCTTCAGAGACACTAAGCTACCATCATGAAGAAGGACTTAAGAAGGCCAAGCTCAAATCTACCTGCTGCACACACCTGTAAGAGCTAATTTTGAGATATGTTCAAGGATACATTGGCACAAGACATAAATAATGTATGGGACAAAAAAAGATTATCTTGGCAAAATTTTGTTGATAAAAAAACAGATCATTGTTGTTGAAAAAGTTCAGATAGATCTCAAGGTGTCTGGCTGATTGTTTCCCAGTTATTGTGGTTTCTGTCACAGTTAGATATTTAATCTTTTATATTCTCAAATAACATATAACAAATAACAGCTGTTTCCATGTAGGTTGTACTCACCTTAATGTGTCTCCAAACTCAGATAATTAATTTTCTGTAAATTCTGAATCCTTCCATAGTCGCTGTTTTCATCTAAATCTGGGCAACAGTCCATATGTTTCTGTGAGACAAAGCCGTGCAGTAACACCTGACTGTCAAAGATCTCGTCATGTCAAAGTCTTCAGCTCGCTCTCTATCAGCAGGAAGGAGGGTGTGGAGAGGTTAATGAATGACAGATGAGGGAAAAAAAATCAATCGAACACTCCTGTGTGTTTCCAGCAGACTCTTTATTTGATATAAAGGAGCACAGCTGGTGAAGTGTTAGAGAGTCAGGCTGTAGCAGTGCATGAAGCGTGTGGAACTAATGTGCAGAGCAAACGTCCTCTAATTCAGTTTACCTTTATGAGAGTCATTTTATCCGTACAGTCTAAACATTTAGACTGAATCTGGTCAAAGCTTGAGACGATTCATCTCTGTATGTGGTTGCAAATCAAACCTGAACATTTTTAGTGACAAAATTGAACTAAAAGTCAAGTAACAGCCGTGTAAGTATGCATTCAACATCTGCACCGTGGATAACAAAACACAGTGAAGTTATAAGACAAAACACAGATACACTTGGTCATCTTAGATGTGGCAAAATCATAAATCTAAAGGAGTTATGTGAATGAAACATGGACAGTGTTGGCAGTTACTCGACAGGCACTTCAGACGTGGGTCTCATTGGAGTTGATGTGAAGTGCTGCTGTTCCTCTGTTCAGTGAAGTTGAACAAGTGCTCTCCTAAACCACCAGGTCCTCCTCACAGGTACATTCACTAACTTCTTTTACTTACTTTTATTGCAGAACAAAAAGGGTCTTCAGAGAGGAAAGCAAGGGCACAAAATCTTATTAAAAGGCCACTAGTGTATACATAGAAAAGCTAACAAAAGGTATTTGTGTTTCTTGAAATATCTGGCCAGATTGTGATAAAGATGGTATGAGAGTGTGACATTATTCAAACATGATAAATACTCCTAGTTGCTCACATGTCAGGAACACAGCTGCTGAAATCAGATGAAGATAAAATACTGTCCCCCTCCTGTGCAGATTCAAAAGGCTACAATAAATTACTAAAAAAACAACCAAAAAATAAAAACAAAGCAAAAATGGCGTGATAGACTTTAGATACAGTGGTCATGTGATGCAAGGAGAAGCAGCATCTTTCACAGGGAGTTTCTAATGGAGGCTTAAAGTCCACGTGTTGTGATGATGGGAAGAAGTAAAATGTCAGAAAATGCACCAGGCTGTTTGCCTCTGCAGATTCTCTGTCTCCCTCTGCTGGACGCAGGGCTCAACTGCAACTTAGGGCAACAGAAAAAGTCTTGGTCACCAGAGTTTGGGCTCTTTAATAGAAGTCTAACATGGTCCGAATGTTCAAAAAGCCAGCCTCTGCTCTATAGGCAGGCTGTCTGTCAGACACTTGAGCTGCTCCTCGCCCAGTTTGATTTTGTCCTCCAGCTTGCGCTGCTCGATGATGAGCGCAGACTTCATCTTTACAAAGTGCTCGTAGTCTGTGAGGCTATCCTCCTGCAGATAGTTGGCCAGGATATCATAAACCACGCGCTCCCGGCGGTCCAGGTTCTCCTTCAGCTCCTTGGCGTCCTCGTGCTGACAGATCAGGAGCTTCCTCTTCTCCATTAGCGTACGCTGGAGAGAAAAGGAACATGACAGGATCAGTAAACACTTTAATGAAATCTGGCTCAGACTCAAGGTTATTAAATGAAATATTACCTTTTATAATGGAGATTGTTGTATAACTGCAGTGATAAAAGTTTATAATCAGGCTTCCCAGTATCATTAAATACATGCCACTGATTGGTCAAAACCTCATAATAGCACTTTTTCATTTCCAGCAACAAGAGAGACGCAAAGACCAACATAATTACAGACGTCATATCATAACAAAGAGTGGAGGGAAGTCCAGCATGTTTCACCTCTGCCTGGTGACACTGTGGTATTTGTCTTATTAGATTTACAAGATTATATTTTGAATTGTTTCTTCTTGTTCTATTACTCTAAATAAATCAAACAGAGACTTACTTGAACGATATTTTTGTAATATCTCCAGTAATGATGGTACCACTGAAATCGGTCTCATTAGGAAGGAGCATGATTGTATCCTGGCAACCAATAGAACAATCAAAGTAGTCTAAAGCTTAATTGGACAATAATGTTGTAATGAATCTGCTGACGTAAGCTGAATGAGTCTAATAGTGTTGTTCCAGACGCATGAAATGTGCAAAGAAGAAATGGACATTTGGTGTCATGAGATCAGAAAGTTTTGTGAGGAGGTTGAAAAATATTTCAAAACAAGTTTCAGTGGATTCTGATTTTTGATTTTTAATTTTTGGTCTGTATCCCAAAAAACACAAATTTAATAACAAAAGAATAATCTATGATAAATATGTGTTAATTGAGGTGTAAAATACATTATTTAAGGTAAAGGATTTATTTAAGTAGATAGGTGGACCCGCTTGCTGCTTGCTTGCTGTTCCCTTATTTTCCAAACCAAAATTTGTGTTTGGTGTGCTGTCATAAGTGTGTATGCATGCTCTTACTGCTGTTTGTGTTACAGTCAGCAGGTGATTGAGTTGTTTTACTTGTATTTGTATATGTAAATGTATAACACACATGTAAAAATCAATAAATAAATTGTTTTAAAGAGTTTGCTGATGTGGAGGTGTAACCGACTGAATCACCTTTTATTTCATATTTTATCTTATGTCAGTAAATTAGAGCCTTGTCAGTGTGAGCAGGACCAGTCCAGGACACAAAGTGGAGGAGTCTGATCACACCCTGAAGGGTCATTTAACAGATCCAGACACCGAGGTGCATCAAAGATGAAATATTTATTTCTCTTTATCTATAAATGTTTGCACAGACAACAGGATAAAAGTGCATTTGAAACTGCAGGATAAAATAAAAGGTGTTGAGTGTCCCAGAGAAAACAGTGTACCACCTCACATGATCATAAATGGTATTAAGGGGAAACACAACATTTCTTTCTTTTATTTATTCAAATTCACACTTTAAATCTTTAAAATAATTTTATGTCCTCTTTTTTGACTTCCCTGATGGCTCTTGTTTTCTTTTGCAGCTTTTGTGAAGAACTCTGTAACCTGAATTTCAAAAAGTGTTTCATGAATGATGTTTGAATTTTAAGACTGATGTATTGAGAAAACTATGTATTATTATTTTGTTCTCTTGAAGAGGAAAAAGATTGAAAGCACAAGTTTCAATCAAGAAAAGTTTGAGGATATTAGGTTCACTATTCTTCAGAGAACTGGAGGTGAGACCCTGACTCTTAGATTTGATGTCTGTCAACAGTTACACAGACATACAGGACGTTTCTTAGCAGTCCTGTCAATGTTCGGCATCCTGCTTCAGTTTGCTGCAAAGCATTACCTCGGTGTGTCAGAGTCTGTTTGTTTACATCTGCAGCCACATGAGCGCAAACAAGATTAAAAGAGAAGGTCAACTGTCTCCCTCTGGCACATGACAATCTTTAAAAACACCCTGCAGAGTGTGACAGGCAGTTATTTTCAGTAATCTAGTCATGCATGCATGTGTGAAATGAAAAAGACGACTGTCTGTAAAAGCATCTACTTGTTTCCAGGAAGTAGCTGTAGGGATTATTCAATTTCATGTAATTCTGTCATTAAGATTTCATCCCCTCACCCTCTCCTCAGCTGTAGCGTCCTCCTCCAGACTGTTAAGGGCGTTCTCCACTCTGGCCAGACGACCTGACAGAGACAGCAGCAGGCTCACCACCTTGTCCAGGTCTCCCACAAACATCCTGAACTTGTCCAGCTCGTTGGGTTTGCACACCTGCTGGACTCGAGCCTCCACCTCCTCTCCTAGAGCGTTGTTGTCCAGGACGTCCTCCTGAAGGCTCTCCCTCGCCTCCCGCAGCACCTGCAGCTTCTTACTCAGGCTGTTGATCAGCTCTTGCTGCAGAGAGGAGTAAAGATACCAAACTTGAATGAAACCACTTTAATGTTACACATTTACAAGGTCACATTTTATGTATTGAACATGCACACTAAAGAGAAACAGGCTCAGAGAGGGTAAAGCACCTTTTTGTTGGCCAGATCGATGTCCAGCTCGTCCTCGGAGTCCTCCTCTTCTTCTTGCATGTCCTTCATCTTGATGAGGAGTTCAGCTTTGGGAGCAGAGGTGCTGTAATATGTAGAGCTGGTCACCATGGTGACAGCTGCAGCCATACTGTCCTCTTTTTCCCTATAACACAAGACACAATATTAAACTCAGTAAATCACCAGCCTTTTAAAACTACCATGTGAAATATTTGATCCTGAGTGTATCTATGACTTTTGTTGGTCTGTTTTGGCTAATTCTTTCAAACTATTTACATCTTTGAGGTAGTGAACTTGTCTCCTTTGAATGTTTTCACAAAGCCTTTCATTTTTGAAGTTGTAAGTTTTGAAGAATGTTAATAAATCTTTGAATTTCAGTTCAAATAGTTGCCTAACAACCTTAAATAACCCTTCTATGTACACAAACTTGTCAATTACAGAAGTTTCAGGCTGGTCATAAGACTTCTTTCCAATTGAAGGGGCGCCACTGGCCTCTCTGTGTAAAGAGGGTTAGGCCTCAGGTTTGAATTTCAGCTTGTGGTTCTTTCCCCATAAGTCATGCTCCACTCTCTCCTCATTTTCCTCTCTATTCACTGTCCTCTAAATGAATGCACAAAAAACACAGGAGAAAATACATACAGTATTCTGATGAAGACACACTGACTGGTCTTTTTTCAACCTTTTGTAAGAGATTGCCTCTCCCACCTTAACCCATCTGCCCTACATACTTCTGCAGCGCTAAGAACACCTCTTTAGATCAAATTTACACATTTTAAGCTTTTTTTAAAATCAGTTTGACAACAATTTTGCAAAGCCGAGCAAAGTGTAATAACCCTTTTTTGTTTGCCCTGTTAACCACTCACTGTGTGTTTTATCTTACAGCTTCATTAACTTTTACTAACATAATCAAGCAAGTCCAAAACAATGATAAGGTAAGGTTAATCAGACAGTATATTGATTTGAGTATTCAGAGATCTCAGTCCAGGAGTCATCAAAAATTTTTGGCGTCTCATGAGTAAAACTGACTTTTTCTGACATTTAATGGCCTTCAAAAGAGGTTTAAGACTTTAAAGATCCAGGTGAGGCCTGTTTCTCCACTGGTGTTTCTCTCAGTATTTCTTTCACACTGAAACAGGTTCTGGTGGCTGTATCAATATTTTCTCACTGCTCCAGGGCAACTTATATAACCAGCGACAGTGTAAACAGACTGTGAAGCTCCACGGTGGGAAACTATCCTTTTTGCTCTTTAGTGACATTTTAAATCAGACCTTTTCTATCAGGCTGCCTGCTCTGTCTTAATTTAAGGAATGCTCAGATCTCATGAACACATAGGAGCAGGTCAAAGCACAACACTCTTTGTCTACAAATGAACAGAACCTGAGGAAAGTATGTGTATTTAGTGATGCAGAGTGTTTTATTTGTGCAGATATCCAACGCACCTACAGTATTTCAGTGAGTGCGTCATTAGCTGGAGAAAGTCTTCCAACATGCTGAAAGGCTGCTTATCAAGAGCAATAAACTCCCAGATTTTCTTTTTAAGCTCTTTCCCCTCTCTGGTTCTGGCTCTGGTTCTTAAACAACGGACTAAAGTAAAGGCTGCTGTCAGGCTTCTGCTGGAGCGGGCACTTATTGTTTTTACGATTCATAAACTTTTGGTGCTTTCACTGTGCTGAAGCCTTTCTGTCCAGGAAACTCTTGTAAATGAAATGATTGATCTCAATCAAGTTTTCCTGTTTATATAGAATTTAATGAATAATAATTATATTAAAAATGATGGTTCTTAAGGTGTAAAATTAAACTGAAGTGTTAAAAGGGTGTTTTTTTGTTTTGCCCCTCTTTCCATCACATGTGCATTAAGAGTGTTGAAAATAGCTGTTAAGCCATCGTTAACAACACTGCAATGTACTTCTAACTGACCAACATAATGAAGCTCAGTGTTGTTGCACATGAGCTGTCATTGCTTCATCCCATTGGCCATAAATAACATGGACATTTTTATATTAGTATGTATTGATCATTTAGTTAATAAGCTTTCATCAGAGTTAAAAAGTATATTGTCCTGTTTTGCATGACAGTCGCTGCCTTTTGGGATGATACAGAAATCTACAAAAGTCATGCATAGGAACAGGTTGTAGCTTCTATATTGAAAAGTCTTGTGTAAGGATTGCACATATCAAATGAAGTGCATATACTTAGAGTAAACACACAGTATGCTGGTCAACAGGTTAACACAGGATCTCAGTTATCGACCTGCATGATATGAGCATAATATGCAAATTACACTCACAGGATTCAGTGTTGAGATGAAACAAAGTAGGGGTGGGGCCGATCCGATTCAGTATCTTTATCAGGTTACGATACCAACGTAATTAATGGATCAGAAATTTCCGATCCAAACTGCGAAAATTTCCGATTTCATAAGTCATGTCTTTGCTTTAACTTTGTCTGCTGAAATGACTGTACAAATGATTTTTGCTAGTCTGCTAGCTGGCTGCAAACTGCTCTATAGATTTCCTGAATGGAGGCGTGTCTCAATAAGACATAGAGATGAGACACGCCTCCGTTCAGGAAATCATAAATACACATACTTGCCTGTAGAGAGAAGTTACATACAGTCTCATATAAATAAACAATAATGATAATAATGACTGTATAGCTAACAGAGCTCTGCTATCGGAATAGAATCAGCAAATATCCAAATTCAGAAATCGAGATTGGATCGGATGTGAAAAAAAAAATGTGGATCAGTGCATGTCCTTAGTAATAACTAATTTTAGGAACATTTAGTGTGCTGATTTTGTATGTTTGTGCACTTGAAGGGAGTTTATGTTTAGAGTGCGCTCCTGTTTGGCTTAATAAGCAAATGCGGTGCAATAATTACACACTGCAGAGTATTAGCTATAACTCAGTTTTTATCATGTGTATTTGCTTTTCTCCCTGTTTGACCAGGAGGGACACGTTCTTTGCAACATAAAGTAACGTTTTATTATGACTGAATTAGCATTAATTCAAAGCTGGTTTAAAAAAGCTGAAAGACCACTAAACCCAGACCTCTTTCCAACAGGTAAAATGTAGGGCTGCTAAATTAGAGCACTACTTGTTTACATAAAATATTGTCTCATTTTTGGGGAATTAAATTAGTCTTTTGGAAAATGTTTTATTTGAATGCTCTGGATGAAATTGTGGTTTATTATGCATACTAAATGAGTCGTGGTCATTACACAAAACTACACAAACAGGGATGTAAATGGAAAAGGACAACGTAAACAGGCAAGCACAGAGTCTAGAACAGTGTAAAAGATTCCGTTTAGACAACTCAATTATATATACAATTTTTAGGTCGTGCTAAGTGTCAGAGTCTGATGCCAGTAATGCCAGTAATGCTACCTTCTCAATCCCTCATCTGACACCATTTCACATAAAGGTTAAGATATTTCTTCTTATTTCCTCATTTAACCAAAAGTTTAATTTAACAAGTTTACTTTCAGTTGCTTTTACAGTATAAATGTGTTTTTAATTAGATACCATGAGGTATTTGACTGTCATTAGGAGCTAAAACTGCCACTTTCTCAAGCCAAAGGTAGTGCCTCACCTCTCCTCAGCAGGCCGGTGGACCGTCTGTTTGGTTGGCACCTTCCTGCGTTGGTGAGCCCCCTCCAGCAGCTGCTCGCCCTGAGGAAAGATCCCCTCCATCAGGTCCATGGTGGTCTTCATCTTACTCTGGTCAAGAATATCAGCCAGTGACTTATCCTTTCCCATGATGTCTCGGGCCAGCTCCTCCCTCTTCTGGTCCTCGTCAGACGGTCTTGTGGTTACTGTGGTTACCCTGTTACTCCCGGGCTGGTCTGTGGGCTGCGGTGGCTGCTGACTGTCAGAGCCGATGAGATCCCCGACGGTGGTCATGTACGTGTCTCTCTGGGGTTGTGGGTCCATCTGACTGTCAGGCTCCCTCTGCCGACTGAAGGCACAGAAAACAGAGTCCTGTCCCGCAGCACCCAGACCACTGAGCCTGGTCACACCAGGACCTTCAGCCTCGACATTTGCAGGGTCACTGTGCAACAAAAACAGGCCGTTCTCCTTCTCTAAGGATCCCTCTGAGTGGATGATCCTGATGGGAACTTTCTTTACTGTAGAAGTTTGGTTTTCCATCACGTGCTCCATCCTGAAATATCACACAAAGAGAGAGAAAATCACAAACAGAAGCAGCACAGACTTCTCTCTGAAAGGAGAAGAAAATCACTTGCTGCAGTTATTTAAGCATTATGCTGATTTAAAGTTTCACTGCATGATGGCAACTGAGATTTTTTCCATGCCCAGTATGCTGGAATATCCAAAACTCCTCCCCCACTTTGGTTTCTGTTCACTGTTACAATCCTACAGCAACGTCTGAAGCAAACTACAGATGAAATCCATTACCTCTGAATCAAGAGGATGAACAAACAGCTTCACAGAGGCAGATTTACACCAGATTCACACCAGACCAACACTAGCACTGCCAAAAACACATTTAATCAAGGCTTTATCTGATTCTTCTTGTCTGACATCTATTGGCAAAGTAACCCTGTCGCAGGCATATTTTGTCTTGTTTGTGATTTCAATAAAGATTTTATCATGTGTTCTGAGTAACTTAATGATTGGGACTGGAAAAAGTGCAACCACAAATATGAAACAGCTTTGACAGTGTTCACATTTTTTGGCTTTTCTGATATTAATCAAATACTGAACAAAAAAAAAAATCAGTTTTGTTCTTAATCATACATCTGAGTCCAGATCAGTCAATCAACTTATAGTTACTGATCAAAACTTTGCTGCAGCAGCAGACATAGTTTTCATCCTGCACATAATTCAGGACCTCATCACTCCCTTCGAGATTAAATTTGACAAACCCTGCCTTTAATCAGAGCTGACAGGAGGATTCTGGGGAAGTGGCGAGGAGGAAAGTTTGAGTGCAGTACTCCTGCAGGTAGCCGTGGCAATAGCAAAGCAGAGGACGAGACCAGAAATCTTGCAGCTTAGATAGACCGCCTAATCATGAGGATGCTTTGTCAGATGACTGTGAGATTATTCATGGCAAATGTAAATAGGTGTGTCCTGAATTGTCTGACTGAACTAGCTCCCACATGGAGCTAAATTTGTGATGTTTTCCTATTGGTGTACAGAGAGAAAACAATTCAATACCTACAATGAGTTATTTGAAGTGTTATGAAACTTGACTTAAAAATGAACAAATCATCCTGAATTTAATACTTTTCTGAGTATCATTCAAGATATCAGACAGCTATTTGTCCTTGAAAAGAGAGGGGTTGTCTTGCATCTGGGGTCCAAAACTTCAGGGTACCAATATTTCTTCACCAAGATGGATGGTGCTGTATTTCATGAATGACACCAGCTGAAACATGGAAAGACGCGATGATTGTCTTAAACAAGTTGACTCTAAAGTCGTCCACGTTATTACCCAAGTGGAGTAATGATGCCAATTTGAAGAAAATGGTCACCAGTCCAGCTAAGACATTAAACACCTGTCAAGTAGTTCAGAGATAGAAAATGAAGAACCCATAAAGACCACCACAAAGTTTGTGTACATCTTCTACCAGAGCAACCATCCATTGGACAGACTGCAGGTTATTTTAAGTTTTAAGGCATTTAAAGGTGCAGTGTGTAGACACAGGAATATTTGGTGATATCTAGAAGATTCTGGATTGAAAGGCTCCCCCGTCCACCCCTGCTGTTGGCAGAGTGATCGTGGCCTTTAAAGACAAGAAGCTGCTGTGTCGCATGACAAGTATGATCCTCAATTTTTCAAGTTTTTACCATCAAATCTTCAGCACACAACAACCACCCTATCCTTTTTCTTCTTCTTCTGGCTACTTGCTGCCGTTCACCAAATACTCAAAAGAGTATGTCATAACTTTGGTCCATTTGTGCTACTGTAGAAACATGAGAGTGCAAGATGGCAGCCTCCGTGCATGTGGACCCACTCCTATATACAAAAAGCCTCAATCAAAGGCAAACAAGGCAAAGGCAAAGTTGTTTTGTCCGTGACTTTTGTCTGTGTATACATGAATCTAAAGCTAAATTCAAACACACTTTTACTGCATGCAGGGAAAAGAGTTTGTAAATATATTCTTTCTCTCTGACAGACTTGCTTGTTTTGGGAATCGTTGTATGACTTTTAAGATTTGAGCCAATTCTTTGTCATAAGATACTTTTGTTGTTTTAAAAACTCTTGGTTCTTGTCATTTCCTCCTTCTTTTGGAAAATAAAGATTCCTTTTTCAAAACAGTAATTTTCTTGTTTGTTTTTCTGTTTTTGAGAGCTTACTTTCTGCAGTGTTTACACTGACGCTCAATTACGCCTGGAGCACCAGTGGCTTTCAAAGAAATGTGGAGAATCCCACTAATTTACAGTGGCTTGATAGCACTCACATGGTGATTGTACAAAGGCAGGGAGTCTCAATAAGCTCCTTTGTACGAGCAGCAGAAAGACACGATGAGCGGAGGAGTAACAGACACTGTCCAGTTTGAAAGCTGCAGATAAACTCAGTAAATCTCAGTAAATGTCCAGCTGAAAAAAATGAGAAGATGTTACCTGTTTGTGTCTTCATCCTGCAGAGAGACTGGAGGTTTGTCACTGAGTCTCTGAGGGGAAAACTGTGGTGACGGGGAGCGCTGCCCCTCCATGGTGGCCGGCCCAGGAGGTCTGTGGGAGGAAGGCGGGGGAGAGGAGGCAGGCTGAGGATTGGATGTTGACAGATGATGCACTGCCCCTTGTCCTTTGTCCACAAGCCCTTTGCTCTGCTCAGAATTTGCCTTTGCAGAGTGGGTGGGGGCAAAGTCAGGGTTGGGGGCAGTGTGAGGAGGGCAGTGGGTGCGAATTTCACTCTGGGAACCGGTGGAGGACCCGTGGGACTTGACCTCTGGATAACTTGGACGTTGAGGAGGCTTCTTCCTGGGCCCAGACGGCGGCTCAGTGGGGTCAGGCTCTGCAAGGTTGTGGGTGATAGATGAGGGTCTGTGGTTCAGGGGTGCAGGGGCAGCTCTGTGTCTGCTGTCAGAGTCGGCTCCTGTCATGGGTGGAGGAGGCGGCGCTGGGAAGTGTTCAAACTCCACAGGCTTCTCTCGTATTTTACAGTCTCCGGGTCCTCTGTCACAGAACCTGAGGAACACAGTAGAAAGCTTTTAATGACACAGTGTTGAGCAGGCAGGCAGCATGGACTGTCATCTGCAGCTCAATCAAATAACACAGTGGAGCAGAGGAGGCCTCTACGTCTCTGCTGTAGCCACTGTCATTATGCCAGCATGACAACACACACGTCTCCCTCTCCTCTGAAAACCTCCTCCTCCCTGTTTTCTGCTCAGCTGGCAGCCTGGAGAGGAATATTTCTGTTCCCAGCAGTCAGCACAGAGGAATAAATAATCCTCCAGTGCAAAAGAGCAGGACAGAATCATTTTTTCCTGCCTGATCCACATTCACACTTTAACTCTTTGTAGGTGAACTTGCAAAGAGAATATAAGCATTATCTTGAGGGCACAGGGATCATATTAGGCCTCTTAATGAAGATAGATCTTAACGTGATTGTCCTCTTGATTTGAACCAGCATGACTGAACATTCACCTCCTGACATTTATGAGCATAAATATAGATATTTTTTCAATTGACTCCATGATTTTATTTAGGTTGGTTTCCCTGACAAAGAAGTCTCATTCAACGATTCAAAGAACCAAGTTCACTGATGATTAATGGAGATTTAAGAGAGACAGTCAGAAATATTTCAGCCCAAAGGTATCCGTGATTTAGGTCAGGGGTCTGTTGAGCACCAACATCTGTGACAGGCAAAGTGAAGTTTGGATCGTTCTTTTCTAAAATTTGCTAGCTTGTACCTGGATGTTTCTGGTGTGGCTTTGATTTGCCAGCGTACAATTATGTCTGCCACAGTGTTTTCTTCTATTAGCAGGAAGCTTTACAGACTGACAGAAACGTGGCAGCCAACCCGTGCCTATGGTCTCTCCGACCACCACCAAACATCACTCACAGTCCAGCGGAGGACACACACTGGGAGCAGGGTGGGTTAATTGTCTTTCCCTAAGACACAAAGGACAAACTAAGGATAGGGGGGAATCGAACCGCCAACCTTCCAGTTGTTGGACAACTGCTCTACACTTGGAATGTGAATTGATACGATTTTGGAAAAATTCACATTGGAAAATTCACAGTGCGCTCATTTAACTTTAGAGCCACCATCTGAAAAAAGTGTTTAACTGAAAAAGCTGCAATTCATCCTGCATGGGTGTTGTGTCCACCAAAGCCCATACTACTTAAATGGTCCCATGTTGGTTATGCTTAAAAAGTGAGCTGAGGAAAAATGCTTTACGTAATTTCAGGTCATACCTTACTTTTCAACCTCCCCTCACTCCACATCCAAGCATCAAAAGTTAGTTCTCAGTACTTTAACTGAGAACAGACTGGTTTTACTCATATTTGGGTATTTTGGCACAGTAACCGTACTTTAACTTAAGAAAAATGTTTTTTCTTTTTCCATCCCTGGATACGAGTCGGTCCAGTCAGGGACAGACGTTTTAGGGGACACATAAACAGAGTAAAACCACATTTTTGAGTGGAGGGGCTTTTAAACCCAGCAGTACAGTAGGACACAGAATTCAATGAGACTGAGACTATAAAGTAAAAGCATGCAAACCATGAAGCACTGTGGCTTCATGCTCACAGATCACATTTCCATGAATGCTACAATTCAAATCCAATTAGGAATACTCAGAATCCATTAACTCATAAATCACACTGCTTTGATTAAACTGAACTGACTCTGGAGTCACAAGATACAGAGCAGGGACTTCTGGACCGACAGACGCCATAAATCAAACCTCCAAAGTTAAACTCTCACAAGCTGTGACAAGTCACCCAAAGAGTAACAGTTACTGCAGCTTCGACCCTCCTCCTGCAGCAACCCCAGATCTGCAGACTGTGAGAAAGTTACTCTACAGAAACATGAGTCCCGGGATAGAAGTTTAGTACTTGAGAGGGAGGGATGTGTCAGCATTAGATAAGTGTTTAGCATGCATATGAAATTATATTCTGATAAAAAGTTCTTTATTTTGTGAGAGGTAAACTTTCATACATTCTCTTTTCATTGCATGTAAAGTGAGATACCTGTTATAATTTTGATAATTCTGGCCTGTAGTTAAGGACACTGAGACATCCAGTATCTCAAAATACTACAGCATGTCCGCACATCAGTCAAGCAGAGGATGTACATTTACAGGGAAGTCCAACTTCTGAAAAGTCTGTTTATTTATGCTCCTAGTACCTGGTTTGGGTTCCTTCACCATGAATTACTGAATCAATTTGGCATGGCATGGAGGCAAACAGCAGACGGCAGACTTTAGCTGGTCTCTACTTTTTGCTGTTTCTATCTTCCACTTGACAAATACCCTACATCTTCTCAATGCGGTAAAGGCCAGATGATGGTGTGCAGGTTCAGTACAGTAATATGGTCAACTAACAATTTGATGTTGTTTTGGTGCTGTGGGCAGGTGCTGCTGGAGAAGGACATCAACATTTCTATGAAGCGTGCCAGCACATCAATGCTCTAAAATCTTCTGGTAGACTTCAGGCTGTGTTGACTTTTGACAGAATTGAGATATACTTTTATTTTATTAGTACTAACCCATAATTATCAATATTACAATCACAGTAGACTTAGGAAAATTAAATGTGCATTAAAACCTGATGGTAGTGCAACGCAATCTTTGCTTATGTTGGACTTTCTTTCAGATGAACATCTTTGACGCAGCAACCGAGTATGTCTGCTAATGAAACTGTAAGATTGTAATCTCACTTGCTTACACTACATATATAATAAATATATTGAATTTTCCCACAATAGTCTCATTCTTTCAAATGCACCTGTATAATTAAGTGAGAAAAGGTCATTTCAGGTTGCTATTTGGAAAAAGGGATATAAATCAGCGAATGAAAAAACAACACCCACATCTGTTCCCATGTGATGTAGCTTTCCTGAGGAATTTTTGGCATTTATATTGACAGATATTAAAAATGTTTTCAAGGTTTTTTAAAACATTGGCCCTATTTCCCCATACTTAGAGTGTTTTTCAGGTGAACAAAAACCTTGGGTATTGCTTCATCAGACTGGTCATGGTCAAGCTGGCAGTTGCGAAACAGGCTGTATTGCTTTAACATGGGGACAAATGCACTTGATGTAAGGACATCCATGAAAAGCTCTTGATTTTCTTGGTGACCTACAGAGAAAGGCCTTCCAGGTTGAATGTACGATGCTTTTTAAAGTCAGCTGATACATGACTTTGCAGATCCACAAGAATAAAACATAAAGTTTTCCAGTAGAACACAAGAGCTGCTAGTTTACTGTCACCACACGTTAGAACGTTTGAATTGTTGTTACTGAAGGTGTAGCTGCAACCAAATGCACGCAATAACACAAACAAACTGTGAGGCTGGGGGAACGCAGGAGAAACAACTGCCTTGTGATGAAAGGTGACATTATTACCATTCATTTCTATGGAATCAGGACATTTTTAATAACTTTAAAGACCATGTTGTCATTCGAATCCCAAAACACATAAAAAATTCTGCCCATGTTTTAAGACACCAGCATGATAATTTCAGACATTTTTAACTACTTTTCTCACTTGACAAAACGGTGCACAAAAAACACACTTTATGCGCTTCTGTTAACAAATTTAGAAAACAATCATTTAAAAAACAGGTGGACAAAGCTCAAACAGTACGATGTGAAACAAACTGAAAAGAAGTACTAGCTCACCCTCTAAGCTGTGTAACTGCAGTCATTTTCATTGGCGAGCAGTAACAGTGTGTGTGCTGAGTGTCCGCTGGCTCTCTGTGACAGAAGCCACCTGTTGGTGTCTCTTTACGTCTGTATCCATAACACTATCTGGGTGGAGCACTCCTCCCTTAGCTCATCTCCCACACCTTTCAATAACAATAACTTCCTCTGTACTGCTGTTGTAATGCAAACGTGACTGTCATACGGTGTGGCTCCTACAATGGGGGGTTGCTCAAGAGTGGATACTTTACACCCGTCAATGGGTTTCACCTGTGGGAGTTGAGATAACACACCAAGTCTCCTGAATAACTGGTTACAATTCATGAAGTCATCCAACCTCACCACTACACATAGTTTATGAATGATTCAAAGTAATCGAAGCTTAACGCAAGAATGTCTGGAATATAATGGACATGAAAAGCTTAAAAGAGCTGGTATCAAGGGAGAAAAGGCTCAGACTAAGTGGAGTGCAGTTATGACTACACAGGCCTGTGTAAACCTCAAACACAAAGCATTAAGACTTTCGGCTTAAAAGTATTTAACAACAATGCTGCTGTTTTCATCTCAAATTTATGTGGCCAGGTTAGTCCCAATAAAATCTGAGACCACTTTTCCAAGTGAGACCAGGCCAAGTATGGCAGCACAGTGTTTTCCCTAGCTTTTCTTGCTTTGGCAGGGGGAGCAGGGTGGGGGGTGGGGGGGTGGACATATGATGTAGATATACGTCACTGCATATGACGTATGTCTATGTCATATACTGCAGGAGATGAGCCAGCGCTGTTTGCGGGGCTGGGATAGATGCTTAAGCTAGCATCCACAAGAGGTGTGGCGTCCCCATAACTACGTACCGAAGCAAACAGTCGGTAACATTCATCTCTTGAGGGGGTGTCTAACTCGGTGCTCTGGTGTGTTTGACATCTAACCCTAACTTAATTTTATGCTGGAATATCCCTTTAAGTTACAAGATAGAGAATCAAAAACCAATGGCTAAAAATATATATGCAAATGCAAGATATCTGCTCATCCCAGAAAAATTGTCTCTCTTGAAACTCATGCCAACTTAATTTGAGATGAGCTTCGGACAAGTTAATAACAGTGGACCTGAAGGCAACAAGCACAAACATTTCATGACTGCATAAAACAATAAACTAAACACTTAAACATTTCACCAAACACTAAAATAAATAATGAAACACAAGACCAGGTCACAAAATCCCAAAACACTCAATAGACCACAAAATCATTAATAAAATCTAATAATGAAAAAGTTTCTAATGAATTATCAGTGAAACAAAAAACATTTAATAAATGTTGATGGAGTCTAAAATAATCTTTGTTTTCATGAAATATAATATTATTTATTGAAAGCATGAGTTAATATGTAAGGGTATAGAGAGGGTTGGACAAACTTCCTTAGTTACATATAATGTCTAGATCTTCATCCAATCAAAGACGAGCTGCTTATTGAAATCACTTTTGTGGGTTGTGAGATGCTTTATAGTTTTGAGAAATATGTCCTGTCCGGTGAAATGTTTCCTGTTTTTAATATGAGTTTATATTCATCATGTTGTTGATGTTTCAGACCTTTAAGTTCTGCCTGAGTTCTGTTACAGTTTAAGGTCAACCTTTGAAACATACTTTACTTTATTTTCCCATCCTTTTAGGCATCTCAACCATAACTGTCTGTTCTTCCCTATCAAACCAATATTTGATAATATGGCTTTCTGTTTCTCTGGAACTCAAGCTGTGATTTTAATTTCTCAGATTTAAGTGAAAGAAGTAAACTGAATTAATACATGAAGTGGTAGATAAACCCTTTAGAACAAGGTTAAGTGACCCAACATGTGCCATAACTTTAACATAAGACACCAATCTGTCACTGTTTTCATGCGACAGAAGTTTACACTGGATCATCAAAGGATCATCAATTACATCATGTTACCTGTCAACATTTCCACCCTGCCTACAAAACAAACACTCACTGATCCAATCTGCCCGAACCACTTTACACACACACACGCATGAATGCACGCATGCACACACACACACGCACACACACACATACATACACACACGCACGCACGCACGCACGCACGCACGCACACACACACACAGCTTCATATGATCATTTTGGGGAAATTTAGGCTCTATTTAAGGCTTCAATTCATTTTCTGACAAAGTTTGAGTGAACATTTAACACAAAAAAAAATCTTATAATTAAAAACCACAGATTAATCAGAGTGTTGACATTCATTTTAGAGTATTCAGTATCTCGTTATTTCAGTGTACACAGCTGACTGTTTAAAACTAAATTTTTTATCACTTCATTTTCTTGTGCACCTAAAACAGTGTTCTCACAAATAGCCAACAGGGGGCGACACCACTAGATAAAAACAAGTTAACTCTAAAATGAGCTGTCGTATCAGATCATGTTTTTGAAGGGTTTTATTGTCTAACTCCCATTATCTAAGTCCTATTTTTTGACAAGCACAATATTTGATTTTTGTTAATATCTGATAGGCTGATACTTTTAGATTAATTTCTGATGTTACCAATATATATGTATAAATTCGCCTGATTCTCCCGTAAATGACAGTTTAGTCTTCAACAAACATTGAATCAACTATAACTCTGAGCTTGGTTAATTGAATAAGCTGTGTCTGGTTTTTACTGGAGCCGACTTCGACTATTCAGAAACTCGTGGCACTGAACTAGATAACATTTCTTTGGATTCACAGTGTAAGAAGATATTTTGTCGTCTGTTTCTGAATGATCAAATATTTCCACACAGTCAACATGCAGAAGCCTGTCCTTGGCACCTTTGAACTGTCATTGTGTGTGCTTCATTAATGCATCCCTTTATCAGCCGCACATAATAGGTCATATCTATATCACACTGATAAACTTCTTTCAGGACATGACTGACTGTAACTGTAACTGTCTGAGCTGCTCAAACAATGGCCTGACAACTGGCGCGGGACACAGAGTCTGAAATTAACTTTCTGATCCACCAGTCAAGTTGGAGGATGTTAAAAAAATTAATATACCAAGCATTTGTACTGCAGGCTTAAATAATGAAGTCCATTTAAATGTAACAGAAGGGACATTGTTAGGTACATGTTGAAAATAAACTAAAGATTAAGCCAGAGCAAAGTCTGAAGTTACTTTACAGTTTTGGAAGAAGAATTCATCAGCTTGAGTCTGAAAACAGTTCATTTCAATTTTCCATTTGGTGTTTTGAAAGATACGAAAACTTAAAAAATTCTCTGCAACCTAAGAAATCTGCACAGTACTCAGTGAAAACTCATTAAATGGCTGTTAAAATTCTTCAGTTTGCAAGTAGACCAAAGTATTTGACCCACTTACAGACCCATATTACCATCCAAAGAGCCATGCAACTAAAATCAAATTATACAAAGCAGCAGATCTGACTGATGATAATTTCATGCCTCAGGGTGACTTTGTGAACCCCTCATTCTGTCAGAGGACTGGAGCAACACTTCCTCAGTGTCACAGTCGGAGTCAGATGCCTCGCCCACAGCAAAAAGCCTCCACCGAACGACACAAAGCACAGCCAGAAAGACGGCTTGTGTTGTCACAGCTGCACACAGGCAGTGCCACTGGTATGCCTTCACAGATTATAAAGACTACACTGTTCTTCTGCAAGCTCTTTAACTGATAAAACTAAGAGTACCAAGACAATTACCACAAACATGCTGATGAAATGATGCAGATATCAAAGCAGGAGCTCAAGAGTCAAATGTAGCAACAATGAAATTCAGTTTCCCAAATGATGACAAATATTGATCCTAGCCTACCACCCAAGAAGAAAAAACTACCGGAGTCAAATATAAAATGCAGAAACATCAACTTTTTCTTGACCTCTTTTTCTGAATACAGCAGTAGCTCTCCTGATAAAGGAACTAATGCACTAAAAAGTTAGATGAAATTAAATTTACTCACCCTGTGGCTGTGCTGAGCTGTTCAGCAGGTTTATTCTCCGTCTGTGAAAACCCAGCCTCTGACTTTCTTGCAGGAACTTGAACTTTCTGTAAATAAAGTTAAACAAACATAATGTGTGTTACACAAAAGCATGCAAACAATCCAGAAAAATGAGGCTTCTCTTTCGCTGTTCATTATTGTAACCAACACATGTTGCAGCTTCCTGGTTTTCCAACAATGAATAACATGTCAGCAGGTTGATGCCCCTCTCTCCTCCTTGAGCTGAGGGTGTGTCATTATGAACAAACATGGATTAATATTTGACTTGGCTCTTTCCTTTGTTCCTTTCACTTCAGTCTTAATGAGATGCAAAGACACTCTGAAAGCTACAGGCAGCTTCAACATTTGAGTTACTCACAGCAAGAGGACTCTCAACTTTTAAGAGCTGTACTTAATTAGTAAACCTGATGTGTGCCAATGACAAAGTCTGAATAAACTCTAAACTGTTTGGTTTCTCATAGGAAAAAGCCTCCTGTTTTATGCAGTGACTGCAGCTTTCCTGCAGATAGTTCCACCTTTTTAAAATGCAGCTTACACATTTGTCATCATTTCCAATTTGAAAATTAACATTGTTGCTCATAGGAAGGTTCATTTGCACATGCACATGTAAAGTTCTTATTTTAAAGGGATAGTTCAGGTTTTTTTTTCGAAGTGAGGTTATCTGAGGCACTTTTCATCAATAAGTGTAGATTCCACAGGGGATCTTGGGACCTCTCTGTTAAGAAACCAGCTGCAGAACCAGAACAGATGCAGGCAGAGTCAGCTCTACCACCTGACTGACAAAGCACTATTCTACTATATATTGTAATCATTTTGCCAACAGAAAGCTCCTTTTTTGCCCTGTTCTCCAATGCAGGTTATTCGTTGTCTTTTGCTTGCAAAGCCCTGATCAGCTGTTCAGGTCTGCAAGCTGGAAAGATACAAAAATACAACCAAAAATAAGAGACTCTGACAGCAACAATGACATTTTGTTTACTGTGGACAACACACATGGAGACCTCAATGAACTGGAGTTACAGAGGAAGAACACGGTTCAGAGGAGGGAAACTCCTGTGCTAACCGGAGAGCAGGACAGATCCAGTTACCTGGTGGTGCAGGTTTGGAGACTGTGAGCCTAAGAACAGAAAAAACTACTTGCTATCTCATGAGACTTGGTAGCAACAAAACACCAGGTCCTTTCTGAATCAGAGGAAACCAGCAGCTCACATACAGCTGTAGTCTGCATCACTCACCATCCAGAGATCCCTTCCACACTGAATGCCACTGTTTTACCCACTTTGCTTACTTTTTTAGAAGTTAAATCAGGATCAAAAAGAAAAAGCTTTGTGAAGTGTGTCTTCAAGACAAAAACTATGGTTTGCACATTTAACTTTTAAGAAAAGTAAAATTTTAAACTGGGATGAAAAACATTAAAATTCATCACATATCAGTGCCTTGTGCTTTACAGACCCAACAGCAAATCTTTGCTAGGTGGGAAATTCATACGCGATGCATAAAGGGCTTTCAAACAATAAAGTACAGGGCTGAATATTTTCATAACAAAGTGCACAGTAAAACCGAAAAAAGTGCTATAGTTGGAGTCTTTTTAAATTAAGCTCAAATACATGGTAGAGTTGACCCTGTCTGCAGAGGGTGATGGTCTACTTTCCAACTGGTTCTGCAGCCGGGTCCCCAACAAAGGGACAAGGATCCCCTGTGGCTGATACACTTCATATGACAAGAACCTCATACTACCCTGCTTTAGAAAAAAAATGAACTGTCCCAATCCCTTCAAAGGTATTTCTATTTCTTTCTCAGCCCTGACAATGAAAACTGTTTTCGTTGTGTCTAAAACACATTTATAGAGTTAATTTTCTTGTAAATATTTGGTAACTAGGAGAACATCAAGTTGGGGAACGCCCGACTTAACACAGCCCTAATTTGAACATGATGTGTCTTTGGGTCATTTTTGAGCACAGTCCAACTTACCTGTCCATAAAAGTCAGCTGAGGGAGAAGATCGGGATCTCTCATGGAAACAGGTGGTTTTGGTTTGGTCCTCTGCTCCAGGATCCAGGATGTTATCAGCTGACCTGTACCGCCCTGAGGCTCTGGTTTCAGGGTTTTTCTTCTGTATATTCCACCTCGCCTCGTACTCTGCAAAGGTGCCCAGTCTCTGCTGGTCCAGGACAGACAATTTGTGTGCAGAAAAAGCCCCCCCCTGCACAACCTCAGTGTACTCTCTGCTCTTCATGCCTTTCGCTGTGTCTTCTGTTTCACTGTTTGGGGTCGGGCCACGGGTCTTGGTCTCTGTAGGGATCTCTGTGTAGCTCTGTGGCGGGATGGGATTGGGGAAAGCTGGCCCTTGTTGGTCCTGTGAGATGCTTGCAATTTCATCTTGTGGGAGATCTTCCTTCACCCCAACCTCATGGATTTTGTCCGGCTCTGAGAAAGACCTCACCTTCTTCTCTGCAGGAAAACGCTTACGGCCACCAATGCGAGACACCTGTCCTCCTGCAGGCCCTGGTTTACCCATCACAGTTTCTGACACAGTCGGCAGAGGGGGGACGTCTTTACGGGCCAGTCCTGAGGACAGGTAGTTAGATAGAGTCTCAGATGATGGATGCTCTAATAACACAGGCTCCAGATCTTTCCTCCTAAAAGACGTCGCCTTTAGTACCCTTGCTTGTGCTTCCTTCAGATTATCCTTGTAGGAGTTGCTGAAGGGACTGTCTGCCAAAGTCGGGGTGGCGCTGTCAGACGACTTCCAGACATCCTGATCCCCTTCATTCTCACCTTCAGTGCCAGGAATTGTGGCTGCACTCATGCTTTTCTGCAGCCTGGCTCTCCTCATCTGGATTTCATTTCTTAATGTGGTGGCAAAGCGCTCGCTACGTCTTACCTGTTTGCCTTCCAGGGACTCCTCAGAGTCTGGAGCTTTTGCTTTGTCCTCTTGGACCGCAGCATCCAGGGACAGAGAGTGAAGCATGGGGGTCACCTGAGGGCAGATTTTGTTGCCGGGGTGTCTCATGTCTGGGGGAAGTTCTTTGTTCTGCAGCTGCAGAGACCTCCGCTGTTCAGAGTGTCTGCTGGGAGGATAACTCAGGAACTGAGCCTCTGCAGGGTGTGCGTTAGGTCCTCTCTGGGAGCTACGATCATCATGGTGGGGTTTAGGTGCAGCAGTTTGCAGAGCAGAGGTGGCTTGGTGTTTGCTGTATCCGTTGCTGTTTTTAATGTGAGAGGCTGTGGAGTGTTGCTGGGGCTGGGGTGGCTGATACTTCACTTTAGTCACAGTCTGTGGGCTGAGAGAGGTACGCTCACTTGCAGTCTGTGTCTGATCCACCCCTGACACACTCCTTCTGTCCTCTGGTTTTCCTGACAAGGGATGTGGGTTCGGCTGTGTGGGCTGACACGTTGTGACACAGTAGTATCGGCTCTGTCCACTGCTGTCACTGTTTGGGTCAGTGGATGAGGTGCTTATGTTGCGTCTCTGGTTCTGACCCAAGTGTTGAGCAGAACCGTTAGTGGGCAGTTCCTGCAGGCTACTATAGTAGCCACCTACGCTCTGTGGCTTTGGTGCAGATGTAGCCCAGGGCTGAGAGTTAAAAGTGCTTTTGTCACTATGTTGCCTCTGATGGTGGGGCTGGCCTTGCCGCACATCACTGCTAGACAAGGAGTACTGCTTGTTGGAGTTAAACTGATTTGATTTGTCAGGTGTGGTGTAAAAACCCTCACTGTCATTTTTCGGGGACAGTTTGTGGCTCATGCGATTTTCAGAGGGAGCTTTAGAGGGAGCGTAAGGTTCAGGTCCTACAACAAGTCCTCTTTCATGTACCTTTGTTGCAGCAAAACTGTCACTACGAGCAGGTGGGGGAGGAGGAGGAGGAGAGGGGGAGGCAGTTTTCTTCTTTTCAGGGACGTGCCAAACAGGCCCACAGCTGGTTCTACTTGAAGTGGAATGGCGGGATCCTGGCGAGTCTTCAGTCTGTGGAGCCTCACAGCTTGTGCTGACACCTGGCATCTGAAAGTACGCCACCCTGTCGTCCTGTTTGGCTCCATCTATGGGGTTCTGGCTGTTCCTGCCACTATTGTGCTTTCCTCCTGAGTCCCACTGACTAAACTTATAGAGCATGTTCTCCGTGGAGGCTGTGTTGCTCTTTGACAGGGTGTAGTCTGGTGTGCCAGAGCTGGTGGAGAAGGAGCTGTAAGCAGAGTCCCTTTTTCCTCCTCCCAGATGCTCCATACTGTTGTTGGACTTGGCAGGTGACAGCTGACCAGCAGGGTACGGGTGTGGCACATGCTCTAGACTGTCCATGCTGCCATGAGAGCTGAACTGGTCGGACACTCGGCACAGGTTCGTCTGCTCCCAGCCGGAGGACAGATCATTTGAGGAAGAGCTGGAGGAAAAAAGCAAAGGAGCAAGTGTAAATAAACTTTCCTACTGCCTGAAAAAGAAAACCTTTCACTTTGCAGTTCTACTGTGATCAAGTTTTGTACTATGGATCCTTACTGTAGACTAGAACTAGAATATGAAGTCATTTGTCAACTATTTAACCAGCAACACCTTGGACAGAAACAGCTCAAACACAGCCATGGCGCACTAGATCTATGACTAAAACTTCAAACATACAAATAAACGTTTGTTCAGAAGTAAAGCACTGAAAATACTGCTTTGAAATGTATGTGTAAAAAAGTCCTCTTACAGAGTAAAAAAATTCCAACATAACTTAGCTGGTCAATAAAAATCTTTACATCAAGTCATTTTTATCATAAATTAAGTTATATTTACAGAAAAGACGTTCAAATATTAAGATAAAAAGTCAATGACAAAAAAAAAGCCAATAATGTGAGTTAGAAGGTCAAAATTTAAGTCAGAAATGTCATAGTTTTAAAAAAAAAAGTCATTTTATGATAATAATCTCATATTTTTTGTCTGAAATTTTCTAACTTTTTTTTCCCCATAACTTTGACCTTTATATTAGACAATTATGACTTATGCAGACCTGTAGTCATATTATTATGGCCTACTATTTCATAATTTCAAATTTTATCTCATGACAATAACTCGAGATGATAATTACCTTACTCTAACCCAGTGGTTCTCAAGTCCGGTCCTCGAGCCCCCCTGTCCTGCATGATTTGGATGTTTCCCTGCTCCAACACACCTGATTCAAATGATCAGCTCGTTATTAAGCCATTACAGAGCTTGATAACGAGCTGATCATTTGATGCAGGTGTGTTGGAGCAGGGAAACATCCAAAACATGCAGGACAGTGGGCCTCAAGGACTGGACTTGAGAACCACTGCTCTAACCTCATTATAATGACTTTTATACCACATGATCAACCTTTTATTTGTAACCTTGACTCTTATCCTGTTAAAACGACCTTGACTTTTATTACTTGACTTTTATGATAATGGAGGATGATATTCTAAATCATTTAAAAACTGTGCAATTAGATTCAACAGAGAGAAACTGAGGAAAGGAGCTGAATTATGTAAGCTTGGCAACAACTCTCTGTAGATGGGATCAGGTCTATCTGATAATTTAGCTTATTATGAGAGATTGTGATGCCAGTATTTGTTTCGTTTCAGTGTGCACACAAATTTTTCAGTGCTTTACTTTGCTATCTGTGAGCCCATTTGCTTGCTGTAGCTGTTTATTTTTAATATTCAAGAGTTAAATTCAACCAAAAGAAAGAAAGTGAAAGTGTCCTCACAGTTAGTGTTTGGCTCTATTTGCTTTTTGCTGCATAATGACTCATCCTTTGGTCAGTACAATATGTCTACTTTTTCTAAATACACTGTGTTGGCTGTCAAGGAAGTGACTGATCTATAATAAAAAACTCCACACACATCACAGCGCCCACTGGTAATCTAAGAAATTTGGTGCTATAACTGTCAGACTGAGATGCAAAACTATCAAAACTCATTCAGTGATTCATGCATCATTGATCTATTAGCTGATTGCACTGCATGGGGAACAGCATGTGTGTGTTGCGCCTGCAAAAAGGGTCTTTTTGTTTGCACAGTGCTAAAATAAATAGATAAAAAATCTGTAAAGCCAAGATAAGTTCTTGAGTCAGTCATTCAAAATTAGGAAAAATTATCTTGAAGGTCCAGCCCACTCTGCAGGAAACTGTAGCCTAGCTTGCATCCTGGTTCCTTCACCAGCTCCTTTATCAATGGGAAGAACTGAACAGCATCCATTGTATTTTGTAAACTTACTGGTGATGTGTAATTTGTGCAACCCTATGTCATACTTACTAAAATATTCCTGTAAAGGTGCAAAATCATTTTCAGTGATTGACAAGTTGTGTCTCATCATATGTGTAGCATCTTTAAGGAGTTCTAACCTCATAAGGCAGTAAGTGCAGTGACAGTCTGAACTGTCGTGGGCATATGTAGAGTTGAGAGGAGGGACTGGTGGAGGCTGGTTTAGGGGTTTGAGGGTTTATAGCTCTGCTGAGTGTTTTTTTAATATTTAGAAAACCCCTCTGACCATAATTATACATTTATGATTCAAGGTCCTCCATAGCGCACACTGAGATTCAGGAGGAAAACTTCACGTTTCAGGCCTTACCTTGCATCATATCTGGTGTGCCAGACTGCTGTGGGTGGAGACTGAGTTTTGGCAGCCTCTGATTGGTTTTCGTTGAACTTGGTGGAGTGCCAGGAGTGAGGCCTGTTTATGGGTTCATTCCGCCTGCAGAGAGGGCATAAAATACAGACTGGATTAGAGACCAGCCACTTCAGGAGAACAGTATGTGCTGCTTCCACATTTAACTGTAGCTAAACAAGAAAAGCATTTGTTTGGTTTTTCTGCATCTATAATTGAGACAACATCTGTGACTCACTACAACATTCAGGAGATTTTTATCTGAATCTTACTTCCAATAGTCAGTTTTTGCTCAAACCTACCCTTTAAAGCGATTCTTTCTGTGTTGCATGTCAGAGAAAGTGAACAAAACATATCAGTACATCTTATTCTAACACATCTTGACTTTGACACAAAAACAAACATCTACCACAAGGAGATTGTGTTGCATGCACAGGATAAAGATGATTCATCTAATGGCACAAACCACAAGTACATTCAGGGAAACATGCTGAGGAATGAAATCATAGGAGAGGTAGAGCTGCTATGAGAGAACTGAAGATGATGTTTTTCACTAAATGAGTGATTAACATGGACATGAGCACCAGGAGAGGAAAAGGGGGGACTACTTTTTACGATGAAGTCACAAAACCGTACCTCATGGAACTTCGCAAAATCTTCGTAAGAAAGCTTCTCGCCACATGCACGTCATTCTCTGAGGGCATTTTGTGAGTTACAATATCCACCATTTTCATATTCCTGGGCAGCAGGGGGAGGAACACAAACACACACACATACACACACTAAGAGCTCATCAATAGTTTAACTACACAAGACACCAAACATTTAGTTTGTGGACATGATATCACTACAGTGTGTTGTCTTGACAGTTTAAGATGACCGAAGTTCTCCAAATCTGCTCCAATCCTGCTGAATTATCACACAGTCATAACTCACAGCTGAGAAATAGAAACTCCGCTGTGTCACAGCTCCCTCTACTGGTCAAAACATGTATTGATCATAATGGTGCACAGTTTGAAGCATGATGGGAAATATGACAGAAAACCTGAAGTTTGACACGCAGTAAAACAGCTCTTCTCATCTGTCATTGGGTTCATTATCTGAATAGTATGTGTAGCTGAGGTGAGCTGGTTTGTCTTCAGACTTTGCCATATGGTCCCGGGGGGAACACAAGCCCAGCATGAAGCAGGGGGGCTTAACACAATAGAGAATCTCTTACACAATCAGATCAGCCACATCAGCCCACAACCCAAGCTGTCGTCTGCCCTCCAGACAGCCTTTCTATCCTCCAAAACTGACATCATCTGACTGGAGGACATTCAGTAGGATACTTCTCAAATAGAGGTACCAGTATCTATAGGGGAGCTCAGGAGAACTGGAGAAGTACCTGTGCTTTTTAAAACGTTACCTCACAATTGCCCCAGAAATGATTTTACTAAAATTAATTAAAAATGTCATTGTGAGGCATATCCTTTTAATCATATGACATTTAACTATGACCCGACCCCGAAGGCCAGTTGCAGGTTGGAAGAACTCAAAGCTGCAGAATCTACGATGTGATCCTCTTTTCCTCCACTTTATTTACTCCTTGTTTTGTTAAATCTGGCTAATCATAAGTATAGTTTATTTACTGTTTTTTAGACTTAAGGTAAAAACACCCTGTTTCATAGTTTTAAAATGGTATGGCTGTACATGTTGTTACTGTTACTGGATAATTTGATGATGTGTTTCTGAAATCACTGTCAAATCCAATGAACAGTTTATCCTTAAAAATCTATAAACACATTTAATGATATATATATATATTTTTTTTATTCGGGTTAAAAATACAATTATGATTCCCCTTCAGTTTGTGTTGCCTGTGGTGTTGTCATATTTGTCACAATTCCAGTGTTTGTGCTTTTATGTGGAAAAAATGAGCCAAGGGCTGAACACAGTCATTGAAAAATACAATGTCTGCACAGTAGATGGTTGAGTGCTGTATTGCACCCTGTGTGTTTGTTTTTTTAAGCGATGATATTTGTTGTTGATTGAGAGCTCCTGGTGGATAAAGATTAAAAAGGGGCTGAAACATTAATGAAAATGTTGTTACCATCTAATTCAGAGAAATCAGCTTACCAGTAAATGAAGTTACGCCACAAAAACAAAGGTGTTATCACTTTCTAAATAGATTTAAGTCAGTGTATGTCTTTGGTTTGTTTTATTGCTGCATGCTTCACTGTTCACATATTGATCATTTTTTGTTTTCATGTTTTTATTCATCAATTATACTGCAAGTGGTGGTAAGTGTGTGTAATAAACCTGATCACAAGACAAATTACTTCATTACTTTGAGGGGACAATGAAATGTATCTTGTTGTATCAGATTATATCATATTGCACTGTGCCCCATAATGTATCTTATCCATGCATCCCTGTTGTATCCTATCCAACTTTATGTATTGACAGTAATATCTTTAGCATCATATCACATGAACAACTAAGTGTATCATACTGTATTGTACTGATGATAATGTACTGTATTTTCAGCAATGAAGTTCATTGTCTTGTACTGCCAACAAAACATGTCACTTTGTTTTGTACTGGTAAAACAGTCTATTGTATTATATTGAATTGAGTCGTATTCAACTTAAGTGTTAACAAAAAAATGTAAAAAAAAAACAACAGAATCACACTGACAAAGTATATCATAATGTTTTGCAATGTCAAGATTTTTGGGTGTCTTTTGTAATACAGTTAAATGTATTGTAATCTAACAGATCCACAACATAGTGTATCGTATCACCAATATTGTGGAACTTACTATATTGGATGGACATCAAAGTTTTTCTTATTAAATTGTGCTTTCTTGTATCAAAACATAAAGATCCTGTTTTGGTGGTCATGAATAAATGCTGTGTATTGCTATGTATCATTTCCTCAACGTATATTGTATGGTATCAATAATAAAGCATTGTATTGTATGGACCATGAAGTTGGTCATATTTATGTATTTTTTCATTAAGATTTACTTTTGGGGATTTTACGACTATATTTCAAGAGAAGAGAAGGAAACTGTGGAGGTAAAATAAGGAGAGACAAACAGTGAAGGGCCACAGACTTGAATTGGACTCAGGCTGCACTCTCTAAAGGGCTATATCCACTGTGCATTGGGGGGCATGATTTTACTGCTAGGCCAAACCTGCTATCTATTGACTTTCATTGAAATTTTATGTGCTAGCTTCTGACACGCAAAAACAAAGCAACAGTACCATGTAATTGAGCTGACAGCGCTATAAAAATATTTACAAATGCTTTAATTGTGTATTTCACATGTCAATATTCTGAGAGTGTTGCGGAGCTCAGAGAGGGGAACATGGGTGCGATACTGGTCAGGAATTTTTAGACAAAGCTTGGCTTGCTTACGTTCACACTGGCCTCATGACTCGCCCTACAAAGCCACGGGGCCAAAAGGTTGCGCCCCCTCCGTCACCTTGTCTAAAGGCCTTCAATGATCTGATGACAAGAGGTCCAAACAAAAGCTTCCTTTAAGACAAAAACCTGAAAATAAACCACTAAAATAACAAATAAACGCTCCTGATCTTTCCATGCAGTACTAATTTTGTAGATTGAGACTTTTCAGATTGAGACAGAGATTTGGTTAAGCTCAATAAAGTGGGTCAATTCCCCAAAATTAATAGTGGATTAAAGTTCAGGCCTGTTCGGGGGACAAAGAAAAAGCCAACATGAAGCTCAGCCTTCCTTGTCTCCTAACAGTCCGTGTTTCTGGGGCGCTAGGAGCTAGCCACACATGGCGCCTGCTATTGGTATGCAAATGAGGCTGGTTTTATTAGGCCTATCGTCAGGGCTACAGCTGGGCCGCCACAGATATGCTAGAAAGTGAATCAGTCGGCTGGAATGGGGGCAGGGGGAGAGGCTGTTTTCTGAGCGATCTGTTTGGAGCCTCAATTCACTTCAGATGTATCCGGTATCAACCAGTCCGATGTTCAAAAATAAACAGTTCACACACTGAATCTGCAACCCAAACTTCAGGACAGACTAACAGCCAATTACTAAAAATACTTCCAGAGAATACTCCCACAAGATTTACCTTTAAGCCTTTCCTCTCAAAGATTAATTTGGTTTTGAAATGCTAAGTCTAGCTGATCGTGGCTTAACCTAAATGATGGCTGACCTCATATTGAATGATAGGACAAAAACAATAACAGAGTATTAGGGTCAAAAAAGACCCCAATGTGTACCCCAGTTGTTCAAAACAAAAAAACATCAGGTATGGAGGCCCACAAAAACACAAGTCCACAGTTCAAAATGGATGGAAACATATAAAAACGTTGACTCTGACTCACCAAACATCTGGATGATGGAACTCAAAATAGACAAAAAGATGAATGTATAATCCAAAAGATCATAAATCACATTTATACTGGAGCCCAGTTTGGGATTGAAACCATCAAGTGACCCTTGGGCTGGTCAGACACCAAACTCCACTTCAAAGAAAAGCCACAACAAAGAGACACACAGGCTGCTGAGCATCCTCCACCTTCACAACCTGAGAACACACACCTACCAACAACTACATCAACTTCACACTCAACACAGAGCAGCCATGACTTAAACTAACTTCTCTAGGCAGAATTAGTTTGAACCGAGGGGAGATTTCCTCTGGGATTACGAGGGGTTTTACCCCTGAGAGGGGGGGAGGAAAAGTGTGTGAGGAAGGAGGAGGGCTATTGTCGCAGCCAGTCCCCTCAGAGTATTCCCGTACCTTGCCTCGTTTCATTGGCTCTAAGGGGCTAATATGCTAATGAAGGAATAGAAAACCGGACTCTTCTCCCCTCTTGTACACCAGACCTGCATTTATACCATTACCATGGCAACAGGTTGCTCTATACTAGGGTGGAGGGCTCCTGAAAGGCTCAAGTAATGAGCAATGCAACTGCCCAGGAAAGACGTCGGCAACACAGCCAATACAACTTTGGATTCCTGACTTCAGCACATTTTCATTGTTTGGTGTGGTTTGACAACCAAACATTTGTAGGATACTGAAGACTTAAAGAAATAACTGTTCATTCTACTTTAATACAGTTTCTCATGCATAATTAACAAGGCTGTACATAGTAATAACGGGAAATGGCACGCTTAATTGACTCACTGCTCACTTTTTGCAGGGCAGTTTCAGAGCCTTTTCTTCTCATTTAAAGGTTTTTTATAACCAGTCAGAATCATTTTATTAAACTGATTTGTTTGAAGCGTCCTGCACATTAATCAGCAGTTTTGTGACTTTATTAGGGAGTGGACTGTAAACAGCTTTCTGTGACAAACAAGTCTGCATTAAAATGTAAGGATTAAGGATTAAACCGTCATTCAAACGATTGTCTGCTCATGTTAATTGATATTAAACGTTTGGCCTCAAAGGTTAAGTGTTTAATATTTTGTAAATATTTAAATTCCACTCATCAAAAGATGCAGCAATAGCCTAGCATGCCAATAAAGTTAAGCAGCAACAAATATTATTTTTCAGGGGGAGTATGTATAGCAATTATTGATCATTAACGAGAAACAATATTTTGAACTGATTTGCATGAACTCCATCATAAAACTTTGCTAAGATACCTTTTAGCAAGTTTTTCATCAACACTGTGTAGAGAAATGAACGGTTAACCAGCTACACTCACAGTACAGCCGACATCAAACTTCTGAGTAACGTCTGCTCAATCAGACAGTGTTGGTCCAGACAGCATTAGGTGAGCCAAAGTGGTGCAAGAAAACACACAGAGAGGGAAAGACACAGCGGTGGTGAAGAAAGAAGCACACTGGTAAATTAATGTAATTAGTCCTCTATAAAATAAAAGGCAAATGCAGACAATCAGCCCTAAGATCCTGAAACCCTACATCTACAATCAGACCTACAAGGTATCCTTTGACCTCAGAATTAGAAAGACAGGTGATTTTTTTTCTCTTACATTATTGCACTCATACTGTTTTTTTTCCCAACAAACCTGTTCTGTGAAGTTTGAGCTCAAAGTCATCCTTTAATTCTGTTTTATTGTTTTATTTTATTTTATTTTTTTTCACAGAAATTTGCATTTTAATGTATTTCTAGTAAACAAAATGAATACAGTCTGGATTTTCAGGCTTTAACTCTCCACTGTCCTCCAAATTAAGAGGTACCATCTATTACAGACTGTCTACATAGGGGTAAGTTTCTATCAAAGAGCATGCAGCACAATTTATTAAATTAGCCTATAAGAACCCAAAAAAGATACAGGAAATGACAAGAGCACCAACTACTGAGTAATTTCAATGTATTCAAGTACATTTTTTTGTAAAACTATCAAGCAGTCATTGATTAAAGCTAGTAAAAGTACTTGCAACAACGCTGGTATGGGAAACAAAACTCTGCATTGAAATCAATGTAATATGAACTGATGTGTTCTTTTGTGTAGAGTGTTCCAGCAACTCAACCGTCGCCTGCAGACTGCGACGATGCTAAAAACAATCAAACACTTGGGAAAATCTCTGAGAGACAAAAAGGAAATTTTCTTCATCTCATTAAATGTCCCCTGGCACAAAACCAAAAGGTCTGCTGAGAGAATGGTTCTAATCTGAAGCTGATAGAGAGGCAATAAAATTCACACAGATCTATTGTGAGAGGAGCAACTGAGCATACAGACCAAACAAGGTTTTCATAATGAGAGTCTGCAAACCCGGTGATTTCATTACAAGTGAATAAACTCTTCCCATGACATGAGAACCAGCCCCACCAGCCTCCTTTTTCTTAGACAGGTGGATGCATTAACTAATGTTTGACATGCAGCTAAATCAGGTGCAGCATCGTTTACATTGTAGCGCAGAAATATGCTGAAACTGTATTCAGGCAACCTGCACCTCTCAGGTGAGCTGGTGCTTCTATTTGGTCCCTGAGGGTCTGACAAAGACCCTCTTCAGCAGGACCCACAATCAAACCAGTCATGTTTCGGGTGAGAGAGGTGAACCATGAGCAGCGTGTAATGACCAGCACATTCCTGAGCTGAGTGGCATACCAGCTGTCAAGTCAGTGGCTGTCCGCACTGACCCTCAACCCAGAAACACCTGGAGACATTTGGGCTGAGAGCGAGGGTCTGAACCACATCACTGCAGCAGAGTCTGGCATCTTAGACAACTTCAGTTACCACAGTTCACAGGAAATTTATCTCACTGTTGGACTGAGTTAGCCAACAACCTGTCAGTCACTTCAAATTATCCCAAGTACTTTAGATCTTGGGCTTTATACATATTCTGGGAGCAAGCACTACAAAAATATGCAACAAAATTCCTCTGTTAGCTTGCCTTTGAATCAGGCTGCCATGGCTCCAACTAGTGGTGGGTGGTGTACTGGTTTCAATTCCGCCATGAATTTCGGGGTGCTGTCATCAACAGGGTAGACTCTCAGGCAAGCAGGAGTTGAGTGTATGCATCACAAGCTTGTTTTAGAGGTAGAAGGAGTCGTAGTGAGTGGACATTTGTTTACACGGAGGTGAAACTCAACCAACAAGACACGACATGTTCCAGAAATTTGGGTCTCAACTGTCACTGCAGAGGACTCCTGAGGCTAGATCAGGTGAGAAGCACCATCCTGATGTGCTTGAATTTACAACTTTAAGCTTCAACCGTTACATAAGTACCTGAAAACGTTGCGTTAAGGATCACTTCAAAGATAGATTGTTTAAAACAGACCAAATTTCATTGTGTAAATTTCATGTAAAGCTGCTGTGAGGTAGCTTTGGTCTGTATTGATTTTGGTGCCGTCATCAGTATCATTTTCAGTCTGTTCCAAAATAGACTTAAAAAAAAACCTCACGTACAAACCTCTTGAAGTATTTGTAAAGACATATCATTTCATTGTGACATGGAGAAAAACCCTCACAGCTCAAAATGTTCTCTTTGATTAAACCAGGATGACAAAAGGATGCAAAGATTAGATTAACACTGTGAGGGTGACTGCATGTCCACTAACCAATAGGGGAGCCGAGGGCAGGGGGGGGCATTTAAGACATGGCTTCACAGAGGTCTCCAAACTGTGATTTTCTCAGCTGAGAAACAAGAAAATGTTAACAAATCTGCTTATTACAAGAATTCAGAACACAGCATTCCTGACATACTCTGGGGGCTTATTATGAAAAACAAAGCCCCTGCAATGCAACTCCAGCTGAACGCTCATACTGTAAGGGCGAGCAGTGAGCTTTTCCTGGTGTATCTGGATGGTGCACGAACCTCTGGGTCCATCTTTTTTAACAAAGCCACATAGATGCAATGAGTTAAAAAAGAGACAGGAGACAGGAACAGATGCTGAGTCTTTTCATGCAAGACAATAAAGCACAATAGTTAATGTGGTACTTCTGTTAGAAAGCCAGAAGGGGGAAACAGAAAGCCACAACAAACCTCCAGCTTCTGTGGTTAGGTTTAATGATTCACTCTGCTGTTTGTTGCATGTACAAGAAGCGCCTCCAGGAAAGGAAAAAGGAGGACAGGCCAGACTGCAGGGGGCCTGATGAAAATATTTAATCTTACCTCACTGCCCAGGAGAGGTAGATGTACGATGTATGCACCTCTTGGCAGAGTAGTTTAACTCTAACTGCTACCAAAACAACAAACAAGAGTATGTTTGAATTGGTGACCTGTGATTGCCCTGTACATAAAGTACCAGAGTGTTTGCCGTTTGTTTTCTTGATCTGAATTAAGCCACTTTTAACACAATGTACACAAACACAGTTTAATCACATACACATAACTGCAGTTGAGTGAAAATCTGCTGCTTTTAACCAAACAAGAGTGGCTTAGAGAGGAGGTGACACCTACAGTCATTTACTGCATCTGTGTTTCTCTGGCCCTCATGGAGACTGATAGCTGATACTGACACCTGGATTTTGCAACATGGCTCATATCAAATACTTCTGCCCAGAAAATAAAAATGTGAAAGTTAGAGCTGTGTGTCTTCTTAATACAGTTCAACTGAAAACCTAGGAGATGGTTTAACCTTTCAGACCGGTCCCCTTTACCGCGACATATTCTTGCAAAATCTGATAAACCATTTCTTTTTTCACTTTCTTGGTGCTCAGTGCTGCGGATATCTGTTTCCTAAATGCAAAACATGATGCCAAAGTTTAAGGTTACTTCCTCCATAAAGCAAGCAGAATGAGCTGCCCTCCACCAGGAAACACTACTCACAAATGTACAGAACAAGATCCGCCAAGAAACAAGAGATCAGCTTTTTGTCCACAGGGGGCACCAAAGTTAGCACAAATGAAAAGATCTGTTACAGATAGAGTCAATGTCCCAAAAACTAAGTAATAAGGTAATAAATAAGGCTAGGGTAAAAAATAACCATGATTCATAGTGTCAAAGAGCAGTGATGAGGGCTCTTTGCACAACAAATACACTTAAAAATCACAACCTAAAGTTTTATCAATCCAACTCAAAGTACAGAGCTGAGTAAAAAAAACCATGCAGTCGCCTTTGATGTACAAAATCCAAACTTATGTATATATGTCTGAAGTCAGCACTTTAGTAACTCTAATGTTATGTTTCCCTGATCCAGACATTAAAATTTTATTGGACGAAGCAGTTTTTACTAATTTTGCCCAGTACACATCTGATGGGTGGGTCCCATAAAAAAATTACATCTTGCTTCCTTCTTACCTTCAAATTTATTGCGAATATTTGCCAAAGGAAATGTTTAAAAAAAAAAACAACTTAGTTTTTGTTAAAGTTAATATTATAATGTTTTTTCTTCTTCTGTGTATCTGTGAATGATAATAATATTGTTTTTCCCCATCCAGGTGCCAACTGTATCTAAAGAAGCTTGAAATGATTCTTTACAGATGGAAAACCAGAAGAAAATTTGCTATAATTAAATCATTGCAGGAGACCTGTTTGTTGTGGCAATTACAAACTATAAGAACATGAATCTCTTTTCACTTTTTCATCTTGCAACCAGTGAACAATTTTTACTTTTGCCACAAGGGCTGTTATCAACCAAGGAATTATTGGTCGACTAAAACCTTTAAATTTTTGACCAAAAACAGACTAATTTGTGTGTGTGTGTGTGTGTGTGTGATGGTGGTGGTGGTGGTGGTGGGGGGGGGTCTGAATCTGACGGCAAACCCTTCTGTGGTGGGGGACCACGTGGCTCGGTGGGGTGAAAATGTACTGAGATGGATGATATTTTATTGTAGAGAGAAAGGACACCAGGCCAGCTAGAGATGCTTCTTATTGCGATGGCTTGAAATGCATAATGTTTGGTTGAATTCTTACTCATTGCTTTTAGTTTTTACAGCTACCAAAAATAAGAGTAGCACAGTGGAATGCATGCAGCTGCAACCTGACAGCGTGGGTCAATTATAGTGTTTGACTCTATGCAGCTGGCAAGTGTTAAACAGATTAAGAATAAGACATGCAATTTAAATTTAGCCAACACCCATATTTTGTTTTTTCTATTTTCAGATTTCCTCATTTCACCGACCAAAGTTGAAGCTCAGTCTACGGCAGTTTTGTCGGGGCATGTGCAAAGAAATGGAGATGTTTCCCACAGATAACCACACCTGCCTGTGCTCAATATGACGTGCGACAGGCCTCTCCCCTTCCCCTCTTCCTGTGACACTGCACTAACAATCTCACATGAGTCACTGCATGCAAAATCAATCAGGCTCCTCCCTGGTGCTGCCTGTAAAGAGACCACACCTGTGGACAGGAGCAGGTTCTGACAGCTTCCTGATCCTCGTTCCAGCTATCCAACATGATCCCTCAGATAAAAGGAGAGGTTTTTCACAGCTGACACTTTTACAAGCTCAGGCACAGATTGAGCTGCAGTCAAACATGACATCCAGGCTATTCTTTGAGGAGTGCAGGTACTGATGAGGAATGCTACACTAAAAACATTCCCAGTAGCAGCTTAACATGAAGCGTCCAAACTTTGATAAAAAAAGAACAAGTAATGGGCTGAAGTTTTGAGGTTGTATAATAAACAACTATCATTCTGCTGTCTTCTAAATCAGACGCAGACGTGTTATTGTGGCCTTGAAAATGAGTGTCTGGGGAAGCTATGTGAGACGGTCAGAACAAACCAAATTCTTCAACACAGACGAGTAAAAGGAAGGAAGAGTCTCACGGGACTAAAAGCCAGGATAGGATGTAATATGAACAATGAGCCTCGTCCTTGTAAGGAAATGTCTTTCTCCATTTACAACTACAAACATACAGATATGACAATAACCAGATCCTGGACTTGAGTTGCATGCTCTGCTGTTAAATCTATTCAGTATATGGATCATTTTCCTCTGGATTTATCAACATAAACGTATATTTGACTGCCAGAAATAATCTGAAAAAAAACAAGACACTTAAGATCCTCACTGGATTCAGGAAACTCTATTCAATATTCAACACACTGAAGAACTTAAAACAGACTGTGTTTTTCATGGGTATGCATCTGAAAAGTCTTGAAAGTCTTGTTCTTGAGATCAAGCAATTAAACGGCACATTAGCACAATGTGCTACTTATCTGTAAAGCCAGTGTACCCCTCATGACTAAGCTCAGTCGTCACCTGGGTTGGATCAGGTCCAAATGAAAAGCAGTTCAAACTACTCTGAGCCATTGACATCATTTGCTTTGTTGCTTAATGTTTCTCATATTGATGCTTCCACTTAGTTTGGTGTGTCTCGCATAACAATGACAAGACGTATAGCAAGAGGCAGACAGCAGAGAAGACAACCAAAGAGTTGATTAAGTAGACTCACAGAAGACAGGGGTGGTTCACTATCACAGACTGTATACATTATGGACAACTTGGTTCCACCCTCTGTCAGTATACGGATTTGAAGCCAAATAGCTATCGGTATTTCCAGGTTTTTTCTCCAATTTGTGAAACCAGCCTTGCGCAGTAGCATTGCACCCATTCGGCGGGGGAGTCGCCGAGAGTTGCTATGATGACACTCGGCTCAAAACAGCGTATCCCCGGGTGAGCTACGCAATCTTTATATGCCCATAGGCTGTATCAAGTGTCAATCATAGAAAACATAAACCCTCTAATAGCTTTAATAGCAAAAGAGGACTTGAGCACAAACCACTCTTACCAGGCATCCAGTCTATATACAGTCTATGTACAGTGATCCCTCGCCACTTCGCGGTTCACTTATCGCGGATTCGCTATTTTGCGGATTTTCATAATGCATTTTTTGCACTTAACTTGCACTGAACTTAAGCGAGTAGCTGAGGAATGGGACCCTTTGATGAGCCGTTCATTACAGTTCTCCAACGTAATCGATGGTGGCATGTCGGTGTACAAGGATCTTTTTGCAAAGAAGAAAAAAGAGCGACAACAGCTGCCTATCACTATGTTCTTCTCCCGAACAAACACACCTGCACCGCGGGCTTCAGAAGAAGAGAACACTGCAGAGCGCAGTCAGGATGCAGCGGCCCAGTCTGAAGAGCAGTGAAACGGCCTACACGTGAGTCACTGTATTTGTATACATGTAATAGTTGCTAATTGTAAAAAAAAAATAAAGTTTTCTATTTCGCGGATTTCACTTATCGCGGGTCATTTTCGGAACGTAACCCCCGCGATAAACGAGGGATTACTGTATACAACAAAATATTGCCATGCTGTGTGAATCATATATTTTGAGCTAACAATGTAGAAAATAATGAAATTTTAGAAAGTGATAACAAAGCAGGCTGACCAACGGCTGCTATGGTCCGTCAATACCATGTGGTTGCATAGTTTCGTAAATACGATATATCTAAAAATATTGGTGCCAGAATTAGCTATATTGTCATTTAAACATGGAGATCAGTTTCAGCTCAAATGTTCTCAATCAACGCGTCCCTAGTTATGTCTTAAATGTTACTGTTAGTCAGCCTACCTTTCAGTAAATGTGGTTGATAAAATTACACAAACAAATACCAGTGCGATTCAACTGCTAGCATCGTATTGTCCTCAGTCATACCAGAAAACATCCTCCATATTTCACAGTCACTGAAGTTCTTCCATCTCTGGGGCAAGCATGCTTTTATCAATATTCAAAAAAGCCTCATGACTGCTGAGAATAAAGTAGTGTGGAGGTCAGATTTGAGAGCTATGTAATGATGATGAAGTGTGCCCCATTTACATTTATTGCACATACAGAGAATGTGCTATATAACAAAGAAAAAGTATGCTTTTTTTTATCCCATGGGCATAAACCTCTTAAGCGTAAGCTGCTTTTAGATTTGCTGAAAATTGTGTGTTTGTGTTAGACTCAAACGCTTATTTAGAGCTGTTAATCATCCCACAATAGCACGAGTAAATCAAACAGAAGCAGACTGTATAGACAGTAATGCCTCCTTGTTTCCAGATCATGTAACAGGCCTGCCCGCAGAGAGTATAAGACAATGAGTGAGCCTCACTGCCGCGTCCTTGTGGAGAGATAAATGGTGAGAGGACTTCCTTGTACGGTAGGATTTGTTCAGGGATTACGTTATGATATGATACAATGCAGAATGAAATGCAGACAGCAGAGAGACAATGGGAGCAGTGTTACACACACACACACACACACACACACACACACACACACACACACACACACACACACACACACACACACACAAGGCCATTCGTAAAGACGTCCTGCAGCTCTCACGCTGACAAGTGACTCATCAGTTAAACAAGACACACATACTTAATACTTCAGAGTCAATAGGTCACAAAGGGTGTTTTCTGTTATAGAGAGAGGCTGTCAAGATAGTATACTTAGTGCTTATAAACAATCAGTTCTTTGGAAAAAAGAAAGAAGTGTGGTGTAAGTGCTGCAAAGAAAACAAACCATAAAACTTTATCACCACTGACTGATAACACCAAATCTCTGACACAAACAGCCCCATATGCTTCTTCTTTCTTCCTGCCCCCACCGCCTGCTCACAGAGTACATGATGTCACCTTCAACCTCTTCCTTCTTCATCTTGATCCTGAAAAACTGTCACAACTCTGAACTCTGTGAAACCTGGTGAAACAGGACCATCCAGCTACTGAAGACTCAACACACACACACAGCTAGAAAGGAATCCCAAAAAAGTGCAAGCCAGTCTGCTGACACAGGACAGAGAGGAAAACACCTGCAGGGACCAGGATCTTCTGTCTCCACTCCTCGGTTGCCTTGGTTTGTTAGAAATGTTACCATGGGGACCTGATGCACTTGTGACAGCAGCAGATGTAGGAGGAGAGGGCACAGGAGGGTAGGGGAGGGGACGGGGGACTGGTTACCTACCTTTTCACCACCAGACTGAGGGTCTTATGGGAGCCCTTCACCAGGCAGATCGCCTCCTGTCTGTAGCCGCTCAGGGGAATTTCGTTGATGTTGACAAGCTCGTCTCCCACCTGGAGACTTACAGCTGCAGCCTTGCTGCCCTCTTCGACCTGCAACAAGAACACAGCAGATGGAAAACAGAGAGTTAAACACATATTTTCACCTTTTAAGAGGACAAACTCCAGGGAGCAGTGGTGATCAAGCTGATAAATGCTTTCATCTTATCGCTGATAATGACAGTTTTTTTTTTTTAAAGCTGCACAGTGTTTCATTGTTTTAACTATAGAGGCTGTATGTGGGTTTTAAACCTGGTGAAAAAAGCACCCAGGTCATTAAAAAAACAGTTTGATATCCATAAAAATTTACTTGACTGAAATTGAGCTACCTTGTAATTTTCAATGTGTCCACACCTTAGAAAATAAAGGAAGATTTCTTTATATATATATATACTATAACGCAGGAGATTTACGGAAGAATATTAATACAGGAAGATGCCGGGAAAGAGGAGTAAAATACGGTAGTTTTCCACAAATGGGTTACTTGACAGCTATGAATTACACCTATAATTTTAAACCTCTTACATTTTCTTTATTTTAATTTGCTTTCATATGTATTTGCTCTGATACTGTTTTTATCAAACTTACTTTATATTTTTAAATATTTCATCTTTGTATTCACCCTTTAAAAGGAGGTCAACACTCAAAAGATCTTAACCATTCTGCCCATATTTGGAGTAACATTGAACATCTTGAGTCTCAGTCATTTCTGGCTCCTTTTTGGTCTGTTTAATGCTCTGAAAAGTTTGTTTTAAAGGCAACTTTAAGTAGTTTGATAACTTTTTTAAGTCACTAGTCACAACAGGTTTCTTATTAAGCTACAGGACACTTCGGTAGTGCTTGTTTCCTTAATGCTTCCTCCATCCATTCTTAAAACAATACATTCCAGGTCTGTATCTGACTAGAGAGGTGCCACAGATGAGCAGACTGAGGTCTTAAAATGCTGCAAAAAATGGGTTGAATCTTGGCGAAAAAAAAAGAAAAGAAAAACTGAGCATGGCAAATGTTTATAAAATTCCACTTTGATACTAACACCAGCTCTTTATCTCACAGCTGTTCGCCCAGAGTGCAGCTGAGTTCCATTGCACCAACTCAAAAAACACAGACTCACTCTTTCTGTTGAAATCAGTGAAGGAGTTGAAATTCAGATAAAACCAGACTCCTCTGTAAATCTCTGCCACAATGATAACACAGCTAACATAAAGTGGGGAAGTGCAGACTTAAACTGGCTACCCCAAAAACTCTGAATCTAGAGTTCATAAGTGGGTGTCAAAAGACTTCTGTTATCCTTAAAGTTCCCACCACTGAGTTGTGAAAGAGATTAAGTAACCTCATACAACCTAACCTGAGTGCTACTTACTGCTTCTTAGTGTTTGAACACTTGTGATAAGAAAAACAATAATGTTTGCCATGGATTTAAAATCTAGCTATAAGCGCAGATTGTTCTGAAGTGACCTTCTACTGAAGCGTTTGTAGTTTCTTCTGTAGATTCAGCTTTTCTCTTGTCTTCCTCTCTTTTCCATACTTCTGTTAAAGTCCTGCCATGTAAAGAACCAGTTGTCATTTGCAGGTACAAACCCATCACTAATACACTTGATATGTTAAGACCTAATGTAGGTCTGAGTAATAAAGTCATTTTGCTGGTTAAGTTGTTTTTGTGATTCTGAAAAATGAGATCTAGGTTTTCTGTTGAACTTCTTCCACTGCTGCTCACTTCACAAAGTTTCTTCCAAGGCCGTTGCAAACAAAGGCAGCAGCATAACTGATTTATCTAAAAGTACAAAGAGGCAAGAGGGGGAAATGTGTCTCACTAAGAGATGCACAGACCTCTAAAAAGTCGCAAATTTTTGCACAAAGATACAGTGTTCTCACATACAGTATAAAAAGCTGGGCTTATCCACATGCTCAATACTAAAGGCCATGCACACCAACCCACAAGTGTTTAGCTTTGTTTTTTTTCTTTCTGATCATATAGGTATTACCATTTTTTCATGGCGACATATGTGAGATATTGAATTCTTGATATTCAAAAAGAAATAATGAGAAAAAAGAGCATCACAAAAAAAAAACTCAATGAAAGGAAACACTCTGGATACTATAAGGAAAACTAGGGATGGGATTTTGTTTAATCCAATATACTAAAGCTTTCAAACTCATATTAAGCGATACAAATAAGGATATCAATATAAACTAATAAGTAACTCTTTTAGCTGTTACCTGCTGATACTGACATCATATTGGTGATATTGTGCGTCTCCAACAAAAACAGTTTTCTTCCTCTAAGATGCACATATAGGTTTCTGCCCATTACAGGGAACTTTTTCCTTGCCGCATCACTCATGTTGGATGAGTTGGGTCAATCTTTCCCATCTTAAGCTTGGGTCTTCATAACACATCAAACAATGAGTGTAGTCTAGACCTGCTCTTTTTGTAAAGCGTCTTGGGATAACAACTGTTGTGATTTGGTGCTATATAAATAAAAAATTGATTGAACTGATTGATATGAAGTTTTGATTTGGCAGCAAAATATTTTCTTACATATGAACTAATACAGAAACTATTACTGAAACTTATGCGTGCTATTTTTTAAAGCAGTGTCTTCCTGAACATAGAGGCAGCATCCACACAGAAAACATGCCAAATCCCCCGGTCCCTCTGTTGTTGACATTCCTGATGCATTTTATAAGGTAACAGTGACAGCTTAAACACCCTGTTTAACAAAGCGAGCAGCAGGTTAGTCAGTTTTGAACACAAGGATCAAAGACGATTAAAATACTTCAAAAAGTGTCTGTGTGAGCCAGTGGCATGATGTATAAACAAACTGTATTGTGTTTGTTTGAGGGCAGACACCTGGAATAACACATACGTCAAAGGGAAGTGAGCACAGTACGGTACACTGAAGTCAGCAGATGCTGCTGGTGTCGGTGTACCTCTGGAAAAGACCTGCTGAATATGAACAGAAGTGAGCTGAAAAGAAGGTCTCTGCAGTGACAGATACAGAGAGTGTTAAGGTCAATGCTGTCCTCACGCTGACTCAGAGTCAGAAATGAACAGTGTAGGACAGTCCAGCTCAGAAAGGAGAGAAATACTGTGAACAGTCCAGCTCAGACAGGAGAGAAAAACTGTGAGTTAAGTTGGCCAGCAGTTGGCACATTAACACAGAAAAGCTCTGCAGCTGATTATCAACTCTCAACCTGTGAGAGGGGCCTGCATGACTTAACCTCTGAGGTATGTGTACATTTACAGACCATTACGTGTTATAGAGCCTTTATCCTCCAGAGCCCAGATAGCTCCAATCAAAGCCCTTTTTCATTTTTCTATAATAACGATGTGAAGGCAGAGGTAAGCAGAGCGGACCGGGGATTTTTATGACGGCTGGCTGGACTCCTGAAATGGTCCTGATATGGTAATGTATTTTGTTGAGAAAGTGAATCACTGAATGATTCCTCTGGTGTTTGTGTCCATTTTAAACACAGTAAGGCACCACAGAGTTCTCCTGAAACTGGGGATTTATGTTACTTACATAAAAACATCTAACTCAAGCACACAAACGGACATCCCAACTAGTTTTTAGCTCACCGTGCAGAGAAAAATATTGTTTTGGAGTTTGCAAGATTACTGCAAAGCCTAAGACTCTAGTGAAAGGTCCAGGGTGCAGAATCTAAATGAGGAAATATCGGCTGATATTTAGTTTCTTATCTGTAACTACATTCATACTCAGTTTGTGGCACTCCGCACGTTTGGGAATGCATCAGTCAGTATGTTAAATGTCTCTGAGGCAGGGGGACTGTGTATTTATAATAGGGTCAGGGTTAGGTGAGTGTGTGTGTTCATGCTAATAAAAGCAAACGTGTACCAGAGTTTGGCAAAGTTTCGTCAGTTTTGGACAAAAAAAGAAAAGGAACTTGAAGTTACAGTCCAAAAGGACATAGCAGGTTATGACAACATGAACAATGTTTGACTTTAAAGCATGGAAGAAATATTTGATCAATGGGACATTGGAGTAGTTACACTTAAGCAATCTAAATTCCTTAAGAGCTGGGACCCTGTGTAAATTGCTGATAAAACTTTATTTGATTTAAACCCTATACTTGACAGTAAATAGTGCAAAGTCAACAGTTCAAATGAAAAATCTGTCAAATGATATTTATTCTTTGAAAAATAAATGCTAATTTTAAATCAGATGCTTGCAACATGTTTCAAGAAAGTTGGGGGAGCCCTGACGAGTCATTTACAGAGTGAAGCAGATCATTTCTTTTAAGTAATAATCATCGTAATAATCACTTTGCACTACAGATGCGGTAGTTCTTCTGCCTTAGCGCCTCGGTCTGATTGCATTTCCATGATTTAATGCTCATAAATGTTCTTCCTTGAGCTGCGAAACTCTGCTGCACTCGGTGATGGACTCGTCAGGGCTCCCCCCACAAACAAGCGGCTGCTGGAGGAGAGTGGGTGAGTTGTGTTTGGTCTCTTTGAAAGCTAAATAAATCAGGCAAAACTAAAAAGTTGTTTGATGGCTGGTACTATGGCTGGGACCCTATATGTACTGTTGATGAAGTTAGATGCTGTTCTGAGCATTATTTGTGGCTATAGAGTGGCTTTTTGGTTGACCTTTTCATGTGGATCTATAGACCGCTGTGTATTGCTATTCTGCGGCCGTTGCTTAAGTTGATATAACTAGAGAAGCAAGCAACTTGACATGCAGTCAAAATAATTAGCAGGAACATTTGGAACATTTTGGTTACCTGATTAAGTGACCTGAAAAGAACAGCAAACTATGCTGCCAGGGGTGATGAACTGTTGCTTAAGAGAGCAAGAAAAAGTCAACAGAAGCTAAGCAGAAAAAACAAAACCAAATAAACTGTACCTATTTTAGAAACAAAGACAAAACTGACTTAAATCACATCTGTCCCAGCCTGAGAAGTCAACAAGTTCAGTTAGAAAAATGTCTGATGGTGGTACTGTAATGACTGTTTTTGAGGAGCTTCTGAACTTTTAGTTCATAAAAACAAATGATGGCAGGGTAACCTGTGTGACCTCCTGATGCTGCACAATAGTGCTGCTTTTGTTTCAAACAATCACAGACGAAACACAGCTCCACAATAAGTCGGCATTTGAGAGTGTAAATAAAAAAAGACAAATGGTGAGAATTGGAACATAAAAGCATAAAGACAGGAGATTTCTGCTGCTTTTCTAAACATCTGTCACCTCAGTCGCCCAATCAGCATGAGCCATAGCATGCCTTTTGTTTATCATCTTCCTCCAAGCTATAATCAGGCAGACTCCAGCCATCCTGGATGCTTGAGTGTCCTCAAAAATAGCCTTGTGTCTCTCTGAGGGACGTGAAGGGAAGGATGTGGTGGTGATGTGGGTAAAGAATGTGTCTTTTCTGCTGACAGGGCACTGGACTCAGATCCTCTGTGGTTTTAGACACTGCCTGCATACTGACACTGAAGCATTGAAATATATCATCAGACGGATGTTTGAAGCGCCTGTCAGTCTGTCCATCACTTCAGTTTGGACTGAAACATGAATACATCAATGTGAATCACATTAAAGGGTAAATTGGTGATGTCAGTGGTCTCATGGAGTTAAAGAAATTGGCTTGGACTGCTGTAAAATTTGTTTCCAACATTTAAATATTGTTTGGGTGCATGTAGTGATAGTAAGCCACAGATCCCACGCTGAAGCAAAGCTATGTACTTCTGCAGACAAGGTCATGAGAAACATGTACTTGAGACTCTTAAAGAACATACCAGTTTAAATGTAGGATATACTTTGCTTTATTTTAAGTCCCACTCTGATCATTTTTTTACTACTTAAAGTGTTCTCAGTGGTTTTTAAATTGTGATTTAAATCACAGTTTTAGCCACCAGTGAAGAGAGGAGAGAAGTGTGTTTGTGTGTTTTAAGTAAAGTGGAAGCTAGGAAAAGTAAAAGTAAAGTAAAAGTGGTGTGTTTTTCAAAGTCAGTGATGTTAAATTTTAGTCCCACTCTGATCTTTTTTTTTATTACTTAAACTGTTCTCAGTGGTTTTTAAATTGTGATTATGAAGTTTTTAGCCAAAATCACATTACCTGTGTTTTTTTCAAGGGCTTTTCTTCTGCAGAGCCCCAGTAGATCATTAGCAATTCACCCCTGAGTTGTGGGCGGAGACAGCGCTGTACACTACTCTTCATGCTAGCTTGTAGCCTAACATTGCTGCTGTAGTAGAAGTGGCAGATAACATAGGAGCTATTCGGCTCTGAGACCCTAATGTCTTTGGGGACATGATAAAAATTAATATCATATATCAATATTAATTAGCACACTTTTTATCCGTGATTGTCCTCTCTACTTCTACAAGCCTGGCCTGCATAGCGGGGCTCTGGGGGCGGAGCTTGGATTTTCTACATAGAACATCTCACTGTGTCTGAACCTGCCGTTTGGGTCTGTCAGAGATTCACAGAGATTTGAATGCAAAAATACTCAGAAATGCAATTTTGCACTTAGTTTTCTCATGATACATCCTGTGGCATCAGAAAAATGCCATAAGAACATGTAGACAACGAGAAAAAACATAATTTTCATCAGAGTAGGTTTTTAATGTTTCACCCTGTAAACCTTTACATGGAGCGCACGTCGTCAGGACAGCTACTTAGGTCACGCCAATCAAAGAGGCATCATAAAAAAGAAAATATTACATAAATAATTAAATGCTGTTCACAGTGAGGACAAGAAGAGCAGTGCTGACTGGTTACTTAAAAATACCCTGAATGACAGCTGTAATTTGACAGCTCATCTGGGGGGTGGGTGCATTTTTCAGACTCTATTTTTCTGATACCTCTTTAAAAGCTTCACACGACAATTTTAAGATGAAAAAAGCCTCATATTTCTCACAGTGGCATATTAAAATAATATCATTTCAGCCTCCATCTGAAACACTTCGTTTTAGCTGCTTTCTCTCTCTGGGGTGGGAGGATTGTTACACTCCTTAGATGGTCATTTCCAGGAAAACCCACAACAGTACAGTGTAGCACATATATGTAAAGTACAACCACCCTCTTAGTCACGACTGGGTCCATTTGCAGCACAGTGTAAAATGACCTAAGGCCTGGTGCTGGTCCAAGGCCCAGTAGTTGGGGACCCCTGTAATAGAACTATGATCATTTTGCACAACTCTGATCTCAGAGTGAGATCAGACCTTTGTTCACATTTCTTTATCAGAAGGTCTCTGATTTTATTTTTATGTTTTTAATATTCTGCATTAATTGTTTAGAGAAAGCCATTTAAGAGACTTGTTTTTGTCTAAAACTTAAAAATCTTACTCTTGAATGAAACTTAAAAGTAGTGCTAAGATAATACAGCTATAATTCAGGTGAAAGTAGTAAGAAATACAAAGCAATACCTGCACACTTAGCTATAATCCTAAATGCATCATCTTTGCTCCACAGGTTGAGCAATCCTGAAACAATAAAGGGGAACTTTAAAAGGTACTCAAGGGTTTAATAATTGTAAAAACCTGTTTACCTGTATGCGATTTATCACAGCCTGAGAGCAGAGTCATTTTTCAGTGCATCTGTTATTTGTTCTCCCAGAGCAAACAATATTTTCTTCCAAATTAAAGGTGACCCTGGCAGAGGAAACAGATGTATGAGGTGCTGCATGCCCAGCTGTGTTGTGTAAAACAGGATTATATAAGTTTATTGAGACTAAGGAGTTTAAGTCTGTGAAGACCTCGAGCTTTACCTGAGCTATGAAAGGAATGTTAGGAACTTTAATTAGATCCAGGATTTCTCCAGGATTTTTTAAGAAGCAATACTCCAAACCTCTCATCAAACTGAGGGCCCTTTTTGTTATCTTTTAGTTTAAATATAATACACAAGTCAGGAAACAAACAAGAAAATCAGACGTGCTGGTTCTTGTGCTTTTTAAACATTATAAAATGACACAACCCTTTTTATAAAAGACACACGTGAAAATGAGATTTATCTTATAATTAAAGGCTTTGATATATATCTATGTAGGTGATGAGAACAGGTTGTGACTTACTGCTTCAGAGTCCACTAAGCTCATCTCACACCTTCAGTAAAAGAGCGACTTTAAACTCCAGGGTCTGGGAGGTTAAGCTTGTTTTAATCTTTGAATCTTCACAATGACCCAGCTTATAATTTTTTAACAATTTTATCATAGGGTTTGACATACAGCAGGTTTTTTTTGGTCACTAAATGTAATCAAGTCCAGGCACTTTCGTCTTGATGTTTTGTTTTTGTCTCAGTGCCATCATCCGCTCAAGTCAAAAAAGGAAGCACACTGTTTTGATATCGATTATGACTTTTCCTAAGAGGCAGGGATGCTTTGCTAAACAAACAAGTTAGAGGATAATTTTGTTCACTTGTCAATGGGAGTTCAGTCTTTCAAGAGGCTTTAGATTTCATAAATGCATGTTAAACAAATGTTAAATCATTAAGAACTGTGTTTGAAGTTCCTGTGAGGACCTTTTTTTTTTACATTCGTGGACCAGACTGCTGTGAAAGGGTAGGTATCAGTGGGGCTGCTTCAGAAAAAGCACAGTTTCTACACTTTCCATGTTAAATGTCCACAAAAAATGATCCATTTGATTGTAAGAAGACAGTAGGATGGGACAACACTGCCAAAGCATGATGAGGATGAGATAGGCAAGTACTGACTTTGTCCACAGGGGGTGCCCAAACAGACACATACTAAAAGTTACTCACAGGGGCTTTTATGATCATTATGTCAACATCAATCAAAGTAGATGTGATTATGATTTTTGTTGAGCAGCCCTATGATATCCTCAGTCATCGTGTGAATACGGGAATACAGCACACAATGGGATTAAAAAGAACCTAAAACCCAATGAGACTGCCGTTTACACCTTTCTTTTCACCTGTAAGTTCTTTTCTATTCATTTGTTGATACTGTGGCTTTGTTAAAGGCACTATGAGGAGTGTTCAAATGGTTAACTGACTGAGACTGATAATACTGCCTCTTTATGACCCTCAGAAGCAAACTAGACAATCAGCAACTTTTCTCTGTTATTACTTTTAATGCCTGAAACAGCTGTAAGGGAGTAGGTGTTTGACCAGATAACAACAACAGCAAAAATAGACTTGTCGCGTATCTTTAGCAGTGCTGTGCTCGATACGCTTCTGATAAAGAGTTGAGATGAAGCTGATACGCGTCCTCTATGCGATGCAGCATTGATTAGAATGGTAACCTATTTGCTGCGTGATACATGACGCTGCTGATACGTGAGACAAAGAGACGAGGCTTTTGTCACATGTACAAGTGTGAACATTCAACTCAAGAAAATATAAGGGTCAGAGCTCCTGATATTCACAAAAAAATGATCAGAGTTCACGTCAGAAAACAGCTACAACCTATGGTGTTAATTTCCACAGTTTTGCTGTGTTGTTCAGAAGGCTTAAAAACAAATTTATACCATGCAAATAAAATCAGAAACTATCGTCCTAAGACACCGTGTTTTTCCTACATTCATAATTTTTCCTACACCATGTTTTTCCTACATTCTCAACAGAAAAAAAAAAAAAAAGATTTTTGAGGTTTCGGGTTAATCAACCTGTTAAAAAACAGTGTTACATAACAAAGTTAAACATCCATTGTGACCACAGTCAAGCTTCTGCATTACTGTAGTCTTACATGTTCAGACAGGATAGATATGTAGTCACATTAAAGAGGACAGAGTTCACAAACAGGTGACAGAACAGCCCACATTATAATAGACTGAACAAATGAAAAAAACCTGCACAGATATATATGGACAACAGGTAGTACAAAATGCACTGACATTATGCTGAGTCTGTGTGTCTGTCAGACATAATTCAGGAAGAGGCCTTAAACTCCTTTTTCTGATGTCTGGAGACACACTGTGCACTCTTCACAGTGTAGGTGTGGGTTTGTTCTGTTGTTAGAGGATCAGCACTTCCAACTTTATCAAGTTAATACGAATAATTCAACATCACACCTTTGTAAATCAGTGGCTATAATCTGAGAACCGCTCCCAAAGAGCACAAATCACTAATCCTGACTTCACTTATCCCATCACGCCATTCCAGCGGGCTTCAGGCTGTCACAGATAATTCACTACATTTAGAAAATCAAACAAAGCTCCAACATTCCTCTTCTGCTCCTGGTACCACAGAGTCTACCGTGAAATTTTACCCAGCTCAAAAAATATGAGAGTGCAGGGAAAGGTCCAGGTGGGATCTAATAACACACACGCAAACTGAACTCAGACACGTTTCAAGACAAACATGTGTTTAGTCTATTCCATGACTGATTGACCTTATTAGATTACTAAAATATGTCTTTTAAGTGCCAGCCGGCAAGACTCTGCCAAAACTGTTAAAGCATGACCATAAAGGTAGGTATTACACAGGTGAAAAGTTGAATGTAAATACTTCTCTGAAAGTTGAGGGAATGAAAATCTCACCATCAGATGCAAACAGGTCCACTTTTGTTGGTCCTTGGAGTACGCATGTGGCATTCAGGGACAGCACATTAACAGTAAAACCAAAAACTGCAGTCCTACTGGGTAATGGTTCACCTCACACTAGTTAGCAATGTGACCACCACAGCTTTTAATCTTCAAGCTTAGAGACTTAAAATAGTCAGAATTCTTCTCATTTGAATGTAAATGGCTGTAAAACCGACAATCACATGAGTGGAGCTGGTCCTAGCTCTGTCGCTCTGAGCTCATGTGCTGCCAAAGATTCTGAGTTTTGTCCACCTGAGCTGGACTTTGGACCTGGTTTTGGTCAAAACTGAGCATGGACAACAGCTCCTGACAAACAGGTGCTGGTATGTGATCATGTCAAATTAACTTGCAAGGTCTCTCTTGGTAAATCATTACACAGTCAACAGAGAAATGAGGCTACAGTTTGATGTCAGAGCTGATTGGGAGGCTCTGTGTTTGGGTACCCTCCCCCCTCGTGGATGCTGTAGTCAGGTTAGGCTTTTATCTTGAAAAACACGGCAATCACCACCAGCGGGCATTATAATCTAGGAGTAGGCCTGTCGCGATAATCAATAAATCGCCTTATCGCTCGGTAAATAAAAACGAGGTCGGTCATTTTGCCAGCCTCGATAATTGACGTGCGTTTGTTTTCCTCCTCTCTCGCTACCAAACACGCTGGATGAGAGAAGAGGTGTCACTCTGCGCATTTTTCTCGGCACCTGGGAGCGTTGGCTCTATAGCGGAATGAACGGAGTTAGTGAACCCTCCTGTCAGTCATTCAGTGTCTTTGTCACGAGGGGGCGCGCGCACAGGTACACGTAGGCGCGCACAGGCACACAGACTTTTGGATACAGTGCTGCAAGTGAGCGTCGTGAGTAAAAAGCAAGCTAACAGAATGAACACGACAGCTTTGGTGTCTAAACCAAACGCAACAGCCCAAGTGTGGGAATATTTCGGCTTTAAATCAGTTTTGTTTTCGTCAACCACAAAACTCCACGTGTGTGCGCGCGCGCTCGTGTGTGTCTGTGTGTTGGAGGAGCACAGCAGGCTGATGAGAGCTGTCAGAGCGGACTGAAGCTGCTCCTATATGTTTAGCGTTTAACTGACTGAGTTTTGCAACTCTGTTCGTCATTTTTGTGTCGTCCCATCAACGTAAACGCACTTTCGTCTCGTCACATTTTAGTCATCTCCGACTTGTGTTTAGCTCGTCAACGTTACGTCTTCGTCGTGGGTGAAAATTAAAGTTGTACTCGCCTTATTATGCCATTTAATATCATTATCTATCATTTAAAAGACGGTGTCAATAATATCGTTTATCGGCAATAATTTGTAGCACAATTATCGTCCAGCAAAATTTGTTATCGTGACAGGCCTATCTAGGAGCTATGAGTTCAGGTGTGATTTTTCATGGTAATTCATGTGTTGGTTGTAAAATATGAGTGAGTAAAATCAGATCATATTTCAGGGATCACAGCAACATATTTATGTAAACTGTGAGCAGAACAAAATTTAGGGGCAAACAAATATTTATCAATGTTTTTAGCAGTTCAGACTCATTCATAGCAACTCACAAAATCTTCACCTGCCCCTGACCACGAGTTGAGTTCATGTAAGGGAAGAATACTTATGAATATTGATTGTTATTTCCAGAAATTACTATTTTGATTCATACTGTGACTTTTAATGTTATCAATAGGCAGATACCTTTGAAACACATCATTTAAATATGACCAAAAAACCCAATACATCACATATTTAGCTTATTTATGTGGCAATAAGCAGATTTAAGCTTCAGATCAGGTTGTTTTATGTGTGTCACACTGTCACTTCACCACAGATTGGCATTCATAAAATTTTTTGAACTTACACATGTGCCTAGAATTAAATCAGGGTTTTCTGCAGCTTTCATGAGTCTAGAGTAGTTTTCTAGTACCAGTGATGTTATGTGTAAATCTACACATAAAGTTACTGATGTTTCATGACTTAGACAAAAACAAAAACAAAAGTAGAAAGTGCCATAAATGTTTCATATCATCATCTTTACTTAATATTTTTTTCACTTCCGTGTATTAAACAAGGATTAAATCAACCATATGTGAGCAGCGTTTTCACGGCAGGATATGAAGTAATCAAATTAAATTTGAGTGTCTGAGATAAGGCTGACAAAAGCAATAGTTTGTGCAAACACATGCATAGAGAATCATATTTAACTTCGCTCGACATCAGCGCCTGTGCCAACATGATTCATTTTCCATAAAACTGACAGGAGTGTTGGGCATCATGTGATTGGACGAGGGTTAAAGGTGGCGCACTTGTTGCTTCATTTGGTGAACCTACAAATTCTTTAGTGTCCTTACACCCCATATGGGGGAAAAAAGACTGTGCCATGTAGAGAGTGACATAGACAGTCAGCACGTTTACATGCACAGTTAAGTCAGGCTCATGTACCAAAGCAATCATGAAAGCACATTAGCAAGAGACTAATGGGTTTACAGCTCTGTACCTGTCACACACATGATGTGACAGCTTCGTCTCATACCATGTCCAATCTTTTTCTGTGGGGGTTTCCTACAACGCATTTATGCTGTTAAACTTTCAGGTCAAAGCCTGACGTGCAAACTGTGGAGCATGTACAGACCACTCAGGCCAGTTTCAGTCCAGTGGAGCCTAAACATGCATGAAAAAAATCAATCCCCAAACTCACTGAGTATGTCAGTCCAACTGTAGGAGATACAACATGGTGTGATTTGAACTTCTGACCAACATGTTTACATGTTTTTTAAAAGCAGATTAAGTTAGACTAATGAATTCATCTTTTCATAAACATGTAAACACACTAAGTGACACTTAGCTAAGAGATTTCAAGAACCCTCTCTGTGTCTCTCCTGCAAAGCCAAAGAGTCTAAGCTTTTAGTAGCACGTTGTGTCCCTTGTAAAAGTTTCTAAACACTTTAGGCTTGAGGCTTTCCTCAGTTTTTTTTACAACAGTTAGGGAGGGCTGATAAGTTTTAGTTACCAACGCTTAAAAGTACAAGCAGACAGATAAAAGGCAGGAAATTTTATATTTTGCATGTATTTTCTCAGCAAATGATGAATGATTTGGTAGTCTTTGTCTTGACATACTAAAAAGATCTACAGCAAAGAGAGGCTTCAGAAATTTGTTGGTATAATTATGAGTACAGCATTTTTTTGTTGGTTAACATCATGATTAAAACTTTTTAAGATGTAAAAATCCTCTCCACCATACTGGAGCCAGCAAACTGGCTCATTGTCTTTGATCAAAGAAAGAGTCATTCAAGTTATTTACCTTGGTTATGAGCAGAGGTTCTCTGTGCTCCAGTCCCCCTCGGAGAGTAAATCCCCATGGTGCTCCTCCTGAAAGAAAAACTTCCACCAGGCTGTAACTCTCACCATCTCTGCTCCTCAGATCCAGATCTTCTGACTTTTGTTTCACATGCCAGAGTCTGTCTGCTTCTGTGTAGCGTTGATCAGTCTTATAACCTTCAGTATCCATTTTGGTTCTAGAAAAGTAGAGAGACAAAGACAGAAAGGTGTCAAATAATCATGCCCTGGAATTAAATTGAAGTTACTTTGCACCGCCTGATTTTGCCAATCTGATAGAGCTAATCTACGTTTCATAAAATACGGTGTGGCTTGAAGAGTGTTTCACTGTTTTTCACTAAACCCCACTTTCTGACCCAAACAGTCGGTGGTGTGAATTTATTTATTGAACTGATCACTCTTTTGGTAAAACCTTGAACACCTACACCTATAGGTACATTTTACAGATCTCATTTTATCTTTTTTTAAAACTTTAATAACAACCTTCCTTATGAACAACACATTTTGAACACATGTTGCACTTGTGTTGCAAAATCATGACCACAGGCATCAGGAGTTAAAAAGAATTACAGCGCAATTTACACACCATGACTCAAAACAGAAAACAGTTGTTGCTAAAGATGTGATGAACTAATATAAGCCAGTTACAAGAGCATGGATCAGCTGGAAGTTGATATTGAAGAGGGACGGAGGCAATCTAATAGGCAGAGTGTGTCAAAGGCAACGAACCATGGGTAGGACCAAGAACAGAGCAAGACTGTGTCTCTGCGTTTACCATTTTTGCAGCGCACCACGTGTAATCTATCTCACAATAAGAGATTCACGATACATTTTTCTGTAACTTTTCATAGACACACTGCTAATTCTAGAGACAAAAGAAACAGGCAAGTACTGCAAAGCTGTAAAGCAATAATGCAGATCTTGTTCCTGAGGAGAATATAGTTCAGGAGTCAATTTTAAGTAAGTTTGGATTGTCAACTTGTCTGCAAAAGTTTTTGGTCTTTCAATATTTCTTTTGTAATATTTAACTCTATTTGCAGTATCTGAATGATTTAGTGTAATGAACTTCACAACTTGCTTGTTTACTGTTGTCCCCCCCAAAAAAAAACAAACAAACAAAAAACAAACAAAAAAAAACTACAAGCCTGTCAATTAATTTGAATTCCCCCTGAAAATGGATTTCCACACAGTTTTCAAAACCAATAAGTGACAGCTATGGTAAACAGTTATAAGAATCCTATTTTAGCATTATTATGCTGTTAATGTCGGTGTATATTTTCACAGCAGAACATATTTTTCATAATTTGCGACACTCCCAGAATTGTCTGAAACAAATGTAACAGAACTATTTTCTCAGCAAACACTGTGCATCATTTCCTTTAACCTTGTTGGGCCAATATTACAGCTTATGACAGACTACTATGTGAATGTCAGTTTGTTTAAAGCATTAAATTAAACATCTTCACTATGAAACCCCGACATTACTATAAAAGTATGATAGTGTGACTTGTGTTTGAACACTTCAAACCATAGGGTTCTGTGAAAGCACAAACTTGTTCAGACAGTTTAATAGAGTAGGATTAACTTTGATGTCCTGCAGGGAAATTTGTCTAGGGCGTTGTGTAACATCAAAATGACGCCACAAAAACTGGAAAATGACATTTGGATTTGCATTCTGAAACTTAAGTGTTGTCAACCTCAACAAGTAATATGCTAAAGTCACAGCTGCTTGCGTCTTATCAGTTGAGTAAGAATTGGGCCCCTGATCAAATTTCATGACCAAAATGTTTTTCGGAAAAATTTGAGATACCAGTGGATTGACACTGCATCGAACGGTGTCCCCGAAAGGCAACTGGACAGATGAATTCTCAAAAAAAGATTCATGAAACAGAGAAACAGTCCAAACACACAAACATATTTCAGGGAACACAAACACAACATGCATACATTTCAGTAAACACAGAGTAAAAACACAAAAACATTTTATATTATCCAAAACTACTTCATTAAACGCATAAATATTTAAATAAATATGAATAAATATTTCTCTTTCATGGATTTTTAGCCTTGCTTGTTCCATTAAATATTTTTGTGTTATGTTACACATTTTTGCTTTCAGTGAAATACTTTGCATTTAATAAAATGTTCCTGTGTCTCATTATTATTTTGTTAAGTGGAATGTTTTTAATATGTTTTGTATCTGTCACTTTGTATTTATTTTCATAAATTTTCTGAGCTCCATTAACTGCTTATGTATTTGATGAATTTCTTTTGCAATTAGCAATTTTTCCCCCCATGACAGGTTGGTTATTTTCTGTAAAAAAATATTGCTGTCCATAAAATATATATCTTATGGTAAAAATGTACTTTCATTAGATGCTTTGAGTTTCATGAAACGTTTGTATTTGTGAATTTGCCTCAGCTTTCAGTTAAATGTTTTTTGGTGTTCATGAAATTTTTGTAAAGTTGACCTTCAGGGCCACCATACAAGCGACACCCAACACATGTAAATAAACTAAATAATGCACTTTTAAACTAATATGTAAATGGTATCTTATTTGTAAACGATCATAAAAATATCCTCACTGAAAAGACAGATAAGTGCTTTTTTAAAAATGTTTATAAATGTTAAAATTATCTACATCAAAATCACAATACTTTTATTTCCAAACCATAGATTTTCAAGTCATACTGTGGTGATGATTTTACCGTTTCCGCCTGAAATTATTGGATTAATTGTTCCTAATCTGAGTACACCTCCTGGATTGACAAGATGGTTATTTAGATTAGGAATAAATACTGACCGAGAGAGAAAAATACTAATTTAAATGTTGCCTGAACACCTGCTGCCATACTCGAGACATACTGACTTCAACCTCAATGCTCTTATGAGTAAGAGAATCAAACACACCAACAATGTAGAGGAGCACAATGGAAACCATCTCCGCCTGTAACAACGTATTAAGTTAGACAATGTTGCCCTTTTGAAGAGGTGCTCGACTCTTCGTGTCAAACAATCCTTTTAGTCATAAAATAATCCACTGGGCTCCGTGTGGTCCATTACTTTGTTAAAATATAACACCAAACCCAAGCACAGGGTTGACCTTACCTGGGAATTCAACTTCTTGATAAACCGGTGAACACGAAAGCTCCCTCGAGGTGGCACGCAGCTATATCCCAGGTTGTGGCAGCAGCACATACTTCATCTTTTGGATCGTTTTATCTTCACAGAAATAACTTCAGGATAGTTTCATGTTAGTTTCGCGAGGGGCTGCGGTGGGGAAAAAAGCTACGGGTTTCCTCTCGTTCACAGGCTGAAGCTCTTCAGTCGGTATCCTTCTTCATTATACAAACTGAGGACGACACACTGACACACTCACAAGAGTTTAAATTAGCTAAGCTAACCTAGCTCCATCCATGGAGGACAGGGATAACAAGTGTACACAAACACGGCACCAGCGTGCCACCTACCGTAGACTTGGTAGTAAGGCCAGACCTGGAACGGTTCTCAGCCGGGGGGATCAAACATATCCTAACCAAGGCTGCAACACTAATTTAGTTGCCTACCACGATCATATGCAAGAAAAATTCTGCAAAATCTATCATTTATTGCGATAAAGAAGGAATCAAATGCACTCTTACTCAGTATGTAGGCTACTGCCAAAATGCAAACATATTTTATGAAAACGTTTCTAATTGGGTTTCCTTTACTTTACTTTACTAAATATGTCTGTGTCTAAGGCATTTGGAAGGCATTTTGAAGGCATTTACAAAGTTCAAGTGTTTCTTTATCAACCTAAGTCGTCATCTTTTTTTCGATAAGCGTGCTCAGGTTTCCTTGACAACGCGTCAGTGTAGGCAGGGTAAAAATTGGACAAACTTAACCGATTCGCGGAAGTATTGAATAGTGAAACGTCACCAGCTGCCCCCCTTATTGTTTTCAGTTTGAAACTTTCCAAAAGTTGGTACATAGAGCTGAAAAGCAGGTCATTAGAGCATGTTAGAGAACTTCTTTTGAGTTTGCAGACGAAGCATTTAAATTATGTTCAAGAATTTCGGAAACTGGTTCGGAACTGACAACGAAAACGCAGAAGTTACAGAGAAAGACGAGTCTGCTGCTGAAGTCAAAGATGAAAATCAGGAGGTAAACAAACCGACTGCTGCTGCTGCCGCAGCGGCTTCTGAGAGTGAGCATGCTGGAAAGGAGGATGGTCAACCGGCCCAGATACTCCAAAGGGCTAAAGGTTTCAGTGGTAAATCTTAACACGTTATTTAAAATCTTTAATAGTTGTAAACTAGTTAAAGTTAAGGATAGTTTTGGATATTGATATGCTAACATTTGTTGCAGGTTACATCTATAATTTCGCCAGCAGTGCCTCAAAGAAACTCACAGAGTCCGTCGTTGAAACAGCACAAACCCTTAAGAAAAGTGTGGAGGAGGGGAAGATGAATGGTATTATTGATAAGGTCGTGAACAAATTATTACTCCCTCTATTTCCACTTTCTTATATTTGGCCCTTTTTACTGATTCGTCATCTTCTTTCTGCAGACCATTTTAGGGGATTTCCAGAAAGAACAAGAGAAATTTGTTCAGGAGAAACAGGCCAAAAAGTCTGGTAAGTACTTCAAAGTTTTACTTAAGAACTTCACGCTTGTTGGTGAGACAACAGAATCAAAATCTGTGTGGGGGACATGAAATGTAAAAGTACGAAAACATAAGAGGAAAAGAATTTTAAGAACTTCACTGAAATGAAAGAAAAATGAAAAACCAAAATAAAGAACTAAATCAAAAGTAATAATGGCATTTATCCTCAGGTTACAGCTCTTTAAGGAGTAGTCAGAGGTTTAAGTTTCTCATTTGAGAGCAGGAATCTTTCCTCTTGGCTTTAGGACTGAAGATGTGAAAACCATATTCTGAGATAATATTTTTGTAAAACAGGAGAATTTGTAAGTGAATGACTTGGTGATGTGTTTTGTGCCTCTAGGATGACTTATGGCCTCAAAATTGTGAGATATTCTTATGCAAAATGAATTGGCTCAGAATGAATACTTCTACTTTAAGGATTTGATCAAAGTAACCCTGCTTTGATTTTACTTTTATTGTTCATTGCCAAGATTTTGTTAAAAGAAAAACAAAAAACACCTATCAGTACTGTGTATTTTATTTTCATCCGAACACATTGAAAGACCCTCAACACATTATCACATCAGGCCTGGTTTGCGCTGATTTTTCCATTTCAAAGCAACAGATCTTTTTGGCTTATAGGAGAAACAAGTTGAGGAGTGCTCACTAATTTCTCTTAGAGGCTGTTTACAGCCGATGTTGACATTCATCCTCAGTGACAGGATCACATTTGGACAGCCTTAATTACAGGTGTGAATACACCTCACTGCATTCTGAGAATGTGATGAGATCCAATCACTCACTGATTTTTTCTATTTTTCACGATTTGACACATGATCTGTGTCCCCACGTGCTTTGGTTGACCCAACTGGCATATAGGACTCTTGAGCAATTCATCATTACGATAATACAAAGTGGCAAAGTGGATACAAATGTTTTGAGGCGCTGCTGGCCTGGTGGTCCAAACATGTAGCCTGCATACAGAGGCTCAGCCTCATGGAAGGAGCTCGGATTCAGTTTTAGATTGTGAATCTTTTCCTGCATGTTGTTCCTGCAGTATACTCTCAGTATAATCCACAGTATACAAAAGCCCCCACCCACCTCTAAAATGAAAAAAAAATAAATAAATAGAGATGTTCAATAATGTGGATTTGTGTGTTAATTACACAGATCATTTGTCTGGCTTCACTTTTATTAGAGACCCCAGCCTGCAATTTAGTTTAGTTTCAGGCATTACCATACACTAACGTTGTATCGCTCATCAGCAGTTCACTCCATGATCACCCCCTCATCTGTTTCTGCTTCTCCATGTATGAGTGCAGCTATCTCCCTCCTCCCCTTGCACCACAGTTTTTATGTAATTTTATGTTTTTTTAAATCTCGTGATAGTGAATGAGGCTCTGTGTGTATTTGCATCTGACTCATGAATAAGTGAAAACTTTAACTTGAGATCTGTCCACTCATGTTCTAACCACCTTTGACACATGATCATATAAGGTAGAGTAACTTGTATCAAGTTTTAAAGGATCTCCTGAAAATAAATTAGATTCTCTTTTGATGAATACCCAGAATGCATCACTTTGGGAAACAAAGGCTGCTCTGTTTTGTTGTTTGGCCAATCATATCACGAACCTCATCCCTGGTCTCTTTTTTTTAAACAATATTTTCTTATGAGCCTGGGTTGGGCGTAGTTTTTATACTATACTGCAGTAATTAAATTAAATCAAGTAAATCAATTTGCATCTCTTTTTCAGTTTGTTTGCATGATATTTAATGTACTGTAAGTTTATTTCATTGCAAATCAGTAACTGCAGGCTTATTGTTTCCAGGTGCTGCTGTGCCTCCCTGGGTTGGTTATAATGAAGAAGAAACTATACAGCAGCAGATTCTGTCTCTTTCAGCTGTGTGTATTCCTCCTCATAAAACGATTTCTTTGTGGTAGAAAAAAAAAAGAGAAATCCTGCAACAGTATTCTTTCTTTTTATCGCTTCATTTGTTGACAGGACAAAAGGAATTTTTTGCGAGATCCTCCTGCTGGTGTGCAATTTCACTTTGACTGTGAACAAATGTATCCCGTTGCCATGGTGATGTTGGAGGAAGATGAGCTCCTTCGGAAGATGCGCTTCCATCTGGTCCCCAAACAGTGAGTGTGTTTTGACACACACATAATACTTTATCTGGTCCCTTTTTGTCATGTGCATCCCTGCATAGGAGTTGGTTTATTATGAATAAAATATTTATTATTCTATTCTGAGCCAACTCTTCCTCTGTTTTGTTTATTTCAGGGTGAAGGAGGAGGTCTTCTGGAAGAATTACTTTTACCGCGTGTCCCTAATAAAACAGTCCGCTCAGCTCACAGCTCTCGCAGCACAACAGGCGGCAGAGCGGAGAGGCGTGGAGAAAACTGGCACCAGTCCTGAGGGGGTCCAACAAAAGGGTATGAGTGCTTCGTGGTGTACTAAAAAAGAATGAAATTATTTGAATTCACTGCATCTCACACTGAACTCCCTCAAAAATAACACTGCAAACAGAGGGGACGGGCTTTGCCAAATACTGCATGGTTGTATTTCTACTACAGTAAGAGTACCTGGAACATCTAACTTTAACTTTATTTTCCCCATGTACATTTGACTTGCAGCAAGGAAAAGTGAAAACACTTGCAAAACTATGGCAAATTAATTTGCTGACATGAAAAGCTACAGCTGTTGGAACATGCCATTTTCATGCATGACTAAAAATGATGAAACAAAAATACTCCCAGTTAAAGCTCCTGTAAGGAACTTTAGGTATGTATCGACTTAAGCCGATGGTGAAACAGACTTTGTTCATTTTTTTTCCTACATATTTAAGTCATGTCTCCTGACATGAACCTTATCCTGCTGATTTGTCAGATATTGCGATTATTTGATGTAGAAACGTTTAAAACAAGCAGCTAATATGCTCCCACCTAACCCCTTGTGCCAGCTACAGGCATGAAAAATTACACTTTTAAAAATTGGTAAATCTCATCACCTATGGTGTTGTCTGTTTTCTTATCCCATAAGAAGGCAATAAAATAATTTTCAGTCTATTTCATTAGTGTCTTAAATTCATCACAGGAGCTTTAATAAAAGTCAGAAAGGTTTTGGACTGCAGTGCACTGATAGCCTAGTGGGGTTAAGTGCCTATCTGATAAAGGCAAAAAAGCCCTAAAATGGAACTTAAAATTAAGTAAAGGTGTTTGGTAAAGAGATCAGCTAATGGGGCTGTGTTAATGTCCTGCCCTTTCTGCTTACCAAAACTTAAAAAACAAACCATATCTTACTTAATTAAACTTACAAATAAAACACAGAAGGGCCATCAGGTTCATATGGTCCACAGCAGAAAAGATTCTTGCACAGGATCAAAGCAGAGACTCGCAGTTATGGACGGTTCACCTGCTGTAAATTTTCATCATGTTTTCTCTAGCTGTTCCCTCTCAACTTTGCTAATCTGGTGCTGCCGGAGCTGCATTTGTCAACAAAGCTGGTGGTTGTGGTGTTATACCTAATTCTATAGCAATGTGCTGCTAATTTTTACTAAAAATGATCACTTCTACAATAATCAGCAGAGTAAGAACTTACCATAGCAACACAAAATGTGCTTATAAAAATGTTGTATTACTTTTGTTTCTATAGTTTGGCTATCACAAAGTTGCTGTAGCTCCATCTGTAGACACATAGCTTTGGAACTGGAGGGTCACCAGTTCAGTCTCAGTACAGACCAAATTACGTGAATGGGACTTGTTCTTGGAGAGGGGCTCTTAATCAAGGCATTTTGTGTGCAGTCTCCTCACTCTGTTATCTTTCCATTTTTACATGTCCATTGGATCATGTTTGTGTTATTTCTGTCCTATTAGTGTTTCATGTTTAGTGACTGATAGGGATTTAGAGATTAATAAAGCATTTCTCCTTTGTCCAAAAATGTTTTACACAGATGCTGTGAAACAGAAAACTCAAACCAGCAGCCGTAAGAACAAACCAAAGCAGAGCGAGGTGAGCAGCTGTTTTTTGTTTCTTTCTCAACAAAACACAACAAAGAAATAAAGAGGGATCACCATGAATGAGCGAGAGTCTGACCTCCTTCTGTTTCTGTTTTTTAAAGGATGAAGAGGAGATCTCCACCAGCCCGCCTGTGTCTGAATTTGTGAGCGATGCTTTTGACTCATGCAACATTAATGAGGACGACCTTCGTAAAGAAATGGAACAGCTGGTTCTCGACAAGAGGGAACATCCAGACACACAACAGGGTGAGTGTTTCTGTCGAGCTGGTTTGTGATATAATTTAAGAGGTTATCAGAGTTCAACGTGTGACTCTGTTCATGTTTTTTTTTTCAGAGGAGACTCCTGACTGGGAGCGAGAGCTGCAGGAGGAGCTGCAGGAGTATGACGTGCTGCCTGATAACGAGAAGCATGACGAGAACTGGGACAGGGAGATTGAGGAGATGCTAAAGGAGGACAGTTAGAGCGCTCACTCACACTCCAGCAGCTTTAATGTTTTAGGATCACCTTTAAGGTCAGAAACCTAGATGACTGACTCCTAGATTTAATACTCCCGGTGGCTTCTTTCCTCTCAGTATCACTCCCCTGAGATCTCTGCAGATGGAGGAATAACACTGAACCTCATCAACATTTCATTGTACTATTTCTGTGGCCTTGATAGTTCCTTTGGTTTTAGGCATAAATATTTAGCTTTGTCTCCTGAGTTCTGATAAAACAGAAATATCCTGCACACAGCCACTCAGAAAATTGAGTTTTTCTCAGATTATACTTCAGGAATGAAGTTTAGGCGATAACTTCTGATGAACAGTGACCATTTTTGCCACAGTTGATGATTTTAGGACAGTGGCTGATGCTAAAAACATGAACTTGAAGCAGAAAAGTACCAAAAGCAAAGCTCAGATTCAAAAAGAGTTAGGGTGCTGTGTAAACTGGAATAAATATGATAGCTTACCAGACATGTTTGGATAAATTTATTGACAACAGTTTAAAGAAATTATATTTTAAAACGTGATGTACCTGTTAATATACACTCACACAGTGTATTACATACCTGCTCGTTTGTTAGTGTTTACACAGCATCTGAACTATTTTTGACTTGAGGTCGTAGTTTAGAGCCTCAGGTTCAGCAATTTGACTCTAATGTCTGTTACGGACTTCAAGATTGCTTCCTTTTGCTAGTTATAGCACCATGAAGCTACTGTAATATCAGACCAAAATAAGACAATGGTGCATGTCATGTCTCCAAAGCATCATTCGTAAGTGTATAATAATTGTTCATTTGTAAGACAAAAAACCATCTCAACAGCTTAGAGATGCTCTCAGCAGCTCTGCTGCGGTTTCACAGATTGCAGGACTCCCTGTAGTTACCAGTTACTGGAGTTGCTCCCTCATCGTTGATGGTTAGGGTTAAGTAGCTTCTCAGGCTGATGTTACAGCTGAGCTGCTAACTGTCATTATTTCTCTTCTCTAAAGACCAGTCTGAGAGCGAGACATGAACATTTTTGCCACAGTCAAACAGGCAGAGGTGCGATAAGATGGATTACGTTGCTTGATTTTATATAACGTGATCAGCTCGTCCTTACAGTTGCTTTTGTTGTCATGAATCTCAAGCTTTTAACACAGCCAGGTAATTATTATCACGGAAGACAGTCAAAATCATTTAATCATTATTAATCTTTTGTGTCTTTTTGAGGTAATATGTTGTTTTAACTGAGAAAAACAAACATCATGATGTGCTGGTTGCCTTCCAGAGTTCTTTAATCAAGAGTCATAGGTTTGTTTTTGTCTGTTACACAGCATATAAAGACTGAGACCCTTAGCTACCTTCACTTCCCAGAAATAACTGCTTCACTTCTCAAATATGGAGATATAAATGTTCAGGTATACATCTTTGAAGCTGCAATTATGTAAATGGGGTTGACCAGTTTTATCTGAAGGAAGGAAAATGCAATGTCTTGTTTACAAAAGTTACAAAATGTTACATAAAAGATTCATTCTAGGAGATAAAAATTAAATCATGATTTCTGGCATATCCTCCTTGAAACTTCAAAGTGATTTAAGATGTACAGCCTGACTAACTAAATCAAAGGCTCATAATGATCCCTAAAATCAGAGTCTGCTGCAGGGAAATCATGTAATTTTTCAGCTATTCTATATTTCTATGATATTTTTAAATTTTTGAGCCAACTCCATTTTTCTTCGACAATATTATTATGGATGTGTTGGTTGTCAGAAAGATGTGATATTTCCATGAATGCTGCCTTATTGTTTGTTTATTAATGCACAGTCTGCTGTATGTACCTCAGTACATGGAGCCCTGTGTGTTTTATTGGACTGACAAAAACTAGTGACTGCACACAAACATTGACAAGCACAGATACTCTCTACTGTAGATTTTGACTCTGTGTACTCAGAGTAAACATGTCCGTCCAAACAAGCATATTTTCAGCCTGTTCAGGTAAACAGAACCAAAGTCCAGTGTCTTTTTTATTTTTACTGAGTGTGTTTACAGTCTTTAGTCAGTTTGGTCAATCCTGACATCAATATTTCTGTCGTGTCTCAAATTTATCCAAATGTTTTCATCAAAGGATGTGTATGGATGTTTTTTATATATATGTATAAAGATACAAATATTAAATAATTCCCTCTGCTCAGATCCCTGTATGTTTGTCTTTTATTGTTGTTGTTTCTTCAGTTGAAAATTATAGCTGACCTTCACAGGAGCTTCTCAAGTACATTTACCCAGAAAAATGCACATCCATAAAATGTCTGTCTGTACAGCAGCAGTGAGACAGTGAGATTTCTTCATACATATGACTCCATATCAGTTTCTCCTAAATCTGACTGTAGAAACATGTTTTCATGTTTTTCGACTTAAAGTGAAGGATTTCTACGTCTTTAACAAGCATACTTTTTTCAACACAGGCTCTACAGTAGGAAAGTATTGGGGACACCGTACACAGAGAAGAAATTGAGATTTCAACAATGTTATACCAAGGTGTACAATTAAAAAATGTCTAAATGCTTAATATTTCAGCACACCAGTATCCTCTTAACACAAGTACCAAGATTCTGAATAGACTGAACAGGACACTGAGAAAGAGTCAATGGGCGGCCTGTGCACGCTTCTGCAACTGCTGTTTGTCCTCAACGGATAAATGTGACTTCACAAGATGATCGACATTGTTCATTTAAGTGCAGGCAGCTGGCTGCTTCATTGATACCCTCCTTAATTTAGCCTGCATTGAGAGAACAAGTCCTCTGTCATAATACAAGTAAGAACTGTGACCTTACAACATTTTGGACACTAGGTTGGTATTTAAAGCTCCTGTGTGGAGCTTATGGTTTGGGCTGTGCAAAGGAGGTACATTTAATCTCTTTGCTGATTTTTTCCCACTCTCTCATATGTTATAATTATTGTTAACCAAAAAAGGGCAAAAACTCAGTCTCTTTTCCTGTCAAATGAATCACTCATATAGAATCTTTCAGGTGAAAAAGGAAAAAAAGGAAAAATATGTTTCTACAGCATGAAATTGATCCCATTTGACAACCTGGTAGCACTTTGAGACATTAAAATTAACAATATAGAAATAATGGATCTCTATGCTGGTAGCCTTGATTGGGGTTATAACGGTCATAATGAGGCATGAGTATTAAAATAAGTCTATTATCACCAGCATGAAAAAAAAAATCTCTGTTCAGTGAATAATGAGCCAAAAATAAGTCCCAGGACTCAAGCTTTCACTCTCTTTATTGCTGAACTTGACAGGAATACATCAAACCTAAATGCATCCTCTACATGTAAACACAAGTCCAGTAACGTGAAACTCAGGCTCCACACCTGCCTCAGCTACCACACTGATATGTACACATCAACATACTGCAGGGACAGCCATCCATTTATCAGTCACATTTCTGAGATACAGCATAAAATACAGATTCAATTCAACATGAGAATTTAAAGTACTGGAAATGAAACAACAAAAACGGTTGAAGCATTTCATCGCTTGAACAGGAGCTGCAAAAATGCTAAGGAGAAATACATGACGTTTTGGTCATTAATAGTGTGCAGTGCAACAAAATATACAAAAGAAGCTATAATTGATATTTTTACAGTTTGGTGTCCCAGGCGATGTTATTTTTCACTCTCAGAAAGTGGTTTAAAACTGCCCTCTTAAAAAAATCTCAATGGTTAGCTACGGTTTGTGACATTATTGTTGTTTCATGCATGGTCCCTTTAGCACTAATATGCTTTTAGAGTCACAGTAGTATATTTTATGGTAGTTAACATGCCATACTTTGTGTTAAATGTGGATTTATACAGTGTGGGATGATTAGGCAGCAGATCCAGCAGAGTTGGCTCAGTCTGAAATACTCAGGATTGACTAAAGTTTACTACTGAAAACAAAGAAAGGATGATTTATGCTATACAGTGTAATGCTTCTTCATGTGCTCCTCTCTCTTTGGGTACCCCAGGGATCTATCCTGAGTCCCCTCTTAATCACCGTTTACATGCTTCTCCTCGGGCAAACCGAAAGAAGGCAAAGTATATATTTTCACTGCTTTGTAGAGAACACACCGCTCCGTCTGTGTATGGGGTGAGATGCTGCATCTAACGGTTGTAGATACACATCATATGTATCAATATGATAAATGTACAACCTTACAGGGACATTTTGACTGGTGATAGAAGTGATTCTGGCCTGTAAACTGAGAGGATGTCCATAACATGATTTATAATATGCTGCCATGTCATCAGCAGTTGTTTCCTCTCAGACTGCAGTGGTGTTTTACAGCGTAAGTGACAGTAAGTGTATATCGAATTAACTGTGGACATGATCATCACAATGCAACACTGAAGAGATGTGATTGAAATCTTTGGTTCAGCTAATGTAATACTTTTGACTTCCCTTTACAGTATTTCCTATTTTACAAGTTTAACTAGCACATGTTAAATTCTGTTAAATAAAGTTTCATAAATAGGTTATACTTCACAGAATAAAGTGGTCAATTTAAAATCAAGCTGGTCGCTCAATACAGCATTGTGATGTGGTCTTAAAACTCTGTAAATAAAAATATGTCATGATGTTGAATTTGTTCATTTGTTAGAGTAAACATCAACAGGCTGAACAGACAGATAACTGAGGAGGGAATGCCCAAACAATGCTACATCATTCTAGTCAGAGAAAAAGAAGTAGTGCATGTGTGTGTGTGCATGTGTGTGTGTGTTTATGTGTGTGTGAGTGCTCAGAGGTGAAGTGGAGCTCCTTCAGGGAAAATACAGCAGAGTATCCGGGTGGCAGATGGAGGAGTGAGTGATGGGTGGATGAAGAGGAGAAGAGCGGCGTTTATGTGAGTCCAATTTCCTCCAGCACGCTGCGTGGGGTCTCTGCTTCCTGCGGAGGGAGACATGAACCACAGCTACAGAGGGCCGAGTTACACAACACACACACACACTGACTATAGTAGGTTCACACAGCAACAACAGTGTTACTGAAATAAAAACTGACACAGACACACAGTGAGGCAACATCTTTGATGGCGTAATGTCTGAGAGTAACAGTGACAGCTCTGTGCAAACAGCCTCAGAACTGAACCTCCAAGCTCTTATTACCGTATTAACTGGAATATGAGACCACCCTTTGTTGAGGACAAACTTTGGGAAAGACTGCTTTTATGTAGAAATCAATCATAATCACAAAAAATAACATAACATGCAAATGAATAAAAGGAGTTGATGTTTTCAAGCATGATGTTTAAATGAAGCGCTCAAGTATTGGTACACAGAAAGAGCAAAGAACTATTCATACAAGAATCGGCTAAACAGGGTGAATCCATTTTGAGCAGCTCTATCCTTCCTTACCCAAACTGTAGACTAACCGTGACGCTCGTCTTAACACTGCTCTGGCCTCTCACTAGAGCATTACAGATCAATATTGCACATGCAGCCTTTGATTGGTAAAGAGACAAAAACAAAGATGGAAGCCTCCGTCTATCATAGTTGGCAAACAACAAAAATAACAATATTTACTAAAATTTATGCACAAATCATCACAGATTAACTTTGTGTTTTCAGGGATTTTCAGTCCCTGAAAACACAAAGTGACCTTTTCCGGCGGATTCAAAAGCTCCTAGATGTTGCAAAAACAGAGTTTATTTGCTGAAAACTAGTTTTTTGTTTTGCAGATGTATTTTGAGGACAAAAGCTCGTCTTATATTTACATTCATACCTGTGACCCGTTCTTAGAAATCAATTTACTCATTTGCGCTCACTACAGTGGAGAGATATTTAACAGCTGTATCTTTTTAACCCATTTTCAGTCTGGGTACAACAGTTTGAATGAAAACATTTTTGAAGTATATATATAAATATATATATATACAACATATTGATGCTTCTTTGCAATGTATTGCTATGATTGTTCATGCGTAACTGTGATCAAATGCTGATCAGAGGAACAGCATGACTTATAGCAGGAACATTGCAACACATATGTGGTTTTGCACATACACACAAAAAACAGGGTCATCAGTTTATTAGTGTGTAATGATGTGCAGCTGGATTCATGCTAAAATAAGCTTAAAGCATGCTGTTTTTCATGCAGACACTCAAAGGTACAAGCTGTGAAAAGGACTTAAAGTTTTAGTTTCATTCCACCTCCAAATACTGTGTTAATAAAGGCAGATTTAAAGTTGCAATTCTTTGTTCAATCTGTCTCAGTAAATATCTTAAATGTTAACGTGCATACACAAAAACACAGCAAATTAATATATAGATGACCAGAAATTCACAACACTTTTCATGGCAAACAGTTTGCAGGAAAAGCTCAGGATTGAACAAAAACTTAAATGATGGCTTCATCTTTTCAGTGTGTGTCAGCATCCAAAGCTTCACAGTACAGGTTTTAACGTAGAGCAGCCATCATTAATGTCTTTGCAAAAACAAAACGTTCTGTGAAGAGTTTATTTCCACATTTTTTTTAAAAGGTATAACTCTTGTTTTATGGTGCACCCAACACAACGTGTCACAAATCATAAAAACAACACAGACACTATAAAGCAGAAGAGCAGCTGTGAGGCAGAAAGAAAGAGAAGCACTTACTTTGGCATCCTAAAACAAGGTTCAGCACAAAGTAAAGAGAGGAGTCGCATCAGAGCAGCAGACAGAAAAACAACCTGCTTCTGCACAGTGACACTTCTGCAGTCTCACTTTGTTTTCAGAGCAAACTCAACTTTAAACCACTCACCAATTATAGATTTTAACTCTCAGGGTGGTTTCTGTTGGAATTACTTATTATTATGTGAGCTAAACAAACCGAGCTCAGCAGCTCTCAGAGGAGAGGCTGTCAAGTTTGATTGCCAAGTTTGTCAAATAAAAAAAACTAAAAAAAAAAAAAAACTAAATACACATGGAGAACTCATCATAAACAGGGGAAACAAGCTGCAGGAAAGAAAGACACCTGTGAGCATGATTGGCAAAAAAATCATGAACAATTTATTCATTAAAATCTATTAAATACAATAATAAAATATCTGTATCACAACAGTCTGTCTTTTCAATAGGAAATAGATTAGAGATCATAAGAAACTTTTAAGAAATTTTCAGTCTGTGCATAACTATGACTTTTTCAGATTTTAATCATAACAACAACTTCAGAACCCAAATAAAGATCAGCAGGTACCATTAAAACACATGCAGTATTAAGAGAAACCTTAACTGAAATATGACTGATACCTCCCCAGTGAGGAAAGGATAGTTAACATGTGATTTCTATTGCAGTCACCCTCTCTTGTGGCTAGTATTTAGTCACAAAAACAACACTAACAAGCAGACCGTAAAATATAAAAAAATACTGGTTGCATGAGAATTTCTAGGACAAAATAAAAACTGAAGAGTATTGAAGACAAACCTGAGGTCTGCGTTCAACTAGCAGAAAAATCTAGGTATCCATAAAGTGTGTTATGTGACGTGCTTTGAGAGTGTTGACGTAAAAAAAACTAGTGCCTTGAGGTTATGACAAACATTTTCTTGTGACGTCATGCTCAGGGTGTGAAGTTTGAACACAGTTAAGTCTGAGTGAAAAACAATAGACAGAAGAGAAACCTGTCATTGTGTTTCAAGCAAATCCACAAATAAACTGTTCATTTTGCCAGGGTCCCCAAAAGGATTTCAAAAGGATGCTAGAACTGAATTGAGAATTTTATCACCTTTGCTTAAGGCCAGCAGCATCTATCCTGTCACTGCAATTATGAATGCTAATGTGAAGACCACATGAGCTGTAGCATCACTGTTTGGACTACTGGAGAGGTCAGCAAACTGAATAATCTACATACTTGTGCAAACATTGAAAATTAACCCACCTAACTGTTTCACTGGTGAAAAAATAACTTTAAAATACAACAGGAGAGCTTTGAAAGAGAGCTACACCGTGAACTCTATATTAGAAGCTGATGGACATCCACAGTTTACTACCTATCTAGCTGATCACATAAATGATCAATAATGTTAGAGTAGACCTGAAATGCAGGTCCTACTGTGCAGACACTTGTCACTAGTCTCCATAACTATATCTTCTGGCTGCTTCCACAAGGCTCTAATGCTCACAGATGTAAACAAGCACAGATGATATCTCATGATGCAGCATATTTTGTCAGTATTTTGATTTAGCAAATGGACATTATGATATAAAATAGTATAAAACCACTTATCTGCATTAATGTGTAACCAGTACAGATTAGATTAGATCATGCTAGCTCTGCTAAGGTGAACACAGACCAGTTTGATATTGTTCACCTGCAGACTCTGTAATCCTGTGTTTAGTTATGTTCGTAAATTGTGCTCTATTTTGAGAGTTTTCTGAGTGTTTCCTATCTTTCAACAAGTCTGACGGACAGACTACACATTTTGACAACTGTTTGCTTATGAACATAAATATTAGTAAGGAATGTGAAAGTTATCTGTGTACTGCTGGCAGCTCATAATCAATCAAATATATTTTATATCTTTAAAATGTCCGATTTGTTACTCTTTGTTGTCTTTGCAGTGTCTTATCAACTAGTAAAACAGTAAAAAATGTTCAGATTTTCGGCATTCATATGACTTACAGTCTGGACCAAAGCAGTTTGAGGGAGTAACCCTTAAACATTCCACCTTGAGCATGACATCTAACAAAGAAAAAATAGCCTCTGTGTAGGAGTATGAGCTGTACATAAACACAGACACATTTGTGAACACACAGGCAGCAGACTTTCTTTCACGACCTCAGACTCATGAATAAACAGAAAAGAAGTAAAGACCTCATTGTCATGTCTAGATGATAACCTAGAAAACTTTCATTTAATCATATTGAGCCCAAAGACTCTGATTGCTATAAATGTAGCCTGATCAATAATCTGTCCTTAAATCTATCCATATGTGGAGGTTCAGGAACCAAACGTGGTTAGGCTCAGGTAGGATCTCTGCTTGGGTTACATGTAGAAGCCAAAGTTAGCTTTGGTTTTTGAGCATTTCTTGAACCCCTTGATGCAAATTTGTGGTTTAAACATATTGATAGGTCATGAGGGTGGAAAAAAAGCACAGGTGTTGAAATGGTGCAATGGATCAAACCATTAGAGGGCAGATGACAGCAGCAGTCACAACATATCACTATAAATGTATGTTGGAAATACAATTAAGACACAATCTGGGGAGTAACTTCTGTACAAGATGATGTAACTTTCAGTAACAGAGCACTGATCTCTCTTTTCTCTGTTTCCGATAAGTTCCTTATCCAGACTATATTTTTTAGGGTTTTCATATTACTATCAAAACTGTGATAATATCAAACCGTAACTGACATGTGCCAAACTGAAAGAAAGCTCAGAGCATTTTCACATCCTCAGGACAATGACAATGATAGGTGTTGAGAGTGCAGAGAGAAAGGTGCCAGGCACTGAGGGACTCAGCATGCAGGGTGTAGAGCAGCAGCAGCGGCAGCAGGAGCAGCAGCAGCAGCAGTGATGGAGGTCATTCAGTACACAGGCACATTAAAGTACTCATGACGGGGCTGAGGGAGAGAAACACACAGCTTAGAAAACAACACAACATCCAGTCAGAACAACTGCCTCGTACACAGACTTCATTCACAGGACATGCAGGAGACAGTGCAGCACGCTGGAGGATCCCTTAGGACACATGACACCCACTAGTAAGCTGACTGTGTGTAGTAAAGGGACAGTTCCACTTTTAAAGTTTCAACACACTCCCGGACACACTTTTGAACTGTTGTTGTTCGACTTATTCTTCCCTTTTATTAAGCTAATCCACCTGTCTCCTTTTATCGCTTCTTGTTAAGTTTACAGAGAACACACTGGACCAGTCTGCTTATTTAATTGGGTGCAGAACAGCTATTAGAATCTTTTTTTTTTTTTTTTTTTAGATATAAATCACAGTTTATTCCTGTAAACTGTCTGTTCACATGATAATTGGACTTTTATTCCTAAGTAATCCCAATTTAAATAAATACAATACTGCTTCTCAGGACTTTGAAGGTGGGGTTCTGGTTAAACTGAGTGATTAAAGAGCATGCTCCAAATACAGAGGCCAAAGTTCTCAACACAGGAGCTTCAGGTTTGACTCCTTTCTTCTACCTTTAATTGTTATCAGTGACCAGCTTTTCTAGTTCAAAACACGGCCCAAAAAATCCCCCAAACTTGTTTTATAACCTAAACCAGTAAGATTGTCTTTACCTTGTGTAAAATTTGAAAGCTGGTGTTGCTGTATAAAGTCTTTCCTTCTTTTTAAAACCAAACCCACCTCAGCAGATGGCTGTCCACAAGTGAGTCTGATTCTGTTCAAGTTGTTTACCTAAAAAGAAGATTTCCCTTCTACTGCTACTTTAAGAATACAACACTCATGAGGGACTGATGTTGAGATTTTGTAAAAAATATGACACAGTGAAATCTAGCTCTGTTTTTTGTTCCTCCTGAGATCACATTTCTTTTTAAGCGGCACTAACTGATTGGCTGATAACTTAAATGAATTTAGAAAATGCTCCTTGCAGCTTTACACACCAGAACTTCCTGTGGTGGTGATGTCGCTGCTGCAATTTCTCGGATATGTCTTTTTTATTTATTTATTTTTTTTAGTCTGTACAGGTTGTGAATGTGGCTTTGTATGGCACAGTGGTCAAGGACAAAGTCCTCCAAGGGTACCATAAGGGTTTAACCTTACCTCTCCCTATCCTTAAAAAAAGAAAAAAACTGAAAAGTGTAATTTTCTTCTCGAATAGTGAAACTATTGATGATTAGAATCAGATAATACCTGCATTTGTTATATTTTGATGAGTGCACTGTGTTCTTTTGTGCACATTTCATAGAAAACAGTTAAAGGTTCTGTCACCCAAACAGCAGAAACGTGATTTACTAAACATTAAACAGTGTGAATAAAATGTTACACAAAGATAAAAATGAACACAAACAGTGACACACTGTTTTCAGGACAAACATGTGAGGTCAGCTGTGGAGAGAGTAACTACTGATACAAGCCCATGAGGGTGGTCTAGACCAATGGGAGCTAAGCCACAGACAGACTGATACAGACAACTGGGGGACAAGTTCTGACCAGGGGGCTCTACCAATAAATCCACAGACACAGAGAGATCACCTCAGCTGGTCTAAGTCTGGAAAAGACCAGAGGACTCAGAGACCATATTGGGGACCATCACACCTGTGAGGTAAACATTTCAAAAGTGAACAAACAAAACAAAACAATAGAAAAATCAAACCCCACTGGAGTTGAAGGGTCTCTACAGAGTCTAACTATGGTATCTACACTACAGTACGTGCTCAGGAGAACAACATAACAATCAGTGTGCTCTATAATGAGGACATCTGTGTTCTGTGTATCTCTGATGGCTCACAAAGCTGAGCTGAGCATAAAATTATCTGAGCTATTGGTGTTACGAGAAAGATCAGCTTACTGGCCCCACAGTAATGTCCGGCTTCTGAAAAATGTTTCATTAAAGGCTTATTAAAATAACTGCAGCTAAATCCCCTGTGGTATGTTTTCTGTATAATCACTGCTCAGTGTGCTTACTAATGCCTTAATACCAGAGGCACTCACTTTGTATGTGCCCCAAACTCTAGCCAAGCAGCAACTCTAACTTCCGTCTTTCTATAAAGAACAGTCTTTTCTTCATCGCAATGGTCTGCGAACAAGAAATAACTGACCATGGCTATGAAATGTTGCTGTGTTTGATTTTAATTTCCCTAAAGGGAACCTTCTCAAAAGGATTAATAGAGTTCTATCTAATCTAACCTATGGAATGGCCAACCACAGGGCTGTGAAATCAGTAAAGGATCATGTTGGGTGAGTGGGCCACCTTTAATTTGGTCATTATTTTTGTAGCAGCTTGTAGTTAAAGAGTCTTTGGGGCCTATTTCCACTATAGGTGTTTTTAAAGTGGTCGCAGGGCCTTTTTTCTATACACATCCAATGTTGTTCTTCATTGTCAGAGCCTAGCATTTGAATTTGACAATGCCATTTCTCCATCAATGACCAGTCGAAATCAAAAACGCAGCAGGACTTCTGACAGCTCCTTTGTTAAAACCAGTAGTGCTTTCTATATGGAGTGAAAAAGGGGACCACACTTGTCTTTTGAGGGTACAATTTCCATGTCTGAAGCCACAGCCAATGCAATGACAAGATTTCTATTAAATAGGTATGTTAGTATGACAGAATACTTTCGTCAAAAAACATGTTTACAGGGTTAACATATTTACAAGTCCAGCTCTAATCACACTGAAAAAATCATTTACATTATATGAGCCATAATGGCACAGGTGAGAACTCAAGATCACGGAGGGTGCTGCCAATTAAAAAGAAAAGCTGTCAATGGACACAGGCCCGTTACCTCTCTTGTCTTTTTCCCATTTTCCACTGGAATTAGAAACTGACATCAAATACTCAAAATACAGTTTATCCTCAAGAGACTGTGATTGATGCTGTACCCATAGCAAAAGTTTGTTCTTGACAGCAGTGGTCTGCTATTGAGTAACAACAGACTGTAATGACTAATCAGAATGATGCACTTAACACAGTAATAATGTGGAGCTAGAAGCAAGAGTTACTGTCTGTTTGAAGTCACAACATTTTCAAACTTGAGCTATGCATTATGGGAGCAGAGGAACAAGCTGACTGGACATATTTACACAGCACTGGTTTTGGTTTTTTCAAGGGGTTGAAATAAACAGGTTTTCCTTTGGTTAGAGAATTGGACATGATTTAAACCCATTCAATGCTAACTCATGCCTGTTACAACCTTTATAAATTGCAATAAATGTATGTATCAAAGAAATACTGTGAGAAGAACATGCAGAAAAAAGTCCACAGCACACAGAAACCCAAACTCATGCTGACTGTAGTTACCAGTCACCTGGATGGACACATAGATGAATGGAGTCTACAGCCTTTATAAGAGCTCCTCATTTGGCAAACTCCCCCAGTCTTCACTCTGAGTAGAGAATTGAGCCAATCAGAGATCTTTCTCTCTCGGGGTAAATGTGGATTGCCACTTCTGAGGTTTTGACCCAATTTCTGTCTGAGTGGGAATACCAACTATTAGGTTAAAAACAGCTCCTTCACTCACTTCAGTGTGACAGCCCACACTGAACACTTACCATTAGATGACAGTACATTTTACTCTCAGGAGTATGGGTACCTAATGGTCCTGCTGGCCTATAAATGAGCAGCTTCATACTGTAGGTACGTTATCGGTCAGTGTTGGCTCATTTCACACTCTTTGTACCAGGGAACATGCTTGGAAATATTTAAGTATTTGGCCTTTCTCTCCATCGGTTTTCTTCTGTTTGATCTGTTTAGCAGCATTAAAGCTACTCATCTGCAGTGTTTCCAAATAAACTTTACCATGTCCATGTTTTTAGAGCCCTTATAAGAAGTCTGTTGTGATGTTCCTGGTCAAAACATTATCAGTGTTAGCATTCTCTTAAGCTGACATCTCTTTTCTTCTCTGGATGTTAATGGTTTGTCAGCAGTGGCCTGATTTGCTCCCCAGAACTCATTAGCAGTAGGCTTTTGGCTCAATAACTGACTAAATGTTGAAAAAACAAATACAGCAAACCCATTCACCTGCTGACAGTGACGAGGTCTGCACTCGACTACTGTCTGATGCCAAAAATTAAAGCTGTGCATTGCTGCCTCTTTCTGGCATATTAAAGGAAAAAATGCTGTATGAAAGAGTCTTCTCTAACTTCTTTAACTTAACTCATGTAGTCTCTCAAAATAGCGGCTCAATAATAAAGCTTCTTTCCTGTAACAGACTATAATAACTCAGTGAAGGGGAAACCTGGATTGTTAAAGCCTGGCCCTGTTTTGACACATTTTTGAGTCTAAACAGGTTTTAGGAACAAATGTTTTGAAATGGCTTCAGTTAGTAGTCGCAAGACAGGAAGTGAAGTGTGTGACTACATAATCTGATCTGACAGATCTGCAGTGAGACCTTTTTTGAAGTAAGTTCATAATTTTAAAACCACAGATGGCAGGCTGACATATTTTTATCCTCAAAGCCTCTGAAAAAAAGAAAAAAAAACTGGCAGAATTCACGAGAAAGGGTCAATTGATATTGGTTTTTCAGGGCCAAAACTAATAATAAGTGATTCATGAGACCAGTAACTGATATTATGCACTGCTGTCGGACGCTGTATCAATCTGAGCCCAGTAGTGGCAAAAATAAGAGTTTTTAGAGGACCTACGTTGGCAGGAATATAAATGTCAAATGCCTGAATCAGGGCTGTTTGGTGAGGACCTCAGCAGGATCAATTGAAAAGCTTTTTGTATGTTGCATATATAAATACCTAAAAACGTAAAAACAGGTTTCTGCATTGACAGACTTTTTTCTTTTTCCTGTAACTACAAAGTGAAGATCTCTGATCAATTTCAGCTCTTGGTTTTGTTCTATGATATGAGTTGACTGAAAAGGCAGAGAGCTTCTTGTTGGCTGAAACAGGTGCTGGATAGATAACAGTGACACAGTGTTATACCACGGTAAATTACTGTAATCATGTTCTCTGTAAATGAAATGGTAATGCAGGCTGGGCTTGTGTGCGGTCTCAGCGGTGCAGACAATGAGTCTTTGTTTCTGAGCTGAAACCTGAGCTCCAGTTTCTGCAACCATCGAACCAGTCAGTGTTACAGTTCAGTGATATTTGTAACAAAATATGGGCTCTTTACTCGATATCTCAGCAGATGTAAATGAATAATGCATACTTCTTTTTCTTTTATGAACTGTGTTCATGTAGATGAGCTGCTGAAGTCTTATGGATTGCTAACATCAGAGGGTGGATATGACACAGAAAACAGATCGGGAACTTCAACATCCCCTATGTTTTCCTGACACTGGAAATATTGCTGTTACTGGTGTGTTGTTTAAACTGGCTCTACAGGGTTGTTTGGGAATCTACTGTACATCTACAGATCTAAAACTACAGAAAGTGTTAGTTTCCTTTGTTTGTATAAACTGTACCTGAGAACAGGCGCATCTGAAAGTCTATATTCTATAAATCAAAATAACAAAGAATAAAAAGGCAATAAGAGAAAGGAGTCAGCAGGGATCAAGATCAAGCAAATTAAAAAGACAACAAAGCATTGTACAGGGAGAAATCATAAGACATCCAAAACCTTGTAAAGCATTTGTGGACAAAGACTTACATAAATTACTGCAGTAAAATCATGCAGCAAAAAAAAGGAAAAAATTATATCTGCGGGAAAGAAGCCAGTGAGAGAGGATGAAGAAAGGAATCCTATCAGTGTGCAGAAACGGTGGATGATGGAGTCCACCCCTCCTGTACTGAGTCCTGTACTATAAGTGTCTTCACACAAATTTTACAAATGAAAAAGTCAGTTATACTGTCTTATCCAAATGATGCCAAATTCACTGCCAATGGCTCTCCTTTTCCAGGTGAATCTGAGATGTATTAACTTTATGTTTACTGTTTAATCTAGACTAGAGCATTACATTAACATATCATTATTCCGATCACTGTGTGTGTTGCAAAAAGCTGATGCAATTTCTCTGTGCAAAAACCAATCTTACAAAAATTTTAATTCACAAAAAAGTACATGGTGCATATTTAATGTTATTTAAACATTCATAAGTATATTGCTGACATTCCTTGGATTTTTATTTAATACTTAATCTCAACTGCTCCTTGTAGAGGTTAATAAAGACCATAAATCTAATCTCATTTATGAATAAGTCTGTGTGGTTATTTTCATTGTCAGTGAATCTGTTAATTGTTTCTTTGATTTATTATTAGGCTTTAGTAAAGAATTCAAATGTGTCCAGAGTCCATGATGAGGTCCTGAGGGGAAGACTTGATCTCAATGATTACTGTCAAGAGCACTAAAAATATTCACCTTTAAAAAACTGTAAACTAGATTTTTTTTAGTAAACAATATTCATAGGTTTTAACAAAATATTTCCCATCCAATTGATAACTAATGAATAAAAAACTGATAACTGTGAGCTTTTGCTGAAGAACAAAATATCTGTCTGATTATTTTTACATTATCAAAGATTAAACTCTGATAAATTCCGTGTAATGTAAGCAGACTCATCCAGTCAAAAGTGTCAACCTGCACTTGCTGTTGCACCACATCCCTTAGGACTAAAGTCTTCAGGCGTCTAACTAAAATTCACAGATCAGAGTTTTGTAGCTGTTTTTCCTTCGCAAATAAGTAAAATGACTGACTAACTTTAAAAAAATGACATACATCTGTAACTGCACTGCCAAATGAAAAGCACTTCTGCTTTTTGCGTGTTTTTAAGTTAATAAGTGACAAAGCAGTTATGCAACATTTGTTGAAACATTTGCCTCTTTCTACCTTGATGACTGTTATTGGAAAAAAAGAAAATCCCATTTGCAAACATCAGCTCTAACAGCCACACACAGAAGAAGTGAAAACTGCTGGTGACTGCAGGGACTTGTTGCTGATTAAAGCAAACACGTAGCACTCAGACTTTCAAGTGATCACAGCAGCAGTGATGAAGACAGGAGAAGGCATCATCATGCAAAGTGAGCCCCTGAGCAGGTATTTCAAAGGAAGATCTCCACAGTCTCACTACTGTCGTCTTGGTGCATACATAGTCACCAACATAGTCACTTTTACTCACGTACTCAGACATATGAAAAGGGCAAACTGTGCCTTATGGGAACATCTGGGCTTAAATCATTAGCACGGTAGCTGATGCAAACTGGAAACCTAAGTGGGGAAAAGTCATGTATGCAAGTCATGGAGCAATCCTTTTTTGTGATTTCATCCCTCTGACTCTGATCCCCTTCTCCCCCTCTCCCTGTTCCAGCTGACTTTGATCTGAAATTTCACAAATGTTGACAGGGTTGCAGTGGAGAGTGAGGATGGATTACTAATGATGCAGGAGCAGGGGAGAAAAAGTCATTAGTATGAACCCAGTATTGTCCCCACATTGATTCATCCAAAGCCTTACCTCCTGCAGTAAGTCAGCCTGCTCGATGGCCTTTAAGACATTCTTTTTGGACGTTTCCTGAGCTTCACCGCCCAGCAAGAACTCATCCAGGATGAAATACGCCTTCTCAAAGTTGAAAATAATGTCCAGCTCACACACCTGTTGTACAGAAATCAAAGAAGACACTTAGACAAGGCCAAACTCACACGCACAACCACCACAGCTTCCAGAATAATCTGCCTCTCCACACCAAATCTAACAGATCCCAACAATAGGGCCATTGCATGCATCACAACCACAGGACAGAACAGGACATTACACATCCATTAAACACCCACTTTGCCCTGCTCCGCTCAGGGCGAAGATACAGACCACAGAGGTGTAGAAGGGCTCGCCTTGGGAAGAGCCTGGTACCTGCTGCCATAGCTGCCCTCAACAAAAGGACTCACTAGAAGGGTCACAGTGTGGACTCATTCAAGGTTTAATGCTGTTGTAAAAATGTGTGTTTCACTGTGTGAACTGTTCTGTGTGGAAAGAATTTCCCCATGGGGACAATAAAGTCAAAGTCAAGTCAAGTTAAAGGGATATTGCTGGCTGAGAAATGAGCGCAGATGAGCATTTTTAACTTTACGTATTTGCAGGGGAAACTCACACAAACAAACACGAGATTTTACATTAAGTCAAACGCAATTGTCTATCTCATGAAGAGTGAGGAGACAGCACGAAGGTAAGGAAAGGGAAGTTGAAAAAAGGTTATGCTCATCTGTGCTCATTTCCTGGCCCGGCACTCGATGATAATAGTTATAAACTGACAGACAAGAAACACAAGAACTCTGATTGCATTTCCATAAAGTAACAATCATAAATGTTCTTCCTTGAGCTGCAAAACTCTGCTGCTCTTAGTGATCGCCTCGTCAGGGCTCCCCTACAAACAAGCAACTGCTGGAGGAGAGTAGGTAGGTTTAGTCTCTTTGCAAAAGAAATCAGGCAAAGCTAAAAAGATGTTTGATGGCTAGTACTAATGCTGGGACCCTATATGTACTGTTGATGAAGTTAGGTGCTATTCTGAGCATTATTTCTGGCTATAGAGTGGCTTTCTGGCTGAGGTTTGCGCGTTAAGCCATAGACCACTATGTATTGTTATTATGCGGTCATTACTCAAGTTGGTATAACTGGAGAAGCAAGTAGTCTACAACATTCATCTCTTGGAGGGGTGTCCAACTCTCTGTTACAGTGTGTTTAACCCTAAGTTCATTTTAAGCAGGAATATCCCTTTAACCCGGGCACAGATACACAAAATGAAGATGGAAAGAGTGCAGAAACTCACACTGCCAAAGTATTTGTCAAGCAGCTCCACATATCTGTGGATGATCTCCAGCGTGATGAGCTCGTTGTCCTGGTCCTCTATGGCGCAGCAGAAATACAAACTGGCATATCTGCAGCATGGTGACAAGAGAGGCTAGTTTTACTTTACATCAGCGTAACGACAACACAAACAAAGTGACAATGCAACTTCTGCCCTACAAAGTAAACAGAAGAAGAGCTGACTTTTTGCATTTGAACAATTAGAGAGGATGTCAGGGTGATATACAGTGTCTCCCAGCTCACTGCAGGAGTGCTGAGAAAGCACTTCTGTTATAATTAAAGATGGCTGTTTTCTGTGCACAGGGTATTCATTGAAAAGCCTGAAACAGGATGCAGGAGCCTATATGAGCTAAGCCCCATTCTGCCATGCTTCCTTATCCCTGGTAATCCCTGAGGCACTCTATAAGCATGTGATGATTGGCTAATAAAGCAGCAGGTCAGTTGATCCCCAACAACCAGCAGGGCAGGAGGGCAACGTGGAGACGGCTGAAATTTTGTAGAATGAAGCCCACTGAGACTGTTCTCTATCTCTTTCATTATCGAGCTGTTTAATGGTTCTCTGCATCTTCATTTGCTGAGTGAATGCAAGCACAGCCAAGCTCCCCAGAAACACCAAAGCCTCAGCTCAGTCGTGTAGTGGTTCGTGGCACAGGGGGAGTGAGACAGCACTTTTTCTGTGGCTGACTCATACGGCGAGCAGGCAGGCACAGCGATAGAAAATGGTAAATAGAAGGTTCCTGTTATGATTTGCTTCGTAATGGTGCCTTTGGAAACCTGAGGGCAAAATTAGAGCCAGTACAAAGTTTGAGGAATTAAATTATATAAACCTGCATGCATTAGGACAGTCACAGAGCTGCAAAAATTGATCAATAAATTCAGTCAATCAACAGGACTTTTACACAACAACCTTGTTAACTACTAATTTGTTAGGATATATGTTAAAAGCATCACAAAGAACGGTTTTAGGAGCTTTGCTTGGTCCTACTTAACACAGAAAATTGGAAATATTTGTGTACTGGAGACAAAGTCTAATAGAAAAAGTAATTTAAAGACATGATCTTGAACTTAAGGTGGTTATAACAGATCATTTGGCACAATACACAGAGAAAAACATTGATAAATAGTAAAAAAAAAAAAGCTCATCTTTGACAGTAAAAAAATAAATACTTTTTTAACCATAGATAAGATTTATGTCACCTTGAAGATAGGCTCTTCTACAACTACAACCATGAGTAATCAGGAGAAAAAGATACACTCTGAACATTGCTGAATGATAGAATACAAATGCATTATCTTTGTTTAGTCATAACACAAGATTAGATTATATGAACTTAATCAATCCTTTTAGGAAGGTTCCCTCAATCAAAATTCCAGCAGCATCGGTATGTACAAAAAAACCCCAGAATGATCGAATAAGTAAGAAGTAAAAATGCAATATATATAAAGAATAAAGATAAAATAAAACTTCATACAAATTAACTAGTTACTTACAAAAAGTAGGATATAAAGCTATGGACATTTGCACATTGCTATTACTACAACTATTCCACTCTTACTACAACTGCTCCTTCCCATCCCCTGTCCTCCTGTTACCCCTCCTCCTCCCCAGAGAGAAGTTTGATGGCATGAGGGACAAAGGAGTTTTTCAGTCTGTTGGTCCCGCACTTGGAAAAGAGCAGTCTGTCACTGAACAGGCTCCACTGGATGAAGATGACGGTGTGCAGATGGTGACTGGCATCGTCCAGAATGTCCAGTAGTTTGTCCATAGTCCTCTTCTCTGCCACCATCACCAACAAATTTCCCTTTGGGGACCAATAAAGTTCTTGTGTTGTGTTGTAGGCCCATGTATTGTATTGTAGAAAGTCAAGCTTCATGCCAAACACAGAGCCGGCTTGTCTGATCAGTTTAAATGACACTTCTGTCTGAATGGGATGGAATGAGGGTCTTTCAAACTGTTGTAACAAACTCAGACATACAGAAATAAAAATGAGCAATTACTTCAAACCCTCTATGTTAAACTTGTTAACAAATTGCTGAATTGTTGTGAAATGGTGCAAAGTCACTGTCTGGTGCATGCTGTTTGTCTGGCCTTGTTGGGTCACTCAGGTTCATAGATAGTCTGCCAGCCTGTCTGTTGGCACAGCAACAGGATATAATGAGGCAAAATTAATAGCCTCTTGTTAGAGTCTGCGTGCAGCCATGATGCCCTCGTCTCTTTGATAACACTCTGACAGGATGACAGGAATGACAGGTCTGTGAATTGTCCACAGGAGTGTGAAAATGTCTACTCTCTGAGCACTCAACCACAGCAAACAAGCCCATAAACACATCCCAATCTCTCTACCCACCTCTTATACACGATCTTAAGGTCCCTCCACTCCAGGAAACTGCACATTTTGGGCTTTCGAGCCAGGACCGTCTGCACCAACTCTCTGGTGATCTTCTTTTTCTCTTTATCAGACAATGGCACATACCATTTCTGAAGTCTGAGTTTACCTTGTCGACTGAATAAGAGCATGAACTGCATCTGAAAAGAAATGACAGAGAGGCTGTAAGACGCACTTAAATCAGAAATATTTCATTCATCCTCAGGGGGAATTCAGGCGCTGCAGTTTGCTCTTGTGCAAAATATAGACACAAAAGTTTAAAAAATGATGACATGTTTATCATATGGGAAATACAAAACACAACACAATGTAGAGAACAAATGAGTAATTGACTAATAAATATAGCAATAAGTGCAATATATCAAAAGACATATCAATACAATGAAAGATAAAAATGCTTCAGGAGATATAAGAGATGAATGGGAGGTTAAAGGCATCTGCAGAAAGAGAGCAAAAAGCTTTAAATAACACACTTTCACACTTTCAAAATGTGAAAACTACGAGTAGGTATTATTGAGTGAGGATGTTTCTGACAACTACAACCAAATTAAGGAAGAAACTATGTGGAAGGTGCTCAGGAAAGCAGAAATTACACATACAAATAATAAGATAATGAAACTTCATATTGCAATCTTAAATAAAACATTAGGACGGTTCTTACTTATATAGATATTTATAGTCAGCGGCCAACTGTTAAATATGGACACACTGTGATGTGATTACAGAAATAACACTCAAAATATATTTTTAAATTGAATTCGTACAAGGTGAAACTTTCAGTAAAATAACAGGTTTTAAGTCCAGTCCACCACAGTCACATCGTGAACATCATCCCTAAAACCAGCCCCAGTCAACGAGATCACCTCTGCCGAACGGTGCTCGTGGACCGCTCATATAAAACCGTTATTCAGCCGTTAGTACCAGCCCGTCTGACTGTAACCATGCCTGCTTCCCTAACGCGACACTCGGTCAGCCTGAGGAAATACATAAACAGAAAAACTGGAAAAATACAACTTAAACTACTTACCTTGGATGAAAACACTGTTTTCTCCCCCCCTGAAGAAATGAGTCTCCCAACGCCTCCCCGACACATACACGGCCAGTTAACATCAAGTTTGTGATTGGTAAATGCGGCCATTAGAAAGATGTTCATTGGCCAAGTATAAGTTCCAGTCTCCGCCTACCAACGGCTTTAACTCAATCTTGGGTATGTGATTGGTCAATACATACGTCAACCAAAATACAGTGAGCCGATAAACCCGGCTACTAAACAACTTGACCAAGAGCACTGGCTGAATGTTTAAACAGAGGCGGAATAACCAATAAGAGAAGATTTTCCCCTTCAACATATCAACAGGTGAATGGACGAAAATGAAACATAATGTACATTAGATTTTTCAATGAATGATTTACCCAAACAACACAAGACTCCAAATCCCTAATCAGTAGATCATATCACAACTAACGGAGGAACAACTAATTTAGACATGAACCCATACATTTTAATTTGTCTACTTGAGTTAATTTGTTTTCTTAAGATCTAAAATTATTACTAAAAATCACAATTTACCTTCCTGACGTTGCAAAAGAACAAAAGAAACATTGAAATAGACTAAACTTTATTAGTGTGGGCAATGAGAGCATCACATGTTGTGGTTTTGTGTCCAGGAATATTATTAAAAATATTAGCTTTCGTGTCTAAATATAATAAATCAAGAGCTTATAAAGTGAAACTGGTGTTAGCATGTTTGGATGTGCCCTTAGGGTGTTAATAACAGTTTCTGTCTTTTGCCAAAAAGTTAAATTAGAGAATATATACCCCTGTCATGTCTGTAAAATACAAACAGAATAACCACTAGAGACTTGTGTTTGCTCAGTTTAATGAAAAAGACCCAAAATACTGTCAAAAAATCTAGTTTGGATATTTACGGTGGTCCTGTAGGTCAACAGCCCCAATATATCATAATCATATGCAGAAAATATGTCTTGGAATACAAAAACATCGTATTGCAAAATGTTTTTATTTTTCATAAAACGTTGTAATGTTTGTGAATTTTTTTTTTTTTTGTAATTAATTGAAATAATTTGGGTTCTCAGTAAATGTTTCTTCATGTAATTTTTTTTTTGACAATTTGACCTTTGGGGCCACCGTAGTACAGCCACAGTTACTTATATCACTGCTAACAACCAAAACTAGGTCACAGTCATAATCTTGTCCTTTAATAGACACAAGATGTGAATATAATGATAAGTTATTGTACATGGGTTTAAAGGTTATACTGTTTCTAAAAAATGGTAATTATTAGGTCCATGTGTGGAAGCAAGTTCACGCTAAAGCCAACAACGGCTTCAACTCATTCATTTATGATCAAGCATCAGTGAGTTTGGTGAGTTGATTGTTTGTCACACCACAAACAAACAGCAAGCTGGTGTGCTATTTTACTCACAAAAGACTCAGTGGATGAGGATTGGGAACCTTCATCCTGCTGTGTTATGAGGGAGTATCAGCCATTAGATTAGAAGCAGTATTAGTGCATCATTATGAAAGTCAGTTGGCAGACAAGAGTTAAAACAATAAGCACATACATATGGTAATTCGCTGCACTGGTGAGCACTTTTACATCAATTATTTTACCAATTTTACATGTGTGAGGATTGATGCCAACCCTTGATTTATGAGGTTACAACATGACCATGTTACAGCTTAATTGACAAGCCTGAGGGAGGTGACTTAGGGCCAATAAAGAGTATTATTAGATAAGGCAATCACAGGCCTGTGGATTACAGTAATCCTATCTGTTAGCGTTGGGTATCACACACATCACATTCCAGCACAGCAAAGGAGGAAGATGGAGGTCACTGCTCGATGTGCTGCTGTGCTCTTCCTCTTGCTTCTGTCCCAGGGTAAGTCAACTGTGCACCTGCTGCAGGGATATTATTTAATCATAATGCACTAAACCTTAACTATGCTCACTGCTCTGGATGGTTTATTTGGTCTTTTTTCATTGCAACTGAAGACAGCATGCAGAACCTGTGCTGCAGATTGAGTTAGAATTTAACCTTTTGCACAATAAAAAGTTATGGGTAGCAGCCAAAAAGCTATTTACTTTAAGTAACTGTCAGAAAAAAAAGTTTTCATTTGCTCCACCTTGTTTCATTTTTAAAATCTTAATATAGGTGTCTTCTTGCCACTTGCACACATACTTGCAGAGTACTGGAGACCTCTGTCATAGCTGTCTCAATCAGATACCAAAAAATAATAATAAAATTATCAAAGTTTTAATCTTTGTTCATATGATCATTTGTTGCCTTATAGTGTTAGTATTATTTCCAAACATCTTCTCTTATATTTCATGCATCTGTTGATGTTACGCAGCTCTGATATCTGTTCACTCCCAGGAGGTAAGACCACCTAAAACAAGTTTGAAATCTTGTTTTTAACTTACTCTAGGAGCAAAACTCTGCATTAACTCCTCCCCGTATGTCCTTCAGGAGGAGGGGGAGGATGTCCAGGAGGAGGAGCTGCAGGAGGAGGACCAGCAGGTCATCGAGACATGGACCCGCAGTGTGAAGGCCTGCACATGTGACTGCGAGTCCCCAGATGCACCAACAAGTGTCCCACCTGTGCTGCTGACCTCACTTCCTCCACAGGAACCTCAGGGGTTCACTCTGGATTGCATGCCAGGTGAGGTCCTCCCCTGAGTCACATGATAGCTGTCATTTATTAGCAGAAAAAGACAGGATGAACATGAAGTGAAGGGCAAAAGCATGGCAGGAAGCATCACACATTTAGATGAGTGATACTCTGCATGCATTCAGTGGATGTTCAGAGAGCGCTCCTGCTGTGGTGATGGATCTCACACCTCATGGCACCTGACTGTGTCCTCATCAGCCTCACCTCTGCAGTGCTGCACAATCACTCTCTGTCATTACCTTCACATTTTTCAGCCCCATTTATGTTCTTTAAGTTGAAATGTCTTGGATTTGTAGAAAAGTCTTGAAGGAAGAGATCTAGCACAGTAAATGTTGTAAGATAATCTCATTACCTGCACAGGAATGTGATGAGCAGATTAGGGAGCCTGAAATAGGGCTGTGCCCTTCACTTAACAGCATGGTACTGGAAGTGCTGCACATCAGATGATCATCCACTTCTACTGTACCAGGGAAGACTTCAGGGTATCAGATCTGAGTGTGAGGACAATCACTGCAAACAGGAGAGGTTAGAGGAGAGGGAAACTATGAAGCCATTAAGAGTTACCTGGAATGTAATCTGTGATTCTTGCAATATTATACTTTTCTTTTTCAAATTTCAAAAAACAGAAGTGAGTTAAATAATACATAAATAAAGACTTCAGAGAAAAAAGATACATATTAAAGCAAACTTTGAAATGTGAATGACAAACTCATCAAAATGATTATTTTTTTATACGATACAATATGATACACATTACTGTCTCACTGGGGATATCTGTCTGGGACTCATGTTCTGCATGTTCTCAACTGCATCCACAGATGTACAAATAACTAAAACAAATAAAACATTGTTAAAACCAGTAATAAACCCCCATGCCAACAGAGAACACATACTAAGGCCACCACATCAAATAAGCAACATATTTTGCACAAAATTATTCACCAAGGATGGGAATTTTTTTTTGTATTTTTCACAGTGATGCAACAGGTCACAAGTCTCATGGTTTAGTTGGGTTCATGGATGCAGACTCGTGGTCTTAATCATTTTTCTAAATGACAAAAAACTGAGATATTTATGTGACATATTCCTGACTGAGCCATGACCATGACTATCACCATAATGACCCAAAATGCCTCTTTGTGCATCTCAGTAACAGGGCCTTACACTGAAAGCCTAACTTAACAAAGATGAGGACCCTAACAGCGGCTTTTAAATGTTGTTTTTACATCTAAATGTCTAAAAGGCTGAATCTCTGTAGTTCAGTGAACGTCTGTCTGTCCTCCACAGAGTGCCCTTACCACAGAGCCCTTGGATTTGAATCTGGAGCTGTGACCTCAGATCAGATCAGCTGCTCCAACCAGGACCAGCACACAGGCTGGTACTCCTCTTGGACCCCCAACAAGGCTCGTCTCAACAACCAGGGCTTTGGGTACGTCACTATTTCAAAGGGTCAAAGCTGTAGTTTTTTGTGTTATCTATTCTCCCGATACTCAATCATTTTTCCATGTTAAAACAAGCACTGCTGCTGAAATGCTGAAGGAAAAAAGCCCCTTTCCCATGTACACACACTCTTGAAGATTTGCTGTATTTATGCTGCTAGGTGATTGCAGACTTGGCAGTTGTTTATAAAAGTGTGACTTCCACATTGTTGACAAACGCAGACAAAAGCCATAGGTGAAGCTTTTAATGGATGCTTATCTTTATTACCAATCACATGCTTAATTCCTGGTGTTAATGTCGTTTTGTTTACAGTGTGAAGCTTGAGTCGGCACAGGGTGTCTTCTTTTTTTTAGGTCTCTTGTCTTTATTAAAAATGTAAATTTCTGTCGTTGTCAGATGTGCCTGGCTGTCCAAGTTTAACGACCAGTACCAGTGGGTCCAGATTGACCTGAAGGAGGTGAGTGTGGTGTCAGGGATCCTCACTCAGGGCCGCTGTGATGCTGATGAGTGGATCACTAAATACAGCATCCAGTACCGCAGTGTGGAGACTCTCAACTGGGTCTATTACAAAGACCAAACGGGGAACAACAGGGTGAGTACACAGAACTTTAAATCGGACTGTCCTCTGTGCACCAAATAATGTGTGACCCTTATCAGACATGATTAACATAATCTGCAGTAAAAAGATATTCATATGAAAATATCATCGATCATTTCTATCAACATAGTCTGGATTCTACAAAAGCTGCAGACATGAACACATATAAAAAGTGTAAGCAATCTTAAGGATGATGTTCAGTGACCATAACTCCAAAACCTTCACTGTCTGGTCTACACATCACACTGACCTTCAAGTGTACAAAAGGGGCTGTAGTGACTAGCTCATAGTTTGGGCCCTTTTACACTGATGTTTGATCGGTGTGCAAAGCACTTGTGCCAGACTCTCATTTGTCTTGCAAATTTTTGGCAGCATTTAGTTTTTGTGGTCACTGGTCAGGATCAATAACTGACTCTGTTTAGTGAGGGCTGAGTTTCACTCTTGAAAGCGTTAAGCCACAGCCACAAGTTTCAGAGCGGCAACTAGCACGGCACAGTTCCTTCAATAAAGATGAAACCTTTGTGCCACTCTGGTAGATCTGATAATTCAACATAAAGAACATTTGCAAACTGTCAAATACTATCACTAAAAATAAATATTTTTTTCCAGTATTTTCCCTCCATTTTCTTTTTTTCACCAGGCACTGATGAAGTTGCTGTAAGGTCACTTTTTCTAAGGTGGTTTTCTGTTATTTCATGAATGATGCTTCACTAAAACATTAGATGACAGAGTCTGAGTCTGGCCTAAAAGGACATTTACGGTGATATGTTTATATAAAAAATCAAAGCTGATGAAAACTGTTGATGTGTGGACTCTGTAAAATCAGTAATGTGTGGTTTGGATGAGTTGAAATATGCTGTGCAGGTGTTTGGTGGTCAAAGCAAAGACAACCAAAATCAAAAGCAGAGTGTGGTCAAAAGCAGTCTGAGGAGGTTACCCTGAAACACTGGCTGCTACTCAAGCTTTATACACACACAGTACACCTGGTCCGGGTGTGTCTCATCCTGCTGATAAGTGCGGGGTGTTTCAGAGTCATAGCCAAAGCTGGAGCATCTGTCATTCATTTTGGAAGCAGCAGATGCAAGCTTGAAGACAAACACACCTGCTCCCACCCCATCTTCAACCACATGACTGAAAAACTGAAAAAGTTAAGTTACAGCGGAAAGGAAGAACTTCCTTTGACAGGCAGAAACCTCGAGCAGATCCAGACTGATGTTAGACAGTCATCTGCTGAGACTGAGCTGGGTTTAGATAGAAGAGAGAGAGATGAAGAAAGAGAGAGATGGACAAAGACAAACAACAATAATAATGATAGTACAGACAGATGGATAATGATAAATAATGGACCATGTATGTACAGTATTTACTGGAACATTATGATTATAATAATAAAAGGCTGATCTTGGTTTGATTTAGTCAAAAACAAAAGGTTCACAGTAGTGGCACAGAGGTGATAGCATTGGTATTAATGAAGCAGAGGTAAGTAATGGAAATTAGAATTAGGTCATTAAAGCAGAAAAAAATCAAATATTCTTACTGACCAGTTTAAGAGCAGAAATCAACCATCTGTTCAAGTGGAGTGATAAATCAAGTTGAAAACAAATGTTCATGCAGTTTACTCACTATGTGTTCCTCAGGTCTTCTACGGGAACTCCGATCGTACCTCCACGGTCCAGAACATCCTCCGCCCGCCCATCGTCGCTCGATACATACGCCTGCTGCCTCTGGGCTGGCACACCCGTATCGCCATGAGAATGGAGCTGCTGATGTGTATGAAGAGGTGCAGCTGAAGAAAAAACAGCCTTTAAATTGCAGCCCATCATTAATCTGTCAGGCTGCTGCTTACAATAAAGAAACAGCTCCCTAAGACCCATCAGGAAAGTTTGTCGATAGCTGATAAGTCTGAGCAGGAGGAGATAATCCCATCCCTGGAAGCAGCATTTATGTCTTAAAGTTTGAAAAAAGTTTCTGTTTTACTTTGTATATGAATATAAACACGGGAAACAATGCATAAAGGGTGTTCGCAGATTTAAAACCAGAGTAAAAGAAAGATTTCATTTCTGTTTTAATACCGTTCTTACATGTGAATCAGAGCAAACAATAATAAAAAGATTCTGCAGGTTACAAGAGTCAAATCAACTTTGTTTATTGGAGATTTACTGTTACATATGTAAACATGAATAATCTAAAATTGTTAAGCATTCATTTGTGGCTTTATGTTCTCATGTAAATGCTTTGTTGAAAAAAAGCAGATAAACACTGACTATGCTACTAATTTGTGTAATAAAAGCACAAACTTAATACTTGATTTCATTTAAACAGCTGATAAACATCTTCTGTTATAAATATTACCAAACAAGTAGTCACACATCAGTATTAATATAATACACGGTGCTCCTTCAGCAAAACAAAACCCAAAGAGAGAGATGTATTGTGTCAGGTACAGTGTGCACAGTCCTTACAGATGCACAATACACAATACAATACTGAAATGTTGGACTCAGCGTGTTTGTTTCAGTCTCCACACACCGCACACATGATGAACATGACATGAGGAAGAATTTACAGAGTCAGAGCAATATTGCTGAGCCACAAATACTCTCCAAAGTGCACCATTAAAAAGCTTAGGATTTATTCTTTCTAAGCTACCTTCATGGCACTTCAACCCTGACAGAAAACAATTTTACAGCACAGAGCCTCTGCCCCCAATGTGGTCCAAAATGAAGATTTAACAAAAGCAAAGTCCAAGTGGATCAGTGTGTGCAACCAGTTTGAAATACACAAGTGCAGAGATTCCCAACACGGAGTACATGCAGATCAAAGGTCCCTCACAGGAGCTTTAAAACAGACTAAAGACAAAATGTGCATAACATTTTACTTTTAAGGTGCAAACTCCTTTAAAACGTTTTGAACTCATGTTGGGAAAATAAATCAATGCCTCGTAAGATCGTGTTTAAATTCACTGTGAGGAAATTCGACTGAAATTCATATTCTCTGCGTGATCAAGAAAAGTGAATCAAACCATCAGCAACAAGGATCAGTGTTTCTGTGCTGAAATTTTTAAGCGAGGGGGTAAGGTATCAAACAAAATAAATCACAGCAAACCTCATAAAAAGTTTGTTGGGCATGTTTCATTTTAATATTTTATGGTCTGCTTCATTTCCCACACTGTAATCAAACCATGCTTTCATTTTGGTAGCTCGAACTGCAGTCTGCATCTGAACAGTGAACAGAATAGTTATAAAATATAAATGTTATAAATTAATCAATAACCTGAAGAGGTACAAGCCCTAATGCTGCATTTGGATTGACAAAACATCCTGGACTTTCACTTTTTAGAATGCCAAATCATCTCTCTGAGAGCTGCTTCAGGCCAGTGACGAATGGTCTGCTGTTTCCTCTTCATCTCTCTTCTGTTTTATGATGTAAAGGACCCCTGCTACGAACTCTCAGTATTATCGTTTGCTTATTTCAACACAAAATCAATATTTCATGTTTTAATAAATATGATTACCGGCATATTGCAACAGCCCTCAGTGTCAAATAATCTCCATTTTTTTGTTAAGCATTAAAGATGGTACTAATGCTTATTTGCTCGTTATGCTGGTCTGACATGTCAGTTTTGTTGGGAATCACTGCACTTTAACATCCAGAATGGCTTTTGTGTTCCTCTAGCTGCTGTGAAAATTGCTATCAAACAACAATGAGAAAAAAAATACATGGTTTTTAAACCACATTCTTACAGCAGTTAGACTGAGTGTAATATTATGGATGTGTTTGTACTTTCATCATACTGACTAAACACAAGGAAACACGAGAAGTCGCTCATGTGAAATCTTCAAGTGAGAAATGAGCACAAACAAATATCATTATCATTATTTTATGGATGTCACGAGCCGTTAACTGGGTCCTTGAAGTTTATACTGTGTTAATAATCTTTCAGGGTGCTTCATAATGTTTGTATATAAGTAAGGATTTCTGTAAATAACTTTAGATTACATTTCTATTGTTAGGATTATTGTAATAGTTTGTATGAGGAGGAATATTAATATGCTTGTTCTCTTTGTGATGACTGATGTTTAATCATAGCTTAAATTGTATAATACTTGTTTGGATTATATTCATCTACTCATACTGTGCAGGAGAATTCAGTGCCTAAAATGTAGGTTAGCGCATGGTGAGCTCAGACAGTTAACGCAGTGCTTTGTTTTTGCCTACAGAGGGCGATGTTGGTTAGGATTTCAGTCAGTTTATGGCACCATAGTGTCTAAAATGGCTGCATTACAACAAAAGAAAAGACATAAAAACCTAAAATACCCTTAAAACAACAAATATATTGAAGCCTCAAAGATTGTCAGTGCCAACTCAGAAAAACTCCACTACAGCTAGAATTTAACAACAAAACTGCTTTGACTTGTAGTAGCACATTTCAGCTTCTGTAACCGTTCTGATGATGGAGAATTTGAGTCCTGTGAGATGAACACAATGTAAAGTTACCCACATTACCGACCTCTATTGTAACAACTGATAAAACTTGATTCAGAATGCCTTAGATAGTCTTAAGGAAATACTACGCAGTAAAATGTACTATATTTCTATATCCAATAGAAACAAAAATACTTACACTTAAAATCTACACTTCATCTATCCATTTATATATATTTAATTTGTAATATATTTACTTTATAATACAAATTATAATCAGAATTACAGAAGTATTAATATAAAGTCTATCAAACATGGAAGCTTTAAAAAAAATTAAGACATAAAAAGGCTTTTGGCCTGTTTGCAAGCAGAGTTTAAAACTGAGGGAATAGTGTGTGTGTGTGTGTGTGTGTGTAGAGTATATGTTTGTGTGTGTGTGAGTGTTGCAGATGTGCTGTTTAGCGAGGGAGCATGTAGGAGCAATAGAGGGGAAAAGAAAGAGTCTGAAGTGGATCTGAGAGCTGTAAAGTGACTGAGATCACAGAGCCGTCTCTTTCAGGTCGTTCAGGTTTGGCATACGGGACCTGGAGGGCCGTCCGAAGCCATGCCCGTTCTGGCCTCCCTTGATGCTCATTTGCTCTGGATAGGGGTTTCCCTCGGGTCGGCCCAGAGCAGACGAGTGCCAGTTAGACTCCAGCTGTCCGGGCAGCGGGTAGGCGGACTGTCGGCTCTTTAGCTGGGGCGTGCTGACCCCTGAGTGACCCCGGCTCTCTGTGAATCCGCCCTGAGAGGAGGCTGGATTTGGCAGCGGCTGGTAGCGCATGTCAGACGAAGCCGTCTGATTGGAGGACGAGGATGAAAGGTGCAGGAGTTTACGCAGAGACTTCAGTGGCTGACTCTGAGAGGGGCGAGACAAATTACAGGTGATCAACATATTTCAGTGCAACAGTCCAAAACAAAAAGCTGTCGAGGCTTTTTACAATCAAAGACATCCTATATCTAGGAGTGCGCAAGTTTGCAAATTGCAAATTTCAGTGTCACTGTGTGGTTCAAGAGTTGAGTTACCAGGATGTAAACCCCCTGTGTTCCTTGGGGAAGAAGAGTCAGAGTCATAAAGCTGCTGATGAGTCAGTGACCTGTATTGGCCAGATCTGTGAATGTATTTTGAGCTTTGTCTGTGATCCAAACAATAAATTTGACTGGATGACAAGCTTTTGCAAGATCTCCTTTATTAAATTTTTCTGGGGGGGCGTTTTCGTGCCTTTATTTAGAAATAAGGACAGTTGATAGAGCACAAAACCGGGAGAGAGCAGGGAGTGAAGTAAAGGAGGGATGCTGACTGTGCACTTGAACCCTCTGTGTGGCTGTTCCGCAGTATATGGGGCACATATGCCGATGATCTTGCAAAAATTTTCCATGGATCCTGGAAAAAGGGATTGTGTGAAAGTCACTGAACATCTAGCAGGGTTCCTACAGGTCTAGCAAAATTCTGACGAAAGTTTCAGAGGAATTCACAAAGCTTTTCAGTGAGCTTAAAAAAGTGTTTCAGAATCATGCAAACTTTTTTCAGACATTTGCAGAAGTTTTTTTTGAGCTACAAAAAAAAATTTGTTTCAATGGACGGATCTTGCAACAAGTTTAAAGGGATGGTCACAAAAGATCTGGCAACAGTTTACTTGGATCTTACAAAAGTTAGTGGAACCTTTCAAAAGTTTCTTGGGATCCTGCAAAAGTTTTAAAGGATTTTGCTGAGTTTCTTCTGTGGGCTCTGTAAGGTACTGATACTTCAACACAAGGAACACACCTATCCTCTCACACTGTGGCACTGTAAGAAAGAAATGCTACTTCGCCAATCCAGAAAAGTCAAATGAGAAGAACAAATCCTGGTGTTACAAGCAATAAACAAATAAAAAATTTAAAAGTATTTCATGAAGTTTCTGGTGTTGATATAACTATGTTCTTATTTAGATACACCAGAGTTAAATTGCCCAAACTTGAGACCCTTACCAGGTTCACCATTTAGACCATCTCTGGACCTTCTCTGAGGTGAGGCCACAAGTATGTCTACATGGACTTGAGTATCCTGGTTTTACTCTGGTTTTTCGGTATCCCATGTATCTGTTTGTGCATGTAAAAATCCAGATTTAGAAACCAGGATAGGCCCACATTCTGGTATTGTGAAACCTAAACAGGACACTGAGGCATGTTCAAGTCTTACCCCGGGTTTTAACAGCTGGTGACTACATGTGCAGCCTCAGCCAAGCGACATAATAGCCAAACAAACAATCTGTGGCCTTTATACTTAAACCTGGTTTGAAATTTAAAGTTTACTGGTCAACAATGGTGTTTGTATTCTCCCTAACAAAAAGAACAAACAGGCAGAGATACAACTTAAGAAAAAAAACATGGGTAGAGCAATTATCAATGAGTGTCAGTGTTTGAGCTCTGTGCTGTTAATGTTTATGTTTGTGTCATATATTTCATTATATTTAAGTGCCACACATGGGTTAAGGATTGTTGATGTGTGTGTTTCATGTGTAAAGCTGCCGTTTCTTTTGTTTTATTTGAAAATGAAGAACTTCTCTGTCAGTCTTACCGGTGAGTGTGAATCAGAGAGTTTCTCAGGAGGCCAGTCCTTGTCCCGGTCTTGGTCCCGGTCTCTGCTCTTGTCCCGGTCTCTGCTCTTGTCCCTGGATCTGTGGCGGCTGCTTGAGTGGCCAGACCTGGAGGACTTCTGGATGACTGTATCCACCCCTTCATTAGGAACCTTTCACACATCGAGTATACATATTTATTCATCTGTGTAAACGGATTATTCACACATTTGACCAAATAATGAGTCCAAACAACACAAAGGAAAACAAGAAGCTCACAAAATGTACTAAATTATCAACACTTTTTAAAGCGTACTCATTAATTTCTTTATGTATTTGTCTTTATACAATTAAATTACAATTTATTTAATACAAAGCCCTTCGTTGGCTCTATTGAGAACTCTATCTAAGCTTCAAAGCTGGTCAACAGAAGGTTTGAGTATTTCTTGCTCTCCGTCATGAGATGGACTTTTTATTATTTGGTCACAAAAATGAACAAAAGAACACAACATGCACATGTAGCTAAAAAGAGAGTTTGGTAAAATGAGAAAGAGGAGGAGAAGACTGGTCTTGCTCATGACTGATTCAGTTCTGAGGATGATTTCAAACATTCATAAAAATCCGTGAAACATCTGAAGTCTCAGTATTTTCAAAAGATCTAATCTTTATGCAGAAATCTGAGAGCGATTTCCCAGCAGCTCTGAGTCTGCCTGCCTGAATTTTCATGGCCAGATTGTGTTTATTTGTGCTGCCATCATCTGTAACCCCCTCTCAGAAAGGGAACAGACTGTCACATAAAAATAGAAGTATGAGGGAAAGAAAGATCTTAGACACCTGTCTTGTCTTGAACCATTACTCTGAGATGGCAGCCACTTCATCAGGTCAAAATGTTTGAACAGTGTGAAAAATTTAACCCCTTCTTATCCATCCTAGTGGATGTTTTTTTTTCCATCAAATCCTGGCTTGAGATGTGGAATAGATTTAAGGTGCCTAAGCAAGGCCTAAATAAAAGCTTTGGTTCATCCTCAGTTTATAACAGGACACATGCAGTTAGGACTGTGACTGAAATCAGATCTGAATCACATGGAAAGCACAAAAAAATGACCAAGCAGATCCATTCTTTATGAGGACATGACTCTGTGTGTTATTAAAGTGGAATATCTGAGAGTAATATATGACTATATTTCAAAATAGCCTGCTGAGACTGTCATAGAATAATGACAGTGATAAAGTTTAATGGATTACAAATCATTTAAACCCGTTGTAAATGTTAATAATGCAGAGACATCATGCTTGATGCTTAAAAGTGTATTTGATTGTTTTATTAAAAAATATATGCCTGTTTTAGATTTGGTGCCTCACATAAAACTGGGACAGGGACAACAAAAGACTGAGAAAGTTGTTTAATAAAAACATGTGGATTAATAGTGCCCCACAGGTTAGTAACTGGCTGGGTATAAAAATGGCTTCCAGAGAAGTTGAGTCTCTCAGAGGTAAAGCTGGAAAGAGGTTGACCACTCTGAAAGAGACTGGGTGAGCTAATAGTTCAACAATTTCAGAATAATGGTTCCCGGCCTAAAACTATAAAGATAACAAACACTAGCAACTTCTCTGGGATCAAACTCATTTGGGATGGACTGACCATAAGTGAATTACTGAAGTCAAAATTTGACATTCTTCTTCGAAATCTTGAATGCAAACTCCCAGCTTGTCACCAGCTAATATAGTATAAGTACGGGTAACTAACACAACTGTGAGGGCCTCAATAATGCTGAACATTATATTTAGGTTTTGGAGCAACATCCAGACAATGACTTTTTCAGAGAAGACCTTCACATTTCAGCAAGATGAAGCCAAACCAGATTCCGCAGGTAATACAACAGCATGACTGTAGTATTAGAGTCCTGCTGCTAAACTGGCCTCCCTGCAGCCCTGACTTGTCCCTCATGGAAACATTTGGAACATTGTGACTCAAAATACAAAAAAGAGACCCCAGACTCTCAGGCATCAAGAGATATATGCCCAATTGAAAAAGGGGCATATATTTTTCATAAAACAATGAAATTGTTCTGTATCAGCATTTGATATGATATAAAAAGGCTTAAAATGATTTGATTTGATTTGAAAATCCTCATGTGTTCATTTCAACATTTAACATAGCCACACGACTTTTTTGAAGTTAGGGTTCAACAATATTAGCGACTAAATGATAAAATACTCATTTTCTTATCAAAATAAGGAGCGTTATTAAATTATAACGCCAGGTATGTGATGTACTTTTCATGTTGCTGATGAATGGATCTGATTGGTTAGTTCTGACAACTCACTGTTAATGTTAATGGATACTTATGAAATGGTCACAGAAAACCACTGTAGGGAAATTCTCATATTTCCAAACCCAGGCCATATTTTTACATGTTTCAACTTAAAAGGACTGATAGGTGCAAAATGTTTAGGAATTGTACAACGGTTGCCTCAGCCTAAAGTGGTGATCAGGCTGTTCTGATCAAGGTAGCTCCTTGTTTTTTAAGAGTGGCAGGCTAAGACAGTACCAACAGAGATGTCTTCTTGCATTTGCACAGAAATATCTTTTTAAAGAGATTTGAGGACCTCGAATGGTTTACAGTATTGTGTCTTTTGACCTGCCCTACTTTTTCTACATAAAGACTATTTTCCCTGTGCTGAACAGTCCAAAATAATATTCATACTACAGATGGAAACTGGATTGCTTTTATGCAAAAATTCCTGCCTGGTACTATGACTGCAAATTCTTCAGTTTTATGCAAATGGAGATTGGTTCAAGAGAAAAGTGTTTTTTTCTTCACCCTGGAAACTGCTGAGATGTTGTGATCACAATAATAACAACAGTGGACCTACATGAGTTCACTGATACCTATGATCTGTCAGTAGACAGACTAATTCAAGACCACCATTTGTCACAGGGACATCTTATTTTCACGTGTACAAGGTGGTATAACTACAAGAAATAGATCTGTGACCCTCTGGGTGAAGAATATCATCACTTCTTTTAAACCTACATCTTTTTTAGACATTTTTAGGTCCATTTGTGTTATTATACATACTTTAGATGGAGTATCATATCCTGTAAGTTCATGTGAGTATTTTATGATGGTGATGCAACAGACTGAAATTTAATGTCTTCATGACCTACAAAGGCAAACAAGACTGTAAAAACAAGACTAACAGTTTCTATATTGTAATTTTTAAAGCCTGTAGTTGCTGAGAAGGGGTCGGTGTCAAACAAGCTAGTTTATCCCTGTTTTTTTCTTTTCTTTCTTTTTTTTTTTCTAACATTTTTGACTGCAAATAATTATCACAAAATAAATGAATTTTTTCACTGTTACTTTTCAGGTTATAAGAATTTTTTGTTAGAAAACACAACTTACAGATACTCAGAAAGAAATAAGCAGAGATATAAGAGGTACATTTTTGTCCAAAGGGGGTGCCAAACTCAACACAAACAGAAAGTACCTCTATCTATCTATCTATCTATCTATCTATCTATCTATCTATCTATCTATCTATATATATATATACATATATATATATATATATATATATATATTTTTTTTTTTATTATTATTATTATTATTATTTTTTATTTTTGTTTATTTTTTTATATTTTTTTTAAGTAAATATTATTAACACTGATGTTTATTTTCTATTTTTATCTCCTCTGAACTACAATGATTAGCCATAACAACATTAACATCCAGGCATTCACACACAATCCAACAAAACAGCTTCACCACAAGTCCTGCTTTCAGGAAGTTTCTGAATTTTTAGTCTTTGTTGACATGTTCAAACAAGTGATTGCTGTGTTTTATACTAATGTCTGAAGAGTGGGTGGTGGTGTGCTTGAGTGTGTCATACTGAAAGGCGTTCCTTATATTTTGTCTACTTCATTAACAAAAACAAGGGTAGCAAAATATTGACCACTGTCAATACAGCCCACTTCAGTACACCGCCAACACCCACTTCAGCTTCAACAATAAAATAATTATCACCTGCGTGATCATGCTGGTAAGACAGAAAAATCTACAGTAGAAGCTTTGTAAAAATTACGTTTATGGTAAAACGGCTGTATTGGGTTGCATTATGTTGTCCAGGTGTAGCTAATGTTGTAGCACAAATATGTAGAGCATAAATAAATATCCATTCATGCTCTATTTGTGTGTTATTGTTACAAGCGTGTTTCACAATTGAGGGCCAATAAGACCTGAACTATCTCAAGTATTAGTGGGTGTTTATAAAATTGTATTCTAGAGGCTTTTCCTGAGATACCATGTTTACAAAAGTGCGACTAATGTATGCACAACCTGACAACCAGTAATAACTTTTTTTCCAGCTTTGCCTGTCCTCATCACAGGGATGTTAAAAGAAACTTGGACCATTTGTCACAGCTGCCGGCCGAGCAATGAGTCAGAGCAATTCCCAAACTTTTTTTTTTAATACTAATTAGTCATTCAGACCTCAAATATGTAAATAACAGCCCAGGTTTAAAGTACCAAAATCCCCCTTCATGTCGAAGTTCAAACCAAACATTTAAGCATTTGTGAGTTATGTTATTTTACATGCTGTGTTAGAGTGACGGTATGGAGTTAGGAGGAGAGTAGGATAGTGTAAAACATGTACCATGGAAGAGGACAATACAGGGAGGACTCTCACAGAGGAACTATGCTTTATGTTATTCTTTGGGCTAAACAGAGGGAAAAGACATTTCTTGATGACAGGAGGCCGTCCGTCAGGCGGTTGAATCTGGAATAAAGAGGCACATGACTGATGGCACAGGGAAACATGATGCACACGACAACAAGGAAACATGATTTTACTTCTGTGTAAAGGTTTGAGTAAGGACAGAGCATCAAGAGGAGGGGATACAGAGGGAGGACAGACAGGTATAGACGTACAGTTTGCAGGAAAAACAGAGCATCCACACATGGATAATTCTGAATGCAAGTTACCATTTGAGATTTTTTCTTCTTCTTCTTTATTGCTCTGAAGAAACCCTGCTTCTCCTTCTCTTTGGACGGTTCAGAGGAGTTCAGCACTACAGTGTCTGGGCCAGTCCTGGAAATAAAACAAGTGGAGTCAAGCTTTAATAAAGACACGATTTTAGCTGTCATGTCAAATCTGTTTCAAACACTAATGTACAACAAGCAAATTTATGTTGTTGTCAAGTTAGCTTTAGTTATAAGATGTATTTATGGTGTAAAACAAAATAAATTCTGCTCTGTTGTGGTGAGCAGAACATAAATTACCAGGGATCAAATGCCGGCTGACGTTTGGAGTGGTTGGTCAGACCCGGGCCGTCTCCAGAGCCTCGGCTCTGACCTCTGCTGTCGTGGAAGGAGTTGTCTGGCCGGGGAGAAGGGACTGTTCAACAAACACAACAAATACTGTATTTTCATGGTGGTAGGAATGGTATCACCAAACATCCAGGCCACCACTCAAAAATGAAATAGTTTTAAAGTAATGGGGTGTGTTTTCATCTATGATGCTCCCACCTTTTGACTTATAACACTCAAAAACAAGTCTTTAGTGCCTATATTTGAGGTCAAAGGTTTTGTTTGTCCATCACCTATGCACAACTGAAAACAATCCTCAGCTCCACTCATGACTGAGCCACAGAGAATATACTAGCACGCTCACATACTACATTTACACCAGTGTTGTACTTCCTGCAGTTAGGAGGCTGCACTGGACTTCAGTTTTGCTTGTTCAGCTTTAACCAAAACATTTTTGCATTTCTTCATTTTTGCCTGGTCTGTTTTTCATTCTTTATATCAATTTGATAGTGATTTCTTTTGTAAGTAATATGTCATAGTGTCCTGATGTACTATAGTACTGTTATGCCAGTTATTCAGTGTAATGGATTAACAATATTGTGGTCACATCTTAAGGCCAATGCCCCTCTCAAAGAGTTTGAGTAATTTATTTCATCATTATACCTGTTATTTGTATGTCTATTTATCCATGGCATTCTGCTTTGTACTGTTACTTTGTTACTTTGTATTGACCAGTCAGGGTTTTTCAATGGGCAGTGCTGTATTTCCACATTTTAGCACCTATCAGGATGATTTTCATCCTTACATCTTACGACCATGAAGGCATATCAACCACTCCAATTAAACCACCAAAATCTGTGCATTTGGTGGTAAATAGCCATAACAATTAAGGGTTTGTATAATTAACCCAATCTTAGCTGCTTGTCTTTTATTTTTGTGATCTCTTTTTTCAGCTTTTTACCTCTAGACTTATTTTACACAACCCGTTCACTACAACAAACCGGGTATATCTGTCTCATTGTTGTTGTTTTTTGTTGTTAACCAGTTTGTCATGTTTGTATGTGAAATATGTTGTCAAATGTTTTTGTATTTAATGATTTTTTTTTGTGACCTTCCTGAAATATATGTGTCATTGACCCTCAGTGCTGCGGTAATTATCTGATTAAACATACTAACATCAGATCATGCCAGGTAAACATGATCTGATTGACACTGCAAACATGTTTGAGACAGGCACCATTGTGCAAACATGGCTACAGATTTAGCATGAAATAAGGACCCTAATTTTCTCTGGAGGGTTCCTAAAACAGTTGACCATCAATGATGATATCTGGGACAAAAATGTAGTAGAGTTTACGTTATAAGTAACTTCATAAATTAAATAATGTCTCTGAAAATCCACCTGTATTCACTTTTAGCAGGCCCAGGTGAATGAACGTGTACGGTTTGTCAGATATGTATGATGTTGTGCACTGCAGTAAACGCAGTCAAGTGTTTGCTTCTTTAACATAGATTGCACAGCACAGTGAAAGAAAGAGAAATCAGTGTGACTAAACCAACCTCTGTAGAAGCTGCCCACCCTCCGAGGCATGGATTCACTGTAGATGTTTCGGTTCTCTTTCGATGAACCTCCATCTTCTGTTTGCTGGTCATGATACAAACCAACCTGAGTCACAACAGAAGACCAGGTCACATAAAAAAACCAAAGGCCGGCTGCCTTTCATGCCTTTCTATCTGAGATTATATTTATATATAGTACCCGATAGAAGGAAGGTGTATTGATTTACTCTTTGTCATTTCAATAAGACAACATCTTTGAAAGCTAAATATACTTTCTTAACTGCTCGAGTGACAAGCTCGTCTGTGCTATCGTAGGCAGTCACATTAAAGGCAAGCAAAGCACACAGAGAAAATGAAGAGGCATCTGATGCGCAGAGACAGAAAGAGAGAGATAGAGAGAGCAGTTCATGACAGCAGCATCCACCCACATCCAGTCTACCGAGAGTGCGGATGTGGGTGGGGAATGGTGGGTGCAGGCAGAATGTCGGACCTCGCTTTTTTTCCGCTGTGAGTGAAAAGATGCGGTGTTGTCCCTTGTAGAGTCCCTTATTGGGGGTCTGCTGTGGGTGACCTCAGTGGGTGCCTGGTCACTCTGTTAATGGAGACATGATTGAAGCATGACGTGAGCTCAGCTCTGCAGCGCACATTTACAAGTACACACAAGCAAAGCAAACCGTTAAGGCTACATGTGCACAGTATACTTGACCATACAGGTAACATCCTTTTCTAACAGGAGAAACACACTTTTAACACCTGAGGATTAAGAAGAAGAAGCTCGAATGCTCGTCTTGATATCTCTGCAAAGATGGGAAACTAGCTGATAAGAGCTGGCTGAAGACTGAAACACACATCGTGATATTTTCAGATGCCACCAGAAAAAAAAAAAACCCTGCTGTACAAACTGAGACTGAGGCAGAGTTATCCAACACAGCCTGGTGTAGGCATTTGGTACGATTAGATCATAAAGGCTTTCCTTAAACTCAGAAAGGTTTGATACGGGCTGAGGACTGACCCTACTCATGTCTTCTTCTCTGGAGGAGCCCCCAGAGTGGCGAGGCAGTGTACGGTGCTGCAGTTGTGGGGACAGGAGCTGAAGACTGCTGGCTCTGGTAGGCCCGCCTTGCCCGACTACCAGCCCCTCATCTGCCCCATGTGTCCTCTGATCCCTCCGTACGTACATGGAGTGGCGGTGTGGCCGCTGCTGGGAGGAGAAGGGACTTGTGTACCCCTGACCGTAGGATAGAGGGTCATGTGGGGCAGACAGGGAGTGAGAGTGGCTCCTTTCGATGCCACCCTCCCCTGGCTCAAGGGTATCTGGTGACTTGGCCTCCTCTGAGGACTTATGACGGGTGGAGGAGCGCCTATAAGACGAGTCCAGAGTGTTGCTCTCTCTGTCTGAGCGCATGCTTCCTCTGCTAATCCCACCAGGTCCTAGTCTGTCCATCCGGCGGGCAGCTGGGCTGCCCGGGGCGGTGAGGTCCAGGCAGCTAGAGGGAAAATAGCGAGATGTGGGCTCATCGGCATAGAGATGCACATCATTTAAGTTCCCCACTGATTTGGCGTCACTTAGTGTGCCGTAGCTCTTAGACAAGTTCAGGTAAGCAAACTTGGAGGGGTTGGAGCTGTGAGACTCCATGTAGCTGTGTCGACTGTGTTTGTCCCCTGACTGAAGCGTGTTGGTCTTCCCCTCCACAAAAGAATGGCGGTTCTGCTGTGAGCGGAAGTTGGATTTGAGGTACTTAGCTCCAGGGCCGTCGGACACTTTGGACCCCATGGTTATCTCGAAATCCCCCTTGCCCTTGGCTTCTCCGGGGCTGAGCAGGTGAGGCAGGTTGCTGCTGGCCAGGTCCATGTTGCAGGAGGTGGAGTGGTTGTAGATCTGCGGCTGGTAGTTCTTCGGGTGCAGGGTTGGACTGAGGTTGATGGCTGCAGGCATGTTGCCGTTGAGGAAGGCCTCGTTGCTGGGGAGGACATCGTCATGCCGGGGCAAACTGGAGCACTCTCTGCTGCTGGAGCGGTGGCCGCCTGAGCTCTTCCCTCCATGGCTCCTGAGCAAGAGTAGAAATGATAGAACAGGAGATGTCAAACATTCAATCTAAAGACTGTTCAGTTTCATGACAATTTTATATTCCAGGGATTTTGACAGCAATCTGTTTTTTTATCTGGAACACAACTGTCAGTTAGTTTTACTTTGACATTACAATTATTATTTTAATCCGGGGCTGTCCCTGGCACATGCAGGCACCTTTTCTTACGTTTGGACATATTGGACTCAGACAAAAACATGGCTTTACGATCAGATATAAGAGCAAACTGCATGGAGTTGCAAAACTGTATTTATATGTTGATGGTTGAATATCAAAGTAAATATGCTTTGTGAACTGGACCGTCAGAGAGAGCAGATATGTGATGCTATTAGTGGCTGCAGTCCATTCTTCATGAATTATCCCCTTTATATGTTCTGTTTTTTTTATTATTACAAGCTTTAAGTCATCCTTCTGGTAGATTTTAGTAGCTGTAAATAGTACTCAGAAAAATTTATTACTTATCTCAGATCTGTGTCTTTTAAAACACCCTTATTTTAGCCTGTGTCTAAAATGTTTCATGTCAGCCTCTATTACTTTCAGCCCCCCTCACACTCTGGCAGCCTTCTCCACTGCTGCCATGCTGTTATGCTGAGGTTGTAGTTGCTTTAGTTGTGTAGTCGCTAAGTTAAACCACTGGTTCTCTATTTAAAATGGCAAATTAACCAACCCTAACCCAAATTTGACCCTGACAAAAAACATCCCCACCAACAGAAACCAAAGTAGTATGTTTCTGTTTATTCAGTGTTTAATTGTATTCTATCATTTGCTGTTTTTACCCCCAACTCTGTAATTCGCCATCAATGTTCATTTCAGATGGGAGAGGACTTTGTATAAGCCCCCAGGCTTTCCTTCCCTCCCTGCACTGTATTATAAATTATACATTGATCGTGTTTCCCTTAAAATATGGTGCAAACAACTAAACCAAAAAAAACAAAAAAAAAAGAAACAAAATAAACCAAACCAAACCAAACCAAACGAGACTAAACTAAACTAAACTAAACTAAACTAAACTAAACCAAATGAGACTAAACTAAACTAAACTAAACTAAACCAAATGAGACTAAACTTTACTAAATTAAACTAAACCAAACCAAACCAAACCCCTAACTTCCCTAACCTAACTTAACCTAACTTAAACTAAACTAAACTAAACTAAACTAAACTAAACTAAACCAAATGAGACTAAACTAAACTAAATTAAACTAAACCAAACCAAACCCCTACCTTCCCTAACCTAACTTAACCTAACTTAAACTAAACTAAACTAAACTAAACTAAACTAAACTAAACTAAACTAAACTAAACTTGTATTTATCACGCTCTTTTTACTAAATAGTTATACCACAATTTGGTAAAATACAGTGTCCCCCTTGAACAGCCGTTCAAAACTTAACCCATGTTTAGCTTCGACAGTCAGCATTTCAACTTAGTATTTTTTATGTTTTTCTATTAAAAAAAACATGGTGCTACTCTGTAACAGGTCTTTGGTGTCCCCCAGGGATCAATATTGGCATTTATAAGTATATACATATACATATACATATATAAGTCTGCATTGACAGCGTATTTAATGTGCTGACAATGTGACCCTCTGAATCTTAAAATGTATGACTGACCTGGGGGAAAAGAAGCTCACTTAAATACACTTTAAATAAATGAAAGGTCTTCCTGATGCCTTTTAGAAATTAGATGTGTGCAAAATGTTTAATGTCTTAATTCGATTTTGTGCAAAACTTTGCACACTGCCATGGACAGAACAAATAAAATAAAAAAGAAATGAAAATCTCTGTCTCTATATACCCAAGCAGAGCCCTGCAATACAACATCATGTCTATTAAACATTTTGTGGGGTTACAGAATTAAACTTTTTGTGGAACATCTGCAGTTCATAAAATTGTCTCACAGTCACAAAAACATACAAATGAAGGCTACTGTAGTTCACTGCAAAAAACAAAAAACAAAAATTCTGTTGTTCACTTAATCATTTTAATGAATGGCAGTGAAGCAGAATCACTGCAGGCCTTGTTTTTTATGATTATGCAACAGACAAAAAAAATCCTAGCTGGTATGTAGATATGGTATGTATGCCATTAAGTGCTTTACTCAGTTTCAGTTTGTGCTTTCATGCCCCTAATGTCTTTTGTGTTTTCTTGTTGATAATCATATTACATTTTGATCAATTTGTTGCAGAACCATGCTCAGTAGAAATGCCTGCTATCCTCCATTAAAGAGCAGCACATTGTGCAGAAATGTCACCACACAGTGACTGCAGCTCATCATGCAGATAATAGTCCTCGGGGGGCTGTGGACTGAAAACAACTGGCTGCATTTGCATAAGAACAAAAAACACATTAAATTGTACATGTAAGCCACAGGGAGACTGTGACACGCTTTAACAGGCTGCAATGTCCACTCTGACCTGCTGGGGGTGGTGTTGTCTCCATGGTGAGGTTTTCTCTTGGAGGAGCGGACAGGTGTAGGTGTGGGTGGGCCAGGCCGATCCACCAGCCGCAGGGTCTGGAAGGCGTGGTGGTTCAGGCTTTGCTCGGTGAGAAAGCGTTCTGTCGGGTTCAGTAGCAGCAGGTTCTGCAGCACGAAACACACAGAGGGAGCCCGTGAGAAACCCAGAACATGCAGACCTCTAAAACACACTGAAACTGTCGTGCTGTCATGACTCACTGCCATTAACATAAAAGTCAGGCTGCTGCTTCATTTAATTGTGTCTTACAGTCACCGAACAAGCCAAAAAATAATGTGAAATTGGATGTGTTACATTGGCTTGGATAGAAATGTTTAATGACCTGTCTCTATAGACTCTAGTGAGCTCTGAATCCTATGAGGACACATTCAGATACGTGAACTACAGGTAACCTGTGAACTCTGACATCATATAACTAAAACTGCTGCTTCCACTTCCACATTAACCATGACTAATAAGACAAAATTTCACTCTTTGCATGAAGTCCAGGTTTGCATTAGCATCTACCATACATTTTTACATCATGAATCTCTAAACTGGACTCCAAAGGCCTGAGTAGTAACGAGAGACATGCCTGTCCTTGCAGAATTCAGTCCTGAGATGACATTATGTTAGCAGTGAGTCATTATCTACAGAGAAAAGCGCAAGTGCACCAGCACAGCCCACATTCTTGACATGGAGCTCCTGTTTACAGTGCAGACGCAGCAATAACAGCAGTGCTGGAGCCGGGATATGAGCTGGGAGATGCTGAAGCAGTGAAGAGGCAGCGTACAGTCACGACGTAAACACACGCAAAAATGATGTGATTATCACATGCCTAGTTTGTGAAAAAAGCTGTTTTTGTGGTGACAGAGAATCTTGTGATCATAGTGAGTAAGCAAGAATAAACTGCACCCGATAAAAAGGTGGATGTAAAAAAAAAAAAAAACATCCTTGCTGCAGAGCTGCTCAGCCAGCTCATACCTTTAGCAGGTCCAGCAGGCCTCCACCGATGATGCCCAGGTATCTTCGCTCCAGGGTCTGGGGGTGGTTCACAGCAGGGAACTGAAAGAAGAAACATTCAGAGGATTAGAGTACAGCCAAAAAACACAGCAAGACAAGTTCCAGAGGGAAATAGTGTACATGATTACAAAAAATAACAATAAATCATCACTAAGGAAAAACTGTGTTGGAAGTTTTAATCCTGGAATATCTGTGTATGCTGTTAGTACCCTATGTTGTCTGCAGTGGACTTTCCAAGTTTTATCTCTTTTTTAATGTCACAGTTTTCTCTCTTAGAATTCATAAAGTGATCTTATCAGAGATCATAGAATATTAAGCACATGTGATGGCAAGAAAAAAGTATAAAATATTCAAAAAGCACATTTTGCAACATGCACTACGGACTTGGACTTCAACTGTGGGTTCAGAAGACTGAAGATTGGTATTCACCATAGTGCTATCATGATGTCAGTGAATTTCACCTCATGATTATCCGGTAGGGGTGGAAGAAAAAATCGATACAGCATAGTATCACTATATTTTGTCTGGTGATATATCGTATCGTCTCATTGACCAAGTATGGATTTTTTCAAATTATTTGCTAAAATGAAGTCAAATCTATGATAATGGAAAAATAAAATCAACTGTCTGTCCAGTGAGGTTGGCAGAGGTGACGTCATAGAGCAGGAGAAAGTACAACAAATATATATATAAGGTTTGTAAGATGTGCTGCATGAAAATAAAATACAGCTTAAATAAGTCAACATAAGAAAAACAGTTGAAAAAATGTATAAATAGCAATATGTTGTATCACAATACTCACTGTATTGCAAAAATGTTAAAAATCGCAATAATATTGTATCGTGGCCCAAGTATCGTGATAATATCATATCGTGGGACCACTAGTGAGTCCCACCTCTATTATCCTGACCATAAAATGTTCTGGTAATGATATTAGTAGGGCTCTGATGGGGTTTGCTGGACTCTTGCAGCCAGCCTCAAGTGGATGTTTGAGGAACTGCAGTTTTTTTGGGCATCATCACTTTGACATTCTGATATGAACAGGAACCAATAAACAAAAATAAAAATGCAAACAAGTCACTCCATAAAACAAAGAAAGTAAGACAACACAGGACATGTGGAAAGATTTAAAATTAGGTCTGATGACATGGATGAGTTCAGTCCAGAGTATTTTGGACATGCAGAGAGCCCATGGTTGAAAGTGAGTTAAAGGAAAATATGGGACCATCAATGAGCTCTAGTCATTAACCTGGAAGCTGCATTTTGAAAAAAAAAAATGTAAATGATAATGACCATCTTTACTGAGGCACAAGTGGGGGGAGTTTTAATAATCCAGAGTGGATGAAACAGAGGTGTGAGTCAAGAGTCCGACAGCACCTGCTAAATCTATTTTTGATATATTTTGAGCTTATGAAAAGAAGACAGGACAGGTTAGTGTGACCAAGGAGTCAAGATTGCCAGTGGTAGATTTGTTATTTGACAGGAAAAGGGATAAAAATGTTGCTCTGGTGAGAAATTTCATAATATTTGACTTTTACGATCAGTCTTCCATGAAACGCTTCCCTGCGAATGCCGCTACTGAAATGACATCTTTCAAACCGGAGATCATTTTTGTATGTGCTTTCCTCCACATCCAATCTTCTTGTGTCAACCTCTCTTTCTGACAAAATTCTTCTTCTGACTATTGTGAATCTGCTGTTTGCCAAGAGAGAAAAAAAATGTCCAGAAGCTGTTCTTTTTCTATCACACATTTCCAAGCGTTGCAGAAAGCACACCGTAGGTGGCCAATGTGATAAAACAACCATCAAACATCCTGTGCTCACTCACTCACAAGTGTTGTGTGGTTTCTTGCTGCTCTGATGCATTAATATTTCAATAAAAAAACAGCCTGTGTGGTTCTTTCACACACCAATCTCCACTCTCATGTTCTTTTCTGCTGTTAGTAAAATTATTTGGCTGTGAGAAGGGGGCGTAGACATGAACGTCCAGTGATTAGTGAAATACAATGACGGGGTGATGCTCTCTTATTAAAATTACAGCAGGAATAAAAATTTCTGCCCAACTGTAGAGGGGGAAAAAACAGCAGTTCAGGCATGAAGGCAGGATTTTAGGCTTCACTGAACAAAATTTCTCGACAGACATTAACAAATTTTTATTCCCCAAGTGTCCTAAATTTATAAATGCCGCATTATCAGACAGGGTACTAATCAGCGGGTATTCACTGTCAGGTATTAACAATAGTGGCAATTAGTATCTATATCCCGAGGCGTGGGCAGACAGGAGAAGGAAAAGACGACCCTGGTCTGTTGTACCACCAGGCTGCCACAGCAGATTTATCACAGCCTTCCTTCACAGAGCATACAGGATACATAATACAGGATGACTCATTGTCATCCAATCAGTCACGGCAAAGCAAACTCAGCCAGCAGAAAAAAAAAGAAAAAAAAAATAAGACAGAGAGACAGAGAGGAGAGAGAAAATTAACGAGGGGAGGCAGATCTGGGGAGAAGATCAAGACGGGAGTGATGGTAGAAAGTTGAGATGTGACTGAACCTTGTGAGACAGTCAGAAATCAGAGCACATGAAGAATGTATATCAGCAGCCTTAAAAACAACACAGAGTGGAAACTGCCTTCCACTCCTCCAGATGGACATTTCTGCTCCTCTTAGGTTAGGAGCTGAATAGAGGTGTGCAGGGGTAAAGATTTTACAGTTGATGATGCACCACTAGTGTTTCCCACACATAGATGAAACCTGGGCAACATTTTTAGTTTTTAGTTTTCTTACTGACACAAGAAGACGTCCATCTGTCATCAATAAACAACTGTCTGTCTGTTTCACTTGAGTAATCGTAGTATAGAGCAGTGTCTTCACTCTTGCTCTGCTGGTACCAGAAGCTATTTTCATATGTGCACCAAACTCCCGATATCTTCTGAGAAATTTTGGGGTAAGCTGCACATACTCAAATAGATTATTATTTTTTCCTTAAACTTTATTCAAAGTTTTCTGTCAGCCCCATTAGTAAAATTTCTGCAAGAAAAACAGTATGAGCTGATGTGAGAGTGCAGCTGAAAAGAGTGGAAAAAAAAATCCCCCCAATGAGTTGGTGATGATGTTTCTATCATGGAGCATTTGCAAACCCGGAAAAATAAAACATAACTGGACAAGCACAAACCCGTGGGGCAGAATAAGTAGGATGATAGGATCAGCATGCTTTGTTATCATATCCTGTTCCCCAAGCTTACAATGCAGTTTTAAAGATAGGGGAGACTTGATGCTGTGAAGTGTGAAAACATTTTAACAAGCAACTTAAGAAAATTCTCTGGCAGGGCTTCCTACAAAGGAGAGCAGGAGTGAAAAGTGCATTTGAGACCTAAAGACAAAAGTGACAGACAAGGTTAAGATAATGTATATGCTTATGCATTTTTAATAGGGTACATACAACATTTCCTTCTCTTAATAATCCTTCAAATATTCCAGTCAGTGTTAGTTTTAGCCTCATTTCAGTCTGTGTGTATTTATAGTCTTGATTTAGACTCAGTCAAGACTAAAAATAAACACTGATTAAAAATATCACTGACTAAAATTACCACAGACTAAAATGAGACTAAAATTAACACTTTAATCACTCCAATCCAGCAAAGGTATCTTTTGCTTCCTTTCAAAATTAAAACCAACTTGTTATCAAATCTGTACAATTTTGAAGGCTAATTGCTCTCAGTAGTTCCGGGATTATCTCCACTTTTTGGAACCACCAAGTGCGCAGTAGCGTTGTACACATTCGGCGGGACAGTCGCTGTGATGACACTCGGCTCAAACAACATATCCCCCGGGAGAGCTACGCAATCCTTGTATGCCCATAGGCTGTATTAGGTGTCAATCATAGAAAACATAAACCCCGAATAACTTTAACAAATGGAACTACACAGAAAAGAGAGGACTTGAGCACAAACCAGTCTTACAGTAACTACATGTCAACATCACAACCAGGGTAGAGAAAAAATTATATTATGTGTAATTAATTTCTAAAGTTTGTCTAGAGCTCCATAAGGATTGCTGGAGGAGGCGGGATTTATGACCTATACTGCAGCCCGTCACCAGAAGGTGCTGTTCTCACAGTGGCTTCAACTAGCGAGGAGGCAGACCGCGTCCGTTCTATACACAGTCTATGGTGACGCCCCTGTGGTGTCACTTTGGGCTCTATTTTCGTGCCTCGCCGGAGACGTGCCGCAGGTGCGGCGTAAGTCAGGTCCGCCGCGCCGACAAGGAGTTCCCAAGCACAATTTGGTATTTTGGTGAGCAGTGCAGCCCGGCGTAAGTATCCCCCCTCCCTAACTCAGCTCCTCCAAGCGGCGTAAGTCGTTGCGAGGGAGGAGAGAGGGCGGGGAGTGGGTTTAACACAGCCGAGACCTGTTTTCACCAATCACATAAGCTCCATTCCTCGCCTTTAAATCTGCCACAGGCGAGGCGTATTACTATTTTCGTGAAGTAGTCAAAGAGATCAAGAGATGTCTGAAGACAGTAATGCCACAAGATGGCGACAGAAGGCAGCTCCTCAACAAGTGTCACTGTAAGCGCTGCATTGGGCGTCCTCCACACTCTCTCATATGAGCACAGATGGATTTGGTGTGTGTAATGTTGGACCCACTGGTAAGACAAACACCCTTTTCCACAAATAAAGACACTCACATAAAGTTGCATATATTCAAACCTCACGTGACAAAGGTGGGTTGTGCGCACAGATCACAACATTAACTCCAAAAATGGCATTAAAATTGGAACCATCTGTGCGTAAATGACGCATCGTGCTCCGTGGCCTGGCTCTTTCTTTCATAGATGTTGGCATATAAAATAAATTTGGCTCACAAAACTGAATATTATAATATCCGTATGTCGGCTTAAAGTAGATAACTCATCTGAGCATTGAAACAAATCATCTGTTCAGCCATAGCTGCAGCAGGACGGAGAGAGGACACAGAGACGTGTCCAGGTCGAGCTGTGCGAGAAATAAAAGAGGAAGAAAGAAAAGGAGGGAGACGAATTACATATCTAGTTCACTTCATCGTGTGTTTATTTACTAGATATTAAATTTAATTTAATTTAATGCGGTTTCAGCTGTGTTGATTCGGTCAGGTTGTGTGTCCAAACGCGTGCCAAACGCGCTCATCAGAGCAGATATAGATCAGAATATATCGATATAGATCTAAATGTATGTGCTGACTCAGATTATTAGTTGTTGATGATTATTTATTGCACTGAAATGTGCCTGACACTGTGGAAACCTGCCGGTGAGGCATCGGCGTATGCCGATATGCCGCCGATCTACCAAAATACTACTAGACCAGCTGCGCTCCGCCTGCGCTGAAAGCTGACCAGGTTTGAATCGGCAAGCTTTCAGCGCACTTTACACGCCACTGGTGAGCACGAAAATGTCACTGCGTCCGCTGATTCTGTCGACACCTCCCCCCTGCCACGCCACCACGCCCAGCTTGGCGGATCTCGGCTCGCCTCCGTGCGCCTCAGTCCACGAAAATACCAAACTGGCTGTACACCGGGCTCCGCCAGACGAAAATACAACTGCGGGGGGTCCGCCACCCTCCGTCGCCTCACTGGCGCGCACGAAAATAAAGCCCTTTATGTTCACTGATGTCATGTTGGAGGTGTGTCTTACAGGTTTCCCTCAGCAGCTCACTGATCAGCTCCAAAAGCTAAAGAAACCTTGTTAGGTTCCATGTTAAAATGGCAAATTTTACAACAGAAATATTTATTTGTACAGCCTGATCAAAGTACAGTTACAACCCAAACTGCTCATTTCTCTGTTTCTACACACTGTGATAAGAGTTATTTTTTTTATAACAAATCCAACAAGACAACATAAATCTAAGAGTTACGCATGATTAGAATAGTCAGGGTCAAAGACAGATTGGGGAGTTGTGTCTATTTTCCTGAAGGCTAAAAGCTCATATCATCTCCAACTTATTGCTTATTTCAGGGACGGTTTTCCGATTTCCAATATGGCAGCATGTTGGACCAATCAGAGAATACATCCATGATCACACACTGTCTGGAGGGGAAGCGATAAGATTTTACTCATACTGATGCCATTATTTGCCCTGCTTATCTATCCAATTCTTTGTTGATTACCTTATCGGTTTCTGTGGATCTTCTGGAAGAGAATAAGAGAAGGTTCATCCAGGTTACGAGTGTTACGTTCATTACTCTGCTGGAACTGTAAGCCTAGCTTCTGATTCGGACTATGAAGGTCAGCTGATCACGGATACAGCCTTTACTTAGAATAAAAATCACACTATATCAATTTATGAAACCTAATTCATGAGACATTAACTTCATTTTAGAAAAAGTGGATCTGAACAGTCTCTGATATGCACTGGTCTTTTCTATGGGACAGAAGAACAACTGAATGTCACAGAGACAGAGATAATCACAGCATTATTTAGTCAAACACAACAGCATTTTGGACCTAGATGGACCTGGATCTGATGTGGAACATTTTTTTTATTCACATCCAAACACAGTCTATGAATGTACTGTGAGTTTACTGTGTCCTTGCTTCCCTGAATGATGATAAAAGAAAAAGAAGGAGAGGTATGCAGACATTAGGGTTAGCAGAAAGAGCCATAGAAAGAGTTTGAGTAAAGAGCGTGTTACCCGCAGCCCGTGGAATCGAGGGTTGTTATAAAACAGCTTCATCTGCTCAGGTGGGAGGGGTCCCAACACTTTCTGGATGGTGAAGAGCTGATCGATCTCACTCTCTCCTGGAAACAGAGGTTGTCCGTCACTCAGCTCTCCTAGGATGCAGCCCACTGACCACATGTCCACCGCCTTCCCGTACGGAGCTCTGGGGGGACAAACTTAAGGTCAGGTCAGGCATGAGAAAAGGTACATGTCAGTGTAAATGAACCCGTGGACAAAGTAAAAAAGCTGCAGACGTACCCGAGCAAGAGCTCCGGAGAGCGGTACCATCTAGTGGCCACATACTCGGTGTAATTGGCATCAGTCCCCTCAGAGAGATTACGTGCAAAGCCTTGAAAGAGAAGACAGGGAAGCAATAATCTTATAATGAGAAGTTTTTTGATGTGCTCCACATGCTGAGACACCTGAAAATAATTCCAGGCGGCTCCTCTGTGGACGCTCATTATGAACCAGCAGAGTAAGTTATAAAGTGGTGGAGTTAGGGGGAAGGCTGCTCTTATAGAGAAGAAATGAGTCTTCTGCTGACGCACTGGACCTGTAAATGTAGTACCAGGTATATGCTTGATATTGCTCAACATGTAAGGTAATTGACAGCGGATGGTTGTTCGTCTCTATATGTCAGCCCTGCGATGAACTGGCGACTTGTCCAGGGTGTCCCCTGCCTTCGCCCTAAGATGCTGGGATAGGCTCCAGCCCCCCCGCGACCCCTAATGGGAATAAGCGGTAGAAAATGCAGATGGATGGATGGACTCATGACTAAAAATCCTGATTTCCTGTCACTGCCTCTGTATGAACATGACATGTTCACTGAGAAATACTGAAAAGGTCATATTAGGATAGTCAGGATAGATTGGGTATTTACTATTTAGTGTTAAATGACAAGATTGATATATTCAGTAGGGGGAATCTGGTCTATCAACTCCAGCTGATTTTTAAAAAGTTTCACCCAAACACTTAATAATGTTGGTCAAAATTATATTCAGAAGGTTTTATGCATTTTACTATCAGAGAGCCCATTGATTTTTACATAATTCTGAAGCTCACCGCACACCCGTTCCTATGCCTGCAACATTGATCAGCTATTTGGGTCTCCTGGCTTCAAAGAAACAAAAACCAACCAAACAGAAAAAAATAAGCGTTTCTGACAAGCCATTAACTGTGGTGAGAGGAAAAAACTTCTGAGCTAACTGGAGAGCATATGTTACATGGAGGTGCAGATGGATAAACTGGGAGCCCATAAACTTAGACAGCTCCTGCTGTCAAGAGTGGGACTTAATGTGTGACCAAAAGTACCTGAAACTTTTAATTTTGGGGACATTTTTTTAAGAACTAAATAGTTCCCTTGACCCTTTGTTCCTGCTTTTCCACCGCGGCCTGAAGTCCCTGGGGGGAGCTGACAGGAAGAGTAAAAATATTAAGCAGTAAATTAATCAACTTTATGAAGGCTGAGTTGTTGGTATCAACAGCTCTTTAGCACCCTTTCTGAATCAGAGGACACCAGCGGCTCACATACAGCTGCAGTCTGCCTCATGCACCATCGTACAGAGTTCCTGCCTCAATGAACGCTGAATGCTATTGAACCCCCTTTATTCAATTTTTTAGTCATTAAATCTGAAAATCTGAACAGAAGAGTGTCTTCAAAGTGTTCATCTTTCTTTTTTTAAATACATACTGATACAACCCATAAAGAGCATGATACATTTTTTTTATATAAAAATGCACTAAAATCATGAAGTCTACAGATATTACTGAAATATCAAAATTTGCAAAATAAAAGTGACTTATACATCATACACCAGAACAGCGTACCAGTGTGCTATAGGCAGTGCTGTGGTTGTGAATAAAGAGATAAAACTTTCTGCAAAGTAAAGCGCAGATTTCTTCTAACATTAACGCTTACATCAGAATTTCTTCAAATAAATGAATTGTGTGGTAGGGTTGAGCTACGTGTTGCAGTTGACAGTCTAGCTTCCTCTCCAGTTCTCAGCAGATTTGTCAACAAAGGTGCTGAGCTGATTGGGTTAACCTGTTGGTGACACACTTACTGCTATTAAGCCTTAATCATTGAGGATAAAACAACAACAAAAAAGGCTTCAAATTTTTCACTTGTCATCTGATGGAAATATGAAAGTTTACCTTTTTAAAATAGAAGTGACTTAAGTTCTGGTTGTTGAGAAGCACCTGAACAGATAATCTTTTTGATAAAAATTTAAGCCCTTAATTAATTGGAAGGTGGATTCGTTAACAATGGACTGAGTAATGCTACCTGTCCTTTTATTTTATGCTAAGCTTCCCTTTCTACCTCCTGCTTGGGGCGTCATAGCCACACCATAAAACTTGTAAAAATCCAGGCAAAAGAGAAAATCTGCAAAACTTTTTGTTTTAAATGCAACATAGCACCACTTTTCTAACTGAACTCCATGAAATATTAACCATTAGAGGGAAAGATGTCTCTCTTATTCAACCATTTCTACCTTATAAAGGAAGAATTTCTCGTCTCATTTAACCTAGAGCAATAATTTTATCAGAGCTGCTGCATCTATATTGAGAGTTCAGATACGTCTCTACCTGCCACTTAAAATCAAAACAACACAAACTGAAAGTAAACGCAGAGTGAGACAAAGTTTCAAATAAAAACCTTCCCAGCAGGGTGTGTTTAGCCTATGTTTGTTCTCTCTGTGCCTTTGGCTGACATCGAGCAAACAGCAGGTCTTTAGTCTCTCACTCCAGATTGCCTACATGACGCTGGCTATGCCATGTTTCCCGTTTTGTTGTAGTGCTACCAGATTGAATCAAAGCATGATCAGCCCCTTGTTTTCCAACACGTTTCATTAATTGAGACGAGGGGAAGAATGCACTGCATCCGCCTGCTGAGAACCAGAGAGGAGGGCTGCACACACAGCTCTAGAGAACCGGATGAAGCCTGCCTGCTGCCCCTCAGAAGCACTGGTTCCAGCCAAATATAGTCTCTGTTGAAAATACTCCTTTTACATCACAGCTTTGACTGTTTGGCCACCTTCCTCGAAGCTCTCAGAGCGCAAGCGCTAGATAGATCTGCTCACCGAAGTCACATAACTTGAGGACGTCATCCGAGCTGATTAGAAGGTTTTCTGGCTTAATATCTGAGGAGGAAGAAGACAGATGGGCAGTAAGACACCACATAAGCTGATGAGGGGGCATCATCGTTACATCATCACTACCATCAAACTGTCAGCTGTCTCATTCAGTAGATTTCAATGTTTCACAGTTCTTATAATTCAGTAAAAGCAGCACAAAAAGAAAGGTGGAATCAAACAAAGAAATTCACAGATTGTGAACTATAACTTATACATATCCCCTTCCCCATATGCGAGTCTGGGCAGACCACAGGCCATTTGGATGCCCGCTCTGTTGCATCAGTTCGCCAGGAGCTCACATGGACCATCTGGTTTCCTGCTCTGCTGCCACTGATTTGCCCCAGAGCTCACATCTTGTGAACAATGGAGGGGAAAATTTAAAGCCCTTGTTACATTAAGTAAGAGCAATAAGATTCAAATTTGTGCCTTTTAACACTGAGATTGTGAAGCGTTTGTTTCATATCTCTAAAATTAAAATAGAAAACAGGGAGCAGGTGTAAATGCTCTGTGGAGCTGCATCAGGTTCACTTTACAAAAGAGTGGCTTTGTTTAACAGGAACTGGCAGCTTTAGATATAACATTATCATTCAACTGTATCATCATAACAGTTTAATTTAAAGGCACTGTGAGGGGTTTTATATTTTGCTGGTTCTGGTGACCACTTTTTTTTAAAAGTGTTTTTCTCAAGATCTAGACTGCAAGACCCTCCAGTACCATCACCCACTGTTGTAAAGTTGTGGCTCTTGCCTTAGCACAAACATGTTAAAGGGATATTCCGGTGTAAAATTAATTTAGGGTCAAACAACCCGTAACACAGAGTTATACACCCCCTCGAGAGATTAATGTTGCCAACTGCTTGCTTCTCTAGTGATACCAACTTTAGTAATGACCGCACAATAGCAATACACAACGGCCTATGTCTCCACGCGCAAACCTCAACCAAAAAGCCACTCTACAGCCACTAATAATGCTCAGAACAGCACCTAACTTCATCAACAGTACATACAGGGTCCCAGCCATAGTACTAGCCACCAAACATTGCATTTCCATGAAGAAATGATCATAAATGTTCCTCCTTGAGCTACGTCACCCTGCAGCAGTCCGTAATGGACTGGCCTGAGGTCTCGCTACAGACAATATTTGTGGCTATAGAGCGGAGTTTTGGTTGAGGTTTGTTTATGGCTCCTCAGACCGCTGTGTATTGCTATCCTGCGGTTGTTATTAAAGTTGGTAACTAGAGAATCAAGTTGGTAACTAGAGAATCAAGTGGCTGGCAACATTCATCTCTCGAGGGGGTGTCTAATTTAGTGTTGCAGTGTGTTTGACCCTAAATTAATTTTGCGCCGGAATATCCCTTTAAAGAAATTAAAGACTAAAATACAGATCCAACCTCCTACATGAACACTGAAGGATTTATAATGTTTTTCTATTATTCATCAGTTTCATTACCTAAAGAAGAGGGGGGGTGTGGCTTCACCAGCTTCTGCAAAAACTCAACATGGCTCTGAATGCCAGAGTCAGCAACCATCTAAAGGAGTGCTTTGGTTTTACTTTTTTTTACAACAGGAAGAGATGGAGAATTGTGATCTGTCTTTGTATGCAGCTAAAAGTTGCAGTGTGTTTCCTGCACAAGTTGGAAGGCTGAGAAACAGTCTCTCCTCACAGTGTTTACATTTTTGCCCTAAAAAAAATGAAAAATAAAAAATAAATAGAGCCCTTACCTCGATGAACTATGTCGTGCTTATGACACCAGTGAATGGCTTTGATTAGCTGATAGATGTAGCTGCGAGCTTTCTCAGTTGGCACACCATTGGGTAACTCCTCCAGCAGCTCGAGCATGTTCTGAAGAAGACAACAAAGACAATGAGAGGAGCAAACAAGATAGCCACCACACTAGATGACTGTAACTTTTTAATGGTGTTATATCTTGTCAAAGAACGGCGCGGAGCAAAGGAACAAACCTTCTCCACATATTCAAACACCAGGTAAAGCTTCCCTCGTCTTCGAAAGGCCTCCTTTAACTCCACTATGTTCTCTTGCTTGAGTGTGCGGAGCATCTTAAGCTCCCGTAGTGTCGTTTCTTTGACCTCTTCATTTTCTGCATAGAGACAAAGGGAGAATCACATGCATGCTAATATGTAGTGACTTCATCAAAGGTAAAGGTAAAGGTAAAGACAGCTCAGTGTTTGATGATCAGAGCTGTTCTTTCACTGGGGGCTGCTTTGGCTCAGTGCTGTAAGTACAAACATAACTAACAAGCTGGTTCAATTTCTCAGCTAGGTCTACTCCTGGTCTCTACTCCCAACATTATTTCTAGACTTTCTAGACTTCTAGTTCTGTAATAAGGATTATTACCTTCACTGTCCTTGAATTTCTTAATGGCCACAATTTCATTTGTATCCTGCAATAAAAACACACAAAACAAACAGTGAGAAATGTATCCAACAGGTTAGTACTTGAGTTTAAATGACAGCAGAGAGAAACATGAACGGTACACTATGACTGTTATCTTTGTTGCTTTTACCACCCCAAGCACTCTGACGATTGCGGCCCCATTTGCACCTAGAATTAACATATCCCTGGGCTATTTTGAGACTTCCTCTGAGTTTTTCACACTTGGAGTGACATTTGTCCTGATATAAGGATTCAAGGAATTTTATTTGGCAAACCCCACACTTTTTACAGTTTGTGGTACAAAATAAGTACCCAGGTCTGTTTCCAAGCCAAAATAATACAATACAATACAATTCAAGAGCAATCATAAAAAGTTTCTGAATTTCTGAACAACTGATGGACTAAAAACCATAAACCACAAAAAGTTATTTCTTTATTGTTTTTTGTTTGTTTGTTTTTTGCAGTTACTTACGAGGTTGTATAAGACTTAAAGCGTCAGCGTGGGTATTGTGTTGAAAGATGTTCACACATTACTCTGAATTATGTGCTCAAGGAAATGAAGCATCAGTGACATTTTTTGGTCAAAAGGATGATCAATATGTATTTTGTGCTACAGCTGAACAAAAGGATCGAAACATGTTAAAATGCATCAGAACGTGGGAAGCTGCATCTCCTCTGATAACATTTTTCTAGGGCTGCACCCCTGGATCCCTCAAGCTGCACATGCAAAACAGTGACTAGGAAGTAACAGATGGACAATACATAGCACAATGGCAGCTGCTGATGAAAAACAACTGTCTCCAAAAACTTCCTCAGATTGTGAACTTTCATCCTCATCGCTGCAGAGAAAAAGGATACTCTGCAAACTTTGTAAAGCAGACTTGACTTATGATGATGGTACACTGGGATAAATGTTCTTTCTAAGAGGTTGTAACAAAAAAGATACGATTAGATACTAAGAGAACGGAAACAGATGTTTGGCCTGCTGCACAGAGCCATCTTTAAATAACAAAGCCAAAAGTAGTTCACTTCTACATCCATGCATCTCATCTTTACAAAACAAAATCTTAAAAACTCCACAAAAACATGGTATTTTGCTGATCATTGCTCATCACTTTTTGTATGAGCCAGCAAAACTGCAACCTCAGAAAAACAACTTTAGAGGCTGTAATCTTGCTTTGTCATATACCTCTGAGAATAATTGCCAGCTTCTCGGGTATTGTGTGCCAGCTGTAAGCAAAACAGCATGTACTGCATTGTTGTCAGTCCACCTGACAACCAGAATAGAGACAGTGTGTTCACATAAAAAGTAAAGAGAAATTTACCCCCCACAGATCAAATAAATACCATCATTTCTTGTCCCTAACATTCCCTGGAGGGGCGGAATGCCCATTTATCTGTCTTTGCTGAGTCTCAATTTAACTGTACAGAGACTTCACCCTGCTCGTTTCCAGCTGATTCTGACTTAACTGCAAATAACAGGTTTGAAAAATTTGTAAAGCAGACCCAGCTTATTGAGGTAAAACCATAGACTGTATATACTATGGACAACTTGGTTCCGCCTTCCACCAGTATATGGATTTGAAGCCAAAAAGCTCTCGGTATTTCCGCGTTTTCTCTCCATTTCCTGAAACCAACATTGCCCAGTAGCAATGTATGCACTCCACCATTTGCGCAGTAGCATTGTGCACATTCGGCGGGAGAGTCACAGAGAGTCGCTGTGATGACGCTCGGCTCAAACAGCGTATCCCCCAGGTGAGCTACGCAATCCTTGGATGCCCATAGGCTGTATCAGGTGTCAATCATAGAAAACATGAACCCCCTAATAACTTTTAAAAACGGAGCTGTACAGAAAAAAGAGGACTGGAGCACAAACCAACCGACAGTAACTACATGTCAACATCGCAACCAGGGGGGGAGAAAAATTTATATTCTGTGTAATAAATTTCTAAAGATTGTCCACAGCCCTATAAGCTTTGCTGGTGGAGGCGGGATTTATGACCTATACTGCAGCCTGTCACCAGAGGGTGCTGTTCCTAGAAGTGGCTTCACCCAGCGAGGAGGCAGACGCTTTTCATTCTATATACAGTCTGTGGGTAAAACAAAGGTAATGTTTGAGTGTGAGAGGAGCAGACGATGGACAGGAGCAAAATGTAACCAGCACAGGTACATGGAACGTCTGCAAGGAGGATCAAAGGCTGGTGGTGCTAGCTCTGCTATTGTTAGCCACACTTTGCAACACCTGTGATCAAATATTTAGATGTGCTTTATGCATAGTGTGCTCATTGTTGAATGTTTTTTACAATTGCTTCTTACCTTTGGACAAGTTGGTTAGTTAGGATTCAAAATTCTGTTTAAATGGTTTAAACTTTTTCCTTCGAGTCTTTTTCTGTCTCTCTCCTTCTCATCTCTTGCTTCCTTTTCTCTTACTAACAATGTCTTACAAACTCTTACTTTGTCACCAAGGTTACCACACTCCACAAAAAGACAAAAATTATCTATATTACAATATCCCGAGCTAAGACAAAAAGCTTATTCAATTAAAGAATTAATTGCGTGTTATATTTAAAAGGACATACCTTAATAGAGCTTTTAAGTAAATGTGTAATTTATTATCTAGATTGCTGAATAATTGTTTCAATTATAAATCGACTGTCAAATTGACTACCACAGTTAGTTGCAGCCTTGAACAGAATTTCCCTTTAATACTGGGTCACTTGCACAAAGAACTCACATAACTACTCCACCTGACTGATTCATTGATGGGTTTTGGTGCAAATGGGTCAAGGACACCTGGATGGGAGTACAGCTTTGGAAATACATCTGCATAAAAGATCCTGTAAACGGTTAAAAGGCATGGGTGGCAGTAGTAGTTATCAGCAGGAGCACATGTAGCAAACAAAGAAATTCAGACCTAATCACCACTGAGTCACTGTTTCAGACACTTCTCATTATCCCTCCATGAAGTTCTCAGAGAGAGACGCCGCCCCGGCACTAGCCCCGTTTCTCGACATGTCCTACTTAGGCCTGGTATTTCTGCCTATATGGCTCAGAGCTGTGCTCCAGTTTCCCACCCCCTTCAGAAAGCCAAAGGCGGCATCGCACCACTCCAACATGGACGCCAGTGAACAGCAAGCCCTCCTCCCAGCGCCGAGAAACACAAGATGACTCACAGCGGGGTCAGCTACATGAGCATCACTACACACACATACACACACACACAGCAGAGTGAGTGGAGGGAGACGTTCTGCTGCAGGCTTTAGATTAAATAAGCTGTTATATGTCTAAATATTGTTCACTCACAAAGAGAATTAAACCACAGCAGCAGCAGCTACAGTACACCTTTGTAGGTGTGTACTGTAAATCTGACTCATTGTTGAGGTAATCCTGCAAACTTTCTCCTGAGTGTAAGAAGAGGAAATCCAGAAAGTCTCTGCAACTTTCCAACATGTACCCCACATATAAAAAAAGAGAAATGCTTTTTGTTATTTCAGACCTGAAACTTTTATCGTTTGGGTTCATGTCGACTTTTTAGTCTTTGTATTTTGGATCATGGATAGGTTAAATCCCTTCAGGGGTCTTGCTTACCTTATCCAAACTTCAGTTCTCAAAACTACCTACTCACAATATATTATCCTGTACTCATGCAAGATTTCATCAATGCTCAAGGAGTGCATGAGCAGTGTGCACACAGGTAAGTAGGTATTTTAGTAGGCAGGCAAGTAAGCCATCTGGAGTGACATGATTTGATTTATTACAGAACTGGACAGATACGTCTGCCTGATTTTTTCCTTGTTTTCTTTGCATTAAATTTGCTTTGGTACCTAAAATGAACATCAACAAACACGACATGAAATGGATCCAAAATAAACTTCCATTGATGTTTAAATTAGTAAAAATTAGGAATGTTACAGCCTTGCTAAATGCAGTTTCCCCATTTGCCATTACAGATAAAATTTCTTCCCACTTGAAACTCAGATGACATATTGGTCTCAGTGTTGGTGTCCTCCATGACCAGTATAAACTAAAACTGAACAAATCTTCACATTGAAAAATTCTAACTTATTTTATTTTGTGTTTGTTGCTTGCTGGTCCTTCCTTTATCACAGAAAGCAATATGTCATCACCTGGGCTTTTTAAGTTTCCCTATGAAAACCTTCGTACTAAATGTTTGCTTTGCTCATCACAGCAGTTAATACAAAATGAACCATGATAGTAATAAGTAATAGCAACCATGATCCAAACACAGAGTATGCAGACGTATTTGATGGCACAATGCTCACAGATTTGCTTCTCAGAGCTATAAAAAGGAGCAAAACGGGGGACCTCACTAAAGCACCCAAATCATTCCTCTTTCACCAATTATTATCTAAAATACCGAACAAACTTCACAACTTCAGTGACCGTAGTGAACCTGCTCAAATTACTTGCTCCAATTCCCCGAACACTTTATCAAACATTTAAATCGGTTTAGGTTACTTCTGCTTCAAGTACAAACCACAGAAAAAGTCCCAGTCTGGGTAAAAACACAAGAGTATAAAAACAATAATAACACACTACCCACTGATCTCTGCTTTATTTGGATGGGCTGGCAGTTTTTAATTATGCGTATATGTTTATGTTATACCAACACCAGCTGCTCTCAACCTTTTTGTGTTGCAGTCTATTTTAAGCTCTGCAGGAAATCCCAAGTGGCGATGGACTGTGAGGACTGTTAGTGTGAGAAAGCCAAACTTGGACAATTATATTTACACCTTTTTGATTAAACACAGGCCAACGCAGGTTTTTTGACACTGGCTACACCTTTTTATACAAAACTAACCATCCTCAGAGTAAAAGTTACTGCAGTGTCAGCTGATGTAGATTCTATAGTCGCTTGTCTTTTGCTGACCAATCACAAGAAGGGGTGGGAACAATGGAAGAGGTCTGTATGTGGGAGAAAAAACTAACCCTCATTATATTTTCATGGTACAATTTCTAGGTTTAGAACTGCTGCTGATGCTACAACACAATTTCTATCAATTATCTTGTGTTCTTTTTAAAGTTTCATAAAACTGATACAAATATAATGCATACAGAGCAATTTAAAACAGACTCAAAGGTGACTTCTTGGAGAAGCAGAAGTGTCATAGGATAATGCTCGTAACTAGCTCCAGAGAGTGCCAGTGAGTAATGCAGATGAATTGAGGTTATGAGGGCTGCAAACACACAAAAAAAACAGTGTCAGTGGAAACAGCTCCATCACAGCAAAAAAGCTCAGGGTGGTTCTATAATGATCCCATCATATAATTTGCTCAGCAGGTTTCCCTCCAACTCCATTCTTGACAACATCTGAGACACAGCAATAACGATAGTGTCCAATTTATTCAAACTAAGACACTAAGGATACTCCATAGATGATGTGCTTTGACTAGATGTTTTCCCGTTACCATGTGGAAGCAGGGAAGTAAACTTTGGTTGAAGTCTGGGGAAACAAAAAGAGGCCAAACTAACATGGAGTTATATTTAGATTTGATTAAGAAAGTCAATGTTGAGTCTCCTTGAGTTCCTGTGAGGACCTTTAAGACTGTGTTGACTTTGGCTACCCCTAGTTAAGTAAACTGGCAAATAATGCCTTTGCTCATCCTGTCCTATGCATGCATGTAGAAGTAGTGTTGCCGTTTTTAACCAGGGTGTAAACATCCTTATTATTGCCATGACAATCATGTGTGTTCATGGTTTCTAGGGCTTCTGTAGACAGCCCCAAGTGGACACTCTGGGAACTGCAGTTTATAACATGTATTGGCCGTTTTTCCTCAAGACTGGAGGTTTCTGCTCGGCTACAACACAATCTCTGTCAGCTATTTCTACATATTATTTTTTTAATTTTAATAAATGAATACAAATATGAAGCATAAAGAGCAATTTGATACAGCCTAAATAGCCTCTACCAATAGGAGTGGAAGTGCTGCTGTGGGCAGGAATGGAGTTGCTGCAGTAATCTCAGTCAGAACAATCAAACCAAAAGAAAAGAGCAAATTGCATGAAGCCTGCCTGTGATGTTGTCATGGTCTAACTGCACATGACGTTTGAATGGTGGTGAATTATCATTGTGAACGCATCAGTAAGTTATCTTCAATATTTTCATATCCCATTTCAGAAATATGAAACTGCCACAGCCAATAATCAAGAGCCTGCCTTTATTCATTCATAAAGTTTGTAATCTTTGCTATCATATCAGACTATTGCATAACATTAGTGTAATAGGCAGATAATAAGGGTTTAGAGGGCTTGTTATTGGTTTCCATTGATATGAACATTTCTGCAAATATATTTTATGCTCAAATATGTATTTTGGGATTAAAATGACAGCTAACATAAACCAAACTACTCCCTGCATAGATATTTTAAGCTTTAAAAACAGACAGCAGCTGCACATCTGAATGTCTGTAATATTAACCAGAAGACCTTCACATTAGAGTAACAGATATCTATGACAGGAGAAACTTTGTGGTCTTTAATGTGAAAAAAAGCTGTTTTTAAATGCTGCTGTTTTTAAATGAGTCTGAAAATAATGGCATGTTGGAAATTAGTAAAACCCCAATATCATGTCTCCTCACAGAGATACATCAAGACACGAGTAATTGTACTGCAGGTGTTCATCTAAAAATATCTGTGATCATTTCTGCTTCAATATCTTTCCTGTCATAGGTAAAATCTCCAAAGCAGCACCCGATAAATCTGTTTTGTAACTATGTAAATATCACCCACTGGAAATTAACTTCTAACTTATTCATTGTCATAATCTTGATTAAAGAGTCATCAAGTGTTTCTAAGAGACAATTAGTCAGAGGAGGATGCAGTCATACCACTGCTGTGTAACATTCCTCATCGTGCATCACGCTCTCAAACTTTTCATCCTCTTTGACGTGGATGCTGCCAAACTTTGAAACCCCATGCCACTAAGAGCATCAATTAAGTGTCAAAGACTTGTGTTTGTATAGAGCATGACATGATCAAACCGCTTAGCTCCACAGTTCTGTCTCTCATGATCCAAATAAGGAGATCAGACATGAGCTGCTGCTTGGCTGTGAAAGTTGTTAATAACAGCCTGGTGGATCTCCAGGATGATGAACGCTGAGAGTGCAAAGACAACAGAGAGTTCAGTCAGGGTGAGACGGGATATTACCTCAAAAAAGAGACAGCAGATTCTTTTTTCATCTCCAAGTTTTCCTCAGCTGATTTCTTAAAACATACTCACAGCACTTTCTTTAATGGCCCACTGAGCATTTCTCAACAGCAGGCTGCTGAACCAGCACTTTAATTCAGAGAGACTCCAGGTGATGTTCAACGTGGCAGCAACAAAAAGACCCCTGAAGTCACGGGCCGAAACCCCTGTGGTTATTAAAGACTTAGAGGCAAAAGCAGGAAAAGTCATTCGCTAGGAACTAAGCGCTTCCCTGCAAGAGTTTTACATGTTTTTTGTTGAAATATGAATCTTAATAGCTGTGAAACACATCCTACTGGGGTTACAAATGACCCTGAAGTGCTGTGTTGAAGAGGTTAAAACAAAAAACCACATCATGAGATACAAAGAGAACAGGATGGGGTGTCTGGCCCGCTGCATGGTGATGTCTCTAAATAGCAAGGCTGAAAGAGCATCTGAAGAAACTCTCCAAAAACATGTTATGTCACCAATCACTTCTTATCACTTTCTACATTAGCAAAAACAAAACTGCTATCTCAAAGAAGATTCTTAGAGGCGACCATCTGGCATTGACAAATGTCTCTGGGAGGGATAGCTAAGTTTTAAGGCGCTGCAGTGTAGCCAGAGGTTGGTGTTGCATTGTTTACAGTCTAATGAGCAAGTTTAAAAGCAACAGTGCATCCAGATCAAAAGTGAATAGAAGTTTCCCTCCAGACAAAAAATTAATTCCATCATTTTTGGTCCACAGCATCCCCACAGAGAGCACCAATTTATCTGCTTCTCAAGCGGCAGATTAGCTGTAAATAACAAGTTACACAGAGACTTCACTCTGTTCTTTTCCTGCTGTATGAACACAAAGAAGGTTTACTCAGATTTACCCTAAAATTACAGTAAGTTATCATTGATTACAGCAGTGTGATGTAATGCACCATGTACAGAGGCCACAGTCCTTGTTGCAGCTGTCTTGTCTTTCTTCAGCTGTCTTATGTAGGCTACCAATGGCAACAAAGCCCGTAAACATGACTTAAAATAAAAATAAAAAATTAATCCAGTTTGGATATTTTTCACCACTCAACTGGCACCAATTAATTTGAAGGCAGATGACTGCTGACTTTATGGTGGTAAAGCATGGTTATCAATCCTGAGCCTTCACCCAACAGACAAAATGGAAACATGTAAGGCAACAAAGTACTGCATGTTTGGGTGGAACATTAAAAAATGTTTTCTCTTTTGTTTGCTCAGCCTTTGAAATCTGTTGATCATGAATCCCTATATTGTAATTTAGCACTGGGCAATAAATAGCGCCACAGTATACAGTCAAAGTCAGGCTTCACAGTGCCCATTTCGGATTGTCGCAAAACCACGGTGTATCAAGCTTTTGGCACCTGGGTATGGGCGATAGCACATAATGCAACATTGTATGTGCATGGAGTGCCAGCCTGGTGGGTTATGGTGGCTTAGCAGCCTTCCTTATCAAGTGCCCGCTAGGGATGGGCGATAAATTATTGTTCACGATATATCGTCAGAAAAATCCTGCACAATAAATATTTGCCATCTCACAATAAATGTGATAAATGCAAGTTGATGACTTCAGTGCCAGAGACAGACACCCAGCCATAGCCCACATGGAGCAGGATAACAAACAAACATGGCCGAAGGTGGTGAAGAAGACGTTTCTGAGCAGCTCGTTGCTAAACCAGGTTCCACATGAGAGAATTCCTTCAAGATTAGGGCTTAGACAAGTGCATTCAGGTATGCCTGGCATCGGACAGTGGATCTGCTGCTGTTCCCTCTGTGCAATAAGAGTTTTGATCAAATATTGAAAATGTTTTCACATTTGAGACTTGTTCGATGTCACTAGTTTTCTACCACTTAAACTTGTGGTTAAGTATCTTAATTTGATCATGCCTTATTAATTATTACTTCATTATTAATTGGTCCACACACAATTTCAGGATTTGTTGTTTAAAGGACTTCGAAGAAGCTGTCCTGTGATGTCTGCCATGCCAGCCTGGTGACAGACGATGCTTCTGCCAGTAAGGACAGCAGCTACCACCTGCTGACTCTGAAATAAAATGGAGGTCTTGTGATTCCATCTGAAGGCACAGTGAGGTCGTCAGAGCAGCAGAGTGGGTCAGTCACCAGGCATCAGCAGGAAGACAATCATAGCCCATCAAACCACATCCTCTACATTGTGCGCAGGAGGATCGGGTTAGATGATGTGTTTTTGCTTGTGGGGCACATAAGAGATACACAGTATGGCATTGACTCCCACCACCATACACTGCTGACATTGGTTGTGTCCTTGTTTTTCAAGTTAAGGCTGCACCACTTTGGTAAAGTAGCAACACTTGGCTTACAGAGTGACAATGTGAGACAGAAGCTCACGAAAACATTACTTTTCAAAGGAAATTAGATTTTTGTACACATTTGTAGTTCTGATTCCTTTTTCTTTGAGTTCACGCCAACCATGGCAAATAATTGTAAAGTTGTTGGTGTCCCTGTTGGTGGTAGACTTAAAAACAATAAAACCATCCAAGTACAGTTGCAACTAAAGTGTGATTCTCTAAGAACACAGGGGGTTGGCAAGTTTTGCTTAGGGCCAATGTTCCTTTAAGCCAATGGTTCTCAACTGGGGGTATGAGTACTCATCGGGGTACGCAGAGCTACTCCAGGGGGTATATGACAGAAAGTAAAAATGGAAAAACTGGACACAGTTTCAAGTAAATGTGCTCAAGTTGCTGTAATTTCAAGTCAATCACTCCTTTTTTCATTTGTGATATTCTCCCTAAGGTGGATTATTGTTCCTTCAAAGTATGCACCCACCACACAGCAAAACAGAACCATGAGAAGACAAAGACACTCAACCAACACTGCAAATAAGAGAAGCACCACAACAACCAAAGGTGATCTGACAGAAAAAATAGCAAATGGTGTTCTGTCCTGGGCGTTTTCCCCCACCCATAGACCATCATAAACTGGTGAAGCAGGTATGAAGGATTCTGCAGTCTGAAACAGTCTGGCCTTTGGAACCTTCCATTAGGCAGCGTTGTGAGCTGCAGTTTGCTGGTGGAAGCCCCTGAAAAGGGTTAAGAGACTCCCATCTCGAGGCCTTTCCTGTTTTTTAGTTTTTTGCCACAAGCAGCATTTCTTTAGCAACCTTTAGTCAATTTGAGACACTTAAAGTTTCCAATCAGCTAACATCAGGGTTGTGTGAATGCAGAAGGACATAAAGTTCAATGATGTGTGGTTCTCAAGGGACTCCTTACTGGATAGTTCCTCTTCAAAAAAACACCCTAGAACTCTTTGGTATGAAAACAGTGATGATCCTTTTCTGAACATAGAAACGCTTTATTGGTGCACAAAGTTAAAATATAAGTCAACACTGACTTCACGTGGGAACCCACATGTGAAGGAGGGACAACTCTGTAATAATCATCGCCCCCCAGCATTATATTGTAGTTCCTTTCATTCACAATAGTTCCCTGAAAAAGACCAGAAGTTCAGTCACAAAGAGGACATCAACAGGTGGGAAGGACCGGACGACTGTTTCACAAGAATTGGCCTTAAAATAGCCATCATCTATCAGGGGGATGATGACATCTTTAACACTCAGACAGGAAATATGCATCCCCTCCCTCCCTGGCTCCTGATAGGACCACATAGACAAACGCTCCACTCAAGGTGACCCATTTAATGTTAGATGTGAACGTCCTTTTTTTCCTCTCCTGTCCCAGTTTCTGTTCACTGGGTGCAAAAATAACTGTTCCCTTCAAAGGGGGCCGATGCACTTTTTTCCACACTAAATAAATCTCCATGTGTCTGACAGCTACTCAGCTTATTTGGGATAAAAACAATTTAAGCCCACTGCATTAGTTCTTTTATCAGAGAGAGAGAAAAAAAAACCTTTAAATGAAATGCATAAATGAAGATTCGTTTAAAAAAAAGGGGCGTTTATGATGGAGACAGGACAAACAACAGATGACTGAAGAGCTTGGCTGACTCACTTGATGTTACATGGCTACTCCTTCAACAGTGACAGGAATAATAGCTCCAGTCAATACACTCATTTACTTATCTGGATCATTCTGAAGTAACAATTCAAAGTCAAAGGAAAAAGCCAACAATTTAGATGTATCTCCTGAAAATAATTGATTTTTGCTTGGTGGGTAAAAACATGCAGCATTAAGACTCAATGATTTATGAATCACAGTGTAGAGTTGAAAAGGAGAAGTTAAGCTTGTCTGTGCAAACCAAAATGTTATCACACTCTATTTACTCATTGTGATCGGTGATGTGAATAGGGCTGAGCAATTTGATCAGTTCTTGGATATAAATTGATATTTTTTACCAGAAAGTATCGATTTTTCAGCCGTGATTATAAATATATTAAGTCTCATTAAAATCCCCTTTGTTCTGCCTGGCATACTGCTAACTCAAAAACTCAAAACTTGTGTTGCAAATACATAAATTAATATTAATTTAGTATTTAATTTTAATTAATATGAATTTATACAATAATTGGCATCATAAATTCTTTCAGATTTTCGGTTTTCAGCCATGGTTTTCTTATTTTTGGTTTCGGCCAAGAATTTTTATTTTGGTGCATTCCTACTTAAAAGCAGATTTGTGGGAGCACTTTGGTTTTAAAAGGAAGACGGAAAGTGTCGTTTTAGATACAAGTTTGGCTGTTTGCAAGCTGTGTCACACAAACGTGAAATATTCTGGAAATACAACCAACCTAGCACACATGAAATGTTACCACCCAGAAAAGGTAACGCTGTTGGCTGAATATCTTGATTATTATCGTATCGTAAGCTGAATATTGTGATAAATATTGTATCCAGAGCTGAATATCTTGAAATTAGTGTATCGCTACAACCCCACATGACAGACGGTGTTACCTCTTTGTTTGTTAATCACAGACACCTGCTGTGACTCAAATAACAAGCACTAAGCTAAGTCAGAAGAAATACTAGACTGCACTCAAACACCCTTTTGGATTGGTGAGCTGCTCTGACTTAAAAGGCTGAGGACAGGAACTTTAGTGTTTTCTCTAGTGTCTCCTCAGCATCAGAAGAACATCTTAAATTACTTGCTTCCAGTTATGATACTTTTTTAAAGGTCTGGGTATGATTCAGAAGTCAAGCAAATTCCATATTTCCAGATTAAAGGTGCTTCAGAGGCTGAATTTGGTGAAAGCACTTGGAGTCAAGAGACCACTGGACAAAGTGCTACATAAATATAGTCTGTTAACCATTTACCCTTTTAAATGTCAAACAACTTTGGTGGCTATGCAAGTATTCTAGACCATCAAAAATCTTCTTTCTGATGTATAGCTATCAATCAATCACCATGGTAATAGACTTATGGGCTTTATGGACAGCTGGGGTTTAGGTCTGGGGCTGCACCTCATTGAGTTTGAGTGGAAGTTGGATTCAATAGAGGTCATGTACAAGCAGGAACTCTCTGTTGCTTGTTGACTATTTTAAAAATATTAATGAGGTTAGACTGAGACTCTGCTGAAGAAGACAAACTTTAGTTTTAGGTTTCATTCATGAAAAGAAGACTCAAAATTCTTTGAAACAGCAACACCAAAGAGATACATGAGTAAACTAAAAAGCAAATGATCTTTCTTTTAGTCCCTAGCGATACTAGGTTGGTAAGTACAAGTGAACAGGATGGGCACCATTCAATGTGACCCTTATCTACTCTGATGACAGCATGACCTCACCTCCAGTTGCTATCCCATGTTGTTGTCATGACCCGTCGAATTTGGCCTTTTGTCTCTTCTAAACTGCAAAACCAAGTGATCTTCCTTTGCTGTTACATTACTGACCATCTCGACGCATCTCTCAAAATCTTTCAGCTCAGAGAGCAGAAAGAGAAAACCCACTGAAGTACAAATTTGATTAATTTCATATGTGAGCTTTTCTTGTTGGGCTCAGTGGTAACAGAGATACCTTTTTACATGCTAGCAGGTTTAAAAAAATCGTATTTGTGATTGCAAAGGCGTCAGAGGAAAGCATGTAAACATCTCTACGCTTTCAGCCCCCACCCTCTCTTTTGGTCGTTCACACAACATATGGTTCAACAACACTGAGAGAATTGTATAAGCTTCTCCACCATAAACACATTCAGTGAGTATGTCTCTGTGTTGGCATCAGCCAGGGGCCCTCAGGGTTTCTGTGAACTAAAGCATGCCAGGAAAAAACAAGTCCATGCCATCCATGAGCTGCCAGGAGCGTTCACCATGATCAGTGAGCTTTGTGCCTGTCGACTCTTCTTGGCATGTGCCACATATGTTCTTACTCACATGCTAATAATAGGATGACTCATGTGATCATGTGATGTTTCCTGCAGCTGAAGGCACGTCGTGTTGTATTTTTACTTGTGTCTCTTAAAGCATTTGTTGAGGAAAAGAACTGGTGACGCAGTGCAAGATGTAAACTGAGTGTGACACCCTCTGTAAAGGTCTTTTACATTTCTTTTTGAGTCTTTTTGCTTCTATTGGACAGTGCAGCTGTTGAGAGACAGAACATTTGGAGAAGAGGCAGTGTAAAGTGCATCACACAATCAGAGTCGAGAGTCAAACCTGCAACCAATGTGAGGAAGATGGTATGTGGGGCACCTACTCAACCAACTGGGCTACATGAGGGTGCTGATTTGTTGTGTGAGAGAACTGGATTTACTTGTTTATTTAGCTGTCTGTTCAGTCACACATGTCAGCTAAAGCATGTCAGGAAGTATTTTCATCCACAGTCAATTTAAGATGATGTCTCTCCCTTTATGCTTGCATGCCAACATCGCATTATCTTCTCTTCCTGAGACAAACAGGGTCAGCAGTTTCCCTCTTTTTGTTCCTGTCAGTGTTATTATAGATTAACACTCACAAAAAAATGGACGCTGAGTAAAATGTTGCCAAAAACAGATTGTAATGGTTTACAAATGAATTTAAAGTAGTACAAATTCAACACTGAATGTTCAATCTGAAAAAGTTTGTAGTGTTGTGAAAAATGTATACTCATTTTATGCGCAGTGTAGCGTCAAGACAGAGGCAAAAAAATGCTGAAAAAGGTTTATAATGCTAAAAAAAACACGTATGAGGACCATATAAAACACCTAGAAGGACCACACATAACCAAGTTCATTTACAGCAGGCTAACATGACCGGCTGTCCCAGAAAGGTAGAGTCTCTCAGAAGAAAGGATTGGAGGAGGTTCACCACTCTGTTTGAGACTGCAAATAATTCAACAATCCCAGAAAAATGTTCCTCAGCATCAGATTGCAGAAAGTATTTGTGGATTTCATCATCTACTGGACATATTCTCATTAAAAGTTCCTGAGACTCTCCAGAAATCTCTGTGTGACAGGGATGAGGCTGATAACCAATACTGAATGGCCATGGTCTTTGGTCCTGATGGGTATGACTCTGTTGTGGAAATCACTGTATGGGCCCAAAACCATTGTCTATCAACACAGATTGTTGCTGGATCCACAGTGTAAGTTAAAACTGCACCATATACTAGGGCTAGGCGATAAACCGAAAATTTACAGATACCAAAATTTACAACAAAAAACAACGTCATTTTGCCCATATATTATATTGGGTGTCAAAAAATAAATAATTAAAAGTTGGTTTTTGATGTGTGTGGGAAGGCTGTGGTCTCATGTCCCTGTCCATGCCAGAGACATGACCCCACCCCATCCAGTCCGTAATAAAGAGGGAAAGACAGGTGAGGAGATGGAGGACGGTTGTAGATGAAGTCAATGTGGGAGGGGGTGAGCAGCTCTTGGAGTAGTTATGGTCTAGTTATCGTTATCGAGGTGAACTGCTCGATATATTGTGATATTGATTGGAGGCCATATTGCCCAGTCCTTCTATGTAAAGATAAAACCATTGAGATAAAACTATAAAGATGACAGAAAAAGACTATCAACTTTTCTGAGCTTGAGCCGAAGTGGAAACTTGTAATATTCAGAGGAATAAAAATACAAAATTCTTTTTGGAAATATGCCTCATCCTCCTCTATGAAACAATAACCCTGTCTGTCAGTTCTAACATTTGACATCTTCTAGCTGCTTATTTTCAGGCAAATGAAGGGTTTTAATTATCTGCAAACCATTAAATCCTTTTTTATTGACATTTTACAAAGTGTCCCATGTTTTTTGGAAATGGGTTTGTATAACGTTGCGTTGGCAACAGAGTGAGTTTTAATGTTTTAATTAATCCTTGGATTCTCAAATCAGGGCACTGGCAGTTCATATCAGTCACAGCAGTCTGCATAAGGAAAAATGCTTTTTACAATATGCGACATGCTCTGCGGTAAGGTCAGATCCTGTTGTGCATATCGGAGAGGCATATTCGGAAGAAGCAAGCCAGGTCAAGACAAGCAGAGATAAGCTCACACTGACCCCTGTCATAGTATTAAACAAAACACACTAAGTGTGAAATAAAGGGAACAATACAGAGTGTGCCAGGTTCTCCTCATCAGTTTGACCTCTCCTACCACTAAACACTTGAACTTCTACATTTAACTCCTGGCATTTTATGGACTTACTCTCCGCAGCATGCACTGGCCCCAAACTGGCAAAGGCTGCTCATAAATGTCAGCCACAGGTAACCTACAGCTGTCTTTAACCAAGAACGGCATGAGCAGGGTAAAAAATGTTATTGACCAAATAAATCAGAGCTTCTCCCACAAGTGACTTTTGCTTTACAACAAAACCCCTTTACCCAAATCAACAGTTAACGGACTAACTTACAAGTATCAAACTAATGCAAATGGAGAGAAATACTGAACACTGGCAACAACATGAGTGCATGGTAAAAGATTTCCCAGCGGGCTGATGTCTGTCAACTGGCAAGTGTCAGCCAATGATAATGCTCAGCTGATACATAGGTGCATCACTCAATTATACAGTCTCCTAACTGCAACTCTATGCATGCCTCCATGTTTAATGACAGCTTCCTTACAAAACCAGATCAGTGCTAAGGTGCATGTGTGATAATGTCAGACAAGCACACCTGCAAGACACAGCAGAAGTGGCATCTGGTAAAGCTTGACGGTTTACTAACACAGTGAGAAAGAAGCAGACCTTTTAGCCTCGAGTTAATATTCAGCTGCCTCTAAAACTGGCTGTAGGACCCTGGTTAAGTTTTGGGATGCCCAGTTTTAACGGTATAATGTTGGTAACAGCAGGCAAAAACTAACAGGGATATTTCAGTATTTTTGAGGTGAGGCTGTATGAGTTACATATGAGTATGAGTCACTTGCAGGTGCATTAGGGTGCCGGTCAACTTGTCTCCTCTAATGAGAAACTGCTGGCAGACACTGGACAATATGTTCTACCATTTTCAGCAGACCAAGACATTGGGTTATACTAAAGACTTCAGAATATAGCTGATACTGCTGTCAGTACTTAACTGCATTATTCTACACACCCTCACGGAGTCTGCTGGTGATGGTTTTAGATTGGATCTGCTGTTAAGGGGTAATGAGAAAAATGTGTTTTCACCAGGAAAAGGTAACGATAATATCCATTTTCTCAGAGCCAATGCCAACATGATGCCAATTATGTCAATATGTCACTAGTTGGCTGGATTGATCAGTCTATCTCTGGTATGGAAGTATTTTCGAGTCTTGCTCACAGACAGCAAAATAGCTATTTGCAAAGCCTGTGAAACACCGGTGGCACTAGAAGGAGTGAAACAACACTCTTGCCACATTACCAGTTTAATTATGCATCTCAGGAGTTGTCATCCTGAATGGCCTCATGAATTTCTGAAAAGCAGGAATGACAAATCATGTGCACAAGCAGAAACCTGTCAGCAGGTTCTACTTTAGTCTTTTGGCTCAGAAAAATGGCAGCGACCACCTGCAGGTGAAGGAGCAGAATCACAGAATTTACTGCTCTGGATAACCACCTTCAGAGCAGTGGGAAATGCTGGCTTTTATAGGCTTATGATGGACTTTGATTTGTATCTGCCAAAAATGGCTTTTGGGATATCTGGTTAGGAGGTATTGGCAAAAACCCACTACCGTGCATCCCTATGTTAACACTAAGAAGTCCAAAGATTTGAATGCTACAAAATCTCATGAGGAAGCCCTACCATGCAGCATTTAAAATACTCCAGTGTACTGTGGCAGGCCTTTCTTTTTTGTTGCTATTTATATACCAGCAAACACAAGATGCAGGATAGTGCAGAAGCTCAAGAGCTTCAGTTCTCTGAGATTTCCACTTTCTGCATCTTTGAAATCTGCTTTGAGGAAGAAACTTAATCACAGCATGAATATGAATATGTCATCTAGATAATAAACACACTCACAAACCTACATGTAAACCTGCTGTTTTATGGTTATACGTAAACACTAATAGGATCTAATTTTACATGTACAGTGTGCCAAACAGGCAATTAGGTAAGGAGGTAACAAGCATGTATAGTGTCAACAAACACAAACACGGCAAGCATACATTTGCCTAAAGCCATGTTAGTCCGCAGCCTGAACCTAATGTTTCTTTTCATATGCAGAGATAGATGTTTTTCAGATTTTTATCAGCATATTTTCACTAGATATCTGCAGGTAGCAGTCATCATATTTTATGAAACAGTGATTTAAAGGGCAGAGACTGTCCTTTCAGGTTGTCCTGGAGACTCCTGACTCTAGTTCTCTGTGTGCAGATACTTTCTGAATGAGTCAAAGCACTTTAAGGACTGCATTTACACAGATCTGACTCTGGCTAAGGTCCAATCATAATCTAGCCAGAACACCTCCGCAGTAGGGCCAGGGCTTTTCATGATTCTGTAAATCTCCTACGATTAAATTAAACATATTAAATATAATTGCCTCGAATGGCTGAATCTGAATTATTTAACAGCCTGCCTGAGAAGACAGAGCCCTGATACTGTCAATGTTTTACCTCTGTGCAATCAGGGCAGCTTGGGAAACCAGTTCACGGGATGATAAGCACATTGAGGGTGACGCTGTGTGTAGTGAACATTCCTGAGACGTGTTCCACGCTTAAATAAACACTCTCCACAGCTCTGTTTACCTTCACTCTCTACATCTCCCATACAGCCATACAATGTTAATGAACCGCCCATGGCCGTGTACAAGCCTAATCCAGGATTTAGATTAGCTGCTAGAGAGACGCCTTTTGTGTTTGACTCACTTCAGGGTAAAGTGAGAAAATAAACACGAAGTGCTTCAGGTCCAAGAATGAACCTGGAGTTTACCAGTGAGACCAATGACAGCAGGGAGTTTTCAAGAAAATCTAAGTATAATTAAATGTGCTTTAAATCTAGTCTTTTTAAAATGTATTTTCAGTCAGCTCTACACTGTTGTTTCAGCCGAATCGTCAAGCTAATAAAGCAAGAACACCAAAGATTCAATACTAGTCAAAATATCTCATTACACTTCAATCACGTAATATCAAAACTGACAAGTCTCACTCACTCACTATCTCTCTCTCTATCTCTCTCTTTCTCTCCATATATACCAAGCCAAAACTAAGGACTAAATTGATTATGTGCAGATAAGTGGCAAAGATGTAAAATTATTTTGAAAAGGTTTTTGAGATGACTGCGGCATTTTGTTTCATGCCATACAGTTTTTACCCATCAAAAGCCCTTCAGTCCTCATCTTTCACTTGTAATATCCTGAAATTAGATGTAAACTATTGACAAGTCAGGTGAAGCCAGTCTCTATGAACTTTTTTCACTAGAAATTAGACAAACACATTGTACGGTTTCGGTTTTGCAGTGTACATGCATTAGTTTGGGGTATTCCTGAACTATGAAGCTCCTCTGCTGACGTAGACCCAGTCCACATCACTCATTCATGTCAATTTTTGTCGAAACTGCTGACCACATCAGCCATTTTCAGTTTAAGCATAGAAATATTTCCCAGGTTATCCGAGAGCTCTGCAAAGTTACCTAACTCTGTAATCTACGATGGGCAAACAGAGCTTCTAACATGTCAGTGAACTCAGGGTCAGATTGGAGCAAGCAGAGAGCTGGTGCCTGATCCTAGTTATCTGATCCTAGTTAAGTCAAAGTTTCGTCAACAAAGTTATTTGAACGAAATGCCAACACCAGGTTATCAGCTGGGGGAATCAAATACACTGTTTTCTAATTCAATTTAAGATTTGAAAAAGATATCTTGTAAAATTACAAAATTCAGTTTGAGAAGTACAGTTTTTGGATGTCATTTCTAATCAGTGTACATACTTCTAGCATGAAACAATTTAAAGAATCATAAATAAGTTCACAGTGGGGGTGGACAGATTATTGCTTTATTATCTGTATCAGCCTTTTATTTTACAGATGGTCGATAAATCAACAATTAAAAAGGACGCTACTTTGGCTGCACATTTGTCTTTCTACTGGATCTGTTTTCTTGCACCACTCTATCTCTGGTTAAATGGTTAAATGTTAACTCCTGTGTATGACGTTATGATGTTTCAATTCAAAATTACAACTATGGAGTCAATCATTATACAGTCAGTAGTAGTACAAACCAATTATTTTGAATGGTTGATTTAAAAGTTAAAAACATAAATCTTGTTGGCGGTGCTTCATAAAGAACCAGGGGCTCACAAACACAAATAAGATCACAACTATTTATCAAAATTTTGCAATTAAGAAGTATCACACTCCTGGTCGAGATGCTGTTCGTCAAATAAGCACTGCCGGGATTTTTGGTTGTGGGCACAAATCTGAAGTCTGTGAGCCAAAGACCACCAGAGCATAGCGTTATTCAGCACAGCAGCACATCCTGTGTGTGTGTGTGATATTACGGTTTTTACAACTGTCCCACAGGCAGCATTAAGTATTAAAAAGAAAACACGGCAGCAGATTGGTTTTCATTTTCCTCCACTAACTCACCTAGTTCTGTGTTCTAACTTGTCTGTTGCTGAGCAACACAAACATGATCCTGCGCTGTTACTCGGAGTGTGTATAGCATCAACAATCCTGTGACTTTATGTGATGTAGATTGGTCAGAGTGAGCAGCCATTGTCAATTCAGCTGACAGAAGGTACATATGTAGCTGCAGCAACCCTGAATCAAATTCAATCACACAACAAACAAAAATATTTTCAAAAAGATCCATTTAAACAAATACGCATTAAAATAAAGGAAGTACAAAAAAGACCAAAGATCTTCTGTACTGTGTGTTGTACTGTGTTATGAAGTTTAAGTGTGATTGTTTTGTTAGTCAAATCACTGCAAAAAAAAAAGGTTAAAAAAAATGTGAGTAAGGCAGACATGCTGAAAATCATTAAAGTTAGGAAAAGAAAATAACAGAAAAAAATCAAGAACTAGACTACTTAATGTCTACTTAAGGAGTACATTCAGTCTGGATTTTTATCCTCATTAAACATTAGCTTCCTCTTAAAATACCTCTCATTATGACGGCAAGAATAAACTGATGCCATAACAACCAATCAGCTGCCATTACTCTCACTGACAGACACTAATTTTAGCTTTTAGAAATAAAGGCCTGATTTGATTTATATGTATCTGTCTTATTATCCCATTTGTGTGGTATAATCTAAGTATAAATATGTAAAGAGAAGCCTTAGCCAGATTAATAGTTTGGCATAAAAAAATACATCAGGACTGACTAATGAAATTATTCAAACTGAGTTCTGGAGGGCAAAGACATTAAATTAGAAATAATCTTCAGCTACTTATCATGTAAGTTGAATAGAGAATGATATAAAACATATTAAAAATCTGTTTTCTTTCACTGTCCAACAGCAAGAACATGTATGTTGTGTGAAGAGGTGGAAACATTAAGTAAACAGTGAAATGGTCCAGCATTATCCTCCAAGGGAAAAGCATGTTAGGATGCCTTATAATTAAACGTTATCGGCCTCACTACTCAGTCCAGGAATTTCTAGTCAGTCAAACTTTGATATCCAGTCATATGTGGTGTCTGTGGTGCCAACCACCAACAAACAGAGTTGCAGCAATAATACTAAAATACTAGGTGTACACAAACACAGATGACGAATGGGATCTTGTCTCGCAACAGGGTTTGACTGTATTTTGATCTAGAAAATGGAGATTAAGTTGTATGCTGGCTATGTTTTGTGACACTGAACCAAAAGAAGACCCAGATGCAAACTCACAGGCTGGCAAAATCAAAGTCCGTTAAATCGAAAAAGGAGTTAGTACACAGGACCCCCCCCCCCCCAAAAAAAAAAAAAAAAAAAAAAAGGAAAGGCAGAGGTATCCAAATCAACAGGCAAGAGGCTAAGTCAAACAATACTGAAATGAGTTCAAAACACTGAGGCAAACACAAGAAATATATGCTGGAACTCTCACACTATAGACAAGATGAACTGGAACAGAGGTGAGAGAAAGCTGGGTTTTAATACGAGGGCAGAGGAGTTAACGAGACACAGGTGAGACACATCAGGGTAATCAGGGGAGCAGGTTATACAAGGAGGAGGAAGTCAATGAAACAAGAGACAATCGTGTGTATCAAAATAAAACAGGAAACACAAGACAAGAAACATGAGGGATAGAAAAAAACAAAAAACAACTTCACTAATCAGGAGATGTGACATGTTTGGTACAAACTGGCATATAACTGCTCAGCTTGAGCGATGCATCACTAGCACAGGCAGAAGGATGGTGGTGCTAGCTCTTCTACCGTTAGCAAATCATTTAATATTGTTTACTTACAAATTTGATGACCCAGTATTTAGCCCTGTTCAATAAAACGCGCAGGGTGCTGAATTTCAGTATCACTGTTTATGGTTATTATGTTCAGTACTTCCTCAACCAATCACAAAAAAAGCAAGGTGAACTTTTAGGAAGAAAAACAGTACGTATGTAGAGCAAAACCAGGCAGAACACAATCAACCACCATCATCAGTGAGCTGGTGGTGATTTATTGATCTGTATAATTAAATTCAGCATGCAAGTGCAACTAGCTGTGTAAATACATCTAAAAGCAGCCTATAATAAAAAAAAAACTTGAGTGGCAAGCCTGCTTGTCGTGAAAGCCGAATAATTTCCCATCTTCCACAGCTTTACAACGCTACAGTTTTATTTTGTGTTCAACATTTGAGAATGAGTACAACACAAGCAAGGTAAGACAGGAGGAAACAACACGCGTAAGCACCACTGCCTGCTTCAAGTCCAACAGGACACAGGCACTGCAGATGGTGTTCATCCCCAACTACAGCAACAACCTCGACCATTGCCTCCATGAGAATCCTAATTAACCTCAATATTATCAACATCACCAATACCATGGTCATCATCATCAACACTGGTCAAAATCAATTAGTGTGGAGTTGTTCACAAAAGAGCTGGGTCTACAACTTTTTCAAATGGAGAATGATACTCTGGAAATTGGATGTAGCAAGGTTGTTCATCCCACCTCTGGGGAATGCATCAGAAATGACCAATCTGACCGCGATATAGAAACAAAAGTTTTAAAGTTCTCCTCTTGAAAACAGACCTGACAAAGCATGACCTTTTGACTTGTTACAAATCAGCACTGAAGGTTGTTCAATCACAAAAAAACTGGATTCATTTTCAGGGTCATTGTGTTGAAGTAAGCCAGAGTGAACTGCTGCAAAACTTACTGTTTACAATGAAACTGAGACCCACCATGAACAGGTAAACAGGTGCTGGTCAGGGAGGGCTGTAGTTCAACAAGAAATGTCAACATTAAGGTCCTTTCACACTGGGAGCGTTTTTTTTTTCGTGTAATTATTTCGGACGTCAATATTTTTTTTTCACTGGTATATCCAACATGGCCGACTGGCTGATTGTTTACATGTCTGAGAACAGAGTTCTTTTTGATAAAAGACACAAACATTACAAAGATAACGACCTGAAGGACAACTTGTGAAGAGTCATAGCGTTGGATTTCTCATATGACGATGGTTTGTGTGCTTTAACAGTTTGCTAAACGTCTTTGTTTTAACTTTCATCTGTGCCAAGTAACTTGTGTGTATGTATTCTCACTGTCTCAAACTCAATCGTGTTGCTGTCACAGCACCATTAGGTTGTTACCTTACGTTTATGGATTATAGTTTAATGTGCTTATCTGGTACTGGCCCCGACTCAATACATGCTATCATGAGAGACAGCCATCTCAACACTAGTGTCTAATCAAAACTGAAACACAGTCAGTCTGGTTTTGTGTCAGTCTTCTTGCTTTCACCCGGGATGCATCTTTTTTCCCCCGGTTGCAAAATCGCATCGCACTTGATGTCTTTAGTCAGGCGTGTCAAAATTCGCCTCTGAATATTTCGTAATTTCGTAATAATCTTTTAATCTTGATACACACTCACTCCTAGTGACAGACTGATTAACTGATCAGGCCGATTAATCAGACCCATTAAAGACATTTTGAAACAATCAGCATCAGCCAGTATTTAGGCTCATAAGGCCCATTAAAAAATGTTAAATTATGTAATTAGTAATTTGGATAAATGTCAAGGATCTGCTGTTTTCATGCTAAAGTAGTTTGGATGTTAAGTTGTTTTTTTTGCAGTCGATGTTACTGTTAGATGTTGTACACAATTTTGTGTCTTTTATTGTATCCCATTGACAGACAAAGATGGGCTCAGAGATGAGTCATGGTAAAAACCTTGTGAATGATGAGTACTGCAGAGATTTTAAATTAATAACAAGACTAACTCAACAGCCATGAGCACCTCATTTTATGACATCATCCCTCTTTCTCTGCTTCTCCATTCAGCTGTCTGTGTGTCTGGATGCTATAGCGCATATGTAGGGGTATGCACACTGTAATCTCCAGCAGCCTCTTTAATAGATTCTCAAATCTGCTTGAGCGTCACTGAATACAAGCTCTACACATCACATCCGTTCTATATCTGTCCCCGGATCTCTCTTGGATCCAATTATTCCGGTTAAATACATGTACTGTATGAACCAAATTTGAGGGGCGTGTCATGGGTAAGTACGATCTGTGAGCACAAGCAGCTGCAACTCAGCAGCAGTTGTTACAAAGAGACACAGCCATTTTCTCTGACCAGCGCTCTCAGTCACAGCAGCACCAAACCCTTCCATAAGCCTGTGTATTATTCTGCATTTTAAGTGTCAGCATGTGTGTATATGTGTGTGTGCCACTGCAGGGAGTGAGTGTTTGAGCACCCACGCCTGCATGTATGCGCACATAATCATGCAGCATGGATCTGCGAGGTTGGCCCTTGAAAAAACATGTTAGTCCATTCACACTGACAATACGATATTTTCCAGATGGCACGGGTCCACATTGATCTGCATCCAGAGAACGCAGTCTCCTGTGCTTTCACACATCCAACTGTAAAGTTACCAACACATATCCTATCAAAGCTGCATATATAATCAAATCAGCAACACACACAGGAGGCCCACAGAGTCAGTGAAATGCCAAGACGTCCTGGGGATTGTTACTCCTCTGTTATATGCCTGACAAATAATGAAAATAAAATAAGCTAATTAAAAGACATTCCAAATTAGCTGCATAATCTCAAGTAAAATGGAGTCATGAAAACACAGCTCGCTCTTAATGATTGCTTCATAACTACAGCAGTGTTACTCCATTTCCCACAGCACACAGCCTATCAGCGGTTGAGTTTAGGAGTGATACATCCAATTATTCCATTCAAAGGAATAATCTGAGAGGTTACATTTTCAGAGATGAGGATCAAACATGATCATCTTTCACCTGCTGTGGAGAACCCGGATTTAAAGAGGGAGGTGGAGCCAGCAGTTTGGGTGTGCAAATTTTTTAAACCAGGTCCTAGAGTGAGCAAATCTGAATACGCCACCTTCGAGTTTCCAAGTTAACAACCCATATGCATCAATACTGAACTGCTGACAGCAGATCTTGTTCTTTGTGTGTTTGTTTACATTGTAAAGGTTTCCTTATTCTTTGCTTTTGGTGTATTTCTGTGGCAGCATTACAGGCTTGGCGATTTAGCGTTTACACTACAGTGTTCTCAGTGGTTTTATGACGACACACACATTTCTTTAGACGATTGTGTTCTCGGAAAAATGGATCGGTTCCATTTGACTTGGCATCAATTTAAGCGCCCCCTGTGGACAAAGCAGTCCTCTGCTATCTTGTCTGGTAATATCAAATCTTATCCTGCTGACTCGTGTCGGTCAAATAACTAACTGTCAAAGTTTGATACAGAAATTGTAAAATCAGGGCTCTTTATTTTGCTGCTTGGTTGACTCAAACCCCTTGATCTGGTTTAAGGCATTAAAACAGGCAATATTAATATATTAATTGTTAATCTTGTCACTGATAGTCATATTTGCTTTTTTTATATTATCAAACGGCATCAATATGAATTACAGTCTAAATCAGTTACTTCAAAAACTTCTCACAATGGCTTTAAGAAGTGATTTCCTTGTATTGAGATAAAAATGTGAGAAATCTGCTAATGTGTGAAAGAAAAAAAATCTGGAATTTTTCAAGTTTCTTTGAATAACATTTAAACTTTAACATTTAAATTGGATGAAATTTGAGAAATTCTTATTACTTATTACAAGCAGCTCAGTTTTTTTTCTTCGTATTTCATATCTTGAAATGAAACATTTTTCAAAACCTGCATATCAGGCTCAGCACAAACAAAGGACAAAAAATGCACTCTGGCACCAGGGAAAATGTTCAAAGGGCTTTACTTAAAAAGGTGTCAAAAAATATGGCAAAGGTACAAAATCAGAAGGCTTACACAGGTCCAAAAAGTAGGCAAAGGTCATTCACAAAAGATCTCTGATCTATCAAAAAAAAGCTGGGATGTAACTCGCACTAGCAAGAGACAAACCAGCACTGAAGCAAGGGGAACAGAGAAACTAAGACCTTGTACACACGTAGCCGGGTATTTTCATAAACAAATATCCAACCCCCTCCATTTAAAGAAATAGTCACGTACGCACATCCTCATTTACAAATAAAATACCATCCACACAAAACCGCTTAAATGTGCTATTAACCGCGGTTATAAGCATGCCAGACCTGGAGCTGGTACTATTTGCCAAAAAGTGAGATCCATTCTATCCAACCGGAGCAAGCTTCCCTTTCTCTTCATCACTTCTCTAAACATGAAACATAGCGCTGTGTAGTTCGTTCGTGTGGACCGACAAAGAGGTGGAATTGCTTTTAAGCATCGTTTTGGAGTATAAAGTCAAACAGACACAAGAAAGGTGGAGGAAGGGTAATTTGGTGTGGAATAACTGACTGCAAAGCACTCCTTCTCCTTTGCTCCTAACAAAAATATAAATTCTGTATATATCTGTGCCGTCCACTGCCTGACATAAACAAGAGCGCATAGTATATGATGTTTATCTATTAGTTGTCGCAGACATTGAGGTTTGGGAACTTAAAACTCTGGTTATCTATGTCCAAACAAATCCAGAGTTTTCCAAATTCTTCACTTTGGTCGAAGTTTTCCAAAAGCACAACTTTAAATGATGTAATCATGCGGCTTCGTGTGGATAGCAGGACAAAATGTAGAAAAATATATTCATTTTAACAAATACCCGACTATGTGTGTACATGGCCTAAATACTCGAGGTGAGTGAAGACAATCAGACACAGGTGAAACACATTAGGGAGGGGCAGGTAATCACACACTGGGAACACAGGAGGGCAGGAAATGGAGGATCTGAAATGAGACACAGAGGTGAGTATCAAAATAAAACAGGATAACAAAAAATAACTTAACTATGGGGGTGTGATACTGCAAGGATTTTTTGTGGCTTAAATTGAACCCTATAAGACTTTTTTAAGATATGAGACAAAGCACTTTCTAAGACTTGAATTTTTGAAGTGTCACAATCAAACCTCTTGAGTCCTTGAATCTGCATTTCACTTGCAGGATCAAAATTTGAGAAATTGTAGGAATTTCAAAAATGATAATGATCCATAACCCAGCTGAGCAAAGTACTTGATCCTTATTGGTCAAAAATCCTTATTGGCAACGGTAATTAAATTTTAATGGCAGAAATGACACCAAAGACAACCTGGTAACACATATTTGATCAAATTATCAAATTAATTTCTGTAAAGGAGCCAGGCACATTTGACATCTGCCTGTTGGCACTGTCGGAAAATAATCAGTTTTTAGAGATGTAACTGTAGCATCAATTTTATGATACAGCAAGAACAACAGTGTCTCAGTACAGTTATGAACTTGTGAAAACCGCAGATTTGTCTCAGCTGGTGGGAACTACAAAGACAATGGTGTCATATGTGTCCATCATCCTTTGCTCTCTAAACCCTGTATTGGAGCCCCTAAGTGAAGTTTTCTGTTGTTCATGAAAAAGACTGAAAACTCTTCATCACTTCATATTGATGCCTTTTCATGGTACTGAAAAGCAAAAAGGACCATCAGAGACAAGATTGATCATTTGTAAATAATCATTTTTAATATTTAAGGTGGTAGGTGTCAGTCGAGTGGCCTATTTCTTCATTTTCCACATTAAAAATTATATGAGAACAATACATGTGACCATCAGAAGTTGGCAGAGTGTGTTTTTTGTCAAAAGACATAACTTCAGCAAGTAAAAGAAAAGATAGGCGAAACTGCTTTGTTCATGAGCGACACCAAAACTGGCAAAGTTCCTCACAGGAGCTTAACGAATCAAGCATCTAGATTTTTTTTTGGGCTATATCCTTAAAACCATGTCTTTGTCTGCATTCACAACATTAAAAGGACAGCTGTCGTAGCAAGCTCTCTGTAGGATGTGGTCTCCATCCAAAATCAAGTGTATTGTGATATGTTATGTATTTGTGCTCTGTATCGCGTTACTCATCATATCCTGATGCTGCTGGAAATGCCAAGCCCTACTGAACGGTTGGTTATGCCATTCAGAATCCAGACACGGTGAGCAGGGCCCCACAACTAGCATGAAGGCCGGGTTCACCCTCCTTATCCACTGTACATGATCTCCTATGTATAAGGTGCAGTAAATGTCTTTTATGCTATTAACAAGCAGAAGAACCAGAATAATATAAGGACAAATATTGTATAAATACAAAGTTGGGCCATTCTTATTTTTTTTTTCCTAAAATGGCATTTCAATGCAGTAACATGGACCATTATTTTTAAGTGACAACCTTAAAGACTTGAATATTTGTGACTGATTTTGAACTAGTATAACTTTTGAAACTGTTCAGCTACAGTAGAGGAGAAGTAAGATAAATACCTCAACCATCAGATCCAACCTGTAGCATTGGAGTCTTGTACATCAAAAATGGAGGAAAAGTCAGCTTAGCTTCTTGTCCCATATTACTACAGGTCTGTCTGCTACTTCAGTACTTCAGCTTTCCCTTTAATCAAAGCAGGTTATCTACATTGCGCTGACATTTTTACCTCTGAGGATCAGATGTATCGTAGCAACCAGACGAAGCCTCAGCTGGAAAGCCAATGTGCTTTCAAAAGTATTCTGAAATGTTCTGAACCAGGTCTTCGGGATAGATCCAGGTGTTTTAAGCTTTGGTTGATGCCTTAGTGGACCAACACAAATCCAAACAGGGTCCTCAAGGACAGCTGTGTCTGTTATTTTATTTTTTTTTCTTTGCCTCTGGGTTTTTATTTTCTCTAGTCCTTATTAATCATTTACCCAGAGTACACTTCAAGAGCTTTCACCAAATACCCATCGGTTTTATCACGATTTGCCAGCACACACTGAAAAATACAATGACATCATTTAGAGTGCCTGAGAGGAACTTTGAGTTTTGTCAATTCTGGCAACCATTGAGGACAACGTAGTATCTCCTCTCTTTACTGATTTTGACCTGATCATGTGTATGTTCTGTTTTTTTTTTTTCAAATTAAAAATGTCACCTTGCTCCTATCACTGACCCTGAATCAGCTTTTAGCTCAAATGGAGGCATCCATATTAATTTCCCTCTGTTTCATAACCAGTTCATTTCTGCTTACAGAAGCCTTAACTGAAATCTCTGAGATTTGAACTCAAATTTAAAAGGTGCAGTGTGTAGGAGTTCATGGTTTTTCAGGGCTGTTATTGACACCACTATCAATACTAATACCAATACAGATTTTTAGTATGTATTCATGACAGCAAACCCTGATATTTGCAACTGCAATGACTATAAAAAGTACTGACCTACAAACCTATCCCTCATACCGTGTTTAAAGACCTCATTCATACTTTATGTCCCGTGCATCAGAAGAATGAATGCAGTATGGACAGTATGTAAAGAACATGGTGTTCTACCTAATGCATTAAATAATACATGATACTTATAAAAGCTGTGTTTAAACCAGCTCCCACAGTCCTGACAAAGTCAATATTTGCACATTTAAAAAACAGCATCAAATGTTCACTACCGTCTATTCTTTATCCTTAGAGTCTAGAAGAGCAGCTGATGTGTCTGCGGCTTTAAGATGAAACGTTCTGATCAACCTTTCACTGAATACGTGTTTGTCAAAAAGAAAGTCATTATTCGCTCAGGATGATAAATATTTGCCATGATGGAGCTGATGACAGATTTTCGCACAGTGAAAACGTGTCACAGACAAAGAAACAGCCTCCATCTGTTGTGTGGACCTAACTGAGGTCTATTGATGGAGGTTCTCTTGTATAAAATGGAAACATTGGCATTTGCAGCTGCCTGGGCCCGGGATCAATCAGTCTGAACAATAAAGCTCTGTAATTATAGGCTGTGATTCCGGCTTACAGCAGGGCTTTTCTTCTTTTTCTCCTCTCGCTCAGCATCAGTCGACTGCTGCTATTTTTTTCATTTCTCACACTAAAGCTAACTTGCTCACATTAGAAACCTGTGCTAATGGATACACAGAGTAAGGGCATTGCTGCATTACACATAGTAATGAAGGCAGCAGATTGGAGGAGAGGAGAAGCATCAAGGATTTGGATGAGGAAGGCTCAGAAAGTGTTTTGTTTCCTGCAGATCTCTAAGTAGGAGGTAGTTAGTCTCTCTTATTCATGCTGGATTGCCGTCAAATTGTGGCACAGCCTCTTCCTTAAATGGGCTGAGATGACAAAGCTAGAACTGCAGTGTGGGTCGCCTGCTTTTCATAGCCCTGCTGTTTTATTGTTTAGTTTTTTCCCCTGTCTTTTTCTCTTTCTGCTGCTAAAAAATCAATTGCTTCAATGCAAAATGGTCTATCTGAGATGCTTTTACATGAATGAAAAAAAAAATGAAGTGGCAGAGGGGTGGAAATTTTTAAGTTGACAAATGTGCTGCCATTCAAAGCGGATCGTTCTCAGCTATTAATCCAGGCAGAGACAAAAGCACGCCAACTAATTTTACAGCCGTCCATGGCAGCCACTTAAAGTATCACAGTATTTCTACAGCTCAGGATGACAGCAGTAAACCAACATGGAGGAACCAGGTGCATGAAAACCACTGGCCTCACACAAACCCCTGAAAAAATCACAAGAGGACTAATTTTCTCTGGTCTGCTGCAGCATGTCTGAGCGAGCTTCAAATTAATTCAACAACCCACGTCTTTTTGATAACAAACACAGAATTCACTCTGTATTATTAAAAGAAAAGAATGAATGCAGCACAGAATACAGTATATTGCTGTATTCACACATGCATTACACTCCTGAAGTTTTACCAAAATATTCCTGAAGGTTTTCAAGATGAGTTGCATGTGTGAATGCAATCAGCAGAATTTTTTTATTCCAGCTTCACCAGGATTTTTACACTATTTAGCCCGTCTGGATGAGCAGATGTGAAAATGCAGCTGGTAAAAGTCAGGAAATCTGTCTTTGTGCATGAGAGAAGCTGTGTTACACTCTTTTCTTTTTCTTTTTTATGCTTTTCATTTGTTAATATTTTCAACATTTCTGTACACACTGCATTACTATAATGTCAAAAACTGCCACAACATTTTCAGGCTGTGTCATAGGGGTCTTGGATATCTTTAACTGCAAAAACTGATCATAATGGACTCGCCAGAGGTCTCCGTACAAACAAGTGGCTGCTGGAGGAGAGTGGGTGAGTTGTGTTTAGTCTCTTTAATAAAGAAATGAGGCAAAGTTAAAAAGATGTTTGGTGGCTAGTGCTATGGCTGGGACCCTATATGTACTGTTGATGAAGTTAGGTGCTGTTCTGAGCATTATTTATGGCTAAAGAGTGGCTTTTTGGTTGAGGTTTGTTTATGGTTCCTCAGATCACTGTGTATTGCTATCGTGCGGTCATTACTAAAGTTGGTATAACTGGAGAAGCAAGTGGTCGGCAACATTCATCTCTCTACGGAGTGTCTAACTCAGTGTTACAGTGTTTGACCCTAAAATATTTTTACCCTGGTATATCCTAAGCAATAATGTGTTGATTTTTGTGCTTCAAGGAAGATCCTACTCTCCTGTTGTTTCAGAGCTGGTCACACCTGCCTGTGTGCCAATAGAATTACTTCACTGCCCCTCCCCCCTCTCTCACCTGCTGCCCATTACTGGATCAGCTCCTGCTCACTTCTTGCCACTCTCACAAATTCTCTGCCAGCTTGTCCTCTTCTGTAGGTGTAAAGGTCCTTACACACCGGGACCATTTTTTTCGTGCAATTATTTCGGACGTCAAAATTTTGTTTCGAACCCGTATCCTGTCAATACAAGTGTTCATATCAGCGATGTTTTCCCGTCCTGCAATATTGCGGCTTTTATTTTTTCGGATCATGGTCGTTTTTTAAAGTTTCACATACTGTGTGTCCACTTCTGACCAATCAGATTGCATATTGTTGCGACTTTAGATCACGGTATTTCCAACATGGCCGACCGGCTGATTGTTTACGTGTCGGAGAACAGAGTGCTTTTTGATAAAAGGCACAAACATTACAAAGATAACGGCCTGAAAGACAACTTGTGGAGAGTCATAGCGTCGGATCTCTCATATGACAATGGTTTGTGTGCTTTAACAGTTTGCTAAACGCCTTTGTTTTAACTTTCATCTGTGCTAACGTAAGCTAATGGTTGTTACCATAGTTTCATGTGCTTATCTTATCGCCTCTGATTGGCTATAAGTGCTGACCGTTTGGCTTGAGCATGTGATGACGTTTCCAGCTTTTCTAGCCAATCAGAGGCGAAGGAGGTGGGACTTTCCCCATGAAAAATTTTCCCCAGGATGCCCACTAGTGTTAGTTTTTGTGTTTTCATGTAAGCTTCGTGGAACTACTTGACAAAAATTTGCTATTTAAACCTAAACAAATGCAAGTCAAAAATTTATGGAAACATATATTTAAAAAAAAAAACTGAAGTGATGGATGTAACGGTTTAATAGAATAAGAACTAAGGTGTTTAAATAAAAATTTAATAAAATCTTACCTTGTGTCGGCACTTCAAAACAACACCATAGGCACCTAAAAGAAAAATAAAACACATATCATACTGAGATTTTTCCAGAGCTCATTTTGAGACATTTGAAGTCTTAAAGCAATCAACACATTACTTCTGCTTGTTTTCAAGTAGAGCTACTTCACTTAAAAGCAGACCCACATGAAATAATAATAGAAACCACAGAATACCTGTGGTATAAAAAGGTGGTTTGTGATTGTAGCATGGACTTAGAAGTCATTAGAAAACAAAAAAACCTGGCTGGATTCAGAGCGTTTACAGAGTTAGCCAATAAGTCCGAAGCTCCTTGTATTTGAGCATACTACAACAGAACAAGTGAAAACAGGTCGAAATCCTCTTTGTCAACACTCCTCATATGGTCACATGAATTAAAGAGAAACATCCCCCTCTCTAAAAAGGACAGGTGGCTCAGAAAGTAGGACACAAGTGTTGGCAAGCTACTGTAGTTCTGATGTTATCGACCCTGGCAGTCACACAGACAAATCCCCCGAGGGTTGAGGAGGAATTCACGGACTGAGCAGGCATATGACAAACTGCTCCTTCCCCAGAACATCGGGGCTACAGGAAGTCATCCAGGCTTCACAAGAGGATACTTTCACACACTTATAGTCTCTCTTATATGGTTTAGATGCATCAAACACTAAACCCGAGACACATATTTGTTCAACATGCTGTTAGTCTGCTGGAGGTTTGAAACAAAATTGACACTAGACCAGCGGTCACGTGTGCTTTAACAGTTGAAAATCAAACTGTCTGTACTCCACATCAATGTTTTTAAAAGTATGACACATGTTTTTATTCATTCAAATAAATGTTGAAGTCACTAATGAACAGCAAATTCAGTATCTGAAGTCACTTTGTCAGTTATACCGACCCTCTTGGTTTTGGTCCATCGTTGCTGTAGATTGTACAATGTTCCTCCTGATAAAAGGACCTTTTTGTTCATTACTAAGTAAAAAAATACAATTCATATAAAAATCACATACAGCTATTTCTATCCTTTTTGAGAACTTTTTTAGGAACAAATTCCAGCCAAAGCCTTTTTCTGTCATCAGTATTCCCCATTTTCTTCATTTTTTTTCCTTTTCTTAGCAGCAAAACTTGAGAGACTCAAACTCACTAAAACTGGAAGAGAAAATATTCTTCCATGTTAAAATCTCTCAGTCCTTCTACATGTGGTCTTCTGCTTCACATGATTAAATTTTGTCCCTTTTTCACAGTTTTCTGAGGAAAAATGTCATTTATTTTAAATTCTTCAAGAAATTTTGTCGAAAACTGTCTCATCTTGACAAGTCAGTTTTTTTATGGCTCCTTGTGCCTTTATTTAAGGATGGGTGTAGGTGGGTATAGTGGTCAAATAAGATTAAACAAATGTGCCGAAGGTTGATTAAGTATAGTCATAACAAGTGAAGTGAATTTAGTGCCAGAGCATTAGTACAACTGATAACAAGTTTGTAAACAGGTTATAGAATTAAAACTATTAAAGATTAAATTAATGCTTGTAGTGCCTGTTAGCATTGATACAAACTGTAAATAAATATGTAACCAGCTGTATAAAATTCACTTGTTGTAATGATGTAGTAGATGTAGATGTCCCTAAAAAACCCAACAGTATTTACTGTACTAATGAGCACAATTCACATTTTTTTAATTCCCATTTTGCTTGCTATAATTTTAACAATGAATAAACATTTTATTGCAATTAGGTTGGACGGTAAACATTGCATCAAAGAAATCATGTGAATCTGATACATCTGAATCCGTTCACATCAGCGATGTTTTCCTATCCTGCGATATTGGGGCATTTATTTTTTCGGATCATGGTCGTTTTTTTTAAGTTTCGCATACTGTGTGTCCACTTCTGACTAATCAGATTGCGTATTGTTGCGACGTCAGATCACAGTATATCCAACATGGCCAAACGGCTGATTGTTTACGTGCCGGAGAACAGAATGCTTTTTGATAAAACCTTAGACTCTATATAGAATGGACAGAGTCTGTCTCCTAGCTGGGTGAAGCCACTCCAAGAACAGCACCCTCTGGTGATGGGCTGCAGTATAGGTCATAAATCCCGCCTCTGGCAGCGAAGCTTATGGAGCTGTGGACAAACTTTAGAAATTTATTACACAGAATATAAATTTTTCTCCCCCCTGCTTGTGATGTTGACATGTAGTTACTGTAGGACTGGTTTGTGCTCAAGTCCTTTTTTTTCTGTACAGCTCCTTTTTTAAAAGTTATTAGGGGGTTCATGTTTTCTGTGATTAACACCTGATACAGCCTATTGGGCTTTCAGGGATTGCGTAGCTCTCCCGGGGGATACGCTGTTTGAGCCGAGTCATCACAGTGACTCTCTGCGACTGCGCCGTATTTATCCCTATTTATCATGGCAGCATTGTTTGGGAAAGTACCCTTCAACGTATCCCCATCAGATTCTTCCAGATTCAGAAGGAGTTTGTTCAATCAGCTTTTAAAAAAAAAACTTGGTACACCTAAACACCTCTGTTCTTCCATTTATCTTAATGACTTTTAGTCGCTTGTAATTGTTCTTTTCCTATTTTGTTCATTGATGATACCAATCTGGTTTTATACAAAGTGATTTGCGCTCCATAATAAATAATACTAGATAATACATACGAGGAATTAGTGAGAGTTGCCAAAATTGGCCAAGGCCAATCATCAGCCTACCCCTGATTTCTGCCACACCTACACACAAGCTTTTGTCTTTTTCTCAATTGCCTTACATTTGCATTTTGAGTGTGAATACATGTATAAATAAAGATTAGTATACTTAGAAAATCTAACAAGATGACTGGACAGTGCAAAGAGAAATAGAAAAACCTCCAAAATCTCTATTTATTTTCCTTCTCAGAAAAGGACCTCGATGTAATTATATAAGATTCAGTGTGTTTATCACTGCTGGAGTGAGCCGACAAGCTGCACTCAGTCCTCAATGATTAACAAAATTGACTGACCCCAAGACCACTGAGGAAAAAATCTATGATGCTGGATCAAGTGGAGCACAGTGTGCTGTGGGCGCAGAGGCAGAGAGTAGAGCTGGAGTAAGACAAAAACTTCTTCAACTTTACAGTTTAAAGTGGCACAAAAAGTGCTGACTTCCTTCCAGAATGACTTGTCTTTGGTTGGTCACTCAGCCTTCAAAATCAGGCTCAAAGTTTTCCTGTGTCTTCCAGGGACACATTATATGCACATTATGAAACTTCTGGGCTGTGGGAGTACGGGTGTTAGAAACTGGGACAAGTGGGTGGTTTCACCTCAGGGCTTCTGCCACTTTATATCAACCAAGAGGCTTGAGGGGGTGAGAGTAAGCTGTTTTAAGTGAGCATTTTGAGAGAAATTTAACTATCAAATCACCCGGCCCACGGAGGAGTGAGTTTAAAAAAATCATCTTAAAGACATCACAAAACTGTGCATTCAGGTCACCTAGCCTAGGTTTTTAGTGTTGAATTCCTTCTTCATGAATAACATTTAAATAATAATTGGCCTTGACCTTAGCCAACTGCACAGTCATGAACAACACATCAGGCTTTTAACAGCCTTGTTCCACAGGCAAATTGGATAAAAACAATCAAATGATTGCTCACCAAAAAGCCCTACAACAAATCTGTGAGTGCATGTCTCACCGCACATGAACAGCTGTGGCCCAAGTCTCCACTGAACTCACTGCTGCAGACTAACAACAGATAAAACATGCTCAAAACATACACCAAAACAGAAATCTCACCTTCACCCACAATCCCAAGGACTTCAAATTTATTCATCACATCACCAATGCCAGGGATCTTCATGAAGTCAAAAGGTGTGATGCAGGAGGTGCATGGGGCTCAGGCGGAGGAGGCCCAGCTACAGGACGGTGTGAGGCAGCCAGCTGTTGGCTCTCGAGGGGTGCGTGCCAGCTGTTAGCCATAATATCCGCTGCATGCCTTTGTTAGTGGCTCACTCTCACCTGCACAATAAAAAACATCAGATTATATGAGTGTCTTTCCAAAAACAGATCCATTTCTTCCCTTTATACAAAAATGAGTCCACTGCAAAATACAGAAATGAAAGTCATTCTTAACAAAGTACATGAAAAGTCAACTCAAAGCTCAGAACTCTGTGTGAACTCTTGTCAGTTTAACTGGCTAGCTGTTCTTCAGTAACACTGAACTGTCCTACTGCAGCTCTGTCTCCTTGAGTTAAAGGGGCACTTCAGTGATTCAGCGGCACTCTTCCATTCAGTTGGCAGACACGCAAAAGTCAAAGCAAAAAGAAACAATGGAAGCTGCAGAGGCTTACATTGTAATTTGACTCCTATAGGTTCCTTTATAATTGTACTTACTGGTAATCTTAGCGCATGGTTCTAAACTGACCAACATGACAAAGTGCTGCACACATCAAGAATCTGATTAGTGATATAAACACAGTCAAAAACACAGGGCTTAACTGTGATAAAGGTTTGAAACAACATTACATGGAAATGCAGATGAATTCATTATTTACACCTTGCATGCAACACAGGCACAGGGCACATAAAAGAAAAAGGACATACATCAAACTCAAAGCTGGCCAAAAACTGCAGTACTGTGGAGGCCAAAAATGTACTTCAAATCTTAAATTCAAGAGCGAGTAAATAAAAGGTAACAGAAAACAGCTAATGACAGCCAAAATGTTGTGCATTAGTCTGTTTCCTCTCAAGTGTAGACATCTGCAAATCAGACAAAAGGAGCAAATTAAAGCTCCAGTGAGGAGTTTTTAGCTGGTTATAAAACAGACTCAAAAGTGATGCCTCTATGTGTACTTATGAAATCAAAAAAGACCATCAGAGTAGAGAATGATCATATGTTCATTTTCAATGCCTGAAACTATTTTAAATAAGCTAGAGTTAGGTGAAGTGATGAGCAAAGTCCTACAGAGTGTCTGTCAAACTCAGTGCCAACACCTGCAAACAAAAATGCACCAATTGTGAAATTCTGAAAAGATGCTGATGTTTAATATAACAGTTTTTCCAAACAAATGTTTCTGAATTACTACTTTACTTATTACTACTGTCTGTTTTCAAATGAACAAGAAGATTTTTGTGTATCTTAATTGTTGCTTCTAGTTCCTCCTTCTTAAATGTCACTGGAACATGTCTTGCAATCTATTAAGTCACTGATTTTTCTTGGAGGTGTAATCCTCCCACACTGCTGTTATTTTCTTTCACATTTGAGCATGAAAATAAATCACAGGTTGTCCACCAGGCCAATAAAAACCTCCTCTTTGACTAAGAAGTACACTGACTTGCCACCAATAAATGGAGAATGACACATTATTTGTCAATGAGCCAATGCCTGTCAACTGGGCAAATATCGGCCATCACTGATGTTGGTGCATCCCAACATGATAGCACAGGTTATCCATCAAGAAAGGAAAATCTCAAGCCTTGTCTCCCATGATAACCCACTGACATCCCCAGATAACCTTGATGATATAATAAGAGTAAACGTGCCACACCTCAGAAAACTCTTACTACAGCCCACAAATAAATTATGCAACTGTTTTTACAGCTTGAGTAGTTGTTTTAGAGTCAGGTAAATTAAACTTTTTGTGTAAAATCAGCAAGGTACCCTCTATGAGGGACAAACACACACACACACTGCACTTAAAGAAAATTAAAGAAATTAAAGAAAGTTAGACAATGCCTGAAAGTCCCTCTGTGTTCTGCAGAGTGAAACCGAACCGCAGAATCTGTTAACGTGATTAAAGTACCTCCTCTGGTATCCACACACTCTTTACTCTTATTGAATCAGATAAGACTCCAGATACCACTTTCTCCATTTCATCCACTCCTTTCTGGGAAAAGCTCAAGGACTCACGTAGCCTACTCACTCTCCCAGTCTCCTACGGTGCTGTGGGCACAGGAGCTGCTCATCAGTATGCAAAACCTCGGCACCAAAATAAACTCTGTCTCCCTGAGCTCCAAACATCGCTGTGTGGTCTATTACTCCCTTATCTTACTCAGCCGCACACCATCAACACAGGTGAAGTGGAGGAGGATAATACAAGCCTGAACTTAGAACACTGAGGGCTGCAGAGAAAATGCCTTTGGTCATCTGTTCTCCTCAAACATGAGTGCGTCAGTGTGCTTCCTCCATGCTGTGGCATCCAGTCTATTGTTTTTCAGAGCAGATTTTAGCCAACTGCTCTCCTAGGCCCAGACCTAGAAGGCTAATATGATCAGGAATGCACTGGGCATTGCTGTGTGGATCATATATTTTCTCCTCTATCAACACAAGAATGACTCATGCGTGGTGATAAAGTGAATATGTGGAATTCAGATGCAGCACTTTCACAGCTCCTTCTATAACCAATGCATTGTTACCACTATTATCAATGCCCGAATTGTGTTTATAATCATTAAAATTGGACATAATGGTGCAGGTTTTGCAAATAACAACTGACACAGCTACGTCACAGCATTTTCATATAACTTAATGACACATTTTTAGACACAGCATTAAATTAGAGCAGTGAAAAAAAGGAACCATTAACATTTGTTGTTCAATTTTCACACAATATTGCTAAATAAATGTTATACAGGTACCTGTAATTCACCTCTACTGTAGCACTTTCTCTCACATCCTTAACAGCAGATCATTACACATAAAACATAAAAACGTGGCTGTCAAACTGTTGGTTTTAATATATAGGCTGGTGCTCGGCTGTACTGTACCTTTAGTGTGTGTGTGTGTGTGTGTGTGTGTGTGTGTGTGTGTGTGTGTGTGTGTGTGTGTGTGTGTTAGCTCCCACTGCCCACAGATTTAATGATACTAGCTCCCACATTTTCAATGCAGGGCAGCAATAAATCCAACAAGTCGAACATATGGCAACACTCAAGCCAACTTAGTTCAGACCTGACTCACCTAAGCAGCGATTTAAATCCTGGTTTAAGGTCAGTTATGCTCAAATAAAGCTAGTTGTTCTCTTGCTGCTTTGCCTGTTTCGCCACAAAAAAAACACAAAACCGCAAATTAGCATAAAACAAACCTGAAGCTTGATATCGCTGTCTCCCTTGTCAGCACCGACAGAAGAAATTCATACAATTGAAAAGGGTTTAGTGCGTATTGATAAGATAAAGTACTCACTCAGTCAGTCTTTGGTAAAAAATGATGGACCTCAGCCCGTATATCCACCCACAAACGGAGATATTTTCATTGCAGCAGGCAGCTACAGTAACTGGATCGTGCGGTTGACAAGCTGCGAGCAGATCACCAGGCAACAGTTTGACCGGCGTGAGGAGGACCAATCAGAGCGCTTAGAAGGCTTGTTTGTATTCAAACGCCCCCTCTCTTTGGACCAATCAGAGAGCAATACTGTGGTTAAAAAAACTGTCCTGCGGTCTGAGGGTGTTTCGTATGAGGTGGGATATTATTGTTCTAATTTCTCAATTACATAATTCACAAGCTCACACACCCTGCAATCTGTGTGATAATGTTATTTATCAGAAGACATGCCAAAGTGGACAAAACTACAGAAACTTTTGATCATAACTGACGGATTCTCCTTGGATAGCAAAAATGTGTGATTGACCTGCAGTCTTTCACATCTTATTGTTGTAAAGGGCTTAAGTTTCATAAAATTTGTTTACAGATTTTTATTTTACAGTATTGCACGTAATTTTATCTAGAAAAAAAGGTGCATTTAAGAGCAAATTAAAGCTTTAAAGTGTCTCTAATAGAAAACTTACAGCATGCAGGCAGTGACAGACTTACAGTTTTTTTTCAAGGGTGGCCCAGCCCAAACAGCTGTGATCAACAAGTAAGAATATACAAGACATTCACAAAAAATAAAATAAAATAAAATAATTTAAAAAATGGAGGAGAATTACATTTTTGAGCTGCATTATAAGGATGAGATCAAATTGCTTAGAATTAAGTCAAACACTGAAAGTTTTAATTTCACATGAAGTGTATGTAAAAAGTTGAGAAGAGAGTAAATCTTAATGCAAAGTAGGGGCCATTTTTTTAACCTGTCAACTTTGTTCTTATTACACAACAAAAACTAGATTTTTGTTGATTTTTTTTTTTTTTTACATGCATTAACATTTAAATTAAATGTTATAGATTGTCCTTGAGTAGTCCATATAAGTTTGAATCAAATTAAGGAAGAAAGACACAATGAAATACAATACAATAAAAGAACTGTATTGTAGTTTATTTGTCTAGAATCTCATCTCACCTACATTTGATACAAAACTCAAAAGAGTAAAAACAGAAAATTTAGAGAGACCAGACTTGGTTTAGTGCAGGATGCATTTTATTTTAAGAATTCAGTCAAACAAAAAAAAGGTTGAGCAGACTCAGCTGAATAGCTGCCCTGTTTTTACAATTATAACAAAATATTCACATGAAATGACACATTTGACTGTCAAAAGTCAGCAGGATGAGATTTTTTTTGTCAGAAGACATTACCAAAGCATTGAAGCACCAGATAAGCAAAGACATGTTCCACATAGTACCCCAAAATTAACACAAACAAAAAATGCCTCACAGAAGCTTTAAAGTCATAAGAGATTAAAAATATATACATTTTGAGACAAAATTTGTAAGAGAAAAGTTGGTTTGTTTTGCAAATAAAGTTGCACAAAAAAGAGTCATATTATTTCAGAGATATATGGACTCATTAGCCAAATGAGTACATGTCAAGTACATTTTCACTAACTGTTCTCCTATTTTAGTTTTATAATGCAGATATATGCGCAAATGCTGTTCAGGAGGAGAGGAGTTCATATATTTGATGTAAAAAAGAAGATTGTTGTCATGAATGAGTGCTCTGTGGACAGATGAAACTCCTGCGGCTTAACTTCACCAAGTTAGCAGAGTGGAGGAGGAATGGAGAGACACCCTACTCATCTGTTTCAGACCAGTGCAAGCATCTATTCTGCAGTAGACTGTACCGACCTGAGGGATCTTTGACACAAAGTGAAATGTGTGTCATGGGTGGCGACAGATGTGTAGCATCAGTCCCACCTCTCAACCATTTCCTTTTTTCCTACTCATGCCTTGGCTCCTTGGTTTGTCGCTGGTCATCAGGGTCATATTTTCGATTCATATCACAGCTGGAGGTGATGGAGGCGCAGCATATGCTGTTCACCACAGGCCGCCTACTAACTCTGCCATTGAGCATGAGCTATACTCATCACAACATAAAGCAAATTACTCTCTCTATTTCGTAAATCATAACCAGCTCTGATGATCTGTGATAAGCTGTTATGAGCAAATAATTCTTGGCTTGTAAGTGATTATGTTTGTCTTTGTCATGATTATTGAGCCCAGATGCAAAGCTGAAGTCTACCTCTCCCACCTGAACAGATCAAAACAAAAGGTACAAGGCAAAATGAGAGCTGCTATTTGTATTTAGAACACTTTAAAGAATCTAACAGCAGCTTCTATGCTATTGCTCTCAAATAAGGCCATGCTGCCACCTACAGGATGTACCTGAAACTGGATAAATCAAATACAGTTAACTTCTCTGTATTCTGTTGTCAAGATCTATAGCAATAATTTCCATGAAATATTTAATATTTCTTTTTTTCTTATTCAGAGATCAATAGATGATTCCAAAACAGCTAATTCTGAACCGATAAATCTTCAGTTATTAGGCTCTTTGGCAAAATGATACAAATAGCATCCAATTATGGTCTTGAAATATTGCTTTTACTGGTCATGTCTGCACCCATGATTCGTTCAGATCAGAAGCTGGATTTACTTTGTTTTTTTCTAATTTTTTGTTTCTTGGCTATTTTACATTTTTTCTGCAAATTTGTTCATACTGCTCATTTAAATAAAGACTTTTGAATCAAAGAAAATTAAATCAGATAATCCAATCACAACTTGAAAGGATCGTTGGTACATTGCGCCTTTTCTTTGCTAGAGAGAAAATCTTAAAGAAATTAAAAGTGATAATGAAAATATGTGCGTAATGCTATTTCATATTTTAGAAGATTTTTTAAAATGCATATTTGGTATTTGCAGTTAAGTCCAATATAGAAGCATTTGTAGAAACACAGAAAAAAGCACACATATGAAAACAATATGAATGGCATTCCTCAACGTAAAACACAATGTAAATGTATGGAGGATGGATTTATAAAATCATGAATAAAATATGAATGTCTGATCATTTACCCATTAAATATAAGTACAGGGGTAAGATTAAATAATAATAATAAAATAATATTAAGAAAAATGATGGGCCACTACTGCTGGGGGGGGGGGGGGGGGGGGTAATATTATGACTTGGAGAGTTTAACACTCTGATAGAGGAGTAAAGATATTGACACAGGCAGAAACAACAGCTATCTTTGCTCTCCACTGAATGCTCTCCGGAGCATTTGAAGCGTTTCATAGTATCGGTGGGAGATGCTTTAGGAGACCACATGAAGCGCTGAAAGCACCCTCCTCTTAAACCACACCATTAGAGAGTCCAGCTCCACCTTTACAACTTCATTAACGTTGCATGTTCAGACTGTTGAGCTCTCTGGCGCCAGCTCCTTTCAAACCAACAATCCACAACTGCTAACAGCTCTGTCCACCACAGACTCATAAAATATCCCCAGCATTGTTTCCGCCAGTGAAGGACCACATCCTCCTCAGAATACAGAGGAGCTTAACCCCCTTTGTGAGAAGTTCAATGAGGAAAGTACCATTTGTGAAGATTTTATAGTGGCCCATCAGATCTGGTATTAAGGTGCGTCCAGTATCGCTCTTTGTAAATACCTGTCTTAATGAGTACTTTCCTAATGAATTTATACTAAACTAGAAAAGCACTCGGAGAGCGCAGACCTCCGCCAAGCAGCTCATGTCCCCCCTTATATTGTGATTCACACCAAAACTTTTACTGATACGTGTCTTTTATTAACTTTTATTTGGGTTTAAACTGGTATGTTCACTGTTCATAATGTTCCTAAAACAACAACGCTCATATTAGATACATAAATGCATGATTTATTATGCAATATTAGTAAGCGTACACTCCCTTGGTTATCTTTTCATTTTCATTTTCTACCGCTTATTCCCGTTCCCTGGGTTGCTGGAGCCTATCCCAGCATCTTTGGGCGAAGGCAGGGGACACCATGGACAAGTCGCCAGTTCATCGCAGGGCTGACATATAGAGACGAACAACCATCCACACTCACATTCACAACTTGGAAGTGGCCAATTAACCTAAATCCACTTAGGCATGTTTTTGGGATGTGGGAGGAAACCGGAGTACCCAGAGTAAACCCACGCAGACAGGGAGAGCATGTAAACTCCACACAGAAATGCCCTGACCTGGATTCGAACCCAGGACCTTCTTGCTGTGAGGTGACAGTGCTAACCACTACACTACTGTGCCGCCCATCTACACCACTGTGCCACCCATTGGTTGTCTTTCAGCATTGAAAATTCCAACGACACCCTTATTTTTGTGCGTTCTGGATCACAGTATCTGGAATTTTGTCTGGATCAGGATCAACCTTTGACACCTCATAAAACTCATTGAGACCCTTTTGTGTAATTTTTTACTAAAGACTCTGGCCATTTTTATAGAGTTAAATGCAAAACTTCCAAAATGTGCCCTAACTCACAATGATAAAGAATCCTTCAAAAATTCCTGGATCCAGAAGACGATCCGGATCACCACCAAAATTTATTGGGATCCTCCTGGGGCTGTCTGTTACTTTCTCCGTAAAGTTGCTAACAGACAAACAAACAAATAAACAAACAAACAAACAAACAAACCAACGCTACCGAAAACATAACCTCCTTGGCGGAGGTAATAAATTAAGCTTTCACTTGTTAGGAGCAAGAAGAGAGGGTGATAATGGAGGAAAGTGATCTCATTGACCCATGGACTACTTGAACCATTAGTTGGTGATGAGGCAGTTGTCAGCTAATTGTGTGGTCGATACCATAGGGGAGGAGTTTGACCTTGGATGTGACACATGGGGACAGGCGTATTGTTTTTTATTCTTTTTCTGTTGCAAAATATGTGAATTTAAATAGTGTGAAATCTCACTGTGCAGTGTTTGAAATGTTTGCATCACAGAATACAGTTTTCATTGTGCACCAGTACCATTCTTCCTGCATCTTTCTTACAGAATGACTAGTGAAATAGATAAATACTATTCTAAAAATGTTACTGCTGGTAAAAATATGTAGTTGAGAATCACCTAAATCCCCTGGCAGAGAATTTTCTTGGATCATAAAGCCTGATGCTCCTCTACAGTTCAGTGGACTAGCAAAAGATAAGACATACCTAATTCATTGGGCACTGTTGTTCCGAAAGCATGACATACCTAGATCAATCTCAGACTGATTTTAGATTTCAAAATTCACTTAACCTGAACGTGTTTAAATTCTTTGTTAGAGTCTTTTAGGTTATCTGTTTGCATTTGTTTTTCAGCTAAATTTTTTAATTCTACTTTACTAGAGACTATTGTGTTGCTGCCATACATGATAAAGAGATCCCTTGTCTCACTGGAAGTAATTGACTAGATAAAGGTTTAAAATAACTGGTAAAAAAGACAAAATCATGTGAGGTGCACACGAATCTGTAGCACACAGAGCCATACAACGTCGTTATCCTCACTGCACTGAATTGGTGTGATGATGAACTGCAGCTTCCAGGTCTCGTACCCTTTTCATGTCAATGATATAGATAAGCGTAGATTATGTAGTGTGTTGGACTGGATGCAGAAATACAGGACAGAGTTTGAGCATATTTCTCATCATTTTGAACACAGCTAATCAGTTTGTTCTGGGCCTCATGTTTAATGAAATAAGCAGTCAAGAACTAAATTTCAGCCAAATACTGTATTTTGTTTGGAATTGTATTATACCTAGCTTTTTTAAGCAGAAATAATGATTAAATGCATAATTTTGCTGAAGAAGGTCACTGAGTAGATTTAATAATAGATCTGATGTACCATGTAGATGATGACGCGATAACAGTGATACTTTTTACAGGGAACTTGTAGGCGGGGGAAAACACAAAACTCTCAAGTGAGACGTGAAAGTGAATCTGAGTCATGTTGTCATAGACCACATAATGTAATAATGATGCAAGCACTATTTTAACAGACAGCTGGAATCCCCAACTCTAAAAAATGATGTCCGCAACACGTGGAGAAATCTACTGTTTAATCTCAAGATATTTTAACATTCATTTTCCTGTGTTAATCCTCATCTACTTATCCATTTTTGTCCATTAAGTTGTATGGATACATACAATAACTGAATTCTAAAACCGTTTCACGCTCTCATTTGTATTTTTATGTTTAACTGCAATTGTATCTTCAATTTGGTTGTTTCGGTGGCATTACTAAAAAGCTTTTAGTAACAGATAATTAACAGGTTATGTTATGGATCAGAACCAAGATACCTCATGCAGAGGCTAAATAACGGACCGTCGTTATAGCGTAACAACCAATCACCATTAAGTATGAAAAACAACTATGCAATGACAAATTTGATAGGTTTTTGGGAAAAGCCTTTGACATAGCCTAGTTTACACATCCTTTTATTATTTAAAAAATGTTTGAGTTAGGCTAAATATTATCAGTAATGACTGCAAGATGAAGAACTGACTTTTTGAATCCATGAAACATAATTGTCCCTAATATTTGTAAAAAAACAAAACAAAACAAAAAAAAATGAAAATCATACTTCAGTTTTTTTCTGATGGAAATTTATCTTATGTTCATTTTTTTATTTGTAAAATATATTTATTTTATTTTATTTTTTCTTTTATTCAGTGAATTTTCATCATTTACGTTATTTTTGAACATTTGCAGTGAATTTTGATCAATGTCGAATCCCAGCAGGGGGACGCGTTAGAAAGACCCAGCAAAGACGAGAGAAGTGACGATGGCTCACTACTTTTATTTTCCAGAAGCCGAAGTCTCAACCCGAGTACTCAGGGCGTTGATTGGGTAAAATTAGTAAGCTTTTCTCTGATTTGCTGTATGTCCCAGTACAATGCGCGATAATTGGCCTAACCTTCCGCACCCCCCGGCGTTTCTCCTGGTTCGCCTGTGTGTCCTCTTCACACGATACCATCTTCGGCATAAATTACATGCGTGTAAGCATACACTACATTCGTGAAAAATGGCAGCTGACGATTAGAGAAAAGTGTGTGGATCTTCACTCGAAAAAAGACGGCACTTGTAAGTTTTTTCTTCAGACTAAATATCATAGAGTTTCTGGAGAACCTCAGATGGAGCAGCAATCCCCGGATTATGAGTTATTTTTCTTCATAATAGGGGAGAAACTGCTCTCAGAGGGTTAACGCTAAGGTTAGCCAGCCTAGTTATTAGCCAGCAGTGGTTGCTAGCACACCAAGCAATCCCAGTTGTCAACACTGGGTCCAGTCTATTTCTTGGGATCATTTGTCTTTGATTTTAAACCTCAGATACCTCGACCGGGATTAAAGACACGGCTAGGTAGGAATGGGCTGATACAAAGTACATTTTCGTCACACCTCTTTCGGTATTTAGCTAGCGGTTACCTGCTAAGTTAACATTAGAAGGCTAATGAAAGATGACATAACCAGCCAGCTAACAGTGAAGGATGGTAGGAAACCTTTGGAATTGAAAACAATCATGGAAAGTGTGCTGATTATGGCTCCACTGCATTTTTATTAAGTTACAATAGTGTACAGGTGTTGTAGGTGGCTACCTACTGTATCCGTGAGCTGTAACGGTGAAGTGGCCCATGAAGTCGTTTGGTTGGATTTATAACAACAGTTATACCACATGTATCAATTTTCCATCAATGAGTCAGCTCGTGTTTTTACTGGAAACGATCACGTGATGTCGAAGACACGAAGTCCTGTTATTTTTTTTTCGTCTGTACACTCAGTTAGGCTCAGGGGCGTGTCTGGAGGGGCGTCCAGGGATGGAATAGCCCCCCTTGACATCTGATTGGCCACCCTTGATGCCACTTGAAAGCCCCTAGATTATGATAGGTTAATTTGAGAAGTTTACAGCTCCAGAAGGGGGACACATTAAATTCAATCACTTGAACTGTATTGTAACAGGCTTCAAGCAGTTTATTTGTTTCTTTTAAATGTTGTGCATTATCTTTTATTGATAAGTGAACTGTTAAAGAATTATGGTCCTTACACAATGGGGCCGACGCGAATATAGAATGCACAATTCCGAAATATTCAGAGGTGAATTTGACGGGGGTTGACTACACACATCACGCCCAATGCGATTATGCGACTTTCCGGGGGGAAAAGACGCATCCTGGGGAAGACTTCCCGGGGAAAGTCCTGCCTCCTTCGCCTCTGATTGGCTAGAAAAGCTGGAAACGTCATCACACACTCAAGCCAAACGGTCAGCACTTATAGCCAATCAGAGGTGATAAAATAAGCACATGAAACTATAGTAACAACTGTTATCTTACGTTGCACAGATTAAAGTTAAAACAAAGATGTTTAGCAAACTGTTAAAGCACACAAACTATCGTTATATGAGAAATCCGACGCTATGACTCTCCACTAGTTGCCCTTCAGGTCGTTATATTTGTAATGTGTGTGTAAAAGACCATAAACAATCAGCTGGTTGGCCATGTTGGGTATACCGTGATCTGACATCACAACAATACACAATCTGATTGGTCAGAAGTGGACACACAGTATGCAAAACTTTGGAAAATCGATCATGATCTGAAAAAATATATGCCGCTATGTTGCAGGAAGGGAAAACGTCGTTGATGTGAATGCTTGTACTGACAGGATACGGGTTCAAAAAAATATATATTGACGTCCGAAATAATCGCATGACAAAAACGGTCCCGGGGTGTAAGGACCTTTAATCGGAACATTTGTTTATCCAGGAGAGGAACTGGTGTATGAGTAACATAAACAAAGTGCTGCACGAAATCTAACTATCATAGATACATTCAAGGATGGTGTTTTTTTCCCGAATTGTCAGGACTTGTAGATTTTATGACCTGAGAAGTTGACTCAGCAGACTTAAAATTATCCATGAGCATCACTTGATTTTCATTTTGACCTCATCCTGCCACTTTTAGAAATGTTGTAGTGAGTTGTGATTTGACAGGTCATTTGAGGTTAGACAACAGACAAAAACTCAGAGGTATTTGGAGATTTTAAGTATGTTGCCACCACCAGCGACTCTGGTCGGTGCTTCTTTATTTCGGGCTCCTCAGTTTTTGTGTAACTTGCCACTCACAACAAGCTACATGAGTGTCTTCTTCACCCATGTCCACTTTTTAAAATGTGTGTTTTTTTTTTTTATTTGAAAGTCCTTTTTGCAATTTTTTTTGTTTTTAGTAATAGTGCATCATTAATTTAGTTACATTTATAGTTTCCTCTACCCAGCCACTGTATATAATTGCTTTTAGTACTTCCTCTTTCATTATTTATCCCTGTTTAAGTGTTGTCTCCTCTTGGTACATCTAGCTATTTTGTCTCCCTGTTTATTCCTAGTGTGAGCTTTTATGTTCATAAAACCTTTTGCAACATCTGTTTTGATAAGTGTTTTATAAATTAACATGATCCTATTATTTAAAACAGGGATTTAAAGTTCTATAATTATGATATTGTAAACTGCTCCCATACTTGTTTCAATCAATGAACACAAATGGTAACAACAGTGCATATCTCCCTGTTCTTTGCACTGGACTAGTGACAATGGGTTACCATAGTAACCCTGTATGCTGTGGCTGTGACCCTGAAACATAATAATAACTTTTTATTTCTCTGCCTTATAGTGAAATAGAAAGACCTCTGTTCTTTGTTTTCACACAATTAAGTTGTTTGATACAAAATTATATATATAGCCTATTGTTTGAAAGGCTCCAGATAAGAGATACAAGATTATAAACAAATATTAATTAACTTCTCTCTTATGTTTATTGTACCAGAAGCACAAATAAACTTCAACATTTGAAAACAGAGAGGGAAAAATAACAAATCAGCATCAGAAGAGGATCAACTATCACTGAATGCAACAGAAGTCACTTAAAGTAGAAAATCAAATTTTGTTTAGAATATCCTGGAGAAGGAACGCCAGTTTCCTTGCTCCTGTGTTGGATGAGAGGTCATCATAGTTTAACTAGGCCAGTTTATTTATTGGCAATCATTGCAAAAAAGAAGCCTCAGACCTAGCTTCAGATTTGTGCAGTTCTAATCTTGATGCATGCTGTGTCCAGCTCCGTACTCTGTAAATGTGGCTAATTTGTCTTTTGCCAGTCACATCCTTGATTTTTAATAGTTAAAAAGTGTGGAGTTTCCTTGAAATTGAGTAGTACTTAAATTTGAGACTTCCTTTAGCCTCTGTCATGCAATTGTTTTAGTTGCAAAATTCATGTACATAGGAGTATAAGGTCTGTGTCCTAAAGCAGTGCCTAAGTTTGGCCACCTGTCAAATGTCTGACAAGTCCAGACATGTCCCAGATTAAGCAGCTCTTTTTTACTCATATTTTTCCCAATAACTTCACTCCATTTGATTATATGTTTCATAAATGTAGATGTTGAATATTTTCAAGTAATACATTTTATTTCAGCTACATTTATAGGTGCAGAGTGAATGTATAGTAAATTAGATACAGTGTCACATGGTTTGTCCCACTAATACACTAAAGGCTTGTTCAGTGTTAAACCCACCATGCTATAGTCTGCCTGTCTCTGTGGGAGCATCCATTCCAGGAATACTGATATGTTTAAGCCTAACCTGAAAAAGGCTGATTTCCTTTTTATCATGACAGCACCAACTTAACTTGGAGAGTCATACCTAACCAGAGCTACCCACTGCTGTAGGCGGATGTTGGTTAAAATACAAAATCTATCAGTTAATCTATGTAAATACAACTACAAAATCAAAGTACTGTATTAGTGCACAGATGAAGTTCTCAAATCTTGTTTCCCAGGTGTAATATGGCCTTTTTAGACAAAGTCTAACAGATCTCTGAGCTGTGTTTTTGAGTGAAAGCAGTTTTTTTTATATTCTCTAAATAGACTCACAAATGTCTTTGGAGTGAATGTTTGCGCTTTCTGCACTTACTAATAATCGTTTTTATCTTGAAACATTTTTAGAACAAAGCAACTCAGAGACAGAGAGGATACTTGGTTGCCATTGGCTGTCATCATAGAAGTGTCACCATTGGTCATCAGGCACAATGGGAAAGACTCCAATAAAAGGTAAGGATCCATACTTTGATATGCTCCATCCAAATGTTGTTCATGATTTCAAGGCTCGATTTCATACTGAACTAGTTTTGAAAAGTGTGGACTTGCTTTTTGACAGATGAGTCTTTCTTTTTAAGGTTTCTGTAACCTATTAGTGTTTGAGAATATGCAAGGAAGTCGTTGCTATTCCTTATCTTTCAATTTTTTCATATCTGCTTATTTGGTTTTTCATTGAAACAACCGCAGAACAAACAAGCTGTCTCTTACCTCTGCTCTTTGTATTGAGACTTCACTGGTGTAGCAGGGCAGCATGGTACCATTGCTGTGATTAAATATAACCAATCATTTGACAGCCTTGGAGCAATGTTTTTACTCAGGTACAGGCTAATATACAACACTTTTTTGAAGGTTTGAAGTCTGATAATCAAAGTATTTGCTGAAATCATATTTGTCATTTTCTTGTTTTTTATAGCAGATCAGAAAGATGGAAAAAAAGAGAAACTGGGAAGGACAGTTCCACCAACAGGTACAACTCCTGCTGCAGCGAAAGGTGAACTGCTGTGATGAAATAAGTTTGCTTGCTTGTGGATCCTATTTATTGTTAAGGTTGGACTTATCAGCTGATGTTGCTATGTTTAAGGCTTACTGTCTCAGCAGGAGCTAAGATAGGTTCCATTTTTATTGTAAAAAAAAGTTATTTGTTATGATTCTCTTTTAGATTCGTTCAGCTGGGAAGAATATCTGAAAGAAACGTCAGCTATACCAGCTCCTCCAAGCTGTTTCCGTCAGGTATGTCCTCCTGGAATTTTTGAGGTGTATTATGTAATGAGCCTTTTTCCTGCAGACAGATTTGGTCTCAGACTTCACTCCAAAGTCAAAGTAATTGGTTGAGCATTTGCTGGACTTAAAAAAACAGTTTCTCTCTCTCTATTTTTTCTTGGTTTAAGTCTGCTTTGTGCACACAGATGAAACTACATCCGTATATTTTATCACTTTTGATGACAGTCTGCAGATTAAAGAAGCTTGAAGTTGACATATTAGTTGAAGTAGCACCTTAAAGTGCGTCCCTGAAAAGCCGAAGAAACTGGTTCTTTAAATAGCCGTAAAACTGGATCTGTCCCTTCACTCAAAAGTCCCATATTTCTTACTGACCTCAAAGAAATGAAGCACCTTTTCTTTCCTGCTTGTCTATTTTTGTATTTTTTTGTATTGATTTTAATAAAAACTCACAGTATCTGCCTTTGTGGTATTTTCCAAACATCTGCAGGCCAGAGCTCCTCCCTCCAACGACTTCAAGGTGGGAATGAAGCTTGAAGCCCACGACCCACGAAATTCCACCTCAGTGTGCATCGCCACAGTGATGGGTTTGACCGGAGTCCGTCTGCGTCTCCGTCTGGATGGAAGCGACAACAGCAACGACTTCTGGAGGCTGGTGGACTCGTCTGACATTCAGCCCATCGGCACCTGTGAGAAGAATGGAGACATGCTGCAACCGCCACTGGGTAAGAAAGTCAGGAAAGAGGGCTAGTTCAATATCAAGGACAATCTTTATTTTCATCTGTACTTATGAACTGAGACAGAGATGATGGCTATGGCAGATTTTCCCCTCATGACTGAACTGGTCTGAACTCTGAGATTTAGCCTCTGGGATTTGTGGACAATATTCCTGCATAAACTGAAAACTGATAACAGATAACAGAGGTCATTTCATATACACATATGATTGTTTACACTTTTAACAGCCAAAAACTTAAATTTCCCTTTGACAACAAACAGTATATTCTACAGAAGAGACTTTTAGTGTTTCTTTTTTAAAAATTAATATAAGTTTACATAAAGTAATTGCCACGTTACCAATTTTTTTCTATTCCCTTGAGCCTTTTTCTGTATCAAAACATCACATGAATGTCAACAATCAGGTGATGAATGCCGACACTCTCGACCTCTTGCTGCGTTGCTGCATGCAACTACAGACCCTACAAACATATTAAGCATAAATCAGAAAAACAATCAGATAAACTATTTTCCCTCCTCTAATAATTACACATTTACATGCAGACCTCCGTTCGTGGAGATAACATCACATCTTGTTTTTAACCGTACAAACCATACGCAATTATACATTTAAATAAAAACAGGAGTGGGAACAGATGCTGTGGAGCTGTTGCTGTGATGAGTTGTTGTTTTATGGCCAATTATAATGATAAAATCAGGAGAGGGCAGTGCAGCAGCTGCAGTTCTGAATCATACAACACAGCCATTACCAGTTTCGACATTTTTGTTGTTTTTTGAGCATGACCATGTCAAGAAAATAAAAGCATTTTTACTTTTCAAAGTAGAGCACCACAGCTTATTTTTTTATGTTTGTATTTTTCTCTTTTCTCCCCAAGTTTGCTGTCAGCAAGTCCTAGCAGTACAGGGATTTATATCTCCATAACGACCGGTCTACCTGCTTGAAAATAAGCGTCAACATTTCTCAAGTCCAAGACAAACAAAAAGGAACTGTGACTCATAGACAAAATACCAACTGTGACTACTGTAACTCCAAACAATCACAGACAATTCTAGCAACTTTTGAAGCGGTTTGATGACAAACAGAATTAGTTTCTGACAAACTCTTTACTGTAAAATTTTCCTGTTATTTTGTCGTGGAATCACCTTCATAAAAACACAACCATGTGAAGAAATGACATGTTTTCAGCTGAAGGAACTTGACTGAAGTCAAACAGTAAAATAAAGTAGATGTAAAAAAAAAAAAAATGGGGAAGAGAGAAAAATAAAAAAATCAGAAGACAAAGACTCAGATAAAAACTGCAACATGTGGAGAATTGAACACATAGTGGTTTATGAAATCATCTTTCCGTTGTCACAGGCACAGAAATGAATAAAGTATCACAAGGAAGGCTTGTTCAGGTCACCTGACTCGCCTAATTTATTGTAGAGAGTTGGGGGGATATTTCTTTTTATTTTCTAGTAATCAACATAAGATAATAGAAAAGCAGGATGAGTGGTGGTGTGTAGGTTTATATGGATGAAAGAGAAGAACCTGTTGCAGATTTTTTTTCAGTTCATGTTGGGTGATGCTAGGGTCAAGATGACAGTGAGTGATGTGCTTTATCTGACAGAACTAGAATTGATGCCATCAAAAAGAAAATGTTCAAAAAGGGGAAAAAAACACATCTGCAATGACATAAATGTTTGTTCCTAATTTGATGTTTTAACAGCTTCTATCTTTGTTCTCTCAGGATTTCGGATGAACGCCTCCTCGTGGCCCATGTTTCTGCTCAGGACGTTAAATGGGGCAGAAATGGCACCAGCAACCGCCTTCAAGAAGGTACGCACTGCCTCAAAAGTTACTGTTTGGGTGAATGTCAGCGTATTTAAGTGTGCCCATGTCTTGTTTTAGGAACCTCTGAGGCCGCCACAGAACAACTTTAAGCCGGGCATGAAGCTGGAGGCCGTGGACAAGAAGAACCCATACCTGATCTGTCCGGCCACCATTGGGGAAGTGAAGGGCGATGAGGTCTTCATCATGTTTGATGGGTGGAGGGGGGCTTTCGATTACTGGTGCAAGTTCGATTCTCGGGACATCTTCCCTGTGGGCTGGTGCTCCCTCACCAAACACAGCCTCCAGCCTCCAGGCAACAGTGGTGAGTATCAGCCTGTGGGTGGCAGCACAGGTCTGCTCTTAAACTGGAGTTTGATACTGTTTGTACTCAGTACTTTAGTTATCCTTGTGCGTTAGAATATCAATACTGATCAGTAATCATCAGGTCTTCAACATCCTGACCTCTGACAGGTGCTTAACATGAAATAAGACAGTAGTAACATCTTGATCTTATTACTTTCTTAGAAAGGATAAACAAAAAACTTTGATGATGAATTTGAACTGTTCATAGTTAATGTTTAAAAGACAGACTGATGTTTGTGGGAAAAACAGTTATCTTATTGTGTTAGTGTGCTTTTTTTCTCCTGCTTTTTTTCTGTTTTGTTATCCCTTCATATACACACAAGTTGCGCCTCCATCTCTCCTCTCATTACCTACAAATTTTCCTCCCTTACGGTTTCTGTGTGTCTGATCTTTTTATAGCATACATCAGCAGGAGGTTTTATAGAGACATCCAAACACAAAAAAAGCTGTATTTGAAATTTAACTCCACCAAGACTGGTAATCTGCTTTTTGGCAAGGCTTGTTAATGATCCAAAGCTGCTCATAACTTTTGAAACAGCCGGAGTAGAAGGCTTGTACCTAACATGAGACATTACATCTCAATCGGTGCACCATAAGGAGGGTTGCACTGTCAAATCTCTGTCTCTCCCTCTGTGATCACCCTCAGTAGAAGATGGCCTTTTATCAAAATGGTCCCCTCTCTAATTCCACTCTTATATGAGTGCACTCCATTGCCCACAGCTAAATAAAGCCTCCTTCTTCAGGGTGGAGGAATCAGCTACAGCTGCAAGCTTTGAGACAGACTCCAATCACTGTCATGAAGCAGAAATTTTATGTCACACAAATAATGAGGAGCTTAAATAAAAAGGTCTAACCAGTTAACAGACTCACACAAATCCTCTATGATATGAAAAATATCTACCATCTCATTTAGTGGCACTTCTTCTTCTACTGACATCTTACAGTTTAATTGACTATCTGATATTTATAACCTGCTGTATTTCCTACTTGCAACAAAACACTTAACCAAAAACCTGCAGTTTTCTGGAGCGGGCAGATAGTCAGGCGCCCCACACATGAGGACCACAGTCTGGCCCGACCGTGTGCTGCATGTCCTCCCTCCTCTCTCTCTGTCCCCCACATTTCACTCTGTCCTATCTAATAAAGGCAAGAATAGCCAAAAAAATAGTTAAACAAATACAAACAACAAAACCTGCAGTTGTTGGAAACATTTTCCCTTCATATATAAGACTGAGGTATATAATCCTTTATGAGATTTTAGGGGTGTGATTATAAAACAAAATATGCTCAAATAACATGAACCTTTTAAAAATAAACAAATTAAAAACTCTGAGTCAGCAGTATAATCAGTATAACATTTTTGAACGAAAGTATTTAAGTTTATAAAATTAGGGATATGTTGTTATTGCTACCGTCTCTCACATTGGAGTACTTGTAGTTTATTTCACTTGGTTAAATCAGATTTTTCTGAAGTGAAAAAGTCAGCAGACCTCAACAGAGTCTCAAAAGTTTTTTTTTTTTTTTTCTCAGGAAAAGTGAACCTCTCCTTTGCCTCTGAATGGTGTGTTTTTGGTTAGGTAATACTTTCTTTTCAGCTGTGTCACTAAGTCACCACCTGAGCTGCACTTTAAAGGTTGCTTAGTAACAAGATCAATGTTTGAAACACTTGATAAACTGGGGCTAAACTGAGACATGCTGTGTATAACATGTGAAACTCTGCAGACATGCCGTGCAGTCATGTTCTTGTGTTTGTCCGTCAGTGTGTTATGGAGAGTGGAGGGGCTGAATTATGTTCTTCCATTGAGTTATTTACACAGAGCTGCTCAGTCCAGTTTGTATGCAAGACTGTGGAGAAAAGGAGGAGGATACATTCCCAAAACATTGAAATTTACTAGCCACTCCTGTACTTGAACTTCTTGATAAATGACTCATTAGAGATATTTGAAATACTCCACAGATGAAGATAAGACAAAGACATCGTCATCATCTTTTTCTTCTTCCCCAGCCTCCTCTGCCTCCTCTGTCAGTGTGGGCTTTGTTTTAACTGGAGGAGGAAGATTTATTGTTCTACTCTGTATGTGTGGGAGTCTTAGACTTCATACAGAAACTGGGAGAATATTTAGTGGCTGAGTCAGTGGGCTGTGTGCTGCCTTGTGTGGGAGTGTGGTGGTGTAAGTGTTTTTCCTGACTGGTGAGTTTCACTTTTTTTTGTCTAGTTTCGAAAACTGCTAGTTTACTTAAGGACGAAGGACCACAATTCATTAATTTATGATACTTTGGCTGAATTAGCAGTCCTCTTTCTTAACTTTTGAGTCATTTCATGTACCAGGAGTCTGTCACTTAAGATATGGCTATTATTGAGGAAAGTGACCCCGGACCCTATTTAAACAATCTAATTAAGTGCATAATCTAAAGTGCATGGCTCAGGGTGAATTTGGATGCATCCTACCGCTGTAAGCTGGAGACTAGGGACGCACCACATGGGCACTTAGTGAGGCTTAGGGCACAAAGAGATTGTATATAAAGTCTCTTGTTAATTTAGGGGTGTGCTTTGGGTGTAACATGAATTAACCCAATCAGAGTGTCTTCTCCCATCTCCTTTAAGAGACCTCCAGACAGAGACATTGCTATTATTAACGCTGCAGATTTCAGCCGGACCAGGCTGGGGCTGGCCCTTTTAACTTCTCTCCTACCATTGAGGGTGGGGGGCGCAAGCCACTGGTATGTCAGTAATGTGAATATATGGACTGATGTATCCACTAAAACAGTCTCTCTGCGCATCTGAAACAATCAGGGACTTTTTCATTAGCAGTTGTACATACATTTGTGCACAAAGAAGCAGAATAATTTTGTTTAAGTATTAAAACTCAGGAAACACTGACACTATCAGACAGGATCTAATAATACATACTGTAACTCCCCATGCACTAAATTATATTTACTATATTTTTACATTTACTACATTACTTCAAAATGCAGTTATCCCTTTATTGTTTTTTGGTCTGAAACCATAATCTGTTACCGTTTTGAGATGTTATACACCTGCTCAACCAGACACAGCCTACTTTCAGTTTGATCACCGTTATCTTAATGAAAAAAAAAGACTGCCATGAGATTGCTTTTTTTTTTTAATCTGTGCTTGTTTACATCCGGGTAGTGGAGCATTATATCATTGTGACAGTATCTACTAACCAAAGCTATGACGTTGGCTGCATTATGTCACACAAAAACTGACATTTTTAGCTGACTCTAATAAAAAAGACAATATTTTATTCAACCAACCAGTAATTGTGTTGACTTTCAGGTTTGACAGTGTCACACATCCCAGGGATAAACAGTGCAATAATTGAGTAAACAAAGAACAGTTCACATTTTCTGTAAGTGGTCCTAACTTGAACAGAGCTTTTTATTTCTTGAATTATCTGCAATACCTTTTGAGTTTAGCACTCTTAATTCAAAGATGCAAAGGAGAGACATGTTTCTGATAGCAGTACAAATGAAATCACTGCAGGGTGTGTAATCCTTTTATCGAGCCTATTAAGAAGGAAAATAATTAATTGGAGCTCTACAAATAAAGTGGAGTGCTCTCCTTGTTATTGGCAGTAATGAGATTCCCCCTGTCCTAACCCAGGCAGGCTGAGAACATCTCTTTACCCTGAATGTAATCCCAGGTTCTTACATCGGCACAGTGCACTGAGAGGTCACTGGGTTACTGATAGTGACACTTAATTAGCCTCTCCAATTAGACCAGAAAGACTCTACAGTGGCAACAGGAACAAAGTGCTGTTCACTTTCAGGAACCCCCTCTGTTTAGAAATACCCTTAAATGAGTTTGCCCTTAGCTTCGTGCCTCACAGATCTCCTGTCAGTCTGAATATGTACTCAGAAAATATATCAATTCATGACCTGCTTGTATGATGTTGTATTTTAAGGTTGTGCTCGGTGACTTTGTGTTTAAGTGATAAAAAAGCTGAAATTAACATTGATGTCTTTTCATAATATCCAAAATCAAACCAGACCATCAGGGACTAGACTGACAGCTTGTTCATTGTTGGTTTTTATGCTTGAAGCAGGTGTGAAGGGGGCAAGTGTCAAACGAGCAGATGAAGCAACAGCCTTATGGTTGCAGTTTCTGTGCAAATATTTATGATAAACATTACATGTGACTGTCAAAAGTCAGGAGGAGGAGATTTTTTGTTAAAAGATATTGAGTATTTAGAAGACAAGACAAGCAAGACTTTCTCCACATGTGTTGTTGTTGACACAAACCAAACAGTCCTCACAGGAGCTTTGCCTGTTTAATCTTTAGTAAGTATTCTGTATAAAGACATCCTAAATAATGCAGTGTGCATTTAGAGAAGTGTCAGCCTGTACTTCTTTACCATAAAAGGTAATTTGCTAATGGACAAGGCTTATTAGGGACTGTAGTTTTATTTACTGCAATGATATCAAACTAAGAGTACAGATCAGAGGCAACCAGCTGCAGGACCTTTGTTTTTTTCTAAAGCTTCTTTCTCAGAAAACTCTGCCTTCAATTCTTCTTTCCAACAGTTCTTTAACAGAGTCAAAGGTTTCACGTCATAAACATTAATTAAGGAATAAATGAGCCTGATGGACCCTTTGGAGGATGGATTAAGTTTTTAAAATAGAGTCTAGGAGGGAGCTGGTTGGTTTAGATGGAAGAGAGGAGATGGATGTTTATATAAAGTTACAAATTTGAAGATATCTAAAGAATTGTGAACAGGGAATATTGAACTTTGATATTAACTGGTCAAAAGATGCAAAAGATTTGTTAATAAACAGATTTTCTATTGTAGCGACTCCTCCTTCAAACCAGATGTCAAAGGCTCTGCCAATGATTGATAGTTTAAATAGATCGTTTTTTTATTATGGGTGCATTGGAAATCTCTTAATGAAAGCATTCTTCTGAATTGTGTTCAAATCTTAACAGACTGTTTTACTATTGGATTTGAAGAGTATTTGGATATGGGTTCAGGTGAAGGGAGTTTTGTACTGAGCAATGCACTTAAAGAAGTAGAGTCACAAGACAAATATTCTAGTTGTGACCTCTCTGTTTTTGATGATGAACCTTAGCAGATCACGTGTTACCACATACTTCATCAAGAATACAGCATGAGGAGAGATTGTTTATTTAGTTCTAGTCAAAGATGCCGACCTTAAATAGATTTAAAAAAAAGAAAACCGTAAAAGTGGTTGGCAGTATTTTAGGTAGCCCATTCAGGTAAAGTCCATTTGTGGGGAAACTCTTGAGAAAAACAGTCAACCTGACCTACCCTGTCACCTGTTTTGCTCTGTAAATTTCTTTAGCCTAAGTGCAGATATAAAAGTCTCTTTGAGACACGAGGTCTTTTGATTGATGGATTGAACTGTGGATTTTTTTTTTGCCAGCACTTGCTCTTTGTTTATTCCATGTAATGTCCGGGTAGATATCATCACATCCTATACATGGCTTTCAACCTTCATGTACATGTATTTTTATGTCTGTGTGTCCTTGAACAGGACTTTCTCCTATAAGATCTCTGTATTATCAGTCTCTCAGAATCAGAATCCATCAGTTCCAGCTGTGTCATGAGTTTTTGTTCCTCATGACCTTCCTGTGTGGTGGCTTTGTGTTTTAATGTCAAACCTGTTGTCTGTTTGTTGTTATCACAGTTACCTTGCCAAAGAGTCTGCAGATCCTCCCAGCATCTCCCTCCAAGCCCAACAGGCGCTCCATGCAGTCCCCATACAGACTCCCAAACCCTCTGCCCCCCCTGCCTGTCAGGAAGGGTGTGAGAGGTCGCCGCCCCAAGAGTGAGACCATCGCTTTGCTCAAAGCTGTGGCCGAGGCTGCGGCCTCCCAGAACGGGACTGTACCTGAAAACACACAGCTGGTCCCTCGACCCCACAAGAAGAGAGGCCCCAAACCTGGGAGCAAGGTGAGCATATTCAAACTTGTGCTTACAGGTGATTAAAAAACATCCAAACAATTAAGAGCTGTCAAATCGAACAACATTTTTGGAAAATTGTCGGGTTAGTTTACTTCTGACCTGCTAAATCAGAAACAAAGACAGAAACATAAAGACTACTGTGAACTTCAGGCTAAAAATGAAGTTTCACAAAGTAAATCCTCTGAGATTCATGGTGTTATGGGTAAACCTTGCAGCCTTTGTTTCAATTCATGTGCTACTAAATGTTTTTTTTTTTTCTGGGCAGTATGGTTTTCACAGTGAGTTAGGCCCGAACTACACGAAGGCGGATATTTATTTATCTGGATATTTTTGTACTCCCGTCTAAATAAATGTACCTGTCCACACGTGTTAGTTCAAAAAAATATCTGCGTCCACACGTAGGCTTCAAACTCAATCCTATCTGGTGCCGCTTAAAAAAAACTGACTGGTGGATGTAATTGTATAAAATAAGGTTCACTTGCAAGGCTGAAATTAGCCCCAAAAGGGCAAAACAAACGTAAAGAATACCCTGTATGTCCGCCATCGTTGTTGTTATTGTTTTTGTTTTTAATGCACATGCGCGAGCTGCGGTTTGACGTCATCGATCCGTAAAAGTCCGACCACACGAATCCACTGCGGGTACGGGATACGGATATTTTTTAATTTCTCCGCTTGTTTTTCCGGATTCAGATTTATCCGGTTTGAGTGCACCAAACTCCCGGTTTGGTGTGGTAGGGAGGCCTAATCGGACATAAATATGTGCGGTTTGAAATATATCCGCCTTCGTGAAGTTCGGGCCTTAGTCATGAAGTTCAAGTTGGTTATGATGTAGCTTTTAGAAATGAGCATGATTAGTGGAATAAACTACCAGGGTTTGACTCATCTGTGTTAAAAAAAATATTTATATATATATGACAATGTAAATGTCAACTTTGTTTTCATAATCCATTAATCCCATTTAATGTGTTTATTGATATTATAGAGAAAGCCCAAGATCCTCCCAACTCCTGTACCTCTGCCCAGCATCCAGGTCCCACAAGAAAGTCCATCAAGTCACAACTCAGTGGTGTCAACAGGTGAGGATTACTGACCAGGTTAAAGGCCAATGACGGTAGTTTAATTTTTAATTTGTTGTTCAGTTTGTTTAATCAGCTGATGAGTTAATCAGTCTATCTAAATAGTATACGTTCATCATAAATAATAAAAATAGAGTATTAAAAAAGTATCATACTCTAACAACAAAGTATTTCTCCATAGGGATTATTCTGTAATGTGTTTAGTCTAATTTCAAGACCTTTAAGTGGTTGTTCTTTGATGATGAGGCACTTGCACCAGCTGGTTCCAGATGGCTGAACTGAACATGGCGTCTACTGTCTCTAATGGATCTACTGTCCCTAACCCCACCTGTCTGGATTTTGGTTGTTTAGACCTCAAACTATGTCAAACACATAAAAAACACCAGGTTTAAAAATATCACTCCATCTTCTTGCCTGATTTTGCCAAGTTTCCGTTCTCATGAGGTTGTCTCCTGTATTCTCTGTGTTTCTTGTGTCTGTGTGTTGCTCCAGTGTGTGTGTATGTGAACAAGCACGGGAACTGTGGCTCCCACTTGGACAGGAAGCAAATGCAGCGTCTGCCGGACCACTTCGGCCCAGGTCCTGTGAATGCTGTGCTTCAACAGGTGGTCCAGTCGTGCATAGACTGTGCGTACCAGCCCAAGGTCCTGCTCAGCGCTCTGCAGACTCACTCAGGAGGAGGAGAGGTCGTCAGAGGTAGTCTCATTCAAATAAGACCTGATATTATTTTCTGATATTCTGTGATGTGTTTCACGTCTGTAGCAGTTGTTTTAGTCATCTTTGAGATCCTGTGTATAATGCAGACCCTGCGCTCCCAGGATCATAAATGGGCGCTACACAGGGGGGTGTAATGGACCAAGAAATTGCAGCATTTAAAGGGGGAAGTTTGCTTCACTTTCACAGTCACTTCTCAATTTACTAATAAACAACACAATACTGTAAAGGAAAGTGGAAGTTGTTGGTCACAAACGGCTGGCAACTCCAAAACGAGAGAGAAGTCAGCCAAAAGCACATGTGTCATCTTTAAGTAGCTGATGTGATCTACGTTACCGACCGCTGAAATATCCTTTTTTTCCCTCTTAGTGAGAACAGATGGTGGTGTCCGTGTGGTCAAACTCCCAGCAGCCTCCAGTGCTTCCTTTGTGCTTCGGTTCTTGGAGACGATGTGTCGTCATCTGCAGTGTGACAACTTGTTCAGCAGCCAACCGTTCAGCCACTATGCAGCGTACGACAGGACCAAATCAGGTAACGTCTTAAGCCAGTGTTCGTGTCACAAATCTGTCGTGGAAGTTTTTCTCCTTCCGTTGCTGCTGGTGAATAATGAAATAGAGACTTCTGCCGGCCGACAAGGTTTTATTTTCTTTGCAAAGAAAAGGTCGATCTGAATCCGAGCGGGTAGATCAGAAAGGACCCCGAATCTAGGGGAATACAGAGTATTTATACCTTAGGACCGCCCTCCAGAGGGCAAGGAATGGGGCTTAGGTGTTGGCACCTTTTGTTGTCTGTGGGGACTGTTACTTCACCCCCCTGGGGTAATCACAGCTGTGTCAGGAAAGAAAGCTGTGAAGTTTTTATCTTTTGGGATACAACAATTCCCATGAAAGCAGGCATATGGATAAATTTGTTTTAGAACAAAATAAATCCCAAGTGCTGCTTAAAATGTCTTTCACTCCTGTGTATTTTCTCTAACTGGAGTCAGTTTTTTACACTTTGAAATAACAGGAAAGTTCAAAATCAAAGTGAAGAAAGAAAAAGAAAGTGTTAAAATCAAATTGTGAATTATGACTAAAAACTCATACATTTACAACAAAAGAGTTTATTAGTCGCTAGTATCACACTGTCGTAAGAATTCAAATTCTGAAAATACTCATATAAACGGGTGGGCTATTGCAGTGGTGTGCAGCCTGTGCATGCTTCTGTCACTGTGTTGGTCCTCAGCTGCTGACTAAAACTTTACAAGCTGATCCACATTCCCCAGGTGACTAGCTGCTCTCCTATGACCTGAATTTACAACTTTGTTTTCTTTCTTTACTCTTGGGAGATTAAAGTAAGGCTGGGTGATATGGCCTCAAATCAATATCACAATATATTATCACCTTGACAACGATAAATGGACAATAACTACTCCACAAGCTGCTCACCCCCTCCCACATTAAACGTTGTCAACTTCAGCCGCCGCTCCAGACGATACAACTTTTGAACTGTCCTCATGGATGGGATGGAGTCATGTCTCCGATGTAGAACAGCGTCTTAGGGGGACATGAGACCATAGCTTACCTACACACATCCAAAACCAACTTTTATTTATTTTTTTGACACCAAATATATTGACATGGGCAAAATGATATTGGTTATTGTCGTAAATTTTGGTATTGGTAAATTTTTGGTTTATTGCCCAGCCCTATATTAAAACCTTGTTTTTGGGCATCTACAAGTTCATTCTTATAAATGTAAAACTTATCTCTTGGACTTTTGTTTGTATGTTTCAGTGAAAGAGGAGGCACTGGATACTCCATCTCTGGCTCGAGGAAGTAAACGGAGTCTGTCTGTAGTGTCTCCACCATATGCAGCCCCTCTGTCACCCAAACATCTACGAACTGAAGCTCATCCTTCAGAGGGTACGGCTCACTCTGCAGATGTGTTATATTCTTGGTGGACTCTGTATTCAAAGACACTTCTCTGTCATCACAACTTGAACACAGTTTTTGATCAAACTTCTGTAATGTGTCTTTGGTGTGATTATTTTCGACGGATAGAGTTTATAAAAAGTTTTTATATTACATTTTGTTAAATGTGAGTGTTGTTTTTGTCTCTCCAGCAGAGACTCTGCCTCATGAAGAAAACGGTCATCTAAAGGAGCAGCGCTACATGGACTCAGCCTCCAACTCCATGACCCCCCGACCCCAAACAGCACGCAGCTCCTCAGAGTACCACTCTCAGGCCAGCAGCCTCTACCACGCCGGCAATGCCACAGCCATGCGCCGCCTCTCCTCCAATCCTGCAGAGCTCAGCTCCACACCACCTCTCAGACGAGTTGAAGGTGCAGTAAGAGTCTGTGGCTGCACAGGTCTAATCATGCTCTGAATTGATTGTTTAATGCACATTGTTCTCTTGGTAGCAGCCAGCTCCACCACAGGTCCTGAGGCTCTGGGGTCTGAGAGGGAGAGTCCACGGCTGCCCAATAAGAACCCCTCATCCTGGTCCATCGAGGAGGTGATGCAGTTTGTGAGGGATGCTGACCCCACAGCGTTAGCTCCACACGCTGAACTCTTCAGAAAACATGTAAGTTACTTTGGATGACATTTAAGGACCCACTCCAACGAAAAACATGTTTCTCTTGTTGTCTTCATCTTCATATGGCATTTTCTGATGCTGAAGGAAAAATAAGTGCAAAGTTGCATTTCTGAGTATTTACTGCTCTGCAGAATAAAAGCCCTTAAAAATGACACAGGTAACGTGATTTTAGATAAAGAATTCATAATCGCAACTTAAAGACCACAGAGAACACTTCAAGTAGTAAAAGAAAAAAAACGATTAGAGTGTGACTTTAAGTATCCAGGACTGGTCATTCGATACCAGACTTGTCGCATCAGCTGTTTTGAAGCCCCTGGGCAGAAAGTGCTTCATTTGTTCTAATATGACCAAAGTTCAGTCCAACAAAGCTGAAAAATCCTATCTGTCCTGTAGAGATTACTACTTTTGTTGGGCAGTAAACCCCTGAAGCTGTAAGACTGTGGGCTTGGAGGGTGAGAGGCTAAACATAAATTTTTAAATGTAAAAGCAGTTACATACAATCTATGTGAAGGTATTTGCTTTAAAGCAGCAGTTTCATGGAGGATTTAAAAATGCAGCTCACTTAAGCTCTGGAGCTGTCAGCGTGACCAGCAGCTGCAGTAACTTCATCCTCAACGCAGCTTTTTTCAGTTCGGCGCCACACTCAACTCCTGTGTCTGGTTACATGAGACCTGTGTTTTACCAGTAAGACTCCCTGTTTGGATGTATTTTTTTACCATCATGTGTTGGTGCAAACAAAAGCTTTCAGCAGTCAGAGACAGGCCAAGTGTCTTTCTGGCATAAACCATGTAAAAAAAATAAGAGACCATAGCAGAAAAGGGCTGCAGCTAACAACTTTGTTGATAGTTGACAAGTCATTGCTTATCACGACTTTTTGACGAAGCAGACATATAATTGCTCAATAATTAGATGGCTCCATATAGTAATCAGCTTTTTAGTTTGATTTTACCATTTAGAACTGAAAACATGCTGTTAAAAAATTCTTCAAGGTAAGAAACAGAGATTGGAGAGAAAAAGATGAGGTATTGTAAGGTCAAGGTTTAACGAGAGAGACTAAACATGTGAAACTCAGACATTACAGCTCTGACTTTGGACTTCAGTTAAAGTGAATGTCACTGTGCCTTCTCAAGTATCTTTGACATTACTGCTCCCATGAAAAACAAACTCTGGTTTTTGTTGTTTTTTTTCTTTGCTGCATTAAAACAATTGATCCTGGACTTCAGAAACGTCACCACACCTTGGTGTTGCATTGGTTACCGCCATGTTCATGTGTTTTATTGACTAGTCGCTGTTCTGCACTTGTTACTCTCAGCAGGGATGGTAGGGGTGTAAGGTGTGTCTCCTGTGCCACTCTCAGCAAAGGTAGTAAAGAAGCGAGAGGCCCCCCTCCATATTGATTTAACTGCAGAAAACAACCTTATGTCCACTGTATGAAAATACACGCAATAAGGTCTCCAACGACTCAGCGCCCCCTAATGCACTGGCAACTACTTGTTTTATTGATTTTTGTTGACTACATGGATGAATCATGTACCCTTGCTGCTGACAGCCTGGTCAGCCAAAGAGTCAGTCAAAGTAGGTGGCGGCAGAGGCCCTGATTTCATCACAGTTTGATTGAACCCAGACTCCGACAGGATGTTGAAATAACTTCACTGGAGGTCCACTTGAGATGCAATGCTTCCAGATGTCACACAGACTTTAATTTTGGGTTTAATTTTTGTCATTTTGAGACTTGAGTTTTACAGGGCACAGCCTCTTGTGTTTGCTTCTGCATTGCGTTGCACAATGACAAAGCTATGATAAGAAACTTCCTGTAGCTTATTACTGACAAAAACATGTGCATGTGTTCATGATACCCCACAAAAGGTCAGCCAGGCAGCCAAGTTAAAACTTAAACTACTTTGAAATCTTTTCACATCCTCCCCTCTAATATCAACTTCATAACTGCTAATGATTGTGCTCATGATGAGTACTATAAAGATGAGTATACAGTGTACCCAGAGAGTTTTACAAGTATTGGAAGGGTCTCAGTTTATACATGATTTTAAAGAAAGCTTTAACTGATATTTGGCTTGAAACATCCATTTATGTTCATACAGGTCCTGTTTATTGGTCTTGTCTGATCCGGTTTAAATCTATACCTGAATGTCAAATGTGTGAGGGTTCATGTCTGTTCTTTAATTGTTGAGTCTTGTACATTTCCTGACTGAAAGGAATGAGTACTGAAAGGCTGTATTACAGCATCATATGAATAATTCAGCCCTTGTGTTCAGTTTTGAAAATCTAGAACTGTAAATGTTTTTATATATTTGAGCTATTTTTGTGCTGCTCTTTACACTGGGCTTTGGGTTTCTAGGGTTTGTCTTTAATGTCTGATGTCCTTACAGGAGATCGATGGAAAAGCTCTGATGCTGCTGCGGAGCGACATGATCATGAAGTATATGGGTCTGAAGCTGGGGCCTGCGCTGAAGCTCTGCCACCACATAGATCGACTGAAACAGGGCAAAGTGTAAATGGAGCCGCCGCGCTCCTGTCCCTGTCCAACCCATGAGCAATAAACCCCGACGAGAGCCGGACTCATGGAGCTGCAGGGGCCACATGTGACTCTGACTGATGTTACAACTTCCTCCTGACTTCCAGAGCGGAGAAAGTGTGCCGTGCAGTGCTGACACATTACCTCATCCCCTCATCAGTGAACGAAAACTCTGACTGACTGACTGACTGAAATCCCAAAGGAAAGAACCCCTGCAGTGTTTACATTGCATAGCACACATGGACACGCTTTTTTTAACGGAGATAAAAATCTTTTGATCCTGGTTTTGGATCCCCCAAAGATGGAGAATGTTTCTTCTTATATAATGTTTTTATTATTGTCCAATTTCCACTTATTAAGGAAGGGTTGGTATACTGAAAAAAACATCAGATGTTCTTCCCCACAAGAATCTGGATGCTCTCTGTACAGCTGTTTTCACTCTTCACGTATGCCTCAAGTGTGGAGCATCCGACAGACTCTTTCATGTGCTTGAAAATCGTCAGCATCATTACATTTTTTATCTCAAACTCACGTTTTCCACAGGGTGTCCTGCAGGATCATCCTCTGCTGTGTGGCAAGATGTGTTCTTATTGTGTCTTAGCGGACCCTCCGTTGCCTCCCACCGGTCCACACACAGTTCTTATCAAACTTACAGGCCGATCCATTTCAGCGGACAGATTGTTGAGGATGTGCAAACAGACATTTCTAAGGGCTTTCTTTGTTTAGTTTTTCAAACTATTAGTTGAATCACGTGAGAGCCTGTGTCCACAGAGCGGTTTTCAGGCACAGTGCAGGGCTGGAATGGAGCTCTTGTGTCATGTCAGAGGAGAAACTGCATGTGAGGTTTTGTTTCCATGATGGCAATGTTTGGCTCGAGTGCTGGGGCAGTGTCACCTGTTTTTTCCCTGAGAGCATTAAAAAAATACTTCATGTCATTATAGGTAGGGTTGTATCAGGTACTCATCAATTGTGTCAACAGCCAGGAGAAATTGGCTGGAATTTTCCCGTGAAGCAAAATCCTGTTGACTCATACTTGAGCTAGTATAAGTTTGTGCTAATATCCATTCACAGACCCTACAAAGCTTGTTAGACTCGGTACTGTAAGATCCTGATTTATGCTTGGAAAGTGTTCTAGTTTCCGTTTGTGGTCCAATTAGTATTGACCAATCATGTTTCAAAACAGGGAAAATAGATGGAGTGTGGAGAGCAAAAGCAGGTGGAACACACACACCACTAAAACAACACCCCAGCTCTTCAGCTTTAATCTAACAACTATTTATCCATCTAATGTTCAACTTTTTAAAAGCAGTTTTCTTTTCTTCTCGAGGACCGACCTTACAATGTTTGCATTACTACTTTTTACAAATCCCAATTATGGTGTTGTTTTATCAGTAAATTTTAAACATTCAAGTTGTCAGTAACTTTTGGAGAAAAAAAAAGAGTTTTGTTTTCTGGCTGCTACTTCTAAAGTAAGCCAGGGTGAAGCATCTCTGTCTACAGTTGACCTGAGACCTCCCGGTACTTGACACAGATGTACAGGTGTCCCCCCCTGAGATACGATAGATTAAGAAAAGTTTCAGACAAAGACAGTGCGCAGATTAGAAAGTCTTGGCTGGAAGTTGTTTTTTGCGTCTGTTAAATGCTTTTCTTACCCATTTCATCCACATGTCAGACAGTCGTGTCCATTAGCACAAGGCCAGCACAATATGAAACAAACATGCACTGCACCATAACATTGTTTCAGTAATGAGATGACAATGTGCTGCTGTGCATGTTAACAGGCTGAGTAAGACAGCATTGCCTTCTAGAAAAAAAAAATAATATTTGAAGATTTCAGCTTTTGCGTTAAAAAGCCCATCCTTGGGCTTGTGTTTCTGTATTTAGAGATAGGATGTGTGGGTGATGTAGAAAACTGGACTAAGTGTAGGGCTTGATGTGACAAAGGACTCTAGCCTCTGTACATGAGGCTGGAAGAAAAGCAAGGCCAAGGAGAGCGAAAGAACAGGAATGTGTTGTGTATGAGAATAGTGCAGAAAGGAATGAGTGTTCAGGCAATGAAGGAAAGAAAAAAGCTGAAAAATGTTTTAATATAGAATAAACACTTCGTCTGACTTTAACTTTTGAGGTTGAAATTTCCCTGATAGCTTAGCTACTATTCTGCAGGGTCCCTATGTAGGTATGGAAAGTATAGAAAAATATGGAAATAAATTTGATCAATTTCCAGGTCTTAAAAAGTGTGAAAAAATATTGTTTCCAGACTATTACCACAGTTCTGAAATACTGTTTTCCAAAATAGAAAAGTAGGTATTTCCAAAAATAATTCTAAAACATAGGGTATGGAAAAGTATGGAAATTCCAACTGTGTAGGAACCCTGATTCTGGTTCTCCAGCAAGTTTCTCAACAGAGGACCCAAACTCAAAGGGATCTTTTGTGGCTATCATACTTAGTATTGACAAGTACCTCATTCACTAAGATTTTCCCGTGGATACATATGTTCCTGTCTTTCAAAATTTATGAAATCATCTCAGAAAAATCCACAGTCTTATTGGTGTCGATACAAAATATCTCAAAAAGTAAATTACTGGTATTGGCAGTGATGAAATATTTCTGCAGATTTGATTACCAGCCTGAAAGATTCATCATGTGCATGCAGTACCAGCTTACTCCTGCTGGTTGCATTTATGTGTTTAATCTTTTTTACTTACATAAATTTTAACAAGAAACATTTTTAAACATGTTGTCTATGGTAGAATCAAATGTTGTTTGACTTGTTTTATGGTCTGGTTCTCAAACAAATAGACCATCACATATTAAGAGTAACAAACATATCCTATTACAGGGAAGTTTGCATTCTTAACAATGGAAAAAGGATGTGTATTGAAATCAGTCAAAATAGATTAGAAAATATTGGTAAAAGTCAGATTTTGAGCAGCAAACTCAACTGCTAGAAAAAAGTCAGACACATCTCCTCCCCATGTTTTATGGCTGTTTTAGTCTCCTGTTGTTCATGGAGGATTGCAGCACCTGTCATAAATCCTAAGTCATAGTCATGTCAAGTTTTCAGCTCCACAAAAGAAGTAGGAAGTGCTGTGGATGCTGTGTTTCTCCTCCAGGGGGCTGCATGCTCCTCATGTTGGTTCAAAGTGTAGTCTGAATAAACCGCTCTGTGGACTCTGGCTCTAAGCTCATCGGTCTGCTTGTCTGCCTGCCTGCAGCCGCCTCAGTGTTGTCTCTTTTGACCGTTCAGATCACTGTTAGGAATGAAAACAGATTTGTACAGTTTTATGGGTTTAACCATGAATATCAGCGACAGAATGTACATTTTGTAGAAACTTTAATATTTTAAGGAAATCATATACATTAAGCTAGAAATGTGAAGATAATGGTGGACGGGGACGTGGTGAATATTCCATTCTGCTTTTTAATACTAAACACAGCAGCGCTTTTTAGTTCACATACTTATAGTACTAGACTCTGCCTTGCTCTACCTACGACATCTCTCAGGTTTATGTGATCTTTGTTAGTACAAGCTTTTGTAGCAAACTGTTTATAATGTACTTTACAAAACTTTTCCTCCTCTTCTCTTCATTGATTTAAAAAAGACTTTGTGCCATACAATATTCAACACAGGATCCAAGTGCTGTTGATTTCCCTCTCCTCCTCCTCTTCTTCTTCTTCTTCTTGCATCTTCTTTTAAGTACTTGAAAAATATGTGTTGCAAAACGTCACTTGTCCAATATGTCACATCAGATAAACAGTATGTGTTTATGATGTTGTGTATTTCCTTTATTTGTTTTTATAAACCAACAAAAAACTGATGATCATGTGTTGTTGCTGATTTCAACCAGAGAGGAAACTGCAGTCTAAGTCTCATGGTAGTGTTCAAATCCACGCAGAGAAACAGTGAGAGCCAAACATAGAAAGTTCTGTGCAGCTAACAGTAAGAATAGCACTTACATTTTGACATACCACTCAGATAGATGTTGTTTTGTAACCGCAGCTGCAATCCTTAAAACACTTACCAGATCATGTGTGTCCTATTGTGGCACAGGTTCTTGTGGAGCACTTACCAAACTTGTTTTGGTGTTTTTCTGCCTCTGCGTTCATCTGCGCCTCATCCTCATTACACCCCTGCACTCTCAGATTACTCCATGGTCATGAGTTTAGAAATTGAAAGGCTGCAGATCCTCATTAAGGATGATTTGGGGTGTTTCGATGGCTGAATTCAGCTTTAAAGACAACTGGGCATGTAAACAGCAAAGAATACCATCAAGAGACTTTTGCACAGCAGGCCGTAGACTGAGAAAATATGATACAAAATATTTTGGATTAATACATTTCTGTGGATTATCATGGGAATATATTAACTACTTACTGCCCCACATAAGTATAAACTGCTGGTATCGCTTCTGTAACACTTGGAGTTATCTGTTTTACAAGTAGGGGGCGTTGGTGTCCCAGATATACAGTAGAGGCTGGTGCTGATTTCCAGCTGAGGCCCTTTGCCGCATGTCTTTCCTCCACTCTCCTCTCCTCGTGTTGACTCTGGTTGGCTGTCTTGCCTAGTGAAGCAAAGATGCCCAAAAATATAACTGAAATGTTATTTTAAAAAGTCGTTAAGCTTCAAAAATGTCATGGGAAACTACACAAACTAGAACCTCTTGTTATTGGTTGAGAGACACATGACCCAAGAGATCTAGATCTAGATCCAAATTAAAAACTGGTGTGAAATATGCAATGTACTCACATGACCAGCCCTGTGACTGAATCTTATTTGGAGGAGGTAGCTGTGTCATGCTTTTACTTTGACATTGTAAGTATACTACTTTAGGTAGAGTTGAGTTGGGATCTGATGAGGCTTAAGCTCCAACAATGTTTCTGGATCCACCTTAAATCTTGAAATGTCCCTTTTAGGAAGTCCTGAATCATCTCTCAGGCGGCTGCTAACAGCTAGATCACCATCCGTCTCTTCTCTGTCTCTCTTCAGTTTTATGGTGGATGATGGCTAGCGTAAAGGTCCACAGCTATGAACACACACTATTACTGTTTGTTTATTTAGTATTTCATTTTCTTTATGTCATCTCTTATCATCAATACCGGTATATTGTGAGAGTCTTACATGTAAAAGAACAGACACAGACACAAACCTTGATTTTGGAGTTTTTAGTTCCCTTCAATGTAAAAAAACACAAACACTGTACAGACATCAATCTTCCACTGCTGTCCCTTCACCATAAAGAAAAGGTTCCTGAAGCAAAAAGGGCTTCAGCAGACTGCTAGTTAGAAAGGACTGAGTTACAACTCACCAGCTGGTGTATTTACACACTGTTTAAATTAAATTTCACAAAGAATAAATTAATGTGAAATCCTGTACAAGCAAAGAGATCAGTTCAAGGAGTCGACTCTGCAAACGTGTGTAAATACAAGGAATTATTTAGTGTTTCCATCCCTCCGATCTTCTCTCTCAGTCAGGGTCCAGATGTTTTCAGTTCTGGGCCTCTAATTCACAGATTTCATAAATGCTCTGATCACACATGATGGAACACAGCTTAAGCAAAATATGTTACAACACCCTGTAACGCTTCAAACTAAACTATGACAAAGTGCACTCAACAGGATAAATAAACAGGCACACAACAACAACAATACTCGCACATCCACAACTCTGATCTAAACATGAGACAGAAAAATGTCCAACAAAAGAGACACAAACCACTCTGAGTGAACGTTTCACACGGACAGAAAGAGGGGGCGGAGACTCATCAACACTGACTCTAATATCAGACTAATAACACACAAACTGAGCAGACGCACCAACAGCACTTTCTCTCGCCAAAGCCAAGACTTCAGGTCGTGCCTCATCTCTCTGTTTCCTCCATCCACGGCTCCTCTTCACATTCTTGATTGACTTAACAGGTGAAATAAATATTTGAACTCCCACTTCATTTTGATTCACTTTTCTTTCAGAGCATTTCCTGTCATTTTTCAAACTTGGGCCCCTTTTCAGACACAAATTTCAGTGTAAATATCATTCAACAAAAAGTTCAGGAAAGGCTGCTTTGAAATCATGATCATAGTGAAGTGTTTGTGGGTGAAAATGACAGGCTGAGATTAATATGTTAAAGATTCAAAAGCATCAAAGAAAGGATCCTAATGCAGACATTTCTCTGGAGTTATTAGTGTTTTTTTAGAGCCAAAATAACAGCAATTTTACTTTCAAGATCACAGGAAATGCTTCTCAACTGCTTCATACTTCGGGTGTTTTGAAAAGTTACACAATATTTTTACAGCACAGTCCAGAGAGGTGGCCAAGACCCCTCTTGAAACCCAGTAGACTGCCCCGAAATGTAAATTGCATTTGAATTTTGAACTTTTTTTGGTATTTGAAACCTATTTCCACATTTGAATTAAGTGTTGTATGTCTGTTACTTTGATGGAAAGTAATGCTGTTAATCTCGGTCAGGACTCTCTGCTAAAAGAGATTTTTAAACTTAATGAGACCTTCATTGTAAAGTGACTTTAAATAAACAGATAAAATCTATTTTACAAGTCAGATGTATGGGAGACAAATCAGTGCTTAAAAAAAATCGAGCAAACGCCTGCATACTGTCTGGCTTTTACAAGTATGCTCACAGGCACTGTTTTGGTTCTCAAAGGTTCACACTCAATTCATGCCACCCCGTGCTGCAGGAGTCAGCGCCCGAGTTGGGCCACCCCTGTCAAAAAGTGGGGACACGGGGGCTGGGCGATGAACTGAAAATCTGCCAATACCAAAGTTTACGAAAAAAACCTACATCATCTTGCCCATGTTGGTATATTCGATGTCAAATAAATAAATAAATAAAAGTTAGTTTTGGATGTGTGTAGGTAGGCTATGGTTCATGTCCCTTTAAGATGCTGTCCTACGTCAGAGACGTGACTCCACCCCATCCAGTCTGTAACAAAGAGGGAAAGACAGGTGAGGAGATGGAGGACGGTTCAAAAGTTGTAGCGGCTGGAGCGACAGCAGAAGTAGATGGAGTTAATCTGGGAGGGGGTGAGCAGCTTGTTGAGCAATTATCGTCCATTTATCATTAGCGAGGTAATATTAGCAATATATCAGGATATTGATTTGAGGCCATATCACCCAGCCCTACTGGACACGCCCCTGGTAGTGACAGATCAGAAACTCCTCCTGTGTTCTGTGTAGTAAAATAACTTGTTTTTTTTAATGGAGTCTGGTGAAACATCCTGTGAAAGCTTGATCATTTTGACATTTCAGAAATCTTGCGCAGAAACTCTCTCTAATGTTGGAAAAGAAATCTGAGCCTCATTGTTGCAAACCAACCTCTTCTTTAGGATGTACTGGGACCAGGCTTTGCTGTATGAATAACATTGCAGCCATGTTAACTTCTCTTTGCTCCTGGCTGAGGAAAAACTCTTCAACATGTTCCTTTTAACCACTGAGCATCAAAACTGTGTTAAATTTAGGCCCACTTCAAAAAAATAGTTTTTTTTGTTTTTTTTTGTTTTAGAGAAAACAGTGGGAAGTTTGGGCCGTTTCATACTGTGTCCTTTTAATCAAAAACAGCAAACTCAGCTGTCAGCAGAGGCTGTTTTCTCTAAAAACTCGTCTTAAATTTTGGGAGTCTTACAGAAAGTTCAGATAAAACCTGAAAACATTGAGACCTCCCTTTTCCTGTAGCTATTTTAGAAGTGTGAAACATATTTTGTCACTGATGGCTGTTTTGTGGCTCTTGCTCTGCCAAATTATTATCAGCCTGTCACTGTAATCCCCAACCAATCAGAGGAGAATAAATCGCTCCAATGAGCTGATGATGACTTTGGGAATTTCTGACGATGGGACATGTTTAGACAGCCTCAGTCACGTCCTGCCAGCTCAATCTGCTCTAATCTGAGCAGTTAGTGAATCAAATATCAGTTTTTTTAGGTCCTCAGTGCACTTCAATCAGACTCACTTTGGGAAACAAACCATAATGCCAGAAATGGAAAAACTGAACCCATGTGTCTTTGCATGTTCTGTGATTCATTAAGCCACATGAAGAGGCCCTTAAGCTGCCATCGATAGAAACATTACTGGTTTGATACGACACTCCGTGGTGACGCATCAGAAAAAAACCCGATAACTCTTTGTGGAAAACGTTTCTGCAACAACTGTCAGACATTCATGAACTCAGTTTCTGCAACATTTGGATCCAGACTCCAAGCTCTGACTGGACTCATGAGTATGACTTTCAATACACAGTCCCCACATGTGTTTTATGTTACTCGCTCTGGAGGGGATACCAGTCCGTGCGCCAACGATTAATCCCCCTCCGCCGGGCTCTTTCACTTCCTGGGGAGCAGCGCCGCGAGTCTCTGCTTCTTCACTGGGAGGAAGTGGATCTCCTGTGAGCTGACTTTCTTCAATTTGATGGCCCTGTTCTTTGGGACCTTTTTCAGCGGATTGTTGGGGTCATGCTGTTCTGTTTGAGACGCTGATGGCACCGCGTAAATCTGCTGCAGAGACCCGCCTTGGCTGCCGTCACGTTTTATAGAGAAGTTCTTGGTGGAGACTCCTGAGAGGCCTTTAATCTTCCCACAGAGGATTGCAGGGATGGCGTCCTTCACTGAAACAATGACTTTAGCCGTCTGCGAGGTGCTGAGGATCTCAAGGTTTCCTGTTCCGCTTATAGACGCCTCCTGAGTACCTGATCCACCTGGACTGCTGTCCACCACCCATTTGTGCTGCCGGCTGAACTGCAGTGAAGCCAGACTACCCAGGAGTTTGGAGTCTAAACTCTGGGAGCACTGGACGCCCAGAGACAAAGAGGTACTGCTTGTATCCTGAGTGGAGGAAAAAGCTCCCTCTCTGCCACATTTGTTCCTCATACCAGGCACTGACAAGTCAAGGACACTGTCCTGCTGTGGGCTGGGGGATTCCTGCTTTAGTTCAACAGGACACGCCTTCACAGAAAGGTCGAGAACCTGCCCATCATTCGCAGGAAGTGAGGATGGGGACACATTTTGCAGCTGGAGCGACGGTATCGATCTGCTTGCAGATGACACAGGAGAGGTAGTATCTTTTGGAGATGTCTGAGTGCTTTTACTCACAGTGCAAACAGGTTTTGGCATGTTCCCCTTTGAGTCCTCACTCTGAGGGACTGGAACGGGGATAGGTAGAGGGACGGGCAGAGGCACTGGTAGAGGGATGATGACAGGGTAGGGGACCAGAAGGGTGGCAGGAGGGACTAACGGAGCCAGAGGGGAGGTGTATGGAGGTGTGAGGGGAGGGAGTGGGAAAAAAGGAGAACCTGGGGACTGACAGGTGGGTGAAGCACCTGCCTGAGTAGGGAAGAGATCCTGCAGGATGGCTGCAAATGCTGGATTCTGCAGGAGTGAGATCAGGTTGGCCTCTTGTGTTTGTGCCGCTGCTTTCTGATCCACAGCTGGAGGTAAACCGAACGCCAAAGGGTTCTGACAGAGGACGTTGTTCTGGATCTGCGGGCAGTTTGCTGCTTGAGGGATCACAGTAGGACTCATGTGTTGAAGGACCTGCTGATCCAAGACCAGAGGAAGTGAAACCGGGCTCTGGCTGGTGATCAGATACGGTGCTGCCCCCATCTGGCCAAGCTGAGGCGCTGCTGCGCCGGCCATCTGCAGGTGAATAGGCAGCATCAGCGGGCTATCTCCCAGGCACACCGGATGCAGCACGGTCGTGGCGACTTTGAGCGCCACACCTCCAGTCGATTCAGCCGTAGGACTAACAACTGTAGGTGCAGGAGGATCAACCAGGTTAGAGAGTCCCTCTTTAGCACTGCTGCCACCACAGGAATCAGCAGCTTCCTCAGTTTTACCGGAGGTCTCTCTTCCTCCTCCTTCCATCTCGGTGCTGCACACCTCAGTCTGAGACTGTGTCGTAGAAACAGAAACATCATCCCCACCCTCCATCGTTCAGTCTGAAGAGTCAATCCAAATCTTCATCTAGTGTTAGAGACAGTCCTCATCCATCGTTCTTACAGGCAGCCCTGAAACACAAAAATGAAAACATTTTATCTTGTGAGAAGCTTCAGATATTTGCTCCACACATATCCAAACTGTACACAGACAGGAATGACAGGAATTTGTCCTCTAAGAAATGATATTTGAAGGACACATGCTGCACATTGTATCTGTGATCGTCCACTTTTATTTCTCACATCCATCTGAAACTTTCTAAAGCAATCTTTGACCAAGCTTTAGTCAAAAACCATAGACGCTGACCACCTAGATTTAACTAGAACAGTTCCCAGCAATAAACTACACAGGTAGCTTCCATCACTTCCATTAAAACACTGTTGGAGCTGCTTTAATAAAGGACAGGAAATGAAGACTAATGCTGTGTGTTTGCTGTGTCAGGGAACAATTACCTCCAGCTGTTTGGGTGATTTAAATATCAGGGCAAACAAAGACTTATCCAACATGAAGTTAATGAAACTTTAGTTGTTTCTCTTATCTTCTCTGAAGCATTTTAAATAGCATGATGAGTATAGTCTTGTTTGAACAAACAGATACTAATTATTCCTCTTTTTAGAGACAGAATATGACAGAGATATTTTGGTATTACCGTTATAAATCAACTACCCATAAATAGTGATCCCTGGTAGAGACATCATCAAAAGCTGCGTCTTTGCATTAAAATTCAATACATTTTTAAGTAATTTACATTCATATATCTATCAGTGTATTGAGAATCTGATGCAAACTCCTGCCTGCTGTTTCCAGATAAGCTGACCCTCCTAATTTGAGTGGGAGCCTCCCTCATTTTTCTTCAACTGTACTCTCAACTTGTAATTTCTCTCCCTCCTCTGTGAGTAATGAGTGTTTTTCAACCTATGTGTTTCAAGCCCTGGTTACTGAACTGAGCAGTAAAAGGCATATGCTCACCACTCTACTTGACTTACTCCTGCAGCACGTTCTGACTGCAGTGCCTCACTACTCTGCTTCACTTTAAGTTATTTTTGTAAGACTCAGAGGTTTTTTTTTACTTTAATGTGAGCCTTGAAATCAAAAGATATCATAAGCATTTTTTTTTCTCACAAGTGTTAATTTGATTTATTAAATTCAAATTCAACTATGGCACTTTTTGTACAAGAATGTAATTCAAAGTGCCTTACAGAGGCTAAAAACAGCAATAACCCCCCCCCCCCCCCCCCCACACACACACACACACACACACACACACACACACACACACACACAAGCGCACACTGAGCGAGCATTTACGATATATTGCTAAAGAGACATGGCTAGACACCGAAATGGTAAAAAGAAAGAGTAAAACAAGAAGATAATATATTGAAATAGCAAAATAAAATCAATGATTTGATAAATACAATTAATAAAAATACATACAATAAACATTACGAACTTTGGTTAAAATGAACAGCAGCATTAAGTGAAATAAGAAAAGGCAATCAGTGACAAGTCTGGTTAGAAAGGTGAGTCTTGAGCCTCTTCTTAAAAACATCAACAGTCAGTTATTAATCTGTACTTCAGGGTTATATTTGAAGGGGACTGCTGTGTATGAGTAGATTTTCCACTTTCCCGTAAATTAAATCAATCAATCAAATAATCTTTTATACAGCACCAATTCACAGCGGTTACCCCAAGAGACTTCACAAAAAAGCAGGTCTAGACCATACTCTATATTTACAAAGACCCAGAGTTAAAATGCGATATGATTGAAACCCACACAAACTCCCACCACAATTATTTATTTCCAGTGAAATGCACATCTCTTGTGAGTTTCTGCTTGTGTTGTTTATATTATATTATATTATATTTAATCCCCATTTGGCGACCTCTCCCCTCCTCCACTGGTCTCTGTGGGTTAAGGTCTCTGGCTCAGAAGGTTAAGCCCCAGGTAATAAGCCACACACAGCAGAGGAGACGGAGGCTTTTCATTTGCACAGCTAACAAGCCCCTGAGCTCAAACATCTACATAGAAAAGGCCAGACTGGAATAAATGAGCCTGCTTATCCGTCATCTCTCATCCATCTATCACTCTGCTCGTTATGATGTGTGTGTATTTTTTAAAGCTGCATGTGTGTTGGGTTTCCTCCTCTCTACTTGACACCTCCACACAACACATGTCCTGCCTGCTCCGGCTGTCAACCTTCGTCCATCTGAGGTGATAAAACATCCTGTGAGCGCCCAGAGACACAATGTGTCCAAAGTCAGAGCAGTCAATTATTTATGCCGATGAGAGCAGCAGGGATGTGGTCGGATCTTCTGATGGAGAAACCTCCAAACAACCTGAACGCCCAACAAACTTAGGTTGAACTCTCAAGTAAAACACTTCAGTGCACACATGCAGTTCCAATTTTCCTCAATAAGCGTGACACTTCTTCCCCTGAAATGCCTTCATGTGGTGTCTGGTTGCCTCAGTGTGCAGAGAGGAGGACCGCTGTATGCCCTCAGGCTGGCTTTATATTGTTCTGTAGCATAGATGACACATTGTAACGCAGCGCTGATGGATTACACAGAGGATTCTGAGGCCAGACAGTCGCCTGATAACCCTGTCGCTGCTTCTCACATGAGGAGAGGTCTGGGAACCCCATGTACGCACCTTTAGGGATCATAAAACCCGCTGAAACATACCCAGTAAGAACAAGATATCAACTTTTTTATTTGTAGCCTCAGTTGCCTGATTGTATTAATTTATTTCTGATCACAGACTGTAAATAAGAAGTGGAATTAGCTAAGTGATAGTGTGTAAATGGATTAAACTGCAGTTTTTATAGTGGCCTGCAGGGGGCGAATCAACTCAGTAGAGAAAGAGGTCTCAGTGTTTGACACCAGATTAGAAAAAAAAAGCCTGTTTCCAAATCGTATCAACTGTTTTTATGATGGCTTTTTGTCTTGGTTGCTTATGTTAAGTCCTCTTCAATTAAGCGTGGTTCAGTTTGTAGATTTTTGATCCATTCACGTAAAAATCAACAATAAAGTAGTGCATGCATCAGGTTTTAAAAGTCCTAATGTTTTAAAAGTCTTGGCACACCTTTCAAAAGATGAATTAACAAACCACCAGACAGAGTCATGGTGGCTAAATTCATTTTATTATTCAGCTGACTCATCGCACTGGAGTCCAGATTTATGGGACTGGAAATCTGTGCACTGATGACTTGTACTTTGACTCAGACTTGAGTACTAACTGCTTTCAGACATGCAAGATTGAGAGGACTCAAACTTATGGATAAAGACCCACATCCTTGTTTTTGATATTTCATTTTCTGCATAAGGACAGACACAGGTGTCATGCACCTTCATGAGTCTTTCAGTTATTGTTTATACCATGAGGGAATTGAGGTATGGAAACATAAAAGCGAAGATTATGCTGTTGGTGACAGCTCAGCTCGCAGCCCCTTCTTATACTCTGCAAAGGTGCACATAAAACAGACTGTAACGACACAGCCTTATTGTGTGTAAATTAACAGTTTAAACTTTTGTGGCCTGAACTATAAAGGAGAGTGAGAGATGGCGTTTATTCCTGTCGAGTCAGGATTGGGACAGAATCATATGACTGGTGTAGGGCTGGGCGAAATGGCCTCAAATCAATATCACAATATATTGAGCAGTTCACCCTGATAACGATAAATGGATGATAACTTTTCCACAAGCTGCTCACCCCCTCCCACATTAACTTCATCTACTTCAGGCGCTGCTCCAGCTGCTACAACTTTTGAACCGTCCTCCATCTCCTCACCTGTCTTTCCCTCTTTGTTACGGACTGGATGGGGTGGAGTCACGTTTCTGATGTAGGACAGCGTCTTAAAGGGACATGAGACCATAGCCTACCTACACACGTCCAAACCCAACTTTTATTTATTTTTTGACACCAAATATGTTGAAAAAGACAAAATGACGTTGGTAACTGACGTAAATTTTGGTATTGGTAAATTTTCGGTTTATCACCGAGCCCTGGACTGGTGTGACAATGACCATAGTTTCTATACGAGGCACCACCTGTGACAACTCCTTCTTTATAAATTCTAGTCCATAAAAATTTAAAGCCAATATGTATTCATCGGGCTCACTTTCCCTTTCTCCTTTCAGGATATTTTAACATCTGTATTAAAGAGAGAGACGAATGTTAATTTAGAATTATAAAATAGCTACCAGCATGGAAAAATTAGGTGGAATTTTCTCTAAACATTTGGACATCTGCACTGCATAGCGGTTTCCAGTTTGTTTATGTATACTGCGCCTGTCCCATAAAAATAAACCATAAATATCCTGCAGGACGAGCCCTCTCTTCACAGTGAAGACTCCTCCTGCAGGGTGTGGGAATACAGGCCAGTTGTAGAGGACTGTGTCCAAGGGTCTGGGAATAATTCTGTGTCATATTCACATGCACAACAAGAATGCAACTGATGTATTTTTCAATTCATGGTGCTGTATTCTTTTCACTTTTGTTCCACCTTCTTGAAATAAAAAAATCAAGAAAGTGAATTCCTATGTTCTAAATAAAGCTTGAATAGGAAGTAGGCATCTATTCATTTTTTTCCACCATTTGATGTTACAGTTTCACTTAAATTCCAGGAAGTCTGAGGCAAGACATTTCCTGCTTGATAACACGGTCATGGGGTCCGTGACTCGATAAAGCCTCGCCAACTGACATGAATGAAGTCTTTCTTAGTTCCCTGACTGTCTCTAATGTTTAAGTCAAACTGTGCACCAATAAACCCCGTTTAATAGACCCTTAAAATCCGGTGGTTTAAATAAAACAACTTGAAACGCTCCAGTTTTCGTATTTACGTAAAGATAAAAAAATGGGCCTTCAGATCAGGTGACTTGATGTTAAGCAGTAATCAGCAGCAGGGTGACATGTTGTCCACCCACAAACACCAGTGTGCTTCACAGCTCACTGCTCCTCATCACAGGAATCATGTGAGCACAATGTCAAACTCTACAGAGGGAAGTTTAACCAGCAGAGAGCCAAAGTACACAGAGAGTGTGACCATCTTTGTTTTTTCTTCTTCTCACATTATCTGAGTGTGTGACTCTGCTTTGTCTTTGTGTTATCACAGATACAGAAGGTCACCGAGCAGTCACACAGCAGTCGATGAACTCACAGATCATCTCGTTGTGCCACAAAGTCAGCTTGAAGTCTGTAAGACTGGGTAATAAAATGAAAATATGATCCCGGTGTTTTTACGCATGGAACTACTCAGACATGTCCTGATATATAACTTGATTTTGTGGCCAGTTTGAGCTGTAACTTAATTAAAGGTGCTGGTCAAAGCTTTGTGAGGATTTTTCTAACTGGACATGAAATATACTGATGCCGCGATCAAACAACGATAACATCCAAGGAAAGAGTGACTATTTGTCTGGTTTTATTAGCCTGTTATCCCCTAAACGGTACAAAACATGGCTGTGGTCTCAGTGACCTCACAGACTGGTTTTTAAAAAGCAGTTCTGGAGCCTGAAGCCTGGTTTATGTTACTGTGTTGGACCTACACCTTCCCAAAATGTAACTACACATTGAAACAAGCCCTGTGATTGGTAACATTTCTAGTATCGCCTGTCCTCTCTCTTCCTGTCTGACTCCACTGTTGTATTGCCTCTTTTCTTCTGTATAATAATTAAAGCATGATCAAGTGCTGCACAACATGTCACCTTTAACTCAAATATATTTCACTCATATTTAGACACTATAACTGAATGTAAACAAGGAAAAGACATAGCAACACCAAAAAGTGGTCATATGATGAGCATAGAGCATTTTGGTGGATTCTTGCAAGGCGACACAAAAACTCCAGTACAGACATATGTGGTACATCTATGGTGTTGGTACACTGTGGGTCCAACACAGACACATAAACTAGGCTTTACGGCTTTATGGAGACAGCCTTCCACTTTGGCTGTATCACCTGTAATCTTGGATTTAGGACTCCCTTTTATAAAACCAAGCATCCATAAGGTCTTTTTACTTCATAGTGCAAGACCGTTTGCTCTAAATGCACTATTTTCTATGATGGAAAAAAGTTGATGAAAAGTTGCACTGCGAGCCAAACTCCAAATGCCAGGAGTCCCAGGATGCTCTGCAAAGTGAGGCATCTGTTAAAAATACAATATGACTGGGGGCAAGTTTTGGATGTGTGGAGCCGCCTTTGGTGTGCCTGTACCATAAAGCCTAATTTATGCTTCTGCATCAGACCTACGCCATAGTGAATGTCAAAGGTCTCTTTCTTAACGTGTTCTTTCCAATAAATGCCAGAGGCAAAGAAGTAGATAAAAAGGTTCATATACACACAATACAGCAGAGTCATGTTATAAACCTGTTTTCAAGATGCTAAGAAGAGGCTGCAAGCTGAGCTGTCCCCAACAATATCAACTTAGTTTTTACATTTCCATTAGCTCAGTATTCATTGCTCATGTTTTATACAACAACAACTGAATTAGCACTAAAGAAGTGAGACCGCTTTTAAGTCATTGTTTCTTTCATGCTCTTGTACTGGATAGGATGACAGGAGGGACTGCCAGCTGAGCCACTAACACATTAGCTACCCCTGTAATGTGATAATTTCCTCCTGAGTGTTAACCTTGGACCCAGGTTATTGGTACAGTTCTTTTTAATGTATTAAAAAAAAGGAAAAAAGCTGTGTCATGCTACAAATCAGCATTTTTCTGACTTAACATGATATGACTTTGGTGACAGCCAGCTGACCGGCTGAAAGCTTTAACTCAGCTTGTTTTTGTCTTTTTTATTAATAGTCCACAGATGTATAAAAAAAACATCTTTGGCAAAAGAAGAAGTGAAAGCAGATCTAAAAATGACTTGCAGAATGGCAAAGAAGCCAGTCAACTTAAGAGCGCAGATTAACAAACTGTTCCTGCATTTATTTGGGTATTAACTGGCTTTTAGATTTAGACATATTGAGTTAGATAAGTGAAAAATTTATTATCTTTATTAGCTTGAACTTTATCATAATCTGGTATGAAGGAGGTTTAATTGCCCAGACCCACGTCTGAACAGGCCTATGTTTTCCATGCCCTAGTCCAAGCCAGACTGCCATCATCTCCTTTGGCTCAATTTATCAGACTAGTGAAAACAAACAGCTCTCTCAATCTTCCTAAATAAGCTCTTTGACAAAGTGAAACCCTCCTGATTCCTCCTCATGATACAGTCTATAATATATTGAGTTGTTCCAAACAACACCAGTGTGATGCAACTCTCTCTAAATATGAGCTCATGTAACAAACATGCGACACAAACAGTCTTGCCATTACATGAATGGATGTGAGTAACATATGTAGTGCCGTCATCTGTAAGAGGTTTGTGTTCACTGGCCAGAAACAGTTAATTGTGTAAATAGGCAAGAAGAGACCAAACAGAGAGCCAAATGAAAACCCTCCCTGTCCCCGTTACTGTAATGATTTCCACATTTCCTTTTTCTCCCCCCCTCCCGCCACATTGGTGGAATGCATGCTGCACTAAGTCAATAGTAGACAGAAAACAACAACGCCTTAATTTCAATTGCATTAAACTGCAGCGTGGTCCAAAAACATTAAAAGCACGACTCTCCCTCTCTGCTCCTATAATCATTGCTGGTTATGGCTTTGATTTAGAGTTCAGAGCAGGAGGGGGACAAAGCAGCAGAGGATGTATGGAGCATGGCTGTGATCTAAAGGTCATCGCCCCCCAACACCCCTCTGCTCCAATAGCCAATTACATCTCATTAGTGAGACACATGGAGCCTCATCATGGGCTTCACGTCCTTAAACCCAGGCAGGCTGCTCACACATCAGTGCAGATTTTCTCTTTATTCAGAGAATCCCCCAAATCCCACAGCAATAGTCAGATGTGATGAATTATTTAACATGAGTCTAATTCAAACAGTTTGGCTCGTCATTATTGTGTAACCTGTAAATGTTTTATCCTGTTTGTGGTTGTGAAATCCTGTTTTAATGGTGAGAATATTTATTCAATAACATTTATACTATGAGCTTACAAAACAGGTCAGGGCTTGTTATGAACTATAATGTACTCATTATCATAAAAGTATTGGGACGAGCCAAACTGAAAATATATGTGATTGGTTATTCTATTTGAAGATATGAAATGCCAACCATTTCATAATAATTTACTGGTTGCAGAGAGTTGTTTCGATATTTTAATGAGGTTTGGAAATGCTTCAGATGAAGCTCTACATGCAGGATTGTTATCATTAAATACACAAATGTATACAATGATTAAATACCAAAAATTTAATTTACATCAAAAAAAAACAAAAAAAAAAAAAAAAAAACAGAGTTATACAGCATGGATGCATTATAACTGTCAATGGAACACACTTTTAAAGAACAATACTAAAGCACTGACCTTAAGTAATTCATTAAGCTACAGAAACATATTATCTCTTTATGTATTCATTTCCCAAAGTGCCATGATGATTTCACAGTAACACTAATTATACAACATGCACATGTATTAGCAACCTAAAGGTGTTAGAAAATATGCATACGGTCTGATTCCAATGCTCAATGGGGTCTCAGTTGGCCTTTTTATATGTGAGAACTGATAATGATTTAGAAACACTGAATATAAATACGTAAATGGGTATGTCTCAAAGCTTTCTTTATTTGTAGCTTTAAAAGGGTTTCTGCAGAGCTCCTAAAGTCTCATAGCGTAATCATTTTTCTCTTGTAATCAATTTTCTTCATGCATGCAACACATTCATTTGGGTGCACAAGATAATAAACTTGAAGGCATAATATGATTATGTATCGAAACAATGATAACATGTGTGCATGAGATGATTAACTTGAAATTGATTTGTGAGAAAGATATTATTTCCTATTAACTTGTTGGCACAATAGTGCACAAGATTGCTAACTTGTGCACACAGCATAGTTAAGTTGTTGCCACAAATAAATATGTGCACAAGATGACTAACTTTTGCATAAAAGATAGTGGACTTTTTTCTACAGTAATGTTACCTGTGCATGCAAGATAAAGACCTTGTTGGTGAATAGGCGCAAAAGATAATTATCTTATGGAACAATACAATAACATGTGCACAAGATAACTAAAACATGCGCACAGTATAATTAATATGTGCACACTAGATTGTGACACAATATTTATTTGTTTATTCACAAACATAATATAATATAAAGCAATTAAAAATACAAAAGGATGTGTGTGGGTGCAGTAGAAACCTCTTAATGGCTTTTTTGAAAACTAAGACCTAGTATACCTTTTCAGAATAATATAAAACCACCAAAAGACAAATTAAATATCAGAGTTTAAATATAATTCACAGTTATTGGATTAAAAAAGAAGAAAAAAAAAACTTATGTAATAACGTACATATAGTAACTACTTTGTGCACACCAAATAATTAACATGTGGACATAACGTTAAAAAAGTGCCGAGATAGGTAACTCTTGTAAACAAGGTCATTTACTTGTGCAAACTAGATAGCTTACTTGCACCAGAAAAGTGTGCACAGCAACTCCTGAAAATAACAGCTGGGTGCAGGCACTCTAGATGCAAAATAATGTTGCACATTATTTCATAATTACCTCCCTAAAAAAGATTTTTATAAATCCAGAGTTCAAAATGAGTAAAACCCAATCAATATAAATCTGACAGCCGAGAATATTAGTCCACGAATAGTTTCCAAGTATCCCCTGAACACATTTATATAAGACATTACACAGGAAACAATGCTTAGGGCGCTCATAAATTGGTTTCACCATGTGGACTGCCGGTAGAGTACCCTCAGCATCAGAGCTTAAAACATCTCAGCACTGTCTATCTGAAGCAAATGTAACGGAGCGTCAGCTTGACGTTAGTGTGCACTAGAATTGGAAACTACACATTAGGATCCTACACTTCTTTGAAAAAGCCCTCTGTCTTTTTTAGTGGTCATACTGGTGTCTTTCATCCTCAGCAAACCCCTCAAAGAAAATGCGTATTTATAGTATTGTTTAAAATGTCAGTACAATTCGTCAGGATTTATCTGTCCTCAGTTTCCAAACGCGACCCTTTTCATAAACGACCATAAACTACTTTATAAATGTTCACAAATTACTGTGATACTCTGCTTTGTGAATCTGCCAAACATAAAGGAAGATATGAGAGTGCTGCTGGGCTAAACGGAGCTATTTTTTCTCACTGCGGTTCTGTCATTGTGCATGTGACGGGCCACCAATGTGAGCAGATGCGCAGGCTAAGCCCAGTCCACAGTACCCGGCCCTGTGTGACCCTGCTGGGTTCATCTCAGGGTTAAATTCCTCATCTTTTTTTTTTCTTTCCTTCCAGCTGAAGACCTCTTAATTTCCGTCAGACAGCGTAACAGTCCTCTCTCCTCTGACTAGGAGCCCGGTCCCTGATGTGTCTGGTCCCTTCACAGCCGTCGGTTCGCCATGAAAAGCAGAGAGGCTGTGCGCCGCCGCGGTGTATGCGCACGTCTCCACATCGCACGGTAATAACACGCAGGGTAGAGTGCGCGTGACGCTCCGCTGACATAAAGACAGTGAATACACGACAGAGAGAGGGGTCCTCGTGCCAAATCAGCCCGTGTTATTTCTAAACTTCCTGTTTAACTGGCGTTTTTATAGTATAACGAGCTCGCGCTGACACACAGTACGCGACACAAGCTAGCTGCGCAAATCATCTCTGAAATATCAAAAAGAGGCTATCCAAACGGTTTCAAACAAAAACAGAACCACTGTAATAACAATAATTAATCCTTATTTTTTGATAATATGGAAATAAATGCATGTTTGAGCGTGTCAGTGACGTACACATTGGAAAAAAGCCTTGGCTCACCCTGTTTCATCTCCTTCCCTTTAATGAAATTCTCCCTTTAAATTCCAGTTCAGCCACAAACACGAACATTTACTCACCTTTAAAACAGACTAGCGCATTAGCAGCCCTCCTCACCAGCCGCTTTCACTCCTTTAGCAATAAATGAGACTCGTTAAAACGGTAAAATAAATAGATAAGGCTTGTATTTATCTCCTCATTGCGGTCCGTCGTAGCGACTCCAGACTGAAGCTGCGCACGCAGCTCCGTCAGCGGGTCCTCCCTCCCCCTCCCCCGACACTGGGACACATGAGCACAAATAAATAAATGAATAAATTATATTACAAAATAGTTATTCATTCATGCATAACAAGTATGTGAACTGAAGGCTCGGGGAACAAAAAAAAATCCGTTCACATACAGAGTTAAATAGATTTTTTTTAATAACGAAGTTTTCCTGTTCCTAACACACAGACTGTTTGTGATAGAAATGAAGATACGAGTAAACGGATACATACATAATAAATCAAATCCATTTGGTTCCCGGTGTAGTCCATTTTTGGTTCTCGACCAAGGAAGAGAGAGAATAAGGGCTATGGTGACCCTATAAGGTAAACTGCACACAAGGATAAAATTATCATTATTATTTTTTATTACAAACCACCAGAATATTTAACCAAGCAGATAAATATTTTTGAGGCACATTTTTGTTGATAGTAAATACAAAACCTACAAAATATTTTACAATACATAAAAACTCTACATAAAAAAATTTAAAAACTCCTATGAAATTTATAAATATGATACAGACCAAAACAAACAAGTCAGTTTATGCAAAAATTGCCAAAACATTTTCCAAACTTCAAAAACATGTCATGATGCAGGAAAAAAACATCACAAAAAAAACCCATCAAAAATAGAGATTTTTTTTTTGTTTCATTTTATGAAATATTTTGGGGTCATATGTTGTGTTTTGTGAGATACTCCTTCATTTTGTGTTTAATGAGATATCTATGTGTTTGATGAATTGTTTTTGCATTTAGAAAATTTTGGATTCCTGAAACCATGCAAAGCAGAGGGACCACTGTACCTCTGCAAGTATACAATAGGAGTCTAATTTTGTGTTCTGGATCCCCATTAATGCTGTTTTTTTCTTTCATTTCAGATGGCACAGTCATCCGTGATTTCCTGGTGTGAGGCTGATGACAGAGGTGGAGGAGGATGGAGTTTGGCAGCTGTGGATGAAAGTCTGGCAGTGACAGGCCTGGGTGAGCAGGATCCCTTGGGTCTCCGTATCAGCCCTAGCCAGCCTCAGGCTCTGCCTTGGGGCCCCGGGGCCTCTTATTGTTCCGCAGGGAGGCTGTTTAATGCACTATAATGAGCCTCGCAATATACCCTGGTGGCCTGGTGGTGGCTTTGGTGTGGCTCCCTCTGCAGTATCCCTCCCCCCTCCTTATCTGCAGTCAGATATGGAAATGTAGCTCAGATCAGGACCCAGTCAACACCCCTTCACCACAGACCTATGAATAAAGGGGCGGTATTGACTTTAAATCTGGACAGTTAACACTTTAAAGGTCTTTTTGTATGGACTGTTATTTCGCGTGTTACACATGTGCTCCTTGCCAGCCATTAAAAAGCCAAATAAAACAGCTGGATGATGTTGGAAGTTAGCTGCTATCACCTGTATTTGTACATCAACCATCACCTATAATTATATTAATTACTTCAATGGAAACAAGTGATCCCAAGCTCTCTTGATGGCCCTTAGTGCCCTACAGGAGGAATGAATTTAACATATCAGTTTAACACATGAGCTGGAGTAATATGTTCCTTTGTTGGGTTATATTAGATTATTTTAACAATATTTGAACTGTTTCTTCTTTCATGTGCAGTGAAACTTGTCATAATGCATCACACAATAGAGGTTTCCGAAACCTGGAACATAGGACAGCCTGATGATGAGTAATGAATCCAATATGTGAAGTAGCACCAAAAACTGCAGTTCCGACATTTTCCTCTAGAGGCTGACTTCAGAAGCCCTGGAGACCACATACACACCCATTCAGAAAGTCCATCTTTGCAGTAAAAGTAAGCATGTGACATCACTGAGACTTTGTGTTTTACAGGGTCTGACTCTGCACTCATCTGCCTCATGGATGTACCCAGTTTTCAAGCTGAAAAGTTGTTTTTTTCAATTCTGCTGTGTTCATATGCTCTTAGCCAGAAAGTCTGGTTTAATGTTACATTATGTTTTGATCAAGTTTAAATGCTGATAAATACCAAAATAAATGACGTACCTGACTTGTTATTGAAAGGTAAATACCACTCTTAATTGAATAAATAACATTTCTGAAAAGTCTAGGTCACACTAAGTAGGCAAAAACTAAAAATAACATCATATCACAAATTACATTTAAACAAGACTTTGATGTGCAGTAGGTAAGCTCATAAAAAGTTTCTTAGAATTAACGAATCCTTATTTGCCCACCATGTTAATGGCAATGGCATTCAGTTGGGAAATTGTGCACTGCAATCTTCCTTAAGTTTCCGAGTTGTTGTCCAGACTTGAGCAGGCATAAACATCATTTTTCCACTATGGAAAGTCATTGTCCCAATGCGTCCAACACTGCATGAATGTAGCCTATTATTAGAATTATAGTTTTGGTCCTAATAGTTCATTCATAACTTTAATTCACTGTTAGGAGCCAAATTTCTTCTGTTTTTGCTGACAATACAGTAAAACTCAATTATTTATTAGCTCTCTCTGCATTGCATTGTCTCAGCATGGACAAAAATAAGGAATAAGTAAGACATTATAAACAGATCTTTCCTCCAGTAAAAGTAAAAATAACACCACCCTTCCTTTCATTCAGCCAAGTTGTACTTTTCCTGCTCCCCCTTTCATCAGCACTGAAAGATCTCTGATGAGAGGAAGCTTTTTCTTCCTTTTGAAAGTCTTGAACCCTCTTTTTCCTCTCTTTATAATCACACAATGATAAAAGTCATTGCCTGACATTTGCTTTATAGACTTGTAAAACATCCACTGTACTGACTTCAGAGGGTAAATAGTGACACAAACCCTGAAGACAAACACTGATAAAAAGAAGCCTGTTGTCTGCTGTCATCAAAGCTCCGGGGGTAATTAGCTGTGGTTTTATTTAGTAGGGATTACTTAGTATTTCTTTATTCATCTGAGTACATTACTCAATTTATAATTCATGTCCAATCATGAGAACAAAGCAGCTGATTTCTGCCCCCCCTGCCCACTCCAGTGTGATCAGAGGTCAGAGGTCACAGTCAGTGTGCCCTTTGATGGGAACCAAACAGTCCTCAGCTTTGTTTACCTTTTAGCTCATTTGACATTCACACGCTGAGAACAAGGCATTTTTGTCCTGCACAGGCTGGTTAGACATGAACCAGAGCTGCAGAGAGGGTTCACCTTGAATGTGGAGCTGGAGCTCAGCCTTGACAATGATGTAAGACATACAGAAATTACGTGTTGTAAAGTGAACACAGCTACACCTCCAGTCTGTTCAATATGCAGAGAAAAAGCTGGTCTGACTTGTTTACAAAAAGACTCTCAGTTGATTCTCAGGAGGGGACCAGACAAAGAGGACTCCTTTATATACTCAATTTGCCATCGTGCTGTGGCTTTAGTAAAGGGGCGCCCTCTAGTGTCCATCTTATAGAAGTCGTACATACTCTTTATTTGTGGGTCGGATCAGTGCTCCAAATTTAGAAGTGTTTGTACAGAAATTCTCATGCTTTGAATTTATGCTACAAAACATGAGTTTGATGTGAATCCATCAGGTTGATCCTTTTTTTTTTTTTTTTAGATTTTTTAGATGTTTTTTTAGACACAGATTTCCCATGTCTTTTTTTTTTTTTCATGACCTTTTTTTCACCTTCATTTTGATAAAGTCATCTTCCAGTCTGCTACCTTTCATGAAATCAAAGCTAGAATTCAGTTTAAAGCTCCTGTGAGGAGATTTTGCTGGTACTGAAACATCCTTATGCTCTCCAAAAGCAAAAAAAAAGACCTGATCTGGATGACATATAATTTCTATGTGGTAACTTTTTATGTCTGAAGTGGCCACAGCAATGAGGGTTTGTAAAAGACACATTTAACTACATGATGCCAAACCTTTTTTTCTCTATGGCAGTGATTGTAGTGAACGATACACTTCAGTGTCAAAAAAGACAAGACTGAGCTTTTTTTCTGTTGTTAAATAAAATCATTGACAAGTATGGGATGAGGAAAATAAAAATCCTTCACTTTACCTCACAGTCTCTTATTTTCTTGACTGGTCAGCCATCAAGTCTTTGGTCTAAAGCTCACCACAAACACCTAAAATGAGAGTATTAACACAAATTACCTCCATAGTGTCTACCCATGCTTTCTGAAATTGATGTTGTTATCATCAGGAAGAGATTTAATCATACACAGTAACTTACACTGGACACTACGCATTTCTTTTCATTTGGTATGTGTGTGTATATGTGTGTACAAGTATGTCCTCACCGGAATCAGTCTGTTTAATTAGGTTAGGTCTATATTAAGTTTTTTAATATGAGTACATGTAAAGAACACTTCTCAAGAAATTTCCTATAGACTACATCCAGGAATAACGCAGTAATTGGGTGCCTCCTAAAATAAAGCACTGGCCCCTTTAAAAGTAAAATAGAGTTGTCACTGCGAGCAACTGCTACTCAGACCTGTGAGACAGAGGAAACGAGAATACAAAAAGTGAGTAATATTTCCTTGACATATGGTTTAATGTTTTTAAAAGCTAAGATATAAAATTTATGGTTGTAACTCGTTGATCAATTGATCCTTAGCATAGACTGCTTAAACTTGAGGCCTTTTCACTGATTGCACTGTGTAATCCTGTTATCTAGTTCTTTCTATAGAGGGTGACCACATTTATTTTATTTATTTGTGTGTTTTCTGTGACCATACTGTTTTTACGTTGTGAATAATTTGTATATAACAGAGAAAAGTAACAGCACACTGTTCTGGATTAAACTGCATGTATTTATATAGTTTGTCCTACAACTCCTCAAGCTGTAGGACTATTAGCGAATCGAAATTTGTCTGGAAGCGGAATAAGAGAAAAAATCCACAGTATAACAAGTGTGGCACTAATTAATATCACCACAGACTCTCAGAGTATTTTTCAAAGCAGTCACATTTATTTGTCTTTTATACACAGTTGCTAAGCAGCTTGTTGTGCTAGCTTTGATAGGATTTACTATGGGATTTCCACAATGCTTACTAAAAAATAAATACAAGACAAAGTGTTCCACAGCTCAAAAATATACAAAGGTTTGAAATTAATGTAAACTTTGAAAACATTTTTTGTTTTTACATAAGAAACATTTCAACAAAAGTTATCATATTTACAAGTTTGTACAAAAAAATACAAAGTTGGTGCCTACAGTACACAGAGGAGGATCTAAAATGAAAAGTACCACACATTAAATCTTCTAGGGTTGGTTTGATGTTTCTAGGAACATTTCAGTCAAGTAAACGGGGAGAGAAAAACAGCCACTAACTTGTGTGTATGTTTTAGCCTTTGGCAGAAGCATCTAGTCCACTCACACAGCGTACTCAGAGAGTGTGTATAATTCAAGGAAAGTCATACAGCTCAGTGAAAAAAAATGTGTATAAATATCTCCAGGAACAGCATGAGACTTGTGAAACTTCACAAACATCACCATTTCAGTGCAAAAAACAAAAATATTCATAAGAAAAGGGTTGGAATGAAGGTTCACAGACATGATCAACTATTGTGTACCCTGTTAGGTGATGCTGCATTAGTACGGAGTCTCGTTAAGGCCAAAATTAAGTGGGTATTTACAGTGTACCTACAGGAAAATATGGCTGCAGAGCCTCATAAAGGTTGAGTGCCACCACTGCAATAAAAAACATGTAAATATCATTGAAGGATAATAGAAAAGCCTCTGGTTGCTGTAGCTTATAACTGTCGATGCCATCTTTAGTGGTATTATTTATTTAGATTCATGCTTCTCTCTACAACTAGAGTCTGAGATAACATTTAAAAACTGTCTCTTATGAACAAAATAAGTATCTGAATAAAATACTTTATCAATAATAATATTGGCAATTCATTGCATACATGTGTTCAGTTTTAGGTTATCTAAAAGTGTAAGGGAGCATTTCAGGATGTTTTGTGTTAGTTATAAAAATAAATATATATCAAACTGTGTAACCTAGAAAATATGAACTCCTGGCAGGTTTTCTCTTTAAAGGGAGTAAAACAGTCAAGTATTTGGTACAGAGTAGCCCAAATTTCTCATACCAAAATCCAGATCTTCTACTTTTCATCAGCTTTCTCTAAAAGAAACCCTACGTCCTCAAACAAAACTCCCAAAATCTCACAAGACATGAAACTCCTGCTGCAGCTGCTTCGTCTCTTCTTGTTTTGTTTTAGCGCAGAGTAAAATAAGGCATTGAAATCCTCCTGAGCACTTTCCTCATGCCTTTTTCAACAATTCATAAACACATCAAGTCAGCAAACCAGAATTAACTATTATTACCAGAGCCCGACAGGTACTGTGAATTTGAGATTGACACCTGTATCCTCTTGAAGTACTGATTTTTGAGCTGGAATGGAAAAAGCTCTTTTATTTCTGGGTTTTAGTCTAATTTTATGCCAACATGTCAATGCAAACCTACTCAGAGGACTGCTCTATTAAACCTATAATGTTGTTGTATCTGCGGACAGTGCTGAGAGAACGTTCAGCATGTGCATTTAACATCATGGTCATGTCGACCAAAGTCTGTCAGGCTCTCATAATAATGTTTTTCAAAATTACATGACCTCCTTGTTCTTTTACAGCTCTCCTTTTCCACAGCCTTCCACTTTTTGTACACTTTTTCATCTCCCATATTCAAAACCTGCTCGCTTCTCATCTCCTAAGATTGTCAGGTGTGCTATTTCATTTTGTGATTATTGCATGTGAATTTTATAGACGTTATCATAATACACTGTCTGTGATATGGATTACAACATGCCTTAAAAAGGATTCAGTAAAATACATCATCATTCATATAAACTAATGCTTTGAGGCTTCACATTTGTTTCCACTGCTGGAGTTATCAGTATCATCTGGTCTTAAGAAATGTAAAAGTTGTGTCTCATTGCAGAGGTATTCACAGAATACAAACAGCTCATTTTTCTATCGATTCAACTCACTAATAAAAATGTCAAACAGTGAGGATTATTAAAAATCTGAGTGTAAATCTTACAGCAGATTAGCATTAAAAAGCTGGAGAAGAACTGCAGGAGCCGTGTAAACCTCTTGGTTTGACTAAGTTCACTTTGTTTATTACAAAATAAACCTGTCTCCTGTTTCTACAGCTAATTTTCTTTTTGAGATATTGTTTGTGAATACAGGTTAAAAAAATCTGCACAGAGTAACCACAGAAAACAGCCGTGAAATTCAGCCAAGTACCTACATGTAGTCAGAGGAGTGCCTTAAAGAAAAAATTCAGCTGAAGGAGGATAAATCTAAAAATTTAGTAATTTGTAATTTGAGTAATTTGTTTCTTTATTTCAACGTACGCTTTTTCTTTTATTTCTGAAAATGATATACTAAATATAAACGTATTTCGTGTGCATATTGTATCAATGAGTCTGTTTCAACTATCATAACTCATACAATTTTATTAAAAAGAAAAATAATAATTTTTATTAAAAACCAGAGCAGAGGCCAGTTAAAAGCCTTTTCCTCTAAAGAACAGCACTAGAGGTTAAAAAGGAAGGGACAAATGAAATTAAAAAGTATGAAATATAGAAACTGAGCAAATAAACTCTGCTGACCATAAATGTATTAGGAATTACTTTCTAACATTTTTCAAAACATAGCAAACAAAATTCCAGTGGAAAAACCTTGATATAATCAGAATTATTTTGTGCTTCTCCGAACGATGTCAGAGTTGATCTTTCTGAAATATTGTTATTTATAATATATTATTATTATTTTTGGCATTGTGCTCATGACTGAATCAGAGCACAGCTGATATTTAGATCAACATATGGACAGCAGTAAAAATTGGATTAAAGATACTTGGAATTATTTTTGAAAAATATTTTCTGATTTAGATAGATTTTTTTTTTAAAGCACTCCTATGACTCCATTCATCTAGTGTACGTTTTTTTGTCTTTTATATAATATGTGAACCACATTTAGCCTTCCATCACAAAATCTCATATATATTATTAACCATTCCGGTCCATTTGCCTCATCTGTAAACTAAATCCATTTCATAGCGTTCGACTCTGTTTCCTACGTGGAGCCCTGTGAGGAGCGGTCATCGTGAGGACTTCCATCTGAGTTCTCCGTCTCACCCTCAGAGATCGCTTGCATGGGCGCAGAGAAGACTCGACCTCTCATGCCGTAGCGGCTGCTGTTGGCAGGCGGGGGTATCCTAGAGCGGCCCTGCCTGGAAGCTGCTGACATGGGGAAGGATTTAGGGGAGAAGCCGTCAAAGTTGGCTTTAGGGTACGGGCTTGAGATCTGATCTGGTCCTGATGGATGCTGCTGTTGTTGCAGAGGGGAGGTGGGGTCTTCAGACTGTCTTTGGGACTCTGTGAGGGACTCTGCAGGAGATTTAGGGGTGATGGGGCTCTTGAGGATCTCTGTAGCTGACATGCGGTAACTTGAGTCTGATCGGCTGCCTTTTTTGAGCAGCAGTAGCTTGAACTCCTCATTGGAGGTGCTGGATTTCTTGGCGTTCCTGTAGATGGAGCCGGTGCTTCTGTGTGGACCAGGAGGGGTCATGGCAGAGGGGGGTGACACCAGGGAGACTGGCGAGCTTACAGTGCTGCTGGGTGGAGTCGTCCCTGATGCAGCACAGGGGCGACTCCTCACTCCTAACTCAGTCGAATCCTTCCTGCCCAACACTTTCCTCTTGGACCTGGACAAGGAGAGATCAAGGTTCAGGTTTAATCAGATAGTTCTGGTCAGATATTTATGTTGATTTTAATTAAAAACAGCCTTTTAAACATTTCTTTACAAATTCACCAGACATCAAAGGAAAAACTGTACTTTTACCTTACTTGGGATTATCTGCCAAGTATGGCACATTTTAAAACTAGAATTGAGGAGTTTTTAAGTACTGAATGCACATGTCTTCTTACTGAACGCTGATTTATTGTTGTGTTTTGCATACTGTAACTGTTTTGTGTTTCTGTGTGTGTGTTTTTTCTTTTCTTTATGTGGAACTTCTTGTGCTGCTATCCTGGCCAGGACTCCCTTGTAAAAGAGATTCTGAATCTCAATGGGTTTTATTTCCTGGTTAAACAAAGGTTACTAACTAACTAACTGCAGAGCACAATAGTTGCTGCTCTAACACAAACTTAATTTGTATGATTATTTTCACTTTGCTGTTTTAAATAGTTTTAATCCAACAGTTTTGATCTTCTTTGACACAGAATAACACAAAAAGTCTGAAAAACTGAGGCAGAATTAGAAAAGACACTCCTGTTATCCATGAGTTTAAATGACTGTTTTTGTCCTTGAGTCTGGTGACCTTGACTGGAATTAATGTTTCTGTAAAAAAGCTTCTTACTGTTACTAAAAAATTCTAGTACTGAATGAATCCACTATGTTTTGAGTTCAAACACTCAAAAGAACAATCTGAACCAGTTAGGGATGAATAATAAGCGCTCTTATATGCTCTTGCGGCTGTACCCTACATCTTACAATGCAGAGGATTTTAGTTTACAGCTGAAACAATCGATTGAAGCAGAACTAAAAAAATTAGAATAAATGACATGAGGCACTTGAAGACTTCCTTTAAAGTGCTGCTGGTGTTGGCTGTTGGTTACCTGTGAATCATGGCGAACAGATCCTCTGTGGTCCTGGTTTTTGTGGGTGAAAGAAACACACTGTCGTCCTCTGACTTCGACTCATCACTGGGAGGAGAGGCTGCAGTATCACTGGGTGTCGAGTCTGTGAACAGAGATTGAAAGTAAATATTGAAGTACTTGAAGCTTTAATCCAATGTGTTTTTTATAAGGTCCCACTTATTTCTGCCTCATGATTGTCAGTGATTTTGGAGACAGATCTCATTTGATACTGTGAAAAAAAAAACTGACAAAAAAAAAACAAAACTCTCTTACAGGTTTCAACCTGCATAATATTTAATGTATAAGTTATTTTGGGCTTGTCCTTCAGCTGCTTTGCCTGAACTCTCAGTGACTTACAGTTCTTGCTGGAAACATTCTTGACTTGTTACAGCTCAGTCACCCCAGTTCAGTTGTTTTTATGCTTGGACTGGAAGCTGGTTGTTACGGGAAAGTGTTTGTGGTTACACAGCTGGCACAGGAGCTTTGGTGCAGCAAGAAGGGGAGTTTGAAGGGGCAGACTAGTGACCGCTGCAGAGTGAACACTTAGCAGAAACAGGGCACAGTCAAACTGCACCGGGCAGACACTGGGGCCACTTTCAGAAGTTTCCTCCTGGGGTTTTTCACAGGTATCTGTAACCTTATGATGCAAAGTCTTCCCTGTTGAATGAGGGAGTTGGTGGGCAGAGGGGTGGATGTAGGAAGGCAGGACATGACACTGAAGGGATATTCCAATGCAATTTTAAGTTATGGTCAAACTCACCATAACACAGAGTTAGACACCCCCTTGAGAGATGAATGTTGCTGACTGCCTGCTTCTCTAGTTATACTAACTTTAGTAACAACTGCACAATAGCGGTCTACGTCTCCACTTGCAAATCTCAACCGAAACGCCACTCTATAGCCACAAATAATGCTCAGAACAGCACCTAACTTCATCAACAGGACATATAGGGTCCAAGCCACAGTACTAGTCATCAAACATCTTTTAGCTTTGCCTGGTTTCTTTAGCAAAGAGACCAAACACAACTCACCCACTCTCCTCCAGCCACTTGTTTTTGAGGGAGCCCTGACGAGTCAATCATCAAGTGTAGCAGAAAATTTATGATTATTGCTTCATGGAAATGCAATCAGAGTTGTTGTGTATCTTGTATGTGTACTGCAGATGGAGTATGCATGGAGATGTAGACTGCTGTGTATTGCTATTATGCGGTTATTGTTGAAGTTGGCCACACTAAAGAAGCAAGCAGTCGGCAACATTCATCTCTGGAGGGGGTGTCTAACTCGGTGTTACGTTGTGTTTGACCATAACTTAAATTTACACCGTAATATCCCTTTAAAAGCACACTGTGAAAGTAACAATGTAATATTGAAGGTTAAAAAAAATCAAGTGACATTTGCAAAAAGAGATGGCTGCACACAGTACAGTTACAAAAGCATGACAATTAATGCACCATGCACACACACACATCATCACCCTTGGCCAGGAATGTGTGGTTAATCTCCAGAATATTTCCTGCTATGCTAACCCTGACATTTTGAGAAGATTTCATTAGGAGGCTGGCGGGAAAATTTATTTTTCTTTCGCACATGCAGGAAAGTTTTCAGCAGTTGAGTGCATGTGTGAACCCAACTTTAGTGAACATTTTCCTGCTGAGTCAAGTTTGACACCTCAGGGTACTACAGGGCACAAAATCACTCTTAACAAATCTTAACTTGTCTTTTTTACAGCTGCTCCACCCAGGACTGTCATTTATTTTTAGCTGTTCACAGAAACTTTTCCAATAAATGTTCAAGTATTTTTGCCATTAAAAGAATAATGTTAGAAAACTAAACCTGTCAAATGTCTAAAAACATCAGCTCAGTGAGACTTTCATTGTTTTTTGCACCTTGGATTAAAAGTTTGAACCACTGAGGTCAAAACAGAGAAAATGAATAAAGTGCCACCCAGGTAAATCAGGTGAGAAGCAGACCCTCTGTACAGTCTGTTTGGCAGATTCCAAATCAGCCTCATTTAGAGGAATTAGTAGAAAAGATAAAGAGAGAGAAATGTTGTTAAGCAAATGTAAAGTGAGTCAGTACCTTTCCTGCAGAAATCCTCTGACTCTTCTCTGGACTCCTCTTTGTCCTCCTGAGCGGCACTTTCTGTTGAAACCCATGAGGACTCAAAATCCACCACTGAGCTGCTCTCATCGCTGATCGAACTGTCCTGAGGAGTCTCAGACTGGCCATCAGTCTCGGGTACTTTATCCAGGCTGTTGGTTGAACTGTGCTGCACCAAAGCAGCAGGACCTGTGTCTGCCTTACACTCCTCCTCTCCTTCTTTTTCTTCCTTGGGCTGGAAGCTGCTGCTAACTTGCATTTCTACTGTCTCTCTGCACATCTCCCCGTCCTGACTTCTCTCTGAGACTTCTGCTAATGGCTCTTCCTGCAGTCTGAATGCTGTCTGATTTTCCACAGGCATCGTGAGATCCTCCACAGTCTCGCTCTGACACGCTGCGTCTCCATTTTCAAGCTCTTCATTTGAGGTAAGCACAGATTCACAGGAGCCTTTCTCCGGTGTGTGGTGTTGATGGTTTAACAGAGGATTCTTGAGCTCTGTGGATTTGCTACATGAAAGTGTGTTTGCTGAGTTCACAGTGGGACATTTGAGCTTTGTTTTGTCCTCGTATGTTCCTTCATGCTCCCTGCTGATGGATCTGAGCTGGACTGAGCTCAGCACTGAGGGAGTGATGGACATGGAGTGAAACACCTCTGAGCTCTGTGGTGCCACAGGTTTCTCTGACAGAGTGGATTTGTGTTTGATTTGGGGTGTGATCTGAGCCGGTTTTATGAGAGCTGATGCTTTGTTTCCCACACTTTGAAGGGCACTTAAGTCGAGGTGGGAGGGCGGGATTATGGGCAGCTCTAAGTCTCTTTTTGAGGACTGCAGAGACAGCGTGGAGAGTGATGACTTCCTCTCTGGGACTTTGGGCTTCCTCTTTCCGCTGGCCGGCGAAAGCGGTCCAGGGAAGAAGGCAGAGGGGAACGAGGAGGTGGGGGTTTCTGATTGGCTGGAGTATCCGCTGGATGGGCTGGCTAAACCTGCCAGCTTCTCTGGAGAAGTCAGCTTAAAGTCTCCCTCCACTGACGGCAGTGAAGGTGTGGTAGCTCTGGAGCCAGACTGGGATGTCTGGGATTCAGAGCTCTCCTGTGACTTGATGCACTCAATGACAGTCGTACCCGTGGCTGTGCTTGAGTTGGACAATGATCTGTACGGGTCGCTGGATTTTAGATCATTCAGGAGCCACAGATCTGCATAGTCTGACTGCACCACTCCGTCATCTTTGAATGAATGTGCATCTGTGGAGCTAAACACTCCCAAGTCCGGCAGATCAGCAGAGCCCTCGACGCCCCAGACCACAAGGGGCTCCTTGGTGAGCGAAGAGTTTTCCAGACGACTTTGAGAGGCGGACAGAAGCAGCTGCAGGTTCCTCTCCTTGGACGACAGAGGCAGCTGCTGTCCACATGAAATCTTTGGTTCCTTTTTGTCAGGGATGTTCCCGTCACTGCATATTTTTCTTAAGGATGAGCTCCTCTTGGGCGGACACGGCTTCACCTTTGGTTTTCGTAAAGAGAGGCAGCGTCTGCCCAGAGTCATGTCTGACAGGCTGCAGTCAGAGCCGGGGGCTGCATAGTTATAGGTGAAACTTCTGCTGCCTTTCAGACCGCAGTCAAAGTGCATGGATGTGTAGTAGCCTTCAGTGTCCACAGAGTAGTGTGAGACAGTGTCTGCTTTCTCTGATGGAGGTTTGTCGGAGTAGCTGCTCTCACACGTGGCCATGCTGGTGAAGCTCGGACATCCTAAGCTGCTCTCCACCTCCCTGCTCGGCTCAGGGTTGAAGTCCTGTGGGTTTGGAGGGTCCTGAATGGAGTAACCCCACTCCCCCTCGACAGGAGTGCTCCCCCCTGCTTCCTCTAAAATGTCCATAGCTGTGGAGGAGAAGGAGCCGGCCCGCTGAGTCCTCAGGCCCGGGTACTGGTCCAGCATGAAGCTGGTGTGGTCTTCATGGTTGTGGTTGGTGGTGTTAAGTGAGAGCTCAGAGTCACAGTGTGAGGAGCCGGTGAGAGGGGGGGAGGCAGCAGGGGGGATGGTTTCTGAGGTCTGTGAGGGGCAGGTGGAGCTGCTTCCACTCCAGTTTCCACTTGAGGACTGGTGGTCGTCTTTGTGGTCCATCTGGCCTCCTAGCATCACTCCAGCGGCCGAGACAGAGTGGACCGGGCTGCTGAAGGTGTCTGAGCTGGACGAGATCTCACAGCTGCCCATGTCGGCCTTCCTGGGCAGCTGAGACCTGGTCCTCACCATCCAGCTGCGCTCTGGACTCTCTGACAGCTGTTTATACTTCAGAGCCAACGAGCGCTCAGTCACGGCCTGGTCGTCTGTGCTCTCCTCTTCATCCTTCAGAATCAGCTCCCCACGTCCTGGTAGGAAGTCCTCAGCATCAAACGGGGACAGTTCCCCCTCGTCTTCACTGTCTCGATGCCCATTATCTATCACTCTGTTCCCGTCTCGGGGCAGACTCCGAGAGCGCAGGCGGGTGCCCACTGAGGTGGCGAACATGGCGTCAGCGCTGTCTGTCAGACAGGAGATGTTTCCTGCAGAGTAAGACAGGGACAGGGAGACCCCCTGTCCTCTCTGGGCTCTGATCCTCCTACGAGATGGAGCTCCTGAGATCAGGAAGTCTTCGGTCTGACAGCCTGAGTCTCGTGTGTTGAGATGACTGGACAGCTCCTCGCGGGAGGGAGTTACGTCAGGGCTCGTGTGGACGATCACAGTGCGCTCTCTGGAGCTGGGAGAATCATCAGAGTCTGAGAAGAGAAAGAAAACAATGAGAGTTGATTCCATATAACTACAGGGTAAAACTGAGAGTCCACACTTGCTCCTACAGCCCAGAGGAGGTAACTCTGCAGAGACCAGCACCAGTGAGCTGGACACTACAAATCTTTAACCAAAGAAACAACATGAACAACATGACATGAACCTTCACTGCTTCTTTATTACTGATGCAAAATAATAAAAGAAGTGCCACATATTGTGATTATTTATCACCTCAAATTACCTCTCCTTACCTCCCCTTTAAAGCAAAGCCTGTTTATTTCCCAAAGCATAGAGTTACTCTATGGGTGTATTAATATGATGACTGATGTGGTTGGTTGTAGGGGTGGGAATCACTAGTGGCTCCACAATACGATATTATCACGCTACCTGGGCCACGATTTTATTGTGATTTTTAACATTTTGCGATACAGTCAGTATTGCAATACAATATATTGTGATTTATACAATTTTTTTCAACTGTTAAGCAAATTTAGCATTTATCTTTCCTTTATGTTTGTCTTGATTACGCAGTATCTTATTTTCACGTAGCACATCTTGAAAACTTAACATATTTGTTGTACTAACTTTCTCCTGCTCTATGATGTCATCTCTGCCAACCTCACTGGACAATCAGTTGATTTTATTTTTCCATTATCATAGATTTGACTTCATATTAGCAATTAATTTCAAAAATCGATACTTGATAAATGAGAAGATATAATTTATCACCAGACAAAATATCACGATACTATGCTGTATCGATTTTTTCTCCTACCCCTTGTTAGTTATATGTGTAGCTATGCATTTCAATGCTTGCTTTTCAAATGTTTTTATCCTTATTGAGTTTACCTGTACTAAAAGGTACTTTAAAGATAAAATTTCTATTTCTATTGCTCTTAACACTTGTAGCAAAGTGTTTATTTGTCTACCACACCTAAGTATAAAGTAACTGTATTTATTTGTTTTGCATTAATTGAAGCATTTTGTACAGATAAAGGAAAATAAACGATTTGGAAAATCCAAAAACTGCAATCAAATGGAGTGACTAATCTAGGTCCAGGCTCTCCAAATTAAAGCTCCTGTTAGGAGAATTTTTACTTTTATAAAACAGACAGAATTTTCTGCTGAAGCCTTTTTATGATGTGCAAGAGCACACAAGACCATCAGTGACATGACTGACAATTATAACATCATCGTTTTAAATGCCAGAAACCAACGTGAGGGGAGCAGGTGTCAGCCGAACAGCTGAAGAAACAGCCCTGCTTTTACATGTTTTACCTAAATAATCACAATAAATGATACACTTGACTTTCAAAATTCAGAATAAGAGTTTTGTCAATGTACCCGATTATGTAGAGGACATGATGTGCAAAAACTGTGTTGTCCACAGGGGGTGCCAAATTTGATGGAAACTGAAAGTGCCTCATGTAAATATAAAGGACTCATTCTAGGTTAACACAAAAAAATCTAATGACTTCAAATGAGCAAATTCACCTTTAGCTGAAAAGTTCATTTAAATTTATTTTTGATCAATATATGACAAGCAAAAATAAGGCCGACACTTCCTGTGATAAGTAAAATAAACCGAAATAGAAATCATATTTTACCCTGAGTTTGATAACTGGTGTCCTAATGTAAATAATATTTCAGTTTGTGTGCTTCATCATTTTTTTCAAACCCTAGCTTTGAAGTTTTGTTTTGTGGTGTGATATATATGTCACAAGAATATAACTGTTGTCACTATTTCCTGATGCCCTTATTGCATCATGTATCAATCAGTCTGAAACACTTTGAACAGTCTCAGTTATGACACAGAAAAACAGACAACTCTCACACTCATGATGCTTTTGCTTGAAAGAATTTGAAATATGTTGATCTGATGATCAAAATAGTTGTCCAAATGGGCCAATTAAACAATTATGTAAACTCTAAAACCAGCATTTAGAAATTGTTTTAGAGCTCAGCAGTAAGCTCTCTAGTTTTAGAGCTTTTAGGCCTCTCTTGACTCTTTTCAACGATACAGCTTCAAACTTTTTTCTGCAGCTGATTCCTCTTCTCTCTCTTTTCTCTCATTTCTTATCATCTTATACTTTAATCCTGCTGATAAAAGCGTGAAATATCCCAAAATATCTTTTTAAAAAGAACAAACTGAGACTAAAAATATGCCTCCTTTAGCAGTGCTGCCTCAAGCAGACATATATTGTGCTTATCTTCTCCAGCAAAGTGATGTGGACATTTTAACTCTTAAATCTCTGCATCTTTTTCCCTACTACTGCACCACAAGACCCAAAAGTCATCAAGTCAAAGAGGGGATAAAGTTACATACCTAAATCTTGTTGCACCTGTCTGGGGACTCCAGCGACCGTCCTCCGTCTCCTCAGCTTCCTTCTCCTCTGCAGCACGGACTGCGAGTGGACGAGCGAGCAGCGCACACTAGCTTCTCTGTCAAAGCCGATTCCTGAAACAGAGAGAGGACATGTGAGGAATCCTTGTTTAGTGGCAACGCCGGTGATTCCTTCTTTAGCTCTCACGCTGTCTAATAGAATAAAGAAACACCTCTGACTCACACAACTGGACTACATACGATATTTAAAAGAACAGCAGTCAGGGCAGAGGAGGACAGGCGATTACACAAACAGGGATTAAATTTGTGGATTTATTCAATACTTGATGTCATATCTAAGCTGTCAGATTATGAAATACAAAGAAGAAAGTAAACATTATTTGCCTCTAACAGCAAGCAAGCATCCGGCTTTATTTACAAACCAGCTAAAACTTCTTTCTGCCTCAGTTTTGTTTTCTGCTTGTTTTCCTGCCAACCCCCACATACATTATGACTATCATGTGATAGCAGGTCAGGCTTTTCAGCACCATAGCAATCCCAGGACTGTGCTTACAATGTACATTTTTTCTTCCCTAAACTGTCCCTGACTCAGCTGGTGTTGGCGTGAAACTCCTCTTTAGAGTCAGGCGGGAGTAAATAACATCATGTTGGCCTTTTCAAGACTTTGGACAGCAGTAATTAGCATTCATGTCACAGCGGCTCATGAAAGAAAGGCATGAGAAATAAAAGTTAACGCCGCACAAAAACAAAACATGACTTGCACATTGAGGGAGATTTCCTTTGGTATCATTTCAGCTTGTGATGATGGTTTGTAATTTACTGCAGTTGCAGACAGGACTTTTTTTGTACAGTTACACAACAGTTGTTGTGTGTTAATGAAGGGACCAGTGTGTGCAGAAGACAGATACAGTCCAGCTCATTCAAACTGCAGAAAATCTGAGAAACATAGCCTTACATTTTGGGGAAATTCACTGTCCTAATTTAGCATTCAATAAGAAACTACCACTGCCTGATAGTTAGCCTAGCCTAGCTTAGCATGACGGCTGAAAACAGGGAAACAGCTAGCCTGGAAATGTCAGATCAGCAAAAATACTTTTGACGTAAATATCAAATCCGACTCATACAAAAACTGGTGAATAAGTAGAGCTGGAGTGAGCCTCATCAGCTACAACCTTATTTATGCAAATATAACCATGACAGGATTCATATTTACTGACATCATAAGGTCAGATTCTAGACTGAAATACTCCCTTGCTCACCCCTCTGCTTGGTAAAATTACAAGAGTCATGTTGGCCCTCAGGGACAAAAAGCTCCTTTGAGTCATGAGTATAATCTTCTATCAGCGTGAATCATTTTGCTCACAACAACAATAACCACTTTCTTCCTCTTTATTTATATCACAGCTGCCACATTTTACACTAATAATAAAAACTCAAATGTGACTTGTTTGTTTGTTCTGGGCTTCTGTAGAAACATTGGAGATATACCGTGAAGAGATCATTAAAGGTTAAACAAATAAAACAATTGTCATATTTAGATGATTAAACACAAATTGAAGTAACTTTGTCAATATTATATTTGATTTCTTCTGACTCTGTTTTGATAAATGGCCCTAAAGCTACAGGAGGCTAACAAACTTATGAATGAAGTGGTTTTGTCTCTGCACCTATCCAGGATGAAGTTGTTTTGCAGGATCTTTTGTCAGTGTTGCTGTTATTAACCCTGAACACTCCAACAAAGGCTGGATGTGCACAGAGGTGTGTTATAACAACCTAAAAATAAAATGGCTGCAAACAGCGTTAAATACTTTGCTAAGAAAATACTGGAGTAAAAGTCAAAACACTGATTTAAAACCTATTTTAAAAAATGGAAATTAACAAAAAGATGCTCAGATATGGTAACAAGAGTAAATGTAACTAGCTTGTTTCGACTTATGAAAATGAGACCTGTGAAACCCAGAAAGTACCGGAGGAAACTGATCATGACCTGACATGAAGTTTCAAAGTGAAAATCCTCCTAAAACAGACATTAAAGAGCCGGCTGTGTGCTGAGAAGACATGCAGATTCAGACGTAAAGGAAGTTCTTTCATTTACCGGTCACATTTATGGGGATGACGCATGAGTTGATGACTTGTGAGCTGCTTTTCATTCTTTCTTCAGGGGTGGGCAGCGGCAGAGCTTTAGACCAGTTAGTCTGCTTGTCCAGGGTGGAGGGGATGTTAGGGATGGGAAACTTAGAGCGGTGACCTAGAGCCACCCCGTCAGTGTCGGGGTCAGGGGGCGCAGCCTGCAACAGATGGATATTTGCATGGTTAGGTTGTTAAGGTAAGTTGGTGAGAGAAAAATGGTGCTCTGAGTTGGAAATGAACAAATTCAGCTGGAGGAAGAGGAGGAGGCGGAGGACGGGGATTAAAGTCAGGGATTACACTGGTATTGTAAAAAGTGTTTATCTGGGGAAAAAGAGCTGAGGGCTTCATGTAGAGATTAGAGTCTTATTAAAGTGCAGCAAAGACTGCTTACTGTCAGAGCAAGAGGCAAATCAATACACATTCACTTCCAGGAGCTGAGTATCCAACAAGAGATGGAAATGAAAAGCATGCTTTAGTGAAAAAGAGCTCACTCAGAGAATCTATTCTGTTAGTTTCATGCAGAAATGAAGACGAGGATTTAAAGGATTTACAGGCAGGAAATGTTGTCAAACAGAATAAAACGCTCCTATTCCTAAACCCAAGACTGAATCCAGGCTTGCAAAAATGTCCTGCTATTAAAAAGTTTGGCACGAACTGAACAGCACATGTCGACATAAATACTAACCCTGCTTCATTCAACAGCGTCAGCAGCACGGCACAAAAATGTGACAGACTTTGCAAACAGTCATTCCCAGTCGCTGCACGCCGGTCTGGAAACTCTTCCCTCATCCTCCGAGTATCTGTGGCACTCACAGTCACTCTCCTGCATAATAACGAGTCTCTGGAAATAGTTGAGGGGAAATACTTCACGGCAGCATTCCTGCGTCTGAACGGCGGCTTCGGCATCAATCAGGGCTCAGTCCTCCAAAAAAACCTCCACAGGCCGTCTCAGTCTCCAAAACAGCAGATCTCCTGTTCCTTACTCCTCCAGGTCTCATGAATTTAGCCTCGTACCTCCAGCTTCCTTCATACAGACACATGTGAAACTGGGAGTGATTCTCAGGCTGAACTGGTTCCCACCTCCACCCACCCCCCATTAAAAACCACAGCTTTTGTCCTCTCTGTTCCCAGCAGACCAGTGAGACCCGGACAAAACCCCGTCCACAAAAGAAACCGGTTTCCTTGGAAACTTCTCCCAACTCGTCGAGGAGGAGAAATCAAAAGGGGAGCATTTACAGCTGATTTGTCTTGCGGACAGAGAGGCGGTTTGAGTGTCTGAGAGGAGGGATAAGAGAGACGAGTGGACAGGGAGAGGAGTGGCAGTAGGAGTGTTTGGACTCATTTCTCTCTCACAGCGGGCATCGAGGAGATATATTTGATGAGAAAACAGAGAAACACGAGGCTGTCAGCTCTTTCTAGGATGGGTGCAGCGAGGAAACCACAGCACAGAGGGATCATGGGTAATCACAGACGCAAGCAAGAAGCCGACCCTGTCATTAGAGAAACCCTGGCTGCAGGGAGGCTGTGACTGAAGCTCTCGAAAACGCACATTCCTCACATAGTGCACGCTCGAGGCTCGACCCTGCACGTGAACTCCAACAAGGACTGTCTGCAGACGAAAAAACTTTGACTGCCTCTTTAGTTTCCCTACAAACTTACTCCAGACTCAAAAAGAGGCATTCATTCAAAAAGAGATTCATAATATTATCCCGAAAGAGTCAAACAAGTAAGGAGGTGTGAAGTTAGGTGTTAGAGGAGCACACAGGAGTCAGGAGGGAAGGAAGGAGATAGGAAAGGAAGGACGGAGGGATGGAGGGAGGGACCACTACCTTTCTCCAGGGAGAGAAGCGGCAACACTCGGTGGGGGAGGAGGATCGGGTGGATTCAAACTAAAATACAAAATAAAAAACAAAACAGGACAAGAAACAACAAATGACGGGGATGAACATGGAGGTATTTCACTGAAACTCAGACCAAAAACACCGAAATACATGATGGTGAGGAGGGAAATGTTGACCGTGAATTATATGAAACCTCCTGAGTGATGAATACAACATTTACTGAGGAGGGGATGAGACATAAAGACAAATTCATGGCTGTCACATAATAGAAAGACTAAACACACACTAAGCACTAAGGCCTTAAGTCCTTTTATTGGAAAGTTTTTATTTGACTTTGGTGAGTGAGAGTTCATGATCAAACTTCCATGTGCCATTTAAACTCATAAAATTCAGTCTATCAGTGCAAATAAAGTCTGTAATCCTGTTTTGGAGATTTTATCAGCCTTTGTCACTTGTCATCTAATATTTATCCTTACAACCTATTTATGTTTTGAAGCATTTGTAAATAACTTTGAGCAATTTGAAAAATAAGGTTGCTCGGGCAAATTTAAGCCTTCTTAAGCTTGAAAACTAGACTTTTGTCCCAGATAATCAATTCACAGTTTCTAAAACGATAAATACTAATTTTATTTTCTGTGCAACATCTGATTTTTTCCAATTAACTAGGCAAAGTCTTGGAGATGTCACAATAACATCATGTGATGATAATGTGTATTGGTGTTACATGGGATTAGTCACACTAGTCAAAATAGCAGAAAATATCCTAAATTATTCTGATTCACTGCCTGTTGGAGGGCTAACTGAGTTTTTCAGTTTCTAAAAACTCTCTCTAGCTGCCTGCAGGAATACAAAAAGACTTTTATACTTCATAAAAATAACCTTTCAAGGGTCTACATGACATCTATCAAATCAATGTAACATGATGAAGCTCAAAACAAACTGCCTCTGTAATAGTTTGGACTTTTTACTTTTCCTGAAGACCCTTAAGTTAAGATAAAGATGTTCAAACATAAAAAAAAAATTCGATCATACCGTGGTCAGATTGACGCTTCTCCTTTCTTGCTTCTGGATGACGTAGGGGGAGGGGTGCATGGGCATCGGGGGTAACGCTAAGATTGAGATGGTGACTCTCCGCTCCCTGCTGTCTGATCTTCTCCTCTGATGATCTACAACAACAATCACAAACTGCTTTTATTCTGCCACATTAAACCTGTGCAGACACTGAAAATACACACTGGAAGAATTGTGAGTTAGTTTCTTTTACCAGCAGATAGTTTGATTTCTGAACATGCTTAGAGATACAGGACAAAACCACAAACTTAATCCAAGCAAAACCAAAGCTGAAATATCAGATGACCCCAGAGAGTACAAATCAAGGGGTTTATTCAACACTTTGACTTTTCACTGTGAAACTTAATTTGTTCCTCCCTGCTGCAGCTTGGTCCCCATCAGAAACATGAGGTTAGTCCCAAACACACAGTGACTTTAATACTTGGTTTGTGAAACACCAGAAAGATCATTTTCACATGAAGTACTATTTTAGGGGGAAGCATAAATAATGAAAATTTTGATGGTGAGACTTTTCTTTGTGTCTGGGTAAATGTGTCTGGGAGTTGATATCTGCAGTATCTTATTTAAGGATGAATAACTAAGGATAAACCGCAGCATTTCAAGCCTCAAGTTACACTAACACATTACATTTAGACATTTGTACAATAATTTTTATTTCTTCATTTTAAACTTCAACTTCTGTACAACAACAACAACAAAAACTTAAACCTTAAAATAATTCTAAATAAAATCATTTTATTCTTATCAATGTGTCCCTTCCTGCTAAAGTTCCTTTCAGGTTATGTAATAAAACCTCTCCACTTTAAAAACTAAAATGCAATTACAAAAGTTGTCCACTAGAGGGCAGAACAACACTACAATAATATGGCGCTATCGACCAGCAGAGGGGAAGCCCCCAAAGGTGTCTTTCTAAAGTTTAAACCTCATTAAAGATGTCAATATTATTAAACAAGTAACTAAATAAAACTGGAGAGATGGATGAAGAGAAGAAAACAAACTTCTTATCAGTGTTCTGGCCACCCAGAACCAGGTGGGTGGGGGATTTTTGGGCTCTCACCTCTGTGCAGGGCCCACAGGCTGAGGCTGGCTTGCCTGTGGAGCTCTTCCACACATACTGGCCGGGTGGAAGGGTGGAAAACATTCCTCTGCTGGTGCCACGGAGCTTGGTAATGTGCTGTCAGCTTACTCTCCACGTCCAGGTTTGACACCGCTGTCACAGAGAGACAGAGACGGAGATATTTGTAATCGGAAAAACAATGATCAGAAGTAAAACACACACTGTTTCTGCAACATGCAGCTGATTATAAAGAACCAGGAACCCCTTCATGACTTCCTTCAAGTCTAAAAGGACACAAAGAAATCTGGTCTAATTGTGTGTTTTTAAATAACTAAGAGGCAGACACATCCAGCTGTAGGTGTTTGGCCGGTTACATTCATGATGGACATCGACTTGTTGAGCCTTTGATTGTTTTTAAATGTACTCTGATAACCTCCTTTGATATGTACATATGGCAGCTCCTTGTTTGTCAGAAATCTTGATTGTGAGGCCGCCTGTCTTGGCCAGATCACAGTTTTTCTTCTCCTGGTTGACCAAAGGTTAAACAAACTAAACTAATATAGCTCTGAATAGCCATTTTACAGTCAGGTTTACCTTGTATTGTTCTCCTCAGACACTGTGTTTCGGCTTAAGCTTGTTGCCATTGTACTAGATCACTTAACTCCTGTATGCTTGCAGAAACAGTCCCAAACTCAGCTCACATCACCACTCTGAGTGCTCTTGAGAGCTGCAACCATCAGCTGAGAACAGGACAATTGATAGCATGGATTCAGTGTTTTACAAGTAATGATGACCTGGATCATCGACTGAGTTTGGTACTTTCCTCCATAATTTAAATATGTAAAGTTAGAGTTTTTGGTTTCATAGTTTAGGTTATGAAAAATGAGTTAAAAGTGAGAAACCCTGGATATTATCTTCACTTAGAGCCCTACTCCTCTCTTTTTCAGATTGATATAAATGAGATGAATCTCGTGTCAGTAGATGGTCTGCAGAGAGACACCGTGTATGCCCTCAAATGTCCCGGAAAATCAGGGGCAGCCAGCGGAGCTCTGCTGCTAGGACCTTTAAAGTTTCCGCTCTGACATTTTTGTGGTGACACACTGGTTAGGATCATCAAGGTAAAATCCACACTCTCAGACAAATGTCACTAATGAGCTTTCCATTTCAGAGACAAAGTGGTGCCATGAGTGCAGAGGAGGGGGATGGGGGTCTGGGTCTTGTTTTAGATCTTCAGTCTGAGACAGAGAAGCAGGACAATCAGAGCCAGGGTTACAGAGATAATAGCGTGTTTGCTAATGCTATTACCTGAAGCCAAACAATAGAGTCTAATGCAACCTGAAACTGTGACTGTCATCCTCTTAACATTGAGCAGGAGCTGGACTACTCCCACTAGTGCACCCCCTCACACCTCCTCAGGTTACAGACGAGGGGACAGTGAAACCTCCTCAACACACGGAGGAGAAAGTTAGAGTTTAGATGGAGCCTTTCACTTTTAAGATGGTGCCCATAGTCAAAGTGAAAGAAATATTTACAGTATGAGCACATTGATATATGAGACATTAAAACACCTCATACTCTTCATTGTTCGATTTATCTTTATTCTGATGGCCCTATAAGCATTTATGGGTCAATTAGAAGCATTTATACATATTTCAATTAGTGTTTTAGTAGCCTAACAGTCCTTACAGGAGCTTTAACATCATCATGAGTGAAAATGCAGCTTGATAAAAAAAATGTTGGCACTGGTTTCAGATGAAAATTCAAAACAGTTTAGTCCCATTTATCACTTCTGCTATGACTAAACCCAAACAAACATAAATTCCTGAAGGGAGAAGCAAAAAAGCCAAACATAACTCTTCCAACATGGCTCCATCTGAGCCCCTTACACCACTGCAGTTCATAACAAGACATGAATCAATGTCTGAATTCAACATCACAAATCTCTCAGGACAAATCCACATTCTGGCTCTGACAAACAGAAATGGGAAAATAAAAATCACTGCACACTCAGATATCAAACAGTAGAGGATATGACTCAGTCAGGAAAATCTCTTCAGCACACAAACACATCTGTCCGTCCTCACCTGCCTGCTGAACATTTCTGGGCCTGTCCTTGACCTGAGAGCTTTTCTTAAACAAACTGTCTGGCCTTTACGTCTGACTGCTCAAGAGCAGCTGCTCCAAGTCTGCTTTGTAGTCCAGACAGAAGCGGTCTTAAGTCTGTTTCAATAAAGAAAATGCATAATTTAAGTCCAGATCAGAGCCACCATAGGTCAGGAGGAAATGCTGCAAATCAAACCGCTCTGCGTGGAAAGTGGTTTTTCTAGCAGCTCAACTGTTGTGTCAGTTTCTGACAAATCCTGTGTGCAATCCTCAGGAGAGGCCGTTTGTTTATCTGTCACTCAGAGATAAGTTGATGCTTTCCATAAAACACCCCTGAGTGATGTGAAAGCCCTCTGAGGTGACCCCAACGACCTGAAAACAAACTCTGTGCTCTGTCTGAATCTCAGCTCAGGCAGCCTGAGGTGATCTCAACTCAGAGGAGATTTAAAGGTGGAGCAGCACAGCCTTCCTTACTTTACTTGTGAGGAAAAAGTTTGTCTTCTGGCCATGTCATTCTATTTGTGCATCATCTTTTTGCACAGTTTCAATGTTGACACTGATGCCAAAAAAAAACTGTCCAGGGAGGAAAACCAAGCAGTAACCTCTGAAGGTTAGGAAGAAGGCAGGCAAGCAGAGAAAAGCTGCAGTTCCCTGAGAGTCCACTTGAGGCAAAAGGAAAGGAATCCTCATCAACACCCATGTTTAAAAAACCTGTTTCACAGTCCAGCCTGGTACAGAAAATAATCATTTTCTTGGCACTCTCTGTTTTAAGTAGTTCAACACTTGGAGTACTTAGATGCCCGTCAATATCGCCTCTTGATCACTAACCAATGAGAATTAAGAAGGGGCGGGACTTCTATCATCAACTTTGACAATAGTGAAGTTCAAAAAGGAGAAACATATCAGTTTCTTTTATAAGGTAAAATTTCAGGGTTCGGAGTTGATGCTAATGCTAGGACACAGTTTATAGAAACTATATTCACACTTTCTTTTTGAGATCCCACTGAAGGAAAGCAAATATAAAGCATACAGAGCTTTTAAAACAGACTTAAAAGCCATTAACAAGGTAGAGGAGACATCTTTCATGATCTAACAGACCTCTGGCAGCATCCATAAATCTATGAAAACAAAGAAGCTGCGAGTAATACAAGAATTCGATTTACTAACCCGGATTTACAAACATTTGACTTTCATAACTTTAAGTCGGAGGTACTTTGTTTGGCTAGAACCCCCTGAATCACTTTTTTTCTAATCAGTACTGTACATGTTTTTATTTTACATTCTTAAATTAGGAGGTATACAATAGGACTCCATGGAGAGATACTCACTTTTGGGGAAAGGCCTCAAGTGGCCATTTGGGGAACTGCAACTTTTGGCACAACTTAACATTTTACTCCCCTGAAAGGAGGTATTGCTTTTAATGCTTTATGAGGAAGAAGAAACAGGACGAAACTTATAGTGAAGCCCCAGTATCATGAACACGAGGATGAATTATTTCTGTAAAGATCTCTTACTGTCTGGAACAGCTACTGTGTGGTAGGTGTTAAGTATGATGTTAAAACAGCAGGCTGCAGAAACAACCTTGTATATTATTTATCACAGCAGAGGTTCTTGATTAATAATACATTGAACAATTAAAAGAAAACAAGATACGATGTTCATTACAGGATTTTTCACATGACAAGAAAAGTACACAAGATTAACTCTGACAACTTACAAAACTTTAAGAGTCACTTGTGTCTGTATTTTGGCTTTCAAACTTAGCCAGGCTGTTTTTTTTCACCAAATACATTACAAGGGAAAAGTGGTTTCAACATTTTATTGATTTATTGAAAAAACAACGGTAATGACCATGTTCCTAAAATGTAAAACCACTCCTTTAATTAGCAATATCAACACAAACCATCTGACTCAGCCCATGAGCCTGTTGACTTTGGGTGTTGCCTTTAATGTGTTACACATTTTTATATGTGTAGCAATAAACTTTGCAACACAAGCTGACTATATCTAAAATCTAAACCAGCGGAGCACATAGACAAATCAGCTGTGATCTGCGGTGAGATGATTGAGTAAACCATGTTGTGCTTTCAGAAATGAGCCTGTTGTCAGTGTTTGTCTGCCTCGTCCTCCCTGCTGTGATCTGAACTGCTGGCCCTGCAGTGACACCCAGCAAACTGAAAACCCATCTGACAACAATAACAACTAGGACACACACTCCCAGCACTGCCTCGGCCTGTTTTTGTCCTACCCTGGCTGAGAGACACATTAGTACTCCCTTTCACAGTGCTCAGTGAAATCTGTGACTTTTGGTTCAGTGAGGATGAACATGTACAACAAAGCATGAGGGGCCTGTAAAGAGGTTTTCATGTGGTCAGGGGTCCATCTGTGGTCAGCTGTTACCTCAAATAAAGCCAAAGAAAACACATCAACCTTCAGTCATCACAGTGCAGCCCACAGCAGCTTTCTCTTTCTGTCACATCCACGCTGAGTGATCGTCAACATGCTGACCACATGGCCTCAGGTGAGAAGAAAAACAACTTTTTCACTTCACTGTGTGTGCTTTAAAACCTCTCTTTTGAAACCTCTCTTTTCTAAATAAGACATGTCTAAGGCACAATCCGTCTCAAAAATCTGTCAGCTGAATTGGATTTGGCTGTTCAATACAAAGACTTGTCTCCTGGTTCCTTTTTTCAACTTTAGTACCACCCAAAATTCTTATATCAGCCTACACGGGCCTCAAGTTTGTACTGCAAGATCCATTTTTACTCGAAGGTCACATGTTTTCCTGTTGGCTGGGCATTAAAACTTTTCCAGCTGTCAACTTCCTTAAAGCCAAAATCATGTCAAATTCATTAAACCAGCTGAGCAGCTTAGAACAACCTAGTGGCAGCTCAGCTTGCAGCCCTGATTTCATAAGCTCATCAGAGAGACCGAACCCTCAAACAAGCTGCTTTTTAGAAGAACGCAGAGTAACTTTAAACTTCTCTGCAGCTCAGCACACAGCCTTGATTACAAAATATGACAAAACCTTAAACCAAATTGGAAGCAGCTCAGTTCACAGCCCTAATGTGAAAATGCAGTGGAAGTGTCACTGAATAAAAATGAAATTCATCTTCTGAGGACTCTATAGCAAGACTTATTATTTCTTTTTATTATTTAAAAACAAGCTGAGCACTTAGAGGCAAGCTAGTAGCAGCTCAGCTTGTAGCCCCTCCTTTTAGAGATATGCAGGATTCTTGCGTAACTTCGCTTTATTCAGAGTTTTTATCACCTGGTCTTTTTGCTCATGGGAGAACAAAATCTCTTCTTTCTGCAACACCTTGTTAACGACTGACAAAAACACAGCAGGGTTATTTTGAGACTTAGTTTGTCAAGTTTAAATACCATGTTTAGGGCTGTCCTGATACGATATTGATAACGGATATCGGTCTGATATCAGCCAAAAAACAAATAACGGATTATATCAGCCTGCATTTAAAATCTCTGATATTAGCACTCTGATGCAAGCAGTCCATTCCAGACTCCAGTCTGGTATGCAGAGCCCACGTGATCACAACAACATTGTGTACTAAGGTACAAACAAAGTAGCAAGAAGCAGGAGTAATGTCAGCTGTGTGGCTGTATTTTTCGTTAAAGTCTGAAAAAGACATTGCAGCTGAGTGCCAAACTTGCCACGCACAGGTTTGTGCTAATATCAGATCAATATCAGTATCAGCTGATACTGAAGGCTACAGTATCGATATCGTATTGGAAGTAAAAAAAAGTTGTATCGGGACACCACTAACCACACTGTTGCTTTGGCATTGCTTTGTGCATAAAACTGCAGCCCATACAAAAACTGAAATCAAAGTGCAAATTTGAACAAATAAAATACCACTTAAACTGAGTTCCTACAGTCTGAATATCTGGCAGGTCAACTTTTAGGTGGCTGCCCTGTGGTAGATTATTTTTCAAGGCCTCCTCCTGTGATCCTTCCAGGTGATGTGAAATGAAACACTGGTTTTATCTGCACCCTGTCAAAGCCTATCAATCTCTCTTCCTCTTCTTCATCAACAGCAGGATCATCCCTCAATAACCTCACCCACAGCCATCAGCCCTGCCAGCAGGCCTGCAGGCCAGGAGCAGAAGAGGGGGGGATGAAATGAAGACCTGAATCCTCAGACTGCCTCTGCCTTGTAATTTACTCTGCATTGGCCCAGACAGGAGCCAAACCCCTCACACCCACGCTCACACACCTACAATTTGCCAGCAGCCTGGGAAAACACAGATGTCCATCATTAGGTCACACTTAGATAAGAAAAGAAGACACAGAAGAGGAAAACAGGTGAGCCGGAGTTCAGTTTTTTCAAATTAAGACATATTTAAGTGACCAGGAAAAACACCAGGGCTGATTTTCTTTTTACACATTTTAGGTATGAACTGTTTATTAGAAAGGTCTAAAAAAATCCTTGTCTTTGACCTTACGCAGTCCAGCTTGTTCTACTGAGGCAGAGCTCACTGTTAAAGAGTGAGATGCCCTACCTTAAACAGGAGCAGCTGTGCAATGTTCTCCTCGTGGCCACCAGACTATTGAGAAAAGGTCATTTTATCTGACAGGATTTACAATCGAAGCTGTGTTAGTTAGCAAGTTTTCAGCATTACTGCATCATAAAAACATTTTTGAGGACACTTAAAACAACAAAGGGGACAATACAGGGATAAAAAACCAACTCTTGTGTCCTTCAAGATAAAATACAGATTTCATTAATGGGGTATGATGATGAGAGCAACACTGCACCTGCTGAAGCTAAATTTAACAGAAAATAATGAAACTAGTCTGCTTTTAAATGGTATTCAAAAACTCCAACATGGCTCTCTAGTTGAGTTGAAAGTAAAATAAACATCATGTGACCACCAAAGTACTTCAAGTTTGAGCAACCACCTATGAGTTAAGCACATAGATGCAGGTAATCAGGCCATTTTCATGGCTTGGATGCAAGTGACATCTTCGGGCTGGCATCTCAGCAAACAGGACAGAGAAACAGAGAGGTAATTAAACTGAAACTCCCAAAAAGTGCAAATGCTGATGCAGTAAACGGGGATCACTGTAAAAAGTTAGTTGTGGTGAAAGTGCTAGAAACTGCAGTTCTCTGAGTCCCCATTTGAGGCTTGCTACAGAAGCACTAAAAAACAAACAAAAACAGAAAAACCTCACGCTTTTCAAGTTGAAGGAACAGTGAGATGTTTTGCCATGGAAGCTCTCAAGTCTGCACAAAACTTTCTTGCTGGAATGAAAACACAGAAACAACTGCATGTCAAAGCGTCTCTGTTCACACTCTGCAACTCATTTTCAACGAACCGAGCAAGACAAGCCAGCAAAAAGCTTCCATACCAGCCAAGAAGCACAGAACTTCCAACGATTACATCTTGTGACAGCACTCAAACACAGTGCAGACATGTTTGTGGTTAGAGATCAGAGGCTGTGCATGCAGAGTAGAATGAAATTTGAGGTTACAGGAAGCTCGCTAAAAGGCTGAGTAAATGGTAGAGTACCTGAGGATGAGAGTGTAAAGCAGCATCCTAACGTCATGGTGCAACTGCATGGTATTTACTCGGATTTCATATTGAAGTAATCTGTCCCACTGTCACCTCATGTCCCTCGTCCTCACAGCAGCGTCCCCGGGCGGCTCTGCTGCCACACTGACCTACAACTCTGCTGCAACATCTGCTCCTCCTCCTCCTCCTCCTCCTCTCATGTTCCCCCTCTCCCACCCAGCTCCGGGTGCAGATGGTCCGGCCATCACTCCGACTTGGTTGACCACTAATCTGTTTATGGTCTGCTTCTACAGGAGAGCAGCAGTGTTAATCTGAACCGCTGAAACAACACTGACCCTTTAACTCACAATGTATGAGCATGGAGGGTGCAGAGGAATGCCAAAAGGATGCAAAGTACTGAGGACACTTCAGACTGTAACTTTAATATAGCAGGATAAAAGCACAAAGTTGTTACTGTCATGCAATTTTGGATAAAACTCAATATTTCTTTAAATCTCAAACCTACTTTGGCGCTCTATATCATATAAAAGCTGGAAAAAGTGTGCTGTAGAGTAAAGCTGCACATTAAATCTAACTTAATTGTACTTAGACCAAAACAAAAGCTGCTCACCGGATTCTGCAGAAAAATAATACACAAACAAATGCACATCAAGTCACTCACAGAAGTATCCGCATCCGTCCTCTTGCAAGGAATCCGATGTACATTTTTTCTCTCTGTCGCTGCAGATCAACTAGAAAAACAAACCCTGCGATGCTGATGTCCATTCGCTGGAGAAAGTCTCCTCTGAGGTCTCTGACACAAAGAGTCGAGTCCTGATGCCAGCCGGCACAGAATAATACTGTCTCTCTGATAATCCGCTCTGAGCCCACATCCTCCCAGCTGATGGTGATCTCTCTGCCGCTGACCCACTGCAGCAGGTGGAGCAGAAAACTGTTTTTATTTATTTGAATTAAAGGTTGAAGCCTGAAGACCTGCTGTGTGGATCTGCTGAAGGACGCAAGGTGTGCAACAACTGCAACAACTTTGCTGGGGATGAAAGTTGCTGAAATAATCACAGTGTGGGATTCAGCTCTGATGTTGTCTTCACTCAAATCATTTATTTTTGTTTTTGCTGACAAAAAAAAATGACATGACATGCAAAGGTTTTATCCTCTCAAGCAGCGGCCCTCAAGTAGATTGAGTCTTTTTAATCAGGAGGAGAGCAGCATCCATTTATATTAAAGAAGACAAGAGGCAAATCCTCACATCTAAGAGGGTATCAAGAAGAAACATTTGGTATGTTCGCTTCATAAAAGGCATAAAAGCTCTCTTTATGGCTTCACCAATGAAACATGTTGACAAAACATCCTGACTTTAAATGCAAAGAGCTGCAACTTATAAACCTCAAGATAATGCTTGAAAGTCTTTAAATGCTGAACAAGAAGGGGAGATGAGGCATTTTTCATTCCCATCTGCTTCTCACCAAGTTGTGGGTAATGACAGCACAACTATCTCACACAAAACCCTGAGAATAAACCTCTGTGGTCACTGATCTGAGCTCAGAGATGATGATGACAACAGAGGAAGAAAACAAGAGAAAAGTGATAGATGAAAGTAAACCTCAGACGGGCTCAGTGTTTGTTGGCTGTTCTGGTTCGATTCAGCAGAGATGTCAAGTTGAAAAACTCAACTTTTTGCACACTTCTGTTTTAAGTCTCTAAATGGATAACTAAAGATACATCCATACCGTTTGAATGTGCATACAGGAAGGCCTGCCTGTAAGGAGCTGCAGTTGTTGATAGGTAATAATACAAGAGCTTAGACCAGTAGTGGTGTTGCATAGGACTGTCCTAGTGAGGAGATTGAGGGTAGCTCGATACTGGGGTATGTGGTATAATTGCACAGGTCCATAAATATATCTGCCAACAGTTAATTATTGGTTTTACTTTTTTATTACTTGGTTTTTATTTTACTTGGTTTAATTTGATTCTGATTCACTATCTACATGCCTTTTTCGTGGAGACACTGAAAACTCTCCCTCCAGTAAATATGCACTTTCAGGCATGCAAACCCAGATGAATGACTGGAAATAGCTCAAGTATGCAATCAAAGTGCAACAAAGTCGAACTTTTTCCTGCTCTGTGTCTATAAACTGCATATTTATCCCACCACACCTCTCCAAACTCACCCCACCTGGAGCTTTGATGTGGAGGAGCAGGTGGGCCCTGTGACCCCTGAGAGGAATGAGATGCTGGGAGGAAGGAGGGGCTGCAGGCGGCTAAATGAGCCATTGTTTCAGCCTGATGCTGCTGAGCTGTAATCAAACCTCTGCTCTGCTTCCTGAAGTGATTTAACTGTCCCTCAACAGTGGACAAGTCATTACAGAGAGATGAAATACACCCCACTTTGTTTATAGGCTCATAAGTTTTCCTTTTTGATTTATTTTTTATTTCCACACGGTGAAACTTATGAGCAAGGACGACTTCAGCACAGCAGGAAAAGTAACACAGGTGTGTGAAACTGCTCTGGTTTCATCGCTGAGCTCCAAACTCGGCCTCTTTTCTTGGCTTTGGGTCACAGCTTCAGCTCAAGCTGGCAGAGAAACAAGCCCACACACGAAAAACTCGTCTGCTGCTGAAACAACTGGAGCTTCAGGAGACTTTTCTCTAAGCTCAGTTTTTTGGACCAGAGCCTGAAACCGCAGAAACGTCTGCAAGCCTGGAGGTACAAAGAGGGCGGAAATGAAGATGAGGAGAGGGAATCCCATCAGATATCACAGTTTCCATTAGGAGAGATAGAGAAGATTAGTTCCTAATAAACAATACATTTGGCTTGGTGTCGTATGGAAGCCCAGAAGCGACATAACAAAAAACTGTGGATCTGTTTTCATGAGTGTGTTGTCGATTTTTACAGCCTCAGCTTTGTTTTATGCTGACATACTCTTACTTAGGAACTTTATTTTGTCTAAAAATGGTAGAAAATTATTTACAAGGAGAAAAAGAAAATGATATTTGATTAAATCTCAAACTATTTGTTATTACTGATTACAAACAGATAAAAAAAGAGCTGAAGCTGGTGATAAAGAGGCTGGACAGTGTCAACCTTCAACTAAGTACACTCATTTTCTGTGTTTGTTGATGTAATACTCAGTTTGTCCACTAGAGGCAGAGGTGCACCACAACTGCATGTTTTAATCAGGACCTAAAGAATCAACTTTTTCCTTTCAGGCCGATTATTATCCACCTGTTTATTAGGGGCATCAAGTTATTAAACATAATTCTTATTTATGTCCTTCTCTTTGCTAACCTAAAAGAAAAACCCTCTGTGTTTCATGACACAAGAACATAAATTACTCACCAGGTTGTTGAAATTAGACATCTTCTTGCTTCAAGAGCCTTTAAATAAAGTACCCTTTTTCTAATTGTGTTGCGACAAGCAACTCAGGTCTTATTTAAAGCATGTGATATCTTGAAATAAGACCTGAGTTCTGAACTTGTGGCTCAAATTTAATATGATGAGATGCTTTTACTTGAAATAAGACAAAACTGATAGACTATGTGGTTTTAAAAGATAATTCCAGCCCCAGTATCTTGTGGTGTTTACCTCTCATTATGATGATTATTCCAACAGATGCCTTTTTGTTTTTTTGCATTAAGTCATAAATACAGGATAAAACTATTAAAACTCTACAAACAAACTTTACTCCTGCAACATTTTGACTTTTTTTCCCTCAGGGCTTCCGTACAATCCAGACATACAGCACTACATCTGAATCCAAACAAAGAAACATATAAACACGTGGACCTTCATGCTGGTAGCTCTGCCAGCCCAACTACATTTCAACAGGAGAAAAAAATCTAATCACTCACATCTTTCAGCTCAAAGCTTTTCTCCTGTGACAGGGTTCCCGACAGAGCTCTAAAGTTTCTGCTGTTTATCTGATTCATAAACACACACATGGTGCTGAAACAACTTAGACTTATTTTGGACAATATCAGAAACATGCTGCCGCTGCACGGGAGACGCTGAAATCCTCCTGAAGACGCAGAAGACGAGCGCTGTAATCAAACTGAGGCCTGTTTTCTCAGCTGCTTCTGATTACCATCTACAAAGTCACACCGCGGGCTGCGGTGGCTTTGAAATACTTTCCATTTTGAAACCTCCAGAATGTTTCATACTGCTGGGTGGACACACTAGCAGACAGGCAGAGAGAGAGAGAAAGAGAGAAGGAGCAGAAGTTTGGAAGTTTGAGGAAAGCGGGAGGACGTGTTAAGTGTTGGTGAAAATGTCTGACATGCTCGGAAACATTTCCTTCATAAAGTTTTTACTGCAAATGGGACATTCATAAGAGTCTGTGGTGTGTTTTACTGAACGGCTCATGTGCAAGGAATATCATTACAGCGTCTTGACCAGCTTTATGTGACATTTGCATCAAGTTTTGCACATTTCATGGGAAAGATAAGTATGTACAGTACAATAAAGAAGAGAGAGTGGTCTGGAACTACATGCAAAACATATTTTAAACTGCATTTATTACTATATGTACATGATCAATATAAATCAATGCCTGCAAAAAAGTGACAGTAAAAGAACAGAGACAAAAAAAATACAATCCTGTTTTTCTGCAGCTTCCTTAAGAGCCTTTTATACAGTGATGTAGAGATGATTTGCTTAGACCAAAACCATCTTAATGAGCAGACACGTGACACAAATGCTCAAAGGATGCAAGACTGAAAGAAAGGCAAGAGTCCTAAACAAAAACAACAACAGAAATGCACGGAAAATGAAAAAAAATGTATAGCTGAAAACCGAAAGAAGGGGCTGCAAATACACAAATCATGCAAAGTAATAAACACATAAAATCAGACATTCACTGCAAGATATAACTGCTGCCGATCAAGACTTTTTAATAGACCTAACAGGGGTCTTTGATTTACTCCCCACCTTAAAATACACACTGAACCACAGACTAAAAATCAAACTTCAGCTGTAGAAATGAACAGTAACTGTGAAAACTTTCCTCCTTGGTGGCATTCACAAAAATATGAGATGCTAGTGACCCTGAAACATGTTTTCTGAAACAAAGGTGTGTGGACAAAGCAGTAACCTTAAAGGTAAAACCATGATAGTCGCAGGTTAAGTTACCTGCAGTGACCTAATCAGAGCTCCTTTGATTCTCCTAGATTAGGGTTGAAAACAGTTTCTGAGAAGGACACTTGACATATAAGGCCACTGTAAGGTTTTTTTTTTGTTAGAGATAAAATGAAATTAATACTGGTGCCTCTTTATGACCTTTAAAGGTAAAGCAGACTATCAGAGATAGGACTGAATGTTTCTGTTTTCTTAAATCTGTGGAGAGTTAGACAATTCACAGCATGTTGGAGAAAGCCCTCCTCTTAAATCCTGTTCCTGTGCTTGTTTAGGCACATTTGTAAACACCTATTCTCCCTAATGTCAATGTCAAACATTTAACCAACTAAATCTTTGGCATAGAAAATGCAAAAACAAGACTGTTCAGTCAGCTTACTGCTAATCACCTCATCTGACACCAACCTTTTACAGGAAAAACAGGCATTAAAATCACCGCATAGACAATCAATAATGTCACTGACAACATCAGTTTAAAATCAGTCTGTTTTATACTCAGCCAAAATCCTCACATATGGTTTAAATCTATAATAAATACTCACTAATCAAATTTGTATGATCGACTGTTGTAACTGAATAGATGACAGCAGTGAAGCAGAGCAGTCCTGATCAGCCTTATTCAGGAAGGGCTGACTCATCCTTTCACTTGTGCAACAGCATCGTGATATCAATCATTTGTCACATTTAACACTCAAACGGGACAAGTGGGAGTTTCCTCTGTGACCTCCAGTTTATCGTAATTAAATCTTAATCTACATTTATGAACCCGAGTGGAAAACTATGATGAAATCTCCTTGTTGACAGTCAGCAGCTCCACCCTGATCAAACCCACCTCCCTCCCTGCTTATATGTGTGCTGTCACTCCGTCCACTCTACAACCTGACCTCTCGTTCACTCTCTGTGTCTCACACTTGCTGAGTAATCAAAAGGCAAAGTGGCACATGACAAACCCTGAACAAGAGCACTGAGCTCCCAGCATTTCACGTCGGAGTCCTTTACGTGCTCACTCAGCGGGGTCAGCACGGGGCAGGGTCTGCATTCAGCAGCTTTTTACCTCCTGACCTGCAGACGCCTCATTATGAGGTCTGCACACAGAGTTAACACAGAGCTCGGGATATTTATTCACTCCACCCAACCTCTGATCCCTCACAGAGTCCAAAATACACACAGTTTGAGTAAGAGTCAAACATGTAACATGCTTTAGCTGTCTTTTGCTAACAGTTCAAGAGGAAAAAAAAAACACATTTGTTGGCTATTACTGCTGTGGGAAAAGTGCTTGAGACAACCATCGATGCTCAGCACCTGCTCCATTAGTGCATGTCCTTAAAACCCTTATCGTGCACAGGCAACCTACGTGCATACACAAAAACTGAAAAAAGTCTTTCAGAACAAAAAAAAAAATCTGATAGAAAAAAGAAAAAAATGTGAAAAAATATGAGACCAGTCCTCATAAGAACACCTAAATTCCTTCACCCTTTAAACCAGCATGAAGTGTGTTTTACAGCTCTGCCCCTCGCTATATGTAGGAGGCTTTGGCACGCCTTCCTCATAGCACATCATTTTACGGTCTTTGAGGTCACAGCTGACTCCTATTGGGCTGTAATGGCCCTCCTGCTGAGCTTGGCCCGGGTCCCTGCTTTCTCTACACCTTTGAAGTGATCACCCTCGCTCCGCCCTGCCTCACACAGGAGGAAGGGGTGTGTCTGACTGCTCCAAAAGCTCTCTGGGTTTCCTTACCCTGCAGGTACACCTGGCCTATTAGTCTAACGAATGAAGAGGAGTGACCTTTGACCTCATGCTTTTGTTCTGTCTGTGCTCCCGAGGTGGGAACTCTGAGTAAGGTGCAAAAAAGAGAGAGAGAGATCTCTTGGCCGTCCTGAGAGTAAGAGCGCTGTAAACCACGGAGAAAAACCTCGAAGTCAGAACAAGAGGAGGGGAAATGTGAGCTCAGTCAGCTCTGTCAACATGAGCCCAGGGCTTACGGGAATTTTTCTGCATTTAAAAAGGTGAAACAAAAGAGTTTTTCTGTGTGGTCAGACAGGATGAGCAGCCCAGGTCTGATTAGACTTTTTCTATGAGAGCAAAAGCCAAGAAAAACAAGAGAAGAAGAGGAGGGGGGATTAAACTTTCATCAGCGTGTTTCTCCGCCAGACCTGCACGCTTCACTGAGCTTTTGTTCCTGCATGTCACTCATCTCTCAAAGAGTGTATCATGCAGGCTCCACACTGTACATGTTAAGTAAGTTCAAAACAACACCATGTGCATGACATGGCAAAGTCACGTCATCTCAGTTTACATCTGTTCTTTCAGCGTATTGATAATGAAGCATATTGTGAGCAGATTAAGATCTATCTAAATGCATTATTCTGACAAGGTTGACCAGAAAAAATCTACAACAGATATTTGGCAAAACTACATGCTGAAACTAGGAAATGGTGATATTTGTCATCAGCAGTTATATCAATGTAGCATTATTGCCTCTAAACAAAACCACAACAGACCAATCAGGAAGTTTTATCAGAAGTTTAATCCTCCACAGAGGTTTCCTCCTCTCCAAAAACAAACTGACCAGACTACTTAAACTGGCCATAACACAGCATACTGTAATTTCAGGTCAAGTAAGTCATCCTCTGTGACCAAAGACATCTGGCAGGGGTTGTGAGCTGAGCTGCCATAAGCTTGTTCATTAAAAATGTTAACTAGTGATTCAAACACATGCTGGAAATGTCTTCACTACTGTCATTTCACTGCAGGGTTTCAGAGGGCTGTGAACCGAGCTGCTGCTTTCACACCTCAGATGATGGAAAGGAAAGTATATAATGTTAAGCTCACAGCAGTAATCAAACACTGCAATAAGTGTCTCAAATTCTGTTACTGTTGTGGGGTATCAGGGGGCTGTGAGCTGAGAAACTGCAATCATAAAGATCTGTTCTTACGCTCACTCAGACTCCTTTATTGATTACACAACAGAGTAAAAGTAATCTGTTGATAACATTTTGTTGTCTGGATGAAAGCAGGTGATCCTAAAATCTCTGAAAAATGTGAGTGAAATATGTCACTCAACTGTGTGGTTTAAGGGGGCTGAGAGCCGAGCTGCTGCTGTCACACCTCAAATGATGGAAAATAATGTATATAATGTTTAGCTCACAGCAGTAATCAAACACTGCAATAAGTGTCTCAAATTCTGTTACTGTTGGTATCAGGGGGCTGTGAGCTGAGAAACTGCTATCATAGCTCTGTCAACTGAAGATCTGCTCTTACATTTACTCAGACTCGTTTACTAATTACTCAACAGAGTAAAAGTCATCTGTTGATAACATTTGATGTTCGACTGAAAGCAGGTGATCCTAAAATCTCTGAAAATGTGAGTGAAATATGTCTTTCAAGTATGTGGTTTAAGGGGGCTGAGAGCCGAGCTGCTGCTATCATAGCTTGGCTTACTTTAAGTTCTGTGCTACACAATAACTCAAGTTGTTTCCTGATTACATGAGAGAGTCAAACTAAAATGGGGAAAGTAATCTGATGGGAATATGAGTCTGGCTAATCAGGGGATCATAAAAACCCTGAAACCTGAGTCTTTTAGGTACATAATGAGACTCGTGTAAGCTGATAAAGGAGTTTGATATGGATCTTAACAAAAGAAACAACAATTATTTTTGCCTCTTTGAACAAAAAAGCCAGATCTGATAAATTGTGGTCGAACAGCAGATGATCTGACTTGTTGGTTTTGGGAAAGTAAAGGTGTTTCAGGTTATGCAACTCTATTCTTTTTAAAGGTCTCAATGAGGCAAAACAGTGTGATGTTGTACCAGCATGTGCAGCCTCTACGCTGCATTGCAATGAATATTCATCACTCACATCCAAAACATGTTTTTGTTTTGGATCAGTGATAACAGCAGATCACACTAATACAAGAAAATGTGTTTCTGGTAAAATAGAGGTGGAGTAATGGGAGCATGCTTAGACAAACACATTAAAACTGGCTGACTGGCTGACCAAGCATGTGTTGTAACAGTGTTGTAAAGTCTGAGGGCCCAAACAACACAACAACCCACTGAGGCACACCCACCACATTGTGCGTGCCATCATCAGCCTCATAAACAAAAACCTACAAGAGAGGAACGTCCAGCTTTTAGTGCGGGTGCTCATTCATCAACTTGTTATTCAGTCTGTGACAGGCTGAGGGGTCAGAGATCAACAGCATGTATGGCATGCCGGTCCCGGGTCACAAACAGAGCCTCAGAGGTTACAGAAACAGTGAACCATACGTGTAAAGTGAGTGTGAAAGTGTAGGTGGACAAAAACCTCACACACTTTCAACACAAAGGCTGTGTAACCTGAAGGTGCTGCAGAATATTCAGACTGTTATATAAGAGTCTGAGCAGCTTAATCACTGATGGTTTTCTGCTCACTGTTTCCTGTGTAAACACTGGACCGTGTGAGCTCAGACTCTGGTTTCACTGGTTTACTGGCATCAGTCAGCGCTCAGATGGAGCACAATAAGCAGAATAGACAGACTGTGGAGGGAGAGAAACACAACGAGGGGAAAAAGGAAACCCAAAAACGCAGACACGGGGGAAGGTGTGGTTTGGAAAGATACAACCAAGGCAGGATTTACGCTGGACGACTGCAATGGAAACCTCTCCTTAACTCCACATATGGTCAGACTGAGGTCGGTTTCACAGGGCAGTGACCTGAGTGTGTCTGTGGGAAAGTCATTATGAGGGAGTGGCACCGGGCTGAGCCGAGCCGAGCTGAGCTTTGGCCATCTCTCACACATCTTTGTCTGATGGGATTCAGCTCAGAGAGAATAAACTGAAGGCCTGGCTGCTTTAACACAAACCCAGAGCTGGCAGGACGGATGGATACACAGAGAGCAAACCCAGCAGCTCTTTGAGTGGGAACAATGGAGAGGATCAGACCATACAGCAGCTCCTGGTGGCTTTCAGCACCACACCCTGAAAAATATCATCCAAACAAACTCTCCATGAGGTGTTTGGCATCATTACTGGACAGAGTTAGGTCTGTAACTGACTCAGGATCTGGTTATTTTGAACAAAGCTTAGACTATTCTGTCCTATTTTTGGTCCAGAATACCCCACCAAGCTTGAATCTCAGCCTGAGTTTGAAAACGTCAGCAGCTAGCCAGTTACAAGACATTTCCATCACCTCAGTGTCCTTAAATGTTATAATCTCACCTCTAGTGAGCTAGAGTTATCTGCAACCCGAAAAACCCAGCTAAGGAGCTACAAGGAAGAACTGAGATTCAATCACTGCTTCATTCATTGGACGGTCCCATCAAATGGTCCTAAATACACTGTCTAAAGTGCACAATGATTTGAGGTGTGCCAGACCACATTTTGCTAGTTAAACGGCGCACAATCTGGGCATTGAGTGAGGGGCAGGCTGCATCAGGTTAAATTAAAGAAAACACACACAGGTCTCTGTTTGCACTTTTTCAACAGATGGATTGACAATTATGGCCACTGATGACCTTAAAGCAAGCTGAGCATGTACTAACAAGCCAGTTGCAGCTCAGCTCGCAGCCCTCAGGTTTGTTTGTTTTTAAGAACGGAAGACCTCTTCACTCAGGAAACACCTGGAGGGTCATTTTCGACTCAGTTTGTCTAGTTTCAAGCCTGCCACTCTGCTACTTCTGTCACGTGAACAGCAAAACAACTAAAAAGATGACTGTGGAGATTGAACAGGCAAAATAAAAGTTAGTTTTGCATTTTTTCGGTTTGAAAGGGAAACTTCACTGAATGTTATATTGAGGTCCTCCTGAAGCCACTGTGGGTACACAATCACCAGGATACATCAGCTAGATCAATGTGATCCCAGGACCCCCTGTGAGTACTCCACATCAATCTTTTTTTTTTGTTAGCGTGAATCAGCACAACACTGGGACACAAATATTCAAGCATACACAGTTGGAGATAAATCTGCTCAAGTGGTGACCTGCTGTGAAACTGCCAGCATGTGTGTGTGTAAGAACCAGTGTGTCTGTGAACAGAGAGGTGTGTGTTTGCTCGTTAGCACAGTGGTGTAGAGAGCATCAATAAGCTTGGGTGTAGAAGCTGAGGGATTCACTGCTGTGCTGTCAGCGCCATGCTGACTGCTCCACCAGCAAATGACAAAAAGGACACTATTGTGATTTTTATTTAAAAACTCAGCGTCTCCATGGAAATGGACACATATGCACAGAGACATGCATTCAGGAGCGACTGTGCTCCTCACAGCTCATTGTACCTCAGCTGTGGGGAGAAAGTCTGGTCCAGCAGTGCACCTCAATACTCTGCAGAAGTTTGTCTGAGTGACTCTGGGAAAACTGGCTACCTAAAAATACTGTTATTACTTCAATTCACTGACACAGATTGGTTCCAGATGTAGCCCAAATATAAAATCAACTGGTACTTACCTATTGATCGTCAGCAGGAAGTCAGAGCGGACATGGAAGAGAAAGAAAGTAAACATATTATTAGTCAATTTGCAGCGGGATATCAGAAAAACATCTTGTTTGAATTCAATACTGTTTATTTTTTTAAATGAAGAGCACAAAAAATGTTGGAGAGCTGCCCTTAGTTTCCCCCATTTCATCAAGTAATAGAGCTTAACCTATATGTACTGTGGCCCTGAGGGTGAACTGCACAAACTTTCATGAACAAAAAGAACACCAAAGTTATTCCATATTCAAATACATTTTATGAAACATAAAAATAATCCCGACAAAGTCATGTAAACCACAGCATTTTATTGTGACGTTTCACTGCAGGCGTGTTGAAAAGCTGAGAATAAAGGGAGCTCAACAAGGATAAATGTCAGCATAGATATGTCATCGTAACTCAATCTAGTCATCTTTAAATCAATATTTTGTGTCAGCTTTTTTGTTCCTTCAGCTGGAAGTTCAACATTTCATAGTGAATGGGTGGTAATGCAAATTAGAGGCAGAGGACTGTACAGGGGCTGTAATTTGAATAGCCACCTTTTCACTATATATTATGCTTTACATGTAATTTTCAGCTACATGAGCTGCAGACAGAACTTTAAGTGGTGTAAACTGAGGACTTTTATCCTGATATATGTAGGAGAGACTAGCTTATGCTAGCTCATGTAATATATTTTTTGGACTCTACTGAGAGTCATTTTTCTTGACTGCTTCTAAAAACCCTTATCACCCCCTCTGTCCTAAACAGGAACTAAACTTCCTCACATCACTCTTATCTCTCCATGTGGGCTCCCTGGAGAGTTTCTCTTTGGCATGACTTTACTGATGCCAGACTCCGGCCTCTGTCAGTGCACGAGTCGACAGCCATGGTCTGAATGCGGCTCTATCCTGGGGGAGTTTGCTGAGATAAATAAAGAACGGTCCTGCCTGCGTAAGGGCTTAGAAAAGAAAGTAGGCTGACTCCTGCTGCCCCTGGAGGCCTCTCCTGTGTAAGTGCTTCATGAATGGCCGGCCTGAGGACTAGATGCCAATAAGCATTGAAATCATTCAGGTCTCTGCCCATTTCGCCAAGAGACACAGACTCAAAGAGCAAGTATTCTCAGTGGCTATGAAGCTAAGGAGCAGGGATGCCCTCTGGATTCAGTATTAAGTCTGTAACAGTTGTCATTTTCTGACACTGTTTCTGCCATTTATGTGTATCTCTGCCTCTCTGCTCTGCTGTACCCACCACTAAATTGCAGTAGCCGCAGTTTGTAATGATGGGTCCTCTTGTTATGTCATGATGTAAAATTAGTGGGTGCAGCAGGCAGCCAATGACATGGCATCCATGACACACTCGGTTGGGTATGTGGTGACAGTTTTACGCAAGTCAGAGCCCGCAGGAAAGTAGGCCAATCTTCTCTGCCTGACATGGAGGCAGTAAAAATCTACACAGTTCCTCTGAGTGTGCTGATGTACAGGAAGGAATACTTGACTGATGAGAGGGGTCGGTGGTTTGACAAGTCTGATTTCAACACAAACACAGGAAAGAGAAAGAGAGCAATTTTGTTTATTCAACTAATCAAGTTGAATATTTACTAAACTCCTCTGAGCTCAAACAGTAGATTTATGACTCAAATCCATGGCTGAATTTTGAAAACTTATATCCTAATATCACAGAGAGGGAGTCAAAGGCAGACATCTCAAAGGTATCAAATGAAATCCATCTCTGAAACATTCAAGCTTTTGTGGTGCTTTTTACAGCTCTGAATCAAGCTGATGTTTCATGGTTTCATCAAAAAATTTTCATCAAAAAAAAATTTTCCCGAATAAAAATTGACCTGTCTAAATTCACACATGCAGCAAAAAGCAAAAAAATCATACATACAGATTTGTCAACTAAAGAAGACTCTCAGGACAGTTCCAAGTGTGAACCCGACAACTGACTCTGTTCAGCTGGATTTCATGCAGACCATGTCCTGCAACCTCCTTTGTAATCAGTCTGGGTAAAGTCAGATTGATTCATTGTGTAAAATAAAAATGTGAATCTAAAACTGGTGACAATTAGATTATTTGGCTTTACGCTTAAAGCTTCTGTGAGTTTGTGTCAACTTTGGCTCCCCCTATGGACAAAGCAGTCTTTGCTTGGCTTGTTCATGAAAAATCTTGTCCTGCTGGATTTTTTTGTGGCATTAAAAATTACAGTATAAAAGTAATCAATCTTGTTGCGGGTGGTTTTGTTTGCTTGTTTGCTATGATGAGCTGATATGTTAAGGTTCAATCAGAAGCCAAACCTTCTTGTCTCAGTAGAGAAAGATCAGGAACATTCATGGTAAGTGAGTGGGTGGGGTGATGTTCATGTTCAGCAGAGTTTCTCTTCACTTTCTTTTCTGCTAAGCTTTGGTTGTTGAGCTGTGCTGTGTTTTCTACTGTTGTTTTTGTGTCGTGGAAACTTTTCTATAAATGTTGTGGTGATTGAAACCCAGAAACAGGGACTTTTGAAAGGACCTCCTCCTCCATGTTCTGTCGGTCCTTAAATAAACAGATGCTCTGCCAAGAGGCGTCAGAGGGAGACAGATTTTTAGGGTGAAAGCGCTTTAATCAGTGGTATTCAGACTTAGTGGTTTGAATCGCAGAGTCCATTTGTTAAAGGGAAGAAAAACCTCTGAGGAAGGTCCAGCTTCAAGGGGAAAAATAACAAACATGGACTGGTATTTGGGCTTTTGATTTTTTAAGTTTATAGCCTGACATGCCGTGGCTCTGAGGTGATCTGTTTCACTTCTCTGCAGCAAGAAAGTGTCCTACGTAAAGAGACAGAAGTAAGTAACAAACAAATAAAAAAGCCTCTCTTGCTCAGGAGTCATGCACCTTGCTTCTACATGTAAAAAAATGCATATCCTGTCAGCTTCTAAACCATGACTGGACATCTGCTGTTTAGGATATATTACAAAAATACTTCCTAAATACAGACGCCAAAAATATTTCTTTAAAAAATATGGTATAGCCAAGACAAAAATAGAAATCAAACTGCTGTGAAATTTTTCTTTCAGGGAAAAAAAACCCTGAGAGATTGATGTGAATGAAAATACCTCAGGATCAGTATAAAAGTCAAGCTGAGTGACATAAGAAAACAGACCGCTTACCAAAGCAAACGCGGAGAAACAGGCACACGTAATTTAAAAGCACTTTATAAAACCTCCAGGCTGCTCACCTGACAGCGTCATCAGAGGAAATCAAACACACGGCCACAACACACCACTCACCCCGACCTGGGCTCAGATTACACTTTAGTCGTTTACTTTGTTCCTAACCACTTTACAAAGAAATCCACCTGCCAGAAAAACCACCATACAGCATGTTTTAACCCATCTTTGAAAGCTTACATAACCCCAGAGTAAACGGTCATGTCTTTATTTATTTGAACGTCAGAGGTTTCCCTTCTCTGTGCAGGGATTTGGGCGTGTGCTCTCCAGTCACTATGGGTGGCGGCACACATGGGACCACCGGCACAGCTGAGAGGGTAAACGGGGAAAAGTTATCTCCATGCAGTCAAGCTGTTTCTGATGGTGGCCAAACTCTAACAGATGGGTTTCCTCAGCAGATTGCACCACAAGAAGAGTCAAACAGAGGCTGAACCTGCAGTGAAAACCATCCAGACAAATTTTAACTTTACTCCAAAAACACAGTTAATGTCTACATCACATCTGCTCTGCAAAGTCAGCACAAATGTGAAGCTATTCAGTTACATTTTCCAAGTGAGGCCGAGCTGCTATCACTGACTCAAGAGTCTCTTACGTTCAGTTACTTTAGCCTCACGTTGACCAAAAACACAACCAAAACAAAAAAAAGTATAAAAAACACAACCAAAACAAAAAAAAGTATAAAAAACTCTATCTCAGGAAGAGAAGTGCTGTAATCATAACAAGCAAGTTCCCCTAAAGCACCTGTGGGAGCTGCAGCCAAGTAATAAAAACACACAAGCCCTTAAATCTACTCTGCATTGCTCCCAAGGTCCCAACCCCAACCGGCAAATCAGGGCTGAAAAATACAACATCTGTTTGCTGTGTGGAGCTGCTCTTGTGCCCAGAAAGGTTGGAATTTAACTTTACTGCTGCTGAAAGAAGAGGAGGATCCGCTCTGCAGCTGAACAAACAGCTTGCAGCGTATAGAAAGCAGAGACGGTGTGTCCGGTTGAGCCTTTGTGATGAGGTGAGCCTCGATCTGACCTTCAGTACATCAGAATGCCACAACACCTCAGTAATGCAACAATATGCTCTATTGTGCTCATAAAAGAATAAGATACATGATGTCAGGTTGGAGTAAGATACAATACACTGGGCACTGAGGTCTTGCACTCTTCCTTTAACAACATTATGTGAACGTTTGGGAGCGCAGGAGACCAGTTTCTAAGGTTTTGTCCCATTCTAGCCTAAAAAAGGATTTCAGCTGCTTTAAATGTCAGGGTCTAATCTTTTTCTGCCATGATGCACCAAACATTTTTGATGGCTGACAAGTCAGGACTGCAGGCAGGCCAGTTTATCAGCAGGACTCTTCTACTACAGAGCCATGCTGTTGTTGTAAATGCAGAATGTGGTTTGTCATGTCTTGATGAAATATAAAGGTCTTCACTGAAAAAGTCTTTGTCTGGATGGCAGCGAATGTTACTCCTAAACCTACTGTATATATATTCATATATAAACATATATATATATTGTTCAACTTTAATGAAGCCTAGATGTGTGACCTATACTATGCAATGTGCACTTTAACACCTACCTGGATGAAGGCTCTTTAATATTTCGTTTTACTCTCAATGTTTGATTTGTTGTCTTTGCACTATTTTCAACCCAAACATTCAGTTCAAATGAGCTGCAGATCATTAAAACCTGCTTTTACTAAGTGCTGCCACATTTTCACAACGCTTTTGGATTGTATTTGTTAAAAAACTTAAATTAAAGCTTTTAGGTTGACTGATGGCAGGCTGAGTTTGGTCTCAACTGAGGCATTGCTACATTGCCTTGCAACTTAAAAGTATTTTCAACTTATTTTAGCCTTAAGTTTATTCTAAACATGTGTTTTATCACGGTTAGCCAGAATGTTTTTCCTTACATCATGTCGGTCACCTCCCTTGGTCAGAAAATCTATGATCCCAGACTTATCCAGAAGAATCACATCCCTGCACACTTATTCAAGATGATAAATCATCTGATTTATCTCCCTGAGGTGCTCTGACAGATATAAAGGAGATATAATCAGAGAACAATGAAGTGTCTGTCTGTGAGGAACAGGAGTACAAGTTTGTGACACTGAGTAACTGCTTCATAAGCTCATGCAGGAATCTTCAGGATGATTGATACGATTATTTCAGGCCTTAAGGGACACGTTCAGGGCCACCAGCCAGCACAAGCCAAAGTTAACATCTCTCAATTGTATAAGAGGTTTAAACTCTGCACTGACTCCAATGAATCTACAAATCATATCTGTGGTGAAGCTTCTGTTGTCACCCGACCCTCTGCTGAAATTACAGGTTTGGGCTGCTGGCATTCCCACAGAGCTGCTGAGGCTGCAGAGTCAGAGTGACGCTGCCAGTCCACTCTGTCACAAACAACTGGGTATCCCTCCAACAGCCCCTGGCATGTGAGCAGCCCTGCCCGCCTGGATACCAGGAGTCATCCGGAAGCCTGAGATCTAAATCCTCCTGCAGCAGTGAACTCGATCTGAGCAGCTGCTTTGTGTTTTATTCAGAGAGAGGGTTAAGTTTCCAGAGGTGGTTATTCCCAGAGGAGTAGAGTTTCAGGAGGAGAAAGATGTTCCTCCCTTTTATGCCTCTGATAAACCTTTCTTCATCATATCAAATGTAAATTTGGCTAACGACATTTCTGTTTGCATGATTACAGCACGCTCGGTGACGGGCAGTATTAATGTGCAGAGTGAAAAGTCCTTCCTCATCAGCCTCCCTCTTTACGCCTCATTAACTACCCTAAACACTGTGATTGTAGAGTGTGACTTGTACTCAAATCCACGAGCTGAGTTTTAGAAACATTGGCAGAATAACTTTTAGATACTTTTCAGCCAAAATGTGGGCTTTCCATCGAGCAGTTACAGATCAAGTAAACATGCTGATTAGAAACTGCAACTTAACTGAAGTTCAGTTAGAAGCTGCAGCAACTAAACTTAACCTAAGATGGACTGTTCTGCTAATATGGTTGGTTTAAGGACTCATTTCTGGGTTTTCCCCCTTTCTTGCACAGGATAACTGGAGAGAAATGCATAAACATGAAAAAAAGAGAGTGGGGTAAACAAAGGCTGAGGCCAGGAGACAAACCAGTGGCCCCCACATCAAGAATTACACCTTTGATTCCTCTTTCACCTTATCTTGTCTCCATTATCTGGATTTTTTTCTGATGCTAGCAGAGAAATTAAACTGACATCAGCACTACTCTGATAAAATCTGGGAGCACAAGATATCACTTTCTTGAGGTTTAAAATATTGCCTTTGTTTGTCTGATACAAGAATGTAGTGGCGCAACAGTTCAGGGACTTCTTTGTCTGAGTTTTTGTGCCATGATGCACTAAATATTTTAAATAGGTGACACATTGAGACTGCAGGCAGGCAGGCACCTCTGTGTTGTGGGCGGAGACAGCGCTGCCCTGCACACTCCTCTTCATGCTAGCTTGTAGCCTAACATAGCTGGTGTAGTAGAAGTGGCAGGTAACATAGGAGCTATTCAGCTCTGAGACACTAATGTCTTTGGGGACATGATAAAAGCTAATATCATAATTAGCTTTCTTAAGAGTTTTGCAATCTGCTAACGCACACACTTGTTCCGCAATCGTCCTCTCTATGTCTCCTCTATGCAGAGTGTGGCCTGCATAGCGGGGCTTCGGGGGCGGAGCTTGGATCGGTTACGTATGATATCTCACTGTTTCTGAACCCGCCGTTTCTGAACCCGCCGTTTGGGTCTTAAGAAATACTCAGAACAGCAATTTCGCATTTAGTTTTCTCTTGATATTTCCTGAAGCATCATAAAAATGCCATATGGATGTATAAAAACCAAGAAAAATGTGATTTTCACCGGAGTGGGTCTTTAAGTATTGCTCTGACAAATATAAAAGAAGATATAATCATAGAGCAATACAGCGTTTGTCTGTGATAAACATAGGTATGCCTTTTTGACATTGTTATCCACTAAAGAAGCTCATGCAAGAACCTAAAGGTGGTGGATTTGATTCTTTCAGGCCTTGGGGAACATGTGAAGGGCCACCAGCTCTTATTGTGAAAGGGTTAGCAGTGAGGAGGCTGAGGGGCTGAAGAGGATCTGAGGATGGGCACATCAAAGGTGGACGTCAGGTCTCATGTTTATGTTTCATTTTTCTTTCATCTGCCCTCTCGCTCCCTCTTTATCTTTCTCTCTCTCCCTCTCTCTCTCTTGCCCTCTCCCTTCTCGTTCTCTCTCTCTGCAGCTTTATTACCTTATATAGGAAACAGTCAGGTCCACTCAAAGCTCCCTTCTTCATGAGCCCAGGCTGAGAGGACACTCCCAGGGGGACTGCCTGCCTGTCCCTTCCCATAACACGGGCATTAGGATAGAGTCAGCAGAGGGGGGTGCTGGGGGGTCACATCTACAAAAGGCGGAGAGCTGCAGGGATCAGCAGGCAGAGAGGAATTTCTTCATAACTTTCTCCAACTCCTTTAGCTCTGCTCTTCGTTATCTTTGTGCCCAAAGAGAGTCGACACACTCCTCTGACCTCTCTGGCTCCTTAATGTGCGCCTCTTTGTGTGCAGCACGCACATTAACCTAAACGTGTCAAACCACCACTTAGGCCACTGGAAATTTACATCTCACAACCACATGGCGTCTTGTTGACAAACAGCTGCTTTCTTGTAAAAAGCACGCTGCGTTTAATGAATTCCTTGGCTCAGGATTTAACGCAGACCGGGCCGAGGCTGCAGTGCTCAGCAGCAGACTAACCGCAGACTTCTGGAGAGTGAGCCCAGAAAAAAAAATCCAAATCTGACTAAAGAATGAGCAACACTTGCCTCCAAAATCAGGATGTTGAAGTCTGAAAGCAGTTTTATAAACAACGATTGGAGACCACAGAGCAGCACATGCTCCCTCTGAGGCGAGATGAGCAGTTTGCCCTCGGTCTGGGCTTGAGTTTCAGGTTGGACTGTGTTGATGTTTGCCTCTGCACAGATGGTTTCTGTTTTATTCTAGCCGCTCCATGTCCGGTCAGAGAAACAAAGATCTGACCTCTCCTCCCCATTGATCTCTTTGATCACAGGCTCTTCCAGTTGTTACTGGAACAGAGACAAAACTAGGACAGTAGTGCAGCCAGGAAGAAACTCAATCACACACTGGTGTTGCCTTGTTGCACCACGTATCTTTAAAACAGATCTACACATAATCAACACAAGCAACATCTCCTCAGTAAACAATCATTTCTGTTCAATGACTCAGGGGGAAGTTATGACTGTGCAGCAATAGTCACTGATACTTAACTAGACTCAAGATCTGGTCAATCAAAGCAGATTAGAGCTCCCAAATACAGAAAGCGTTGATTATTTTAAGCATATGTTTCCCCTTTTGTTAAGACCCACCCCAAACCACACCTGCCAACATTGTTTTACAATTTTTTTTCTTTAACAACACATTTGCTTCAGGTATTAATGTTACTGTTTTGAGGCACATAACCTGTTTTAACTGTCTCCCTTGGTCAGCTGAGGCAAAGTTAGGTGCAGCTCAGCTCACAGTCTCCACAACTCTCAAAGACGGTCATGGAGACAGCAGGTTTGTTTTGACAGCAAACTGCTTTATTTGTGGTGTTTAGTGGTTCAATCTCTGTCTTAAGTAGAATATCGTATTAACAATGACCACTTGTAAAACCCTTAGCTAAAAATCTAGCCGAGCATACCAGCAACTCAGTTTGTAGCCCCTCCTGATCTACTCTATGTGCGTAAGGGGAGCAAAGACACAATGATTTTTTTTATCAAAAAACCTTAATACTCTCTGCTTTCACAGGTTTCCAGTCTTGGGCCAGTATTAACCAGTAAAACATAGGAAGATGACGACTTCAACAATCTTTTGCTGGAAATGAGCTGAGTACATTCAATTGAGATATCAGCAACTCAGCTTGCAGCCCTCTTGATGTGCACTGTCTCCCGCACAGATTTCAAAAAGTGAAATTTTTATCCTATGCTTTCACTGCAGGGTTGTACCCCTGGGCCATTTTGAAGGAGATTTTCTGATCAAGCAATGAGCAGTTCAGCTTTTAGCCCCTCCTAATATGTTCAAGGCATAGTGAAGGAAAACTGATTTTGGATGTAAAACATTTCCAGCTTTCACAAGTTTGTATTCCTGAGTCAGTGTTAAAGAGACCAATCTAAAAACCCAAATCAGCCCAAATCTAAAAACAAGCTTAGTATCATTTTATCGTGCTGGCTAGTGACTCAGCTCAGCTCCCAGCCCCTCCTTATTTTAAAAGTGAAACTTCTTTATCAACTGTTTCTAGCAGGTTTCATTCCTATACCTGATTTTTTTTGAGTGCTAAAAATGACTAAAAATCCAACAGATGATGAATTCTGAGGGGTCATTTGGAAGCACTGAACTGTAGCAACAACAAACAAACAAAAATTACAAGCTGATGGGAAAAATTGTCCATAATCAAGATTAAATAACCAAAATTTCCAGGATTTTTATAAAATCTGTCTAAAAAAAAAGAAAACATTACTCATGACTGTCTTAAACACTTGACACTTAAGAGTCCAAGCTCAGAGCTGTTACAGGCCCAATCGTAACCACAACAGCAAATAGTTATATTAGTCATGGGAAGAGCTTAAGTGCTGTTTCCTTTGATATATTTCTCTCTTAAGTACAAGCTGCTCCATGAAAGGGTTTGTATTTGGGTGACAGAGACACACAAAGAAGTGACCAAAATGTGTGAAACGGGTTCTCATGCATTGAGTCCATAATGGAACGGCAGGAAACTCTATATGCTTCCCTGTGGGCAGCTGTAGTAATGATGCAATCCACTCTGTTCTCATGTTATAGAAATGGTATGTTTACGGTTAGATTCTGGTATTTCCCAGGAAGTCTGCTCGAGTTACAGAAAACACTACCTTTAGGGCGCTTTCAGGCGTGTGTTTGTGTGTAGAGATGTGTACCTGTGTGTTCAAATAGTGAATCATAATATTGAATAAAAGCTCCCTCTCAAGACCTCACAGACTGCTATCAAAATCGGCTTTTTGCCTCTGGACTTCTTCAAATGAATTTTTAAGCATGAATGGCACCTAAAAGCTCATCTTTCCATTATTTTCTTTTGAAGTGTACAAGCCCAGACCTAGTTACAAAACTGCATACAGCTCGAGGGAATTCTTGTGCCTCTAAACCTGGGCCCGTTTTTTTTTTTTTCCTTAATTTTCTGGGGTCTAAAGGAGTAATGGATGCAAAAGGCCAATACATTACTGCCCAAAATTCAACAACAAAACAGGTTGTAGTAACTGCCACCTAATTTCTCAAGGTAAACGTCAAAGTTTGTCCATTTTGTCTTTTTTTGTAGTTGATAGGTTCAGATTGTTATCCCCAAGGTCCAATACCATTTTTGGAAATATCTCTAGAGAGACAAACCTTTGAGTTGAAACAAAATGCTATAAAGTCCAACACAAAACCAGCAGCTTTAACTCACTCTACAAAGCACCCAGACTCCATTGAGAAAAACAAGATTTTTTTTTTCTCACAGAACAATTGTTTGTCTATCAAGTAAGTTTATTAGTATTACTGTGTGACTTTGGTTTGTTAAAGGCTTAGTCTGGATCTAACAAAACTCAATAACACAAACAGATTAACTGATGGAGGAAGCTGAAACTCCTCCGTTCCCCTAAGTGGCCTAAAGGGAGCAATGAAACTTCAGTAAGGAAGACTATAATCTCAAACAAAAAGGTCTATCCTGGTCAGTATATATCAGAATACAATTCAGCACAATATGGTATTAAACAGAATGAAGCAATGCAATGCCAATACAACACAAAACAATGTGATAGGATATGAAAGAACAGAGGACTAAAGGATAGGAGATAGGAAAGGAGAGGGTACAAATTAATAGGAAAGGCTAGGATACATGTAATATGACAAACAATATGATAGGATACAAGACAAAGATATGCAAAGTGATTTGTTAGGACTTGTCAAAACATGGTGGGATGAAAAGGACAGGATAAAATTACATGAAAGGAAATGATGCAATGTGACCCTAACCCTTACCCTAATGATGCTATATATGGTGATGCAATGGAATAGGATAGAATTCATACGATGTAATGTGAAAAACCAGGATATGAAATGAGGCTATACAAAATGATATGATGTAATATGATATGATACTACATGATTAAACATGGTATGATACTATATGCTACGATATACTCAAATACTATAAATATTTTAGGATACAATACAAATAATATGATACGATAAAAACGATACGATATAATACAATATGATATCATACTAAATGATAATATAATCTACCATATGTTTGAATTTGATACATTATGATAATACACAATTCAGTTCAAAAAGACACAATACAATGCAAAATGATTAGATACGATATGAAACAATACAACAAAACACACTCTGATACAATACAACACATTATGATACAATAAGATATGATAAAACATGATATGATGTGATTGTATACGATCTGATGTAAATATAATACTGTACAACTGACACTTTATGATAACATACAAAATGATGATATAAAATCCTGTTTGATATGAAATGATGTGATCAGATTCTGATAATCTGATGTATATGATATATATGATGTATATGAATAATATGATGCAGTATGATGCAATATGTTATATGACATAATGGTATCCAGTATGAATCACATTCCTCAGTAAGACAGACTATCCACCAGCCCCAGTCTTTGTAAGATATAAGTCCAAAAGAAGGGAAAGAAACAAGGACAAAACTCATTTCTCTGTTTCCAAGGAGGGCAGAGCTGAAGATCTGCCAGCTTTTAATCACCTTCATATGGACTTCACACTGAGTCAGGCACATTCAAACGCCTCATGCAAAAAAGTTACTAGGCTCTGTGTTTAAAGTCTGCACTGCGCTCTACTCCAAGTTGTAAAGGATTTCATGAACACTTCAACACTCTGAGGTTACAAAAGAAAACAGGCTGGGGTTGTGTTCATTTAGGACACGTTTTTAGAGCACGCTTGTCTGGGCTTTTCTCAGCAGCTCTCATGTTTCAAACACAGAAAAACTTTCCCAGAAAACACCTCAGAAGACGATGCGCTCTGCCAAAACACGATGAAGTCACTCAGGGGCCTTGCTTCGCTCTGCTGACACTCAACGTTATGTAAGAGAGAGCAGGAGTAAAGGAGTCACATGGCATCAGGCCGGATGTGAAGCTGAGTTCAAACATCGCAACAACACTTGGTGCTTCTTTTCATCTCTCTGAAATGTCAGCAGCTCATCAATAACAACAGGATGACAGTTAGTTATCAGCTGATTGATCAACTGCAGGAGATTAAAGTGCAGAGATTGAGCTTTTAAACAGATTGTACTGACAGAACCCCCCAAAGCCCCCCGTTCTTCTCACACATGCAGCATTTTACGGATGAAAAGCACTTAAGTGTACAGTTATCATGTAAAGAGGGGCTTCAATGGCAACGTTTATTCCACATCCTTCATTTGAAATAAGCAAGACCAAGATGTGACCCCACATGGGCACATTTACGTAGTCAACTTAGAGCGTGCAGCTTTACGAAATTTCACATAAAATATGTGCTTGATAAGTTGCACTGTTTTGCCATCATACAGAGAGAGAGAGCGAGAGAGAGCGAGAGAGAGAGAGAGAGAGTTACTTGTGAGAGACTATAGGAATGCTTCAAACAGCACCAAATTTAGTTTAGTTTAGTTATACTAGCTTAGTTATTCCATTACAAGTCAGGGTTTTAGGGTGTGGGCAGAAAAAGATGATCATAAACTCATCCTAAAGGTTAAAAGAAAGCAGCTGCAGAAGTACATTTGAGTCAGGGCTGTCAAATCAACACATTTTACAATGAGTGGTCAGCCCATGTCATTTTTTCAATATTTGGGGGGTGCCAATTTATCACTTAAGTACTCAGAGTTTTAGCCACCGCCTTCAAGCTAAGCATACAGACACAACTGCAACAAGAAGTCAGGCAGAGCTCTATTTTGGTGTGTGTAAATGCCCACAGACCAGTGGATGAAACTAAACTGAAGGAGTAACAGAGCACTTACTGTACAGGGGGAATCGGTTAATTCCTAAATCACAGCTATGGTAAGAACTGCTTTACACAATTGATATGGATTTAATAATGGCTTTGAGATGCAAATTAGTGAAATTTCAAAAATCAATTGGTCAAGAATGGGTGACAAATAAATTCAGACATTAGTTATGATTGAAAAAGACTGTTTCACAGCCCTCTTTACGGTAAAATTTTAGTATTTTTTCTCTATGAATAAGAGTTTTGACCTTTATTCTCCTCCTTTATTCTTTACACTCAAACTATTTTTGGTCCTTAACTGTCAGACAAGTAACAAGATAACACAATGGAAAGAAAGAAATCTGACACCTTTTAAAAACAAAGATGTACAGATTTTAAAATTTATACCATAAAAATGACCACAAATTTGTCATTTTATATGTTTGTTGGGAGATTTCAGCGAACATAGTGCCTTTCAGGTATAAAACTTCAACAAAAGTTGGATCAACCGTTGTGTTTTAAATCTTATGGGAGACATCTTTCTGTTCATTTTGTATGTAGCATGTAATGTCCTTATTTCTGTACATTTGAAGCTGCATTTCTTTGCAATGAAGCTGATTTGATCAAGTTGCTCATCAGGATTGCTATTTGAAACCAGCACTGCCATGCAGCAGCTCCACATGTGCACATTTTCAGTTGCTCCATGAAAGGCTGCAGCTTCACAGGAGTTCAAATAAAACACACCCTGAATGGGTAATGACTCTCTGGGGCTCAAATACAGTATCATCTCCCCGTCTGCTGCTATTGGCCAGAAGTGCGTGGTCAGCTAGCCAATAGCACCGCTCTGCATTGTTACTGAGTGTGTATGTTCTGCTGTGGGTGTGTGTGTGTGTCCCTGAATGTGTGTTGGGGGGAGCAGCTCAAAACAGAGCCGACCTCAATACTGAAGCCGCCCAAGCAAGAAGATTTCATTGTGTTCTCCTGTCATTGCCCTTCCCCATTTAGGGGCATAATTTGTAAAGTAAACAGGCTCTCTAGTGGATCGACACACAAGCTCTTTCACCTCTAAAACACCAAACCAACCCCCTTTTATTCACCTTTAAGCACAAACACACACTGAGCAGCAAAAACAGATGATATTTAAACAAACACTAAAATCTACAGATTCTCTAATGTTGTTTTTTTAATTATCTGGCTCTAAAGCATCATGTGTAGTCTGCCTCCTCAGCACAGTCACAGCCCCAGTATAGATACAGCTTTAGCTCAGCTTGCCCGGCAACACCACTCTAAGGATTCCCCCGCTCCACCTCCCACGAATCCAGTCCGTAGTTTCCCTCCCCCTCTGCCTCATGAAACCTCCTGTAACTGGTCTGCTGGTTGAGAAACCTCACAGACTAAACTAAAGGCAGGTCCCGTAAAGTAGCAGCTCGGACAATCTGGGCACAATTACTCCCACCTTCACTTTAAAATGAGTGTCTTTTAACAGACAGCTGTAATTTTCACTGACCTTACAGATCCATGTGATTGCTAACGTGTGCTTGGATGTCACTGAGTGTTTATTCGGTTAAATCTGGTGTTTAAAACTCATCTGGATGGATCACGTTACAGGTTTGTCCAAGATTCACTGAAAAATGTTCCACACCCTTCAGTTCAGACTTCACTCTCTGAATCTCAGTCAACCAAAATGTGAAATACAAGACAAATCTCCTGGATATCATTTCTCCTGGATACATCTTCATTCATCCAGGAGAAATGAAGCATTACCTGATGGAGAACTATGGTAGAGGAAGCCAAACAAACCATGACTTTGGACAGTAACTAAAAGCACCAGTCTTAGACCTCAGTCGGCCAAAGGATCAGTTCTTGAACAGAATAACACGGAGCATAAAATCTGTTTCTTCACTGGTCCAAAACAACTTTACAGGCCTGAGTTTGTGAGGCTTTAGGTTCCCCGCTGACGTGCTGCAAAAGTCTTCAAACTAAAAAAAGCATTTGCACTTTTAGTCCCCTTACTGGAAGTCAGCTGTTTTTTGGAGAGACGCTTGTTGATTAGATGTTTAGCTTTTTGCTACAAAAGGCTAAATTAGACAGCAAAGGTTGGTGATGCAACCTCAATGAGACAATCTTTAGCCTTAAAGTCTGATTTACACCTTTGCAGTAAATTTCTGTTGTAACATATGCCTTAGGTCTGCATGTGTGTAGGCTGATGTGCACCTAAACAAAAATGAAACATGCAAAACAACATGGACCACAAGCCCTATGATTGGTCTGCGATGTACCAGCCAATTTTCTATGTTCAGCCCCCTGTCTCCTACATACATAGATTCTGCCTTAAAATCCATCACCTCTGACTCCTCCTCTCGATTGTTCTTTGCAGTCTTTGCAGTTTGACTTAAGGTTGCACAATGTTTGAACACTTTGACTCAAAAATGATGTGCGTGGAGAACATGCTTAAGGTTTCCTGTGCATATACATGCAGGAACATATTGCCACCATAAGCAGGCTATACACTCACCGGCCACTTTATTAGGTACACCTGTCCAACTGCTCGTTAACACTTAATTTCTAATCAGCCAATCACATGGCGGCAACTTAGTGCATTTAGGCATGTAGACATGGTCAAGACAATCTCCTGCAGTTCAAACCGAGCATCAGTATGGGGAAGAAAGGTGATTTGAGTGACTTTGAACGTGGCATGGTTGTTGGTGCCAGAAGGGCTGGTCTGAGTATTTCAGAAACTGCTGATCTACTGGGATTTTCACGCACAACCATCTCTAGGGTTTACAGAGAATGGTCCGAAAAATAAAAAATATCCAGTGAGCGGCAGTTCTGTGGGCGGAAATGCCTTGTTGATGCCAGAGGTCAGAGGAGAATGGCCAGACTGGTTCGAGCTAATAGAAAGGCAACAGTGACTCAAATAACCACCCGTTACAACCAAGGTAGGCAGAAGAGCATCTCTGAACGCACAGTACGTTGAACTTTGAGGCAGATGGGCTACAGCAGCAGAAGACCACACCGGGTGCCACTCCTTTCAGCTAAGAACAGGAAACTGAGGCTACAATTTGCACAAGCTCATCGAAATTGGACAATAGAAGATTGGAAAAACGTTGCCTGGTCTGATGAGTCTCGATTTCTGCTGCGACATTCGGATGGTAGGGTCAGAATTTGGCGTCAACAACATGAAAGCATGGATCCATCCTGCCTTGTATCAACGGTTCAGGCTGGTGGTGGTGGTGTCATGGTGTGGGGAATATTTTCTTGGCACTCTTTGGGCCCCTTGGTACCAATTGAGCATCGTTGCAACGCCACAGCCTACCTGAGTATTGTTGCTGACCATGTCCATCCCTTTATGACCACAATGTACCCAACTTCTGATGGCTACTTTCAGCAGGATAATGCGCCATGTCATAAAGCTGGAATCATCTCAGACTGGTTTCTTGAACATGACAATGAGTTCACTGTACTCAAATGGCCTCCACAGTCACCAGATCTCAATCCAATAGAGCATCTTTGGGATGTGGTGGAACGGGAGATTCGCATCATGGATGTGCAGCCGACAAATCTGCGGCAACTGTGTGATGCCATCATGTCAATATGGACCAAGCTCTCTGAGGAATGCTTCCAGCACCTTGTTGAATCTATGCCACGAAGAATTGAGGCAGTTCTGAAGGCAAAAGGGGGTCCAACCCGTTACTAGCATGGTGTACCTAATAAAGTGGCCGGTGAGTGTATGTATCATGGACACTCCAACACACAAGTATATAGTATACTAGCTGAAGCGCAAATCAACACAGCATAGTATCCCGATATTTTGTCTGGTGATGTATTGTATCGTCTCATCTACCAAATATCGATTTTTCAAACTAATTGCTAATATGAAGTCAAATCTATGATAATGGAAAAATCAAATCAACTATTTGTTCAATGAGGTTGGCAGAGGTGACACCATAGAGCAGGAGAAAGTTAGTTCAATATATATATATATATATATATATATATATATATATATATATATATATGTATATGGTTTGCAAGATGTTCTACTTAAAAATAAAACACTGTGTAAATAAGAAAAACATACAGGAAAGCCAAATGCTAAATTAGCTAAACAGTTAAAAGATATATAGATCGTAATATATTGTATCACAATACTCACTGTATTGCGAAATGTTAAAAATCGCAGTAATATCGTATCGTGGCCCAAGTATCGTGATAACATCGTTTTGTGGGGCCACTGGTGATTCCCAACCTCAGTTGCTAGGACTATGGTTGTAAGCTGTGGGCTGAGGTGAACAGGTGGTGTTTGGATAACTCTATACACACCGAAAGGATCAGTCAGAATTTGACGTCAATAAATCAAACATGTTTGTACACAATAAAAAAGGCCCCATATAGAGTATATAGTGAAGAATTTAGACTGAGAAAGCAGAACTCAGGCAACAGAGGATGGTGGGCAAACTCAAACTGCTCTACTACAGTCATGCTTTTTAATGGTAATGGATGCATGTTGCAATGATGCAATTAATAAAACAATGTCTGATTGGAAAGTTTTTTTCCCACAGTACAAATGAGCGAGCATTGCACACTCAGTAATTCCAAAACCAGACGGAAAAGATCCGACCTGCTTTTAATCAATAACAGCAACAACAACAAGAAGGGAGGACAATGCTGCCTGGAGAAAAAGCAAATGTTTCCTAGATACATTCCTGAAGAAAATTTGCTTATTTCCACTAGTTTGTATGACTTTAAACTGGACAAATATGGATTTTGAACAGCGGGCTGAAGAAAATAAGACATTTCAAGGAGTTCTGTTAAACTCTTGGGAACTTTTCATTTAGTTTTGGTCATTACAGAATAACTTAAAGAGCAGTCCTGTTTGATCCAACCCTATTTATGTCTTTTCCAACATTCAACATGACAGCAGTTTACTATTCAAACTATTTGCATCATTAAAACATTGACTCATCTTTGCATGTGCTTCTTTACACGACAACAAAGTTTCGTGCGTGCAAATACTGCAAAATAAAACCAAGTGGTCAAAAGTTTTCCATTGCATGTGAAACTCCAGTCTTGGTTTGCAGAAAGTATCAGCTACACTCAGACGCTGCAGACTCTGAGGGAGTGGATGACTCTAGAAAAGACTCCTCCAAACCCGGGGATTAGACTCTACTCAGGAGCAGCAGAAGGAGAAATGTGTACATGGTGTGAGTGTGGGGGTGGGGGTTAAGATGAGGGGGGTTAAAGATGTCCTTTCTCCACATGTGAAAGACCCCAGACGCTGCAGCCGTCACTCAGTTATGCGTGACCACCGAGCCCTCCCATTAAATGAGCTTTCATCGCGTGAAAAGACTCATTGGATTGTCTGTGTCACAACAATAACTGTAAATTAAACTCTAATCCCTCGACTTCCGACAGCCACAAGATTGTCAGCGTTCATTATTCTTCTTCCTGATGTCTTAGATTTTCACTCTGCCAACTCGCAAACATGAGAATGACTACTCAAACAGCAAATATTTGATAACAGGCAAACTCCCCCGTCTCTCTCTCTCTCTGTCTGCTCTGCGCTCTCCTTCTTGTGTGGTCAGGAGGCTGCTCAAGAGAGCTGCAGGAATGCGAGCGCAGAGGAAAGCCAACAATGCTTTTAGAGTGACCAAAAAAGCCTTACACACACACACACTCACACACACACACCAGCCTGGCATGGTTCCTGTGGTTCAGTGTGTGCACAGTGAGCTGCTTTTGAAGAAGAGGCAGTGATAAGGATTTTAATTTGCACAGGTTCCTCAGTCACTTTTCTCCTTGAAGCTCTGTAAAGAAAAGAGTCAGCTTCGTCATATTTCTGCAGACTGTGGCGTCATTTCTTGGAGAATCTTGGAATCTTTGGAATCCATGCAACCTAAATAAGAGCCGTTACAGCTGCTAAAACTATTAAATTGATGTCTGGTTAAAAAATGTACTTGAATTCTTATCTGAGTTTACAAAATGAAAGCAAAAAGTAAACTGCGTTGTTTAAAAATACTTAATAAACAGTTTCTCAACAATGCAGAAGATAATTGAGCTCTTTCTTCTTTTAAAAGCCTCAGATATTCTCTTTAATCTGAAACAAGAGCAAAGGTGTTTGCAGTAGACTAAAACAGAGTCCCAACTCATTGACTTGTTTATTGTGATGTCTTTTCTTGTATTATTTTGGGAGGTACCGTGAGTAACTCTTTCATAGATGAAAACTGCATTTCCCATGAGCACCACCCTCTTCTGTGGTTAAGATGTTTCTCTTTTCAAAGTGTGCATTCATTGTGAAGGCAGGTGAACAAAATACAGATGCTTAGTGGGAGACAGAGTGAACTACACATCTGATTTATTTCTGACATTTAGCCGAAGAAGTATGAGCAGGCGTACCAGTTTAAAGGGATATTTCACTGTTTGAAAAGTGAGGTTTTATGAGTTACATGTCACTGGTAAGTGGACTTGCCACAATGGAGGCCACTCAGCTCAGCTCCTACTGAGAAACTGACAGCAGAAACAGGACCATGGGCCTACTACCATTGTCTGCTAACGGGGCTAAGCACTTCTGCGCACATTGAGCTTGGGCTTTTGATGGCAAAGTAAAAGACTGAAAAATGTCTGTGCAGTGTAGCACTTTAGGTCAGAGTCTCCCCAAATCAGCCAAATTACATCTGCAGTGGAAAGTAAGTGTGTTTTTTTCATGAATGGGACTGAACAGACCAGAATCCACTGTGGCTAAAACGCTTGTTAGTGACATGTAACTCAAAAAACTTCACCTCAAAATACTGAAATATACCTTTAACATCACTCTCAGTGTTAAGATGTGTGCTCAGGTGTCCCATTACATGTCTGCATGACATCAATGTGCACACAGTGTAACTCTTTAGTCCTCAACGAACAGTGAATCATTTGCACTATGGTGTAATGGTTAAAACCAGTCAGTGCCTTTTAACTCTTTCACCTTGCAAAGCCCAGGGCACACTGTCTCTATGTCCAAAACAATATTTCAAAACTTCCAAACATGAGTGTTTAAGCTATTTCTGTGCCAGCATCAGACTTAGGAACAAACTATGACGTTAAAAGGAAATTACTGATGATAAAAACTCATCCTGCTCACTAACTTACTTCTTCTCACTGCCAAACCCTACAAGCATAATCCTGAACAGACACTGACCCATCAATCAAAATAAAGAAATGACCCATCTTTTCACTGCACATCTCATTTTACTACGTATGTCATGAAGAGGCATTAAAAGAATGGAACTATTTCAAAATCAGTTACAAACTCCTCCTAGTGCCTTTAAATGATTCATATCCCCAAAACTGGAACAGTTTGAGGGGTGATTCAAAGTGTAAGGTGATGCCATTGATAGATGAAAGCCTTACTTTATCATGCACTAAGACAGAAACACCCAGGCTACTCTAGTTTTCTCTCAGATAATTTAAAAAGTATGACGTCAAACCTGCAGCCTGAGCTCTCCAAGGATTAAAAAAGGGCTGGGTCGAGTAACTGAAGGAGGAGAGCACAGAAAACTAAGATGGGTTTGTCTGACATAAAAACTTGACTGAAGACCTTCAGTAAAAGAGACATGTTTTTTTCTTCCACTTCACTGATGTGAGAGCAAAGACAATCCCATGTCCAGAGAGTGAATGTCTCACACTGTGTGGGAAGTGACTGTGATTAGTCCGGCTCCACTGGGCATGAGATCCCAGCAGGGGGAACCTAGATCAGCAGAGAAAGAGAAGGAGAGCGGGTGGGAGGGAGGGGAAACATGAAGGGTAATTTGGTCCTCCTCAGTCTGACAGTGATTTCCACGCTGGTAATCACATCAGCATCGTGGTCCGGGCAGAGTGACATCATGGCGAGCTGAAAGTTTATCCTGCCCTGGCAGCCGATGATGGAAATGCAACGTTGAAGAAAGAATAAGAGTGTGGCTCCAAAGCTTCACTGTGGCCCTCCAATCATGGTCAAGAGGACTGTGAGATATCAAGTAATCTGCTGAAAGCATTACGAGTAGCCGGCTGCATAATAATAGATCATTATAACTCTGCTGACGACTTTCAGGTTATTGAGGTTTGAAGATACTCTTACACGAAGGCAGATTTTGTGTCCGACAGTTGGGCTTAGATGATGAATGAATGAGTAATTTGACCAAAGATTTTTGCCAGCTCTTCGTTGAACATTTGGCTTTATGCGACATCAGGGAGATTATGTTTAGATTACGTTATGGTGTAGCATCAGTAAACTCGGATAAAGTGAGTCTTTTTATATTTAGTGGGAATGGCAGGCAGCGTTTATTAATGAAGGTTAATTTGAGTAAGCCTCACTCCCTTTTATAAATTATTGAAGAAAATGTTGAATCTTTGTTTTTTGCAGGCCTTTAGTTGTCAGCTTGTCTTATAATAAAAACATGTGTGATTAAAAGGCTGTTTGGGTCATGACACTAGGCTACAACACACCAGCTGTCAGTGAATATTAATGAAGAGAAAGGAGGCGTCTGCACATGCTCTGTCTTTGTCCCAGTGAGGGTCAGCAGCAGTGACACTGAACTTCACAGAGACAGAAGTGTGTCACCTCACACAGGATCCCCTGTAACCCAGAGATTAGGGGCGACCGGTTCACCAGATTAAACAGAGATCTGTCTGAGCTCAGGTACAGGACCAATGTGAGCATGTGGTTTCTTTTGTTATTTAATAAAAACACAATATTGAGTGACAAAATGCTGCTTGAGTTGGGTGATATCAAACAGTTCACTTGAGAGAGGAAGAGAGAAGAGTTTCAAATCCTGTTTATTAGTCACGTGCACTTTTTTTTAGGACATCCATCCATGCACTAATGTATGAATAACTAAATAACTTTTATCAATGTCATTGCATTTGTGTAACAAGGCATTGATTTACTGCTGCCAGAAGCTGCACAACATTAAGTTCATAAAACACAGATAGCTGCTTTCAGCCTGCTGCTTCCTAAAGTGAGGGTCTGGAGTGTCAGGACACTGATAGGGCTGCACAACACTGTTAAAAACCATTCAAAGTGTTTGTTTTTTTCTTTTCTTTTCTTTTCTTTTTTTCTACATTTTTAAGTCTCAATATTTGACCCATTTCTGTAAAAATATAAACACATTCAGTGTTTTAAAATGATATAAACACAAATTGAAAATTAAGGTTTAAACTTGTATGGAACTGACAAAGGCAGAAATGTAAGTCCTTGATGATGAGCCTACTTGTATCCAGCCTTTAAAAAAATGAATTCAAAGATACTTTTTTGGCTGTTTTTTGTTTCTTTTTTTTTTTTTTGATCGACTCTACAGTGATTTAAGTAGTTGTTACTGGTGCATCTGAACTGGTGCATATCCACATTTTGCAGATATCTTAAATTGCTCTTGCACAATAGATATTAGATTATGTATTTGTCTGTTTGAAGTGTTATATCTGCCACACCTTACTTATTATGAATAGTCAAGTTTGGGTTTGAAATAATCATGCAATGCCAGACACTTCAGCAAATTAACTACAGTCTTGTTTGCAGGTAAGAATGGTTTGTTGATACTGTATATTTGATTTATTGGAAGTACAAGTATTGATCTCTGTAAATGAATTTGCACTAATGAAAGCATGCTGAAATTCACTTACAGGGCTAATCAGACTCATGGGCCACAAATCAAATGTGGGAATGCCAAAATGTCATTTAAAATGTTAAAATATTACACAAGGATTTGTCAGCCTTACAAAATGTTAAAGGTCTCCTCACGCTGCAGCTGCTTCAGACTAGAAATGTTAAATGTACCGTGGCTGTCCTGCCTGAGCAGCTGAAGGCAGGATCAGACCTGATCTGTGATGTTTGTCGGATAACTGATACAGACACAAACAGTGTTTTTGTTAGCACAGAGCTTATAACAAGCACATGCTTCCTCTTCTGTGTCTCAGCATCTGTTGGGAAAACTCTGCTGACTTGAGGAGAAAACACTCTTTTGGTCATACATAAGTGTTTTTTTTGCTTTAGGTTACCGTGTGTCACCTCATATAAAAGGCCTCTAAGCTGCCCTGATGTGATACGTTTGTGTGCTGAACTTGACGTGCATTAAACGACTTTGAGTAATGTTGGTGCAGACAGGCTCCTCTGAAGGCCCTCCACAGTTTGTTTATGGAGGGAAATGAGCCTCAATGGATGTGGTTTGGGCTGTCACTCTGTTTGCTGTAACGACTGTGTAGTTGTGGTGTGATTTCTGACAGGTAACATGAGCAAAAAGGCAGAGTCACACCTTCAGTTTCCTCTGTTCCTCTCAGCTCTGTGACCTCTGAGAAAGTTAGAGTCCAGGTGGACAGCTCACATCTGGGCTGAGAGGAAAGTTTCCTTCATCACCCTGAAAACTGCAGGAGCATCAGGACTGTGACTCTGCTTTCACTCTGTCTGATTTTATGGACTCACAGTGATGACTGTGACCAACTCAGGCCATATGCTATTTAGCAGGACCAACATAAGACTGTTGGCAACAACTTAAACAAGAAGAGGAGAGCTGCTATATTTATGAAGAACATGTGAAAGGACATTAAGTTTACTTTAGACTTATCACTCTGAGTAAACTTTTAGGTCAGAGGCAGATAGATCTCCGATGTCCTTTTTAAGATTTCTGCTTTAAGGACAGCATTCCATTTCAAAGACAAGCCCACAGTCAAACAGGGAATGCTTATTTATTATACTGCCTTTTTACTTTGGTAATCCACACTTCTATATGAAGTCAGAAACAAAAACCAGCACTGCTTTTGTCGTGTCAGTTGAGGATTGATGGTTAATATCAAAGATGTCCCTATTAATGAAAATAATTCTAATCCAGAGTGTATGTTAAAAGTAAATATGAAAAACTAGCAAATCTTAAAGGATCTGCAGCTCATCCAGGTTATATGTTCTTGTTTAAATGTGTGCTTGGTTAAAAAATACTTAAAAAAAAAAAAAACAGGCCTCAAGCTACTTATCTGAGTCTTGTGGCGCCACAAAGGCAGATTAAATAAAACATCATAATCCAGGGCTTTAGATAAAATTATGTAAATTCACTTTCGTGACTCATCTGTTAGCAGAAGCTCGACCCAGCCCAGTTTTTTCCCAGAACAAGCCTTCATCCTCACGTCCTCTCATTTTTTAGAGTTATACGTGAAATTCCAGGAACTTGGCCCTGGCCTCGTTTTTTGACATCTTATCATCAACTTTCTGTCGTCTTTAAGGGTCTGAAGAAAAGGCTCTTTGTGTCATCACCCCTCCCTCAGACACCCCTCCATGTCAACATGAGCAACAGCAACCACCACAAACAATCCCACTGTCACTGCTGAATCCACGTAGCTCTACAGCTATGCAACGACAGAAAACCTCACTCATGTCCTGTTTGCTACACCATGCATGCTGCATCATCAGATGTAAGCAAAATGAGTCCGAAAACAGGATAGAAAGTTTATCCTGCCTGTGTGAATCATTCTGCAGCTGCAAAACTATTTTTATTTGATTTTTAAAAGGGCGCACCTCTCCACATATCCCAAATGAGCCAATAAAAGCTGCTGTAAACCCATTACCATCACAGCCAGAGAGCAATTTATCTCCAACACCCCCAGAAATGTTTGACCCTGCCATGACAAATGCTGCCATAACAACGGTTAACCCAAGCCAAAACACCTCCAGTTCGCTCAGAGCGACCTCTGCTTTCTGACTAATCTGTGAAAGGAGTGGATAAAGGTGAGATCTTGAACGAAAAAGATATCTACAAAGAACAAGTGATTACAAAAAATCTTTGTCTCTGTAGCTTTGACTTCTGGCTCCAAACAGTCTCTACGGATCAGTAATGAGCTCTTTTTCTAGATATTTAGACTAATGTTTCAATTTTGCTGTCTTACTTCTGGCCTGAATGTTGTTCCAGCTGTAACCTGCAGATAAAACTGAGCTTTGCTGTTTTTTGGAACAAAAAGTTTCCAAAGAGGCTAAAAAGTCATCTAAACATCAGAATAAGGATCTGGTTTATCCCAAAGTTGGAAAACAAATCAAACATTGGGGAAAAGTGCTGTTTTGCATCTTTATTATTTCCTACATTAGGCATCCTTCTGGAGAGTTTGTCCCTTTACACAGAGGGTACAGACCTCAAAGCAGGCCAGCTGGTTCAACTTCCAGCCATGACTCTTTACTGCATGACATCCTTCACTACTCCCAGTTTTTCTCTCTGTGCCCTCAGTTTCCTCATCAGTCAAGGCGAAACGCCCCAAAACTGACTGAAAAATAGATTTTGTCTATGTCAAAAGGCAAAGAATATGGCATAAGAAACTGCACATCAACTGCAAAGAAAGGTAAAAGAACCGCAAAGTATATTTGTCCTGAAGTTTTGGTGCAAACAAAAACACAGAACTGTGATTAAAAAGCCAGTAATCACAAGAGAATATGCTACAAAAATGATTTTTTTTTCAAGTTTTGATGGAGGAGTTTAGAAGATTCTTTAGGAATGTGACATATTGTGGAGGGAGTATGCAAAGTTTACATTAGGAAAAGCAAATAGGCATAATCTGCCACTCAGTCTGCCTGAATCAACTGTGAAGTTGCATGAAGCATTTCTTCATCACTGAAAATACAGACGAACATCCTTCTTTTAAGGGGCGCAAATAACCAATGCTAGTGAGAATCAATAAAAACACAGACTGCATCCCTCACACTGTCTCTGCACTGACACTCAGCTCTGTAGACCACTCCTCAGATCCATCTCTCAATCGCTCCTCAGTCTCTGTAATGAATCCATTGGTTGGACACCTGGTCCTAATTAAATTGCATTAAAACACAATGAGCATGCATATTTTCACAATGGGCTGCCACAGTGGGAATCGAACCCCTGACCCCGGGTCAGTGCCATCGCCCACAGAGCAACAAAGGCCCATGTTGAACATATAGATTTCACAGATGGAGGCCGAGGAAGCAGCTGCCTGGTGCCTTTCAGAGAAGAAGAAGAAGAAGAAGAAGCTGGGTGTAGTTTTTACTGTGCGTACATGACATCAGTGGAGAGGCATGAGTCCCTGTGTGTGACTGTTACACATGTATTGTTGTCTGTAGAGAGCGGTTTGATGCCTGACGCCTGAAGCATAATAGAAGCACTGAGGTGGTTTGAGCAGAGCTGGAGGACTGAATGAGATGTTAATGGCTCTGATATTTAAGCGCTTTTTTATTGTCGCGGCCGTTTGGCTCAGAATCTGATTTGACTTTACATGTGGTTCAACAGGATCCGATCAAAAGGCTTTTAAAGCTTCAGTGCCTGACTCTCAACATCTTGAAGATGTTTCCTTTGACCATATTTTACAGTAAACCTCATGCTCTTTGGCTTTTATTATAAAGATCTTGTTATATGGACAAAAACACAGACCAGAAATCACAGAAGGGGAACAAACGGTACAAGACTATGATATACAGAGAAACATTACAAATTTAGAAGCATGAGAGATCAGATTTCTCCAGACCCCTCAGATCTTTTGAAGATATTAAATTCTGTCGATGATGAAATCTGCAACTACTTTTTGATTTTACTCTGAGGATCATTATTCTGGAGTTGTCTAACTATTTGTTCACGCTGTCCCTCACATTTTTCCTCAGATAGACTCAGACTCCCTGAATGCTCTTTTTTATTTCTCAGTCATGTGACTAACCTGGTGTAAATTCACCTCATGAGAAAGGCAGATGTTTATCCAGCTGTTGTTTTTAGCATTACACAACTTTTTTAGTGTTCTGTTCTCCCTGTCCCAACTTTTTGAAACTTGGCATCAAACGATACAATTTTCTGGTTTTGACTTTATGTTGTCTTTGCACTATTTTTAAGTCAACATTGGCTTTAAATGATTTATAAACTGTCAAAATCCACTTTAACCAACTTGTGGGGAATGAGGGTTGCCAGGGACATGGAGTATATATTGAACTTGACTTTTAATCTATTTGGAAAGCACAAAAGTTTAGATTTGTGGTCTCTAGCAAATAAAAGACAGACACAGTAGTTCTTCTGTCTCAGCGTTTAGCGAACTGATTGGATTTCCATGAAGTAACTATTATAAATGTTCTTCCTTGAGCTGCAAAACCCTGCTGCACTCGGTGATCGACTCATCAGGGCTCCCCTACAAACAAGTGGCTGCCGGAGGAGAGCAGGTGATTTGTGTTTAGTCTCTTTGCTAAAGAAATCAGGCAAAGCTCAAAAGATGTTTGGTGGCTAGTACTATGGCTGGGACCCTATATGTACTGTTGATGAAGTTAGGTGCTGTTCTGAGCATTATTTGTGGCTATAGAGTGGCTTTTTGGTTGAGGTTTGCATGTGGAGACATAAACCGCTGTGTATTGCTATCCTGTGGTCGTTACTAAAGTTGGTATAACTAGAGAAACAAGCAGTGGGCAACATTCATCTCTAAAGGGGGTGTCTAACTCTGTGTTACGGTGTGTTTGACTATGACTTAAATTTACGCCAGAATATCCCTTTAAGACAGGTCTCTATAATAAAAGGGTTTTTTCTTCTCTCTCAGACTTTTTTCCCCTGTTTAAAGTCCAGTTTACCAAAATGATTGCAGTAATTTGTTATCATAACACAACCTCAGATCTATGACTGTATCACAAAATGATGTAACTTCTCTCATTAGGATCAAAAACTCACCCTGAGACATTTTTTCTGAGGCGCTTGGACTCCCTAACACAGAGTCATAAATTTGAGGGTGCTTCACGGATGAGCAGAGTTTAAACTGTGGGGTAAATCACTCCTGGATACCTTTGCCTCAGATCATTCCCAACATCTCAGATTTCTGAAGTATTTCTCCGGGCAGAGGTCATGAAAACAAAACACTGTGGGAAGAGGAACCAGTCAGGTGAATGTTGAGCAACAACTCTGTCTACAAGCTGACGCCAAGATACACACTTACAAAGCATTATCTGTATCCCAAGAGACCCAGGATCTACAGATCCACCTCACAGATTAACCACGTTTTCCACACACCCTGTTAAATAAGCAAATAAGGAGCTCTTAACACCAGAGCCAAGGGTCTGCCTCAGCCTGGAACTTCACACTCTCACTAACCAGCCGACACTTCCTTAATAAGATCAGGATCAGTGCTCCTTTAACTCGAGGACCCCCCGAGGAGGAAGAACAGGAGGTGAAGCGTAAACCCGGATGTACACATGCACATATGTCATCAGCAAACATTTAAATCCTTGAAGGACTACCTCCTGTCGATGTGCACTTGTAGCATTGTGCAGCCTGCAGAGCTAGACAAATATGAGGTTGAGTTTTCAGTGAGTTTTAGCACACAAATGAAGAGTGGAGAAAAGTTGATGCCCTCCTTCCTTCGCTTTTTACAGAGCACTGTATCTGCCGCCCCATCTGCCACAGCGCTGCGTCTCACTCTGGCAGCCCTGCAGGTTAAACACACACACTTACACACACAGATCATTCTTTGGCAGAGCACCAACATCAACACTTTTTAAGACATGAGGAACACCAAATAGGGTGTGGGAGTATGAGCTTCACAGACTCAATGGCACAAAGTAGAGAGGGAAAGAGAAAGGAAACCTTTGTGTCTTTGTAAATGATCACCTCTCTTTCGCGAACACACTCTACCAAAGACACAAAAAGCTGCCATAAAAAAGGCGCAACAAAAGGCAGTGCAAGTGTCACTGAAGGACAAATGGCAAGAAAACAAGAAAAACCCACAGAGCCACAACTGAGGCATGACAACCTAAACTAGACTCACAATCAGGAGACGGACTACCTTCCTGAAATTCATGGCACTGACAGGGTTTGACCTGTAAGCCTCAGAGAATCTGTGCGCCGTCTTTTAATTCCTTGATGTGTATAAAACAACAACGGTGCATTGCAAAGATCAGGGCAGTGAGCCCCTCCCCGTGTCCTGCAGTCCTCAGACTGTGTTTAGACCGAGAGATCAGACATCCGTAATCTCCATTGTCCCGTCCTGAGCAGACGACAGGGTCCAACCATGGCCCACTTTAACAAGCAGGGCCATCTGTAGAGTCACAGATGGTCCCTGCGAAGTCTGCAGGTTCCCACATTTAGACAGAGGGTTAACCTGATACCAGCAAGAAATAAAACACACACACAGGGCAGAGAGCAGAGCGGAGGGGAAACTCTTGCTGCCTCTGATAAGTCGTCATAATCCGCCTCGGTATGCAGTTTATTATGTTTTTGAGTCACAGCACGTATTTTTCAGGTCATATCTACGCCTGCATCGCAACTCCCCGTCCACAACCTGGATCTCCTTAAACATGCTGCATATGCTTCAGATTATTTCTTTCTCTCTACGCAAAGAAGTCTTTGATCCACCTCAGTCCACTCCCTTTAGAGCTACACCTCGAAAAACAAAAGGCTGCTCCCCTCATGGAGGAGTCTAACTTATTCAAACTAACAAGAAAGTTTATCAGCTGAACACGAAACGCTTTTATGATGGACATGAAGCTGATAAATGAGGCCTTTCTGTCACAAACTGGTGCCACTGGGACCTTTAGTTTGAGAGTGAACAAACAGAGTGGGGCAATAAAGCCGGGGCCGAGACAGGGCACACTTTAAGGACACATGTAGTGAAAGAATTCAGATCAATGGGCGTCAGTGGCTCCTGCCAAATTGGGACATTTCTTCCTTTAGAAAAACTGCTGCCGAGGTAACAGTCCAAACATGGAGAGAATAGAGACTTCCTACCGTCAGCATCATTCAAACAAGTCCCGTGATCCACATATCTGCTGCTGATTGGCTATTGGGTGTGAACCCAGTATGAGGGCCTTGACCTTGACCCCCTGTTAAGGTAGCTGGGAGACTTTGAGGTCTGATAGTGGAGTGTGGTCTGGCTTTGTGTCCCTCAATGGAGACGTAATGAGTCACACAAAAGTTCCCAGCAGCCGGCCAGCTGGCACGGCGCTCGCCTGCACAAAGAGGTCTGCGAGGGTAGGCCTTCACCCAGCGCTGCTCCGTTTCAGCGTGGCAGCCATTCAATCCCTGCTTTCCATTTTCATTTGTACGAGTGCTTTTATGTCCCGATCTCGAGTTCGACATGTGGCTCTCTGTGCGTGCCTGTCTTTCCTGGAGGGATCATCTGACTCTCTTTCACTCCACGGACGGCCTGGTGGGGCTTTTGATCTTCTTGGTCAAGTTGATGCTTACAGACCTAAAGCCAACAGATGATTGATTGTACTAGGGATGCACCCGGATGTCAGGCTGTACTTGACCCAGAGATTTGTTATACAGATCTAATATGGTTATTCAAAACAAATATTCCACTATTCTATGTTTTTATTTCACTTTGGCGCCATAAAAAAACCTCTAAATGAGCCTTGGTGATTCTGAAGTTTTCCCTTAAAAGATTTTAGTTTTTATATCTGTCTTTGCTGTCCAAACAATCTCATGCAAACTGCTCTATAAAACTCTGACCACTTATTCAAGGAGACTGTTTTATTCTGTATGTAATGTCTCTAAAACACACAACTGTACTATGGACTGTGCTGTTAGCTGGAGGCTACGTGGAGCCATGTTTTGAAGTTAGTTGGAATAAGACTGCAGTTTTCATGGCTGCTAACTGGATTTTCCAAAATCTCTGCTGGTCAAACCATGTTTGAAGTCAGTCAGAGAAAACTGGGACTTCATCTGTAATTGAGTTTACATGCAAATGCACCCTGCGTGTTTTGAAAGTTTGTGGAGATTGAAGCAGGATTAACTTCTCAAGCATACACAGGTTTGGGTGATTTGCATATTCTTACATTTTCTGAAGCTTGTACCTCAGAAAAGAATGAACCATCTTTAGTTTTTAAAGATGGAGAGAAATGTGCAGGCATTTGTGATGCAGTTTCCCACAGTTTGTCAGTGCACTTCATAGGAATTAGTCTTGCTAATCCAGTTTTCTATGAGGAAGCAAAACAAACTCCACTGAAAAACAGCACATCAGAAATCCGGCTCAAACTTCAGTCACTGACCAGATCAAGATCACAGTTAAACTCTGTTAAACTTCCACTGTCTTCAGCTGGAGGGCAGGGTTTTAAGGTTTTATTGTAAGATGTAAAGACAGGTCTTATAAAATATAAGTCTGGCACTGAATGGAATTGCTTGGTGATGTTGGGCCACGTAACGATGTTAAAGAGTTGGAAGGAAAAGCGTCCCACACAAGGAAAAAGTTACAGACCGGCTGAAACACACAAACAAACCCTGACGTCTGCTTTGAGTTTAGCAGTATTCCCAAGAGTACTCATGCAGGAGGAGAGAATCTAAATGAAAGTCCGTGTCTCTAATGAAAGACACCTTCCACTGCGCTGCAGGCTCCACCCAGCTGACGGACAACAGATGGAGCTTCTCAGCTGGTAACAACACAGCAGCACCTCCAGGTACTCTCCCTCCAAACACCAAACATGTCCCAGTACCATTTTTAAAACAGCTTGAGGGAGGGAAAATACACTGCTGAAGAAGTGATGGGAACAATCCACAGCGGGCTGACCCTATATCGACTCTGTGATGCAACAGTGGCTGACAGCCCTCGCATTTCCCACAAACGACTCATCATCAAAAGTTATTTCCAGGAACTATTTCTCAAGGGTCTGATGAAAAAGACAAGTTGAAAACAAAGAGTACATGCCTAATGAAACCTCGCATCAAGAAGGTTTTAATATGCACTTTCAAACAACAACACTGGACAGCCAAAGCCGTTTATTTATTCTAAATAAATGTTTTTCAATCAGTGAAGAGTTTTCCTCCAATTCGACTCACTTTGTCACTATTTCATGACTTCTTGTGATGGCACTGTTGACATCAATGAGAGTAATGTGAACTGATCCAATTGGCCACAGGTGGAGCTGAGGTAGATCACAGTTCGATAGTGATGTGCAGCTGTGACAGAATTTAAGAGACCAACAGATCACTTTTTAAACCAGAGAGAAGAAAGACACAAACGACTAGGGCTGAAACGAATCCTTGAGTACCTTGATTGCAAAAAATGATTGATTTCTCTGCCTTGTGTACTCTTTTCAAAGCTCAAACAGTCACTGTTTTACACAGATTATTTTCAAGGTGACACAACGCACTTACATCACCATGCGAGAAGGAGGAGTAAGCGCAGTTTTGGTTTTGCAGAGCAGAAAAAATGAATGATGAGAGGGGCTTTTCTTCTGCAGAGCTCCAGTAACTCATTAGCACTTTGCCTCTGAATCATGGGTGGAGACAGCGCTTGTAGCCTAACTTTGCCAGTGTAGTAAAAGTAGCAGGTAACTTGGAGCTATTCAGCTCCCAGACACCAATGTCTTAAGGGGCATGATGAAAGCTAATATCATAATTAGATTTCTTACGAGTATTACCATCCGCTAACAAACACGATTGTTGCACGATTGTTCCGCGATAATTGCACTTTAACTGCCACTTTTCTTTCCAATTACTCAATTAATCGATGGAGTATTTGGTAGAATACTTGATTACTAAAATATTTGATAGCTGCAGCCCTACAAACGACTTTTTTTCAGCTAGTCGTCATGAGAAGTAGCAGTTTGATTCCACAGAAAATATTAAATTTCAGTAAGTTAGAAAGTGTCTTGCTTACATAGGCGATACCTGCGCAGTACGTGTTTTTAAAATATTATTAAAGGATTATTGTTTGTGAACACAAATATGAACAGGGACAAAGTCACAGACAATATGTTAAACAAGCTATTAATGATGATGACTACATTCCCATATTGTAACATTTCTTACATTTTGTAGGCAGTCATGAAGGGGTTAAGAAAACGTCTCCATTTTAGTCAAGGTCATGTTTCATGTTTCAAATGACTTTTTTTCTGCTAGTCGTCAGTTTGCCCGTCAGCAGTTTGATTCCACAGAAAATCTTAAATTTCAGTAAGTTAGAAAGTGTCTTATGTAGGCAGTCATGAAGGGGTTAAGAAAACATCTACATTTCAATCAAGGTCATGTTTCAGGAGGAAACAACAACTTAACAAAGCGCCGGCTGAAACGACCTTTGGCACACACCTTCTGCGGTGGCATCAAAAGATAATCTAAACACAGCCTCCTGTTTGAAGTCACCTTTCTTCCTCTTGGCTGCCGTCAGTCCTCAATATTCACTGTTGATTCCTGGGTTTCACTGTCGCCCACAGCATTCATAACTTCACCAAAATAACCAAGGAGAGAAAAGGTTTCCAGGCAGTTTTCCACCCATCCCAAACTGTGGATTATGTTAAGCACTCTGCCGTTAAGGAAGATCAGTTTTTTCCTCGGCAGCAAACAAAGCTGATTCTTTCAACATCATGATTTGAGATTCTTGATAATGTTGTTCCAGAAGAAAAGAAAAGACTGAAGCTTCTTTTAATCTAACATTGTATAAATAAAAATGAAACTCTGGCAGTATGTCGCTCTGATGGCTCTCCGCCTGATGACAGTTTGCCAGCACAGACTGGGCTAACCATCAGAAAAGCCTGACAGCAGCTATGATCGGGGGAACTGGGTCTGTCCCAAATATTATTTCATTCTAGCTCTTCCAGTCTTTCCATCCCAGATAGTTCAGTGTTCAGGGAGTGTAAACGCAAGGATTACACACTCAAAGCTGACAAGACTATTAAGCTTTTCCAACACCAGCCTCATACCAAACCATGTTTTACACCCTGGCTCACAAGAATAATGATGTTCAAGACTTGAATGTTCACAGGGACCAAAGAGAGCTCTTACATTGGCAACAAACAGGAGGGACAAACTGGGTAGACTTTAAATATGGACTGGGTTTTGGTAAGGGTTACATGAGTTTGACACCACAGTCAGACCAGCTGTATAGACTCTGTTGGCACGGCAACGCTCAACTTCTCTCAGTTTAGAAAGTTCAAAATAAGAAAGAAGAAAAGCCACGTCAGCGAACAAGAAGCTCAAAAAACAACACGACCACTACACACAAGGACAAGAGTGACCAAAACCTTCTTGTTCCTCTGTTTCTTAGTTTGTTTTTTGTGTTTGACTTCTTCCAGGTGCATGATGGGAAATAATCTCAACAGGAATCTAAATATAGTCTTGCAAAATCCTGACCCTGCAGGATCCCCTGTCTAAAAGCCTGCAACTACAATGCACAAAGATGTTCAGTCTACTGCACTTTTCCAGAGCTCTCAAAACACGACCGTTGACTGTTAAGGGCTAAAAATGCTGGTTATAGCCAAACCCTAAACATGACATTTAGAGAAATAAATGAATGGCTTTTGAGAAATGACTGACTCAAACAGAAATAGTGGATATAGGGACACAGGAAATGCTTCCTATTGTGCAGAAAATGATAAAACAACAAAGTGTTTACTTCCAGGACAAATTTTAAAGACTTTTTGGAGGCACAGCTTACTGCCAGTCCTACACCTATGATAACTTTATATTTAATAATATAAATAGTTTAACTTTCCATTGTTGTAAATGTCCATTTAAAAGGCAAGAATCTGCTCTGATGTGAAGTCTACTGATCTGAGAAATCTGCTGAGTATATTGAATTAAATATAAGTCAGCAAAACATCAGGACCAAGGTTGCACCAGCCAGATCCAAAACTGCAGAACCGAAGACTCTGTTCTGGGAGTGCTTTGGCTTCACTATTGTCAAATGAGAGGAGATGAAAAGGCTTCATCCACATGTATCTACAGTGGATGTTACGTCTTGGCCTCCCAGGTGTGCTCTCAGCCTGCTCTTGTTTGTCCTGGTAGAAAGACACCTTTGTTTAACTTGTATAGTACGTATAAACTGGTGTATTCAGACTGGGTTAACCATTTCTGGGCTTCCATTGTAAAAAAAACACAACAATGCAGCATCTCTTTCAGTTCATGTTTTCAGCGCTCAGGTGTCAGTGGAAGTTCCCTCCAGGTCCCCACTCAACAGAGAGACCTTTAGACCAGTAACTGGATCCTTCTTTATGGGATGAGAGAGTACATTTCTTAGAAACGTGGGAGCGAGTGATGGTAAACTATCGTTTTCTGTGTCCTTCATTTCCAAGGAAATATTCTGAAGCAAGACTGAAAGTTCCATGAGTCATGTGATCAGTAAGAGAAACAGAAAAGAGACCTGCGACTCTCCTGAAGCCTGAAGATATTTGATGGTTTATCTGGATGCAGGAAAGTCCCAGACAAGCCCAGACACTGTTTTACAAGTAACACACCCTCATTTAGAAATTAATCAAATATTAACCCATATAAATCCAATCACTGGTCAGTTAATGTTTAATTCATTGGATATCTCACTAAAAACAGAGCAGGTCATTCGTTTTCATAGCAAAGCACTTTCTGCAGCTAAAACAGGATGGACTCTCCCCAGTGGGGCTGCTGGGAGCGGGCCTGGCCGAGTCTCAAAATAAGAAACTGGGATACAGAGATGAAGTGAGAGCGAGAAAGAGAAAGAGAAAGAGAAAGAGAGAGAGGCCTAGAAGCTCTGAGAGGAGGGGAACAAAGTCTACGAAAAGCCTGAGGGAACAGGCAGGCACAGAAATTTACTGGCAAGGATAAAAGATGAATCCGGATGGCGAGGAAACGTCCCAGAGCAGGAGGAGGAGGAGGAGGAGGAGGGAATTAAGGAGCGAGAGACAAAGGCCAGTCCAGGAGGGTGAAGGCATGTGCGCTTGAATGCACACTAAGCCTGGCAGAGGAGACTCGTCTTCTCACGCTGACCTGTGTGGAGGCCTCCGGTCATTCATAGTAACACTCTGCGTGGGAACATAAAGACGACACACACCTGGCATGTAACCAAGTAAAGTTCAAGAGTATGCAAGACCAGCACCCTGTCTGCCCGAAACTGAAAGACTTTCCTGGTGAGATGCGGTGTTTTCACTGATCTTACACCCGGTGTCAAAGCGACGCTGTTCATTGGCTGTAATGTGTTGACGTGACGATAAACAGACCACCTTAAAGCTCTGTGTGCAGGCCAGAGACGCTCGTTCACAAACACTTAAACAGCCTGATACGAGGTGCCTTCCTCCACTTACACTTAAAGTGTAAATCAGCGTGACAAGTGAGGGCCCACAGGACTGAACAACCACAGCAGGAGGCAGATAAGACCATGAGGAGGGAGTCTGCTTAAAGTCCGAGGGGAGGAGAGAGTGGACTTTTAGATCACAGGGACATTCGACAACAAAAACACACACAAAAAAGAAATGAATAATAAATAGATAAAAATGACAGAGGTAAATTTGAAGTTTGTTGAACGTGCTGAGTGAGGTTTTCAATCAAGTTGGTCAAAGACAGTAACCACTCACATCAACAATCTGTAAGTTTCACAGGTGATACTTTGACTTTTTGGAAAATACCTTTGTAGAACTTTTCTCTTTCATTTTGTAAATTCTTATTTATCAATTCATGTCCTTTCTATAGCCTTTCTGATATTTAGTGTTTATTTTAATAATTTCTTTTCACTTTTGTTAACTTTGCTTTTGGATTAGACACCAACTCGTACTCACATCCCAGTGAAGTCGATTCATCTCAACTTTCCCAAAAATTTCAGCAAACTAAGATTACTGTAGTCGAACTGTGATTTCTGATAACCTGGTGGAAATTTTATGTCATATACTGTGGTTAAAATAAGAGTTACAGAAAAGTTTCAGGTGGATATTGTGTTCCTGTTGCCATAGTAACAAATTATTGCCCTCCTGCAGAGACTTAGTAGGGTTGCTCCATTGCTGCTAGCTTCAGGCTCTTACGTACTGTCATTTAAAGGTAGGATTATTTTTGCTCCTGTTACACCTCGTCTTCAGTGCGTACGACCAAAGGCATAATGGTGGGGTGGACTGAATCAGCCTCTGATCCTCCCTCCTGTTGAAGTAACAGAGGGAGGAAATTGGGGAAAAAGACGTCTAAGTGTAGTGTGTAAAAGTAATGCCAAGTTAAAGAGACCATCCTTCTGATTTTGCCTAATCAGATTTGAGTCTTCTTGTTCTACTTAGTCTCAACAAGTTACAAAATATCAGTCTACTCCTTTAAATCTTTTCACTTAAACTGACTGTAGGAGCTGAAACTTTGCTTTAAATATACAACAAAGGAGGAGGTTAAAAATGAAGACCAGACTGAGACAATTTTACAGATGAGGTGAAACCCAAAAGATCTGGCTGCCATACTCTGATCAGACCATCCCCGCACCCTCATATCCACAGGTGCTTTTCTTCCCAGCATCCCTTCTGTGATGGGGGGATGATTGATGAAAAGACTCTGAGCTTTAAAGACAGGACCCGGCTGATCCGCTGGCTCCCTCACAGAGGAGAGGTGAAGGGAGTTCACATTCCTGTTAAATCCCAGTCTAAACACCTGCATGGCACTCACTCTTTCACATGTGTTTCCTTCCTGTTCAAGTACAAGGTCATCCTCTGCTCACATTTCTGCTCCTCCAAGAGTTTTAAGACCTCGGGTTTGTCTTAACAGTGACATTTGTGAGAGTTTGATTTTAAATTTGAGAGTCACTCATAGAGCGTGGGAGGATTTTCTTCATAAAACACTCCCTTTTAAAAGACTTTATGCCACCGTGACTCACTCTCGGCATCTCAGATCCTTTATCTCTCCCTTCCTGTTAATCTCTCCCTCCAGATAACAAACCAGCAATTCTCCTGGGAGTGAGAAAATAAAACTTTATCATCTCTTCCTGCAGATATTCTCAGATGCATCCTAACCTTTCTGTGGGAATTATTCCCTTTGTATTATGTTTAAATCTGTTTTTGTGAGAGTGCTGCTCAGGGAGGAGACAGCAGAGGAGCACAAAAGCCGGGCTGGAGATCATATCGTTTAAAGAGCCGAGAGGAAACCTACGCAGGTGGCCTGAAATGCTTCTGGCTTAGAGCGGCAGGGACAAAGACCAGCTGACAATTGTTTTACAGCCGCTGAGCTGTCAATGTTTCTGCAGGTTTCCACGGAAAAGAATGTGGGGAGGTGTCATAAACTACATGCTGCAGGAAAGTTAGTGTAAGGTGAAGCCACATGTGCGTTTGTTTTAGCTTCGAGGAAAATCAGGTAGTCCTGGCTACAGTTTTAAGAGGAAAGGGAGGCACACATGTGAGAGAAGACAGGCGGCTGAGCAGATGTTGAAAGGCGAAGGCAGGGAAAATTTCTCCTGACTAAGCAAAGGTGAGGTTACAGAGGCACAACGTTGAAGCCTCGAGGCCCAACAGCTGTACCAGTATACTGTTTAAGTATCTGAATGTGTGTACATGTTTAGTTTACTGTTTGCTTACAATCCTGTGCCACTGGTTCTTCAGCAACACCAAAACACACTGCAGATGAACACTGGGACAAAAATATTACACCTTAGTAAGGTAAGGTGACCAGATGTCTATGATATCCAGGAGCAGTCCACATTTTGGATGACCTGTCCCCAGATAAGGCTGGTCCCGGAAATGTTACGATTAAGCGTCTCATAAATGAAAAAAAAATGTTGTGTGTAAACTAGAACAACAATTATTACCGTAGCCGAGTAGGTCAGAAGCGTGAGTAAGCATGTTGTACGCAGTCCTGAACAACAATTTTCATGGGGGGTTATTATGGGGGCATGTGCTGCTACTAAGTAGTACTGAGTTGTTGTCTGTGATCACACACCCAAGATCCCCCTGCTCTCCAGAAATACAGGGCCTGAAATAACACCCCTGGATGTCCCCGGATTTCATTACAGAAATCTGGTCACCTTATAGTAAGGTTCAAAACAGGACCACAGAAAGGGCTGCTAGCTTAGCTACTGCTAGTTTCCTTCTTGGTGCTCCTTTTGTTTTAAGCAGGTTAACTCCAGCCATCATTGATAAAGATATAATCATGGGTTTGAAAAGCTATGCATAAGACAAACACACATGCACATTGCACACAAACACACGCACAAACACACATGCACGCATGCATACACAAATCAGTGTTTGAAACTATGATAGATGTGTATTTCAAAAGCAAAACATAGAGCTCTTGTTGTAGGCTCATGCAGGAGTCTGGCATGCAAATGAAGTGGAATATAGAGAAAAACAGACTAATCCTAAGCTACAATGGTCAAATCTGTTTTTAATCAGACTTCTGAGTGTTTGATTCTTATAAATAAAAAAATGTCACAGCAGTTCACTGGCTGCTTTCAAACTGAGAGAAATCACAAAAATAAAACAAATATGTAAAATAAGCTGACTCCAGCTCCCCGAGTGACGACCTGAACTCCTGAGTATACTTAGTTGAATTGTTGAGTTAACTCTGACGGTCTAATCACCTCTGGTCCAGTTCTTGGTATTACCGGTCCACTGGTCTGTGGTCTTTCAGGATCATGTCAAATGTTAAATCTCCTCTAATTGGCCGGACAAGTCTTTAGAGCCTGGATGATAAGCATGATGGGGGCGGCTGTGTTTGCTCTTTTGTGTTGTGAGGGGGAGTGTAAAAAGGGTTAGAGGTTTGAGGTCAGTTGGCTTTTAAGGTCATGGGGGGAAGATGGCTGCCCCCCCTCCCTATTATTACTCCAGGACATTGTCCTGTTGGTGTCCCAGAACTCCTTGAAGGGTAAAAACTGCTTATGTGTAAGAAGAAAAACAAACCTGCTTTTTTTTTGGTATCTTGCTAGAGTTTGACTTCTTGCTGATATGAGTTTATGGAACAAAATCTACAACCTTCAATATTTTCATAAAGGATACCAAAATAATTTCTTCCCAATGTAGATTTTCCCAGAGTTCAAATGCTTTGTCAGAACTTTCCAGTAACAAAACATCATCTGTCTGGACTGTTTTTTGAACCTTGACTGTCACAACATCAGGTGGTCATGAGGGTCCACTATTAGTGTGTTTTCACTTAAAGGTCCCGTTTGGTGCAGTAAACTCTGATCTTGCTCGTATTTCTATGGCAGACTGTTCCTGGATTACCTTAGTGTCTCACACGGTAAATCTGCTGGCTGAATAATGGCCTGAAAAACACTTAAATTTTGTGGTGCGTGTTACGAGATTAGATTTATCAGACTGCGGCCATGAGCAGCACATCTAGCTTTATGTTTTCTGCAAGCCACAAATACATAGAAAATTATAAGCTGAGGGCTGCAACTGTTTTGTATCAACTCTATTGATGTCAAAACCATGAAAAACAAACAGGATGCACTTTGAGATTACTTTTAAAAGTGAAAGCCTGGCCTATTTTTCTTTGGAGAGAGATTTCGTGTTTTTCACACAATCCTTTTTTACTATGAAGTTGCGTCCGGGATGGTTATTTGATGAAAGAAATCATTTGCACCACTCTTTATCTAAATTGAGGTGAACTTTTGCTCGAAAAAAAGTAGTTATTCAGAACTTTGGTTACAGGTAACGTATGTTGATTATCAAATAACATCCGGTTTATGGGAAACATTCCCTCTTTTGAAATCTACCACTATCTTTGCAGCCAACTCTGCGTCCCTCTCTCTGCTCAGCTGGTACATAAGTGTGAATTAGGGAGTTGCTTCAAGTTTGGAAAAAAGCTTCAACAGACACCTGAATCTAAGTTTGCTTCTGTTGGCATTGGATTCATGCACATATGAAAAGAGAAAATATATCTGTCTGGTCTTAGTGCACGCATACCTTAAGGTGCACATAAACTCCAGGGCACTGAAAAGGTTGATAAAGACTTTCAATAGTCCTGCAGAAGAGAAAACAATCCACTTTTATCAACAACAAACTGGAGCTTAACTCTGTCTGGAGGGACCTGATGGTACAGAAACAGGAACCGTTCACATGCATACCTTCCAGCAGAGAGGCCCTAAACTCACTCAGCACATTTGTTGGTCCTGTAACCTGAAAATATACAGAGGAAGACAGGCACAGGGGTTTAAGGTGAGCGTGTGGACGCCCACACTCAGCAGCACTTGCTCTCATGGAGGGTCCCACCGCAGGAATGTAAAGTGTAATCACTCACACATTTCCCTGGAGCAAACCAAGCGATGAAAAAGCTTCCCCTTAATTTTAAGAAAACGTCTCCTTTCATCAACAAACACAGACTCAACCCTCCCCCCTGCAGACTCAGCTCCCTCCCCTCCATCTCCCCCTAATCACACCAGCCATCTAGGGCCAACTTAAGGAGCACGCGTGGGGTGCAAGGTCCCAGAAGTGCAAGCAAGCACTGTGGTTTCCTGGTCACTGGTTTTTTGGAATGCTTGACCTGACAAGACGGCTGAAAAGAAACCACTTCAATCAGAGCCGGCCTGTCCACCGAGGGCCGAGGTGCTGAGACACTCATGAGGTTAATGGAGCTGAGCAGAGGCGGAACCTGGGGTTCAACTTAGTGCATGTCTTATTTTAATGCCAAACCACTCTGATATCAAAATATGATCCTGACAGTGATGTGTTTATGTCTTATTACTGAGTTGCACTGCAAAACATCGAACAAAGATGTCAATGTGTTCCAATCTGGGAGTTTTTTTTTTTTTCCGATCCTAAAACTGCAGAGTCAGAACACTGAATGTGAGCTGTGAGGAAGTGGATCTGGGTCTGCATGGATGGGATAAGGCATCAAGGCTGTCTGGGACTTCTCTGTGTCTGTCTGCTTCAGGGGAAGAGGGAGGGGCTGCTTGTTGCAGGAATAAATGAGGCAGCCTTTGAAACCTGCTCTATAATTAGCAGGGTACTATATCACCAGCAGGTTGTCTGGACCTGCAGAAAAATGCTCACAGTTCTGATAATGAAAGAGAAAAAGGGGAGGTGATCCTGTTCTTAGAGGTGATTCAGGATTCACTGAAGCACTTTTTCTTTTCTTCGTGGGGATGATTTACAGTCTTTGTTCATTTCACGGAAAGAGGATGAGGCTCAGCGTTTTTTTTTAGATCTGAGCCAACATTAACATTTTGCAGGGATTGATAAAAACCAATGGGATATTCAGGCGTAATACAAAGTTTGGGTCAAACACACTGTAACAACGAGTTAGCCCCGAGAGATGAATGTCCCCGACCACTTGCTTCTCTAGTTATACCAACTTTAGTAACGACGCACGATAGCAATACACAGCGGTCTATGTCTCCACGCGCAAACCTCAACCAAAACGCCACTCTATAGCCACAGATAATGCTCAGAACACAACTGAACTTCATCAACGGTACATATAGGGTCCCAGGCACAGCACTCATCAAACATCTTTGTAGCTTTGCCTAATTTCTTTCGCAAAGAGACCAAACACAACTCACTTACTTTCCTCCAGCAGCCGCTTGTTTGTCAGAAGCCCTGATGAGTCAGTCACCGAGTGCAATGGGGTGACGCAGCTCAAGGAAGAACATTTATGATATTTTCTTCATGGAAATGCAATCAGACCAAGACTCTAAGGCAGAAGAACTACCGCGTCTGCAGTGCAAAATGATTATTATAATGATTATTACTTCAAGGAAATGATCAACTGCACTCGGTGATTGCCTCATCAGGGCTCCCCCAAAAACAAGCGGCTTTTTTTTCCAAGTGTGGCTTGCAGGGCACTGATTTAAGTTGCCATGACCATACCATAAAATTAAAGCCATTTTATACATGCAAAAGAGAGTGCCTTAAAAATGGTAATTTTGCAAGTTCTCTATATTGTTGTGTTGGTGTTGCAGGAACATCCTCTCACATGTTGTAGTGATACACTAAAATAGTGTCCATCACAGATGCCCTACATGCACCATGAAGTCAGCTGCCTGTAAATCAAACCAGAGTATGCAGAGTCGTGAGAGCTTTTTTAAAAGGAAACTCTCATGCCATGAGGAGCATGTGTGAGCAGCAAATTCCTGAAAAAAATATCAGCCCTGAATGCCCTAAAATTATCTCATGGCAAAGGGCTCAGGGCTTTATACAAGCAGCAGTCATGAAACTTGGAGGTTATGGCAGTGAAATACTGCCAATGACAAGCTCTCGTTGTTTTTGCCACTGAATGCTTCTTCAATCCAGATATAGGACTGTATACTACTCTCTTTAGAGTCACCTGACTCTGTTCATGTAAAATAGACTACTCTTGGAGCAGGACCACAGCACTGACATAGCCTTTGTCGTGTTGCTCGATCACTTCTGTAGAAGTCATGATAGATAATGAAGCTCAGAGATGGTGATTTAAAATGCTCCGGCCTCCCCTGCAAAGACCTCATGTCAGTCGACTCAACCACACCCCTATCATTAGCCCAATTCTGTAAAAACCTAAGCACTGATATCATAGAAAAAAGATGAAAAAAAACATTACTTATTTTACAAAGGGATAGGATGTTACAAGTTAAAAAATAATGTTCATCTCTGCTGTAAAATGAGCTTTTTAATCTGAACTTCAGTGAGGTTTGCTGGACTTTAGCAGCCAGCCCAAAGTAAATACCTCAAGAACTGCAGTTTTTGCATCGTCTTCATTTTCTGTCACCTGGGGCTGCAGCTTGTGCAGGTGTTGTAGGTCTACTGCTGCCTGGTATGATAAATTGTGTTTGCATTGTCTTACAGGGTTTTAAGTGGTGGATTTCGAGACGGTACGTGTAACAGACAATGACACAAGCCGTAAAAAGCAGCAACAGACGAGTAAATCTCTTGTTTTGTGTGGTATAATGACTGTTTTTCTTAATGGAGTCTGGTAGCTGCATGAGCCATGCTCCAGCTTCTCTTAATGAAAACAAAGATCCTGCCATAACAGTGGGGTCTATCTCTACAGGATCCTTTCTGTAATGTTGTCAGACACTTGAAACAACAATCCAAGCCTGTCATGGGCAAAAACAAGACATGCTAGTGGTTGTAGTTTGATAAGGAAGTTTCCCTGAAGGATTAGGCTGCAGGCACCACAGCCCGTTTCACTAACACCAGCTGTAGCAACATACTGGACTAATTGAAACCCTTTGTACCTTGAAGTAACGTTCAACAGAAATGTGCACTAACACTGGTGTGATATGTGTAGATATTGGTTGAAGTACAATGTTGTAATCCTGTTACACAGCTGTCAGACAAAAAGCTGTTAATATCTGTTTGCACAGAAACATAAAAAAGAGGGAATAAACACCAAAAAGAGTTGCAAAAGTGACCTGAGAAAACAGGACAGACAGAATCAATACCTTATCTCCCTGATAAACGCTCTGTTTGTTTATTGCAGCTGCTATGAATGAATGTGCTTAAGTGTGCAGAATTTACGGAAAGATTTAACTCTCTGTGAGAACATTTTTAAACAACTGACTGTCAGATTCAGCTTTTTCCATTTTTGCTTTAAGTTTAAGTCAGTCTGTGCAGGACTGTGTCAGACTCTTACTCCCTGTTATGTAACATTTCAGAAAAGACAATTTCTCTCTCCTGTGCTTTATGGCTCTTCGTGCTCTCCACTGTGCAGCCTTTCCGCTCACTTAAACAAGCTCTGAGTGAGATTAAGCGCCATGCATAAACGCCCCTCAGTTTCCATCCTTTCTCTCTTGATTTCACTCCAAGAGCCATTCCTCACTTCAGCTCTGTGACGCTCAAGCAGCTCGGCGAGCCTCGTGGCCTGTAATGAAAGTTTCTGCACATTATCAATGCTGCTTTAGACTCCACTACAGCAGCTCAGAGCATGAAAGCACATTAGTCTGCTCTCAGTTCTCCGCTCTGCATTTCATTGACCCAGTCTGGCCATTACAGCGGCTGGGATTGACTGAAAATAGTCAGTCTGAAACTACAAGTCAATGTTCAGTCTACGCCCACTGAGGTCAGCTGATGTTAGGAGGCACATGAAAGCCTCAGAAATGATAAAGAGTGGACATCTGGGCTACATCAGGAGGTTAAACTTATGATGAATACTTGTGAACATTGCCTCGAGTTAGGGCTGGGCGATATGGGAAAAATTTGATCACGATATATTGTTTTCATATCAGTTGATATTGATATATATCACAATCTTAAATGTTCCCTGTTACTCTTAAATTAATTTAACAGTGCTTATTGGTAGCATGTCTTTTGCAATACAATAAGCTACTCCATCTGTGAGGTCTTTGTGTCACTTCAACATTATGTCGTAAGGCGTTGCGCGAGAGAAAGCAGACTGAATGGTCGGTTTAGTGCGGCGAAGACCTGCAGCAACTCCCCTTTTCATTGGCTATTTGTATGGTCTACCAAAACATGGCATATTGACCATGTTTCATACTGATATTAAGGGAAATTAATTTTTGGTATATATCATTATCATTTTATCGCCCAGCCCTGCCTTGATTACATCCACCCAGTCATGATAGATCTTGACTTTTTACTCTTTACATTCGCACATCAGCTCAGCCCAACTTCCTTCTGACATTTCACATTAGTCTGGAGGGACAAAGGAAAAAAAAGATCACGTTTGCACCTAATTTAAATCAGGTCAGGCACTGTTTCAATTTAATCAGCTCCAGCTCCAATTCCAAATCAGGTCTTAGTTCTGATTCTAGTGCTGTGGTTTTAGATAGTTAAAAGAAAAAAAAAATTGTCACCAACCAGTGCCAAGTACCACTAAACAATTGAGAATACAGAACATTTCCAGTAGGGGGTGTCCCAATACAATATTGATATCGGTCTGATATTAGCAAAAAAACAAAAACAACAAATATCGGATTATATCAGCCTGCATCTAAAATCTCTGATATCAGCACTTCGATACAAGCAGTCCATTCCAGACTCCACTCTGGCATCTTTATCTAGCAGGGCCTGAATCCAGCATGCAGAACCCACATAATCACAACACTGTGTTCTCAGGTACTAACAAAGTAGTAAGGAGCAGGAGTGATGTAAGGGCTGTGTGGCATTTTTCATTTAAGTCTGATAAAGACATTGCAGCTGAGTGCTAAACTTGTCATGCACAACTTTGTGCCAATATCGGATCAATATCGGTATCAGCCAATACTGCAGGCTACAATATTGGTATTGTATTGGAAGTGAAAAATGTGTGTCGGGACACCCTTAATTTCCAGCACTGTTTCCTCGTTCATCTCACCCTCATCATTAGAGTAAACTGACTTTCCACACCACAAGGAGTCTGCCTACAAAACCGGGGGTTTGAAAGGTGCTCTTTGAACTCATATACAAAATATATTAACATATAAAATGTCAAGTTTGTGAAGTGAAGTTTAGTCAAGTTCAGCCAAAGTTTAGCTAATCTTTCAAGCACTTGCTGAGGTCGACCATGATGTACTGCATCACATGTGTCACGATGTTACACAGATATAGCAGCAGGTAAGTCAAACTCACTATAATTCCCATTCCCAATCCTGAAAGATTTATGTTGCCTATAGAGACTGGAAACTGGGATTGAAAATCACATGCCTTTAAAATCCATGAATATTAGAAATTTGGAACAAATTCTTAATACTTGAGCCTGCAGTTGGATAAAGTTGGAAAGTTTCATGAGATGAACCCCAGGGATACTTTTGCATGAAATAGTCGGTCAGACCCTTAAACAAGGTCCAGGTTTCATATTCTTCATCATCTATTCATGGTCATGTAAAAGTGCACGCACATTTTAAACATGGTGCATGATGGTTAAAGCATATTCCAGTCTTGTAGCCATAATGAGCAGAGAGAGCAGGACACGGTGCCAAAAACGTGACCTCTTACTCTCCCGCTGTTTAAACATCTCTCTGAGGATCTGTGAAATGAAGCCTTTTCTGTTTTTGGTACTACGTGGCTAGTTCGGTTTGAGTGAGGAAATGAGGAATGTGGGGACCTGCCAGCCATGTGCTCCTGGACCAGAAAAAGCCAGAGGGCCACTTACAGCCACAAGTATTGCACACCCCCACCTCCCATCTACAGGGAGCTGCTGTAACTTAAAACCCTGCAGGGTGCTCAAACACAGAGCTGCGCTGCACGGCGAAGAGCTGTGATGGCAGTCAGATTATGATGGGGTGTCACACGAGAGCAGAGGGAGATGCCAGGCTTCTCATGACATGAAAGAGAGTTTTCAACCAAATTCTAATATTCAATTTTCAGAAAACTTTCCTCCAAACCATCTTGTGTTATTTCTAGATTTGATTTCCACAGTATAAATAGAGCCATCAGTCAATCAGACAGTAAAAGCATCACTCCAGGGTCTATATATGGACCTGCCTGTGTGCTGAGTGCAGCTCTTGTGTTGTTGACAAAGAATGAAAGGCTTGATATGAGACAGAGTGAAAGTGAAAGAGAGCCTTTACACTTCTGTGGAACCAAACACATGTATCAGCGTCGAGCCAAAGCTGCAGAAATATGAAAATTTGACCAACGACTGAGAAGATGTGGAGAATAGATACATGTGTGGACTGGACATTTATTTGTGTTCATGTTAGAGTGATGAAGGTTCAGATGTAGGGAGCTGAAAGGGAAAAATAACTTCATATTGTAAGAAAGCCTGTAATGCATACAGACCCTTCACAGAAACTCATACTGGTCCTTGTGAGACCTCACCTGTAGGGGTCAACATCTGACTCTGCAGAATTCAACATGGCATCTGCAGCTGTGTCCTCCTGCAGTCGTCTCGGGGACAAGAGGAGTCACGGGCACATCACAAACCCACCTCCGCCTACTGAGCCCCCTTCCATGCTTCTACTGCTCCATTTACACTAATTGTCATTCAGATTAGAGGGGGGGTCTGCTGTTTAAGGCTGCCCCTGACACCATTTAAATGAAAAGCACAATTAAGAGTAATTAGGCTTTTCCAGGCAGAGAGGGGGTTTATCTGATAACAGAGCACGCAAGATCGTCTGCAGGAGGAGGAAATTTATCCGCTTTCATGTCATAATAATCATCACAAGGATTCTGACTATTGTCTTTTCAGATGCTGCTCAATCGGTGTCATATCGAGGGGTTAGTGTGTTTATGCATTGGGTGCAAAGACGCTTTACAGCTGATGCTGAACCGTGGTTCTAGAAACTTGCAAAAAAACAAAAGAAGGTATGCATGCACTCCTGCTGAACACAGAACTGCATTCAAGGAAACTCTGAAAAACTCCAAAGTGTCACTTATGATCATGTGTTAATGCGCTATGGTGAATCCCCGCTTAGAGAGAAGCTTGATCTCACAAATATGAACTGGTGGAGCCGCTTTCAATCAGGCTCAAACTGTCTAAGGCCGCCTCTGACTTGAAAAAACAAGATATGAGCAAGATGACTCAGGAGATTTTCAGACCTGCTGCAAACCAGCTGATTGTAAGGGGCCAGGGAAACCAGTCAGCAAGAAAACAAGAGTCGCAAAAGTCTCTGCAGAAGTCTTAAAGTTTTAAATCAGGTGAGTCAGGGTCTGTGTTTTCCTCCAGATAAAAATCCTCAGGCAGGCGAACCCACTCAGAGCCCACAGGAAGCAGGTACTGAGGGGCATGCACAGACCTGCTGAACCTCAACCAAAGTGGGGTAAATCCAGTGGAGTATGTCCGAGCTGCAGAAAGGAGTGAGCAGGGTCCCTTAAATTGCTTCCTGGAGAGTTGGTTTATACATAAACACACACCAATATCACAACCCCCCCTCCCCTAAAGACAGCCAGGGGGAGGTGGGGCACAGGGAGTAAAAAGGCCAGGCAATGGCCTCCTGCTTTGTTATCAGGGTCATGAATTCTTAATGGTGGTCAGGTAAAGTTCAACAGATGAAGAAAGCCAAACCCTATGTTGGTAGATCAGTAAGCTTGATATATCCAATTAAATGAGCTGTATGGTCTAAAAATGTTCGCACAAGTTCATGCCAACATCTTCAGTCATGCTCGTATGGAAATCTGGATTACAGAGAGGTAAAATAAAAACAGCCAATTCTTACATTAAAGACACAAGTATTCAAAACATCTGACTTTTTCCTCTCAACAAGAACCACACACACAATGCTGCTCCAAATGACTCTGCTACATTCTCCTTTACAACAATGTACAGGTCTATGACGAACCGCTGTGTTGGAAATTTGCATGTATTAAGTAACTCAATCAACCAAGAGGGACACACACACACACAGAGTAACTCAACTTTGAAGGTAAAAGGTGTAAACTTGAGCCTCCAAATCTCAGGGAATAGAGCCAAACAGTTCAAGAAGTCTTCGCAGTGCTAAAGATACCCTGTCCTCTGAGGTTTCAAAGCTCTTTTAAGCACTTCTGATCCTAGCGCCCCCCGGGAATAAAGTCTTTATGTGGATGATGTGGTTTGCTTTTGTAGTCCATATAGAGATATAGAGATTTAGTCTATTTCACAACCAGATTAAAAGTCCTGTCTGGAGCTTTAAAGGAGCAATCTTTGTGAAAAGAAATGGATCAACAATACCCAAGTGACTTTCTCCACACATAAGTGAACTTTAATATGATGTAAGTGCATTATTCTTAAGCTAAAATACCCTTAAAATATGTTCTGCATGTTTGGTTATGTCTTGATAACACACAAAGTTTAACTAAATAAGTCAAGTTTCCAAAAAGTTAGTTCTGCAGACATAACATTCAACAGCATGAACTGAACTATTGCTGCAGCCACAAGTTACATAATGCAAACATATCTTACAGTTACTGTAATATTGCACACTCCTAAAAAACCTAGTCACTTTTTCTTTTAAAAAGAATATCACTTACATTGGGCACAAAGTTCTACTGTCCTGTACTTTAATGTCTATTTTCATTGTCTTGCAGCTCTGATTTTACCTGCTCCGTGTTTTGTTTTGCAGCATCATACTACGGCTCTCTTGTAAATGGAAACCTACTTGGCATTAACTCAACATAAGAGAGTAATAACAGAGTGAGGAGGAGGAGGCAGCTCGGGACGGCCAGGCTGTCACACACCCCTCAGCGTGGGAACACACATGACCACAGCAGCGTGCAACAGCAAAAAAAGCCCACAAAGCAGCACTTCACTTCACTGTGATTTTATCTTATTCAAAGAAACGTAACTTAGTCATTAAAATAAGTAAAGTAACTGAAAACAACACGCTTATTTATGACAATTTGACATTTTCTGCTCCAATAAAGTGGCTTCTGCGTCAGTCTAACATTTTTCTTTTCTCTCTCCAAAACTTTCTCCTACTCTCTGCCATAACCCGGCTGTAAAAAGTTATGGCAAACTTCACTGACTTTATTTTCACTCCCTTTCACAGTGTTGAGATGAAACCTGGCAGCATTTAAAGGTTAAAAGTTGAGGAAAAGGATGGTTCCTCCTCCTCCTCGTGTGTTTTCCTTGTGCAGTTTTCCCTCAGAGCCACGCGCGGGACGCACACATGCTCTTCATAGTGACTCCCACAGTGATAACAATAATGATCAAAGAGTGGGGTACTCACGCACTGCCTCCTGTTTGGGGTCCAGCTCGGTGCAGGTCTGCTGCAGCCCGCTGATTTTGCCCTGCAGCCCCCGGACCCGCTGGTTGGTGGTCGTGAGCTCGAGCTCCAGCTCCTGGAAAATGGAGCAGGCGTGCCGGGCCAGGTCCGACAGCTGGCGCAGGGTCCGGGATAGAGCCACATTACTGATGGTGACCAAATCCTCGTAAACCAGACCCTCCTCGTTCGGGATCTGATACCTGCACAGCAAGTGAGGTTCCACGACCCGTTTGGCGAAAGGCATGTTGGAGTAAAGCCGGGATAAATCCAAGAAAAGTGAGCCAAAGTATGTGGACAGAGGTTCTTCTCCCCCCTCGGGACCCTGATCCGGTTGTGGTGGGTTTAGCTGCTGTTGTTGCCCCCCATCCTTTCTTTAGTCAGAGGACTGGTGGAGGACTGGTGTGCTCCTGGCCGCTGCGCCGGGTCATCTGCTGCCCCTGATGCTGCTGTGTTTTTCTCCGCTCAGAGTAGAGGTGGTTTTTAAAAATAGGAGGAGGGAAAACCCGGAGCGGATCAGCGGGACACTGCATCAGGACTCCTTACATTTTTAGCTGCCGTGATAGCTTCACAGTCCACAGGAAAAAGGAAGATTTCACACGCTCATGAGTACAGGAGGAGAGTGAGACCACTGTAAAGATTTTTCAGAGGCCTGATTTTGTTCTTATAATTTGTTTGCAGACTAAAAAAAGGATCAAAGCTTTGGAAAAGACAGGAAACCGAAAGACTCAAGTAAGAATCTTGAAGGCAAAGTACAAATAGCTTTCTGACTAGATTTGCAAAGAAAGAAATACAGATCTGAGCAAAACATCAACAAATATTGAGTAACAACAATAAAAATACTCAAAGAGTTAATCTGAAAATTAAAGTGTTTGATTTGTTTTAAAGGAGCTTTTAAGCAAGTTGAAGACGGATGAGAGGTAAGAATGGAATAATCAACAAATATGGAAAAATCAATAGCGAAAATAACATCAGTTAAGATTAACAAACACGCCAACAATAAGTCAATCATGTAAATCTGTTTTCAGGAAACATGGTTGAACTTTGCTGATTCTGGTTTCTTAAATGTACAGTCAAATCTGTCATCGCCTGTCCAAATTTCATTCAACTTCTCTATATTTTCATTTTGGATGAAAACACTGCAGAAACCCATTTCTGTTTGTCAAGTTTCTACTGTCAAAAGGTCTGTCAACCCAGGAAATAGCAAAGTGCTTTTGGTTTGGGTCTCTTTATTTTGTGCTACTGTAGAAAACACGGCTGTGCAAGATGGCAGCCTTACAGGGGAGGAAATGCTCCTTCTATAGTATAAATGACATGATTTTTATTTTTTGTTAACATAAACTAATTTAAACAGACTCATGCATGACCAATTCCATTTCTAAATGCTGCTTTATTTTACACACTGTACCTTTAATTCCATGCTAGTCTTGCCAAAGTATTGTTTCTGATGAAAAATCCTATCCTGGTTTCTATTAACAGTAAGACCATCAGTCAGTGGTAATTGTAGCTTTGGTTCCTGTAGTGATAAAACCATCGGTTTATTTCAGTTTGTTTCATGACCACCAAAAAAAAAATCTTCCCTAAAGTAGTCCCAAAGACATCACTGTAAGCCTTTAATGAGCAATTCTCTCATTATTCTGTAATTGTAAGTCATTAAATGAATAGTCTGTCAATAGTAAGTAGTTTTGTCGGTCGGTTGCCTGTCTTAAAATATTATTGAAATATTTGGAAAAGCGCTGTTAGGTTCTGTATATTTCCATTGAAAACTGGAGGCTGAAGAGTTAAATAAGAAAACATTAACTGTGACCAAATGACTGAGTTGTTCTGGGTCATCAGCTCTTGCAGCCTCCATCTGAAACCCAAATGCAGATATTTGTCTTGGTCCTCTGTGATGTACTCAGCATGTCTTGGTTCATGGACTTTGGATCTCACAAAACAAGTCATTTGAAATCTGTAATTTTGACTCTGGGTGACCCTTTCGGATGTTTTCTGAAGCCAGGCTTCAAGCCATCATCTTGTTAAACTACTAACAGAAAAAGAACTAAGTTGATGCTCTGTATGCTTCTCATTTTTACTGAGCTGGTTTGGCCTTAGTTGCATTACAGGTGGAAATAGAGGGGGTGGACAGCTCTTCATGTACCAGCTTTTTTATGCAGTGAAACTTCACAGCCAAACAGCAAAAAGTCAGACAAAAGCAGGCAGGACATCAGTCAAGAGCTCTCTCTTTAAATGGTGCAGCACATTTGTGTTTAAGTTGGACTCAAGCACTTGAGAAATACCTTTGTGTACCTCTGAGGGCTTAATCATTTTTGACAGAACACAAATTTTCGTCATGATTTTCCCATCTACCGTGCTCTTTGCTCTCAGATCTGCGTGCAGCTCTGACAGCCGTCAGGGGCAGAGCTTCATTCACATTTGCTGAATGAGTGTTTAGCTAAATCCCAGCAGCTGACGGGGCCAGAATCAGCAGAGGTGACAGCCTAGCAGCTCTTCCTGTGGCCTAACTAAAGTCCACAGCAGAAGTGCAACCTTTGCAAACACTGACCCTGAACAAAGGAGGCACGAGAGGATCGGTGTATGGCGTCATCTTTGAGTGATGGAGCTGCAACAAAAGGGCGAACTTGAGCGGACAAAAGCTGCAAATCTTTGTTGGGAGAGTCAGCTTTATCTTTAAGCCACTTAGGGGGTAACTGTATAGCATGTATGTTGAATTTACACCCAGCAGAAACCTCTGGGGCTGAAAATAAGGTCATTGAAGGGATGCAAAAAAAAAACAGAAGCAGTTCCTCAAATTGCCACTAGAGGCTGGCTCCAAAAACAAGTCTACCTGTTGAGATGTCCAACTCGCAGAAAAGTCTTTGGTCTAACAGTTAGGTTGATGGAAAGTGGAATTTTTAGAGGGAATTTCTATCTTTTTGCCCTCATTTTAAGAGGACTGGACAATGGACTCAGTAGGAAATGGAAGTGAGACTGGAGAGTGACATGCAGGAAAGGAGCCATGGACTGGAAGCAAACCCAGCCCGACTGCTGGATAGTGCTTTTAGACCACTTGGCCGTTAGCACCTCTGGACTTTTAATATACATTTAAACACATTAGTTGGAATAAAATTGCACAAAAGCAAACTTCAGTTGGGGTAACACACATGCATGATGCAGATGGGGATCCATTTTCTCATCCACCCCTCCGTTGGACTGAAACTGGACTAATAGCTGGTTGATGCTTCTGCAATGAAGTAGATGTTTGTAGCGCTCACAGTGGCACAGGCACTAAAAGCAAAGGTTTGCAGAAGTTTGAACCAGACTGAACTACTCCACAATTCCCAAGTTGGGCTTAGACCCTGATGTTATGATCATTATGATATTATGATCTTATACCCTCAAAATAAGAAGAACAGACATAAATCAAATTAAAGCTGTAAAAGCATACGTACATTCCACAAGGCTTAGTTCTGGGCCCAGTCCTTTTCCCCTTACATATCCCCTGTGCCTGGAGTCATGCAAAATCAAAAAATTCGATTTTATATATATATATATATATATATATATATATATATATATATATATATATGTATCAACTGAACCAAATCCCCTGAACTATCATGCATGAAAATGACCTCAGTATGGGACTGAAAAGGTCAAGATGCCAACATTGAAAAAAAGGGAACTTGAGGATGTTTTAGGTTAAAATTTCTGCCTTGTTCTAATCAATACATGGTCATTTGTGCTCGCTCTCTTTTCGAGTATGGGGGTCTACAGAGGTGGAATTCTGTCACTAAGGGTCTTCATATGTGAGCTCTCAGTACATCTGTCTCTAGCTAGATGAACCAATAATAGTAATAACCCTGTGGATCACAATAAGCCAGGAGCTGAGTTTATGTCAGATAGCTACATGTTAATTATAACAAACAGACGTATACTTAGAGGCAGCACATGGCTTACACATATAGTCTCCCCATCACGTGCAGCTGTCAGCCTGAAATGCAAACCAAACACTTTTAAGTAGTATTTATGGGCCCACCAGTCTAAGCTGCCTGATTGAATGAGAACACACACACTCACACACACTCTTCTCCTGGCACAGGACATGATATTAAACCCGCAGGATGGGAGGTGATACTGGCAGGTGCTGACATGTAGGGCTGTGCCAAAAATTGGTTATGGTGCAGAGAAGCTTGGAGCGCCTTGTTGTTGTCTGGCATCTGAGAGTTAACTCAGCAGCTTGTTTGTTTTCTCTGATGTGGGAGCTGTGAAATATTTCTAAATGCAGGAATAAAAGTTCCTTCACTGTTTTTCTTGGATTCAAACAGCTGTTTCATTTGGCTTTTTGTGAAAAACTGTCCTGTACTTCCACTCATCCAACAGGATTCATTCAGTTGTACTTCTCTATGAGACACACTTTAGTTTGAAAGAATTATTCACATTAGAAAAATGACTCATATGCAACAAGTTCTGCAAAACTGGCTCCCAATCAGAAGTCAGTACAGGAAAAGGGGAAACTTCAGAAACTGCAGTTCCTTGACTGTCCACTGGAGGCTAGCTCCAAAAGCCCTAGAGGCCACATACACACCCATTCAAGAAAGCCTGTTTTTGTGGCAAAAAAGAAAAAAAAAGGACATTTACTGTCTGGTTAGAAAACAGTTTGGCTTCAATATGGTGAGTGTGACCAATAGACCTCAGAAACCATTGAGTGACATCATTGGTCTATATCAGTGTTGTTTTTGGCAGGCATTTCAGATTTAGTTTTAGTCTTAGTCATTTAGACGAAATGCTTCCTCGTTTTAGTCCCATTTTAGTCATTTCCATCCTTGATAGTTTTCGTCTAGTTTTAGTCCGACGAAAAGGTGCGTTTTGAAGTTCGTGGTGTTCTTTCCCGACAGTATGAAGCCGCAGCATGAGGAAGCTGTGGCTCCACAACTGTCGTCTGTCTCCCCGTCCCCGTCCAAGACATTGTGTTTTATTGTCACTTGGACTGTATCTGAAGTAGGACCAAAATCATCCCTCTTTTTTCGGCCACCGGGCACCGCGGCTGTGCCTGCCGCCACGGTGTGTGTGTGTGTGTGTGCGCGCCTCGTACACCTGCCGCTCTGTGCATGTGTATGAGTGTGTGCGCGCAGCTGTGCACGAGCGAGGCTTTTGGTGTGTGTGTGATGGGGGCGTGACTGTTAGGACAAAAAAAGCATGTTTTGAAACTTTGTTCGTCCACCTAATAACAATTTAGTCTCGTCTCGTTCTCGTCTGACGAAAATCAATACAATTTTCGTCACATTTTAGTCTTTACAGAGCTTTGGTGACGTTCGTCTTAGTCTCATTTTCGTCAAGGAAAAAAGGGGTCTGACGTCGTCATTAAAGTTTTCGTCCTGCCTGACGAAAACAACACTGGTTATATCTTGTACAATTCGGTGGTGTATTTCATTTGATTTCAACAATCAGAAATTTTGAGATGCCAGTTAGATCCTTCTTTCGGGATCTGACCCTGAAACTCAGAGGAACTCGAGTATCCCTGAGCTTCAAATCCAAGATGGCTGCCATGGCGTCAACTTCAATAAAAGCTGCACTGCTAATATAATTTTTTAGCAATTCAGCCTTGTTTGTTGTCTGTCTGAAGTCAGTCACCTTTATAGTATTGCTCAAGTTTTTTATGTGGTCATGTTGGTGTCTCAGCCTCGAGGCTGCAGCTTTAAAAGGTCTTTCAAAGGTTTGTAAATCAGCTGAATTGAACTGAGATGCTCCACTCTTTGGCGAAATGTGTGTCTCCCTCACATCCCCGACAAAAGTAAGAAGTTGAGAATCATTGTGTAACTCAAACACTATTGCCAACATTTTAAAGATAATTTCTATGCATCTGTAACATTTGTGCAGTTCTCTATTCTGAGTTACAACCAAATTCTACAATTTGACAGTGTAAAGACTGAATACTCGCTGTCTTGTTGGTTCACAATGAACCATGAAGTAAATGGGACTGCCAAGGATACACCTGATGCAGCCTCCACTGCCCAGAAAAGTAGGACATATTTGTCAGCCATTTTCGGAGGAGTTTTCAGAATGGGACAGACTCTGATGTGCCACTGTGATGAATTCAATCATGAAATGGTAAATATACTGACAAAATTGTAACGATGTGTGGCTGGAAAGTGGTCAAATCTAATGTGACGTCATTCCTGGCATCCACCTTCCAATATAAATGGTACACACTTGAAGAATATATATTCCTTCAAGTGACTGCCAGTAGGCATGAAAAGTGGATTTGTGCATTTATAGTTTTTTTTTATAATGTGAAGCTGTATTATGAAAAACTAAGCTCTACTTCCACCATGCCTTTTCACCTTTATATTGAATCAAAAGTAGCCTGCAATCGAAGCCCCAGAGTGTACAACATGGGTGTGGTCTCTGTGCCACCACCCACTGGTTTATGAGGAGCAGTTTTGAGGCCCAACAAGGTGTGCACCACATTATGCAGACTCAAAGCGGGCTCAACCCAACTTTGAAACAGTGTAGACACAGGCAAAGAGGAGGAGCTGAGGTGGCAAACAGTTGCTATGTGCACACCTGACTGTCAACACATTGTACCCGAACTCTCCAATTCATGAATCACTCTTGGATGATAAAATCAAAACAGATCTGTCACCTCACACATAGTGTGTACGGATAGATAAATGAGCCTCATCCTGAAAACGTGGGTGGGGGACTTGGAAGGCAACATGAATGAGAGAGAAATGGCAGTGAGGTGTCTGAAGGGAGCCAAGTGTGTCAGAGGATATTTTTGGATGACAGCGGCTGAGGTCTGGGAATACAGCCATCAGCAAAGATCTGTTTGACCCCTGATTGTTATGTCTGTGTTGGAGAAAGCACAGCTGCTTTGTGGGAGTCAAGAGAGTTTAGACTCCAGACTGTTTGATTCATTTTATTCTCTCATACTGAGGATCTAAAAACCTCCAATATTCCTGATCATGTATACGAACTTAACTGTTACCTTTTGAGTCCAAAATTTTGATGAAATTTGGAATTTGTCCCTGTTACTCACAGCAGACCAGTCTTAACATGATGGTAACGGAGAGGTATCATTTGGTCTCAAGTGGATGTGTGAGCAGAAAGTAATGCACAAGAACAAGAGTGGGGGTGACTCTGAAAACGGCCAAACTTTGACGGTGAGATGGCTGGGTCAGGGCGTCTCCAAACTGCAGCTTTTGTGGTGGTCCTGGTCTTCAGAGGTTGGCTGTCCAATCAAGTCTGATCCACAGAGGTCCCCTCACAACTTCCACCTGCTGCTAAGATCTTGTTACCAAATACCACCACATTACACCTTCAGAGATCTGGCTGACCTCAGATGGGAGCTATTTTGACCCTGGTCTGATTAGAGGCAGACCTCCATGATAATATGTAGGAGTAGTGCTGTAGTCAAGACTGCACCAACCGAGACCAAGACATTACTGAGACCAGAGAGGACCAAGACTGAGACAAGACCGAGAGAAAATGCCTTTGATTCCAAGACGACACCAAGACCTTCAAAAAATGGTCTCAAGACCAAGACCGATCTTGAGTACTACAACACTACGTAGGAGGCAACACCATTAAAACCAATCAGTGTACGAAAATCAGTGTTTCTCAGCTTTTGCAGTTTTATGCTTTTAAGACCAGCCCTAACTTTTACCCCACTGAGCAATAGACGGCTATTAAACGTCCAATTTTTTTAGACCTAATTTCGACCATCTAGATTCTGTGTATTTTTCGATGGAAGTTAGACGTTGCACTTTGACCGATTATTTGATTACTATTTATTTCAAAAAGCAACTGTGAGTTGCATAACTGATCTCAGAGTACTTAACCAAAATAATTATAATAGCCGTTGAGCAATATACAGTAGACCTCTGTGAGACATCTATTAGACTTTCTTTAGACCAAAAAAAATGCTCAGTGGGACCATTACAAATCAGTCTCAATGTCCAGACATATACAGTACACAGACTTTGAGGCATGTTCCACTTAAGTCTATGGGGGATGAGGGCTGTGCCACTGTCAAATTACTAGACTTTCTGAGCCCTTATGTTCCTTTTTATAAGTGAGTATCTCGGCAGAATTGAAATGAGAGTAATGTCCCATTCCTTGGTATATAATTTTGAGTCGTCACAGCTTCATGGGCTCCATCACTTTCCAGGTGTCATCACTTCAGTCTTGCAGGTCTCAGGGTTTATAGTGGACTGAGATTGTCTGAAAAATACACTTAAAGAACAGCATCAGAACCAGGATTAAGAAAATACAGTGAAGAGGAAAGACATTTTGGAGAATAGTGCAAATAATTTCAAAGTTATATCCATAGCTATAAGAGAATATAGATCAATAATTAATACACACCTGGAAGACTTGTCTTTTCCCAGTAGGTATAAATAAACCACACGCAATAAAAATAGACAACTTTATTGATTAGTCTGATTACTCTCTTTAGCCCAGAGATCAGTTGTGCATTTTTTAAGATTCAATTTTCAGTCCAGTGCTTACAAGCATGCAGTATTAGGCATGCCATCATGATTTCAACCACTTCATTTACCATCATAAACAATCAGAATGTATGAAAATAAGGTCTTAAGCAAACTTCAGCAGAACCACCTTTTCTTTGCATAGATAAAACCAAAACTACATCAGCTGTTTTGAAATCTATCCTGCAAAAAAGATGAATGTTGTGCTTTTTTGTAAACCAACTGTATGAGCATCAATGCAGAGCAGAAACAGTATAGGAGTAAATCAACAATCAGACAGGGCTCAAGTTAAAGGTGGCATACATTTTTCAAGTAAAAGGTTCGTATTTCTTACAAATCCAGTGTCAACATTCTTCAGTGTTTGACAACAGACAATCAAGTTTGATGTAAAGGCTGAAATCTGAAACTAAACTAGACCCAGCTCATATCTTTCTTTGCAAACATGCATTTTTCAAGATTCTAAGTGCAAAAAAGTACACAGACTGAGAAACTGTAGCACCATGACTTGCTTTAGACCACACATGGATACTCACCAAATGCTCTGTATACATAAACTGACCCAAACTGAGTTCTTGAGTTCCCATCACAAAGTTAGAACACAAACATGTACAGGAGTTATGGGTATGAGCACAAACAGTTGAGTCAAACTGATGAGAGAAACTGACCGAATCAAAGAAGAAAATAAGTTAGAATGAATATTTTACACATGCATTTCATACAGGAACTAAGAAAATATGGTTTAATCCTGCAAAATATCAGTAAAATTAATCAAGAGTAACATCTGGTTGTTGGAGTGTTCTTCTGCTGCCATCACCTCTTTACATATTACTTTTTGTTTTTATTACAAAAGACAACAGGTTTCTGTAACTTGGCTCAAACATTTACACTGGGTGCAGACACTGATGTATTCCCATGGGTAACCCGACTCTAGGCAGACCGCAGGATCAGTCACATGGAGGCCAGAGGCCGCAACAGCTCCAGCTGAGACTCCAAGGTGACCCTCTCCTGGTGAACCACCTGCAGCCAAAACACAAAACATGACCTTTAATCACCCCGAGCACGAGACTCACCTCAGGGCTGTTTACTTAGCCTGCCGTGGTAATGATGATCTTTAACAAGATAAGTTCTCAACTTGTGGTTAATGCTCATTACATCGAGTACCAAACCGTTTGGAAAGTATTCACAGCAAACAATGATTTGACCTTTTCTGAATTTCACTAAAAGAGGATCAAAAATGTTTCTTGACGTTGCCTAAAGGAAAGGTCATGAAGTCAATCCAATCAGGCAACTCACATGGGGCGGATTACTGTGAGAATGCAGGATATGTACATTTGTCGTCCAGTCTCTGACCTCCTCCCTGTGAAGTCTGCAGAGCTCTGCAGAGCATGGAGCGAGGACTCAATGAACTGACTTTATTGGGGGAGTTTAGATCCACAGGTGGATGCCAAGGCAGAGGAAGAGCTTTTGAAATGCTATAAAGAATGTCAAACAACAGTATGGCTTTCAGGTGGTTTGTGAAGCAGCTGATATGGTAGCTGAACAGTTGAACAGTCCTGTTGGCTAAAAGCTTTGGAAAAATACCTTGCTGTTTGTGCAACCTATTGTTATGATTGTGAACAGAAGCTTCGATCACAAAGTCATGAAAAATGTCTAACCCTGACCAGTGGGCTGCATGTGTGGATGCAAACCACTGAATCTGGTCACCTCCTTTATGCAAACTTTTACCTTCATCTACAACTAGAAAGTCTGTGTACAGGACGACTTGTCCCATCTGCATCAAAAATCCATTACAATGTTATGATTTTACATGATTACGCCCACAGTGAGAGAGAGCAAAGGGAAAATGTATTGGGCCTAAAACTCTGCCTTGAGAGATTCCAAGATTCAGTTAAGGCCTGAGTGTGACACAGAAACAGCACAGCTAACAGAAAAAGAGTGGTTGGGGTCGACAAGAGGGGAAACAGTTCAGTTGAGCTGTGGTCATAGCTCCATTAGTGAATTCAACCAGGCTACTGTCCTTCTCCTTCACTGTGGTGAGTGGTGATATGCTTTCTCACAACTGGTAGCAATTGGTCCATCTCCCAGTTAAACTATTACATCACGTAATGAAACAGTCAACAAACAGGTTTAAAAGTGGCCGGGGGCTTTTATGTTGAACCTTAAAAAAACTTTACAGCTCTGAACTTCTAATAAAAATAAATGATAATGCATCAGATTTTATAGCGCTTTATCAGAGACCCTTTAAGCGCTTTACATTGGATAACTACCTTAGTAGTCACCGCTGCCCTGGGGCAGACTGACGGAGACTGGGTGAAGTGTCTTGCCCAAGGACAGACTAGGGATGGGGGGGAATCAGACCGCCAACCTTCCAGTTATTGGACGACCGCTCTACCTCCTGAGCTACTGCCACGCTGTCATACATATTCAACCCTGATCAAGTCCATAGATTTGGGTTTTTCTGGCAAATATTAAAAATAAGTCGTCTGACTGTTAACAAGCTCTTGGTTTAGTACAAATAGTTGTTGTTCAAGATTGTTTTACAACACAGTTCTGCACGGTGCAACATACACTGCAGCTTCTTCATGCTAAATGCATATCACAGTGTTTATTTTTTTTTATCTTTATGGGTGGTTGAATTTTCTTAGACTTGTACTAAAGTGTCTCTTTTTAAATGTCACTTCAATTTCAGGAAAACAGTCCAGGATCTCTCACTCTCTCACACACCCTGTTGTAGTCGAGACGCCTGACCAGCTGAGACTATTTTAAAGAGGACAGTTGTGGATGCCAGAGGCTCTTTGGTATTTAGACAAGGCCAGGGTCTATATAAAGACACATATGCCTTTCTCTGCAGGATTCCACACATGCTCCGAGGAATTAGCAGAATAAGCAGATTTAACAGTGAAGAAAAATGCTGCTATAAAAGCCTGAAAGCAAAAATCAAACCACTTTATGGAGCCTGCATGATTTTTAAGAACACCCTGACATTAAACATGCATTGCTTTACTTTATATCCCTCTGTCTGTGTTGTGTGAAAGCTGTGGGAGCTGCATGTGAGCGTGAGGGCTTCACTCCTGGATGGTTTGCGTGGAGAATGACCGGCATGCAGCATGTGTTCCAAATGTGAGAGCGTGTGCCGCGGGCAGATCCCCAACGCAAACAGCTCAGTCTGACCCATTAGTTCAGCTATGAGTGATTGGGGGTGGGGGTGGGGGTCTGACGGATGAGCTGGGAGCTTTTCACCAAGTTGGATCAGCAGGAACTTTTTATTGTCAGACCTAAAGATAAAGCTTTAACTCCTGATACTTGATCTAAACTTCCACATAATGTCACAAGTATGACTTCATGATTTCTGAGTTGAAATTGATGTTGGAAAACTTTTTGTTGCAACTGTTTTGTGTATTTTCTTGCACTACACTTTTAGTATCACTATCCTAGAGGAGGAGGGCAGACAGTGTTAGCCACACCCATCCCAAAACTAAAACTGAATTGCACTTTTAAACACTATGAAACTTCAGTCTGGATGTGTGTGGTGCACTTAGAAACAAATGATAATCTGACCTTGAGCTGCTGTTGAAGCTCACTGTTGAGGCGTGTCAGCACAGCGTTGGTCTCCTTATTTTTACGGATCGCCATCTGGATCTCCCTCTTCTGTTTGGACAGCAGCCTGAGAGAGTAATGTTTCACCTTTAATCAACTTTAAATCAAATCTACATTTTAAAAAAAAGAGGAAAAAAGCTACTTTGGTTAGGGGATATGCAGATGAATGCAAACCTAGCCATTCACTTTTCTTTTACTTATTTAAATGCCTTAAGTCAAGGCAAAAAACTCAGAGGCTTCAAAACAAAAAGTATCACTCAAAGACAGCGCAACATCAAAGTTTTACATCAGTCAACCTTTGCATTTTTAGCCATCACCTCTGTCACTGACCTTTCTACAGTCTGAATGAGCTGAAGCACATGTGCCGCTGAGGAGACAGCAGCACATGTGCTTCAGTCATTAGTGAGTGTTGAAAGACATCATTACCCGGCTGTGTCAAATACCTGATTCTGATTGGTCAAAACCTCATTAGAAAGGTTACTATTTCTCAACAGCAAAAGTGACACCAGGGGTAACCTGACCACACACTTCATATACAATCAATCTACAGAGGGGAGTGTGAAGTAGTTCTTCTTAGCCTGTTGACACTGTGGCAAAAACATGAGTGTTCACATCAGGCTGGTATTAAATTTGTGGCAATAATGATAGTTAACTGCACAGATGAGAGAGCAGTCTGAGGAGCTGCTTAACCCCAAACACCCCTGGTGGAGAAAAGTAGAGAAAAATGTCCTGCAGCAGAACTGGTGAGAGCGTCTCTGAATGCTAAAAGTCATGAAATTTGGTTCTGGCAATCAGATTTTTTTCCCCAGATCTTTCTACATTTAATGTTTTTGCTTAACAAGCGGGGTACAAAAAACTTTAACATTTTGCTCCTCCATTTTATTAAAAAAACAAACGCTAGGTTGCTTCTGTCATTTCGGTCTACTGCAGCTTTTCTATCGCATCAATTCCACATACTTGTACTTTGCTGTTCTGTAAATTTCAACAGTTTTAATGATCTTTAATTATTTATTTATTTTAAGCTGACAAATCCTTCCTCTGTTCCGTGTTTCTAAGGGGAATAAAGACCAAATTGGGACCTAACTAATGAAATGAGAAAAACAGGTAAAAGCCTAGGGAGCTCCAAAGAGAAAACTAATACCATCTGAGATTGATGAAGAGAAAACTAATTACCATCTGAGGAGCCCTGGATCTGAAAGCTTGTGACTTATTTCATTTTTAAGGGAAACAATGGTTTTCATAAATGATCAGTGCAAACACGGAATTTTAAATTTGTCCTATTGATTTTAAATCATTTTATGTCACTGATTTTAAATTGTTTTAATCTCTCTTTTTTAATTTAATTTTTTTATGTATTTCCTTGCATCTGTAAAATTTTGAATCGCCTTGTGTACGAATGGTGCTATACAGATAAACCTGCCTTGTCTTTGGTGGATTGCTTCTTTAAAACAACAATGATGGATAAACCAATTGCTGCGGTTATCGGATACCCAAAGAATTGTCTGATTTTATACCTCACTGTATGATCATATCAGAGCAGGAGTTGAGATTTTTTTGGCAGTATTATTGAAGGAAAAAGGATTGCATGATAAAAAGGAAACAAAGAAGTCTACTGCATGACACTGGGCTTGTTTATGTCCCGTCTTAAACGCACATTAACTGGTACTAACAGTAAAGGGGACCCTCCATACACGGCCAGCTTACATACTCAGACGTCAGCTGGTTGTAGGAACATAAATTTTAAAAAATAAGAATCAACTGACAACAGCTATCCCATTTCATCAAATAAAAAAACTGAGAACAAGACAAAAGTCTGACTAACTTCTGAGCATGTTTAGTTTGGGGAAGAAACGGTACTGCAGATGGAGGTCCTGTCTCCAGGTTCTGGCTCTCTGGGTGGTATTTCCTGCGAACCGGCTTCTGTGGCGCCTGACTGTGAGAAACTCCGATCACATCCTAACAGAAAGTTTCCAGAAATAAAAATTAAACCGGGTACAGACAGTGATAAAATAAAAACAGCATGACTGTCACAGTCTGGGTGGCCAACCTGTTTGGAGGCGTTCGCCAAGTCTTCAGTGCGAGAGTGTGGACCCTGATCCTCACGTTTCACAGTACTCTCCTCCTGCAACACACAAAAAGAAAGACACAATAAGAACCATAAGACCATTTCATAAGAGTGTTGATATCATAAAGAGGGGACATAATTATAAGAGAGATGCTTTAGGTGGTGAACAAAATGTGCCCTGAACATCAATAAATCAGAGACCACCACCCAGTGCTCCTCAGGTATCTGCATGTGATTGATTTATTTGCTTTTCTTGCATCTCCTTCTCCATTTGAGCCATAATTCTCTTTTATACACTGTGTATTAAGTATCAGCACCTGCTCTAACTCATCAGAGAGGTTAACAGTGCAACAGAGTGAAGACAGCACCTACACATGAAGGTCGATTTCTTAATTTGAGCTCAGACAGAGAGCATTTCTTTCAAGGCAGCCAGTTCTAGACTTTTAATGCATTTCCCATTTGTTAATGTTGCATCAAGAGATTTTTTTTTTCCTCTCCTTTTTACTCCAGTCTCCAGTGCGGTGGCAGTTTAAATAGCTGGGTTTTCCTGATGGGTTTAACAGGCTGAAGCTGCTGGAAGCTGTGCCCATGAACCTCCAATTCAGTCTTTGTGCACAGAAGTGCAACTGGCATACAAGCAGATGCAAATAGAAGAGCCTGAGATTCACAGCGCCACTAGACAGGGAGCTCGACCGCAGCATGGAAACATTTAAAGTGAAGCAGTAGTCGGTACAGTGGTAATAAACCACAGGAGCTCCATCAGCAGCATGTGTGGCCACAGCAGCCAGCAGCAGGTCACGGCTGTTTCACTGCAGATATGTGAGGAGGAAGAGTCGCTGTCATCATCATAAAGACATTTAACTTGACTGGATCTGCAAGACCGGTGTCATTAAACTGGTATAAAAATACTGAAAGCTTCCCCTTACTGGGTTGACCTGAGTTATGAATATTACAGCTCTAGATGCAAACACAGCAGGAGGATAAAGGAGAGGTAACTTTAACCAAACATGACCGTTTGTCTGAATCAGTTACTTTTTCAGATGGTAAAAACTGTTCAGGACTTTCAGGAGGATGTGCATGAGAACTGAACTGTCAGATTCCTGCATTCAGCTCTACTGTGCTTACAAAAATAAAGCACGAAGATGTTGCATCACCCCTGGCTGCCTCTGCTGTGCCTCACTTACTGACCCTGCTGTGGTCACTGGAAAAGTTTGTGGTCTGGAAAATTTTAAGTGAAGGGAAATGAAGAGGCCGGTGAACTTAAGACAAACCAAACTCCAAAAAAGGCGGGATACGGGGTAAAATGTCGACAAAAACTACTTTAATGGTTTGCAAATTATGTTAATGCAACAGTGAATAATTGAAAATGGTGAAAAGACAATAAATCAACTGTTGAAACTGAAAAGGTGCATTGTTTAATGAAAAATAAAAATAAATTTGATGCCAGCAACATACTTAAAAAAGTAAGGACAGGGACAAAAACACAGAACAATATGTGTAATGCTTCAAAACCACCTAGAGGAACTTCTCCTGTCTAATCAAGTTGATCTGAAATAGGTTTGTATTAATAGGTAATCAATAATAATAGTGTTCCTCAGTGTAAAGTCTCCAGGAATTCGTGGCTTTTATCATCTACAGTACAAAATATCATTAAAAAATTTAGAGAATCTGGAAAAATCTCTGCATTAAAGAGAAAAGGACCAAAACCAATACTGGATGTCTGTAATCTCTGTCGTGGAAATCACCGCATGGGCTCAAAATCTCCTCTGAACACCATCATCTGGGCACACAGTTTATCGCTGTATTCACAAACACAGGTTAGTGCAAAGAGCAAAGCATAAACATGATTAAAGAATTAGACTGAGGTGAAGTGAAAACTGCCCCGTGGTCTGACACATTAAATCTGGCATTCTGCATCCTCCACTCCAAATAAACTTGTTGTCTAAAGCCAGCATCTCTGATTATATGGAGATACATGAAAGTGCCCACTGTTACACATCCCTGAAGGCTCCATTAAACCTAAAGGTTGTGAAGTTCAGTAAAATAAAGAAAGACAAAAGTAAAAATTTTAGGCAAGGAAAAGCGAAGCGAAATGAAGTCCAGTAGAGCTGAACTCAATAATTCCCTGTTAACTTCCTTCTAACCTTTCTGATTACCTGAAAGTTCCTTCTTTTTCCTTTTTGTGAACCGAACACAAGATCTGAATTCCCCTTCACTTTGACCGCACGCTGATCTGCTCCCGAGGGTTTCCTGGAAAATCTGGTATCAAATATGCGCCCTTAACTTCACAGAGACATGTTTATGTTAGGGAAGCTATTTTTAACAGCAGCTTTAGTTCACTGGTGTCTCTGAGGGAGTTGGACCGGTGTGAGTTTCAGTTTGTCTTACAAAGTGAAAAATACACACACAGGCTGCACACACCTCAGGGATCATCTAGGTTTTAATTAAAAGTGAGTCAAACATTCTGCAGAGACAGGATGGTGATACTGCAAAGATGACATGGAAGAGGTGAAGATCTTTAAATATCAACCCTGAGTGATTATAATGATCCTAATAAGGTTACAGCTAATGGAGGAAGGGTTTTAGGGATCACATGACCTCTGAGATAAGGCAAGGAGGATTGAGTCGAACTGTTTGGATAAAATTAGGAGCTGCAGGAACCTTTGACTTTTAAAATAGATCTCATTTGTCAAATAGGAGTCAGAAAAGGGGATGTTGTGCAGACAGAAACCCTTCAGGTCGTCTGTCCGCCAGAGCGGGTCAAATAAATACAAAGAAGAGCTTTTCTTCTCTAAACTGGATTACAGGGGGGGACTTTGGTCCAGTTTTCTAAAAGCATCTGCACGAGGTTTGTCTAAAAATCTAGTTTTAGAAAATGAAGCTTTCAGAGTTGAAGATTTTAAGGATAAAGTTTTAAATATGGTGCCCAAGCCTCTGCAGCATATTCCTGGGGTCAGGTGAAGTTAAGCTGGATATCAGTGACAACATCATATCATATGATATCAGTGATATCATGAAGGAAGGAACTCGCTGCTTATTCTCTTATTTTTCACCCTTAAATAAGACCTGTTTCAGAAGATACCAAGTTTTTTTCCTCACTAGTTCAAGAAAAGTGAACATTCACCTCTACTGAAGTCATTTTCTGCTGTAATAGCTTTACTCTCACTGAAGTATGACTTTCATGTACTTTATCCTCTGATGTTTATCAAGACTATCAAACACACAGACGATTGTTCAATCATTAAACAGCAGAAACGTCTACCTACTGACCATAACCAAATGAGCTCATAAAACACACCAGTAAATGCGGATGAAGGACAAACAGAACAAGGCTTAAAAGGTCGATGAATGCGTCACCTCAGCTGTAAATAAATCCTTGATATATTTGTTTGCTCAGAGTCTGATCTATGCTGCTGTCATAACCTTTAAGCCCATTCATGTCTTGGAATAGGGACCTGTAAACCTGACAAACACAAGCTCAGTGACTAAGTTATGGTGGGACATGCTAGAGGGCCAAAGGAAAACCGAAGAGTGGAAACCGCTGGCAGTCTGTGGAGGAATTTTGAGTTTGCCCTTTTGCAGAGTGATGCGAGTTCCTGCTTTTTACATCTTCAAACCCTATACTGTCACAGATCTGAGCGGGAAAACCAGATTGACTCTCACCTCTTCTCTGAAGTGGCTGAAGTCTGCGAAGTTTGGCTGCTGCACTTTACTTGAAGGAGCTTTCTCTGGCATGTTGATAAAATGGGGAACCTGAAGAGAAGATAAAATGTGCTGATTAATCTGAAAAGTTGAAGTCCAAGAGATAAATTCCAGAAACTGGTACTCTAACACAGGCCTTATATTCATCTGCATGCAGTAATTTTGGGGTCTAAATGACAAATAGGTATTGATTGAAACACATCCACAAAAAAGAGCTTCCTTAAGCAGAGCAGAGAGGATCCTTAAGATATGACCATTTTAATTAAGGTGAAAGCTGCGACAGCTCCTTTCAGTTTGTGTTGATTCTGGCACCCCCTGTGGGCAGAGCAGTCTTTGCTGGTCTTGTGCTCCACATGCTGAAGTAGTCTCTCCTAACGAAAAATCTCATCCTGCAGACTCCGGACAGTCAAACATAAAATTTATTTAACAGAGCTGTTTCTTCAGCTGCTTGGCTGACACCTACCCCCCTTGAAACCTTTAGACAAGGGATGTCCTGATACGATATTGAAATCAGATATCAGTCCAGTATCAGCAAAAAACAAACAGCAGATTATATCAGCCTGCATCTAAAATCTTGCCTTGATCCAGTATGCAGAGCCCAAAAAAAGACATTGTAGCTGAGTGCAAAACTTGTCTTGCACAATTTTGTGCCAATATCGGATCAATATGGTCTTGTTTGCTTTTGTACATCATAAAAAGGCATCTGTTTTAATTGTAGTTAAGTAAACTTCAAATACTTCTCACAGGAGCTTTAAGAAATAAAATCTCTTTTTGTGTTGAGCAAACCCTGATAATTAACTATCAAACCTCTAGAAAGATAAGTCAGAAAAGTGGCTACGTCAGCAAAGCTAGAGAGGCTAAGACAGTAAATGATGAAGAATCAATAGTCGTGTGGATACAATCAAAGACAGCCATTCAGATTGGTTATCAAACATCACCTGGTGTTCCTGTGTAACAACTTGACAAAAGTTTATGAGTAATTCGGGAGGTTGGGATGCTTGTTTGATACACTTTTAATACAACAAAAACTGACTTGTGGTTTTTTATACTTGTTTCTTGGACTATTTAAAGCTGTTTCCAGAGACTTAAGACAGGACCTGCTAATCAACAGGTTTCTGTAAGCAGCTCCAGAGGCACAACAAAGGGTTTTTTTTATTATGTGAGCAGTTTGTGTTGATAATCAAACCAGGCTTACCTGTGCAGCTGATGGTCTGGGAGGGAGAGCTGGAGGAGGGGGCAGCCATCCACTTTTAACCCCTAGAATCCAGAAAAAAGTCACAGAGCTATAAAATAGAGTAATATGCTTCTTCTCCCTCCAGAGTCAAATTTCATGCCCAAACCACTAATAAAACACCCTTTTTAAATCAAGTTGAGCTGACTGGACCTCGTGAAAGCCTCTCCCCTTTCAGACTGAACAATAAAACCCACATTTCTCCGTTTCCCCTTTTGTCCTCTCATGAAAGAAGAACCATCATCAACAAAACACAATAACTCAATAACCACAGCTGCAGGAAGCCCTCGCTTCGAGCCTAAACACACATTGTGACAGAGGAGATAGGGGTGGTCTGTGGATGCTGATGGTACCTGGAGCTCCCTGTTGAAACAGCTTATTGAGGTCGAGCGAGGAGGCTCTGGAGTGAGTTTTCTGGGGGCGAGGGGGAGGGGTAGGGGGCTCTTCTGCTTTCTTCATGGCATCTTCAATAGAAGTGCTGGAGTAGGACCTGCAGGTGAGAGCGCATAGGTGGACAAACAAAAGTATGATGAGGATCATTGGCACTGCAAGAGTATTCATGATTAACTTCAGTGTTTTTAGGTCCTGATTTTCACCTGGGTCTAGTCTTCGTCCTTGTCTGTGTGTCCAGGTCATGAGGCGGCTCTGTGGGGAAGGATGGGGTCAGTTAAAAAAGACACGTCATACCTCAGGGCTTTTTTTTTTTAAATGGGAAGCTGCTACTTCCCTATGAAACCACTAACCACTGTGATTAGGCTTGTGTAAAGTAGCTTGAATGACACTTCTAATAAAGTTCATTTGCACAGATTGTTTTAGTACTGACGTGCTTTTAGGGTCCTGTATATTTCTATTTGAGTTACCTTCAAACAAAGATTTGACTCTTTGGTTTGAAACTGCAGTGCTGTTACAGCCAAAGACAGCACAAATGGATACAAAGTGAAAGTGGTGACCTATTGGGCCTCAGAGCATAGTTGGCTCTCATAGAGCAGTCACAGATGACTTGCTTACTGGTAGGAATACACTCTGTTTGTATAACTGCATGTGTACAGCGCCCTCGGGGACTAAGCTAAGAAAAAAAACGCTATGTGTAGATTGGTGCGCAGATTATAATAGACACTCATGGATTTGCACATCGCTATTTTATTCTTGTCTTGGCACAAGGGCCGATGGTTCATGTGTTTTATCTAGAGGCCTGACTGATCCTTTGGAAACAGGAACCCAGAACCCTGATTTATGACTTTGCTGACCAACTACACACCGCGGGAGCTGGCGAAAAATGAAGCCCACACAGCAGCTCGGACCATGAAAGGGCGCAGCAAAGGTGTTCTGAGAGCACATGTCCACATATTCTTAAATGGAGGTCTTTGGCTATTCATGGGTGAGGATTTATGCTGATTGTTAGACAGCAAGATCACACTGTTGGTTAACGATTCACTGGCACTCATGAAAAAGGCCAAATGAGACCAAATTGTGTTTGTGTAATGAAGGTTGCTGACACGAGGTTGAGTGACATGTCTTACCTGGCCTCTCTGGAAAAGCGTAGAGTTGTAGAGTCTGTTTCTGCTGAGATGGGGTCGACTTTTTCACGCTGATGTCTATGGAACATATGATATAACACAGTTATAAAGACACAGACTGATATATCAGCTTTTTTATTGAGGTTAAAACATCTCTCATTACTCATTTTGCAGTTTTGGAGGAGGTCTGGGTGGACTGATACCGAAATACTGTTAGTAAAAATATGACATCTCATTTTTGAGAAAGCATTTCTCTCTTCTGAATTAAACTGCACCGACTATAGTTTCTTAAAGAGTACAACTGTCTGTGCACACCCCGTTACATTAACCTGTTCATATAATGTTAAGAATGATTGTAATTATTGGATTAAAAACTGATAGTGTAGATTTTATTAGTGAATCATGTATTTTAGTGATTCTTGTGTTCTTATTAGGAAAGATAATAGCTCTAGAAATTTTCCTCATCTTTTCTGCATGTATGTATACATTAGAGAAAGATGTATAAGTTATAAACTTTATTGTATTACACTGAAATGTAGCTATCCTGACATCCTGAAATAAGAAAATACACTGCGAAAATCCAAATCTTACCTCCTGACTTTGACACATCTGTGGTTGAGAAAAAGTCTTATCAGGGTTCATTTAAGTCCATGAAACAGTCTTATTTCACAATATAACATGCTTTTTTCTGGACTTGTAAGGTGATTGTGGTTGAAATGAAGCATTATGAGACATGTTTTTTTGTTTTACCAGACATATGATACCAAAAAAACCCATACTCAAATTTGAGTTTTTGCAGTGTAAACATTTTCCCATCATTTGAATAAAGGCTTATGCTTAGTATCTTTAAATTACCTTGCTGACATGATTCGTCCTCTAAATCTTGTGTTGCTGCCAAGCTTGGCTGAAGCCTTTCTCTAATCCCTCGATCCTTGACAGACACAAACAAACAAACCAATCAATCAACAAATAAACAAGCACAGACAGTAAGAGGAACAATCTGCTTAATGATTTACAGTAACACAATGTCACTGCCTGAAAAGACAGAAGTGATCTTTATTGTTTGGTGAGTTCAGAAGGTAAAAACTCAAGAGTCTAAGCTGAGGGTGTTGGTGAGAATCGCCTTGAGCAGCCTCATTATCAGATTATCACTGCCCCCTACAGGTCAAACAAGGAACTGCACACAGTAACTTATTTTCTTGGCTGTATTTACCATCTGATTTGGTCTCAGGTCAGCATCCTCAAAGACGATAAGAGGTCCTGCACTCTGCATAACAAGGATATTTATTCTGTTACCATCCACACTGATCAAATGAATGTTTCAAAGCATACTTTTGATATTGTTGGTTTTTATTTTTATTTCTTTTTATACCTCAGGTGTATCTGGTATGTCCTCTTCCTGCTGTGTAAACCCTGGTCTAAGGGTTGGAGGGAGGGTCTCCGGCAGAGGATAACCGTTCTTACGAGCAACAATCAAGTGAAAGGCTGTGCAAAACTCAGAGAACGTGAGAGCGCCGTCCCTGTCCACGTCACTCAGCTCCCTTAAAAACAGTGACAAGTGTGATAAATATCTGTAAAACCTTTGTAGAGAGGCTGTAAAATATTATGATTAAAAGAAGTAAAAAAAAAAAAAAGTCATATTCTTGGTAACCTTTTGTTTTCTGGAAAAAGGGAGTCAAAGATTTACAAAAATCTACTTATTTATATTCTAAAGTTCACACTCACAGAGCCAAATAACTCAATAACCAGAAAAAAAAGACTTGACAATTTGACAATTTTTAAGTGTGGTAACTAAACTTAAAAGGATCGTTTATTTATGTTAGCCAAGCTAGAATAAAGATAACAAGAAGAGCTAGCTAGCATGGCTGTTAATTAATACGATGGCTCAAATATATATGATGGTTTTAAACAGACTTAACTTCCTACTTTCAAAGAAATTATTCAGTATTTGGTTTATTAAGCTGAACTGTAGCATCAGATTAGCTTGACAAAGAAACAAGACTTTAAAAAACCCACAACAAAAAAAGATAAGCACCTGTTTATCTCAGTTTTGTACATGAATTTTTAAATATAATGTATAGATGAGTGTGTAGCCTGAATAATTTAACAACTTGTCTTTTCAAGAATAGCAAAAATCTGCACCTTTAAAGCCTTTAAATCTAACTTTGCACGTAGCAAAGGTAGCATGTTGATCAAATATAATAGGCTACCACCGAGTTTGTTGGCTCAACAATCAGACAAACAGCTAGCTTGTCTTTTTAAGTCACCAAAATAAGTATATTAGCATATATAAAGCTCAATTCTACTCCTTTGTGTTTAAAAACTGTGAGAAGTATGTTAACGAACAAATTTTAAAGAGGTAATTTATTACTTGGTCAATTTAGTTCACAATTTTCTTACCAGCAAAGCTAGCTCAGCTAAAGGGAAGAAACGGGGCTAGCCTTATCACAACTTATGGTAATAAATGGCCAAACTAAGGAGTTACAGAGATAAAACCGATTTCTGAAGAAATTTTAATAATTTCAAAAGAGTCGGAATACCATTTTACCACCAGTATTTGTCCCTAGTTAACTCTTCTGATGATGATGTTAATGATGATGATTTGGATCACCTGAGCTGGGCCCTGGCAGGGTTAAACCCCACTGCTGCTGCCCACTCTCTCTCATTTTGCCAAACCCATCCCAGCCTCCCCATGTTCATTTTGTCTTTGTTTACTTCACATCTACATTCACACCACTGACTGGACTGACTAACACACTCCCTGTTTTGGCATTTAGCTATTCATTTGGTTCGCTTTTTTGGCAATAAACAAGCAACTTTTGCAAATAGTTCTTGTGTCCTTCCCATATTTGTCTTGGCCGTTGAGCCAGTCTGTGACACTTCTATGAAACTAAAGGACAAGAAGGAAACTTTTTTTTTGTAAATGTGAAACAATTATTTTAAGACTATGAGGAAAAGAAACCTTTACTACATCTTTATTGATATATTCACATGGACTACTGTGATTTATCTTCAATTTAAATCTAATCTGAATCCAGCTCAAATCTTTCTCTCCTGTAGAAACTTTCTGTTTAAAGATGAAGGTGAAGGTCTGTCCTTTCGAACGGAGGCCTCTGCGTGACTCAGAGATCACACTGAGGTGTTTGGGTGATAAAAACTGACTGACCTCAGATCAGAAAAAGGACAGACGTCACTGTGAGTCAGCACTTACCAAATGTGGGAGAGCTCTGGTATTGGGAGTTTGGACTTTGTGAAGAAGTTCTTTGCAATGGTTCCTGAAAAGAGTCAGAAAACTAAGAAAGATGTGAAATTCATATGTTTTGATTCTTTTAATTGTTTTGCTGGGGGTGAATGGTTTCATACCCAGAATTAGAGCCCCAAGGTCAGGCTGCAGGCTCTTGAACTGGTTTGTGTAATACTCCAGCTGTTCCTCTGTGATCCTCCAGGGGTCATCGTCAGAGTAGTCCGCTGTACCCTGCTGCTCCAGCCTCTCTGATGAGGAGGCCTGGGAAGATAAACACCAACTATAACACAGATAAACACAACAATCGCTCCACCCAAAACCTTAATAACTCATCTGTTTTTTTAAATGTCAGCTTTGTATTGTTTGATCAACTTTTAAAGAAAATAACTACAATAAACACAAATTCATTCAGGTATGTAGGTGTAGGTCTACTCCTTCTCTTCTCTTAGATAAAATAGGGTATCACTCCATAAACTGATAAATTCAGTATCCTCCTCTGTCTGTCCCTGCCTCATGGCGTAAAAAGCGCATCAGGCCCATGTATCCAAAGACAAGTTACACTGAGCTTACCCTACAGAGAACCCCTGCTGCAAAAACTGCCGAACAGAATGGGCCTCATGTACATCCTCTAGACATGTCCTCACAAGTTTCCCAAACAGTTAAATACAATAAATCTAGAAAAAAGTAAAAATTTAAAAAAATGTAAATCAGTTCATCGAAACATTTAGAAGTTTCAATTTAAAAAATCAGTTGCAACTCCTGATATTTTCAAATTTTTCGATTTTTAATTCTGAAAATCTAGAAGAATTTCCAAACCTTACTTATATCTCTAACAAAAATCATGAAAAATTTCCAAGAGTTTTTTTTTTAAATATCTACTTAAAATTCCTGAGAGAGCTCAATGACAAGCTTTAAGGCTTCATGAAAATGTAAAGTTTCCAAAAAGTCCCTTGACAACGCCTGAGAGGTTCTCAAGACAACACTGAAAATTCCTGAAAATGTTCCTGTGAAAACTCTTAAAAAGAAATGTCTTTAAACTTTCATGAAAAAAATTTCAGGGCTTTACAAAAAATTTCTGGAAATTTAGATTGTTTTTGAGAAATCACTGTTAATTCTCAAAAGATGTTAAGAAATTCCTAAATAATTATTTTGGAAAATTTCAAAATATCCCCAAAGGTACTTGATACTTGCTGAAAATGTGAAAGATTTTTTTCCATTGAAAGTTTGGACACTTTTTGGGACTGTGGAACTTTTCAAAATTTTCAGATCAAACTTGTTGTTGAAGCACTGGTATAAAGAAGTGCCAAGTGTCTTTAGTGCATCTGGCAGCATTTTCTGTACATTTATTTGTCAAAAAAGTCAAAAAAGGAAAAAATTACCCGAACCATAGTGGGGTGCTCCACAGGGGCTTTGGTCCCGTAGTTACTGGGTGAGGAGTGCTGCTCAAGCTGAGCGGCTGGCCGAGAGGAATGTTTGCTTTCATACACTGAAGGATGGAAATAGAGGAAAAAAACACATATGCTCAGGCTGAGAGGAAACCTGGGGCTAACACGCAGTGATTTCCAACTGATTACAACCTCCAAACTGTGATCTGAGAGTATGAGAGATTCACAGATCAAAAGAGCAGGAGAGGAGAAAGATAGGAGAGGGGGATCAAACATCACAGTTCAGAAGAGTGAGCGGGAGTCAGACATGCAGGTGAACCTCGACTAACTCATGTAAATTCATTCATAATTCATCACACAGGGATTTTGTGCACTTTTAGCAACAGCAGTAATTAAGAATAAGGCTTCATCTAAGAGCCACAAGTCAAGAGAAATATGATGGCAATGGGCATTACATTATACTGTATATGCCACAGTAAAGTACACTGTATGGGTGGGAAACGGTTAGTTTTATTTATATCATTCAATATTTTGTGACAAACTTTATTATGTTTCTGTCTTGCCTTGGACTTCCTCATACAAGAGATTTCAGGGATTACAGGCTAATGCTTCAACAATAAAAATACATTGAAAAATCTGAATAATAGAAAATAAAAAAAGGACTCATCTTCACATCAGACACATTTCCCCGTGGCCTGAACAGCCTGGCATTAAAGGAAACAAACATAGGAAGTTGTAGCTGTCTTACCCATATGTGCGTCAGCCCCATTTCTCTGCTTGGCGTATGGATAGCTGCGGTAAGCGAGAGGAGATCGAGGTGGTGAACTGCTTGGTGATCGAGGAGGAGACCAGGGTTCCTTCAGGGGACAAAAGTCTTATTTCACACAGACAGTAAAGGAAGCTACTTCCCTGCTACTCATGTAGCCTGAAAGCTACTCTGAGGGCAGATTTAACAGACTGCAACCTGAGTCACAGGTTGAGAGCTAGTCTTTGTCACAAACTCACCTTCTTCTCTATGTTGGCCTCCTGGTGTCTGAAGGCGCTTCGGTCTGCAGGGGTCCAGGAGGCTGAACCTAGAGCCACCCCACACGGAGTCCCTTGACCATCTATGCTCTGGGGGACAGCTGGATATCTCATCTCTGGTTCATTCTTCAGCCCAGCAAATCTGGGCAGAGGTAGATCTGATGACAGACACAGAGCTTGGTGTTGATTCTTCTTTACAAGGTGAGATCAGGGATGCTCTCTAAATTATAAAGCCTTTCCTTTTATTAACCTTCATAATAGGGAACTAACATACAGAAAGAGACTTTTGTAAGTCTCCTCTGTTCTGAAGCTTCTCATTTGTTGAACTTTGATACCTCTGCCTGAGGCTGTTAATCAGGCTCAGTGTCTTTTACATTTCTTGGTCAGCTGAGGTAAAAGTCACTTGAACCACACAGCAGAAAATGTGAAACTCTGTACACACTCTTTCTTATAATCCCTGGCGAGCTCTGCAGAGAACACTTTACTTTCCTTTGTTTAGGTTGGGACTGATTCTGTACATTTGTAATAAGGACAAACCCACTTAGCCCTTTCCACGCGACTCCCCTTTTATCCAGATTAGACCAAATCCTGCCATGCCAAGATAATCCCCTGATCCCCTTTTGCTCTCGTAAGATGCCTCCTCTCTGAGGAGCAGACTTACTGGCTGTTACGCTCTCCAGGTGGACGGGCAGACCGGATTGAGCAGCCGCCAGCAGCTTCAGGGCCACGTAGAACTGAGGTGTGCCGAAGTAGCCCAGACGCTTTGCTCCACACGCCTCAGTCACCTGAAAAACACACAGGACATAAAATACCTCTCAAGGTATCACAAACTTCAACAACATCTTCTCCAGAGAATCTAATTTATGAAAATGCCTACAGTTTTCCACTTTTCAGAAACCTAATCAAGACAGCTGAAGGAGCTCAGGCATGTGATTCTTTAACACCGTGATCAAGATACCATGTATCGCAGACTTACAGGCTCCACTAACAGAATAAAGCTGGTGGAAAAACGGTCTGTGAGGGATAAGCGACACAGTGGGATCTGTTTATCCAGCACTCTTCTGATAAATTGTACAATGACAGCTTTGGGAAGCAAAGAAGAGCAGGATTATGTAGGAAAACAGGGGAAAAAATCTCCTCAAAATAAAGCTGAAATAAAATTTCGGGGAAAAAAGCAGTTCCTTCAGAGAAGAAGCATTTATTACTGATTTTATAAGTGTGTCAACATGAACACAAGCTCCCCTGTAGTTTAAAGTAGATGAGGATGTTTTGTATAATGTTATGAAACGTTAAAATAAGCCTCTCTAAATTTTTGACTTGCCTAAGTTATTGCCGTGTCCATTTTGGATAGTTTGCCTAATGAATTCAATAATTTGGATGAAGGTGAGACATTTACAAAAAAAATGTAGGCTACAGGGTTCTAATTTTTCTATGAGTCCTACATTGCTATTAGATAGACACAAAAAGTGATGCATATTTTGGCATTGTAAAAAGTGTAGCTGATTTGGCTGTCAAGTGGAAATAGTGGCTGTTTGTAAGCCAAGATAAAGCCTCAATTTCACCTCTTCGCTGTTCGCCAAAAGTTAGCTGTCAGCATTTATAATGAGGCTACTGCTGTTATTGGGCATCTACAGAAACCCATAAATGACAGAAGTGATTTTTTGAGTCTTTAAAAAACAGGTGAATATCTGTAACTTTATTTAGTTGCTAACGGCTTGGTAGCTGATAAGCGAGAAAATGTTTTTATATATTTTTCAACACACAGGGTATGATTATGGGAAGCTATGGAGAGAATTTTGTGCATTGTACTGGGCAAACTACTCTAGCTCAGTTAGCTAGCTAGGTTAGCTTACTGGAAGGTTGGAAGGAAAGTCTGGTTCTGTCTGAGGGTCTGTATCAACAGTACTGATTGAGCCAATAGCCCTGTACATGAGAGTGATGCTTTCATTTGTGTTGGTCAAACTAACAAGATCATTACTGAACTCACAGATATGGACAGTCTAATGTTAGTATCGGTTAAGCTAACTGTCAGCACTGCTTACCTCTGCACAGAGACTAAGAAATACTGGCTTAGTCTGATAGTTAAGCTAGACCCCCTGTAAAAACTTGTTTTGCATCTATTTTTGTATTAATTCATCCAAATAAAATGTGAACTTAAAAAGCATTACAGGGGAATTCCAAAGTGTGTTAGCATGACAAAGCACAAAGCCTGGATAAGGTGACAGACCAAGTCACAAACACATCTTATCTTCATTCACTCACATAAACTAGTCTGTTTAGCCCAAAACATTTTCAAACAGTTTCAAAATAAGAAACATAAGGTTTTAAAGGCTTAACATACCATCTTCAAGTACACACCACAGTTACAGAGAGGCCTGGTGGGAGGTTTCTTTTCGTTTCCCAGACACTGCATTTTTTTGCTGTTGTTAGTCATTCAGCCCATCATTCTTTTCTTTAATTTGACTGGTTTTTTTCTCGCTCATTTATTTGTGCTACAGTTATAATTATAAAGATTGGGATGACTGCCAAAATAATCAAGCTTCATTTTCCAGCAACACTCAGAAATCCAGTAGACTCATTTTAAAATGAAAAGAGGAGCTGTCAGATGACAAATCACCCAAAAGAAAAAAGCTCAGCCTCTTCTTGTGGCTACAATGGATTAACTGAGCTTTAAACTGAAATGTTTTTTCCATAAACACACAAAATCTGGAAATGCTGAGGAGTTAGAGAACATTTTTGGTATGAAATGTGACTGCCATGAGTTTTGTCAACACCCATTGTCAAATGAGGTCGAGGGGCGGGTGGAGAGCAGAAATGCCATATTGCCTTATGAGACATTACTTCTGCTTGACCTGTATTGTATTCATTCAACAGCTTTCACAGCGAGATGACATCCAAAACAACTAAGGGCCAGTGAGAGTCTGTGCTCACAGCAGAGGTTAGGTCTGCAGCGAGAGCGCCCGAGGTCAGCAAAGACAGATTAATGATGAGATTAATTCACAGAGGCCTTCAGGAACCAGACCGGCTGGTCGGATCTGTGGCCTGAGGGGGAAATTATTTGAGGAGGATGGAAAACTGCCAAAAACATTTCAGCAGGCATAATGTCATCACTGGTGCGTCTTCCCGGATATTAATGAATTATACACCCTGTTGATAATGAACAATCCCATTTTGCATATTAGACATGTTGACATGCTGATCGTCTGACTGGCATGAGTAATAAATGACTTGTCTCTTGAATTTGCAGCAGGTTTCCTGTTAAACAGATCAAGTGACACTTTCTAAAAAAAGCTTTCTGTAATTCAAGGAAGAAAAAAAATATGTACATGCATCATATGTTTTACCCCAAATGAATAAATAACAGCTCAGTGAGCAGCTTGGTAATTTAGTGAGTTCAAACCTTTATTTGGCTTACAGTTCAGTATTTTACAAAGATGTCTGATGTGGCTTGATATAGTAGCCAACAACAGTCATTTTCTGTTCAAATTTAATACTGGCTGATCCATGTCAGCTGAAGTCACATTTTGTCACTTGACAACTGCTTCAGGGGATCCCATCTTAGTCAACTCATCTCAACTTGAACAGGACCAGGCCGGTTGTAAATCTGTCTGAACAATAGGGGACCAGAACACTAGGAACTGGAGCTTGCACTATCATCTGATTCGAAAAAAATTGACTATTTTTCACCAAATATGTGAAAACAGTTATAAACTGTAATAAAATTAACTTATAAAGCTCTTTAAAAAAAATCCAAGTTAAACCGTGCTCCAATGAAAACCAGCAGGTAACAAAATTATGAGAAAATGCAAAGATTAAGAAATAAATATATGAAATATGTGTAGCTGTACATAGCACAGTCTTTTTTGGGGGAGCTCCTGAAAGGAAAACGGTTCAAGTTATGTTCCTGGATGGTGACTTTCAGCAATGTGCGGTTACTATGCAGTTGTGTAACTCTTTCAAGGAGGATTTCTTTTTCAGTGAAAACAGAACTTCACAAGGCTGACTTAATTATTGGTTTACCATTGTCTGCTGTAAACAGTTGTGCCACCAGCATGGTCCTCTTTGCTATGTATCCAAAGTGTTCTGCATACAAAGCTGTTTCTTGCTTTTTTAAGCAACATCTTCTGGAGGAAATAACCATAATTTGGTAACATCAGGACAGGCTCATTAATGAAAGCATACTTAAAAATTGGACTGAAAGGATCACTGACTAATCTGAGTTAAAGTCTCAAATGTTTTAGGCACAAGAAAAAAAGTCGGGCCATCATGAAAGTTATCTCCTGGAGATCATAAATATCTGTGCGACATTTCATGACAATAGATGTGATAGTTGTTTAGATATTCAAAGGCACTGTGAGGAACTTTCCTGTTGTGTTGACTTTGGTGGCCCCCTTAGGAAAAACCAGCGGTGTTAGTCTGGGAGAAAGATTGCATTTCTTATGAGCATCATCACCTACTGTAGTAAGGATGGGGCTCATGTCAAAGACTGCATTTGTCGTGCAACAGATCTTCTTTTCGTTTTACTTGTCTTCACACAATATACATTTTAGCAGGATGCAGAGATAATGTACTGATTTGTTGCTATGTCATTATTAACTGTAACCATCAGCTCACAACAAGTGTGAAGTACCAGCTTTGTGTTACCTGTCACAGCCCAGGAATTATAACTAATGCCCCAATTAATGTCAGTGTCATGTAAATATGCATAGTTAAATGCTTTTTTTGTCACTCTTTTCAGCAAAGCTCCGATTGTAGAGTTTCTGGATCTATAACAATACTTCACCAGAAAAATTATACCTTTAGCCAATTCTGCTCCACTATCAGCAAAAGAAAAAAAAAACTCCTCCTGCTTGATTACTTACTTTTTACAGCCAAACTTTACCAGGAGAGTTTTGAACAGACACCTGAGGGCGAGTAACGAGAATCAATTTGTCTTTTCCTTGAAAAATCAAGCCGAAAACAGGGAATAAAATCCAGCATTAAGAGATCACCAGTCTGATAATCTCATTTAACTATGGAGGTTATGAAAAAGCATTAGTAAAATGCAATTTCACCATGACTAAAAATAATGTTGTTTATTGCACAATTAAAGCTGGTATGCGGCAACACCAGGTGAGCTGAGTTCCAGAAAGTCTTACCTGTAACAGAGCCACACCTGATTCAACCAGACAGGTTCTACAGCAAGCAGAGCCAGTCAACAAACCTTCCCAAGTAACTGAACATGTGACTCAATTCAGCTCATACCAGAGACATCGCCTTCCAGCTGACAACTCAGGCAGAGACTTCAAAGACTCACTCATCCAATTTTAGGCAGTAAGGTCCACCAAAACAGTCTCTCAATATGTGTTGCCGTTATCCTGTTCACATGACACCAGATAATAAGGGACACTTTCTGTCCTTTGAGCCCATTTAATCAGAAAAACAACTGACATGAAAGGAGAGTGTGGGAAGCTGGGGTTTTCTCCAGAGGACTGACAAACAGCAGGAAGAGAGGTGTCTTGCTTCAACCACTTATCAGTTCAAAACATGTCAGACATAAAGATCCTTCCTCTGTGAATCTGGGCGATCCTGGTGGGTCATGACTAAACAAAACACACCTGAACATACTGCTCCTGATGGAAAATTCATCTTGTTTTCACAAAAAGCAAACAGTATTTACAGGAAAACTAAGTCAGATCACAACACAACTTCTGTGTCATGATATCTATGGAGGAAACACATCATTTATGATTCAGTGACAAAGTTTGACACAATGACCCACAAGCCAGCGCTGAGTCCAAGAGTGATCCTGCAGACATCCTGCAGCAGAGCCAAACATGCTCAGAAGGCTGTGTGTCAATCACCCAGCGAGGTGGCGGAGATCCAGGCCGGACAGGAAGGAAGGGGAGCTCAATGCCAAACTTCCTGACACACACACAGACCCACAAAGACACACAATAGGCTGCGATCACCGGGAGCTGACCCCACAGGACAGTATGCACCGACAACCTGCTGTGTTCATCAGAGCTTTAAAAATATGTTTGTATCACTGAGATGGGTCAGCAAAATCCCATTTAGACTCACATCCAGAGACAAGACAACAAGTTTTCAACTAGAACTGCTGTCAAGGTCACTGCTGATTCTGATTGGTCAAAACCTAAATAACAATGGTTGTGACATCAGATATCAAAGTAATCCATCAAAAGGAGTGCAAGCCACTTCACCTCTGCCTGTTGACACTGTGAAAGCAACATTAGTCTCCATCTCAGGCTAATCTCAGAGTGGGAAAATGATAAAAGTTAGCCTGCACAGATGTGACAGCAGCCAGAGGAGCTACAAGACGCCCTGCATCCCTGGTAGGAACATCCTGTCCTGCAATCTGTGCAATAGCAGAATAGCTGGTGAGAGCATCTATGAAGTGCTGATCTGTAAAAAGTAACTTAAACCATGAGCAGTAGTGATTATAGCAACAATGTTAAGACCATTATTTGTCAGGGGTATTGGCTCAATGAATAGTATGTCTTATACTGTCAGTTTTTCAGAAAGCACAAGTAAAATCATTCGCGCAAGTGAATTACAGGTAAAGTCAATGTAAAGATGCGAGAAGACGCTTTCAACTTGGCCCATGAGAATGACGCAAATTACTCGGCTTGAATTACGCTAATTTAGCAGACTATTTGGGCAAAATGAGTGGATTGTATGTGTGAGTGCCACAAATTTGCGTCGCGTCTAATGTGCTACTTGCTTTAAACACTTATTCGTGAGTGTTGAAAATATCTGAACTCAAGTGAATGTTCCCGCAGCAATACCCAATCAGCATGGAGATACCCTGGTGACATATGTAAACAACAATCACCGGCAGAAATTCATTCGTATGGAAAATGGAGGATTAGCCGATTTTGACAGTTTGACAGACAGTCACCTGAGCCAGAGGATACAACTTGTCTGTGACAACAAGACAAGTGTAAAAAGACTAGCTCAGCTGGAGGAAAGAGAGTGAGGAGGTCTGATGATCTGGTAAGTTATTTTAACTAAACAGATTCTCGCAGGTTGGTCAACCTCTGCTATGTTTGATGTAAACAGACTGACCTGACATGTAGAAACCCCTTCTCACTTTCTCTCCTCTCTTGTAGTTACATAAGTGTTTGAGCTGTCTGCAGACGCGATACAAACACGCAAATTAAGCGAGTAAATACACAACATTCGCATGTCCAGATACACATAAATATAATGATTTTACTTGTTCTTGTGAAGGCAACATAAGACAGATGCTTTGTTCGAAGTTGACAAATAGCCCATCTTTTTCTTTCTTTCATCTATGGTGCAGATCCCCAAAATACTCCCACCTGCTTCTTGAGTGTTTGTGTGTCATGACTGTCAGCTTAGTGCCGCTTTGTTTGACCATGTCCTGCGTTTATACATTATATAGATTTTATAAAGGTCAGGTGGATTGATGCGCTGGTACATTATCATTGTGAGTTTTGAATGGCTCATTATGGAATGTGAACTTTTCCACAAAAGTTCAATTGAAAGGTCAAATTTTGGATAGAAGTGACAACCCTAATGATGGTTTCATTAATGTTTTAAGGTGTACAGACAGACTGCAGGCAACAAAAAAATGATAAGATGCCCTTACTGTCATTGCATATTGCACAACTAAAGTTAATATACTTCTCTAAAACAGTAAAAAAAAAAAAAAAGTGACATTTAAAAAAGCAACATAAAGAGTGGCATTTATCCAAATCTCATACTGTATTCATTCATTATAGTTGCCTCCATTGGAAATGTTTTCTTTACAGTAAATAAGACCAAATAGAACAGCCACTGTTTTAAGTTGAGCCTGAAATTACATGTTTTGTGTGAAATTAATCTGTGCTGCAAGGGCTTCAATATATTATTTTCAAATCATTATTTAATGTCAGTATGTTTTCATCTTTGGTTGGCGGCAGGTCAGAAGTTAAATGATGTATAGTGAGGAGGTGGTTATGTTAGAATCCTAATTGGATGTAACTAGCATAACCACCCAGTCAGTGTGTTTACATGCACAGTTAAATCAAGCTACTGTTAAAGCTCATTTAGACAATTTTGCTGGACTGCTGTCGTTGTCATAGACAAGAGTCATATTATTGTTAGAGACATGTCTGCCTCCCCCACAGTAGGTGGTGACATGCCCCCTTTCAGCTTGTTACAACTGAGTTACACCTGGTAAACCAATTATGTACCAAAACAGTCAACAAACCAATCAGCAAGAGGCTGCTGGGGGGCCAATGTTGACAATGAAAACACTGTCACTTGTACAGCTCTACCATCTACAGTGGTTGAGTTTACCACCCAGCCTCCTAACGATGCATTCATGCAATTCACCATCCTTTACATTTCAAAAGTCCAGTTTCAGTGGGACCAAGGACGTTCATTAATATTTGAGAGCAAAAAGTGGACACACTGAGTGGTGTCACTGCAAGCTGGATTTTAATTATACTATAATCATTATGTGAAGACCCTCTGTATGGGGGGAGACTTAAATACACTTTTGTTATATGTGCTGAAACAGAAATATGTCAAACTAAATTGTCCCTGCAGATTCAATAAATTCAATACAGCAGTTATAGTACTTTTTATATATCCTTTGAAATAAACTGAAAGTTTACCATGACTTGCGTCCATAAAACAATGAGTAAAAACTTAGGGACCATTTAGAGTTTTTGCAACTTCCAGCTCCTTGAATGATAAAAAGCTCACATTTCTGTGTAATACTAAACATTTTGGTTTTCTTTTCTTTCAGTTCAAGTTAGCCATGGGCTCACATACATTTAAAGGTATTTGATAGAAATTTCATGAAGGGTTGTGTAATCCATCTTGATGTGGAATAAAACTGCACTAAATATTATCCTTGTCTAAAAAACATTTAGTGATGATAACATGTGGAAAGTTAAGAAATGTTTTCACAGTATCACCTCACACCAAGTCTATTTAAGTGTGTTTGCCCAAAAACTCTGCTGCTGAAAGTGTGTTCACAATGTTATCACAGTCACCAATCACCATTGTAGCCTTGGCCGGCTTTTTATCATTTCAAGGATATATTATTTACAAGTATGAGACATCCAGTTATCTTACGCCTGTACACATGAGCATCCTTGTATCAGCTGTGTGTGTTTGTGTATTAATTTCCCACCACTTTTCTAGCCTTTTGACCCTGGACCAATGAAGAATAACAAGAAAGCCGAAGTGAATATGTTGAGACGCTGCAGTATTTGGATCCACAGAAGAACTTCAGGTGGAATATCAGGAGACATGTCTGCACTTCTATAACCAGGATATAATGTTTCCATGCACACACATCAAAAGGATACTCATACACGTTAACACAATCAATGTGTGTTTTATTTAACAGCTGCTTTCACTGCTGCTGTGTGTAAAGTTTCAGGACAAGAGGTGGTAACAAATACAGAAGATTCAAAATGCTCTCCCTTAAGTCTTTTAGACAGTCATATTTTACCTAAACTTACCAGCAAACCACCTGTCATAACAGAGAGGTGTATACCAAACAGTGCAAAGGTACATTTTGTATTATCCTAGTTGTGCTAAAAAGCTTCTTTCTGTTTGTAATGACAATACAGTCTTTACTCATACACTATTTTCAATAGTTATGTTTTGTAAGGACAGCTGAAGAGAGAGAGGAAATATTAGAAGTAGAAAGCACAGACAGTAATGTAGCAAAGAGTCAGAGTCAAGAGACGAACCACCCACCTCTGTGACAAGGATTATAGCCTGTGTAACTGGGGTGCACTTAGACTGCTAGACTGTTGGTACCCTGACTTTACTTTTCCTTATCTCTCCAGAAAGTGACAAAATAATCTCATTAATCTGACTTTTGTCTGTCAAGTTTATCATTATTGAGAATACCTTAAGTAGAAAACGTAAAATCAGGTCTGTCTCTGCAGCTGCTTGCCTGATGCCTACCCCTCCTGACAGTTTCAGGCACTAAAAATGACAAAATAAATAACATCAGTCATGTCACTGATGGTGTCTCTGACGTCTTTAAGAATTTCACTCTATTAGAATGTAAAAAAAAAATCCCCACAGAAGCTTTAAGCTTCATCCAAAATGCAACTGCACAACTTTGACAAAATAGTAGTAAACAACAGCAATAATAATATGTGAGCAAATCTATTCCTGATATTTTTGTTTCCAACTATAGCCTTAGTTTTGATCCATTTTAGAAACAGAGAATACTTAGTCTTGTTTAAATGTACTCTTTAGTTTTAATGCAATCTTATCCTGCTCAAACACAAGGAAGCGCATTTATGAAAGGTGGTACATTTGGGAAAAATCTCCCAAAAAGACAGTATTTGAGTCAAGTATGATAACAGTTATTTATTTTCTTTCCACTGCCTTAAAGGGGATAATAACTGAGTTAAAACTAGAGACAGGATATTTTTGGACTCATGCTCAGCTAATGCAGTGAGTTCAGAGACAGAGGGGTTAAAGACAGGAGGTGTGACACCCCCTTTTGAACACATACACTCACACACACACCAAATCCAGCATCATGGCTCTTACTATCCCTTAGTGTAGACCCCCACCTGGTCATGTGGACCTGATCCTGCAGATAGCTGAGGTCTGGTGATCAGCAGCCGCAGCTCTCAGCCCCTCGCTCTCTCACACACACAAACACACACACACTCACTCACACACACTCCTGATAACATGTGATGACCAAGCAGGCGCAGATGTGCGTTGCAGTCACACACTCACTTTATGCAGGGCTTCAGGAGGGAGCTGAGACGCCTTGAAGAGCTCCGCCACTTTGCTGGACGACAGTTTTCCTGAGGTGTCAGCTTGGCACAGGCTGTGGAGACCTGAGTAATACCTCTGCTCATGCTCGTTCAGGGAGATGAAACTCCCCGCAGACGCCACACCGGATTCCTGATCCATTCCCGAGGCTGACGCATGGAGGACAATCCACTCTACAAGCACACAGATCGATGCATCCCGCTCCGGTACCCCGGACACCGACTCCGGTTTCAGGTCGGAAGCGGAGGTTTGGCAGCAGGAGGGCGGTATCACCTCCGGCACGAGGGCTCCTTGTGAGGACTGCTCGGCTCAGGATCATCCACTCCTACTGCCTATTATGTCTGATTGTAGCAGAGCTGGTGGCGGCCTGCAGGGGGCGGTAGAGCACAGGAAGAAGAGGGAGGCTTTGTCTGTGGAAATAAGGAGCTGCTTTGTCTCCCAAAACCAGAATGAAGACGTTTGTGGATAGATTTTCATTTAAAGGGAGTAGTCTGTCTGTGAGCTTCCATATTTGGTTCTCAGCACTGATTGGAAGAGTTTTTCTTTTATAAACTTTTATATAGTGGAGACATTTACCAGGATATGTAAACTTTCCTGTCACAGAGTAACAAAAGGAACATGGAAAAGAGGAGAAATAAGGTCAAAATAGATATGAAAATGCGTGACCTTTTCTCTATACTAGGAAAACAATTTTTCAAAATCTGCTATTGATTCAAGAGAAAACCAAAGGTCGATTTACCTCTCAGAAATGAGTCAAAGGAACGGTGAAGTACTGATAAAATATTTTTCGGGTGTCATTTTTGTGGTAGTGGAGAGTGGGGTAAGTTGAGCCACCCCCTGCTGCTTGGAAATGGGAAAAGGAATTGATCATGTGACCAAATGTTTAGGAGATGGGCATCAATTCATGGAGTCTGTGAAGGTTAGAAGCACATGGGTGAAGGGGTTAGACATTTATTTCCAAAAACACATATTTTTCACTCTTGAAAGTGAATTTAGTCTGTCTTAAGTTTTATTAGAATTGTATTTAGACCAAAGCTTGGTTAACATGTAATACACGGGGGTAAGTTGACCATAGGAGACCACTTTTTTGGCATGCTATATTATCTAGACAGTTATGTTTACACTCATTTTGTTGGTTTGCAGGGATGCACAACATCTTGAAATATATGCAGATTCACTAGTTAGAGACAAAACTATGATTGCCTTAATGTAGCGATCCGAAATATGAAAAATGTCTCATCTTGTTTTTTGTTTGAGTGTTTCCCCTTCATGCTGCCTCCCATTTTCTACAATTATCACTAACTGCTGTTTTATTTTAAAACTGGTGTATGGTTAAGGAAATATGATGCATTACTACAGTGGCCCAAAAGGTCAAATACACAAATAATCAAACCAATAAAGGGAAAATTATGTAATGAAAGCCCCCAAATTTTGCAAAAATATTGTGTGTAATGAAACATCTGTATTTTATGTTTTGTAAAATCTTTGTGTTTTTTGTGAAATATTTTTAGATTTTGTGGAATATTTTTGTGCTCCATGACAAACATGTTCAAATTTATGTGTGAAGTGAAATGTTTCATGCAGCTATGAAATATTTGAGTTAGTGTTTATGACCTACATACATAACATAGTCTTAGAAATATACAACATTATGTGAATGAATATACTGCACATTGCACTTCAACACTTTTACTACTATTTTCCTTTTCACCAGCCCATTCAGGCGCGGATCCTTCTAAGCACTAAATAAAATGTCAAGTTTTCTACCCATTGGCTGATCACTTTGCTTGATAAAAAAACATTTTTGACTCAATCCATTCCGTTAAAATCTAGTTATCAATAGAAACGCTGCAGTTTTATACAAAAACGGATGTGCTTTTGCTTTGCCTGAATTTACACAAAATTAAACTTGAGAAGAATTCACACAATTTCGTCATTGTTGGATCCCTGATACTACATTCATATATTTCTGGGTGTGTTTTTTACAGTACAGTGTGTTTTTCTGACTTATTTCTTCATTGTTACAACTTTACCACTATAACTTTTTTTAATAACATTGATGAAAACTGATTTGTCTCTATAAGCCAAAACACAACTCTAACTTTGATAATTAGAGTGCATATTTATGTTTGTTATATAAATAGATGATGAGTGTATTTCAAGTAATCTCTTAGTTAAGGAGGAAAATTTAAAAATGTTACAACTGCCTCTGCTCTCCCAAACATTTTCTTTTAAAATGTAGAGCAGTGGAAATGTAGACTTGTGTCAGATTTTGACACTGCAGTAATTTTTCCATTGTATTACCTAAAGTGCTTGATAGAGATGAAATAGAAGTGAGTCCAGAGCTACATTATTCATGCTTATCAGCAGCAGATGAAACTGCAGTCAAACTTAATAATAATAATAATAATAATAATAATAATAATAATAATAATAATAATAATAATAATAAACTTTATTTGTATAGCACCTTTCTAGAACAGTTGTCACAAAGAGCTTCATAGTCATCAAATTAAAAATGGTGACACAAAAAGTCATAAAAACAAACAAAAAGTACACTAGTATCCAAAGTCCTGGCAAGTGTAAACAAATGGGTTTATAACCGCTTTTTGAAAGTATCCACACTGTCAACAGTCCTTAGTTCTCCAGGGAGAGAGTTACAAAGTTTCAGAGCAAAAAACTCAAATGCACAGTCTCCTTTAGTTTGTAGTCTGGCCTCAGTCAGGCTTTGTTGCGGAAATAAAGACATTTTTTCATGTTAACCAAGTTTGGTAAACTTTCTTCAGTCCATGTTCTGATCCCTCACTGAAGCTTCTGCTGCCCTCTTCTGTTCAGAGAAATCACTGCAGTTTTAATCTTACTGCAACAAAAACACCTCATGTGATGCATGTTTGCAGAGGCTCAAATGGATGAAATCCAAAGACAAAACAAACTGAGATTATCTGATTATCTTGTGTTTGTGAACACCATTGTGAGCGCCATTCCTGTTCACACTGTACATGTCAGACTTCAAATACAGGACTGAGTCCTGCCACATCCAGAAATACTCAGATGACACTGCTACGTGTGAACACATGGGATTAATAATAAAATATTCTATTAAATACAGTACAGCTGACTCAAAAACATCAGGTCACAGTGTGGTAAAACCAGGTGTATGCTATCTTGTAATTCTCAGTAGGATGTTTTTATAATGTTCAGGGGAGCTGTCAGTTTTTATGGAAAAATTTTATGACTATGATGGGACGAAGAGGTTTTTTATTACAGGCAAAGTTCAGATTATTGGGGTAAACACAGACCTGTGTGTTATCACAAGGAAGAGACTTTTACATCAAACTGATTTCCTCCGGATTGACCTGTGGGTCAGCTTGGTTTCTCATTAATAGAACATTTAACTAAACTGTGACTGAAATTGATGATTAACTGTAAAAACTAAACTCAGTCAAAGTAGACTTTGATTTGGTGTTTTCTTTACAGATTTGATCCTTCATTTTATTGTTGACCTCTCATAGTAAAAGAAGGAGAGGCAGGGAGGGAGTGAGTGAGTGAGTGAGTGAACACGGTACATCCTGAAATAGCTGCTGATGTCAACATGTGCCACTGCTGGGTCGTTACGTTCCGAGTGGAGTGGGTGTTGTCCGCTTTCAGTAACCTGTACACACAAAGAATGCAACTTTCCAAGCTGTAATAAGCAGATGCGCTCAGATTTGACCTTTTGCAGCCTGTTTCATTTGATACAGTGTTTCTGTTTTCTCTGCTCTGAGTTGTGCTACAGGTGCCTGACTAACTCACAGTCTGTTCTGAGCAGAGTAAACAAAGCAGCGCTCGGCCTCTCTCACATTAGCAGCTCTATCTAGGAAGCTTAAACAAACACTCTCCTGCTGCTTTACAGTCTTCATGTTTTACAGTGAGGCTGAGCTGCTCGTCATCTTTTAAAGAGGACAGGTTACATTAGGTGTGTCCAGGTTTAAACATTAAACTTCATCCAATGACGTTCCTCTGCTGAACACTGAAAATTTCATTTGAGCTTCTGCAGCTTTCTTTTCCGTATCCTGAGATGTTGGAGAAGGTTTTCTTGCTCATCTGTTTGTCGTCTGCTCTGGCAGAGCAGCTCTGTAAACCAGGTGAGTGAACATCTTCAAACCTTTTTAATTCAAATCTATCTCCTGACTTATTTTGTATAAATATTCTACTTTTACTCAGATAAAACTGGCGCTGTTACTGTGAGGCCTTCAGTCTGCTGTTACGTTGTTTCCTCTCATAAGAGGAATGCAGATTAACCTTAAAGTCAGATTAGGCACATAACTCAAATGTTTGCCTCTTGACAATGACCTCCCTTTGACACCAGCTTTCACACTGAAATACTGGCTGATCTTTTAGCCATTTTTCTACAGCTCTGCCAGAATAAAATAATACAACCTTTCAGCATTTTCCGTCTCATCTCTAAGACTAAAATCAACAAAAAAACACTATTGATTTTCAGATCAAAATAGAGCTCTTGTGTCAAAATAAAATGAGAGTTGATTTGTGTCAAAAGCAGGTCAGTCAGAGTATTTCAACAAGTTTTCAGGATGGCAGTGTCTTCTTGATGTGTTTTCCATCGTTTCATGCCCAAGTGGTTGTTTTTCTCACAGTTTTATTGGACTTTTCAAGGTCCTGTACTGCACCAGGCTGTTATTTTTCAGAGAGAAAAACTTTAAATTGTTGTGTAGCAATAGAAAACTTTAGAAGTTCATTTCAGGACTCTGAAGGGTCAAATCTGCTTCGTAGTGTAAAAGATCACAAACACATGCAAACTTTTGCGAAATGAGAGTTTCTTTGAGAGGACTGATTATGTTCACTTCCTGTTTGCTCAGCAGAGTGAATAAAAAGTCTGGCCCAATTCAACAAAAGCAAAACAATTTTTACATTCAGGTGATTAAACTCTGATGTCCTCATGAGTATATTATATTCCATTTCTACGAAGTCTATTCTGCTGAATGCTGTTAATATTACAGCGCACCTTTAACAGTAACAGAGACAGGAAACTCTCTGTACTGGTTGGCTGTACTGACGCCAATGATTTTTTTTTTTCAGCGCTCCTGAATAAGGGAAAGAAACTAATGACAGTGCTGACAGACAAAACCCAGCACTTAGCATCTGGAAATCTGCCTCCATTCATTGAGTCATACATACTACACCTTGCTGCACAGAGTACTCTCGGACCCTCATGTCCCAAATGAGGCAGACAGTACCACATTTTTGAACTTTTATCCCTCATTACACCACATCGTGCTCTACGGCTGAGGTGATCAACAGGTGTAGGCCCCGTGTAACTGTTTCAACCTTAAAAAAAGTTTGCTTAAAAAGTTTGAGCAGTACTTAGCTTGAGGCAACATTTCCCAAGTGGTGACCACCTCAGTTGGGCTTTTAACATCACATAGACTATGGCCATATTTTATACTGTCTATGATTTGAACAAGTGCATCCTGTAGGCACACACACTCTATTTTACAAATTGTTGCTGTGTTAGATTTTTTTTTAATCACATCTGCTTGTGAGCTCTCTAAAATTTCACCTATGTAAATGTTTATGAAAGCTGTCTAAATCATGTGTTTGTGGTCTTTAGGTTTATATGAAGTAGAATTTTTTTTTCACCACACATTCCCTGAAGAAAAAAAACCCCTCAGATTTGAAACTGTCCTTTTTTTGTCTAAATCTGACAAGACGATGACTGAGAGTATCACATTTTCTTTGTATTGCAAATGTAACAAAATGTTGTGATGAAATTTATGCGTTACTTTGAAGAAATCAGCTCTCTTCTGAGAATAAAATGTGACTGAGGCCTGGAGTTGAATCTGTTTTTATCTCTGTAGATGCTGCGGAGGGCTACAAAGTGCGACTCAGCATCAAAACTGCTCTTGACGATCAAGCAGTGCGTATATCTTTAAATATTCATCTGCCTCCACAAAACGATCATAGCCTCTCATCACCAAGAGCTGTTTGAAGCTTTACTATCTTCTATGCTTTCTATTACTGTTACACATTATTGATTCACCACTGATCTGTTATAAAACTAACACTAGCCTGAGAATTAGCAGTCTGCAAATTTTTGCTCACTCAGTGTGGGACTTTAACCACAAGGCCAAGGTCCATGTGGAGACAAGTTAACCTTTACAACCTTCCTGAAAGCAGCATGTGATCTTTCTCTTGTTGTTGTCATCATTGCAGTACATGTGGGATGACAATGAAATGTTCCTTTTCCGATCAACTGTGGCGTATGCCATGAGGAGACAACTCCCGGGACAGCAATTCAGGTGAGGAAACTTTAAGTGATGAAACAGAGCAATCAAGAATCTAAATACTGCTGTGTTTTTAGGATGGCACTATGACTGTAAAACTGTTATGTAATGTCTCTAAGTGTCTATAAAAGCAGTGAGTCATGGTTTATGAACATGAAACGACAATAACCAGCACTTTATGTTCCTGTGGAATATCCCCAGTGTACCGAACATCGTTGTGTGTAATGAGACTGCCAGAGTGTCCTTTTGGTTTGTGGTGATGTCTCCAGACATGGGGAGCCTCATCCCGAAACAACAGGTGGAGAAGGCTGTCAGGTAATCACATGATATAGTGACACTGCAGCTTTAAATCCCTGTTAAGAGAGTGTACTTACTATACTTTTTCATGTTCTGATTCATTGTGTTTGGTTCAGACACAGTTTTATTCGGTTTTGTGTCATCATGTTATCCAAGCCTCTCTGCATCACTATAAGATGCTATTTTGATTTGGTGACAGTTATGGTGATAAATGACCAAAATCAACTAAGGGAAAACCTCTAACGTCAACAACAAACTTAGCTCAATGTAGACTTTTGTCTGTTTATTATTTTTCTTTCCTAAGGAAAGATAAACTACTTTATAGAATATATTTCAGTAACAGGACAATTGAAGGTGCTTCATCCAGGACATGAAAAGAAAATGACACAAGTCAGGATAACAAAAAAATTCAAGTCGATAAAAAACAACACCTAAAACCAAATATAAAAAATCAAACTAAAGAGAAAATAACAACAGAAAAACAGATGGTTAAAATTTAATGAGATACTTTCAAGAAAGATGTGAGATAGAAGTTACAGTACAGAGTGGTATATTTGAAACAGGCAATATTTTAGAGAAAGGCCGCTGTAAACAGGTGAGTGAAAAACCTGAGAGTGTAAGCAGACTGAACATTTGCTACTCAATAATTCTTCTAGTCTTTATTTTGTAACTAAAGCACTGTTTTTAACAGAGACACAAATGGTGGTATTAAAGGAGAAACCTATGTGGGGTGCAAAAAATTATGCAGCTCCTCTAGTGTCCACCGGGGGCTGTATCCAAAAGATAAGAAATTACCACTGACATCAATGTTGAAGCGCCTCTTTTTACAGGAACGATGAACATTTTACAGCCTGATATAAAGAGTGGTTTTAAAAGTGTAGCTCTTTATTTAGTCTGACACCGTTCACAAAGGGTGTTTTTTTCTAAGAGTGCGAACCTTTTGATTTGATCAAGGCTGTGTAAGACATAATTTGCATATTGCTGCCACCACGCAGAAACTTTTTGTTTTTCACAAAATTAAACACCACAAGAGATTCAAGTACAAGCTTTTTGAAATACTTTCATCCATAGAAAGCATACTGACAGACATACAGCATTAAAAGTATAGTGCTGCATTGTTACAATGTATTCTAGCAACATTGAGGGAAACTGTCTTTTAAACGTTTTTTTTCTTTAAGTAATTTTCATCTGATTTAACTCTGAGTGCACAGAAGTGAGTTATTGTATAATTTGGTTTTAACTCAAAGTATGGCCTTTTAATTTTTCTTTAAACTAATATGCTGCCAAAGTTAAATAAAACACTACTGATATAGACCCCAGTTAATCTTAATTAAAAGGAGTAATAAAAAACAAGTCATTCTCCTTCTGTAGTTTTTGGAGTACAGAGAGGTTTCTTTGGGCCCTTTTTAATAAATAATGTCAGAGAAAAAGTAGGGATGGACATTCAGTAAAATCCATATTTGTGCTTTTAGGTTAGGTCTGCATGTATTATTTATCTGCTCCAACTTGAATAATCAAAGCTAGCCCAAATCTGAGGAAAAGAAAACACTTTTTTTTTTATCATCACTGAGGACTTAAAATGTGTTATTTTATTTAAACTCATCTGTTTCAAACACTTAGAATCTTTAAAGATAAAAATAAATAAATAAAAAATCTGCAGTGTCTGTCTGAAGGCAGTTTGATTAAAACCATCACGTTTTTACTTCTCCAACAGGATGTCCAGGGGTCGCATCAACAGTGCCTTCATGCTGACTGATCACACTCTGGAGTTTATAGGGATCGCCCCCACGCTGGCATCACCCTACACACCTGACACCCCACCATGGCTCATCGTGTTCGGGGTGGTGATGGGTGTGGTGGTCGCTGGCATCATCTTCCTTGTTGGGTCGTCTGTGGTCCAAAAGAAACGGTAAGCAGACGCTGAGACAGAGTAACTACAGTAGCCTGAGAGGCCAAAACACAACGCTATGGAAGACTTAAAGCTCCTGCGAGGACTTTCTTTCTGGTTATAAATCAAAGGCAAAAGATCATCAGCTGTCAACTTAAACAGTTATTCATAATATGACACTTAGAGCCAAAATGCTGCAATAAAATTGTGGCCATATAGGTCAACAAGTGATCTGCGGGATCTGATATTGCTCTTGCTTTTTGTGGCAGAATCAATTACTGCTGACAGGAGATTTTGACCAATCAAAACCAGCTATTTTACACTGCTGGGAAACATTTCTTTGATTATTTTCTGAAAGGTTTTCATGTTTTATGAGACGCTAATGTATTCTCTGAAATGTTGTTTGTTTTGACCTTAAGCGCTGCAGCTGATTGAACTCCCTCAGTTTTGTTTCCTTTTTCTCATTCCAGCAAAAAGAAACAGAAATCTACAGACAACAATGCAGAGGTCAACGAAGAACACAGCGCTGTAAATGAAGGCGTTTACAACATGTCATTCACAGATGAAGAGCGAATCACACGGATTTAAAAGCATCTTTAAAAACACTTCCATGAAAGAAAAAAGAGGGTGAGAGAGGTTACGAAGCTACTCCGGGTGGACTTAGTTGCACTGAAGAATCAATCATTTTTAGGTTGTTGTTGATCCACAGTTTGTGAATTAAAGCAGTGTTATGAATGTTAGGATTTCAATCGGTTAAGAGTTTCTTTGCTTTCCTTACCTGCTGCCTTACAGAAGAAACAAGCACACGAAGCTTTTATGACGGTGAAATGTTGTTCCACATTTAATATTTCAATTTTCTGCATGAAAGGATGATAAATTAAAGATCCTCTGTGTGAGCGTATTTCATGAAGGCTCATGTGTTTTCTTTAGAGAGGATTCTGACATCTCTTCACACACTAGTGCACCAGTCCACAGTCTGTTTCTGTGTCTGTGTTTCAGTGTTTCAGGCTGTGTGTGAACAATAACAACAGAGTGAAAAATAGAAATTGCCCTCAAGGGTTGAATAAATTATTGTGTCTTCTTGCCATTCTTTCTCTGGATGTAAGGCTGCAGATGCTCACTGACTATATTTAACCTGCATTTTTTTCCCAATCTGATTGATTTTGAAGTTAAGATCAAAACCAGAGTCCCAGATGTGATGTCTCCGGCTTGATGTTAGATCTCTGCTGCTGACATATTTGTTGGATTCCTCTTTCTTCTTCCAGACTGGAGTGGGAGGGAGTGGGTGGGAAACCCCCTGAAGTTAGCTGTAGCTGTAGTTTTGTAGCTTTCCCCCTAAAATCAAATCATACCCTGCAAAGAATGGGGTTATTTTGATGAAAAGAGGTGCTGTTCATTTTGATCAAAAGAAAATTGAAAGGAGGGGGTGTCTGAGTTTAGAGTTCATGGTGAGTGATGCAGACTACAGCTGCATGTGAGCTGCAGGTTTCCTCTAAGACTTTCACAGTAGAGTCGACCCTGTCTGTAGAGGCTTTATTTCAATACAAGAACTTTATTTTTACAATTCAAGAACTTTATTGATCCCTAAAGGGAAATTCATTTGTCTGGAATCTCATCTCATCTAGGCCTACTATTTACAGAAAAAATGTTAAGTCTGATGGCTGTTGGTACAAAAGATCTTCTGAGCCTTTCTGTCCTGCAGCGAAGAGAGAGGAGCTGTCCACCATCATTGGTCCTTTGGTCCATCAAGGTGTTGTGAAGTGGGTGATCCATGTTCTTTAGAATAGTCTCCACCTTCCTCAGTGTAGATCTCTCCACCACATCCTCCACTTGAGTCCTACCACAGAGCCAGCCTTTTTCACCAGTTTGTTAAGACGTCTTGTATCTTTGTATTTGACGCTTCCTCCCCAGCAGACTGCAGCGTAGAACAGAACACTTTCCACCACAGACTGATAAAACATCTGCAACATCTTACTACAGATGTCTATTGATTGATCGGAGTCTTCTCAGGCAAAAGAGGCGGCTCTGCCCCTTTCTGTAGATGAAGTCTATATTCTTAGACCAGTCCAACTTATTATCCAGATGTACATCTAGGTATTTATATGATGTCACCACTTCGATGTCCACTCCACAGGTGTTCACTGGCTGAGGAGGGGGTTTGGATCTACGGAAGTCTATGACCATCTCCCTTGTCTTTGAGGTGTTGAGGAGGAGGACGTTTTTGTGACTCCAGTCACTGAAGGCTCTTATCAGATCTCTGTATTCAGCTTCTTGACCATTTCTGATACATGCCACAATAGCAGTGTCATCTGAGTATTTCTGGATGTGGCAGGACTCAGTGCTGTATTTGAAGTCTGACGTGTACAGTGTGAACAGGAATGGCGCCAGCACTGTTCCTTGTGGAGCCCCTGTACTGCTCATTAATGTCCCAGAAACACAGCTCCCCAGCCCGACAAACTGTGGCCTTCCTGTCATGCGATCCAGGAAACACAGGAGGGATCCACTCCCATCTCTGTGAGCTTGTCTTTGAGTATGGTGGGTTGGATGGAGTTGAAGGCACAACCATCACTCCGTTCTGCATCTCAGCATCCACTTATTACGCACAAGAGCATGGTTATGGTTGTGGTGGTTAAATTGTACACTGCCATTACTTAGTCTACTCTGTGGAAATATTGGATATGCAAAAAAATGCCTCTGCAGCTCAGTACCTTTACATGAGTGGGGTAAACCCAGAAATAGCAAACTGTGGGTTATTTCATTTTAGTGTGTTTATGGTACATTTTTGCTAAGAAGTGCCAACATTTTTCTTTTTTTAGACAAATGTCACTAATTTATAGAAACATGACTTTATGTTGAAGGTGCTACAAACTTAGTCTTGGTGAGAATTTTTTCAAATGGGGATCTGAGATTTTGTCTCTGTGGCATTGCGCATAGTTAAACAGTGTATGGTTGGCACCCAAACTCTTAGATTTTTTATATTTTCACAATTTTTAAAGGCCATTATTCATCTTTTATAGATTTTACATTTACTACTCTATATTTTTCACCCCTTTTGAAGACTCATTCATCTCAACTGCACCAGCGCAATTTTATATAAAAATTCATATGACTCAAATCAATGGATTTTTAAAAGCCTTTATTTATCATTTTATACTGAAAAGCCCTGAACTGAGGAGGATGATTTCAATTCTGCAATGAATATATCTTCCTTTAGGTGGCACCATTGCACCATCACATCGCCTTTATATCCTGATGAGCTGCTGCTGCTGTCTTCCACTTCATACAACTCCTCTTCACTCGCTTCAGAGAGTGTAAGCGACAAACTGCCCTTTAAAAAAAACCTGAATTTCAAGCATATTTTAATTGAATGTTTTTTTCTATTTCCGTCTGACTTTCTTCTGCTTTCAGATCGTGTCTATATTTACTTTTTTGTTTCATTAAGTCAGCTCCTGATCTGCAGGTGAGGATGTCTTCTCTCTATCATGAGTGTTGTGATGTTTCTGCAGCTCTCAGTTTGGAGCATGAACAAACCCACTGCCAGCTGATAGCATGCAGTGTGAAAATGACTAATAATCATCCGGCTCTTCATGAAATATCGCGCTCCTCTTCCCTTGCGTTTCCTGTTCTTGCCTGAGGAGTTTGTACTATTTCCCTCTTCGCGTTAAATTCTGTCAAATTTAGTTTGAGAGCATCACAATCTTGTTGGTTGGTTCATTAAGACCCAAACTCTCAGTGTGAGGGGTGACAGAAAGTGCAGAAAGTCATTTTATCACTTTATTTACTGGCATTATTTGAATAACTCATCCCAGCACCTTCTGAAGAATTAATGAGTTTGAAATAGCCTCAGACATGAGTCGGTGTGCAGTGACAGCTGGCCTGGATAGAACAACACAATCTTAAAGGAAGTGATTATTGTGCAGTTTCCTCTGAGTCCTGCACTCGTCACAGGAACAATGTCTGCACGGTCTTCATCACATAATGGCTCTGCCTAATTCTGTCACTATAAACACAGGACATAAATAAGCCTTTGGAGATAATTCGAGACCAGCAGTGAAGTAAAAATAATTGTCTTGAGTGAGAGAAATCAGGGGCAACAATGTAAGTCAGCAACAGTTTAATAACTGAAAATCAGATGCTTCATTTTCTGTGTGGATTCCAGGAAATAGACCACACCATAAGGAGAGTCAACTCTGGGGCAACCACCACTACAGCAGGAGTTGATGTTTATCTACACATGGACATTACATACTTTCACAACAGCACACACGTCTTCGACAGTGACGGTCTAATCAGCTCTAACTGTGTGCAGGCTGCATAGTGAAGGGAAAGGGGTGTCACGATTCTGCAAATCCAACACATTAAATTTCATTTTTTCAACACATTTTCTAAGCACTGATGGTGATAAACATGTTCACATAAACACCAATTTCCAGCTATTATCCTGATTATCACAATATTTAAATTGTGATGCTGCAGGCTGTGGATCAGCTTAATCCTTAAGTTACTTCTTAAATATAGCATTTTCCGATTAAGACATGTGGGAAATGACTTTATTATTCACTTTATTGGGAACATTTACATTCTGAGTGAAACACCATCTTTCTTGTTTGCAGTCAGGTCTGAGCATTAAAAAAGCTAACAGTTTGCAGAGCTGGAATTCATCAGGGTGTTACTGCTGCTTGTTAGTAGAAAAGTTAATGAAACAATCATCTTCATACAGCTTAGAAAGTGATGGAAGAAATAGATACTTTTAGGTATGCAAATAAGACAATTAAAAAGGAATTTTTTAACATGACTTTAACATCACGTGCAAAATCAATGCAAAGAACCAGGTTTACAGCAGGCTGTAAAAATAACGTGAATTAGAAGGCTTTTACAATCGTTATTGCTCGACACAGGAAGACAAAACAATCAACAAATTGATCTTGCACACATAACATCTTGTGAAGCTGTGTCACAAGCATGTGAGATCTTATTAGAAAGCTTCATAAATTGGCAATCTACCCCCCCTAATGAAACAGGCAGATTTAGACATAGCTGATTGCTCATTGTCATGCAGACAGGCTAACCAATTTGCAGCGGCCCAAGTAATCTTCATTGGGAAAAACATGCTGCCAAATCAGAACTGTGCTGCAAAATCTTAAAGAAATCAAAAGTCCAATGGCATAATTAGGCAATAAAAAACAGTCAGACTAACTGCACCAACAGCTGCCTGTCTTTGCCAGGACACTCTTGAAAGTAGATTTTTAATCTCAGTTTGTTTTTTTCTTCCCTGGTTAAAGCTGCTGTGAGGAGCTTTGGTTTGTGTCCACTTTGGCGTCCCCTGATGACAAAGTTATATCTGTTATCTCCCTGTCTTTTAAAGAACCACTTCAATGAAAATCATGTTTCCTTTTTACATGTTCATATGGCACTTTTCTGATGCTACTAGACATATCATGAGAAAACTAAATGTGAATTTCTGAGTTAGTTTTTCTGCATTCAAATCGCTGTGCAGACACAAACGACAGATCAGATACAGTTAGATTTCCTACCTAGCAAATCTAAGCTCCGCCCCCTGAGCCCCGCTATGCAAGCCAGGTTCAGAGAAATAGAGAGGACGATCGTGGAACAAGCGTAAGTGTTAGCAGATTGCAATGCTCATAAAAAAGCTAATTATGATACTAACTTTTATCATGTCCCCAAAGACATTAGTGTGCGAGAGCTGGATAGCTCCTATGTTACCTGTGTCTTCTTCTACACTGGCAATGTTAGGCTGCAAGCTAGCATGAAGGGGAGTGTGCAGAGCAGCGCTGTCTCCGCCCATGACTCAAAGGCCAATTGCTAAAGAGCTACTGGAGCTCTTGGAGAAGAAAAGACCTTGAAAATGACACAGGTAATGTGATTTTGGCAAAAAACTTCATAATCACAATTTAAAGACCACTGAGAACAGTTTAAGTAGTAAAAGAAAAAAAAAAGGGACTTTAAGGGAGAATTATAATTTTCACTGAGAGTATTCGCTGTAAACAAGTAAAAAAAAAAAAAGGTTTGTTAAGCATGCTGTCAATAATCTGGTTTGACACCTACCCCCTTACAATGGATTCAGACATTAAACAATACAACAGAGAAAAGTTCAGTCTTATTGCTGATGGTTTTGTTTGCTTTTGAAGGGCCAAGAAGAGGCATCAACATTATTTTCTCTCTGTACCTCAACCACTTTTGTAATTCCTCACAGTGCCTTTAAACAAAGGGTTCACTTTAAAATAACACATTAAATGTGTTGCAAACATGGCGTGCATTCAGTCAACTAAATACATAAGGACTCAGTTTAAAAATTATAACCGTATGTCTAAAATGCTGGTTGTATGTTGTGTCTGAGCTGCCACATGTCACTATTTAGGACTGTATGGATAACTTCTCATAATATGGTGCAGTTTGTCTATATTTTAAATTGAATGTGGGCTGTGTCTGGTTAAACTGGCATAAAACTTGTGTGACTACCACAGGCATGTAGACCTGCAGGGAGGACTAAAGGCTGGTGGTGCCAGCTCTGCTGATGGTGGCCATACACAGAAAACAACCTGACAGTGTTTACCTGTTTGACAGTGTTTGACTGTGCTGGATAAAGTCTACTAAAATTTGACCATTCCCTTAGTGTTTTATTCTTCTTAGACTAGTTGGTAGGCCTGAGTTGAGAAAATTAGTTGCTTCAAAACACTCTTAATTGGCAGTGCAAATATAGAGACCCAGAAAAAAGCTGCATATGGAGAATTGACTTCAGAAGTACTCCGAGTTTGTGGGGGGCACTCAGAGCAGCAATTCATGATAATTTATTATTCATGGTGAAAGTGAGAAAGACAAGCTAGTGAACTCATTATTAGACTACATGATGGTAGACAAAGCAGTAGCAGAGTCTCTGTGAGGGCAAAAACAACTATATAGCATATGTGGAAAACCCACTCACATTTGATCCCGGAATAGTCTCTAATAGATGAAGAGCATATTGTAAAATACATTGCGGAAACTTCAGCTTCTCTTTTGGCTTCAACTACAAATTACCTGCAGGAGTGGCCAGTCTGCCTCTCACTGTGTACAGTGTGCATTAGCAATAGGGCTAGATAAAACTTTAAGCCACTGTTGCTCTTCCTTGAATTCCTAAATTTATCGTGAACCTTGTTCTCATCTTAACATTAAATTAAATATATATTTTTGACATAGTATTATAAAGTTAATCAGCTCATGTCACTGATACGCCAATGTCCTCAGTGCACATCTCTGCACTCATGTCTTGAATGCAGTGTTTTTCTTTTGCATGTGTTTTCTGTGTTTGTGCACTTTTAGATTTCTATCTATTAAAGTATTAACAGCGTGTTCCAAGCTAATACAAAGCTTGCAGTTTTTTGTTGCATGTTTCTGCGGTTGCATTTGTTCAGGACTTTTGCATGTGTTCTGAAGTTGCAGCATGTTTCTCCCAACATTACAGCATGAAAATGTTGCAAATACAAAATACACATAGACCTGACGAAGCATGAGCTCTTACTTTTTTCAAATCTGCATCATGACGTACAGATTCCAGTATTTTTGGGGAAGCATGATTTATATCAAAACATAATCACAGTAGCATCTTTATTTTTGGCTCATACTGCTGCAGTGAGCCAGACCCTGAAAGAAACAGATAAACTAAATGCTGGTTGGTAATGTCCAGGCTGGCAAAGAACTGAGCAGAGTCTGACCCCACTAACAGGTCATCAAACCGGACTCTGCTGAGCCAGGAGTGGTTGGAACAGCAGTGAAGTTAATCAAGGAACAGATCCTGGAGAAGAACAGAGGGATCCAAACTGTGAGAGCCTTTGGTTTTTTTTTTTACGAGCAGCGAGTGGCTTGCCAACATGTCTGGGAGGGTGAATTTCGGGCCAAAATGTTCTCGCTTTTGGTCTGTGCACAAACCTACATTATCAACACCCACAGTGCTGCCACACTGCTGACTTCAGAGAGAAAGGAGGATGTCACAGCTTGTTTCTGTGCAGCTCAGGCAGTGACCAAGGTGTCTCTGCAATTGCACCTGCGGGCTAATGCTAAGCTAAGCCGTGTCATCCTTGAAGCTTTCTTTGTGTTTCACAGTAAAATTAAAGGTATAGTGCGTGGGAACCAAAGTATTTAGTCATATCTAGCAGTCAGTTTGTTGATTGAAACACTCCCCTGCATGTTATGTAGACGTAACAGCTATTGATTTTGAAATCCAGGTGATGAAACCCTCATTCAAACACAGTCATGAATGTTATATTCTAGTTTTTCTTTTGTAGTCTGTTCTGCTAAGTACTCCAGACTGTACCTTAGAGTAAACACTGAGACAGCTGACTCTAATTATTGTTGGAGAAAGACTCAGAATCGTGACATCCCTGTTGGTGAGCATGTTTTGCAACTGTAATAAAGTCTATTGGTTGGATTGAAACTCTCTACAGAGCGACAGAATATAAAGAACACACTTAGACTCATCAGAGAGGCTTTGTGAACACATGGCAGTGCAAATCTACAGTTCAGTATACTGTACGTTTAAAACTACCCAATTCAGAAGTTTCATTCAAATTCCAGGGATTTCCAGTGAGCATGCCCATATTAAACTATCAATATTAAATATCACAATTCTGATCAATATTTAATGAGGCCTATTTTCTAACAATGCAGCTTTCAGGGCTCAGAATCAATATTTAAAAAAGTTAATTTTTCATAACTTTAGCTTTGAAAGCCCAAGTGCATTATTAATGTTGGCTACATGAGCGGTGTGAAAAGTGACAGATCCATATGCATTTCTATAAAGACAGTGGAGGTGAAAACTATACGATGTGCACCGACTTTCACACAAACCCTCATTCTCCTGTCCAACACCTGGATTTTCCCTGCAGGGGGGGACAAAACAAGGAAATGTCTGTGAGAGGCGGTGTGTTTATCCTCCCCCGCTGTGTTCAAAATCCATCACTGTCGACAGCCTGCTCCTCTCTCTAACTTTTCCTTTATTGCAGACTAGAAATCCCATCTCTGCTGTTGTTTCTCTTTGTCCTCCTTTTGTTTATGAGTCTCATCCTCTGCTGTCTCTCCTGCCTTCCTCTCTGCCCCCTCTCCCTTCTTCTCCTTCTCTCGCTCACGGATGATCTCCACCAGCCGCTGAAACTTCTGGTTTAGCTCCTCCATCCCTCCCACCACTTTCCCCTCGTCTTTGTCTCCGTCGCTCTCCAATGAGCTCAGTGACTCAGCGCGTGAATCACGGCCCTCAAACTCGTAAGTCTGGAGTGAGTCATACGGCGGCTGCGACAGGTCAAAGGTGACCTGATCCAGACGGATGTTCAGGAGATCTTCCATCCGGAGAGGCTGCGGGTTTGCGGCCTCTCCTCTCGTAGGCTCCACCCCACATGCCCAGCCTCTGCTGTTCCCAAATAGCCCCCCGGATAAGGACAAAGGCTGCGAGGTCAAATCTTTCCCCTGGAGTTTGCACATGTTCAGTAGCTGCACTCCCGCTGGGAACAAACCGCCGCTGCTCGTCCCGTTCAAACACGTCCCTCTGCTGTTTGGATTCAGCGAGCCCACAATGCTGTAGGTGTCTCCTGGCAGGTAAACAGGAGGATTTACAGAGCCCATTTGACCTCCGCTTGAATAATTCCGCTCTGAAACGGAGGGGATCGAGGAGTCAGTATCAATGTCATCTAATGTGCAGCTGGTGGCTCCTGTGCTGATCTGGGTCTGCGATGACCCCGGTCGGCCCTCGTGCTGGTTTGACGAGGAGCTGGTGTGACTTTGGCATGAGGACTCATTTGGGTCACAGTGGGACAAATCTGCAGAGACACTGGCTGGTGTCGCCTCTGTTTCTGTCGGGTTTTTCTGTTAGAGAAAAAGACACGAGGAGATTTTAGATGATTCAGACAGATGGGGAGGGGCGAACATATGGAGGCAAAAAAAGGACCAAATGATTTACAGTCTTAATTTAAAAGGGAGGAATGGCAGCTGAGTTACTATTTCATTTTCCAAATTTAAATTTAAATAACATCCGACTTAAGACCTGTCTGTATTTATGACTGTAATTGAGGTAATTTTAAGCTTTCGAACCATAAAACCTTTTCTGCAGGGGCTGAAAAATCCAGATGTTACAGCAGAGGTCAGTTCATCTTAGTCTCCTCCTTATTGGACAAAGTGACTTACAGAACTTCATCAGACTTTAGAGGTCTAAAAATCCTATTCTGACGAGAAGCTGAGACGAGCTTATTGATGCCCGAAGGGAAATTCAACAGACCAAAATATCTGTAAATTTGTGCACTTAAGTAAGACATAAGGGTCTGAAGATTCATCACACTGGATTTGTTACCAGCTGTGACGTTGAAGATCCTGGTGCATTGGTCTGCAGCACCCTTGTTGAGTACAGATGTCAAACAAACTGATTTGTGAGGTTTGACTCTTTTATTTCTGCAAACTGTGCCCAGCATGGAACCGTTACCTCTAACAAGTGTAGTGTTAGCTTTGGTAGCTGCGACAGGGGTGTTAGTTAGCTCACTGGAGGATCCACACGGCACTTTGTGTTCCTGATCATATCCTTTGGACGTGTTATGAAGGGGGATAAACTACAAACTAGACTGCCTTTCTGTATGCTTTTTAGGAAGAACAGACGAAGACTAGACATTAGTCTTTATTTCACCCGATAAGAACAAACCTGTGCTCTAAGGGGCATGTCTTTCTTCAAGCATAGATGCTAACAACACTGCAAACTGATTCACAGTGGCTGCTTATGCTCTGCAGTGCACTTTGTGAAGAATTTAACTTGGCACGTTTTTTCGAATTTGAAAATGTCTTTTTGGCACATTTGCACTCATAAAGTGGGGACAAAAGCGGCACAATCCTTTTATGATCAGGTCCTGAGTCTGCTCTAAAGAAGAGGAGTCAAACAGGCAGCCTGAGCAGGCATCTGCACATACTATCCATCCTTGGATGTTGAGTTAACTTAATCAAATACTCCACTTTCTTTGTTTTACTGCAGACAACTGGCTCCTCCTCTGATACCTGCCTTTGTCTCGTCTTACAGTGAAATCGCTCTCTAATTATAGTTTCTTTCTGCTAAAATTACAACTTAATTCCTCAAATTCAATATAGTTTTTCTGCAAGTCAAGTCTGGCAACTTTTTCACACTTATTTCTGACTTCCCAGTGTTAAAACTTTTTCACTGATTCACAAAGACAGTAGAAAATAAAAATGAAAGGTGATCTTGCTCTCTTCTTGGCACAAATGCCCATTCAGCATTCTGGAGTTACTGAGTTTTCAAGCATCTCAGTAATGCATATTTTAGGCTGTTTTCCAGGGAAACTTTTACTCACTTGCTAATGTAATTCTTATTTTACAGCCCTTTTTGCCTCCACATAAAAGTTTTGACCACATCATCTGACCTTGGCCTGATCCTGCAGCTCTTTAGTGTCGGCTGTGTTTGCCTCGCTGCCTTCATGTCTGTCTGTGATTTTGTTCTTCCCCAGCATGTGCTCTGCTTCATAACAACCAGTGCTGATCTCAGGAGAGCGCAGCAGAGGATCAAAGGTGTTCTGGTTCTGGATCACCAGGGAGCTGCCAACGTGACCCCCACTCAGCCTGTGGGTCAGCTGTGTTAGCTGCACACCCGCCTCCAGAGGCCCGACTGGATAATCTCTGAGAACAGGCAGCGTGTGGAGGCCGTAACAAAGGCGTCCGTAGAGGGGAGCAGAGCCCGGACGCTGCTGAGGGCTCAGGCCGGGGCGTGGGTTACGACTCCAGCTGCACGTCCGAGCCCGCGGAGGATTCTGTTGGGTGTACCATCTGTGCCAAGAGATAAACGTCAGAGAAACACGCACACACTCACTAACGCACACGCTCTCACAAGCCAGAGTCACAAGGATAAACTTTGTTTTTATTTTGGGAACAGCTCACATGTTTCTGCCGTTGTGCATGTGCTGCATCCGGTGCATGCTCTGCAGCGCTGTGATGTCAAAAGCTGCGGTGTCTGCTTCCCCTCCCCCCTCGTCATCATAGGATATGATGTTCTCCCTGACATCATCCTCCTCGAAGGGCGAGTGGGAGTCTCGCTTCTGATGGCGCAATGACAGCGAGAGCGCACACACCACTGACGGGCACAGAGGAGACACACGGTTGTCAACATTAAGAAGGAAACCTGACACAATGAGTCAGCATCCTTTAAAAAAATCACAAACATCAGATTTGCAGCGCTTCACAGACTCCAGAGCATTGGCGAAATAGAATTACACCGGCGAAACTTACCGAGCAGAGTTGTGACACATGCCAGCATGGCGAGTAAGGTGACCAGACTGAAAATGAGGGACGTAGAGGAGGAAGGCATGGGGAGACAAACCATGTGTCTCTCCCATCGCCTGTCCCTCTGCTTTCCCCGATCCTCCGTCTGCATGCCCCCCCGCATACACGGACAAATGGTCACGGTGACTGTGCCAGTGTTGGTCAGACCCGAGGCCCCGTCGCGGAGGACAACTGGCACGTAGAGGGTGAGTAAGGATGAGGAGAAGCCAGGGAGGGGCTCCAAGGCTGACTGCAGAACCAGGCTGGCTGTCACACCTGATAACGAAAGAACAGAAACACACATCACACACGGTCACTGCACAAACAGCCTGCACCACTTTTTTTTTTGGATTCTGTTGTATTTCTGATTGTGTCTGATAGAGAGGAGCAAAGTCAAGCAGTGCAACCTCCAGATTCCCTGATGGAGAGGTTGAGGGCAGAGCTGGACTCTGGGGGGATGCTGAAGTGAACCGGGGTGTCCTGACCTCCTTGGTCCTTGTCGATGGCTCGCAGGACCTGAACGACCTGCCAAACACAAATGAAAATAATATGACACTATTTTTGACACTCCTTGTAGTTTTAGCTTGTAGTAATATCTTAATATGCTCAAAGCTCTGGGAAATATGCTTTTTTTTGCCATAAAATTTCATGTATGCAGCAAAGTTAAGAGTTTAGTGGAGAATCAACAAAATGAATATTCAGACCTTTTAGAAAACCTGGTTAAAAAAATCTCATTTTCCTGTTAGGGAAGCTGCTTCAGACTCTGAAGCTGCTGCAATCAGGTTTTGACTGACACCTGCTTCGTTTTGATGAACATCCTCCTTGCTTTGATTGACATTTCTCTTGTTTTATTCTGAATTCTGCCTGGCTCAGGCCCACAGCTCCTGTTTGTTACTAGAACTCTGATTGCATTGTTAAAAACAGGCTCTGCTAATCATCCGAGGCCTTATTATAATAGAAATAAATGAGAACAGAATAACCAACAGACTGCCAGTTCTAAAAATACAGACAACCTTGACAAAAACATCCAAACTTGACAATTAACACCATACAAAGTTAACAAAGGTAATCTATGGTTGATGCTGTTTCTGCGTATAAAAGATTATTTTCATTATAAATATCTAAACATGACCAAGTTCAATTCAATCCTAAAAATTCACACAAATTTAATTGTTAACTCTAAGGAACTGACATGATCCATTCTCACAAAAAGAGAGGTAATCTGTGATGACAGTATTTTGTAAATGCAATCAGCTGACCCAAAAAACGGATTTAATGGTGACAACTTGATTCCAATATTTTGGGAACATTATTCTATTCAAACGATGTTAAAGGAAATCACAAAGTATTATATTTGTCTGTTTTATTATTATGCTTTGCTTTTTGTATAAAAGCTAGATTTGGTCTCCACTCAGTCTTTCACATACCATGAACTTGCTAAATGTGATGCTGTGTGCTTCCTTACTTCAACATATCTTTATTGCCTTCATCACCTGACTTGATGATAAGTATGCTTTTCTTTTAAAAGGACACACCTTCTAATCGAGTTGTGAGTCCGTAAAATCAGCATGAGGAATAAATATTTAGCGCCAAAATCTTCATTTATAATACATATCTAAACTGTGTAATATTTCAAACAAGAAGGTAGACACCACCCTCTGCTGTTTAAAAAGGGTATAGATATTTATTTTTCATCTCGCTGATTTGCTTCATATCTTGTATCTATTTTTACTGTCCTAAGCTACATCTCTGATGAGCTCCAATCAAAACAGCTCCCTGACTTGATCTTAAACTGTGAAAAGATAAGAAACGTGTTTTAAATCACTCAAATATCGATACAGACAGTGTTTTGACTCAACAGCACAACAGAAAGGGTGTGACATTGCAGACATATACATATAGATGTAAAATTTAGAAAACACAAATTGACATGCTTTAAGGATTTAAAAAAAATATATATTTTTGTAATTTAGAAGAAAAATCCTCGTTGAGGCAGTTTTTTTTTTATCTCTGTATTGAAGCATGAAGACACATAAGTCTCCCCTGTTCAGATGTAATGCACCACTCGACACTGAGATTCATTTCTCGTGAGAGCTATGGGACACAGTCGTCTACTGTACCAAAAAGCTGGCCGTCCTGGTTTATCAGCGAGGAGGGATCAGCACTTATATTTATTTATTTATAATGCTCTTGCACAAAAGCCTCGTCCCCCAGCTCTCAGCCCTGCTCTCATGAAATGTAGGTAACCATCATTCAGGATCACGGTCAGGGCTGACCCTGCAGGTCCTGAGGATTTCATCCAGAAGAGGTCCAGTACTCTCACTGTGACCCAAATACTTAAGATTAAAGAAAATGATAATAATGAAATAAAAATAAAGAAGACATCCTTACTACCACTGAGACAGTCCCAAGGTCCCTGATTTTGTAATTTACAGTTTTATCTGGGTTATTGTTCATTAATGCACTTAAACTTTATCATCATTGTGCTTAATTAAATCAATATGTTTACTCAGATTTCCCGTTTTGACTCCTCATACTCCTCTACAAGGCCTTACCTTAATTAACACCTCTGGATATAACTTTCTTCCTTTCAGTTTTCATCCCATCCTAAATGCTCAGGCCTTACTGCTTTTCTATTACAGGTTTCTGAAGGGTCTGACAAAATGTTTTACACCAGCAGATACTTTTCATTGCTCTACATACTGGAGAAAACTTCAATCTAAGGACTGAAAACCTCCAACAGAATTTAAAATTTGTGGACCCTCTGTTTTAATTTGGCCTTTGAGTCAGCCTAATACTGTTACAATTTTATTACAGTGTATTGTTTGCTTTTATGGATCTAATTTTGTGGTTTTATTCATTGGGATTCTTATCTCTGAGGTGTTGTTTTGTGTCTGATTTTGTTTCGTGAACAGCTCAGGGGCTCATCTTTGCCCAAATAGCATTATCTAAATGAGATTATTACAAGTTTGAACATGACTTTTGGGATGCACAATATAAATCGGGCTGATAACTTATCCTCCAATTTTTTGAATATTTTATCACTGATTATTCTAATAACACCATTTTATCAGTATAGGCTAATTTAATTTAGTCTTTACCAAGCTTACACATGCCGACACAGCAGGTATGTGATGCACTGTAACATACAGACAGAACAAGTGCAGTCACAACAAGCTGGTATGAGAAAAAATGAGCTGCAGTTAGTTGCAGGATCAGATTTATTTCATGGGTCTGGAGCATAGACAGTATATACTATGGACAACTTTGTTCTGCCTTCCGCCAGTTTATGGATTTGAAGCCGAAAAGCTCTCAGTATTTCCGTGACTTTTCTCCATTTCTTGAAACCAACATTGCCCAGTAGCGTTGTATGCTCTTCACCACTTGCGCAGTAGCATTGTATGCATTTGGCGGGAGAATTGCCAAGAGTCGCTGTAATGATGCCTGTCTCAAACAGCGTATCCCCCGGGTGAGCTACGCAATCTTTGTACGCCCATAGGCTGTATCAAGTGTCAATCACAGAAAACATGAACCCCCTAATAAATTTTAAAAATGGAGCTGTACAGAAAAAAGAGGACTTGAGCACAAACCAGTCTTACAGTAACTACATTTCAACATCGCAAGCTGGGGGGGCGGGTATATTCTGTGGAATTCTCAAGTTTGTCCACAGCTCCATAAGGATTGCTGGAGGAGGCGGGATTTATGACCTGTACTGCAGCCCATCAACAGAGGTGCTGTTCTCGGAGTGGCTTCACCCAGCAAGGAGGCAGACGGCGTCCATTCTGTATACAGTCAATAAACTGGAGCTGTTGTCACCCTGTACAACTACTCTTTGGTGTCAGACATACTAGACCAATCACAAACCTTCATTTGAAAAGGGGCGGGTTCTATAAGATGACAACACAGGAGTGCCAAGATGGCAGCATCTGCTGCTGGGAGGTTTGCTTAATCTGCAATGGCTACTGATGTACCTTCAACAAAACCACAATTAACAACTGCATTTACAGTGTTCATTTTTAAGAAGGATGTATTTCCTTCTTTTGCATGCAGCTGTCTGTTAACCCTTCCTGTTGTTATGTCACCTGCTGTGTGGATCTGATTGGTTGTAGGTTTACAACAATCCCTGTCAGAGGCACTTCTGCATGCTTCCGTTGTTAACGCCACTCACAAAATGAAATGAATTGAACAGTTGTAGTCTGAGTAACCAAGATAAATTGGTCCGGTGATGCCAAGCAGGGTCAAAGTGGTTTTAATGTAAAAATTGCTATCTTTTTAGGGAAAGGAAGAAAACGCTTCATATTCAAAAAGAAGAGGAAAAAGTCCTCAAATTTTAACAAAATGAATCATTTTCAGTAAAAAGTTGCCATCCAAATGACAAAAGATGTATGACAGGAATAAGAAGCAGCAACTGCGAGCAATTTCATGTATCTTATTGCTGCTAATGTTCATTGGTCTGTGGTTCTAAATCCATTTCTGTTATTTATTTATTTATTTAGTTTTGATAAAGCACTTTTGATTATATAAAAGTTGTGACACAAATGAAGCTCAATTGATTGATTAGCACCAAAAATTTCATCTGGGAACTTCCTAATGACAACCTGAAGCTAAAGCTATAGATGACAGTCACTGTGGATTTACAGCCTTTTTTATGGTAGACAGCCCAAGCTTTCACCTGTTTATGGATTTAAAGGCTGCAAATGTAACTCTACCTCTTTGTATGATATGATCTCTACATGTTAGAAGTCTGATCCACGTCAGTGTCAGTATCATTGGTTTGACCACAGAGCGGGATGGCATTGATTTTTAGTTCAAACTCCATATACAAATATCATGTACAAAATAGTGATGAAGATGCCCAAATATTGCTGAACAAAATAATCATAACAGACCTGGCCGGGGGCACTGGAGTCACACACAGACGTGGTGTACTCTCTGTCCAGTTCTGGAGCATTGTCATTTTGGTCCATCGTCTCTATTGCCACCACAACCCTCGTCACAAGGTTTGGATTGTCTGGGAGAAAAGGAAACAGACATGAAATGTTGAAATCATCACTGGATTTCCATCATTTCTTACTCCTAACATTTTATTCCACACTCCAGGCGGTGCTTTTGGTGACAAATGGCTCTTGTAAGCTCGGCTGCTCATTGCGCCCGGGGGCCAGAGGGGGCTGACATACCCCTCTGTGTGGCGATGACTGTGATATTATGCCACTGCTCCTGTTCACGGTCCAACTCCATCACCGTGCTGATAAAGCCCGTGTCAGAGGCGATGCGGAACAGAGCCTCGGGGTCTGACTGGGGATCGATGGAGTACCTGAGATAGGAGAGCAAAAATAGGAAAGGGGAGGACGAAGATAGCGAAGAGTGCCCTGAGAGAGTGACTTAATGTGTGAGTGACGGGGTAATAAAGCACCTGATGTTGCTGCTTTGCCCTGTGTCCGGGTCCACAGCAGAGACCCGGCCAACGGAGCAGACAGGAGGGCAGTTCTCCGACACGTCCAGATGGTACCGAGCCTGAGAGAATCGAGGCGGCTCATCAGCATTAAGGACCATGACCCGGACTGTCGCCTGGTCCTTAAAGGGGCCGTTCCTAAGGTACCGGGGGTCAACCAAAGGGTTGGCAACTTCCACAGCAAAAGTGTAAGAGTTTCGGGTCTCATAATCCAGCAGCTGTGGGGTGAAAAACAAAGCAATGTCAACTGCCAGGCTTTACTTTAAGATCTTACATACGGTACAAGTTATTTGTACTCACCCTTGGGCTGTATAATGAAGCATAATACACAGACACAGTTTTTAATCACATAGTGTAACCTAAATTGCTGCCAGTTTGAGAAGTATCCTTACAAGCCTGAGGGGTACAAAACTATTCACTGGTTAAAATTAGAATAAAGTTTATTTAAATGAAGCTGTCATACATCTTTAAGACTGTGTTCCTTTTTTATTAAGATATTCAAATCTATGGAAAAACTGAATTAAGCAGTTTTCTTGTCAAAACTGGAGCCTTTGGGAGACTTTTGGGTGGCAAGTACTCGGGGGCTGAGCTGAGTTGTTGCTGATGATAGATCAGTTTTCAGGTTTAAATAAGAGGTCTCATTTACCTCGTTAAAACCAGCGGGCCTGGTGAATCAAACATAAAATGCAGAGTCTAAATTAAAACACAGCAGGTCACACGGGGCTGGGTGCTAATCTACCATCAATGACAGAACAGAGTTTAAGGGATTCACAATTTAGCATTTTTGCTGATGTACAATAAGCCAATACTTTAAAATCATTTTGGCAGCTACTGCCGATAATACCGATACATACACACTTTTCTTTTCATTTTAAAGAACACACCGTCACTCTTACAACACCTATTACTCTCTTTACAACAGTCAATCTATTTTGGAACCAAATTATCTGCGGGGGACAATGTGAAAAGTTAAAACACACACAAGCTGCTAACAAACTGTAACTCCACAAAAGTGGCTTGACAAAGTCTTGAACACGGTGTATGAATGTTTGAATAGATCTATTTAATGTTAGTCTGACTGAAACTGGACTTTTAAAATATAGGTGACCAGGTTAGCCCAGCTGAAATTGCACTGAATCACACCTTTTGTTGGTAGTCTAACACACCTTGAAAATGTATTTGGAGTTGGATTTCCTCTTCGATGTATTCATGTCAGTCAGACTCAAAGTGGCCTAGTTCTGCGTATGCTCCACAGTTTGCACAACACGCTAAGCTGTATACTATGAAACTGTTGCAGAAACTGGGTAGTAGACAAAGCCTCAACAGAAGAAGGAGGGATGAAAAAAGGCAGAGCTGTGGCATTGTGTGAACCAAAAACAGAGCCATAAAGTTGTCAATGTTTCCCGTCTCTGTTTTTTGTCCAGCTCATTTTAAACATGCGTGTAAATGTATTAATTAGTCTCTGGTATTGCAAGAGGCATGACTTTTTCACACACATAGGAGAGCAGAAATTGCATGCTATCCTTCTAGCGCTGACTCCACACATTGTCACTACTTTCCTCCCAATTACACTTTTCACTAGCAGTGCAAACAGATCCCCTCTCCGACAGACTCAGGATGTCTGGTGAGGGGGCTGCAAGCGAAACTGCAGCCATTATGCATATATATTTCTTATGCAACCATACTTTGGTTCGTTGGTTCTTTGGTTCAGTCTTTTTCTCTGTCCTCCAGAAAAACCTCCACTCTCTTCACTGATGACAGAAAGTGTTTCGCAGTTTGAGGTGGGTGTGCACTCCTACTTGATCTTCAAATCCAAGCAGAAAACTACAGACTAACTGGCTGTTGTTTTTACTTTTTCGCATCGCTCAAAAACAAGTAAAAATGTTCAGTTTGTAATCATTGTTGGTGTGAATTTGAATCCACTAACGTAAAACTAACATGTAATACTCTTTAGTGGAGTTTTTTCCCCCCCCCAGATGTTTTAGTTAAAAGTCTTCAGCCTCTTCTTTTCTCACCCTTTGCAAGGTTTGCTAATTTATTATTTCACTGAGCAATAATTATCTTTGAATGCCACAATGCTGTTAAACCTTTCAAGTTGAAAAGACAAACCCATGCTGGCTGCCTCTAACATGGCCCTCTCACATCAAATGAGCAACAATTTTTCACCAGCCTCTCATTAGCTCATTGTTGCTCATTAATTGCTCGTGCAGAGCCTTGGGAGTGTGAACCTGTCAGCGGCAGAATGTGTACCAGTGGAGCGACAAAGTGTTTAAATGACCAAATCAAATTAATCTGCAAACCGCGACCAAAGCAAATTTGTTTCATTATGTGGTCATTAAAGTAAATTCAGCTCCATGTAGCTGTCTGAAAACATTTGTTATTCATTTTTCTCCTCATCTCTCACCTTGTTGAGCACAATCACAGCCTCTTGGTCTCTGCTGGTTATGTTGAATGTCTCTGCCTCCTCTGCGTCTAGGATGGTAAACTCCAGCTGCGCGTTTTCTCCCAGATCGGGATCAGTGGCGGTGAGGCGGCCCACCTCCACACCTGGTGCTGCTAGCTCCGACACAGAGAATGACCACGCACCTGCAGAGAAGATAACAGTGAATATAATGGCTCAGAGGACTGGCTCTGAATTTGGATGAGGTGCAGCAGCGGGATGGTGCCTGGCACAATTTTGTGGTTTTCATTTTAAATTCATGACCTAGTTTGAAGGATTGGCTCTAATGCTACACTCACATGTCTACACACACCCCTGGGAAGTTGTCATCATCTCTTGGTTTCAAAGTTTGAGGCCAATTTACTGTTTTCAGCTGACGGTCATCGTCCAATAACATCACACGCAAGGTGGGAAGCTCAAAATTTGGTGTGATAGCATGCAGCTGTACTCCAGATTCACAAGTGATTGAAACTTAAAGATGAAAAAAAATAGACAAAGTCTTATTATCCCCCCTAAATAATCAGCAAACAGTCAAAAGCCAGCTAAAACAATGGGACATACTCTGAGGTACAACTGGCATCTGGTATATGCAAGTCACAAGGGCTAATATTGGCATAAACTTGACTTGTTTCTGACACAGCTGTGATTCAGAGCAGTTACAGTCACATTTTGGAATAGCAGTCATTTAACACTGCTGAATTCTGGTCTTTTAGGTGGATAAACTACTGTTATATAACAGGTCAGACAGCACATTTTAAGAACAACAACACAAGCCAGCAGACGCCAGGTGTCAGGATCCACTAGCAACAAAATGTAAAAGTTGCATTTTATCCCATGTAGTTTGTCAGAGTGAATGACAATCGAGCTAACATTCTCACAACCTCCTGACCAGAATTTAGCATATCTTATTTTCTTTCTGTTTCCTACAATTTCCCCCTTCACATCAGTGATGTTGACCAAACAGAGTGCAAAGTGCTCTGTGTGTGCTATACAAACAAAATGCCAAAGCAAAGGGATGATGAAACTATGAGACAGAGAAAAGGTGAATTTAACTCGACAACAACATCCCTGCCTTTATGATATGTCATTGAGGAGTTATCATGACAGACTAATAAAGGCAGACAGTTTCAATAACTTCTGTTAGCTTTTCCAGGTGTCATCTAGCCCCGCACCTGTGCTCTGGTGGTGATTAGTAAAATACTGATGCGTGGTCTGTCACAAATCTATGGTTCTGTGATCACTTAATCTGAAAAGGAAAAATCGTGCAGTTTGACCTGGGCATTAGTTGATGTATAGCACTAGTGATTTTTCCTGACATTTCAACTTGTACTGTGAGAATCTAAACTACAACATCAATTACCTTTTGACATTAATTCTGAAAAAAAAAAACAGAGCTAAACCGATGTTTATTGTACTATGTTTTACATACATTTTCAAATGTAGAGCTTTAAATTAGGTAATAGGCTTGTGATTGTTCTTGTTTAAAACAATACTGTTTTATGTGAGTTTTAAATGGCTGTTATTTATTATTTGAACAATTAATTGTAAGATTTGGGCATTTATTACTTTTACGATTTAAATGTGTTAACCTTTTACTTGTTATGTTACTGACAATGAAAGGGGTCCCTTGTGTAAACAACCAACAGTTATATCCGAATCAACCCAAGCAGAGCTCAATCACTGCTCGATCTGAGACAAGCACGAGTGTGTTGGTTGTTTTCTTTTTGGCAGTTTTACCTCAAAAACTTTTTTCACTCAACTTCAGCTCTCATTTACAAGTAGTTTCTTCTTCTGAAACAGTTTTACTGGAAGGCAAAGAAGGTGGAGACAGCTTGTCTCATAAAAAGAAAAGGATGAGGATCTGTGAGGAAAGATCTTCACAGAAAAGAAGGTATGATAAGGTTTTCCAGGCCCTTAAAATAATCCAAGAAGGCTTCATTTCAGAGAAAAAGAGGAGGAAACTGAGCCTGGATACAAAAACAAGGCTATCAAGTCACAAAAAACTCCAAAAAGGTATCATACTCCTGTGATCAAAGGAGAGGGTCCATCAACAATGGCCATAGGTGAAGAACAGGATCCTTCCCCTTTGATCCTAGACCAAGAACAGGATCCTTCCCCTATGATCCTAAACCAAGAACAGGATCCTTCCCCTATGATCCTAGACCAAGAACGGGATCCTTCCCCTATGATCCTAAACCAAGAACAGGATCCTTCCCCTATGATCCTAGACCAAGAACGGGATCCTTCCCCTATGATCCTAAACCAAGAACAGGATCCTTCCCCTATGATCCTAGACCAAGCACGGGATCCTTCCCCTATGGTCCTAGACCAAGCACGGGGTCCCCCCCGCTGAAGAAGAGGATCCTTCTCCAGTGATCATAGAGATAGAAGACCATTTAGTTAATTTCAAAATAAGTCTTATCTCTGACAAATAAATCTTATAAATAGCCAATCTCCGACAAATAGCCAAAATAAATCTTGCTTTAAGTTTTTCTACACAGTGTTAAATTTAAGGGGGGTCTTGCCCTTCATGAGTATCCCATTAAAAAAAAAGAATAAAACAAACAGTTACACAAATTGAGACCAAACTAAAACTTAACATTTTCAAAAAAATAAAATTAACTTGTAATCCAGCCTTATAAAGTTGTCAAATCTAAAATCAAAATCTAACATAGTGTGTCAATTTGATTAGGACTAGGTTACACCTGCTATATATGAAAAACACCCCCCAAAACAAACAAACAAATGGTTAGCCCAACATCAGGTGAGCTAACTTGACTCAAAGATAATAAACACATTTTGATGAAGAGAATGACTTATAAAACTGTGAAAAAACTGGAAAAAAAGTAAAACCTAATAACAAGAGAGTAAGATGAAGACAAAAGACAAAACTATGAGACTACAACTTAGACTGCCTACTATGAAAAAAAAAAACAATAACCATGTCTTTGGATGGACACAGTCTACAACTTAGGCGGCAGTAACTCAGGAGGTAGAGCAGTTGTCCAATAACTGCAAGGTTGGCGGTTTGGTCCCCGCCCTATCCTTAGTCTGTCTGTTGGGTCCTTGGGCAAGAAACTTCACCCACCTTGCTCCTAATGTGTGTCCTCCACTGGTGTATGATTGTGAGTGTTGTGTGGTGGTGGTCGGGGAGATCATAGGCGCAAACTGGCAGCCTATGATACTACCTTAGTGACTACTAAGGTAGTTTACCACCACTGAGGTATGAATGTGTGAGCGAATGAATAAAATCTGATGCATTACTATTAAAGTTTTATCTCACATGTATGACACATTATCTAATAATTCTGAGTTTTAATCAACTGGCAATTATCTTACATGGGACAAATCATATACTTATGTTTCCTTTATGCTAATCATATACAAATATGTTGAACTGGACAAAAGTTTTTTGACAAAAACCACAACAAGGTTGCAGAGAATAAGTACCATAAGTTAAACAATTACAAGCCACACTAATGGTACACAGCTGGTACTCAAATAACAATCAGGATCATATATAGTTAGCCAGTGGTTATGTAAAACTGGGTGACACTAGACCCTGTAGAGGATCGGAAAGGTCTTATCTACCCTGAAGGCTAAAGGCCAACTATAAGCTCCCCTGCTTGTTATAGGTCACTGGCATCACCTAAAAAATCCACAGCTTGCCTCCCTGGAGCTGAATTTGAACATGAAATTCCTTCAAATCTGTAGAAATGCATATTTTCTCCTCGCTAACCTGCAGTGTAGAGATAGTAACTAGGAAAAGGAACTCAAACTGCTGCAAGTACAACTTAAGATCAAAATCCTCATATTAGTATTACCTGAACTCTTTGCAGTGTTTGTGATCAAAATCTAAATGTACCAGGGTTTATCATCTTTTACACTAGTATTATGGGAGGAGGTGGTCTCTCTTTTGTAAGCAGCTAGAAGACCAGGAAAAATTGCATCTATAAGGTGGTACCAAAGTGCATCAACATGTTTAAGACAGAAGTATAAAAAATATGGCTAACAATGAATCGTGTACCTTTTTTTTTGTTTTAGCTTAAGTGAGGCTTGGTTGCAGAATATGTGATTCCAGGCTTAATGTCTGTGTGTTCTGAAAGGCCAATCAGATTGAAAAAAGCAATTTGAAAGACATCTGTTGGTCTGCTGGATCTTTGGCTGTATGACTCTGTATTTTTGTACCATTTTCCCCGTTTTAGCAGTAACTGAATATCTAACCATGAGCTGCAGCCTTTCTTGTGGCCCAAATTTTCGGATGGCATAGACATATCTAGGAAATGCCAGCACAAATAAGACAGAAAGAAACTGTGTTATTCTCGAAGCAATCACAGAATGTGATAACATCCCTTTATAGCCGCCAAGCCAACAGAGTCACAGCACTCTGCTGCTGTAGCATGGATTTAAATTAGGTAATATGCATGCATGTGACACCGAACTGGCCCCATTTTATGCAAATGAGACTCATTGCAGCAAAAGTCCAATTAACAAACACTAGCGCAAACAGCAACGCACAAATAGAGTGAAATTATTAGGGTCTTTAGAGAGTTTTACATTTAAAAGGGTTTCATAGCCAGACTTTCCAATGAACAGGGTGAAAGCACCGTCATGCCAGATGAGCTCCTGAACTGATGTCTCTGAGGAGAATATTTGTTTTCACTGTTCCTTTCCTGATGACTGTGTTCTTGGCCGCCACATATATAATTTTCACATGGATAATTACAATCAGAGGCTTATCAAGGAAAATGCACAAACACTGCTGCAAACTTTGAGTGTAGCTGTGCTGCAATGTCAAAGGCAATTTTGTGAATTAGACATTAGACTTGGCCCAGTGAGGCTGTAAGTGATACACAGCTAGTGGTGACAGCTTTCCAATGTTTGTGAGATTCACTCGCTTGTAATTTTGGTTGATTCAAATTTACTTTTATTTTCATATCCAAGGTCTTTGAGAAATCTTTTTTTATGACATTATTAATAACATGGATGCAGAGTCAGAAGCATGCCTCTAAAAAACAATTCCATCACCTGAATCTCATCATCTCCTTCCCCGGTGTCATCACCTGTGTGTACATATATAAGCCTGCCTAACCCCATCTTTCCTGTTCTCCATGGCTGTGAGGACCCTTCCTTCTCTCCTCTCCTCCCTCTTCGTTGACTAGCAGATGATAGCCTCTCTAAAAGACTATTCTAATTACCATCAGTCTGTGTCTTATAACCAGATATAAATGGATTACAAAATATTGATCTCAGTCTACATTAAAATCTATATAATACTAAAATACAAATAGTTGTACAATGATAATCAATGTTGTTTTTTTTACTATAACTCATATTGTGAATGATCATAATATTTCTAATCTATATTTCCTCACAGGGTCAGTTTGAAACAGTCCAAACTGAGCCAAGCCATTTCAAACTGGCAGGACAAGTGATCACATCGTGTGTAGATAGACAAAGTCGCATTAGTCAGTGAAGTATGGCTAAATTGGGAGAGCTAACACCACCAGCTTTTTTCTTCCTAACAGGGTTACATCTGTGTACCTGTGCTGGTAACAGCTGCACCAGTTTAACTGGACAAAACCTACATAAGGTACAACTTTAGGTCCATTTCATAGATCAGTTTCCTGAAAAATTGCTATATAAAAAGCCATTTATCTTTAGTACTTGTTTATATCGGAGTTGTACGGCACTGGGGAAGTATGCACTAACACACTGTCAGTTTTAATTTCATGAATTAGTTGCCCCCGTGCAGATTTGAGAGACAGCTGTCGAGTTCAGATTTACTGCATGTACAATGAAACTGTCAACTTTCGGGGCAGGTTAAATACCTCTCCAAACACTCAGCAACATTGACTGTGCTGTGCTGTGAGAAAGTCAGCTCCTAAAGGCTATTGAAGGCTAAAAGGGGACAGAGCTAGCTTAAGGACATATATATATATCTGTAAGGCGCGAACTACATCTACCAGTGTGGGTCTTTAGGCAAGACCCTTAGCGCTATGGCCTACCTTATAAACATGAGTGCGATACCAGTAAAAGCCAAACCAGCTCATATGTCGCCTGGGTAAACAAGGTCTGCGTCTATGAACATCACTGAGACCAATGAGCTGATATACAGTACAGCAGCAGTGATCCCTGTGATGCTTGGACATAAAGTGAACACCAAGGGGAACTAAGGGCAATGCACACCATGGAGGAGAAGGTTGGAGGCTAAGATCAAGCTGACACGGAAAGAAGTCAGCCAATTGTCAAAACTCCAGAACGGTACATCCAGAAAAGAGGTACCTAAGAGGTACAGACAGATGCCCATATCTGAGGCCTTGGAAACTGCTAAACAAAGACTCCAAGCCTTGGCCACCCGAATAAACAAGAGAGATCGAGGCCAAGCGAATAAACCGGCTTTATTCTCCACTGAACCAGCCAAAGTGTACTCTCAGTAGCAGGGTAAGAGTGGAGACTGAACGATACTGGAAAGGCATATGGGAGAAAGAACCATCACATAACAACGATGCACAGTGGCTAACCGATCTAAGAGCAGACCACATCGATCTCCCTGAACAACATGCCATGACCATCACAGTAGCAGACATCCAAGAAAAAGTCTCAGGTATGAAGAACTGGACAGCACCAGGCCTGGATATGATTCACACCTACTGGCTAAAGAGGCTGACCTCACTGCATGACTGCCTGACAGCAGAAATGAACCAACTGCTCAGAGATGGGACCCACTCAGAATGGCTGACCCAAGGCAGGACAGTCCTGATCCAGAAAGATCCACAGAAGGGAACAGCCCCATCCAACTATTGGCAGATCACCTGCCTCTCCACGACATGGAAACTCCTGTCAGGCATCATTGCCTCCTCGGGCTACCACCTTAACGTGGTGGAGGGGTTTGCGTGTCTCATTGATCCCAGGAGCTAAGTTGTCGGGCGGCTTAATGCCTCTGTTAGGGTCACCCATGGCAAACAGGTCCTGGGGGAGGGATCAGACTAAGGGTAGCCCAAATAGAAACCTAATGAAGAATAGCCGGGCAGAAGAGGCCACATGGGACCTCCTGCCGATAGGCTGACCATTCATAGGAGGGGCCAAAGGAGTAGAGTGCAGGCTGCAGACGGTAGCCCAGAGACGTGGAATGTCACCTCTCTCGTGGGGAAGGAGCCTGAGCTGGTGTGCGACCTGGTGAAGTTCTGACTAGATATAGTTGGACTCACCTCCACACATAGCGTGGGCTCCGAAACCAGCCCTCTAGAGAGGGGTTGGACTCTGGACTCCCGCGTCCTGATGGGGGACTTCAGTACCCATGTTGAAAGTGAAAGTGAAACCTGGAAGGGCATGATTGGGAGGAACAGCCCCCTCTAGGGTGGTCAGTGCCTGTCGTGGTGGTAATACCTGAAACCAACTGATCTTGCAAATAAAGCAAACCCTATTCCTAAATCATCCCTATAGCCATCAACCTGCACAAAGACTGACGATCTGTATCTTAAAGCAGGGTAAGGTTACCACCAGGGTGAAATTTTCCCGTTGATATCCTGACAGCTGTTTTAATAAGAGTCGAAACTGTGATCTGATTGATTTTTTTTCCTTCAGTCGGCTCATAAAGAGGCCACACTCGCTCCTGCCCCTGAGCTTTCACCCTGTCCAAACTGGAAGAAAAAGAAAAGTGGACAGTGCATTGACACTAAGGGCTCTATTTTCGAAAAATGGACAGTGCATTGATACTGATGGCTCTATTTTCAGCTGCTATTTCAGTGATCAGATGAGTTATTTACTCTAAGCCTACATACGGATATTGTAATATTCAGTTTTGTGGGCCAAATTTATTTCATATGCCAACATCTATGAAGGAAAGATCCAGGCCACGGAGCGCGATGCGTCATTTACGCACAGATGGTTCCGATTTTAATGCCATTATTGGAATTTATGTTGTGATCTGTGCGCTCAACCCACCTTTGTCGCGTGAGGTTTAAATATATGCAACTTCATGTGAGTGTCTTTCTTTGTGGAAAGGGTGTTTGTCTTACCAGTGGGTCCAACCTCACACACACCAAATCCATCTGTGCTCATATGAGAGAGTGTGGAGGACGCCCTCTGCAGCGCTTACAGCGACACTTGTTGAGGGGCTGCCTTCTTGTCACCATCGTGCGGCATTGCTGTCTTCAGACATCTCTTGATCTCTTTGACTACTTCACCAAAATTGTAATACGCCTTGCGGATTTTAAGGTGAGGAGAGGAGTGGTTCTAATTGGTGAAAACAGGTCTCGGCTGTGTTAAAAACACTCCACGCCCTCTCTATGACTGACGCCGCTGGGAGGAGCTGAGTTAGGGAGAGGGGATGCTTACGCCAGGCTGCGCCACTCACCAAAACACCAAAATGTGCTTGGGCACGCCTTGTCGGCACAGCAGACCTGACTTATGCTGCGCCTACGCCACGTCGCCGGCGAGGAACGAAAATAGAGCCCTGAGTTGTGACACAGCCCAAAAAAGAAACATAGTCAGATCCTTCTAAAGAGTATGAAAAATCTCTGTATCTTATATTTTTAAGTTGAAAAGTCTATCCAGCTATCTATCTATCTATCTATATATCTATACAGTATATATATATATATATATATATATATATATATATATATATAAAACATTTAATTATTAGATTATTAAAGCTTATATTTCTATCGTCTATGAATTTGCACAATTTGCAATTGCTTTATCTTTTTGCATCTTGTGATATTTAAAGTCTATCTATCTATCTATCTATCTATCTATCTATCTATCTATCTATCTATCTATCATATTTACTTGCAGTGAGTTTGTACCATCAGGTTTGTTTTGGACTTTTGTTTATAATGCATGTGGCATGGCCTGCCTCTTCTAATGGAGGTCATCAGAGCTACTCAGTAGCGCTACTGCAGACCCTCATAGAATACTGTATGTTCACATGCATGGGGACAACTATAACCTCACTAAAAACTCTTTTTCTGATGGAGGTACAGTAAATCAATGGCACAGTGTCATCAGAGTTTCTGAGAGTTAAGACTCATACATTTTTAACTCATACAACAAAGTGAAGCAATAATGGTTGTAAAAGCATTAACATAACATTTGACTGGTATTTCAACTAAAACAAAATATTTATAAAATGGTTCGTCTAGGCCAGAAAGGTAAAAAACGTTTTGTACCTCACAAGTTTCAGTTGTTATTTATTTATTTATTTTCTGGCCTTATAAACTGTTTTATAGATTTATCATCAACAAGCCAAATGAACCTCTTTAGTATATAACAAAATATGTGAACAATTTGTGTAACTGGCTGGTGCTTAATCTCATCACAAACAGTCACCTCTGAGGAGCTCCATTTTTGTTCATGACGCTAATTTTAACAAACTCTCACTTTCTTAAACTTGTTTATTTCTGTCTGTTGAAGCATCAAATTCAAAATAAGAGAAATATTTGCCAAAAATAAATAAATAAAGTTTTTCAGTTTGGAGATTTAATATCTTGTGTTTGTAGTTTATTCAATTGAATATGTTGGAAAAGGATTTGCAAATCATTGTACCCTGTTTTATTTACATTTTACTCAATGTCCTAACTTAATTGGAGTTGTAATTAACACTATTAAACATGATACTTTGGTTTTTCGTAACTTCTGACACCAATTGATTGAAAATGTCTGTATTAAATGGACCTCAGGAAGATTAGTTGTTGCTGCGATGATAACTCATGGGGATCCTCCGTAAATTATTATTTATTTTATCACTGTGTCAAAACTATTGATTCAAATAAAATATGGACTGCAGAGCCTCAAATTAATAGCTGAAACTTTCCCATTTGTCACAGAGAAATCAAGAGCTGTGTTGTTCACAGAGAATTCAAGCTTTCCAGCAATGTTATTGTTTATATTTGGTTACACTCTGTTCATTTATCAAGCATGAAATAGCAGTCACCGATCTGTGAGAGATTGTGTTTTCACACTCGGCATCACATGATGACCTCCTCAACACTCATGATGTTTTACAGCAGTTTTCTGTAAACACAGTGAAACGTTTTTACTTTAAAGCAACCCATCTTTGCAGATAGTTAATCATTGAAGTCTTCTACATTATGAAGATAATTTATAAACCCCACCCACATATTCAAAGAGCATGCTAAATGAGCCGTTTGCTTAAATCGCAGCATTATTGTCAAACAGAAAATAATGAGCTGCAGCGAGGTGGAGATGGGGGGAAGATATAGTCAGATATTAGTAAATAAATAACACACAGCTGGCATTTGGAATTATTAAACTGCTTCTATAAAGTGCAGTATCGCAGCCCAATATATCAAAGTAAGGAGAGAGGGCTTTAAACATTAAGATGAATGGCAGAAAGCAGAGACTGTCAGGAAGAAGGAAGAGGAAGGAAAACGGAAAAGGGAACAGGAGAGGTAGTTTATAGAGAAATGCAGTATATGTCTCCCAGTGTTAGACATATTCTGCAGTGATTTTACTGTCTATTGAAGCAGAAAGCACTGAACTTTAGGATGAAATATTAATAGCGGGGAACAGGGAAAGGCTTGGAAAAGAAAAAAAACAGACATGATCTTTCACTCTTCCACATCAAGGCACAGTCCATTTGAATCAGGGGGTGTGTGAGTATGACTGTAAACGGCAGTAGCATTGGCTGGGGTTATGTTTTCCCACTGATATTAAAAACAATGATTACTTAGGCTGCATAAACAAAAAGAACAATACCAGACTGACAAGCTGTTTAGCTGCTTTAGAGCCTATATCTTATCTCCAACCTGCCAAGGCAGCCAGGGCCCAAAGGAGGCAGGAAATATCAGACTTCTGTCACAAATGCCATTACGAGATGTTTAATCATTTTAATCTTCAGTCACACACATTCTGCCGCCACGGAGATTGAAAGCATCCGACAGTAAAGTGTTGATCTGATAACAGCAGTGCTTACTCCGTCTGAAGTGAGGGGGGTTGTCGTTGACATCAGTCAGCCTCACAGTGACGGTGGTGGTCCCTGATAATCCGCCCAGATGCCCCCCCATGTCTTTGGCCTGAAGGACAACCAGATACTCGTCCCGAGCCTCTCGGTCCATGTCAGGTACTGCTGTCCGCAGGACGCCTGGTGGGGAGGACAGTGGGACACAGAGCAAAAATCACAACTGCAACAGATTTCGGAGTGACACAATGTCGCAGGAAATTACCATCAAAGTGAGTCAGACACAAACATTTTACAGTCATGATGACGAAAAACATGACTCAGGGCTACTTTTGATTCTGAATGAATTAAATATAAAACAGGAGTAAACGGGTTCTGCTGCTATGGTCTGGGATCGGAGAGGGGCTGTTCTGAAACAACTTATTTACATGTACTGTAATGGAAACTTGAATTCTGAGTAACCAACATCTTGGAAACACAAACAACCAAAGCTGGGAACAACTTCTTTAACACACTTCAACCTGGTCAAAGAATCTGCAGGATTACAATATCTATTTGATTGGCAAAGTGTGACCTATGGCAGCAGAGCTAGCACCACCAATCTAAATGACCAAGGCTTGTGCTCACAACTCATTTGTCCAGGTGAGTGGTTATGCAACAGTTTAACACATGGACTGTATATACTATGGACAACTTGACTCCGCCTTCCATCATTATATGAATTTGAAGCTGAATTGCTCTTGGTATTTCTGGGATTTTCTCCACTTCCTGGATCCACCACTTGTGCAGTAGCATTGTACGCATTTGGCGGAAGAGTCGCCGAGAGTCACTGTGATGACGCTCAGCTCAAACAGCGTATGGGCTGGGTGAGCTATGCAATCTTTGTACGCCAATAGGCTGCATCAAGTGTCAATCACAAAAAAACATGAACCCCCTTATAACTTTTAAAAATGGAGCTGTACAGAAAAAAGAGGACAAGCCAGTCCTACAATAACTACGTCAGCATTGCAACCAGGAAGGAGAAAATTTTATATATTAAGTAATTCATCTCTAAAGTTTGTCCAAAGCTCCATAAGGATTCCTGGGGGGGAGGCGGGATTTATGACCTATACTGCAGCCTGTCACCAGAGGGTGCTGTTCTCGTGGTGGCTTCACACAGCGAGGAGGCAAACGGCGTCCATTCTATATATAGTCTATGGTTTAACCAGACAGACCTTTCAGACAGCCATTCTTTTTTAAGATCAAAACACTATCACAACCACTGCGCCATGAGATACTTCTATGCTTGTTTAGATCAGGGTAGTAGAGCATTAAGGCAGCAACTGTCAACTTGAGCTAAAACCCCAGCTGGTAGCAGGAGGCTGCACTAAAGCTTAGAAACAATGCATGACTTGCATAGTCTTACAGTGAAATAAATACACTTCTATAAGCGACTTGTGACACTAGTGCAAAATAGTGACGTAGATGATGTGCAGTCCTCTAGTGGACTAAATGTGCACATCCCTAATTTAGTTCAACCTTACTAAGTCAAAAGCCAGATTAAGTATTTTTCTAACTATCTACTATTATATTCCAGCTTGTATGTTGCATTAATTGAGGGTATCTTAATGTACCTAATGAATCATTTTCATTTCCACACGTCTCCTCTAGTGTGAAAATTCAGCAGAACATTTCCAAAGTATATTTCATGACTAATTGGCTACTGTGAGATGAAAATTGATGTTATCACTCAAACAATTTTTGGTTAACTTTGCAGAAGCTGCTGCATTAATCTGAGAACAATCAACACCAATGTGTGATCACAGTTTTCTGGTTACACACACATATTGATGCTGACTATACATTTTTCCACCATACACTTCTGCACAGTTCCTTATGTGCAACAGTGTTAAATATAAAATACTGAAAATAAACCCAGTTTTTGACAGAATGAGCACTTGAAGCCGTGCCCCTTCTCTAACTCATGGTTTTCAGAGCACACTGGTGTAGCAGTGCTGCATTTATTTGAAAATACATCTAAAAGTCAAGATCATAAAGTACTTTGATTACGTTCATTTGATTTAGAATCAAGACATCAGTAGGAATTGATTTTTATTATTAATGATAATGGAATGGTTATGAAATTTTAAAGATGAAGAATGTGATATATTGTATTTAACTATTTAAATTCTGCAATCAATCCATACTGAAGAAATTTAATGTTTGACAGCCCCAGTCCAAACCTTAGCCAACTTTAGATTGTGATTGCAAATAACATAAAACTACAAAGCGATGCTTTCTTTATCCTTTTGAACAAGTGACTGTAATATAAGTGTAATTCTGTTCTTTTGGGTGTTAAAATGTTTCACTTTACTTCAGGTTTAGATGGTTCTGACCTTCATGAATCTCATGATAATGCACAGCTCGTAGGGAAGTATCCTATAGTTATCCGTGTTGGACATATGGTTACATAGACACAACATGTGATTTCCGAGCAGACTGCTGGGATTTACTGAGTAAAGAGTAATCATCAGATGGAGGGAAGAGGCTTTTTATGGTAAACAGCTTTGAGACCTGTCTGTGGATCCACAGAGAAATAGTCCTGGCCCTGAGTGATGGCGTACACCAGCCGGGCGCTGTTTCCGTATGTGGGATCATCTGCGTCTCTGGCTGTGACCTGGATTATGGATGTGCCTGTAAAAGAGAGGAAGGCGACAGAGGTGAGAGGTGAAACAGCCCTTTCAAAGTAAAGCAGTCAAAGCTGGTGGCAGTTTAATAAGCTTAAAGTGATACTCTACCCATCTGTCTTTTGAATACCAAGTACTTACATCTGTAGGATTAGAAGGATAATGGACCCTTCTGCTTTCTATCTGGAAACATTTATCTTTCATATAGAACGTGACTTAATTCCCAGTTTTCATGTTGAGTGTTTGCCCTCACATCTCAGTGGCTGTGCCAGAAGAAGTGTGTTTCGCCCCCAGATTCGCAAAAATAGTTTTCTTTGCAAGAAACTGAGAATACTGTATGTTTTGGCAGAAGGAAACGTGATTACACTCACAGAAGGAAAAATATGTTTACAAAAAATTTGCATGTTTGTCTTTTGGCTTAATGAAGTTTTCTGTAGATGCTCCATTTTACACCATTTTAACATCCCTGAATCAAAGATGCTGTATTATGCAGCTGTGTGTAAATACTCAGGAAAAACATGTATTAATTAACATTTGGCTGCTATTCCATGTGATTGTGCCACTTTCTATTTGGCCGGCTCCTGTTTACGACCTGTTCTGTCACATTTGAGTCTGCAGAAAGGAAGAGACAGGCATACTCTGGAGTAAACCCACTGCCATCCACTGTGGAGCAGCGGTCAGACAACGCTGAGAGCTATTTTATTTGACAGTGAAGGTATAACATGTTATGCAGCACCACGGATTTAGTCTGAGATGTTTCAAGACAGGATCTTATTTAATGCACACTTGTCCATGACTATAACCCTTATTTGAAGATCACAGGCACTCTAATTTTGTTTTCATATTGAAATTTTTAACCAGTAATTATACAGTGTGCCTTTCCACTGTTGAAGTCTTTGTTTGCTGAGGTTTAACTTTGTTCAGTCACGATTTAATGCACTGTAAAAAGCCCCACAGGAATTATTTTAGCGAAAGCGTGTGAAAAGACACATCAGTTTAAACTGGACTGTGAGCAAATGAGAAGGTTCTGGAGAAATTTGGTTTGATTTTTTTTACTGTTTTGCCTAAGAGGAATGTCTCTGGCTTATTTGGACTTCAGGTGGACAGGAGCTTAGACTGGGTGCTTCAGTGTGGCGGTGTTTTGCTAAGTATAGTCACCTCAAAAGAATAATGCATGAGGAAGAAACAGGCGTCATGCCATTTACACAGCAGAACATGGATAATGTATATCACACTCAGATTAGCTCTTCTCTGCAGGGGCATGTCTACTTTTTTTGGCTGTGGTGGCCCAACCAACCCAGCCATGGCCACCCCTATGGACCCTTTTCGGCTTCCCCCAATAAATTGACATATCTGATCCAACTCTGCTCCAATGGGAGTTTTCCAGATCATGAAATGTCTCAAACTGACAAAAATACACAACAATAATGATCATATGAATTTGTGGACAAACATGACAGTGACATGGTATTAAATAATAGAACTGATTAACAAGATTGTGTTTCCTTTTTGATGGCACTAGAGAAAATGTCTGATCTGACTCGGCTCCATGGGAGGTTTTCCAGATCAGCCAAGATGATTCTCTTTTGGGTCCTACTTGGATGTGCAGGCTGAGTAATGTTGCTGTAGAAATCAATCACTCTGTTAGCTGGCTTTAAATGACTGACATTCAGATTCCCAGAGAGTACTTCCCCAATGACTTCTGGGATTCCCTGGCTTTTCCCCAAGTCCAAACATGACATGTCTTACTGAAGATTTGATGTCAACTATGAACAGATTCCTTTGAAATTTCGTGTACATGTTCAAATCCTGCCTTTGCACTATCTAACTAGGAGCCTGGGCATGAATGCACCAGAAACCTCATTGGGCTGATTTGATGGCTAATCCCATGGGAAAATATCAGATTATAACAGAGACTCATAACCAGCTGGTAAATGCATGAACTATTTAATTAAACAGGATGATCCTTTTAAAAGTTATTCAAAATTTATTTTAAAACAAGTGAAGATTCATGTTGAAGTTTTTCAGTGTTTTTAATTCTGGTCTACAAAGTCATACTGACAAAGATACACCTAAGAATAATAAAAAATGATGAAAATAGAGAGGAATTAACAAAATGGAATTTATTATCAGAATCAGAAAACTTTATTTATTCCTAGAAGGAAATAATACTTGCTATTGAAAATACAAATACTAATAAACAAGAATAGAAATATGACTGAATACGAATAAATAAAAAATTGCAACGGTTAGTAAAAAGTGCCGAAAATTGGCACTAATTACACTAAAATTATATATCATTTGTTCAATTGATATGCCACATTTCTCTCAGTTTGCACATTAAATACTCAACTGCAACTGAGTTATTCCTGAGGTATTTGGTGGATCTACTCCTTTTGAATTTCTGATACAATATCTCAAACTGTCAAAAATATCCAATCATATGCATTAAGGAACAAATATTCGAGGATTCACTACCTTGGAGTTGAGACATGGTACCTTTACCTGAACAAAAAAAAATGTCTCTTGATTAAGATGGTAAAATACACCAATATCTAGATCAATGCCTTGCCACTCATAGAAGTCAGGAGGCCTGCGTTATTAAGCCTCATATGAGGATCACTTTCTTTCCTAACTCGACTCTGGGTCAAGTCCCATGATAACCTGCCCTTACTAGTGTCTACCAAGTGTTTCACGTCACAAACAAAGTTTCCTGTCAGGCTTTCTCTTCGGCCTGAGGCAGCTGATGAATAAGTGGTGTCTTTTTGTTGTTCATTCAGTCAGCGTTAAAGATAGATGAATCTGCACAGCCTTTACCTACAGTTGATTTTAAGACCAAATTTAGCTGCGCTGTCATTCTTGACTACGACCAAATAAAATATAAAAAAGCTGATTAAATGGCTCTATTACAGCTTTACATCTTTAATATTACACAGGGCTGAAGTGCTCTCAGATCAGAGCAGGTTCTCTGCGTTGCTCTCAGTTTTTCTGCCAGCTGGAGTCACTTCATAACACGGGAACTGTTTGCTGAACCGTGAGAAAAGTTTCCTCTGCACTTAAACACTTACTGCACATTTAAGTTATGTTCCCTGAGCACAATCCTCTGTGGACCATCAGGGAGAAATTTCACAGGATTGCAGGTGACTGATGTAGAAATTATTCAGTCGAAGCTAATGATGAGATCTTAAATTACTTCCTACAACTGCAACATCAGAGGGCTTACGATGATTGCACATATCCCTGCTGCTGCTTCTTTAGTCAGTGATACAAAGTGTGTAAGGTTGAAGTACTTGATGATGAGTATGTATGTATTTATATATTAAGAACTGTCAGAGCCCATACATCACATTACACTGCAAGCAAAATCTTTCATGCCCCGAACCATCCACATCATGTCTGACAAACACTTGACTGTAAATATTGAAGCCGAGGCTCTGTGCATGACTAATGGCTGTATAGTGAGTGTGTTATTGGCCACAGATCTGAATGTGCTCTGTGAAGATTTGGACAAAACAATCCCTCATCAACACTCAAGGTCTGTCCATACTATTTGACAGGTTGGTGATATTGGATGTGTTTGGAAACGGATGATAAGAGTGAAGCAACAACAGGTCACAGAACTCACGTGTCCTCCATGTGAACAGACGGAGCACGGGTCAAACTATAAAATCAAAATATGCAATGATAATTACATTTTTTTCAAGTATGTTTCTGTCATTGTTGGTTCTTGTTGTAAAGTTTTAATCTGAGTTAATTGTTCTGAGATGTAAAGTAACTTATTAGGGTGATAAAGGCTTTGCAGAACCATGTGCACCAGACTAATAAACTGCAGGTTGACCTAGTCTGTCACATACAAAAACGCCTACGTAAGCATAACATCTCAGTAAGGGATTACCTGGTACGATATTGATATTGGATATCGGTCCAATATCAGCAAAAAAAACAAAAACAAACGAATATCAGATAATATCGACCTGCATCTAAAATCTCTGATATCAGCACTCCGATACAAGCAGTCCATTCCAGACACTGCTCCAGCACCTCTATCTAGCAGCACCCTAATCCAGCAAGCTGAGCCCACAAAGTCACAACAACAGTGTGTACTAAGGTACTAACAAAGTAGCAAAAAGTAAGAGTCATGTTGGCCTTGTGGCCGTATTTTGTTTTAAGTTTGAAAAAGACGTTGCAGCTGAGTTAAAAACTTGTCATGCACAATTTTGAGCCAATGTTGGATCAATATCGGTATCGTTCAATATTAAAGGCTACAATATCGGTATTGTATTGGAAGTCAAAAAGTTGTATTGGGACACCCCTAACTTCAATCCCACTTGTGTATGTACACAGAGCCAACCAGGAATCGATTCAGTACTATGTGAACACCCATGAAATCATCTGTCTGCAAAACTCTCCGCATGTAATATTTCTAGTCATCTACCTCAATTACATTTTAAAAATTGAACCGTTGAGGTAGACTTTGAAGAATCCATGTACTATCTGAGTAAACTGACTGCTAACTAGCTAACAGGCTATTGCCTCTGATTGGCTGGTTGTCTGGTGAGATCACAAGATACAGAAGAGTAGAAAACACCTTGTCGTCGCTTACAGAAGCTAAAATTAATGTCTATTAAGCTGCCACACATTGTGAATCTGAGTAATGTAAAAAACCTTTATCTAAAAGTCAAATGGGATAATGTTAGTGGAGCTACAATGTCAGTATAGCGGCTCAAGTCAATTTTGCACCAACTCAACCTCCAAATCATCACGAGCACAAGATGTCAGAACCCATCTTTTGGAAATTTTGGCTTCAGTGTTTTACAATTGTGAAGGGATGTGTGGCCAAGAAGGTACAGATGCTGTTTTGACCAGACCCTGACTGTTATCCAGACATGAAATTGTTTCAGTGTTTCAATGTGGCATGTTTATGTTGAATCTATTGTGTGTTTTCTGCCTGTGTGATAATCTGTCCATGCAACAATCAGTTTACAAGAGTCTACACAACACAAAAACAGAGCCAGAAAACCAAACAGACTAAAGCCAGCATTAAAAAGCTCCCAGCAACGCCTTCACACACGCACTAAGCTCGTGAGGCTTTCACTATTTCAAGCCTGGGAGCAAACCAAAGAAACTCTGCTCAACATGAACAACACCCACTCACTTGCAATGAAGCTCCATGCTGTCACCTTGAAACATCGTACATCTCTGACTGCATGTGCACGCGCGAAGTCTGCAAATGCATCTGGCTGTTTGAAAAAGCCTTGTATGAGAATATCCAGAAGTGCAGTGCATGTGTGAAAGGGGCTATTAGTTGAGCCCATCCGACCATATACTTCCTTCTTTCTAATGACCTCCTTCTGCTTTACTCCTTTTCTGATTCCAGTTTAACTGTAGCTGTTTATGATTATTATTAAGTTTCAGAGTGAATTTCTTCTGTGATTTGGCTGGGCCTGAATTACAGGAGTTTAAAGTCTAAACAGTTGCTAGTTTTAACAACATCCCCTAAACCCACCAGATGATAGCTGACCAAAAATAGCTACTGGGAAACTTTTTGAGGCGTTTAGAGCAGAAAGTCAGTTTGCAATAAAAAACTTACAGTCAACACTTTCATTTCAACCTGACTTGCAACTGTAGAAGTGAGACTGGAGTTACAGTTTGGAGGCATCGTATAAGAGCAGATTTTTTTTTTGCAGAACTTGCACCCAGATGTGTGTTTATAGGTTGTCAGTTTAAAGTTAGTGGGATCTAGGATTGCATTGTGTCTTTTTTCTCAGCACAAGCTGTTTTCCTGAAAAAAAAAAAAATCAAAGTCTGCGGAAAAACAATTATGATTAGACTGCAAAGAAAAAACAGAACCCTTCAGATACTCAAAATCCTGTCATGTTTATGCAGAGTGGATGAGTACAGATCCACTCATCTCAAACATTCACACACTACAACTTGTGAAAATAAAGCTGCACAAATTAAAATTTAATTTGAAAGTGAGTGAAGAAGGTTCAGACTGGATTGGTTAACACCTGTAGATATCTCAACCGAGTTCTTGTCCTAAACCATGTCTTCAAATCCAGACCTTGTTTCCATTTTTTGTTTTTGCTCCTGGAGCTTCATAAGTTTTAACTGTACAATCATCTGTTTCTCCTGAATGTCTGCAAATTCATTTAGTTTTGCAAAGAGAGGGGAATCGTGAAAAGTCGGTTCATAACTGTCTGAATCTAGCTTTAGACCTTGGTGCTCATGTTTTTTGATTCAGCCGTCCCTCAGGGTTTTCAGTACCTTCGCCTGTTCCAGACTGATGATCCGCATACCGAACCCCTCTTTGAAGTTAAGATTTGGTTTCTGCTGCTCTGTGTCTTCAGTCTGCTCCTCAGTGCTTTGTGTTCTGTCATCATTGTGACAGCTCAAAGCCTGTTTCTGAAGCCATCGTTGACTCAGGGTAATTAACCTCAGAGCATTTGACCTTATTGTTTGCGTGTGTTGTTCTCTATAACTTTGCCAAGATTAGAGGAGAGCATCACCCTTCTGTAAATAAACAACCCTAAGGAAGACCCACTGTCCATCCTGCAGATCTCAAAGACGGAGGAGCCATCTGAGACGCAGCTCACTGAAATCCTCTCACAGAGGACGCTCCTGCTACCCTTACCCCCAACGGCAGCATTACTACAAATCATTCACATAATGTTTAATTCAATTAATCCTCCAGAAATGCAAATTATTCTTATAATTCAATTAATTCATACACTTCTGCACCCTTGACTAGATACACTATCCCAGCGGTTTTTGCCAGTTTCTTGATGAAATGCATTTTTGTGTAACTCCTTTATTAATTCTTAGCATGTATTAGTGTTGCAGAGATTTACACTCTGATTTAACCACACAAACACAGTGCTGGGCTTGCCTCCCCCCCCGTGCTAAAGCCCAGCCATGCTATGTTAAAAGGGAGCAGAAATTTCAGTCTGTTTGTTCATTCATTATTTATTCTTATCACTTCAACTGAATGGCAAAAAGACTCCCAGCAGCTATTATACATACTGAGATATCTACCTCTGTAAGCCTCGCTGAAGTGCTGACTTTCTGTAAGAGCAGGACTTCTGTTGTGAAGGCTACACAAAGCAAAGACAGAAAAAAAAAAACGGCACAGTAACAATTTCATCTTCTGTGGACGTTTGTGTCGTGCTCGGTCCAGGGAAACCTTCGGCAGAGGTCACTGAGCATCACAGCTCAGGGTCAGCTCCTCTGCGGCTCCAGCTCTTTATCTGGGTGATGGTGGCTGCTCATTTATTTTGCAGGCCTCTTTGTGCGCGCTGTTGGCTGAGTGGAACTCAAAAGCCTGTCTACTCAGTAAGATATAGGTCAGAGGAAATTCAGTCAGGGTGAGTGTAAAGTGAGCAGGTTGTTACAGCAGGTGAGCAGGACCCCAACAGGAAGCACTGGGGTCTGAATCCTACAACCTTCTGTACATCATGCAGCTCACCTCCTGGGTACCAATCTCAAAAATTTCAGGGTAGGGTCAAAATAACCAAGACAATAAACAAATCTGAAGTTTCTTGCCCTCCAAGTCAAGTACTGTTTAAATATCTTTCACGTTGCTCACCCACATGGAGTGCTAGCAGAAATTTTTGCCACAGTGTCTGCAGGCAGAGGTGGTTCAATACAGCTAGGCAACGATGTAGTCAGTTATGGATAAAGAAAGCACTTAAAGAATTTTAGGTTCCCAGAGCGTTCTTCATACTGGACTAAAGTTTTATTCAATATCATTGCCGACTAAACCAAAGAAATCTGTGAGCACAGTTGTCCTCTGTAGTATCTCTTGGTTGGGTTTTATTACACATCCCTAAATGTTATGGGGTCTCTGTTCGGACTAAGTTCTTGGAGCTGATACTTCATGGGAGGGTTTTGGAACCTTTCAGGAGAAACCATGGCAGACCCTTCAATGCCAAGGTTGTACAACACAATTTGAGTACAACTCTAGTGACAATTGAAGAAAATGTGTTGTTTTGGCTTGTGTAAGGTGTCATTTAGTCCTTTTATATGTTTTAAAAAATGATTTCTAGCCTAAGTTCAACTGAAACTGGACTTTAAAAACATGTAAACACATTAGTCCAACTGAAATCGCACTGAACTTTTCATGGTTGGACTAACATACCTGGATAATGTGATACTGGGACCAGTTTTCTCTGTGAAGTATCTGGCTCAATTGAACTGAAACTGGCCTTAACCCTATGTGCATGCTCCAGTGTTTGCACGCTGGACTTTGAGTTCGAAGTGTAAAAGTACGGATGTGTTTTTAGGAAGCAGGGTAGTAAACAAAACCTCGACAGATTAAGAGAGGATGTAAAAAAAGACCAAACGCTCCTACTGTACAAACAAACGGTACAGAGCTGTAGAAGTGACAGTGTTTTCAACATTCTGCCTTTAATGATTTGTTCCTTGACGTCATAAGCGATATTACCTGATGAGAAACCAAACAGTGGGGTGAAAAAGGAATGATCGTGATAAATATAATGATGAAGGTAGTGCTGCTAGATGGAGCATTAAGACAGAGGCTGAGCTCTAATAACCAAGTCCCTGTTTTTGACTGATGGTCAAATCATGGTATGACTTTATTTTTCTGTGGTCACCAAATCAGGCACAATGATCAAAGTGACAGACAGAAAGGTGGTAGTCTGATCTCGGTATCACTGCTTAATCTTAGCTGAACACTTTTTATTGGGATTACTTGATTCCAGCAAAAATCATCATCATCAAAATCATCAGATAATCACCATTGTTTCGATTGACAGTAAGGTCAAGATTATTAAACATGATTTCAAATCTGCATCACATGCATTCACTTAAACCAGGGGTGGGCAATCATGTGCCATGGAGGGCCGAGAGGCTGCAGGTTTTCTTCCCAACCCAAAACTCCACCAGGTGATTTCACTGATTAGTCCCTGCTCTCTGCTTGGAGGTAAGGTAATCAGTGAAATCACCTGGTGGAGTTTTGGGTTGGGAAGAAAACCTGCAGCCTCTCGGCCCTCCATGGCACATGATTGCCCACCCCTGACTTAAACTGAAAACTCTTAAGAACAAAACATGCTTCTATTATTTTAAAAATGCATCAAAAAGGATCCTTTTACCTTTTTTGTTTATCAAAGCATGCCTGTGTGTCTCAATGGATAACATTAGTGGGGAAAAAAATCACATTTTATAGTATTGGAAGGGAAAATGCATCTTTTACTTTAGAAGATTTTATGTAATTTTTATCATACTCAATAAATTAGATGGCATATTTCACTTGTAGTGTATTTTTCCTTTGCACATTTAAAAATGAAGGGATTTGAGCTCTACTACCATTTTGATTTTATCAAAGGCTGAGGAACTAGAAAATTATTCATTTTTTAAGCCCTTATATTCACAACATCAAAACTAAGTTTATTTGTAAAATGGACCAATGTCTCTCAGCCTGGCGGTCTTGCACGTGTGTCTGAAAAGCAAAGGGACGCAGTGACCATGACACGCTCATGATCGCTTTAGCCTCCCTTTCATCATAGTTACACTGTCATTAAACTTGTAAGACTCAACAACAGAATCAATAGGCTCAAACATTTTTCAATTTCAGGTTTTGATCCACATTTTTAGTTTAGGAGGAGTGTATTTAAAATTGATCATAAAACAAAAGGGGTTCACTTTCTTTGTTTAATGATTAAAATGTAGTTTTTACATGTACTTTTTAAAGTGCCTTCAATCAATGCTGAATGCTTTTGCCTTTGTCAAAACAGTAAAAAGGATCTAAATAAAAACTGGTTGGATCATGAGCCTAAGCTGAACATAGCCACCTGCTAAAAAAACAGTTTGGTTTAGATGACGCCTGCTTTTACACCCTTAGTGCACCCACGGCATTGTATAAAATTCAAACATCCTTTCTTTTAAAGTAAACCACATTTGACCTGTAACATCTAAAAAGTGTGGTTCAGTATGAGCTTGAGCAGAACACAACATTTGAAGTCACTCTTTGACTCTGAAAGCTCTTCTCTCCCATCCTAATTCTCTACCGCAGCTGTGTTGATTTTCCTCTGAAAAAGCTCATTCTGGCCTTAAGCACATATTAAAACTTCTGACTCTGGTGGGGTGAAGGAGGATGACCTGTTTTTTTAACTTGCCTGTTGCCATGGTGACCCGTTGTAGTTGAGCTCCATTGATGATGGCTTTTGAAGCCGTGAAAATGCTCTTGACTCAGAATGAAAATACTTTGAGTTTATTGAATTAACTCAGGTTGGCTTTCTGGGACAGAAAATTCAGTTTCCCATCTCAGAGACTCATCATTTTAAGACTAGAGTTGATCTTGGAGAGGACCTGCTACCTTGAGTGACTGGTTTGCTAATGTGATATTGTCCAGTACTGTTGGTGTTGCACTCAACACTGAAGATAATTTACCTCCATCTTTAAATGAAAAGTGCAAAGACAACTCATCAAATGTTGAAACTGATTAGTTTTATGTTTTTATTTCATTAAAACTATATATTCTCGTTTAGAGTTTGATGCCAGCATGTTGCAGATGGTTGTGACGGGCTCATGTGTGCCAGTGTGTTGTATCCCCTCCTCGTTTAATATCACTCTGTAAACACTCAGAACAGAGGGGACAGGTTTGTAGAGTTTTAAAAGCAAATTGTTTTCCCTTTTATACCTCATTAAGAATGCTCAAACAGTTTGGGGTTTATCAGCAGGACTCTTCTACTACAGAGCCATGATGTTGTAAAGCAAGCAGAATGCTATCTTGCTATAAAATGAAGGCCTTCCCTGAAAAAGTCTACATGGCAGCATATGTCACTCCAAAACTTGTTTGTTTTGTTCAGCATAAATGGAGCCTTCACAGATGTTTAAGCTTCCCACACAGAGGGCACTTATGACCCCTATAGCACCAGGGGTGCTGGCTTTCTGTACTGATAACAAACCAACTGGTCTCTCTGCTCTCCAGAGTGATTTTGATTTCCATAAAGAATGTTTTGATTTGTCAGATTGCAGGACAACTTTACTTTATGTGGGCTCAGGTCTAGAGAAGTCACTAATGCTCCTGAACCATGTTAATGAATGGTTTCCTCTATGTATTGTTTAGTTTTAACCTAAATTTGTGGATGCATTTATAGACAGGGATTTTTAGAAGTGAATTTGACCTCACGCAGTGGTGTCCACTACAGCCGTCAGTATTGGTTTTGAAATAAGGTTGACTATTGGAGCATTTAGGATCTTTCTACAGACAATTCTACATTAACAGCTTTGAAGTAATGATGTATGAAATGGAATAAGTTACCTTTGTGGCAAAATTATTACTAAATTGTGCAATTTGCCCCCCAGAAAACACAACCCATTGTTTTCTGGTGTTATCATTGTGGATGTTGTAAATTTCTTGCAACTGTCTCTCATGTTTTCTTCCCCAAAATCTGCCTCTTGGCAACATTTTTATGCAATGCTGTAACCTGGCGTCCTGAAGTCTTTTAAATTAGATACTTATTCCTGATATTTTCCAGAAACAACTGGAGAAATCATAAGAAGCACACATTCGTCCACATAAACACACACACATAAACAGGCAGAGGGACAGAAATGATCAAAAAAGTTAGCTGTTCTTGTGATTTGAAAGAGAAGAGCAGCAGAAACACTCATTAGCCAGCACATTTCACTGTCATTCAGTGAGCGAGGGTATTGTTAGCCCGGTGTGTCGGGACATTTCAGCCTCTCTGTGATTTGTCTCGCCCGTGAGTTTTTGTTTTGACAGCCACCTAAAGATTGCAGAGGAGGGGGTCGTATCCACCTCTGCATTATCGGCTTCTGCAAATGCCAATCAATAACTGTGACAAGTCTCTCACTGCTGATGGGATTTTACAAGGAAACACGTAAATATGTGGGAGAAAAAAGCTCTTAGCTGCTTTGTTTCCTAGGGACTTTTAACTGTATGAAGGTGACTCTGGGGGTTTTCTTCCCTGAAGTTATTGTAAGCAAACATCGTGTTTGCTTCTATGAGGAAAGGTAAATAATTTAATAATATAAATATTTCAGACACAGCCTGGTTTTTACTTTTGCTGTGAAATCTAGCTCCATTATCCATATTTAAGTGGTGGTCATACCAATGGGACCCACAGCTCAGGGGGCTGAAATGCTTCCAGGTGTTAAATCTAAAAAAATAAGGGTGTCTAACATGCAAACTCAGCGAGCTAAAGGCAGAGCAAGACTTTAAGGCCGCATTAGCATCTTACCTATGTTTGCCATCTCCGGGACCATGGCGGTGTAGGGCTCATTGGGGAAGACCGGCGGGTTGTCGTTGATGTCCTGAACTCTGATGATGAACTCTGACGAAGGTTCTAGGGGTCGGCCTGTCTGACGGTCAGTAGCCGTGGCAATGAGTCGATACTGGTCCTTCTCCTCACGGTCCAGAGACTTGGTGACGTGAATATTTCCCGTGTTGCTGTCGATGACAAACACAGAGCCGACTCCCTCGCCCTCCAATGTGTACTTAGTGCGTCCGTCTCCTCGGTCCATGTCTGTGTGCAGCTGGAAAATAAAAACATTTATTTTTAAACACTTTTATTGCAGAGTGCATAGGCGTAGAGCAGAGGGAGAGCAATAAAGAGAGGAGATATAAAAAAACAGACACAAGGCTATAAATATGACACTACACAAAATAAGACAAATAAAAGAAGTGTAACAAAATACAATTTAATAAAATACCATTCACAGAAGACACACAACGCACCAGACAACACTTGTTTTAACCCCTGAACACCAGCAGACCCCCCTCCCATCACCACCAAATTAGTAATTATAGATTATAACGCTAGACACCAAAAAATTCAAAGAAGTTGATGTTGAGGCTCATGTATGCTTCATGTCTCATGGGCTTAATACGGGTGAACTCTTCTCCCTATTCATTTTGTGCAGCTTCAAATTTCTTAGAGTCTTGGATTTGATCAGGCACATGAATTTTGGTTCCACTTTGGTTCCTCATAAATCTTTCAGCCTTACTCTTTAGTGAGTATTTTGCAGTCCACATTAAGTTTGACTGTAATCTGCCAGGATCTGCTGTGTTGGCGTAACACTGTCTCACTGGTGAAGCTGAGAGAAGAAGAAGACTGACACAGCGATGGAGGAGCCATTTTCAATATGATGAAGAGTTCACTTCAGCGTAGTGGGAATTTGGCACCTTGGCCCTGGCTGGCTCCTTCTGCAATGTGTCATCCATAAACTGTATAATAACTGAACCATTGCATCGGTGCCAAAAGCATAACTGGAGCCAGAACTGGAACAATTAATCAACAGGTCCACCACTTTAACCACTAGTCAGTACTGTGAGCATTTATCAACCAGTTAAGCAGTCAAAACCAAGGACACTCACTGACCTAGTCTCTGATATGGAGTTAAAGTGTTTTGTTTAGAAGAGCCATGCTGTTGTTGTTTTTTTTTTCCTTCCTGTGATTTTGAATAGTTTAGTGACTCTCTGTAGAAAGTTTGAGATGTCTGTATCACAGATTACAGTTTTTATTGTGCAGTAGTACCATTCCTTCTGTATCTCTTATGAAATGACAACTTTTTTAAAGAACTAGTTAAAAAAAATAAAAAAAAAAGCAGTCATGTAACTGCGGTGGATGGGAAATGCTAACCAAAATTACAACATTTAAAAAAAAAAAAAATTAAAAAAAAGTATTTCAATACTTTGAATAAATTTACATTTTATAAAACACTGTTACAAAAACAAACAAACAAACAGACAAAAAAAAAAAAAACTAAATTTTATCAGCAAAACACTTTGCATTTTGCATTGAGACAAATTTACAAACGACAGAAATTTGTCTGAAAGATAATATATCAAATATTAAATGTGACCCGTACCTAAAGGGGTAAAAGCTTATGGGGTAGGTCAGTTTGTGTTGAAGGAAAGTAATGAGGAAAGACATGGCAGTGTGAGATTTACAGAGTTTATACAAGTTTATAAATAGTTTGTGGTGAGTGAATTATCTTTTGTTTGTTTTGTGGAACCCACTTAAATCGAATTCAGCAATTTTGCCTGAAAATGTTAAAAAAAGCAAGTGATAGCGCTAGTTAACTGAGCCAATTATCAGCCATGCAGTGACTGAAAATGCTAATTTTCAGATTTATTTAAGATGCAACATTAAGATTAAAAACACCTACATATATAGAGTCCTGAGCGGGGTTATTGGGACGTGTTCTTGACTACGATTTGAATAATATTGAAGTTTATGAGCTCTAAGTTGTGAAGTTACAACGTGAGAAATAGAAGAGGGCCGCTGAGCAAACACAGAGCGGTAAAAGAAACATTAATTTTAGTGTGAACATAATTTTCAGCCACATTTGTCTCTTCCTTTATGTACTGCAGAGGATTTGGTTATCACTTTTTATTTCCTGCAGAGCTCATCATTATTTCATGCAGTTTATTTAACCTTTATGTTTTTAAAAACATTTCCATGGACACAAAGTTTTTTTTATGAGGATTCATGGACAGGAGAGCAGCATAAAACGTCTCACACAAAGATCAGCAGAGGACTGATGCCAGGTAGAAAAGTCATCAGTCATTTAAGGGATGCTATTGAGGATTAAGAAACATGTTAGAAGTGGTCAGAAAGTCCTCAGACCTGCACTCAAAAGGGAGCCTGTAACTCTGACCAAGATTAGTGGGCAAAAACTGTCCACAAAGAAAAAATTCAAAGATTTGCACACATCATATCCCTGAAACTGGAAGCTACAGCAGCTAGAAGTTCTAGGTTAAGTTTGGGAGGCTTTCAAACTTCAACTCCTTATCAACCTGTCATCCCATTGCTGCCAAACTTGAAATCCTATATGCTCATTTAGTTGGCCATTTTAACGTGGATCACATTGACCCTCCTCTACCCCCTTATCACAAGTGTCCAGGTTTGGTTCTTCAGATGTCCATTCTTCACCACATCCTGCATCTTTCATTTACCCCTACCACCACTGACAGAGTCTAGGTCTAATATCTAATAAGTCTAATATCCGCTTGAGTTAAGACATTTGCAGCTTCCACCCAATTCGTGTCATTCGCGTCGCCAGAGTAGTAGGAGCATTGTCTTTGCATTGACTTACCATGTAATTCATTCACACAAATGATTTTACTTGTGCTTGGTGTGTGGAGACAGCAAGGCTGCTATAGTGCATGCATGACAATCTTACCCATCATTCACTGCTCTTGTAAAATAAACGTGACCATCCCTTTCTTACTGCCCGTGATAAATTTACCTGCTGGGTTCACATTAAGATTATAATAACTTAAAAAGTTTCCTGAGTGTTAGTTTTTATGATGAATAGCAGAGTCTTAAAAGTGTATTTCCTTCACCATCTACAGAGGAATATAAACAGGGCAATATTTGAAGAAGACCAGCAGTTTTATGTGATTGTCAATTTGAGTATTAAAAGTTGTGGGTGAACAAAAAGTTGTCTCAGTATCATAAATGTTTCAGAGGTAAACCTCAAATAAGCTCAGTACACGGAGTAATGAAGAATAATAAACAGAACAGAAATGGCTTCAATTTCTGCTCTTAAGAAGTTTGACCATAATTTAACTCTCGGTGCTGCTTGAGGGTGTTTCTGTGAGTCCGAGATGAAAATAAAGGTTTTTCTCCCCTTAATTTAAGTTTTTTTTTTCATACAATAAAGTTTAATTAGTTACTGTGTTTTTTAAAGTCAAGTCAAGATGAAAGATTTATCAGTTTGCAGTCGCACAACATCCAAACACTAAAAGTTTTGTGCATGTGTAAGTACAGAAAAAGGCCAATTAGCACCTGTGTGGCACCTGCTATCTCTGACTGGAGTTTCTGGTTGTCCAAACCAGCCAGTACCAAAAAAGTATGTCAACTTGCATCACAGTTCCCCCTCCGATCCTTTCCCCTCTCTGCCCGTCTGCCATCACAAAGAAAAACACACAGCGAGCAAATGAGTGTAACGCCTTCAGGCAAACACACAGTGTGCTGATGCAGGTTCACTCATTAACACTCATCTATTTGTCTGGCGAGAAACACAAACATGACAGTGTGAAAAGGATGATTTATGTTGAGACTGGATGTGCTGGCTGAATCTGAAATGAACAGCACCAGGTGTGGAGGATCCATATGGGACTAGGATGAGTACTGATGCATGCAGCTAATTAAGTCAGTGGACCAGACACGCCATCAGGGGTTCATTCAGGGCAAAAGCTCATCAATGTGGAGCGTGGCCCTGCAGTGTCTTACATATATACTCACAGATGCATCATGCTAACACGGGCCATCCTATCCATCTGCAAATCTTTCCCATCTCTTCTTCCCATCTGTCTCCCCCTCGCCCTTCGTCTTGTAAATCCATCTGCCTGACTTGCTTGTACCTCTTAACCCACCTCTTTTTCACTCTCTCTCTTTCCATCAAGTTACCTCGCTCAAACAGAAGGCCCATCTGCTCGCATTTTTCACCAAAACCCTCCTCTGACTCCGATGTCTTCCTGGGATGGCTCTGTTTTTCACTCTGGTGCAGGATCCTCGTTTGGTATTTAATGGCAGAGCGGATATAAGTGTGGGCTGGATAGGTAAAAGGCCACACACGCGCGCGCACACACACACACACACACACACACACACACATACACACACACACACACACACACACACACACACACACACACACACACACACACACACACACATATACAAACAGAAATAGAAAGCTAAAGAGATTACTCAGCCGTCATCACACTGAGCTTTCTGACCAGGAACCTTCACATCTCTGGGCCCTGGAGGCACATCTGCACATGTTCATAATCCACACGGCTTACTCACAACCTCCGCTGTGGACCCAAGATACTCGGAGAACTAAAGCCGCCTCTTTGAAAAAAGACAAACTCAGCAACAACATTAGCAGAGCAGTTTCGCATGATTTTCATGAGGCTTTCTATTTTGTTGCATGAATTCTGTTTGTGCAGCAGAGAAATTTAATTACCTGCATGATGAAACGTGCAGAATTAAAGCCTCTGGAAACCTAAACCCACACTAGACTTCTAATTATGTAATAAAGGGTCTTGTGTTTTTAAATCCTCAAAGAATAAGAAGGATTTAGTTTTTGAAATTAACCTGAATTGAAAAACACGATTGAAGAACCTTCTTTACATGGTCGTCAAAACAAAGGCCAGAATATTAAAACAAATTGGACATTTCTTGCTGTTGGCTGTATATTATGTAATAAAGGCTGGAGATTGCAGACTCTCTGACTGGAGAATTGGGTTGGGAACACATAATTATTCCTGTTCTGGCATGAGTAAATTTGAGGGAGTTTTAAGAAGTCTTTGTATCAGAAATGCAGCTGGTAAATTGGGTTAGACTGCTGTGATTAGAGGATTAACATATTTTAGAGGCAAACTCGTGTGCAGCATCTTCTCAACTTTGAATCAGTGAGCATGCTTTTGGAGGCTGATCTGGAGACAAAACCACACAACAACCTTCAAACTCAACAACCCAGGGCTTCCTGCAGGTAACAGTGAGCACCTCAGGTCCCTGTCCACGTGTAAACAGAGTTTCAGGTCACTTTTTCAAAAATGCCTGGAACAAAAAGTACGGCTCAGTTGTTGTCGTTGTTCAGTTGCACTGCATAGACAAGGGTTTGGTGAACACTGACATACCTGTGCCTGCAGTTGTTGTTGATGTTTTACGCATCCACTGGGAGAGTGGCCGTTAGGTCTGCTCGGTACTGTTATGGTTAATTGAATACTTACAGACAAACCTCAGCACTCCACATCTATACTGCAGTGCAGGCTGAAATAAATATTTCACTCTGAAACTTTTTTATTTACCACTCTGTGTATAGAAGGTAGGGACATGCCCCCTTTTGCTCATAAATACTGGATCTGCACCTGGCTGACCTATGACATACCAAAACAATCAACAAACACATGTGCAAGTCGCCAACATGATGTATCCGACAAGAAAACACCATCACTTCTACAGCTCTGTACCTTTCGTTCGTTTAATACAGTAGGGCTGGGCGATAAACCGAAAACTTGCTGATACCAAAAATTACATCAATAAACGTCATTTTGCCAATGTCAATAAGAATGAGAATAACTCTATTTTATCCCCGAAGGGCAATTCAATTGTCTTTAGACTCAATTGACATGTCTTCATATATTTGGTGTCAAAAAATAGATAAATAAAAGTTAGTTTTGGATATGTGTAGGTAGGATATGGTCTCATGTCCCTTTAAGATGCTGTCCTACGCCAGAGACGTGACTCCACCCCATCCAGTCCGTAACAAAGAAGGAAAGACAGGTGAGGAGATGGAGGACGGTTCAAAAGTTGGAGCGGCTGGAGGGGCATCTGAAGTAGACAAAGTCCATGTGGGAGGGGGTGAGCAGCTTGTGGAGTAGTTATCGTCCATTTATCATTATCAAAGTGAACTGCTCAATATATCGTGATATTGATTTGAGGCCATATTGCCCAGCCCTATGATAGAGTTCAACAGTTTTGTATTTTTATCCATCCTCTCTTTGCCTCTCAAGGTTTTGTTCACTACAGGTTTCATAGCTATGCGTTTATGCTATCCTTCCAGCTTTTTGGACATCTTAAAACATGTCCAAAAACATTTAATCTTATTTATAATGTCTGCACCTGCAGTCCACGCACATCTTACTAGTGGGTAATCCATATGCAGAGGACGGTGTGTTTTGTTATAAAAATTTAAATGAGAAGTGTAACCTGATCCTCTGACAAAACACCAGAGAACACCTCCTGATTCATTTTAAAACTGGTTCTGGTTGCAGCAGTGTGAATGAAGAAGCTCACTTTGAATATATAAACAAAAAAGTATTAAGGAAGAAAAAGTGTGTCTCACAGCCCTACATCTTCAATATTCCAGGTGAAATCAATGAAATACAGACAGCAGGTTTCAGCTTCACCTCCTGATTGTCTCTAGGCTGCTCCATACTAATGGTTGTGTGAAGAGCTGTCCATCAAAATGTGATCAGCATTGTCTTCAGTCTCAAGAGACAAACTCAGCTGTACCCTGAGGCTGGTTTTCTCATATTTACGAACGTTTACTCTTATTTATCTGTCGGGGGAAGCTTAATGAGACTAAACTTTGAAACCACATTTATACGTATACACTGCATGCATTTTAAATTTCCATACATCAGCAACAGATGCTAACATAAAGTATCTATACATTCTTGCATAATGCATGTTAACAACATATGTTCATGCATGTATATCTTACAAGCTCTGAACAGCATGTGCACACAGACCAGGAGGGAATGTGAGATTAGTGTGTATGTGTGTGGGTTTGTGTAGTGTGAGAGTGTGTATATGTCTTGAAGGATAAAGTTGGGGATTAAAGAAAGTCATGATAGCATACCCTACAAATTGCCAGATAAGGGACTCTGGGTTTTTTATTCATCCCTACACCCACATCCCTCTCCTTCCTTTCTTCCTTAAAGCTAGCCTCGATTTTTATCCCACACTTCCCCACCAGAGACATCTTTGTTAGTGCCTATCTTGCCCCCTCCTGCTCTTTGCTCCCCCCACCATCACTCCATCCTTCTCTCCTCGCCGCCTAATTGCGGCTCAGTCCTGCTGTGCTTCTGTCAGCGTGGAAAAACACTCTCACAGTGGGGAGGAAATTCATCCACCCTTTGCAAACAAAGCTGGAAAAGAAGAAATTGTCTTCCCCAATTCTTTTGTTACTTTTTCTGCAACTCCGTAATCCCAATTTCCCCCTCCCTCTCATTCATGCAATTCATCCACCCCTGGGTTTATTTCTGCTTTCTTAGGCAGATAAATTCCTCCTCTTTGAAGCGGCGTGTGATTTGAACTGCTGATAAGTCACCTCAAACCTTGATCTGGCAAATCGTTTGACATGATCGTCTCTATTTGAGGCAAAACACGGAGCAGACTCGGAGAGAAGTCGTGCAGCTTACACCTCCTCTGAATGCAGAAAAGCTTTATTACATGAATACCAACGCCGAGACTGTGCATGCAGAGGAGCGAGTGGTCTCGTGTGTGCACTGATTGCTTTAACACCCCTCCCTGACTGTATCAATAACAACCAGAGAGGGAGATTAAACATTTATGAGGTGTATACTGCACTGGTAAGAATCCAATCTAGACTGTCACTATAAAGTATACTGCTAGCTACAAAGTGGCTGGCAGCGTTCCCTGTTAGCGTTACAGCTGATATAATCCCGCTCTGAGTGTACTGTAGCTGCCAGCAGCTGCATTAGCGGCGAGCGCCTGACTGTGAAATGCTACAAGTAAAAACCCCCGGGACCCGAGTGGTTCAGGTGTGCAGTGGATTAAATCATCTCAGGCACTTTTTCCTCTTCTGACACTGACAGGAGTGTGAGGTTGTGAGGCTGGTGTAGTGACAGTAAAACTCAAGTATATGACATGACAAGGTGCACCAAGACGGCAGGTACATGGAGTTATACATGTGCCTCATTCCTGAGCATGTGATGGGATGTTTTGAGAGATTGCGCATGCATATAGATCATATTTTATGAAAGAATTATAATCCGGCCCAAGCTATGATGAGAAAAAATGAATCCAAGACCACACTGCACAACAAGTGCTTCAAATGCTCCAGTGTGTCCACGATTATTATCATCATCATCATTTATTTAAAAGCTGGAAAAAATCTGAAGGGAAAGAGAGGTCTCATTTACAATCAGAGCTGGGTTTTCTGGTTTTAGTGCCTGAGGCTAGACTAGGATTTGGTACCAGAACTCCCCCTCAACCACATAGAGAAGTTATACAGCACAACTCTCTGTGATAAATAATATGCTATGTTTGCATGGTGGGTATAAATGATAAAACATCACAAATTATCACCTTTTGCTCAGTAAATGTTGAGTTAAATGCGTCCATCTGCTTTTTTGTAAAAAGTGCTCAGTGGACAAAGTCTTATTATTCTCACGATAAGTTCCCTGCTTTGTCATCTCCTCACAATAAAAGTATAAAAGTTTGTGGAGAAAGTCTCACCCTGATTTCTTTTAACAAGCTTACTGTGAATCTTTTCAGTAGCAAATGTAAATAGAAGTTGTCTCTGCAGCGTGCTGTAAGTGAAAATTCTCAGACCTTCCAGATGGCTGAGGTTTCAGGCAATAAAAACACCCACAGTCGATCACGTCGCTGATGGTCTTGTTTGTTTGGGTGGATGATTTTGTAGCATCAGTTTTAATTTCAGCTTGTCATAAGTGTTAACACTTAAAACTCCTCACAGGGGCTGTAAGATTTAAGAGTGAATACACAGCTAGCAAAACAGTCCGTCCCAATGCATAGATTTAAAAAGCCTATAAAGACTTTTTTTTGCTTATTACTTCAAAAAGCGCCATCAATAGACTTTATAAAACATGGATATAGAGGTGGGGCATCAGTTATACCACCAACTAGTCCTCTCAGAGGAATTATAAAGCCTGAAGATGAGGGTCTCTGAGTTGGACATAAAGATAATATAGAAATAGATGAAAGGGGGAGTTGAGGTTATGGCTGAGCTGCCTGGTAAGCAGGCCATGACTTACTTTTTAGATGTGATTATAAAGTGATCATTTTCTCCTTCAAATACATCTGGAAAAAATATGGTCTTCTCTTCTCTGGTGTGTAGTGGTAAAACAAACAAACAAACAAACAAACAAAAAAACAATATACCTTAACAAAAACGGATGGCGCCACTTCTGTGTAAAATTAACGTTCCCCTTATGACTGAGGTCTGAAATCGCCCACAACTACAACATGACAGGGATGAAAGAAGGGCAGGCACAGCAACAGTCAAGGACAATGTGGCTCAATAAGAGGCAGTCATTCATCAACTGTGGTTACAATGCTGATTTTAAGGCGCTGATTATCGATGCAAAAAAAAGACAGCTTGGAAATACAGGAACACAAAGAGGAATGATTGAAGATGTTTTAGCTCAAAAATACTGCCTAAAAATGCATACAATAGTTAACCGTAAAATGATAAACGGCATTCCCACTTCTAACTTGGTCATCCATTCCCTAAACTGCATTGTTGACATGAAAAATGAGCTAGCTCAGAATTAAGTGGTTAAAGCTCAGATGAGGAGTTTTGTGACTTCTATTAATAAACTGAAATTTTCATCTATCCCTTTTTTATGATCTGCAAAGGCAAGCTACACCATCCGCGATTACATCAATAATTTCTTTATTAACAATTTTATTGCAGGGAACCTTTGTGATGGGAGATATATTTCAGTTTTTTTTTTGTTTGTTTTTTTACAACAGAACTCAGGCCTGCAGAGGACAAAACAAGTAAGACTTTTTTGTCCACAGAGGTACCAAAACTGACAGATTGAAAGGTTCCTCTCAGTGGCTTAAAAATAAACGGATTTACTTTCTTTAGCCCTCTATGTTTGAGTCCTCAGCCTTTAGTTACTGATATTTCCCTGACTTAATGAACTTAATGGAAAAACGATCCCATTTAAGTTCAAACAATGAAATATGGGATAAATCAACAGCTTTGAAAAATTACAAACACACAGACTTAAAATTGTGATTTCTTGGCAGAATATTTGGCTGACGGTCCGGACCTCCTGGATTGTGAACTGTTGTTCGCTGTCATCACAGTGACTTATGGCCATGTAAGTTACAATTTTTGAGATCCAGATTGTGCTTTTCAGTTCATTATTCACTGAATTATGACGCTGTGATAAAGGTGCACGTACAGTGCAGTAGAGGGTGGCTGTACATTTGAATAAAGTTAGAATTACAATGTAGAGGTCAGTGGTTTAGTGTGTTGCACATGGTTGTAAAAGTGCTTTCGGATTATTTCATACAGCTGTATGCTTGAAATTAGTCTCGAAAAGTCAGGTAGTACTTCGGCTCAGGCCAGCACAACACTTGTTAATCCACTCTCCATGAATGAAGAAATGAGGCACAAAGACCATAGTCTTTAATTCTGCAGTGAAAGTAGGAATTGTAATCTCATTTTTCATTACCAGAAGTTGCAGGTCGGTCTTAACTCATTGATGCAAATGTAAATATCTCTGGGAAGAAATAATAGGGGTAATAAAAAACTCATTATCTGCATGACTGTAACTTATAACAACAGCTTCCCCAGGTGATGTTGGGAGGCTTTCGCTTTCGCTGGACCTTTAATTGATTGCACGGACAGTGATCGAGGGACAAGGGCAGCTGTCAGTGAGCCAAGTTAAATATTGCCTGTTTGTTTGGTCTGGATCCTCCTGCTACAGTGAGAGGGTTTGTAGCAGACACAGAGATATGGTGGACGGCTCTTTAACTGCTCCCAGCTGTGAGGTCAACCCCTCTACAGAACACTGTGGTGCTCAGTGCTGACAATACTGCTACTTCAGTGCATAAAGTAGGTGGTTTATTGGTCAGGTCCTGCTCAGGTGGTTGTTTAGAGTGTGCTTTGGAAGGCTGAGTAGTTGGGGTTGGCTCCCATAGCTGGCCACTTGTCTGTCGGTGTTAAAAAAAAAACATAACTGATACTTCAACTTCTAATATTTAAAAGAATTTATGTAGAACTCAACACTCATATAAAGGTTTAGGCTCTGGAGCTTATAAATAAAACCATTATAATTGATACTGATCTGCTCATCCTTCAGTTCAACTACGTGCAATAAGATGCCAGAAGACACAGAGTTGATGCAACTAGATATCAAGGTGCATATTTATATCAAGACACGTCGGCTAGACCTGCAAGTGATTCAACAATGTGAAAACATTTCACTTTTCCTGGGGCCATTTCTGTCATTAGAAGAACTTTATTAATGTCAACCATGTCTTTGTGGTGAGTCTTACAATCACAAAGATAGCCCATTAGATTATTTTATTGCTGAATACATGGCAGATGTAGCTTTGTTTCCTTGGCTCCACTTGATTGTGTTTTTCCATCACTGCAGATATTACCCACTGTTCGAGGGCAATTTCAGCTGCTCTTCATAGGAAAACATTGACTCTTTGCATGACCATAGAGTGATGCTAAAGGACATCATTGTTCAAAATCTGTATCACACAAAAATGCTGTGTTAAATGTGCAATTAAGTATGTGATTCATTGCCAGATTAAATTATTAAGTTTCAAAGAAGACCCCTTGTTCTCTGGATGACATGTTAATGTGCGCTGACAAGTAGCTGTCTGTGACCTCTGGGAAAAAGCTGGCACACACTAACTGTAGTGATGTATATAAATCATGGACCACACTGTAAATTACATGCAATGCGAATGATGCTCAAGGCTATGGAGGCCATGACAATAACTACACGTACTTCATCATACATGTACAGTTTAGAGAAGATTGAACATTGTCACCGCCTCTTAGCACTAAATAATGCCAAACCTATAACTGCATAATATGGCACATTCTATTAGGGCAGGATGATTATGGCAAAAATAATAATAATCACAATTATTTTGACTGATATTGAAATCACAATTAATAAACATGATTATTCATTAATTTCAAGACTTGAGTTTTTATTGAACCACCAAAACTTAACCTTAAACATGACTTAAAAGAATAGCCAGAAATAAATTAGTAATAAGTAAACAAGTAAAAAAAAAAATAATAATAATCAATCAGCTCTGTGATCTCGACAATAACTTGCTCATGCTAATACTGTGTGCGCATACTGATACACAAGTCCAAGTTCGAGCCACATGAATTAAAAAAAATAAATAAATATATATATATATATATATATATATATATATATATATATATTTTTTTTTTTCTTGGTGTGCCTGCTTTTATTTAGATGTTGCGGTGTGCTACAGTTAATTGCATATATAGGGGAAACCCTGAAGTTAGTTGTGTTGACTTGGGGAGCAGACATGACAGCATGACAAACTTTGCAAACAGTGTCCTTTTGCTTGACCTCCGTCAAATTGAAGCCAAAAGGTTTCAGATAACTTAAGTTGTCCTACCTTTTTTCTTAATCAAAGGCTGCATTTCTATTATGTATTCAATCGCTCACTCCTCTTATTATTGATCTACACACGGCGTACGCTTGCTGCAGCTGCATGTAGCAGGGGTGCATTCAAGGTGTTTTTCCAGCACAGGAACTTACATACACACTTTTTTTTTCTCAATTATGGTGTTATTTTCATTCATATCATGATAAAAATTTGATTAATGGTCCAGCACTACGTTCTACCATAGACTGTATAAGAAATGGAAAGCTTGGTGATGTCACTCATTTGTTTCTGAGGTTGAGTTTTAAAGTCTGTTGAAATGACAATTGAGTCACTAATATTTGGCTTTTTGTTCTTTGAAATAGCTATTGTGTGTGTGCCCACCTGTCAGTCAAGTCAGGCATGCCGCTTATTCGCAAATCCCATAAACTTAACCCTGGTGAGTTTTGGGGGATACTAAGGCAACCAGATTTTCTATTAATTGTGGAATAGAAAATAATGAAAACTGAATAATGATTTACTTCATTGCTAGAGGGTCCTGGAGCCCAAAAAACATTATGTTGGCATGAGAACAATTTTCTGAAAATATACACGATGGCTGGTATTGTGCCAAAATTCTCCCTGGAGGAAGTTGTTAAGGACGTTAGGTGAACTGTTAACAACACACTCCAAAATTAAAAACTGTTTTTGCTGCTCTGTCATGGCTTTTTAATCTGTAAAGGTTTTTTAAATCGTAAAACATTTTCAGATTGCCTGCAGTCAAGCAGTCATGTACAGGTTACTAACATGCTGACTAGTTGTGTCACCAACTTACCCGTCCAATGAGCACAGGTTCAGGTCCTCGATACTCCTCAATCACGAAGAACTGGTTCCAGAGCCAGCTCCTCCTGTGGCGAACATGAGGTGCCGATCGACTGTCTGCAGCCTCCGTTACCCCTTTAGACCCTCGGAGTGTCTTCTCAGGCATAACATCACCCACACCTGCCTCTGAGCGGGGCGCCGTTTGAAGAGCGTACGTCTCATCTTCACTGGGAGCATTAATTAAACCATCAAGCTCTCCATTAGTCAAATTGCCTCTTTTCAGACGGTTCAGAACGAGTTCAGGGCTATGTTTAGGTTTTATGGATTTGGCAGCAGATTCGGGGCGTTTTAGCGTGACTGTTTTCCTCCTCATGTTGTCTTTAATGTCAGATTCATTTCGTTTTCTGTCATTAAGTCTGAAAGCAACATTTGGAAAGCGTCTCACACCCTTCTTTGCTTCTTCAAACTGGCTTTGCAATTCTTCTAGACTCCCCAAAAAGTCCTCTGGATGAGGCAAAACTTCCTTTTGCCTCAATAGCACTCTTGGATCCTGCTCCTCATCCACCAAACCAATGACCAATGATAGGCCATCCCTTTCAGCTTTCAAGACCAAAAGAAGAAGAAGCACGATATGTACGGCCATCGCTCAGACTACCAGATCAGTTTGTATCAAAGTAAAACCAAAGAGGTGATCAGATGATGGTCCATCTTGGCTTCTTGTGCTTTGTGTCTTCCTCTCCTTTCTGTTTCCTCTCCAAACAGTGAGCCTTCATTTCACTGTCTTTTCTCAGAGGCATCCCAACTTGACTCATTCTGCACCTGAGAGACAACACAAAGGGGTTGATATTTAATGAGTTCAATAGTAAACAGCAGCCTGAAAAAGACAAATCTTAGACCTTTTCCACACAGAGCTGGGTATTTCCCAAATGAATATATTTTTTTACTTTCTGGCCTGCCATCCACACAAAACTGCAGGGTTACGTCATTAAAAACGACGCTTTGTAAAACATCGGTTTTGCATGTGGACATAGAGAACCAGAGTTTTAAATTCCCAAATGTCATTGTCCATGACAACTAATTTAGATAAACATTATATTCTGTGTGCCCTTGTTAATGTCAGGCAGTGGATGTCACAGATATACACAGAATATATTTTTGTGAGGAGCAAAGGAGAAGGAGTGCTTTGCAGTCGGTTATTCCACACCAAATAACCCTTCCTCCACCTTTCTTATGTCTTGTTGACTTAATACTCCAAAACGATGCTTAAAAGCAATTCCACCTTTTTGTCGGTCCACTTGAATGAACTACACAGTGCTATGTGTCATGTTTGGGGAAGTGATGATGAGAAAGGGAAGCTTGCTCTGATTGGCTAGAATGGGTCTAACTGTTTGGCAAATACGACCAACTCCAGGTCTGGCATGCTTATAACCGTGGTCAATAGCGCACTTCCGCAGTTTTTTGTGGATGGGATTTTATTTGAAAATCATTATGTGTGTACATGACTTTTATTAAATAAGGAGGGGGTTGGCTATTCGTTTATTGTGTACATGGCCTAAGTAAGATGAAGAGGCACAAAGTAAAGATACTATGACTAATTTTGACGTATTAAGTCTATTTCATGTGTCAAAAATCTGGAGAATAGAGAACTTACCATTTTTCCCAATCAACAGAAAATAATTAGCTGATGGCTGCATTAGCTCTGCATCAGTTATCTTTGAAAATCCTAGTATGAGAGCACTTCTTTAGGGCCAAAGCCTGATGTGAAATTTCTGTCTTCATATTCATTTTGATGTTGTGTTGGACACTTATTGGTAAATTTTTGTCAGTAAATTGTTGTAATGAATCACATTTGCTGCAGGTGTTTATATCTAAATAGCACCAGATTTCAGGGAATATTTCCTGTTGGGTGATCTCCCTCATACCTCCAACTGTCTGCCTTTCTCTCTGCTTAGCTAGTGTTCGTGCACAGAGTAAATACATGTACAGAAATTAAAAAGATGTCTTGTGATTAGATGTTTTATTTTGTTAAATGCAGAAAAACAACAACGATGTGATATTTGCTTAAATATCATCCATTAGCTGACCTGCTATTTGTATAGAAAATGGCCACATAAAAAAAGATTTTGGTCAACCCCTACAGCAAACAGAGATGTGTATGTCCATCGCTTTAAGGTCTAAACTGCCCCATGGCATAAAACTCTGTCAAATGATTGTAGGTCAACCACCTCAGAGCCTCTATGAATCAGCCTACTACAAAGAAACTGCTCAGGCTGGCTAACAACATCATCGCCAACCCTCTGAACAGTGAAAAGGAAGTGATTTAGTTTTAATAAGGTCAAACTCAAACACTCTTTAGTACACCAGTCAATACTAAAGTTGAATAAGGAGCTGAATCCATAGACTGTATATCCTATGAACAACTTGGCTCCGTCTCCGGTCATTATACAAATTTGAAGTTGAATTGCTCTCGGTATTTCCAGGATTTTCTCCACTTCCTGAAACCAACATCGCACAGTAGCGTTGTACCCATTTGACGGGAGAGTCGCCAAAATTCGCTGTGATGAAAACGCTCGGCCTTGAACAGCGTATCCCACAGGTGAGGGACGCAATCTTCATCAATCATCATAGAAAACATGAACCCCCTAATAACTTTTAAAAATGGAGCACAAACCAGTCTTAAAAAACTAAATGTCAACATCGCAAGCAGGGAGGAGAAAAATTTATATTCTGTGTCATATATTTCTGAAGTTTGTCCACAGCTCCATAGGAATTGCTGGAGGAGGCGGAATTTATGACCTGTACTGCAGCCCGTCACCAAAGGGTGCTGTTCTCGCGGTGGCTTCACCCAGCGTGGAGGCAGATGGCATCCATTCTATATGCAGTCTATGGCTGAATCTCTGATCAAAAGTACAGTGAAAGCCTCTTAATATGCTCTCTGCTGTTTAAAATGTTATTTGTGTTTAGCCGCAGAAAGGCAAATTAAATTTCTCACTTACACAGTAAAGTTATACCAATGCAAGCGTATTGCTCTCACCGCTATCTCTCAAGGAGATAATTATCAAAGAGTGATAAAGAAATGTTATGAAGAAACCTAAATAACTACATTCATTATCATCATATGCCTCATCACCTTTTCTCCCTAAGAACCGATCATGATGATGGCAAAAAGTAAAAAATATCCTCGATTGGTCACTACAGCTGTTTCTCTAAAGTACAGACAGAAATGTTTTGTATGAGCTTTATTAAAGGTGTCCTCCAAAATCAAAGTTCCCCTAAATCTGGGGTGATGAGGCTGACAGCAGCTCATGACACAGCCAACGCGCAGCCTGTTTCAAACCGGCTCTATGTTGTGTCAGCTCATGATGATCCAATCTCACCTCTGTCACGCCTCTGTTACCTCTCATGCCGTAACAGCGCTAGGATCACATGTTGAACCAACACGCTCAGAACCATCATCCAGGGGAGCTGCCATGAGTTGTAAAAGCCACTGAATCTCACAGTGTTTGACGGGTTTGAGACACCAACGCTTGATTTCTTTTCTGGGAATTAATTTTGCAAACTTCAAAAGGCTTGAACTCTTATAGGGAATAACTAACAAACATGGAGACAGCATATTGGAAATGTACAAAAACTAAATGACAGTTTTAATGACTCTTAAGTTTCACTGAGAACTGTTGGTTTCTTTTTATAAGTGAGCCAATTTTATTTTTAGTTGAAGTGCATTTAGTTGGGATTACTTCCTCACAGCACAATAAGCTTTGTTCTCTGTGAAATCCTGATTTTAAAGCTTATTTCAAGATGACCACAGAGGCTTTGGATGCTAAATTTAAGTGCGACAAACTGAGAAAATAAACCTGCTCTTTGGATCTGATGAATGTTCCCGTTTCAAACTCCAACACACTCATTTTCATATATCTGCAGGTTGAATCACATGAATTATTTTGACTTGGTTAAAAAAAAAAAAAAAAATCTCAGTACGTGACATTTTCCTGTTCTGTTGGCAGAAAACGTTGCTTATTTTAGGTCATACATTCCCCACTTCCCTTTTCCCCTGTTTTGCAGTTTTCCGAACACTGAGGAGAAAGACAAAGACGAGTTGACGTCTTACTTGTTATCTGACTCTGAGGAAGTTTGACAGTTTTTAGATTTTCCTCCTGTTTGCTAATCTGAAGCGCTCACAGGCTGCAGTAAAAATAGCTGCGCAGAAACTATGAACATTACTGTCTGATAAGAGAGCAGAACTCCCTTTATCCCAGACGCTGTCATTCATATTTTTCCCATCGCTGCTGTTGTGTGATATCGATCACTCCGGCATGCTCGCAGATTTTAGTGTGGTCTTAAAATTTTTCAATTAATCTGATGCCCGCGGGCGCGGCGGCGAGGTGGAGCTCAGGTACTTTACTGTTCACTGTCACACACAAGTGCCTGGACATTGTGTGATTGATGTCATCCCTTTAAAGATGGTCCCCCCATGCTTCAATGCCCGACGGTGGGAGAAGTTCCCCTTAAGAGATTAATTAGACTCATAAATAATTTAATCAATGACTTGTCCTCGTTTCCCAAAAGCTTAATGATCTGACTTTGGTTAGTATTAGAGTCAGATCAGAGCCATTGATCTTTGTGAAATTTGATGAACTGAAAAGTGTCAGCAGCTTAAACTCTGTAGTCTCAGTTTTTCTGACCACGTGCATCCATCACTCTGTCTCTGCTGCAATAAAAGTCAATTTTAGCCATCAGGTTTCCATCTTTGTGCACCTATAGAGGCAAACCTTATCTCGCTCTCACACACGGAGCATCATTGCATGAGTCATGGGTGCACAGGGATGCAGCCTTCAAAGAAATTTTAATAAAGTTTTCATGAATGCATTCGTCTTCTGCTCAGATTTACAGTGAGAGATTTCCCCGCACATCCTTCTGTCATATAATATGTTGGCTGAAAAACATACAGTATTTGACACAGTGTAGAGCCTTCTCTATGGTCTGACTAAATAAATGTACAATGAACCATGAGCTTTGATTAATTTAAATGCAAATAAGCACAGAGAGAGCCTATAGTATCGCAGAAGCCTTTGATGGCACTGTACAATGAGAAGCAAAGCGTTTTCTGATATATCCACATTGATATGCCTCCTGTGAAAGGAAGGACATATGAAATTGAAACCAATGTTCTTTTCACTGACCTACTTTCTCAAAGAGACGCTTTAGAATCGAGTCAATTTGTGCATTGGATCATATTTAATATTGATAAATAGCTATTTCCTTTTGCATATTTCTGCTTGAAAAGGGATCCAGCCTTGATTTTCCGCACACCAATTAAAGCAATTCCCTCTTACTGTTTGTAATGCCTCGTGTTCTGCATCTGCATCTGTTTGGCATCTTCTTAAATCTCACAAAATACAAGAAGTGCTTCATCCAAAAACACTTTTGTCTTCCCAGGCTATTGTGTATTAGCATAGACTGAGCTCTCACGGCTTACATCTCTGCCTGCTTTAGCTGCGCTCCAAAACCTCGTTGCCAGCAGAACATGTCATTCACTGTTGTTTGAAGTCTTTAGAGTGTGAGTGCTTATGAGATATGTGTGAAATGTAAGGCAGGGATAGAGGATGAAAGCGTGAGGACGATTTGCTGGTTGCCGGCTCAGGAAAGGAATGATGGGTGGTGACATAGCTCTAAATTGCAAATCGCTGTTTCAGTCTCACTTCACTCTGCATCGAGTCGCTTCACTGCAACAAGGCTATTTCATTTTTATTAAAAATAGCCTGTGCATGTCAGGCCTTTTACATAGAAAGGGATGGGAGATGGAGGCAGAGAGGTAATGGGTGGGGGGTGGGTGGGTGTGATGGTGGTAGAGGTACATTTGGAGGGAGGGGGGACAGGCTGGCTGGCTCAGACGCGGACAGATTCTGCTCCATTTGAACATCTCTGCCTCTCTCTCCCCCTCTCTGCTGCTTTGTGCACACATGGAAACCTCTTAAGTCTTTCCAAATCAGCCTGGTGGGGAGAGGCCCAGAGCACTCAGCACATCAGTCTCCTCATTGTAGTCAGGGCTTGACATTCAGACAGCTTAACCTTAAGTGATACCACAGAGGAGGAAATGTGCTGAGCAGGCGTGTACTTATTTGTCATTTGAAAAAGCCTCAGTGCTTAAGATGCTCTTTAATGTGTCAGTGGTTGTTGACGATAATTTCCTTTTTGACGTATACTAATGGTGCCAATACCAGGAGCAGGAGTGCCTGTGATGCAGCCAAACTGCAGGCTCTGGGACTAAAAATTTGAGCCACTTCATTAGTGCCAAAAACTGCAGTTCCATGAGTGGCCACTTGGGGCTGTCCCCAAAAGTGAGATCATCCGCATTGGGCTCCATGTTGTACGGTCCAAATTAACAGCAGAACAGTTAAGGTCTCTGTCTCATATTTTTATGCTTGTTAACTGCACAGGGGAGATTTTTTTTTTACAACTAACCTTTTTGAATCACCTTGAGCCTTGAAGTTATGCATAATTAGAAGCATAAATACACTAAGTGACAGATGGGTGCTGTTTGCTGTTGGCTAGATGTCATTTCAGCTAATTTAGTCACTGAGCCTCTTTCCTCAAACATGTTTATGTTTGTGCCTTTCACAGGATTTTAATGCAGAAATCAGACAATTACCGTAAAATCTAGGGTGTCAGGTTCTTGTGTTGTCAGGGTTCTTAAGAGCTCTTATAAGCTCTTACAGCCTCTTCAAAGTCTTTATGGTTTCCTGTGATGTTTTGGTTAATTAGATTGTTTGGGTTCTTGATGCTCTGCTTAATTTATTGTTGGGCTCTCTTGCTGTTGTGCCTATAGCTGCAAAAATGGCTGTGAGTGACAGACAGACTCAATACCAGAAAACCTATCCCTCTACACTTTTGCCAAACCCATCTGCCAGTCACTCTCTGTAACTAGCACCAGATGTAACCAGCGCTCTGAAAGACTTGTTTCCATCATTGTTTTTAAGAGTTTCTCCTAGGGCTGCACGATTAATCGTTTTTAAATTGTTATTGGATTATCTGATTATGACTACGTTAAAAAAAATTTTAAATCATCAAATCGATTTTCCTCTCTATCATGTCTCGTGCCTCCAGGCTACCATCGGCTCCCCCTTCCTGCAGGAGTGCTCCCCAGTTCCCACACACACCAGTGTAAACAAATATGGCATTTGCATAAGGAGGCGATAATTTCATGGCTAAATAGGGCAATAGCAAGCAAGTACTGTAGAATTGGTACGGCTTCACAATTTCGGATGAAGAGCAAACCACTATTCGCTACAAAGTCTGTCTGAAAACCGTCCACACGGAAACACTTTCAGGAGTAAACGCAAAAGTATTTTGTTGTATCAGCGTTTCATCCACATGATAACAGTGTTTGGGTGCCAGTAAACGGTACTTTTTCGAAAATGGGTCAGAGAGTGCATAAACCCGTAAACGACTACCGTTTCATCTTCGTGTGGATGCCTATCTGCATCTTTCTTAAAACGATTCTATGACACACACGATTTATGGCACCTGCATGTGTCTGGACAAATCAACCTTTTATACGGATGCTCTGTACTCTTCTTCTGTCTTTTGTGCATTTCCTGAGCAGCATTACAGCGCCACTTACTGGCTTGGCATATGCACTATATCATTTTCAGTGGTTTCGATTTGAGAGATGATCTTATTTATTACTTATTATCAAAGTTAAGTTTGGTGAAGTTGTCACTGAATAAAAAATCGAAATCAAAAATCCAGTTTTCAAAGGGAAAAAAACAGGATTTTATTTTGGGCCAAAATCGTGCAGCACTAGTTTCTTCTCAATGCATCATCATAACCTAATGAGGGTAAAAAGTATTTAGGAGAACCGCTGCTAGACTGGTCTGGTATCTATCATGCTTCGAACACTGGAGCCCCATCTTCTAGCACATTACTACAACGCAATAAAACACATCTTCCCTCATACTCATTTTCGTCAAGTAAATGTGCACAAGAAGAGACTTGGCTATAAAATGCTTGCACGCAAAGCTGTTGCATTACTGTAAAAGCGCCCTGCACATGTTAAACACTCGATTATATCTGAGTGGTTGTGAATTGATTCATTCCCTCTATCAGTGAACTGCTTTCGTTTAGTTTCTACACCTGCAGCGCACATAGTGAGGTGTTGAGTGAGCGTTGTCTGTACTTCTCTATCTGGCTGTCAGAGCTGCCATGAGAGGGACAGATCCAGCAAAAATAGACTCAAAGACCCAAATAACAAATATGATTACATCTTTGATGTACATAAAAATACACTGAATAAATATAGTATACACTCTTGTATTTATTCATATCTCAGTGTATACCACAGGGGGAATAATGCTGCTGTTTTCCCAGTGAACGTGTAATTTAACCCTTGTCTTCATGCTTTTGTGTTGTTCTATGTTACTGTATTGGTATTTTTCTTCAAAATGCCTATCCATAAAGACCAGTTTTCAGTGACTGTACCCAAGATAGCAGGCATATTTCTCAGAAACTGATGTATTTGTGGGAGTTGTGGGAGTTTGGACGGTTACTGTTTTTTTTCCAGCAGAGCAAAGACAGAAGTTGTTTTGAAGTTACCAGATCTCGGGGTATACACTCTGTTGCTCTAACATCAAAATATGCTCAAGGGGTGGCTGGTTTGTGTTGTTCCTCAAGCTCATTCAGAGATCATGATCAGAGTCTGCAAGAGTATCTTACCATTTTAGCTGGTGAATAAATGACCTTAAATTCAGGCTTTTACACCCCTCGCTGCTGAGTCCTACTGAGGTCATTTCTGACTGCACAATTCCAAAATGACAACAGTCAACATGCTTCAGGCTCCAAAAGGACACCACCGAGTGACATTATCATGCCAAAAATATGGGCCTAAATTCAACATTGTGCAACTCTTACTTCCTTGTAGTGAATTTTGTCTATTTTCAAGTTGAGAGTGTTTTAATACTGCTGTTTGCAGTAGTTCCTTGTAGTCTCTCCCTCTTAAAATATCCTTTGCATATGTCTTATAAGTGTACATCACTGATCTGACTTGAAGACAGTGACTCCCACACTGCTGACAATTTCTTTCTTGTTTAATCATGAAAGCAGTCCGGAGTTTGTCCAGTAAGTCACTCTTTCTACTCAACTCCAGTTTTAAATTTAAGCCAAACAGCTGTTACAAAAATCGTCTACTGACGCTTGTGCGTGTCATGTTTTTGCAGATAGGCCCGAAGCTGTCTAGTGGGCGAATATTGTTCAATAATGATGTTTAACGCCAGTGCATCCCTAATCCAATATTTTATCCAATATCTCAGTCCAATTCTTCAGTGTATTACCCCCGAAAACATCCGTTTGTCTCAACAGGCAGCAATTCTTCCTCACTTCTCCAAACATTAGTCTGCACAGCAAGTAGTTTTGTTCTGCCACCATGGATGTATTATGGCTGCCTCTGGCAAATACGGTTATAGAGTGGCGAAAAAGAATTGATTTGAGGTTATTCATCATGTGGCACTAGCTAAAGACAACAGCCCAGTGAAAACAAAGAGTGTAATGTGAGTCAGAGCTGAGACAATGTCAGGGGTTGGTGTTGTCCCATCAAAATCAAATTAGTACCATCAGAAAAGTAAATGAATAGAGTCTGGTTCATTTGTCAGATGCGGGGAGTCATTTGCAGCGAATCAATCATTACTTTCAGATTAATTTACATTCTGCAGTCCTTGATCAATGTGGATGGTTCAATAAATTAATGAATGTACCAAGACATATTGACATTTCAGTCATTTTGCTTGTCTGAGTAAAGAAGTGTTGTCCTGTTCTTCCACACATACAATACAACTCAAGGAAACTTTAAACAGAGCTCTTCTACTCTGTTTGATTTGTAATCCTCCTCAACATGGCTGCTGAGTCCTCTGTGTTTTCCCCTTCACTGAGAACACTTGTACGGTTTCTCTGATGGTCTTGGGCAGATAAGGGGCCGCTGATTGTTAAAATAACACACAAAGCCTTGCCAACAACACCCACTGGTCTTACAACTGTGTTTTTGAAGCTCGGAAACTGGCTTTTTCGTCACCACAGCGTTGTTCTAATTTTTCCTCTTTTTTGGCAGAGGGGTTAAGACTAAAGGGGGTTTTTGGGATGGGGGTTGGCAAACACTAAGTTATAAAATAAGCACTTATTTGATCGCCAAGGCTTCTTTGTTATTTGGCCTTTCCTTGTTCATTGGTACATTTCACAGGGAGTGAATTTTTTTGAATAACTCATTAGTTTTGAAGATATTAAGATTGTGAGTTTTGCATTATAAGGGGTTTGGGTGATTTGACTGACTGGCTGTAACAGAGTAGCTCTTAGCAAGGAGGCTAAAGGCTGCCTCAATTCCACTTCTTTGCCTTTTGCAGATAGGACAGATACTTAATTTGAGTCAGCCTTTCCAGTATGGCAAACACCATTGATTTCACTCAAAGCAACCAATCCTTTAATTATGTGAAAAATGTTAAGTAATTAATACACAAGTAGAAAATTATCTAAAAGAGGGAGACAAAGAGCACATTCAGTCTTGCTTGGGGTTGCAAATTTTAACGCTGGGCTTTATGGGTAATGACTGACTGCCTCAAGTGGCAACTGGAGGAACTGCAGTTTTTTGGCATTTTTTTCAGTATCTGATCTTCATTGTAAAGAACAGGCGGGATCTGATTACCGATTAAACGGCTGTTTTTTAAAATTTTCTCTGACATTTAAAAAATCAGCCGCTGATCGCGCCTCTGCGTCTTAACTTACGTTATTCATTTCCTGTTTGGTCTCAGTTGGAGACATGCAGCTGCCTCAGTAAGAGAAGTAGCTCGATCACGTAATGTGTACTGTTGTGTATTCTACCGTTAATGGCACGGCTAACAGTGTAGCAGATGGCTAACTCTAACTTTAGCTTGCATATTACACGGTGCATCACCGTTACCTCAGCGTGACTGAGACCAGCACAGCGGGGAACATCGTGAAGTGGGTTGAACTGAAACTTGTTGACTTATTGCGTATTTCATGAACTGGTTTATTTACCGTTGAGGTGGACCACTCTCCTCCATGCGCCCCTGAGCTGCCTGCTTTAGATCTGTCACTCTGCTGTGCTGTTAGGTAGTTAGTGGATGAAGACTGTCATGAGGTCGCTGCACCATCTACAGGATAAGTCGAGGAACTTTTCAAATGGCAGAACATTTTCGAAGTGAAACCGAATCTTATTCTCCGCATTTTAGTTCTGAAAATATCTGCAAAAATCAGAGAGTTTTGGCCAATTACCGATTAGTCTTGAATGGGCTAAAATTGGCCGATTTTAGTCGGGTCCTATTGAACATACTTTTATACCATCTCTGCTAAATCTACTCTGCTAAAAGATACCTTTAATTCTTATTCCTAAACGTTCACCTCTATGTTTATATTTAAAGCTCCTGTAGGGAACTATGTTTGTATCAAATTGGCGCCCCCTGTGGACAAAGTGGTCTTTGCTAATTTTGTCTTCAACATACTTGAGTACTGATGTTCGACAAAAAATCTCACCGCTACTGCAGACTTTTGACAGTCAAACCTATCAATAATTCAGAGAATTTTTGATGTGGAAACTGTAATAACAGGGCTGTTTCTTCAGCTGCTGGGCTGACATCTCACCTACCCTCTCACACCACTTTCAGGCATTAAAATTAGGACATAAAAGTTGTCAGTTTTGGCATTGATTGTCTCGTTTGCTTTTGGATATCATGAAAAAGCACAATTCAGTCTATTTCATTGATATCAAAAACTCCTCACCGGAGCTTTATCAAACACATTGCAGTGGCAAAGTGTACTTATTAAAAAGTTTTGTTAAAATTTATCGTGTAAATAATTTTATCCACTCTGATATCAAGCTGTAACTCGATATTAGAGGACAGGAGAGAGTTCAGCATCAGAATATGTACCAAAAGGCAAAAAAAACGGTGTCATAGCATCTTGCACTCCAACACAGAAGGACATCTCACATCTCAGAGCACATGATTACTTTCTGCTTCTTTCCTTTGGTCACTCTCTCACACACAAACCGTTTCAGTCACACGCACTCTCACATCTGGAGCGCTCGTTAACATGTCGAGTAGAGATCCAGCAAACAGCCCGGAGGTCTGACCTTGTCTTGTTGGAAGGAAACCGGGAAAATGACCTACTTGATGCACCTTAACGTGATTTGCACACGTGGGATAACTGTGGTGATGAAGGCGTATAACGGTTCCGTAACGTTGCTGCGGGCTACAAGCTGAAGTCCAGAGACCCTGTTATCGTATTAGCGTGCAGGAGTCCCCAGGTGAGAGCGCACGCGGCAGGTGAGCACAAACCGAGCGCGCGCGTCCACAGACCAAAGCCTGAAAATGAGGCGGGCTGCACGGCGATATTCTCCCCACCATCTGTCAGAGCCTGGCGCCCACTTCACACACTCAGAGGGGGGACTCGCTCTCCTAAACCTGCCTCTCCTACCCGGGTGTCGGTCCACGGAAACAGCTCGCGCGTGTGAACATCTGCTCGTGGCAGCAGAAGGCGAAAGGTTTGAAACAGTTAGAAAAAGACGCGCCGTTTACAGCTGCAAAATTGCAAAGTAAGATAGCTGAGTAGCGAAAAACTTGTAAAGGCACTGAAGAGAGCATGTTCGGATTCAATTAAAGTCCGTTAAAGAAGGAGAAACAAGCTTACCGTGTTTGTGTTTGCAGAGCTGCTCCGGTGGTGCCTCTCTGCTTTCACGGAGCTGAAATGATCCAACGTGGGAAAGGATGCCGAGCTTCAACTGAGCTCAACGTGCTCCGTCCACTCAGCCTCTCTCTCTCTCTTTCTCTCTCTCTCTCCCGCTCTCGCCCTCCGTCTCCCTCTGTATTTCTCCCCTTTTCTCTCTCCATTAGTTTTTAACTATCGACGAAAGTCACCATAAAAGCCTTCTATTTTTGAGTCCACACAGGGACCACAGAGTACCACAAACACAGAGTCTGCCACACCGACAAATGACCATTTTAGTTAGTCTCAGTACAGCAGTCTCAGAGCCAGACATGAGGAGAAAAAGGGAGGTTTTTACCTTACATTTGGAGGGGAATAAATCAGAGGAGGAAGGTTTGATGTTTTCGGGATAAGGTCAAAATGTCGAGGAGGAAGTTAAAATGTCAAGAATAAAGCTGGGCCAGTCTCAGTGCCAGGTGAGAGAAATCCATCAGAGAATATATTTATTTATTTATTTAGGCTGAGAATAAAATTGAAATGTCAAAAAACTCCTTCCTCTGTTTTTTTCATACCTGGCATCAAAACTAAAAGTTCAGCTTTGTTCTCTTGTTTGACATTTCCTCTTATTTTCTGACATTTCTCCCAATGCCCAACACATGTGGGATTTTTTTTAAAGACTGATATCGATATGGAGTCAAGAGATAAAAAACTGACTGATATGGCTCCCTTGTGTGATTTAAATAAACACTGCTTTGTGGGTTCATCAATTTTGCATGAAAATAACTGTGAAGCTCCTCATGCTGCCTCCTTAAACACATAACTCAACTAAAGAATATCTCACATTTTATTCTGTTTCAACAGTTTCTGCTTCAGACCACCATTTGTGTGTTTGTGTTTCTCTGATCTATGAGCTGCAGACAGTGCTGAGACTCCTTAAATAAATTAACATCTGCATTATATATACTGCTTAAATAAAATAAAGTAGTGTAGAAGATTCAACACTTGCCAGTATACTGATACAGCTGTCAAAGGCTCATATCATCTATATCTGTCAAGAGTGAGATTGATTATACTGTTTAATCTTTTTAAGTACATAACATAATTAATAGTTCTTCATCTGACATATTTTTGTTCACACATAGTATTTCTACAGGGATTCTAACTTTATTTCAAACAGCTGTACATAGATCATCATATTTTGAGGCGACTGGTATGAGACTTTGAGACTGACTACTGCTAAAGCTAATTCCTGCTGTGCAATGTGAACCGTTTTTACGGTATAAAAGGTCCAGAGAAAATGTTCTAATAGTTTGATTTAAATTGGAATTGTGAAATCAAAAGTCATAACTGTGAGTTTGAAACTTAAATAGAGATAAAATAAAGAGATAAAAATCTAAAGTGATTAATTAAAAAATGAAATTCTGTTATTAAAAGTAAAGATTATGAGGAAAAGTCATAATTATGAGATATAAGTCAAAATGATGCTGAAATAGTACCATAATATATCACGTGTTTGACATTATGGTTTTGCAAGTCATGGTTGTGAGGTAAAGGTAAAAGTAATTTGAGAGGGTAGGTAATAATTTAAAGATTGAAAAGTCAGCAATTGTGAAACAAAAGGTCAAAATTATAAAAAAGAAGTCTCAATTATGAAATAAGTAAGAGAAAGAAGTAAAGCTGAAGGGATAAAAAAGTCTGAATTGTAAAAACAAAAGCCATTCTAATTGGGTAAAAATCAAATATAATTATCAAAATTATGTGAAGTGCAAGCGAAATCATGGCTATTACTAAGACTTTTAAAGGTCTAACTTTCTGCCATTATTTTGCCATTTTCCTCTTAATGATGAATTATGATCTAAATATTTCAACTTTTAAATCATAATTATGACCTTTGAAAATAGTTTTTAGATTTTCTTTACCCACAGTTTTGACTTCTGTCTCTTTATCTCAAAATAATATCTCAACTGCTTTGATTTTTTTCCATTTAGGCTTCGTCTCTGTTTGCTCGATTGATTTTAAACTACAGTGAAAACTGGCTTCTCTTGATACCCACTCCATTCTAAAGCTGCTGTGAGGAACTTTTTGTTCTGGTTCATTCTGGTGCCCCCTGTGGATAGTGCGATACCTCTTATCTTTTACTCTGCATATGTTAAAGTGTTGTATTTAAACAAAAAACTCACCCTGGGGGTTGTGTTTTTAGCTTGCTCAATTTTCTGGTCTGATGCCAAACCCCTCACAGCAGCTCTGGGCTTATGGCTTACAAAAGAGACATTATTAGCCTTATTGCTGATGGTTTTTTTATACATATAAAAGAGCTTAAGAATCAGTTTCAGTTCTTGACTCAACTTCTTCTTCTGGTGCCTTTAGGAAAAAAAAAGAAGGAATGACTGATAACCCATATGGCGGCTATTACACATTAAATCCCTGGGTGTAATAAAAACAAACTTTTGTTTGTAGATTTGGTGCTCATTATGTAAAATAAATACTCCTTGAACAATTATCATATATTTCTTAGTAATTCTAATGCAGACCATCTGCTCAGCTGTGGTACCCTTATGTGTGAGCTGCAGACAGCGCTGAGAGGATAGGAAGGAAATGAGTAAGAGTGCACTCTTCTGGACAAACTATATAAAGACGTAATTTCTAAATTATTGTGAGCGTTGTTTTCTACATTAGATGATCTAAGGAAAAGTTTCCATACCAATATTTTAAGACATATGTGCTAAAACCGGCTAATACCGGCTAAAGTGGTAGACTAAAAAAATATCACCTAAATACCACCATCATTTATTGTTTACAAAACCCTTCCTTAACACTGGAAATTCACACCTTTTCTCAACTTTATCTCTGAAGTGCCAAAAACATACTTTTTTTCCAGCCTTCAAACTCCTCTGTAAGGCTACAGTCCCCCCTAAAAGCCTGCTATTTGGGGATACACTGTGACCACTCAGTACCACAGAGTTCACACATGCTAACAAAGAAACACTACAGCCAGCCTGGTTAGTAAAAATGTCTGGAAATCACAGCCTTGCTTTCTAATTATCACATTTATTTTCATCGTGCACATTGTAATCCCTTAAATATGTTCTGCTTGTTGGCTGTACATTTTACTTGAAGCAACATTGTGTTTTTTAATCTGCTTAAATTTAGTCAGTCTGCATAATCATCTTTACTATTTTCCCCTGTTGTTCCACCCAGAAGCTGGGCCAGAAAATTATTGCTACTTAAGGATGCATTAAAAGATGAAATTTCACCATTAGCTAAAAACATGTCTTACAGTGCAGGGCTGTAATTACCCTCTTCTTAACAGTTTGATGGGATTTCTCCTCCAGTGAGTTGAACAGAGGGTACTGATGCTTTTTTTCTTTTTTTTCTCTGAAACAGATCATCAGTTGGACATACAGCTAATGCCCTCAGTCCAGTTTCCCTCACTTTGGCACTTTAGTGCTGATTTCGGCAGTCCTGTGGATGAAGCAGCATGTTGCTGATCTTATCCTGCACATGTGTGGGCTGCTTTTAAACCAAAATCTCACCCTGCTTTCCTTCAACAGTCAAATGTATCACTTGAAGTCACTGAGAGGAGTTCTCAGCTGATGTTGAAATGGCCTCACTCTTATAGAGATGCCTCTTCATGACCTACAAAGTAAAATGAGACTTCCAGCAAGGTTGGGACAAGGTTGTGAATTTTTTATATGTGCCTATGTTCAGGTCAGATTTCCACAGAATAAAAAACTAAGTCCATATACAACAGTCGCCCTGAGGTGTTTGAGTTTAAAACTGGACAGATAAAGTTTGTAAGTAAAGCTTCACTGCTCTATGAGGACGCAAGAGTTAAACTGTACATATATTTATGCTAATCAGACAATTATTGAGACGCTGGAGGACACATCATAACATCAGGGCTGTAAGGGGTAACGTTTAGAAATGTTCATTGATACTGATATCGTTATTGCGACTCCTTAAAGGGATATTCCGGCGTAAATTTAAGTTATGGTCAAACACACCATAACACAGAGTTAGAAACCCCCTCGAGTGATGAATGTTGCCGACTGCTTGCTTCTCCAGTTATACCAACTTCACGTCAACCAAAACGCCACTCTATAGCCACAAATAATGCTCAGAACAGCACCTAACTTCATCAACAGTACATATAAGGTCCCAGCATTAGTACTAGCCATCAAACATCTTTTAGCTTTGCCTGGTTTCTTTAGCAAAGAGACTAAACACAACTCACCTACTCTCCTCTTCCTTTTTAATTTTCTAACACAGTACTTAATGAGGACTACCTTTCTTAGCTGACATGAGTTGATTACAGCTTGTGTTGGAAAGTTGAACAGGTCACAATTCATCTGTAATACATACTTTATATTTGTGTTTGGAAGATTACATCCTTGCTGCGACAATGCTTCTTGGTAATAAATCTTGTTCTGTTGGAAAGCCTGTTTATTTCCCTTTTAAATGATGCCACATTTGCAAATCTTCTTTGCCAATGCCAAACAGCTTGCTCTGCCATTGACTCTTGTTTGGAGTTGTTTGGTGGATTGGATGATTGAAGTCTGGAGAAACAAAACATAATGGCATCTTACCAATCTAATTATTTAACAAACAGGAGTAGTAGCATGTAGAAGAACCATGGACAACCACAACAGCCTGGTACCTCCTCCTCATGCTGGTCACACACTGTTGTGGGATGGAATCCCACAAGCAACAGCCTTTGTTAAAAGTCAACCGATGTGGTTGTGTTGGTCACTCTGGCATGAAGAGCACGCCCAAGCTGATCCCACAAGTGTTCAATGGGGTTGAGGTCACGACTGCTTGCAGGACTCTCCATCCTCTCCAAGACCAAATTCTAGAGGTAGTCTCTGAAAAACCCACTCTGTGAGGCCAAGATCTGCTTTCTTACCCTTTCCACACATGAACTTTAAGCTCATTTTTGTAGTGCTTGAAGCTCTTTGTTTCAGAATAAAACACTCAAATAAAGCTGGTTCTACTTGTTATCTCAATTTGAAGGCCGGATGTTCAAAACAACATCTTTTCATACTTTGTGTGAACTTATTAAGTCATAAAGATGCTATTTGGAATCAGGGCGACATGAGATTTTCTTCAGAAAAAAGGACGTAATGTGACATTTTCATATTTTAAACATTTACCTCCCATTCCACCAGGTACACCTAACGTTTTATTGCAGAGAAGCAGTAGATGTTTTCTCGTCTGAGGAAAGATGAGAGAATTTGATGTTTGAAAGCGATAGTAGTTTCAGCAAATCGCAAGCTCTTGACGTTCTCCAAACTTAAAAAAGTGAAAAGCAGCCTTGCTTTGCACATCACAGTTTGTTGATCATTTATGAGTTCTGCTGTCTGACTCATGAACAAGAGAGCCTCTTTTTGTTTTAACGAGCTGGGGTGAAAATGTTTATTGATGCAACTAGAAAGCAAACATGTAGTCCCAAGGTCACTCTTCAGCTGCCTTGTTCACAGCTGGATACAGAGGTTTATTAATGCCAAACCTACTGTGCCAGCACAAAACAAAGCCAAGCTGTGATCAATCTGAACATCAGGATGTGAGTGCAGTTGGGGACAGATTTATAAGCAAAAACATGCTCTCAGCTCCAACTGTGAGAGGGGCTGTCAAACGCTATTTGCCAAATTTCAAGCTGTTGTGGTCACATTTTAAAAATTCTTCAAGAGGAATGAAAAAAAAACAGAGATGACATGACATGACATTTCACTTCATGGTCAAAACTGGTGGAGTTTGCTTTTCTCTTTGCTGAAATTTGAATTTAAGAGGAAAAAACATCAGAAAAAACAGAAGAAAAGGCTTTGAAGAGGGCGAGCAAAGGGAGCCCTACACCCACTGAGTCCCGGCTCTTTTTCCAGGCTCCAAACTTTGATAACAATCACATTTTTTTTCCTTGCTTGCTCACAGAACTTATTTTGTACTGACAAGACTGCTTTCTACTTTTGAATCTGGACCACCGAACTTGTTTCCTGATGTTTTTTTGTTTTTATCCCTTCAATAATTCTGTCATTAATGAACTTCCGAAGCTGGGAATTATGGATGAGTTCAGGGAGGAAGGGAGGCTTTCCCCTCTTCCTCTCACAGCGGCAGTCAGTCATAAAGCAGCACTCGTAGAGGTTTGAAAAGACACTCAGCTCTCTCGTGTTGGACTGGAAATGTGTTCAGCATCATCATGCACGGCTGCCTTTAATATATTCCATACAGTTAATAGCACATACTGTACATGTGAAGGCCCATATAAACAGGCAGCAGCCCTGAATGCATCAGCCAAGAAACACTCTCATACAACTTTTACTAATAAGCAGGTAAAACCCCAATCCCAGAGAGTAGCTCCAGTGTGTTTTAACCAGGGCCATATTTTTACATAATTTGTGGCCTAAATAACTAATAAGGACAAAAGTCTTGGAGCTGCTCCAGTGATAAAAGGGGGCGCAACAAAATCCCCCAGAGAAAACAGCCACTCCAAAGTACGTTCACTTGCAGAGTGTTTTTATCCTGCTCCAACGCTCAGATTGTTGCTCTAATTGTCTGAAAACATTGCACAAATAATGTGCTGCCTATGATGAACCTCCTGGGCCAGGAAAAAAAGCTGCTTTTTAAAACAAAAGCACATCTGTTGGATCACTTTCCTAATATGCATTTACAAAAGATCACAAGCTGCTGGTCTGCCACTACCTAGAGTCAGTGTAAAAACACGGACAGCACAACAGCTCCCTGGAAGTGAAACCAGAACTTTTAGAGCTCCCCTTAGTGACTGGCTGCAGTATGGGACATAAATCTCTTCCTATATGACAGGAAAGGTTTAAGAGTCAAATACATTTTTTCTACCCAGCCATTTTCTTTGGCTAATCTGAGGTGGCAGCTGTCTAAAGCCTGGCACACATTTTTAAGATTTTCACAATCTAAACCAGTTTTGAAACTGTAAGAGACCCCAACATTGCATGATGGTTTGAGACAGGCTGTTAGATTAGCATAAATAAATCTTTCACTACAGCTACTGTCCACGGTTCTGATCATTGGCTGGTTTGGATGGGAGATGCAACATAACCTGACGAAGGCTTCGTCTGTTTAGCTGATGTGTATGGGCTGAAGTGCAGCCATCTACCATCAGTAAGGTGTAACCATGGACTGTATATACTATACGCAACTTGGTTCCTCCTTCCATCATTTTATGATTTGAAGCTGAATTGCTCTCTGTATTTCCGGGATTTTCTCCATTTCCTGCAACCACCACTTGTGCAGTAGCATTGTGCGCATTCGGCAAGAGAGTCCCCAGAGTCGCTGTGATGACAGTCGGCTCAAACAGTGTATCCCCCAGGTGAGCCACATAAACTTCGTATGCCCATAGGCTGTATCAAGTGTCAATTATAGAGAACAGGAACATCCTAATAACTTTTAAAAATGGAGCTGTACAGAAAAAAAGAGGAAGAGGAAATTAATTCCTAAAGTTTGTTCACAGCTCCATAGGGATTGCTGAAGGAGGCGGGATTTATGACCTATACTGCAGCCCATCACCAGAGGGTGCTGTTCTCGCAGTGGCTTCACCCAGCGAGGAGGTAGATGGAATCTATTCTATATAGTCTATGGTTGTAGCTCTTGATGATGATGACTATCAGGCTGTATCAGGTAGGACAGAAGGTTGGTTCTGCTAGCACTGCTAAGGTGCCATGTAAAGATGAGGGGGCAAGCTTCCTCTCATGTGTAAAATGATTATGACACTGCTGTTTGACTTTGGCATTGTCATTTTTAGTCAAGTTTGGAGAAACGTTCGACAGCTTGCTGTAGTCTGCTATGACCCTGGTCTTACGACTTGGTTTATTGCAGTGTCATAAATATATCAGTGTTACGCCAGCAGGTCCTGGCAGATAAAAGTGAAACAATTGTGAGGTCCAAATTCTGACTAGGATTTAATTTTGAACGATTTATGTTGCTGTCAGGAACCAAACTCACAAGCCTTAGTCCACAAATCTCAGACAAGTCAGAACTTGATATCCAAACCTTCTTGCAACAACTAAGATTGCTAAATTATGCTAAATTTGGACTAATATCTCCTTTTTCTTCTGATCGTAGTCACTTTGTCAAGATTTAAATAATTATCTAGTCGACCAGCAAGTTAGTGGCTTTGGATCATCCATTTATTCACCAAAAAGTTTTCTCATAGACAAACTGCCTCAGCGCTCCCTCCACGAGTTTCTCTGTGCAACTTTGGCATTATAATAGTTGGGAGAGATCCAACGGTACAAACACAAAACTAACCAACAGATGTGGCGGCAGACTCGAAAAGCCTCAATTCTCCAAAGTAAAATGGTTGTTTTTTAAATGACGTCTGGTGGCTGTGAAGAAAATGATGTAACAGCTGTTTGTAGATGGAAACTTTCGCCACCATAATGTGCAGGATAAGTTTAAACAGAGGAGGAAGAGTGAGGACAAACACCTTCTTACCTTTTGCTCTTGCATCCTTTGCAGCTTTTGTCACTTAAATAATTACTTGTGAGCCTAATTTACTGCCAGGCTGTTCGTACAGAATGAACCGGCAGCTTCAGCAAATTCATTAATTTATTGAAGCACCAAAGAAACTTCAGAGGAAATCTGACAGCAGACACAAATCAGTTTTCAGCTTCGTACTCTTTATTGCTTCACCCACAGCAGCTCCCTTATAGGCAGCGGGACATTAAAACTCTTACACTCTAGACATTTAGGTTTTTGGGCCATTAAAGCTTTTTACCGCTTCTCTGCGTGTTTATGTGACTCCAGCCCCTGTAGGAGTAGGTTATAATTATCTCACACAGCCTACTTGAAATGATTCATTATGTTTTAAGAGCTTAATCAAAAAGCCAGCCAGCAGAGCGCCGTTGGAGAAAACATTTTATCTTCAGCACAAACAAAACATCAGCTGTTTATTAGAGGCAACGATATGCATGCTCAAATCATTTGAGGAATAGCCTGCAGGATGCAAAAGACTGTCCTGTTCATTAATTTAGTATCTGCTGCAAAGATGCCATCACGTCTCTCCAAAATACTCCCCAATGTTTGCTTTTCTTTTCTCCTGCCACTTTGCTTTGTTTCAAGTCTACTCTGACAAAGTCACATCCTGTCTCTCCCTCTTCTCTTGTCTTCTCTTTTCTCTGTAATACTCCTCTTTTAGATCCTCCCTGTTCCTGCGAGTCCATCCTTTTGAGGAGATGTGATAGACGTCTACACAGTTCCCTGAGTATGCATCCCTGTGTGTTGCTCTGTATACAGCTTCTCTGGCAATGGATGTGGCCTCATCCAACGTTAGTCCCCACTTAACCCCTTGGTCCAGAATGGAGTAGGCGTAGGGTGATCCTGAACCCACAGAGAAGAGTGTCCCATGCAGGCGGGTACCATCACTGCACACGTAGACCAAACTTGGGCCGGAGATATTCGCAGAATTTCTGGCGTCTGTTAGAGAAGAGCTCTGGATGTTTGCTTGAAATGTTTTTTTAAAGCTTGTATCCACAGACTTTTCAAAATCACTCGTCTCTTTAGTGTAAATCTCTGCACCCTCATGGCCGTGGCATCCATCATCCTCTCCTCCATCCCACCCACACAGCGTGGCTGCCACACACAGCTCAGTCCCCTTAAATGGGTGAAGCATGTGGGAAAGCAATTTGGCAGCTCCTCTGGTGGAAAGCCGTCGACCGTGGCGGAGTTGGTAAAGCCGTAGCTCTCGTGCCAGAATCCTCTTCCAGAGAGCGCAGTCGGCTGAAGTGCCCGAAGTCGTTCCAACCAAGTGGCTGTGGATGGGCAGGATCTTCTGGGCGGCTGGGTCAGCGACCAGCCCAGAGCAACTGGAACGAGTGTCTGCTGCTGCCAACACGCCACCTTGAAACATGAAAGCGAGGGTGGTGGTGCCGTGAGACATTGGGAAAGGCAGAGGGACCGACTCAGAGGAGGCCAGATGGAGGGATGTCAATAAAGACACGGATTCAAGAGAAAAGATGTCAGTAGAGTTCTGTGTGGTTCTGATTTGCCCAAACTGAAGTGGACTTTCTTCCAGGTACTCTGCCACTGGGATGTAAAAACTGAACAGACTGGCTCCTTCACAAACAGGCAAATTACGTGCATAGTTCCAATAGGGCGCTGAAGAAAAGTTTGTGGAAATGCTGTCAGAGGAGGTGTCCTTGAATTTGCACAAATCCTGCAAAGCCATTGAATACGACAACAAAATCAGTCCTCTCTAATAAATGCAATCAAAAACACGCTTATCATTGGTCTCAGACAGGTTTGCATGTTGTTTAAACTTGAGGATTGTCTCAGGGCTTGTCCCTCTTTATATACACAGAAATATCGCGTCCTTCCTTGTGTGGTCATCTAAAGCAGCCCCTCAGAAACAGGAACTGATGCCTGATTCCCCTGACTTTGAAGCCTAAACAGTCACAAGCTCACGGGTAATTAGTTTTGGCTTCAGTATCAGGTTGTTTTTCAGATCAGATTTCTTCAAAGTCCTGCGTGGGCGTAGGCCAAAGAGGACGCTGGTCGATGGTCAGCTTTGGCACAAGAACATCAAATTAAGATGGACTGAGCTTTGAAGCAAGACTCTCTGTTGGAATACAGAATAAAAGTGTCAAAAGCTGCGTTTGCACAATCACAGACACACAACCAATCTTGACTTAGAGGAAGGTTGGCCTTTAAAGACAGCTCATGCAAATAGTTAGACTTGTCATGCCAGAATATCAGGTAATTCTGCATCACAAAGGGCGTTTACTTACATTGCGTCCCTTGTTTAGGAAGTGCAGTGCCACGTGTAAATACATGATATGCTACTGACTTGATCCAGAACAGACTCACATGAAGGCTGGCATGACACTCAGACATTTTTTAATAATTTTAAGCAAGAAAACTTCACAATGAAGGTGTTAGAGTCTGTCTCACTTGGATGTCTCTTCTTTGTGGCTGTCATATTGGTAAGAAACTCTTTTTTATGTTGACAGCTCGGTGAACAATGTGTGCTCAGCAGAATAATTAGAGACGAGCGGGAGAACATACAGCTGCAGAGACAGAGTTCTCCCTCAGGAGGAGGTTATATTATTACAAACTGTATACACCATGTAATTATGGATCAGATTTAAGAGTGAGTATGAGTCTCTTTCATTTAATGTCTGTAGGTAAGTGATGAGTTTAAGACTGGAAATGTGTCCAAAAAGTTCAGGTTAACAGCTTCAATTGAGAGTGAGTGAACATACAGATCTGTACAAAAGTTTTTAATGCATTTAGTCAAATGTTCACTTTATAAAACTCTGACAGAAAAACACTTTGGCATGAATGCCTCTTTAAAGGAAAGTCTTTAAAAGAACAAACAAGCTTTGAATAAAACAAAGACATTCAGGAGTAAAGTGTGCCAGTGGGATTAAAGAGAAAGCCCAGAGGGCTTTAAAAAAAGTTCTCTCCAGACACTGGAGTTGAAATAATCTAAGTGTTATCAATAAGACTTGTTGTTTCGCCCACACAAACACACTTCGTCTGAAGTCCCACGTCATGAAGCCATTGACTCACTGAGTTTCAAATACTGAAAATCATTTCAAGAGCAAACCACTTTCAGCCTTAGTGTGAAGTCTTTTTAATTCAGGAGAGTCAATACTAGAGAAGTCTATGAGTTTACCGTACAAAAGGTAGAAGTATTAAAACGAAAGAGTTTCTAACATTATAATACAGCACAAATGTAAATTTAAAAACCACGTCGTTAACCCCAATGCACATTTTTTTCAGACTTTTTTTTCTCATGAGAACAAAGTAGTAAGAAAATAATATTCTAAGTTGTTAATTCTGTAAACAATAAGCAGCATAATACTGTTTTAAAGAGGGATCCCACATGTCTCAGCTTCCCACACAGTCTTTTCGGAGTCCTGTTAATGATGTGGTTCTGAGGAGACAAAACTTGAAGTCTATCAAATCCCTCATTTTGGTTCAGACCACCTGCTGCTCACTGCCAACCAAAACTACCACTTTTATTATGACTTTATTCTCATAGAGGTGATGACTTAATTGTAGAGACATTATGACTTGACATTTACTTTTTTACTGATTTCATTATGAAATTATAATTGTGAGAAAATAACTTAGATGAATTAGTAAATCTTTATTTTTTTTTAATGTTGCCCTAATACTCTGTCATAGGTTAAAAAAAAAACTGTTTTTAAAGATAATAAGAGTTAATAGTTTACCTGTTAGATAAGCTGGCTCTGTGATTGAAATCAAGTTGGACTCAGTGGAGGATGTGTGAAAGAGACGCACACTGAGGAAAGTGGAGGCCATTCTAAAAATCCACTTCATAACACCTTGATGAACCAAAAAAAAAAAAAAATGACTGTGGTGGATGGCTCCCCTCTCCTCGCTGCGGGACGGAGGGATTCATAAGATCGTTTGTACCCACAATAATCAGACTTCTTAATTCATTTATAAATGGTAGATGAGATGAGATTCCAGACAAATAAATTTCCATATGTTCTCAGTTGTTTTTTATAAAACACACACACTCCCACAAAATAACTAGTTTAGTCAATTTGTTGTCCTCACCAACACATGAGTAAAATCATGATGGTGCTTATGCCGATTTTTAAAACTTATCAGTATATTTATTTGTTTGCTTGCATCTGTGCATTTTTCTTTTGAGTTAATGGTTAACTTCAGGACTTAATCTCACATCTTTGGGAGACAGATATTGTGATTTCCCAGTGTCCTTACAAATAAGAAAACATCACATGATTTTGCATTATTCTAGTGAGGTTACACAAGCCAGTTAATACATGGAGACCAGGTGTAACAAAATGCCTTAGACCTCAGAGTTTAACATTTCACCAAAGCGGGATCAATAAAGGCTAAAACGGGAAGCTATTAAAGTTTAGAGGAGCATAAAGTATCAGACTCTAAATATTGACCTGCTTGCCTGTCAGTCAAGTCAGCCATGCCCCTGATATGTTGATCACGCAACCCCATTAACTTTGAAACAACTGCGTCACAAACAAGGCAACATTATCAGATTAGATTTTTTCAAGAACTTGGATAATATTACTCATGTAAAAGTTATCAGACCTTGAAATACAGCTTTGAATTCAAACACTTGTTATGATTCTGATTAAAAAAAAATCAAATAAACTCTGACTCTGGGTAAGGAAAGTGCGGAGTCTTATAACACACTGAGGAGGCGTGGCTGACCCTGTTTTGGGTATGACGTAGTTTTCAAACGCTGTGATTGCTAATGCAAACAAAAGGAGAGGGTGGGGAATAAAAAGACTGTAAAGTGAAAACAGACATATCTGTGCTGAATCATTGTCAGTTATGCTCTATAATACACACTTACAGACTGGAGTGTCTCTCTTTAAGGGCATTGATTGTATTATAATATATCATATTAGGTATTCTAATGCTGTTGTTTCAGTTGTTTTGTGTTGCTGGACATTATTCTGTTACAGCATTCATAGCAAGCCTCCCTACACAAGGCTCACCTGTTTTGATGACAGAGTTGTGAAAGTAAGCGTAGTTAAAATATTAATGTTTTTATTTCCATCTCTGGTGGTATTGAAATGTTTCATTGGCTTTGAGATGGGAGCACACACATGATCACTACATGACCCAGTCTGCAGCATTAAGTTTGCTCAGAGTTCTTATGAGTTTGGAGATAATTTCACAGATTTCAAAGACTTTCTGCTACTTTTTCTTCTTCTTCTTCATAAAGTAACTCATGTCCTCACAACCCATCTTGATTTTCACCTCAGGAGCTGCTTTAAAGGCTAAGATACTTTCAGAGCTTAGCTTTTATCTTAACTAGGATCTGGTCTTCATTTTAAAAGGAAATCTTTTCCTCAAAGTCATGATTTTAAACATCATCATTTAGATTTCGCCACTTGTAGCAACACTTTGGATTCAGCCACTGGTACTGAGTCTGTTAAGGACTCTCATCTTCTACAGATGACAGTGAAAAAACTTCAAATATATCCTCTCAGGAGTAACAACCTTACTCATGCGACTGACTGTGGCTGTGATTCTGAACAGTGTTTCCATGAAAAAATGATAGATTATGTAACATGATTAAAAAGATCTTCCACTGTGGACCACTGTCTGCTCAGTTCTAGTGGACTCTCTTCGATCATCTGATGAAATTATATCCTCTGGGAGCTTTTAGGGCTTTGAATGTATCCAGTAGTTTTTTGGTTGAAGTCCTCCATGAGTCCTCTTTGTTTACAGTCAATTTAAAAAGCAAGAAACTACATTAAAGAAAGGATTATTTGGTGCACTTGTATGCCTCTACCTATTTATAGACGTTAAGTAAAGCTGGATTGTCATGGGAAGACTCCTGATGGGTCCTTAGATTACATTATGGTGGATTAAGTCCTCTCACCTCTGTTTTCCTCATGGAGTGTTTTCTTGTGTACAGCTAAAGCCCTCTGAAACACTGATGTACAAAACTCCTCATCATACAGTGGATCTGTATCCAGTGCTGCACAATCTCTGCTCTGCTTTCTGTGCTGCAGACAGTGTTGAGGGCATAAATTATGGAGTCATGGTGCTCTCTGCTCTGGTCTCTTATTAGTGCAAATCATAAAACATAGTATTTTCATGCAGATATATCTGTGTAAGACCCAAACAGGAGGTCTTTAGATGTACTTTTCCCCATTGTCTTCATAGTTAAACAAAGCTGCAGGTCCTACATGGGTTAGAAATGAGAAACGAAAGAAAAAACATTTTGTCACATAAAACAAAAATCACTATGCTGTCACTTTAACTTAATGCTATTTTCTTAAAGCTCCTTTGAGGAGTTTTTTGACATCTAAGAAATAGATTGAAACTCACAATGATGCTTTATTACAATATCTCTATAAGCAAACAAGACTAGCAGCAATGTCATAGGTGATTTATGATCAGAAAATTTATGATTATTACTACATGGAAATACAATCAGACCAAGACACTAAGGCAGAAGAACTACTGTGTCTGCAGTGCACATACATGATACACAAAAACTCTGATTGCATTTCCATGAAGTCATGATCATAAATGCTTTTCTTTGAGCCGTTAAACTCCACTGCACTCGGTGATCGACTCATCGGGGCTCCCCCACAAACAGGCTGCTGCTGGAGGAGAGTAGGTGAGTTGTGTTTAGTCACTTTGCTAAAGAAATCAGGCAAATCTAAAAAGATGTTTGATGGCAACTGCTATGGCTGGGACCCTATATGTACTGTTGATGAAATTAGGTACTGTTCTGAGCATTATTTGTGGCTATAGAGTGGCGTTTTGGTTGAGGTTTGCGCATGGAGATGTAGACCACTGTGTACTGCTATCGTTTGCTATTGTGCAGTCATTGCTGAAGTTGGTATAACTAGAGAAGAAAGCAGTTGGCAACATTCATCTTTCAAGGGGGTGTATAACTCGGTGTTACAGTGTGTTTGACCATAACTTAAAATTTCATCGGAATATCCCTTTAATTACCCTGAAAAACTGTTTGGGTGTTAGAAGAGGCCAATTCAAACTACAACCAAAAAATTACTGATGAAATAAAACTGATACTACACAAGGTTTATCCAGATGCCAGACCAGGCTATCGTCCCCCCTTATCTTTTGCCTGCTTCCTCCTCAATGTAAGATTCAGCTATAAAGTTTAAACTGAGTTATGACTGAATTTAAGAGGAGGGATTTAATGCACGGTTAAAACAGAGGTTTCAGTCTAATACATCTGCCAGGCACAAGGCCTTAACTGTCCATCGATAAATGCCTCCTCCCCCAATGCTAGGGGGAGGATATCACTTGTAGATCATCATTGGGTCAGTGTGCAGCCTGCTATCTATAGAGGGAAGAGGTCCTCAGTATTTAAAAATAAATAATATGGAAAATGAAACAACATCCTACTATTTTAAAATAAAGAAAATTAACATAACACACTAAAATGTTAGCTTCTTAGCTTGACTTTCATGTATGTTTGCAGAGATTTGACTGTAATGAAACCACAGCCAGAAAATGAATGGAGATGCAGCTGTCAATCTGATTATCTGTGCGCTTTGAATTCATATTTGAAGTAAGGCTCATCCCTGCTGGGCTCTGTTTTTCCTTTTTTTTTTTTTTAGTACTTTTTGGTTTTTCAAGAGAAAGGACTGACTCACTAGATTTCAGCTACAGCTCTGGTCAGCTTCCTGCATCAGCTAGCTGTTTCTCTAGGCTTGTCCTTGGGAAACTAACAGTATCATTCAGACACTCTGTAAGCCACTGTTTTGTCTGATTTCTAAGTGATAATATGCAGCATTGAAAACCTGATTTTGATTCTTCAGGTGTAAAAAAAAAGTTGTAAATGGATGTAGAGCTAAGTCAGCATCCGCTTACAGTGCACCCATGTTTCCTGGCCTGTTTGTTTGATTAGAGAAGACTGCACTCGAGCCTGCTTTTCTTTACTTTCACTCTACTTATTTCCTTACCTCTCTCTTCACCCAGGGACACAGTTTGTCACAAACCATTTCCAGCCCTTCAGCCCAGCCTGCTGAGAGCCTGCCTGACAATTTCATAGAGTTTCGCTCAGCTCCTGACAGAGTGGTGGATGGCTCAGTGGTCCGTGTGCGGTATCGGTGCTCCAGGCCATGTCAGCTCGCTGTGGAGGTGGTGGTGTCCACATTAAAGAAGACAGATTTCGTCGTTTTCAGGAAGAAATGGATCAGCAGACTTGGAGTCTACTGGATCAGCCGGGTGGTACTCAAACTGCCTCCGTCTATTTTATACAAACAGGACTTTTTCAACAGGCGAGTTTTAGACCCACAGCGTGTGGCTGTCCGTGCTTGGTTAGACCATCATGATAATAGCAGTGAACCTAAAACATACCGGAGCTCCTTTATGTGGGCTTACAAAGTGCTGCAGACGACGCCACTCTCAGAGCGCCCAGTTAAACCACCCACCGAGTGTCCTTCATGGTCCGCTCACCTTATGTGGCAGATGAGGAGAAACAGAATCCATCAGTGTCAGCACGAGTCAGGTCAGAACATTAATCACACTTTTTAATGCCAGAGTCCCATTTTACTCTTCAAAAATCTTTGAATAATCTTTGTTTTTCACCCTTGGCTGTTTCCCTGTATGCACAGACATCGTGGACATGCTAACATTTCCCCTGGCGAGCACCGGTGAGCACTTTGGAGTCATCCGCAAGTTCCATCCTTTCATCGACCGATCCCTGGAGAGATCCCGGCGTCATGCTGTGACAAAGCCCAGGTTGGACTTCACACACTCATTTCTCATTCAGCTTATTTTAGCTGCTTCATATTCTGTATGAAGTTAAACTACACAGTATGAACTGCAGCAAGTTTCCAAATGTAGAGTTAAATTCTCGGGGACAGCAGAGTTATTGGACATTAAAGCTGTGCGATAAATCCTGTCGACCGAAACACACCGTCTTAGATGTAAGAAACCAAAGTTTATTTATATTTCACCTTTCACTGTCACGAAGTGCTTCTCCAGGGAGTAAAAGGAATCAAACAGAAATCAAAAGAAGACAACAAAGACAAAAGTGTGAATAAAATATACACAGGAGTAGACATGGGACACAAGTTCAAAACAATAAATGTCACATCCTACATAAAGATTGTCTGAAAAGTAGAGACTCCTGGGGTGGATTTCTTGACTTCTAACACATTTTGTTTGATTGTGGGTATAGCTGAGTTGATGGATGGGTGGGTGTGTTGTGGCTTTCTGCAAGGAGGCTGAGAGCCTGTCTGTCTGAGCTCCGCCTCTGGTGATTGAACATTATCAGTATGATTGGGCTTCATCACATCTCTTCAGAAACAAATGGGTTGCAGTAATGACACAACATCCATGTTTTACTCAGTCTAGTATTGTGAAGGCACAGTGAGCTCAGCCAGATTATGGATGGCTGTTTTGAAGACAAACTACACAAGCTGGTGAGTCATAATGTCAAATCTAGGTTACTGAAGTTTAATTGAAGGCAGAATCCTCCTCGGGGTATTAAACTGATTAATAAACACTGTTTGCTGCAAAAACTCAAATCTTATCATGTTTATTTGTTGAGGTCAGGGGTCCATGACTTCCAAAATAAATGTCAAATTTTACATTTGCTACACCAGTTTCCACTCTGCTTCTTCTGCATTGGCACTAAACTTGGATTAAGTTTACATATGTTTTCCTCTCTGCCTCGTGGGGTTATAAGCAGAAGACAAGTTGTATTTATGCCTGTGCTTTCAACAAACCAACAAACACGGACTCTATCCAATTCAGGAGTTTTCCCTCTGAGAAATGTTATCACTAGATGACGCCCTTGCATACTTACTTTACTGTTCTGTCAAAGGTTACACTGTGCATGCAGATGTGTCTTATCACGCTGTATGTACGCCTTGTTATGTTATCAGAGGAGCAGAGTAAAGATCGAGTCAGGTAAGAGAGTCACGATCGGAATAAGCGCTTACATGGACGCGTTTCGGAATAACGAACGGCGGGAACCACCCCTCTTGATCGGTATACAATTTCTTTCCGATTGAGCCAAATTGGATCAGAATCTTCCGATCAACATGTTTACATGATGCATTTTTATTCCAATCTGGCATTTATTCTGATTATTTGTGCCCATGTAAACCCAGCTAATGATGAACCCATGCAGTGACTTCCACCACAGTGCCGTGTCGTTTTAATGTAGTGACTTCTAAGGGCCTTGAGTTTACAGCCATCCAGTATTGGTTTTCAGCCTTGTCCCCTTTGCACTGAGATTTCTCTGAATCTTTTAATTATGTACATTAGCTGATGAAAGCCACAAATCTTTTGCAATTACACAGTCAGGAACATTATTCTGCAATTGTTGAACTATTTGCTCACTTCAGTAATGTGTCTGCTTTTGTTTGGTTTAAAAACTTCCAGTCAGACAACCCCTTGAAAATGAGATGCTGCATCTTGAGCGGCTTCAACAAATTTAAATTCATGAGTGCCATGACAGAGACTATATGTCCATGTTTTATTCAACCTATTATTCAGACACTGTGAGGTCACCCAGTTTTAGAAAGCACTTTTGAAGACCTGTTTTGGTACTCTGATGGTGATTATATTGGTGAGGAGCTGACAAAAACTAAGACATCAAAGTTATATCCAAGGCTTAAACTTTAGCGGAATGAAAGGTTTTTACTTCTAAAGTTCCAATCCTACTAAGTTTATTTGTCTGATTTGAAATGAGCCCAAAGTAGTTGCTGGTGTTTCATGTTTTTTTCTTGTTATGAAACAGTTTTACCTTCCTTTGTTGATGCTGTGAGAAACTGTGTTCTCAGAGTGTGGTTGGTGGAGGTGATCTTGAGCTGATGCAGTGATCTCCACTGCAGAGTCAGGTCTGTTTTACTGCAGTGCGCTGAGAGCCTGAAGATCACACCTGTCCATATAAGTTTTGGTCCTCATTCCTTCTGCTCAGAGGTTTCTCCAGGAACCAAATCTTCCAATAATAGTTTGTTCAGTATTCTTGACAGTTTTACGCTCAGGAACATTATTCCAAATTTTTTAAAATATTTTCTCACACTTTCTCTCACAGAGTGGTAAATTGCTTCTGTTATGTACTTCTTGGAGACTTAGTCTCTCTGAAATGCCCTTTTAAAACCAGTCATGTTATTAACCTGTTGATAATTAATCTAATTATATGGGAGGTGTTCCTTCTGGCATTGTTTTTCTGTTTTGTTGCCGCTGGCTGAACTCTTTTGTAATATTAAAATAGGCAGATACTTATTGTTTAATGATTACGTGTTCAAACTATGTTCAACTGAAAATAGGGTTTGAATGATTCGCAAACAATCAAAATGGATTTTTGTCAAAATTTTTCACAGCCTCCCAACTTTTTTTTTTTGGAACCGGAGTTGTAAGATAACATCAAATACGTTTTTGTGTGTCATGAGAAATTAGACAGACAAACTGAGTGAGATAAGAGTTTTTACAGTTTTGACACAATGAACTTTTTTTGGGCAGCTGGCTGGAGTTTATTTTTAAGATTTAAAAAACACTCACAAAGATGAAGGATTGTACTAACCTCTTGCTCATCAAAACAAAGCCTCAGGATGTTTATTCACTTTATTTATTCACCTTAAGTGGCCACTCATCTGTTGTTTATTTCTGACACTTTCTTTAAATCCTGGAGGAAGCCAGATGATTGAGAGTCTGTTACAAAGCTTGTTCCTGGAAAGCACAATCCACCTCAGTTTAAAACCCAGGTACACAAGGAAAAACCTCGCATGGTGGACCTTAGATCCTGTGTCATGGTGTTGTATTACAGGAGATGATGTATTTTGTAGCCCAGTCATGTATCTGTATCTGTTGTGCCGGAAATACAAAATGAGTTCTGAAATTCAAAGTGAGTCTGCGTGGAGAGATAAGTGTGTCAGGAGCCTTTTAGCAGCAGTTTGGGCTGTTTGTAAATGCTGTCATCTCAAAAAGGTGGCATTTGAAGAAGATGGAGTATTTTTAATTTACTCAATTTACGCTTGTATTTTATCTGACAAGATATCTTTTCATCTAACTTGGAAGTTCTCCATCTAAAATTGAAATCACCAGGTTTAAAAACCTTTTTGATCACCTCTGATAAGACGCCTGAAACAAGAAATTCTGACTTTGACAAAGTAGTTTATCCTACTATACACTGTTTACACTTTAACATACCATCAGTGATGACATCCACTGGTCCCAGGAGGTGATATGAAATGCAAAGATGACTGTCACCATGTTGGAAATGCTGACTAGAGCAAGCAAAGAGGTGGAGTTAAGGTCAAAGAGGACCTGCAAAACGAACCACCCGGATGGTAAAATAAGCTATGGCCTTATATTAGCAATTTGTACATGTATACAAATTAACCCTCCATATAGACCATGTCTGGCCACCCTTACTGAAGTCTGTGCCCCAGTTTGGCCATCCAAACCAAAGTCTGGCTTTCCAAATGTTCTGGGACACTAATGTAGCCATTTGTATCCCCCACTTCGCTGAAGCTTGTATGTCAACAAATTCCAGTTTGAGCTGGTTTGCATCTCATTTGGTGGTCAAACACTTTTTAAAAAATCTATTTAATTTATTTTTTGCACAGTTTAAAAGACTACAACATAAAAACATGATCGGTAATAATGAAACAGTGCAGGGAGAGGCAAAAAGCCACAATGGGCTTATTTGAAGCCTCCACTTTATAATAGCCTAATATTGATATTACAATTTAATGTACAAAAGCATAAGATAACGTGAAAAAAATGTTAAAAATAAGGGTTATTTTCTGTATAGACCAGGGGTCGGCAACCTTAAACACTCAAAGAGCCACTTGGACCAGTTTCCCACAGAAAAGAAAACACAGGGAGCCACAAAACCTCTTTGACATCTAAAATGAAGATAACATTGCATATATCTTTTTTTTAACCTTTATACAAAGTATATAAAAAACTGTAGCGAGTTTCATTTATGAAATAAATGAACTATTTCGGCGAGTGTCTGTCTTCTTCTGTAGTTAAACCGCAAGATATCAAAATCTACCCGGATACAGCAATGCTGCTTTTTGATTGGCTGTTCAGTAGATATACTTTATTTGATTGGCTTGTGCGTGGCACGCAGCTCCTGAACTCTCGGAGGAACTCAGTTGATTTCCCCCAGTTCCAAAGTTGAAGAAGTGAAACTTGTTGGACATCACTGTGTTCATTTAAATGCGTGAGAAATACAATGTGTGGTGTGTGAGTGTGTGAACGAGTGGGAATGCGTGTGTCATACGCTGAATGCGTGAGACTTGAGAGACCTGTGCTCACGCATCATCGATGTAATCCCGAGCCATGCAAAACGGTCTTTGCAAATGTTGCACTGAACGCCTTCCTTTTCAGTCTTGGTGAAGTTTTCCCACACCACTGATGTTTTAGGTCGGGATTTGGGTTGGGTTGTGTCCATGTTTTTCTCAGCCGCTGCCTCGGCCATGGCTGTTTCTTTTCTGTGCGTCCTGCTGATGTTTACACGCCGGTGTCCATGGACATATATAAAGACCCGACGAATCGATTACAGAATTTGTTGGCAACGGATTTTTTCGTCACGACGAATCTACTTAATCGATTCGTTGTTGCAGCCTTAATAGTTTATTTAATGTTACAAGAGCATTATAATCTTTGAATTTAGAATTACAAAAAAATAATAATAATAATAAAATAAAATGAAATGCAATTAAGTATTTATTATTTATTTTCCAAATCCACTGGGAGCCGCAGCTTAGGGAAGAAAGAGCCGCATGCGGCTCCAGAGCCGCGGGTTGCCGACCCCTGGTATAGACATACGTTTTGGGTCATTTTATGACTACAAAGCTGTGTAAAAAGCAGCACCCACAAGCTGCCTAACTTAGGGTGACCATATTCTGAATCCCCAAAAAGAGGACACCACTACACAGGGTGGAGTCAAGTTCTGAGCGTTTTTCAGGGCAGGCTGAATGTTTCTTATGCACTTCTAACTCAGTACAACTAACTTCTATACAAAACCCGGACATTTGAAAGATTTCATAAACTCCCCCTGGACAGGCCCCAAAAAAGAGGATATGTCCGGGTAAAAGAAGATAAATGATCATCCTATCTTACTTCGTATCAGTGGAAAAGCATTTAAAAAGAAGCATCTGGGGCAGAGGCTGTAAAGTGCTGGAGAACGGGTTTTCACAGACGCCTGTTGGAGATAGATAAAGTGTTTTTTGAGCTGCCAACTGTGCAATGCTACTCTACAGTCCCTGACAAAAGTCTTGTCGCTTGGGTACAAGTTGACCTTAAGTGCCCCTCAAATATATGTGCAATAAAAATTTTTTTACAAGAAATGTCTAATTTCAATCCCAACAGTGTTTGAAATAATGTCTTGGTGCCAAATGAAACTGCTGAAAAGCATTCTAATGTTCACAGCTTGGTAAAGCCCACTAAGTCAGTTTTTGCACAGACAAAAGTCTTGTCGCCTTGTCATATGATGCACCCAATCCAAGATTACAGCCTCACCTGTGATCAATTATTGACCAATCAATTAGTGGGTGTATAGAAAGAACCACAGTACACCAGACCTTCACATCAACTGCAACTTGACCTCTGACAACATGCCTAAGATTCACCCTGAGACCAAAGCTTTGATCATCAAGAGGCTGAAGACCAGATCCACTGCTGAGGTGGCTGACACCTTCAATGTGTCTCAGCGTCAAGTACAAAGGATAAGAAAAAGATTTGAAGAGACTGGAGATGTTTATGACAAGCCCAGGCCCAGCAGACCGCGAAGGACAACTGCTCGGGAGGACCGTTTGTTGGCTTGAAAATCCAAGGCCAGCCCCTTTTCCACTGCAGCAGAGCTCCACCAGGTCTGGTCACCTCAAGTCCCTGTGTCAACCAGAACAATTTGTCGAATTCTGTCTCGACATGGCCTCCATGGTGGAATCAGTGCCCAGAAACCAGCACTAAACAAAAAGCAATTAAAAAAACGTGTGGCATTTGCCAAGGCCCACAGCCTGCTAAAAGGATGGACGCTGGAAAAGTGTCAGAAGGTGGATTTTTCTGATGAATCTTCGGTTGAATTACATCACAACCGCTGCAAATATTGCAGGAGACCTACTGGAGTCTGCATGGATCCGAGATTCACCCAGAAAACAATTAAGTTTGGTGGTGGAAAAATCATGGTCTGGGGTTGCATCCAGCATGGAGGTGTGCGAGAGATTTGCAGGGTGAAAGGCAATATCAATAGCCTAAAATATCAAGAAGTATTAGCTACCTCTTACATTCCCAACCATAAAAGGGGTCAAATTTTGCAGCCGGATGGTGCTCCATCGCATACTCAGATCTCTACAGCAAAGTTCCTCAAGGCGAAGAAGATCAAGGTGCTCCAGGACTGGCCAACCTAGTCACCAGACATGAACATCATCGAGCATGTCTGGGGTAAAATGAAAGAGGAAGCATGGAAGACGAAACCAAAGAATCTTGATGAACTCTGGGAGGCATGTAACACTGCGTTCTTTGCTATTTCTGATGACTTCATCAATAAATTGTATGAATCGTTGCCGAACCGCATGGATGCAGTTCTTCAGGCTCATGGAAGTCATACAAGATATTAAATATGGATCTCACAGCACCACTACTTGATTCACTGATGTTGTGCAACATATTCTTGTATTTGAAGTAAATTATTTGTTCAATTTTCACATTACTCTATGTAGGCGTCAAAACTTTTGTCTTGCCAAAATCTGACCTTTCTGTGTTCATTAAATGATCAATCGTTCTTCAGTGAAGGAAATTTATTTTAGATTTTAAACATAATTTGGGAGGGTTTTAGCTTTCATATGAGCCATTTCTAAAACCAATGGATTAATGACAAGTCAGGTTATAAGCTGTTGTTTCTACAAAATGGATAAGCGACAAGACTTTTGTCAGGCACTGTATATGTGTCCCAGACTGACATAATGAGAGGTGGAAATGAGGATTAAAGGTCTCCTTTCAGAAATCACTTGGCCCTTTATCCCCCCAAAATCTCAATTTGTTAAAAATTCTCGGTACATAACATTTTCTTGCTCTGCAGGCTGATTATTTTTATGTTTTTTGGGTTAAATTTTTTCACATTACTGCCTTTTCTCCTTCCTTTTGAAGGGGATTTTTTCAGCTTTGAAGATTTATTAAGGCCTTTTAAAGAGATTTACCAAACGCGATGAGATCAGAGCCTGTGATGAATCTCATTTTCTCCTTTTTCCTCCCAAATCTGTCTGTTTCTCATCTTGAAGAAACTACAGAAGCTACAGTATTAAACACAGGTGTTTTTTGTTGATACCAGCAGATTGATGGACCACAGGTCAGTGATTGTTTCCTTTCAGCTGCTCTAACAAACTGCACTTTACTTCACTTTCATTATGAGTGACTCCACAAGCGTCATGAAGCCTCTTCAGCAGAGCATATAAGCTTTTTATTTACGGTCAATGAAAGACAGAGAGGTCAGTCATTTTGAGCAGATAGTGCTGCGTTTAAAAATATAACATCACGCTTCAGTGGATGAAGAAATGATTTGTCAAATCATGTCTCTGCTTGCTTTTAGATTCACCTTATCCGTGTGGATCTACCTGCTTGAGTGGTGTCACATGAGGGTCTGCGGGATCATCCATCACATCAATAGGGAGAATTCATTTGACTCCATTTTGATGCTGCTCACTGACGCAGGTGGGTCACAGCAGCCTGTGCTACACCTGATATCAGCTGAGAGGATTAGATGGAGGTATCATGGGATGATTGTGAGTGATGATGTGTGTTTTGCGAGGTCGTGGAACAGACTGTGGCATGTATTAATAAAGAGCTCTGGATCTCCCGCAGTGAAATATATGACTGTCATATCTCCCGTGTAGGGGACGTCGTGATTCAGGCCCGTGTGACAAGCGGAGAAGATGACGCCTTCACAGCCTTAGTTGTGCTGCCTCTGAGGAAGTGGATTAGATTAGACTGTTACGTCCAAGACTCGAAGGTATAAAACTTCAACATGTGCTTCTGGGAGGGGGGATAAGGAGCAGGCATTAAAAAAACGCTCTGGGCTTCATCCTCTATTCCTCCCTTTCTCCTCTGATTGGCTTGGTGTCCTTGCTTTGCAGTGTTTGAACAGCTGTAAGATGTTTTCCAGCTGGGAAACTCTGGGCGATTGCTGTGTTTTTCTGCAATTTAGAAAAGTTCACAGCTGAGAGGGTTTATATTTTCCCGGTGTGTCATGATCTCGCTCTTTATTATGCCTAACTTTCAGGTGCTGCTGGATGTTAAGTGGGATGATAAAAGCCGGAGGATTCATTATCGGTGAGACATGTTGAGGATTTTTAAAAGAAAAAAACGTGCTTTCATCATTTTTTCTTATTTAAAAGCAGAACACAACTGTGAGCCTCGGCAAAGCAGCCATTAGAGTGGTCACTGCGCTATAACAGGAAGAAACACATGCACATTGACATTGAGGACTTGTTTAAATAGTATTAAATATCTTACAGGTATAAGCAGCCAGTCCACTTTGATGACACTGACGGATACTTTGTGATCGGAGGAGGGAGGTACATGCAAGGCATCCATGGCTACTACGGGCCTGTCAGATACCATCGCTTTGGGACTGAAGAGGTCAATCCGGTCGTCCGCTTTCTAACAAGATCTAGCTCTTTTCTTCTAGCAACATGTTTCAACATACAATTCAATCTCCACTGCAGGTGAACAACCCACTTCAACCCAGTTCAACGTTGAAGATGCTGGATAAAACTCACCAGGAATGTCAAGAAGTAAAGGAATTTACCAAAGCTTTCCTTCAAGAAGTAACAATGACAAAACCCACACCACGGGAGAAAAGAGGTGATATATTACTCTTGATGTTTATTGTTGTTACACAGTGCTGCATCCCCTCTACAGGGGAAAACCGTTTCATGGATGCAGTATGTGGGATAGGACTAATTTTGCAGTTATTTAACGGGGATTTTTTTCTTTGGAGAGGTTGGAAAACACTCAGAAAAAATGATCAAATCAAGCCCAATTTATCAAACGTGGCAAAACATGTGATCACAGAGTCTGCTGGTAAATGCTGTCAAATTGGTTTGTTGACCTCGGCAGAACTAACACGGCCAGCTTTCAGTACACATGTGTAGTGATTTTAAATGAGCCTCACACGGTTGCACCAAAATATATGTAGTGATTTGAAATGAGCCTCATACGGTCGCACCAAAATATATGTAGCGATTTGAAATGAGCCTCACAAGGCCGCACCAAAATAATACTTGGCGATTGGAATTTATAATAAATGTCTGAAGATTAATAATCTCAAATTATGACATTTATGCACTCGTTGAAAGGGGCACCACCCACCCTTAATGGTGGGAAAATAAAGAAAACAAAAGTTTAATTCAGAAATCAAACATCAAGTCAGTTTTAATTAATCAGTCTTAATTAATCAGTCTCATATCTTAAGTCGAAATTCTAATTTCAGGGACTCCACTTCTGGAAGAACACTAACAGACAGGAACTTAGAAAAATAATGATCTGTTTATTACATGATAAATGATGGTACAACACACATGCAATAAATGATGATAAGATAATGAGGATAAAATAATAATAGGTGAATAAATAAAGATTCTGAGTCAGGCTAGGAGCACTAAAGTTAATGATAGTGAGTGAATATGCGCTAACATATTAACCTACACTAACTTTGGTGTCGAGATAAACTCGGATGTGGATTTGGAGGAATCTAAGATCACCAGAAATAGGTGGATATCTGAGTTATGAACGCATGAGACAGCACCAGCCCTCTTTAGAGCTCTGGAGGTTTGCATACTTAAGTGAGACTGGTCCTTGGAGAAGATGGAGCAGGTTCTGAAGGTCCGGGCTACTGGCGGTTCGAGTGGTTCAGCTCAGAAGACGACTAAAGTCAGCCGAAGGATGAGCCAGGAGTTGCAGCACTCGGGCCCGAAGCAAAGCCAGCGCCTGTGGATCCTGTGGATGCTCGTTTGGGTACTTCTTTGGTCTCACTCAAAAACTCTGGCACAGAGGATGACCTGGGCCTGCTGGGTTGCGTTCAGAGGTGACTTTGAAAATCACGCAGATAACTCAGAAAAACGAGACTCGAGCAGAGAAAACTTTCAAAAATGGCTTCGCGAATTTAAAGAAAAATCAATCAAAGGCTTAATCTTGAATTGCTATGTGCACAAAAAGTTGAAGTTTCAAAACTTGAACTAGGACGACGTTAAAGAAAAATCAACGTGAATCAACACGTGGCGTAAAACTTAGAAGACTAAGAAAAAGTTCTAAGAGAAAACAAAGAAACGCACCACAGAAGGGTGTGGGCAGAAGAGAAGGGCATAAGAGCCGGGGACAAGAGAGTCAGCAGAAGAGCAGAAGCATAAGAGAGAGATAAGAGGAATAAGAGAGAGCAACCCCACTCCACTGGTTTTATCTTCTCACACTGGGAGTGTCTGAGGAGAAAGAGGAGGGGTCATCGGGTCTCTGATTATTTGATCTAACTTATTCTTTTGGCTGGTAAAAGAGTCAGATCTGATACTCACTCACTATGATTAATATCATTGAATGCTTGGTTTCATGATAAATAATTTGATACTAAACACATATGAATGAAGTGTAGGATCACATCAAACATTCTCATTATGTTTTAAGTATCACATTGAACATGCTAAATTACTCTGAAATGAAACAGATAGTAACACATAGAAACTGTGAACAACAAAAGAGTAAACACATGTGAATGAACGTCATCATGATTAATAATGGATTCTAAATACTCACATTCAGATTATTCAATGACATTATAACCACCTAATGGTTAAAAATACTAAATAAACGATTAAAATATAGACCAAACATTTCTAAACTATTTCTGTGTTCATAGAGTAAAGTTATGATCCATAGTCAATAAATGTAACTCTTAAAAGTTCATGAAACAGTCTGAAAAGCTGTTGGTCTAAAGAAACTAAAGAGCGATAACTCGGCTTCTGGAGCACATAGAAAAATGGGAAACATCTCATTTTAACACAAATTTCATGATTAGACAGATTAGTACATTGCTGAATGTATAAGATGTCAGGATCAGTCATTTGTATTCTTTCACCAAAGGAATGTAGTCTTTATCAGTGTATGATCGAGCTGGGTTTTACGACCGAGGTCTGGAGGTCAGTGTATGGTCGAACAGGGTTTTACGACCGAGGTCTGGAGGTCAGTGTCCCCCCTTTTCCTAGGGTCCGTATGTTCACACACTTTAAGACGCTAAATCTCAAATGGGAATTCTGGGTTGAGACGTTAATGTTTATTTAGATGGTCAGCAAATGGAGTCAGTTTGAAAGGTAATAAAAACTCTGTCTCTGTTCTCCGAATTGACCAATCCTGAAGAGTCAGAGGTTTAGTCAACCTCCGGTTGGGTCACTTATTTAACCTGAAAGTGCAAACACGTCTGGAAAGATTTATATCCTGTTTCCTGGGACCAGATAAGGAAACTTTCCTGTAAGGAATGTGTGGGTTTCACATCCAGGGTTGTCTTGATTGCTACAGTCCCCCCTTCGTCACGGTGGTCCTGTCCATGGAGCATCGGGACGACGAGTAGACAACCATGAAGCAGCAGCAGCAGCAGCAGGTGTATGCAAATAGGACTGATGCGTCTCATTATCACTATGTGAATCACTAGTATCTGCTTTAAGATAACATCAAGCATGCATTAAGCTATCAAATAAAATCGTCTAGGTGTTAGACTTTTCTCAGTTAACTATTGGTAGACTAATGTGAAAGAAAATCTCCTAATTTTCAGTATTAATGAGATTTAGAAAAGCACTCTTTAGTCTGAATGCTAACTGGATCTAAAGATATAGCTGTTTTTCATGCTTGCTGGAGAAGTCTGAAAGTTCAATTTCAGTTTCAAAAATGATTAAGACTTAGGTGGAAAAGAAATGTCTGCTATAGACATATTAACCATCTGTGTATGAGCATAGTCAACCTGAATCACAAACATCAAAAGTTTACTGCACAGAGTTTCTCTTAAACTTTGTCTGTTAAACTTGGGAATGATGCTCTTATCGGTTTGACTAATTATCTGCTGTTGAGTCTGAAATTTGTCAATCTGAGTCTTAGTGACAGAAATTTCAGCTTTTAATCTGTTCATGGGATATTTGACAGCTGACAAGCTGACTATATTGACAGAGGAGAGACAAATGCTAACAAAGAAAGCAGCAACTGGTATTGCAGTCATCAATGTATCACCACAGCATTTGGATATCTTATTGGAGTCATTTAGCTTTGGCTAGGTGACTTCTGCTTTCGCAGGACTCACACCTTCATGACTCCACAGTGTTAATCTCAGTGGTTAGCTGAGTAGTCATGTTTATTCACCTTCAAAGTGGATGAAACCGATTGAGGTGGATAATAAGATCGTCGTTTCTGAGAGTGTGATTTACTCTGATTCTGCCAGTCATTCACCCCACTTTGGCGGTGTTGATGGTTTTTCCTTTGTCTGGGATGAAACCCACCGTGACGGGAGTCTGAATAACAACAGTTGGTCTCAAAGTTTACCTGGCATTGGTCTGGGTCAGACCTGGGCCTTGGTGTGTAACTTTGACCTTTGTGAGTTTGTTGAGGTCGAAAAGGTTTTGGAGGCCTGGTTAACCACTCATTTGGAGGCTTATCGGAGCCTGAAAAAACACAGTCTGAAGCTTCATTCAGCTCCATGGGCAGTGATTTTGTCTCCATAGCCAAGAGAGTAACGGGCTCTGCTTTCTTAGCCAAAGTTTGTCGTTGTTTGGCAAAACCTTTTACAGCAAGTTCACGAAGCTGTCGGCTAGTCGAAGTGTTTGGACAAGCTAAGACACCAAGGTGATGACTGGTGGTAGGGTGGAGGTTCTGGACGAACAGCGTTTTGAAGTTCAAGTCCTCCTCCATTTCTGGTTCATTTCGGAAACCAAAGTAAGCTTCGCGTAAGCGGTTGTAATAATGTTGGGGAGGTTCTGATCTCCCTTGTTTAATAGACAGAGCAGCAGAAAGGCCTGTCTGGGTCAAATGATCAGAAAACTCTTCGATTAATGCTTGGCAGAGCAAGTCATAATTATTTCTGACATGATAAGGCTGTCGTTCAAGGAAACTGCTAACCTCTCGACTTGACGTCGCCTTAATAAGGTAGATTTTGTCATCAGTGGTTGCACCTGGAAATTTCCGCAGGTAAAAGTCAATGTCTTTCAAGTAGGTGCAGGTGTCAGTAGCACCTTGGTGCTCAGGTTCAAAGCGTGCTATGATGCGAGCAATTTTGTCAAGATCCCTATCTGAGGGAAATGGTAAGAAGCCATCATGGGGAGGAGAGTAGGACTCTTGGTTTAAGGATAACCTCTCAGGGTCAAGCAGGGTCCTGTCATGATGCTGAGAGAGATACTTAAGAGTTGGTTTGGAAGGAAGTGATGGCGCTCTCTCAGGAGGCTGATCACCTATCATTTCTTCAAGAAAAGTTTGCTCCATGCGTTCTCTTTGGGCTCGACCTGACTGGAGGGAGCATTGTAACTCTCTTTGGGCATCTTCAAGTTCTTTGTCTGTCTTTTCTTGCCGTTCTTGACAAAGAATTAACTGTCTTTGAGCTATCTGGAGCTGGTGCTGTAAGGTAGAAGTTTGCTTCTCCTTAACTTCAAGAGCTTCAGCACGCACTTTGACCAGTGCTTTCAAAGCTTTTACATCTCCTGTTGCTTGCTCTAGTAGGGATTCTGACTGTATCAGATCCTCTGTGGTCTTAGCAAGCTGCTTATTCGTGTCATCAAGTTCTTTCTCCTTTTTGTAAAGGGTTTCATTAAGTCTTTCAATCTTGTCTTTAAGATCAAGATTTTCTTCATGACTTATCAGTGAGGGAAGCTTTGACGCTTCACATCTGGCACTGTGTTTTTCTAAAACACTTAGAGACTTCTTAGTCTCTTCTAGCGTCTTTTTCAGAGCGCTGTTTTCTTCTTTTTGCGTCTTTATCTTTGCTAAAGCGCATTCCAGCAAGTAGTCTTTATACTCAAGCTGAGAAGACATCATGACAGACATGCGTCTAGTGAGCTCTTTGTCACGAAGTGTCGTGGTTAAGGCTGTTTCCAGTAAGTCAGCCATTTCATCCTCCGGATTGGAGGGTTTGGCCTTATGAATCTTAGTCATGTACTGAGGTATCAGCTGACTAGTTAAGTTTGCCAACACTGTGTGTATGTCCCTCAGGGGGTCTCCCTGGCTGGACTCTTTTGTGTTAGGCATGTTTGGTTTTGGTAAAGAGGTGCAGGTGGTTGGTTGATGAGTTTGAGTTGACTTAAAATGAAAGGAAGAAGCAAAATATCAAATTAAGTGGGTTAATCGACTTAATTTATCAGTGCTTGATAAAGAGGAAGAGCCTATCTGAGTAGATCTCTAATGGAGAGAAAAATAACATAAAGTTAAATTCATTTCAATCAAAATTGAAAAACAATGAAATGATGTTAAATTAAATTTAACATCAGATACAGAACCATTGAATAAAGGGTTCAGTTTGTCTCCGTGTTGCAGAGATCAGCAAAGCTTAAATAAACTGCCTGGTGCAGTTGGATGAATTGGCAAAATCGATGAAATTGTCAATTTAAGGAATTAACTCTGAAATTAATTCACCAATCGCAATAAAGCTAAAGATTCAACTACCCAATTCATCTGAAATGGTAAAATAAATTTCAAATATTAATTAATTGTTCATTAATTAATTAATCTTATGAGGAGGGTTAATACATTCATGTATTATAGGGAACAGTAAAACTGCTCAATGGTGTGATAAGTAACAACAAGATCAGGTGATTGATTCAAGGAGTTACTTCATCAATACCTTACGGAGGCTCTTATAACAAAGATTAAAATCAAAAATCAATGATCAATGATTTAGAATAAGCACATCAAACTTCATCAACCAAGTCAATCACTTGAGTTATGTCTGTAGAGTGTTACACACTGACTACAGAGAGGCAGTACAGCTAGCTGATACTGCAGACAGATAATAGCAGTGTTAGCTCAATACCAAAAGCAACCATGTGGGGCAGTATGGAGTTGGGGTAACTGCACAAGCTCAACACAAGTGGAGAAGAAGAAGAAAAGAGGAAACAGTCATCCAACTAGCCTCTTGTGGCTGTGTGAAGTTGGGAAGTATGCAGGAAGGGGCCTTTAGGCTCTGCCTCCTTGAAGGGCCTTATCTGCTTAAGGTCAAATGGTCAGTCTCTCCACTGACAACAAAGGGTTAACATTTCACAGCAGGCTGCATCTGCACCCTCAAACATAGAACTTTCCACCATCTGCTCAGGCAGATTGGTTCAATAAAATCATTTACAGGAACAAGAATCAAAGTGGCAAATCCCTCAACAGCAGATTCAACTGCAGACTTAAAAATCACAAATGCGGCGATTTGTGATCACAAATTTTATCTGAATTCATTCAAACAACAACCTCCCACTGTTACAGTGGTTTCCTGTGACAGTTAGCTTATCTGTCAGGGGAAAGGAGGAAATCTAAATCCCATATAGTTACTAGAACTTCATAGCAGACTATAGTGACAAGAATCAAAGTGACAAATCCCTCAACAGCAGATTCAACTGCAGACTTTAAAATCACAAATGCGGCGATTTGTGAACACAAATTTTGTCTGAATTCAATCAAACAACAACCTCCCACTGTTACAGTGGTTTCCTGTGACAGGTAGCTAATCTGTCAGGGGAAAGGAGGAAATCTGAATCCCATATAGTTACTAGAAACTCGTAGCAGACTACAGAGACTTCAGGGGCTTGAAACCACAGCTCGGAGCATCGCGAACACTGGGTTCAGCCAAAGGCCTTAAATACAAGCGTACGGCGACGCAACAATCGTGCACTTAAATATTGGACAGTCTAGACAGAGCAGAAGAAGCAGTCTCACTGCTACTCAGAACAACATTTCACGCTGTCCAGCTCAAACACAGACTACAGGCATGTAGTACAAAAGTGTGTGAAACACAGAGCATAAAGGTTTTATGCATAGATCAGGAAAACATCAGAACTTAGTCAAGCAACTTCAGCAAGCATAGCATTTATTGTGATTAAGTCTAGGATAGCCTGGAAATAAGTTTCTCTCATCAATTTGGAAGGCTAAGTTTTAGGTTGTCTGTTAGTATCCAGAAGTTTTGTTTGAAACGCCTCACACGGGGCACCAAAATATATGTAGTGATTTTAAATGAGCCTCATACGGTCGCACCAAAATATATGTAGCGATTTGAAATGAGCCTCACAAGGCCGCACCAAAATAATACTTGGCGATTGGAATTTATAATAAATGTCTGAAGATTAATAATCTCAAATTATGACATTTATGCACTCGTTGAAAGGGGCACCACCCACCCTTAATGGTGGGAAAATAAAGAAAACAAAAGTTTAATTCAGAAATCAAACATCAAGTCAGTTTTAATTAATCAGTCTTAATTAATCAGTCTCATATCTTAAGTCGAAATTCTAATTTCAGGGACTCCACTTCTGGAAGAACACTAACAGACAGGAACTTAGAAAAATAATGATCTGTTTATTACATGATAAATGATGGTACAACACACATGCAATAAATGATGATAAGATAATGAGGATAAAATAATAATAGGTGAATAAATAAAGATTCTGAGTCAGGCTAGGAGCACTAAAGTTAATGATAGTGAGTGAATATGCGCTAACATATTAACCTACACTAACTTTGGTGTCGAGATAAACTCGGATGTGGATTTGGAGGAATCTAAGATCACCAGAAATAGGTGGATATCTGAGTTATGAACGCATGAGACAGCACCAGCCCTCTTTAGAGCTCTGGAGGTTTGCATACTTAAGTGAGACTGGTCCTTGGAGAAGATGGAGCAGGTTCTGAAGGTCCGGGCTACTGGCGGTTCGAGTGGTTCAGCTCAGAAGACGACTAAAGTCAGCCGAAGGATGAGCCAGGAGTTGCAGCACTCGGGCCCGAAGCAAAGCCAGCGCCTGTGGATCCTGTGGATGCTCGTTTGGGTACTTCTTTGGTCTCACTCAAAAACTCTGGCACAGAGGATGACCTGGGCCTGCTGGGTTGCGTTCAGAGGTGACTTTGAAAATCACGCAGATAACTCAGAAAAACGAGACTCGAGCAGAGAAAACTTTCAAAAATGGCTTCGCGAATTTAAAGAAAAATCAATCAAAGGCTTAATCTTGAATTGCTATGTGCACAAAAAGTTGAAGTTTCAAAACTTGAACTAGGACGACGTTAAAGAAAAATCAACGTGAATCAACACGTGGCGTAAAACTTAGAAGACTAAGAAAAAGTTCTAAGAGAAAACAAAGAAACGCACCACAGAAGGGTGTGGGCAGAAGAGAAGGGCATAAGAGCCGGGGACAAGAGAGTCAGCAGAAGAGCAGAAGCATAAGAGAGAGATAAGAGGAATAAGAGAGAGCAACCCCACTCCACTGGTTTTATCTTCTCACACTGGGAGTGTCTGAGGAGAAAGAGGAGGGGTCATCGGGTCTCTGATTATTTGATCTAACTTATTCTTTTGGCTGGTAAAAGAGTCAGATCTGATACTCACTCACTATGATTAATATCATTGAATGCTTGGTTTCATGATAAATAATTTGATACTAAACACATATGAATGAAGTGTAGGATCACATCAAACATTCTCATTATGTTTTAAGTATCACATTGAACATGCTAAATTACTCTGAAATGAAACAGATAGTAACACATAGAAACTGTGAACAACAAAAGAGTAAACACATGTGAATGAACGTCATCATGATTAATAATGGATTCTAAATACTCACATTCAGATTATTCAATGACATTATAACCACCTAATGGTTAAAAATACTAAATAAACGATTAAAATATAGACCAAACATTTCTAAACTATTTCTGTGTTCATAGAGTAAAGTTATGATCCATAGTCAATAAATGTAACTCTTAAAAGTTCATGAAACAGTCTGAAAAGCTGTTGGTCTAAAGAAACTAAAGAGCGATAACTCGGCTTCTGGAGCACATAGAAAAATGGGAAACATCTCATTTTAACACAAATTTCATGATTAGACAGATTAGTACATTGCTGAATGTATAAGATGTCAGGATCAGTCATTTGTATTCTTTCACCAAAGGAATGTAGTCTTTATCAGTGTATGATCGAGCTGGGTTTTACGACCGAGGTCTGGAGGTCAGTGTATGGTCGAACAGGGTTTTACGACCGAGGTCTGGAGGTCAGTGTCCCCCCTTTTCCTAGGGTCCGTATGTTCACACACTTTAAGACGCTAAATCTCAAATGGGAATTCTGGGTTGAGACGTTAATGTTTATTTAGATGGTCAGCAAATGGAGTCAGTTTGAAAGGTAATAAAAACTCTGTCTCTGTTCTCCGAATTGACCAATCCTGAAGAGTCAGAGGTTTAGTCAACCTCCGGTTGGGTCACTTATTTAACCTGAAAGTGCAAACACGTCTGGAAAGATTTATATCCTGTTTCCTGGGACCAGATAAGGAAACTTTCCTGTAAGGAATGTGTGGGTTTCACATCCAGGGTTGTCTTGATTGCTACACATGCTTGTGTTGGTTACTCAGAGCTAGATATGGCCTAAAAATTCATCTGTACTTTACAAATCAAAATACTTTCGAGCCACACCATGCCATGTGCCATCTTGTTTCCATCTGATAGTAGAGCATTAAGGCACTGACCACTGACTGGGGCTAGCAGCAGGTGGTTTTGCTAATGCTTACAGGCAAAACCCACAGGGTGCAGAATGGCTCCGCTGCGGATCTGCCGGACGCTGGAGCACAGCGCATCAATTCAGTGCAGTGCAGCACGAGCAGCAGTGGAAGTTTTATACAGTTACAGAGTAAAATATCTGGTTAATTTTCAAAACAAGGAAAGTCAATAAAGTCAATATGTTGTAACTTGATAATAGTAGAGACCAGGGTTGTGGGATGTGGGTGTTTATGTATACCCCCGTTTGTATACACCAATCAGCGGATTTAATTCTATGACTCCCGGGGAAACACACGAGAGCTCGTGAGATCTGGTCCAGTCATGCAAGAAATATCGGTAATCTCGCAAGCACTTCTCCTTCAATGGCGGCGGCGGATCGGATCCATTAGGCGCTCTATGCTTGTGGATCTGATCCGCCTGCTGGTCCGGAGCGGAGTGGAGTTGTTCCGAATCTTGTGGGTTTAGCCAGTTAGGCTCAGCATTTGACCATCAATTCAGGCCTGCCATAAAGAAATATAAATAACTCATTAAACCACTGGATTCTGGGGTTTACGCGATGAGGTTATTTAATGGCGTGATTGTCAAAACGCACATCCCTGGAGTTGATAAAAAAACTGGCTAAGGGAAAACGATAAAAATCAAATTCTAAGCTTATCAACAATGATGATCTGACTTATTAATATCCTTTGGCAGTTCATGATTGATCAGTTATTTAATAAAAAAGCCAAAAAAAAAAAAAACTCAAAAAGGTTATGTTTTAAATGTGAACAAAGAGTAAACTCAATAAACTCATTTTGTAAGAGAAAATGAACATTTTTTTCTTATTCGTTTAGGTACCACTCCCTTTATCAGACCATGGGGTCAGGCTGCAGAGAAAACCTGCAAACAAACATGGACTCTGGAAAAACAACTTCAATACAGCAACCTTTTTCATTTTCTGCAAACAAATGAAGAAAATATAAGGACAGGTGTGTGGATGTTGTTCTGTTTGACCACATATGTGTAAATAAGTCTAATTTTATGTGTGATTATCTTTGACTGTTTTCTGTGTCATTCTCTGCAGGTTTCTTGGGCATGAAGAAACTTGGGGCTGCTTTGTTTGAGAGTTCAGTTAAAACAGTGTTTGCAAAGAATCAGACGAATAATACGATCACTTTGAATTCAACATCTCTGCTAAAAGAAGCCTCCTGCTTAGGAAACCACCGAGCATCTCTCCTGTTGGCCACGATTCATCTGTCTGGTCTGGGAAACTCAGTCGATCAACAACAGGTGGAGTCAATGGCTTCATTTTGCCTTGATGGATAGTGTGGGCTGCTTTTACAGTTCATCTAGGTATAAAGTGCAACAAAATACGTCCAAGGAGTGGGTTGAGGAGGCTGAATGGTCTTTGAATAAGTGGAGTGGAAGCTTTGGAAAATTGGTGTGCACACTCATTATTGACATTTGACTTTTTTTTAGCCAAACTCACCATCTTTTCAAAAACGTGTGCAGCAGTTCTGCTAATCAATCCCCACACAAAAGCTCCTAATAGCTCTCTTCACACATGCAACTGCTCTTCAGTAAGGGTGATGATAATGACAATGATCCCTTTGTGTCTCAGGGTCATGTTTATAGTTTGATTGGTGCAGCTGGCGATAACCGCTTTGCCCTGATGCATGCTGGGTACAAGCACTCTCAGGGAATCGATGGGTTCCCAAAAGACTTGGACTTGGCTTACAGCTACTACTCCAACACAGGGTTCCAGAGCAGCATTGACGTCAGCAGACTATATGAAAGCAAGGTATGAAACACAAACACTCAGACGTGTATTTTTAGCAGCTCTGATTGCTAATGCTGGTCTTCTACACTGGCACATGGAAAACATTTTAGCCTTTACAGGAGATGCAATTACAGGAGATACAGTTTGGTGATGGCTGTTGATTTAGAAAAAATTATATGTTCGATGTCATGTTAATAAATTAGAAACTATTTTTACACCCTTCTTCTTACTTTGCTTGATTTAATTACATGCAGAAATATCTGCGAGCAAACATGTTGAACTGAGGTAGAAATAATGAGCACAGGTTACAGCTGTACAACATTAGCATGTTAACATCACCAGTGTGAACAAACTGGCAGAAACAGGTTAACATTTGGAGCCAGCACTGTCATTCAGTCTGACTAACAAACATGATCGAACTTAGATTTGTTAATGCTGTGACTTATATTCTGCAGATCTTGTATTTCTTGTTAAATGTATCTGTGAACAGTATAAATTTGATCAATTCTGTCTTTGGTAGGACTTGAACATGCAATCTATCTAATTTTCAGGAATACTGAAACTGAGGTTTAAAAGTATACACTGAATTGCCTTTTAAATGAATAAATAAAATAAAATAATATTACCCTTGGTGAAAAGAACCCAACTGCAGCCATGAGTGAGAGACTAATTCACCTTAAAAAAGGTGAGACAAACTTTCATGTTGCATCAACAATGACAGTCTGATTGTATAAAACCACATTTTAGCGAGGTAACTTTAGTTAGCAGCCTGTTAGGTCAGCCAGCTCACTGTCATAGGATTTCTCCAGAGTTCAACTTTTGAGGCAGACTCCAGACTGAAGTGTTACAGAGAGGAGTGTTGGGCCTGAAGATATCCTAAAGGTCATCATAGGAATGACAGGACTTTGAGTTGACAAACCTCCTGTAAATGGAAACAAGCTGTTTCTCATAATTGTCTGGTAGGATCTGTTTGAAAAGGGGGGCCATGCGTCAGAATGGTTCCCGTGGGGTTACAAAATTCTAAAACTTAAACTAGAGTCAATTTAATTTGAATACAAACTAACATGCCTGTGCCTACCTGTTGTGTTTTCTTGTTTCTTTTTTAATGCCTTTGATTTTCAACAGCATACTCTTTGCCTGGTGCTTTTCAAAAGAAGTTGTAACTCTCTAGATCAGTGGTTCTCAAGTCCAGTCTTCGAGGCTCACTGTCCTGCATGTTTTGGATGTTTCCTGCTCCAACACACCTGATTCAAATGATCAGCTCGTTATTAAGCCATTACAGAGCTTGATAACGAGCTGATCATTTGAATCAGGTGTGTTGTAGCAGGGAAACATCCAAAACATGCAGGACAGTGGGCCTTGAGGACTGGACTTGAGAACCACTGCTCTAGATCATTTAAATAATTGCTGACCTCTTGTGAGCATGACAGCCTGCTTGCCATTCATCTGAAATTTTGCACAAGTTCATTTATTTACTTACTGACTTTTTTTATTTAACTTTGCTCCTCCCCCATTTATCACTCTGCTGTTGTATGATGTTTGGTTTTTAATTTCTTTTTAAACAGAGCTTCTACCTCAATTTCACTGTACATGTACAATAACAGACATTTACTGACTCATGCACAGACAAGTCAGCATTGAACTTTGAATGGCAGTGCATTAATGACGCTTTTCTGTTGATTAAAACAGCAACAGCATCAGCAACAACTGTATTGACATAAACATAAAAAACAGTGTTGCAATCATGGTGCATTGTTTTGGCGTGTCACTTGGTGATATCAGACCACTTGGTCCTGTGTTCAGGAAACTGCTGATCAAGGAATTATATAACAATATTTTTAATCTTTTACTTTTTATTTTTAACTTTTTGGTGGAAATACAATATGCCAGAGTTTCAGAAACAGATGAGCAGTTTTTCAAAATGCAGTAAAATTTGAAGTTAATGCAAACTAAACTGTGTTCAGGGAGTTTAAAGTATGTGTGAAAGACCAAGATGTTTGCTTTTGTAATCTGTAACCCTCAGTAGACAGATATTTAGCTTCACTTAATAAATTAGTTTATTCATAATTCACTTAAACACATACAGTAGACTCTCATAAGAGACACAAAGTTCAGGACAGGACTTTAACAAGAGGGACTTTCTCTGAAACCTGATTAATCGTGTGTTTGCTGGTCCAGTCAGGAGGAGTAGGTGGGCTTTAAATCTTAATTTAAATGTGAGCGAGTCAGCTGTCTTAATGAATAGAGCAGATAAGGAGTTCGCTTTGAGAAAACTCTTCTTAAGGCTGGTTTTCTGCGTATTCCTGGAACATTGAAATAAACTGCATCAATTGGAAACAGACTTTGAGGTCTGCTGCAGCTTCAATAGAGAGACAATGCTCCTAGGAAACAACTGTAGGGAGTTTATGAGTAAAGAGTGAAGCTGCTGCATTCAGACCAACCTGAAAACATTCCCAGTAAATGTCAGTACAAAAATCTGTCAGGACACAATCTTAATTAAAAAACCCCAAAACCTATTTCCAAGCTTCTTATCAGGAGTGATAAGGTTCTCCAGGACCACAAAATGTTCTGCCAAAATTAGAACAGGGTTATTCATTTTAATCCAGCTGTTTTCTCTGAATGATTTAAAAGTGGGTGGGGGTTGGTTGAACAATATTTTAGACACAATCTGATGACTCATATGAGGCTGAATTAGTCACCAAAACACACCCACAAAGTCCTAATAAAGCAGGATGGGTGTTAAATGGTAAAACACAAATCAGATTTAAATCAGATTTTGATATGTGTAAACCTTTTTGGGGAGTACTAATTTGTTTGAAGAAATGAGAAATGAGTCATTCCCGTAGGGGCTTGTTCACACCAACAGCAGTTTTTGCAGTGGGAGTGCATATTTTCTTTACTAAGCTAATGCACTTGGGTATTTTCATCACCTTTTCAGCACACAAAACAATTAAATCAACTTCTGCTTTGTGTAACAAATCTTGGGGGAATTGTTCTGTATAAAAAATTAGAAAGTAGTTTCTTCAAGTGCAGTTTTAGCAACAGCAATGCCTATTCTCTTCACACAACCAATGCAGTTTGGTGTTTTCAGCAATCATTATTACAAGAGCACAACTGTCCTTGATCCCTGTAGCATTTCCTTTATTTTTTTTTTTAATTTTGGGGAGGGGGGCATCACCTTTTTAAAAAAGTTCAATACCTTCCTGCTTCCTCACCAAACAAGTGAAATCAAGACAAGGCAGGACATATGGGCTGAAATATGTGCCACCAGAAACTGAGTTTGAATAATTTATATTTGAATTTGAATTGCTAAACTTGAATAAATGAATTGAAAAAAATTAATTTGAATCACATAATTTGAAATTGTATTGTTTAACTTGAATCATCACATTAAAATTTTTATCTGAATATTATAATTTGAAATTTAAATCCTACATTTGTATGTTTGCGTTGATGCATGGTCTATGCATAAATGCAAGTGTACAAATGCAGGTGCTGATTAGCCGAAGAGGAGTCCTGCGTATCTGAGCTTGATTGCTCTTCCTTCATCCTTCAAGTACCTGGATGTCTGTCACAGTAAATTGAAACTGAATTTTGAGAACCGAATTTGAATTGTGAGAACTGAATGTGAAGATGTATAGAGAGTTGGATTTTCAGTGAGGATCAAATTTTATTGGATTTCAATTTCAAATTATATTATTCAGATACAGTTTTTCAATGCAATGATTCAAATTAAATGATAAAATTTCAAATTATATGATTCAAATTCCATTTTTTAATTTAATTTTTAGAAGTTTAGCAACTAAAATTCAAATATAAATGATTCAAATTCAGTTTCTGGTGGCACATGTTTTAGCCCATAAGGACTTCTTACATCAACATTGTCAACAACAGTGACAGACATCTGCACAGCGGAGGAACTATCAATACTCTTTCCAAAGTACAGGTCTAGAGCTGTTGGTAATGCTAGAAGATGATCTTGATTTACATTTCATTAAATTTATTTGAGTTTAAATTAAACATGAGTAATACAGAGCATTATAAACAGACTCATTGGTCAGTCCCAAAGGAGGCAGAAGTGACTGGACACAGGCCCTAGTTCTGCAAAGAAAAAAATACAAATAGAAAAAGCATAAAAAGATAAATGTAGCGTTTGAGTTCTTGTATTCGTCTGCGGGAAAAAACAAAAAGCAGTCCAATTAAGGAGCAAACGAGGCAGAATGCAATCAGCTTTAATGCAATTCCAGAAACCATCGGATGTCATCTAATGATGATGTAGCTTTAATTATTGTCTTTGCTCAGATATCTACAGAGTGCAGCTAATACTCCCTCTTAGAGGTCATTTTTCAATGCTAATTTCACTCTGAGTTTGTTGTCCTTTGCAGCTCATTGGTGCACGGTGTCCTTGAATTGGTGTCTTTTTTGCAGTTGACCAAGTGGTACTAATAGTTTGCTACTCTGTCTTTCTCAAAGTACCGCTTACACCAATTTATTTTAACAAAAGTAATTTGATATTAAACTAAAATGTTCTTGAAGACACAACACAGTATCTCTCTGTTCATGAAATGGACTGTTTTTTAAGTGCTTCTCTGGTGCCTACTACATTTAATCACATGGGACTTGCACCTTAACTTCACCCAGCAAAGGACACTTTTGTTAGACTCAAAAAACATTCAGAGTTTAATACTCATAAAAAATAGATTCTTTTTTTGTTCACAAAATCTTCCTTGAAGACTCATATTAGGAGGATAATGAGAAACTGATGAAGTATTTAAGTGTATTTGCAGAAGTAATACTGTTTGCTTCTCTTTCTTTCTTAAAGCAAAGTGTTATTCAGCACATCTATCTCAATAATCCAGATGATTTAAATCAACTCAGCCATCAGAAAAATGATGGTTTTCAATATGAAAAGTTTAAAGCAGAAAGTGGAGATGTACAAGCGCAGGTAAGTTTGAGTTGAATTACTCTTTTATTTTCTCTTTTGTTGTCCAAAGATGTGGTCTGTCATCTGAAGAGACTAATAAAGCCACTGTTATTCTCAGAGAAACCTGGCGGTGATGCTTTATAGAGGAGAAAACGGTGTCTCTAAAGACACAGACAGTGCAGTGAAATGGTTTGAGAGAAGTGCAATGCAGATGAAGGATCCTGAAGCCTTGTATGACTACTCCATCATCCTGATGAAGGTGCTCGATGATTGTAAAGACTATTTTATGGTCACATTCAACATTGGATGCATTGTGAGAGTGTGTGTGTCTTCCTTTTGACGGATATTGATTCACTGATTGATTTTGATTCCTTCAGGGCGAGGGAGTGAAGAAGAACAAGACTAAAGGTTTTAAGCTGATGCAGAAGGCTGCAGAGATGGTACCTCTATTTCCCTCCTCAAATGAGCCTGTGTGTCCACATGATGTGCCCTCACTATAACTCTGTCTGTTTTCTTGCTTCAGGGCTCAATCAGGGCCTTGAACGCTCTGGGCTGGTACTACTGGAACATCCTGAACGACGACAAAAATGCAGTCAAATACTTTGAGCAGGCAGCACAGCAGGGAAATGAAGATGGCATGTTCAACCTGGGGATTTATTATCTCACTGGTACACATCCAGACAAACCATGGAAGAATGAGGTTTGAGTCCCGTATTTTCATTTGTTGTCATTTTTGTTAGTTTCAGTGTGTTACTGTCTGTGTCTATCATCATCTTCATCAGTTCAGTGTGTTGTTAAATGTCTGTGCTGTCATATCCGTCAGTTTCAGCCTGCTGTTGATCGTCTGTCATCATGTTTCTCATTTTAAGTTTGTTGATTGTCTATCTTCATCATCGTTGTAGGTTTCAGCTTATTTTGTGATTGTCTCCATCGTCACCTTCATTGGTTTCATTTTGTTGTATCTGAACAGTTTCAGCTTGTTGTTAAACATTCTTGTTGTTGTCTTCATCAGAGTCTGTTTCTGCTCTTCCTCCTCCTCATCATCGCTAATTTTATTTCGCTGTTGATTGTCACAGTGCGTGAGCGTTGACTGAATGACTTGATTTGAACCTGTGAATGTTGCTAATTCTGGGGGCAGTGAACATCAACTCACATCTCAGGAGGATTCAAGAGGTGAAGAGAGATGTCAGCGGTGTTTTACAGTAGCCGCTTTGCTGCACCTGGTTGTATTCAGCATGGATGCTGTGAACAACTCAGATATGATGAGCTGCAAATCAGGACAGATCCAAATTAACTACATAAAGTCCCACTCCAAATGTTTTTCCTTTAATACTTAAAGTGTTCTCAGTGGTTTTTAAGTATATGAAGTTTTCAGCCAAATCACGTTACCTGTGTCATTTTTAAGAGCTTTTCTTCTGCAGAGCTCCAGTAGCTTGTTAGCAATTTGGAGACAGCGCTGCTCTGCACACTCCTCTTCACGCTAGCTTGCAGCCTAACACTGCTGGTGTAGTAGAAGTGGCAGGTAACATAGGAGCTATTCGGCTCTCAGACACTAATGTCTTTGGGGACATGATGAAGGTTAATATCATAATTAGCTTTCTTAGGAGCATTGCAATCCACTACTGCACACACTTGTTCCTCCATCATCCTCTCTACTTCTTGGGGTCTGGCCTGCATAGCGGAGCACTGGAGGCAGAGCATGGAATTGTGATGTACGAAATCTCACTGTGTCTGAAGCTGCTGTTTGGGTCTGCCACAGATTCACAGAGATTTGAATGCAGAAATGCAATTTCCCACTTATTTTTCTCATGATATGTCCTGTAACATCAGAAAAATGCCATATGAACATATAGACAACCAGAAAAAAAAAATAAATAAATAAATTCATCGGAGTGGGACTTTAAGGAATGGAGAATAATTCTCTTTTCGTGTTTGTTCCTAAGTCGACCCAGAACATCCCGCATCCAGGTGGGATTAGTTATCCCTCCAACAGGCTCCGGGCCTACCCTGGGATCCCCACCTGGCATAATGTGCTCTGAACACCTCCAGGAGGCGTTCTTATCATTCCCTGAACCTCCTCAGCTGACTTCTGTTGATGTCTGATCTTCTAACCCAATCTCTAAGGCTGAACCCAGAACCCTTCAGAGGAAACTCTTTTTGTCTTTTTTGAGATCTCATTCTTTTAGACACAACTCAGGGTTGCAGGATTGGAGCATGGATCGACTGCTCAGCCTCCTCTTCACCACAACAGTCTGGTACAATGTCCACATTACTGCTGATACCAGTAGTAATGGGTTTATGAAAAGTGGCGAGCCAGCCAGGTCACTGACCCCAATTTACATCATAATTTTTCTATTTATTGTCAGTCCCAGACCTCTGCGTCTCATGTCTCCGAACCATCCTCACATAACAATAAATGTGTTCCCCTAAGGCAGTTAAAGTAGCGGTTTTAATGTTGTCAAAATCACAAATTTCATTTTTGGGGAATTTTCTCTCTTTGATCAAACAGGGAGAAACATAATGAAAATGAGCCGATGAGCAGAAAGTGACAGCTCGAAAAAAAAAAATGCTGTCACCTCCAGCTCACTGACGACAGCGATAGTTTTACAAATTACAGCTGGTTGTTAACAGAGCTGTTTGCAAGTTCTGAGTTTTAGCAGTGAAGCTAATTTAGCCAGTGTTACTTTGAATATTTGTCTAATGGCAGATTAAGTATGACTTAACAGTCAGAAGGCACCAACATGCTATTTGCTCCGTGGTGAAGTCAAGTGCATTTACTCTTTGGGTGTGCTCTTTTCTTTTTGTTGTCTTCTCAAAGGTTTAACAGGCAGAAAAAAAAAAAAAGAAAGAAAATTAAATATGTAACTTTTTTTTAATTTACTTTTTTCATCAGCTGCTTTTCACCAGTGAGTTTGCATATTCTCAAAATAGTTTAAAAGTGTTTACATCCTGCTTTTTTTAACTGTGTATGAACTTTTCACCGGTTATCTTGGTTTAAAAAGTCATCTTTATGTACTTCTTTGTATAATTGGATCTCTATTTGCATCAGAATAAGCACAAGCTAGGATTTCCAGGGTCCAAAGTTTACACTGCGTTAAGAATTATTACAATATGTTTAGTGGAGTTAATGACACCCTGCAGCCAATCAGAGTCCAGTATTCACCCAGACCATGAACTGTTAGAGCTGATAATGCTCTTTCTGATCCACAGACGGCCGCCTTCCAGCACTTTCTGGGCGCGTCTTGGTACGGGCACATAGCAGGATCAGTGGAGGCGGCGAGGTACTACTCAACAGGAAACCTGAAAGGAGTGTCTCGGGATGTGGAGCGGGCTGTGATGTAAGAGGCTTTCATTAGCTCGGTAAAGAAAGCTTTGCTATGGGCTGTTGCACCGTAGCCTGCAGCTCAGTGGCATCTAATTTCAGTGACAGTGGCTAATTCAAGGTCAGAGCCTGGCATTTGCATATCTAAAAATAAGAGTCTCTGCGTTATTGTTCAGCACACACACACACACACACACACACACACACACACACACACACACACACACACACACACACACACACACACACACACACACACACACACACACACACACACACACACACACACACACACACACACAGAATCTGCTTACTCTTCTTTCTCTGCTACCTTAAACTGATAAAAAAGATTCTGCTGCAGAATGAGCTCAACAAACCAGGGGCTATTTTTAGATCATGTTTTAATATTTTCCATTTCTGCAAAGAAAAATTATTATCCATAATTCATCACACATCCTTTGCCCTCTGTGCAGGATGCTAAAAAAAGTGTGTGATCAGAACGGACACCTTGGATTTATGATCGGTGAGGCGCTCCAGGCCTACCTGCAGAGCTCCTGGTGAGAACATTAATTTCAATTACTTTGCAATTGTGCTCATTTAATCATGTTCTCTGCTCTTCACTGTTTGTCTCTGCTTCTTCACGGGTGTTTTATTGTCTCACAAACAGGCAGGAGGCTTTAGTGAAGTACATGCTGGCAGCTGAAACCGGTCTGGGTTTGGCTCAGAGCAATGCTGCACACCTGTGTGAGGTAATTGTGTTGCTTCTCTGGTTTGCAACCTCTCTTTGTTGTCCTTGAATTGGATTTTCGTAACAGAGTATTGCAGTCTTCGTCCACACTGTCTGTAACTGTGACTATAAACAATGATCTGTGCATGTTAATCAGAGAAATGCTAACCATCTGTTTCAATTAAGCTTTCAAGCTGCTGCTGCTGCAGAAATAGAGGCTCTTAACTCTGTTTGGTGTTTTGGAGAACAAGTTAAAGTTCTTGCAGTCTGTCTGCAGACATTTTGGTGTAATAAGCTTCAATATTGAGTAAATCTAAGCACTTCAGAAAGGTATTAATCAAGCATATTCAGTGGTATGTAGGTAAAATATGTCATTGCTAGTTGTGTTAATGGGGCACGCACACCAAGCGTGAGTAAAATACTCTCGCTTAATTCGCGCAAATCTAGACACGTATTTACTCGCTTCATCTGCGCGTCAACGGTAATTTCAACAGTAATCCCTGCCAATTCAACCGGCGGGATCAAGTGATAGACAAAGGTTTTTTACAATTTACCAGGTAATCCAACCTCCTTACTCACTTGCCTCCAGGGGAGCTCATTTTTATTCCGGTTTCAGTAATTGAGAGTTTGTCCTCCATTATAGATACCAGTGATCAACCGTCCATTTTTATATGTTACCCGGCAACCTATGTGCTGATTAGTTATCAGGACGTGAATATCCAATCAAGTTGAGACATTTTCAGCTCGCGCCCAATTCACATCATTTGCACTGCCAGAGTTGTAGGAGCATTGAATTACGTCTTTGCATTGACTTCACATGAAATTAATTTGTGCAAATGATTTTACTCATGCTTGGTGTGTGGAGACAGAAAGAGTCATGAAAATGTGACTGCAGTATGGACATAAGTGTCTTAGGGATTTAAAAAGTATATATATTTACAATTGAAAAAAAGTATATTGCTTCCCCCGACTGAAAGAGTTTAAGTATCCTGGGGTCTGTAGTTCACAGTGAGGGTAAAATGGATCATGAGATTGATAGATGTGTCAGTGCAGCATCAGCAGCACCACAGGCTCCGTACCAGACCATTATGTTGTAGAGGGACCTGAGCCTGAAGGGGAAGTGTTCGATTCACTACTCAATCTACGTCTCAGCCTTCACCTGTGGTCATTAGTTTCTTCTGTAGGGTGTCTTGGCTCAGCCTCACAGACAGGATCAGGTGCTCAGACATCCAGAGGGAGTTTGGAGTTGAGTTGCGGCTTCTTTGCATAAGAAAGAGTCAGTTGGGTTGGTTCAGACATCTGATCAGGATGCACCCCTCTGGAGGTTTTCCAGGCACGCTCAGCCGGGGGGAGACCTCAGGGCAGACCCAGAATGTGCTGGAAGGATTATGTATCCCATCTGGCCTACGAGTGCCTCGGGATTCTCTAGTAGGGCTTGGAAGTGTTGCTGCAGTGAGGGGTGTGTTGGCAACTGGCTTAGTTGGCTGCCCTTGCAACCCCACAGCAGATAAGGGGAGGAAAATGGGTGTATAGTGAGATATACATTCATCACAAATCATATACTAACTATTTGATTGGCTCTTTGTGAGACATTATTAAGCACTTAGTCACTCAAAACTTTGTGCAAATACAATCTGTAACCGTGAAATTGAGAAAAACTACCTCCAAACCTCTGCATTTCTTTTCGCTGACAGTAAATCAGAAAGTTGTCCACCACTAATGATCTACTTCAGGTTTGACACATTTCTCAAGAGTGTTTTTCTTCAAATTAAAACAGCCTTTAAGAAACTCCGCTCTTTTATAAATCATGTAGTCAGTAAATGTTCAAACAAACTTTTGATGCACATCCAAAGCTCATTTCACTGAGGTCTGGTTTTGTGAAATGTATCCAGAGTTCACTTCACCTGTAAAAACATAATAAAGAGAGTGTCCAAGACAGGCAGCAGTTCAGAAAGATCAAACTAAAATACATTAGACATAGAATTAAACTACAGCTATACTCTTAACCTTAACGTGTCCAGCCTAACTCATGGACATGTATACAGCTCACAGAGGTTCTTCAACATGGAGCTAAGACTGACGACTTTGCAGCTCTGGAACTGGACTGCAGCGCTGAGTTTACTGAATGCAAAAATTCAAGTCGTGTCATTTAGTGTGTTTCACTGCTGCAGAGCCGCTTAAGCACCACGATTCAGTGTGTTTCTATCCTCTGTGGGCTGCATGCACATCATTTTGTTAAGAGGTGGTAGCATTTTGCAGGAACAGAATCTAGCTGTAGTGTATATTTTTGCCTATATGTTTTTTTCTTATACTTTTTATTGACTATTTCATTGGATTTCTGTAACTTAATTTGCTACTGCCTATTTACTAGGTTCATATAAATAGGTACAGTGTGCAAGAAAAGGAATATAAAGTTAAATCTAGCAGTGAGAATCTAGATGAAAATGCTCTTCTCTGAACCCCTCATGCTCATGCAGAAATGATGGCCTTGGAGGACAGAGTACAAGTGATGCTTGAGAAGATTGATCCTCCATTGGTCATGTTTTCACCATCAAAAACATATAATTCCTTTTTTTTTGTGCACAACTCCTACTCTCTTCTTCCATAACTCACTAACTGTGGAAACACAGCAGTGCAAGATGAAAACCTAATTAAAGTTCCATTTAAGTGCAAGAGATATTCCAGTTTAAAGAGTGGGACCTTGGTTCTTGGTAAATTGAATCTGTTGGTCAGTTGAGTGCTTTGGCAATATTTCCACAAACTATATAAGATCAAAACTGTCCAAATTTGTCACTGTGTAGAATCTCCTGTCAAAGACTCTTTACATTTTCAGGTCTGAGCCAACTTTTGGCTAATCTCTCTAAAAAGCTTGTCCAACTCTGTCAGTTTATCCAAACAACTTTCCCTCTTACTATCCTTTCAGCAGATGGCAAAGATTAGATGAGGACTGGTGCAAAAATTGGGTGATAAATTGACCATTAAAAATAACTAAACTGGAGGTTCTGATGGAAACTCTTAGCTAAAACCCTAGGAGATTTGAAATGAAGACACACAGAAATAGTTGTATTCAAATGACTCACAGACAGCCAATATGCGACTAATTTGCATGCTAATAAGGAATAGCTAATGGCAAATATTTTGAATGTAATGCATGAACCCGATTTCAGCCCATTTCTGAATTTAGCGCCCCATAATTGAAGTTTTGAAGGGAGTAGATGATTCCAGTCACATACTGAAAGAAAAAAAAAGAGCCCCGGGAGACTGTTAGCAGATGATAACCCAACCTTCATCATCTTCCTCCTCTTTTTCTCAAACACAGGAGCTGAATCTCAGTCCTGATTGTCAGTGGAGATATCATAACTACTCTATTTTAAACTATGATCCCCATCCGGCCAGTGAGTTCCTCTCATTTCATTTCACTTTAACCTCTCCCTCTGCCAGTCAGTCTGCTCGATAAACACTGAGTATTTATCTTCTTTTATAGCTCTGCTGAAAATGGGAGACCACTACTACTACCACCCCCTCTCCATCACGCGAGCAGACTCATTATCCTTGGTTGGTCGGGCGGTATCGATGTACAGCAGAGCAGCTGTAGCAGGCAGCCCTCAGGTGACAGATTTATTCAGGCTGTAATCTCATCACCCTATGATAAACTTAATTAAACTTCCTCGGCTCCGGCCCACCGCAATAAAAACAACAAACACATCTCACAGTCTTATTATTTGGAGACTTTGTCTGTGAGCACCCCATCAAACCCTGTTCTGGTTTTATTTTTACTCTGACTCACAGGGGATGTTCAACCTTGTGGTTCTGGTGAAAGAAGGACACACTCTCCCACCTGACACTTACAACTTCTTCAGTGTGTCACGTTATGATGAGCTGCACGTTGTGGTGGAGAAGATCTTAAAAAGGTGATTTTTCAAATCTATCAGTAGATAAAACAATGAGAAATGTCCATAACTGTTTGCTGTATCCAAAGATGTTTGAGTAATCTATGTACCATCAAGTTTCAGTTATTGTTTTGGATTATTAACTGTATAAAAAGGTGGACCCAGCCCTTCGCACTTTGTTTGCATTTAATCCACTAAAAACAAAAACAGGACGCTTCGTTTACATTTTATCCACTCAAAATGACAATAACAGAGCGCTTTATTAACATTTAATCCAATTTAAAAAACAACAAAAGGGCACTTTGTTTACATTAGAACCATGAATTGAGCCACCGGAGAACACTTTATTTACATTTTCTCTATTAATAAAGCAACCAGAGGAAACTTTGTTTATATGCATTATTACATAGCATACTATTCATTTATAAAGCAACAAAACAGGACACTTTGTAAAATTGGATATAGCACCCAACAGAAGGCACTTTGTTTACATTGTATCCATTTTGAAATCAACCTAAGGGTCATTTTGTTTACAATTAATCCACGGATAAAGCAATCAACATGGGGTCTCTATGTGATCTCTATGAATATTGGAACCAACAGAGGGCACATTTAATCCATTATTAAAGCAGCTAGAGGGCACTCTCTGTTTACATTTTATCTACTGAAAGGAACAATTTGAGGTCCCTCTCTTTACATTTTATCTATCAAGCAAACATCGGCAGGCACTCTGCTTACCACTTATCTGTAATTAAAGCAGCTGGAGAGCACTTTGTTTACGTGTTATTAACCAATAGGTCAACCATAGGGCACTTTGTTTGCACTTTCTCCATTAATGAGGCAACTAGAGGACACTTTGTTTACATTTTTTCCATTTAAAAATCCAAACAAAAAGGCCCTCTGTTTACATTTAATATACTTAAACAACAACAACAACAGCAGCACTTCATTTACATGTTATCCAATTAAAAAAAAACACCTAGAGGACAATTTGTATAATTTTTTCCATTTCAGTGAGCAACAAAAAGGCACTTTGTTTACATTTTATTCACTTAATAGCAACCAGAAGACTGCTAGCTTAAGAAGACCTTCCTTATATACTGACACAATGTCCTTTTATAGTCTTTAATGTGATAGATGGATGACATGAAATCAAGGCTGTTAAATACTCACGTTAGGGGTGAAGTCATTGTGAAGTTCATCAAAACTCTTTTAGGGTTCCAACATTTTTTTATCCAAAAAGAAGCAAAGAAACAACCAAATGAGAACATTACACTCTGAAAATACAGCCCCACATCTGAAAAATAATCTGTTTTGAGGGAGTCTCATTTCTGTTTATGGTAAGAACTGCTGAATCACAAGACAGATGTGTTTGGGAAAATTAGCCTCACTCTGAAAACACAGAAAAAGAAAACAAGAAACAAAAAAGATAGAAAGATAGAAAATAGATCTATGAGTCAGCGCTTGGACAGGAACTGAGCCATAAGATTATATTCTCTTCACAGATCTGAAAATCCACAAACAATACAGTCCTAGGAGTGGATTTTAATATTCCCTTATTACCTCATGGAAAGAAAAAAGGGATTTCCGATAAAGATGCTCTTTTAAGCAGAGTGAGGTTGAAAATGTGGCTGCTGTTTTGATGAACTAATCTCTGTTGAACCTCAGTGTGGGAGGTCACAGCATTTTTAACCATCAGAAGTATGGGTCTCCTGTCATTTAAAGCAGGACCTGACCTTTGCATACAAGTCCTATCACGCGTGACACTGTTTTTCTCGTGTTATCCCCTCAGATGTGTGGAGGCTGAGCATGAGGATGCAGTGACGCCGTGTTCGTTAGCTCTGCTCGGAGTCCAGATGGGAAAAGCCTTAAGCAGAATGACTCAGAGCGGAGCACAGCTCATCTTGGTATGCACGCGGCAATCAACTCATATGGAGATAAAGAAACTAAATCAACACACTGCAAGCTGTACTCCTTTACTTTATTATCCTCCTTTGATGATTTAACCTGCCTTTAATTATTAAAATGACTGAAAATGTGGAAATGCAAATTGGTTTTTTATCATGAATAAGACATTAAAGGCATTATATGAAGCTATTTTTAGCAGGAAATAATTTACTTATTTCATTTTTTCTCTTTCTATAGGCGTATGCATCTCTTCTCTCTGCTCTTGTCATTACTGTCATTATGCCACTGCAGAGCTGTCTCCGTGAGTAATTGATCTTTATTTTGCTGAATGTTGTAGCCACTAGATGGTGCTATTTCCCCACATATTTGGATTACCACCTCAGTCTGTGTAATCATCTTTATTTTCCATGTTTTATGTCCTCTAATCTGCAATTGAACACAGGTCAGAGGATTTCCAGTCAGCATGTGAGAGAAAGGACTTCACCTGTCAGCCAAGAAGGAGTCAGAATCATCAGGGAGCAGAATGGCATCATGGGAGAAAGATTCACAGCAGCGGGGATTCTCGGGTTTATCGCCCTGAAAGGCGAGCAGTGTCTCCGTCAGGCGGGAGATTTCATGGTGACTGTGTCGGGCGTGTGCCTGTGTGTGTTCTGGACCACACTCCTTTATTATCTGTTATGACAGAAAACAGCACAATGAGCAACCAGCCACAGGACGACGCCTGCAGACACAGCAGGCTATAAGAGCGCACTTTTAGCAGGATGAGTTACAGCTCTGTTCATGACACACGATCGTGTTTCAGAGCTCTGTGAGTCACTCAAGTTACCTAAAAGAGAAAATGCTGCTTTATCAGGGAGGATTATAGTTCCTCTGTTAGGTTTTTCATGTTTGTGTTTGTAGAAAATCCTTGACTTAGTTTGTAGTTTTATAATTAGAGCAGAGTCTGACATAGTTTTTAATGTGAGGCCATTAAGTTTCTGATGTGCAATTTTACAAAATGAAAATGAAAAATAAAGTATTTTTAGAGCACTTATTAAAACAGCACCCAAAAAGACTTTGATTATCAAGCCCTCACCCTCACAAGCCGACACATGATGGCCATGACTATAGAAAATGGGAACAGCGAGAGTAAAAGAAAGCTTCACCTGTGTGGATGTTTCTTCCTGTTTCAGAGGAAGATAACATGATTGCAGCTTAGAAATGTGCAGCAAGTATTTCTGAAAAAAAAAATATACCAAACTTTAACAAAACAAATCCAGGAAGTCACCTGAAAGTCATCACTAGGATAAAGATACCTTGAGGAAATATCAGGCAGTTTAAGTTGTAGCTAGCATTAGCAATAGTAAAATTGCAAGTGATGTAGGGCAGATGTTTCCCTACCTGCCCTGTAAAATCCAATCTCTGCACGCATTTACACCCTAATCCATGACAACACCAGTGAAAGGTTTGACCCCAGACATATGGACTGTATATTTGACAGCCTGAATTAGGTAGAAGACTTACCCCCAATCCCACCAACCCCCTGGTGCCGCTGTGTCTGAAAGGATGCTTCAGAAGTGCCCTCTTTTGATACTCTTGATGTAAATACAACACCATAAAAATGCCTCCTCGTGTGCTCTTTCAATGGCACATGCATAAAAATGGCATTAGCTGCTGCGCTTCTCAAGGATGATATATGACAAAGTACCCTCTTGATGCTCTTTCAACTCAGCTCAGCTTTATTTATGTAACACCTTTCATTCATAACAGCATGCAGCCCAAAGTGCTTTACAACAAAAAGAGGTTACAAAGAAAAAATAAAACACAGTATTTCAAATAATCAAGAATTTAAAGCTCTCATGATCTTTCTGTGTTAAATTTGGCACCCCCTGTGGACAAATTGGTAACCCTCAACTCTTTGCTATTTTTTCTAACACTTGTGATACTGGTGTTAATTTACAAAGATAAACCTCTGTCATTTGTGTTTTTACACTGAAGTTTATCACTGTGGATATTTTCTGTAGTTAAAGTAACAAAGACTGCACTGCAGCACCCAGTGTGACTCCTGTCCTATACTGAGATTCACAGGTAGCTAAACTCTTAATGGCATCACATCCTCCAAGGAACAGGAAAAGTTGTATTTGGATGAGATTTAATGCAGAAAATTGTGAAACTTATAACATCAAGTAGAGAAAGCATCAATTAACGACTAATACATATATATAAACAAGTATAGGTGAATGTATGACATGGCAGATCATGTATATACAGACGTATGGCAGAGACTGTGAACGCGTCTCACATAATATTAACAAATTATGCATATTGTGCTAAAGCTACTGCAGAGTACATATTTTAACAATGAAATGTTACGTGTTGCTGACTTATATTGCCACTCCAAGGGCTGAAACTTGAAGTTGGAAAGTGAGTTAGGGTCTGAGATGTTTCTTTACTAAGGTGTAGTAGAAGAAGACTATCTACCTATTGCCTCACTTCCTGCTAGGCATGGACAGACTCACTCAGGAAAGCCCTTTAGAGGCCTAAAAAGGCAAATGCAAACAGAAACAGTTCCAACACATACTGTTTCTGAAGCACCTCCACCTTTTCGTTGTGTCTCAATATGTTCAAATGAACCCTATGCTGTGGGCACCAGGGGCCTGAGAAACTACCTCAACTCTGTAACCTTCAGGCAACTTTCTGACCAGAGCTGTCAGTGTAACTTTTTTACTCTCCCACCATTATTCCTGACAGGCTTTAAGCATTTCTGATGTGCAACAACATTAAAATTATAAAATACCAAGGAGAGGCGGGGGGCAAGAAGCCTACACGTTGTTCGTCATAATGCTGCAAAGATGGACTTCCATCAATCCCAACTTTGGATACACAAGGGGCCCCTCATATATTTTTATGCCCCTGCCCCAAAACAGTCTTAGCACACCTCTGCTTGTTGTGAAAAACAACAGAGTTTATCACAGTGATGCGGAGTAGGTAGAAAGAACAGCAAAAACACGTACAGTCAAGCACACTTTAAAACACAAACCTAACTTTGTCAAAAACACAGCAATTGAGGAACTAAAAAGACAAAAGACTGCACAACTCGGAGGTTGGGTTAAAAGCCAAGAAATAAAAGCAACTTTAAAAACAGGTTTAAAAAAAAAGGGTCAGCTAGGGCTGGGCTTTTATTTGAAGGTTAAGCTTCTTTAGCTGCAGAAAATGTTGCCACTGGTTTTCAGTCTGGGCTTAAAGGGAAGGAGCAGCTGAACAGCAGACCTCTCAGACCTTCAGTGGGGTGTAAACATGTAAGATGTCAGAGATATTCAAATTTTAACCAACATATGATGAATGAATCTTATGAAATGTAATCAGATGAATCTTTAAATGGTCACCGTAACTCTGGACAGAGGCCAGACAGGAGGTGATGTGTTGTCACATATGAGTGCTGCGTAGAGATGAGCAGCAGCTGGAAGTGTGCAAGAGAGGCCTGACTCACACCAACATGAAGTGCGTTGTAGTAGTCCAACAAGGCCGAGATAAAAGCATGCATCACTCTCACAAAACCATTAAATGATACAAGAGGTTTTATCTTAGGTGAAGTTACTGTCAGAGATTACTCACAAGTTCCAGAGAGTCTGATAAGCTGCCCACTTTTACTGGACTGTCAGGAGTCCAAGAATATCTGTTTGTAGCAGAATGTTTTTCTGATAAATCTGCTGTCTGTTTGTCTGTCTATCTGGGGACAATGAACAATCTGAGTCAAAGAAAATGACTGAGCAAAGTGAAGAAAAACTCTGAAGGCTGTGCTTAGATTTTAAAAAAGAGAAATTAGCCTGATTAATGGAAGTGCTGGGAGAAGCTCCTTTAATATGTCAGCCATTAAAGCTTGTACCTGCTGTATCAGTGACACGCTGATGATAAGTGTCTCACAGGAGACAGGACATGCAGCAGCAGCATGCACGGACACTTCAACATTTTGTCCAAGGTCAGAGAGCGGGGGAATTTCAGCAGGTATTGATCCGTCCAGGCAGGTGCTCCAGGTCGATAAACACCAGATAAGACGGTATCAGTCTTCTCCATCGCTGCAGGATACAACAACAAGGGAAGTTTGGTTTGAAAGGATCAGTTACTACGGCGATATAAGACACACAAACACATCTTTAAACCCCTCACTGAGAGACTAATGTGTTTCTGTTGTTGCACAAAGAAAGCATAAAGATGATCTCCTCAGAGGGGTTTAGTTTCCACAGCTGAGCAGTCAGACTTACTCAGTTTTAACAGTTATTTACAGCTCTGACCTGTGATCATGTGCGCTTTACGGCTGCAGTGTTGTTGCTCAGTATTCATGAAGCTGTCATTACTTAAATTAGGAGTTTGTCAGTGTAAACAGCAGCATGTGGAGCTGCTGCAGTTCACAATGAAGTTTGTGTGTAATTACCAGAGGAATAATGATCTCCCTCTTCCTTCTTCTTTTTCTTCTCTCACTCTCTCATCCTGCTCTTCTTTCTTAAAAGTGACGAGCTAACAAAGGAACAGCAACGCCACAAAGTAGAGTCACCACCAGAGTCTTATTTTTCACTTTACACAGCTCTGCTCAGACTTCTTATAAATCCAATATTCAGGGACTTTTCTTGTGTCGGTATGTTTTAATAAAAAGAAGAAGTTGTGAAAAATTTAACAAGAGCATGCATTCCTGTCAGGGTCAGACTAGAAACAAAATTCAGTCCCCTTTGTCTTAGTGTGTCTCCTTTCAAAAACAAAAATGCTTAAAGCTGGAGTGGAAATGTCAGATGGAAACAAAAAAGGCTGATAGTGCTAAATGTCTAATCATCTAAAATGTTTTGTAGTATCAGCCTTTTTCAGACCATTTCCAGTACTTAACTTGTATTTTTATACAATTACACTCTGTTTTATTTACTCCGGGGTTGTTGTTGACACAAACATAAACACTGTACAGCTGTTAACCTGTAACCAACTAAAGACAAACAACAAGTTTATATATAAAAGTGAGAAGCTAAAAACAACAGGTTGAAATGGAATGATACATTCGGAATAATATAAAAATCAACATTAAAGTGATTTAATGGAATTGAATAAACTGAAATAAAATAGAATAAAGTAGAATGTAATTAAATTGATTAGATGAGAGCAAGTTGTGGCCCCGCCCATTTTTGGCTAAAAAGGAGAAAATGGTTTAATTTAATGGCCTTTGACAGTCAAAATCTAACAAAGCAAACATAAAATCATGACTTTTTTATTGTTGATGAGTGACTTACTGAACAAAAATCCAAGCTGTGATGGGACATGAGATCTTAGCGATAAAAATAAGAATCTGTTGCTTTAGCCTGGCTCCGCTCCACTGGACCAAGCGAACACTTAAGTCATTTCATGGCAGGCCTTTTCACAGTTGTACTCCCTTTATAAGGTAGAAATATGTGAGATTTGAAGAGGGAATCAAGGCAGCCTACAGACTCCTGTATCTGCCTCACAGGCCAATAAACTTGAGCTCCCAATAGCTGTAGATGATAGTTGTTTATTTTTTATTGTTATTTTTTTATTTTTAATTTATTTATTTCTATTAAGACCCTGGAACCCCTAGTGACTATAGTGGACCGCTTTTATCAAAAAAGGGCGCGGTCAGGGATAGGAAGTCACATTAGACTGCCCGTGTCCATTGAATTGGATAGAATGAAATGGTTTGGAATGAA